TTTTCTTAATAATAAAAATAAATCTAATTTATAAAAAATTAGATTATTAATATTAATATTATATTTATTTAAATAAAAATAGCTTTATTATATAATCTAGCTAATAATATTAAAAATACTAATAATATTAAAGGCTAAAAGTTTCTTATAAAAATTAGCTATAAAAAATATAACTTTTAATTCTAGAAGTTATTATACTATATTAAATTAGTATAGATATTAGCTATTTAAAGAAAAAGAGAGAATTTAAATAACTTAGAATCTTATAGATATTAGGGATTTTAAAGTATTTTAAAAGTTAGGTTATAGAAATTATTAGTATATTTATTAAGGTTAAAATAAATTAAAAAAGTTAAATAGAATTTTAATAAAAAAGAAAAAAGCAGCTTAAACCCCAAATTTAAACTCTAGTAATTATAATATATATAAAATAAAAATACAGTAAATTTAAATATTAAATTCCCTTATTAAGAGTTTAATATTAAATATAATATTTATTATTTATTTTACTATTTAAAATTATTATGTAATTTTAATTTATTTAATAATATTAAATAAAATAAAATAAAAAAACCAATTTTTTTTAATAAGTATTTTATAAATATATATACTTTATATTAATAAATCTATCTTATCTTATCCTACTATATCTTATCTTATCACTCTTATTACCTACAGTACTCCTTGTCCCGTTATTATTCAAACCCTCCGCAACCACAATGTCATCTCCTTGGTTGTCCATTCTCCAGCCCATCGCGTTCATCTTAATCTGGACGTCGTTTGCGCATGCGGATATTGATGCCCAAAGTAGAACTGGACAGCCACACGCGACACCGACCGCAACCACATGTGACGCCATCACGATCAACTACATTACCCATTCCCTTCCACAATCTTGCCTCACGAGCACTTGGTCGAGTCCAGTGCCCTCCGTCGATGCCAATACCGAAAGACCTTTAAATGCAACCGAATTCAATACCGTACCTTCCGGGTCCTCAGACGAGCGGGCCCCTCAGACGACTGTCGCCGAACCCAACGATGAGTCGCAAGACCCAACTGGTGATGGCGCGAATAAGCCGTTTATGTCCTTCGAGGACTGGAAGGAGATGATGCTTCGAGAGACCGGTCAAAATCCACAAGATTTAGGATCTCGACACGCCAACCACCGTGGAGCGGACGACAGAACACCACCCGACATGGGACACGCAGGATTGGGCGAAGAAGATGAGATCTCCCTGAACTTTGATAGCTACCTCGACAACAACAACAACAACAACAACAACAACCATTACAAGGCTGGTGATCAAAGAGATTATGGTACTGGATCGCACCCCGACAGCGTTGGTGAAAACGGGGTACGGGACCTTGTGACCTCAGATGATGGGCGGCCGTCCATTCATCCAAGTAAGGACGCCGGCAAAACCTGCAAAGAACGGTTCTCTTACTCCTCATTTGACGCTGGAGCTACAGTTTTGAAGTCAGGTCCTGGTGCAAAGAACACCAAGGCGATCCTGGTGGAGAACAAAGACTCGTACATGTTACTGGAATGCTCTGCCCGCCAGAAGTTCGTGATTGTAGAGCTTAGCGACGACATTCTGATTGACACAATCGTCTTGGCAAACTTCGAATTCTTTTCGAGCATGATTCGCCATTTCAGGATCAGCGTGAGTGACCGCTACCCAGTTAAGACGGAGCGATGGAGGGAGCTGGGCACTTTTGAGGCGAGAAACTCGCGTGATATCCAACCATTCCTCATCGAAAACCCGCAGATTTGGGCCAAGTACGTGCAGATCGAGTTCCTTACACATTACGGGAATGAATACTACTGCCCCTTGTCGTTACTTCGTGTTCATGGCTCGGCACTGTTGGACTCGTGGAAAGACAGCGATCCTGGCCGCGATGACGAACCGCACACTGAAGCCCAAACTCAGGCTCTGTTGGACTCGTGGAGACACAGCGATCCTCGCCCAGATGACGAACCGCACACTGAAGACGAGCCTGAGGTGCCACAGGTCGGAACCCGGAGCCAGGAGACCACGTCTAACAACAAACAAGAACCCCCCAATCACCAGCAACTCGCAGACATCCCCTCACCTGTTGAAAACTCCTCGAGCTCTGCATTCATGGCTCCCTCGTATATTTTCGCACAGACCGTCGCTACTTGCGAGGCATCCCCAAACTTGCCGGAGGGAGATAAGTCTCGTCGCCGGAATGCTAACGTTGGCGACTCGGGAAGTTCGCGTGGGCGCGACGCCCCCCCAGATCCAATGGAGGGTAGAGGAACAGCCAAGATGACTGTTTCCAGGACAGAGTCCTCTGTTGTCGACGATATCCCGACAGCCCCGCCGACGACAGCTTCGCCGACAGCCCCGCGATCTATGGCATCATCTACTCCGTCTCTTGACTCACCATCTGCGAGAGGTGACGTTCCGGTGAACTCCACCGTGCTGGTGACCGGCACCAAGACAGCCTCAAGCTCAGAACCGGGCACAACCGTAGTCTCCGGTAGCAAGCCCTCGGCCCCAAGCCCGCCTAGCGCAAAGAACCGCACCAGTGGAACTGCTAGTTCGTCAACGTCGTCTCCCCCGGTTCAAGAAGGCTTCTTCAAGGCGATCACGAAGCGTCTACATCAAGTAGAATCCAACTTGACGTTGTCTCTCAAGTACGTTGAGGACCAAGCACGACACTTGCAAGAGTCATTACAAAGGACCGAACACAAGCAAATCTCAAAAGCCAACCTCTTCCTCGTGAACCTGAATCAGACAGTACTGGCTGAGCTACGCACAATTCGTGAGCAGTACGATCAGATATGGCAATCCACAGTCATAGCTTTGGAAAGCCAACGAGAACAATCGCAACGAGAAATTGTAGCTTTGAGCACAAGACTCAACCTTCTTGCAGATGAGGTCGTTTTCCAAAAGAGAATGGCCATCGTTCAAGCTGTGCTACTGCTCTCATGCCTCATCCTCGTCATATTCTCCCGCGGAGTCTCTCTCCCATATCTTGCACCCTTTACCGACCAGGGTAATGGCGCTCCTTTTGGTTCAGCGGTATCTCCACGCACTCGCGGACCATATGGGTCTGCATTTGAGACCGCCAGACATAGTGCCCCCTTGTATGATAACCAGCAAGGCGACTACATTCCTGTCACGTTGGCCTCCCAGGGTGTTCGCTCGAACCCAGCCTCGCGGCATCATACCCCACTTTCTGTTGACGAACAAACTGCTCTGCTCCAATGCGAAAGCCTCTCACCACCACCAACTCCAAGCTTGGTGGATGATCTCCCGTTACCAGACATGGCTCGCCAGCCTCATGAAACTCAGGCAACCGGTATCCGCTGCTCTTCGTCTATGCAGCAGAGCAGCGTGCGTAAACCACTGCCGGCATTGCCGGAAAATCCCTCGTCCCCATAACTGGTGACCTCTGAAGGTTGTCTAGGAGAAAAAGCTGTCGTTCTGAGCGAGAGCCTTGGAGCGAGCCGTCAGCGAAGTCGAGGGTTAGTTTCTGTGGAGATGGAACTCTTCTTATGCACGCAGGGATATTTCTAGGCGTTGGGGCATTTAAGGAGCTCATTCGGTATTGGTAGCTATGAATGGCTATCGCACACTCTGACTATTCGAGATGACAAAGCCAGATATAGCAAATTAGGCAGTGGCCTATTAACACCAGGGAGTTCCTCATCGACATCCGTACTTATGAGGATGAAATGGCTGACCAAATGGTCGAAATAGCTTCATAACAAGGCACCATGTCACTGCGCTGTCGAGCCGTAGAAATGCTGGATCGCTGTCTCGTAGTCATATTCCTCCAGGGCTGCTAGTCTTGTTCCACGATCGTATTGGGAGCGCCTGCGACGCTGCTCATCTCGGAAGTGCTGGCCAGCATTGGGCGTAAAGAGACCTGCCAGGCAGCAAGTTAGAAAAGGGAGGATGCCTTTCGCCTCGTGCGGTGCTTACCAACGTGCTCTGCATTCTCGCAGCTCCTCTTCATCTTAGACTGATTGTCGGGCTCTGGGAACGACTCTTCCTGACCGGCAAGTTCTGGCATGGGCCCATTCGACGTAAAGAACAACTACGCAAATTAGCACACAGAACCTTGCAGATAGTTGTTGGCAGGTCAGACCTTGGGCCGGTAATGAGGTGCTTCTAGCATGACGGAACTGTTCCGGAATTTCTGGACCAGACAGTCTTTGCCCTGAATTGCTGTTTGTCGTCAATACGAGTAGAGTATAATAGTAAGAAGACACTCACTGGCGTAAGAGATTTCAGCAACCTTGTCACTCTTGAAGCAGTTCCTATGTTTCACTTTAGCATCAATTCGGGCTTTAACAACTGAGGCATACCATCTTTGGTTTCCTCGAGCGTTGACAAACTGGGTTATCTAGTCAGTCATGCTTGAATTACTTAAGCAAAGAGATGTCTGCACTAACATCGATGATGTCGAGAGGCTTTGTTTTCAGTCAGCGTCGGATAGGGCATCAGAGGGAGCATGTCTTACGTCAACGAAGTTAATGAATGCGTACCCGACACTGTAGGGAAACTGTTAGGTTTTCTTAATAGTTTGGGGATTGAAATATGTCAACGTACTTGCAGTCGTTGGCAAAATCAATGCGAAGGTACATGAAGTCGTACTTGCCCCAGCTTGACTCGTCAATGATGCGCTTGAGCATTGCTTGGTCGACCTTGTTGGGAATGTTGCGGAGCATGATCTGATCGGGTCAATACACGGCAAGGATCTGATAGAAGAAACATACCGTCGTGCGAACATCGATTCCGTCTCGAATTCGGCTTATATCGACGTGATTGTGATGGCTCGCCGCGCTGTGATAGGGTGATCGTGTGATTCGAGTTGCATTCTGTCGGCGAGCGTCAACCCTAGAGTAACCCGATGTGGATCTCGATGGACTGAAGTCATTGTGGACAGTGAGGGCAGGGGAAGGGGGTGTCTGGTACACGGAGTTCATCATTGAATATGACGGAGTCATTGGGCCTATGGTTCCCATTTGGCCTGACGGGGGAAGACGATCGAGAATGTATGGCATGCTGGGGGCGGCCAATGGAGATTGAATCATGAAGGGGTACATTGAGTATGATTGCTGGGTATTGACACCGGGGACAGCACGGCCTCCAGAATCTTGCTGCTGATACGGGTCGCCTGGGGGTTTCGCCAACGAGATATCCTGCAGAGCCGTGGTGATGTCACAAGTAGACGAAGTCTTGGGGCTAGGTGGTGTTACTGTGAGATGAATACCCTGTTGAAAATTGTTAACAAATTGAACTCCTAATAAGAAAGAACACTCACATCGGCTGTCAGTCCATTGCAAGTCTTGGTGGCCGTAACTGCATCAGATGGCCTGCAATACTGCGCGATCGCCCTGAAAGAACCATCGGGGTAGTTGATTTGTCTCACCAAGGCAAAGAGCTGGCCGCAGGACTGGAGGACGTTTTGGACAATCTCAGTCAGCTGGGTAGCGTTGCCAGCGAGCCCAGGGGGCAGAGTTGCCAAAACGAGAACCTGACCAAGTTGAGTGAGCCGTTCGTTCGAAGGTTCTGATCCGTCCTATTTATAAATCGGTTAGCTCAGTCACGGTCCGGGAGGTGGCACAACAAGCCTTGGTGGTTTGACCCCAGCTGACGTAGCCAACGCTCCAGGCTTTCTTAGCCAATCGAATGGTAGATAAGGCCCAGCAGGCATCCCTGATGTCGGTGAAATGGATATAGACATGTCCATTTGCTCCCTCGAGCTCGTGGCCGTCGTGAAGATTAGCCCCGTTCTCAACAAGATTCTAAGTCGAGGTTAGAGCATCCCCGAGTGGACGGGAAGAGCTAATACAGTGAGACAGGCATCGACTTCTGAGACAGAGAGAGGAATTGACGACGAGATATCAAGGTGGTGAGAAACACCGAGTTCAGTGCTCAGGAGTGTGGCGATGGGCTGTCCGGTGTGTGGCAGAGAGAAGCTCACGGCTTGAGCGTCTGGACTAAAGGCGGAGGCAGTGGGAGACAACCTGGTATCGTGAACAGGACTGACAAAAGGGTCTTTGTCGAGATGTGAGACGGATCCACGGTAGCTGTTCACTGGGTGTCTGACGGGGGGAGTGGCAGAGGCGGACCGTGAGAAGTTTTTGAGAAGCTTGGAAGACTTGGCCGAGCCATCATCAGGAGAGAAAGCGGTTAGTCGAGTGTCTGGAGTGCCCTTGAAGGAATCCGCCCCTCCGGTTGACGACCGTGGCGAGGAAGGATTGAAGTGGTTCTCGCGTGGCTGGGCCATGGTGAGACGGCAGACTAGTGGCAAGCACCAGCTCAGTGACGAGAATGTCAACGGAGTATGGGCCACAGAGAAGAATGGCGATGAGGAGGAGATAGAGAGGTGGGAGTCAAGCCTTGATCCTCCAGGACTTAACACTTGACAGAGGCTGAGGTGGATAAATGAGAATGGGAGAATCGAGGAATGGTGCACGGGAATGAGGGTGCAAGGACGAGGAGAGGGGTCCAGGGGAATTTTGTCTTGGTCAAATAATAGGGTAGGAGGAGGAAGGCAGGTTCGACTACTTGCCTCAGGTTGGCCACGATCGGCCTCCCGTCTTAAACGGCAGGAGAAGGCCCAGGCGGGAGCAACAGCCCCGGTTCAATACCAATGAGTGTCAGGCACCTGCCAAAACAACAGGGAGGGCGCTATGCTAGGATTCGTCAGAAATGCTTCCCGGTTAAGGACGATGAAAACTTCTGTATTTTGTTCGACTCGCAGTTCAGCGCTACCTTGGGTGAGAATATTATTGGACACAAGAAGGAGTATCTTAGTATGTCGCATGCTTAGTACCCAATATGATACGATTAAATTGCTCGATGTGTCTTCTAGTGCTCAGCCCAATACGCTTCTTGGCCCTGAGTTTTTGACGATGAAGATTGGTCGAACAAGGAGGGATTCTACTTTAGACCATGCCCTTGGTGTTAGGCATGGTTGATGCATCATATTTAATTCCCACAAACAGCTGTGTAGTGATGAGGGTAGGTTGCATCTCGTCATGTAACCAACCAACTCCACAGCGTTGAGGTCCCGTATGATTCATTCCAGTACTTATTTAGGAGTGTGAGCCTAGGCTGAAGATATTGGCCTTGAAGCTAGTTGAAACTGGGGATAATGGGAAGTTTGCAAACGTTGAACTTCGCATCACCTACTCGGGTCTTCTCATGTGTGTAAAGATAAAGTTGTGATGGAATTAGTAGTCGTCGTGGTATTGGCTGGCTGTGAGCCTGGGGCAACTAGCTGCAAGTATAATAGTTGGTGGTACCTGCAAAGCACCTACCTACCTACCTACCTTATGGTACCTAAGGTAGGTACGGAGTAAGTACCTAGTCGTACCTTCCGATATTGGGAGAGCTCCATGTCGATGGGTGGACTAAGGACCTAACTTGCACACCGGAATTGTGGACCGTGCACTGCACGAGACGCTAGCGCGGCATGGTAGCTCTGTTGGCGCTTGGCACTGTGAATACCTACTACGGAGGCTTGCCAGTAGGTACCAGCTCTGACGTGATCCCTCTCCCTCGCCCTCCATCCATCCACCTCCACGAACCTCACTGTTGCTGTAAAGCGCCCTGAGATAGCCGGCATGCCGCGACGTCCACCGGCTGTGGATGACTACGCATCTGCAGTGCCTAATGTGAAGCTTGCCCTCCCCGTATCCCCCCGTGCGCTCATCTCGTCTCCAGCGGCTGACCCCGTCGTGTCTAGGTCATTCTTGCATCCACCGACTCCGACTTCGTCGACCAGTTGATCCCAGTCCTGAAAGACGCTACCCACTCAAATCGAACGGCCCTCTTGAACCAATGTCTCAGTCGGTACTATGAAGACCGCGAAGCAGATATCGAACGCATCGGACTTACGAAACATGAGGAGTTCCTCGACTCTGTCAACCGCCTCCAACATGTTCGCGAGGGCACCGTCACCCTGACTGCCGAAATCCTCAAACTCAACCAATCCATTCAGTCCAGCACCGAGAAGTTGGCCGAGCAAAAGGGCGCTCTTGTCAACACCAAGGCTGTCCGTCAGAACATTGCCGACGCAACAGACGCCCTCAAAGACTCCCTCAAGATCCTCCACGCCGTCAACAACGCCCATGATCTAGTTCGCCGCAAGAAGTACTATACGGCCCTCAAGTCTCTCGAAGATCTGCAAAATGAATACCTCGTCCCAACAATCCAGAATCGCTACGCCACCCAGCACCGGCTGGCCGACGTCATCCAGAAATCCATACCTGCCTCCCAAAAAGCCATTTCCGAAGCTGCAATGACCGACCTTAATACCTGGCTGTTCCGTATCCGTGAAACCTCCCAGTTTCTTGGAGAAGTGGCCTTCTATCACACTGAACTGAGAAGGTCACGGCAGCGAACAAGGGTGGAAGAGGACGCCTTCCTTGCCAACTTCAAGCTGAACTCGGCCATCGAACTTGTCAGTGATGAAAACGAGGAGTTTGACGTGTTGGACAATGAGGAGCTTCAGGTTGACTTCACGCCGCTCTTCGAAGCTCTCCACATACACGAGGCACTGGGCCAAACGGACAAGTTTCGTTCGGAGTATGGTGCTACCCGGAGACAGCAGAAGGATTTGCTTCTCCCCAGTTCGGTTGACCTCTTGGCAGAGGATGAGTCGTCTCTGAGTAGTTTCTTGGAGGGCATAGCTGGATTCTCCATCATTGAAAAGGCGACCATGCGACGAGTGCCCCACTTACGTTCTGCGGCCGACGTAAGGAATCCCATTTTGTCCCTTATTTCGACGTTCTCCTACTGACTTGAAGGTTGCTTCCAGGTTGAAGAGCTCTGGGAGTCGATGTGCAGTGCTGCGATAAAGCTGACATCGAAGGCGCTCAATAGTGTGACCAATGCTGAGGTTCTGCTTAAGATCAAGGGCTTCATTGCCTTGTTTATCCAAACGATGGAGGTGAGCTTTCGTAGTATCAGACATTGCTAAGGAAGCTCGGCAGTGAGAGTAATGGCTAACAAAGTCTGCAGGGCTGGGGATACACAGTCTCGATGCTTGATAATTTTCTTCTTATCCTCTTCGACAAGTATGCCGAACTCTTGAAGCGCCGATTTAGCGAAGACTTTCAGGAGGTGTGTACCTACGACCTGCATGTCACGAAGAATGCTGACATATCGATGTTGTGTAGATTGTTTCGACTGATGACTATATGCCGATGGCCATTAACTCTCCCGAAGAATATGAGAAGGTGGTGAATGTCAGCTGGTTTACGCAGGAGAAACCAGCAGACGAACTCACGTACGTCGCAAGGCACAACGATAATGAGACCTCTGACTCATGGAACAGATTCCCCTGCGTTCTTCCATTCTCTCAGATGTACCCGCTCTGCTGTATCGACATTCGAAACTTTCTCAACCAGTTTTACTTCTTCTCCGATGATCACTTCCAACACCCAAATGTTATCGACGAAACCCTGAAGAAGGTATTGTCTGGTGGCAAATCATTGTGGCGGAAGAGACTGCTGACTGTCACCTCAGTCTTTAGACGAGTTGCTCACCGAAAAGGTTTGCCAGTCCTTGGTCGAGCGCTTAAGCTCCCAATATCTGGGGCAGATAGTGCAGATTCTCATCAACCTGGAGCATTTTGAGATAGCTTGTCAAGAGCTTGAACAACTGTTGATCCGGGCGCGCTCATCAACCTCAGCAGGCGGACCTCTCAAACTGAGCGCCACTGAACACTTTAGGAACAATAAAAAAACCGCAGAGAAGCGCATCTTCGAGTTGGTCAACTCGAAGATTGATGATCTTGTGGACACGGCAGAATACGACTGGTGAGATATGTGTGCTGAATCCTTAATCAACAGAACTGACGAAGACTGCACAGGACGGCTCCGACGGTAATGAGTGAACCTAGCAACTACATGCAGACTCTAACCCGCTATTTATCCAACATTATGGGCTCAACCCTGTTGGGTCTGCCAAGGGAGATCAAGGAGTTGATCTACTTTGATGCACTGAGTCATACTGCAAGCAAGATCCTGGTGTGTATACTGCAATCTCTGAATATTACCCAACTACCTGTGCCTGGTAGAACTGTACTGACTAGACGCCAAGGCGCTACCCCTGTCACCCGACGTGAAGCATATCAACCCCAACGGAGTCTCAGCTCTGGCACATGATGTGCAATACCTCACAGAATTTGTCGACAGTCTCGAAAACGGCCAGATGCTGCGGGAGAATCTCGATGAGCTCCAACAAACGATAAACTTACTCCAATCCGACAACCATGATGAATTCTTTGACATTTCCTCACGGAATAAGAAATATGGAAGAGTTGATGCTCTCAATGGGCCGATACTGCTGGAAAAGTACTGCTGGGACTTGAACAAACCGTGGATACACCGTTGCTGACTGTTGTGGATAGATTGACACCTGTTACGCAGAGTCCCGCTAGAAGCGCGCCGCTGGCCAACTTCTCCTCACGATTTGGTATGATGAAATGAAATAGAAACGAGACAGAAAGTCATTCCGGAGCTGCCAGTGCTAGGGCAGCAAATACAACATCAGATTTCAAGGAATGTCTTCACTGTACTGTGCGATTGCAACAGGCAGATGTATGCCTGGCAAGCTATCTTAAAATAAGCATGAGTCCGTTGCGCCAAGCCCTTTCCACCATTCCCGCGTCACGTCAAGTGCCGCCCAAATTTGTACACTCAGTAGATCCGACTTATGTCTCAAGCAATTTGAGTGAGTGAGCCTACTCAAACTCCTCAGAAGCCATTGGGGCCTGGATAGATTTGTCAGTCATCAGCATGGGCGGCGAGGGACTACAGCTAAGTCAGCGAGTATATACCTGTTGGGGCTGCATTGCAGAGTAAGGATACATGCCCTCCATTTCCCCATACATGGATGGGGGAGGTTGGGTTTGGCCATAGGGAGCCGCAGGACCAGGGGCGACCTGACCGGGGTACATGTTGGGATTCTGGCGGTAGTCCTGATCAGGAGCAAGAGCATGGCCGCCCATGTAGTCTGCTGGTCCCATGGGGTGCGACGAGGAGTGGTTTGGTGGCTGAGCCATGTTGGCATGCTGGCCGGGCAGTTGAGGTTGGCCCGGGGCAGCGGGAACGGCCTGAGGAGCGGCGGCAGGCTGGGCAGTTGCCCTCTTGGCGTGCGACGAAGCCTCTTCGCGGGGGACAATGTCGATCAGGAAGTCGAACATGTCGGACTTGGCGAGAGCGGAGGCGATGTCGGAGCGCTGGAGGGTTCGGCGCTTATTCTCTTCGGCGTGGATCCAGGCGCGCATGGTCAACTCAGTGATGAAGATATCACAGCCCTTGGCGAAGAGGATGGGGGCCTCGGCCGAGATCATCTTGACTTCGGGGTCAGCCTTCATGACCTTCTTGATGCGCGCGAGGGGTAACTGGTGGATCTTGTAATCATGGGTGTCGTTCTCAAGGTGGTTGATGGTGTGCTGCCAGTAGGTGGTCAGGATGTCCTTGTACTGGCCGGTGAGGCCCTGGTGAGCCTGCATCGTCGGGTTAGTCTCTGGCGCGCATTCGGGCTGGGTTGAGCTTGCAACGTACATTGGCCCAAGGGCCGGTGTAAAGCTCAGAAGGCGCAAAGCCTTGCGATGCTAACTGTAATTCCAGCGTCAGAGTGTCGCACGGAGTCGCGAGATGTGAGGTCAACCTACGGCAGCACAAGCGCCTGCGCGTCTGAGAGTCAGCGAGATGAAGCGGCGGGCGGGTAAGAAGCTTGAGCGCGCAACTCACCATAATGTCCACCTTGGCTAGAATCATAAACCGGCCTCTGCCGGTTTTGCTGAGGGTGCGACGAAGCCGACGGGTTCTGCGGGTCCATAGCGACTGATGGGGATCTGGGTGGAAGCGTAAACAATGAGAGGTTGGCAGAATCGCGATGACGATTGGGCATCTGCACTGTTCGAGGCTCAAGCTTGTCTGGCGGGAGGGGCCACACCGCCACATGCGGCGGGTCGCTCTTCAGCTAGCAACCACACGTGGCTGGTGTTCTCACGCTTTGATGCCTTGGAGCCTTGCGCCATGGGCTGGGGTGTGCGATAGAGAACGACTTACCCCTGACACTTAGTCGCCTGGTAGTTGGAGGTATCTGTTTACTGGCCTGCCATTGACCAGCCACCGCTCGCGCGCTAAGACTGGACGAGCCCCACCAGGCCAATTTTTTTTTCCTGCCTTTTCTTTCGCCCGCCGAAGCTGGACCTTGAGAATTCTTCTTCCGTTGACAGCAGACCATGACAGACATCTCGGATGATCAGGTCGATGAGCTGCTGCGCAAGGCGGAGCAGCGTCTGAGAAACGATGCTGCATCCGCCGTCACGGTCCCGACTGCCGCGGTCGCTGGGGTGAAGCTCGACACTTCGACAGCCGTCCAGCCGCAGCCCAGTAACAGCGACAGCAGCAGCAAGACGGACCTGTCTGTTCGAGCGCCCTCTCAACCACGAACGGGACTTGCTGGCCAAGCAAAGGTAAGAACGTAACCCCCCTTGGACTACCCCGTCTTTCTTTCAACTTTGTCGCCTCTGGCCCCCTTGCTGGCTGATGAGAACTGAGCCCTCGTGGCACCTTTGACATGGGACAAGCATCCGTTTTGGATCATAGGACCATGGCCTCATGATTTCCTTACATCATAGTTACTCTGACTTTCCGCATTGCGAAACCAACAATTGCCGCCTCCAACTGGCTCGAGAACATTTGGCTAACACGTCAAATTAGGCCACCGCAGGATCCCAGTGGTTCGACCTCCCCAAGACGGAACTCACGCCTGAGTTCAAGCGAGACTGGCAGCTCCTACGCATGCGAGGCATCTTGGATCCCAAGCACCAGAAGAAGGCCCTCCGAGCGAGTGCACCCGAGTATTCTCATGTTGGCGAGATCATCGCCGGCCCGACTGAGTTTTATAGCGCCCGATTGACTCGAAAGGAAAGGAAGGGTACCCTGCTGGAAGAGGTGATGAGTTCCCACGACGGAACCAAGTTCTCGACCAAGTACGCGGGTATTCAGAAGCAGAAGACCAGCGGAAAGAAGGGTTTCTATCAGAAGGTAGTGGCCCAGCGCCGCAAAAGACACTGAATTGTACAAACCCATAAAGACGTAGCCTAATCCTGGTTGAATTCAAAGTGAAGTGAATGTGTAGCATTCTAAACACATTTCCTTGGTCGTACGGAGTATTGGAGGTGACAAAGATGTTCTCCGTGATGACTTCGAACTAATGAGGGTGGAACCAGATTGGGCAGTTCCTCCAACCCCAGCTCTATGGCAAAACCAAAATTCATTTCAATTAGAGACGAGGCTATGGTCATCTTCGTTCTGTCGTCTAATGTTTAATTGAGGTGAGGCACGTAGCGAATATTACGACATTCCGATTGTGATAGTGGTCGCCAGGTAGTTGAAGGTACCAAGTTGGTGGTGTGCCATAAGTCCGTGTTAGAGTACCCAAGTGGTCCGTGCACCGATGTTCAGTTTTCTGGTGGTAGACTTGGGAGCAATTTTGAACCTCATCATTGTCAATGTGAAGGCACATGCAGGATGCTGCGCCCAACTTTTCGGTCCCTGGTGCGCCTTCCGGTATGTCTTGAAGACCCCGGACGCCGATTGAATTCTCGAGCTTACTCTAATAACTAGGCCGAGGCGCAATGGATTGCCCGCCGACCTCAGAGCACTTTGTACGTTTGCCCAATTAGTCGTCCCATCAGCTCGCCTACCTCCTCACCCCTTGGAATCGTGCTCGCTGACTAGTCTTAGGGCATCGCCTGCCGACTTAGTCCCTAATAAAGTTGAGGCCACCGACTCCAAGGCCAACGGCAAGGAGACGATGCGCTACCCTAGGTCGATCGAGGCGCTGCACTTGAAGCCGCTGAAGCGAGAGGCCCAGTATGGGATTCCGTCGTGTGACCTGCAGCTTCGCTCCTATAGCATCCAACCACTCGAGTTCTTTTCCGACTTTGCTCTGCGAGCTGCCTATTACCTCGGTTTGCCCGCTTACGGTCCCGTTCCGCTACCCCGAATCACCGAGCGGTGGACGGTCCCCAAGAGTCACTTCATCTTCAAGAAGGCACAGGAGAACTTCGAGCGAAAAACCCTGCGCCGCCTGATTCAGATCCGCGACGGAGACCCTGAGACGGTACAGCTGTGGCTTGCGTATCTGCGCAAGCACCAATACTACGGCGTGGGTATGAAGGCCAACGTATGGGAGTTCAGCAAACTCGGCGTTGGCAAGGAGATGGACGCGCTCTCGGAGGAACAGCAAGGCCAGATTGAGTCGAAGTGGGCGCACCTCGGCCAGACCAAGACGGTTGGCACCGTCGAGAAGGTGGAGGAGCTACTCAACACGCGACGATTCCGAGAGGCTGCTGGCCTGAGGGAGCCGCCTACGACCAACGTGTAGGAGGCGCAAAGCAGGAGGCCACATAAGGAACACCCTTTTCCAAGAAGAAATGACTTGCTACCCGGGATGAATGGCCATGTTGCCGGTGGGGGAGAATAGTATATCTATCATTTTGTGTACAATAGGCTGTCGGGGAGGACTTGAGCTTTTGTAAAATCAACCTCAGGGGATAAACGAAAGGCGCCTGTTACGATGAGTTTCTGCTTTCTGTATGCCTACTCTATATGTCTCTTAAGAATGCTAATCCTCATGGTCAGCTGATACGTAGCTTGTCACCGGTTCATCATCCCCAATTCCGCGTGGGCCAAGGACAGAATTCGCGACCCCCGTTATATGCATGCATATGACCTGGAGCCGACTTTGTCCTCAACGCCCCATTGCCAGGTGCAAGCTCCAGCAGCTCTCACCCTAACTCAGGAAACTACTTCCAGCACACTCAATTGACGGCCACGATGCAAAAACTGGTACGGCCGCGAGTCATCTTCTCGGGGATTCAGCCCACCGGCGTGCCGCACCTGGGAAACTACATCGGGGCGCTACGCCAATGGGTGCAGCTGCAGCACCATGAAGAGCCCGAGACGAAGCTCATCTACTCCGTCGTTGATCTTCACGCCATCACGATGCCGCAGCCGCCCGACCAGCTACGCAAATGCAAGCGCGAGGCGTTGGCGGCGTTGCTAGCCATTGGCATTGACCCGGATCGCGCAACCCTCTTTTATCAGTCTTCGGTTCGTGTGATTCCCATTCGGTCGATTTAAAGTGCTCTAGTCATCCTTCCCACTAACACATGACGTCCTTAGGTTCCGGCGCATTCAGAGCTGATGTGGATTCTCAGCTGCACGGCATCTGTCGGGTATCTCTCGAGAATGACCCAGTGGAAGGTAATTTTACTCCATTTATTTTTCTGGTTTTGCTGCCTTTACATCTCTGACTTCGCCCCTAGAGCAAGTTGAGCATCGCCGAAGGGTCAACCTTTGAAGACCGAACCGTCGGCTCTCGTCTCAAGCTTGGTCTCTTCTCCTACCCAGTCTTGCAAGCTGCCGACATTCTCATCCACAGGTATTTATACGGACCTACATCCGGCTCTTCTCACTCTACTAACTTGGTGTAGAGCGACACATGTCCCTGTTGGCCATGACCAGCGACAACACATCGAGTTCGCCCGTGAGTGCGCAACCAACTTTAACCACACCTACGGCCATCACCTCGTAATGCCCGATGTTCTCAATCGTATGTGTGGCCCGACCCACGTCCCGTGTATTCGTTCTACCTGCTGACTTGGAAGCCCCCATCCACCGTATCATGTCCCTGACAGACCCGACATCAAAAATGTCGAAATCACACAAGTCGGAGCGTTCCCGCATACTCATCACAGATTCCGCCAAAGATATCAAGACAAAGTTAGGTTCTGCATTGACTGACTCGATACCTGGAGTTTCCTATGACACTACCAACCGGCCGGGTATCTCAAATCTACTGGATATTCTATCCATTTTTGATGCCCAAGGAAGAGGGCCTGGGCAATTGGCCGATGCGTATAGCGACATCAGCCCCAAGCAGCTCAAGGAGATGGTTACCGATGCTGTCATCACCGGATTAGATGGCATTCGTGATCGCTATCTCGAGCTTCTCGCAAAGGGTGACGCGCACCTTGACAAGATCGAGGCAGAGGGCGCCTCAAAGGCACGAGAAAGTGCCGAAGAAACTATGCAGTTAGTCAGAGCTGCCGTGGGGCTCTGAATTTGAACACTCGCCCAGGTGCTTGCTCTAAAACCCAACGATAGCTAGCCGGGCCATTCCCCAGGAGGGAGTTCGCCCATACCCAGAGCCCCTCCCACTACACACCTAGCAAGATGATACTGTAACAATAGGACCCGATGTTGGATAAATAGAGAGTTGACTAGAATTACACATTTCCAATCAGGGTTGACATACCCATTGCACGCTCCATCACACCAAGAGACCTGGGCTTTTGTTCATGATGCATAGGCAAAGTTGGAACCCCTGGCTGACAACCAGAACTCTCTGACAACTTGGTTCGTTGCCCTAGCTCCCCGAAGGCTGAGCCAATTCGTTAGCGTCCATCTATGACGGGGTATTTAAGGGAGAAATGATACCTGATAATCTTTTTAAGGAAGATAGATTTTTCATCTCTCGTGACTCTCGTGCTTGGAAAAGACGAGTGTGAGAGGCCGGACTCAAGCCAACTCTTTGCCATCGGATATCGAACAATGAGCTTCTTGAGGGGCTCTGTAAGCTTGTCCAGCTCACTCCGTGACGCGTTCCCGCCAATATTCCGTGCTAGACTCTGTGAGAGCAAAGGCCCTAACATATTCATTGCTTGCGCGATTGCCCCATCTAACTCTGTCGTATCGCACTTGACGTTGACGAAAACGGCCTGGTACTCGTTAGAAAGAAGTCACAGTGTGCATACCGAAAAAGCTCGCATCTTACCCAGAATTCTGCTGCACTTGCTTTCGGCAGAGGTTCTTTGCCGTCCAGTACTTGGAGTGTGAAAAGGAAGAAGAACTCAGCAGCATCTTGTGGCTCTAATCGTAGAAGAATAGCCGGGCATTTGGACATCAGGCGGCTGACAAACTCGATCCCATTCTGGGAGAGCTCTGGGTCGGCCTCTGGGTCTATCGGAACACTTAGCATTCACCACATTCATAGGATATGTTCCTCGTAACATCGATGATGTAATTTCGGAGTCGAACTTACTGGCGAGTTGTTTGAGGAGTCCCACGACCCAAAGAAGCACCGTTGTGAGCATCCCGTGCTGGCCTTGAAGTCCATCATGCTCTAAAGAGCTGACGAAAGAACACCCGGTGCTAACCAGGAGTCCTACTCTTGGTGTGCCCAGTGTCTGGGTCGTCAGGTATTGAGCAACTCCCTGCGGTGGTAGCACGAAGGGGCCAGGATCAACTTCAGAAAAACCGCTGCGGAGCACGCTGCAGATGATCTCAACAATCTCCCCACTGGTATTGAAAGCTCCTTGCAGTTGAACGATGCTAGAGATGATGATTTCCTGGAGCCCAGACAGCTGCGGGTTAGAGCTTTCGCTCGAACGCTTACCTTCCAAGTCAACCGATACTTCAGTTGGGGCCTGAAGCCCTCTGCCTGTACTGGCCAGACATCTGAGGGCCTTTAACGCAGTATGCAGTGCAGGATGCTCGTCAGGCGCGGCATAGGAGCAGCTCGAACCCGCAAAGCATGGAATGGGAGTGGCTGGAGGTGATTGTAATAGCTCCATAGCCCGCTGCACATCAGCTTGGATGAAGCTTAGAAGCCTAGCGCATGCCGAGTATCTCTGGCTTGGGTCTGGTATAGCTTGGATTACTGACGCAATGCCTCCAAGAATTTTCTCACTGGCACCGCAGTCCAAGCGCTCTCCGGCGATGAGCTTTTGATACTCATCTAGGAAAGCACCTACTTCGGGATGTAGGTCGTTTCGGCAAGACGAACACAATCTGAGAATAGACTTCGCCGCAGCAGAAGTTAGGGAATGTTCTCCCACCACGACGAAAAGCAGGTTGAGGGCAGGGGGGAGGTGAGCGAGATTGCGTTCAAAGTACTCAGTGTAATGCTCAATGAGCGCGACACAGGTCTGTCGTACACGTGGAGGAATAGCTTGCTCGCCGGGACGGAGCGCAGAGAACAAGGGTGATGTAAAAACGGACGCCAGCGCTTCATCGCATCGAGCGTCTTCTCCTACACAGTCTGCAAGTCCACCAAGGCAAAATGCTGCAGCCTCGAGCTGCAACCAAGATGAACTCGAGAGAGCCTTGAGTGTAAGGTCCGCAAAAGTCACGACAAGCTGTGGCCCTGCTAGCGAATATGCAGACTGGAGGAGATCAATGACGTCCTTCCTGGCGTCATGGAAGCCGATGCGCTCGCTCGAATCCCAGGTAGAAAATTCGTCCAAGGGTGGAAACACCACCTTCTGCCATGCGTTCGACACCGCTTGAAGGACGTACGAAAGGGCTTGAGGCACCCAAGGAGTCGCAGCGCCCTCATCTGAATACATGGCATCTGTCATAGTCTCAGCGAATGTCGACCAAAACTCCAACGCTGGCACAAAGATCTTGTCCTCTGCTACAGGATAGCCCTGGGCAGCAAGCAACCCGCAGAGATTTGACAATAAATTGCGGCTTCGATCATCATTAACCTGCATTAACTTCTCGACCCTAGCATCGCCGAATGCGAGAAGAAGCTGACCAAACTGGGTTGAATCGAAGTCGAAGTCTCCCTGCACCAAGGCTTGATAGCGGTTCTGAAACCAGGGGCTCTCGAAGAGTTCGCCTAGATTTTGCACATGGGATTCGGTCAGGAATATCGAACAGTTGGAAAGTAAGTCCACCATGAGCTCTACAGAAGCATCGTAGAGCTCACCCACGGTCAAGGAGCCAATGACGGCTGTGACAAGAGGTCCTATGGGCTGGACAAGCCTGGTATCTCGGGATGACGCCCGCTGCGCGAACCAAACCCAGGACTTGGGGTATCATTAGTCGGAGAATAACAAAGCCAGGAAGGATTCTTGGCTCACCTGGAGACACTTTATGGCGTCTTCATGTGCCGCCTGGGAAGTTGATTGAGGAGACATGCCGCGGGTCATGAGAGCGATGGCATCCGGCATGTTTTCCAGAATAGCATCATAGAGGCCCATGCTTCACAGAGTCAGTAATCTATACCGCACTTGCAGGAATCAACTAACTTATTCGCGGAATTCAAATCAAACTTGGAAATGTCTTCTAATACATTACTCAAGACCCAGAAGCATGCTTGAACCTGGGGCGGGCTGAGACGCTCAATGATGGTGAATGTGTCAGGTGCTTCGTCCAAACTGCCAGTGCTGCAAGATTGGCCAGATACGATGCAAAGGGAGAGATGCCGAATGAATGGGCGCCATAGTCGATGAAAGTGAAGAAAAAAGGTTGCCAAAGCGGATGATAGTTTCCTCACAACGAGTTGACCATTGCCCTGGCCCAAGGAGTCTAAGTACCAGCCGATCAGTCCTCGCAGAAGTTCGCTCGCATCATTATTAGAGAGGGAAGAACTATTTAGACAGATGGTTAGAGAGGGAAATTTCTTTGAGAAAGATGGAAAAAGATTTAGGGAGGCGCACCTCTCGTTGTTGAGCTTGATGATTATGGTGAGGGCACCAAAGAACTTCACTTTGTCGTCCTGGCAGCTCAGCAGCTCCCGGGCCATGAGCCAAGCTTGTGGAGAGCTCTGAAGCCGGGACAAGGTTGACTGTGTCAGAGAGATGACTTCTGGGGGGTTTGGGTGATAGAGGGAGAGGATGAGCTTGAAGGAAGTCAGCAGATACTCATCGACGGTTGCTTTAGGATCTTGAAGGGCATCTCTCCAGGACACCTGGAAGGGGAGACTGACGGCTTCAACCTCTGGTATAGTTGTAGGGATTGGGATTTCATCCATCTTGTTTTTTGGGGCGCTTGTGCTTGGTTCCTATTGCGATAAATGGTGCTGGATATCTGACGCACGGAGGGAGTGTGGATGGTTCCAGCAGGAGAGAGGCACAGCAACCGGGGCCACTGAGAGGGTGGGAGAAAAACTAGAGCAGGGTAAGCAATAAGCTATGTGCGACAGCAGCCACAATTTAACAAGAAATGCCCCTTCATACCTCGTATGTGGTATTGATGTCACTGGCCTGGTTCGTTTGCGTTGTCGTGTTGCGGGATATGCCTAAACTCGCGTAGGCGAAGACTCTACGTTTCTGCTTTCCTGGAGTCTCTGGCGTCTCCAAGGAACTTCCCAGCACTTGATGTAACAAACAATTTGGCACAAATATCCAGAAAGGCCACGGTGAGTGACGCAAAGGACGGAATACGGGATGGCTTCCGTTGAGTGCTAGGGTTCGAAGGCGACGAGACAGCAGGATTACTGCCCAAACATCAGGAGAAGTCGCAGTGGGGGAACCTGGGATGTGAAGTAAGTTGAAGGTTCACCCCTGGTAGCCCAGTGGAAATAGACCACTCGTGTTGCTGGTGGGCGGGTGGACGCGATGACGATGAGGGAATGTGTGTGAGGAAGCTGGCTGGAGAGCAGAGAAGAGAGCGCTCACTCTTTGCTTGGTGGGGTGCAGTTAGCGGGCTGTCGTCGCCCAAATCGTTACAGGAGCCTTGCCGTCCACTTAACCGAGCAGTGTCAAATACTTGTGGTATTCAAGAGGTGGTGTGAAAGCATGGTAAACGTTTTGGGAGTTTTCTTTATCTATGTCATTAGGTCCTGGTGCCGAAAGGTGTCAGACCAGATTCCTGATTCACGGCTGGCCACCATGCTATGGCGGAGGTTGTTCACGTTACAGCGACACCTGCAAACGGGCCACAGGTGTGTGTTTGCAGAGCCCCGGCGGTTGGTGGGGGACGGGGTACATGATCTGTTGATGGAGGTACTCGGAGTCCAGCGGGCACGACTTTGAGTTGAGTGTTAAAATGTATGGTGATCTAGTACCAGCCGCACAAAGTGAAGTCGCCGTCTGATCATGCCACGGTACCCCCAATGCGAGACCGCATCCACTTCTGCAGGTGGCCCTGGAGCTCACCATTGCGGGCAACTAACAATCCACCTCCACTGTTTGGGGAGGACCCAACGCTCGATAGCGTCTTTGAAGCGCGATCGGTACTGGTTTGGAGGCGAGCGGTTCTGTTGACGGGTGGAGAGATTCTTCGGCGCGGCGGCCATTCCAAAGATCCGCCGGCCAGCGTCGGCTGGCCCTCTGTCGTCACCACGTCGCTGCACCTTGCCCGCGTGAGGTGTCGTGAGATCTTGACGAGGCACAATATCACCCCTTGCTTGCTTCACCTTCCCGACCTGACCCCAGCCGCCCCAGAGCACCCCTGTCGCCACCTGCTGCCTTCCCGTTTAATTCTCCATTTCCTCGATTAATTGATTCCTCTCCTGGCCAGCGCCGAGCATCCAAGTAGCTCAGGTAAGTGCGTTCCTTCATCGTGACTCTGGCGCCAATCTCCCCACTTTCTGTCGTCCACGGCGGGAGCTACCTTAAAAGTTGGCATTCCCCGCCCAACACCACACACCACCGCAGCTTGCTCTACCCATCTTCATCGCCACTCCCATCTCGCCGCCCCCAGATCGCTTCGATAAAGAGGGGAGCTGGGTATCCATAATTTCTAAAGCCCCCATCTGCCTCCTGGCTCCGGGACAAAGCCCGTTCCTGACCTTCTTCATCCCAGGGCACAGCACACGATCAAGCACCCCACCTCCAGGAGGGACGTATATCACGGCCTCACCACAGCATCTGCCTAACCACACTCGCTCCGAGGTCGGGTATCGTAAGCTACTTTTCGGGGTGTGTGCTGCGTACTTTTGAGAGCCTATGCTACTCCAGACCACGGCAAGGCTCCTTCGTCTGGCAACACCAAGGCCACCACTTGCGATATCTGCATCTTCCACACGCCGTCTCCTCTCATCTGCAACCATGGATAAGGTTGATACGACATCCAGGCTCTCTCACCTGAGGAGCTTGATGAAGGACCGCAACGTCCAAGTCTACGGTGAGCCTCGACGGGCACAAGAGCCTCCCTCCAACGTTCTAACACCACTAACCGTCCATTGTCTCTGCTACAGTAATTCCCTCCGAGGATAGTCACTCTTCTGAGTACATCGCAGAATGTGATGCCCGGCGCGAGTTCATCTCTGGGTTCACGGGCTCAGCCGGATGTGCTGTTATTACTCTGCAATCTGCCGCTCTTGCGACAGACGGTCGCTACTTCAACCAGGCCGCGTCCCAGTTGGACAGCAACTGGACTTTACTCAAGCAGGGCCTCCAAGATGTTCCTACCTGGCAGGAATGGTCTGCTGAGCAGTCTGCAGGTGGTAAGAATGTTGCCGTCGACCCGTCGCTCATCTCGGGCTCTACGGCTAAGAATCTGGCCGACAAGATTCACAAGAGCGGTGGCGCAGAATTGATACCCATTGACGATAATTTGGTTGATCTAGTTTGGGGCGCAGACCGCCCGGCCCGACCTAGTGAGGCTGTCTCCGTTCAACCCGATACACTCGCTGGAGAATCGGTGAAGAACAAGCTCACCAAGCTTCGCCAAGAGCTCGAGAAGAAGCACTCCCCCGGCTTTGTTGTCTCTATGCTTGATGAAATCGCTTGGCTTTTTAATTTGCGAGGAAATGATATCCCGTACAACCCGGTTTTCTTCTCCTACGCCATCGTCACCCCTACTTCTGCCACGCTCTACATCGACGACTCAAAGCTAAATGAGAAGTGCCGCTCTCATCTGGCCGCCAACAATGTCAATATCAAGCCTTACGATGCCATTTTGAACGATTCAAGGGATTTGCAAGTTGCTGTCAGCAAGCAGGGCAGGTCTGAGGGTGGCATCGCTCCTGGTAGCTTTCTCATATCTACTAAGGGCTCATGGGCCCTCAAAACCGCACTGGGAGGGGATTCAATGGTTGACGAAGTTAGGAGCCCCATTGGCGATGCCAAGGCTATCAAGACCGAAGCCGAAATCGCAGGAATGCGGTCCTGTCACGTCAGGGATGGCGCCGCCCTGATACAATACTTTGCTTGGCTTGAGGAGCAGCTTGTGGTGAAGAAAAGCAAGCTCGACGAGGTGGAGGCTGCCGACGAACTTGAGAAACTTCGTTCCGTAAAGACTGACTTTGTTGGCCTTTCTTTCCCTACCATTTCCTCTACCGGTGCGAAGTAAGTTGCCCGCTCCCAGAAGTTCGATTCTAGGAGGTTATTGCCAGAGCCCTCAGTGGGGAAAGGTTTCTAGTCTCGGAGTCATACTGATACATGTCTTGTTTACAGTGCTGCAATTATTCACTACGGTCCGGAAAGGGGCAATTGTGCAACTATCGATCCTGAGGCGATATACCTGTGCGACTCCGGTGCCCAATATCGTGATGGAACAACGGATACCACACGAACACTGCACTTCGGAACCCCGACAGATGTCGAAAAGGAGTCATATACCCTTGTTCTAAAGGGACATATCGGTCTAGACTTAGCCGTCTTCCCCAAGGGGACTACCGGGTTCGCACTCGACTGTTTGGCTCGACAACACCTCTGGGTAAGCAAAGTAAGAATGTCCAGAGTAGCGAGACTGCTGACGCAGGAATAGAAAAATGGACTAGACTACAGGCACGGCACGGGTCACGGCATCGGGTCGTTCTTAAACGTTCACGAAGGCCCAATTGGCATCGGCACCCGTGTGCAGTTCGCCGAGGTTGCACTCGCCCCTGGAAATGTGATATCTAATGAGCCTGGATTCTACGAAGATGGAAAGTTCGGCATCCGAATCGAAAACGTCATCATCGTCAAGGAAGTCAAGACCAAACATTCATTTGGGGACAAACCATTCCTTGGGTTTGAGCACGTCACGATGGTCCCGTACTGCCGCAACCTTATCGACGTGAACTTACTCACGGAGGCTGAGAAGGCATGGCTCAACGCTTACCATGTCGAGGTCTTAGACAAGACTCGAAGTTATTTCGAGAACGACCAGGTGACACTGGCTTGGCTCAAGCGAGAGACGAACCCGATCTAGTGATGGAACCAGAGAAGTTGTAATTGTGTCATTGGTGTAGAAGGAGCATGTGATGCGAAAATGCCTGGAGAGGACTCGCATACTAGTCGGGGAGAATCGGATTGCCCAAGTGCAGTCATCCATCAGCCGACTACAGCATCCAAAGATGGAGTGATGCGTAGCGGAAGGGGGAGACTTAAGCTTCTTCAATGCAATAAAAACGAGCCATCCCAGAAAAGAACTATTTCTGGTCGCCAAGTGAACCAGTTGCTTTGATTGTGATAAGGCTGTAATAAACACAGAACGAGCAGGAAAGTGGGTGATTGTCGAGCTTCTTGGCCCATGCCCCCATGAGTTGAGAATGGAGATCACTCACCAAAGATTCTGGTAAGAGTTCTAAGGAGCCCAGCCGTTAAGTGTTGTCATCCTGTGTTGCAAGGAGTGCGTTCTAGGACGATGTCAACCGGAAGCGAAATCCCCGAGGAGTCAACAAGATACTACAACCCTCACGTCGTCTAAGGGACCAACATTTAATCTCCCCCTGGGCATATTCCACGTCAGCTTTGGCAGCGACAGATCTACCAGTGTCAAAGTCAAGCCGTGGGAAATCAGCCTTTGAGAATCTTTTCAACTTCAAGAAGCCTACAAATAAAACTCAAGTATTGATTCGCGCATGGGCACAAAAGTCTCCCCCCCCCCCCCCCCCCCCCCCGGTATCAGTTTAATTCATGTGTACAATTAGCAGTACACGCTAAGGCTAAAGGCCAACATTGGTTGTTGTATTTATTGAAGGAAAGTAAATAACAAATTTGAGGAGTAATGGATACTAAGAATTGGTTTTACTCATGGTAGTCTCCTATTGTACTATATTACATGCGTCACTCGGTATTCCACCTAGCATTGAGGCGCAAGGTAACAAAATCCATGTGTGTAAATAGAAATGCTGAAAAATATTCATTCTGCTGTCGAGCCATTTGGTATTGTGTAATTGTGCATTGATGCACCTGGTAATGGTGTCGGTTTAGCCTCCTCAGTAGCAGCAGCAAAGTCTTCAGTTGGCCTTGGTTTCCTCACATTCAACTCCCAAAGGCATGTCACGCCATGTCGTAAGAGGCCAATGGTTGTATTCTTTGGAAGCTTTAAAACGGCGCCGAGGCAGCTGAGGTGTTTATTTACAACTCTCTCAGATTCTTTACCTGTAAGTGGGGATTCATTGGCAAGAGAGGCCACGGGGCGCAAGCTTGCAAGCCCTACAGGTGCACAAACGCAGCCAAGATGAATGTGACAAGGAACGACGTAGTAAACCAAGGTTTCCCCTTGCTCCTTTCCCACAGGGCGTTCCCGTCCAAGAGCTTTCGAATTCCCAAAATGCGGGACGCATCGTACCCATAACGCGAGGCAATCTATGATAAGTTAGAAACTCAAACGCGGCGTACAAATGCAGGACAGCCCGGTCTCACATGGAGGGAAATAGCAAACAAGCCACTCAAAAGGGCAAGGGTGCGGGAGAACAGGGCTACCACGAGACCAGCTCCGAATCCTATCGAGGCGCAAGCAAGATCAGTCAGCAGTCCTAGTAAGCATGGGACATATGCTAGCAACGAAGGGGTTGTAACGCACCAGCAACACTGCCACTAGAAATCTGACTGACAGTCTCCGGGGACACATCCAAGGCGGACCGTCGGCGCTGTCCAGGCGGAGGGTACGCAACCAACGGGGGAGCGTCACATCGAATCACCCTCCGGCCGACGAAGAGGCTACTGGCGCAAGCAGTGGGGCCAATACCTGCAGCAAGGGCCCGGAAGGCCACGCGGGAGCTGAAGATGCGACTCATTGCTGTTTGACGTGGTCTAAGATGCTTGATTGGCCCAATTGGCTGTTTTAAGCATATGGTGTGTTGGTTGACGAACACCGAGCGAGAGAGAGAGTCCGACGAGCGGTGGAAACGAGTTGTAGGCGAGTGTGCTTGGTCTTGGGCTATTACGTCAGGGACCTCAGAAAGCCGAGGCGAGCCAGCCGACGCCAGTCTTGCAGCCAATGAACAAGGGTTATTCAGAGTTAGCACTATGATGCTTCAATTATTCCTTCAACACTTGCCAGAGGTCGTAAACATTGAACGTTTTGTCATCCACCCAGTTGTTCAAGAAGTAAGTCTTGTAATGGATATCAGTGAGGTGTCGCTGACGTCTGAATAGCACCTCACTTCTTTGTCGCACGCTAGCTCGCATTTACATCAGAGGTATCAAGCTCGTTGCTTTCTTTGTATTATGTATAGCACTGATGGACAGTACCGCTCCTGGTAATGTTGGGGCCAGGAGCATCCCCAATAAACCCACACCAAGCTGCACCAAGGTATATAGCCTTAAAACGCCAAATGTAATGCCAATCGAAATGTCATCCGAAATACCAACCGAAATGCCAAGCCCGTTCCTGTTTTTTGCATCACACATTCCGTCGTCAACCAAGTCCTCCCCAAACACCACGTATCCGCCTCGCTAGTTGGATGTCCTTTTGCATGATGGTAACTCTCTTGGCGTGAATGGCGCAGAGGTTTGTGTCTTCGAACAGGTGAACCATGAAGGCCTCCGCAGCTTCTTGCAACGCTTGGATGGCCTGGCTCTGCCACCGCATCCCCTCTCCCCTTGGTCGCACTGTCAATGCGATTTCTCGGACCTGATGAACATGTTAGAGTCTGCTGTCGATTCAGGTGCGCGGGGGACCCGGCAGGGGTAGTGGTACTGACAAGGCGCGCAAAAGGCAGCTTGAGCATCAACAACTTGGTGTGACCTTGGTAGAGGCGAATTTCTCGAAGGGCAACTGTGCCGGGGCGATATCGTCGCTTTGCACGTACGGGAACAGGGTCGCCAGCTATAGTCAGTTGTTAGTCTCTGTCTCTGTCACGAGTGCGGGCGGCGCGGGCGCGAAATCGTGCGAGCGGTTGAACAAGGAGGCACGTACCTTGAATGTCGCTGGCGCGCGACTTGCGAGACACGCCAGATTTCCGAGCCATAGTAGACTTGTGTGGAAGGGTAAATGGAAGAGTCAAGATATTAAGCAAGATCTTTTGAAGCTTGTGATTCGATCGCGATACGCAGAAGAGCCGGGAAACTTGAGAATGAAGGTGTTGAAGGAACAAAGGCCGTGGGCCGGCGCAAGTGGGAGAGATCCATGAGAGAAGGAACGCGCTTTCGCATTCCCAGCCCCGCGAATTTCGCGTAGATTGATTTCAATGTCCACCAACGCGGGATTTGACAGGGGTTGCCCCAAGGTTCCCAGCCACAGCTTGTTCGACGCCACTAACCACCCGCCCTAGCTGGGGTACCTGCTTGGGTACCTAGGTACCTAGGTGCTGCCTTCCATGCCTTTCGTGCTCGACTCTCCCGCCCAGTTTCTCCAGGGTCCATGCCGTGTCTTTAGGCCCCATGAAAGGTGGAGGTACTGTGGCACGTAATCGCAGGCGTCTCCAAACAGTTAACGTCAGCGACTCAGCGCCGCCCCCGGGAAAGGCCACATCACAGTCGCACTAAGGTAGGATAAGTCATCGTGTCAGGTACCGTCCCTCGATTTGTTTGCATTCATCGGATATCCTTATCTTACCTAAGGACCTCCAGTACCAGCAGGCTTCCCCATCAAGCCTGACGTTTCGCTGGGCACCTTACGTTCATACCTGGCTTCAACCCTCATCTCGTCCTCCCTCCCCGTCTTGCGTCCCAACTCACCTAGGCGCCCCTTCGAAACTCGCGAATTGAGCCCCTCCTCTTCACATCCCCCCCATGGATCAAGTCATGGATGGAGGCCGTCTGCCTCTTGAGACCTGGTTCTGGGAAATGCCCACGTGCACCCGATGGTGGACGACGGCGACTGTCCTGACGAGCGCCTTGGTCCAGTGCCAGATGGTGACGCCCTTCCAACTCTTCTACAGCTTCCGCGCCGTCTTTGTAAAATCACAGGTTGGTCCCCCTCTTCTCCCTGCCGTCTCTCTTCCTTTACTTTTCCTCTCCCCCCCCCCCCCCCCCCCCCATTCCGCTGTCCATCTCCAATTTGTGACGCCCTGCTCATCACTCCTTATTTACAGTACTGGCGACTCTTGACCACGTTCCTCTACTTCGGGCCCTTCTCCCTCGACCTCCTCTTCCATGTCTACTTTCTCCAACGTTATGCCCGACTCCTCGAAGAGTCCTCCGGTCGATCCCCAGCGCATTTTTCCTGGCTCCTCCTCTACGCCATGGCCAGCCTAATCGCTCTTTCGCCCCTTGTCTCCATGCCGTTCCTTGGACATCCACTCTCGTCGACCCTCGTCTACATCTGGTCCCGACGAAACCCAGACACTCGGCTCAGCTTCCTCGGCCTGCTAGTCTTCACCGCCCCATACCTGCCGTGGGTTTTGATGGGCTTCAGCCTTGTCTTGCACGGAACTATTCCTAAGGATGAGATGATGGGTGTTGTCATTGGACACATCTGGTACTTCTTTACCGATGTGTACCCGCCTCTTCACAACGGCTCTCGGCCTCTGGATCCTCCCGGCTGGTGGAGGCGTCTGTTCGAGGCCCGGGCGCAGGATGATTCCGCCGATGGCATCAACAACGACATCATGGTTGCTGGAGCGAGAGACGTGGCACCCCGCGATCTATAGTTAGATCAGAGGATATGAAGAAAACAATACGGTTGGAGGCATAGTCCGACTTAGTTTCGTCGATGGACACTTTGCATTGAGTATCTTTGAGCATACTTACTTGATTTCGGCATTTGGGTTCGGCGTATTGGTAGAGCATCAGACACGGGAATGTCTTGGGGAAATTGGGCTTGCGGCGGCGTTGGGAAAACAACAACTGCAATTGATTATCCTCTTCAACTTTATTCACTGATTTCACTGTCTTCGCTTTATCTCCCTGATCCCTATTCCCCGTTCCGGCTCTGAGCCTACACCAACAGAGATGGTCATGAGGACGCATCGCTCGGGACATCAAATATGTGGCTGGCAATCTACCGTTGGCCGAGGAGCCCGTACCAATTATCCAAAGTGCCACAGCTAGCTGCACGAATTATGTCCATGGCCTACCTTCCCCGCGGACCGGTTTACAGACATAAGACGCTTCGCAAGTGAAGCGACCGTACGGAAAACGCCTGCGGATCGAAAACATTGTGATGTCAGCAGCAGCGGGCAGTAGCACGCACACCCCTGCGATTAGTGCTGATGCACTGACGTCGCTGAGCATGGCGAGCCTGCCCCGCCACCGTGGAACCTAGAACGTTATAATTCTGGCCCCTCCATCCCGACCCAACGAGACCCCTCTGTGCGCCGCCCTTCCACAAAAAGTCTACATCTGTCCGCTCGACAAAAGCCCACCCGTAACCCATTGCGACAGTCCCTCCGAAGCCGTCTAACTCCAAGATGAAGGCCTACTACTACGACGATCTCCCCGTATGCAATCCCTCCCGGCAATCCTTGCCTCGAGCCTAGGGTCTCTTAGTTAACCAGCATTCGCAGGGTGACCAGCGCCTCCCCCACGACTCTGGCCGGGAGGTGGACGTCGATGCTCTCCTTGCGCTCGGTGTTTATTACTATCACCTTCCTGAGCTCCAAAGCGTCAACGAGTTGGCCGAGAAGCGCGGATACAGGAATCGGGACGAAATCAAGGTTTCTCCCAAGACGATGGGCGACGTGTATGAGGAAAAGGTCAAGATGTTTTTCCTGGAGCACCTACACGAGGATGAGGAGATTCGGTACATTCGCGACGGTCGGGGCTACTTTGACGTCCGCAGCAAGAACGACGAGTGGGTGCGCGTCCAGCTTGACAAGGACGACCTGCTCATCTTGCCGGCCGGCATCTACCACCGCTTCACTACCGACGAGGACAATGTAAGTCTCGCAAACACTTGCACTATGTTTCATTTTGGTCGTGCTGACTGATGCTGGGGCAGTTCGTCCACGCCATGCGACTGTTCAAGGACGAGCCTAAGTGGACTGCTCTGAACCGCGACCCCAAGCTGGACGAGAACACACACCGGCAGCAGTATGTGAAGGAGTTTCTAGCCCAGTAATGGAGCCCACGTGGGGTTGGGGGTTCCATTCCCGGCAGAGTTGTTCGTCCAGCCTGGCGGCTACTTGACAATTAATGGTCCTAAGATACACACAAGTTGCTATGAATGGATTTAACACGATGGCGACTTTCTCCTTTGTCCATGAGCCTGTTTTCGACTGTGTTTGCGCAATCTATCCTCGATGGCTGCAGTAAATAGAAATCAAATGAGGGGATATTCAATACATGCACCGCTGACGTGATTTGAAGACTTTTGACGCCACCGTCGAGTGGCGCCGGACAAGTTCACTATCAGTCCAACATAGCCGTTCAGGGCGAGCTGGAGTAGGAACAGGGAGATTCCGATTAAGGAATGTGAGCATGGGCATGAGCTTTCTTTGGCCTTGAGGTCTTTTGCTCTCTCTCCATAAAGGGCGGGGGAGAACCGCAAACGGCTTGCCCGGGGGCGTGCACTAATAGGAAGACAACAGCAGCGGCACAGGCCTGATGTAACCAAGCTTGAAGCAACTAGGTTGTGCAGTAGCCATGGAAGTTGTTGGTAATTTTAGTCCTGAACGGTAATCCCAGCCCTTGAATTGGTCGTTGGATGGGCTGTGGGGGTCGGAGTACGTCGAACAGCAATTCAACCGCTCATCACTGTCCGCGGTTAGGTCCAGTGACATAAGTCTAGGTGACGGCACAGTGCTTAAATGCATGTGTAGCCTGTGGATACTTCATAATTATCTGGCGCGTTAAGTAACCCCTTTGGCGCAGAATTCAATAAAACTCATGGTGGCCAGTTTGTAGCCAAAATGATTGGTTTCCCTTTCAGAACTTGTTGAAGACGGTCAAAGTATAAACACCACGTCATCGGGGGTGGTCGGCTTCTGGAGGCTCAGGCCATTAAGGGCATCTACTGAAATGGACCGGTTAGCAGCTCTTCGTGAGTCATTCCGGTGATGCGAATTGGTGTCGCGGCCCTCCCCCGGCAGCTCAATACTGGGGCCGCGCCGAGGAACCGAAGCCGGGTCCGGGAGAGCTCCGTAAAAGCTGGTACCAATCATCAAGGAATCCAGCTTCCTCCAGGCTCGTCTTTGCCGCCAGGTATCCAAAGAAAGCTACCGAACATTTCAAACATTTCTGAGCAATGCATTGGAACCATTTGGCAGCAATTGCCGAGGTATAGCAAGGTCCCGTATGTCCTGAAGGTGACGTTGCAGTTGTACTGTTCACAGCATTATCATTATTAGTGGGGCATCGGTGATGATTCTAGACAGGTACATCCCTTCCCCCCTCCTACCGCCAACAACAGAGGTACCGTTTTCGACGTACAGCAGAATTAGGTAGCTGTCGAGCCTCCTCACCACCCTCAACTCCAACTCTTGTTCCTCATCCTAACTTCGCCACCGCCTTCACCCCAACACAGCGACAATACTCCCAACTTCGTGCACACCTACCCTACCTTGGCCGGGGCTCTAGGGGCAAGATGGATACACGCACTGAAGCGTCTGACGCGACCGATGCGTCGGGAAAGCCGCGGCCTCAGCTACCAACAAGCTGCGATCCGCCGCATGGCAGCACTTCGTCGCGACAACTAGTCTGGATTGTATGTCAACTCTCACTGCACGTCTCACCCTCATCTGATCTGAGTGGAAACCTTTCTTGGTTGCTTCCCTGCTCACCTCTGCGCAGGTCTTTGGAGGCACCGGTCACATGGGCCGCTCACTTGTCAAGTGTGCCCTTTCGCGCGGCGACCTTGTGACGTCGGTTGGTCGTGTCTTCGAGACGACCCCGAGTGAAATGGCGGGCATCCACGAAAACTGCCTCGGGGCGTTGTGCGACGTCCGCGCCCGAGACTCAGTCTGCCGCGTCGTGGAACGTACGCTCACTCACTTCGGGCGCATCGACGTGGTCGCCAACTGCTCAGGCTACGGCGTCATCGGCGCCTGTGAGGATCAGGACGAGCACGATCTACGAAACCAGTTCGAGACGAACTTCATGGGCACTCTCCACATCATCCATGCGACGCTGCCCTACTTTCGGCGGCAGAATGGAGGTCGGTACCTCATTCTCAGCTCGACATCTGGGGCATTAGGCGTCCCAGGTCTTGGTCCTTATTGTGCCACCAAGTATGCTGTTGAGGGCCTCATCGAGGCAATGCTTTACGAAACAGACGCGTTCAACATCAAAGCCACCCTCATTGAGCCTGGCCACGTCCGGCGTGATGAGCCCGAGACCCCAAACAACCCGCTGCCGACATGGGGTCACTTCCTCATTAAACCAGCGAGTGAGGCATACGGGCATGCGACGTCGCCTGCCCTCCATGCCAAGAGAATGGTACAATGGCTTGGCGATCGCCAGCCGACAAGTGCTGTCAAGTGTGCTGAGCTGATCTGGCAGCTGGCTCACTGCTCGTACCCACCACTACGATTACTGTTAGGGAGCTACGCCATTGAGAGCATTCGTGACCGTATGAGATCGGTGACGGAGGAACTAGAGGACTGGAAGCACCTCAATTTCCCAGCCGCACCAGAAGACGAGAAAGAAGGAGGCGAGGACATGGTCGACGGTGCGCCAGAGTCAATGTCGTAAACACCCAGCCACAAACCCCAACGCTGAGAAGCCCTCTAGAGACTTGCAACCCCAACAGCTTTGGGCCGAGGACACCTCACCTCCCGCGGTTCTATGAATGCCGCCTATGCTGCCTCTGTATGCTACTACCCCAAGTAACAGGAATCAGAACAGGCTAGCGAATTCCATGGTCAATACCCTGCAAGGTAAGATTGGGATTGTTACGGAGTCGGATGTTTATTGTCATTGCCGCCTGCATCAGTACGTGCAGTGGACCTGGAGCGGGTTGAGTGAGGCCATAGGGGGCTCGGTACCTATCTTGCCGAACGGCTATGTCATGGCGTCAGGTACCAGGCAAAAACGTCTCCAAATCTCCATGACTAAGCGAGGCCCCTGCGTTTTCCCTCCACGTCTCCCTCATCTCACCTAGCCCCAAGTCAACCCTTCAACTTTGACCAGTTGACAAGAGGAAGGGGTCCAGATCTCGATCATTACCTGGAAAAGTTCCAAGGAGTATCTCGACACAGCTCCCACCCGATCTACCGTAAACGAATGCCGACGCCGACAACCGACACAACGCGACACATAGCAAGCCGCCAGTCCCTCGTTTTCCTTTCGCTACTCGTAGCCGTCCCTGCACTACGCTTCCAGCGTATCCGGACAACCCACCGACACAAAACATCCCACTCCTAATAACTGAACGGTCGACTCCCACTTCACACCAGCAAAAATGGCGGACAAGAAGAACGAGGACTACGTTGTCCGCATGGGCGAGAACGCCTTTGGAAAAGAAAAGGACCCTTTCATGGGCCGCCGCCCTGCGAACAGGAAGACCATTCCTATTGGCAACCAAGGATTATCCCAGCTCGATAACAGTGCGCCCATCTCTATTACTGCGTACTGCCTATCCTCGATCAGCATGACTGTCGTCAACAAGTATGTTGTGTCTGGCACGTTTTGGAACCTCAATTTCTTCTATCTGGCCGTTCAGGTAAGCCGATGCCGTCCATATGCTCGTTTGGTTGGTGTCGTACTCACCGTCATTGCCCACAGGCCGTGGTCTGCATCGCCACTATTACGGCATGCAAGCAGATGGGCCTGATCAAGGTCCTGTCTCCCTTTGATCCCGATAGGGCAAAAAAGTGTACGTTGGCAAATGCATGAAGACAAAAGCTATCGTTATTGATCAACTCCAGGGTTCCCGATCTCGCTCCTTCTCGTTGGCATGATTTACACCGGCACCAAGTCGCTGCAGTTCCTCTCCGTCCCCGTCTACACCATTTTCAAGAACCTCACTATCATTGTCATTGCATATGGCGAGGTGTTGTGGTTCGGCGGTAGTGTCACTCCCATGGCTCTGCTCTCGTTTGGCCTGATGGTCTTGAGTTCCGTGGTTGCCGCCTGGGCTGACATCCAGAGCGCCATTGCCGGCGACTTCGGGACTACGGACTCTTCAGCGGCTATCTCCACGCTCAACGCTGGTTACGCCTGGATGGGAATGAACGTCTTCTGTAGCGCATCCTACGTTTTGGGTATGCGCAAGGTGATCAAGAAGATGAACTTCAAGGACTGGGATAGTATGTGCTCATGCGACCCTCCCCCAGATTTGCCCCCCTGCTTTGAGATTCAGAGGTGCTGACCTAGTTTCTCATCTAGCCATGTACTACAACAACCTCCTTACGATTCCTGTGCTGGTTATCTGCTCCTTTGTGATGGAAGACTGGTCTAGCGTCAACTTTGCCAAGAACTTCCCCGAGGAGACGCGCAACCGAATGATAATTGGTATGATTTACTCGGGACTAGCAGCCATATTCATCTCATACTGCTCGGCCTGGTGCATCCGGGTCACATCGTCGACAACGTACTCGATGGTCGGTGCCCTCAACAAGCTTCCGATTGCGATCAGTGGCCTGATCTTCTTCGCGGCTCCCGTCACGGTCGGCAGTGTGTCAGCCATCTTCATTGCATTTGTCAGTGGTATAGTGTATGCTATGGCTCGAATGCGACAGTCGAAGGTGTCCCGAGACTCGCTGCCTACGACACGACCTACGATGAGCGCCAGCGCTCAGAGCAGCCGTGACGCGGCCAACTCTTAGACGGCCAGTCCAGACCGGAATTAGCGGTTTGCATACTTGCAGACGATAGAGTCGAACATGTGCGGCTTGAATAGGGTCTATAAGAGCGTTACAAGGGAAAGAATGAAATCAAGAACACGTAAGAGTACACGAGGGTATGGAGACGAAAAGCCAGCCATCCCCGGGGATGTATAATATGGTAATAATTGACAGGGATCGGTGACTCTATATGTTTGGTATAGACAGGGACATGACTGGAGTCAGATGGGATGTGGGAATCACTGGGTGACTGAGCCTTTTGCAATGAATGCTTTTGAGCACGTGTATATATGGGCTGTATAGCAACCGAAAATAACGGCCGGAGCCAGCGTATATCAACAAGCTCTGATGCGGTGAGAGTGAGAGGCCTGTGTGTTATGATAACTTTGGGGGACCGAGACGGTGGCCGAGTAACAAGGGTTGAGGCAAACCCGGACCTGACCACCTACCTAAGGGCTGCCTCGGCATGGAGAAAAAGTCGAAGCAAATGGGAGAGTGATTGAGAGGCTCATGGGTGTATCATATGGCTCTCAGTTGCTGACAAGGTATCCCACTATCTATTCAACGGGTGAATACAGTACCTAAATGCAGTCATGCTACTACATGGCTATCGCGCACGCGGCGAGGACAGCACATGACAATGTTGCACATGTAACACATTTGAGATGGTACGCGCGTGTGTGTGCGTGTAGGGTGACCCGATGCATGCGGATTCCCTGCACAGTACTTCATACGACATGATCAGCTGCCACTGCTCTGCATTGCGCGATGGCGGATGCCAGCAACACACTGGCCGAACTGTAGAGGCTGTATCTATCCGAGATCGTCCATGGTCCCCACGTGGGGCAACGTCACCGCCTAAACAGGCCCTAACTTGACAGTTACTTACAGTTACCCCGTCCAAGCTACCCTGGCGTCTCCAAAAAAAAAAGCAGGATGGTTGGGGAAGGGCGGGCTCTGAAATGACGTTCCAACTTTTTTTCTTCTCCATTGTCGAGCTCTAAAACCTGGACTCGGGCCTGGACCTAGATTCCATCCCCCCAACGCTTCTTTGGCTCCCTACTCCTTTTGCTTTGCGGGTCTTTTGCCATCATGAGATAGGATAGCAGCGTCATCCCGGTTGCTTCCTTTTTCCCTTTTTCCCTTTTCTTGCTCTTCTTCTACGCGCTTCCTCCTGACCGCCGACGCTCGGCCTCGATCTTGCTTGCTTGATCCCCCCCAAACATCGCCAACTTGGTCCGCGCGCCATCACCCCGCCGCCATGTTGCTCTTCATCCACCGTCGTGAGTTGGGTGCCGTTGGCTCGTTTCAATCCCGCGCCTGGTTGCTGACCTGTGCGCTTTTCTCCAGCTTTCGAGGCGCTTGCCTCAAATTTCGGTGCTTCTGCCGATGAAGGTGAGAGAGAACGCTGCCCTGTCATGTAAATAGCAGCGCCCTGACCGTCGTCGTCTAGTCAAGCTCATCTTCTCCTTCCTAATCTCATTCCCGCTCGCCGGCCTGCTCAAACGCATTCCCGACTCGAGGCCCGATGCCAAGAACCTCTTTTCCATTGGGTACATCATCTTGCGTCCTCTCCTCTCTCGTCACACACACACACACACACCAACTAACCGCCAAAATCAAGCGTTTCTCTCTTCTACCTCGTCGGCCTCTTCGACCTCTGGGATGGCATCCAAACTCTCCTCATCAGCGCTGTCGGCGCCTATTGCATCGCCAAGTTCCTCCGCTCCAGCCCCTACATGCCATGGGTCGGCTTCGTCTTCGTCATGGGCCACATGTCCATCAGCCACATCGCCCGCCAGGCTGCCGATAGCCCCTCCTCCGTCGATGTCACTGGCGCCCAGATGGTCCTCCTCATGAAGCTCAGTGCCTTTTGTTGGAACGTCGCCGACGGTCAACTCGCTCCAGACCTGCTCTCCGACTTCCAGCGCGACCACATGCTCAAAGAACTGCCTTCCCTCCTCGACTACACCGGTTGGGTCTTCTTCTTCCCAGCTCTATTTGCAGGCCCTTCCTTTGACTTTACAGACTATCGTCGCTGGCTCGACACCTCTATGTTTGACGTCTCCCCCCAGGTGGACCCCTCTAAGAAACCTCCCGTCAGGAGGAAGCGGAAGATCCCTCGCAGTGGCGCTCCGGCTGCCTGGAAAGCGTTCAGTGGTCTGTTCTGGATTGGCCTGTTCGTGGCTCTGTCCGGTTCATACAATCCCGGCACCCTGACGGCGGACTCCTTTGTCGAGTACGGCTTCTTTCGCCGCGTTTGGATCATGCACGTGGTCAACTTTGTCGCCCGCCTCAAGTACTACGGCGTGTGGTCCCTCACTGAGGGCTCCTGTATCCTCACTGGCTTAGGATACAACGGTGTCGATCCCGTTACCGGAAAGATCTCGTGGAACCGACTGCAAAATATTGACGCCTGGGCGGTCGAGACAGCCCAGAACCCGCGAGGTTACCTCGGCGGCTGGAACATCAACACCAGCAACTGGCTGCGGAACTACATCTACCTACGCGTCACCCCGAGGGGCAAGAAGCCCGGTTTCCGCGCAAGCATGGCGACATTTGGCACCAGCGCCCTCTGGCATGGCTTCTACCCCGGCTACTACTTAGCCTTTGTTCTCGCAAGCTTCATTCAGACCGTTGCCAAGAGTAAGTCTTCCGACTAAGTTACGCCGCTCATCGCCTTCGCTGTCCATACTAACATACTTCTCCTAGATTTCCGACGACACATCCGCCCCTTCTTCCTCGACCCTATCACCGGCAACCCTACTCCCAAGAAGAAATACTACGACTTTTTCTCCTACCTCGCCACCCAACTCACCTTTTCCTTCACCACGACCCCATTCCTTGTACTCTCGTTCAGTGGCTCCATCCTCGCATGGAGACGCGTTTACTTCTACGCCGTCATCTGGACTCTTGCCTCCCTGCTCTTCTTCTCATCCCCTGGAAAGGCCGCCCTCCGGAAGCAGCTCGAGAAGCGCCAGGGCAGGGTGAGTGCCAGGTTGGTGCGCTCTATCAGCACTGACAGTCTCACGGGCAAGGAGCCCATTCTCGGCATCTCTAAGGATATAGAAGACGACATCAATGAGGCTGTTCGAGAGATTCGAGCCGAAGTCGAAGCCCGGCAGAAGAAGCAGAAGGCGAGTTGATTCAATCAGCCTCCAGGCCACATTAGTACATGTAGTTGAACTACTGATCTCCAACCAACCCTCATGTGTTTTCGTTGGTATACACCATTTTTCCACACCATGCGAGCACATGAACCTACGTAAAAGGTGATAGAGTCAAGTGGAAGGAACTGAAAGTATAACATGATAAATCTAGTTGTAGATTCTACATCACATCATTAGATCTAAGTCTGGGATGGCCTTTGAAGACCCTCCTGTTTGTGCCCGAATCGTTAGGGCAACTAATTACATGGTATCATAAGAATGAGCGCGGCATGCTGTCCGTCTTGAAACCCGGCATCGCCTGTCGATCTAACTATTATACAGATACACAAGATCGTCCGTAGATGGTAGGTTGGTTGGTAGTACAAAGGGCTCAGTATAACGGTGGAGGAGGAAAAGAAGATTGAGCGTCGAGGTGTTGTTGAGGTCCGTCAAAGATCGTGTACCGTGAAGTGGGTTTTTGTAGTCAAATAAATCTTGAAGATCGTGTGTCGTTGAAGGTTTGGAAAGAATCCAAAGAAATGATCGTGCGTCGTCGCAGCTTTTCGAGAAGCAGAATAAATAAAAAACAAATCGTGAAGATAATCGTGAAAGATTGTGTGGCAAAAAGGGGAGCCATCGTGATGCGTTGGTCGTCAAATCGTTGAGATGCCATCATGCTGTATGATGGGAATTCAGGGGCGGGACGTGTCCCAACCCTCGGTCATCTAGACGTCTTTTCGCTTTTTCGTAAAAGTGTTTCAAAAAGGGGTAATTAGGTACCCCAGCCTTGTCGTGTACCGACAACAATAAGTGCAATTACAGCACCAAGCATGAGCAGGCCGATGATGGACATGCCACGGTTGACATTCCTCCACCACATCGCACTACGATGCATGTCGTCTTCCACGAGTTGGGTTTGACTGCCGTGGTCGTGTCGCAAGCTCAGTTTAGATTGGCTGTGGCCATGCTCCGTGTCATTGATCCGAGGTCCCAAGGGAGTGGGGATGGGAATGGTTGCAGCAATCATCCAAGCTGTGAGATCACGTCAGAGAGTGTTCCAAGGGGTGTGGCATGGTCCCATGCGGGCGTTGAGAAGACTCACCGAAAGGGAATATGAATCCGACGACGAACATGGCAACTTGGGCATTTCGTCTCCCAGTCAATTCGCTCCTTGCCTCCCAGTCTGCCGACGGGGGTTCCCAAATACTCTGCCTGATAGGTCTGCGATCCCGGCCTAAGTGTGGCGACCAGATACTAGAAGTTTGCTTCTTGAGATTGCGTACAACCGCCAAAACGGGGTGTGGTGGGAGGGGAGTTATGTCCATTGATCCAGTATTCGACTCGCGATGCCCACCATGGTGTGCTACAGGGTCCCGCGGTCGCCGACGAGGGCTAAAGATGTCCGAAACATGACGGTCTTGGCTTGGGGAGCGGCTAAGACCGCCTGCCTGGCTGTCCGTAAAGCTGAAATTAGAGAACATAGATTCGGATGAAGGCTTATAAGCCAACCACTTCCGCTCGCCACTGCCATAGTAGACCCTGTTGCCAGTTAGCCATGTACTACTAACATGTACAGTGGGTTATCTTACTTTGCCCAAGTTGGGACCGCCGCGTTGAAGCTTGCTGTGGATCTGAGACTGCGGTCCGAAGCGTAAGTCGAAAGCATTTTGCCCAGTCGAGTCCGTGAATGACGGTGTCGCAACTCCTCGAGGGGGGCCAGACCATCACCATCCTCATCGTGGTCACGAATGAGGCGGATTGTGCCTGTATTAGGGTCGCGGAGCGAGTTTCGGTTGTAGGCCGCTGTCGGCGGTTCCAATGAAGCCCTTCTTGAATGCGATGGTCCGCCAGTGTGCTCTTCTAGGCCAGCCAAAGAAGAGACCATACTCAGAATATGTTTGCTGTGCGTGCTGCTGCGTCTGTCGGCAAACGAAGCAAGAGACAGAGCGCGAGATGCGGGTTCGCTGCCTCCCTCGCTCTCGGAGAGGACAGTTGACAGCTGAGAGCTCCATTGGTGCGGACGAACAGCTGGCTGCGGTTTCGAGTGAACGCCGGAAGAAGAGCTCCAGTTCGGTCCAACCTGGTGCAATATGGTCGCAGGGCCTACAAATAAGGCTCGCGTAGCCTCCTGGGTCATGATGGTGGAAATGGAAGTCAACGACCCGGTACGAACAGAGTCGTGGGAACGGGTCTTTGCCAGACCAAAACTCTCCCAGGACCGCTTCTTAATCGGTCGCAGAGGAGCAACAATAAGACTCTCTTGAGAGAATTCGGGGTTCAGTCGGTTCCTGACAGCCACAACAGAGGATGCGGAAGAAGGGCCACCATGAACAACGTAATTGGCCTCGCTCTCGCGGGTGTGCGGGCGGGTTCGATCATGGACGGAAGGTTCTGTTGAGGAAGGGCCGCCCAGTAGCTCATAGTTCGAACGGATGGATGAGGCAGGCAGGCTGTCCAATTCGGCGACGGGCACGGGGGAGCTCTGGCCATAGATCTTGTAGTTGGTCCTATCAGAGAGTGTGGATCTCGACTGAGACGAATGAGTCGAGTGGAAGGACGGCTTCTCATTGAGCGGCTGGGTTGATGAAACGTCGATCGGATTGGTGAGCTCGATCTCGGGCAGAGATGGCAGGGGTGGTACGGAGGAAGGGGTTGACGAGAGCTGAGGCTGCTTCTGTTTGAGATCGGGGGTCTTAGGAACCTTCCGAACGCCGCCAATCATACGATAGTTCCAGGGTGACACTCGGGGGCTGGATCGGACACGCTGAGTGGGTGACGAAACTGGAGACTTGGAGGTGACGCTGCGCTCAGCGAGGGGAGTCAATGGCGAACTAGGGCGGTCCTGCTGGTCGTCGCTGAATGCGCCCATGGACTGGCGGCCATATGAGCTGTTTCGTGTGCTGAAGGAGGGAGGAGGGGACCAAATGGAGTCGGTTCTGGACGAGGTTGAGAGATCCTGAGGATGCACGGAGAAGGTCTTGTTGGAGTGAACATTGATGATTTTGCGACGTGCAGAAGTCGGTCGGGATGAGGACTGAGATGATGGTCGTTGCGATGGCGAAAGCTCACTCGCGGATTGAAAAGAGTCATCAGGAGCGGTGGTGTCGACGTCGTCGGCATCGGTCAAGGGGCGCCAAGGAGAGCTCGATTCGGAAGATGCGAGTCTCGAAGCACGTCTCGAGTCTGGGGTACCAACAGGGCGGATTTTGGTCCAAACCATGGGTGACGGAGACTCCTCGTAGTAGAAACTGGATGGGGCCAGGGGAGAAGAACACCTAGGCCAAGGTTGCGTATCGGTCTCGGTGCTTGCATCCGCGTAGGAAACGGGGCGGGAAGAGGGGGAGCCATCGGTGTTGATTCGGGGCGGACTATAAGGAACGAGCCGGATCCCGAGGCGATTGTTCTCAGAGTCGGTGCGCTCGTGAAGTGGCCGTCGCGGCGGAGTGCAAGACGGCGAAGCCGACATGCTCTACGCCCGGGCGGCAGTGGCCGAACTAAACATGCCCTGGGAAAGCGATGAATGGATTGGCGGACGGTGCCGGGAAGGGACAAATCGATATCGATGGCGGCAACGGTAGCGGTCGGGGGCCGGAAGAGTGGGTCGGAGGTTCGGAGGTTGATGGGATCACGGGCCCTGGCGAGTGCAGTCGATTAATGAGGAGCGACGAGTATTAAGCGCGATGAAGACGATGGTGCATTAAGTCGAGGCGCGGCGGTAGCAAGGTCTTTATGGAGACAAGAATGAAGAATAGAAAATAGAAGAGCCGCGCGGGTAAGAGAAGTGGGAATTGGGAACAGCAGAGCAAGAGAAGTGAAGCTGATCCTAGGACAAGGGACTCGCGGAGACGGTGATACAGGAACAGATATGGAGAGAACCGTGGGTGCTGCGTCTGCGAAAGCGCCGGAAAGGGAAGAAGCACCAGGAACCAGGAACTAGGAACCAGGAATAGGAAAAGTAGAAGCAAAGCAAGAAGCAAAAGGGGCACAAGCAATGATCGTGAGAGAACGAGCGCGTGGGTGAGAGAGCGACTGGCCGACAATGGCTGGATTATAGCGAACGAGCAACGAGTGACGAGTGACGAGTGACGGAGGGAGTGTGAGAGAAGGAGAGAAAGATCCACGGGATGGGATCATGGGGGAAGGAAGGGGCGGGTACGGTAGCTTCAAGAGGGAAAAAGAGCAAGGCCGCCTCCTCATCGACCATCAGACTGCATGCTGCGTGCTTGCTGCGACCGGCGGCCCAGGAGGGATGGGACCCTAAGTTAACCGTCCAGGAAGGCGTGGGCTACGTGCAGTAGCTCGGTAGGTTCCTTCCAGCCACTTCGTCTTGCCTCGCCGTCCTGCCACCTGCTGCTCTCGACAGTGTACTTCCCCTTACAGGCCCTTTCGAAAAGCCTCCAAAGCGTGGGTTTGGTACGGAGCACAGGCCGTGGTAGTCGGTAACTCTCCACCCTCCCCCCGGGGACGCGCCCCATCTACAGCAAGCGATAGGCGCTTCCATTGGCCGGTGACGCGGTGGGTTGCAGACCCAGAAATGGACGTGAACCAGTGCTGTAGCGCCATTGAGGCTACTCTGCAGCTAACGGGATATTACCTGACGCAGCAGGGTTTCTCCTGCAGGACCGCGTCCACCGGATGGACGAGGTCACCATGTCACCGACACCGACACGCGGAGACACGGGTTGACGGGGACGTTGGACCGGGGGTTTAGCTGATAATGGCCCCAAGGGGCTTCCCTTGAAGGGGGGTGGATGTGACGAAAGGAATGCGGGCAAAAAAAGGAGCAGAGGCGAATGACAATTGAAGAGATAAAACCTGTCTAGAGTGGACGAATGGGCGACTGCTCTGTCACCCACCGAGACATTGTAACCCAAGAAACTGCCCCAATCACAGTACTAGCCCGGGCAGGCCAGGGAAACCACAAGGTGTGGTATCCGTACAGTGGTGTAGGGTTTTTTTTTTCTTCCTTTGCTCGGGCGTGGGCAGCTCGGACTGGTGAGATTGTGGGGTTTAACTGGCCGGGACAAGGATAAGAGAGGTTGGCAACTTGTGGGATCGAGTGCGGATGATTGGGCCGAGGTGGTTTAACCGGCCATGATACAGACGCTGGCCGGTCTGGTGGCGAGTGTGACGTTGGTAATTCTTCCGGGTTATTGAGCCACCCTCTACTTACCACTCCCGTCTAATCCTCCCCGCCGTACCGAAGGCAAGCTTGTCGTAAGACAGATGGGCCACTTGTGCGCACTTCGGAGTGAAAGCCAGAAGATGCGCGCTAGCATCGAAACCGCGGCTTACAGTGCACTCACCCGACGGTACCCCATCATTTGATCAGCGGCCCAGCAGGGACAAATCTCCAATACTCGGACCTAAGGCCACAATCTGTCCACACACCACAGACAGGTGGCAAGTCATCAATGGTGCAGCGAAGGAAACATGATCGAGCCACGGCCCGCTCGTAACGAAATGCTTCCATGTCACTACTGTAATTTCAACTACCGCCAGCCAGTCCATCTCGTCATCGGCCAGGACGCAATGCGAGGATGCAGAAATAGAAGCATTCCTCAACCAGACCATGGGCGCGTCAGAGCCAGCCTCTTCGGCGCTTCTTCTCTCTGCCACGTCCTCCCTTCTGCGAAGCGCCGTTGCACCAAAAGGCTGGTGATACGGGGTCCAAGGCCTGTGAGTTTAGCGCAGTCGCCAGATGGTAGGTCCCTTGCACGACACGGCTGTTCATGTCTCGGCGCCTGTTCCATCAACCTGCTGCATACATAGTGGACTGCACGTCGCGGCGCCTCTCGAAACACGACCCAGCCTGTATGTAATGGGAGCGACCTGCAGATGCCACCTAACGGTCACTGACCAGCAGCGTTTGCACACTCCCCGCTCCACTGCATCCTATTCGTTTCACCAGAGCTCAGTGACGGTCCGCTGAGAAGCGACGGCGACTCGTGGCCGTTTAACTATCGTTCTCGCCCGACTCTGAACGAAGACGCCGCCAAAGCTGCAAACTCAAGGCCTAGTAGGCACTTGGTACTTTGTAGGCGCGCGCGCAATCTAACAATAGGCCGCTGCAGCGCCGTCCCGCACATAGTCATCCACTACTTTATGTAGTGCGTGTTATTACTAGAGACGTGTCAAGCTCGTGTCAAGCCCGCGTCCCAACCAGCACCCAGAACCAAAAGCCCAGAGGGTCGGATGTACAGCTCTATCGAAACTCGGCGTCTCTAGCCGCCCGCACCGAGTTCTCACTACTGTACGTAGCACGTCTGGTCTTCGAGAAAAGGGCATGTGCCGGCATGGAATATTTTCCTCCAAGGGGCTGTCAATCACAGGCCGCGATTATGAGTGGGCAATTGTCTCGTACCTCGTCTAGGGCCCAGGGTTGAACAACAAAAAGGTGAAGAGGGAGAAATTCGAAAGAGAGATAATTGATATCGACCACAAGCCTGAATGGGATGCTTCATCTCCGGGTGGGAGAGATAAGGCAAAAAATCTGTATGATGCGAGGTCAGTCGTGGTGGGTTACATTTATTTGCCTCTTGCCATCCGATTACCCTAAAGTGAACATGCTCGACGTCGTCCGTATCGGCAAAATTGTTCCCGTCGCCACAACTGTTTGAGACCGATCGCTAGTGGTGTCAAATCAAATCCAGCCTCGCTTTCTCGCAGTCTCAACTTCATGTTGCGCCAGTATTTGAGGTAGTGTGTCTCACTGTTCTTAGGCGTTTGGCTTGCTAAGCTATCGAGCTAACTAATGCAGGTACGGCGCTCACCGGAAGGCTTCGCATTCGGGGCGCGTCGGTCGACTTTTGCATCATGACAGAGCATGTATACGAGCCAGCACCGTCTGGAATCCCAATGGATGTACACACAATTATTTAAGTAAGGGATGGCCTCGAGTGATTTTCCATAGGTACTACGTAGTAGACTAGCATCACGTCTGCGACCGATGTGAGCGGCGATGCGGGGCGTTGACTAGCGATGCATGGGTGTCGATGAATATTTCATCCCTCACTTCCCGGTCTCACTTTTATTATGTTGCTTATGACGACTTCGTGTTTGTTTGTTGTTGTTGTTGGTTGTGGTCCGTTGACAACACTGATATTGAAAATTAAAAACCGGCGAGGTAATTTGCAAACCCGTCAGCAAACAACGAACCCGTCCAGCAGTGCGTGACCACGTCAAAGGTGTCTCCATCTTCGACCCCACATCCTCCTCCATCCCCGTGCAGTACAGCATCCGTGATGTTGGCCCAAGCTTGTATCCGTACCAGTTCCGTCATCCACACACGAGCATAGCCTCCCGACTAGTCGACATGCAAGGTGAAATGAAGCAACGATAGCAGTGTTATGACAAAACTTCAGTACATCGCCAAAGTACCTCACGGGGCGTCGTGCACAGCCTAATTGCAGTTTTACTCCCTTACTGAGCCGGCCTCTCACTCACTCACCCATTGACGTGCTCAACGGGTCACCCACGCACTCACACCGAAGCTGAGCGAGCATAATGGGACGTGGCTGAATGAGGCTGATCACCTTGAACACATTATCTTCCCCTAGCTCAGCCTCGCCTCCGTATTCCACACATCTCCTCCCTATGATACGTATCCTCAACCCAGGACTTGAGCTTCTCTTTGACCACAATTACCACTGGGACGAGTCGAGCTGGGCAGAGAGGGGTAATTTTTTCCGAGTTTTTTTTCCTTTTCATTTTTCATTTTGGTACTTGTTCCCTCATTTCCCTTTCCCGATTTCATCCTACCACGAGCCTCGAAGCCTCAAACACACATACCTCCGCACCAGCTATCAAGACAAGACCATCCAAATGTCCACCACCGTACCCGACTCACCGGAGTTCGGGACGTCCCAGGCTGTTGCCTTACTTGTGAGCCTCACCTACCTACGCCCCCTACACCACTGCCGTTCTGCCACCTGGCTCTGCCGCAACCCGCGATGCATACTGTGAACATTTCAGCATCTTAAAGCCCATCACCACCACACTTTAACCCCCACGTTCCTTGCCTCGTCTCACCTTGCTTCGCCCGCGGTTTACTGCTCACGTCTACTCACCTGTAACGCCCTGTTCTGCGCTATTCCAGATTGCCTACACCCTCATCTATGTTATCCCCCTCTACTTCTCAGCTGCCACCCGGCCGTCGCCTACCCGCTCACGAGATGCGCCCGAGGCCATTCGCGCCCGTATCCTCGTCGTTTCGTTGTCAACGGCCGTCTGCTCCCTCGTGACGCTTGCCTTGCTCTCGTCCCGGCTCTCGTCCCAGAAGCAACCTCTGCACCTCATGGGCTACTGGCCTCCTGGCCTCGTCGACTCTGCCCGCGCCCTCTGGCTCACAGCGCTCCTCTTCGCCGGGCCCCTCTACGAGTCCCTCGTCATCGACGGCGCCGCGCGCGGATGGCTGACTCTCAAGCCTCTCAAGGAACTCTGGGTTGACTGGCCCACCTGGAGAAATATGGTTGCGGTACGTATTCTCGCTACTCCCAACACCCAGCCTCGTCCCTGGTTTTCTCTCCAACCCATGCTCGCGACGCACGCACATCCCAGCTGAGCTCGTCTCACCTTGTCATCTCCACCCCACACGCGAACGAAACAAGCCTCATTCGCTTGTCACACCGCTTCTTTTATGTCTGCTTCTGTTTCTTTTCCCCTTCCCTTTGCTAATTTGCCCCTTCTGGGTTCTCTTTACAGGGCCCCGTCACCGAGGAATGTCTGTTCCGCTCCGCGGCCGTCCCGCTGTTGCTCCGGGCCGGCGCCAGCCTCACCAGCACCATTTTCCTGTCGCCCCTCGTCTTCGGCCTCGCCCACCTGCATCACTTCTATGAGTTCCGCATCACACATCCCCAGACTCCCCTCCCCGTTGCCATTGCTCGCTCCGTTCTCCAGCTGTCCTACACCTCCCTATTCGGCGCCTATGCAACCTTCTTATTCATGAGAACTGGCAGCCTACTGGCCGTCATCCTTGTCCATGCCTTTTGCAATTGCATGGGCCTCCCTCGCCTCTGGGGGTCACTTGATCCATACTGGCTCTCCGACCGGGACCCGGCTGCTGTCTTGCCACGGAAGATCTGGACCGCTGTGTATTATATCCTGCTTGTCGGAGGCTTGGTAGCTTGGTGGCGGAGCCTGTACTCGTTGACAGAGACTCCCATGGCCCTGGCCGAGTTCTAAAGCCACCAAAAAGTTTAGTATCCTAAAGAATATACATAACCACAATCGGCTTAGCACATTTGAAATCATGGCCTTCCCTTGATCACTCCTGCTTCTGGGCTTTCTTAACCCCCAGTTTTATTAAGCGCTCTGCTCTGTACAAAGTCTTATGTTCTATCGTAAAATGAGGGTTTCAATAGGACTCACGCCTATAAAGATCGTAAAGGTTGAGGAACCAACATTGTCACAAGGTTTTCGGATAGGAGGGGCATCGTGTTTGGTTTATCTCTCTGGTTATTACATCTCCATCTGAAGGCCCGGCATAGATCCCGGCATCTGAAAGTCTTCTTCGTCCCTCACTCTCCGCCGATGTCTGAGTGTCGCCTCAGCATCGCCTGTGGATTCCTTGCGCCCTTCCTCTCGAGGATCCCGCCCAACTTCCCTGCTCTTGGACCGGCTCATAGAGGCAGCAGTATCAGCCATCGCTTCGTCTGGCCCCCTGGTGTTCTTCTTCCGCGGCCACAAGCTCGGCAGTGCGATTTCCTGGAATCGCGGCTCGACAGCCCGCTCGTCAAACCATCGATGAAGGCGTGATTCGACAAGTTGTGCAATCTTGGGGACGTCTTGGAGCCGGGATCGGCTGCCCAGAAGACTTCGGATCGAGAAGTCTAGCCGGTAGTCGTCAAGGAAGTTAAATGCCATCATAGTAGGAGTGGACTGTGAGGGATTGCTAGGTATGAAGGAGATGGATAGCGTGCCGCTGAACCTCACCACCGAGACGGCCAAGGCGACGGGCAATACGGCGGATAGCTTCTTGGGGTAGTTGAGCAAGAGCTTCGTCTCGACGGCGAGGGTGAGCATGTCGCTTAGGTCGACGTCCATTCGGGCCTGGAGGCGGGTGCCGTCTCGCGCCGCCGTGGCAGGGTCAAACTTCTTTCCGTTGCCAAGACTCATACCATCTTCATCGACGGGGATGACGCGACAGTTGCTGAGAATGGGGAAATCCTCGCCGAGGCTCAGCTCCGTAACACGGATCTCATCGACAAAATCGGGCCGCGAGGTCCCGTTCAGGGCTTTGGAGAGGGAGTTGAGAATGGCATCGTCGTGTTGAGCATCACTGCGGAACTGCGCAATGGTCTGGGCCACGAGGACGTTGAACCAGTCCAGGCTCTCTGGCTGATGGCTGTCGACATTGTAGTACGTCTTGCTCAGGATCGACCCAATGGTCAACGCGGGTGGGTTGCGAAGGACACTCGACTTTTTGCGGTTCAGGGTTTGGCTGCCCTTGCGGACGCTGGGCGACCTTAGACTTAAGAGAGAACGCTTGTGAGTGAGCGTCCTTGACCTGCGCTCCGTGGCCCTCAATGAGGCAGTGACATCGGGAGATGGCGGGTCACCGAAGATAAAAAACTTGATGAATGCGGCCAAGACCAGGACGACTGAGAGCTGCCCGACAATAAGGCCCTGTGTGAACGAGAGTCTGTTTCATATATAGTCCGTGTCAGTTGCCGTCCTCCGTATCGTAATGCAGGGTACGAGGTTTTGCTGCTGGGACTTACGTCGGTTCCGAAGGTGGAGGACAAGTATCAAGCGTCATTGTTTAGCTGGCTCTAGCCATAAGGCGGCTGCTGCTGTGTTGGATAATGCGGTACCGCACTGTACAGCAATGGGTTTCAGTTTCTCGGAGACGACATGGCAATGCGCTTTTGGGTTGTGCAGCTGCCAGCTGATTCTTTTGATATCCAAGGTGCTGGTGGTCGCTGACACAAGGAGGCGCTGGCTAGCCTATCACATCCAAGTACCAAGCCACAGCTTGGTCGTTGCTCAGCGGCGGATATGCATGTGTCGGGGTGGACATGATGTTATCCAGAACCAGCCTACGTACTCGTGAACCTCGCCTCACCCAGAATGGCCACCATCACTCGGCGCATCGCCCGTCGCATTTGATTCCCAACTCTTGATCGCCTTGATTTATCCGTTTTTCATCTGTCGCAAGCTTCATCCAGTTCCAGCGAGTGCTGTAATAAAATAAGGCCCCCGCAGAACCCGCCAACTCTTAGCAGTCCGGCAGCCCCGCGGCGCCGTTGCCCGTCATGGACGTCTCCCAGGCCGTCGCAGGCTACATCGCCAAGGTGGTGACGACTACTGATACATCATCCTCCAAGATGAAGATCTTGCTGCTGGACCGGGAAACTGTCAATATTGTCTCCACCGCTGTCACCCAATCCTCCCTCCTGAACCATGAGGTCTATCTCATTGACCGCCTTGACAATACTGGCCGCGAGAAGATGCGCCACCTGCGTTGTCTCTGCCTCGTTCGCCCATCCGCCGAATCCATCCAGCTGCTCATAGATGAACTGCGGGATCCCAAGTATGGCGAGTACCATCTGTACTTTACCAACGTCGCCAAGAAATCGTCGCTCGAGCGGTTGGCCGAGGCCGACGACCACGAGGTTGTCAAGGTCGTCCAAGAGCATTTTGCCGACTACACTGTTATCAACCCAGATCTTTTCTCGCTAGGTCTGACTCTTCCACAGCAACGCATCTGGGCCGGCAGTCCAGATACGTGGAACCCGGACTCGTTGCAGCGATGTGCTGAGGGGCTTATCGCTGTGCTCCTGTCTCTCAAAAAGAAGCCGCTCATCAGATACGAGAAAGCGAGCCCCCTGGCCAAAAAGCTGGCGTCTGAAGTTCGCTACCTGATGACCCAGGAAGACCAGCTATTCGACTTCCGGAAAGTGGACACCCCTCCGATTCTGCTCGTCCTGGACCGCCGAGAGGATCCGGTAACGCCGCTTCTGACACAGTGGACATACCAAGCCATGGTTCATCACCTGCTGGGTATTCAGAACGGCCGTGTTGATCTAAGTGGCGTCCCAGAGGCCGGTCCGGAGTTGAAGGAAATCGTTCTCTCCCAAGATCAGGATCCCTTCTTTAAGAAGAACATGTTTCTCAACTTTGGTGACTTGGGTGGGAATATCAAGGAGTACGTGGGGCAATATCAGTCCAAGACGCAAAACAATGCAAACATCGAGTCCATATCGGACATGAAACGCTTTATTGAGGAGTATCCCGAGTTCCGAAAGCTCTCTGGCAACGTGAGCAAGCATGTCACTCTTGTCTCTGAACTCAGCCGACGCGTCGGGGCTGAGAGTCTGCTCGAAGTGAGCGAGCTAGAACAGAGCCTGGCGTGTAATGACAACCATGGAAACGATTTAAAGGTATACATCCTAGCTCTGAGTCTCACTTTGGCAGCATTAACTGGTCTCTAGAATATTCAACGATTAATCCAATCGCCAAGTGTCACATCCGAGAGCAAGGTAGGGCTCGTGGCTCTGTACGCTCTCCGGCACCAGAAGCACCCTTCAAACTCCCTTGCGATGTTGAAAGATCTCCTCGTGGCTGCCGGGAATGTACCTCCTCGACGGGCTGACCTTGTCGACAAGGTCCTGCAATACCATTCATCCCTCCATTCGTCTCAGTCACAGGGTGGTATCTCGGACATCTTTGAGTCGGCAGGTATCTTCTCGGGCGCTTCGAGCCGGTTTAAAGGTCTGAAGGGCGTCGAGAACGTATACACCCAGCACAGCCCGCTGCTAGAGACCACACTGCAGAATCTTATCAAGGGCCGGCTGAGGGACCAGCAGTATCCATTCGTTGAAGGGGGAGGTTCAACGAAGGACAAGCCGCAGGACATCATCGTCTTTATCGTCGGCGGTGCCACATATGAGGAGGCCAAGATGATCACTGGGCTTAACGCGACAACTCCGGGTGTCCGTGTCGTTCTCGGAGGAACAACGGTTCACAATGTGGAAACGTTTCTCGAAGAAGTTGAGGACGCTGTTACGTCGTGGCCTGAAGTGCGGGGAAGGCGGTGAAATAAATACAAAAGAGGAAATCAAATCGCAGTTTGAGAAGGCCTAGGGGACCTGATTAACTCAGAAAGCTGATAGGAAAGCTGCACATTCCCAAGGATCTATGTTGTCCATGATGGAAAAGCCACTTAGTCGTCGGGAATGGGCCATGATTATCATAAACTCGGTAGTCTCATATTGTGGGTTATACTGGTACCCGTTAATAGCAAATCCTCCACACCCCTGCCTAGATTTTGACATCGCTGTCGAAGGCGAATTTCCTTTCCAAACGATCGTATGCCATGCCATGCGTTCTCTTTTAAGACCTAAGCCTGCCGTTTGGCGGCGTCAATGGCAGGTCGGGAGACGGCGATATCTTGCGACCGTTGCTAGCGACTCAAGGTCAGACACTATCATCTCTGGCGAATCCCATCATTGGGCGCATTGCGAGCATCTCCCCACTAACAATTGGCTCCTAGTAGGCCGTTCGATGTTGTCGTGATCGGAGGCGGCCATGCTGGCGCGGAAGCTTGCGCTGCGGCCGCGAGAGCCGGTGCTCGAACGGCGTTAATCACACCCAAGCTTGACAACCTCGGGACATGTTCCTGCAACCCTAGCTTTGGAGGTATTGGTAAGGGCACGATCATCCGCGAGATCGATGCTCTCGATGGCCTGGCGGGAAGGATAATCGACAAGGCTGGAGTCCAGTTCCACACACTGAACCGCAGGAAGGGTGCCGCTGTCTGGGTATGCGATCACCGTGCTACCACTTTTGATGGGTTTGAAGCTGACAACTATAACCAACAGGGACCCCGCGCCCAGATCGACCGAGACTTGTACAAGAAACACATGCGAGACGAGCTCACGTCGTATCCGAACCTCTCTATCATCCTCGAAAGTGTCTCCGATATCGTACTTTCCGAAGAGCTAGAGTCCACCGACGGCGCATCAAGTCGCATCGCCGGCGTTCGACTTGAATCTGGTCAGGTCGTGCCGACGAGCAAGGTCATCATCACGACAGGAACTTTCCTCGGCGGAGAGATACACATTGGATTGAAAGCTTATCCGGCAGGGCGATTAGGAGAAGCTGCAACTTTTGGGTTGAGCAAATCGCTGCGAGACGCAGGCTTTCAGCTGGGTCGACTCAAGACGGGTACGCCTCCGCGAATCGCCAAGGAGAGCATCAACTTCGACATACTGGAAACACAGTTGGGCGATGAACCGCCATCGCCCTTTAGCTACCTCAACGAGACTGTCTCGGTACAGGAGCAGCTGACCTGCAGCGTTACGTACACCAACGACGCGAGCCACCAGGTCGTCCGCGACAACCTCGAGAACACCATTCACATCCGCGAGACCATCAAGGGACCTCGCTACTGTCCCTCCCTTGAGGCTAAAGTGGTCCGGTTCGCTGACAAGGACCGTCACATTGTGTGGCTTGAGCCAGAGGGCTTCAACAGCAATGTCATTTACCCCAACGGCCTCTCGATGACGATTCCTGCCGAGGCACAGGAGCAGGTCTTACGAAGTATCCCTGGATTGGAGGACTGTGAGATGCTCCAGCCCGGTTACGGCGTCGAGTACGACTACATCGACCCCCGCAGCCTTAAATCCACACTGGAAACAAAGGCCATTAGCGGTCTCTACCTTGCGGGACAGATTAACGGGACGACGGGATACGAGGAAGCGGCTGGCCAGGGCGTGATCGCGGGTATCAACGCCGGACGATCTGCACAGGGGCTCCCCGGGGTTTCCTTGTCGAGAGGTGATGGCTACATCGGCATTATGATCGACGACCTCATCACCAAGGGCGTCACGGAGCCGTACCGCATGTTCACATCTCGTAGCGAGTTCCGCATGTCCGCGCGGGCCGACAACGCTGATTACAGGCTCACCAGCAAGGGCAAGGAATGGGGCGTCATCTCGGAGCAGCGCTGGAAGGCGTTCCGTGACGAGCGTCAGCAAGTTGATGACCTTACCAAGGCTCTCAGGGCGGTGTCTTTCAGTCCGCAGCAGTGGCAGGACAAGGGCTTTAATCTGAAGCTGAACTCGCAGCGCCGCGACGGCATTGACATGCTCCGCCTGTCGAGCGCAAGCACGCGTGTCGAGCTGGAGCAGCTGAGCTCCGTCGTGCCCGAGATTACGCAGTATTCGCCACGTATCCACACTCGAGTCGTTACTGAAGCTTTCTATGCGCCGTACATCAAGATGCAGGCCACCGAACGTGGCCAGTTTACCAATGGTGAGAGGATCCAGCTTCCTCTGAGCCTGGACTACGATGAGATCCCTGGGTTGGCAATCTCGGAGAAGGAGGCACTTAAAGCGGCCAGACCAGAGACTCTTGCGCATGCACGTCGAGTCGAGGGTGTGACTCCAGCAGGGAGCCTTCGGCTCCTGGCGTATGTTCGCCGCCGGCCGTCACGGTCAGCCCCGGAAGAAACAAACGAAGCGGCGTGAATTTTATCGAGACACTGTCGCAAAGAACCCACGTGTGTACGAATAAGATGAAACGGTGGCATTGAGCATATGGCGTTTGGATACATAGCACGCTTGGGGATAACATAAAATGCCATGTACATTTAGTGATACAAGGGGTATGTATGTATACAGGGGACAACAGGGGAGCCAAGGAATGACACTGGACAATAGACAGGACAGATTGGCGGCCGCCAATTGAATATGAATCTTTGTTCCAAGTTCCAAGGCGGCTCCCGTCAACTGCCGCTTCCGGTATGTCAAACGCGTACGAGTCGAACGATACCCAATTCCCTTCTCTCACCATTTTAATTTAGGGCTTCTTTGGCCCAGGTTTGTTGAGGATCTTGACTGCATCCTTGGTGTACACATAGCTTGCGCCACTCCACACTGTCGTAGCAGCCACGACATATCTGAAACCGCCATGTTAGTCAACTAAGCACGCATTCCACTCCCTAAAGGATATGTGAGGTAAACTAACTGCATAATTGTAAGAGTCGGCGTCATGTCCGCGGCCACGAGCGGCGCAGCGGTGGTCATGCCAACGAGGGCGAGCTGGAGGAACGTGTTATACTTGCTGATGGTGGTGGGACGGACCTCAGCCGACGGCAGGGAAAAGTCCCAGTAGCGGGCAAAGGTCTTCGGAGGTGGGAGGGAGATCCAGCGGTAGTAGATTGCGGAGATGGCGAGGCCAACGTCACGACCGAGGATAACGGCAGCGACCCAAACTATACAGAGACCATTCAGAACTTGATTCCTTTGGGGACTTGGAGAGAATTGATGACAAGAGAAGAGGCAACTGACCAGGAAGCGCGCCTTTGATGGCAAGGCACACCGTCAGGATGGTCATGAGCGTCTTATCCGCCATGGGGTCTATCACGGTCCCCACCACCGTCTTGAGATTCCACTTCCGCGCAATCCAGCCGTCCAGCATGTCTGTGACACCCGCGTAGGCGAACAGTGCCACGGCCCATGTATGGCAGTCATGCAAGACGAGGTAGCCGACGGCGGGTGCGGCAACGAGGCGTGTGAAGGTCAGGAAGTTGGGGAGATTATAGATGTCTTCGTGGACGACGTCCTGGGTCGGCTTGGAGGTTGGCGTTGAGGTCGCGTGAGCGGCGTCGTTTGTGGTGGAGGATGTCTTGGTCGATGTTGTGGTTGCGGTTGCATTATGGTGAGAGGAGGAGGAGGAGGAGGAGGAGGATGAGGAAGAGTGAGAGCTGTATATTGAGTTGGTTTAGTTTTCTATTAACCATAATACGGAGATCAATTCGTTGAAAACTTACTCTATCCGACGCTCAGGCTGCTTCTGATCTAGCAAGAATCTCGCTTTCGAAAAGAAGAAGCATTTTTGGCTCGGCGTCGCAAAGGCCCCAGATGCGCCCCGGCGTACACCCATGGCGGCCACCCGTGAGGCGCGGCCATTCAGTCTAACAAAAAGCAACATGTCGCCGGCTGGGAGGTTACAGTCAAGCCCCTCAAGCCTCGCTGCGCCGTCGGGAACTGATCGAAGCACTGGGGCTTGAGACTCGCATCGTAAACTGAAGTGACGATAGCCTCGGTATATGCATATACTTACATGGATCGGCTCAATGCCCCGATATAGTTTTAAGCGATGGTATTTGGGCAAGTGTGCACGTAGAGGGGCACGTGAAAACATGTTGGTTGACCAACATAATTCTATCATTGGCGAAGAATGATACATGGAGGATGGACATGTTTGTTTTATTATTTGCATGTTGTTCGAGTGTTATATTTACATGGCCTCATAAGAAATGAGCCGCCAAGACCAGATGAGCGCCTAGATTCTGTCACTCAACAATGCATGACAAGATCAACAAGACTCGCAACTTGAGCCATGGTGAGCACAGAGATGAACACCTCGTGTTATTAATAGTTGATAGATTGGACTCGAAAAGCACGCAAAACCCAAAGAATGCTACATCGCATATACCCATATACGAATACTCTACCGCGGATCGGCCTCCCTCGCGGGATCCAGATGCGCATATCCCGCCGCTTTGTATCTACCTGTACATGCTCCTTTTTGCTCCAATCCCAAGGTACCGGTAAAAAGAAGAACTGTACAAACTGATGAGTCTGACGCTGACTGGGAGACCCCATCCATACCCGTATCGTCCTATACACATACACCCCAGAGGTACACATGCATCATGAGTATGTATGCCGTCTGAGCATTGCATCGATCCTATTGTTCATTTGACCCATTGCTCCCCTTTCAAAACCTTTACCCAGCCCAACCGGAGACCAAAACACCAGAGAAACCCGAGCAGAGGGGCCGCCCACCATTCTGTAGACAGCCAACCGACCATAAGCCCAACTCCAGTAAACACGCCTAACCGACCATTCCGAGAGGTGACACGCATGGGACAGGGCCTCAGGTCCTACCCAGGCTGTTGGGTCCATTTGACCACTGCTGGGAGCCCGCTGTTGAACTGCCAGCGAAGTACTGCGCCTCTTGGGACCCGTCAATCGTATCGAAGCCCCAAGTGGCACCGTTTTCTTCTAGCCCATAGTGTTGCGAGCTTCCGTCGTCTCCCCCTAGGCTATCTGGATCCGCCTTCATCTGGCGAGGAGATGGAAAGTTGTGTTCATGGCCCTGAATGGGTGCCGATCGATGTGGCATATAGTACGAGGGGCCACTCAAATAAGAGGCACCGGTAATGCTCCGCGCCTCTGGAATCGAGCTAAGGGACATAGTTGAGAGGTCTGCCGCAGGGGCGGCGTCGAATGTCGAATGTCGGCGTGGGGGGCTATGGGTCGGCATATTCCTGGGGAATTCGTGGGCCATAGTGGTCCCTGTCGCAAACCGGTTCGTTCTGGTAGGATCGAGGGCGTAATTACCCTGAGTCGGTGGCGCATACGACATTGGCGAAGCGCTGGGAGGCACTGAACTGACGAAGGAATGCTGCTGCTGCGGCGGCGGCGGAGGATGTTGCGGGTGAGACGGGAAGCCATAATGTGCTGGCGCTCCATATGGTGACATCTGGACGGGTTGGAAGCTTGGCAGCGACATGGCGCGCTGTAGAACGCTTCCTTGGCCACCGTAGTCGTGGCCGGGCAAAGACCCGAACATGGCGTGTGGGCCCATCCGATCGTCTGGGTTGCACTCAACCTCGTCGATGGGTGCGCGGAAGTTTTGAGACATGATAAGTTCAGAACGGGGGATGACATTCCGGAGATTGGGGTGCTTGGTCGGCGTGGTCAAGCGACCAGACATTACGTCGTTGACATTATAGTAGCTGACCAGATGATGGGGCACGCCCTGGAAGGAGACGCTGATGGTCTTCTTGACGAGACCGTCGTTTTTGAACGGGTACGAGTCGATTAGAGAGCCGATCAAGGCTCTCTCTGAATCCTTGCCGCCGGCGTTTGGATCCATGGCAGATGGGAAGCCCATGCCAGGGCGCGAGGGGGTTTCACTCTTGCTGACGCCCTGCTGGGGCTTCTTGTTCTTCTTCAGGGCTCGCTTCTTTTCGCCCGGGGGGAAGGGCTTCTCAAGCTCGCGGTAGATGAGGAAGTTGCCCAAGATGCGGCTAGGGCTCCAAGAGACGCCATCGGTCCATCGCTTTATGCCGGAGGCGTGCTCCTCGTAGATGAAGACATTGCCGCTCTTGATGAGGTCCTGTCGCTCGCGGTCATGTGGCCGGCGGGGGACGTGGTTCAGCTGGCCTGACAGGCAGGCCTCGAAGAGGATGAGGGCATCGATCGTGGATGCGATATGACCCTCAAATGTGGGATTTAAAGGGTTTGATGGACTTGACATAGCCATGATTAAGTGTGTGACCAAGGAAACTTAACCTTGAGCTGGAGAAGAAGGTGATCTAACAGGTGCCCCGATGTGGAGGCTAAGCTTGCTGGCAAAACTAAGGGGTAAAGATGGGGCAGGCAGATCAAGAGGATCGAAAGATGCCTGGCGCGAAGATTGGGAGGTTTCGAGGCCGAGATTTTGAGGGAAATAGACTGGAGGTGTGGTGATGGGCGAGTTCTCGTGATAGTTGAGCAGGAGAATAGTTGAGGGGAAGAGTCGAAAGACGCGGGTTTGGTGGTGTACGGCGGCGACAAGTTCGGCTGCTGAGCAACATATGCCAGAGTACGCGGACTCAGTCAAGGTCGGTACCGATGGCAAGATTGACTCTGGTCGTGGAAGCTTGGCCCGCGGTAGAAATGAACTGAGTTTCGAATTGAGGCGTATCACCATGCCCTCAGGGTACCCGGTGTTGAGAGTTTGCAGAGACCCCGCCAAGCTGAGAGCTTAGATGGAGGATATCTCAGGCACCAGGCAGCGAGGATTGGACAACGCGGGCGAGGTGAGGAGGAGCGCGAGGAAAGTTGAGGAAATAAAAGAGGCAATTGGGGTGGGCGAAGACTGGAGTCTATAGAGTTTGCCAAGTAAGTGGTTCAAGGCGGAGCACTAGCTGCACAACGACAGGGCGACGGGGCAGGCGAGAGCAGGAGAGGAGTAGAGTTGGCGAGACCACAGGCCACAAAGTAGAGTCAAGATATTCATGGACGGCTGTGGGACCTACTTGAATGTGGATGGGGATGGGGGCGTCAAGGTGCTAGAGGCGTCCCAGCGTCCTGCGTCCGGCGGCTTCTTGACTGAGTCCGGCTTCCTGCCAAAAGGATTAATGGGGAGTCCCCTTTCCCTTTTCCTTGGACGGGAAGGCGGGAGGCGCTTCCTGCTTGCTGTTGGTGGTAGTGGCGGTGGTAGTGTGAAAGAGGCGGGAGACGTGCGATGGAATAGGCGTGCGATTGTCGTTTTCTTTTTGGTCACTTAAGCGGTTCCAACAGCTTGTAAACGGACAGGTGATCAATGCTGTCAGGCTGCGGAATTTCAGTGTTCTTGTTGTTTCTCCCGCAAGCGGTGTCGTTTGGGCAGTGACGGTGACGGGGACGGTGAGGGTGTCGGCGTCGGCGTTTACGCAGGGTCTTGCCCGGGGCTTCTGGGGGTCCTGAGGGTCCTGGGGCGTGCGTGTTGCGTGCCTTGTCTCTCCTGTCGCCGGACCGGGACAAACGGGAGGGGCAGTAGAATGGGCCTGGGCCAGCTGCGGTCGAGTTACACAGCGGGTTCGCGGCCCAAAGGCTGGCGGAGGCTGGCGGAGGACGGCACACTCGCCTCCGGAAGTGGAAGCAAGAGCTGGGCTTGCTTGGCGTCGTCCAAGGCGGCGATGGACGGAGGACGGAGACAGACCCGGAGTTGGCAGGCGGCACGGGAACGGGAACGGAGAACGGGATTGGGAATTTGTCGACTCGAACCTGACGGAAACGACAAATGGGGCGGCCCCCCCGCGAACGATTCGGGATCTCGACTCGTTTGCAGACTCGTTTGCAGCTAGCTGGAGGCGATCCGTGGCCTGCGAGCAGGACGAGCGAGACAATTGATGCGAGGAATGCGGGAGAGGGAAAACGGAGTAGCGTAGCGGCGGCGGAGAGGAAAGATGGATCAGAGAACAGAGACAAAGAAACCCGAGAATGGGCGGGAGCTGGGGAAGTAGGTGCTCGGAGGGGGGGTGTGGAAGCGTGAGTTGCGTGTGGTGTGAGATGAGATGAGATTGAGATGGAGGGTTGGGATGGGATAGGCCCGCGGGCAGCGCAAGTCTGTGAGTGACTGACGGAGTCGGCGTCGGCGTCGGTAGACGGTGGACGGTGGACGGGTGGAGGACACTGGACTGTGACGGACGGTGACGATGACGATGGCGATGGCGGGACAAGAGCTGCGGGCTTGAAAATAGGCGGCCACTAACAAGAACAAGCACGCGTGGTTGCAACTTGGACTTGATGCGACTAACAACAACAAAGAGAGCCAGACAAGAGATGCTGGAGACGCTGGAGACGCTGCGGCAACAAACAGTCGAGGCCTGGGTGAACAAAGAAATACACAACAAGACTAATTATGGAGAGAGAGCCAAGAACGATGGCGAGGGCCGCCCTTTTCTGTCCTCTCGACTCCGTCCTGTCCGTCCGGTCCTATCCCGTCCATTCGTGTCCGTCCTGACCTGTTCCTGTCTAGCCCTCGCACGCACCCATCCCAACTCCAACTGGCTAGGTAGCTAGCACCACGCAAAGCGCACAGCACCAAGCACCCGAGCCGCCTCCTCGTCGCAACATAATGAGAGGGAGAATTAATTAGATGGAGAATTGAAGGAAGGGCCCCCGGTCAGTCAGTGCTCGATGATGCTTGCAAGTCGCGTCTGCGACTGGGACATGGGATTGGGATTGGGGGACATCTTGGGGCGAGTTGCACTTTCTTTGGACGGACGGACTCGGACTCTCAGGCTGGGACAGGATGCTCGAGCTCAACTGCAGGTCCTCCAACGCTCCATGCTCCACGTTGGATACTCCACGCTCCACGGCACGGGGAACCTGCCAGGCCAATGGCGAGCCACTGGTCAGACGTCAGTCGTCCATGGTGGTCCCAAATGGAGCAACGGGGGCCATGGGGGGGGCTGCCATGGGGCACTGACAATTGGCAATAGGTAGGTACTGGGCCTTGGGCCATGGGCCATGGGTGCGGGAATGGGGAATGGGGCCCAAATGGAATTCCAAATGGCTAATCCAATCCGGGTCGGTTGTGGTTGTGGGCGGAGTCTCTAACAAGGGATCCAAAGGGACCCAAAAGCCAAGGGACTAGAGGTCAAGCAAGGCCAGGCAGGGTCCCAGGTCCAATGTCGAAGACCCTAAAACACCCATCGTGATGACCAAGCCTCGAAGGCCAAGACGGTCCCGGTCGGTAACATTGCCCGCCTTCGGACAAAGGGTCTTCGATCTTCCCGTGGCGTCTTTATGCGAATCCAGGGCGAGTGCAGGAACAGGGCCAAGAAACAGGGCCAGAAACAGGGCCAAACGAGCCAAACGAGCCAAGCCAAGGCGTGGTGGCAGAGCACATTGGACAAGACAGGGCTGCGCTGCCATGGGAGGGCGGCGCAAGGGACAACATACAGTACGTGCAGAAGAAACGGGATGCGATGTGGGATGCGACATGTCCAGGGCATTCAAACTGGGCAACGCTGGGCACGACTAGCTGGTAACAGAGCAGCAGGGTCGGCCTGGGGTCTGCGGGATAACAGGCACCGAATATCCAGGAACCCAACGAACGACGAACGACACCGGCTTCCCAGTTGAGTTAAAAACTAGAGCCAAGGCCGCTCAGACCAAGCTCCAGCGGCCCCCAGAACTCCACCACAAGCCTCTCATCAGACAAAAGTACTACTACGTACTACGTAGTACGACTGGCGACCCTGAATGCCCACTGCCGTGTACGCGGTACGGACTACTCGAGGACCCCGTCTGTGCCGTCCAAGGGGCCCGTCAACCCCATCAAACCTCCTCGTGCTCGCTCTGCCGGTACTCCTGATGCTGCTCCAGCCACAAGGGCCCAAACATGACCCCAAAACTCCAAGCACCCCAGGACGCAAAGGCCGCCCTCCAAGGCCCAAGCAAGGCCCTTCGGCCCCATTCAAGCGCGCCCGTGGCCGCCGATTGGGGGAGCCAGTGTCACCAACCGGGCGGCCGCAAGCGCATCCCCGTGCAACCCGCAATCGTCCAAGAGCACAACTAGACAGAGCCGTAGACTCCAACAGGACAATGGCTCTCCCCAAGTCCCGAACAGCAGTTCGCCAAGTGGGCTCGGCCGGATCCAGGTAAGTAAGGTAAGCAAACAAGTACGTGGGATGCTGTTTAGCCTTGATGGCTCGATGGCCCGATGCGCGGTCCATCTTGATGCCTCGAGGGTACGCAGCAACTTCTACGGTACGGACCATGGCCGGGGAGATTGGTCGGTCGACATGACAAACAACGCCGGGAGCAGTGGCGTCAGACCAGCAGATCAAAGAGTCGAAATGCATCCAGACTCCAAGACCCTGCCGACCCTGCCCGGCACTCGATGGACCCTGCCTTCCTTTGCGCGCGGGTATACGTACCTTAGGTAGGGGATGGCTACCGGTACCTTAGGTATGGCATGGATGGATGGGTACGTACATGCATGCTATGTACGATGTGGTATGAAGGGTCCATGGGTATGGATAGGAACGTACTACCTGCGGATGGGTATTGTGTGGAGGCTTCCTCCCTGTCATGTTCGTTTTTGGTGTCTCGAGTCGGCGAGACGAGATACGGGTTACTTTGATCTCTCTCCCAGACATGCTCGTGCGGCAGACAGCCCTGCCGCCTTGCTGGACCTGGCGTGGCAGCGACCTTCCGGCCAGGGGGGGAAGGAGCCTTGGGTGGGTGTGGTGGTGGTGGTGTCGTAACTAGCTTCGCTCGTACCGGGAGTGGGGCTTCGATCGCGCGCGTCGGAGCACTGCCGGCAGGTGCCGTCCATAGCGAGTTAGCGACGCTGCTGCTGGGCTGCTGGGCTGCAGGCGCGCAAGCTGCGATGGCTTGGAGGGGCTTGGAGGTGGTGTTGCGGAGGCTGGAGGCCAGACCGTCTGCCCCATGTCCATCACCACCCATCAACCAACCCACCACCTATCTTCCCCATGTACGACGTCCCCCCTGTCCACTACGTACCGCGCTGCGCAGGTGCTATCTCCCCTTGCCCACAACCCACTGCTGCGCAGCGACTACGTACTACGTCGTACCTACGTACTGCGGACACAGCGACGCGCTACCTGGTACCTACACATCCAACAGCTCCCAAGGTGCGCAAAATCGCCCCTCCGGCGCGAGAGCGACCAGGGAGTGCCGGATGCTGGGCCTGCTCCTTGGGCTGCTCCCGCGACGGCGGCGGACGCGGCGGCCACGGTCCCAAAGACCGATGGCACTTTTCTGACGTCGACAGCCATTGCCCCTGGTCTTCCATCGCCATCAAGAGAAGAATCCAGAACCCATGTCCTCCAATCCCGTTATCCTGGATACGGAAAATCAAAATCAACGACGACGACGACGACGACGACGACGACATCAGTATGAACGCCAACGGAACCGCAACGACCAACAACTAACTAACTATCAAAGCGGCTGGGCTACCGCCGTATTCAACGCCACCAATGCATCTTTGCGCTCCTCATCATCATCATCATCATCATCATTTTCCTCTCCCCTCTGCGCTTCTTCCCTCTTCGATTCTCCTCTCCCCTCGTGCCTGTCCCCTCTTTCACTCCCCCCTCCCTCTCCCTCCTAGCTCCCCCCACACCAATATCAGAAGCGTGATCGTTCCCAAACGACGCTTCGCCCTCCCCCCTCTACCCGTCATCCTGCTGTCAGTGCCAATTCTCGTTCGGCGCCGGTTGTTCGCCACGATGGGGCCTTTCAAAGACGGGGAACCAGGAGATTAGGCCGGACCACATCTGGGCTGCTAGCGTCTTGGACCAGAACTTCACAAACCAAAACCCTTCCCTCCATCCCGTGAATCCGCGACCATGGGTCGACCATGCCCGGCGCTCGTCTGTTTGCGGCTTTGGCCCTCTTGATCCTCCTCGTCCCTCAAGGCTCTCCCCCTCCCCTCCCTACACTGACACCCCTGGAGGGTGCTTGGTGGGCCTGTCGCCAGCGCCACATTCCAATGAGGCACGCCATCGCCCCTCTTTGAGGCGCCCGACGGCAACGCCATCTCGGGTTAGGGCCCCTCTCGCTTGGGTCTTGGCCCATTGCGGCCCCCGGTCCTACCACCCTCTCCAAGGCCCCGTCAAGGTCAATTGCAAGTGACGAGCCTGTCTGCTAGGCACGTACTACGTAGTACAGACGCAGCATGCAAGCAGGCCCGGCATTAACCTTAGGGGACCTGGGGAGGGGTCGTAGACCTGGGGAGCCTTCCTTTGCTTGTGCCGCGCCCGCATGTGATGATACAGCCCCGTCACTGTACCTACAAGACGAACGTGCACCCGCCTAAAGCTGCGTCCGCGATGCCACGGCATTGAAAAAATGCCCTCGCCCTAGGTTCGTACCGAACGGCCTGGTCGGTGCTCTGCCGTGTTCTTTAATCCCTGGTCCAATGTGCCGTTCGTAATCTAATGTTGAATTGTCCTCCGCCGGCCTTGCTTGCTTGCTTGCTTGCTTGCCTGCCTGCCAGTTGATTGATAGTACAGACCGTGGAGGCTGGAGCCAGACCCTGCTATTATTTTACTGCTATGTACGGACATGTATCAGCCAAACTACTGTACGCCTCGTCGTCCGCCGTCAGCCATGTCCCTACCCTGTGAGCGTCGTTTCTTTGTCTCGTTCAGGCGAGACGACGAGCCCTCATTGGTGACGATCGGCTTCCCTCGCGCTGGGTCACCTAGCCTTGGCCTCGAGCCCAGCTGTTCCCCACGCTCGATGCGAAATGTACCTACTGTAGGTACGTAGATTAGGTTCCCGGCTCTCCCCCATCTTGGCATCGCCACAATCGAGATAGCTTGGCCCCTCACGTCTGGGCATAGAACCAGGGCTCCTCGGTCTCGCGGTAGCGCCGTCCCGGGAATCGCATTGGTACCGGAATCGTTCCCTTGAAAATGCCCATGTCGCTAACATCTTCCCTGGGCCCCCCCGCTTGGGCTTGGGCCTTGCTGGCCCCAGGAACTCGAATCACTACGCCGCACTCCCAATTGCGACAGCTCATCTTGGGCTTGCCAGTTGCTCGATCCTTGACTAAGCGGCCCCTGCTCGCGTTCGGTTTCTCGTCAGTGACATTGCTCAAATTCGTTGCCGGACTGGCCGTGTCTCACCATGCGCTCTCTGACAGATTTGCGCTGCCAATATACGCCCAACCCGGCGACGATTGACCGGGATCTGAATCTGCGCCCGTTGCTTCCGTTCCCGTTCCCGTTTCCGCATCCGCATCTGCTGCCGACCGGTCCCCGCGGGTTTGGATCTTCCGCACGAAAATCATCTTGCTATGCATCAACAGCCCATCACGATTGTTGACACAATCGCGAACCAGTTGAGTGGGGAAGGTCGGTGCGCGCCACCACTTGGCCTGGACGCAGATGGTGCCCGCAGCCTGCAGCGCGTTTCTTGTTAGCGTCGTCGCCCAATTACAGCATCTTCGCTCGCTCGGCAAATGGCCCGTGACGCACCATTCGTCCTCCCCGGCTCTGGGCTACTGTCTCGTCTGTAGGAAAATAGATCCTAAAGTGATCATTGAATGGTTGCGCCGTACTCGACGCTTTGGCCCTGGTCGCACGCCTCAGCCTCGAGTTGTATTCTGTCATGCCATCGTCACCTGCGCTGCGTCAGACCATCGGTTCTTCTTGGGCAAGTCTAGATCACCCAGTGCTCCTTAGTGGGGGTTACCTCGACAGGCGTTGTACATGGCTCCGACCAAATCATAGTTGATGGCTCCAAGAGAGGCGCACTGGTGCCTCGAGTTAGTAACTTTTTTTGGTTCGTGTGGCACACGGCACACACCACTAAGTCCACCTGGACTGGATCACTGGTGGCCAGTCCAAGGGAAGCCACACTGGCCCCTAGTCCGCAGTATCCTTGAGATAGCTTGTGAGCTGCCGTCCTACGAGCTTGTGTAACACACGCGACAACTCACCAACTCGCTTATGTGATTCGTTTAAATGTCCGCCGGGACTAGACAATGTCAGCGCGTGCGGGGAAGGGAACGGGATTTTTTTCTTTCTCTCGAGTGAGCATACATGGTGTACACAAAGCGGAGGTGCTTCGTTCGCGAGAAGTCGTAATTAGTAAGACTATTGGTCATATTTTCGTCAACACCCGTCGCCTCCAGGAATCGGCCGAGCTCGGTGCTGAATGTGGTTGGTTGGTGATCGACATATTTGGCGAGTCGGGGTAGATCGATCAAGAAGACCATCTAAGATCTGGTTAGCAAGTCATCATCACAGTCACTTGTAACAGCTTCTCCCTGAACGACTGACATTCTCCATAACACCAGTTTCGCCCCAGTCATAGGGCACTAAGTTGCCTGTGGGTACGACCACCCGGAGGTAGTCCGGATACTTTAGTAACTGGAGTTTGGAATGCATCGATCCGGGTCCATTCATAGCGGGAAAGCAAAACTTGATTCCGGGTGGCGCGTTAGACCGCATGGCTGTTTTCTGTATCGAGTCACTCATCAGCGTCCGAGTCTAGAACGGGGATGGGCTAACAGCGCGGCCTACCTGGGCTTCATCGGCTGCAAATGCCAACAGCAGCAATTTGGTCCTTCGCAAGTCCACCTTGGACATGATCCATTCGTCATCCCACTGGTAAGAACTCAGCACAGCAAGCATAAGGCTGTCCTTCTGCAAGACCTCCTCGAACTTGATGTCATCGGGCGTCCGCGGATACCCACGGGCCCAGGTCCTCTTAACAGTGCCGTTCGCAAAGGGTGGCAAGCTAGGGGATTTAGATGGCTTGGAGGGCGCCTTTCTCTTCGGGGCCGGCACCTCAACGACATCGTCGTCTGAGGAGGCACTTCGACGCCGCTTGGCTAGTCTCTGCAACCTTTCCTCTTCCATCTTTTTGCGATCCAGTGCAAGGAGACCAAGGCCTGGCCCGCCAGATCTGGACTCGTCACGGTTGGGTGATGAGGTCCTCGGGGGGTTCTGTTCTGCTGGCTGGTTGTGTGACTCCTGCTCCTGGAGCGAGAGGGCGATTGCATACCGGAGTGCTTCGTCGTCGTCCATGTCGCTCCCCAGGTCGGGGATGTCCGCGTGGGCTCCAGCCATGTCTGCTCTGTCCTGCGGGGCCGGTCGGGGATATAGACAGAAGATTCAGGTGTGCGTGATGTTTTCAAAGTTAATGACGGCGTTGATGTCTCTTCCCATGGATGATATTGGCGAGGCGTGTTCCCATTTCACCTCATCCCTGCAGGCACCCTGGTCAAGTAACGCGGAATCACGTGCCTCCGCGTCCGCCACACCGGAAGGTGTGAATTGACTCTGCGAAAAGAAGCAGAATGCATGAAAGAGCATCTTAGTTTGTCGACACTTCATGTACCATGCAATCGTAATTTTCCATATCACGTATTTGCCCGAGCTGAAGAGTCGATGGCGTAGGAGTTTAGTCTTCTCTAAAGTGCCCAGTGACGGCATGTCTCAGTCGTACCAAAAACACCAGGGAGAACCTAATGACGTCTACGATGCTCCCAAGCTAGCTCTAACACAAAACTCCCAGCTTCTCATCACCCCCCATTGTCGCCTTCTGGGTTTTATTAAATTTCACTCCGCAAACATTGTGAATTCCGAAGAAATGGATTCATTTGCAAGTAAAAAAAAGCATGTCGTCATCGTCGGGGCGGGAGCGGCAGGCATGGTAATCATTGATTTTCATTAGCCTCCGATGAGGGCACCCGCAAAACTAACACCATCACAGTCTTGCGCTGCCACTCTGGCAAATCATCCCGACAAGTTCAAAGTGACCGTATTGGAGAGATGCGATGTCGTTGGCGGTCAGGCCACGTCCATCCCGTTGGACGAGCAAAAGTACGGTGCTGCCTGGATGAACAATGGCGTCCAAGGAGGCTCTCCGGTGAGCTGCATTTTCTTTATTGATGAGATGTACTAGAGCTGTCTCTAACTATGGTTCCAGATATTCAAGCACACATTCAGGTTCTTCAAACAGTATAGTCATGAGCCCCGAGACGTTCAGTTACAAGTCTCTTTCGGCAAGGGGGAAGATGGCTTCTGGACGAACTGCTTCCCCAGCAAGCTCATTACTCAATTTTCGTCCGACATCAAGAAGTTCGGTTTTTTTCTCAAGTTCATCAAGTGGACAATGCCGATTCTCGGACTCGTCCCCATCAGCGTCATGCTCCGCGTCTTCTTCTTCAGCAAGGAGTTTGGTGACAAGATGGTATACCCGCTCATCGCCCTGTTCCTCGGCACGGGGAACCAGACTGCCAACGTTCCATCTGCAATAGTTGAGCGACTCTTTGCTGATACTAACATGAAACTGTGGGACTACGACCCAGACACCTTGCTGCCAAACTTGCCCAAGATGGTGACATTTGACCATCTTCACGAATTTTATAACAAGTGGGGAGAGGATCTACGACAGAGAGGCGTAGATATTAGGACTGACACAGAAGTGGAGTCCGTTTTGAGCAGATCCGGGAAGAATGTCAAGCTCCGCATCAAGACTAAGAGCACCGAGCAGTCGGCCGACGAGTACTTTGATGAGTTAGTCCTGTGCGTCCTAGCAGACGAAGCACTCCGCATCCTGGGCAAGACTGCAACTTGGCGAGAGAAGCTGGTCCTCGGCGGCGCAACTTTCTATGACGATATGACCGTCACTCACACTGATACCAATTACTTTGAGAGCCACTACGAGACGCGTTTCAAGTCAGAGCTCTGCGCAGAACCCAAGACAGAAGACCAGAGGGAACAGGTGGCCGTCTCAAAGGGTGAAGGGTCTTCGGTTGGATTCCGCCCCATGTATTACACGTATACGTACCAACAAGCTCCACGTCTGATTGAGATGTCATTCAATTGCAGCAACTATCAACACCAGCTCAGACACCCTTGCCTCCATTCAAAAGACGCCTTCGAGCCAGTCTACCAAACCATATTCCTCAACAAAGACCAGAGAGACTTATGGACCGTTGACAAGATCGATGAAAACAAGATTATCAAGCGAAATTGGTGGCATCAGCTGGGGCACCGCTGGCAGCATTATCTGCGTGTTGTTCCTGGTATGATGTTTCTGCACGGCAGGAACAGCACCTGGTTCGCTGGATCCTGGACGCTTGTGGTGAGATTTCATCTTCAGCACTCTTGATTTGCGACATTCAGCTGACGAGGATTGTTAGAACATGCACGAACTTGCTTGTGTGAGTGGGATCGCGGCTGCATATCATCTTGGAGCCGATTATATCGAGTTCGATGCCTTTGCTGGGGAATTCTTCTCTAAGTATCTTCTGCTGTCGCATGGGATGAGATATTCTTGGGAGGAGAGACGGAGACAGGGGTCAAAGAAATAATATCAAATCCAATGGACGATCGCTGAAGGCGGCGCAACCCCGTAGCCAAATAACTCAAGCTAGGATGCCAGCGTGCTGATAGCCAGCCTCCACTTATCCAGCGGCGACAGGGATCTGAGGGAATCGCAGGGAATTACTGGTTGTATGTAAGCGCACAGTGAAGTTGGTCTCGCCGCTTTGGGTTCCACCCAATGCCCTTGATGAATGAGGTTGATAATTGACTGCCGAGACAATCCCGTAGCATTACTGCAGCTGTATCTATAATCAACGGAACTCCTCTATTAACATGCATAAACGGCCAATATATTAGGAAAGATTTCTCTGTCTCTCAACACTTCGTTGTATTCTAACCATAAAGCCGGAAACCACTCCCATTCCTACTAATTATAGCTCCAAAATTGTCTCCAGATGGCAAGATCCAGATTCTTGATCAGGCCGCCAACAGTGCCGTGTATGCAATCGTGAATGAGAAGGATACCAGACGGGCTAGGAATATTCCATCGGTTCTGAAGGGCTGAACAGCCTAGTATGAGGGCCGCGAGGCGTTAGGGCCGAGCAAGGCACCGGAAGAGTCGGATGAGATAGCACCGAGGGAGGGGTCTGTATAGAGATTCTCGGACCATACAACCGCACTCTTAGTTCCCTTGACCTCGAGACCACCGTTCGAGACACTTCCTTCCCGATGCCAAAATCATAATCTGTACACCTTAAACGGGCTCTCAACAGCAGCTTCGGGGTTTCGTGTGAACAGCTCGGCGACCCGTACAACGGGCGGATTCGGTTCAGATAGCAGTGCAATTTGCCGAAGGCCTTACACGCATAGACTAATGCGACCTCGTCTAGGGCGACCTTTCTAATCGAAATGCATTTTTATTCGATGATTGGTATATCAAGCTGGACGACTTAGCCGAGTAGACGGCTATCCTCACAACTAGGTAGTTTGGGTGCCGGTTCGGACAGGCATCACCGTCATTTGGTACCGTGAACGGCGAGATGTTCGCCCTTAACAGCACCACACTTGATGTTGTTGAGTAAAAGTATCAAACAGATCTGGGATCGAGTCAGAGGGGGGCGAAGTTATGGAGGAAGTGGTGGCTAATAAGTTACCTCAACTGTCTCACGATACCCCTATCAGTGCCATCACCCAACGACCCTGAGTTTTCATGTGCAAAATCGATAGCCAAGTTGTGTGCGAATTTCAAGGCATTGTGTTATTTGTATATGCGAGGGGTCATTTAGTGTAACATATCAGTCAATTCGTCTTGTCTCGTCTTCCAATGCATTCACCTACCCCAACATCTAGGAGAGTCTAGGAACAGGTGGATAGACAAAAACCGAGATCAGGGTCCTTGCGCAGAGCAGGCCCAGACTAGACAGTGTGTAAATGTGGGATCCAATTGCTAGTAGAAACAATATCCTACTCAGACAGTCAGCAGGCCTGTCTCTGAATCGAATGAGCGGCCCATGGTAAACAAAATAGAGAGCCAGTTCACCAGGAACGAGTGCAGTGGGGCGAGTCCAATGCTAACAAAGCACCCCAACTCCTCGCATTTTCTTCCTCCTGTCGGATTTTCTTTTAGTCAAGGTTAAGATCAAACACGTTGTGTAGGAACCTAGGGGCCATGTTGATGAAGACGGCACGACAGCTCTCACGTATGGCTCAACCTTAGCTTACGCCGTGCTTACCCAGCGTGGTAGATGTAGGAGACACTCAGACAAGATCAGGAGCGTTCACAAGAGATAAACAATGAGATGACGTGCTAGGCACTATATGTGTGTGTGTTATTGGCAAATACATGGTTGTGATAATGCCGTATCATGTTGGCAAAGCACATCTTAAAGTGCGCTCAGCCATTTCTCGTATGGAATAGAACCCTTGGGTATCATCAAAACCAGTCCAAAAGCAGGTGCCCGTCTCGATACAAGCCGAACATCCAGTTACATCCAGACCCAAAACGCTCTAGACTTTCAGTCTCTGGCCAAATAAAAGATGGCTCCCAGTGGTCCTATACTTGAATCATGCCTGATCCAATAAATCCGATACGTCATGACCCGTAAAACGCCATCCAGTCCAGACCAAACCCCCAAAATGGGCGACAAATCCACCGTCGCAGTTACCGCGTTTCTTTCATACCGTCGTCAGAAGAGTTCTGATAAACGAAAAGAGATGTCGATGAAGAACAACGAGACCCTTGTAACACGAAACGCCTGAGCCAAATGGTCTAAGAAAAGAGACGTCGCTGAGCATTGGCAGGTCCAGCGGATAGATCTAACTTGAGAATTCGTCGAAGATCATCCTCCATTGCTTGGAGGTTATTAGAGCGGCCTTCGTGGGCGCCATTTGCGTTGGGCATAGTGGGAACGTTGTTGGCCTGTGTGTGGGAAGGCCGGACAGGAGAGAATCCGTCGGATGCAGAGTTGGATGCGGACACAGAAGGTCCGCTAAACAAGAACTTCTTGAGAGCCTCGGTGGGGTCCTCGCCCGGCTCCGGGGCAGAGGATTGTCGTGGAAGCTGCTGTGCAGCAGGCGATCGAGCAGTGCCTGATCGAGCGGCCTTGATGCGATCTTGGTATGGTGTAGAGAATGCTGGACCTAGCGTGCGGCCAGGTGTTCCATCCAACTCAGCGCTGCCGATTCCAGACTGGAATCTCGACTGGGAGTGAGCTGATTGGGGGAGGTTTGACGCTTTGGGGAAACTGCCAGATTCAAAGGGCGATCGAGAGGATGGAGAATCAGATGCGAGAGCCGAGGGTCTGAAGTTGGCGGGGCTGTCGCGGCGCTGTTGCTCTTTCTCTTGGCGGTGGGCGCGGAACATGAAATCAAGAGGAGATTCGTGGACTGATGGCATTGATGCATGATGCGAAGGCGTCGGCGCCTCAGAGTCGGTAGGAGGCGAAGGCTCCTGGAGAATTTCGCGGGATGGCTTGACGCTAGGAGAGTCGGTGGAAGGTTTGGTGACGAAACTAGGAAGAGGCAGGGCAGATGGCGCCGGCGAGGCGTGGAAGGTGGCTCCAGCAAATGCTGGGACAGTTGCCGACTTCATGGAGGAAGACTGGTGAGGTGGGGTATGACGGCCGGGGCGACCCGACTCTGGGGAAGTCGGGACGTTCTTGGGGGCCCGGGGCTTGTTTCGAGATCGCTGCTTGGAGTTGACGTTGTTGGTGTGAGGCGCGGGAGAGTCGACACCAGGCTTCTGGGGTGTTCGCGGAGTGCGGTCGTAACGAGACGGGTCGACGTTGATAACGTCATTCTCGGAAGCGTAGGCCTTTTGGGCTGCAGGACGACCGTTGCCACGGCCCTGCCGGCGGCGGGCGGGAGTGGTTGTCGGCTGAGAGGGGGTCTCACTCATGGTTTCAAGAGGCAGACGAGTATGACCGGACTAGTGAGTGATGACTGAGAAGACGAACAGCCGAGTGGTTGGGGAATGGAGCGGCGGTTGCGACAGGTTAGGAATCGGGAGGATGAACTGAATTCGGCTGCGTTGATAGTGGTAAGGCAAGGGAGATGATTGATTGTAAAGCAGCAAGTTTGAAGAACGAGTCGCTTGGTACGATCATGATGCAGTGGGGAATGGATTGATGGATGAAGAGGAGAGAAGAGCGCGCGAGGGGAGTGAGGGAGGGAAAAGGCTATGACGCTGGGCGAAAGAATCAGGCTGGGCGCCTCAGGCGGGTGCGTGAGTGGTGCATGGCTCACAGGGTGGGCGCACAACAACAATGCACCAGTGCGGGCGGGCGACTGCGGCAGCTCCGGTAAATGCATAAGTGCCCACGGTAGGTGCTCTTAGAGCCTAAGAGGTACCCCTCTCATGGCAATGCTGCGATTGCATCCTACCCTATAGCCATTGCTTCTTTATGTTGAGCATTCACCCATGTGTTGGTGTTTGTCTCTGTAATGGTAGAAGCGTCAAAGAGCAGTGTCTTCCGTCTTTCACCGAGCTAGATGTAAATGAATCTCTCTAATCAGACCCTCACGTCTCCTGTTGTCGTACACTACTCAGTCCCATGACTACCAACTCCATTTAGTCACTCAACTCAAGTCAGCGGACTGCCCGTCTCGCGCCACCCACCCCCACCTTCTCCGTGCACAGGGCCGACCAACCTTGCTTTGGTGGGCCTCCGACGCGTGCTCCGTTAGGTCACTTCAGCTCTGCCCCTCACTGATCATGCCCTGTAACACCCGGAGATATAGTGAGGTGACCAGGCCCGAGCCACCCAAGCTCCGGGACCTCCAGCGCGAGGCAACCGCTGAATCTCACTAGCCAAAGGCGGCGGTATACTGACGACATTGGACGGGATTCTCCATGGCTCGACCAGTCGCCGATGTAGGTAGCCATCCAACCATCATCAATATCTCGCATAGATTTTGCACAATCAAACCAAACGTCCAACAAACCAACGCCCAGTCCCCGGCTTTCACGTGACACGGCAACCCTGAGCTCGCGACGGTTTCTCCATCAAGGTATTGTTCCTGCCTTACCTACCTACCCACCTAGTTTGTTTGGCCTACCTTCCTACCCACGTACCCACCAAGGCTGGACAAGCTGCTGAGCTAGCCTTCCCTCTCCATGCTCCAGTTTTCTGACACCTCCAGGCACACACAGGCATACATTCAACCAGCGTGCTCCACCGGATTCCTCGACCGCAACCACAGAGGTTAGCCTCATCCGCTCTCCGCCACCTGCTTGCGTATCCCCCAAAGTTATTCTCTTTCTGACCGCTAGTATCTCCCGCGTCCAGCCTTGTCGAACTGTCGAGACTCCATTCCCCGCGTTCCGTAATCGACGACCGCCCATCCCACCCTTGCGAGAACCGCCCGCCACATCATGGCCGACGTCGAGATGAGCGATGCGCCAGTAGCCAAGAAGGTCGACGCTGCCAACGGCAAGAGCATCGAGGGCAAGAAGAAGTTTGAGGTGAAGAAGGTACGGCCGAGGCCCCCCCTCCTCCCGGGGAGCTGTGTTGACCAGAGTTGGATAGTGGAACGCCGTGTCCCTTTGGGCTTGGGACATTGTGGTGGACAACTGTGCCATCTGCCGGAACCACATCATGGATCTATGTGAGTATCCTCGGTTATCATTGCCCAGGTTGCGAGAAGAGACAGCTGACAACTTGGAACCCAGGCATCGAGTGCCAGGCCAACCAAGCTTCTGCTACTAGCGAAGAGTGCACTGTGGCCTGGGGTATTTGCAACGTAAGATATCGCTACACACAACGTTTCTACCAACCACAAGCTAACCGCCATGTAGCATGCTTTCCACTTCCACTGCATTTCACGATGGCTCAAAGCTCGATCAGTTTGTCCCCTGGACAACAGAGACTGGGAGTTCCAGAAGTACGGCCGATAAATAGAGACGCACAGGAGAACGAGAGGAACGAGAGGAACGAGAATACAATGGGAGGGGAAGGGCGGTCCCGTGGCCGCCATTGCGCCATGGGCTGCATTGGGTGTACACACAGCTATCCATCCCGCCGAGCCTGGGTCAGGCGTCACATTTATTGACTCGACTTGCTTGCTGCCAAATCCACCGCATACCCTGCGGGCAACCATTTGACTGGGTTCTTGTTGTAAATGGGCCACGGTGGCACCGTCACTAGGAAAGTTAAGGCTGTCCCCCCCAACCCCACGTAGACGGCGAGTTTGATATCTTGGAGGATATAACCGATGAAGAACGAGAGGGCCTTTGGATCAGGTTAGCACGTGAGCTCAACACAGGTCAGGTTAGGCTGTGTGAAATGTGCCAGATCGTACCCCAGAGATGACGAGGAGGATGGTGGCGAGGAGTTCGGTGACCTTCTGGCCTTCGAAGTCCTGGGAAAGACCACAGTTAGCAATGCGATACGAACAAAGGGAAAATATGCAAGGTTGGGATTGGGTTACAATCTGGCCGTCGACGACGTCACGGACTTGATCAAGGACGTCCGCCATGATGGAAAGAGAGTGAGCTGGACGAGGTTGTGGGTGGGAACGATCGTGGGCGCGCAAGCGGGTGTATTGCCGAGATGGATGTCTGATTGAATACTGGCGATCAAGATGGGTAAGGGTCGGGTCGGTCTTGTCCTGCTGCAGTGGAGGATCAACGAGCTCTTGATCTCGCGACAAGCTATGGTGTGTCGCAGCAACTCGTTCAATACTGACGAGGTGTCCAAAGTAGCCCCGGTTGGTCGGAGTGGAAATACATGGACCCACATCTACTCTGTCCTGAGTGGGCAAGGGGCCGACTGGCGCTGACAAAGACGATGGGTGAGCCAACATCACTCCATTACGGATAAGCAATCAGCGATTCTGTTAGCAACGCATCGTCATCGTCGTCAACCTCTCGGAAGAGAGGAATGGGTGGCAATGGTCTCCAACAACAGTGTCACGGAATTATCAGGTGAGTTTCTGCGGAAGCCGGCACCCGGATGGGGCATTTATCAGGCATGAGAAATTTTTTTACACTTGCAACGCAGGTACGCACGCCATTGATGGGGGGGACTATTCGTGACAGTGACTCAATATGTGGAAATACGTACTGGATCGGATGCGTATCCGGGTGCGCTTCATCCTAGTCGGCCAGTTGGAGCCCTCCCTCCCAACTTGTGCCACTGCGATCCGCTTCAGTGGTTCGGCAAGGACTCGCATCCAGAAACAATGCTTAAAAATGCATGAGATGCCAGCTCCCGCGTGTGGCGTATGTGGCGCAACCGGGACGCACAGACCCGAATGATGCCCCAGCGCGGGTGTCTTCCCTGTCGGTGACCCTGCAGGGAAGGTGGCGGTGGCTGGCCATTGCTAGCCATTGGACGCTGGCTGGCTTGTGACATCGGCTCTGGCTCTCGGCCCTGGTTGCTGCACAATTTTTTACCCGGTTCCTGTCTTGGTCTCGGGCCTTGGCTTCTTTATCTCTCTCTTCCATCCCATACTCTTCCTCTTCCACTTTGCCCTTCGCTTTGTCGCTCGGCACAATCCATCTTTGCTTCTTTGCAATCTCTACTTCATCATCTCCTCTGCCTCCAGGCACCCTGCGCTCCAAGGACCGCTCTTATTTCCCCCTTTCTCGCTCTGGCCCTGCCGTCCCGGCACCAATCTTGACCCCCTGGACCCTGTTCGTCATCCGAGCCCCTAGCAACCACTACCAACCTTTGGCGGATTCCCCTTCGCACTTCAGGCCTCAACAACATCATATCTCATCTCGACCCGACTCCATTACCAAGTTGATGCCCATCAGCTTCGTCTTGAAGACCGCTTCTATATCAGTTCACAACCTCTCCGAACTGCACAACTCTGGTTCCGACGATAGTCTCAACCGCTTCGCCCACGTCGCTCAACGTCCTCTGTAGCTGGCGTCTCGCCTCGAACCATCCCAAGTCTTCAAGTTGGCTCAACTCGCCCTCCCAATCGTCTCCTACCCCTCTTCGCTCTTCGGACCCGGCTTCTGGGTCTACAGCGGAGTAAACAAGAAGCCCCCATAACTGGTCTTTGGTGCAATTTCGACTCTCACTTGACCTCTGCTATATCCTCCCTGGATCAACCGGAAACCATCTGGCGACACACGCCGGATTGTTGCTCACAGTTTTGACCAAAACTAAAACTCGGCGCGCCGCTGCCGCGCCGAGCGTCAGGTCTATAAACGACTTTGGACGACGCCATTGCCACGAACAAGCTATGGGACTGTGATCCAGAATCCCCCAACCAACCTCCGCCACCTCCCTCCTTGGGAACGACCCCTTTCCGCCCTCGACGCCCGGACGCCACCTTAAACACCTCGATCAAAGACTTCACGTCGACTATCCACCATGTCTGACCACGAAGAGACCGTCTCCGACACCCGCTACAGCACCCCTGTGCCTGAGCTTGACGACCACCGCCATCAGGCGGCATCGGCTCAGAGGCAGGAGCGACCTCGTCGCGGGACGTTCGATAGCCTTTACGGCTCTCGACAGGTCGAAAATGAGCAGGGTGTCCCCACAATTCGAGTTCGTGACTTTGAGGAGGCCATCATCGATGAAGAGGCGAGGGCAATCTCGCCAACCGCCCGCCGTCCTCGCCGTCCAACGGTGGACTCTTCTGATGGAAGATCCATTTCTCCTCCCAACTCGGTAAAGGCGTTTGCTGAAGCCCGTCGCCGAGAGCGAGAGATGTCCTTCTCCGAGTCGCGTCCAGACCATTTTGAAGATGGCTTGATCCGTCCCATGTCCGTTCAGAGCAAGCGCAGCTACCGCAGCAAGCCCCACACGATCAATGACGATGCGGCTAGTTTTTCTACCACCGCTGAGGAAGATGTGTGCTTCCCTGTCAAGGAAACCCATCGGAAGGATAAGCTGTGCATCGATTTTGAATATCTTGATGAGTTCATCCTCGAGCAAGCTGCTCGTGAAGAGGCTCGCCAACCCTCGGTGACGCAAAGCTTTGAAGATTTACGAACTCATACAGTCGAGTCTCGTCCCACACAGATGGCGACCCTTGATGGCGATATTCTGGATATGCCGTCGGAGGATTCCATGACTCGCGAGAAAACCGCTGAACAGACGCCTGAGAAGCCCCCCCAGCAGTCGCAGGCGCCTCCAGTGGATAGTAACCGCTTCAGCTTCTTTTCTTCTGCGTGGGAGTCGACCATCCACGCACCAGAGATGGGAGATCTCGTCCTTCCAGGAGAGGATATCCGTGGACTCTTCGAACTGCCCGAGGATGAAGAGGATGGTGTTTGGTGGCTCAACATTAACACTGCAACCAAGGAGGAGATCTGGGCGATCTGCAAGGCCTTTGGTATCCACCCCCTGACAATTGAGGATATCGTCACCCAGGAAGCCCGAGAGAAGATTGAGCTGTTCCCGTCGTACTACTTCGCTAGCTTCCGCTCCTTCCATATTGTACAGGAGCCCGATGGCATTGAGTACGAGCCCTTCAACATCTATGTCATCGTGTTCCGCGAGGGAACGCTCAGTTTCAGCTTCGCGCCAAACTCTCATGCGACCCAGGTCCGCAAGAGAATCACTGCCCTGAAGGACTACGTCTCTCTGAGCAGCGACTGGATTTGCTATGCTTTGATGTATGTGCTCCATCTCCCCTGACAAGATTTTATATGAACTGTTCACTGACTTGGTTTTACTAGCGATGACATAGTCGATTCCTTCGGCCCACCCATTCGCCAGATCGAACTTGAGGCGGACGCCATAGAGGACGAGGTGTTCGTCATGCGCGAGGATGACTCCAGCTCGTTCCTCCGCTCCATCGGCCGGGTGCGTAAGAACTGTATGGCCCTACTCCGGCTCCTTGGTGGCAAGGCCGACGTTCTTCGGGGTTTCACCAAGCGCTGTAACGAGAACTACAAGGTCACGCCTCGCATGGACATTGGCATGTACTTGGGCGACATCCAGGACCACGTGGTCACGATGGCTACCAGTTTGGGCCACTTTGAAAAGATCTTGTCCCGTTCCCACAGCAATTACCTGGCGACGCTCTCCATCAATAACATCTCCCAGGGAACAGAAACGAACCAGGTGCTCAGCAAGATCACATTCCTCGCCTCCGTGCTGGTTCCGCTGAATCTTGTCAGTGGTGTGTTTGGAATGAACGTGGCGGTTCCGTTTAGGGACGTTACAAGCCTCGCGCCTTTCTTCGGTATTATCAGCTTCATGACTGTCCTGTGTATCCTGATTCTGGCGGTCGCACGTTGGAAGCGCTACATCTAGAGAGGCATTTGGTTGCAGTCTTCGTCGAAGACATAGTCCATCGTTTGGTTTGCTGTTCCTTTTTCGTGTATAAACTGGGGTATATACGTACTTGAGCATGGTTTTCTTTTAGACATAGGATATGTACATAATGCCTCCTGTGGCACCATCTACAATATTAGACCCGTTATAGAGTCATGTTTATCCAGCTCGATCATTGTGACTACTATTGATGCAAATTGCGACACGACTATAGTCGACCACATTTTCCAAAATACTTTCCTAAGAACTCAACACGCACAAGACTCATAACCCGTGAGGAATCATACATCTGCGTGCTGTGTAGCACGTAGAGCAGCAGCCAAAGGTGGGGCGCCACAGTCATGATTCTGGGCCTCCCATTGGCCGCCCGTGAACCACTCTGCATCTCAGATCTTCCACCTAAAATCTTGACATCAGCGCAAACCTCGTTTGTATATACAACACAACCTACGTAGTCATCACGCCCACCCCCGAACGCAAACATGAGCTCCTCCCAGATCAACCTCGAGAATGCCGACCTCGAGAAGCTCAACGACAAGGACAAGACCGACCTGCGTCAATTCCTCGCGAACGAGCAGCAGCGCTCCCAGATCCAAGCCCGTACGTCGACTAACCCCCATCCAATGCCGAAACTAGCTCCCCCCTCTCTCTGTCGTGTGCGCACATATATTTTCTCCGCAGTTGCTAATGAGGTCCCTGAACAGAAACCCACAGCCTTACCCAGATCTGCTGGACCAAGTGCGTTACCGGCGGCATCAAGAACAACAAGCTTGACAGGAGTGAGGAGGGCTGCCTTGCCAACTGCGTCGACCGATTTCTCGACATGAACTTCCTGACGATGAAACACCTCAACAACATGCGAAACTAGATGACCCATGTCCTAAGCCGAGAGTTAGGAATGGGCTGGGACGGGGTCCGACCGAAGACATGTCACGTTACGATATACAACACTGAGTGAAGAAGGAGGCGGCGGCGGCGGCGGCGGACCATCTGTACAATTAGTAAACGGCACGGAGGGCTGGATGGATAGAAAACTGCCCATTGACGTGGAAGAACTTTTGTCGGCCGGGCATGGTCGGCCGGCTGTGTAGTGTTGAACGGCCGTGTACATTACGACAACTCTGGTAATTGGAAATCAGACAAGACTACCCTCTTAAACACGGCTCGTCATAATACGGCAATATCAAAAGGACCAGTGTGAACTAATGATGGAAAACCTTTCAACTTTTTACGGTGGCTTTAGTAATGACTAGCAAGCGGGAGAGGGTGTGGTGTCTGGGCGGTCTTGAATTCATGATCATTTTGCACTCTAAACGACAAGCTCTTTAATGCGCCTTTTCCGATGCCCAATGCCGTGCATTTCAGCAGACAAAACCAACCCAAAGACACGCCCATTCCCAGCCCAGCACACTTAAACCAGGGAGAGCTTGTTGGCAGCGATGTCGAGAGCATCGACATCGGGGGTAAGGCGGGCGTAGGCCTTCTTAGAACCGTCAGGGCTAAGGAGTACGTTAGTTCATCTGTGTCTCTGCGCCGTCGAGCCTCAAGGATAATAATGGGTGCATACCGGATCAGGGTGTTGATCTTGACGGTGTCGATGTCGTAGAGCTTCTTGAGGGCAAGCTTGATCTGGGCCTTGTTGGCCTTGATATCGACGATGAAGACGAGAGTGTTGTTCTCCTCCATCTTCTTCATGGCGCTCTCGGTGTTGAGAGGGTGGATGACAATCTTGTGCTCATCAAGACGGGGCAAGTGAGGGATGGCCTTGCGAGGGTACTTGGGGGCACGCGAGACAATCAAGGTCTTAGGTCGGTGGAACGAGGTGCTGTAGCGGACCTTGGTCTTCTTGTGCGAGTTGGACTATTGCAAAGCACACGGATGATTAGTCGACGTGACACAACGAGGGGTGAGAATGCGGATTTCAACTTACGCCCTTGAGAGCAGCCTTGGCGGCAGCGCTGGCCTGCTTGAGGCCCTTGGCAGGGGCTATATGAGAAGACGCATCAGCAATCGCTCTGATTCAGAACTCGCAAAATCTGCTGCTGCATGATGCGGAAGAAAGAAGACGACTCCGAGATCGAGAAAAATCCTCGTTCGACGATCGTGTTTTTATTTTGCGCGCAGCGAGCGGATCGCGTGTCGGAGTATCATGTTCATCCCGTACCTTTCTTGCCCTTCGAAGCGTCCTTTCCGGCCATTGTGTCGGTTGTCGTGGGCACGAGTTGTCGGAAGTGCTGGGTGAGGTTGTCGTCGGCGTGGGTTGGAGAGGTCAAGGCGGAAAAGAAATCCAGTCGCAAAAGGCAATTTTGGCATCTGTGTGGATTTGCGATTAGGGTTGGAGCGACGGCGTGTTGTGATTGGCCAAATTGGCAGATCTAGCGACTTCACGTGATCAATATTTAGAACAAACCCCAATCAACCAGGTTATGTAAGCCGCGACGGCTGGGCTTGGTGAGAAATCCATGTAGAAGAGAGAGTGAGCGGAAGCACACGAGCTCCCTTCAATTGTCACCTTCAAGACGCATTGAACACAATGGGTCTCTACTCTGTATAATGCAATTCTTTCCTTTAACATTTGCTCCTCGAGATTGAGTCGTCCGGTTTCGTCACGGTGGCGTAAGACCTGACCCATTATCTTCAACCTAGGTGGACATTCGCACTGAAATAAGACGCACCGAATGCCGGATGAACGTGTGGAACCAAACTACGTGGATTCGGACATCAGATAACTTGTCGAGTTCACTATGGTTTCCAAGAAACCAACAAGGCTAAAGAGCCTTTCCAGTGGCCGCCCACCAACGGTGAAAGCATCTCGGTCCATGTCCCGTAAGGCAAGCCGAACACTCATCAACACTCACCACCAACTTGACAAGCAGCGCCGACAGGCCGCATCCAAGGGCGATAAGGGGACCGAGGCACGCATCACTGCAGAAATCGAAAAGTTGGGCGGAATTGATCACTATCAAAAGGCGAGCTTACAGGGCCAGAGTCTTGACCGTGGTGGCGACACATCCAAGGTGCTACTCGAGTGGCTTCCCGTCGCTGACTTGAAGAAGCATGGGCAACCTCTCAAGATGCTCGAGGTCGGTTCTCTAAGTACTCGGAATGCATGTTCGACCAGCGGCATCTTCGACATGCAGCACATCGATCTAAACAGCCAGGAACCCGGTATCAAGCAGCAAGATTTCATGGATCGGCCACTGCCCAAGGATGATTCCGAGACGTTTGACATCATATCACTCAGCCTAGTCCTCAATTTTGTGCCCGAAGCCGATGGGCGCGGTCAGATGCTTTTGCGGACGCTTTCCTTTCTCCGCAAAGAATCAGACACGCCAGTGGGAACCGCCAAGGACCTATTCCCTTCACTATTTGTGGTTCTTCCTCGGAGCTGCGTGGACAACTCACGGTACTTTACGGACGCCAGGTTTAATGAACTCATGACGATCCTTGGGTATGCCCGATTGCAGACTAAGATGACTCAGAAGCTCGCATACTCACTGTGGAGGAGGGTGGGTTCTACGCGCACCAGGATGCCGAGTTTTACGAAGAAGGAGATCAACCCAGGAAGAACACGAAACAATTTCGTCATGACCATGAAGGGTTCGGCGGTTCGGCCGGAATAGAACGTACAGGAACAGGAACAGGATGAACGACACGTGGGTAAATGTCTAGATGCATATGCGCTTCTGCCCAACCAACTTGGTGCCCACTATCGCCAGCTGTATCCGACTGACAGCACATGGACTCCCCAGGATTATTTGGCCAACGTGGACATCGATATCGAGTTGGAAGAATATGACTACACGATCTTGGCAAACAACAGTACATCTAGTTCGGAAAAGGATTTACGACATGTTGCATGCACCGGCGGTGATACAAGCCATGGCAACCGCCTGCATGACTGGTGGAACACTTCAGGTCACGAGTGATCGAGATGAGTTGGATGGCGCGGTCTCGGATTTGGTGACTAGAATCCCTAGTGAGTTGGTACAATGCCAGCTCGGCAACAAGTGTGCCACACCATTCTTGCCCTCCGCTATCCACCTGCAGCTGGTCGTCACTACGCTGAGTCAAGAGTAAACTCGGACAGGGCAACTTGCGACAAGAGGTGGTCCGGCGGCAAGGGCGCGTTACCAGGACGGGTAACAGGGAAACTGCGCATACCCGACTCAATGGCGGCGTCGACCTCGAGGATATTGTCGCTCAGGAACAGCCACCTCTCCGGACTGATGTCGGGATAGTTGGAGAGGATCGTCGTGTAGCTGGCCACGTCCATCTTGGGTCCCGCATTGACCGTGTCGAACCAGTCAGAGATGAGGGGCTTCAGGTCTGAGGGCTCGGCGTTGGTGTGGCCGAAGAGGAGCTTCTGTGCCGGAACCGAGCCGGACGAGTAGATGATGATCTTCTTTCCGGCGGCATGGGCGGCCTTGATGAAAGGAGCCACGTCGGAGAACAAAGGAGCTCGAATCTCTCCCGATGCATAGCCCTGCTGCCAGAGGTGACCTTGAAGAGATTTTAGGTAAGAGATCTTGACATCGCGGGCGACGAGATCTCGGACGTGGGCCTCCAACTCCGAGCGGGAATCGCGGTACTCCTCCGGAAAGGCATTGCGGTACGGAGAAAAGACCGGACTATCCCAATCCCGATCAAGGACCTTGGGAAGAACCTCGAGAGCATATGGGAACTATCACGATGGGGCACCGAGGTCAGCAACGCAACGACACAGCAACGATGCCAAAGACGATGTCAGGCAGGACTAAGGCAAAGCCAAAGTCGGTGAGACAGAAGGCTGGTGTGCAGGTGCAGTGCGCTGAAAGTCGCATGCATCCGAGGCCTAGCGTGAAAACCAGGATCCTGGAGAACCAACAATACGGCGGCCAGAATTTCGGCCGGAGGAGGTTGGGGAGTGACCTGGGACGGAGGCCCGAGAGAACGGGGGTGGTAAAGGGAACGGAGGACGGAAGGTGGACAACGGACAACGGAGCCAACTTACCAGGACGTCCTTGACAAAGGAAATGGGACAAACGGTGCCCTCTGTGAGACATCGGAACAAGACATAACGTCAGCCATTGAAAAGCAAACATGCAAACATAGAACAGCAACCGTAATGATAATATAATCAATGTCGCGGTATTCATAGCCACCATATCGCCACCACTACAATGTACACCAAATAACCACCAATATGATGAACTAAACAAAGGGAGTGACCACGTGGGAGTAAGCCCAGCACTGGTTTGTCTTACCGATGTCAAAGACGAGTACGTCGGTTTCGGCGATGCTTGGGGCCATGGTGCGCTTCGCTGGAAAAGTTGCCGGAAATTATCAGATGGCGGTCAAGATTCTTCGAGGAGAATCGAACAAAGCGGACGAATCCAGATAAGGCGCGAAGGCGAGGGAACGCGAGGGAACGAAAATCCTCTTCCCTGGTTCGATCTCAAATCCCTGCTGCCTTTGCAAGATCGGTTCTTGTTCGATGGATGATGGTCGTCGAACGGTGCAGCGGGTGGCCTATGTGTTCCTGGATCCGGGCTGGGCCGGTTCGAGTCTAGCGAGAAAGGTACGAAATACCTGAAGACGGAAAAATAGGTACGATCGAGCTTAGCAGTGCTTGCCGACTCGGTTCAGGGAGGCTGGAACGAGTACGGGGTGGTGTGTCGGGTGCGTGAGAAAGAGATGGATGGATGGATTCGTCGACATTGGCCAGAAACGGTAACGAGAGAGGAAAGGCGGTCAGCGAAAACTGCGGCCGACAGCTCACCTCGGGCAGTCTCAGCTTCACAGCTTGGATGGATCCTACGTACCTAACCTGGAGGAGCAGACACCCACTCGCAATCAAATCAAGGTTGTTGTGCCTGCGGGCGGTGAGTGGGTAAGAGGTGTGTGTGTTCCAGCCTGAACAGGGGAAACGTTTTCACTGCCAAACCCAGGACCACCTTGCAATTTCACATCTGCATGATGGGAATCGAGTACCGACAGGTTGCTAATCATAGTATCGTAAGGCAGAAGGTACATCGGTGGAACCCCAAGAGGATCCTCTCCCCCGAGTGGAGATTTCCAGCTGCCAGCCTTGAGTCTGTTTGGTGGATGTTTGATGGCACGCTATGGTGGCAGTCCCTGAGAGGGTCGCTGAGGGTGTGCTGGAAACGGCAGCCTGTAGGCTGTGGGCTCCCTGGAAATTGGGTGACTGGAGCCTTTCATTCCCCTGTAACCGTACGGAACAAGGACCCTGAAATTAGCATCGGCTTCCAGGAACTGCGCCGTAACAGATGGAAGGCAATAGACCTGCACAGCAATGTGCCTCCACTACGACAGAGGGTCCCGACGCCTGTAACAGCCAGGCTGGCCAGTTCATGCAGGCAGTCCCGATGAAATGCGAAGGGCCGGCAGCACGAGAGAATGGAATAGAACTGATGCGTTGTTGTCTGCTAAGATTGACCCCATCCGAGATCCGAGAGGACCCCAGTGGGGACGTTAACATGATGCAATTCGAACTTACAAAGAACCAGGTGTCAGTTTGCATCCACCTGTCCTCCATGTGGTGAGGTGCTAAAAATGATCGAGCGGACGATGATACGGACCTCCCTACCTCAAGCCGCCACCGGCGGCTGACAGGCTGTGCAAAGCAACGCAATCAGCGGGCAGTGCAGGCGGACAACGGGCGAGGCGTCGACCTGTCTCTCATAATGACAGGGTACTCCGTACCTGACGTACATCACAGAAGCACCTTGCTGTGCATGCATTGCATAGGCTTCCAGATGCACGCATGGTCTCCACTATGCTGTATGTCTGTATGCAGGGTGTCATGCCGCCCCAAGTGGCCTGTTCGATAATCCATAGAAGGTGATGTATCGATTTCGTGCTGCGAAATCTCATGACTGTGTTACCGGCCGACGATTCTTCAAGATTCCTTCCGGTCAGGAGGTGGTGACTGTTACCCCTCATCCGGCGGCGTCGGATTGATTCGAATGGAATTACATTGCATCGAATTTCATAAGGGGATATTGGATTGGTCAAGTCTGCCAGCCGCACCGGGAACGGCGGGGACAAGACAGGACCGGGCGCGCCCAGGCACGAGGACACAACATGCAATCCAACACGAGACATGACGGCATCTTCCCCAACACAATTTGAAGCGTGTTGCCAACCTAGTAACCGCTACGTACCAGATGTACATGCCTACATGCCTGTCAATTGTCATTCGTATCTTGCGTGCCTCCCGTACCTGAATTCGTCACTCCACTGCCGAGATATCTATCTGTTTCTAGCTGACTGACAGGAATGTACCAGCTCAGCAGTTCGTTTCACCTCCAAAAAGCAAGCTCCTACCCTACGCACAGTACGAAGTCAATCATGACGTTGGAACAGGCACGTCTTGCGTCAGTGCACCCCGTCCTCCGTAGCACGTACGGAGCACTCGGTCCAGCATTCGTAACGGTTTCGTTTGCCAGTGGAGCAGTTGAACAAGTATCGAGATTGCCACAAAGCAGGCGCGCGCGTTCTGCGACGAACGAGCAGGCCTCTCGGACAGACGACGTTGCACGTTCGGTACGGTACTTGCGAGACCAGAGTCGTTTCCAGCAAGGGCGACATTTCATGGCATGGGATCTTCCTCCGTGCGCAGATGTTTACATTGGACCCCGGTTTAGACGATTGTCCGACCAGTCACGGCAGCGCGCCGATTAGTGACGACGACTCTCGGACCACCTTGCTTGCCGGGCGAGACTTCTGGCGGTTGCTAGACAGGCGCTGAACGACTTCGCTCTCTTCATGTAAACAACGTGATGATTGGCAGCGGGCGTCCTAGACAATTCGTGGTCTGGACTGGCATGCAGGAGCCAGGAGAGTGCATACAGAGTTGTATGGCCCCCAGGCACTTGGGGACACCCTAAACAACAAGCCGAAGCCTACAGAGCACCCAAGATCCTACGCCTCGCTCAATTGGGTCGCAGTCTCACTCCGCCCCGCATTCAAGGGCGCTAGAGACAAGGGGCGCCGTCGAGGCCGCGAGGGAAAAGCTGGGGCCGCACAAGGCCGGCGCTATCGAACGCAGTCGTGGGCCATAGGGTCCTCGAGGGTCCTCGAGGAACCGAGAATCTGAACCGGGCGTTCTGGGGGGCTGGCTGGTGGAATCGCACAGTGGCAGACGGACCTGGAACGGCCCCAGAGGGCTTTTCCACCTTGCCTCCCACCTTCCCACCGAGGCCCAGTTCTCGGTGGCTGCAGTCCAGGGGGCTACCGCGAGCTTGATGGACTCTCCGAAAGCCTGTTATGCTGTGATGGCGGTCCTGGACTGGAGTTTGTTTGTGATGGTAATGCACTCTGCGAAGTGTAGCGCAAGCTTGAATAGGATGGACGAGCCCAGAACAGATCCCAACAGGACAGATTGAGGTTTCCAGAAGGCGTAGATCGCATTTTCGTTGGGACGCTGTCGTCCTGACTCCCGGTCGCTTGGTCATTCACACAGTCAGTCACGCAGTCACGTAGCCACCCACTCGCCCGCTCTCGCAGTGGCACTGTACTGGAGTCTGGCTGTTCTCGCGGTCTCGCCCATGAGCCATCGAGCGCTCGGAGGACCCATGAGCCCATTGGTGCCACGAGCGCAAGCACCCTCTGCGCAGCTCGCCGTCGCCCCAGGCCACTCACCTTGCTCGCCCGTACACCCTCCCGTGGAGGTTCATTCAAGTCGTGATGGGATCTGCGGTCGAGGGTACGTGGTAGTGAAGTCCTCCAACCACATAATGGAACACCTATAGCTACTTTGTACGTGCGTACCGGGCGGTGTGTCTGCTATCAGAACCCCCGTCCCAGCCGGCCACCAGGCTGTCCCGTCTTTCGGTCCCTCGAAGCCAAGCGAGCTATACCGCGTCAAGACTAGCCGCGCCGTGTGGAGCGCTTGGGCCGCACCGTCTGGTCACGATGGCCAAGTTGTCATTTCCCCCGACCACCGAAATGAAGCATGCTGTTTCGTCAGCACGGCGTTCGGCGCTTGACACGACAGTCCTCTCGAAGATACTCGAACCTACGCCTGACTTCTGCCCAAAGGCCACGTACCTGGGGATCCGCTGCGAGGTCTCGTCCAGAAACATTGGCAGACCCACTGACAGTGCACGAGGCCCATCGTTCGCACTCACTTCGTGGCTCTGTTTCTACCCATCTGCACAGTGCTGATGGTTGTCTTGTTCATCCTGTTTGGGCAAGACTGTCACGTCACGTCACGTCACGCAGCCCAGTTCCTCTTCCTCGCCGGGCTCACCACCCATCATCCACCGCCCGCTGAGACACCCTGCGAGGGACCAAAGTCTGAGACGCCTGAGACGCCGTGTTTATCTTGGTTATGGCGATGCCTGAGGCCGCTCAGCCATTCAACAACAAGGCCACCCACACCCCGGCTGCTGTTATTCATGCCCGTCCGTTGTCCGCCGTCCGTCCTGCCTCTGGCCCCGTCCAAACCACGCCCCATCGTGGCATCGTCCCACGGTAGCGCCATCCAGCCCATCCTGTCGCCGCCTCTGTCTCGCTCGTTGCTTGCCGCCCCAAGCCTCCCTCCGGCCTGAGACCTGGGGTCTCTCGCTGGTTCTCCTGATTGATTGACGAAGTTATGGGATCCGTTATGGACCATGGACACTGTGGGAGGTGGCTCTGTTCCGCACTTGTCTCGATGGATATCCGGTGTTGCCATTGCAAGGGAACAAGAGACGTAAACATCGTGAGGACACGTAGATCTCGTGCCGAGAGTACCTCCTGTCAGGTCCAAAGCCAGGTACTGTACCTGAAGTACACGATGGGGCCTTCGTGCCTCCTCCCGTAGCTCGCCGTCATTGTCAGTTGCTGCGTGTCCCCGGCACCCCGGCCCCGTTCCCTGGCACCTTCCCTCGGTGCTCGCTCACTCGCTCCTCCCTTATGTACGCTGCACTGCACAGTACAGAACCTACCTAGTCTCTGCATGGCCTGCACTTTCCCGGATCCACACCCACGCCCGCCCACTACGTAGTACGTACCTACAACCATCATATCCACACCTGGTACTATCGCCGCCCTCAGCTAGTTCGCACCCCCCTAATCCAATCCAATCCAACCCAGTCCAACCCAGTCCACGTCCATCCATCTCCCTCCACTCCGTTCCATCCCCATCATCCACTTCTATCACCGCCATTCCCTCTCTTGTCTTCCTCCTTACCTACTACCCTTTATACATCTCCCTTCCGTCTCGCCATCCTTCCTTCCCGTCCCTTTGTACGCTCCGCACCATCAAGGCCTTCTTTCTTCTCGAGCTTGCCACTTCTCTCACTCTCTCTTATCGCTCGCCCTTGGGATCACTCCAATTCCGCCATTTGCCGCCGCCTCGCCACCCGCCCAAGCAAGCCTACGCTACCGCTGTGACTCAACAACACTCCATCGACAACTACCACAGCGACAGCGATTCCCATCGAGAAGAAGAAGCGTCTTTGACCTGCTGTTTGCCGCTGCATAGCCTCCGACCCCAAAAGTCCTTTCGCCTCGGGTCTCTTACGCCGCGTTCCGTGCCATTCTGATCGTTGCTTCTCGCACCCGACGACTTCGTCGAAACCGTCCGGCATCTCGATAACTCTCGTCGCCGACTTCGGTCATCAAAATACGCGTTTTGCACACCCAACCGGATATCAGGAGACGTTGTTTTCGCATCGCGTCGTAGAGGTTCTTCCTCACGACATTGTCATCAAGTCTCCGATCATCGCTCTTCGGCCTATCCGGTCCGCGTGACTCAACCGACCCGGGTGAGCGTCAACGACTCCACCCCGGGTGAGCTCCGCCCTCCTCTACGCCGGTGCCAGCTTGTCTGGTCCGACACGTCGACTCATCGGCATCGTCGAAGCCGGTTTCCTCCCTTTTGCTACTCATCTCGCCGCAATTCTCATCTGGTCGGCTCCGTCCTCGGTCGCCCACCTCACTCATCCAACCCCACCTGTCAGAGTCATTCTTTTGCAAATCTACAAAAAAACGCACCCATGTCATCATAACGAATCTCTTTCCTTCAACCTTCCTCGGCCGTTTAGGTCTCGCACCTCGCCGTTACGACCATTCCATAATTCGCTTTCTTTTGTCTGTCCAGCCTATCGCACACATACCCTCCAATGAGCCTCTGATTCCTCCACGACTATCATCAACCTTCTACCGCATAACGCCTCGCTTTTCTCTACCTCGTCCTCACTACGACTACTGTACATTCAACAACACTTCAAATATTCGACATCATCAACTCGGTTTCTTGACTCATACCTCTACTGTACACAGAGCTTGAAGTCTCGACTTACACATCCCGTCTCATTTCACCACTGCAGCTATCAATTCAGAACGCAACAAAAACAATCATCTGTACGACTACTATCACCTTTTGTTTCTTTTTTATTCTTCTACTTAACCCCTTTTTTTCAATTTCCAAGCAATGGAGTGCCTCAAGGACAAGTTCACCGGTGGCGTGCTTCTCGGAGGACGCTATCAAACAATCTCCCCCCTCAACCATGGTTCATTCGGTATGGTCTTCATGGCTCAGGATCTCGTCACCAACGAGACCGTTGCCATCAAGTGCATGGCCAAGATGTCCGCTTCTTCTGATGACGACACTTACTATGCCATTGATGAGAAGTCGGAGGAATCTGTCCTGCATGGCCGCCTCGGATCTCACCCCAACATTGTCAACTTCCTCGACTCGTTTGAGACTGAGTCTCACTTGTACTTGGTTCTCGAGTACTGTGAGCAGGGAGATCTCTATGAGGCTATTCGCCACGGCCATGGACCGCTGGAGACCGAGCACGTCCGCCAGTTCATGCTTGAACTTGTGGATGCTGTTGACTACGCTCACTCCAAGGGTGTCTTCCATCGCGACATCAAGCCCGAGAATATCTTCCTCACCAAGGACGGTGCCATGAAGCTCGGTGATTGGGGTCTGGCAACTACCGACAAGTGGTCCTACGAGATGACTGTTGGTAGTGACCGCTACATGGCTCCCGAACAGTTTGACTCGGCCGGTGCCGGCTATTCTCCCTCCTCGGCTGACATCTGGGCCATTGGCATCTGCCTTCTCAACATTCTTTTCTCTCGCAACCCATTCACCACGCCGACCGAGGCCGATCCTTTGTTCCTGGATTACTCCCGGGACAAGCAGTCTCTCTTCGACGTGTTCCCTTCGATGTCTCAGGACACGTACGAGGTGATTGTCCAGTGCATGAACCTCGACCCCAAGAGACGATCGCTGGTCGGTGCCCGTGATGCCCTCCTCCGCCTCGTCAGCTTCACTGCTCAGGACGAGATCCTCGACGACTTCTGCAGCGCTGAGAAGACGACAGTGGCTACTGCCAACCGTGAGCCTCTCCGCACCCCCTCGATCCAGTCTCCCCAGGTCGAGACGGGAGCCTTCCCTTGGGCCAAGCATCTCCACACTCCTCATGCCGGTCGCCAGCTTAGTGTGATCCGCGACGACGAGAGCTACACTGAGGAGCTGTTCCCCAAGTCGGAAGCTACCACCACGGATTGGTGCTCTGCGGCTGCCCAGACTCCGATGTCGTCCATGGTTGACTCGCACTGGGGTGCGTCGATGAAGTCGTTCGCCCTGAACCCCATCACCCGACGCACCAAAGTGTCGCCCATGGCTGGTTCTCTTCCCATCACCATGGCCAAACCCATGACGTTGTCTATGTCGACAGTGTTTGGCCGAAAGGATGCCGTGTCCAAGAGCTGGAGCGACATGTGGGATGAGGATGAGGACGAAGAGGAGGAACGCGAGCAGCAGATGAAGATGCTCCAGGAACTCAACTCTCGCACCTGGAGCCACGAGAGCAAGGAGGAGGTCAAGGAGACGGCAAAGGTCGAGCCTGAGCCGGAGCTCGAGATGGACATGGGAATGGAGCTCGAGATGGAGCTGGAGCATGAGCCGGAACTGGTCTCGCACACACATGATATCAAGGGTGATGTCGATGATGACCTAGTTGCCGACGGGTTCTTCTTCCACGAGGCGCCGGCGTTGAAGCAGCACATGACGCTCGCCCCTCGCTACTCGCCTCCGCCGAAGCGGAGCCCGTTGGACAAGTGGGAGGCACTGGGTGAGCGCCGCCGCGGCCAACCCACAACTTTGGATTCTTTTACGTCGCCGGACTCTAAGCCGCGACGACATTTTGGTTTTGGATACAAATCTTACGAAGCGGGCGTTTGGGATCATTCTAATTATAACAACAAACTCGGGGTCAAACAACATCAGCAAGAACGAGCGAAGGACCCTTGGAGCAAGGGAAGAGATTGGAACTGGCGCCGGGACAGGCGTACCGATCTCGGGGATGTGGAGTGGGTTGGGGGTTGGTAGGAGATTGAGTCTCTACTGCAACTTCCAATCGTGGTTGGGCCCGTCTGTCTCTCAGTGTGAGGAGACGTGAGCCTTAACTCGCTTTCTGTGTATTAGATATTTCTAGAAATAATGGCCAAAATACCAGAAGTTACCCACTCAAACAAAGATTTGCTCTCGGTGATGTACAGTGTAGACATGGCTGGACAGGAGGCAATTGAGAGGTAGGTCGTGTGATGTTACTAACTATCGCTCTCTGCAAGTTCTGCAGGGCGTATCCCTCTTCAGCCGGGCTCAGTGTCGTCTGGCTGTCTGATCTGACACTCTCATTATAGTGTTGGGTCGTCATGGCCATGTTTCACAGTGAGTTCTCAATCCCCTATCTCCCCGTCTTGCTAAGTTAGATGAGGTGCCCCAGGTGCCGATATGCACAAGAGGGTGCGAGTCAGGGGGTGTGGCAGAAGACGACTGGCGGGATACAACGGGCGTCGTGGGACCATGGACATGCACGTCCAGCCATACAGAGCATCGGATGCATTGGTGGAGTGGCGATCCCCGGACGGAAGGTCGTGCCCCTCTTTTGGAACTGGGTCTTTTGACTTTGGAGAGCGGGATTTGCTTTTGGCATGCGTGGGCGGATGCGCAGGACCATGGCGTGGTTCGAGGCAGTGTGCAGGGAGGGGACGTCATAAGCGGGGTGGTTATCAAGTGTGTTTGGGAGTTGTGAGAGATAGAGAGGTCGCTGGAATGCACTGCAGATAACACGGAGGTTGATACGAGATAGTGGTTGATGATGGACAACCCCGTTGAGTTTTGGCGGTACAGGGTAAGTAGCTGGGACTTGGACTCGGCACTCACAATGCTGGCTCTAAGGTAAGTCTCATCTACCACACCATCACGGGACAAAGACAGGACGCCGGTGCCGGCGCAGCCCCCGTCTAGTACCGAGCGGTTTCATTCAGACTTCCTCCTTGCATACATGTGTGCGTGCATCGCCCGTTATGATTTATCGGTGGCGTCATGACAGCCGTCTCCGCGTGATTTCGGATGCACGTCCACTACTAAGCGCACGCGTTGACCTGACTCGTAAGCTAGCATTGAACGGGAGGTGTAAGTGGGAGTGCACATGCGACAGTGCACATATTCCGGCTCCAATCGCGACGGCAGGATATTATGCAATGGAAGACGGTCGAAGGGTGTGACATTGAGGGTTGGATCATCAACGATGGTAGACGACAGGAAGCATATTGTGTTTAGTGTGCATGTCTTTCGTACTGTACCAACAGCTATATATGAAGGCATAAAGCTAATAGGTTGACGTGCCGACACGTACTCTTTGAGGCCCCAAAGTATTCATGATGATCGACATGCTAGATATGACATGTGCCTCGTACTGTGATTCCCTCCCTGTATCTGTACCTCATACATACACATAGCATCATCTCCCCGGCAACTCTCACATTACATCACCCAGCGCCCACCAATGAATACTTCAGACATGATCGATCCAAAAGCAGCAACCCAACTCCCATGTCCATGCAAGTGAAGGCGACCCAAAACACAAACACAAACACAAACACAAGCCAAAAGCCAGCCACCCAGCCAGCCGTGTTTAATCAGCGCCAATGAGATGCTTCGGCAAAAACGTCCAGACCGTACCCAGCGTACCCAGAATTCCAAAAACAACCAGGAGAACCCACGAAACCAACCGCTCTCGCACGGAGATGTCCTTCCAGAACAATTTCAAGTGGAATGAGATGGGCAGGATGATAGAGATGAGTGTGCAAAGGGCCGCGCCCAGGAACGCGCAGACCGAATCGAACGACGGTATCACGATGGAGATGCAGAGCAGGAGCACCACCACAAAGACGCGTACAAAGCCTCGAGTGATCTGCGTGGCCATGGTTGAGGCCCCGTCCAGGGGCTGTCCGTGATGGTGGTGATGGTCCTGGTGCACCCCACAGATGACGTCTAGAGTTGTGATGATGGGACGCGAGTTGAGAGGGATTTTGGTTAGGGGGATGATGGCGATGAAAACGCACATCAGAACCGTGAGACCATCGGGGTATCCCGACGTCTTGAGAATGTTGGATGTGATGGCCTCGCGGATCCCGTCTCCAAACATGAGCACGCCAATGACGGCTAGACAAGTGTCTAGGACGTACTAATCACCCGCAAGAGTCAGTCAACAGACCTATCTGAAGGCATAAAGGGAGTAGAGAGCTGGCTTACCGAGAAGGAAAATGTGACGTTGACTGCCTTCTTCCACTTGTAAGGGTGACGCATATCACGATAGATCTGTCAAGTATCAGCCGTCTGCGTGTGCAAGACCACGTCTAACAGAAACATACCGAAGGGAAAACGGAGTGAGCGCCCCAAGGGCTAGCAAGAAGTCCATATGCCAGGGGAAGGGCAAGCCAGTTCTCAGGCAACAGGTACGTGACAGCTGGTTCCCTGAGCGAACCCGGCGTATGCGGTTTCATCAGGCCGTCAATGACGACGATGCAAACAACTGTTGCTGGTGAGTAGGTGGACGGAAGCAAAGTGAGACACGGAGGAGGACGTACTGCAAAATGTGGAGAAGATGCCAATTACGCTGGTGTAGCTGAGGAAGCGCAGGGGCATGGCATTGAGCATCAGAACTAGGACGGCTGCCGTGCACTTCCAAATGTTGACCGTCGCAAAGCCTGGGAGCAACAGATCGAGGGAGTCGGCAAAGAGGATGACGAGGGCGACATTGGCGCTGATGAGCTCCAGCGTGAACAGGGCCGAGACGACAACTCGCGCCCGAGCTCCAAACGAGACGTAGGCCAAGTCGGAGTAGGTGATGAGGGTCCGGTCGTAGTCCATGCACTTGGCCAGCAGCTTTCCGGTGTGGGATGTGACGGCTGCCGTGAGGGTGAGGATGAAGAGGCCCGGAATCCAACCGCTCATCCGGAAAGCCAGAGGCAGACTGAGCAGGCCGACGCCGATGATGGCGTTGATGGAGTTGAATACGGACTGGGGGAGAGTGCTTTGTCCCTCGACTGCCAGCACCACTTTGTCGCCCTCCTTGACCTCCTTGACGAGGATGGGCTGGTGCTCGCCATGGGCAGCGCCCTCGCCGTCCTCCTCGTCTTCGCCAATCCAGGCGGGAGCCTGCCCGACGGAGAGGCGGTGGCGCATCGTGCTGTCGATGGTGCCGTAGTGCGAGCCATAGCTTCCAATAATGGACGGCGTCGCGAGGTGCGGTGGAACGGCAAATATGCTGGACCGACTGGACGGAGACCCGGTAGGCAATGCGCCGGCCGCCATCTCGGGATCAAGCAAGGGCTTGCTCTCGCGCTCTCGGAAGCTGTCTCGCACGAGAATCGGCGACGAGCCGTAACTGGCGCTGGCCTCATCATCTTGGCTCGAGGCCTCAAGATGTTGCCTCAGCAAGCTCGTGTGAGGTCCCGACGCGGCGTTGTCGACGTGGCTGCGACCATACTGGACGTTCTCGGCGTCTTGATCCGGGACGTAGACGAAGCTCGGGCGTCGGGGAATGACTTCAGGGAAGCCTGCGGCCCTTTGCCAGCTCCGGGCGAAAGATCTGAAGCTATTGACGCCTCCAATGTCGGCAATGGCAGCAAGGTGGTTTGTGACGGAGGACCTGTGAGATTGAGAGCGACGGGTTAGCCTTGTAATTTGATTTAACCGACGAGGGTATAGTACCTTCTGCGACTCATGAATGCGCCGCTGGCGCGGTTGGCAGCGTCGAGTTCACCACCGTTGTCGTTATCATCGTCATCGAGCAGCGCCTGCTCCTCGGCGAGGGCGCTCGACGTCAAACTACCAGTAGGCGAAGGTCGGCCATCGTACTGGTCCCAATTGGTTGGGTTTCGCGCGGCCGGGGGCATTGTTCCGTAGCCTCAACCCGTGTCGATTGTGCTTTTGCGTTTTGCGTTTTGCTTCTGAGGCTCGTGGCTGAAAATATCTTTTTTATCTTGACCCTTGACGTCCAACTTCTCTGTCGCAAGTGGCTCGTTTGCCCCCCGCACAGAGCACAGACAAGCGAGGTGGCGGGGTGGCGAAACACGGGCCGTTGGGAACAGAACGGGATGGCCTATTGCGAGAGTCGGCGATGTGAGAGAATGCAATAGCCGCGATAGACGAGCGCAAAGTTTTCGTGTCTGGGCAGAAGGTGGCGGTTGGTGGCGGAAACCGGGAGGTGGAGGATAGGAGATGGAGTAGATGTAGGCGGAGCAGAAGATCGACTGCGACCTCACAATGCTGGAATGAGAAGGGCGATCACGTAAACGCAACAGCGCAGCAACAAGACCCAGAAGCAAGAGAACGAGCACGAGTCTTGAGAAAAGAGAGGGAGGCTGTCTGGAAGAGTAGGTCACGCGTCTTGTCTAGCTGGCGTTGGTTGCGGGCGGGCCAAGAAGCGAGACTTGACGGAACGATATGACGCTTATCGCAAGGCAGGGAGGCTCGGGCAGATAGATGCACTACTTTGACTGGGCGCTCTCGTTGGTATCCGCAGATGGGAAGGATAGGAGGGAGCTAAGACAAGGGCACCGCTGCAATGCAACCGTTTGGCGCCCCGGTAGCCGTCGCCGATGCGTACTCCGTCGCTCGTAGCTCGTCGCTTGTAGCCCGTGGCCCGTAGCCGCCGCCGGAGTGGATTGATAGAATGGAAGAGTCTGCCTAGGTCAGTAATAAGAGGGCCAGGCGCCGTCTGCCTTTGTGGGTTTGATGCGGAGATACAGCCTCTCCTAGGCAGCGCGGTAATGACGTTGGCTGTGTAGTGATACTGATGGTATCTGTAGGACGGGCACAGCTATGCACAGTGATGCAAGTCCGTGAGAGATAGGCCAGATACCGGTACTGGATGTAATAACACAGGGCGAAGGGGAGACCAGGGAGCTCCACGAACCCCCGGTCCGCGTTAGCCTGTCCAGTGGTGGATGGTGTGGCGTGAACCGCGGGGAAGACAGAGCCCGCCGACATCCAACGACAGACGCGTGATTAGATGAGATATGGAGTCTTTTTCATTCTTCGCTAGGTGTAGTTGGGAAGGTCGCTCTTTGCTCCGTGTTGTGCGCTGCGCTGGTCTTCTCCGTGCTGTGCTGTAGAAGTTATATCTTGCCTCTCTCCGTCTCTGCCTCTGTCGTTTGTGACGACGAATCCATCATCGTACGGCATCTTCAGTCTTCGTCACAGTCGTTGGTCGCCTTCCAGGATGGCCATCCATCCACCCACAAGGCGCCCACTTACGCCGAGGCATCTCCTGCACGTCTTGCTGCATCTGTTGATTCATCTCCACTGCAATCGGTCAATTCAACTGCTGTGAGCTCAGGGCCGGTTTGATGGTGGTGGGGACGACATGGTTAGCGGCGACACACCCCAGTCCTGTCCACATCCAGAGCGAGGCAGCGGGCGTTGGTGAGCCGCAATGGCCTGGGCTGTTATGTAATTTGATGGACCCAGAAAGTGGCTAGAGAACGGTCTGGGTCGGCGTCTCTGGTGAAATGGATTTGCTCGATGGAGATGCTGTCTCTATCCTCTATCTGTGGGTGTGAGGTAGTTGAGCACGGCATGTGAGGTCGTATTTTGCATTTCTGTGGCGGAGCATAGATAAGGAATTGGTCCAGGTCTTTGGTTGTCAGATTGCCGCATCTCCTGTGCACGCACTGGCAAACTTAGATACGATCATGCGACAGACCATCGTATCCTTATCGGGCCCTTGTCTTATCAGACCCTCCAACGTCCATCCACCCACCACGCGCCTACGAAAAAGTTCATGCACGTCACCGCACCCCTTCACATACAGTAGACCTCACTTCTACAGAGCGACCTACGCAGACAGCTCTCTCCTACACCTCCGATGCCAATCCTGCACCCCAGGCCTTATACCCTCCCCATCTAGCTTGCCCACGGCCGGCCCCCCACAATGCTCAACCGTCAACAGCACCGACAATGAACCGCAACGCCACCTCCAGCTCCAGCTCCAAGCCCCTCCATAAACACCAACCCTCCTCCACCAAGCCGTCGTCCGTTTCCTCAGCTCTCTCTTCCGAGTTGCTCTCCCAAATCCACACATCCCTCGCCCCTATCCTGTCCATCCTCCACGCCGTCGCCCACCGCCACTGCAATCAGCACTCCGCTTCTCACTGGTGGGCTGCCTTTGCTCTCCTCCGTCGCGCGTCCCGCAACCTCGGTGCTGCCCTGCTCCGCCGCGCGCCGCGCGCCGATCATGACCTGCCCGCGGTAGTCCACGCAAAGTGGATGGCATGTCATGTTGTCCCGCGCGCATACATGTAGGCTACGGCGAACCGGAAGTTGACGTTTGAAGCACATGCTAACAACAGCCAGCGCCTTTACGCAACTCGCCGCCGATAATCAGCACGCACCCTTGGGCCTCATGCTCCTTGCTGCCCTCGCGCGCATAAACAGCCTCCTATCGCACCTCGTCCCTTCCGACCGTATCTCCGATCCTGCCACCACGCCTGCCACCACCACAACACCCAACACCGAATCGTCTTCCACCCGTCCTGGCGAAGAAGTAGACTTGGGCGTCGCCGTCTCCCGTGATGAAGTTGCTATTCCCAAGCTATCAAAGCAAGAACCAGATCGTGGGGTGCCTAAGGAGTCAAATTCCAAAGGGGCAAAGGCCGAAAAGCATGTGAAGAACAGGAGAGACGTTGTAGAGGACACACCCACGGATCACAAGGAAAAGAAAAGGAAAAAGAAGAAGAAGGGTGACGATGCCTTGTCCAGTCTCTTCGGCTCCCTCTAAACCTCCAACACCTCATGTTGGTTTCCCGGTATATATCATTGGATAGTTTTGGCGCAAGGAACGATACCCCGAGAGTCAATCACGTAGTTACGACTTTTTACCTGCAAGCAAAGAAAAAAGTATAATCATTCATTATAAACACAATTCACACAACACAAAATAATGAGCCGGCGAGTATTCCTTACAAAGCCTCCCTCCCACACGTCCAGTCCAAAGAGGGTTGCTTCTCATTCCTTCCCATAGCGCCACCCCGCGGATATCCTCCCCCAGGTTGAGCATTTGGCATGTCCTATCCCAAGAAACAGAAAAGTCGTCGCCGCTCTCGCTTCCAGGCACAATCAAGCTCCCACTTCCCATCACATAGCTCCCAGGTTTCTCACTCCTATCCACATCCTCGGAACTTCTCTCCCGCTAAGTATGGCGTTTCTCTCATCCTCATGGGGTTTGCCTCTGCTTGCTTTTGAAATTTTGACGCCAAACCATAAGACCAAACAACAAAGACAGAGAGGCGTGAACAGACAGACAGACGGACAGGTCAATCAATCCGTCTAGTAGGGGCGGTAGGACCAGATGCGGGCCTTCATATCGCCCGAACCAGTAGCGAAGTAACCGCCTTGGGGGCTGGGAGCCACCGAGATGACCGAGTTCTTGTGACCCTGGAGCATGAGTTGGGTGGTGCCGGTGCGAGGGTCCCAGAACTGGACACCACGATCCTTGGATCCGGACAGTACCCAGTTGGCATCGGGAGTGAGTGCAACCGAGAGCACGAAGTCGCGGTGGCCCTCGAATGTCTTGACGCACTTGCCGCCCTTGGGACCGGGGTTGGGGCCGTTGCGAGGGGTGCTGAGCTCCCACATCTTGATCGTTCGGTCCAAGCTGCCACTGACGAGATCCTTGCCGTTGGGCGAGAAGGCAACAGAGTAAACGGAGTCCTTGTGGCCGTCGGGGCCCTCGAGACGCTCCACCAAGAAGCCGGAGTGAATGTCCCACACGCGGACGCTCTTGTCCAGGGAACCTGCCGCAACGTACTGGGTGTCGGGCGAGATGGCCACAGTCGTGACACCGTCCTCGATCGTGAGAGTGAGGGTGTTGGTACCCTGTTCGATATCCCACAGGCGGACAGTCCTGTCGCCACTGCCGGACGCGATCGTTCGTCCGTCACGCGCAAAGTCCAGAGAGTAAATATCCTGCTCGTGGCCAGAGAAGTGGTTGCGAATCGTTCGGCTTTGGATATCCCAGACCTAGATAAATGGTTAGCATACGCGCGCTACAACGTATCTATGTAATTTCAACGTACTCTGATCAGTTTATCCTCGGCACCGGTGGCCAGGTAGCGGCCGTCGGGGCTGAAGCAGACGCTGCGGATGTACAGATCTGCGCTCATGTCGGCAGCGTTGTGGTCCTCGAGAACACAGACCTTCTCACCAGTCTGAACGTCGAAGATCTGGGCGGATCGGTTGCAGCCAGTGGCGACGTACTTACCATCGTGACTGAACCTCACGCAGCACACAACGCTTTCGTGGCTCAGGGAATGGACCAGGTCGACATCCAGAACGCGCTGCACCTGGGGGTTGAAGATGGCATACCAGTCGTTGCCAGTCTTCTTGTTGTGGGGAGCTACAGCATCGACCTCGAGATCGCCGAGGGCGTTACCAACGGGAGGAGCGCGAGGACCACCCATGCGAGCGTGGTCGGGAGTGGGATGGCTGACCTGCGGCGACTGGGCGTTGCCGGGATAGGGCACCGGAGTGTTGATTTGGGGAGTCGCGGGGCCGACGGCGTTGGGGGGCCGGCCGATGCCTCGCCTGCCCGGGCCGGGAGAAGCAGTGCTCTGTGGAGGCTGGGGACCCATGCCATTGGCGACGGGGCCTTGAGGATAGCCCTGGGAGTAGGGCGGCTGCTGCTGGCTGCTGGGGTGAGGAGGGACGGGGAGGCCGGGAGGGCCCTGAGCCATCTGGTGCTGAGGTCCCAGCTGCTCCTGAGGAGGAGGGTGCTGCTGGGGAGGAGGCTGCTGCTGTTGTTGCGCGGGAGGCTGTTGACCTTGCTGCTGGCCCTGCTGTTGCTGTTGGGGCGGGGCGAGACCTCCCTGACTACCGCCAGCCATGATACCGCTAAAGAGGCCGTTGCCGGGCGCGATGGAAGGAGGCTGCTGCGAGGGGCCGGCGTGCTGAGGCGGGCCGGGGATGCCAGGCTGAGGGGCACCTTTCCGGGCAGCCTCGAGCTGATGTCGGAGCATGCTGATCTCCTCCTCGTACCTAAAAGTCAACCAGTCAGTGCGCAAGTTCCAAAGCGGATTAATTATCGAGAAGGGAGACTCACTTTTGCTTGAGAGTCATGTGAGTCTGCTCCATGGCGTAGACCTTTTCCCGGACGAGCTGCATCTCACTGACTTGCGCCGAGACTGGGATAAATGGTTAGCTGAGGCTTCGAGGTTGAGGCAGCGTGGCGCGCGGAGCGGCAACGACACGGAGCCTTTGGGAGAGGCGCGGGTGAGAGGTGAGACGTACTCTGATGCTCGAAGCCCTCGGTTTGGCGCATCTGCGTCTCGAATTCGGCCCTGATCTGCTCGAGCAGCTCGTTGAGGCGAGCCGAATTGCCTGGGGGGACGCCCCCCATGCCGCGGTGCGGGTACATGGACATTGCGCTCGACGGGACTCAGCGACGACGAGTCCGGGACGCTAGCCGCGAGGGCGAGACTGGATGTCGGGGGGAACGCGTTGTGGTTCGGGGGAGGGAAAGCGGCCGGGCGGTTGACGATGTGTTTTTTGCACGCGGCGAGACGGAGTGAAGGAGGCTGGCGCGCGCCGGCAAAGTGGACAGAACGGGGCCGGGGGCGTGGCCAAAAGGAGAGGACGCGAACGCGGACGCGGGAGAGGCTGGAATCGAGAGGCCCGAGATGGGCAAGGCGAGAGAGTCGTAGACGATGGGCGACGGGGAGGATTAGGACGGTCGCCGAGGCCGGGTCGGATGATTTTTTCGATGGGGCGTGGACTCGCGACGATGTTGTTGGAAGGGGGAAAGGTGGAAAAAAAGGCAAAAACGGAGAAGGGACGATGGAGGTGTGCCGGTCAGACAAGTCACCGTCAGTGCGAGAGCAGAGCCAGGGCTAGGTGCTGGGTGCTGGGTGCTGGGTGGGTTGGCGCTCAACCCGTGGGTATGATGGGATAGTGGAGCAATGCCCCGAAGCAAGGCAAGCCTCTTCCCCCAAAAGCAGCCCCAAGGAGCCCCAAGCCGTGGGAAGCGAGCTGGGCTTGCTGGTCAGGCCGCTGGAGGAGCCACTGGGGGAGCTGCTGGGGGGATCCACTAAGGCCCCGAGGGGGGTAGCCGGGGGCTCGCAGGGTACTTTCAGCAGGGCTGGGGGTACATGAGCCCCAGCCAGGCCTGGACAGCTGCAGGTGGGGTTCCATGCAGCGGGCCATTTGCAGGAGCAGCGAGGAGCAGTGAGAGCCAAGAGGTGACAGTGGCCTACCGCGCAGTACTGCGCAGTGCAGCGAACACCAGTGGGGGCCTGTCACCACTGAACGACAGTGGAGGTGTGCCTCCCGGGGTGTGGGGGCGGGCTGCAGATGGTAGCGGGCATGGGCAGGCAAGTATCTTTTCGCAGAGGGTCAGGTACCGACAGGGCTTCCGGCTACAAGGGGGGGACGCCACGCCCTGACCCGCATGGTCTGTGCGAATCGGGCGCCATGGCCATGATGGAGGCTGGCGACAGATTGCGGGTCAGCCGTGATGCTGTCTCCATGTGGCTGAGGCCATGGTCTCCGTGCTTCTTCCCTCCACCCCCCTGGTGTGCATCGTTCTCCCACGCCATCTGCCATCCGCTTCCACCCCTGTTGTGTTGTTTTTTGTCGGCTCTGTTGACTACAAAAGGGCGAAAGATTGACTCGACACGCACGCCCCTCCGCCTCGAGCAACAGTGACGACGGTGGCAGTGGGATGGCGCACCATGGAAGAACAGGTTACCCACCCGCGGCATTTGATCTCTGGGGGGAAGGGGTGTGGGTGTCTTAGTGCTGGCGAGAGAGGCGGAGAGTACTTCGTATGTGTCTGTGTTTCCTCGGACGTGGAACCTGGCGTTCCTGGATGGTGTTGTTGTGCTTCTGTTGCACAAGCATGGGGTGTTGTGGTGATGGGGTGGGTGTGCTTGTAAGTGAGGGTGGGCAGGACGTGGATCCGGAGACCGTAGCCCATGTCGAGCGAGCCGTGTGGGCGAGTACGTACCAGCATCCAGCATCAAGGCACCGAGACTGCAGCGACTGCAGCACAGGGCCTAGGATGTGAGTGAGAACGGTTCAAGGGGGTTGCAGCCGAGAGGCGATAGATGTGGGAAGTCAGAGACAGGGGATTGATTACCGCTGTTTTGTTTTGGGGTGGTTTCAGTGACAACATCGAGCAGCGCAGAGCTGAGCTGAGCTATGAGCTTGGACGTCGATGCGGCAGACAGCCAGGGCCTTTTATTAACCACTCAAAGACGCCCTAGACGCCAATGCCTGTCTTACCGAATGCTCAATCAAGGCCTCTGCGGATCTCACCCTTCGTTGCCTGCGAGGCTGGCATGGTACATCCATCTGCAGTAGTTAGCTGCAGGCCGCGATAGACGATGTGCGTGGTGCTTGCGGACCAGCAGCCAACTTGCAGATTGGGGGCGGCAGCCTACAGCCGCTGACCTACTGCATAGTTGGGTGGCAAACCGGCGCCGACTTCTTTATCTCAAGAGAGGGAGGCTTATGGTTCACCGCATCCATCCTCACAGTGTCGTGGTGTCTTCTTCGCATCGAACGACCAGATGCTACTTCGCCATGCATATAATGCAGCCAGGTGCGTAAGCTTGTACTATTTCCGCGTTGGAGGTTGCTATACGAGTTGTGGTTGCACAGACATGTTTCCACGGACTGCTCCAAATCGAGAGGCGGGCTGTATCGGTAGCCGTGCCTTCTTGACCGGTTCGTCGAGGACGGCAAGTTGGACAGGGTGGAGAGGAGGGTGTGTGATGTGTCATTTGGTGTGATGTTGGTGGTGGTGAGGGAGTTGGTTTGATCGGCCGCTGGTCTTGATTCGGCAGCTCTCAAACCACATGTGCCTCCCGGGGTAAGTGTAATTGCACCTACGGCCGAAGGTTGCAATCGACTAACCTCAGCTTCGCGAGTGGTGATGGAAACAAAGTGTATTCCGGAGATTCCCCCGGGACCGGTCCGTCCGGGCTGGCCCTGTCCTTCTCCCCCTACAGCTTCCCTTCTGGTTGGTGGCCCTCCATATTAAACAGTGAAACGTACTCTGCGGGCCTGGTCTGGAGACGGCTAGAACATCGGAGCTCCTTGCGTCAGTTAGTCCCCAAGGCTAGAAGGCGGGCATCATTTCACTGACTGAGAGCCCGGCATCTCGTCACGTTTTTTTTTTTTTTAGCCCGCGAACCTTTGAGATTCCATGCGTCCGCACTAACAAAACGCGCTCGACAGGGGAGCTAGATGGAATTAGCTTCGGTCCACGCACCTGACCTAATTAGCCCATGTAGAAGCCAGTTCTCCATGCAGGGCAGACTCTCCTACGGGGGTACGGATACCTGTGCGAGAGTTGGAAACCGCTGTCCTTGTCCTGGGCTGGTGAAACGGCGCTGGATATATGCCAGCACGGCTGCAGCAAACAACAGCTCCAGGATACAAAGACGCTGAAGTATATCTCTCAACTGCAGTACAAACGGGTTTACCGTACGATGCACACAGCCAGGCAGGGACAGCAAGCCGAGAACCTGTGGGGACGAAGCAATGCTACAGAGGACGTGCTTTTGCATGCACCCAAGCAAGTGGTGTAGCAGGCCGCCGGCCCGCAGAGTTAGATGGGACAGGGTGGGAAATGGGGTGGGAAGGGATCGCTTGCATAACGACGACACACAGCCTAGCCATAGCCGCCGCCGCTGAGGACGTGGATGTGCCCAGACCAGCCATGGTTGTTGCATTGCGTGCTTGGACCACCCACTCTGTGCGACAACCATGCTTCGGGTCGTCCGATGAATGGCTGTTGCCACACCTACCACCTCAGACAAACACGGAAGATTCCTGTTTCGTGATGTCTTCACAGGAGCAGTGGTTTTGAGACTTGTGAGACAGACCTGCCCTGGGCCTGGAGATCTGCTTGCCGGGGAGAAACGGGAGGAATTTGAGACAAGGCTACTGGATGATCTGGCACTTGTCATTGATGCACACAATGACGATCTTCGACTTCTCTGCGAGTTGGTTGATTAATATGCAATAGGTACGGAAATGGGTACACAAATGAGTAGGAAATTGTTCGAGAACCGGCCCCCCCCTCCCACCAAAAAACGAGGCCATTCAGACACAGGTTGGATCGCCCAACCCAGGCAAGCTTTGCACGTGAGTGTTGTTTTGGATTGCGTGCCATCTGAAAAGGGACTTGCCGACGGCCTAGAGAACAACTATTTTCCGATCAATAATCCGGGGGATGCTTGGTGATCATACTTTCGTTAGAGCGTTCCGAAACCATCCACTTGCGGATAGCCGCTTTTGAGTTTCAGGCTCAACATCCCACCTTAATTGTTTCCCATACTCTGCACTAATGAGGTCTCTTCTTACCGGGAGAAGAAAGTAAAGCACGACGTCGACGTAAATTACGTGTTAGATCAGCCAAAGTCCCAAACGTCGCCGCGCCCTTGTTAGGCAATTGGCTTCTGCCACCCAAAATGACCTCATGACGATGGATGGCGCTCCTGTGTCAAATGTTGATCAAGACCCAGTGCCACATGGCTGACGCACACCAATTCCCCGTCCCCACCTACTTGGACGTCGAATTTGACCGAAGCCTCTTCTTGTAGTGGGTGGCTGATGTGAATCAACCTTGCAAGATGAGTGGCTGCACCTACCATGTCACAATGGATCATGGTGAGAGTGAGACTTTGAAAGACCGGGAGGCCCAGCGGTGATAAGACAATCCCTTGCAGATGCGTTCAGGGAGGCCGAGACTTCATCTCGGCCGGGAGCGCAGCCGAGCTGACGGAGAGAGAGAGAGAGAGAGAGAGAGAGAAATGTTAGGGGTGTTTGCGTATGTGGACGGCCAGCGCATCCTGCGAGAATCAGCTGGCGAAGCACTGACCAGCGAGTTGCAGAACCAGCCGGCATGACATAACCACCCAGACGCAATAGGCCGGCCAGGTGCGTGTTTCGGTCATGGAGAACGGCGTCTGGCCGGCGGGGAGGGTACCGGTCGGTTGAAGGTTTGTGCCGGTGCTGGGCTTATCATTTGTGATCTTCTCGGCAGGAGACGAGGATGTCATGCGTCCGGTCCCAGGTAAGGTGCTGATGTTATCATGGCTCTCACTGGTTTGTCAGATCAGGCCTGTTGACCGCCCGGCATTCCGAAAAAGCCGTTCGATCATGCCCAATTGTCCAGTGGACTCGGCCCGTGGGTAAGGGTTTGATGGAGGGAGAGGCTAAGGGGCCAAGCGTATTCGTATACGTAACTGCGCTGTCCCGCATTCTCGCATTCTTCTTCGTCATTCCCCTCGTTCACATGCTGCAGTGCCAAATGCATAGACGTCCTTTTCTTGCCGGAAGTCCTTTGACGGGAATCGTATGGTTTTTAATCTTTCGAGGCCGCTTGGCTCCGAGATCCAGGGGGGACCTGCCTCTTCTGGGGGGTTTGATTTGACCCGGTTTACTAGAGGGTGCCGGTCGATTTGGAGTTGTCAAATTCCCATGGTGTTAAACCCGGATCCACCGTGGCTTACCGCCCACCGCTCATCTTGATTTACAACAGAACAGAGATGCGTGGAGGCTTGACCTCCCGGTGGTGGAATTAAGATGGAGGGCATATCCATTACCTAGGTGGCTGACTATCGCATTCCATCTCTTCTCGCCTTCGGTGTATCCCTGGTATACTCGAGGCTAGATGGTCACCATTAGATACTGTTGTCCGTTGGCTGTGATGCATAGGTATGGAGTACCCTAGTGTACATCTGAAAGATGAAGGATCGACGGCAGTTGAGCAGGTCGAAACAGTACCTGTCAGTGTCGTACTACTGCGACGTGCATCTTCCAGTGTCGATTTCCACCCCATGTCTAACCGCCCTACTACTGTTCCTGTCTGTCCCGGACAATTGCGAGAGCCCTGATTTTTCACGAGGCGGGTCCACAAACAGGGTGCGGCTTGACGCTCTCACTGGCTGGGTCCTCTCGGCGGTTGGCTTTCCGGAGCAGACCACTGTGGAAAAGAGTGCACGATCCATGGATGGCCTGGGGAACCACTGAAAAGAGACGCGCACAACTAGGTAACTTAGGCGACGCGCTGGGGGACGCGCTGGGGTCTTTGGCTCTTGGTGACCGGGCTGCATCGGAGCCGTGACTCTGATATCATGCGATTCTTCTCCAAAGACGACCGTTGCGGTATCCGGCACTTGGCGCCCCCGTTCACCAATCCGCCCAGAGGCATTCGCTTCTCTCCTGGCACAGACAGGCAGGGATTGCGTGTGAAGAATATAAAACAAGAAAGCAATGACGCCCGATGTGTTTCCTTCCTGTGTTGCGTCAACGGGAATTGCGTCCCTCTCCTAACAGCCTCTCTCTCGTCTGACACCGGGCGCGTTCTTACATCCGCCGCCGTTCTGTCAATTACCTCCAATTGGCCCAATTGGCTCGCATCTTCCCCAATTCGTACCCTCCCTCTCGCTGTCCGCCCATCAATCGGCCCCTGACCGCACGACATCTCAACGCCCACTATCCCGCCCCGCGCCGCTGCCAATAACCAAGACCAACCCAAAAAAAACCACCCCAGATCCCGGCCATAGCTGCACAGTGCCTCTTCTCTCAATTTCGGTCTACTACGACTCCCCGACGGGTCTTTGTTTCCCAGTGGCCTGATTTCGTTTTACCGCTCGATTTCCTGCTCGGTTGATAAGGGAGGCCCTTCCCACCACTTCGGTTCTTAACATCCCCGCGGTCCCCATCCGAAGCACCTCCAACTCTTTTGCCAACCGCGATTGGAGAGTCTCGCACCTCTTTCTTCTGTTACCTTCACCTCTACCCCGTTGTTCCTTTCCACCCCATCTGGGATCGAACCATCACAATACTCGCCCATCATGGATGTCGTCCTTGAGCTCACCGACACCTTCATCACTGACTATGTCTTCGCCTGGCTGCTCCCCAAGCGCCCCGCGCCCTATGACTTTCCGGCCACTGGCGCCAATGCGACGGCTTCTGCGCAAGCCTTCTCGACATGGTCATATAAGCCGGCAACCAAGTTCATCGGCTTCGAGCCATCCCAGCACGCCTACATGAGTGCCTTGGACCGCGACCACCCTCTGCGCCAGTTCATCACGCTTTTCCTCATCACTTGGTACGTGATACACTCTCCCGCTCCTTCCGAGAACTCCGTGACTTTGGCTAACCATACCCTTTACAGGATCTTCGGATTGGCCGTCTACTTCATCGTTGCCGCCCTATCGTACCAGTTCATCTTCGACAAGCGCACCTTCAACCACCCCCGTTTCATCAAGAACCAGGTCCGTCTCGAGATGATCTCGGCCAACAAAGCACTTCCCGTCATGGCCCTCATCACTGCTCCGATCTTCCTTGCTGAGGTCAACGGCTATGGCAAGCTCTACGACACCACCGAGGAGGGCCCTGGCCTCTGGTACAACTACTTCCAGTTCCCTCTGTTCCTCGTCTTTACCGACTTCTGCATCTACTGGGCTCATCGATGGCTCCACCTCCCCTCAGTCTACAAGTACCTTCACAAGCCTCACCACAAGTGGATTATGCCTACTCCCTTCGCAAGCCACGCCTTCCACCCGCTCGACGGATACGTCCAGTCGCTGCCCTACCACATCTTCCCCTTCATCTTCCCTCTCCAGAAGATGGCCTACGTCGCCCTATTCATCTTCGTCAACTTGTGGGCTGTCATGATCCACGATGGCGAGTACATGACCAACAACCCTTTCATCAACGGCGCTGCCTGCCACTCTCTCCACCACTCTCGATTCGAGGTCAATTACGGCCAGTTCTTCACTGCCTTTGATCGGTTGGGTGGCACCTATCGCATGCCTGAAGCCTGGATGTTCAAGCGTGAAGAGAACATGTCGCAAAAGCGTTGGAACAGCGAGGCCAAGAAGTTCGATGAGCTGGTGAAGGAAGTTGAGGGCGGCGATGATCGCACATACGATGAGGCCAAGGCGGGATCAAAGAAGACCCAATAGATGATGAGCGGGTCTCTTCGGCTTGCCGACCCCCGGTCACAATGCTCATCCTAGGGTCCTTGAAGGTCCCAGGGAGCCGGAAAATGGGGCGCGCATCAGCGGCATCTCAAAGTTGCCATGGGGGCGCTGGTCAAATCCCAGCATCCCATGTGCTCCGTCGTCCAGACGCAAAATTGACAAAACTAAGAGGGAAGAACTCGGCGTTAGAAGCCATGTTACCCCTGTACATATTTTTTGACCTGTACATATTGGTCCACACTCACTACTACTAACGGCGTTGGAGGGAGCTGACGAGATGTGAATGATTGCTTGTATATTCGATACTCCAGACAAAAAGAAATATCACGGTCCGGCGGGAAAGCTAGACCTCAAAATTTAATAATAATTGGCATCCTGAAACTCCTTACCGTGCAGACAATGACTGCATGGCTATGGGCGAATCCTCGTTCCCATTTCCTCCCAGAGACAAAACAAAAAGAAATAGTGGAAAGACAAGCAAGAAAAGTGCAACAGTTGTGCCAAGTAGTTTGATGCGATGGATGGTCCAAAGCATCAAGGGATAGTAATGACCCGCGGTCGGTCGTGGTTTTGGTGATGTTGGTAGTGGTAGTAATCGTGGTTAAGGCATTAATTAGGCGTCGCCTGATGTCGACGGGCAGTGTATAAGGGGTCTGAAACAGATCTAAATCGGTTGGGCTCCCTCTCAGGAGAAGCTCACGAATTTGGGATCCCGGGGGATGCCATCCGCGCCGATGCCGTTGGCCTTGAACCGGCTCTCCATGTACACCTTGCGCGCCTTGTCAAATGTCAGGCGGCGCTTCTTCATGATCTTGAGCACCTCGGCCTTGGCCGCATCATCCAGTCCCGCGCGGGAGTCTCCATCCTCGACGTTGCCGCTCAGATCAAACGTGCTGCTCGTCAAGCCCGCCTCAATATCGCCTGCGAAACTGTTGGGCAGCCGCGAGTAGATGTAACCTGCGCCTGGGAGGTCCGGGACGTTCGGGACCCAGCGCGAGCGGGTGAGGAAGAGCGCCGTGGCGACGATGATGAAGAAGACGGAGACGGAGTAGAGAATGTAACCCATGGTGTCGGTTTGTCGCGGGTAGCCGATAAAAGGAGCGGTCGACGGTGTTTCGCGTCAAGAGGGAGAAAAAAGGCGAGGTTCGTAATTTCAAGCTTGGGTCAAAGAGGCGGAAGCCGCGGGGGTCGCTGGTGCTGAGAAAGATGGGAGGTTGTTGCGTTTATCGGGTTCGCATGATAGGTATCAAGCCCTGCTTAGGGAGCTGGGACGTGGGTCGCGGGGAAGTCGTGGGAGAGAGAGAGAGTCAGCGAATATCTTCCCTCGTCGGAGATCCTGGATGGACGGTGATGGGATGAGGTTTGTGACAAGTGACCCGTCTCAGGTCCCAAAGGGCAGTGCTGACGTGACCCCGGGACTGCTGAAGTGGCTCCCTCCCGGCGGCGCCACCCCACAGGCACAGCCACGCGCCGGACGCCGATACGTAAGCTAATACGTTCAATAAGATGAGACTCTTTTACCTCCTTTCGTGTCTACTGCTTGCTAATGTGTTGAAATAGCACCGTACGTAACAGACAATACTGGGGTCGAATCTCCCCAGCCCATCAAGGATTCTTGAGTTCGTGAACATCGTCGGGCATCGATTGTAAGCGTGCCCCTGTAAAATCACGTGGCCAACATCAACGTCATAGTTGGCGATGGAATGCTGGGGTGTTCAGCCTGTAACTCAACGGCTTTGGTAGTACTCATCTGCCGAGACTTATTTAGTTAGTTCCAGTCTTTCATATTATTTTGGGTCTAATACGCGGTTGCTACTTTTAAGTTGAGTATGGCACTCGAAGACACACCTATTGCTATTTGCATAGATAACTACGATCTCAAAACTACTGACAATTATCTATTATCCTAATAGAGCAGCTTAGGAAGTAAGTTTTAATATCCTAATTTTTAGTGTTTATCGTTTATAATAATGATTTACTCTGATTTAATAAGAAAGGCAGACATTTTACTTTAGCCGACACTTTCGGGATAATCGAGACCATCGGTGTATGGTCATTCACTATGTCATGTTCTTGCTCGAGTCTATCGCTGTTATGTGCAGCTCTCAATATGGTGAGTAACGGAGAATGCGGAACTGATTCTGCTCTCTGGTATGATACTGAGCAGGGAACGTACCTGGCCGCTCTCAGATATTAGCACCCTCGGCTGGTCAAATTCAAGTAAAGCATGCCTTTAGGCCGACGAAGCGGCCCTCCGAGAAAACCTTTTCCGAGCGATCGCACTCATCGCTGAAGATCCGTAAGATGCCCCGATTATTGTTGAGAGCCTCGGGCAGATTAACATATAAGGAACAAGAAAATCTCCAAACGTGTTACGACTCTTTTTGAACATCTCAACCAAGAGGTGTTGATCCAGAGGCCCCTTGTCGCTTCTTTCCAACCTTGACTCCATTTTCGTTTCCTACGCCGGAGAACTCCTGCTTTATCATGTGGCATATTTCTATTCTGTGAACTGAGGTGTGAAAACGCGCAGGCACACCGCTCGCCCTCGCGAATCGAAGGATATTTTCACCAGTAGAGGCCCTGAATAATGATTTAGATATATATGACATTTCAGATATAAGACATCCTGGGCCATGAAATCAACAGCTGCTTAATTACACTTGGCTGGGAAATAAGAAGAGTCTACACACGAAGGGCAGATTGCGCGATAGTATACTGTCATTCATTTAGTTCTTTGTATATCCCAAGCCAATTAACATCCCTACACCTGCATGCTCCTCATGAGGCACACTTCTATGACGCTATTATCCGTGCTCTTTTCAGCATTCTCAGCGCCGATGCTTGAATTAAATGATCCAGGCTTCTGGCTCTCTTCATCGATATCTGGCGCTCTGTCACGCCTGGGCGGCCGAAGACGGCGTTCATGACGAAAGGCGCTGGCCTAGCTTAATTTCAAACCTAGAGGTAGAACCCCGTCGGTGGCTTCTCCGGTGCATATGTCGGCCTGAGACCCATACATCATCTGCATTAGGTCACTAGGTTCGTATGTCCCAGTCCCAAGCAGCAGTCGCGCATCCTTCGAGAAAATGTTCACTTTGGGGTGGTGAGTTTGACGACAGCCAGATTCACGGGTGGTACCCTACGACCTAATACACCTTCTCGGACATTCGCTTACGAACTCGAGGCCGACCAACATAACGGGTAGCCTATTATCAGCTTGGGTATTATCCTAGCCGCCGCAGGATCTGATGCAGATATTTCTGCATATCAAATTAGGGAAACCTCTGTGTGTTTCTAGAGCCAACGCTTTTGCAGGAAGCACACCGAGGACCAGATGTAACTTGTAAGTGACGCATACCATCTGTACGAAATCGATCAGTGAGTTGGATCTAAAACGAACTCTCCTACTTGCTCACAGTTGTTAACTGCCACAACATTGCTGCATTCCCAAGCGTCAATTAAGTGAATTACCGAAGGAGCCAGGCATCCCATCAACGAATTTACCTCAGTAGTAGATACACGCTTTGAAATAGTCATCACAATCACATAACTTTCTATTTCGGTCAGGTAGCTTTCCAGCTCCTTAAATAGATGTACACTAGCCATGTCACATTCTGCAGGGTAGGTTAATTGAAAAAGAAAAGGCACTTGAACAATGATTAGGAGAAACCAGAGCTAAATGTACCTGCCACATACACGCCAAGCAGAGGGGATTGTAGGGTTTCCAACTGTAAAACACAATCTCCCCTTTCTGTTCCAGATGTCCATCAATTATTGGGCACCCAAGAACTCTCCAGCGTTTGCTATTATACTAATCGGCCGAAGCCGCCTGTGTATGGAAGGTGACTCAAAATGCTCGCAATGTAGCTGACAGAGGTTGAGACGTGGAGCTGATGATTTTGTTTGAGTAATCGACTGTAATGAACTTGGCTTAAACATGACCTTCCAGAATTGCACTACGAGGACTATATACGCGAACAATCCAGACAATAGTCACGACTTCTTGACCAAGGTTCTTCATTCGAACTATGCTTAGCCACACAGTACGAAGTCAGCTACGCGCCCATTCTCGTTCCGAGTCTTGCGTAAAGGAAGCTCAAGTTTAGACGCTGGGTGACCAGTACTTGTCTTGTGTTAATAAAATCCTCATAACGAACATCTTCTGGAACACTCGGTTTGCTACGGGGAGGGGTGCTCTCAGGATACCGATAGTAAATTTAGCCACACCATTGATGCGTTAACCGAAACATGTTACGACCGAGTGATGCTTAATTTTTAAGATGATATATCATTATTCATTTCTTTACCATGCTTGAGTTATTCAACGAAGAGTTGTAATAGGAGTACAGAAGTATAACAGTGAGAGCGGTGTTATCATGAATTCATATCATTTACCATTTTGTTTGATAGTGTTAACTGCGACATGCACATCAAATATACACCCAATAATTTAGCTTAATTGCGGTCACAGAATATCATTCCAGTATCATAAATGTATTTAGGTAGCTCTATGTGATATTCATATTTCAGGTAAGCATGTGACTTGCATGAACAACTGATTTTCAATAGCCTTACTCTTTTCCCCTTTAGCCCGAGCTCAACATGACTTGATCTTTGCCGCACAGCCGATACGAAAATCTCTACACTCGATCCTAAATATGGAGCAGACTACTCTTGACCCCATTGACAACACGATCGAGGCCTCCAGCCTGCATCTCACGAGTACTTGATTGATGCAGGAGCGTAGTGCTGGCTTCCTTGACACAATAACAATTTGACAAGATTAGACTGACGAATTCTTCAGTAGTCCAATGTTGTCCTTTGTCGGTTGGTTCCGACTTGGACTGTAGATCAACACTAGTGACCACAATATTGATGGGTCTAAGGTAGTCAACCTCTCGCCATTATAATTCTAAAAGTCTGTCCGAGGCGTAATGAAGAAGGAGTTCCATTGGAACCGATCAATCGCCGCATATAGCTAATATAACAATTACAGGGACTGGTTGAAATGGGTCAAGAAAATCCGCATTGCAATCGTCTGGCCCATCGCATCTGGACAGCCCGGAACAGAAGGGCAACCGACAGATCAAGTCGTCGTTAGTTAGTAGAGTGGATGTGATATCTGCCATAATTGCTCCTAACACATTATATTTGAGCGACCTATGAGCCACGAATTCAATTGGCCCTCCAGTCCAGTGGTCCAAGGCGCGGAATAGATGTCATCTACACGACGGATAAGTGGTGGCTGGTTGAGATTTAGATGATCAGATGGGAGGGCTGGGATGAAGTGACAAATACTCTACAAGTAAGAGAGAGGCGGACTAGTGAACAGTCTGGTGCTGAGGCTACTACGAATAGATCACTGCTAGGCGCAGTGAGGTTTGCGATGTCTTACAATGTTCTCATCCATCACAATCACAACTAAGTTTGGTGTGGAAAAGCCAAAGAAGCATGGAAAGATTAGGGCTGCTAGGGAAGCTGATAATCAGAAAAAATCAGTGCTTGAGAGTCAAGTATGTGACTGCAAGATCCTCCCCGTGAGAGATCAGAATGAGCCAGGCTCGGATGAACCCGTCTTCGTCGTAGATCGGTGGTGTGGAGTATTCAATTACCAGCGCCAATTGATAAGACTTATCAGAGGAGGGGCTCCGAAAGATGGAGGTCACGTGTTGAGCGTGTGGGTGTGGGTCTCAACTTAGCCGAACGCACAACGGGATTTTGACACTTGAAGTTGGCAGTTGAAGAAGCTCTGAAGAAACCTCATCGTCGGCGTCGCGAAATCACCTCCCGGGAAAACCAAAAATCACAATGTCTGCTGCTTCGCTTCCTAACGTGTCCTCGGACCTGATCTGGGAGATCGTCCGTGAGTCCCCGACCCAAAAACTCGAATGCTTCGAGTTGCGTTGTGCGCGATGATGGTACTGAGACTGGGTCTTCCCGATGCGCAGGAAACAACAACTCCTTCTACGCCAAGAGCAAGAAGAACGGTGGTGTCCAGTTCTCCCGCGACCCCCTCAACCTGACCAACAAGGTCAGCCGCAAGGTACGATTATAGCGATGGAAATAATGTTCCCTCTTTGTGGGGGACTGGCTCGCGAAGCAATCATAGCTAACATATCGACACGACAGTACGCCGGTTTCGTCAACGAGAAGGTACGCCCGCGATACACATGATGAATATTTGCGCGAATGATCCGAAACTAAACAGCTGGAATTGATAGGCCGTCGGTGTTACCGCCAACGAGAAGGGTGGCGTTGTTGTCATCAGCAAGAAGGCCGGCACTGCCAACAAGCCCGCCCAGAACCTGACTGAGACCACCGTCACCAAGGCCAGCCGAAAGTGAGTTTTGGAAGATATTTACTATTAACCCTCCGCGGGAGCAGGGTTCTCGCGAACGAACAAATGCTGACCAGATTACTCCCCGAAACAGGACCTACCTTACTGTTGCCAACCAGACCGCCAAGAACGGCTACCGTGGTGACCTCCGCGCCGCTGCCGTCGAGCGTGCTTCCGCCATCCGCCGATCCCAGAAGCCTGTCAAGGCTGACCACGAGGTCAAGCTCCGAGGCAACAGGGCCAAGAAGGCCGCTGCCGCTGAGGAGAACTAAGCGATGGGACAACAGTGATGAGGGATCGCACGGGACGTGGGTTTGGGACATGAGCCAGGAAGGCAGCCTGTGTAGCTCTCGTGATTAAAGGATATCAGGAGGGCGAGGAGCATCAACCGAGGTTCTCTGGGTCTGGGTCATGGCTGGAGTTAGCATTTGAGCTGAAAATGAAAAGAATATATCCGGCCCAAGATCACGCCGGTAACCCAATCCAATCCAACCCAATCCAAGCCGACATGGTCCGTTTGCAAGCAGACGGACAATCAATTAGACACGAGTGCGTATCAAAAACACCCGGCTCGTGTCCACATGTAAGCGTATGAGGCCTGCGACAAGTAACTGGGTCGCGGTGAAAGATGTCCGACCCGGCTGATGGATCGGACCGCACGAGATACCGAGGATCTAGCCTGGGGAGTCGGTGGCCGAGGATGACGATACGATAAATCGACGTCACAGGCACGAGCCCCGGCGAGGTTCGGGGCAGTTAGTCGTAAGAACAAGGTGAGATCCCGGGAGTAAATCATTTCCGAGCAAGGCTGCGACGGGAATGATAGCCGCGGATCGGGAATTAAGCTGAGCCACGGCAGCAACAGGGCGCGCCACGCCCGCAACTTGTCCGAGGTGTGCTAAGTAAACGAGAAACATGCCCCTGACGTAGGTCCTGCGATAAATTCACCCGCTGCATGAGCCGAGAGGGCATCAAGGGTCGCACTTTGTATTCCGGATTCTTTTTTGGCAGTCGTTCGGAAATCGAAGCCCTCACTTGGAAGTACTGGTACAGCCATCTGGGGATGTGGGCTGGGTTGATCTGACTGACCGACACCGCCAGTGACGGTCAACCAACTAGCCACTCAGCCGCCATTTTTGTTTTGTTTTTGTTGTCCCCCTCACCTCGGCGTGCTGCAGTCATATGCGTGCAAACTGCAAGGGGTTGGAATGACAGCGAGAGAGACAAGGCGTGGGCCGTGTCTGGGTCTTACGGGATGGAATTACTTTATACTACACACACTTTATCATTGTTGTATAACGGATAACTGCACCGACCACAGCTGCACACCAAAATTCAAGAAAAGTTGGCACATACTCTGGAGCCTTGTCGTGTAATTGGATCTGGGTGGAGCTATAGGGTATTATTTCACGATGCCCCTCATATGTAATCACATCCCTATCGTTGTGTTCTGGACTCGGACTAAACGCCGACTCAACACTCGGCCTCGACGGCCGTTCAGTGGTGGGAGGTGGGTTTTTTGCGCGCACCACTGACGTGGGCACGGGCTGATGGGATGGCGTCAGGGCTAACGCAGTTTCGAGACGAGAGCCTCCATTGCGACAATGGGGTTTGTTTCGTTACGAGTTTTGGCTGCGGTAGCTCAGGAATTAGGTTATAAGGCGCAAACGTACGAGCCGCGTTACCCAGAATGTAGCCATTTCAATTTGATTCATCATGGACTTATTCTTAAGCGTGCACTGCTACTATTCCTGGGTTCCTTGGTTTGACAGGGAACGGGGGGACAAGGACGTGCCCAAAGCTCGTCTTTGCGGCGCGGCGGGATATACGTGATTCCCCAGTGACTCAATGCGCGTGGCAGATATGTATTAGCACCATCTGAGGACGCATGGAGCAGGTGTACGCACCGTCCTGTCGCCCATATGCACCCTGGAGAGGAGGTGACAGGGAGGGGCGGGAGGGGCCTTACGGTCCAAGTGCCCAAGCAACAGCCTCCTATTACTGGCAGTCGTAAGGTTGGGCCAGTTGGTGAAGGGGGAACGGGAACGGGCGACCGGGAACCACGGGGTTGGACTGGGCCCGTTTGATGGATCATGGGGTTGGAGTAGAGAAGAGTAAAATTTCAGGAGACAGTCAACATCAGTCATTCGCCATTTCCACGATTTCCCTCTCTCGGTCTCCCGCGCTCTGGGAGTCTAGTCTATACCCGCTCTCACTCGACTGGAGCGGATCGTCGAGGCGGCGCGGGGCAACCAGCCAGCAACCTCCTCATCCTCCACGTATTTTTTTTTTCTTTTCCTCGCTGCTGCTACCTCTGTTATTTGTCGCACTTGGGTCCCCGTTGATACATATCGGCTTCTATCTTCCATCTGGCAGGGTATGTGGGCGAATGCGGTATTAGATCTTGATGATTGGCCGGGCCATGCAGTAGCAAACCAGGCTACTGTATGAATTTGCTTAACAATGTTTAGCTGGCCGAGTGATGAGTTTGATGTCCCTCACCTCGCACCCCTCCACCTTGATCCCTTGATCGCTGGCCGCAGTGTGGGAATGGGTTGGGTTGTCCTCCTCTGTGTTGGTGGCGGCGCCTTCCATTGCCCCTCACTGCATGCGGCGGTCTCTCGCCGTCTCGGAGAAGCGACTCGACCAGCAGTAGGGGAAGGCACCCCGGTCGCGGTTGCTGTGTGCCCCTCCTTTCCACATTGTAGGTCAGTCTGCCTCCCCCGCCCCGTCCTTACCCCTCCCCACTAGAGCTCTTTTGCGACCACCAGCTGCCCGCCCGCGTCGCACCCACGGAGACAGCGCGCACATGCCAGCTACCTATGCGCGCGCCAGCAAGGTGTGGAGGTGAGGATGCGTCGAGGTACCTGGACCTTGATTCCCGGGGGACTCGGAGTTGGCGTAGGCGTATGGCTCCACGGCAGAGCGAGGCCGCGCTGGATTGAGTTGTGCGCGACCAAGGTGGCCACTGCGGCGTCGGCGTCCTGAGACGAGACACATGGTAATAGGTAACTCAGGTGGATGCAATGTGGATGATGTGGGATAGGATGAAATGCGGACGGGGAAATGGAGTACCTTCATCGCAGATACGAGTTCCTGACCGTGCCAGAGCAGGCAATAGGCACAAGCAGGGCCTGTGGAGGTACATCCCGCCAAGCTCTCTTCTCTTTACCTCAAGAGGTTTACCTTCCATAGCTCCCACCACGGTCAGCATTATTAGCACGACGCCGGAGTACCGGTACCTTGCTGTCTCTCCCCCGTATGTGCGTGCGCCATCCTGACCTCTCGTCCGTCCCTCCGCATTGCTTCCCGCCCTGCGCTTGGGCTTGGGTTCCGCGCCGCGTTCCCCGTTCCATCTCCCACCTCCCTCCCACCTTGACTTTCAAAACCTCTCTCCTTCGCCCCTTCTTCTTCTTCTCCTTCCTCTCCTCCTCTCTATTCTACATCATCCCAAAACTCACTTTCTCTCCTCCCCATCTCACTCCAACTCCTCCTCACAACTCAAACCCCACACACCCCACACACACAAACCGCCATCATGGTCAAGGCTGGTACGTACGGGAATCGCATCGCATCATTGCGCTCAACCCCGCGCCCCCTTTGCTGCCATCTGCAATATTCGTGCAGTCTTTGCGACTAACTCTCCATCACAGTTGTTGCGGGCGCCGCTGGTGGCATTGGGCAGGTACGACAGCTCCCCTCATTTCGCCCACCGCTTACGGCCTCAAGCTCACATCTTTTCTCTCTCGATATAGCCTCTCTCCTTGCTGCTCAAGCTCTCCCCTCTCGTCGACGAGCTCGCATTGTATGACGTAGTAAACAGTTTGGGGATTTCCAGTGATCTATCTCACATCTCATCCGCCGCCGTAAGTTGCTTCTCCATCCCCAAGAGGGGCCATCTCCCGTTCCCCCGAGGTTCGACTAGCTTGCTGATACCTCTCTGCAGAAGACGACTGGCTACCTGCCTGCCAACGACGGCGCTAAGACCGCGTTCAAGGACGCCGACATCATTGTCATCCCCGCTGGCATCCCCCGTATGTCCGCCCATACCCCGGACTCCCGTCCCCCGGACATCTCTCCCGGACGCCCGACCCCAGACCCTTCTCCGCGTTGTCTGGTGTGCTGACTTCTTTCCCCGCATAGGCAAGCCTGGCATGACTCGCGATGACCTCTTCAAGATCAATGCTGGCATTGTCAAGGGTCTCATCGAGGTCGCCGCCGAGGTCGCCCCCAACGCTTTCATCCTCGTCATCTCCAACCCCGTCAACTCCACTGTCCCCATCGCCGCCGAGGTCCTCAAGGCCAAGAAGGTTTTCAACGCCCAGCGCCTCTTTGGTGTCACCACCCTTGACATTGTCCGTGCCGAGACCTTCGTCGCTGAGATTGTCGGCGAGTCTAAGCCGCAGAACCTGACCATCCCTGTCATTGGTGGTCACTCTGGCGAGACCATTGTCCCTCTTTTCAGCAAGGCCAGCCCTGCTGTCTCTATCCCCGATGACAAGTACGACGCTCTCGTGAACCGCGTTCAGTTCGGCGGTGACGAGGTTGTCAAGGCCAAGGATGGTGCTGGTTCCGCCACCTTGTCCATGGCCTATGCTGGTTTCCGGTAAGCGAAACCCCACCCCTGCCTGGTCCGATCCGTTAGCCCGCAATGACTGACACGCCATGTCCAGATTCGCCGAGAAGGTCCTCCGTGCGGCTAAGGGCGAGAAGGGTCTTGTCGAGCCCAGCTACGTCTACCTGCCCGGTATCTCTGGTGGTGAGGCCATCGCCAAGGAGACTGGCACCGACTTCTTCTCTGTTCCCATTGAGCTTGGCGTAAGTAGAAATTTGGATATGTGTTTTGGTTGATATGTGCATTTGACTAACTGTGTACAGGCCAACGGTGCTGAGAAGGCCATTAACCCCCTGGAGGGCATCACCGAGAAGGAGAAGGCGCTTCTGACCAAGTGTATTGATGGTCTCAAGGGCAACATCGTCAAGGGTGTCGAGTTTGTCCACAACCCTCCCCAAAAGTGAATAACCCTTTTACACCATCCCCAACAACCAACCTAGTAAGCGGCTTCCTGAGGAGGCAAGGGTACTCCCAGGGTCCATAGCTATGGCGCTAGACATAGTAAAATGAATTTTAAAGACCCGGCTGCTGATGATCTCCTTTTCTCACAGGTTGTGAAATGTCTAGACGTTTATTACGTCGGGTTGCATATCATCCGTTTCTCTCCCCAGGTCCTCGTTCAGGTATGGCTGCAGGTATGTATTGGCGGAGGATGGCAGGTTGGACAGGGTGAGCAGGTAGGGTCTCAGGTATTGGACTGGGGTTGGTTGGTTTCGTGCATATGGTCGATGGCGCATTGTGGCTGGTGCGCGGTGAGAGTATCATGAGCAAGTAGACCTCTCTCTAGGGCTTATTAGGGATAGTCTTAATTTGAAACACGGCTCCTGGCAATTCATTTATCTCAGCTTGGACGGTTGTTTTGATGCCTAAAGCTGCTAGAGCTCCTCGGACGATACCGCACGGAAACCAGAGGAACTGTAGAATGGCGCCGTCTCGGTCAGCTTGCGAATTAGGTAGGTTCGGAAGGGGTCGGGAGACGTTACCGGTTGTGCGCGGACTATTGCCTGTCCGCCCGCCTCGGTACTCATGCGCGAGAAGGGCCGGAAGGCGTTATCTGTCAAAACGTAGACGCCCTGGTAGTTGCATGAGCATAAGTGGTCTGGAATAGCACCATGGGGTCCCAATAATAACAACTTACTCTATGATTTGTCTTGAGATTGTCAATGTTCTTGCCAAACACGAGGGACCATAGGTCCTTGCAGAGGAACTTGATGACATCGAGCGTGTCGTTGAACCGCGGCCGGTCTCTCGAGAACCTACAACATCCACACATCAGCAACCAGGCCACTTACGGGCGCCTTCCCGGGTGTTTCTCTGACCTTTCAACAAGCCCCTGTCCGACTCGGTAACCCAGCATCTCCAGACGGTAATGTACGGCATCCAGATCCTCCTCCTCGTCCATCTTTCTAGTGCCCGGAGCGGAGACAACTCCGGCGGCGTTGGAGCTCACAGCATGGCTGGTGGATGCAACATCTGTCGGGGCACTTGCAGGTTCGAGCACGGCGGCATCGCGGTCGTGGGTGACGCGGTAGGCGAGGGGTACGAGCTCGATGAGGAGGAAGTCGAGGCACGAGGAGCTGAGGAAGTTGGCGGAGGGGTCGGAGGAGTTGTAGGGGGGCATGACGGGTTCGAAGGACATATTTGCGGTTTGAAAGTAGGTTATGGGACTAGGGCGTTGGCATTGGGGGTAGATAATGGGGAATATTAGATCTGAGGTGGTCGTTGAGGTTGAGCTGCACTGTGATGGTTGACCTCCTGGCGCACTCCTCCCTTACTGGAGCTCAGTGAGCTCAACGTATCGTAGGAGTGGTGGTCCAGGGTAAGATGTGGACGGCACGTGTTGATAAGGATGCTCAATGGGTTCTTATCAAGGGGATAAATGTCTTGGCAAACGCGGGGGCACTACGTACCTAAAGAGGGTCGCATGTTAGGGAAGGGAAAAAACACAGCGCGGGGCAGTTGCGATGGCGGCGGGAGTAAAAAAAAAAATAGCTGCAGCGCAATTTATTCTCGACCAGCCAGCCACATAATCGATTCCCTCCCCCAGAGCTGGTCATCTCTCGCGAGCCCGGGCCAATTGCAACCGCTTGCTTTTGCAAATCGCGATCCTCCAAGCGCATGCGCCAGTGAGGGTTTCTGGGAGCAGCACCTACCCACCTAAACACTCGAGTCTCGAGACGGCTTAACCCCGCCAACGACCCACGACGCAGTTCTTGGACCCCGCGACACCATGGCTGATCTCCGAATCCTCCTCATCGGCAACGGCGGCCGCGAGCACGCCCTCGCCTGGAAGCTGAGCCAGTCTTCCCGCGTCGAGCAAATCTTTGCCGTACCCGGAAACGGTGGCACGGCCTCGTGCCCCAAGGTCGCCAACGTCGGCTCCGTCAAGGCTGATGACTTCGCTGGACTCGTCAAGTTCGCCCAGGACAACCAGATCAGCCTCGTTGTCCCCGGCCCCGAGGCACCTCTTGTCGATGGTGTTGAAGGCTGGTTCAAGAATGCTGGCATCCCTGTCTTCGGCCCCTCCAAGGAGGCCGCTCGTCTCGAGGGTAGCAAGACCTACTCTAAGGACTTCATGAAGAAGTTTGATATCCCTACCGCCGCCTACGAGAACTTCTCCGACTTCGACAAGGCCGTTGCCTATATCAACAGCATCAGCCACGACATCGTCATCAAGGCCACCGGCCTGGCGGCCGGCAAGGGAGTCATCCTTCCCCAGACCAAGGACGAGGCCAAGGCCGCTCTCAAGCAGATCATGGTGGACAAGGAGTTTGGCGATGCTGGCAGCGAGGTCGTCATCGAGGAACTCCTCATTGGCGATGAGCTCAGCGTTCTCACCTTTTGCGACGGCTACGCCTACCGATCTCTCCCGCTTGCCCAGGACCACAAGCGCATCTTTGACGGTGACCTGGGTCCCAACACTGGTGGCATGGGCTGCTATGCTCCCACCAACATTGCCACCAAGGAGCTCACCGAGCAGATCGACCGCGAGATTCTCGAGCCCACCTTCGCTGGTATGCGTCGGGAGCAACAGCCATTCCGAGGTGTTCTCTTCACCGGCCTCATGATCACCAGCGCCGGCCCCAAGGTGCTAGAGTACAACGTTCGCTTCGGTGATCCTGAGACCCAGACTGTTCTTCCTCTGCTGTCTGCTGATACTGACTTGGCCGATGTCATGCTTGCTTGTGCCAACGGCTACCTCGATAACTGCAACCTGACCATTGAGAACAAGTTCAGCGCCACCGTTGTTCTCGCTTCGCCCGGTTACCCTGGCTCATATCCCAAGGGAGCTGAGATGTCTGTCCAAACTGCCCCTGAGGGGTGCACCATCTTCCACGCTGGCACCACCCTCGATGGCAGCGTGTTGAAGACCTCTGGCGGTCGTGTGATTGCCATCAACGCTGTTGGAGACTCCCTCCGTGCTGCTGTCGATGCTGCCTACGCTGCCCTCGACGCCAAGGTCATTGATTTCGAGGGTGCTTTCTACCGAAAGGACATCGCTTACCGTGCTTTCCGAGACACCAAGCAGGCGAGCATGACCTATGCCCAAGCTGGTGTGGACATCCAGGCCGGCAACGACTTTGTCGACAAGATCAAGAAGGCCGTTGCCAGCACCAAGCGGGCTGGTGCCGATGCCGAGATTGGCGGCTTCGGCGGAGAGGTTGACCTCTCCAAGTGCGGCTTCCCTGATGCCCCTATCATGGTCGGCGCCATTGACGGCGTCGGCACCAAGCTCATGATTGCCCAGGCCATGAACAAGCACGACACCGTCGGCATTGATCTGGTCGCCATGAACGTCAATGACCTGGTCGTCCAGGGCGCCACCCCCCTCATGTTCCTCGACTACTACGGCTGCAGCAAACTCGAGCTTTCCACTGCGGCCGCTTTCGTCGAGGGTGTCGCCACTGGTTGCCGTCAGGCTGGATGTGCCCTTGTCGGCGGCGAGACGGCCGAGATGCCCGGCATGTACCAGAAGGATGACTACGATGCCGCCGGCTGCGCTGTTGGCACCGTCACCAACGCCGGCCGCCTCCCCCGTTTGGATGCCATGGTCGAGGGCGACGTGCTCCTGGGTCTCGGTTCTGCGGGTGTCCACTCCAACGGCTTCTCCCTAGTCCGCCGCATCGTCAAGAGCGCCGGCCTCAGCTACACCACCCCCGCTCCCTGGGACCAGTCTTTGTCCATCGGCGAGTCTCTCCTTACCCCTACTCGCATCTACGTCAAGAGCCTGCTCTCCGTTCTGGGCCAGATCAAGGGTCTCGCCCACATCACCGGCGGCGGTCTCCTCGAGAATGTGCCCCGCATGCTCCCCGAGGCCCTCGCCGCCGAGATCGAGTTTGGCTCCTGGGAGATCCCCCCGGTCTTCAAGTGGCTCAAGACGGCCGGTAACGTCACTCCTACCGAGATGTGCCGCACCTTCAACTCCGGCATTGGCATGGTCATCGCCGTCGAAGCTGCCCAGGCGGAAGCCGTCGCCCAGACCCTTTCCGCCGCTGGAGAGAAGGTCTTCACCATTGGCCGTCTGGCCCGCCGAGACCAGGGCGAAGCTTGTCTGATCCACAACGTGGATTCTTGGAGCTCCGAGGCGGGACTGCCCGTGAAGCGAAAGGCGGATTTGGCGTTGTGATTTAGAATAGGCGATTTCTCTCTGGTTAGGAGATGCTCGGATGACATGGCGATTTAGATTTTAAAAAGAAAAACGGACACCTTCAAGAGGCGGTTTAGATTGATGAGATGTCATGGATGGATGAATTGGATGGGATTGGATGGGATGGGATGCCATTGGCTTAGTTACTCCCTATGAATGACAACACACTGGTGTTTTTTTTTGGATCGCTTATATGCTTTCAACATTTTTATCATTTCGTCTCCTCTCTGCGATAATGTGTCTGGAAAACCTATATCCTTCCTCACTGTCCGTCCATGCATCCTGTCCATGCAACCATGCCGTCTTATGCAACAGTCGTTGACTCTTATCCCCATAACTCCCCTTCAGTTATGGTCGTAGTCCCTCCCCATACTCCGCGACACTAACCGAAGATAGTAAAATCAAAAGAGCCACCTCGAGTTTCGGGCAACAGGGGAATCTTTTCCGTCTCCTCGAACGCCGTACTGGACCAATGCAAAATAGTGAACAAGCAAAAAAGTAAAAAAATAAACAGAGAGCCAAAAGCTGCCGAAGACCAGAGGTGGCCCTCTCTCCAAACCCGTTATGCGCAGCTGCGCCGCCTGTGCACCTTCTTCGGCTTGCGATGTTTCACTCGCCGTCTGCGCGACTGGTCAGAGTCTTCCTAAGACGGGTACCCAAGCGTCTCGTTCAGGAAATCCAGGTTGTCCGGGCTGTGGAAGCCATTGGTGGAAGTGTTCTGCCTCTTGGTGGGTCGCTGGATAGGCTCGTCATCATCATCATCTGATGAGAGAGTGAGGTCTATAACGGCGGCTGCAGGCCGCTTAGCACTGGTTGACGCGACTCCTCGTGGACCAGCTGAGATGGGTGTGCTGGTGCTAGATGCGGCGTTCTTTGGGGTTTCAAGCCGGCGGCCGATAATATTGACCTCCGAAATCTCCAGGTCGTCGTCATCGTCGTAATCATCATTGTCGAATTGAGATTGTTGAGACTGGGACGCATGTTTATCTCGTTCGTCATCACTGGTCTTGATATACCACTTTCCAGAAGGCTCAATAGTCACCGTCTCTAAACTCTTTGGCGTATTGCTGAGAATATCCTTGACATATCTAACAGGCAGACTTATCAACACTCAAGAACGGGACCGTGGTATTGCGTGTACGACTTACTCATCAACCGCGAGTTGCTCAAAGGGCGCGGACTTATTACAAATGGGGCAAAGCCACTGGGGGCCTTGTTCCTGGAGCTGGAGATAGGACGTGGCATCAAAGCATTGGATGTGCGCGCAGCTGAGGCCACGGCAAGGAAGGTCGAGGCGCATATACGAGAGAGGGCACTTGAGGGATAGCACCTGAGAAGTCGCGACGACGTCCTGGTCCTGGGCTTTCTCGGTAACTGCGTGTCATTAGCATCGTAGCCAGCTTTGCTATCAGTTGGCTGATACTTACATTCTTGAAGGACGGATTGTATAGGTATCCTCTTGCCGGAGGAAATACGGGTGACCAACTCCTCGACAGAGGTAACCTTACATAGGTTGACAACGAGGAAGAATTTCTGTATCCCTCAAAGAGTTAGCAAAAGTTCTAGAGCCACAAGACTTGCGCCAAGATTGACGGGGGCATCCTGACATGACGGCCACCTGCCTTATTTGTCAACGCATAAGTGAATTCGAGATTATTCGTGTAATTGGGTCTGAGGCGAAGCGCGTTGGTGATGTCAACCGGTCTAGTAGAGCCAGGTTTGTTCTTCAGTCCGCGTAGGTTCGCCTTGACCTCGCCAGAGTTGACGCGCAACTCGGACTGGTGAGGAAAAGCAATGTCCTGCATTCCAATGTTGTCACCCGCGCAAAAGACCATCACTCTGTAGGATTTGTCGTTAACGCACTGCTGCAGAGATGGGTGGTCGTGGAGTTTGAGCGGGATGGTGACGGAGTTGCGGTGCTGGGACATGGCTGGGTTGAAGTTAGTAACGTGAATTTACGAACACGAACCCTGGATTGGTTCCAGCTATGACTTACCATCGCAAGTATGCACATCGCTAACGGAAGCCTCAATCTTGTAAAAGGGGCTTGCCTTGAAGCTCACGTTTGGCCGGGACCCAGTCATGGTGGTCCGATGGGCAGGGCGAGAGGCGCTGCCGTCACGCGAGAAGTTGGTTGAGAAGGATATGGGTTGTGGCAGATGCGGCGACGCGAGGGCATGACCATGAGCGGGCGAGTGGTTGTGTGAATGGCTTGCTCGGGCGGGCGAGGCTCCAGCAGCAGGCGCATTCGAGATTGCGTTCTGTACGCTCTGGCGGATCTGCTGGAAGCGCAACGGGTCTTGGGCGATAACGGCTTCTTCGATGACTGTGCGACGGATAACGGGGTCAGTGGTGTGATCCAAGAGCGAATGAAGAGGCGAGATAGAGATGATGCTGAAGGGATACTGGCTGAGGCGGGAGGGAGGGGTAAGGTTAATTAAGGTAAGGTGGTGGTGAGGCAGAAGTGAGGCCGTTTGAGACAAGGCTGGGGGTGCAAGATTGGTAAGTCGAAGGCGGAGGCGCGAAGACTCACGAGTAGCGATGCGATTCTGCAGCTCGGCCTTGATGCCGGTGCTCTTAATTCCGTTGACCTGGCAAACGGACGAAAGCTGGCGGTTGAGAAGTCGGTTAACCTGCCGCACGAGTTGGCTTGCTTCATGTCGCGAGACCGAAGCTGCGGGTGATGAGCCTGGGGCCGCAGCCGAACCCAGGCTGGAAGACGATGCCATGGCGTGTGTTTGTGTTGGCCGTGTCCGTACCCGCTCGTTGCCTGAGGAAGCGGATGTGTGCAAGTGCAGGTGCGATTGTGGAAGTCGAGCGCAAAGGAAGGAGCGAGGGCAGTCGCGAGGGCAGGCGCAAGGGTGCGCGCGAGGAAAGTGCCGGTGCGAGTGCGGCGTCGAGGCTGGCAGCGCAGCCGCATCCAAGGCAGTCACGACCAGGCAGGCAGGTTGGCTGGGGCAGTGCTTGTGAGAGCAAAGTGACAGATACGGAGAAGGAAAGACCGATCAAGAAACTGCAGCTGCGATCGGACGGGAAAGACGACTCTGCAGTGCAAGGGATCCGGCACAGACGTGCTCTCTCTCTCACTCCTCTTCCTTCGCGGCCGGGGTACTCGGGACTCAGGGTGGTCTCGAGTCTCGACTTTTGATGTCATGCTCGCCCAGGAATCCCAGACACCTGGGCGTCCAGAAAAAGAAGGCGGTCATGGGCGGCAGAAACGGACATTTTCAAGCCCAGTGGCCCATCGCTCCAGGGGTTCGCCCATTGACTACACTAGCCACATATGCCGCCACAGCCTTGCCGCCCCTCCACCACTGCTCAAGCGTCGCCAACTACTTTTTTTTTTTCACTTGATCTTATCGGACTCCCCGCCAATCTACGATACGATCATCCATCTTCTCTCAAACAAAAACCACATCAGCAACAATGGCAAAGAGTGCCCGTGCAAGCTCCAGAAAGGCCAACAACCAGCGCCTGGCCGCCAATGTCTTTGGTCCGGTCGAGGCTGCTCGTGCGGAGCGCCTCCACGCCAAGCTGCTCGAGTTGGCCAAGCAGCCCAAGCCCGAGTCCTCGGATATCGCCATGGACGGTGAGTGAAGAATGGGATACGGCATCGACGGACCATGTTCACTAACTCATTACTACAGCCGCGGAAGGTTCCGCTGACGCCGACAAGGAGGACAAGGCCGAAGGCGATGAGACCAGTAAGTCACCCTGCCATCCACATACATGGAATGCTGCTGACACTCTCCTTCTCATAGCCATGGATGTAGATGCGAAGCCTTCCAAGGCGCGCATTGGCAAGAAGCGTGTTGACAAGAGGAGAGTCAAGAAGGCCGGCATTGTCTTCCGAAAGTACAGTGACCGAATCGCGGCCAAGAAGAAGAAGGCTGCTTCTTCAACATCAGCAGCGACGGCTTAACTTTTTATTATTGTTCAAGGTCTCATTGTTTAGCAAATATGAATTTCATCCGTGATACCCTACATCACAATCCCAGATATTTTCACTCGTCCCCAAGATCTCGCTGGGACCAGCCTTGTGTGGCGCAGCACCCCGTATTTCGTAGGCCAATCACCGTCATTACCGGCCCGTCGCAACCTCTATGGCCCAGCAAGGCTGGCCAACAATAGCGGCGCATTCATCCACGACACGACACGTCTACCTCTTCCAGTATCGTAGCTTGGCGTGGCATCCCGATGGCGAATTCATCATAGTTGCGCTTCTCTAAAATTTCCCTTTTCGTACTTTCTCTTCCAAGTCATTCGTTGCACTGGCCCCGATTCCCCGGAGATGGTCGCCCCTAATCATGGGTCCTCGCTCTTGTCCAGCCTGCTGCTCGCCGCGGCCAACATCTTGATCCCCGTCTCCATTCTCGTCTTCGCCACCGGCTTCTTCCCATACAAGCCATTTCTGCCCGGATTGGCCGAGTTTGAGCCTCTCGAGTATGGGCCGCCGCCTCCGGCGCCGTTTGATCGCCTAATCTTTATGGTTGTCGATGCTCTGCGAAGGTAGTGCTGACCATGACACGCCTCACCAACACCACTAACCTCTGTCCCTCATAGCGACTTTGTATATTCGGAAGATTCAGGTTTCCAATATGTGCAAAGGTAAGACATTGGTTTGTCTGGCTACCATTCCACCAGTTGCTCACATAAACCCAGCCTTATTCGAGATGGCAGTGCCATCCCCTTCACGGCCAACGCCAGGTCGCCCACCGTGACCATGCCGAGGATCAAGTCCATGACCACTGGCTCTATCCCCTCATTTGTCGATCTCATCTTGAACTTTGACGAGTCCGACACCTCGTCCACGCTCGCTGCCCAGGACACGTGGCTCGCTCAGATCAAGGCCAAGAACATGGGCAAGCTTCTCATGTATGGCGATGATACCTGGCTCAAGCTCTTCCCAAACACGTTCGACCGCCAGGATGGAACCACTAGCTTCTTCGTTGCGGTTTGTTGCTTCTTAGACATCTCGTCACTGGGCAATTACTGACGCCAAACAAGGACTTTACCGAGGTGGACCACAATGTCACCAGAAACATTGCCGGTGAACTCGACAATAATGATTGGGGCTTAATGGTCCTTCACTACCTTGGCCTCGATCACATCGGGCACAAGGCTGGGCCCCGAAGGTAAGCCTCCACAAAACTAAATCTCCCTACTTGCTGACCTCTGAAGCTCCAACATGGTCCCCAAGCAGCGTGAGATGGATGGCATTGTCCAGGTCCTCTTCGAATCAATGGCGTCCAAAAAGCACCTCGACTCAACCCTACTCGTCCTGTGCGGTGATCACGGCATGAACGATGCTGGAAATCACGGTGCCTCCTCGCCCGGCGAGACATCTCCCGCTCTGGTTTTCGTGGCCCCAAAGCTAAAGACAATCTCAACCAAGCTCCCTGCGCCCGTACAGCCCAAGGGCGAGTTCGAGTATTATTTCATGGTTCAGCAATCGGACATCGCGCCAACAATCGCAGCGCTTCTCGGGTTCCCCGTCTCGAAGAACAACCTCGGGGCCCTCATCCCTGACTTCCTCCCCTTCTGGCCGAAGACTAGCGACAAGATCCAGATTCTGGTTCGCAATGCTCGTCAAATTCTCAACATTGTCACCGCTGCTTTCGGCAGTGAACTCTTTGACGCAGAGAGCGGATCTGATCCCTGCGCCTTGGAGTCAAGTGAGATAAACGACTTGGCCTGCCAGTGGCAGAAGATTGACAGCCAGGCGCGTTCACTCGCAGGCGTCAAGGAGATAGACCAGGACTGGCTCGATGCAATGTCAAAGTGGTTGCGCCGAGCACAAGACCTGATGAGCAGCATGGCCTCCAACTACGACATGCCCAGGCTGTTTCTAGGCCAAGGTGCGGCCCTGGCTGCTGCCATCGCTAGCGGAATCGCTGTGATCCGATTCAGCTCGCCTCAGCAGGGACCTTTAACTCCGCTGATTCTCGTCACATTGTTGTATGGAATCATGATGTTTGCCAGCAGCTATGTTGAGGAAGAGCAACATTTCTGGTATTGGTCTTCGTCCGTCTGGATCGCTTTCCTTGGCATTCGCCACGTCCGAAGGTATGTTCCCTGTGTCAAACGTTCTACAGAGCTGCAATACTAACTGCACGGCAGATCAACTGAGTTACCAAACTTCACTTGGTTCATCTTCGCCTTGGCCGCTCTAAGAGCCACCAGGGGCTGGAATCAAACCGGCCAAAAGTTTGCGGGCGAGCCAGACATCGTCAAGACATTCCTCATTCCCAACCCGCAGCTCCTCTGGCTCGTTATCACTGCGGCCTACATCATGCTCTCATTCCGCATCCTCTCCCGCCTTGAAAGTCTCCCTTACTTCGCCAGCACGTGCCTCACCTCCCTCTTCCTCACAGCGGCCTTCAGTTTCAAACTGTATTTTACCAGCGAAGATGCGCCTGAACTCGTCGTCGGGTTCGCGCACAGTCTGAACCAGATCTTCCAGGGACAGTCATTGGTGTGGAGGGCTAGGACTGTCTTTGGTCTCTTTGCCATCCTGTGGGGATTTGGAGTGTACCGTACCCTGACAGGTGGTCGCGCTGCCCAGATGCAGTCGGGTAAGTCCTCTTTCTTTTTCTCATCCCTTTATATAAATCTATTAGTTAACATGACCCGTCAGCAAACCTCTTTCACCTGCTTCATACCGTCCTCGGCATGACTCAGTCCCGCGCAACAAACATCCCTCTCTTCCTCCTTGCAGACATCCTCTTTCATGCCTTGCAGGCCACCAACCTTTCCATCACGGAAATCAGTACCGTCTCTATCCTCCTCCAGCACGCCTCCTTCTTCGCCTTCGGTGGCTCCAACACCATCGCCTCCGTCGACCTCTCCAGCGCCTACAACGGAGTTAGCGACTTCAACGTCGTCGTCGTCGGCATCCTCACCCTCGTTAGCAACTGGGCCGGCTCTATCTTCTGGGTCTCCGCTACCAACCTCCTGTTGCTCCACAAGTATAAAGAAGGCCACCGCCATGTCTTCCGCCAGCACCTCGCTCTGCTGACGCTCTTTGTCACTGCTAGTGTCGCGTTCGTCATGGCTGCATGCACGGCGCTGCGGACGCACCTCTTCATCTGGACTGTCTTCTCGCCAAAGTACTTGTACAGCATGGCGTGGAGTCTTGGACAGCATTTGCTCGTTAACGCTGGGTTTGGAGGTCTGCTGTTTTGGTTGTCTGCGCGCTGAGAGGCCCATGGATTTGAGAGGTAATATCGAAACATATATACTTGAGATTTACGTTGGTCGACGAGGCAGCAAGAGCTGACTTCTTGCCTGCCTCCGACCAGACTAGACAATACTGGAGTTTTAGAACTTATAGCAATGAGTCTAATATCATCCCAATTCGATCGCTAAATCAACGCCCACCCTGCCGAGACCGTCCCACTGTCCCACCCATCATGTGTTCATCATCCAAGGCCCGATTCGTTAAACTCGTGCATACTCATCTCATTTCATCAGTTTTAAGCATCCGTCATGTCCACGTCGCCGTCCGATAGGAGCTCCTCGACGAGCGATGATGTCTTTTCATCTTTGGGCACGATGGTGCCCTCAGTGTCCTCGTCCTCGTCTTCTTCCTTAATCCGAGGCTCTTCCACAACTGACTTCTCTTCTGACTGCTGTCGCTCGGGGTTCAGCGACATGCTGCGACTAGTACGTCGCTGACTGGGCTGCTGCTCGTCAAGGGCATTGACGATTTTGCCGAGGCTAACATGGATCTTGTAGAGAGCGTTGCGGCTGGTGGCGTCGGAGAGGAATCCTTCCTCTACGGCGGCACTAATCTCGGCGTATGTCTCACGGAGTTTTTCCTCAGTTGACCCAGGTGACATGTGGAGTTTACCGAGAAGAGTGGCAATGAGCTTCTTTTCTTCTTCTAAAATGGCATTAGTATTCTGCATGTTGATACTGTTGGCGTAAATCTTACTGGTAATGTTGCCTCGAAGTCTTTCCAAGATGTCCATAGCAAAGTCTAGGTGGACATCGCCATTGACGGCCTTCTTCTCGTTATCTAATAGGAGAGTAGTGCTATAGCACTTCCTGGGATCTGTCCAATCAACCAGACAGGCTCCAATTGTAGTCATGCTGACCATGTCCTCCTCTACATCCACATCATCGTCTTCCAAGCCCTCGCGGACATTGTAGAGAGTATGGATAGCCTCGAGCGCAGCGGATCGCATAAGATCCTGGTTCTCAGGCCGTGAGAAACAAAACACAGGGAGGAAGTAGTTGAGTGCCTGTCGAACTGTCTGATTTGATGCAGACGAGGGATCAAAGTAGGCCACGACAAGAGACTTGATGAGCTCCTGGCATGCTTCCTCATCGCTGACAATGCGACCAAGGAGTAGTTTCGAGGCGGCTACAGTAGCAGCTGCTTGGACCTCTGGAGATTTGGCACCGCCCTTGACGGCCTTGACGTAGACCTTCAAGAGACCTGGCGTTGATGCTAAGAGTTGTGCCCCGTGGACATTGAGAATGTCAGTCAGAATATGGAGCGCAGTGATTTGCAGAGCCGTGTGGCCCTTGCTAAAGAAGTGCATAAATAGACTGAGGTTCTCCTCTGCGAGGGATCGGTCAAGGAGAGCGCATAAGCCGAGACAGACCAGTCCTCTCTCGCGAACAGGGGCTTCATGGCTGCGAACTGCGGGAACCACCAGGTTGTTGAGCATAGACACCAGGTTGGTGTTGTCCTGAAGGTTCTCAGCAACATGCGTAAGCATGCACTGAACGATGTGAAGACACTTCATGTTGACAACGATCTCTCTGACCGCCTTCTCGCGAGCCTCTTCCTCACTTAACTCAGGGCTACCACCTCGCTTGCCTCCCTTGGTCGGCGTGCTTGGGCCACTGACCTCTGACCTGGCTGAATGGAAGCTGTCTTCAGGATCATCAGCTGGCTCGTCGACGATCGTGTCGTGTACATCAGCAACGGACTCGAGGACGATACTGCAGAATTCCCGCTCTCCAGCAACATCCGGTGAGCAGATCCCCCGAAGAGCCTCCACTGTGAGCTTCGTAACCTCATCTGGGAGATCTGAGATGGACAACATCCGCCGAAGCAGTGTGAACATCTTTCGTCGTCCGACTTCATCCGAATAGTCGAGCGTGAGAGCGATCTGGAGCATCTGCTCCACGATGAACTCCTGTTCCACAGTGTCCTCCTCGTCCTCGTCCTCTTCCACCTCTTGTTGAGATACCCTCTTAAGAGCCTCAACTAGGACTTGTAAATAACGTTCAAGGAAGAAAGCAAGCTTCGTGACCTCGGGAGTCTTCTCTTCAAGCAAAGCCAAGTACTTTCCATCGCCCTCAAGGCGGCAGAAGTCATTAAAGCTCCTCGCCATGAAGACCGACTCGGCAGAAAGAGTCTCCCAGAACTTATCGTCGAACTCAGCCGCCTCGCGGTAGTCTGGGCGACCCTCCCAGAAGCCCTTCATAGCCTCGAGAGCAACACCATTATCAACACCAGAGTTGACCACATCAATTCGCTCAAGCAGTTCTAAAAGACCTTCAAAGTTTGGTGGTGAAGGCTCCGCCTGCTGACCTTCTTCTGGAGGCGGCGTGCCTGCACAGTCTTCAATCCATCTCTCCCGGAAGAGTCGACCTGCAGCTTTGCGAACGTTTTCATCTCGGTCTCGGAGTCCCCATCGCAAGAGCTTTTCTCGCATAGAGAGAGAAAGATGCCTGAAGTCTCCCAGAGCCGGTAGAAGACGGGAATAGACTGCCCGCCGCGTTGCGGAATCCTGGTCTCGAGCGCGCTCAAGGAGGAAGGGCAAGGTGTTGGGGAGGATTGGGAGATTCACGAGAAGAGACCTGCGCACATCGGCACTGGGGTCGTTCTGCAGAACATCCAATAATTTCTCAAGCAAGCCTGTGTCCTCATCATCATCGCTGTCGTCCGAGTTCGTGCAGCCTTCGCCCTGATTACCAGCGAGACGGCCAAGACCCAACACTGCCTGAGCGCGAACCATGGCCTCCTTATCCCGGATCCGCTTAAGCAATCCGTGCCGGAGCTTCTGGAAGAGATCGTCGTCTATCGCATCAAGAGAGTTGATAATGTGTGAGATGAGCTGGGTCGACCTGAACCGAACAAATTTGTCCTTGGCGGTCAAGAGTGGAAGAACTGATTCGAGAAGCTGCGATGTGAGGCGGGTGCTTGGGGTCTCGGGCATGACACTCGCATCATCCTCAATATCTCCAAGGAGCTCATTATCCTTTTCACCCGCATGTCGCAGGAAGAGGCCGATGAATCGAATTGATTTCTCTCCGACACTTTCCGACTTCTTGATCGGCATTATTCTGAGAACGCATCTGACGAACTCATGATTGAAGGCCTCTTCGTCGAAGTCATTGGACTGAGAATGTTTGGGGTCGGTTGGTTCGTAGCAGCATGACTCGTGAATCTTTCGCAGATTCACGACGAGCTTTCGATGTGTCGCCGTAGTTCGCTGAGCATCGCGAAAGACACCACAGACCTTGCCTCTCAAGGCGCTGTCAGGGGTGTCGACAATTTCGGGGGGTGAAGAAGATCCACGAGAGGCGCCGGAGGCTCGTGATGCGACGGTGGCGTTTGACTGTCTGGCAGCCGAGGTTCTTGTCGATCGGTTCGACGTTCGAGCAGGCATTTTAGCGACGGGAGACGACCCTACGCACGACAGACTGAGGGGGTTATCAAGCGTCAAATGGGTATGTAGATGCCCGTGTGGTGGTGAAGCTTTGTTTGGAAACGCGGTCGTGTTGTCACATTTGGGTAAATAGTCTTCTATTTACGGCCTAGCGCACCACGATAAGACAATATCCCCGCCATCACGTGCGATTAGATAAATGACCAGAAATTTGTCTTATCGGTTAGCAGCCATATTTTTCTTCTAGAACGACATCAACACCTTCCCGGCTCAAGCACATTCAAGGTGCTGCAGCCATTGCCTTTGGTCGTCGAACAGCTTCTTTATCAAACCAGATTCTCGATATGGGCGCATCCAACAACGACCGCAAGCGGTCCCGCACCGACGCGGAGGACATCGGACCCGCTGACTTCGAGGATCGAGACAATGGAGCAGTCCAGGCCACCAAGAGGGCAAGAGTCGAGGAACGGAGATCGCTCTTCGTCCGATCTCTCCCTACTGGAGCCACCAGCGAGACACTCACCGACTTCTTCTCAGAGCACTTCCCAGTGAAGCACGCCGTCGTGGTCATTGACCAAAAGACCAAGGAATCTCGAGGCTACGGTTTCGTTACTTTCGCCGACGCCGACGACGCCAAAGAGGCGAAGGAGAAATTGGACAAGCAGGAGTGGGACGGAAAACGAATCCGACTGGACCTTGCTGAGCGCAGGCATCGAAACGAATCCAGCGGTCCTGCCGTAGTCCCTGCTGGCAAGCCCCCTAAGAAGGATGAGTACCAAAAAGCACCGAAGTTGATTGTGCGCAACTTGCCTTGGAGCATCAAGACCTCGGAGCAGCTGGAGCGCCTCTTCCGCAGCTTTGGCAAGGTCAAATTCGCCGATCTGCCTCAATCAAAGGGCAAACTTAAGGGATTCGGTTTCGTCACCATCCGAGGAAAGAAGAACGCTGAGACTGCCTTGGAGGCCATCAATGGCAAGGAAATCGATGGCAGAACCCTCGCTGTGGATTGGGCTGTGGATAAGGAGACCTGGGATCAGCAGAACCCAGATAAGAAAGAGAAAAAGAGTGCGAAGAAGGATGAGGAGGAGGAGGAGGAGGATGCGGAGGAAGACGCAGAATCTGCCACCATCGAAGATGAAGAGGTGGACGAGGACGAGGACGAAAACGATGATGAGGATAAGGAAGACGCTGGTGCGAAGCCGACTCGGGATGAGGAGCTCGACGCCGACTTGGAAAACTTCATGAAGAACTACATGCAAAATATGGAGGAGGAGGACGATGACGATGAGGAAGACGACGAAGACAAGGAGGCGCAGGAGGCAAAGAAAAACGCCCCACCCAAGAGACTGATGACAGACAACTCCGGTACTGTTTTCATTCGCAACCTGCCTTTCACGGCAACCGATGCACAGCTCAAGGGCTTTTTTGAGCACTTTGGAGCAGTCAGATATGCTCGTGTTGTTATGAACAAGATGACGGAGAAGCCTGCTGGCACAGCTTTCGTGTGCTTCTACAACGCGGATGACGCCAAGAGCTGTATCAAGGGAGCCCCTCGCCCCAAGGAGTCAGTCTCGATGGGTAAGAACTCGATTCTTCAGGATGAGAGCGCCGATCCCGACGGCAAGTACACTCTGGATGGTCGACTCCTCCAGATCGCACAGGCCGTCAACAAGGATGAGGCAACCAACCTTGCAGACAACTCGCTCGCCAAGCGAAGGGAGAAGGATAAGCGCAGACTCTTCCTTCTTTCCGAGGGTGCCATCGACCGAAATTCGCCCCTTTTCAACATTCTTTCGCCGGCAGAACACCATATGAGAGATGCTAGCTCTGCCCAGCGCAAGAAGCTTGTGCAGAAAAACCCCAGCTTGCACTTGAGCTTGACTCGTCTCGCTCTCCGCAACATTCCCCGCAACATGGGCGCAACGGAGCTGAAGGACCTTGCCAGAAAGGCTGTCGTTGGGTTTGCTACGGACGTCAGGGACGGTCGTCGGCAACCCCTCTCGAAGGAGGAGAATGCTCGAGATGGCAAGGACGCCAAGGAAAAGGATCGTGAGAGGAAGGCCAAGGGCAAGGGTATTGTTCGCCAGGCTAAGATTATCTTCGAGAGCGCAAAGGGAACCAAGGTGGAAGAGACGGCTGGTGGAAAGAGCCGTGGCTACGGTTTTATCGAGTACACCTCGCATCATTGGGCTCTGATGGGTCTCCGATACCTGAACGGCCAGCAGCTCGAGAATGAGAACGGAAAGAAGCAGAGGCTTGTGGTTGAATTTGCCATTGAGAACGCCCAGGTTGTCCAGCGACGAAAGGCCAACGAGGAAAAGTCTCGCCAGGGACAAGAGCAGTCGAAGAACGGAGGCCCAACGGTCAAGCCCGATGCTCGGTCTCGAGACGGTCGACGAGAGAGCGGCGGGTTCTCTAAGGACAAGGGCAAGGGGCGTGATGGCAAGGGACGCAACGACAAGGGACGCGATAGCAAGGTGCGCGATGGCAAGGTGCGCGATGGCAAGGTGCGCGATGGCAAGGTACGTGATCGCAAGGGCAGCAAACCGGTGGAGGGAGAGAAGAGCGGCAAGCCGAATGATGCCGAGGAGGATATGCAGCAGAGGTTGATTGCGAGGAAGAGGCTTGTGCGCAAGAAGAAAGCTCAATTGCGTGGCAAAAATTAGTTGCTCCTCTTGATACCTCAAAAATGTTTCACTGGCGTTCAATTGCTATCAGTCTCAAAATCGTGTAAATAAATATGCGTGGTCAAACGACATCGATGCCGAGGAAATTTTTTTGCTTCATATAATTCCCAGAGTTCACGACCTTTGCCACGGTCGTCTCTTTTGTTCCGATTATCCTACACTTAGTTACAAGTCATAAAGATCATACATCATTGAGTTGAGAGTCGAGGTGATATCGAGAGTGACACTGCCATGGCTGGCTAGTCTCACTTCCAGAGCCAGCCCGCTTTCGTCTCTACACGGCCATCGGCATGGATACCAGACTTGTCGCCATCCTTGGGTTCGTCAGACTGCTTGTCGGCAGGACGGACGGTGTAGTGGGTTTGGCTCCCAATTTGATTGCCATCCTCGTCGAGTGTCTTGACGGTAACTTTGCTATGCAAATACCCAAAGCGGTCCACGTACTCGTCCTTGGTTACCTCCTGGCTCTTGTCGAGAGACTTGTCCTGCTGGGACTTTTCAAGTGAGGTAGATGGGCTATCTGTCATGGACTTTACGAAAGAGTCCCAGGAGGATTGGGAATTGGAGAAGGATGACTGGATGGAGGAAAAGAAGTCATCAAAGTGGTCGGGCCCGTTGCGACGGCGGCGGAGATGCTCGGACTCGGCACTCTCTCGGAACGAGTCGAGGGAATTGTCGTCATCCTCGAGGACATCACGGGAATCTCTGGAGTCTTCACCAGCCACAGCGCGCCAAACATTTGCGGCTCTGCGGTCCAGTTCGCGGTGGAAGTAGTCCCAATTGGAGTCAGCTACCTGCGCCAGGAGCTGGCTGGGGCCAGGCATATCAAGGAGGCCCTGCGACTTCAACCTGCGCAGCCAGAAGTAAGCGGGTTCTCCCTCGGGGAACATGGAGCGCAGGAGCTTGCGCTGCTCATAGCGTACGTCGATGGCTGGCAACGGCTGGCCCTGGGAGACGGCAAGAAGGTCCTCAAAGGCGTCCTCAAAGGTGAAGATGGAGGCGTCGAGGTTCGACGGAGCATCGCTAGGTACAGGCTGGGGCAGAGAGCGGAGGGCGAGGGGAGAGTAGGGCGAGAGGGCGACTGAGGCCATGGAACGGTCGGGCCAAGAGAGCTCCGTATCGAAGGGGCCGAACATTTTGGCGTTTGGTGAAGAGCTAGCAGTGCTGATGGAAGCGTCCGAGTCAGGGTCGCTAGTAGGAGACGATTTGGTCGAAGCCGAGATGGAGCCAGAAGTGGAGAATGACGAGTTGAAGCCGAATCGAGAGGGCTTGGTCTCGGTGGTGTTGGAGTTGCCGAATGGGTCTAGGGCAGTGGAAGAGTGGTCGTCTCGTGTCATATCTAGAACAGAGAAGCGAAAGTTGACGTCTGAGAACGGGGGCAAATGCGAGACTCAGCAGTTCTTTACTCGTACTTCGTACCTCGAACTCGCTTCATGTGACATCCCGAAAGATGAGGAAGACGATGGAAGCGGCAAAGCGTGACGGGGCTTGCGGGCCCGTGTGCCAACCAGGGAGTGTGGCGTCAGCTGTAAAAGTGGCTTGCACACCGGGTTCCCATTGGCCTGCGCCTCGCTCGTCTCGCATCGGTGCCGCAACGCGATATGCGAAATGACAGCATGAGCTCGCACCGGGCCAGTAGGAAGCGCATAAGGCCCCGAAACCCCGACGCTCCCGCGCAATAATCCACTAATCCGCTGGCTGCTGCTGGCTGCTCGCTGAGGTCATGCTGCCTGGGGCACCAAAGCAGTTCGTTCGCCTTTCGGCAGCCGGAGGGACAATGGCCAACGCCGCCACCGGAAATCCACCTCCATCTCCATCTCCATTTCTATCAACGTGAGACATCGCCGTTCGCCTCGTCTTCTTCGCTGGGCCAGCCCTCTTATTGTTATGTCTCGTTAGAGCCTTGCAGCCTTGCTTTCCCCGCACTGCCGCAGCTGCTGTATCCTCTGGCCGCTGGTCATGTTGTACACCCGAAGCTTCTCCAGAGGTCACTCGTTGCCCCAATGATATTGTCACCGTCACGATATTTCCATCGTCTCGCGCGCTCATAGCCCGTCGCCACCTAATCACACCCTCTTTCGAAGCCATCCCCTCTCCTCCTTCATCTCCTCCGCCTCCGATACTCTCGCCTCCCTCTGAGCCGGCGCCCGACGATGTTGCGAGCCATTGTCGAGCCGCCAGGGCCTACGCTCGCCTCAAACGCCTGGCCAAGCTCCCTCCCCAGTGACGCGCCTAACAGCGGTGACTCCGACGGCGACCCGGGCGACAAGCTACAGGAATGGTCCTCAATAATTGGCATAGTCACTGCTATCGTGGGAAACGTCCTTATTGCTCTAGCCCTCAACGTGCAAAGATATGCGCACATCCAGCTCCACAAAGAACGTCATCGGATACGACGGAGAGCCAAAGATGCATTGAAACGGGCGCAAAGCAAGAACCAGGCCGGCTCATACGGCACCCTCGGTGGTGATCACAATGGCAATGGCTATCAGAATGGCGTAGGAAGCTCTGCAATCCCGCATGACGACCATGACGACGAAGGCGACGACAGCCGCGAATCCGACCCGTTGCGAAACTCCTTCCACTCTAGCATATCCAACGAGTCCAGCAGCGACGATGAACAAGATAAGCCTGCTTTGTCGTATCTCAGGTCGCCCTACTGGTGGCTGGGCCAAGTTCTCATTACGCTCGGCGAAATGGGCAACTTCCTAGCCTACGGCTTCGCACCGGCCTCGATCGTCTCGCCCCTCGGTGTTGTCGCCTTGATATCAAACTGTATCATTGCCCCCGCCATGTTCCACGAGAGATTTCGGCCTCGCGATTTCTGGGGTGTCGTCATTGCCGTCGGCGGTGTCGTTACCGTGGTGCTCAGCGCCAAGGGGGAGGAGACGAAGCTGAATCCCCACGACGTCTTGGACGCTATCACAACCCTCGGCTTTGAGATTTATCTAGGCGTCACCATCTTCCTCATTGTCGTCCTCATGTGGGCAAGCCCCAGGTACGGGAGACAGACGATCCTGATCGACTTGGGGCTTGTAGGCTTGTTCGGTAGGTTTCTCGCACTGGAAGATAGTACATGTGAGCTCGAGAGCTTGATGCTAACCATGAAACAGGCGGTTATACTGCCCTGGCCACCAAGGGCGTGTCCTCGATGCTGTCCTCGACCCTCTGGCGAGCCTTTACCACGCCCGTCACCTACATCCTCATCCTCATCCTCCTCCTGACGGCCATCATGCAGATTCGCTACGTCAACAAGTCTCTGCAGCGCTTCGACTCAACGCAGGTCATCCCGATCCAATTCGTCATGTTCACGCTATGCGTCATCGTCGGCAGTGCCGTCCTATATCGCGACTTCGAACGAACGACGGCTGAGCAGGCCGCCAAGTTTATCGGGGGCTGCTTGCTAACCTTCTTTGGCGTCTTCCTAATCACGAGCGGCCGGGAGCAGAGCCACGACGATGACGACGCGTTATCAGACACCGAAGGCGTTGAGGAGACGATCGGTTTAGCTCGTCAGGACACGAATGGCATTACGTCGGGCCAGAATGGACAAGAGTTCCCAGCTCCCAAATCGCAATCGCGTCGATCAAGTCGGCTGTCACAGGCGAGCTATGTGGAAACGCTCCGCGCCGTCACGCCACATCACGATGGGGGCCTCCCATCTGTGAGGCTTCTGGGATCGAATGGTTTGCATAGCTCCCCCAGTCAAGACGTTCCGATCCACAGCAACCCATGGAAGGACGTGGGGGTCCCGTCTACTCCGCCTGGTCAAGGTATCAGGACATTCTCGGCCGATTCAGCCATGACGGCGCCTTGTATAGATACAAGTGCAGGACCAACGACGGTAGCTTCGAATCCAACAACGCCGCTGAGAGATGCAGCTGCGCCCGATGGTGCCTTGCCTCCTCGTCCCAACCTCAGTCCGGTCAAATCAGGTGGCACCCATCACCGGTCCAGGACCTTCATCTCGCCGTCGCCGCTCTCCTCGACGGTTACGGCCGTCGTCAAGGACGCCTTCCTGCGCGCTACGGACGACCCCCGACTTCGCAAGACCTCCATGCGCCGCATCCGCTCGCATATCCGCGCCGGGCTCTTCTTTGGCGAAGAGGACGACGCCTCGGCCGCAATGGTACCAGGGCAGGCCGTGGCCAATGCGTCCGAGGACGTGCTCGCCAGCGCCTTTGGCGAAACCGACGGCCCCGCCGACGATGGTGACCAGGAGGTACGGCGCCGCTCTCGCAGCGTGAGTGATACCCTGGGCGACTTCTTTGGCGTGCGGCGCAAGCGGCGCAAGGACGACTACTTCTCGAGCGATGTCGAGGATGGCACCGCAGATCCCCGCTACCAAGACGACGCGGCGGTTTCAAGACCGTACGCAAACCACTAGTTATAATCGCCCCGTGCTTATTGCTCTTTTACGTTTCACCGAGACCTTCATTTCTCGTTTTTAGCATCGCCGTGCATATCTATTTAGTTTGCTTTTTCTGGCCGGCGCCGGAGTCATTTCGCAGCCAGGGCTTCAAGCGTCGGCGTTTGGGTAGGTAGATCCGGTAGAAGGGGGGACCAACCAGTAAGGGAACAAAGGCTTATTAGCAACTTGCTTTCTGGGTAACACTATTTTGGGGATTCGTTTCCGCTTTGGCACTTGACAGGATGACAATCGAGTTGGGCTTCCCCACAGAGGTATTCTGCTGTGTACGTACATTGAGGGACGAAAAGGGGGATTGGGAATGGGGGATGGACTACGTTACGAGACTGGAGGATTATTTACTACTGCTCTTCAGTTGTTGCAAACGAGCCTTGCTTCTTTTAATATTACAACGCTGGAGATTACCGTTGATTGATATGCACGTTAACAAAGACGAGATGATCCTGAAATGAAGTTGTGGATCAGGTCACGCCGATCACGCGCGAATCGTTGTGTCGAAGAGCACCCATGAGCCTTGTCATTTTCTGCTCCATCGGTATCAGAACAACTCACATTTTGGTTCTCACTGATGAAGGATGAAAGAAAGGATGAGAGGAATGAGACAATCGTTCTCCCACGTGCTTCCTCGGGTACAGGAGCGGCCGCGCTCCCATGTGTATGTTGATTGAACACGTCCACAACAACGTGATGGCCAACTGCGAAGAGCTTGAAGGGGGAAGGATGTGGAGCTGCAGCAGACTCAATCGGGCATCCGTCAATCTCTGGGTCTTATGTGCCTGCAGTTTGGCAGCCTGCGACTGCGAGGCTTTCCTGTATGTTTGCCGACCTGCTTGCTTGCTTGCTTGCATGCTGGCTTGCTTGCTTGCTTGCATGCTGGCTTGCTTGCTTGTTTGATTGATTGATTGCTTGGTAACCCTCCTCCTTTGTCGACCTTCCTTCGAACCGGGGTGAGGAGGAGATCGCACCCGAATCGGGCGACGGAAGCGCAACGGCTCCCCTGCGACGCCATCTTGATGGGAAATGGGACGTTTCCTCTTTCGCTCGAGACACCATGCTTTGACGTGTTTGAGCTTGTGAACTTTATGAGCGTTCTAGCGTCTACTTCTGAAGCTAACCAACTGGCGCTCAAAGGATCGTCGAAATGACAGCTTCATCCACGGCGACCAACCTTTGGCCCTAAGGTATCATCGTGCGTTTTCTAAAAGGACACGTTAGTAACCGGTGATAAACTTTCTCAAAACCGCGTAACGACACTGCCGATCACGGCATCAAGCCAGGTCTTTGAAGCGAGGACCGCCGCTACTCACATTCGTGGTCCTAAACTCCGTCCCGACAGCAAGGTAGCGACGCTAAAAGGCAGCCCTCTTTTGCTTTGCAGGACCCGGGCTGGCGGGAAGCGACTCCATCGCGCAAATGGCATGTTTGTGGTAGCAATAGTGCTTAGGTACAACTGACAGATACTCGGCAGAGGTATGGGATGGGTTCATGCCAGGGTTGAGGTAGCAGAGTCCAAAACCCCGCTGGTCTCAAATGTACCCTCAGTCAGTCCAGGGAAGCCCAACTCCTCGGGAGCAGGACAACAGATGGATTGGTCGAGGGCCAGATACAGGCCAGCAACGGAACGCTCTCTAGTTCCCCGGCGCTAGCCCTCCGAAAGGCGGAGCTGGCGCAGTAGCAGGGAATGTCGACTCTTTGGGACAGTGGGCATTGAAGGTGGCCGGAACTTGGAAGGCTGGATGGCCGACAAGAAACTGGGTACAGGGTCGGGGCACAGGGATTTCGCATTGTTGAGCATGGAGATCAACCAGGGCCAAACGAGAGAGCCGGGTCGGATTTGGAGCGTCGTCCGGCACGAGGTGAGGCGGAGGAGGAAACGGAAGGCCGACCAGGGTATGCCGACTGTCTAATCGGGAATCTTTGTCAAGCTCTCCCACGTCCCTCCACGTCCCTCCACGTCCCCTCCACTTCTAGCGGGTGTCGTCTGCTCTGGTGGCTTTCTGTCGAGATAGCAAAGACCGAGGGGGGCGGTGTCAAGCCATGTCCAGCAGGCTCCCGAGGAGGGGAATCGTGGCTAAGCGGAAGTTTCACACGCATCGAGGCCAGGAACTGTCACACCGACTTGTGCCTCGGGCCCAGGAGCTGCATAAATCACGACGCCGTACATGGACTCACAGAATTCCCGAGATGAGGGGAAGGATTTGCATATGCAGCAGCAAACATGCGGGCATCAGTTGGTTTGGGTTGGTGTGCGGCGCCTGCTACCGTTGGTGCCTTGCACCTGCGCCTGCGCCGGGCCTCAGTTGGTGCCTCAGTGCCTGCTGCGTCTGTCGTCCCTGCACCTATGCGTCCCTGCGCCTGTGCCTGCGGTGACCGTTGGAGTGGCCCAGGGACCCGTGAGCTTGGGAGAGGAGTGCCTTGTGGGGGAGACGAGGGTGAAGGATCATGCGTGAAGGATGTTGCTGCATTTGCCGCACAGTGGCCGCGCCCAGCGCCCAGCGGCCGGGGTGCGAAGCGGACTGTGGGCAAGCGGGAGACTCGGCTTGGAGCCGAAGCCTCTTGTAGGTGCGTCCGCACTTGCATTCGAGGGGAAGTTGGCGATTGGAGCGATTGAGGTCGGATTGCGACCCGGAGGATGGAGCTGCTTGCGAGCGCGAGGGTGCGTCAATGGTCTAGTACGAGACCGAGAGCCGCGGCTGGCAGATGGGCATCTAGAACGTGTAAGTGGTGGGTTAGATTGATGTTAATTATCCTGGGGTCTCCTGGCTGATGGTTTGCTTGCGTTTTTGCTGGGGAGGGAGATGGAGATGAAAGGTTAAAATGATCCATGAATGGATGGCGATGAGGCGAAGACCGGATGATTACGATGACGGTTGCTTCCGCCCTCAAGATCCCGTGTTGCAATAACGCATAATGGCGTGCGGCAGGCACGAGGGCACACAGACGTTCTTTCCGATCCATCCAGATCTCTCGCTCGTATGTACCTATAAATTATATTCAGCGCACGTACCTGCAACCCAAGCGTCCTACCCTAAAAGAGGAGTTAAAAGTCAAGTAATCCAACAATAGGGTTTCTAATTACGAGCAAGGCGAGGGCAGCTGAGAATCTGTCCTACCTAACGATGCCGAGTTGTTTTTCTGAGCTTTCAGTCCCGGATCTTGGCTTACGAGGCGTTGTGGTGCATGAAAAGCCACCGGCAAGCGCCAACAGCCATTGGTCCCTTGCATGTCACACAGCCACGGCTTGCATCATCAACTTCAGGTCTAGGCAGCTTGCAGCCTATTCTCCCCTACAAATGCTGCTCACCCCGACAAATAGCCGGCCAAAGACGGAGGTCGAGACACAGGGAATGTAGTTTCACACAACACGGATTGCAAAGCAGGCAGCAGCAAGCGAGTGTGAGGGAATTGACTCGTTCAGTTTGCGAGCAAGCGGGCTTATGCGCATACGGGCATACGGGCATACGGGCAATGCGGACATCACGGACATCTGTTGGTGATGGACGGCTGGACCTTTGCGTTCTTGGCTGCTGTCGTCATCCGGCTGCGATGGGCTGGATCCTTCCCGCCCCTCCTCTTCTCCTCCCCGGCCCCTCCTTGCCTCCTCTTGCCTCCTCTTGCCTCCTCTTGCCTCCTCTTTTCCTCCCGTATTGCTGATGGCCGATGGTCAATGTGGTCCCGGGGTCTAAACTTACGTCTTGGGCCCTGCAATTGTGCTGACAGTGCTTTTCCCTTGGTGGTCCCGCCCATCCACACCAAATAAGAAAAAAGGTACAGGTCATGCAGACTGCTGCGTAGGGCAGGAACTCAGGGCAAGGGAGGGAGAAGATTTCTGCATTGGAGAAGGTCAAGGAAAGAGGGCACACGTCACCCATCCAGGGCACTTTCCGTTTGTACAGCAGCACGCGCACGCCCTGGACGTACGACGGTGCGAGCCCAGGCCACAGAAGAAGCAAAACAGCAGGGCCGTCCCACCCGATGGGAAAAAGAAAGTCGAAAGAGCGGGCAGATCCTCACTGCCGGTATCCCATATCTTCAACTCCTACGCGAGTCTCAGCTCTAATACCTTAGCTCGCCAACCTCCATCCAGCCCAAACGAATATCGGTCGGCACTGTCGTACCTGCGCGACGCAACGCAACGCGACATGTCCCAGCGCAGCAAGCGCGGCAAACTCAGTAAACGCAGAGAACAACATAGCTGGGGGGAGCAAGGTCGTAATAGAAGCTTCCAAGGCTTCTGGCGCCCCTCCTTTGAGCCCCCGGACTGCAAGCCCAGCATCCAGTGCTTGGAGTCTACTGGCTCAGTCACGGGCAACCTCCTACGGACCACTGCGCCTACGCTCGACTAGCTTCAGCCAAGAGGCGTTGTGGACCGCGACAGGGCATGAGGCCATCCACATTTCCCCTTGGTTTACCCCCGATGGCACTTCGTGTGTTTGGCTAAGCTCTGACCCTCTGACCCTCTGGGCCACTTCGTCCCTGGGGTCCCTGAAAGCTCTGTGATGAGCTCTGCAGTCGCCGACTCTCATCAGTCGCGGTTTCACCTCTCGCCCACATTTGACCCCTTCGCTGCTCGGAGAGTCGGTGCTTCTCCCCTGACCGCTGAATGCGGCCCATGTCCTGGCCCCTGTCTTGCTTGCTGACCCTTCGCTTCTACGACTGGCGCAGCAAGCAAATGGAGAACCAACAAGGTCTCTAGCAACAGAAGCACAAGGAAGACCATCCTAGGGCATCGCGTCTGTTGCCATACGCTTCGGGCTTTTACCTCAGCTCGGCCTGTCCCAGCATCCCTCCGCGTCACCACTCCGTACCAACATGACGATCCAAGTCTTGCCAGTTGGGGATTGGGGGGGGGTCCGCTGCCGACTTGGCCTCAATGAGTCGCGTCTGGTGCCACAATTTCGTTCATCCGTCCCAGCGTGGCGGGTCGTCAAGATGCACATGGCTAAACACGTTTTGTTGCCAATGTGCGCGGAGTACTCCGTATCTCCATGTTAGCAATTTGGACCGGAGGGCACCAAGCCGGGTACCGCGCCGTCTGTGCGCTGGGCCGCTGCAGAAGAAACTGCCCAGCAAAGTCGCTTTACTAGTCCCAGGAGCCGTGTTTCTCCTGTCCGCTGGCTTGTTTCCCTCGTGGGGTTGGCCGCGGAGGATGCTGCCCCTAGTTCTGGTCCCCTGCCCGCCACCCTTCTGAGACCTCCCGCCTCCCGCCCTCCCACTCTCCCGGTCAAGACTGGACGCCGAGTTTTCTTCTGACCTACCACATTGAGTCGGGTCTTGACGAAGGTTGGATTCACAAGGCAGGAATCGACGACTTTATCCTGGCCCATGTCGAATGCCAACCGCCTCGCCTTATCGGACTTTGACGACCATCCTCTCTGGGCTTGGGCGTGGTTTCCACGCAGCTTGTGCATCACCTGCCCGCCCCAAGACGTACCGGGATATGCAGATGCGACAGGCGCATAAGATTCTGTCCAGAAACGGTCGTTTGTTGACGACAATCTATCTGTCTGGGCTGACACAGGATGGATGTGTTTTTAGCCTTATTCAGCTGGATCTCGACCCTAAACAGCCACGGCCCTCAAATCGACGCTACCATTGAGCCGACAGTTGAGGCGTTGTTGTTTGGTCGACGTGCCCAAGCAACTATCACCTCGAGACAATCTGCGATGTGGCCCCATGTAGTCCCTCGCCCAGTCGCAGTTTGTCTCAACTCGCCCGGGCTGAGGCTAAAAACGCACCACAACTGTTCACGATCCCAAGACCCGCCCGAGGATGACGCTCTAGCGCCATCCGGATGGTTGCGTCAACTAGTTCGGTCGAGCTTTGGGAGCTCAGGCGATGTCGTCGGCGGTAGCTTCCTGAGCCACCGGCTTCACCCACTTGGCGCTGACGGCGCAGGCACACAAACTTGGAGACGGCGTGGTAAATCTTATTGCCTTTTGGAACGGCGCAGTGCTGCGTACGGCACAGCATACATATCCAAACATTCGCAAGCGCAAAAAGTCGACTAGCAGCGCGGCTTGTGGGAAAGGGCTCCGAGACTGTGGGTGGGAATGAGACGGTGGGGTACGACAACCTGGGAATACCCTTGTCATTTCACCGACCATCCTCCCGTTCCGCTCAGTTTGGTGCTTCAACTTCTGCTTCTGCTTCGAGATGTCTTACTTCTTCCAGTGTCTCTCATCCGCTGCCGCTGCCGCTGCCGCTGTCGCCGCCGCGTTAATATCGCTCCACCGGAACCCAATGCCCATCAGCCTGGGACGTCGATTGTTCGCCAGTGCACCTTCGCCAAAGTCGGCTCTGCAGGGCATTGTTTCCACCCTCCCTTTCCGTGGTCAGGGTTGGCGGTCCTGTGCTTCCGTGCGGTTCCTCTGCGTACCTAGATGCAGAGCCTGCACTGTACGGGGACCCTGTCCGCACACGACGCGCATGTACCCACGCGCGACTACGTCAGTTAGTCTTAGACGGTACGGACCCCACCCACTCCGTGGACGGTACCTCGTTGACCCTCAGTGGAGCTGCTGCGGCTTCGTTCCTGCATTGCTCAGGGAGCCAGTCCCTCGCAGGCCAGCCGACAAGGGGAAAACTGGGCTAGAAGTGGTGCCTCGGTGCAAGACGGCAAGGCCTATAGGCCCTGAGCAAGACGCGGCCGGTATCACTGCATGCTCTGCTGCTCCTGGATGGTGCTTGGTACGGCACCCAACTAACTCGATGAGCCAGCTTCGAAACAAAACCCACTTGCTGATCCTTCCGATGCCTGTTGTTTTGATGGACACTTACCATGTCTTGCCTTGCCTGTCTTAGCCTGCGGCACACAGCAGCAGAGCTTGGACTCTCTGATGGCATCGCGATTTATGTAGTACATCCCGTACCTGCGCCGCTGTGGCCGCTCGATCCTGGTCCTATAGGGAAGCCTCCTAATATGCTCCTCAGCCGTGGTGCTTTGGGATTCCGTCTTCTTCTCTGTCATCAGGTGGTAGAGAGCACGCCAGTCTTAGCGGTCGATCGACGCATATTGAACCGCCCAGCCATCGGCACCGGGTGTCCCTTCTGTCATTGCTTCTGTCGGCTTGACGATTTTTTCTTTCTTTTTTTAACTTTGCCTTTCCGAGTTTGCCTTTTCGTTTCCTGACGTGTGTCGTGTGTGTGGGTGTTTGCGGCATCCACCACCACCTCGGTCTTGTTGAGACGCGGCAGTGCCGCCCTCTAGCAAACTCACCCGTTGCTTCTCTGAGTTGACGCGCGCAGTCGCGCAGTCGCACCACAACCAACCTCAGGTCGCCTTACCGGGACTCCAACATCGCATGAGACTTCGGAAGCCGTACGGAGTACAGTGTCCCCGTTGGCCGTCTGATCGATCCCTTCCTGCTAGGCGGGCCCCTGCTGCGACCTCCCCCCAGATTCCCGGGGTTGTGTCCGTCGGGCTAGGCCAACCCAACCACGACGTTCCGGCGAGGGTTCCCCTGGACCAACACCCTAGTTCTTCCTAGCCCCCAGCTCCAGGCTTGTCTAATCTTGGGAGGGTACCAGTCGCCTTGCCCCCAAGATTGCATCAATCTCTTTGCTCCCAGGCCATCTTATATTATACGTAGCTCCGTCACCTTGCCCGTCCTGGTTCCTCCCCCACCTTCTTCTGCAACGGGATCGATCTTGGTCTGCCTCCTCCTAACCTTTCGCCTCTCTCCTATCGCATCTGCGGCGTCGCAGAACCTCTCGTTTCCTCTCACTGCTCCTCAGATCAACATAACAACACATCATCAACTCTGGATCTGGATAATCGACTATTCCCTAGAGGGCACGCCTCGCCGTCGCCCTCTGCCTCTTAGAGGCCCCCCGAGACGCCGCCATGTGGGCTTCGCATATGCCTTACTACTCAGAATATCACGCCGGACGTTCAGAACGTGACGCCAACCCCCACGCCCTTTCTAAACCGACCTTCCCTACTATATCTGGAGACGTCCCCAACGATATGAACAACACCAACAACGACAACAGCACTGGTGACCTCGTCCTCCCGCAGCAGTCCCCTCGCAACATGTCCGAACTCCTGGAGCCTGCCATTGATGGTCCTCCATCGCCGGAGAGAATTCGCCAATTGAACGCCCAGATGAAGCGAGCCTCTCATCTCAATCGGGGATACGGTCACCGTGCTGCATCGTCAAGCGCATCATCGTTACTGGTTACGGAACGTGCTATCTGGGAACAGACAATGGATAACATGCCCCTTTCTCGTCGCTCTTCGAACCGGTCTGCTGCTAGCAGAAGCCCCTCCCAGGATCGACCCGATAGTGTGCAAGTTATGGGCAAGAACATCTTTCACCGCCGCGCCAAATCAAGCAAGTCTGGAAGATCTAAGCGCGAGAGCAGTGCCCACAGCTCGTCCGGAAGTTCACTATACTCTACTGAAGCACCCAGCGAAAGCTCTCTAGCTAATCTCAAGGAGACTTTCATGCCAACCATCTTTGCCCGCCGCAAAACCTCTCGGGATGAGACGGCCATCCAGCGGAAGATTCAGATTTCTGGACCGTTCAATTTCCAACATGTAACACACACTCCTCGTGACCAGATAGCCAGCCTCCAGCGTGGCAACCGACAGGAATTGATGGCAGAGCTTTCGACATTGCGTGTCTCGGGCCCAACAAGCGCTCCTGGCGCCATCAAGGGATCTGACGGACAAGAGGCCTATTTCCCAAACTTCTCATACGAGAATGTTGGCGGTCAGGATGCCGCAATGCCCCGTCCCCCTCCGGTGCCCCGCCAGTCTGCACTTGTATCCGGAGCTCGCCGCTTAATGAAGCATGCCCGGTCACAGGAGCAGCTCCGAGCCAGCCCGCCCCGACCGCCAGTCCGGCCCCCGAGATCCCCCATTGAGCAAATTGCCTCTCCTGCTTTTGGCCCAGTACCGCCGCCGCGAGTTTCGAGCCGACAGTCTATGCACCGAAATGGCAGTCCAACGTCGGATCTGGATCGGCCGCAGACCAGTGGTGGCTTCCGCCGACCTCAACCCTTCAGCCCCGAGGAGAGCCCGGACGAGCTCCCGACGACGTCTCATGGTTACATGCCTGAATCTGATTTCATGCCCGTCGACGAGACTCGATTCTCGCATGCCCTGACCACCCCCGACGATGCTGCTTGGCCTTTGACCACCCCTGGTGGTACATCATATGAATCGCCCCTAGCGGATGTGCCAGAGGAAGAGGAGCATTTCGTTTTCACCCATCGTCCGCGGGCCAGCCTTGCCAGTAACACCTCATCCCTTCGAGCTAGCCAGTCTGTTCCGGCCCTTCGCACCATGTCTCATCGGATGAGTGGGGCCTCGGATACCCTGGGACCCTTGGAGACGTCTATTACCCACCGCGCGAGCAGAAGCGGGCAGCTGGATGGCAGTGGGCCGGTATCGCCAATCAGAGAGAGTTGGGAGGATGACATCGACTACTGCTACGAGCATGAGGCTGATGCCAACTTCAACTACGAATGGGAGCGGCCGTCGTTGGATGTCGGACGCGAGAACATGGCGCCCCCTGTTCAGGTGGCTCTGGCTCTGGTGAATGATGAGCTGAGTGAGGCGCCAAGCACCAGCACTGATCACTCATCGCCCGGTATGCTGTCCGCGTCCCGTCACGAGGTCCCGGCTCTAAGCCCTGCTAGTCAAGCATCCCCTTTCGTTGGCCATGAGGCCACAACCCCCCTTTCAACAACGGCAGTCAAGAATAACTTCTCGCTGCCGCGAGGGGAGAGAGTAAGCCGACCGCCTAATCTGAAACACATCCGCTCCGATTCTCGTGCCTCGAGCTTCAAGGAGTGCCACGGCTTCACGTTGTCTCCATCGCTGCTTATCCCTGGTGACTATCACCACCAGATGCTCCTCACAGAAGCCGAGAAGCTGGAATATCCCAACGACGACGAGTTCCGCAACAAATTCTTCAAGTCCAATGCTTTCTACGAGGACAGCCTCGAAGTGGCGAACCAGGCGTCGCCTTTCATGCTGCAGCAGCGAGCCAGCGTTTCAACAACGGCCACCAACTCGACAACCATCTCTGACTCCACCGGAGAGCGTCATGTCTCGACCAACTCGACCTGGACAACCCTGACCCGGCTCACTAGCAGCACGTCGCTCAACAAGATGGCAGGGTCCTGGTCGGAGACGACGGGCGACCGCGTGCCGGGAACCCACCTCGCCGACCCACACGAGGATAGCGACCAGGAGGCCGAGGAATCAACCCCGCCCGCGTCCCAGGATAAGGATACCGTTCCTGAGCTTACGCCTTTCCCGTCGATGCCGGTAGGAAAGCGGTCTTTGCACAAGAGCCACGCCAGCGAGTCAATTGTCAGGGACGAGATGCCGCCCATGAAGTCCCCGGATCCTACCAAGACTCGTCGGCCTCGTGCCAGGACGACAAGTATGAGCGCCCAGGCACCCCCTGTCGGACAGTACGCTCTTTTCCCCCGCTCGTATATCAAGGGCAATGGTGACCGAATCTAAAGTCATCCGGTTGGGTCTATGCTGCAATCATGCCATCTTTGCTTTTACTTGTTTTTTTTAGGCGCCCCTGCGCCGCACGCTTGCAACATGCCCTAGTTGCAGCATTTTGACGCATCACAATGCTAGGTTCCCCTGGCAATTGGAGTGTACAATTATGCATCTTGGAGCACGAACGCTTCAGTCAGGTTAAAAAAAGAGACCCCTGGTCTGTGTATCGTACTTGTACACCATCACCAACATCCTCTGTGGAGGGTCACATTCATGGATGGAGTTTTTGCGCGCATTCTTTTTTTTTGTTCCAGAAGGCGTCGCATCACCGGTCGTTTTGTTGTTTATTTTCTTTGTCTTTTTTCATACCAGGTGGTACTAGAGGCGTACTCGACATGGCAGTTGGGACATACTGGGGGGAGGGGATCAAAAGATAAAACCCACCATTCATTGGGGGTTTGTGTTTTATTTGTTACACGTTGCCCTGGTAGGGCGGGTAGAGACAGGGCATTGGTTAGGGACGCAAACAAGGAGAAAGCCCTGGCCTAGACAGATGGTTTGATTCGGATGGATGGATGGGATTTGACGAGTGATGGATTACGAACTTCTAGAGAAACCAGCAGCAAAGCTATCTGTACCAACGCCTCTGAGGGCGACTAGCTTCAAGTCGAGATTGCTGGAACTTGCAACTACAATACAAAGAAAGAAGAAATTAAATATTGAAGTGCCTCTGCATGTGATCTGTTAATGACAGTGCCCTTGTCGAATGGATGGGTTTGTGAACGAGGTTAAAAGCTGCGTCTCTTTGGCTCGCTACGATTGAGGGAGGGTGGCTACTTTTTTTTCTCTCACTTTTGCGACATGAGCCATACATAGTTGGAAAATCAGTTCTGAATTTGGATCTCTGCGTCTATGTATGTCTTTGTTGAGTCTCCTGCAATGAAACGTGTTAATGTAAGCAACACATCTTGAAACAAAACTCTACGTAGCTCGCTCTCTACCCACCATTTAGCGACCAAGAAACCCAAGAAACGAAACAAAAACCAACACACAAGAGCCACCAGCGGAAACAAGAAGGAAGAAATGACAGGCAGAAACGTAAACGGGAAAAAGAAAGCTATTTTAGAAGCAAAAGTCCAACCCCCCGTCCATGTCCCCGCCTCAGCGTAGCACTGGATGCCCAGATCCCCATCCCCAGTCTTGTGCAACTCCACCTGTTCGTGAAAACGTGCTATCTGAAGCCTGTTCCTTGCAAAACCTGGACCCTTGCCTAATTTCCTTTTGAAGTAGAAGCCTTGAATATAAACCGGCAAACGAATGAATTTGAATTTGGGAGCTGAAAGTTTGAAAACGGAGCGAAGGGTAGAGGGGAGTAATTGACGTAACTTTACATCCCAACAGTTCGTGTCATTCATTTTTTTGGTGTAGATTTTCGTGTCGTGCAAATTATAGCGATCGAAGTGCGCTTATTTTGGCTCGTCGTCATCGTCATCGTCCATGCTGATGCTGAAATCTAGTGGTGTGTCGTGACCTGCAGACATTGTGCCTTCACCCTCCGAAGCAGAGTTCTTGAGTTGATGCAGACTTCCCTGAAGCTCGTTTTTCTCGCGCTCGAGCATATCGCGCTCTTGCTCGAGTGTTTCGATGTGCTTGCGGGCCATCTCGAGCACCTCGCCCTTGCTCACCCGCCTGTCGCCCCAGTCAACGGGTCCGCCGCCATCGGAGTCCTCGCCGTCACCGCCCGTGCGGATATTCTCAGGGAGGGCATTGAGGAGTGACTCAAATTGGGCGTTGAGGCGGTTTCGGTACTGCTTCTCGACGAGGTTGTGGGAGGCGCGGGTACGGCGCTCTTCTGGGGTGTCGGAGGGCTTGGTATAGCTGTTCTTGGAGGTGCGAGAGGCGCTGCGGAGCTTACTGAGACGGCTGGAGGTGGACGACGAGGAGACATTGGAAGATGCCATGGAAGTGGCCTTGGATGCGGCACTGGCTCGGCTGTTCTGGGAGGCAGAGCTGGGGCTGCCAGCATCGGGGGACGTCCTGACGCTGGCGTCGCTGGACTTGCGAGCGTCCTTCTTCTGTCTTCTGGGGCGGGGAGCCTTCTTGGGACGGGAACCTTGGGCACGCTCGGTTTCTTCCTGAAGTTCATCCAGATCGGTCCAGGGATTGGTTGAGATCTGAGCCGCCGGGGTAGTTACCGTTGGAGTGCTGCCGTCGCGGTGGCCAAGGCTCTCGTCCCAGGAAGTGCCGAATCCGTATTGGCTCTGGGAGGAATGGATGCTGGAAGGAGAGACCAGTGCATTTCCATATCCCAGAGTGGCATCGGAGACGGTCGGCGAGAGGTGCGCGTGATGGGGCATTGGGGGTATCATGGTCCCGGGCACCTCAAAATCGAACGGAGTCGGGTTCAGCGCCATGGAAGGGTGAGCGACGCCATACAGGCTCCAATCCACGGGCATCGAAGAGACCGCCGGCGCCATAGTAATGGGAGTTCCATAGGTCGCAGGCGCCAGAGCTGCTGAGCCGTGAGGGTGATGGGCGTGTAAGTCGCGGGCGTGTAAGTCGAGCACGCCTGGATGTTGCGGGTGCAGGAGGGGGCGTGATGCAGCACGTGACGGATCGAGCTGGGGATGGCGAGTGGGGAGGTGCGGCTGGGGCGGCGGCGCCACGTGGGAAGCCACAGAAGCAAGGGAAGGGTGGCGCGGGTCGACTGGGTTCGGCAGGTGCCGCTGTGGCTGGGCGCTGGTGCGATTTGGCGAGGAAATGGGCTGTTGTAGGCGGGCTAGATGTTCGAGATGGGGCCGGCCGGTGGTGTTCGGGGTCGCATCGAGGCGTTCTTCGGAGGACGCTGGGGTCGGAATGGGCATGGCAATCTGTTTTTGCGTCGTCAGTGACCGAAAAGTCTAGTTTCCTCTCGTTCCTTCTCGCGTGGCCCTCGTTCCTCCCTTGAACGCGAGGGGTTTCTCTGGTTCCTTCCCTCTCGCTCTTCCAATCACTGCCTCGATTCCTGCTCCTTCCCTCTCGCCTGACATGGGTCTCGCGTATCTTTACCAAACTTTCTCTTTCCTCCTTCTTCTCTCCATTCATATCCCTTTCTGTGTTTTGAGTGGTTGTTGTCTCCCCCGGTTTCGTCATCGTTGCCACTGTTACCACCGCCGCCGCCGCACTATCACCCTCCTCCCCATGACAATGGCAGCTCAAGCCCGGCAAACTAAGCCAGATGGATGACGGACAGCCGTCTCTCCGTCCTAGCGGCCCTCTCCGTCCCGGGAGAGCAGCAAGACAGGAGGTCTGACTCGCACGAGGATCCAAGGACTCTCCTGCCCCGGGTTCGAGATTCAGCCACTGAGCTGATGTTCGTCGAACGACGCCATGTCTCACTATTCGCAACCACCCACAGTTGCCAGACAGCCAACCGCTGGGTCGACAGCCATGTAGTCAACGTCCCATGTCCCACGAGGCCCCTCCAAACAAGCTTCCGGGTCTTGGTAACCCCTGACATTCACTGGCCTCACGCGACGCAACAAGGAAATATCGGGTGCCGGCGTGCTACGTACCTCGGGCTCGTCGATGAGGAAGTCATAGAATGACGCATCCCCGGCGTGCTCCCCCGCCATAGTAAGGTCCGGGTAAGGTGAGGAGTGGGCCGTGGAGTTGTCGCTTGCGATGAGTCGATGGCGCTTGCGATGATGCTTACTCGGGTCCGGTCTAGAATCGGGCGACCTGCGTGGTCCGAGCCTCGTCTCGTTTCGTGTGCGTGTTCTCGTGTCGAGGTCGTCCTGGTTGGTGTTCCACTGGCTGGTGTTCCTTGTGGATGTTGTTGATCCTGACCTTGATGCAAACCCTTACTTCGAGGACGCGGGCTTGGTTTCTTCTTGTATCCCTCTCGGTCAGACCAAAGCTTCCGGGGCGAGACACGGCTTGCGACCTGCAGATGGCGAGAGTTTGCTTTGCGTCGGCCAACGGATATCCGTCCGCCTCAAGTGACTGGTCTCCAGGGAGGGAGGGAACCGGTGGCTTTCTTGTTCCACGCGGCTTGGCTTGCGCTTGAGCTCGAGCTTGGAACGCCTTGGTTGACTCTTGGTCAACTGGATTTGCGCGGCCTGAGCCAACGCCGGCGCCGCCTTCCAACTTACGCCCCCGATCCGGGAAGCCGGCAGCTTATACGGTGGGATGCCGTTGATTCGACGTCACCGGAGCTTGCTGGAGTGTTCGAACGCCACCCGCACAGAGCCGCATCGGTATCGGTCCAGCGATCGTGCTCTGGCCCTATTGCTCCTAGGGAGTGGGCTATGCTGGTGTCTCGTGCTGCCAGACACCAGGTCACCCCACTGAAAAGATTTCTCGGCACCACGAGACAGCGTCAAGCGACACAATCGGATGTCTTTCCACCTAGATGAGCGGATGGGTCTACCGATCTGTTGGGTAGTGCCCCCTTGAGCCCTGGTGCCTCTCTGCCGTTTCTCGACTTGTGGTCGATAGGATGTTGCTGTTGATGTCAGATTGCATGCTGGGTAGGGTGACTTTTCCATCGTCGGCACTCACGGGATTCACCTGATCTCTCCTTCCGTCTCTGTCTCCCCTTCTCCTATTCTTTCTCCTTCTCTCCAACACGTGCTCCTGTCTGCCCAGACTTTGACGAGTCACCTCTGTTGCTGGTCCTGGGTCGATAGCCCCTTTCTGTCTCCTGTTTCCCCTTCTATTGTCTTCTCCTCTTTTCCGAGAAAGCTGAGAACCGAGGTCGAGTGACTGGTCACGGGGTATACCCAATGGTAACCCAGAGCTTGAGCAGAGTGGCTCGAGCCCCTGATGACAACAATCCTCTGGCCGTCGCCTCGCTTGTCTCGTTTGGGAATCAATGTCGTGGATTCTCCGGTGTCAAAAAGCTAGGGCTGGGGACTGGGCTTGGGGACTCTTTGGGGTCAAGCGAGACCGACCCTCTATTTCTCTCACGTGAAATAGCAACTTCCAATGAGAATAATCGACATGTACTCAGAGCCTGTGGCCGCGGCCGTTACGGCTGTTACAATTTGATAATACCCAGCGGATGGATAACAGGGGAAGCCATGAGTGGGTTCGAGCTGACGTCTTGCCGGACGGAATCCGTCTGTCCAATTGCAATTTGCAAGGAAGTCGGATGTATGAATTGAAGTTGGTGCCGAAAGACCCCGCCCTTACCGCCCAATACCCAAGTCCCAGGACCAAAGGGGCGCTTTGGGACCTCTGCCCGTCCTCCAACCTAGGTCATGTAGGCGAGGGTGGAAAAAAGCTTGGGTATCCAGGCTCATTTGAGGACTGATCGGCAGCCAGAGGGCCCTGCCCATCCAGGCCATTGGATGCCTTCGTCCGAGAAGCCTTACGGCTCACATGTCAAGTGCGGGACGGCGCATGGCGAGCGTGTATAAGTTTCCATGGCATGGCCCCTTGCCCCTCCAGCCCCCGTCTCATGCGATATCATCCTGGGACATTCTGACTGCTCAGAATCGTGATCTTCCCTCCCCCGTTCCCGGGCACCGGCGGGCGGTGGGGAGATGGGAAGGAAGGGGGAAGGAAGGGGGAGGGGGAGGGGAGTGGAGGGGTGAGAAGAGAGACGACAAGGCGGAGCCTGTTATCTTTGTCTTTCTCACTATTCAGGGTCCTTGCCAAGGTGCGTCAGCCTAGTTGTCCAGCTTCTGGGTACGGCTGGTCTGGTTGGTACGATTGGTACGGTTGGGCACGGCTGGGGGAAGAAGGGCGGGCCACCTGGCTGGCTGAGGAAAGATGAACCGGGACCATGATTTTAAGTCAGAAAGCTCGGGGAAAGGGGCCGGCCTTTTGGAAATGGCAATCATGACGCCAAATGACACCACTCAAAGCCCGGCCAGCCGACATCTCCAGAAGATGAGGTGAGTTTCCAAGAGGCCAAGAGCAAGTGAGAAAAAAAACAGCAACTACCTGGGTCACTCTTCAATGTGGTGATGAAGGTTTTTTAACCTGTCAACTGCAGCCGCTCTTGTTTCCGGCTGACGATATGCAGGAGACGCATTCGTCCTTGTCCACCGCCGTCATTGTCCCTCTTCTGGCCAGTGGCAATGGGAGCTGATGGGTGGTCTGATCCTGCATTTGCAACCGAGGAGCGGGGGCGTGGCTGGCGATACCGGGGGCCCTCCTGGACATCCCTCCCGGGTCTCCTCCCGCGTTACCTACTACGTAGCGGATGGTGCGTCCAACAACAGACCTAATCACGCACACCCCGGGATGTCTTTGGGGGCGCTGGCGCCGTGAGCACATCCCATTCCCGAAGGCCGCTGACTCTCGTCCATGCCCCCGCCGGGCGGGACGAAAGTGTCGAAAGCGGGTGCTGTCTCTGCGACTAACTCTCTTAGTGCCTTTTCATCTTGTCTTGGGCTGAGTTGGGATGCCGCCGTTGGAAAGAGGGCCGCAACAGGGCAGTCGGTGTATGTTCTCTGGTGTCAGGGGAGCGAAGCGGGATGGGATGCGGGCAACGGTTTTTTGTGGGTTAGTGTGGCACACTCTTGTTTTTTTCTTCTAGGACGGACGAATCGACGTCATTGTTACCTTCGCCGTCATCGTGTGGTTCCTTCCTTTGCGGCTGGTGTCTGTCGTTGGTGTCGTCGTCATGGACCTGCTGTTGGTGCTGCCCTTGTTGGTACCGACCTTCTGCTGTAGCGCCATCTGGTGATACTCGCCCCGAGGTGTTTACAGAACTGCCACCTAAGATTCCACTATAAGAAGAAGCGGGCAATGCAAAGCTAAATAAAAATGTTTGGTATAGAAATTTTACTATCAATTGCTGTATCCGTGTATCTAAGGGATTGCGATCCCTTGCTGGATGAAAGTGGACGCGGAGGTCCCAGGTGCTGCACCTGCGAGGCACAGCAGAAACGGGCACAGCAAAAAAAAAAAGGCACAGCAAAAAGAGACAGCATAGATGCTCGACCCCAACGGGTGGGGGACGCAAATACGAGGCGGAGAATTGAGCAGAGCCGCCTGGGGGCTGGTAAATGCAGCCATTCAGATTGGATGGGCGGCTGGGAGTGCTAGAAGCGGATGTTGATCTGCGAACGCTTTGCTGATAGTAGAGTGAAACCTATAAGGCCAAATATCCTTTTCAGCTACATCATCGGCCTCAATCGTTCCACTCAGCTCCTCAGTCCAACTGCCGCCAAAGTCGAAGAGTAACCTTTGCGTCGCCCGTGTCGCAATGGATCAACGCACTCGAAGCCTTAATATCACCCCATATAGCCCCGATTCTGTGCCGTAGACTGACATTCCCGCGAACCTGTCATGTCCACGTCCCCCTGCGCACCTCGGGAATTGCAGAGGCGTTCTCGAGCCGCTCAAGAGTGGATAGCTACCGGTTTTTTGACCTTCGGATGTGCTCCCATGAAGCATCCTGTCACTTTTTCTTCCGAGGGTGTCTCAATGCGATCAAGGAGCTTCGGTATACCGATAGGGGGCATAGCCGAGGATGTACCAGTGATTTTACAGGCGACTTGAATCCCGTCTGTCCGGCTGGGGGATATAGGCCATTGCTAACATTAGAACACATCGCTTGTTCCCCTAACCAAGACGTGAGCAATGCAACTATCAACCCATAATTTTTTCGAGGGCCTTGGCATCCTTGGGTGGAATCTTGGGAGTACCTCGTTTCCACTAACATCGAGTCAGGTAAAGATTTCGAGAATTCGAGAATTCGAGAATTCCAACTGGAGCTCATCCGAGGGGCGTGCCATCCTGAACGCCAGGATCAACACTCTACAGGGAATGGGTTTCTTGACGCAGCATGTCAATTTTGCATTTGGGCCGTTTCAAAGCGAAAACGAAATTTCATAACGGGAAGGGGAGAGAATGAAAGACCGGGGATGGAAAGAGGCCGGGCATTGAAAGAGGCCGGGGATGGATGTAAGTGGCGGGGCGAGTCCGTCAAACCTGGGCCGTCTTTCACACTCAAAGATTGACTCGAGGATCATCGGCAATTGGGTCGGCTCCGTCGACATCACCAGCTTTCGGTGGCGGCGTAACGTCTCCCGATAAATGAGTACATGTGTATCCCGTGACTGCACGCTCAGCGGATCAATCGAGTGACATGATGAGCTGCGCGACGCTGCAGCGAATGGACAGCGGGACGCAGTCGCCACGATGTGGTGCTCGGCCCTCATGGCATGAGACGCTTTTTTTTTGGTAGCGAGGGCGTGGGCATTTTTTGCAGTGGTGTGTCTTGCGACATCGAGTTCCGAGAGCGAGATCCAAGCGTATCTGAAGGCGCGAAATGTGAGCTGTAACAATATGGGATGGCGTGTCTTGACTAACAGCAAATTAAGTTGATTTTACACGGTGCGGGGCGCAATATATGCACGGGCTAGATGCTGGTTGTAAGTGACAGGTAATGTGACGAGGAGCAACTCCAGTGCACTGTGCTCAATCGCGTGTACGGTAAGGTAGGTAGCTATAGTTAGATAGGTACCTAGGTTAGAGACTATGCCAATGGTTTCTCGAGCGGCCCCCAAAGCCAAGGACAACTTTTGCACCTTCGCACGCTCCCCCCCCTAGTATCCATCCTCAGAGCAACCTCATAGTCCGTTGCACGTCTTTTGCCTCAAATAGACGTTGGAACCGTCGATCCAAAAATACCTGCGGGACAGCGCCGGCCCCGCCGACCCGGCCCGGTAGATCTCGGGCTTCCTGTGAATCCGGGGCCAGGGGCGGGCGTGCGGGTGTTTAAAAAGCAGGGACCGGCGAGTGTGTGCGAGAGAGTAAGTGAGTGACTGACTGCAACTGTGACAGTGACAGTGACAGTGACAGTGACAGTGACAGTGACAGTGTGAGTGAGTGTGCGCATGCGCCGCAGGTTCGCTTGACGCACGGAAGCGGCCGCTTTTCGTCGGATCATGGCCCATCAAGGGTTGGTGAAGGCTTCTTCTCCATGCGGGTTGCGACAACGGGTGAGATCGGCGATTGGGGGCGGGCTCGGTGGGAACCATTCCGGGGTTACGGCCCTCGCTCAGGACAGAAACAAAACAATAAATTCTGTGCCGCGGGATTATGGACCCGGCTTTCGGCCGTCCGTCTGCACTCGCATCACATCACACTCGCAGTTGCATGGGAAAAGGGTCTTACGCCAAGACCCAAGTCGTGGTCAAGCTGGTCATCTCAGATCGAGATGATGCAGACAGTTGATCAGCACAGAATTCCACTTCTGAGGGAGGGCCTCTGCAGCGTCAGCACGGTCCAATCGCATCTCGATTCAGAACACCAACTTTCGAGAGAGAAGAGAGAAGGGGAAAGAGGCCCTATTGAAATCCACGAGTTGCATCTGCTGCTACTACTACTACTACTACTACATGAGCCCATATGTGTGTGTGTGACCATCTTTCCAGCCTGAACGCCGTTTCGTCCCTCTTTGTCTCAAACCAAGATTTTTCCTCAACTCGGTTCTCATCTGTCATCCTAACTCTCACCCCCTGCCTATAGTGTTGTGGCTTCCCTGATAAGATACAGCCCCGACCTAGATATTATTCTCAACCAGTCTTCTTCTTCTTCTTGGGTCGCTCTTCCTCTTCCTGCTCCTCTTCCTCCTCATCACCGTCGTCGTCATCATTGTTCACGCCGCTGTCAGCATCACTGCCAGAGCCAGAACTCTCGTGGTCGCTGTCAAATTCTTCCGCCACGTCGCTGTCGCTGTCGGCCTGGAAGTCTTCGTCGACACTCTCCTCATCCTCATCGGCAGAGCCTCGGTCAGCCTTAGCCCCAACAACTTCGTCTTCAGAGTCGTCCATATCCTGCTGGCGCAGGGCGGCGGCCAGCATGTTGGCATCCTCGTCGATCTCGTTCTTAACCCGCAGGCCCTTGAGCTTGAAGAAGCTCTCGAGAGCCTTAAGATCCTCACGACTAATGTTGCTGAACTGAGACGAACCGGCGCCGTTCTTGAGAAGGACAGTGATGTCAAAGGTGGAGAGGGCGGAAACAGCACCGCTGACACGGGAGAAGGTGACAGACTGGGTCTGCTCGTAGGCGATGTATGTGGCGGGCTTGGGGACGAACATGAAGGCCTTTTCCAGGCAGTACAGGGAACCCTCGCTGGCCTTGATGGAACACTTGATTCCGTATTGGTTCCGGTGTCTACACACGAGTTAGTACGGGACAAAGGTGGAAAAGGGGCTGGCGATGCATACGTGATAAAGTCCTTGGCAGGGGACGAAATCTTCTTGTTGGCCAGGCCACGGAAGATCTTGGCCACGACATGGTGCAGGGGCTCCTCGTAATGGGGCTCTAGCTTGTCCTGGTACTTGCTCTTGAGCTCTTCCTCGTTGAGGTTGAGGTCGATCGTCACCTCCTCGTCCTTCTTGAACTGCATCACCACAAAGGGGTAGCGGGTCTGGCCCTGGCGCAGAGGGGGGTCGAGGCCTATGCAGAGCATGCAGTGCGTCTCATCGGGCTTGGGAAGCACCATAAACTTCTTGATGGCCTCGTACTGGATCTTGTAGTCGTATGTTTTGCCACGAAGGCGGAACGAGGCTTCGTACATGTCGATATCGAAACGACCTCTGGGGGTGAGATGCAGAACATCCAGGAAGGTGGCAATGGTATCGCCAGCCGTCTCGCCAATCTCAGCCTTGTCGATGAGCGTCTCATAGAAGAGGGCAGCCGCATCTTTGACCTCCTCGCCGTTCTCGCTGCCTGCGTCCTCACCCTCCGTCTCCTTGCGGGTAGCGGTTCCGGGGATGTAGAAGCGCATCTCGACGAGCTGATCACGGCCAGCGGCGGCCTTGGTGCCCTTTGCGCGAGCGCCACCCAGCTGGGGGTTGGCACCAGTGTCGGCGGCGGCGGTCGGGGGCAGGGTCATCTCGACAGCGACCTCGTTTCGACCGGCAAGGTTGGTGTTGCCAATGTCAGAGTAGGACAGCTCAAAGGCCGGGCGGTTCTGGACGCTAAAGGTGAGCTCCGATTTGGAGAACTCGGCCTTGCCCCAGTTCCAGCCGCGAAGGGCGTGTTCCTTGTTCTCGAGGGCGGTGCTGTACCAGTTCTTGAACACCTTGGCAAGGCGGTCGTAGTCCTCCTGCGAGAAGCCGTCCAGCTGAATGATGCCGGAGCTAGCGCGCTGGAGGATCTTGATCTCGTAACCCTTCGCAGCGCGGCTCCATTGCGCGGCCGCGATGTTGGCGTGGTCGAGGGTGAAGGTGTCGCCGCCGCTGGAGGGCTTCCAGCCGAATCCCGTCTCGGCGAACCTGCACTTGCCGCTCTCCTTGGAGAGGTCCAAGTAGATGTTGTCGAAGCTCTCACTGCGATGAACGGGTCATGGTTAGCTGGGTGCTGACGGCGGACAATCGTCACAGCCTGTCTGGCCTTGCCTGGTCTGGCCATGGTCGCTGTCGCTGTGACGACGGGGAAACAGAAATTGGGCATCGGGAGGTAACTCACATGGCAGTCATGACGACGGCGGAGCTTCAAGAGCCAGATGTAGACGGGGAGATAGAGAGGGTGGTGAGAGGAGGAAGAGTGGAAGCTCTGTTCTCTCGCCGTTGCGACGAAGATGCGATCAGACCAACTCGAAATTTGAGACGTACGTAGAGAGCTTCGCGGTCGGCGCGCCAAAAACACGCGCCGCCAGTGCAAGCAGCGCTGGACAGCTGGGCTAGCGCGCGACCCCCCGTGAAGCACTATAACCCGCCCCGGTACGTACCACACATATGCCGGTCACAGGTGCGAGATACGCCCGTTTGCAGGGGACGCTAGGCGCATGAGCCACTGAGACCGAGATAGACTCCGGTGGAAGAGGTACCTGCGTGCCTGGCGTCCGCCCCAGTAAATTCGCGGATAACCGCCAGACCCCAACGTATCTGAACAGTCGGCGGGTCACATGGGCCGCGCTGAGACGCCAGGGTATCAACGGATGCCTGTCTGCAGCCTCTTTAACGAAATGCGTTAGCGCCAGGCTCGGACTCTTGTACTTCTAGCGCCACTCTCGTATTTAAAGATACCTCCCCAGCAACTGGCATCCCATCCCAACAGTTAGGCCGCTTCCGTCTCCAGGCACCTGGATACCTCACTTACGAACCCTTTCGGCACTGCTCCACTGGCGATAGCGCCCGCGTGCCAGATATGACAACATCGTTGGCTACCCTCCGCCTCTCTCCGTCGCTCCGACTCCGACTCTAGTCCTCGCTCTTCTTTCGCCTCGTCATCACCACGCTCATTCTTCCCCTTCTTCCCCATCACTCATACTTCCCTCGATACATCTCTTCTGCTGTTCCTGATACATCATCATCTCCTATGGTGCGCCCTGTCATGACATCCCATCATCCCCGGCCACCGAGCTCGAGGTGCGCCTCAGCCGCCAGAGTTTCCGCGGCGCTGCTCTTATCATTCCTCGCCTTCACCCCGACTCTCGTCTCCGCCGACAACAGCGCCCGACACTTGAGCGACGAAATCCTGCTGCCTCCGGGCCCAGCCCTCCCCCCGAATCCCGAGGCCCCCGTGCCCGCCGAACACACCTTCTCACTCCGACACATCTTCCACCACGGCACTTACCGGCATCCGGGGCTCCACCGGAAGAGGGACGTCGTCCATGAAACCTCGAGAGTGTTCTTAGCCGCTGAGGATGGCTACGATGAGCAGGAAATCTTCCAGCTCAAGGCCAAGAGCCGCGCCTCGTCGATAGAGCGACTGGTAGACCGGAGGCCTTCCATCGTGGACCCTATGGTGGCCGAGTCTCGGCGACAAGGTTACACGGCCGTCTTGGATGCATCGGCATGGACTCTCGACCAAGTCTCGTCGCCCGACATCACAGACAAGGAGACCGTCTTGACCCTTGCCAGGATGACCGCCAACGCCTATGTCGGGAATGACACCGACGCCGACTGGGAGGAAGTTGGGCCTCACTTCAACCGCACTGCCGACTTCGGATGGGAGGGCGATGGTCTCCGCGGCCACGTCTTTGCCGACGAGACCAACTCGACAATTGTCATCGGATTGAAGGGCACATCCATGGCCGTCTTTGATGGCGAAGGCACCACCACCAATGATAAGGTCAACGACAACCTCTTCTTCAGTTGTTGTTGCGCCCAACAAGGTCAGTGGACTTGGCATCAGGTCTGCGATTGCGCCACCGACACCTTCACCTGCAACAACACCTGCGTGGTCGACGCGTTGCGAGACGAGAACCGGTACTACACTGCTGCTCGCGAGCTATTTTCCAACGTGACGGAGCTGTACCCCAATGCCATGGTCTGGCTGACCGGCCACTCGCTTGGCGGAGCCGTCACCTCGATGCTTGGATTGACTTACGGCCTGCCCGTCGTCACCTTTGAGGCTGTCCCGGAGGCTCTCCCAGCTACAAGACTCGGCCTTCCCAATCCTCCCGGTGCCGACCCAAGGTTCCCTCAAGTCCGCGAAAATACCGGTGCATATCACTTTGGCCACACGGCGGACCCGGTCTACATCGGCACATGCAACGGAGCGACGGCTTCATGCTCTTTTGCAGGGTATGCTATGCAGACAGCGTGCCACACGGGCTTTGAGTGCGTCTACGATGTTGTTGCGGACAAGGGATGGCGAGTTGGCATCGGTACCCACAGGATTCGATCCGTTATTGATGATGTCATCACCAAATATGATGATGTCCCAGTGTGCCACCGCACCCCAGAATGTCGAGACTGTGGCGAGTGGAAGATGTATGAGAGCAACGGGACCGACAGCACAACCACGGCGAGCACAACTACAACCAAGACACGGACTCGGACCACTACCTGCAAGACCCCTGGATGGTGGGGATGCCTTGACCAGTCAACTCCCGGTCCGACTACTACAACTACGACGACTTCGACATCTACATCCACTTGCAAGACGCCTGGCTGGTTCGGATGCAAGGATCAGACCACGACGGAAACCACAACTTCTGAGCCCAGCGCCACGCCAACCACGACTTGCCACACGCCCGGCAGATTCTGGGGTTGTCGGGATGAAGTCCCTGAGGCAACCGACACCGAGCCTAGCCCTGTTACCCTTCCCTCCATGACCGGCTTGCCAACGGCCACGTCTACAGCGCCTTCCAGCACCTCGCCTCCAGAGCGCAATTGCCTTCGCCGAAGCTGGTTCTGGTATTGCAAGGAGTGGGATGGAGAAGAGTTGGAATTCTGGCCGGATGAGATGTAGGGATCCCAGGAGCTACTCGGGAAATTGGTATTCAACATATAGATCCTTTGGGGATAGGACATGAGGGTTTGCGATTTCAATGGCAGTTGCGTCCGGAGCAAGCGAGCTCTGTCGCAGACCTGTCTGGCGTTGGAAGTTTGGTTAGTTTTTGTCAAGGAAGCGGGATTTCACTTAGGGGATCATATCATATTCCTATTCATACATATACACATACACATATAAGCATAGGACGTGACCAGGTGGTCTCGGTTTGGGTTGGATTGGACAGGGGGCGTTGGATTTGATGAGATGAATGGACTACCAATGAGAGTGCCTGGTACCATTGCGAGCACAGATAGAACTCCCACTGTGGGGAATTCAGAGAATGACGAAGCCATGATGCTCGTTTCAAAAACTTTCTGTGAATCAGTTCCATATTTTGTAGTATTTGTGATGCCAAGAGTGCCCAATATGGTCAAAGAACACACCGACGTCTGCCCTGCACTCCCTCGTCCAAGCTTGGCCGAAACAAGATAGCATATTATAACTGGAATCCTTTCTGCATCGCTGGGAGACTCCGCTCAAATTGGGAATCTTTGGCTCACGTGTTAGGATCCTTGATGGGTTTGAGTGTAACTTAGGATCTAGACTAAGTATTAGTATCGAATGTTTTATATGCATAAAGTGTATAACATTTAGGATATTGTGTATGTTTATGCTCCCCGGGGCGTGCAAGTGGATGGGAAGGGGGTTGTCTTGACGGTGGTGTCGACTCTTTCTGCTTCAGGTGCTTCGCAAACCTGAGGCCGCTTCAACATGGGATATCCGTGAGGATTTCGGTTGGTGAGGACCAGAATAAGGTACAAAGTACTTAGTGACAAGCTCCTTTTTAACAAGAGATCGTTATCATCTTATATTCTAGCAATTTTCAAGATTTAGAGGCACTGGTTGAGTGGACACAAGCTGACAACGTTCGTCAATCTTCTTGTTTTTTCCAGTTGCATCAATTGTTCACTTGGATAGTTTCGCCAACGTCTAGTCCCTTTGACAACTGGGGTCCAGTAGCATGTACTACTTCATCACCACCTTCCAGGTCAGTAGGGAGGCATGGCGGAAAGGAAGATTGAGGCAAGGTTAAGGGCGGGGGGGTGAGAAAGGGACTGTGTGGTTTAATACCTTCTTACACTCTATGGGTTGGCACAAACCTTCTCAAACTACCAGCAAGGTGCGTCATTATTCACATGCTGCCATACCCAGGTACTTCTCTTACCTTTGTCCGTTTCTCTGGAACTGAACAATCAAGCATGGAGGTTACAAACCAAGATAGTTACTTCATTCAATTGCGGCGCTTCCATTTCCAGCCCTTCTCTTCCAACGTCTTTGCAGATGCTATATTACCCACCCCATTGTCTTCCCCTACCTTTGTGAGACATTCTGCTCTTCCGATGCGTCCATTCAGATATCATGCATTATGTGATGTCAGCAGCCGACATAACTGTCAGGACTAACGAGCTTGGTATTCTCCACACATAAGTATTTGGTTTCTTGGCTTTACTCAATGTCAACAGATAGATCAAAGTCATACAGTATTTTCAAACGATAGAGACAAATAGTAAGTGCTAGACCCAGCACCAGAAGAGACAGTAGTTGAACAATAAGGTTGTTGCACACTAGTCTTTGCCTTAAGATTCAATTCAACCCTTCTGGCTTCCACCCTGCTGACTTCATCCCTGTTTGTCTACAGTCAACGAACTATCTGAGTGAGCAGCCACACATAATCATATGCTCTATTCATAAAGACAATTGGCAATGTACGACCATATAAAAAATAAAAAAATGCAACCCTTAAAGTTAGTACTGATACCTAAAGGTTTACTTTGTATTTAAGTAATATTTTTTCAAGATAGACCTAAGGCGTAAGAGATCATACCATTTGACTCTATACATATGGCAGGTTATTGTTGATACGATTGTTGGTATTTTTTTTTACTGTTGAGCTTCTAGTCCCCCCTCTGGGGATGTGTGTACTAGGGCACCCTGCCTCTTGATACATATGGCAGGTATATTGATTTGCCTAGGTTTAGTTGAAGGAATTAGTACCTGTGTGCGAATAGCAATACTCATGCTGTACGTATAACCTTCCTAGTAAAGTTTCAGCTGGACTAAGGTAGTGGACCTAGCGCAAGCGCAGCCGCAAGTATTTCCCAAACTAAATAAAGTTCTGTGTTTTAATTGTAGAGTGCATATTCCCATGTTTCCTGTTATCAAGAATGATCCAATACTAGACATAAGGAGGGATTCAGTGCTGTGTTGGTGGTTGGTGTTGACCAGTACTACAGTAGGCTACCCGTGGCCCTGTGATGTCAGCGACCAAAAATTTACTCCCCACCACAAAACGCGTCTTCCTGCCACCTTCAACTTCGACCCAAAAACCCACCCACGAATCCACCAAAGCCGCAAACTTGCATGCGCGCAGGGCCATGTGATTTCCGAGCACTCGCCCTGGGTTCCAACAAGTGGATGATTTTGCGATGGAGTCAGAAGCTAAACCCTCGGAAAGGGACGACTCTCGATCCCCCGACTCGTCGAGCGACAGCGACAGCGACAGCGACGCTGGCATCGCCACCGGCCGAGGCAGCAATTCTGACAGCAAGACGAACACCGAGCCGCAGGTCCAATGGCTGGCTACGACGCGCGAACGCCGGTCCACGGCTGGCAACCGGATGAAGTCGATGCTCGCGAACGAGGAGCCCGATTCAGATCTCGAGCTGCTGTTTGCCGAGGACGAAAACGACCAGGGATTCACCGATGTCGACGATGACGGGTCCGACGTTCATATGGATTCTTCTTCAGATGAAGAAGACAACAATAACAACAATGCTGATGACGACCTCGAAGGCGAGAAGGAGCTGGAGAAGCAGGCCAAGGAGCGTCGAGCCGCCCAACGCAAACGCAAAGCCCAGGAAGCCATCCCCGTCAAATTTCGCAAGAAGGTCCGCATCGATCCCACGACGCCCGCAGCTTCCACGACGCCCGCAGCTCCCTCGCCTGCTCCCATGTCTACGATGCCCGCACCGCGGCCCAAGAAGAAATCCGAGCGCACCTCATGGCTACCGTCAGCCGCCGACATGCCGACCCGTGCCTCGTCGCGATCGACGACCCGTTGGTCCAAGGAGCAATTACACAACCAGATGGTGGAGCGCGAGGCGAAGCGGTTGAAGCAGCTGGCGCAGATGCAGAAAAAGGCGGCGAGGCTGGAGGCTCTTAAAAAACCGCCCATGACGCAGGAGGAGCGGCTACGCGAAGCGGCCATCGTCGAGAAGCGCAACAGCAAGAGCCTGAACCGGTGGGAGGTGGCGGAGAAGCAGCGTGAGGAGGACCGGCGCGCACGGCTGGCGGCACTCAACGAGAGGACGCTCAAGGGTCCCGTGATTACCTTCTGGAGTGGTATTGGCGAGTGGATGGGGAGGAACATGGTGGTAGAGGAGCCGGCCAAGAAGAAGAGGGAGAGGGTCGACAAGAACAAGGACAAGGGGAAGGGAAAGGACAAAGACAAAGACAAGGAGAAGAGCAAGAACGAAGGTGCAGAGGGCAAGACAGAGGGCAAGGAGAGTATCAAGGAAGTCGGCAAAGAAGATGGCAAAGCAGACACTCCAGCGACAAACGATGGAACTCTGAAGCCGAAGCCCGAGTCGGATCAACCACCACAACAGACGTCTCCGCTGCCCCCGGCCGAGACTCCGGCTGCTACTCCGGTCGCTACTACGGTTGCTACTACGGCGGACCCAACACCCAAGGAGGGCGATGCACCAGTTCCTGTCAAGGTCGAAGAGACTCCAGCGAAGCCTGCGGAGACTCCATCGGCGGTTGAAGCGCCTCCTGCGCCGAAGACCGAAGAACCACCCCGGATAATGGCGATGCCGCCTCCACCACCTCCTCCTATCGCCAGTGGCCTCGCTGCTCCAGCACCTCTCCCTCTGTCTCCGTCTCCTCCTCCCAATGGCCTAGCTGCCCCGACTCTCCCGACTCTACCTCCCAATGGCCTCGCTGCTCCAACTCCTCCGAACCCACCTCCCAGTGGCCTAGCTGCTCCCGCTCCTCCTCCGAACGGCCTGGCCGCACCAGCCCCTCTCCTTCCTCCACCGACCAGTGGTCTGGCTGCTCCAGCTCCAGCCCCGACTCCTACCTCTGCTCCTCCGGGCTCCCAACGATCCATCATGACTCCTCCATCAGGGTTGGCGCGCCCCCTGGAATCCAAGCCATCCGGTGTCCTCGCCGCGCCCATTCTCGCTCCCCCGCCAGGCATCGGCGTCAACGGCACTGCTCAACCCATGCTAGGCTTCAGCTCTGGCAATCTCAAGTCCAACGTCCTGGCTCTGCCGAATACCTCTCAGGGATCCGGTCCTCCAACGCTGTCTAGCATGGCGGCCCCGGAGAGACTCAGTCCTTCCATCTCTCTCGCCACCCCCGTGCCGCCCAAACCTACACTTGCACCTACACTTGCACCTACACCGTCTTCCACTTCCACTCCTACCTCGATCCCTGCTCCTCCTAGAGAAACGGACCTCCAGCCCATCACCAACCCTTCAGCTGCCCCAAACAAATCGGCTACCTCTGACACACCGGCACAACCACCCCAACCTCCACAGCCCTCTACAGGCGCCCGCAATGCCATCGTCTTCCAGAATTTTGATGAGAACGGGATCAAGGACCGCACTGTCCAGACCCAAATCATCTTCGGTCGCAAGATGACCAAGCTCGGCAGTAAGTTCCTCTCCGCCACCAAGAAAATAGCACCCATATACTAACCCGTTCCACACAGAGCCCTCTCCTGCACCTCTCTGCGTCATTACAAACCACCCCGCTCGTTACCGCGATCCAAAGACAGGGCTGCCGTATTACAATGCCTATGCCTACCGCGAGATTCAGCGCCTGTGTCGTGGTGAACACCGCTGGAGCAAGATCCTCAATGCATGGGTTGGCAGTGGCTCCACTGCCGCCCGCGGAGTGCCCGAGCGATTCTTAAACCCAAACAAGAAAAAGCCCGTTGACGAGAAGGCAAATGAAGAGAAGAAAGATTCAGATGGCAAAGTTATGGCAGAGAAAAAAAAGGATGATGGGAAAGCCCCTGAAATGAAGCCCACCGAGGTCAATCCTGCTGCTGGAGTGAAGCCCCAAGCGGTGAAGCCCACGGAGAGTAAACCAACTGAGGTGCAGGCCCTCGAAGTGAAGGCCCCTGAGGTGAAGCCGCCAGAGGAGGCAAAGTCTCTCGAGGTGACGATGACGGACGCAGAGGTGAAAGCCCCAGAGGCAAAAGCTCCGGGAGCAGCACTCCTCCCGCCCAAACCAGAGACAGCCAACCCGGCGGGTAAAGCACCTGAAGTGCCCAAACCCGCCGTCGTGTCCAATCCGTCTACTGCTGCAGCGGTAACACCAACACCTGTCACACCCCAGGTTACAGCACCTGAGCAGGCACCAAACCCCCCCTCGACCACGAATACTGCCGTTGTGCCGATGGAGGCAGCAAAATAAGCGGAGCCGTGCTTACATGATGTAAAGCGGCGGCGTGTATGAATAGATGTTGATTATCGGATAGATTAGAGAGGCAGGCGTATGTACATATAGATACCCACCGGTTTTGCACGTCACAAGACCCAATGGACGAAAGCGCCCAGAACAGAATAGGACTGTCTGTCTAGTTTGGAAATGATGAGAACCTCTACATTGGTATAAACTAGAACGTAAAATATTGCTATTTGCAATCCCCTCTACTTCTATTCGTACGCACACGATTTATGACCTATGTATTGGCACATCACGTTAAATAGTGTATACAACACCGACAGATAACAATAGCGTTCAAGTTGTCACTACCCAGGAGGGTTTGAGATATCTACACATCACATCACATCACCTTCGACATTGGGAACATTGAGTTTGTTTTGCTTCATGATTGCTTCATTCTTCATCTATCTAAATCCTCAAGACTCATCCGGAGTCAGATAAGCAAATCATGGCACATCCTCTCTTAATGCATTCTCAAAATTGCGTTGCAAAACATGTTTGTCACATCCCGTCTCCTTTGGACATCTACCCTCCTAATTGTCTCCCAAAGTATATGCCAATTCCCTTTTCCATTGCCCAAATTCCCCATCCATTTTAGAGCCTCCATTGTCGGAAAGGGCATAAACATGTAATCGCTTCCCAATACCAGAGATGCTCGCGCCCTCTTTCCTTTTATTCCGCCCATGAAAACGCCAAAGATGCCACGCCCTGGTTGCTACTAGAGCCCAGGCCATAGCGATAGTGTTGAAAACCGCTAAATAAAATGTCAAATCAAACCAAACGCCGTCTAAATGCTGAAGCTTGTGGGTGGGGAAGGGCATGAGCCCACGCCGGAAGGTTGTTGTTTACATTGTCGGATAAAAGAGTATGTCAGAGGGAGGTGATGTTGTTGCTGTTGAGCCAATGTGGACGGTGTTGCCAATGCTCAGTCGCGCTTGTTGCCAATCACGTCAACTATCCAACTCAGCTCGTTGGCAAAATCATCCAGGCCGTTATCAATGGGCGAGCCCAGGAGGTTGGTGCCGCTGACGGAGAGGTCGACATGGGCACGGGAGAGGAGGGTAGGAGAGTTGATCTTAGCGTACGTAGACTGAGGTCCAACGATCTTGCTTCTCTTCTCCTCCGGCTCGGGGAGGCTGTAACACTCATAAGACTCCGTCTTAGTTGACGTGCTAGCCGTGGGCTGGAAGGAGATGATATCGCTGTTGTTGCTCGACAACATGTCGTCCTCATCGTCGGTCAAGTCGTAGTAGAAAGCCTGAGCATCTTCGTCGGGGTACTGGGGAGAAACGGGAGACGCGAAGTAGCTCGATGAGGTAGACAATGTTAAGCGAGAGGTCTCCAGCTTGGGCCGGGACGGGATGACAGCAGATGCCGGCACCTCCTGGGTCTCGTACACGGTCAAGTTCGAAGGCCTCGTGGGCATGAGAGTGAGAGAACGGGAGTTAATGACACGACCAACGGATTCGGAAGATGCAGTGCGCCTAAAGGGGGGAGGAGTCAGGCCGGTAGTATAAGCCGGATTCTCGGAGACGGCAGACGTTGCAAAGTTGTCATCGTCATCGTTGTCCTCGTCATTGTCGTTCTCCTCGGGTGTCTCATCGGGGATGACCAAGGTCGGTCTCACACTGAGGTTGGAACCAGGTCGGGATGGAACATCATCAGACAGGAAGCGGCGGAGGGACTCGGGGGAGATGTCTCTGGTGCGAGTGCCTTCAGATGGAGTTGTGCATCGGACATCCGAGTCGTCGGGAACTGAGCGAGGATTGCTCTCGCGGACTGGTGATCGGCCACGTTCATCATCGCGACTCGTCACCTTTCGAGAGAAGAATCGTTTCCATGCAGGGGCCGGTGAGAGTGATCGAGACGATGATTTGTGGTTGAGCAATGGCGATGAGCCTAAGCGCAAGGTTGCGTTGTCGGCCATCGCTGAGGGAGTGGGTCGAGGAGTGACGAATTTGGACTCGGGGTCCATAGTCATGAAGTCGGTGAGACGCATGGAGCTGAGAGATGCACTTCGCTTCCGGAGAGCCTGCTCGACAGGAACGATCATGGTGTTGACGGTCTGGCCAGGCATGTATGGGCAGGCAGTTGTTGAAGGCAGAGCAGTGTTGTGAGTCTCGACGGCACCATCCACCTCGTACTGGAGATTCCTTGTCAGAGAATGCATGATTAAGAATTAAATAGGTAGTGAGTGTTGTAAGGAGCGTGGGTTGTCAGTGGGCGAGTGAGGGAGTGTGTTGATGATTGATTGACAGGACGGAAAGAGAATGAATAAGTGGGCGAATGACCCTATTCATACGTACATAGTAATAGTAGGTGTGGCCCATCTTGAGACCACCGTGCCTCTTGTACGGGGTGCCCGGTCCAGCTGCGTCGTCGCAGAAAATGTCGCGAAAAGAATGGCATCCTCTCCACTGGCCACGGCCACGCCGGACGTCTCGCTCCATGGGGTAAGATTGGGAGAAATTGTCCCACGACCCAATAAGCAGCACGGACTGGACCGAAGGGTCTGTTTGACTGGGGTTGCTTGTCAGCGCTGAGTGCACGATAAAGTCGGGCAACGGCATGGAGAATGGGACGAAAAGGAAATTGGATGAAACAAGCCACTGGGCCGGGGATTTGCGATGACAGCTGAGATTCGCGGGGAGCCACTATGCGCAGATGTGCAGAGGGAGGACTGAGACCCATCACGACGGCGTCTTGCGCCTGCAACCAGCCATGCAATGCAACCACTCAGCATTACATTGCATTGCCAGCACAAAAAAATGCAAATTGCCAGGCCACGGCCCAGCCGGCCACAGCACATGCCAGCACATTCCGAGAGCCAGACCGCAGCCGCTGCCACGCACTCAAGGAGGCTGGCTGAGTACCGCGTCACCCCAAAGGAAAAAGCATGAAGTACGATGTGAGGCCCTTGTCTCAGCACCAGGGGGGGCTAGGAGGGAAGCAAGGGGGTTCAGGGCGAATGCAGTAAAAAATAGAAGCATACCAAGGCAGCTAAGACAGGGCCCAAAACGGTTCCCGGTCGCTTAAGAACGAGGCTGGTCGATAAATCGGACAAAACAAAAGGAATGCTGGGAGATGGGGCCACGGGGATCGATCGAGGGCGCAGAAGCAAGCTCAAGCGGGCCAGGGCGGAAGTGAATGAATGGGTGAATCAATGAATGGGGTCTGTGAACACGAGACCAAGACAGGTGCGGTCGTATAAACGGTGTCTCAGAAGTGGGAATGCGGAAGCAGGGAGAGGTCGGCCAGCAAAAAAGGGAGAGGTCGGCCAGCAAAAAAGGGAGAGGGAGAGGTAAGATTGCAGCGCAGCCAAGAAAACAAAGAAAGAAAATGGCTGGTAATGTGAAGCAGAAGCAAAGAGAGAGTCCAGACTCACAGATGAAAAGTAACGAGAGTCGTCGAGGGATCCATGATGGCTGGCTGGGCGAATGCCTGTGTAAATATGTAGGAACCCGTTCCTCGTTTTGCGAAGCGCGTCTGGCTTGCCGGGGGACCGGCCCACGACGGCGTCTAGTTGAATGCTATTTTGTGCCGGAAACCTCGCAATTGACAATTATGGCAAGCGATGAAACGCGAGAGCGCTCGTTGCGTGCCTCAACAGACGCAGGAGCTTGCAATCCAGATTGCAGACTCGGTAGTGAGAGTGGTGCCGGCCAATGGCAAGCCAGGGACGGCTCGTGGTAAGCGCCGCGATGAGCTGCAGTCGAGCTTGGGCGAATGCCGGCTCGAGGATGAGCTGTTTTGTTCTGGATTTGGATGGGGAATTATGGAGCGCGGCGTGATGCTGGCGCTTAGGTACTGGGCCTTAGACACAGGGCCTAGAGCACAGGGGCGTAGGCGACAGACCAGACCGGAGTGAACCGGGGACAAGCGATGGGCAGACAATCCGTAACAGAAGGCCTGGGATCCTAGGGGAAGCGCGGAGGGAGCGGCTAGTGAAGCTGCTGCTGTCGGATCGCCGTCGCTGTTCGACGTGGACGTGGATGCAGCCCTGGCCGTGAACCTAGGCGTGCTGTGAGCACCCGAACATGCGGTAGAGTACTTCGTATCCCAGGGCGTAGAGGCAGGGCGTCGCAGTCGCCTAGCCGTGGTGTTTCGAGGTCTCGGGAGCGAGGCGTAGGCAGCGTGGTGATTCACTGGTTCGCCCGGGTCCTTGCCGTCCTCGGAATGAGTGTCTCGAAGGGATCCTGACGCCGGCTGTTGCTTCTCGAAGGGGTTCCTGAGGGTGCCGAAATTCCAGAGGCGCGGGAAATGAGGAATGCAATACCACACAATGAGATGCAGATGCAAATGCAGGAGGAGAAGGGGATTGGAGAATTGGAGATTGAAGGTTGACGGCGGAGATGAGGAAGCAGTCGCGGTGCGCCGGCGGGGGAAAGCCACTCGTCCGTGGTTGACGCAACCGGGAAGGAGCAAAGGAGCGAATGAAGTCCAGGCCAGTCCAGCTCGGCCAAGGAAGGAAACGACGGCTGACAGCTCGCGATCCACGCACGAGGTTGGCTCACGAGGGTTCAGGTTGGCTGAACTGGCTGAATTGGCGGGAAGGCCGGCTCAGGAGGCGTTCAATCTTTTGCTGGTTTGGGAAGCGAGAAGCGGCCTGGCGGAATTATCCCCCCCCCCCCCTACGTCGCATGGGATTATTGGGGTTCTGCTGTACAGACTAGCTGCTACGGGGTACATGTACCCATCGATCGAGGCCATCGGCACCACTAGCGACGATGGGGATAAGTGATGGATATGTTAATCTAGCTGAGGGAATGGTGAGGACGAATGAGGAGGCGATCTGCCACGAGAGTGTCACAAAAAGCACCGAGTAGCTTGAAGCATTCAGCTCGCCCACTTATTGGCCCCGGCACCTGAGAATGAGGATGAGAATTAAGCATGGCAATCATAACAAGGCATTGTTGAAACGCTGCTATGCCGAGACGAAACAAAAACAATCAATGCGAGACTACGAGGAAAGACAACACAAGGCGAGACATCCGCCGACTCCCAAACGAAGCCACAATGCGAGACGAGACAGCCAGGAGAAGGGGGGATTTGGAGGACAATGAGAGGCTCCAAAGGCGAGACATGTCCTTAACTGGAGACAGGCCCCAGGAGCTGGGAGCAAGGCCCGCGGGAGGGAGCATCACTGGAGGGCGCGCGCGCGAGTGGTGTCGTTCGTTGACAAGACAACAGCAGAGACGCGTGATTGGGCGGCAGAGAGTGGGATTGTCAGCCAGCCGCTCGACTACTGAAGCAGCTAGCCTGCACCAGGCCTAGCCTGAGCCTGAGACCTTGTGGATTTGACTATGAACAGGGCCCGTGTGATCGAACCCAAAAGTCTCCAGGCCGGTCCCCCCTCTAGCTGGGAAGGGGAGGGGCGGGTACGATGGAGATTGGACTGGAGGAGAGTTGATGTGTGTGATGGCCTCTGGTGAAATGGGTGCAGTTCCTGGTGTTGCGGACGGGGCAGCCGGAAGTGCGTGCCAGGAGTTTGAGAAGTGGTGGTGGAATTGACAGCCAATGGACTGCGAGCCACCCACCGTCACGTCACCACCATAGCCTAGAGGTAAGTCTCCGTAGTTAATTTATTGACTGACGGCTGCCGCCATTCCCTTCAGAGCATGAACATCAGGGTCCTGGGGCCCAGTTTTGGGTGAGTCCCCCTGATGAACCACTGTGCGGCCAGTCACAGCGTCTCTCGCCACCGTGAATCCTACCTTCTGAAACGAACGCTCCGGGCGAAACTTTGCTTCTCAGCCAATTCTCTCCCATGCCAGCGGTGGGCGTGGTCAGCATGAACCACTACAGCCACCGGATGTTACGGTGCTGTCACGGCGTTGAGACAACCACCAGGGAGCACAACACAACAACAATGACAAAGCCATTGTAGCCCGCAAGTCGCTTGGCAGGCCATCTCGGTCTCGACTGTTTTCTCTTGTCCCAATTCGGTCTCCAATAGAGGCCTGTCTCGAAACAAGCCCATGCCGCCCTTTTTGCTCATCCCTCCGGCTCTGCCGCCAACCCACATTGGCGTGCGCTGGCATCCGTCCATTTGCGGCAATCCAGCAGGGCAGGGTCTCGGCTGATTGGCTCCACTGGCAGACTGCGCGCTTGTTCCGTCCACCAAAACGAGTCCACCAGAACATCTGACGACCGCCTGAACAGGCCAGCAGCCGCCCTGCTCTGTCGCAGGTTCGGAGGCCTGGATGCGAATGGACCTGTTTCGATGGGGAACTTAGGTCTTGTGGGAATTGCCTCCGGCCCGCGGCAGAGAGCGGCGCGTCATGACGTCGAGCATGGTGGTTAGCGACACAGCTTGCCATGGGTAAATTATCAACAAACCTCAGCAGCTGGAAAGTATGCGGCCACATGTAAAGGCCTCGGCCATCGAAGCTTTGGTTGGTAGTCGGTACGCCCACGTCAATCACCCACAGCCAGCCACGACATCACGGTTATCTGCGAGGCGCACGCAGCTGCTCAGCTTCGGATGCATATTTTGCAATGAGGTGCAACCGTGGCAGACGCCATGCTGCACGTACATACGTGAAGACGCTTCGGACGCACAAGTCCTGTCCCGCGATGCACAATCCTCTCAACCCTACATCCCTCCCTTCAGCTTTGCCACTCCATCATCAGCTCACCGGCGTGATCGAATCACCTCGCCCATCAAACCCTCCCCGCCAAGTTGCGCCCCCCACCCCCTGCAGCGACCACCTTTTGACGTGAGGGAGGGGCTGAGACTGAGCCTAATAGGCGTGGGGCCACGGCTGATTGAAAACCTTCCAGAAGGCCGGCCGACGTCCTATTAATTGGGTGTCCAACTGGGGCGCTGCACAGCGATGGAGAAGATGGTGTTGACGCAGCAGCCATGCAGCTTTGCACGGCTCGGTTACGACTTTTAGCTTTGCTTGGTGCGTCGTCGATCGACAAGGTGCCTCTGGCTTTGGGCTATGTTTCTGCTTTCTTTTCCTACTGCGTAGACATTGCCTCGCCGTCCTGTTGCGCCCGTAGCTTGTTGCCTGTGCGAGGCATGCAGCGGGTGACGCATCCAGGCCAAACGTGGCTCGGTGTCGCCTTTACCCGTCCACAGGCGGAGGCTTAATGAATGCCGAAATGGCTTGTGCAAAGCAAATCATCCCATCAAGCCCCCGTCCCGCGCGGACGGAACCTTCAGCCGGAAGCAAACAAGGGCAGAAAACATGTCTCCATCGCCAGAAACCTAAGCCCAAGGCGAGCGAGCAGAAAGACCAGGCGAAGCACTGACGTTTTCCACTGCATTGGTCCCAACCTCCCGGCCCACTCCGCTTCTCCCTTCTCCGCCGGCTGTCCCGAGAGCCAGACCCTGGGAAAATCAAACAGAGACACTGTCTGGTTTTGCCATGTGATATGTGATGGCTCCAATGGCCCCCTCATGGCTTAGATCTGCAGTATCGTGCGGAATTGCGGGTTGTTTGGTGTGCCTGGCGCTGTTGCTTCTGGGTCTGGTTTAAAGTGCGATAGACGAGAAGTCGGAAATTATCATGCCCGATGCAATTACGAGTTGCAGCTCGATGACGTGGGATGCCTCCCTGTGGACCTACCCTAGATCTGAGTATTGAACTTGGGAAGTTAGAGAACTGCATCAACAATTCATCCATGGAGCTACGAATTGTGTCATGTGCGGGTGTGATATAGGGTATGCCAACAACACTGCCGTCTTGTCTTTCTTCTCTCTGCACCCCTCGTGCTTGTTTCGGCTCATGTCCGTCATGTAAGGAGTCACTATAAAATAACCGAGAAACAATAAGTCAGATGAACTTTACTGAACGCCCTGTTCCAGACAGAGAGACATAATCACAACAGATCCGTGAATCCCTTCATGTCCCTCCTGGCAACCATGTCAACAGATTAACTTCCCCTATCATCTTCAACCAACACGATAACTCACACGTTGGCCACAGACGCCATGATGCCATTCACAAAAGCCCGGGCAAGTCACTGCACAACCTCCCCGGTCTCCGCCCAGCCGGATTCATCAATCCTCACCGCAACAACCAACGCTGACTCGAGCCAACAACGCACGGCTCATGAAGTTGCCCTTCGTCGTCTGATTTCCTGCGCCCCTGGCACGACACCATCCACAGCACCCGGGACGTCCAGTTCGTACACGCAATAGTAGCAGTCAGTCACCTGCTGACGCGTGCGAGCTCGAGGCCGCAGCGGGTTTGAGTTGGGTTCATACACGGTATATCCATTTCTTGTTTGTCATTTTGGTTGTCGCTTTCTGCACAGTTACCCAGGCAATTAAGTGTTGCGTGGTACATACATTATTAGTCTGAGTCTGGGACATGCAAAATTCCCCCTCTTGCTAACCACCCCTGATGCCGAGATATCAAAGATATCCGTTCCGTTTGCCTTCTCCGAGCCCGCCCGCATTACACAAGAAGAAAAAGAATAGATGGGATTCGGCATGCTCTCCGCATTCCTCATTGGCCGCCCTTCCTCACCGCAGGATTGTTTCGCGCCCCAGAATTTGATCCCTAACAATATCGTACATGAATGGTGAAAAATAGGCTGTCGACGGTTAAGGGATTCCGCCCGAACCCGTCCTCGGAACACTAAACCCAGTTGCAGTCCCAGCCCCAGATCCTGTCCGTTGGCTCCCGACCTTGCATAGATAAATGGAGGTCCTAGGGAAGGACGGGATGAATAGAATATGAGGGAAAAGTAGGAGAAGCAGGAGAAGAGAGAAAGAAGAAAGAATCAACGCACAGCAAGAACCGTTTGCTGCGCTCAACCCTATTAAAATCCGTGATGTAAAAATAATATTATTATCGCAAGCTTCAAGCCGTTCGTTGTTGGTCCTTGTCGATGTCATTACTTCGCGATCCAAAAGGAGGAAGTGCCCCTATCAAATGGCGACAGGTGGGCGAAAATGGCACACCTGGGCGATTCCCAAGTAAAGGATTTGTGTTTGGTTTGATTCATGTATCCCGTGTCCGAATGCAAAAACAAGTAGATGTCGTCCATTTCATTCTAGTTGTCCTTCTTAGGGACCTTGGCGGCCTTCAAGGTGTCCTCCTTGTCGCCCTCCTTCCGGTAGGCGGCGGGCTTGTTGCTGCGCGAACCCGTGTACTTGGTGCTCAGCAGGGTGTCCCAGAAGGTGAAGAAGGGCTGGGCAAAGTTGGTCTTGATGCCCCAGTGCTGGTGGTGGATGTCGTGGTAGGCGGCGTTGTTGCTTGTGATGAGCTGGAGGGGGTCCCAGGGGAACTCGTAACCGCAGTGGTCGTCAACGGTTTTGATGGTGGAGAAGGACCAGAACCAGATGCCCTGGCGCAGGGTCATGAATGTGGCCTTGAAGGCGAGACTGGCGCCGACGGTATCGAGCAGGAAGCCCTCGAAGGGGTGGTTGTACAAGGCGCCGTAGGCATAGGGAACGTAGAGGCGGTGGTGTCGCGAGTGGAAGGTAGCTATTGAGAGAAGAGGTTGTATGTCAGCGCATTGATTCAGGGGCCAAGGGAAGTTTCGTCAGCTACGGAAGCACCGGACAAATACTCACCATACAGCCACTTGTTGACATGCATCAGGCGGTGCAAGAAATACTGCCAGGTGTCGAGGATGAAGGTGGCGACGAGGAATTGGACGCCCGGGATTAAGACGTGGTAGATGACGGCGGCCAGCTTCAGCTCCCAGCCGGCAAATGCGGGCTCGGCGGTTGCGGAGGTGAGGTGAGGGTAGTATCCGCCGGCGACAGCACCGGCGAGCGTCGGATATGAGTCGGCCAAGTTCTTGGAGATGGCCGTGGCGTTGAGGCCGAGTGTTCCGAGGATGGTCGGCAGGGCACGCTGGGCGAGGCGGAGGCGGGTGGCCCAGACGGCGATGTCGTACTCCGTCTTTCCCGTCATCTCGGGGGGCTCGGTCAGGGCGAGCACGGCACCGGTCGCGACCTGGATGATCTGCTGGAGGATGACGTCGCGGGCGACCTCGAAGCGCGAGGCATGGTTGCGCTTGGTGATCTCCTCGGGCGTGTGCAGACGGTATTGGGGGAAGAGGTCGAAGACATCGATGGTGTGGAACAACATGGAGAGAATCCAGTACACGACAACAGGGACGACGAGGGAGAGCCAGAAGTCGGAGATCCACGAGAGCAGGTCGGCCTGCGGCTCGAGGCTGTAGGTCGGGAGCGGCGGGAGGGCCGTCTCGAAAAGCGTGTGGTTTGCGGCCATGGCGGCGGCGGCGGCAATGGACGAGTCGTTGCCCATGACGGGGTGGTGTTGAGTGCGAGCAGACGTCGTCGCGTGCGGTGGTGGTGGTGGTGTTGTAACGGGGCAGGCAGGATGAGGAGGAGCGCAGCCGGATAGGCAGAGGCAGTGGCAAAACACCGAAACAAGACGCCAAAAAAGGGCTGGAACTCTGCACAAGAAGCAGTTGGAGGTGAAGGAAAGGGGAGTTTGCTGGATGACGGCTTCGATATTTGAGCTTTGGGGGGGAAGTGGTGGTTTAGATTGCCATGGTTTCGGGCCCTAGCACAGGCCTTGGTGTGGCGCCAAGTCCGAGTTACAGCGGAGCTGCACGCACTCCGCCGGGAGCTTCGGAGCTGCGACGCGCCGTCCTGGGGCGACCTCTGCGCAGGAAAAAAAATCTCAATTTCGGTTGCTTAGTCTGTACAGGGCGCGACGGGGCTCGACGCAGCGCGATAGGGCACCTCGGACTGCTATGACGGCACCGAAGTCGCATCATGGAGTGACGGCATCAGCCCACACCCCGTGGCTCAGGCACACAAGGCAGAACGATGGCCTGTGGGAGGGCATGTTTCGCTGCGAGGGAGATGATTACGATCCTTCCGTCGCCTGTTTTTGTTTTGGACCCGATCGCTTTTGGATATCTGAGAGTCTTGTCTGCTCTGTTTTCCCGTTCTTCATGAGCGCAGACAGCCCCTGACGACGCCACTGCGCCCCTCGAGGAGTCGATGCTCGTTCCATTGAGACGTCACCAACTGGTCATTCTGATTCTACGACTTGCGAAGTTGGCTGAAAGCTTAAAGTCGCAAACAGGTCTGACAGTAAGTTCGACAGGAGGCTGATTTGGGGCGCGGTTGCGCCAGCCATTGATGTGAATGCATGACGATGACCCGAGGAGGAGTGGCACAGTGGCACAGCTGGAGCTGGCCCTATTCCTTCAAGATAAGATTGCTATTATGCGAGGCTGTCAACCTATACTAAGAGCAAGTCTGGCATATGCCTTTCAGACTGGGCAGAAATGCCAAGCCAAATTCATTGTCAGTCCAGATCAGCCTGGTCATACCCGTCCATCCAACATCCATTTCTGGGGCATCAAAACTCCAACGGCCGGCTGGTTCGCTAATCGTACCGCCTTGCTGCCGTGCCCTTATTTGCGGGGCGATTCGCGATTAATGCCGTACTATGTCTTTTCTGCATTGGATGCAAATAACACATCTACCTAGATAACCGATAATTTCATCTCTTTCTCCCCGGAGCGGGAAAAGCAGTTGATGCGATTTTCCTGTTTTCGTAGCCTTTCCTCATGTGAACTAGCGCAGCCAACCCCACCACGCCGCCACCCCTCTCTACTTTGATTTTTTGTCGCCGACAGAGTCTGAATTTGCTCCTCTCTACCAGACTCCTTCCGCGAATAACCCACCATCCCTCCTATCTTCTTCCTCAGGTCCCACTGACAAAACCGCCGTCATGATTATCTACAAGGTACGAGCTGCTCCCGACCTCAGGAAACACATCACGCATTGCGGCGCCCCCATGACCCCGCCTGCTATCCTTCGCCCAACCTTGCCTGACACTGAACCCCGCAATTTTAGGACATCATCACCGGCGACGAGATCCTCTCGTCGGCGTACGATCCCGAGCTCGTCGACGACATCATGTACAGGGCCGAATGTGGATACATCACGGAGGGTAGCGTCAGCGTCAGTATGTTATTCCCTGCGGGCTCTTGAGCACCTGTTTGCCCCTCGTGGGTAGATATGATGAATAACAAACCGGGGTGAAAACGCTAACGCAACGTCTGATTAGACACTGGTGCCAACGCTTCCGCCGAGGAGGCCGAGGAAGCCCTGGACGATGGCGCCGCCAGAGTGATGGACGTTGTGAATTCTTTCCGTCTCGAGAAGACCGAGTTCGACAAGAAGAGCTACCTCACTTCCCTCAAGGGTACGCCGGATCTCACGTTACCAGACCCTCCAATTTCTAAGCTGATCACCTCAATCTAGCCTACATGAAGAGTGTCAAGGCCGCTCTTCAGGAGAAGGGCGCTTCCCCTGAGGAAGTCACCGCCTTCGAGAAGGGTGCTCAGGCTTACGTCAAGAACACCCTCCTCAAGTTGGACTTCTCCAACCTGGATTTCTACACTGGCGAGTCCATGAACCCTGATGGAATGTACGTTTTTATTCTTCCGGGTTTCATCCCTCTTTACTCCTAGTCAAACTGTGCTGACTCTTTTGCCAGGGTTGTTATCATCGAATGGTATGATGACGGTGCCAAGTCTCGGCTCCTCGTCTGGAAGCACGGTGTCTCAGAAATGAAGGTTTAAGCAGCATGATGTGTTGTCTGGGCCTAGACCCAGGATGATTCACGAGCCAGTTATTTAGAAGGAAGATGAAATGACTAAGCACATGACTGCGTTCGAAGCGCTTGCTACATGCTCCCGGTTACATAGCTATGAACGAAACCCAAAAAGTTGTGGAGTCTATATACCGTCAGGATGTCGCAAAGAGCCTTGTGAATCACTCAAGATATGTGTGTGCCCAATTGTTCAACGTGAAGAGATAATGGTGGAAAACTCCAAATGCGCCTCACAATGCTACCGGATCCCTTAACCTAGCAATCTACTCAAACTGAGGTCTCGTTGACATGGGGACTGGCGGCGGCCCTTGACCAGCGGGAGCACTTGAAACTGCCGAGGCGTTTCCCAGGCCTGGCTTCTTCTTGGGAGGTGGAGGAGGAGGCGGCTTCTTCTTCCCTGCCAACCCTGGCACTGGAGATGGCGCGATGGTCCCTTGGACCTGATCATGTTCATTGTGTGACCCAGTGTAGCTCTCGACCTTGTTCATCAGCCCGTACTTCTGGTTTAGGCTGTTGGCCGTCTTGACTCCCGAAGCGACTTGCTCACCGTGCCGCTGCCGGAAGTTGTTGGCTGTGCCGGCGGCGGCTTTGGCGTCAGAGAACGAAACCGACGACGGGTCTTTGTGGAACGCCGAAGCCGTCTTCATGGCGGCCTGCTTCTGCGCCCACGTCGTGCCCTCGCTGGGCGGCGGGCTTGCAGTAGGAGGCGCCGAGGATGCGCCAAGCCTGGAGAAGCGGTTCTGTAGCTCGTTCATCTGCGAGGGCGCGGGCGGTGCAGCGCCGGGACGCGGAGGCTGCGGAGGACCCGGTTCGTCCTGGTTTGCAGGGCTGGAGCGTCCGATGCCGAAGCCAGGAACCGAGATGCCTGCGGCGCCTAGGCGGTTGATGGCTCCCTGGTTCAAGTAGCCGCTGCCCGTGGAGGCCGGACTGGCGACTGGTGGTGCGCTTGCGGTCGAGCTGCCAGAGTTGGTCCGCGGAGGCAGGCGAGGTGGCAGACTCGGTGGCGGGGGCTTGCTTCCAGTAGTAGCGGATTGATACGACGGCGGAGGTAGTAGAGGTGGTCCTCTCCCATCTGCGCCATCTTTCCTCCCCGGCGGCGGCGGCAGATGGCTTGTAGCGAGACCCGTAGTGTTCACCCGGTATGGCTGCGGGGGGCGGTCCTCCTCTTCCTGGGGCTCCTCTTCCTGCTCAGGTGGAGCTTCCAGCTGCTTTTGGAACTTGGGCGGCTCGACCGGAGCGGCTCGCGGGTCCTGGTACTTGGACGGCGCGGTAATGACCTGTCGCGGTGCGGCTTTCGTGGGAGGCGGGGCCGGGAGGAGGCCGGAGCCGGTGCGTTTCGGCGGCGGCGCGAACTGGGACGGGTCGCGGAGCTGGGAGATGGGGCGGGCGACATGGTGGTCGTCATCGGAGCCCTTCCTCTGCAAGCCTACCATGCCGGCCTAAGGACGACGGCGTTAGGTTCCGGGTCGTGTGAGGGGAGGTTATCTACGCAAGATTGCGCTTACTGCTTTGCCCCTGATAGTGCCCTTGGGCTTCACGTTGCGGATCGCAGTGCCCTTCTCCTTCCCCAGGTCCTTCCCCTTCTGCATCATGTCCTTCATCCGTTGCGACATGATTGCTGGCGGGCGACTGCGGCGGCGAATCGGTGGGAGGAGGTTTTTTTTGTCGCGAGATGGGAGGGGGTGTGGTTTCGCGAAAGGAGGCCTCGGAGGTTGCGGCTCAGGCTTAGTCGGGGCCTAAAAGTGGGATCCCGGCCTCTGGAGAGCGGAAGCTGGGGTGGGGGTGGGATGACGTACAGCCACTGGACTCGCGACACCAGCGCGCGTGCCACAGCGCTGGGTCAACTACACGAGAGCATTTTGTAACAGCGTAAGAACACAAGAGAGGCGGTTGGCTTGATGCAGGTCGTTGGAGGACTATTCACCCTAAATTAAACTCCTGGCTCATGTTGCTTTGAATGGAGATACATGCGTCCGAGCCTGTGACTTTTGTCTAACTATCCTGACCGTCTATTGTAGCTGTCTAAACCTCCTCTCCGATGTAAGTCGTGAAGCCTCGCGGTATTGAGTCGCAGGCATCCGATACCAATCCAGGGGCACTAAAAACATTGCGCATACTCTTGGAGAACAAGGGATACAATAATGGTATGAATGGTATCGTCTTGCTCACCCTTTCCTCGCCCACTATCTCGACGTACTCGATTCTGTTGTGATGAAACGTAAGTGAGAACGGAAGCAAATTAACAACGTCATCCTCGTCCATTTCGACACTGCCCCGTCCTCTAAAAATGGCCGCTATCTTGTGTAGCCCTGATCCAATGGCATTGGAGAGGGCTGTTGATCTTGTTATCCTGAGGTAATAGGCGATTTCGGATGATCTGCGTACAAGACAAGAGATTTAGCTTTATCAGTCAATATTCGGGGATGGTTTAGATCATACCCGTGTATTCCACATGACATTATCGCCCTGGTAAATGTTGATAACTGATCGATGTCAAGTTCCTGCTCCAAGAGCAGTCTTACCAACGATTCATGGCCATTCCTGCAAATATCAAGGGCCGCCCCTTTTTGTAAGAGTTTTCGAACTATTGATATATGTCTAGTAGCTTTTGCTTGATATATTCGTGTTATGCCGCTTCTAGGAATCCTTGCGGTTCTTGCCAATAGATCAGTACCCGATGCGAGTAACAGGTCACAGATGCTCTCATGCCCACGAGAAGCCGCGATCATTAGCGCAGAAAATGAAGCGATTCCGTTCCGACAATTGCCATTAGGGTTAGCTCCTGCTTTTAGTAGTAGCTGCGAAATGCTCTCCCTGTTTGCGCTCGCTGCCAATGCTAGTGGTGACCGTGACTGGTTATCCTCATAAATCGGGTCGGCTCCCGCCTCCAACGACAGTTTGACGATAGCCTCGTGCCCGCTGCTGACGGCAGACAACAGTGGTCCAGGGCATGGCTATTCAGGGTACATATGAATTCTGGGCCTCTCGGGAAATTTTGTCTTCACTCGCATATCAGCGACGTCCTTCGGAAGTGTTACATTGGCTCCTTTCTCGATCAGTCGCTTGAGCATCTCTTCTTGGCTATTTTTTATAGCCACGAAAGTGGTGTTTCGCCCACAAGATCTTGTGATTCAAGCAAGTTCTCCGCCGACGGACATCTAATGCTTCCTGAATTCCGAACCAAGATGCCAAATGTCGGCCGTTTTTGTTTTTTGGGTCATCAACATTGAAACGAGGACTGCCCAGGCCATGTAGAAGCTGAACCGATGCCCAAAGCCTTTCAGTGCACTCGAGGAAAGCTAAGACTCCCGGACAATACCTCGAGGCACCCTGAACATGATACCTCAGTTACCTGCAGCATATTCGTAGAGTGGATATGACTGGACTCGCTCAGAGGGAATCTCGCAAAAGCTTGATTGGAACTCGTCGAGCGAGAGATAGGCGATGCAAGTTGTTGCAATATTGAATTCGGCATCTAAACCTGAGCACCGCGGTCTTGTGTTTTCTGCAGGTATTCTTGAGTCATATAGTGTACCAATCGGACGATCTTGCTTTCTTCGTCCAGAGTGATCAGCCCAACGCAAACAGACAAGATGGTGTCAAATTGTCCATCTGCAGAATTTTTTCTTCGTCTAGTTCAAGTTCTCCAACTTCGAAAGCAGGGCGTGTTGAAGCCCAGCGGAGGTAATCTGGTTCTTTGCGAACGTGGTCCACATCAAGACCTGTAGAGCGAGCTCCTTCATACCGGGCTTTTGGCCCTTGATGCGTTCCATCGCTTGATCATATGCACGACCCAATACCTGGGCTTTTTTATTCTCACTCGAATCCTGACGTTGCTGCTGAATATTTGCCAATGCTCTTCTTATTTTCCTGGTCGTTAACTTGTCCTCTAGCGAATCGAGGTAAATCAGAGCCAACAAAAACCTGGAAGATGGTTAATGCACGGACTCCATGAGAGTTACACAAAACCCACATTCCATCAGCGGCCTTCGAAATGGAGGATTTTATCTCTTCTTGTAGTCTTGAATTCGTCTTAACAAAGGTAGGGAGTTTGTTCATGCTATTCCCCAGATACTTCTGCACGTCCTCCTTGCTTGCGCGGATCTCAAGCGATGGACTTCTTTTGAAGGGAGCCAAGATATCTGGGATGAACCTCAAAGTCAAAAATATGTTCGATGACGAAATCGTCTGTGTCTCGCTGAGCCCTTCAGTTGGGTAGCAGGTCGCAGATCTCGAGAAATCATGCAACGACTGAGAAAGCTGATACCCTCCCACTGACTGGCTCAAGGTCCAGACATTTATCCCGGGCCGCAAATTTCACCTTTGTTAGCTAAGTAGGATCTAAAACTGTACACTGTAACATTTTCTCCCTATTCTCGGCAGCTCTTCCGTTACGAGATATATGAGCAATAATACCGTCAGCCACCTTCGAACAGCGTTTTTATTAGATTGTGCCTGAACAAAATTCGCAGATTGATTTATCACAGTTTCATGACCCAATGCACCTGGTACCGGGTATTGCGCCTAACTGTGTGCAATTTTTGTGTGTTGCTGGTACCGTGTTGTTTTGATAAAACAATAATAATAATAAAATATAAAACTAAAAATAAAATAAGATATATTAATAATCTTAAGCTATTAGTAGATAGTATGATATTTTTGTTTTTATTTAATAACAGTATTCAGCTAGGATATTATTACTACCTTCCCCTGTCCCCCGAATTCTTTTTCTTCTTTACCTGTGTGAATAGCAATACTCCTAATAGATAGGTTCGTTACTATTTTTGCCAGCGAAATGAAAATAAGCTCTAGCTCTCCATATACTGGCTAAAATAGTAAGACTTTTATATTGGACTGCTAAGTACGGGGATATTCACAAATGCTGTATTTAATGGATATATAGCTAGTAGTATTATCATCTATCGGCGGCGGTAATAGGTATTTAGACTTTGTAGGATGCATTATGGCGATAACAACACCTCGCTGATGGTAAGACGCAGAGCTAAATGGTCACTAACATAAGCTATAAGTTTGCAAAACTCATCGAAGACGGGGACCACAGCTTGTCATCTTAATCTGGTGACATTCCTCACCTAATGGAATATAAAACTGAATCGTAGGTAGGTCCAGACTAATGAATTGATACGTGGGTATTTCGTGTGTATGCAGAGAGGGTATAGTAATATTGGTATTTGAGGTCTCGGCATTGAGTATTGGTTAATGGGACCGAGACAATCACGCCCTAGGCTAATGACTTGGGCCTGATGCTAACAGAAACGAGCCATGTGGCAGATTGTGCGACCACATATGATTATATTTTATTTTCTGTCGAATTGGCTAGCATGGATGATCGATGGTCAACTACCACACAATAGAACGAATACCGAAATTGCCAATTGACATGCATTCTCCAACCCAAAGATGAAAAACCCTACGTCAAGCTTGAAACCATTGCGCTGTACTGGAGACCCAGGTAAAGATTGGGCGAACACTAGTGATCTAGTCCTGTAGAAACTTGGCGTTGTCTCTCTAGTAGCAAGGGAGCTAGATTTTAGTTTGTTGGAGAATATTCCCCGCCCTCCAAGCTCTGGGAGAAATAGAGGCCTTGGAACCCTGAACTTTGGCTTTATTAAGTGTTTCAAATGACATTAATTAGTACGCTACTCTGTCTTCTTCTACTGTATCGACTCAGTAAATTGGCCCTGAATCCTTCCCCCACTCATTGCCTTCGGGCTTTCTTATACCTAAGTAATGATTTAGGAAATCTAAGCCTTATATAGCTTAGCTTTAGTCCATAAAACAGGGCCAATTTATCAAGTCGATACGGTAAGTCTGTTTACTAAGGTAGGGGTGTCCTTTGCCTTTTAGAGTCATCTCCAAGCGATGTCACCCTGCCCTACACACTCCCCCAGCAAGCATCAACCTTGGCGCCATTGATAATACGCGTATTCGCTTGGTAGAAAGGTTCACGATTCTCGGTCTAGCTCGGCCGATGCCCGGAAAACTCGTCAAATCCTGACGAGATCAAGGTGTCAGTGGCCTTCCCGCGGGGCAGAGGTCTGGGGTTGAACGAATTGACGCGGTTGATGAGTGTGGAGTCTGGGGCCAGTTGCATTGGAAGTGTTACATAAGGACGACCCTGAAGACTACCTTACTGCAATCTACATGTAGTGGAGTCAAATCGGGTGGATGTTGATCATCTACATTTTCATTCCTGAGTCACCGGTATAGTGCGTCTCTAGAGGCAAAGTGGAGCGAGCCAAGAAAGCCCTCTATCAACTGCATTGGGATGTTGTTGATTATGACGTTGAGCAGCAATACCAACTCCTGGTCTTGGCCGTCGAGCATGAGGCTGAGGTCACAAAGACTGTACAAATAGAGAAGTGGTATGCCATTTTTATATAGAGAGACGGAAAGCGCACTGTCACTGTTCAATGGACACTTCTCACGCAGCAGTTCATTGGCCTGACACTATTTGCGACCTTCAGCTCCTATTTTTTTCCAGTAGGCCGGGATTGTGAACCCCTTCCAAGCTACATGTAATACCTCTGCACCAGACACACATCCTCGTAGTACATGGTCTGATACCTACCCTTAGTTTCTACTACGTCCGAGGTTTCTCCTGGATACCTCTACTAGCGGGTCTCCATTCATTGTCACGAGGTGACAAGGTGGGTTAGAAATGCCCTTTAAGGAAAGAGATATATCGCGCAGCGGAGGCGAAGTCAGTGGGTCACGTATGCCTCGTCGGGCTATTGGTGAGCGACGAATTGTGGCCAGCCTAGTTCACTCTGTTAGCGCATTGGTGAAGTGCAGGCTTCTGTTAAGACGAAGCTACATCGAGTTTGGGCGCTGCCTTGTCTGTCGGGAAATTTCCCCGCGCCTCCAGCTTCTAGTTGTCGAGTCAGTGGCGTCCAGGACCCAATTCTTAGTTACCCCTCAATCCAGCTTCGGGTCTTGTTGACCCGATCCATCCAACCACAAATCCAACTACAAATCGTTCGAGGCCAATCTTGTCGCATGAATCAATGGCCTTTTGACAACCTAACCCTGGCGAACCAAGCATCGTTAATCGGCGACATGTCAGGCCCTTCTGTGGTAGACGTTCGTTTTGAACATTACCGTCCTGGGAACACCCTTGGCGTCCATGAGACCAACCCACGAGTCTCTTGGCGTTTCGCCAATGTGCCCCCGAATTTCAAGCAAGTCGAGTACGAAATGGAGCTAAGTGAGGTCAAGGGCTTAGAATACTTCAAATTATCTTCGACCCAGGTCTCCTCCGAGGAGTCTCATCTTGTGCCCTGGACCGGCACCGAGCCTCTCGCTTCTAGAAAGAGATACTCGGTCCGGGTGCGAGCGCGTGGAGACGGGGAGGCCGAATTCCTTACATGGAGTGAACCTGCTTTTCTGGAACTCGGACTCCTTAGTCGACAAGACTGGACAAGCAAGCTTATCTCTGCTCCTTGGTCGGATGTCGACACGGACAAGCCTCAGCCTGAGGATTTGATCCGGAAGGAATTCACAGCCGGAGACAACATTCTCTCAGCCCGGCTTTATGTGACTGCGCAGGGAGTTTATGAGGCTGAGATCAACGGCAAGAGGGTAGGCGACTATTTCCTTGCGCCAGGCTGGACCTCATACGCCGGCCAGCTGCATTACCAAACTTACGACGTGGCCGACCTCCTCTCATCAAAGACCAACTGCATTGGTTTCCGGCTGGCCGAAGGATGGCATAGGGGCAGACTCAGCTTTGGAGGTGGCCTTCGAAACATTTGGGGATCTAGGACCACTGTTTTGGCCCAGCTTGAAATCAAATATCGTGATGGGACAAGCCATACCATCGGTACTGATAACACTTGGACCGCGATGCAGGGACCCATCCGTCTCGCCGAGCTATACGATGGTGAGACGTACGATGCTACCGCCGAAGTCGATGGCTGGTCTAGTGCAGGTGCCAGGTCAGAGGACTGGAAGAATGTCGACGAATTGCCTTCTCTTCCTGAGAGCCAAGACCTAATTGCCGGTTTTAAGGAGCCTGCAAGACGTCTTGATGTCGTGCAGCCTATTGAGAAAATCACAACACCATCCGGGAAGATCATCCTCGACTTTGGGCAAAACCTCGTGGGTTATTTACGAGTCAAGAAGGTGAAGGGCCCCCGAGGCCATCGCCTAAATCTGTTGCATGCCGAGGTCCTCGAGAATGGCGAATTGGGTGTCCGACCCCTGCGAAACTGCAAGGCCCGCGATACCTACGTTTTGAAAGGTGACGAATCTGGAGAATCGTACGAGCCGCGATTCACATTCCATGGTTTCCGTTTTGCACAAATCGAGGACTGGCCCTCAGAGGATATCGACATCTTTGACGCTTTTGAGGCCGTCGTTTGCAACACCGACATGGAGGAAACCGGATCTTTCTCCTGCTCTGACCCGAAGGTCAACAAGCTGTTCTCAAACACCAAATGGAGTATGAGGGGGAATTTCTTGTCGCTCCCGACAGATTGTCCTCAGCGTGATGAACGCCTGGGTTGGACGGGAGATCTTGCTCTCTTTGCTCCAACAGCTACGTTCTTGTACGGCTGCTTTGGTGTTCTAAGAGATTGGCTTAGGGATGTGGCATATGATCAGAAACAACAGAATGGCGTCCCTCCCATGGTCTGCCCCAATGTGCTCCAAAAGGACTTCTTCTGGGGCAAGGTTTGGCCTGGAGCAATCTGGCATGACGTGACAGTCCTCGCTCCTTGGGCTCTGTGGGAAGAAACTGGTGACACCGGGATCCTCTCACAGCAGTACCAATCTATGGTAGACTGGCTGGGTGTGATTCCCCGTAACGAGACGGGCTGCACACATTTGTGGGACTTCAAGGCTTTCCAACTGGCGGTAAGTTCATTGGAGAGACGGGATATGATATGAGCTAACGAGAAAACAGGATTGGCTTGACCCGAATGCACCTCCCGATGAGCCATTCAAGGCCGTGACTGACCCACCTCTGGTTGCCAATGCCTTTCTCATTAATTCCCTCGACTTGGTGGCTCACGTTGCGGCGTTGCTTGGCCACACAGACGACGCGACCAAGTACCAGACTGAAGCTGAGAATGCCCGAAATGAGTTTGTAGAGGAGTACGTTAGTGGAAATGGTCGAATCATCTCAGATTCGCAGACGGCGTACGCGCTCGCCATTTGCTTTAACCTCCTCTCGCCGCTACAGAAGACGAGAGCCGGTGACCGGCTCGCAGATGTTGTCCGCCACAATTCCTTCAAGATTGGTACTGGATTTGCAGGCACGCCTTTCGTCTGTGAGGCCCTTGCCAGCACAGGACATATCGATGTCGCATATAAAATGTTGTTAAATGAGAAGTGTCCTTCGTGGCTCTACCCAATCTCTATGGGGGCCACCACGATCTGGGAGCGCTGGAACAGCATGATGCCGGATGGATCTATCAACCCCGGCGAGATGACCTCTTTCAACCACTACGCCTTTGGCGCTGTGGCAAAGTTCTTGGTAGAACGCCTTGCTGGCCTGCAGCGCCTGAGCCCAGGGTGGAAGACGTCCAGAGTTGAGCCTGTGCTTGGCGGAGGGTTCAAATCTGCGGAGGCATCACACGTTACTCCGTATGGAACAGTATCAAGCCGCTGGTCGGCTGCGGAAGACAAGGATGGCATGTTCAAACTTAGCCTTACCGTTACAGTCCCACCAACAACGACAATGGAGGTCGTGTTGCCAGGTCCGGAGGGACCCAAGACTGAGGTAGTAGGCTCAGGAGAATGGTCATTTTCGACTTTGGTTAAAGAAAGCGACCTTGGGCCGGAAAAAGAGGCCAAGCGGGGCTTCCCTTACGATCTCATGGAAGAGATTGAGGCTAAGCGGGACGCGACTGAGTAATTTACCGTATCGACTCGATAAATTGGCTCTGTTTTTGTGGACTAAAGCTAAGCTGTATAAGGCTTGGATTTCCTAATTCATTAGGTATAAAAAAGCCCGAAGGCAAGGCCAATTTGCTGAGTCGATACGGTAGAACCCTCATGTGGTTGTGAGATATAAAGAGATATAGTGGCTGTTGATGAATAGATTGGACTTCAGAACGGCCAAAGATGACAAGGATAAAAGTGAAGAGTACTCTGGGTTGAGCCACCCATGCCATTGTTGAGGGGAATGGATCGTGAAAGATGAATACTCTTCGTGAACACCATGCTTCGCCATACATGAAGAGAAATGATAAGCAAAGTCTCCGCACAACAAATCGTCGTCCCCGAATCTGGTATTTTTCCCGATAGTCGATCCTCCTCCTCGGGCGAACTCATAAAGATACCGACATCGGGGTTTCAACTCCGATTTCCAATGAAGCCCCACAAGTGTTCAGCGTCACGAACAGGGTTTGAGATAAAGATGGTTCTAGTAACGAACGCTTCACCCCGCACTCTCACCGACTGATTAGGCTTCCGCGATCACCACTATTACGTTACGCCTCTGGGGTAGCAGGTGTTATCAGTGGGAATATTTTAGGTAACTTTATGTTCTCTTGTACGGCTATCAGTGACGTGATATGCACAGCCGGGCCAGCAGTCTTGGCTCTGCTATTCCTCTCCGGGACTCCGAATGACAGAATTGGGATGATCCTAGCAGTTCGCCAACTCGAGGGGTAGATAAGAAAGTGGAAACCACGGATTTTATCCCGCTGTGACGTCGCCATCGAGGACATTCGCCTGCAATTCGGAGTTAATCTGAGTGCGAGAAGCGGAGGGCCGAAAAGGCAGCTTATTTGGGGTTTTCAACCCCGCTGTCTCTGTAGACAATAGGGTCAGTCAACGACCTTGGGATAGTAACTTTGTCCGAGCGATAAGATAAGAAAAGGCAGCTTATAAAATGAAACCATGTTGCCCTCGCAGATTTTAGTAGCATGCCGGATGGAGCCTCATACATCGAGTTTTGCACTGTGATCATTGCTCTATTTAGTTGATATTCATTGCCATGTTGCCCCAATTCCTCACGACCGCCGCCAAGGCGATGGCCCTCGGCGCTGTTGTATTGCCATTGGCACAAGCGCGATTTGATTCGGATTTAGACTGGATCTCTACCAATGCATCTTTGCCCAAAGTCGTGTAAGTGACGCCGAGGTTCTCAAACTTCAACCCTAACTCGTGTCCATAGCATCTATAGCGCAAGGGGAACTATCCTATCCGCTTCGAATTATAGTCGACTAGATAATGTCAACTATGGCGCCGGAGTTGGGCCTACGCCTCAAGAGTTAATTGGGAATGTGTCTGAAGTGCTGGATGTCGCCCAAATTGCTGTGGTGAATTTCGATGTTACTGGCGGTAGCTCTGGTCTGAACTCATCGCTCTACCTCAACATCAGCCAGCATGCCAATCAGCAACTTTGCTCCCGTGGCTCCGATATTGTTGGTGCAATTATGTTCCACGGCACCAATACTTTGGAAGAAACAGTAAGTGCTTTGTGACTGTACAATGCGTGTTCCTGACATTTGGCAGGCGTTTGGCGTCGACCTGACTTTCAACTGCTCTAAGCCATTTATTGCGACGGGCGCAATGCGTCCAGATAGCTATATTTCTCCAGACGGCCGATCGAACTTCTATCAAGCTGTCGCAGCTGCAGTGTCACCGTCTTCACGCAACCGTGGCGGCCTCATTGCTTTCAATGATAGGTGAGCGAGTCAGACGATGCACATGGATTAAATCTAATATTCTTAGAATCACATCGATTTTCTACTCCACCAAGTTAAACGCCAACACCCCTGATACCTTTAAATCACTTGAACAAGGAAACCTCGGCGTCTTCCTTGGAGGACAACCCTTTTACTACTTCGACGCCGGGTACGCAACTGGCCGGCCTCATTTTGATATCACTAATACCACAGAGCTTCCCTCCGTCATTATTCTTTATGGTCATCGTGAGTAACTGAAGGAGATAAATTGACAAGATCTTGCATGCTAACTAGATTCCAGAGGGCTTTGACGCATCCCTGATGTATGCTGCGGTTGCCAATGGGGCCAAGTATGTATTGTTAAGAATATTTAAGTTAAAGTTGAAGTTTACTGACTACTCCTTTAGGGGATTGGTAGTCCTAGGCCCCGGTGCAGCTCAACTTAGCCCGAATGCCCAAGCGGTTGCTGCAGATCTTTTCAGCAAGGGTATCCCAACTGTGGCCGTTGCTCGCCCTGTGACGGGTACAGGAGTCCCCGGTCGATTCCCTGGTCCCATGTATGTTTTGATTGGCCCCGTGCTAAAACTAATTGGAACCTATGATAACCTTTTATCTAGTTTTTACTCATCCTATGTCGGCGCAGAGCAGGCAAGGATTATGCTTCAGCTAGCAATCAATGCTGGTCTGAGCCTTGATGAGATTCGTGACTCATTTGAGACCCCTCTTAGAGAGGCAGTGTATGGCTCTTGGGCCAGCCAGAAAGCGTATTACCAATAAGTGTCGTATCACTAGGATGCGGGACATCAGACCCCATAGAATGAGAAATGAGTTATTAAATCGGTGCGACTGGAGTTCAATGTGATTCCTTTTAAAAGAATGATAGTAGTTTAATTAAATACCAGATTTATACTATAGAAAAGATACATCTCATAAGCCTGCTCGGTTTGGTCCCAGCCTTTCATCCCCGTCTTCATTGGCCAGCGTCATGAAGTTGGCCGTTTAGCAAGAAGCGCCGCTGGGGACACCCTTGCAGCTGCTGGAGGTCTTTCCACCAGTGACCTTGTTTCCAGTCCAGGTCCAGTTCTTGCAAGAAGCGCAAAGGATGTAGACGTCAGTGCCGCTGGACTTGACAGTGCCAGTGACCTTGTTGATAGTCACATCGGTGATGGGGACACCAGCGGTGGGCTTACCAGTGGGCGAGCCGTTCTGGTAGTCCTGCTCGATGACGATACCGTACTTGGCAATGTTGGTAAGGGCGATGGTGTCGTACTTGATGTCGGAAACGGAGCCAGTGGCGCCGTAAACAGTCTTGATGCGGACACCGTTGTCAGAGTTGGAAATCTTGGAGTTCAGGATTCGGACAGTCTTGACGACGTTGTCGCTTCGGCCACCGACAGAGCCGATGGACAGACCGTGGCCACCGCTGCAGTTTCCGCCGGTGAAGGTGATGTTAGTTCCAGAGTTGATGGCGAGGCAGTCGTCCTGGTTCTTAACAATAGCTCCGGAGATGTAGACGCCGGTGGAGGAGCCGACATCGAAAGCATCGGTGTTGTGTCCACCCTGGGTGTCTCCCAGAGAGTTATCCATGGTGACACCGTACACTCCCAGGTTGGTGACGCCGTTGATGCTGAAAGCCTGGACGGGGGTGTTCAGGACGTTGAGGTTCTTGATGTTGGAGTTCTTGAGCGAGTGAGCGCTGAAGAACTTGGGCTTGGTCTTGCCGCCGTTGCTTCCCTTGGTGTCCCACCATCGCTGACCCTGGCAGTCGATGGAGTGACCGGAAGCACCCTCAATGAGGAGGTTGGTACCAGTGAAGGCGATCAGAGGACCTTCCCACTCCTTGTAGCCGAAGGTAGTCTTTCCCTGGAAGATGACCTATATCGCAAGTTAAACCGGGAACGGTAAGACGTTGAACTTCACAGTTACTTACATGAGTGCCAGTGGCAAGCTTGGTCAAGTCCAGAGTAGTACCGGCGGGCACGGCAATGTTGTTGAGGATGATGGTAGAGCAGCTGGCCTTGTTCTTGATGGCAGTAGCGGCATCAGTGAAAGTGCAGCTGGCGCGGGGGGCCACGATGGGGGTAGCAAAGGCAGCTGAGGCCAAGGCTCCGAGAAAGAGGATTGAAGAGTGCATGATTGTTGATTTGTAAATGTTACTATGTCAAATAGTAAAAGAATGTGCTGAAGAAGTCAAGAAGAAAGTGAGCGAATGAAGGAATGAGTGAATGAATGTCTTGGTTGATAGTTCAGAAACCACGGTGCCTGACAGACATGTTATATACTGATCATTTAGGATGTCAAAACGAACCCCGCATGATCGTGGAGCTACTACTGTTCGTATTCCCCCTAACACAAGTTGAAATGACACCAGGCCCCTATGCGGTTGACCGTATCTCTTCGAGGCTCCTTGAAGCCATAACGGGGAATCTCGGTCCGTTCGGCACCAAGCGACCATATCAATTTGGGTCGGCTTGGCTCCACTGTATTCCTGAATTTCGGCCGCATCCGCGGGGAGTTAGCCTACGAGGACCCCGATTCCTAGCCTGTTGGCCTGTTGGCCTGTTGGCCTAGCCTCAGCGTGGGAGCCAGGGGACGGGTCGAGACTTATGAGGCGGACCCCTGCAACGGCTAAGACGGCATCGAAAAGCTCATTTGAGGTTTCACTAAGATGTTGGAAACACCCCATTACGCCGCACTAGCTACGGTTATTCTTGAAGCTTCTTCAAACAACCAAGCCAAAATCCGTGGCAATTGTTCCACCAAGGCCGTCGCGAGGAAGAGATTGGTGGCTTTGAATTCGCCGCATCGCCAGCATCGCCAGCACATCTCGGCCGTATCGCCAAGACCGATAATGCCGATTACGGTGGAACACGTCCCGGGCCCCCGGGTCCGTAGAATACGAACAGCGGGCTCGAATGACCTAGCGTCTCGAATTGATTGGATTGTTTGGGCAAACAGTGGAAGAAGGCAAACAGTGGAAGGGATATCTAAGCCCATAAACCCCGGATCCAAAACGAGTATACGGATGAGCGAGAGCCAGAGTGACAATGCACCACGTGCCTATGATGGCGGGGCCAATGGAGCAGAGAGCTCCCTGCTGGGAGAGGAGTACACCGACTCAATGATCAAGGGGAACCCTTGAATGCAGAGTCAACCACTGCCGAATTCCGATGACAAGGAAGGCATTCTGGTTCATTGGTCTCGCTCAGGCCCGCAAACATGGTGAACTTGTGGAAAAATTACCTGCTCAATCCTCAAGTGCCGGAAGAATCGATGTCGGATCCGCTCATGAGTAGATTTAGCATTTGCAACTTGCTGAGTGATGCCCTTGATTCAAGGGCTTGGGTGCTCTGAATTTCTTCCGTCTAATCGGGAAACAAGACGAAACGTCATGAGCCTTTGTTTTGCGCAATCCAACCCCTTCTGGTCGTCTCGCAAAGAGCAACTCGCTTCTGTCATTGATGAGCACTTCATAGTCTGGAATATTGCTTGTCGCACTGGGAAGAAGCCTATCAAGGTGTCTCCACAAACCTGTCAACGCTGCCCCATCACACCGCTTGAAATAACCTGCATGAGAGAATACATGAATTTGTTTGGGGTTGGAAATCAAGCTTTTCCAATCTGCCCAGATCACTGTGTGGCGGTCTCAGACATGTAATCCCGGTGGGTCTGTTTTGTTTTGAGACAAAAGTTAGACGGCGGGTAAATTGAAAAAGATAGTAACGTGATTAATCGTCTTGGAATCATGCTTCTGACCATGGAGTTATGTTGGAGTGCCGATGTACCGAAATCAAGACTGGATGATGAATCGTAGCGGCCTTCATCGACAAGACAATTATGATCAGCAACAATAGTCACGAAGTAACAACGGGGCTTGCATTGATATTCCTCGTCTTTGATTTCAAACGTGCCATGCTCAATAGAATACTGAGCGTTGACAGCATCTGAAACTACCCTAGAGGATCCCTCATGAAGTCCTTCGATGTTTAAACGACCTTGCCTAATTCATAGCCCTGCTGGTTTTTTCCCTCAATCTCAAATAGCTGCGGCATCAACTCTGCCAGCATATCCGATAGTCCTTGCCACCTAATACCAAGTACTTTCTCGGTGACGCTGGCATCCACGCCGAAATGTTGATGTGACTCCCTTGTTCCCGGAACACCAATTGGGATCCTATGTCCGTACTTGTCCGCCACCTTTCGTGCCACATCTGCGATTTCCTGATTGCAGTAGACTCCCGCTGCAAGGAGATACCTCTCACCGGAAGCTTCGGGAACCTGGAGGGCCATTACGTGTGCAAGGGCCGTATCCTTGACGCTCACCCATACTGGAGCCCTTGTAGGCGGGACCTCGTTGTCTCGCCCCGCGGAAACTACTCTCCAGACAATATCATTGGACGTATTGAGTTGTGCAGTAGAAGCTGGCAGTGCACCAGGGAGGAATGCTCCAAAGACCATGCCTGGGTTGAGGCTCACTAGATCAAAACCAACCTCCATGTTCTCGTCCATCCACTTCCATGCGGCGCGCTCACCGACCGCCTTGCTAGCTCGGTATGCCGTTGGCGCATTCGGTGCATTTACTCCGTCCTCATACGTCAAAGGTGACCAATCTTTTGCGGTGTAGATTTTCCCAGGCTGGGGGCCTTTTTCAGCATCGTAGATACACACGAAAGAATTGGTGTGTACGATGCGTTTAACACCCCCGAGTAGCTTCGCAGCCTCCAGAATGGCAGTCGAACCCTTTACGGCGGGGATAATGAGGTCCTGCTCAAAATTCGCGGTGTTGTAGTGGAATGGTGCGGCGAGGTGAAAAATGGCAACAGGGGAACTTGGCTGCAAGGCAGAGAGGTAAGAGTCTGGCGAGGTGATATCCTCGACGACGACGACGGAAAGATCCGAGTTCTGGGCGTGGGTATCCACGACTTGCTGGACCTTGGATTGGGAACGAACGGTCCCGACGACTTTGTAGCCTTGAGAGAGCAAGGTAGCAATACAATGTTGCGCGATAAAGCCGTTGGCGCCTGTGACAGCCACCAAAGAAGGAGGGAGAATGGAGGCGATAACTGAGGAAGGCATGTCGATTGTATTAGATATTTCAGATTACCAGATGGCAAGGAAAATCAGAAGAAGGAGGAGACGTGAGAAAGAGTAAAGGGAAATCTAGACAAAGCTCAGTGAGTCTAACAAATTAAATCCCAGAAGTAGACTCCTCACACCTAGAGAGGAGCGAGGTCGGACAATCCGTGGATCTAGGCTCGGAGGCGGTAATGTGTGTTGCTCCAGTTTGGGTGAATTGGTGATAGTAGCGGGTCCCATAGAATATCCTAGATAAGTAAACTATAGGTTCGCAGCGATCCGTTCTCCTCCCCGCGCAAAGGTGTGCTCCGTATCAGCGATGACAGGGGTCTTCCGTCGCAAAGCTGCTTACTTGCGACGGAACACTACGAGCGAAGCTCAGAGAACCCACAAGTGGAGACCAGGAAACGGGACATGGGGGTTTCTAGAAGAGGGAAGGCGGAGAACAGTAGCAAGTCCTCTAAGACACTGAGATACTCCAAAGTGTGGTAGCTAGAGACAAAGTAGACATGGGCTGGTGAGAGGATGTTGTGGCTTTATGGAGCCTGCCCCAGAGTGGCTGATATCCTACATTGCAGCACAGTATTTTATAATTGAAGTTTTGTATACGCTGAAGCTAAATAACCGCACGTTTCAAGTTGGCAAAAACCGGCGCTAAGTAATTCTCAGATCTGTTAGATCTACCAGGTCTTGGCACCTTTGATAGACACGAAACGTGATATTAAGAGTAAGTGACTAAAATATGCCAACAACGATTGCCCCTGCTGCATACATTTCCCACGTCGCTACGCTATTAATAGACGTAGTAAAATGTCGGGTTCGTTCTGTCCGTAAGGTCCTCGCCCTCTTGTCCACCGGCATCTCCTGCAACAGTCCCCTCGACATCCGGTCTTGCCACTGCCGTCTTCCCCCTATTCCTCACTCCATACAAGATTCTTGTGGCAATGCTGACCAGGATAGACCCACCACAGACGCCAAACACTGTAATCTTGGCGGGGATGTAATCTGGCGCGTCTTTGGCCTGGAAGGTCTGTGGTCCGATGATGTTGGCAATAGAGAAGCCAATCGCGATGATGGCGTTGGTCGTGACCTTCTTCGTGTAGCCCTGCGTGTTTGCACCCACAAGCGCGTAGATGAGGGCAAGAGGCGCGACGTCGAAGTTGATGAGATAGATTCCCGCCAGAGAGCCAGCCTGACTCGTGTTGTAGAATGACATGAGCCCGGCTCCGATGAGAGTAGGCACCATCAGGATGCAGATACCTAGCCAACGCGGGAAGTCATACAAGATGGCAAATGTGCCCATTAAGGTGGCCATTACTGATACAACGCCCGAAGGCATGTTTAGCAAGGCAGCTTGCTTGGTGGTGTATCCAAAGCCGCGGATGAGCGTAGCAGAAAAGGTCGTGATGATGCCCGAGGGGATCACGATGAGGATGGTGTTGAGGAAGAGAAGCCACACCTGCAGGTCCATGAATGCTTCTCGGAGGCCGGCCATTTGGAAGACCTTCTTGCCGTTGCCTCCTTGGTCCTTTGCCAGGGCGTTTTGGAGCACGACCTTTTCCTCCTCTGTCAGGAATTTGGCCTCCTGAATGCCAGAGGGCATCCAGAAGGTGACTACCGCACCGACAAGGAGGTTAAACACCCCCACAGCCAAGAACATAATCCGCCATCCTTCGAAGTTGCTTGTCGCGCTGCCATGCTGTGCAGCGAAGGAGATCAAGCCACCGATGGCCTGTCCCATCCCGAGGCCGCAGTACCAGATACCCGTCCTCGGGGTCGCCTGCCGCCTGGTGTACCACTGCGACGTGATCATGATCAAGGCCGGCGTGATGACGGCCTCAAACATGCCCAACAGGACCCTGATTGCGGTGATGCCCGGGAAGTTCTGCGCCGCGGCCGTGCAGCAGATGGTGACGCCCCACAGGACGACGTTGACGCCGAGGACTTTGCTCACGGGGAATTTCTGGATGAGGTAGCCCTGGGGAAACTCGGCGATGGCGTAGCCGATGAAGAAGGCCGTGGCCATCCAAGGAAAGTCGTTGCCGTGGATGCCGATTGATGCAGAAAGACCCATGATGTTGGCGTAGTTGATGAGGACCTTGTCGAGAAATTGGAGAAAGTAGCACAGCAGCATCAGCGGCACGATGTGGTAGTCAACTTTTCGTGTAATCGGCTCAAGAGGCCGAGTGGACGTGACATCTTCGCCCAGTGCAGAAACAGAGAGCGAGTCGGCCACGCGGGTAGACGACTTTTCCATGACGTCTGTGGTCATGTTGGACTTGGATTGTGGTGTTGAAGTGAGGAATGGAGTGGGTTCAGACCAGTCACACTGAATGCAATAGACTGCCACAACGATAGAAGGATGCCTCGTTCGTACGAGGACGCAAAGTGATACGACCAAACGGAGGTATATAAGTCGTCGTGGTAAGTGGCGGGCGTTTCATTGCAAGATGGACTGTACATGTGGTACACATATGAGCAGTCTAGGATGTTGTGAGAGGAGAGATACGCCGGAAAAGGGACTGATAGGCATGGATACTGCTAGCGTCTGCGTAGCGACAGAGCAAATCGAGATAGGTTTGGGCTTATCAGCCAGCATTCGGCGCATCTCAGGATGGCTACTGGCTACAAGGTGTGGACGATGATGCTATGCCTACAGCAGCAGGCAATCAATCATGTCCAAGTCAGGCGTCACAATTGACCTTCAGCCATTCTGCCGTCCAAGCAATCACCCAAGCGACGGAAGACAAACTAACGAAGCCATCGCTAGAAGCCGAGCGTGATGATTGATGTGATAGCGAATCTCCACCCGACGGAGACGCTGTAGAGACTAATGCAACCGTCGGAACTGGCGCTCTGGCGGTCCGCGGCGCGCATTTTGGGCTCCGCATTCGCTCCCCGCAGCGTTTGCACTGCCGCCGTCAACCGCTGTAAGCTGGCGCCGGGTTGAGATTGGTTCATCGCTTCACAGCTCGACGGCTTCACTTGGGAATGGGCCATTGGTGGCTTCTAGGAACAAAAATGAAGTCGGAATGGGCCGACATGATTGTCCCTTCACCTTTCGATTCGACATCGGCTGCGATTCCATCTTCCGCCCGCGCAATTCTGGCTGCTCTCACTGGAGGACTTAAAGTCGAAGCAGTCTCGTTCACCCTTTGAAGACACTCGAAACGAAGTCATATCAGACTGTCTTGTACATCCATTTTCTTCATCATTTACATCTTAAACTTGCTCATTCAACCGTTCAAAACCATCTTGCAAAGCCGTCTGCCATCTCCAACCAAGGCCTTTACAAGTCACCATGCCTGGGACTCTCTCTCCTCCCGCGCCTCTCTCTGTCGCCATCATCGGCTCTGGATTGGGCGGTCTCTCTGCAGCCATCTCTCTCCGTCGCGCCGGCCACAGCGTGACCCTGTATGAGCGCTACGACTTTGGCGGCGAAGTTGGCGCGTCTCTGTCTGTAGCCTCCAATGGCTCGCGCTTCCTGGAGGAGTGGGAGATCGATATCCCCGCTGCGAAGCCCGTCATCCTCAAGAATCTGATCCGTCACGACTGGAAGACGGGCGAGGTGTTTGGAACATACCCGCTGGGAGACTACCGCGCGCGCTTCGGCACCGACTACAACAACTTCCACCGGATTGACCTGCACAACCACCTCAAACAAGTCGCCATGTCGGAGAGCGGCAAAGGACAGCCCGCAGAGCTAAAGACGTGGCACAAGGCCGTGGAGGTAGACCCCGAAACCGGCTATATCAAGTTCGAGAACGGCAACGAAGCGACCCACGATGTCATTATCTGCGCTGACGGGATCCGGAGTGTAATGCGTGAGCAGTTGGGTGTCATCCCACAGTTTGTTCCCAGCACGTCCTGCTGCTACCGCTGCATCATCCACGCAGACAAACTCCGCGAACTCGGCCTCGAGGAATTCCTAAACAACGAAGCCATCGAGTTCTGGGGTGGCTTCGGGATCGACAAGATCGTCCTGTCATCATGCAGCGACAACAACGTCGTGTCCTGCTATTGCTTCTACCCAGCGTCCAAGAACGACCTGAAGGATGACGGGTGGAACATCGCCACCACCGGAGAGAACCTGGTCGCGACCTTTCCCGACCTCGACGAGAAGCTCAAGACGCTCTTCCTCAACGCCGACGACATCAAGATGTGGCGGCTGTACAACCACGAGCCATACCCGTACTGGGTCAAGGGCCGATGCGCCCTCCTGGGAGACGCCGCCCACCCGATGATGCCCGACCAGAGCCAAGGCGCGTGCATGGCCATCGAGGATGCTGGCGCATTGGGTATCCTCTTCTCTGAAAAGTACGCCGACTTGGACGTTGAGCAACGCCTGAAGCTGTACGAGATGGAGCGGAAGCCACGCGCGACGAGGCTGCAGGCGTCAAGCAAGCGGGCGCGTGAAGATCTTGACGAGAGGATTGGCTGGTCTAGTAAGAAAGACAGCCCGGGGAAGTTGACGATTGAGGAGGTGTGCGGTTATGACATGCATGTACATGTGGCGGAGTTGGTTAACGAGCTCAAGCAACAAGCGCAAGCAACAAGCTCAAGTTCCTAGTCAGTCTTCTGTGTAATTAGATGCCGTGTCCCAGTAGTACAGACATTAAAAACATCCCCCCATGAACTTGGAGGCTGTGCAAGCAGCGAGTGACTCGACGTCTATGGATCAAAACACGACCAGCCCGCTCATCTCTTCGAATCTGAGCCTAGCCCAGTTAATTATCGCCCCGGTTCCCTGCATCTTATCCCTCCTATCCCACACCCTCTCGACGAGTTCTCGCGAGTGGTAGATGTACCCGAACCCGTACGTCCGCTCCATGACCATCAGCCTGTCCTGGATGATGACCCGGTGCTCAAGCTGGTCGCACGCGCCGCCCGCCATGACGAGCGGGAAGAGCAGGCATCCTTCCAGCGCGCTGCCGTAGCGGATTTTCTGCACCGAGGTGAGGATCCCTTCCACCGCTTGAGACACCTTTGGGTCGGTGAGCGTGTATCCGTCGGTGATCTGGTGCAGCCGCAGTCGCAGCGCCCACTCGTACGCGGTAGTGGCATGGAGCACGTCGTCGTTCGAGGGGAACCGGGTCGAGACGGCGCGGGACAGCCCGCCGTACTCAAAACTCCAACGGTCGAGGTGTTCCTCGACGATGGAAGCCTCGTTGCGGAACTCCGCCTCTGAATGGTCGTCCACGCGGTTCTTCCGCTTGTTTGCCAGGCTGTTGACTCGGTCGACCAGGTGGAATAGCTCCTTGGGTATGCCGTACACGGCGGTGTCTTCGTCGTCGGGCGTGGCGGCCAGACGGTCCAGCGCGGCTCCTTCGCCTTCCTCCTCCTCGATGAGAGGCGGCATGCACGTGCTGGTTGTGGTTGCGCTGTCGAGGAATCGAGAGAGGCGAACTAGGAACTTGTAGTTTCCGGTGAGAGCATCGCCATGCTCGGATATCAGCGTCCCTAGGAGCCGTTTGGCGCCCTTGAGGTGGAGCTTCCAACCCGTCGACTTGCCGTCAAACAGCTCCGTCATGCACAGCAGCAGGGACGCCACGAGGGCAATATCCGCCGACGCCTTATTCACATGGGGCAGCAGACCGGCCAGCGACTGTGTCGCCTTGCTCTGATGGAGGAGACCTCGATTTCCCATCCGCGGCTGCAGTTTGTACCAGTGCTTGGCGCTCAGTGCCAGCACGCAGTGAAGGACCAAATCGCTGGATAGGGCCATGGGAAGGAGGTAGCTTGTGTACGGGTTGGCTTTCACGTCTGCCCGTCTCGAGAGAATTGTTGCGACAATGGTGGAGTAGTGGTTCAGCAGGGCCTTGTCGTCAGGAGAGGTTAGGCCTGGCGTCAGGCTCGGAACGTACAGGCTCAGCGATTCAGACACCATGCTATCGGAAGGGCTCGTGGAAAACGCTGGTGTTTCTGGAAGCAAATCCAGCCATCCGGGACTGACGGGAAAATCCCAGGACATGTCGTCCACGGAGGCTCTGAAACCCATCTCTGAGCCGTTGAGGGTGAAGCCCGTCTGGAGTTGACCTCCCGAACCTGGCATCTCGCCTTCGCCACTCGATCCAAACAGAGCATTCATTTCAGTCGAACTTGGCAGGCTTTGCGACCCATCTGGATTCATGCCGATCCCCATCCCCAGAGCAGCCCACATCTCCATCCCAGGGCTTGTACTCCTTCGCCTCCTCCTTGTTCTCTGCTCTCGTTCGGGCGGCCACGAGCAGTCCAGGCACAGTCTCCCGCAGTCGCCGCACCGAGGCTTCCTCTCGTCGCACTTCTTTTTGCGCTTCTTGCACATCAGACACCCGGTCTGGACTCTGCGTATGCGGGCCTTGGGTTCATTGAGCGGCATCCAGCCTTCGGCGCTGGGGTCGTAGAACGTGGTGTGCTGGGCGGCGGCGGTCGAGTCTTTGGGACGGCACGGGAGACTCAGACGCGCACATCGCGAACATGGCGACTTACCGTCGCAGGCTTGTTTGATCTCGGCGCATCGGAAGCAGACGTTTGAGCGCGGGCGGTCGGCGGACGCCATTGTGGTGTGTGTGTCCTCGGATCCTGCGCTGTGTCCGGTTTGTCTTTGGCTTGTTCTTGAGGCTTTCGTCCTGGGTCAATTGGTACGTGAAGGAGACGGTATGATAGAGAAAAGATGACTACAGGATGCAGAGCATACGTTCCCTGGGACTGAGCGATGATAAAGCTCCGGCTTTGAGCACTAGTTATCATTGAAAGTGCGGAGACGGCCAAGGTCGATTTACCGGATTGGCGGGCGCACGCTTCCTTATCTAGGTACTAACTCGCGACTCCAACTCCTCCCGGTACCGGGAACTTGGTCCAACTTGGATGACGAAACGTGCCGTGAAAATCCGGGGTGTTTGTTTTCCTCTTTATTTTATTTCCGTCTCCGAGTTCAAACACCGCGGTTCGTCCGGCTGACAAGCATCATCCAAGTGCTCTACGTTAAAAACATCGGGGAAGACTTCTTTCTTGAGCGACGCATCTATGACGATGATGATCAAAGGTAATCAATTCCGCATCAATTCATTTTAAATACACATCTATTTATCATGCAATACCACCCGAATCTCCCTTGCAATCTGATCGATAAACTCGCTCGCCTGCCACAGGTCCTTATCCATGTGCATAAACGGGTGCGGTACGCCTGGGAATCGCTTCATCGTCACCTCAATCCCATTGTCAATCAGCTTCCTTCCGTACGCCTCGCCCTCGTCCCTCAGAGGATCTGCGCCCGCTGTATAGATGACCGTCTTGGGGAGACCGTCGAACCTGTCCGCTTTGAACAGGTTTGCGTAGAATTCGGGAACTTGCTTGCGCTTCTCTGCGATCTCTTCCGCCGTCGCGCCGAGAGAACTCCACTTTAGCTTGTCGAACCAGGCGAGCCTCCCCCAATTGAGCGTCGGCGCGTGCTCGTTCTCCTGCATGGATGGGAATGGTGAATCGGCCGCGCTGGAGTATTGGCTTAGATCGTCAATCACCGGAGTTCCCACTGCGATGAGCTTGAGCGGGATGCCTGCATCGCGAGCCATATGACCCAGCGCAAGACCAATGAATCCACCAGCGGACACGCCGCCTACGGAGATACTTCCCGGAATAATGTTGAACTCCTGGGCGCCCTTCTCGTAGATATATTTCAACGCCGCGAAACTGTCCGTAACTCCACAAGGGAACGCATGCTCTGGAACGAGGCGGTAGGCGACGTCAATGACCACAACACCAGCCTTGTTGCAAATGTGCTTGCAGATATGGCTCTCTGTATCTAAATCGCCGAGACCCCAGCCACCGCCGTGATAGTCGATATGCACAGGCCAAGGACCAGGCCCCTCCGGCTGGTAGACGCGCACTTTGAGCGGGATGCCCTCATGGGTGGTGATCTCGGTGTCGAACGTCTTGGCAACATCGGGCGCGGGACCGGTGCCGTAGGAGTAGAGAACAGAGTATTTCGATCGAAGGACCGAGAGGTCAATTGGACGCAGTGGCGTGCTGGCGACATTGTCGTTGTACAGCTTCTCGAAGACGGGGTCCAACTTGCCAACCATTGACGGGTGGATAGGCTGGAGCGCCTCGTGTTTTGCGTCCGACGACATGATGAGTGTAGCTCTGGTGCGGTCTCGGGGTCTGTAATGGTCGGGAGTAAAGAAAATAAATGCTGCTGATGTCCTTAAATGGTGCTTCTTGCCGGAGGTGACGACGAATTGGACTCGCAATCTGGTGGCGATCAAGGTGACAAGAACCCAAGGCAAAGGACGTAACAAGTTATTATCTCTGCTTCGAGCTTCCGATATCGATGCTCGTGATGCACTCCACAGCACATAACACGCTGGCTAGCAGGTTCCAAACGCCTTCCTACGTCAATCGGCCGAGGCTCGACACCCTCTCGCAGCGGGCGGATCTAACCCACAAGCGGCGATCCGACGGCTGCATACAACCAACCGATGGAGGCACCGTCGGCTGGCGATGCGCTGGTAGCTTCGATGCGGAGACCCACTGGGAAGCCGCTGAATCCATGCAATCCGACGTATCTGCTATCGAGATAGGATTGATAGGATTGAACTTCGATATCGATAGCAAACTGGGCGGTTTTCACGTCGAGGCTCCAAGGCGGGGTTGAACCGGTTCTGGCCGTCGCCTCCAGGCGCGGGTAAGCTACAGAGCTTACGAGCTATAGAAAGATGAGGGGCGACTTGGATGTAACAGAGGGATTGTCCTTCAAACAATCGCACGAGACGAGGTTTCCCTGTCCAAGACAATAGTCCTAGGTTTTAGGAGCAGCGATTTTGAACGAGGGAAGAATCTACACCACATTGTGCATATACGGGTCTCGCCGCCAAACCATCATGCCGACTAAGCCCGTCCTCATCATCGGCGCTGGAGTCGTCGGCCTAACTCTCGCTCACGGTCTCAAAAAGGTACCCACGATTGCTTCTGTCTTACCAATACTGCAAACTCTCTGCCCGCTTTCGCTACATTAATACTGACACACGTCAGGCTGGCATCCCATTCGAGGTCTACGAGCGCGACGAGCACATAACCGCCCGTGGCCAGGGCTGGGCCATCACTCTCCACTGGGTTCTGCCCTTCCTGAAAAAGCTCCTGTCACAAGACACCTTGAAAGGCGTCGATTCCGTGCAGGTGGACCCTGACGTCGACCGCCACGGCGACGGGAACTTCATCTTCATCAACCTCGAGACGCTGGAGCCCAAGTTCCGCATCCCGCCCAACGAGCGCCGGCGCGTCAACCGCGAGAAGCTGAGGAACGTCCTCCTGCAAGAGGTGGGCGATCGAGTGCGCTGGGGCAAGCGCCTTACGGCAATCGAGGAGGATGATGATGGCGTCGTCGCTGTGTTCGCTGATGGTACGAGGGCAGAGGGTGCCGTGCTCGTCGGCGCAGAGGGAAGCAACTCACGAACGCGGAAATTCCTCGCCCCCGAGACGTATCGCAACACACAATTACCCGTGCGCTTCGTCGGTTCAGCCGCAGATTTCACGCCAGACGAGGTCAAGCCCCTGAGACAAGTCGATCCCCTGCTGTTCCAAGGGTGCCACCCTGTGAGCGGCAACTTCCTCTGGGTCAGCATGCTCGACACGCCGGCAGCCAACGGCACCAAGGGGACCGATGACGAGCGTTATCGCGTGCAGATCAACGTCTCTTGGCCTGTCAAGACGCCCGATGACGAGGTGAAGCCCACCGATGCAGAGCGACTGGCGGGTATGAAGCGGCGCGCTGAAGAGTTCCACCCCGTGCTGCGCGATGCCGTCCATGCGATCCCAGAAGGGTCCGAGATCCTGGAGATTGTGTTGCAGGACTGGCCTTGTCTCGACTGGGATAATCACGGTGGCAGGATTACCCTCATGGGTGACGCAGCGCACGCCATGACCATGTATCGAGGCGAAGCTGCGAACCACGGCATTCTAGATGCGTATCGGTTATGGGAGAAACTAGATGGGATATACAACAAAGACGTGGAGCTCAAAGCAGGAATCGACGAGTATGAGGCCGAGTTGAGAGAGAGGACGAGCACGGCGGTGCTGTTGAGCCGGCAGGCGTGTTTGGATGCGTATGACTGGGCTGGTCTGAACGAGAATTCGGCGGTGTTGAAGCGACGGGCAATTACTGGTGTTTGAGAAATTGCGGAGAGCAGGTTGAATATATCCCTTGCATGTTTTGCGGCGGTGGTTGTTGTAGTCTCACCTCAAATAACGGTGTCTCACGGTGTCTTACAGTGTCTCACTGGTATAACAACGAAAGTCAACAAACATGACTTGCAGTTCTTGCAGCAATGCCATGCCGCCTCCCCCTCTCCTGACCGCGTTCTCGAAAACGCTGGGCTTATTTAGGAAGCTGGTTCGGGATGCATACCGTGACGCATACGGGACCGGGTTCCCCTCAATCACGAAAGTCGCTAGACGCCGGGTGGAAACTGCCAGTTGCTGGGTGGCAACCCTCATACGAGAGAACGCTGCTGACTCAAACCTCAACGGAGTCGATGTTATTCCCCGATCGGCCGCTTATGTGTGGAGATTGGGCTCAGGTCTGGTGCTGACTCGGTGCCTGGGTCTAGCCCAAGACGATTTGGAGCAATGTCACGATGTGAGCCCCGTGCTAAGCGTGGGAGGCATGCAGAGACCTATTGGCCGGCTTGCGACGAGTGTGACGGAGGCTGCGGTAGTCGTTCGCACGGCACAGGGCCTATTCCGTAGGGCTGCCACTGGCGCGCCCAATACCCAATGTCTCAGTGCCTCTTTGGCTTGCGGCTGGTCTTTCTTAGCTAGATTCGGAAGCCCGGCCTGGGAACTGGCGTCACCGCATCCTGGGGCGTCCAAGGCGGACCGGACGGGGATGTCATCACCACCAAAACACGCCGGTTCTGTCGGCCTGCGGAGAGATCAAACGACAACCCTGCAGCCAAGCGCCTGCGCCCAGCTCCACGCAACCTATCACGGCTCGATTAGGCGGCGTATTATGGGCCGCGGCTTCCGCCCTGTCGGGCTTGGCCCATGAGCTGACAATCCTGACATTGCGAAGGGGTCCGTTAAGCGGTTTGCGGTTAGGATGCTCGACGGGATGAGCACGGAGTAAGACGGATCTTGGCTCCTTTGGGACCTTCTTCTGGGGTCTTATTTGGAGAATACGAACTAGACGGCGCGCTAGCGGAACACGAGCCCGTAATAATCTTCTGCCATTCGGGTTACAAGAAGGCTGAGTCCCTCTCAGCCTTAAGCTTGACGAGCGAGGGACGTCTTTCGTGTTAGAATCCTCGCCTCACGCAATAGGGGCAGCCTGAGACGGCCTTGGTTTCGTATCGTGCAGTCTGCTGAGAAGCCCGGATGAGGCAAACCCAGCGCTAGCGACTTGGCTGCTCGGCCGTATCTTCTTTTAGCCTCTCGTTCATCTCGTCTTTGCCGCTATTCGACTCGCCGCCGCCAGCGCCTGCTGACCAAGGGAGAGGAGAAGAGGGTCTTGATTTCCCTCACTGCTCGCACATTGTTGCAATTCTTTTTTCCTCTTCTTGCTCGTATTTGTTCCGAAAAGCCCGCTGTGTGCGCACTGTCACTCGTTCCAGTCGTTCCAGCCGTTCCTAATCATGCATACCCGCGCAAGTCTTTTCGCCGGCCTGGCTCTTGTGTCCAGCGCCTTGGGCAGAGTGAAATACGTGGTGTGTAGATACCATCATCCAGCCGCCCCGGACAAGATGACTAACCCACCGCTGTGAAAGGGCGTCGCCATTCCTGGCTTTGACTTTGGCTGTGACATTGATGTACGTTATTCCCCTGTTCCTTGCGCCGATCCAGTCGCTGACCTGAACAACAGGGCAGCTGTCCGCTGAATGACATCGTCAACCCCCCTTTGCCTGAGCTCGGGGGAGGCGACGGCCCGGCACAGATGAAGCATTTTGTCGAGAATGACGGCTTCAATGTTTTCCGTCTTCGTGAGTCTCCCGTTTGACCACTGCAGGCGTCCCTTCTCTGACTCGATGCAAAGCCACTTCGTGGCAGTACATCGTCAACAGCGTCCTCGGCGACCTGGATGCGAACAACTTTGGCTATTACGACAAACTCATGCAAGCCTGTCTCGGCACGGGCGCCTACTGCATGATTGATCTGCACAACTTTGCGCGATTTGACGACGGCATCATCGGTCAGGGAGGACCTTCAAACGAGGTCTACGCCGATCTCTGGACCCAACTCGCCCACAAGTATGCCAAAGAGGACAGGGTCATCTTCGGCCTCATGAACGAGCCCCACGACCTGGACATCAACCTCTGGGCAGACTCCTGCCAGGCGGCCGTCACCGCCATCCGAAAGGCCGGCGCCAAGGACCAGATGATTCTTCTCCCCGGCACCAACTTTGCGAGTGCCGAGACCTTCGTGTCGACCGGTAGTGCCGATGCCCTCGGCGCTGTTTCGAACCCTGACGGCAGCAAGGACGGCCTTTACCTGGATCTCCACAAGTACTTGGATGAGAATAACTCAGGAACCTTTACCCAATGCACGACGGATAACGTGGCGGGTTTCACAACCATTGCTACGTGGTTGAGGAAGAACAAGCGCAAGGCCATGATCTCGGAATCGGGAGCATCCATGGACCCTTCGGTAAGTGATTCGCACCCTTCCCTGTAGACAATCAGACTAACGGCTCGAAGTGTATGGAGAAGTTCTGCACCCAGAACAAGTTCATCGCCGACAACTCCGACGTGTTCGAGGGCTTTGTCGCCTGGGGAGCCGGCAGCTTCGGCTTCGACTACGTCTTGACCCTCACGCCATCGGGCTCACCTGGCGATTACACCGACAACAAACTGATGAAGCAGTGCGTCATCGCTCCCTTCCTCAAGGACGCGCCCAAGGAGACTTCGACCTCGGCCAAGGCGACTCGCACCAAGACCTCGCAATCCAAGACATCGGAAGCGACCTCGTCAGCCACTCATAAATCGGCCGAGTCTACCCAGCGGGTGTTCAAGGAGGAGACGAGCGCTGCGGCGCCGTCCTCGACTGCAACCGAGCCCCCCACGAGCAATGCGGCTACGTCAGACAACAGTTCAAAAGACGACAAGTCGGCTGGTGCTCGAACCCAGGTTGTCACGGGCGGCCTTCTGTTCGCAGCGATTGCGCTATTTCACACCGGGCTGCGCTTCTTTTAATCGACCTGAACATACTTTTAGAAGCTAGACGGAGCATATTACACTAATTTACGTAGACAAATTATAGAATAATACATACATGACGCAGCAGGCCAGCATTTGTATTACGGTCAAATATTATCTCTTTCTATCGGGGCTGCGAGCCACTGACTCGTTAGATGTACAGACGGGGTTGGCAGCTTCATTGATGGCTCAGGTATCCAGTGTTATCGCTTCCGCTACTATTTTACTCAATGTGACGACTTGCTACCACCGGTAGTAAATCTAGATAATATCCACCGTGTTTCATTGACAAAGCCAGACATCCGCATCTAGTGCTCACAAAAACTATACTCTACTGCTTCCCATTGACCTCTCGCGTCGTCCTGGAAGACACTTCGAACATCCATCAACTTCAAACGATGTTCCTTGGCTTCGTCGAGGCTCATCGGCACCGCATCGCCAAACTCCTTCCGCACCATGCCCATGAGCTCTGCCGGAAGACCTGCCTTCTCCTTGCCGGCTGCTTCCAAGCCCGGGCAACCCGGAGCTTTCTCAAGGACGAGCTGGGCAATGGCCGGAGGGACCTTTTCGGCGTCGTCTTTGCTGAGCTTGTCGAATGTGTGTTCCATCCACCAGCTTTGCTGCTGGGGAGGCACATTTGCAGTGCTGATGATGCGAGTGACAGGGTCCACCAGCCACAGGGCAATGAAACGGCGGTGGCCGGGCTTGGTTTTGTCCTTGAGTCCGAAATTGGATACTCGGTGCTGGAACACGTTGGGAAAGGCCAGAAGCCTCCCCTCCTTCGTCTCAACGCTGCCGTAGCTCTGGAGGCAAGAGCCTCCTCGGAGCGTGGCGCCGTATACGCGTTCCATCCAACCGAAGGAGTCTTGGCCAACTTCCCAGTCGTCCTGGTAGCTGCTGGTCTGCATCCGGAATTGCAGATGGCTGGGGGTGACATTCTCCGAGTCCAGGTAGTACAGGGCGGTACCGACGATGTGCTCGTTCATCTGGCCCTCCACGTGCCAGCCGCCAGGAGGAAACTCGGGCTTTCCAGGCCCGATCTCGATGGAAGCCATTTTCACAATGACTTGGAGGCCGTCAAACTGCTCACGAAGAGAAGCACCTGGCTTGACCCCATACTCCCATGCTTCAAACTCGGGGGCTTGGGGCTGGACTGGCTCTCGGGTCTTGTACCAGTGGACTTGTTCGGGCGTTCCATAGTAATGCTTGCCATATTCATCCTCCTCTTCAACCTCCTCCTCATCGGACTCGTCGTCGGACACGTCGGATCCAGATACTGACACGGATCCCTCTGAACCCTCCTTCTTCTTAGGTGGCATTTCCATCTCATCAAACCGTGGGGTCCAGTTTTCCTCGTTTTCGTCGCTAAATCCTCAGGTCAACAATCAACTCGCACTCGGAAAAGATTATATGCCTACTCAGGGTTGTCTGGCCGTGGGAAACGGGGCTTTGTTCTACCGCCGCCCTCCAGCTCATAATTACGGTACTGTGCCAAGCAGAGGTCCCAAGCAGGCAGGGATTTCTCAATCAGCTTCTCGATGGTACCGTATATGTCCTGGTACTCGACGGGGTGGAGGTTATTGATGTAGCTCGTGAATTTGACACTGCCGTCGTCCTGGAACTTGACATTGGCAGGGAGCCATTGATACTTGGGCGACCAGAACGTGGGGTCGACTTCGCTACCACCAATATTGCGGTAGAGGTGACGATACTTCTTGACTTCGGGTTCGGGCTCGAGCTGTGGAATGACATCTCCTTTGCCAGCCCATTTGTCAATAGCATCCTCAACGCCGACAACTTCATCGGCAAATACTCGTGTCCTGCCATAGACGAGCGGGTACATGGAAGGATGAACGAGGTCTTGGACAATCTCATTGGTACGGGGATGCCAGTCTGGATTGTCCCTTTGGTCCTCCTCCAACCTGCAAAAAGCAGCACGGAGGGCATTGTGCAGCGATTCGTCCACCACGGTGTCCGATTTGGCCATCGACGCGCAAGCATCCAGTGTTGGAATCAAGCCTGTCTTCTTGAAATATTCCGCTTTGGCACGTAGCTCCTTGATGCACTGTGACGATATTAGTTAAATGGGTCGGCTTCACGCAAGGGAGTAGGGCATTTACGTAGTCGAGACACCCTCTGTCTAGAATGGACTTGAGGGGTTTCCGGCCATCCCAACCGATTTCTCCATGAACGTCAGATCCTTTGATAATCTCCTCGTGCATCTTTTCGGCCGAGAAATCAAGGGCTTCGTCGATCCACTTTTCGGTGATGGCATCGTCAAAGACCTTGACGTGGAAGTCGGGTTTGTCAGAGAGGCGATCCATGATGGTCATCATTGCAACCTCTCGGATGAGAAGCATTTCAGAATCGGAGCCAAAGCAATTGCCATGGATTCCCATGGGATAGATGATCAGGGGATTACGTCTAGCCTCGTTCTGGACATGATAGCGGAGGTCAAGGCCGAGTCCCGGATATGAGGGCATGTTGATGGGTCTGGCGGAATGAAATCGAGAGTGCTGAGTGTAGGTGCTTCTGAAAAGGACGTTGTTGAATCGAGCAATGCGTCTACAGATTGAGCCTGTATTGGAGCCAAATTGACGAGGAAACATGGCTTTAAGTACTCCTCGTCAACGAGGTGTTGGGTCTGCACGCTACGATCCAACGTGATTTGGCGTGACGGGAGATATCGCGAAGTCACATGACAGCGCGATTAGGCCCAGGCAACACAGGGCAAGCGAGCGTTCAACTCTAGGCAGAGGTGGTACGGTCAAGGTTCATTGGGAAATGGCCGATCAATCCTTGCATGTTCAAGCCAACACTCGGTTTCATTGGAAACGTCTGCCTAGCAGGATCCATCTACCCCCGGCATTATCGCTCCACACTTGTCACTTGGAGTTACGGTCAGGTTTCAACCAAAATTCATTCATCACCGCGAATCTAACTTCAAATCGTTCTTTGAATTTGTATTTTTACAGAGATTTCTTTCCCTCATTCGTAGAGATACCTGCCGGTGGCCGAGGAAACTTGATTTGTTATATTTGGTGAAGTCATTGCGCACATCTCCCTAGCTCGGGCCGCGGTGCAGAGACGGATTCATACGATTGCAAAGAAGAACTCAAGCGAAAGAACAAATGCAGACCAAGGTATCCGGTCATACTTTTGGTTCCAGCTCATTAAGTGTTCTTGGTGTGGTACTTGATTGTCTTAATCTCTGTTTATTCTCTATTGTGTTGCTTCGATCTACCCGGTAGCACATGAATAGGACCAAGTTATCTTATGACAGAGAGAACACACGACACAACTTCCTCACGCCCATCGCGTCGATCTTCGAAGGCATCGCGCTGTTTAGAAGCCTGCACGCCAGTGAGTACCTTGCTTCCGTGCTTCAGCATAAAGATTGTGCTTACCTTCAACTTGTCCCGCAAACTGCGTACAAGCGTCTTAATTGCAAAGTCGGCCTCTGCAGATCCATTCATCCCCAATCTTGGTGCAGGAGCACTGCCTCGCCTCAATCTTATCCCTCTTCACAACTGTGGCCTCGGGGACAACGTCCTTGGCGCACAATCGGCCCCTGCAGATCCACTCGTCGCCGACCTTGGTACACGAGCATTGTCTGGCCACAAGGTCGTTGTTTGGGGATGGCGCTGCCACAGCAAAGGCGGCAAACAAGGTGGCGGTAATAAGAGTGAACTTCATTTTTGAGTAATTCGAAGATTGTAGTGATTGTTGAGGTGTAATGAACTGGTTGGGATGTGAATAACAATACAAAGGTGAGGCGACGCCCTATATTTATATTAACAGGTATTAGTTCCTTACGATATCTGCATTTCTATCATGGTGGACCAACTACACATTTGATCTATTTGCCCGTATGACCGACAATCCGGCCAAAAGAACCTAGGAAGTCCTCATGTAGCCAATGCCAGGGGCCGGATCTCGGTCGATAGTTGGCACTTTTGAGTGAGTGGCTGGGCGGCCGTGCCTCCGAAGTGCAGGGCTATGCCACATACAGCAGGTCCAAGAACAGCAATCTACCAATAACACCATGCCATGGCTTTCCCACTATGATTTCCCATGCAGATATTCATCTCAGCCAAGACTCGTCAACCATTTTGGAACTTCCGTACGATTTCGGTCTTACGAAAGATGCATCAAGTGGTCACTAAGATAAAATAAGAAGGTTGCTTCTCGTAGCTAAGGATGGTCAGATTCTTCTGTATTCCAACTCTCGTGCACTTTCCTCTTCCGGATGCTTCGTAAAATGTGACTAATGGAGTCATTATATGCAAACCATCCCTGTGGCAAGATAAAACAAGGTTAAAAATAGAGTATCGGAAAGGATCCTTTACAAATGGCCCCAGGAGACAACAAACCGTGTCATAAGATGCTGCAACTTGGGGGTTCTGGTAACAGCTCGTATTTGAACTACCGCCGGGTGTGTATCTCCAAACATCACAACGACCCGATCAGAGTTGCCAGCCACCTGCCGAGGAGTCAACCCAATTCTCTGGAACATTTGTCCTCCTCAACCTTCATGAGGATATCATCATGTTGGCGAAAACGAAGGGAATTCGTGGTGTGGCGTCAAATGCCCAAAATACGAATGAAACTATCTATGACTCCATCAAGAGATATTTCTGACGCAAACCCACTCACCTACGGCGGTATGACTATGCGTGCACACCGACACAAATTACAATTTGCTAGAGACCCTCTCCTCCTTGTCCCCAGCTTCACTAGCAAATGTTGGCGGGTTGTAATCAATCGGCTGTTCCAGCCGCCGAATCATTCTTCTAGTCGCTTTCTTCGGATTCATTCCATCGGCTGTCCACGCATTAGCAAGGGAATTTATTCACAAATTGCTAGGACTTACCATAGCCGATGAAGGGGAAAGCGCTTCGGTACCCCATCATGTCCACAATTTTCTTCGGAATCTCTCCCGACAGGGCTCGTCTGGGATCGACAGCTACCATCAAGTTATCCAATGGGCGGATGTATGGCTGACAATACTGAATCGTTGCTGCATATCTGGACATCGAGCTGCGGTTTGCGCCACCAGAGTGCCACGTAGTCCCCAAGAAGTACACGATGCTGCCGCGTGGGCATACAGCTGATACAGCCTCCTCTTCTTCTGGGATTCGATCGCTTCCCCACTTGTGGCTCCCTGGGATGATTCGTGTCGCGCCATTCAGCTCCGTGTAGTCGTCCAGCACAACCATTATGGCCGCCGTGACCGGGGGTCTTGGTCTTGGTAGGCGCGTGACGGCATCGTCGTGATGCAGCCTCTGGTTTCTTTCGCCAGGATTAATCACAATGGTCTCCATGATGTATATAAGATAGTCGTCATCCAGGAAGTACTCATTCATGGCCAGCACTTGAGGGAGAACGCAAAACTTGTCAAAGACCCGGGTCTTTCCCAGGAGGGAGAAGATGCGGTTCGTTTTGAAGCCATCAAACGCGTCGCGCCCCTTCTTGGGTGTGTTGCCGTGGAGCCTATCGATCTCAGCGATTGCCTCAAGCGCCTGCGCGTCCGTGAAGGCATTCGGGATCACCACGTAGCCATCCTTCAGAACTTGCTCGACGTGGGCTCGGAGTGTTGGGTCCGATGGCAAGGGTTTGGGTTTTCGCTGGTAGTATTCGCGAACCACAGGTTCCGCTGCTTGAGGATCTTCTTTTGTCGGGACGGGCTTCATTGCGATAGATCCCGAGACGAGATGTTTGCTGTTGTGGAAATGTCAGGGAATATTTGGCGGTCAGTCTGAAGAGAGACATGGTAATAAAATACACCCGGCGGCCGCCGTCATATGTAAGCTGAGATAAGCCCCCGCGTTTTGAATGAGACACAAGTCGTCAGCGCTATTAGCCGAAGGGGCCGGATGGCTTTCAACACCTCTCGTTATTTACATACAGTTTGAGATGCACCAAAACAGATTGGTTGTTGCACAAAATTAGCTAGCAGCTGACCGAATTAGAGTCATCACAGATTAATTGAATATAATGATTTTGTAGACCTCGGTCGCCCCCAGGAATACTGAAAAACTTCAGGTTGTTCCAGCTACCGGACTCGAGATGCTGACCGGGCGGGGTTTAGACTTTCAAACGCGCAGTGCCGATCTCTTTCAACAGCCTGACTAGATATGAGTGAAGTTTCAATATACATTGCTTCCCGTCTTCCAGATGCCAACACTGCCGGCCGGGCTAGAGACACAAGTTGGCGATTTGCCATGTCGACGAGTCGTCTGCCTCAGCAGAGTCATCCATATCCAGAACGTGCCCCGTAAAGTATTGAACGACATCCACAGCTCGACCACGACAAGTAACCAGCAGTTTGAAAATGATCTCTTTCCGTCGCCTTGTCAACCGTGTCAGCCGCCGTAGCACGGCCTCAGTGTCTTGCCGCAGAAGGCCCGTCTCATATAGACTGATCTCGTCTAGTATGCAAAACAAGACATTTCCCTGTGGAATCTGACTTGTTAGTTCTTCAAATACAGCGCAAAGTGATTTGAGCTTCATTTTCTTCAAGTTGTTCCAACTGAGCTCATCCAGGAAAGACAGATCAAGTGTTGCCCCGTTGCCTAGCAGTAGAGTAATGAGCTGACCCAGAAGACTGGCCATCATACTAACGAGTACCGGTACCGTGGAATCGTTGCCATAGGGTCTGTGTTCGCTGCAAAAGTAGGCGATGCCAAAGGTAGACTCGGCTTGCTCGGATACTTGGGTGAGTCTTGCAGCTACGAGGCTGTACGGTGACAAGCCTTCTGCACATGACATGTCTTCGTTCCCGTTAACTAATAAGGGTGTCGAGAACAGGTCCGTGGTCATGAAAGCTTTGAAGACTTGGTTTTGAATAAGTTTGGCAGCTTTTGCTTTGGAGGTTTCATTCATTGCGTCACCCAATCGCAGACATGTTTCGATATCCTTCGAAATTCGATCAAGATCAAACTGTATCAATTTGAGCAATTTCCTGACATCATCCGTGTTGTCGGATGAGACTTCTAATCTCTGCGTCAGTGATTTGATTGTGCTCGGAGTGAAAAACATACGCTGGCTTTCCTTCTGACCAAGTCTGAGCAGGCTTGATTGCCTAGATGATACGACCGTCGCAAACGTCTCTAATGAGAAATACGTTAAAAAGTGCAATCCAAAGGGTTCGTGAAACTATACCTTCGCTGAAAGAGTGCGATTCCATTCTGCTAGCAAGCAATTTGTACACGTTTTGCAGGATACGAAGCGACTGGTTCGAAGTCTGGTTGGTGTCGAGGAGAACATTGTCGGAGATGAGACGAGACTGGTCCATATTCATTAGTCGTCGCTGCATGCATTGATTTGCTTCTTCTTTCACTCGTGTGGCCTGGGCCTTGACGGCTTCCAAGCTAGCGAGGAGTTCGCGCTGGTAGGAGGACTGCTTGAGGAACGGCTGATAGACCTTGCCTATGTGAGCATCAGTAAAGTGTAAATCTCAAGAAATCCAGCATCAAAGAACTTACGAAACGAACTATCGGCAAAAAATTGCATTATATGCGTCAGAGCCTTCAGAATAGACAAATAGAGATCGAATGTGCGGGCTTCAAGGTGTTGATTCCGCAATTCGGAATAAATCTCAATATACCGCCGAGTATTTTCGATGACCTCGGGAATCTGAGCTAGAGAATCAAGTATGGACTCTTCTACCTTTGCGTAGTTGCCGACTGCCTGCAAACATGTCAACTTCGGCCACAGCCTTTCTGAGTGGGGGCCTTACTCCAACAGCGAGGGCGAAGACACCACAAATACTAAAGAGGATGTAAGAAAAGCATCTAAACGACATGGGATACGTACCTTGAACCATAATCACCCCCTGGAAGGACCTGGATCCAACTCTGAAACGCGTCAGAATTGCGTCCCAGTCTATCAAGACACATCATCATTTTTGATGTCTTCTTTGGCGTAGTTGACCACCTTGAAGCTGTCGTTTGTACTTCTTCCATGACTCGGTCCCATGTGCAACATCGCAAATCCAGATGCTCAGACTGAATACTGCTGGTAAGCTTCTTATCTAGTCGCGCTCGCACCTGTTCCATCAGAGCGAACAGCCGATCTTTCTCATCATTGGCTTGCTTCCATAGTTCCTTACTAACAAGGATTAGCTAGGGAACTTTCACTTAAATGAGCGATATTGTTGGGTTGGATCACCTAATTGTCTCCTGGTTTAATGCCTCTTCGAGAGTCTCAACCCGATCGAGTCGATCCACAAACACCGGCCCTGGCTGACCCGGAATACTGACTCGGTTTTCCAAGAAAACTGCGACATCACTTGATGGAAGGCGAGCTCTATTGATTAGGAAGTCTTGTCTTTCGGTTCCCTCCATCCTTGGGTTCGTCGTATCGTGCGCGTTGCCGAGTAGTTTCTGCTAGTTGTTGCCATAGTGCGGAGAAGTGGCATCTCTTCAAGTGAACAAAATACCAGCCGAGGCAGATTTTAAAGCACGTAAGCTCAGAGCTGACGTGGGGGCTGAAAAGAATCCTCGGCGGTTGCTGGAGCCACGTAATTCGTTGCCCTCGCGGGGTTGCATCAGGCGACAAGGCATTCTCGTCGTACAGCAGGCTAGCGAGCATATCAGAAGGCTCCATCAACTTGCTGAACGCACAGCTTTTATTCCCTCAACTCTCCAGGTTTCACAGATGCGCGACGCTGCTACACTATACTCTGCTCTACTCTACTAGTCTTCTGCTAGATGCTAGTTGTTAGACCACTATTCTACCTGTTTGACCCATACATTCCCAATCTACGCCCATTCATCCCTCGAAACGGACTAAAATGATTGACGATGATCCAACTCCTACACTCGTCACTCCCCCCTCGCCTGGGGCGGGAGTCGAAGAGGCAGCGGAAATGGCTGAAGAAAGTCGGGCTGGGGTCTTCCCATCAGACTCGGAACGGACGCGCGACGGAGAAAACGAGGCAGCCCAAAAAATATCGAATGCCGCGACTAAGGATGACAAGCCCGAAGATTTACAGGAAATTTCGCGGAAGATTGCAATGTCAGAATATGAAACCTGGGGGGAAAATATATTGGCCAAGGAGAGACTCAGCGGGAATCTAAAACTACGAGCGCAGCAGGCAGTCTTACACACTACCTTCTCCGAGATGAGAATTACCAACCTCGAGAACGACCTCCAAATCCTCAAGGAGAAAGTTTTCAACCTCCCCAGGCAAGAGAAGGATAGATTCCCTGTTTGCAAACCTATTCTGAAGCGATCCGTGGGCGATGAGTTTCGCATCACACATAACTCCAAAAAGGTGCCTATTGGAGAGCGGCCCTCGATCGAGGTTCTCTATTCGCACAGGGTTCCAACATTCGGAGACGTAAATATGGATCCACCAAAGACGCTGGCTCGACGCACTACCGCGTCTCATGAGATGGAAGAGGCGGATTTTGCAACTTCCACTTCCCCGGAAAGACTTCGGATCAGGTCTTGGGCGCTGATATACCACCTGAGGAATGTCTGCAGAGAGAGTTTGCCCAGCTCCAATTCTATTTTCGAGCGCATTGATGAGTCGCCAGCTGTCGTCTTCCTGAGACCTTTCAAACTACTCATCATGTACGACCAAGACATCAGAGAAAGTGTGAAGGAGATCGAAGCCATCGTTGAGCAACCCGAGGAGACCGAAGAGATGAAGAAAAACAAGGCAGCAGCCTTCGGCAACATCATATTCGAATACGAAGACTTGCTCAAGGATCTCCGACTACTGATCGAGTTCCTTGACACAGATCTAAAATCAACATTCAATGTGCGAAAATCTCTCAAGGATGGCACTGCTACCGATATCGAGTATGCAGATTTGTGGCACCTGTTCGAACTCGGGGATCTCGCCATTTCCGGTTTCAACCAAGACCAAGCGTCCAAGGTTGTGAATTTTACAGGCGGTCGAAATCCACTCACAAATAGAATGGTAGATGAGGAGGACAGAACACCTCCTGTCGACGGATTTGCAGTTGATTGCTGTAGTATTCAGTTTGATGGCACAGATTACGTCCCTAAGCTGCATAAGTTGTCAATTGGCAAGTTTATAGGACGCCGACCAATCTGCTCTCTTGAGATTTTTCCTCTGAGATTCTTACCGAATTCGAGTGCTATGCACAACGAGTTGCTATTACAGGGTCAACGCTATCTTGCCCTGACAAGCGCACCATTTTGCCATAGAATGCTTCGCGGCCGCACACTAGATGAGCCCCCTCAAGACCTCGAGGCCCAAGTCATCGTTGATATGGTTACGGCAGTGAAAGCCGAGCCGATCTGGCGTCCGAAGAAACGGATTGAAGAAGAGAACCTGACCAAGAATGACTTAAGGGAGACCATGATGCAACCGTTTTGCAACCATAACTCTGAGGGGTGTTGTGGGTCCGATATCATCTTCAAAGATCAACAGATGAATTGCTTCGCAAATGCTCCCTTTCTGCGGGACTATGGGGGGTTGTTCTCGCCACGCCCCGCAACTGAGTTGAAAGAAGACATCGTTCTTTTACCTAACTGGGCTTATGGGTTTGTTCTCAGACTTCGCCAATGGGTAACTTTGAGAGTTTCCGACTTATCCGAAGTGCTTTTTGAGAACGATTTCAACCAGCTTATGATTTCGGAAATTCACAAGCAAACGGTCCTGGCACTTGTTCAGACACATGAAAACGGGAAAACGAAAGAATCACTCCCTTCTCAATCCATAGGAGCCTCATTGGATCTAGTCAAAGGAAAAGGAACTGGTCTTATTCTGTTATTGCATGGCGAGCCGGGTGAGTTGCTTTATTTAATTCCTTGGTCACATTCGAATTCGCTAACACATTTCAGGAGTTGGGAAAACATCGACGGCTGAGTGCGTCGCTGACAAGACAAAACGCCCACTGTTTCCTATTACATGTGGAGATATTGGCGAGACAGCCATGGAGGTTGAAACAAAACTCCATCTCAATTTTCGACTTGCGCACAGATGGGGGTGTGTCTTGCTTCTTGACGAAGCAGATGTGTTTCTCGCCAAGCGAAACAAGACTGATCTGAGGCGGAATGCAGTCACCAGTGTCTTCTTGCGCAGCCTCGAGTACTATGCGGGGATTCTATTCCTTACCACCAATCGTGTTGGTGGAATTGATCCTGCCTTCAAGTCGAGGATTCACCTCAGCGTCTATTATCCTCGACTGGACCTCGATACGACCCTCAAATTGTACGAGAATTTGCTTCTCAGAGCCAAAGAAGAGCAACGAAAATCCGGCGTTGTCCAGTTTCAGATCAAGAACAAAGAGATTCTCAGTTTTGCCAAGCGTCACTACCGCGGGCTTCAGAAAGAAGGGTTTAATACTTGGAACGGCAGGTACGTACTTGCAAGCCCCTCTCGGAATCGCTGGATTTCTAACTGACCGAAAAAAAGACAAATTCGCAATGCATTCCAGACGACAATTGCACTTGTAGAGAACCAAGTTGCAAACCTTGGCGCTGGTCAGCCCAAGCCAGTCCTCGGGAAAGAGCAGTTCAAAGTGGTGGCTCAGGGCTCAAAGGAGTTCGACAGCTACCTCATAAGGACGCTCCAAGGTGCCGATGACGAGATAGCGATCAGGGATCAGTGGCGAGACGACCGCTTTGACGCTGAAGTGGCCCTTACTACATTGTCTGCATCCAAGTCGGGGCCGAAGCTATCCCGGGCTGCTATGTCACGGGGAAAGACCGTAAGAACTGACGAAAATTCAAGTGAGACAGAAAGCGAGAGTGAGAGTGAGAGCGAGAGTGAATGTGAGGATGAAGATGAAGACGATGATGACGGCAAGGCTGCTGGGGGGAAAGCGGGCCTTTCGATGGAAAAGGGCGAGCCGAAGGGAAGCTCTGAGAAGGCTTTCGATGTTGACGAGTACGAAGAGTTCCTAAAGTTCAAGGCGATGCTCAAGGCAAGAGGGAAGTAAGGTATTTTGGTAATGGATGTTGGTTGGAGGTGGAAGGTATCTCATTCAGTGTCTTCCGTAGACTTTATATCATTTGGCCCGGACTTGGAAATGCGACACGGTAATTATGTATTTCCTTGTGTCGTAAATTACAAACGCAAACGAGCAGTGTCACATGGTCAGTAGAGAAATAAATTTTCGGATAAGAAAATGTGAATTCCAAATCATTCCTTTACCCACAAAACTTGGTTAGTCGGTGTGAAGCCTTACCGACGACCAGGCGGAGCTACTCAGCCCCATCTGGAAGTCGCCACCGTTATGGATACAAAAGTGCAAGCGATAAAGAAGACAAAGTTTATTATACCTTGCTTCACGGTCTGAAGCCTAGGTCCATTTAGGTTACTTCTTGTCGAAGCAATCGCATCTACGAGCTCGCCAATGAAGTCCAACTTGATCCTGGACAGGCTGCCAAGACGGAGTGGCCGGACAAAATAAGACTCCAGCCTGGGCAAATCCAGGGTAGATACTGGAAAACAGAACTTGCGGTCGTGCGGTGTTGGCCAGCAACGACGAGGTTAGAGCAGCGAATCGAGCGAAAATGACTATCTATCAAGTATCGCGTGGTAATCATGATAAGGTTTTAAGTTCCGGCGCCCACTCTTGTTTGTGCCCCGATGCAGTAATTGTCGTTTTCTCATCAGCCCGACAGGGACGTTTGAATGACAAATTCGGGTAGCAGAGATCAAACAGCTTCCATAATCATCCCAACTTGAGTGTTCTATCCCACTCGGCCCAACTAATGCACCGGCGTCGATCGAGGCATTGGACAGCTTCTCAACTAAGCTTTGATTGCCATGTTTTGTTGTCCCGCACGCCGGGCCAGGGTCACAGTGGAGCGAGGCTGAGCACCCACATTGCGGAACCGACTTCACCCAATTCGATGGGCGAGCCCGCCTCGGTAAGTAACTTTAATCCGACCGTTATTCCACGGAGAATGGGGAATGGATGATTGGATGCGTTCCAGGACCGTTGCCTCGGATCGCTGAGATGCCGCTAGCTCTACTACTTAGTACCAAGGCCGGCGCGTGCGGAGGCCTCACGGGCCGAGCAATGTTTGAGAGTCGAGACCACGGCGTCTGCTGCGACAATCTCCCTGTCGACGTGTCTTATGTACATGTACCGTGCGTACGCTGCATTTAATGCACCGCTGGGCGCGTAGGAGTACTCCCAGCCCGTCAGCGCTGTCTCAAAAGGGCCAGCTCAGACATGAAGGCTCGGCATTTCTCTGCCGCGTTGGCGTTGGTCGGTTGCACGGCAAGCCTAAACGAAACGCCAACCGAATAAGATTGTCCGGGAGCGTCGAGGGGCGGCCGCCGTCTCGCGGGGTACGACAGGGAGGCTGTGTCAACAGTGTTTGGGGAGCTCGACGCCAGTGCAATTTGCGGCACCCCTGTTTGGGATGTGAGTGAGGCGAAGGATTGTTTTGGCTGAGTATGGCTGGGCGGTATGGGCTCCCATTGAGACTGGGCGGCTGTATGATGCGCGCTTCAATTGAAGGTGAAGTATAAAGAGGGAGGGTGTGAGCTTCAATGTCAGCTCGAATCATCATCTCAAATCATCATCTCAAGCCACCACTCCTCTTTCATTCACAAGCAATTATACCCGAGCATTCAGCGAATCAGCTCCCAATTACACCAATTCCCCTCTCATAAATCAACCAAAATGCACACCACTTCACTCATCACTCTGTCTGCCCTGGCGTCAGCCGCCGCGGCTGCTAACCACGTCGTCAAGGTTGGCGATGGCGGACTCAAATTCTCCCCCGAATCGACGACTGCTGCTGTTGGCGACACCGTCGAGTTCCATTTCTACCCCATGGCGCACTCCGTCGCCCAGAGCAGCTTCGCCACGCCTTGCGAACCTCTCAACTCCACAAGCTTCTTCAGCGGTCCCGTTGCAGTGTCCAGCGGAGTCAGCGACACCGTCTTCACTGTGACGGTTGAGAACGAGACCCCCATCTGGTTTTACTGCGCTACTGGAGACCATTGCCAAGAGGGAATGGTTGGCGCCATCAACGCGGCGTAAGTTTTACAAGAATCTTCCCAACGCTGGAATCTCCCCAACACTGGATGACATCACTAACATTCCGGCGATAGTACGAGTGGAGATAAAACCGTCGAGAAGTTTGCCGCAGCCGCAGCCAAGGCGTCCGACAATGTCGCCCCTAGCTCGACTGGCGGCGGCACGCTCGGTGACGCTTCTACGGCCACCGCCTCTGGCTCCAGCTCTGCGACCAGCGCTGCTTCCAGCTCAACGGCGAGCGCCGGTTCCAATGCCGGCCTCGAGGCGCGGGGAGAGATCCGATGGGGATTGATGAGCGCCGGTCTTGCCATGGCCGGGTTTGTCGCTGGGTTCATGATTTAAGCAAAAGCCAATCACCTGCGGACATAATAGGAGGGATTGTAACGGAAATTGTACACAAGGGCCTAGGAATATGGGAGCGCAATGTGACAACACTTAGAAGCAAGCAATGACAGGACAAGAACACGAATTCGTGTGCATAATCATCTCTGTTCAATCTCACCTGCGTCATAGTGATCATGAGTGTAACAATCTGACATGCAGAGATTGGGCTCAACAATTTATTATTAGCCCTACCGCCTAAAGACAATGGGCGTTTTCTTGCACTTCTATTTTCGTTGCACCAATCTCATGAGAATAACAACAGCGCGTTGTTGGGGCAAAAGATCCTTGCATCATACTGCATCTGCACAGCCACAGCGCCAGATAAAGAAATGCCGCGCATGCGTCGACTATTGCTACCTAATCTCACCTCTGCAGCCTCACGAAAGTTGTCAGAGCAGCAAGCAAAATGGATCCCCTTAGTGTGGCCGGGCTTGGAATAGGCGTGGTGTCTTTGACATTTGAGCTCTTCTCGATATGTGTCAAAGGTTAGTGCTCTGTCTCCACACATGGCGTCCAGGACTATACTCAATCTAGGCAGGCTACAATCTACTCCTCGAGGCTGAGGGGATGCCCAAGTCATGCCAGTATCTTCATGTGCGGCTTGCAATGGAGAAGGAGAAGCTTCTTGGATGGGCACTTCTCACCAAAATCTCGGAGGGCGACACGGCAGCTGGGCCTGCACTGAGGTTCAACAGGCATACCGTAATTGACGCACTACGCGAGACCCAGATCCTATTGTTTGACGCATCACGACTTGATAGGCGCTACAAACTGAAAATTACAGTATCGACTGATAAGTCGCCGCCTGAAACGGAGGTCATTCAGGTTGTGGGAGACAAGGTTTGTTTAGATGAGCGACTCCTAAGCCTACGTGCCATTCTGAACAATCATTTAGACTCTTCGAAACGAGTACTTGGTACTTCAGCAAAAAGCGCTTGATTTTGTCTCAAAGACTCGAAAATACCCAAAGAAGCTTCAATGGGCGTCCTTTGACAAGGCCAATTTCGAAGACCTTCTCTCCAACTTGAGGATTCTCAATGATGACATGATGGGCTTTCTAGAGGCATACGAGCGGAAGCGCCATTTCCAGATGCAGGAGGCTACCTTTATGCAAATCCTCCAAGTCAATAACCGAATGGATAACCTCGTCGAGTTGCTCCATTCGTTGAAGGATACGGCGGCTGAGGACGCGAAAGATGGCCAGGGCAGCAACCTCGACCAACGCGCCTACGAGAACCGGCTTATCCGTCTTACCCGATTCAAGGCAGTAAGCATCGCGATAGAAAATTCAACTACCCACATCAGCGAGCCTGAAGCCCGTTCGATCCTTGACAACGCGATGGCCGGTGCCGAATTGTCGCTCGGAAAGCTGACACAAATTGCTCCTGATGACGATGACGAGCAGGGCCAGCGCTCTCATGGATTATACGATAAAACCCCAGTTTGGGTAGAGTGGAGGTACTACGAGGGCGAGGGTGAAGACGAAGAGCCTCCTGCGTTCATCGTGCAAAGAATATCCAAGTTGGCAAAACTTCTCCGCGAGGGAATGAAGCCGGCCGAGTTCCTCGTCCCCGACTGTCTTGGATATATCCACCAACAGTCTCACTGCCGATTTGGCTTTGTCTACAAAAGCATGGAGTCACTTGGCAGAAATCTACCTATTTGCTTGTCCGAACTGCTGTCGACCGTCAAGAAGCCGTCACTCACGACTCGAGTCCGGATCGCTCACGCGGTAGCGAACTCTATCTGGTATCTGCATGCCACCAACTGGCTTCACAAAGGATTGAGGAGTGAGAACATCGTATTCCAGGATTGGATGCAGATCCGCAAAGCGACGCCATTCCTATGCGGCTTCGACTACTCGCGACCATCCGCCGTCGGCGAGGAAACGGAGCAACCGTCTCATGATCCGCTACACGAAATGTATCGCCACCCCGAAATTCAGTTCGACGTTCCCAGAGATGGCCGCGCCGGTTTCCAGAAGGTGCATGACATTTATAGTCTTGGCGTGGTGATGTTTGAGATCGGAGTTTGGATGCCAGTCTACGGTATCCTTGGCATCGATATTGCGAAGCCAATCAAAGCTTCCATGGTCAAAAGCGTCCAGTCAAGTCTTCTGCAAAAAGACAACTTGGATTTACTTGAGTCAGAGGCTGGAGATGTGTTTGCTGACGCGGTCAAGGTGTGTCTGGATGGAACACTGGCGCCTAGCAAGACACTTCAAAGGTTTGAAGCTGACAGCCAATTGCAACTAGCTTTCGGGGAGCACATTATTAAAAACCTGGAAAGAATTTGTATTTAGTCATATGCGAATGATTATAGTATTGCTTTGATGAGCAGCTTGAGAGACCTTTGAAACCTGGTGGAATATATACCCACTACTAGAAGACGTAAGTTGATATATCTACAGTTTTAACATATTGCGTTGGACAAAAAGAACCATGCGGTGATTGGAAGATGAGCCAAGGCAGAAATCGAGCATAAAACCCGGTTCTGCTTACGGATGGGCTCTGGCGGCTGCATCAAATCAGCCTCAGATTCAGCCCCGCTGGAAATCCTCTCAACTCCCTCAACACCCGAGCAACGTCACTCACTCATCCGCATGCGCGACCGCGCGGCTTAGAACCCGGATACTCGCGACTCAAAGTCACATGGCAAAGGCGTCTTCTGAACTAAGGACCTACTCGCTCAATAAGAGACATTGGCCAACACTCCCATCCGTTACATCGGCCACTTGCGAGGGCTCCGATACCTCCCCTCAACTTGGTTGGCAACCCACTCAGAGGTATCCCAAGCACACCAAACAAAAATGCCAACAGACAAGGGAAGAGGATATGCCATCGGCATCGACCTCGGAACGGAAAACACACGTGTCGCTGTCTTCCGTGACGACAGAGTTGAGATCATCCCCGATGAAGAAGGCCGTCGAAGCATGCCATCTTACGTCGCATTTACCGAAAGAGGGCGCCTGATCGGCTCACCTGCAAAATCAAGGATTACTCTGAACCCAGAAAACACCATCCATGGAATGACCCGTTTTCTGCCGCTTGGCTTCCGCGCTCTGCAACATGGTTTCCATGGGCAACCTCTGGCTGGTGATAAGCTGCCTCTTCCTTTCCATGTATCTGAACAAGCCAGAGGAGTTGTCATCGAGGTAGACTACTTGAACGAAAGAAGGAGTTTCACACCGGTGGAAATCTTGGCCATGATTCTTTCCAAAGCCAAGCGGAATGCCGAGGCATACCTAGGATGCGAGGTGCGAGGTGCTGTATTAAGTGTGCCGGTCTTTTTTTCTATGCACCAACGCTACATGATGGTTGAAGCTGCGATAATCGCTGATCTGAGGGTCATGAAAGTCGTGCTTGCACCTTGTGCAGTTGCCAATACGTGGGCGTTGCACAGTTTGACGTCTCGGAAAGAGGAACACAACATTGTCATCTTCGATTTGGGTGCCAGGTCTCTCAGTATCGCCGTCGCCACGGTAGAAGAGGGCCTCATACATAACAAAGCAGTTTCAAGCAACTGGTGGATTGGTGGAGACCATTTACTTAACGTCCTTGTTCTTGAGATGGTCAACGAAATCAAACAAGCATGGGGAGAAGACGTCACAAAGAATAAGCGAGCCTTCCAACGACTTCGAAAGGCTTGCGAGGGTGTCATCTGCGCACTCTCATCGGCCACATTCGCATCCATCGATATCGATTCCCTGTTAGATGGGCGCGACTTCTCCCATGGAATTTCAAGGGGCAAATTCGCGTCGCTTTGTGAGCCCATCCTGGAAGGCATGGAAGAGTCACTTGGTGATGCACTCAGAAATGCACGGGTGGATAAACACGATGTTCACAATGTCATCCTTGCCGGTGGCTCGTCTCGCATTCCCCATGTCCAAGGAAAGCTAATAGACTTCTTTCAAGGCAAAGATCTAACCAAGTCCCTCAATCCCGAAGAGGCCGGAGTCTCTGGCCTTGCTATCCGTGCTGCTATGTTTTACGGGGATACAACCAACAAGTCCATCCATGAGATGCTGCCCTTGCCAGTGTTCCCTACAAGTATTGGGATCGAGCTTCTTGATGGCTCTGTCGTCGGGGATATTGTGTCACACAATACCACTATTCCCACCAGAAAGCAGGAGTGCGTTCAAGTGTACAGACATGTCAAAACAGTGGGCGTGGTCGAGAGACTGCAGCAAGGCTCCGAGGACACCATAGTTCTTGCCACAATCGACATTGGGAGTTTAAAGCTCCCCACAGACGACCTCTGGATCGAACTAGAATGTACCATCGATATCGATATACAGACGTTTCGTGGATCATGCACCGTCAGGAAGAAAGGCCACAATTCGTCCATCACGGCACAGCTGGGCCTCGAAGACCGCCTCCCATTGACGGAATTGGAAAGGCTGAAAAGCGTCGCGGATATTGCTCACAAAGCGGATGAATTGGAGGCCAGAAGAGTCATCGATCGGAATTTACTTGATGCGCGGATAGCATCACTTCTTGAGGCTATTGGTGAATTGGAATTGAGCAAGCGATCGAAGAAACTTCTCCTTTGGTTGAAGCGAATCAGATTTCAGGCCGACGAAATCCCATTCACGGCAGTCGATGAGATGCTGCAAATAACCCACAAACTTGATGAAGTGGAGGACCAGCTGGCAGTCCTGCGATGGAATGACCCGGAGGCCACAAGACTTACGTTCCGCAGCCTGTTAGAATCCAAGATTGAGTCGCTTCTTGAGTCTGCCGTCAAATTGGAGCCAACTCAGAAAACTGAATCCTTTGTGGTGAAGCTTGGAAACATACGACGATGGCTAGATGAGAGTCAACTTATTACAGTCGCTGATCGGCAGCGTGTAAAACCCACGTTTGACGCAGTCGAACGAGAACTGGCAGTCCTCCAGCAATCACAGCCATTGCGGAACGCAGTTAAAGAGAGGCTTCTTCACGTTCAAGGGACCTTACAAGTGACCAAGCAAAATCCCGAGGTCATGTCGTTTCTTGGTGAAATCGAAGACATGTCAGCCGAACTCGGCCAGTTCGCCTTTGATGAGCCAGATGCATATAATCAGAAACTAACAAGACTGGACGAAATCTCCCAGTCCATTTGTGTTGGTATGGATGGTCCAGACAACGGTGGCAAATACAAGCAATTGGAGTGGAGGCCGGTCTCTGATACTCCGTCTCCTCGGCTACAAGCTCGCCTTCAGGAAACCCAAGAGGCTGGCAGGGAAGACGATGGACAAGAGGATATTACTATTCTTGCAAGCAAAGTGAATCATACACTAGTCCTACCTGCCTCCACGGGACCAACAGAGGAAATTTCCGCTTCAGCGAAGGCTTCAGCCCAGTTGGACCCGAAGGATGAACATCAAGGAATAGACAGTTTATTCTCCACGTCGACCGCGCCAGCCGAGCTTGGATTCAAGGATGCCGATTTCGAGCGGATCTCGGTATTTCTACGCAACACTGGTCAAGCCACGGAAAGTAACGCCCCAAGACTTTACACAGTATTGCGCTTGATTGATCAACTCGATACCTTTGATGCTTTCATGAAAAAGGGAATTACCGACATGTGGTTCCCTTTTACTGCGACGACGTTGCCGTCGAGTTTCAAGCCATCGGCTCGGTCTCAGTTTCTTGACATTCAATCGGTCGTCTTCTCGAAGGGTTTCAAGCTGGAGAAGGGCTCCAATCGCAAGCATGCCCACTTCTCCCAAAACGACGTGGTGCCATTCAAATCCATCGCAAAGCTCGGCATCGGAGCGCATGGTGTGGTGGATAAAGTCATGAGCACGACCACGCATCGGGAATACGCGAGGAAACTGTTTCGGAGAGTCAAGGGCCTGAGACCTCAGGATGTGAAAACATTCATCACCGAGTTAACCGTCCTCAAGCGGGTAGATCATAAGCACTGCGTGGAACTCGTAAGCCGCATCCTCACCTCGCACCAAGATGGGCACGGTTGCTGATTAGTTGCAGGTGGCGAGTTATTCCGACCCGAAGTTCTTTGCCCTCCTTATGGAGCCGGTGGGAGATTATAATCTTGCAAAATACTACGATGAGGCAAAGAACAACGCCGACAAGTTGTCGCTGCTTCGAAGTTTCTTTGGCTGCCTCGCAAACGCCGTACAGTACCTACACAACGAGAGGATCCGACACCGAGATATAAAGCCGCAGAATATCATTGTAAAAGGCGACTGTGTGCTCCTCACTGATTTCGGTATCGCCTTCAATTGGGAGAATCTCACTCGCGGAACAACAACGGCAGACTCAGGCAAGACACTCGCATACGCGGCACCGGAGGTTGTGCGAGTTGAGTCACGGAACGAGGCAGCTGATACTTGGTCTCTCGGCTGTGTGTTTTTAGAGATGGTCACAGTTCTCAAAGGCAAGACCGTCGAGGACATGCGGCGCCTTTTCCGAGCACACAGCGAAAACCACTACTTTCACGCAAATCACGAGGGGATACTCGAGTGGATGGAGCAGTTGCAGGGCTGTGCTCCGACAACTGACAATCCCGTGCTAGGATGGGTCAAGAGCATGCTCCAGCCTGACCAAGCAGCTCGCCCTACGGCAGCAGAGTTGACGGAGGACATCGTGGAAGTATCAACGCGGTGCACGGTCTTGTTCTGCGGATCATGCTGCCATCAGGGCGCTGATTCTTCGACAGAGAATGAGGATGACGGACATTTGTGGGAAGACAGCGATGATTGAGAAGTAATGTAAGAATGAAGGGCTTGAGTTTTCCGCTGATGGGCGGTTGAGGTGTAAATCACGCCGCTACTAGGCAGCGTATTAGGGAGTGTGACACTAGCCAAGATGTAGTGTTCGTGAATGCAGTCCTTTCACCCGTGCCATCCGAATGATGAGTTATTTAGTAGTCACCTCGGCTTATTATCACAGGCCTCTCGACGGTGTCTTTTCACCGTTACTAATCGAACTAGCGAATGTTGTAACACTAACTTCGCGATTCGGTCTTAACTGATGTGTACACGAGCCCAACGGTATCAATGACATACTCCTGTTCAGAGCTTGTTATATCGTATAGGTAATTGGCAGATTATTTTTAGATCTCCTCCAGGGCTCTTATTTTAATATGTAAAAGTAATAATTGGCCGGCCTAGATTTTGACAATTTTGTTCTTCGTCTATATATCGTAAAGCTTATTAGCAGTAGCCTTTATAACTTCAGTAAATTAATTAGTTAATTAGTTAATTAGTTTGCAACCCTGCTAACAACTACAGCAAGACTTTAAACGGAGAAATATTAGTGACTATAGTTGTTGTATGTCACTTAGTAAAAATTGGGGGCTTAAGATAATCAGCGCATCATTCTTCAGAGGCTACCAGTGACAGAATATGAGCTGAGTATAAGTCAATGAGTTATAACCTAGGAATTCACCGGTCAACCAATCTTGGTAGACTTGACTTCACTAATTCACCGCCACTCTCGCCTTTCATTAAACCAGATATGTCTCCATTTTCCCCGTTGGCTTGCCGGTTTTAATCTTTGTAAAAGTCCGCAAGGCCATTGGGATGTTTTTCTAGAAGCCGAAGCATCTCTTCTCTAACTCTGCACCCAGGTCAATAACAAGGATTAGGCTGTTAGGGTGAGAGATTCACCTGTGAAGCAACGATACCCATTGCGGCCACATTCCTGCGGTGAGGAGGTCGTTGCGCCTGAACTCATAAGCCAAGGATCGGCGACACTATTTTTGAGACATACATAGAATACAGTGCGCTGCGATCATCAAAATCCTTCCGAGGCTCAGAAGCGCCAACCTCTTCCTTATAGAGATGCAAGAACTCCAATCCAATGGCGTATCGCGGGTCTCTCATGCATTGCAAATCCACTAGAGTGAATATTAGTAAACACGTGCACCGGCTAGGTGAAAGTCACTGCACCAACTTTCATTGTGCCCATAGAAACAGCAAGCGTCAAAGATGATCGGCTGGTTGCTGTCAACATCTATTTGGATATTCCCATCCCAAAGATCGCCATGACACAAAGTAGGCTTGAGGCTCCTGCCATCGGTTTGTAACGGTCGCAGCAGTCTCGGAATGACCGTTGAGATGAACTTTTCAGCAACCTTGGCGAGCTCAGCGTCTTCGCCCCGATTACGTTGCGCGTATGCCAGGTTGGAGCGGAACTCTCTCGTAAAGAATTCCTCCCAGCTCTCGCACCAGTCATTGATCATGGGTGAAACACCATAGAAGGTTGTGACATGGAATCCGAATTTACCGGTCGGTGAAGTTGAAGACTGATGCAGTTTCTTCAGAATAGATAAAAACTGAACGAGGGGAGGCGAGCAGTCCTGAAGGTTATGAAAATTTGTGAGGAAGAAGGCTTTGGACTGGTCCTGTTCGAATGTCCCCCAGGCGAGTGGATGCACGACGTTGTCGGGGATATATGACGCTAGAGCGCTCTGTCCCTCATATTCGCCCTCAGCCATTTCGGCGGCTTTCTCTCGTTCGATGATCTGTGGCTTCAGTGTGAGCTAGTCTTATTTATCCATCATAGAATATATGTAAACAGTGTACTTACTTTAACGAAATATGGGCTCTCCTCTCCGTTAACCTCTGTGTCTATTCGTAGACCCTTGGACCACTGAATACCGCGAGTCATCAGTATACGTTATTGCATACAGAAAGCAACGCCCTTGTAGTTTGAAAGTCGAAAGCTCGTGTTATTTCAGCAGCATTTGATTATCCTACATTCTTATTGCCATGTTGGGCAATGGAAACAATTTCGCTGTCGGGAGGAAGAGCTGACGGCGTCGAATAGCATCCCTCAGGTCCCGTTAATCCATAAGATAGGCCAAGGGGTTTGGCTCACCGGCGATAATTGCGGGGTCCAAAACTTCAGTGCTCATTTTGCGACAGTTTGCGAAGCGAAGAGACTCTCACTTTCGTTGTTGTGCAGCAATCTGAGGGGTCGCTAGAACCTGATGTCGATTAAAACCTGATGTCGATTGGAACTAGATTACTAGAATGCGGAGAATTAGGCTTTGAGAGAAGCCGTTATCCAGTGGAATCCTTTTATCTGTGCCTGAGGCGCGTCTTGCCAGCTTACTGTCACGGTTGGTGCGGAGGAATGAGATGCGACAAAGAGAGTGAATTGTGCGTGTGTTTGAGATCCCGACTTAAGGGGCTATATATACTTCTATATACTTTAATGACTAGGGCAGAATAGGTGTAGGGCGCAGAACTCTTAGGAATGTGTACTGAAAGGAAAACCTTACAGCTAAGGGAGGGCCTTGACGTCTGAGGCGTACCCACATTCCTGTGACATTTACATACTGATGCCCGATTGGCCCAACTTGTGTGACCGACCAACACGTAACCGGGTGAGGCTGAGGCTACGGCTACGGCTAACCAGAAATTGATTCCATCTTGAATCCAAAATATGTCACTGCACCCGCGATGCCGGTATACTTTAATTCCCCCATGAATGATCGTCCCCAGGCTGACTCTAGCACCTTGACAGATTTTCCACCGCGACCACGACCGGCAAAAGCCCGGTGTCGCCAGCGACATTTCGTCCAACTTGGACCGGAGCGGGGGTGCTTCCATCGAACCGAGATCCCCCTCTCCCGGTTGCAAGCTGAGCTCTGATGCACTGCCTTCAGACACCGGTACGGCCAAAAACGATGTTACATTGCAGCCAAGCCCCGTCACCAAGAAGCCCTTCACCAGTCCGTGGGCTCAGAAGAGACCAAGCAGCGACGACGAAAACGGCACCAAGTCCCGGGGGCCACTAGGACTGCGTCTTTTGCATTCGTCCCCCGAGCCGCTGATGGACTTGATATTTGTCCATGGATTGCGTGGCGGGTCTGTAAAAACATGGCAGAAAGGAAAGGACCCTCGTTTCTTCTGGCCCCAGTTCTGGTTGCCCATGGAGCCGGAGTTCAACAACGTGAACATCCATAGCTTTGGGTACGATGCAGACTGGGCAAGTAGCAAGGCCAGCATCCTCAACGTGCATGACTTCGGCCAGTCTCTTCTAGAAGAGATGAGAAACTCCCCTTCTTTGATAAACAACTCCAGTGTGAGTTCGGAGATATTTGCACCTCGCAATGAGAGTCTGTGGCTTATTGGTTTCTAAAGGCACCAATTGTCCTACTTGGACACTCCATGGGGGGTCTTGTAATCAAGAAGGTACGTGAATTGACCGGAATCAACTGCTGGCCAATTAAGGTCTAATCACTAGATGCATTGCCATAGGCCTTTGTTCTATCTAAGGAGGTCTCGGAGTTCCGAGATCGCATCCGGTGTATCTTCTTCCTCGCCACACCACATCGAGGTTCCAATTACGCCGCAATGTTAAACAACATTCTCACAGTCTCCGGAGTCATGTCCTCACGGCCCTACATATCCGATCTAACGACTAGCTCAACCTCCGCTCAGCGTATCAACGATGACTTTGTAAAGTACGCAAACGACTTGACGATATTCTCATTTTATGAAACGCTTCCTATGAGCATCCGTATTTCATCGCGGATAATAGTTGAGAAGAATTCAGCAATTTTAGGTTAGATTGCTCAAGCTCGTTGCCAAATCGTGTTAGTACAGAGCTAAACAGTTGCTTCACGGGGCCAGGATGCAGTAATGAAAGAGTTCAGTATCTCAACGCGAGTCACAAGGATATTTGCAAATTCGACGGCCGAGAGGATCCAAACTACGTCACTTTAAAGAACGCCCTGGCTGGCGCATTGCAAATCTTGCTTCAGGGTGGTACGCATATCTTGGACCTAGGTTTCAATAATACTAATATAACATGCAGTCTCAATGACCGAGAAAGAAAAGGCAGCGGAGCAAATGAAACTTCTCGAGCCATATCTTGGCATATCAGATCTACCCGACGAGCAGTACCACAAGGTCGAGGGCTCTTGTCGATGGATCGACTCTCGAGATGACTTCCAAGACTGGAGAGATTCCGCCGCCGACATCATTACTGTGGAGAAAGAAGAGGCAGAGGCAACCAAGAACAACCCCTCAATATATTGGGTCCGCGCCAACCCAGGTACAGGCAAAACCTACCTCGCCTCTCATGTCATTGCAGAACTCCAGAACTCTCGGTTGGAGTGTGCTTATCATTACTTTCATGTCGGAAACGAGAACTCGCGCTCGCTTGGGGGTTGCTTACGGTCCATAGCCTACCAGATGGCCATATCTAATGCGGCAGTCAGAGAGAAGTTATCAAGGTTACGTGATGATGGGTCCACATTTGACAAGGACGATTCTCTCACCATCTGGAATATGATCTTCAAAAAGAGCATCTTCCAGGTACGTTTATGGCTCAATCAAGATCAATGTAGGTTCAGTGGCTAATTTCTCAGGCTTGCGTTACATCGACTCAGTACTGGGTAGTTGACGCCCTCGACGAGTGTTTCAAGTATCAGGAGTTCTTCTCCATGCTGAAGGGGGCGAACCCAAGCTTTCCGCTGCGAATATTCATCACGAGTCGCGAAGTCTCTGACTTTCAACGGCTCTATCGCCCTCTAGAAGCATCTGCATGTCTTACATGCATCGAGATACCCGAGAAAGATAGTATTAGCGATATTGAGTGCTACATTGAGAGTCGTATCGAGAACCTACCCATCGACACCATTGCGGACAAAAAGGAGCTGAAAATCAAAGTGCTCCGACGTTCGAATGCTTCATTCCTGTGGGTGCGACTTGTTCTAGACGAACTCGAACAGGTGTACTCCAAGGAGAGCATTCTACAAGTCCTTGAAGGTATCCCGGAAGGGATGGTACCGTACTATGAGAGAACAACAGGAGCAATGGCAGAAAACAAATTAGAGAAGCACATCGCCAAGGCCGTGCTTGTCTGGGTCGTGGCGGCTTGTCGAAAAATGACGATATCGGAGCTATCGAACGCGTTGAAGCTAGACATCAACACCATCCTGCCAAGCGCCAAAAGCGCCGTCACAGGACTCTGTGGTCAGCTCGTATCCATCGACAGGGTCTCCGACGTGGTCGATGTCATTCATCCTACAGCCCGCGAGTTCCTCTTATCTCCAGACGCTGGGGAATTCACCGTCTCAAGTCCGAATGCACATGAAAGGATTGCATTGACATGCTTGCAACTTCTTTCCTCCAATGAACTGCAACCGCCAAAGAATAGGAGGTTTCCATCGCCCCATCAAAGGCAGGATGAACCATCACCGTTCCTCGATTACGCGCTCACGCAGTTTTCGGAACATATCAATAGCGCGTTGGCCGAGCCTGATGAATTACTCCTTGCGTTGGATCTCTTCTTTAGGTCGACTGCATTGTCCTGGATAGACAGAGTCGCTCGAAAAGGCGATTTGCACTGCCTCATTCGAACATCTAAAAACTTGAAGGCTTACGTAGATCGAAGAGTTAAGCACCACTCTCCGCTCAGCGGCCAGATCAAGAACATATATGGCTGGTCAGTAGATTTGAGCAGGTTGGTGGCCAAGTTTGGAGCTGCTCTTATTGAAAATCCTTCGTCAATCTACTCTCTCATCCCCCCTCTTTGCCCATCACAGTCGGCCATATACCAACAGTTTAGAAGAATGCCAGACGGTCTGACGGTAGTTGGGTTTAAGAGCGAGACTTGGGATGACTGTGTTGCCTCTGTCAGCTTTGGGGACGATGTCGCTGTAGCTATTTCATGTGGCGAGAACCTCATCGCTGTGGGTATGGAATCCAACGACGTTGGGTTGTACAACCAGCGAAGTTGTCAAAAAGAGGGCGTTCTCCATGTGAAGCATCCGGTTGACTTGGTCCATTTCGCCGACAGCTTTATTGCGGCCTGCACTACCAGGACAATAACTCTCCAGGACCTCAACGGAAACACTATTTGGGAGACTCGGTTGAGATTCCGCTGCATACTTCTTACATCTTCTGCAAACACTATCATCGCAGTCTCTCAACATGGCCATATTCTGACATGGGATATGAAGAGTGGCGAGCTCTTGGATGACCAGACCATCGCGTATAGACACTTTGACAGCGATACTGAGCAGAGCGTGCCTGCCGCCAGGGCGCCATCACTAGCTTCCATCTCACCGGATATGGAAACTCTGGCCCTCGGGTACAGGGGTGGTGCGGTATGTCTTTGGGATCTCGGTAGTGGCGATCTTGTCGGTTGGGCGCGAGACGAGGAAGACAGACTCGCTGCTAAGCTCTTGTTCAATCCGAACCCGGATGCCAATCTCCTCCTCGTCATCTATACTAATCACGACCTCTCACTTTACGACACCTGGTCGGGGAGCCTGGTCAGCACTCACAAGACTTCCAACGACGTCGGCCTGCTATCGGCGTCCTGTTCCCCGGATGGCCGAACCCTCGCCACAACCGATATGCAGGGCAACATGCAGATCTGGGACTTTAGCTCACTCAGCCTCCTCTATCACGTTTTATCTCCGTTTCCCTCTTTCCGGATCCTCAATTTCACCTCCGACGGGTCAAGCATAGTGGATGTGATGGATTCAGGCATGCGCATCTGGTCTCCGGCAGCCCTCGTCCGCAAAAACTTCGAGGAGGATAACAGCGTCAGCGACGACGCGCCGAATCTTCCAGTCATTGAGGGGCAGTACGAATCGCTGCGGACGTCGCGCATAACTGCTCTTTGTTCTCATCCCTCCCTACCAGCCGTCTTTGCCGGGAAGTACAATGGCGAAGTCCTGGCCTTCAACACGCGCACAGGGCAACGGACATCGGTGCTCTATTCGCACTCTTCAGCATCCTTCATCACGGAATTGGCCGTCAGCAGAGACAACATTATAGCGTCAAGCGATGTGAGCGGCGCTTTGCAGGTCTGGAAGCTTGTACCAGGTCCATCGTCGTCCCTAAAAGGCGGCAGCCTCTTGCTTCGACGGCCACCAACGACGCAAATAAGGCAGCTGTGCTTCAGCGCAAATGGATCCTTCTTGCTCGTGGCAACAACTCTCTCGGATCATGTCTACAATATGAAGGATGGATCTTACATTGGATCCCTTCACTTTGAAGTTCACGAAAGAGGGATCTGGCGATGGTTATCAGTGCCTGAGCAGGAGACTACTGAGCAGTTCTCCTTGATAAATGATCGCACATTGAGGAGATATGACGCCCAAAATTTCCCTAACCAGAGCGAAAGTTCCGATATATTGCTGGATTACAGACTACCTGAGGATAGCAAAGGGACCAATATCGACATGGCGGTCGTGCACCCGAGCAGTCGTACTCTGGTCCTCGAAATGAGATATGACTTGGGCAATGCTTCATGTTCGATTTCCTTCCTGTTCAATCTGAGCCTTGCAACATCTGAGTCGAACATCAAGACATTATTGGCGTCCCATGATGTCTTTTCCAGCCATTGCAAGCATTTCATGGGATTCAGCCACCAGGCGCCTCACTTCGTCTTTCTGCATCGAAACTCATGGCTATCCAGCTGCAGCCTCGAGGATTTCGCACAAAACCGGCATTCGCAGCATTTTTTCGTGCCGGACGAGTACATCTCGACTAGCCACGAAGTTCTCCCGGTAAAGACAGCTGAGGACGATTTCGTTTTTTGTTTGCATGGTGAACTCGCTATTGTTAAGAACGGACGTAAATTCCAAGATGTAAAGGTATTTAAGTAGCGAGTTAGATTAATAGACCAAGAAACAATGACCAATAGGGACACAGCTGGGTGATCTCGTCGCTTAGTGTTACTGAGATTCCGCGTTGCTCACTCGTTCGCCAACTTCCGGAGTTCTAGAAATCACCAATTCGAGTATAGCGCTGTACTTGATGTAACCGATAATCTAGTTTTGCATCAATAGTCTTACAGAATTAATAAATCACTGCAAGTAGCCATAGTCAAGCACTAACGCGTCTGAGAATAAATGCTAAATAAATACAATATAAAATAATTACTTCTTCGTCTCCGGTGCCTCATCTGTCTCATGTGACACCTCTGGCATCCGAACCTCTGCCTCCTCGCCGCCAGTATAAGTTTCGAGGGGACCGATAGTAACCTGGGGGGCGTAAAAGGTCTTGCTCAGGTGCAGCTTTTCGGCGGGCACGAAGACGTCAAACCAGCGCGGAATGATAAATCCCAGGGCGATGATAGCCATAACGCAATGGGCGACGGCAAAGGCGAAAATGTGTAGTGGGTCTTGGCTCTTGGCCTTGAAGGCTGGGTACGCAAATGAGACCACAATGGCGAGAATTGGCGAAGAAACGTAGCGGAGGATTACGGGCCAGGCTACCGGAATGCTCCAGTTCTTGCCAGTCGCAATGACAACGTTTAGGTCGCGGCGAAGTTGATTACCCTGTGTCGAGTCAGCATGCACAAATCGGTAAAACTCATCAGGCAAAGGAAACGTACTGAATAGAATGCCAGCCACCAGACCTTGACCAAGACGGTATTCTTGCCCCAGAAACCCGGAGCTCCAGTATCGGGGGTCTTGGATATGAAAATGGCAACCACAGTGGACAAGACGAAGATACCGAAGCCTGTGCCGGCTCCCGCCTCAGGCCCTACTGCTTGGCCGACTGCTACGCCCAAAACCATTGCCAGGATGTATCCCAGGCTGTATACCAGATAGCCAATCGTTCCAACCTGGCCGCAAACATCCTTATACCGGTAGATGGTGGTGGAAGTAACCAACTCGGTCCAGACTGCGAATAGGAGAACAAGGTTGTTGGTCCAGGTATCAACTGCGTCGAGGAGGTAGAATCCAAACTCGGTACAGTATATCAGGGACAAGAGAAAGCTGACGACCATGACCCCGGTACAGACAAGTGGGCGGGAGGCACCGCGGGTCATGCGACAGTCCATGATGAGAGTGACCATAGACTCCACGAGAGCAAACGCAGAGCTGAGACCAAGAACAGCGAGGGTGAGGAAAAACAGCACGGCAAAGACGTTGGATCCGGGCATCTCGGCGAGCGCAAGCGGGTAGGTCAGGAAGCCAACGGTGAAAGTGCTGAGCGTGACGGATGGGTCGCCAGGCTCGTAGCCAAGGAAGCCGATGACGCCAAAAACGGCGAATCCGCCAATGATCTCATATAGGGAGTTGCAGCAGCCGATGATCAAAGAGTCCTGGACGGCGTTGGCGTACTTGGTGTTGTATGAGGCGTAGGAAGTGAAGTATCCGAAACCCACGCCGATGGAGAAGAAGATCTGGCCGCAAGCCGCCTGCCAGATACCTCCACTCGCAAGCTTGGAACCGTTCCACTCTGCAAAATAGTACTTGACACCCCTGGTGGCATTCTCCAGTGAGAGGGATCGTCCGAGAATGACGATGAGCATGACAACGGGAAGGCCCATGGTGAAATAAACAACGCGGCCAGTGGTGCCCACGCCCTTGAACATGCACATCCAGATAACAACCCACATAAATGCGCACCAGCCAACTGTCTCGCCGACCATTCCCGTGCTAGGATATTCGACATATCCAGACGAATCTAATGGGGCGATGGGATCCGGGTTGGCAATGACGTCTTCCATGTAAAACTCTCTGCCTCTGCCTTTCCACGGGAGTGGGCTCGTGAAAGAGACACGGAAGTAGTGCATGATCCAAGCGAGAATGGGGACGTAGTATGTTGCGACAATGTAACCGGTCATGACCACGGCGAGGCCTACACCTTTGGCGTGCTTGTTGATTCCGTGGAAGGCGACAACCACGCTGCCGCGGTAGGCTTGGCCGATACAGATTTCCAGGACAAGGGTCGGGATTCCGAGGAAGAAGAGGGCGATGAAGTAGGGAATGAACCACTGGAGGCCATTGTGCGCGAAGACGACGGATGGGTAACGGAGAAGGTTGCCGAGTCCAACAGCACCACCCTAGTATGCCGTGTTAGCAGACGACGACGATGGTTTTGCGATTGCATCGTTGAGGCGTGGGAGAAGTGATGGCTGGTGGATATTCCTGTCAACGTACCATTGCCGCAAGAACAAAGGAGGCCCGCGACGGCCATTTATCGCGGCCATCATCCTCCTTGGCCGCGTCTGGGGCAATCCAGTCGATGATTTTCTTGACGTTGATGCCCATGGTTGCAGCCGGTCAGAGGTGCTCCTCGGCTGTTGTTGTAGGTAGAACAAAACGATGAACGATGAACGATGAACGATGAACGATATCCAGAGGCCCCTCGCCTTAGCCGGGCGTGAAGTATATGACAGAAACAGGACTGATAAGAGGGGCGCGGAGTGAGAGTGATATCAACTACTGCGTTTCCGAGTCTTGTCTGGGCGGGCTTGGGTCGTATTTGAAAGGCTTGGGTCGTAATAGAAAGGCTTGGGTCCTGCCCCTTGGGTCAGCTCCCAAGGCTTCGATTCCCTGCTTCCAAGGCTCGCACCCACACCGTGTGATTTACAGCGGGGGTGGCGAGCAGTGTCGGGCTTGGCATCGCGACTGACGACGCTGAGATGCTGAGACGCTTCGAAAGAAGCGGTAATTCTGTGTCGATCGGGTGACGAATGCTGGCCGCGCTCAGGCTCAAGTGGTCTCACTGGTAACACGGTGAGCCGGTGTGGAGCCCCGGGGCACGGCGGCCGCGCTGCCGGGACCTGGGGAGAGCCCATTCTTACGCAACGGAATGACCTGGCGCATTTGCAATCTTGGGGAACATGGAGAAGCGAGAGGCCAAGGAATTTCTAGAACAATGGGGCTCCGGAAGCCAAGACGAGTTGCTCACGTGAGAGCTTGGCTTGGGGTTTGGCTCCGCTTGGCTCGACTTGGCGCTTCTCAGTTCTCACCATCAGCATTCTGCCAGGCCCGACGAGAGGCGGCCACGACTTCAACTTGAATGGCCACAATGAAACTCTGGTTGCGAGACACGTCCAAACACCTTCCTCTTTCAACGAGAGTCCTCGGCGCGTGCCGACGCCAGCCGCGACATGACGCCTCCTACGTCTATGGCACGGGTGGCATATCCTCCGCCAGCGCTCCCCGAGGTTTGTGTCCCCCCGAGTTTACCCTGGCAGCTTGAGACCAGTTTATTCGCGAAGCGCTATTTCGTTTAGTGCAATGCCCCTACCGCTAGGTTGAGCAGTAATCCCCTCTTTGAGCCAAGTTCAGTTGCTGCTGTCATATATATGTGTAGTGATAGAACAGACGACACGGCAACTGAATAAGCGGGGCGCTTCCTAAGACTGCTCCCGTATTCTGTCGCAGCCTCACATCTAGGAGAACCATGTTCTTACGGAGAAAATTATGATTTCGTGTATATAGCTAGAAGTCTTAGGTCTACATGTCTATATCAGAGCTAGCGCCGCCGACGAGTCATAAACTGGAACTACAACTGACGATGGCTGTGAGGCAACCACTTGGTTTGTTGCGGACTCAGTGATGATTGTTTCAACCGCCGCCTGCTCTACCACCGCTTGCTCCAAAATTGCCTGCTCCACCACCGCTTGCTCCACCACCGCCTGCTCCAAGATCGCCTGCTCTACCACCGCTTGCTCCACAATCGCCTGCTGCTCCAACACCTCCTGTTCGAACACTGGCTGCTCTACCACCGGCTCAACAAATGCTGAAGGGTGATATGGTTCCGACGCGTCGTATGCGGGTTGCTCCCACTCCAGAGGTTCGTACGCGAATGACGAGTGAGCTGGATGTTCAGATACCGGATGTTCAGATGCTGGCGGCTCAGAGGCTGGTGGTTCAGAGACTTGCTGTTCAGAGACGGGTTGGTCGGATGCTGGTTGATCGGATACCGTTTGGTCGGTTGCTGGTTGATCGGATACCGTTTGGTCGGATACAGGTTGGTCAGATACTGTTTGGTCGGATAGAGGTTGGTCAGATGCGGGCTGGTCAGATGCTGGTTCTTCATATGTCGGCTGTTCAAATACCGGCTGTTCGTAAGCCGGCTGCTCGTACGCCGGCTGTTCATATGCCGGCTGTTCAAATGCTTGCTGTTCAAATGCTTGCTGTTCAAATGCAGGTTGATCGTATGCGGGTTGTTCGTATGTTTGTTGCTCATATACCGGTTGTTCGTATGCTTGTTGCTCATATGCCTGTTGCTCGTATGCCGGTTGTTCGTATGCTGGCTGTTCGTATGCTGGTTGCTCGTATGCCGGTTGTTCGTACGCTGGTTGTTCGTATGCTGGCTGCTCATATGCTGATTGTTGCTCATATGCAGGCTGCTGGCTGTCACCTGCACTCTCTCCTCCACCACCGCCATCTCCACCATCTCCTCCACCAAAGTCTCCTCCACCAAAGTCTCCTCCCCCAAAGTCTCCTCCGGCATCTCCAAGGTCTCCAATCTCACCCACAAGCTCACCGCCGCCGACCAAAAGAGCAGCTCCGCCAACAAGGAGTCCCATCTTTTTCAAATTGCCCTTTGTCCCAAACTTGCCCATTTTCTTGCTCGCGGTCTTATAGCCCTGGCTCGTATACTTGGCTGCTGCCTTTGTTGCAGACATGAGCCCTGCCCCTGCCATATTCACAGCTGAAGGATTACCGGCTGCCACACTGGTTACTGGTTGGCCGCCTTGTACTGCCTTCTGGGTTGACTGCAGGGTGGACTTCAGCCCCGGGTTGTTCCACGTAGATAATCCCAGTGCCTCATGGATGTAGAGAGGAGCTGACTCTGGAGTTCGCACCTCCTTCCATCCACTCGGAAGTACAATGGTCGGTTTCTGCCATACGCTGGTATTTGTGCTGCGTTTGAAGTAGTATGGACGGCCGTCTGGAGCCTTGCTTTCTTCCCATCCAGGGAGCAATGCAGATTCCCCTGGCATGACCACTGGCTTGATGTGAGTTCTGAGCCCTGTGGAATTATGCGCGTACCATGTTCTTCCGGCAAAGTTCCTACGGAGAGTCCAGAGGTTTGCCGGGATGGTCTTGTCAGAGATCTGGATGCATTGATCTGAGTCTCCTGCAAAGTAGGACTTCTCATGCGCGTGTGAGGTAGCCGGGCTGGTCATGAAGCATGGAGGGCAGGAAATGGTTACAATTTCGGCAGTGCTGCAAATGAGACAGGTATGAGCAGAGACCATTGCCGCAATACCTATTCGAGATATTAGCATGCTATTTTGTTCATTTTACCATCATGCTTACCTTGCTTGCACCAGGTGCATTGCCGCAAGGGTGAACCGGCGGGATTGGGGACAACGGGATTCTGCCACGCCGGACTCGCCATCGTGCCAGGCGTACTAATAGTTGTAACAGGAGTTTGGGAACTAATACTACTGTTGATAGTCGCAGGGCTATTTTGCACAGACGAAACTGGTAGCGGACTGTTGGCATAAAGCGTTGCGCTCTGCGGTTGAGACACAAGGGCAGGATGTTGTTGTGTTTGCTGCCCAGGCACTGATGCGACAGGTTGGACGGCTCTTCGTCGGATTGGCATGTTGGAGGTATTCCCTAGTGCAGGCTGTAACGGTTGCTGGTTGACATACTGGATCTGCTGGGCTTGCTGGACATTTTGGTTCTGCTGGACATGCTGCTGAGTGTTTTGGGGCTGCTGCGCTTGGAGAGTCTGCTGTTGGTGCTGTTGCGTGTATTGAGGCTGATACTGGAGATGCTGGGTCTGTTGGAGATTCTGGTTTGGTTGTACTTGCTGCGTTTGCTGAACCTGCTGCTGTTGGAGACGTTGATTTTGCTGTGCTTGCTGAATTTGTTGGCCCTGCTGCTGAGTATACTGGACCTGCTGCTGGAGATTTTGGGCCTGCTGAGGAAGTTGATTCTGTTGTGCTAGCGGGGAATTCTGGGTTTGCTGTTGTTGAGGATACTGGATTTGCTGCTGCTGAGGCTGTTGATTTTGCTGTGCTTGCTGTTGCTGCTGCTGCTGCTGAGTGTACTGGGCCTGCTGCTGGAAATGCTGGGTCTGCTGAGGAAGCTGGTTCTGCTGTGCTAGTTGAGGATGCTGAATTTGTTGCTGCTGAGGACGTTGATTTTGCTGGACTTGCTGGACCTGCTGGACCTGCTGCTGTTGTGTGTACTGGGTCTGCTGCTGAGGGGATTGAAGGGTCGATGCGGCATAGACTGGCGACTGCTGCTGAGCAAAATGATTCGTCTGAACTTGCTGCTGCTGGGGAGTATGAAGCTGTTGCTGATGGGCTGAGCTAGCATAGACCGGCGATTGTTGGTGGTGCAACTGCTGAGCATATTGGGTATGCTGGATCTGAGGCGACTGCTGGGGTTGTTGAGATAGCTGCTGGGGCTGCTGGTGTTGGCTGAACTGAGCCTGTTGCTGGAGCGGCTGAGGACTCGGTGCAACATAGAAATTCTGTTGCGGCATCTGGGAAACAGGGCGAGAATGAGGTGGTTGTGCTCCAGGCGTTGAAACGGGAACCGGCTGGTGCATTTGGGTCTGCGCCTGCGGGGATTGACCTGGCTGGTATTGGGCCGGCTGGTAAGACATTGTTTTCAATTGGCACTGGCCAGTTGATGATCTCGTAGGGGCCAGGGAAAGCGGCGTGTCGTTGTATCGCAGAGAGCTCTCTTCTTACCACCTGTGTTCTCGTAGAGGCAGCCTAGACAAAGTTGTGGCGGAGGAGAACAGGCGGCTCGGCGCGGTGCTCGGCAGAAGAAGCTTGTTTTAGGAGCGTGTCAACCTGGTCACGCCTAACGAGGAGGGGCGCGTCGCAATCACCGCTTGTTCCGCTGCTGGCTAGCTAGCTAGCTGGTCTAGGCTAGGTATTAACATTGGTGCCCGATTTATGGGCCTTTGCAGTGCTTTTCAGCTTTCCTACAGGTCGTGTTTCTGCATGTACCACACCACTTGTGGTCCAGTCTTAGATGCGTGGCGCACTATCGATTTTAATCCGGTTAGCCAAGGCAGACTTCAATCTAGCCCATTGCGGAGCCAACCGGCTGCTTCGTCGAAGTGTAGAGATAGAATTAGGTAGGCCGATACTCTTTTAAATACTCTATCAAAAAGGTTTAATAAATTGAAAATCCACTTTGTAAATACAAGATGGAAGCTAGGACTTTCAGTCTCATAAAGCTCTCATTGGGGCGTGTTACTCACACCAATATTCCATGCATGAACCAATTGAAGAGCGTCCGAGCTGGGAAATCGTGTCACTATAGTATCAAGGCGGAAAGCGAAGACTAACATAAAATTTATATGAAACTAAAACCATGTGCCATGCTTCCCCTCGAATTGCAGTTGATGAAATGTGCGAGGATCAAACACTAGCCTCTTCAACTCCAAGTGGCAAAGAAAACACCTACCTCTGGAAAGCCGGAATTCTTCCATGCCAAAGGGGAAACGGCCTCTATTGACAACCAGGTCTCTGTGCCCATGAACCCTCGCCGTTTCTTGCCAGCTTTTTACCACAGCCTCTCCGAGTTGTAAGCTGGCACCAAATGTCCCGTTGTCGAGCAAAGTAATGCTCGGGCTATTGCCGTCTTTGATCGAGTAGCGGAATATGACTGCCGACTTTGATTGAATATCCCACAACTCCATGGTCTTGAGCTCGGGCATGTGCGATGCTGTCTGGCTCGCGTTGCAGAGAAAGCCATCGTTGATTCGTGCCTGATTAGGGCACTGTATGGTGGCCCTTAGTACTATGTACTGAAGTCTAGGCCATGTATATGGCTCTGAGATTTCGCTAGAGGATAGACTACCTTCGCAGGGCGGCCGATATAGAATGCCATGAGCAAGCCCAGCTTCCGTTGAGGCCAGCTCCGTTAGCTGCTGGCAAAGTGATCTTGCGAGTATCACCCCTCCCATATGATCATGGTGTTTCGCTTCACGAATGCCGAGATAATAATCGGCCTCGGGGGAGATGTACAGTTGTCTGAGTGTAGATGGAAGGTGTGGTAAGAGATGGTCTCGGTAATCTGGATAAGGAAAGATGACATTAGTTTCAGTATCCCATGACGCGAAACCAAATAAAAAGCGAAATTAACAATAGGCACATGAAGGCTTGAATCCAAACCTACCTTCTCGGCTCGATGCTTGAAGCGACGCGGTAGCATGCTTCACCCACTCATGTCGAAACATTTCGAGGCTTCGAAAGCTCTCCCGAAACATCTGGGTGAGGCTTTTAATCGAGATGGTCCGAAAGCATTGCCGACGAATTACAAATGCCTTGATAATGTCAACCTGTGGAAGCACCTTCTCTGATTCTCCAAAGTCGAGTGAGAGAGGCAATGTTCCCCGCAGCCTCATCTTGTCCTCGAGTGTTGGGCGGCGCCGACCCCAGTGCCGTCTCCGTCGCCCAGGTAGTCCATGTGGTAAGTCTTTTATCTTACTCATTGCTTTCATTCTTGCGACATGATAATCGGTATACCATTGCTCATCGTCCAAATCGGCCTCGGTGATAAATGGGTATTCATCTTCTAAACGAAAGTCTCGATAAACGTGCTGGTAGTCACTCGGAGAGTGAACACTCAGCTCCAAAGTCAGGCATTTCCGCCACGTGCTGCCGTTTGCATTTGATAGGATGTTCAACAGATCAAATAGGGCGCTGGTGAAGACAGAATTATTTCTTCACACAGTTAGAAATAGCGCAAATCTGAATAAATGGTGGGAATGCACGTACCTGACGACCGTGGCATCATCTTCCGCCGTTCGACAAACCGAACAGTCATAAGTGTCGAGCTTAATTCGAAGCCAGAGATAGCGAATATGTCTGAGCCTCCTTGCATTCTCTCCGTGCAATATATCTTTGAAGATAGGCAAGTTCGAAGGATCGATAACGAAGTTACGAAAGGTGATACCCTCAAAAAAAGCTTGCCATTCGCGTGATACGGTGGCGTACTGGGCCAATTTGGTGTAATTATGGCGTTGCTTTGCAGCATATCCAGCCGGATACCCAGCGACAATTTCCTCGAGGATACTAAGTCGTACCTCTGGGGGAATCTTTACCCAAGCCGTACTCATGATTAATAAAGAGTCGTTGGAGGGTATGAATTCAGTGTGGCCAGCCCAAGATTGCCGTCGTGTTGGGAGGAGATTTCTGGGGTCGAGGGTTGGCTTCTTGACTCGACAGGAGACAGATCGATATACATCAGCGTCAAGATAAAGTTTGCAAGAATGAGCTGTGAAGTTGGGAATGGGGACTCACAAGGGTGGTAAAAGTAAAATACAAATCAGCCCAATTGCGCTCTTGCTAAACCTTGTAGGGGTTTTATTATTATTCAGAGCCAACCTGTATGTCACAGTGTTACAATATTAGCAGGTTGTGCAGCCTTCAAGTAGTCTTAATATTGGTTCGTTGCTTGGCAGTCTTGTTGTGGAAATGGAGAGAGTAATGTATTTCATTCTCATAGTTATACCGTATCGGCTCAATAAATTGGCACTGTTCTTATGGACTAAAGCTAAGATATATAAGGCTTAGATTTCCTAAATCATTAGGTATAAAAAAGCCCGAAGGCAATAAGTAGGGGAAGGATTCGGGGCCAATTTACTGAGTCGATACGGTTGTCCCCCGAGTCTCTGCCCGTTTTATCCACCCCTGCAACCTCCACTTCGAAGTCCTTGCCTATCTACTCTCTTGCTGTAAATTTTGGTTTCTATGCTTTTTACCGTACCTAAATCTTAGAATCACAAGCGATAGAATTACCGATTTGGGTTGTCGAGGTAATTGAAGAAGATGTACGCACATATTCTATTGCAATATATTGTTACATTCGGACTTTGGTAGGACCCGGAATGTCAGAAACCTCGGACTTGGGCATACTCTGTCCTGAATTTGAACCTGGTCCAACTTGACCATTTCACTAAGTGGTGAAGCCATTCTGTGCTCAATGGTCCGACAGCGTTACTCAAAGGTCTAGTCTGAATTTCTCCACATCCATTCTTATATCTCATGGTCGGTTCACAAGTAGTATCTCGGGCGACCATCGGCTGACCTGTGATGGACCTTTTCCCAATCTTAACAGCCTGCTCTACAAAATGGTGATGAAATATTTTCCCAAGTCGGTCATTGTTCCGGGAAAAAGCCAATAGCTGTGCCCCTCTTGGCACTCTCGGTTTACGTCTTTCAATCTCGCACTGATACTGAAACTTCATGTTGCATAATTTGAAATGGCGTTGACGGACAAAACTGCGCAATTAAATGTTCACATATCCAGCTCTCTTACTTCTATTGTATGAGACTATCACCTTCGGGGAGATTACGCTTCTCATCAAACAAGGTTGTTGACTCCTGCTTTCGTTGAATGTCGCCTAGCGTTACCCGCCTCCTAGCATCAATATAAATCATATGCTCTTCATACGTGTGCGGCAGAACTTTCAGGTCCTTCGGCACAGAGAAGGTGTAATTGAATTGGCCCGTTGATTTTGCAACACCATGCTCAACGTCCCTAACCTTGCTGTCGACACGAACATGCACTCGCGTCATAGGCTTATCGGGGTCCGTATGCCTGGGTTCAGTACCGTCCTCTTCCAGTAAGGGAGGGTCGGTGTATGCAACCGTCGCGGTCAAGTACAAGACGCTCCCGACGGGGACAGGGTTTCGGAACGTGCAAGGATCGGCACTGATGAAGGTTGGTCGTGCATGGGCAAAACTGGCTGCGCAGCAGAATGCTAACTCGAAAGTCTGCTTCAGGTGGAATCCACCAAAGATCATAGTTTGGTGCCGGTTACGATATTGAGGCTGCATGATGGCAGCCGTTGACAATTGCGTTTTGGCCATCGATACAACGTTTTTAGGTTGGCGCAGGCTGTTGTTTGGGTCGTGATATGCGAGTTGTCTGAGCCAGATGCGATGAATCAATGCTGACTCGGGATCATTCGGTTCGGATTGGAGCAGCGAGGCCTTCAACGTTTCCTTTTTCGATAGCGATTTTGCCTCTCCGGCCTTGAATATTTTTTCTTCCTCTGGCGTGGTGTATACCAGTTTCGGGATGTTAACAGGCTTTCTAGTCGCCGGATCCAGGGCTACCATGGTGAAGGTGCAGGTAAGGAGGACATCCTCAGGTTTGCTTGGCTCACCTTCGGCCCTGGCCCTCGCAACCTTGCACGTAATCTCCACACTGCTCCTCCCAGAAGCATACGTAACTTGGCCGCTGTATTCAAGATCGCAGATCTCAGTAAGAGGGTGTGCTATCGTGATTCGGTCCAAAGCAGCTGTCACCGTAGTAACGCCAGGGCCGGTGTGTTTGTAAACAATGATACCGGAAAGAGCATCGAGATCCATGAATAATGTGCCGAGCCTGAGTACAACACATCAGTGAGTTTGATCGATGAAATGGCACCAATTGATCAAGTTGCCTACCTTATGTGGCCAGAAGCGTTGATGTACGTATCGGACAACCAAGGATCCTGCCCGAGGGGGAGCACGACACGATGATAACTATCACTCATCTTCTTTGGGGTAAGGTCACGTTCTTCTGCACAGTCATCGGGGCTCTGAGATGCTTTATCCTGCTGCTGAAGGCGGAAGGCCTCTATCCAAGGTATTGAGCGTCTGGCGTCGGCCAGTCCATGGAATACGCCATCAGTTCGTGACGAGGTTGTAGCATGGAAACAGTTTCTTCCGTAGCGGGTCAGTCCAGTGCGTGGTAACCGCTGGGCAGTGATTCGATGCAGTGAAGCAACAGTGCTTCTGGCATCCCTGATCCTGGACATGATCGTACGTTGTTGCATTGGGATTTGACGCTTTGGGATGTGTCTGACGCATCTTCCAGGTTGGCTTGCGCGACGCGGGGGAAGCGTGGGGTTGCATCTGGTGAGTCTTGATGCCTCAGGCACTATTCATATGCCGCCTCAGGCATTCGGTCACCACCGCTCCACCATACCTAGCTTGATACACACACCCTCATCTTCATTCCGTCATTCCATATAAGTTCAATGGGAGGATTTAGCAAAACATCCATCAATTCGTGGTCTTCGGTGCGTTTAGAGTGGCCTGATTGCTTGCTCCATGAACTTCCTTGAGTTTCTGATCATCGCCCAGCTTGATTTCTGCATGGTGCTCCAGCAGGAGTTCCACAAGCTCGACGTGACCATTGAAGTTCGCCGAGTGGAAAGCGGCTCATCCATCGTTGTCTAGCACGTTGACATCTCGTATCTCAAGCTGACGGTCATGCCTTTCTGCCTCAGAACGAAGCAAACTTCGCATGAAGCTCTCACGTCGCAATGTCGTAGAGACTTACGTAAGGATCCCGAGTAAGTCATGATAGACTCATCTTTGCTTTCGGCGTGACTGGTCGCCGCAGGGTTCTCGACTGGTTCATCGACGATGGCCTCGTCGGCGCACGACGGGCTTAAAGCCAGAATTGCCTCGTTCTTGAGAGAAGAGAAGGAAGAAAAACTGAAGAGCGGGTTGCCAGAGTAATCTCTTCCCTAAGCCTTGCTTATAAAAGTGCAACTGGGCTGCTGCAAAGCTTCATTCTTTCTTATCGTTAATTAGCCCAATGCTTGTGAACCACCGCCCTTATGCAGCAGCTGAACTGCAGTCATCAGCAAAGAGAATGAATGATTGGTGATCTAGATTTAGGCGCTTGAAATGGAATAAGTGAAACTTTTATGTTAAAAGACATCAGCAATTTTAGTATACATAATGGGAAACGTGTTGGTATATTCAATCAAATGAGAATTAAGTAATAGTTATGTAAGTGTACAGCGAGCACCAGCATCTTATGAATAAGCAAGCCAGCCGTGCCAAGCATTCCTCAAACGTTCTGCCCTCGACATCGAAATGTACGCTGTGTTAGCGAGCCTCTCCTGCAATTCTTTGAACTTGGCCGTCTCAGCTCCTTTGTCAAAAAGAATATCCAACTCAAGATACGACAGCTTCTTTGTTTCGGGCAGGCGAAAGTAGCACCAGGTTAGACATAGGAAAGCGGTTGCAGCATAGATAAAACAGGACCTACCCGCTAGATTCCAAGCGGTGGGATTCAAAAGCTGCGGCACGACAACGTTGTTGACAATAGTAAAAATGTTGTACACTACCCTTGCGAGGGCGACTGTCTTGACTCTGAGACGCGTTGAAGGGATCTCGGCGACGATAACGTAGCAAGTTGGACCGATAGTCATGTTGTATGTAAAAGTCATCAAGATGATGAGAGACCCAAGGACCCAGTTCATGGCAGGGTGACCTTCCAGGTAAACGGCGATGAAGCCGCCGGTAGTGAGCATAATGACTGCTGCTGCCAGCCCGGCAAGGTACAGCCTGCGCCGGCCAACAGCCGACAGTAGAAGCCAGGATATCATCCCCCCGAAGATGCCGAGACCATACATTCCGGTGGCAAGACTAAACGATTTGGATGAGGCGAAGCCGGCCTGCTCCAAAAAATAAGGGGCGTATCCGGTTAATGTGGCGCCACACAAAGCTTGACAGGACCAAACCATGCAGGAGATCTCAGTCCTGCGACGGTTTGAGCCTCTGAACAGATCTGCGAAGCTTGCACCGCCATATCCGAGGTTCTTCTCGACCGAATTGACATGTTGCATGACAGCGACCGTGTCGTCGATGTTTAAATATTTGTCGCTCGTGAGTCGTTGGAGGGATTGTCGAGCTTCTGGTAGTCTCTCGTGGCGAACAAGCCACCCTATCAAAGGCTGGTCAGTAAATAGTTAAACAACACAACCAATTGGCGTGTTTCTTACAAGGACTTTCCGGGGCAAATTGGATGGCAAACAACAATGGAGCCGCCCACGCCCATTGCAGCGCAAACGGTAGACGGTATGACCATTGAGATGTGTCGTGAACAAGAGATCGGAGAATTCCAGTGCCAAGAAGCTGGCCAATAAGCCAGCACATATTGACGTTGCTGAGCAGACAAGCTCGCACGACCGAGGGAACTACTTCAGCGGCATACGTTGCTGCTAGGGTTTGGATAATGCCCCATGATAGACCTGGTGTTGAAAATGTTAGCTACGAGGTTAAACTATATCAACTGCAGGAAGAGCACGGATTCAGGCGGTAAACTCACCACAGAGAGCTTGGGAAGCCAACAACATGGCGATGTTGTGAGCGAAGAAGGCGGGGAATACCGCAAGACACATCCAAGTGAGACTGGCGATCATGACCTTCCGGTACCCAATGATGTAGGTGATGTACCCATGGGCTAAAAGACCTATGATCTCGCAACCGACAGCTGCGTTTTGCAAACCCATCTGCCACAGCGGCGAGATTTCGTAGGCTTGGTTTTCTGGAGAATCGGCAAGTGGCAGTATTGGCTCTCCATACCTGCGTCTAAAGGTCGGAAAGGCGATGAACCCAGAGATAAGTGATTTATCGTAGGCCTCCATCACAACAGTAAGGAACAGAAGCAGTGACCATGAGATGGCCTTGGGGTATTTTCTGCAGCACTCAAAGAGGGTCATGTCTTTCTCAGCGGCGAGGCCACGCCGGACGCGTGCGCCCGTCTCGTCTGAGCTTGTCGATGCGCGCGGAAGCCATAACACGTTTCTCGCCGCTTCAGCGTGTACATGGGAAGTATGACGCCCGAGCTCTTCTCCGTCTGGCGGCTGGATTTCCGACACAGACGACTCATTATGCGAGAAGGCGGGTTTTGGGGAAATAGGTATCAGGACAATCTCATCTCTGCTAGTATTGTTGGGGCCGTTATTTGAACCGAACAACATTTCAACAAGATGAAAGGTTGGGGATCCAAAGATGAGGGGAAGGAGATACGTTGGAAGCCGATAAGATGAACACTTCTTGGTGTCAAGAGCTCCACAATATTCTGCGGGCACCACAAGGTTATATACGAAGTCGGCCTCATCCATACTTCCTTGATGCGAGACACGGGGAAATGGATTTTGGGTCTTATGCACCCCAGCTCAGCCCGTCGTGGGTCATTTCCCCAGGTTTTCCCCTGATATTCCCCTGATTTTCGAGAAAGCAAGATACGGGCCGAGAGAAAACGCCATGCTTGACTCGTCATTTCGAAGCTGAGAGAACCGGACCTATCTGCTCGCCACGGTGAGTAGCTAACGGTAAGATGGTGGTGTGATGCTCCCAGTGTCGGCCCGACAAGACGCAGCTAACGAAAGCCTCAAAGTCTAAGTCGCGGCCACATCTCTTTAGGCGTTGAGCTCGCAGGGACAGGGATTTTGGTGAAGATCTCTCCCATTTGCTTGACACAAAATGGATTAGCAAGATCCGTGATACCTTTGCATTGCGTAAAGATGGGCGGGAACTGATGTATCGCTGTGAGATCTCTTCACCGATCTCCTTTACTGGCTGTAATCCATGTCGCTTCATCGCGCCAAATTGATGGGCGTTTGCGAGCAGGGTCAGATCTTGTGGTAAATTAGAGACCTCTTCGATCCCAGCCGCAAGATGTCTGGAGTCGTAGTCCAAGGCCGTCTGAGGAGCCCCCTTTTCCTTCTCTCTATTGAATGCCTTGATATCGACATGTCCTGAACTTGGCGGAGGAGGAGTCGAGAAGCTAAATAAGCCACTCGCTTAGGCGGAAAGGCTTAGCTGGCGCTACTTTGAGGGGAACTGATCCCGGTCGTCTAGTTCCAGTCGTTGGGCCTAGCCCTTCGGCTGTAACTAGATGTGACGAGTCCCAGGGTCAGATGCAGATGAACATGGCACCAGTGAGTACCTATGATCAGGACTGCGGGCTCTAAGTCTACCAATCGACATACAACTTCGTGACTCGCAGATGTACATGGACGGATATGAAGCTCTGGGGGTTTTTGCAGATGATATAAAACGCTGAGCCTGGCTCATGCGTACTGACGTGACCATGACAGGACTGACAGCCCGGATGGGCCATGTACCTGGGTTGACAGGATGCAATACGACGCGGATGATCTGCAACGGGGTCCAAGTTGGACCGGGAAGCAAGACGATGTACTACTACATAGACAAATACATGTCTGCGCTAAAACATGGTGGAATACAAGGATAAGATCCTGACGCTTCTCCGCGCTCTCCAAATGCGCCAACCACGATCCCTGCGTGATCTTTCTCCTTCCGCTCGACCTTTGTATCACCAATGCAGTATGGTCGAACGCGACATCTGACCCTCCTTTCTGGCCCCAAGGTCGTTTATCGTGCCCGAACGAAGCTTTGGTCAGTCGTCACATTTAGCCACCTCTATATCCCCTACTATCAGCTCCCCCTGGTGGAGTGTGCACTTCACTTTCGCACTGATCCCTGAGCTCACATGCCAAAATGCAACATCAGACCTGGAACGGATCGTAGCTAGTGTGAAGGCAATTGTCACAGTGACATCCGTGTCAACCTGCGGCCAGATGAATGATCGACCTGGGTCGGCTAGTCCCAGCTAAATTGCCTACACTGATGGCAAGTCACTTGTTCTGCGTGTGGAGAGGACGTCGCAAACTAACTCAGGTAGGTTCTGTAAAAGAGTCACGAGTACTCGCGTAACGATGGCGGACTTGGAGTAGTATTGAGATAGTACTGCTTTCGACAATGACAATCAGTCTTTTGACTAATTGCCACTGCCGGCGATTTTCTCCAAGGCAAATTTTCCAGAGATTATTGATCAGCTATTCGGAGGCAAACGCCCAAGGATCCCAATTCAAGGGGATTAGGAGCGTTTCTTTCCATTGCTTGATGGCTCTACCCCCAACGTCATCCATTGCAATGAAACGGCCTCGGATGAAGAGTTGCACGTCTTATGATGAGGCCCATCTTGGGGTGCAGACGCGTCATGTATGGAGGATAAGTACCGACATAGTCAAGAGGTACTGCAGAGAATCCTCAGGCTGAACGAGGGCCTCAAGTCCGGGCCAATTGAAGACACCCTAATTACGAGCAGGATAGGATATCGCATTGGCGGCCATAGAAAAAGGAGAATGAACCCTCCGATAATACATAGTGTAATGATGGCCTATATTTCGTGTAACACAGGACACTGTCATGTTGAGAAAACGGATGGTTCATTCGAAATCATATATTGTCGGTTCCGCTGTAGCTTACATCTGAGAAGCAAATCCCAACTGTTAAGAAATGGCCTGCAAAATGATTGACCGACACCCTTCTATGACTGAGGCAACTCCGATCAGCCCGTTCGTTGCTTAGGAAATGCTTCTTCTCCGGGAGCACAGCAGCATAATTCGCGAACCGCAAAGACAGCTTTATGGGACATTCGGCCACAGCTTCCATCTCATATTTGTGACATCAACATGAAACTTATCAATCTTTTCCCCAAAGGATATTCAATCGAATATTGCTATTCTTACACACGTGCATGCCGCAATTTTAAAGGTCATTATTATCAATGCACCGGAAAAGTATAGCAGTTGAGGAAAGGTCATTTAATAAGACTATTATTATATATGTATCTGTCCTAATAATAAATTCAATCACATTTATTAGTTAGATTTAATTAGAACGGTGGGCTTCCAGACTAAGAACGTACCTCTCGGATGCATGGATGCTAGATGCATTGATACATAAGGCTTAGGTGAAATGGTATGTGCCTCCGTGCGAATCATAAACTCATGTTCAATTATAACCAATCCATATTATATTTATCCATCTCACCGCCCTCACTCATCATCCACGCTCCTCTGCCCCCTGACCAAAATTGCAATCGACGTGCCCTCTCTCGTCCGACACGTCTTCCCGCCACACGCCGCCTGAATGGCACGGATCGCATACGAATGCACCGTCAACGACACCACGTCGCCGCACTCGCGGCTCCAAATGTCCTCCAGCGCCGCCTGCTTCCGCGCGACGTGCTCGTCGTCCGTCTCGGCGTGCCCGTCGCGCCCGAAGCCGTCCGCCTCGGCGAACCCGTCCTCCAGCTCGTACGCCGGGTAGTTCTCGCGGATCCACGATGCCGGGCGGCGCAGGTCGCACGTGTGCAGCGTGATGCGCTCGCGGAGGAGTTCCTTGACGATGGGCTGGAAGGGCTGGCTGTGGGCGACCATCAGCGGCCCGAATATGTACTCGGTTGTCTGCAGGCAGCGTGCGAGCGGGCTGGTGAAGAGGGTTTGCGGGAGCGGCGCGCCGTCGGTGGCGATGAGGTCGGTCCAGAAGGTGTTGAGATCGCGGGCTTGTTGGATGCCGACGTCGGTGAGATGGGCGTCGAACCAAGTCTCCTTTTCGTCGCCGTTTAAAAACGACACTTTACTCTGGCTCATGTTAGATCACCAGTCTGTTCAACAGCCATCGCCCATCACACTCACATCCCACTCAACCGTGCCCACCTCGGCATGCTTCTTATTATGATACCCATACCCGTGGCGCGTCAGGTACAGCACCTTGTACATCACATTTTCCGGCGTCGTCTCGTTGAGCCACTTGACATAGGCCGCGAACCGCACCCAGTCCCGCTGGTCAGGCGAGCTCGCGTCGTCGGAGGGATACTTCTTGCCCGGGACCAGCCCGAGATGCGGCTGCGTGGTGACCTTGTGGCCGGCGTACTGATGCCTCAGGTCGGAGAGGTCGGAAAAGACGCCGCTCTCGGTGGAAAAGACCCAGCGGGGAGTCATAGCTGCTGGCTAGGTGAGCGAGGTGAGGTTGAGGAGGCGCCGTCAACTCTCTCGACGCTTGTTGATGCTGAGGGGTTTGGTCGTGTGACCCAGAAGCATGCGATTCCAATTCCACCACTTGCGGTCCAGAGCAGACCCGTCGATATGCGCCTGTGGGCTCCTGGTCATTTACTACGTGGACGAGAGATCTGCGAGCTTCGGTCCGATGTGCCAATTCAAGACTGGCCTCACCTTGGCCGTTTAGATAACGTCACCTTAGGTGTGAGTCAGCTTGTGGTTGATGCGATTCCTGTCTTGATGAAGGCCGCTAACAATCTGTCTTCGAGTCCACTGCGGGGCGCACTGACGAAAGAGACCCGCTAAATAAAGCTGTCTGAACCAGAATGGCATGCGACCAGAAATGCGGCCTTCAAAAGAAGTCAGGAATCTGTTCTGGCTCGTTTCTCATCTTGTAACCAATTCAAGAACTCATACCACGCTGCGTCTCAAGGCAGATTATGACATGTCAAAATGCAATGAGATAAGATGCAACGGGGCAGGATGCAATGGAAAATGTAAGCAACATATCCTCTCTCATGTAGTCAATCATTTACATGCATCAACTACCCGATACACAACCCCAACCCTCGTCCCTAATGCTCGCAGAAACTCCACTCGACAAGCTTGAGGTTATCATTCGCAGTCTCCTGAAGCACCGTCCGCTCAGCCATCAGCTCCTCCCGCAGAGTCTTGGCATCCTTCTCGCTGATAGGGAAGTCCATGTTCTTGATTACCATTGCCGTCACCTCCGGAGGCAGTTTTCCCACCCGGTCCGCGGGCAGCGCGCTCTTGGCCCACCAGTGCAGCTGTTGCGGAGGCACGTTTGCAGTCGACGGGATAGGTATGGCTGGGTCGACCAGGAACAGCGCCAGGATCTTGCGGTGGCCCGGTCGCGTCTTGTCAGCTAGCTCAAAGGGGCTGACATGGTGCTGGTAGACGTTGGGGAAGAAGAGCATGCGGTCCGCCCGCGTCACAACGCTGCCAATGTCTTGAAGCGTATCCCCATTACTCTTGATGGCAAATGTGCGGTCGATGGAGTCATGGTCGCCCTGCTCATACCCGAGGTCTGACGCCAGCTCCTCCCGGTTGGCAGCCGTCCGGAAGTCTAGGCGGCACTCGGTGATATTGTCGCAGTCATAGTAGTAGAGAGCCGTTGCGCAAATGTGTTCGTTGAGCTGGCCTTCAATATGCCAGGATCCGCCATCGTAGGTGGGCTTCTCTGGCGTAAGATGGATGTTGGCCAGCTTGACAATCACCTGGACCCGGGTTGCGTTGTCAAAGAAACCAGACGTCTTGATGTCACTGGCCTTGAGCTGGATCAGGCTGTCAATGTCTCCCTTGACATCCGGCTGGAACGTGCTGTGTGTTTCCTCGAACCACGCCTTATCAAGCCGCTCACGCTCAGAACCTTCGTATCCATCCTCCCAGGGCTCGTCTTCGTCTCTGGGATCTTCGTCCTCGTTGACAGGCCGGTTATATGGGCGGCACTCATTTCCATCGCAGATGTCCTCAACCGCGCAGTCGGTGCCAACGCTCTTTACGATAAAGCGCTCAACCTCAAACTCGTCAGGCCATCGGAGAACGATATCCCAGGCGGGTAGGGCCTTTTCAATGAACTTTTCAATGATGGGATAGAGCTCTGCATGTTGCACGGGGTGCAAGTTGTTGATGTAGCTTTCGATCCGAGGATGCTCGCCCGTCAGATCCACGTCGCAGGGAAGCCACTGGAAACGCGAGGATAGGGCGTCGATCGGCGTGTTCCTCGACCAAGCGGTACGGGCAGGTTCTGGGGCCTTGAGCGGTTCAGGGACCACAGTACCCATGCCGCAGTGCTCAAGACAGTTCTTAACGGTAATTCGCCGATCCGGGAGGATCAAGGTCCGGCCGTACAGGAGAGGCCAAAGCGATGGGTGGACGAGATCGAGGACCTTGCCGTCGCTGCCCGGGTGCCAATCCAGATGGTCGGCGGGGACATTCTCTAGAGGCGCCACAGCAGACTTGAGGGCCTCCCGAAGGTCATCTGGGACGAGCTTGTCCGACTTAATGGCACACGCACTGTAGTCCATGACAGGGATCAGACCTGTCTTTTCGTAGATGTCTGCCTTTCTGCAGAGTTCCTTGATACACTGGGGAAATGTGAGCAACCGAGTGGTGGCAATCGAGACTGGACGGGAACACATACAGCATCTGCCATGTCTTCGTTGAAGGATCCAAATTCGACATATTCAGACCAGGGCATCTCGACAGCTTCCTTTTTCCACTTGGCGACGATCTCGGGATCATTGACCTTTCGCCACCAATCGGGCTTGTTGGTGATGTCTTCCATCAGCCTGAGCATGCACACCTCACGGATGGTAAGAGTATTGGCGGTCCAGTCCCGGTCATGAACGCCAATGAGGGTGTGGAAGGCACCCGCAGGATGGTACGTCAGGGGGAGGCCGAAGCCTGGGAGGCAGACGGTGCCATCCTCGCCGGTTTTGAATTGGTGAGACATGATGACGAGGTTGCGGGCTTGCCAATTGACTGGTCGATGAGCAAATGTCGACCAGCGAGCGCACAGGAGACGAATATATACTCGAATATACCGTACGCGGTGCAGCAGATTCAGCAGGCAGAGGGTGCGTGAGCGAGGATGAGACCAGCAGGCACCCAGCATCCACCGCCATTCGCCATCAGTCCAGACTCCAAATTCCGCCTTGGGTGATTCAGCTGCATGAGCTAAGTTATGGTTATGGCAGATGGCCCACTTGGAGTGCCCGTGGCTGGGACTTGTCGGCTAAAATATCGTAGAAACCGGGTCAAAGCAGCGGCCAAGCATGCAAGACGAGCATGTCGATGGAGTCAATTCACGGAGATGGTGCAGAACGCGCCGCGGTTGCCTGAAGGCTGGAGGCAGATGCAGGGGCCCTGGGGTAACGCGGGCTTCACGCGAGGTCACGTTACTGAGAGTAGGTAATAGAGTTCGGCCCCTATCATCCACCGGGTGTACCTGGGTACCCAATCCGGTACTCACGGGGATCCATCCTCCCCAGCGTGGCTCATTGCTCGGTACTGCGCAATGTCTCATTTCACATCTCAGGACCGAGGAGCCGACTGACGAAAGGCGGAATAATAGCCTGAGGAAACGCAACTCCGCTTTTTGCTCTGCTGGGCCCGAGCTCCCTGGGAAAAGGGTGGGGTAAGGTTAGGCGCCCTGGGGACTCTTCCAGCTCTCAGTCAGTCAGTCTCGCATCGGCAGCAGAACAGGCAATGTCACAGGCCGCCAGCGCCAGCACCAGCCACTGGGGTAATTATCCAGGGGCCCAAGTCGCAAATCTGGTCATATCTCCCTCGGTCTCGTTTTCTGCGCCGGGACACACGACGAATGCGAGAGCAGGAGGGAACGACGGCCGGGTTTTATTGCGCGTTTTGGCTCTTCGCCCCTCTTGGTGGACTCGCAGTGGACTCGCAGTGGAACTCACCTGTCCCGAAAGTCGGCGGGAAAATCAATCCTCACCATCTGATAAGGATTTGGTGTGGAAAAAGAAAAGTACACTAGCAACCCACGCATGATCCACGGCACATTGTCGCTCTGGCCCCAATGCACGCTCAACAGAGAACGGCCTAGGAGGAAGCGCCATGGGAGCAGCATCCATACCGGTCCTTACCACGTAATAGTAGCCAACTCATGTACCCAAGTATGTAATGTACCGAGGCTTCGGGTACGGAATGGCGGCAAGGCAGTTACAGTGCATCCGTGGGGGGAGCCAGCGCATCTTCAGCCTTTCCAGCGCTGCGCTGCACTGGCCCCTGCGCCATCCCCGGCGCTCTCTGCGAATCACAGGCCCTGGCCTACCGAGGCACGGGCGGGCTTCGGTCCACTGACGTTGCTACCGGGGGCGGTCCCGCCCTTTGCGCGTCCAACGGTCCGCCCTCGGCCACCACTGCGATGATTTAGCTTAGAATAACTACCACATCTTTGATTGTATGAGGCCATTGCGAATAAGTACTTTTCTTCCCTTCTTTCCTTCTTTCTTCCCCGGTCTGTTCTCCCCCGCTCCTTTTCCCTCCCGCGATACCCTCACATCCGGAATCCTCCCGCCGCAATGACCGAAACTGCCACCGAAGCGCCCGCCTTCGAGGTCCAGGTGCCGCTCTCTGAGCCCGCCGTCTCCGACGCTCCCCCGGCCGTCAAGAAGAACGCGCCGTTCCAGCTCACGGCCGCGCTCGCCGCCACGCCGTCGTTGATCGATGCCTTCGTCCACCATCTGCACCGCTGCCTGCGCACGCGCGGCGGCACCGACACCGTGCTCCTCTTCTCGGCCTACTCCGCCCGCCTCGCCGGCGCCATCCTCAGCATCCTCGGCCGCACCGCCGTGCACCAGAACGCCCGCAAGCTGGTCGAGCTCGCCTTCAAGCTGCCGCCGACGGCGTCCGTCAGCCTGACCACGGCGTCGGCTCCCCCGCTGGCCGCCCTCGCCATCCTCCTCTCCAAGCGCCTCGAGGCCTTCGTCGGCATGCTGGGCGAGTGGCGCACCATGAACCGCCTGTGGGGGCTCATGGCCATGTGGCTCGCCGCAAAGGACCTGCTACTGCGCCTGCGCAAGCCGGCCGCCTCTGAGACGGACGAGAAGGCTCCCAAGTCGAACAAGTTCAACACCACTGTCGAGGTGCTCCAGGTCGTCTCCCTGACCACCTACCACATCGGCGAGGCCGCCGCCTGGTTCGGCGGAAAGGGCGTCGTCAAGCTGTCGCCCGAGACCCGCGGCCGCTTCTCCACCGTCAGCGTCCGCTCCTGGGGAGCCTATGTTTTCATGGAGCTCGCCCGTCTACTCGTCGAGCGCCAGCGCCGAACCGTCTCCGAGGACGTGACGGCCGAGAAGGAGTACAAGGACGACTGGTTCACCAAGTTCACCCACACCCTGGCCTGGGCGCCGCTGACCATCCACTGGGGCTACGGCAATGGCTTCCTGCCCGAGATTGCCGTCGCAGCCCTGGCGACCTACCCGTCGGCTGCTCTCATGAAAGACTTGTGGCGATCCACCGCATAGAGGAGATATTGATGGACAACGGAGAGTACCGATGGCGTGGCCAGTGAAGAGCTGACAGCCAGAGACGAGAATGACATTGGAGCTAGAGAAGAATAGCCTTGTTGAGCTAGATACCACATTGTATATCGAAAGAGGAGGATAAAGACGGCAAGACGAAGCAACCAAGTACGGGATGGCAATCGACAGGATGCAAGACTGGGCGATTAGGGTGAGGGACACAAAACGACGGAGAGAAGACAGGGCACACCAGATTTCGGGACGACAAGAGCGACTTCATTTCGCAATAATGAGACTATGCTGTGGCGCATCATTAAAGCGTATATATATATATATCCCTTTCTAGATAGAGCTGGATGTATGGCCTTTGGACGTACACTGAAGATAGATAGACGAGAAGCAAGCAACTGGAGAATCCAACACACGCGCACAAGCACCCTTTACCCACACAAATTCGCCTGTATACCGAGACCGCGGATCGTACTGATTCCGCTCGCAACCTGCACTTGAAGGCATCCTCACATGGGCAACCGCCTCATCTCCTCCACGGTCCAATACCGACGCATGTTCTCCGCGCCCAGCGTCTTGACCTCCTGGTCCAGATGCGTCCACAGCACCTCGCCCCAGCTCTCCATCTTGGCGCGCAGCGTGTCCAGGGCGAAGTCGGCCTCGCCCGTGCGGCACTGGCGCAGGTACTCCTCGAAGGCGTCGAGCCCGGCGTGGATCTCGCGGTGCTGGCGCAGCAGCTCGGCGGCGCCGTTGCCGCGGCCGCTCTTGAACTCGGGCATCTTCTTGGCCAGGTGCGGGAACACGTAGGTCTCCTCGATGCCGTGGTGCGCCGTCAGGTGCTCCGCGAACTGCACGCCCTCGCCGATGAACTGCTTGAGCGACATGCCCTGTGGCCGCCGGCCCGATGTGCATGCGCCCCAGAGGAGGTTCCACGAGCGGCGGAAGTGGTCGTGCTAGAGGCCGTGTTAGTCGTGGATCCTGTGACGGTTGTCGCATGTCAAGTACGCTCGGCGCCGTCGAGTCCGGGTGTCTGATTGCGCAACCAACTTGAACCCGGGGTTCTTACAAAATAATCCATCTTTTCAGCCAGGCGGTTATACACCCTGAACTCGTGATCAGACAGCGGCGGCAGCTGCTCCTGTTCCGGTTTGGAATCCTCTGCTTTGGGAGCCTCCACCGGCTGGCAGGCCACGCCCTCGGGCTTCTCCTCTGTCGTCGACATGGTCGCCTGCTGATTCAGTGCCCACGCCGTCGTCGCAAACCCCGCGGTTCTCGTCGCACCAGGTATCACCGGCTTCGCAAAGACTGCGACGGGGCTCGGTGTAAGGCGCCGTCGTCCAGTGAAAACGAAGCTGTTGTAAACGGCGGCGCGCAAGCGGGAATGGCCTCGGTAGAGCGTCAGTCTCATGGCACTCGCTCTCCACAACCCGGAAAGCCTTCTGTAATATACCGAAAACACACAGCAACCGCAGAATCACAATGTCTCCCGTCGGTCTCAGTCGAGCAGAAAATATGCCGTGAGACTCCTCCCCCCTCCAGAAAGGCCCCAGTGGCTAAACCCAGACCAGCCATACAGACGTTGCCCTTTAACAAGCCGCGCGCCCAGCCCGCTTTGCAAGCTGTGACTGAGATCAGACCCTAGGCCGCCCGCGCGCCAACTTAGTCATCGCTCGCGAGTCGCTGCCACACCGTCCCGAGTTCCGATGCCGACTCGTCTCGGTGAAGCGTCGCTGTCCGAGCTGTCCGCTCTTCACCGAGGGGCCGAAACCGACACAGCAACTACCACAGTCTCAACGCATGGTGTGGATTGTTCCAGACAGTCGGTACTAGTTTATAGTTCATCTGTCGGACATCGCGCCATGATCTCGCGTGTATCGGTAACGCGGACCGCAGTTCGGCAAGAAACCCGGCCGATAGGTCTCCAGTCCGAGACCGTCAAACACCGCCCGGTCATTCCCCGCAAGCGGATGATCTTCAAAGGTTGAACTTACTTATGTCTATTCTTTGCCTAGTGCATGCACGCGCGGTTCCTACCAAGTTGTCAAAATTGCTTTATGCGAGCGTTGATATGCCGGCTAACAAACTCAGAAGAGACGCTCCAAGTACGGTTGGTAGACGTTCAAGACTCACACAAGTCCGCAGACCGTGTCCACAAAAACATGACGCGATTGACTTTCTTTGATCCGTCGGTGCCATGATTGTTATCTGCGAATCCGAGTATTTGACTCTCCGTCGAAAGTCGGTCCAAGGCCCCAATATTCGAAGCTGGACCCTCGGCGTCTTCATGTACAGTGTGTACGGTATCATATCCGAAGAAAATTCAGAATTAACCGTTTCCAGCACAAAAGGCCATTCCGGCATACGTCTCATCACCATCGCTCGTCATATATCTTTCATCATTTGATGCCACATCTCCAAGTCAAGCCGGCACCTACAAGATCAGACAAACTGAACTTCTTAGCACGATCCGCTCACAAGTCCCCAAGACAGTATCAACTATAAGTCACTCGGCTCTCAATCCAAGCCTCGCCACTCGCACTTTCGATCTTTAAGTACCTTTCATTTGTATCAAACAGGCGCGGAGGAGCCACTTCTATCATAGCTACCAACCGGCAAACACATATGCAATGAGACGTTCCTTTTTCACCACACACCACCACATCGCACGCATGTGGAAGACTGACGAGTTCTATGTATCCTTATTCCGTTTCAACCTAGTGACACGTAGCGAGCTGCCTCCGCATCCTCGCCCTTTTCATTAAAAGCAACCATCCCATGCAAAATGCAAGCAACTTTAGACGCCTTCAACTCGGTTCATTCCCTTCCCCTTAACCCCGGACAGCAGCACCCAGCGCTCCGCCCGTGAACTGTGTTCCACCGGCCTGTCGCTGCGTGTTGCCGCCTCCTCGCGGGCCTCCTCGGCCACCGCCCCGGCCCCTGTGGCCACCCCGACCACGGCCACCTTGTCGCTCGAAAGCGTTAGAGGTGCCTTGGGTTCGCTGCTCCAGTGTTCGCTCGTTGGTCTCAATGAGCGCGCTGGCCTTGTCGGACAGCGCCAAGGCAAGGGACTGGAGACGGCTGAGCTCGACGCCCTTGCGGAAGATGACGGTCAAGGTGACCTGGTCCAGGGAGGCGGCCAGCTCCTCGTGGCTGATCATCTTGCTGACAACGGCTGACACCTTGGTGATGTCAAGCTCGAACATGCCGCTGAGGGTCTCGATGGCGAGAGTGTCGTAGAAGGGAGCGTAGGTAAAGAGATATGTTCGGAGACCCTCCTCCTGGATCTGCTTGGAGAGCATGGTCTTGATCTCCTCAGCATTCGGCATGAGGTCCCAGATCTTGATGCTGTGGATAAAGGTGGTGGACTTCTTCCACTCGCCAGCCGCCAGAGCCTTGGAAGCCTGCATCACGTGGTCGCGAGTGTTCTCAGGGGGGCCAGTGAAGATTTGCCTCTCGTGGTACTCGAGCATGCGGCGGTAGGTCTTGCTAATGACACGCTTCTTAACGTCGGGCGAAGAACCGGTCTGGGCCAGCAGGGGAATCTCCAGGAGCATGCTGCAGGTGAGGTACACACACTCGAGCAGCTCCAGGTTGATGTGCATGTGGAAGGGGAGTTGACGCTGCTTCTCCAGGCGCTCCTGCTCGGGAGAAACCTGGCTGTATCGCTGCATCATGACACCCTGGGCGAGAAGCTCCTTCTGGCGACCGCTGCCGCAGATCTCCTGAAGGGTGTTCTGGGCATCGTAGACGAGGCCCTTGCGGAAGGCACAGAGACCAACTTGAACCAGTGTTCGGTTATACAGAATTTGACTCTGGACATCGAAGTTGGGGATGTTCTCCTGAAGATGGGACATCAACATCATGTCACGGGCCTTGTAGTACTCTCCGTGGAGAGCAAGGAAGTAGACCTGGCACAACATAGCTCGGGCGCGGATAATGCCCTCGCTGTTGCTGAAGAGGTAGTTGCACAGAACGTTGACAAGGTTTCCAGCATCCTGGGCCTCGCTTCGGGGGGTGATGACCGACTCAACGGAAGGGCCACTGCCGTTCCAGCAGTTCTCCTCGAAAGTCTTGACGACCTGGGCGGGCTAGTAGGAAATGTTAGCAAAAAGGGTAGCAGATGAGCGGAATTGTGGGTATTTACCTTGAAGTAGACATGCTCCAGGCGGCGCATGACAACTCGGTTGACGCTGTCCTGGGGGGTTTCAAGGGCCTCGTCTTTTCGGAGGGTCTCGTAGTAGAGGAGACCACGGAAGATGATGTTGTAGAGAGCACCCTCATCTTGCAACCGCTCAATATACTCAGAGGTGTGAGGGTCGATGCTCTGCAGGGAGCGAACGAGTTCGTCGTCCAGTCGCTCAACGTATGAGACGATGCTGCCAGCAACCTTGATATACTTCTCTCCCTCCTGCAGGGCCGGGGGCTTCTCATCGTCATCCCACTCCTCGGCATGCTCAACAACGATGTACTCTCGGCTCTCCCGGAGGACCTCGAGAAGGGCTGAGAGCTCCCTCTCGGCGGCCTTCCAGTGCTCAAGGGGCATAACATTGCCAGTACCAGCTCCGAGATCGAATCGGGCAGAGATGATGGTGAGGAGGACGCGGATCTTCTGGTAGGGGGTGGTGGCAATCTCGTACAACTTCTCCATGACCTTGATCTGCTCTGTGCGGTCGGTGTTCTTCTTTCCGCGAGACTCCATGATGCCTCGAAGGTGCTTGAAGATGCTCTCGGGGGTGTACTGGAGAGCCTTTCCGCCCTTTCCAACAGTGGCGAAGCCTTCATCATCCTCCTCTTGGGCGGGAGCAGCCTCGACCTCGAACCGGGCGGTCTTCTTGGCCTTGGGAGCAACCGCGACAGGCTCGTCGTCAGAGGACTCCATGTAGGCATCCTTGTCGGCGCGGTAAGAATCGATCTGGGTCTGGTACTCCTTGTTGGTCTTCTTGATTTTTTGCTTAACGGCGTTCAAGGCTCGGGCTTGGGTAGCGTTCATCTTCTTGGGGGTGACCTTGGCCTTGGCGAGGGCCTCGTTCATGAAGTCCTCGAGTTCGGCAAGGATTCGGATGTACGGCTTGGGGGTCTTGCCGCTGGTCAGCTTGGCGACCTGGCGGTTGAGTTTATCGGACTCTGCATATCCCTGTTAGTATTTTTTTCTTCTTGTTTCGGTTCGAGGTTTTTGATCTCGTAGTCCTGGGAGGGGTCGTACCGGCCGAAATGAGGGTCCAGTCGCCGTTCTTCTGGCCATTCTCAATCTGCTTAATGGTGGCCTCCAGCTCGTCGAGTCGCTTGTCCTTGGCACTCTTGACTTTGCCTCGAACCTCCTCGTCACTTTCCTCGTCTGACGACGCATCCTTCAAGAACTTATTGGCACCTGCCTTTCCGTCATCGGAGTCGCTGGAGTCGCTGTCGGAGTCGTTCTGGGAATCATCGTCGGAATCGTCCTGGTTGTCCTGCTGCTGCTGCTCCTCCTCCTCCTCGGAGTAGAGGTCCTCCTCATCGCTAGAGGAGTCGCTGGAGCTCTCGTCGCCACCGCGGAAGAATCGAGACATGATGGGCGAGTTTGTGACGCTGGGTCTTGTCCTGTGAGGTCAATCTCGCGAAGCGTGCGCGGGGTTGTTTCGACACAAGGCAAAATTGATGATTTTTGGTGGGAGGTGGGGCGTGCACCTTGGGGCTTAGCGATACGGCGACTCACGAGTCACAGGCCACAATGCGATAGCGATAAGCGGGGCAAACCGGCAAGGGGGTTACATTACCTAAGCTGCCTTTTTCGCCCACACGAAGAGGAACACAGCGTCCTCCAGCGCCCTTCAGCGCCCCCCAGCGCCCTCCAGCGGAAACCGACGGCTACTCCAGGGCAACTGGTATCCTGTACGCAAGTAATAGGTGGGGTGGTACCTCGGACTCCGGTTCGCCGTTACTCGGACCCCGGTCCGATGCGCAAACTTCCCGTGCAGAACAATTTCAAGATCCAGCAAGCCAGTCAGTGACTCGGATTCTTGCATTTCTCAGCAAGCCGTCCTTTACCGCAACCGCATCGACAACCTCCTCGACCTCCACCAACGAAACCCCTCCCACTCCCGCCTACACCTTCTACGCTCCCATATCCATTATTATAGCTACCATGACCCGAATACGCTGCTCGAATGCGCCCTCCGCAGCACGATCTTTTCTACAGCTCGCGCATCGGAGCTACTCCTCCACTGCTACGCAGTCCTCTACGCCCCTCGAGTTCCTCTTCCCACGATGCGCACCCTCTGCTAGTCGAAACGCCAAGGTCTCCGCTACCTCATCGAGAGCCCACGCCCACGCACGAAACATCAATCTTAGACGGACAAGGGAATTCGGCATCCAGCTTCAGCTTCCCTCGAGGAGACATTTCTCATCCTCCCCCGCCTGGCAGCAGACCCGAAGCATATTGAATACCCAGAAGGATGAGGATGGAAACGAGATGATGCTGGAGATTACCTCCCGTGCAGCAAAGGTGCGCCCTCCTTGACTCGTTCCCGAATATACAATTGACAATTAGAAGCGCCTCACCCAGATCATGGACAAGGACGCCAACCCCAACCTTGCCTTGCGCATTCAAGTCGAGAGTGGCGGTTGCCACGGCTTCCAGTACCTCATGAGTCTTATTACTCTGCCGCCAAAAGACACTCCCGAATGGACCGACACCATCAACGAAGACGACACCATCTTCCAACACCTGCCCGACGACGCAGACCTGTCCTCCGCGTCGGAGGAGGGACCGAAGATTATCCTCGACGAGCCATCTCTCGACCTCCTCAAGGGAAGCAAGGTGGATTTTACAATGGAGTTGATCGGGTCCCAGTTCAAGATTGTGGACAACCCTTTGGCTACCAGCAGTTGTGGATGCGGCACCAGTTTCGACATCAAGATGTAAACTCATCGGCTTCAAGTTCCGAATTGTAGACCTGACCTCCCACTCGAGGCCCGCATGTACATAGGATTATGAATACCTCTGCTCCAATTACATTTCAATATGGGCTTTACAACGTGACCGAAGAGTCTTTATTCACTTCACATGGGACAGAGGCTTCACAGAAAAGAGTTTGGAAACTCGAGTGTCATTCATCATGGTATCAATTCCACAAGTCCCTGTCATGACATCGAACGCCGAGCAACCATGCAATATTTTAGTCCTAATGACCAACCCATTAACCTTTTTTTGGAAACCATTTTAGTTCATCTGGCGGATGAGACCGTTGATGGCCTCCTCGCGGTTACCAAGATCACCACCCTCGATGAAGTGCTTGAACTTGCGGGGGCGGAAGCCACCGGTGGGGTTGGACAGCTTGAAGGGCCAGAGGAAGTTGGCGGCCTGCTTGAAGTTGGGGCCGACGGTGTAGACCTCGTGGATGAGATCCTCCATGCAGACAATGCCGTACTTGCCGAGGTTCTCCTCGATGATGGAGTTGTCGGTGAGAGCGACACGCTGCTTGTTGACCTTTCCGTATCCACGCTTGTAGATGAGCTCCTTGATGGACTTCAGGTTGGGGTAACCGTAAGCGATCCAGGGCTCGACAATCTTGAGCATCTCAGTGGTGGCCTTGGTGACCTTGATGAAGACACCGTTGTTGATCTGGAGGAGACGGAGGAGCTGGAGGATCTTGCGGGGCTTAGGGGGCATCTTGTTGATACTGGAGAAAGGTTAGTTTGGTGCTCATGGAAGTCAGATGAAAGTTCACATACCCCTTGATACGGACGACGAAGATCAGGTTGGCCTCAGCGGGGATGTAGGCGGAGTCCTCCTTCTTGGCGACACGGTGGAGACGAATCTTCTCACGCTCGGCATCGCGGTACTCCTTGACGTACTTCTCAGCACGCTGGAAGATGACACCACGCTTCTCCTTGTTGGCCTGGAAGACTATTAGTTGTGGTCTTCAAATGCAGTTCAAGCAAAGTAGTTTATCAGGCAGTTGTCAGACCCGAAAGAAGGTTAATTATCAACAGCATTGACAGTGTCTAGTTGATTGATATGTTGTGCATCATTGTGCCGAGAAAGAAATGGGGTAGTACTCACAGCCTTCTTCTTCTCGATGGCATCGGTGCGCTCAGCGCGGGCCTTCTCCTGAGACTTGCGCTTCTTGAGAAGGGTCTCAGGGACCAGGATCTGGTCGTTGGTAGGGACACTACATGCATCAGATTAGTTCGCAGTCCAGTACCACAAGTGGTATGGAACAGAGCGCCGGGGAGAGAACTGTTGCAAAGCGACATTCTCTGCTTGGCTAACTCGAAGAAATGAATTTGATCGGTGAGACAGGAGACGCCGACAGAGACCTGTTGATGGCGTCTCCTAGGATGCTCATCCGACAACACCCTGAACAAGTAGATGTCCAGGAAAATTCGGTCGAAGGCGGTGTGCGCAAGGCATTCTCAGCCCATTGCAAGTACCTTGACGACCATGAATTTAAGAGAGAAGACAACAGTCTTCATCTCCAACACCCCAGGCGACATCTCTCAACACACAAGCTATGTTCCAAGCCTGGGCAATTGAGGGAGTCGCCCAAGAAAGATCGAGCTGGCAGGTCAGCGCCTCACGGGGAGAACGCGACTTATCCAGCGAGAGGACCACGACAATCTGCAAAAGAACTCGAGACCGGGCGCCCGCCCATATCGCGGGATTCAGGGAGGAAGCACGTACGTGGCACCCATTTTGTCGGCGACGGCTGTTGTGAGGTCGGTTAGTCGGTCGGTGAAGCTGGAGGGAAGAAAGGAAGGAGGCCGGCTTTTTCTCCGCAAGCTTGGGGGAATTGGATGGACCCGCCCGCGTAAAAAAAAACTTTTGGCTACCTAGGGCAGGGCTTTGCGGGTCTCGCACCAAAATTTGCTGAAACATTCTGCCGCACCCCACCGCTCTACAGCCCACCTCCTCCGCCACCAAACCGGCGGCATCGCGGAAATCCATTTTGGTGAACCTCATTCTCAACCGCCAATTGACTCAGTAACCCGAAGTCGCCAAATTCAAAATGCCCCCCAAGAAGGTCGTCCGTGCTCCCCAGGAGAACATCTCCCTGGGCCCCTCCGTCCGCGATGGTATGCGCAACCCCGAATTCCAGGTTTTGCGAGCGAAATGGCAAAGTGACTGACTTTTGTTTTGCACAGGCGAGCTCGTCTTCGGCGTTGCCCGTATCTTCGCCTCCTTCAACGACACCTTCGTCCACGTCACCGATCTCAGGTTCGTCAACCCGTGAATAAGGAACAGCTGGTCTGCTCAAAGATTTGGTGGTTCCTGGGCTAACTTGGGTGATTCCAGTGGCCGTGAGACCATCTGCCGTGTTACCGGTGGAATGAAGGTCAAGGCCGATCGCGACGAGTCCTCCCCGTACGCCGCCATGTTGGCTGCCCAGGACGTCGCTGCCCGCTGCAAGGAGCTTGGCATCAACGCCCTCCACATCAAGATCCGTGCCACTGGTGGTATGTTCTACCCCTCAACTTGTTCAACCTCCAACTTGACTCTAACTCGCAACTAGGTAACGGTACCAAGACCCCCGGCCCTGGTGCCCAGTCTGCTCTCCGTGCTCTTGCCCGTGCTGGCATGAAGATCGGCCGCATTGAGGACGTTACCCCTACCCCCTCCGACTCTACCCGCAGAAAGGGTGGTCGCCGTGGTCGTCGTCTCTAAGCTACTCGCTTATTGGGTGGCCTGGCATGGACAGGAGTTTCGCTATCTGGTTTCTATGTGGCGTTGAGAATCACGAGGAGAACGGCCATTGCGCCTGGTCTCCAGTCTCCCTGTTTTACCTGGTCTTATAATGACTTAGGAAGCAGTGGACAGTCATGAATTCGCCCGAAGAAGGCCCATGAATCATCCTCCTTGTCAAATCATTTCTCCTCTGTGAGAGCCTACTCGTGATACCGCTTAGATGTAGATCGCGAAAAAATGAGTATATGATGACCAATACTTGATCTTCCCCGTCTTGCTACCGACCTATATGTTCCGCTTTAATGTGAGGGTATCCGAACTCCATGCTCCTGTTGCGTCAATGCCGATGCCACATCGCACCACTCTATTTAATTCCTGGTTTCAGCGTCCAAATCCCCCTACCAGTTCCGCCTGTCTTGGACAACACAGCAACTTTATCCAGAGCAGTCTTGAACTCGTCACTTTGCTTCTTTCCTGGGCAATACGGGTTGAAGTGGTCTACGAGCATCTTGCTGGGCACACGTCCTCCATGTCGGTTTATAAACGTCTTGATCATGGCAATGAAATCCTTTGCCTTCAAGTTCCTGTCCGAGCCTGGCGTGCCAGAACGAGAGCTGCTCGCACTGCCGCCATCAAGACCTTGACGGTCAGCAAGATTGCTCATGATTCCTGCGGAACTGGGTCCTCCGCGACGTCGGTTGGCTCCAGGGCGGCCTGCTTGTCCCACTTCGCCCGTCCAGGTAACAGTGCCAATGGGAACTCGCCGGGCCTCGACAGCCGCCTGGCGGAGGTGTGCTGCTGCTTGACGAGCGACTTGGTTGGCTTCATGTCGAAGAACGCTGACATCTGCCTTGGCCTTCTGTGGGCCATTGACAATTTGCTCGTGATCATAGGCGCTGTTGACAGACTTGGCGAAGATGCCCTCTAGCATGCGCCTCTCGTCGTGGACGGATTTATCCTCTGTGTATTCCTCCATTGCAGCAACCAAGTCCATTTTTTGAAGCTCCTTTCCTTCACTGTCTTCTGTGTTGCGTCCCACGCTACCAATGAGCTTTGGAGCCTGTGTCTCTCCCCCTTCCGTTGTGTTGTTGCCCAAGTCGACCTCTGCGCCTTTGAACACCTCGCTTCTTTGAGCCCCTGCCTCTCCAGTTGAGTTGAAACTGAAAAGATCGTAAAGGTCTGAGAGGTCGTAGGAGCTCCGCTGCTTCGGGTCTTTCAAGACTTTGTTCGTCATGAACTGCTTGAAAATCTGACGGTGATAAATCTTTTCTTCAATAGTCCCCTCTGTCATGAGGCGGTAGATTTTGACCGGTCTCTTCTGCCCCAGTCGCCAAGCTCTTTCTCTTGCCTGAAGATCAGTTGACGGGTTCCAATCAGGGTCAAAGATGATGATTCGATCCGCTCCAGTAAGGTTAGTTCCCAGGCCACCTGTCCGGGTAGTCATGAGAAAGACATGAATGTCAGGGTCTTCGTTGAACCTGTCAATCATGGTCTGTCGTTGGTCCACTGGAGTCTCACCGTCCATTCGGAGATGAGAGATGCCACATTCCCTGATGCACTTCTGGATGATGTTGAGCATCTGCTTGCCTTGAGAAAACAGGAGGGCCTTGTGACCGTTGGGAATCATGACCTTTTGCAAAAGATCCTTGGTAAGTTGCAGCTTGGCCGAAAGCTTTGGGCTACCAAAGTCGTATCCAGCTTTCTGACCAAGACTTTTGTCCAGTAGATCGGGGTGGTTACAGATCTTGCGGAGGATGTCAATTCCGTAGAGTGATTGCCGTCTCCGATTCAGAATGGCCGAAACCTCGTCCGACTTGATGAACGTCTCGTAGGCTCCACGTTGCCCGTCAGTGAGCTTACAGAAGAGCACTTGTTCGGTCTTTTCGGGAAGGTCGGCGGCAACATCGACCTTCAAACGCTGGAGCAAGTACTCGCTGATAGTCTCTTTCAATGCTTCTGCGCACTTTTCTGCCGTCATGACTTGTAGATTGGAGGCATTGGCGTAACCACCTTGTCGGATAGGAATCTCAAACTGTGACCTGAAGTTGACCAGTGTTCCCAGTCGCATAGGGTAGATAAAGTCGAACAGGGACCAGAGCTCAGTAAGGTTGTTCTGAACCGGAGTTCCAGAGAGAATGACGCGATTTGGGGTGTTTAGTTCCTTGCAGGTGACCGTAATCTCTGCATTGGGATTTCGGATCTTGTGTCCCTCATCTAGCACGGCGTAATCCCACTGAACGGGTAGCAACTCTTCGGCATATGTTTGAAGGCCAGTGTACGTCGTGACTAGGACATGTCCGTTCTTCACAGCGCCATTGACGATCCTCCTCGCCGCTTTCCCTGACTTGCTTGCGATCGGCCGATAATGGTCCAGGTCGTAGTCATCCTCGAATTTCGGATTCATCATCCCACTGCCAGAAGCATGCAAAATTGAGACACGAAGGGGAGGCCACCAGCGATGAAACTCGCTCACCCATTGTCGCAGGAGGGTCGCAGGGGCAACCACGACGACTGGGCGCTTCAGCTTCTTGCTGTAATGAAGGGCAGCAATGAATGCAATCAGTTGCACGGTTTTTCCCAGGCCCATCTCATCACCGACAATGCCTCCGACACTTTGCTTGTGCAGCTCAGCAAGCCACTGGACGCCAGTTTTCTGGTACCCAAAAAGGGACGGATGAATATCGCCAGGCAACTTGAGACCGTCGCCAAATTCATGATCGGGGAAATCCGGTGCAGGCTTAAACCATTCGTCCTCTTCTTGGTCGCTGTCCTCGGCCTCGACAGATGAGTCGGTATTCTGTCGACGAGCCCGTCTCGCACGACTTCTTCGGGTCACCCAGTCGTTCAATCTTCTCTTGAAATGGGCTTCATTCCCATCATCGATCTTGCTGAGATCAATCGTCTCTTCATCTTCGGCCTTGGCCTTGGCCTTCGTCTTACGGCGTTCGTCTCGAATGAAATCATCCTCCGTTCCTTGCTGCCAGACATCATGGTCTGAACCAGATGAGCCCTCAGGTTCAGGTTCGAAATCTGCAGACGGGCTACGGTCTGCTTGAACACGCCGTTTTTTCCTTGGTCGGAGAGAAAATTCGCTCTGGACAGCAACAGGCTCTGGCTCCGACTCAGTAGCCTCATCGGCGAAGCCGGGTCGTCGAAGCAGTTGGTGAGATGTAGGGCCTTGGTCGTTGCCACCTAGTTGTTCCGCAGCAGCTGCCTCCTCAGCATCCAGAATGGCATCTGCAAGTTGCCCCTCGATACCCGCTGGTCGTGGGCCTCCAACCTTGGCAAAGGGCGTAATTTTTCCGGTTCGAATAAGATATTCACGATGACCCTCGCCAGGGAGTCTCTTAGACTTGGCCTGCGCGGCATCCTCGACAGGATTCTCCTGATGACGCCTATTTATGCGCGCTTGGAAGTCCGAGATGTCGTTACTAACTTGTTGGATCTCAACTTCCAACTTGGCGATTTCTTTCTGGACATTCCGAGACTGGTACGGGTTTCCGGCAACCTTCTCGAGCCGCTTCTCCTCCTTGTCCAACTGAAGTTGAAGCCGATGCCTGGTCGCCTGCAATTTCTCGATCCGGTTCTGATCCTTCTTGTCCTCGGCCTCCATCAGCGCAGCATTGGCCTGGATGGTGATGTCCCGTTCAAGGTCATTTTGGTCTCTGACCGTCCCGGTCAGATTTCTTAACGCGTCTTCTTCATCCATGCCTTCCATATCAGGAACGGCCTCGTTGTCGTTCTGAGATGATCCCTCTTGCGCCGCGGCAACCATTCTGCCGAGCAATACGGCGCGGCTTTCTGCCTTGTCCTCTGGGGGTGCGTCTTCTGAAGTCATGGCAAAGGTCTGAAGAAATGACTTGATTGGTGTAGCCGGGGAAATGTCATGAACTGATGACCCTTCACAAGTCGAACAGACGGACAGGAACAGGGTAGACAGGTTTCCCAAAAATGTAGGTACTGGCCGGTAGATCACGGACCGTATATAGTAATGGCCTCCAGCAGAATGGGGTTTAAAAATGAGCAGGAAAAAACGAGATGGTCTTGGTTCCGTGAGCGTGAACTCAACCGCGAGAAGGGAGCGTTAACGGGAGGCTTTGACGAGGCGCTGTCGCTTCCCCTTTCTCTCGAGACACGAATCAACGGCTCGATACCCTTAACGTGTGGATAAAGGGCATTATAAACACAGCCTCTGCCCCGGGAAATGCCTGTGATGGATGCGCAAAGATGATGCTGAGGTTCTGCTCGTCTCAAGATGACGCACGGGAAGTGAGAGAGTCTAGTATCACAGGGCGCAGAGGCGCAGAGGCACGTGCTCTGATTGGTGTGCGCAGGGATTTTCTAGGCACCCGAGGGAGCGGCGGCGCCACAGGTTCTTCACTGAACGCCCCACTGTGGTGGCCAGTGTCAATTCCACAGCCACACTCGATATCGCCTGGATCAACCTCGCTTCAACCTCAGTCGACAACGCATCAGGGACGACTCTGTCAAGTATTGGCGCTTCATCCGCGCTCTCTTCTGCATGTCACGTCATTGGTTCAACTCTCACTCAGCTTTCCACTGGTCTAACCCCATACTTCAATCATCCCGCTTGAAGCTACTGCGTAGTTCCTCAACCAGTCCCTCAGCCAGTCCCCCAACTCCTGGTCATATCATGACTATATCCAAAACATTCTCCTGAGAACTGCATCCCCGCGCCAAAAGGTGGGGTTACAAGAACACGAAACCCTTTTAATCGGCCACGCCAATTATGAGATCAGCTCTTTTAATCATCAACCGTACCCGGATGCTCCGTCCCACAGCCGCCCGCTTCAGATCCTCGATTCCATTTGCATCGACAAGAATGTACGCACAACAGCCTCAGTGGCTCAAATCCGTCTTTGAGGAGAGTGGTCCTCCACCAAAACTATTTGCTTGGAGTCCTTCAAACGTTGGTCTCCAGAGCGACCGTCCGGCCATTTCCACCAACGACCTGGATCGTCGTATCTTTGTCCTTGGAGTCGGGAATCTGGGCCGACTTTTTGCATCCTGCCTAGCTCAGGCCCCTGAATCCCCGCCGGTCACTCTCGTGGTCCATCGCAAGGAGCTTTTGACGGAATGGGATGCTGGCCAGGGCATTGAGATCTTGCGTTCTGGTGTCCTCGAGAAGAACAAGAACTTCGACATCGAGTGGTGGACGGACGCCCAACCAGACCACGGTCCTGTGCGTGAGGTTTCAGATGGTATGAAGCTGGTGAACCTCATTATAACTACCAAGGCCACTGCGGCACTACCGCAGGTTGATCGGCTCCGAGGATATCTCAACCAAAACAGCACCGTCGTGTTTGTCCAGAACGGCATGTCCAAACTCTGGCCGCCTCATGGACCTGCCTATGCCTCCCATCGGTACACAGCTGGCGAGGCCCCCAACTTCCTTGCCTGCGTCACGACACATGGTGTCACCTCCCAAGGCCCATTCAAAAGCCTTCACGCCTCACAGGCGGATGTTGCCATCGGGTCGGTCCTCCCAAACCAAGCTTCGAGTGAGGTGGCCAACTATTTGGTGAGGCAGATTCTCGAGGCACCCCATCTTGACGGAAAGTCGGTTTCGCGGGCCGAGTTTTGGATACTTCAACTCGAGAAGTTGGTTGTAAACGCCGTCATCAATCCGTTGACGGCCGTCCTGGGATGCAAAAACGGTGCTCTGTTCACGGAATCAGATGGAGTTCTTGCGGGTGTAATTGACCAACTCTTGTTCGAGGCCAGCCAAGTTCTTCAACTTCTCGTCAGCCATGAAAGCAGCGCAGACATCATCAGAGATACTCCCGCAGCCCAAGATACCGCAACGTCCCTCGACGTATCTCCACAGAGTCTGCATGACAGATTCTCGCAGCCGCGCCTGAAAGAGATGGTGTACCGGGTGGGCCATAAAGTCCGAGAAAACACCAGCTCCATGCTGCAAGACTTCCGCACCGGCCGATCAACCGAGATCCGGGACTTCAACGGCTGGCTAGTCGAGACTGCAGCTTTCCTTGATCCAAGCTTGGATCTCGCGGGCCATGGGACGCTGGTCGACCTTGTTGAAGCGGGCAGGACCCTGCGTGTCGATCAACTCGGAAGTCATTTCGACAAGTGCGGTGCACCGTTGTCCTGATGCGGACCGCGAGCAGGGCCTTATTTCGCCGAGACCAGAAGTTCTTCTGGGCATCGCCATGCATGGATCACCCCGTCACCCCTCCCCCGAGGTAATCTGGCTTTCCTGAACCGAGGCCGGGCCAAGGTTCCGGAACTCACACGACTAGCAACACCAGCCTCGCCCGACCAAGTACAGAGGGCTCTGTCCGCATCAGGGATTCTCCTCCACACCCCAGAATTTAACCTATATCATACCCCCAAGGATTATTTGCCGTAAGTGGCGTGTTTTGTTTTCTTTGTCGATATGGGCCAGGATTACCAGCGGTATTAACACTCCAGATATAGGTCCATAAAACGGCAATTATCACGGCGCTAGCCCCCCTTCCCAGGCCTCTACCAACCAAGTGGCATGTTTGTTTCGGTCATGTACTGGCCCTTACCCGTGAGGGATAGGCAGTGGCGTCCTTGTTCCCAAGCCAGCGTCGTATTGCAGCAGCAACTAAGCCCAGGCTCTCGCCGGGTCGTCAAGGCTGCTCCATCCAGGAATCAACCCGATGCTACCCCAAGCCACCAACCGTTATGGCCCCCGGTGGAATCCTCGTTAGTGTTACAAAGACATGACGAAGCAGCATTCTCCTGGCCGGGCTCCGTCGAGGTTGCAGCGGAAACATTCTGGGGTGTCGCAACACAGATCAAGGCCCGGACAGATCGGGGCCATGGGGCACGAGGTACGAGATGCGGCCACGAGAGCGAGGCCAGGCCTTCGCTTAGCAAATGCGGCTCGGAGATTTCACAGAACATGTTTTTGGGAATGCCGTTTCCGGGCCTAGCATGTTTCCCAAACGGCCCTGTCAAGTGTCAACTCCAAAACCCCCGTACTTTGGGATGTGCTCCCGAGACCGGTTCAGGAGACAGGGTCAGTCAAACAACCGCCCGCAACGGCACATTGTCGACAGATGTCCCGCCAGCAGGGACCAGGGCGTGACGAGAACCCCCTCAAAGGAGCCCCCATCTGAGCATCGAGCGGCCTAGTCGGGACAACCGCCTTCGTCCTCCCATCGTGCGCTTCCATCGCGTGCGCTTAACCGCCGCCAGCGGTGCCGTTTCAGCCATTTAGTCCCTCACCGCATCCACGTCACCATGAAACACTGAGACACAGAAGCACACGGCTGGCCGGCGAATCGCCTTCTTTCCATTCCTTCCGGCTGCTCTAGATGCTGTCTCCCTGCTGTCTCCCTGCCGCCTTGGCGCCCAACGCAACGGCTGCCGACGGTTGCGAAGTGTGACGAGAGCGCTGCTTCTGCTTCTGCTGCTGCTTCTGCTGCTACGTGAAGGGGGATACTGGGCCCGTGGGGCCGCCTCTTCGTCCCAACCCAGACCGGCCGATGAGTGCTCCGACCCGCCCCCCCGTGCTCCTTGGGGCGCCATGTACTGCCTACTGGAGGATAATGCCATCGTGACATGCTCGTGAGGTTGCGGTTGTGGCTGGTGCGCTCTCCCACCATACCATCCCAGCACCCCCTCGGCTCCGTCTGGCCGTCGACGTTCCATAGCGAGGACGCACTTGGGCAACCGAGACCAGGCGAGATCTGCCCAACCCGGGTGGCTTGCCCGCGCCGAGGGGCCTAGCGATCCGGGCCCCGATAGGATGTGACAGCTCTCCGGTCAAGCCTCATGATGCTCCACGGCCACCCTCACCGGAACTTTGCTTTGGTACAGGCCCCAGTAGTAGCACACCACTACCGGTCAGTCACCATGGCCAGACCTACGGCTTGCTACGTGGCAAGGGGCCCGCCCGCTGGCCCTATATTATCGCCCGTCTATGACACCTATATCCCACGGCGTATGGCCATCGCGTGCCGGGCAGGGGGTGTCGAACGCGTCGAGAGAGGCTGGGACGCGACACACTTTTCGCCGTCAGCAAAGATGACATGTGTGGAAGGATTCCTCGATGCTTTTTGGGGGCCCAATATTCTCAGGGGCCCGTCAGAATGTGCGGGTTTTCAAAAAGGAGGATTTCAAATACACCATGAGGCAGAGTGGCGACGGCATCGTAGGAGTAGCATGGTATGATTTTCATTAACTATCAAACAAAGAGAGCCCTAATAGGCACCCCCACAAGTATCGTGTTCCCCATAATCTAGCGCTTCCTTCTGTCCAGGTCCATCCGTCATGGTATCCCTAGAAACGCCGGCCATTGCTCGCGCATCACACGCATCACGCACATCGCGCACACCCCCCTTTCCAGCCTCCTCTTCTCCTCTCCCTTCTCCTCTCCCTTCTCTTCCTCGTCCTCCTGCTCAGGCTGGCCTCTTCCCCACCGCCTCCCTCGCCCAGAATCCCGAAAAGTGCAAAGTCGTTCACCAATCTGCCACATCACCCCTAACCAGAAGTACGCCCACCGCCCGCCGAGTCATCCCCAGGCATTATGGCCCGCGTCATCCCTGGTCTCTCACCTCCCAAGGGCCAGAAACCAAAAGGTGGCACCAGCAACGATCAAAAACAAAATGAAACACAACTTCCCGGTTTTGCCACCCCGGTCCATCGACGGGGGTTCCATTAAGTGCATGCATTTGTCTCCTCCCAAGCTATCCCCAGTCTATAGATTTTCGTAACGCAAAGAACAAAGGAGATCGTGGACGTGTGTAGTCGATGAAAATAACAGGGGCTGTTTTTTGAAAGATGGAAAAAAAGAAGACAGAAAATGGAGGAGCAATCCGTCAGGCTCTAAAATTGAGGAGTACAAGAGAAGAAAAAGAGCGTAGGGAGGTCAGAATCAACAACGAAGGATAACGATGCCGACCTGCAAATAGAGTAGTCGAAGAAGATGGTACAGAATAGGAAATCAAATCGTTTCAACGGGGCAGCGGTTTTCTAGATCCGTGTCATCCGCATACCCCGGGTGTCGTGCATTTTCAGAAGGGGGGGGTGTATTATAGGTTGGTAATGGCGATGTGGTCTCGTTTGCGCTCGAGCGCTAGCAACGTTGCCTTGGAATGCGAGGGATAAGGGGAAATTGTTGAATCCGAGGCGAGAGGCCTTGAAAAGGAAACATCGTCAACCTCCATGATTCGAGAATGGAGCCGGTTGCGGATCCCCGTGTTTGGTGGTAATGGTATTGGACCTGGGGCCGTGAACAAACATTGCCACGTCGGACTGACTTCGTTTTTGGGCTACCTCCAGCATTCGTCACCTTCCGTGGAGAGAACGCACCGTCTGCTAGCAGGCTCCAGGCATCCAAGGAGCGATTCCATGTCGTTTGTGCTATAGGAGTCTTGCTAAGGCGAGCTCCCAGCCAAGCCAGTATTGAGGTGTCAGCGCCAACACTCTCCGTGGGTCCCGTCGTTGGCCTCTCCATCACTGTAGTTGTTGCGGGTAAACCACATCCCCAGATTCAGCCGCCGAGACAGCAACAGGGGACATTGATTGTGACATAGTCGTAAGATCCCCACTGGCCATTTGGTCAGCCCGGTCCCGGCACGCTGCGGGAGTGAAGCCGGTGCCGACTTTGTTGGCCACGATCCGCCACTTTTCGTTTTCGTAGTCTTGGAGGGCGTTGCGGAGTTTCTGGTCCTACAGCGTCAATGTTAGTACGCGAGCGCTTGTCTGGTTTGATTATCTCTGCGGCTAGGGGAAGCAACTCAACCGAGCTGAGGCCAGCCAAGGCAGTGAAGGAAGACAGGAGTGTAGAAGGAGAAAAGGGAGTTTGACTTACCGTCTCTTCAGTCCAGTGCGTAGTCTTCGCCTTTAACTTGGTGCAGTATCGCACCTGCAGTGTCCCTGAAGACCGTCCCGGGAAGAAATCCGCTATTTGCTTCCAAGTCAAGTTCTTGTGCTCCTTTAGATCGATTAGGAGCTGGTCATCCTCCGGGGTGAACTTCAGCTTGGGCCCTCGCGGCCGAGGCGCTGGAGAGGGCATCCCAGCCTGGCCCACCACGCTCGGTGCGCCTCCGCCTCCGTCATCACGGCGCATCATCTTTGACGGTGGTCCTGACTCGGGAAGATGATGGTGATGGTGCGTGGGCGCCGACTGGGGTTGGTTCACGGCAGCCGCAGCGGCTTGGGCGTAGGCGGCTCCCAGAGGAGTGTGCTGCATGCTCTGTAGATCCGCGTGGTCCAAGTCAGACAGTCCCGCGACGGAGAGGTCGAGGTCGCTTGGGCGTGGCCGCTTGGAGCCGGCCCCGGGATGCCGCGAGTGCGTTGGTTGAGTCGGGGTCGACATGGCCTGGTACAGCGGCGCCACCACCTGTCCCGGAGCCCCAAAGTGCGCCGGTCCCATCCGGTGATGGCCCAGCTGCGACGGGTCCATCACCATCTGAGGCTGCGTATGCTGGTGGTGCTGGGCCATGGCCGGGTGCGGCTGGGCGTGCGGGTTGCCTTGGTGCGGATCTGCAGCTTCATGAAGACCCGCGGCCGGTGCTCCCGAGTGATGGATCGAGCCTCGGTGTTGCTGATGACGGGAGCGTTGATGGGCGGACGAGTCATATGCGTGCTGATGCTGGCCCTGCTCGCCCGAATGCGACTCCTGGCCAGAGTAGTCCACATTGTAGTCCCCTACTCGATAAGTGCCCGCCAGCGTGCCTCCGAAACATGGGTTCCGCCAGAGCGAACCGCTCTGAACGGTCGCCGGACTCTGGATGGAAAGAATTTGGTTAGAGGGAGCCCTTTCGGGCTGCGTTGTGGAGGGAAGGGACTGGTTTTGCTGCGAGAAAGACGTTGCGGGGTCGCGGGCGCCGCCTAGGCGTCTCGTCTTTGTGGTTGTTCGTCAAGCTATAAGTTAACTCCGTTATTAGCTGCCGAGAAGCCGGGCACATGTGTCGTATGTATCGTCCGAGTCGGGATGATTGGTACGGCCCAGAAGCTTTCCCGCTTCCGTCGCTGGATGAGACTGTAGTGGCTCGTGGTGGAGGGTTGTGTGGTGGGGGAAGTCCTGGCTCGAGTTGGGGATATCGTCGTCGTTATGGGGGAGTCGAAACGAGTGTGTTTGACGCGCGTGTGATCCAAACCAGGGGGGCAAGGCTGAACAATCAAGGGAAAAGGGTGATTATATGGGTGCTGTGAGTCGAGGAAAGTCGAGGAAACAATTATGGTAAAAGGAGCGAGGCGTAATGACGGAGCTATCTTTGAATGAGTCCCGCCACTTCGTAGGGCAGATGTCGGAAAGGCTCCCCCCTCAAGATCTCTCTAGTTCCCGGCCAGGGTCCGTATTTAAGACATATGTGCTAGGAACCTAACCGGGCCAGCCAGGGTAAGGGACGCATTACATCGTCTGATGATCGAGGGCCAAAGCAGGGTCACAGAGAGTGTGGATCTACTGCTGCCACTCTTTCATGCTGCAGGCTAAAGGCCATCAAGATTCGCCTTTCCCTGCGAGAGGGTACCCCGTCTCGTGCTAGGCTGCGGAGACTGGCTGCCAACCTTGGCCAGGGAGGGGGGGGTAGTCAATTAGAGCGTATTATGCCATGGCTCCTGGGGGTGTTGTATATAGAAACAAGCGCCACCCCTCCCCTGATGCCAGCCGGCACCCACAAGGGCCATAATGCCCTAGAAGGGTGGGAGAGCAGCTCGCTCAATGCACGGTTGTTCTGTCAAGACGGCAATTTGCTGCTGTTGAATCCCTGCGTACCCAGCAATTGAGGAGGTGACTGTCTCGAAGCAGACATGGAAGCTCGCAGAATGTCACCGCCTATTGGAGGAGCCGGCGAGGATGAAACGCGCCTCGCCCGAGCGTTGCTTGGCCAGGCTGGACTGAGCTGGCAGTGAACAACGGGCAGCAGCATGACAACGGACAGCACGCATCCCGCAGCTTTTCTGGGTCAAAGGAAGGCCGTCAGGACCAGACGCCGGGTTAATTGCGTGGCAGGCAGACTGAGAAAAAATTGTTCCGGTGCTTGCAGGACTGCAGGACAGGGAATGGGCCACCAAAGTCGATGGGGGACAGGGGTGGTATAATGCAACAGGGTCTGCTATATTAGATTGATGCACCCAGGAATCACGGACGCCGACTGAACTAGATCGTGACCAAATGTATCTCCACCAGCCAGGAACTGCCACTCGACAAGTCTGGCCCATAAACAAGGAAATACCATGGCTAGTGGCGAGGACGACAAGAACCGGGGATCCGGCGCGGATCCAGATTGGTAAAGGGGGCACGCACGTCATGATGGCACTCTGCATCTGGATCGACAGCTCAGCCAACTGTGGCTTGGGCAACGAATGTCCCCCACCAAGGGCGAATTGAGGCGGATGACGCGCCCACAGGGACCAGACTTTGAGGTCGGGACAGGGCCCGGACGGAGATGGGAACGATAGAGGGCACAAACCGACCTTCCGGAACCGAGCCAAAGGAGATCAGGGGGCTGAGGATTGCGGAAGCCACTGCTGTGGAAGAGGGACACCGAGATGAGGACGCTGACACTCGGCTTGGCGGAAGCCGTGGGGTGAGGTTGAGCTGGGCTGTCGACGACGGCCGTTGAGCAGCACATACACATGCGGCTGGGTAGTTACGCGATGCGGCGATGCGCGCCCCCAGAAAGAAACGCCCGGACGGGACCAAGATCTTGGGCCCATGAACGCCATGGACCCTATGGACGCCCTAGATGACTTCCAGCGGCTGGTCGGCCGATCAGCTGCCAATCCAGTGCCGTGGCGGTTAGAATCAGCAGGACACGGGCCACTGAAGGCTGATCAACGGCTGGCGCTTGGGAGGCAGCCCTAGGCGCGTTCGGGGACTCCAAAATTGCACACATCAATGCTTAATGCCCCTTAAGGCGTCCCCCCGCGGATATGCAGCACGCGTCGCCAGGGCACCAGTCAGCTGTCAGGCAGGAGCACGCATTCGAGGAGGTCGACCCGGGAGAGAAGGATATGACCGCCCAGGGGAGATGCGCATGAGGGAGCCGAGGGTGTCACGGAGCCTCGCGTCCCCGAGCCGACCCAGAAAACGAAGACGCCATCAGCCACATCACAGTGCCGTCTCAGGGACCTGGTCTGCATCATGGCATATTGGCATCGAGGGGGATCCGATTCCAGGGCCCCGGCACAGGAGTCGGGATGAGCTTCTAGAAGCCCCTTCTAGCGTGTCCAGGGCGCGTCCAGGGCATGCCCAGCTAGCGTAAGGACCCTAGCTTTGGGGTGGAGAGGACGAGGGGGAGGAGAATAGATGTCATTGCGATTGGGAGAGAGGGTGAACGGACGGTCGGTCGTCTTGCAAGATTCGGGCAGGTTGAGCGATGACAGGTGGGTCGAGAGCTGGCATGCGTGACGTTGCTGCTGATAAATGGAATGAGTGTTTGGTGAGAGTGGAAAAGGAGGAAAATGAGAAACGGCCGGGGATGATAACGACGGGATGCAGTGGGAAAGTGGGCAAGCGGGCAGGTGGCAGGGAAGGAAGGGGGGGTGATGATGGGAGGAGGCTCAACTCAATGGAAGCCGGGAAGGAAGGCGTGATGGAGCTAAAGGAAGAAGAAGAAAGCCGGAAGGCGCCTACAATACGAGAAACAAGACATGAGAAAGTGGATTCTAGCACCCAACCAACTCAACGACATACGCCAAACCAACAGCAAACCACCAACCAACACCATCGCCAACGAATGAAGACGGACGCAATCCAAGACTCACTTCTCACCTTCCCCTCTCCCCTCCGCTCTCTCCCCTCTCCATCGCCCGCCCATCGACCTTCAGCTCGCACCACGCGTACATGATGGAGGCAGTTGATACGCCGCCGGCCCGAAGATTCCGGCGAACTTAAATCGCCTGGCATCCATCTTCAGCTGGCCGCATGAGGGCCGCATCCACCTTTGCCCGTTGGTGCTGCTTATCCGCAGCGCCATTGCGTTGCAGCCGCGTCCGCATCGCATCGCCTTGCATCGCATCGCATCGCATTTGCAATCCACCGCGGACTAGTCCACCGAGACGCCACGACCACGCCGCACGTCCGCGGCGCGGCCCAGTGCAGATGCAAATCTCATTCATCCGAAGCCTAATTGATGATGGGGATTACTAGTACTAGTGGCACACAGGCACTTTGGTATTCGCACAGGGGTGCAAGTTGATTTAATCAATTTTATTTAAGCCTCAGTTGAATCGACGTAGGTAGTTAGGCGATGGGCGCAGTCAAAGAGGCGTTCTTAGGCTGATAAGGCCTACGTGGGTTAGTTTATTTAATAAAATAAATAAAATAAGAATAAGAATTATGATGACGATGAATTGTACGAATCAACCGGATTGACTTTACTAGAATGCTATATTATATGTGTTATTGGGAACTATCTTTGGACTCGTGGTGCTCTACTCTTGTCATCCAGGAACCGACTGCCCAGTTGTGGCCACGAACCAAACCCACATCCACCAACTCGATATCCCCCCCCTTCCAAAGTATGGGGCATGATCGGCATCGTACCGAGCTCAACCAACAGCGGGATGGATCAAGGGCGTGGGATCGCCCATCCCCTAAACGGGCGCCCGCCCAACGGTCAACGGGACACTCGTACCACCGCTTGCGCAGGTACGGATGCCGGGCTGACCAGAGCGCAGCACACTATCGATTAGGGTGCGGGCCCCCTTGCGCCTTGAGCCTTGTCGCCCGCCCGGCAGGGTAGATACGAATAGCAACAAAAGAGCGGAGGGTAGTACCTAGCAGTAAAGTAGTAGGGTAGTAAGGTAGTAGGGTAGTAGGGTACGTAGCGGATCGACGTCAGCAGCAAGGAGACCACGGTCTATACGAACCTCGGGGGTCCAACAATGGGGAACGATGACGGAATCGATGACACCTCAGTCCGTTCGCCACTACACACACTACACACCTTCGCTGGGCCACACTCAACGACACTCGACAACACCATCACGAACGCCTTCAAATCTACAGCTCCGAATTCCTCGGTCGAGCTCCTTCTCAATGCAGCCTGCGTGCCCCCGGCTGGCCCCGGCTGCCCCGTGAGCTCCGGCTCCGGACCCGCCGTCTCGACGCGTCGGTGCTCTTTTGGCCGTCGTCCGCATGCGTGCGGATGCATGAACGCATAAACAGCAATTTCAGTCCCCCACAAGACCAGCTCACGGCGCGGTTCCACGCCCACGCCCTCGGTGAAGCCGCGGCCCGGCAGCATCCCAGCTCTCTCTCCATTCTCTCTTCCCAGCTGTCCAAATTATCCCGGCTTTTCCAGCTAGTATTCCAATTATCCTAGCTCTCCCAGCTTTACATTCTCCCCCCTCCTCATCCCGTCCCAGCAAGTCGGTCGGGAGCCTCGCCCTTGACTTGGGTCACCCATGCACTCTTTGTCCCTTTCCCTTGTCCATTTCCCATTCCCTTTCCGGCCTCCCCTTCTTCCAAGCTTCTTTTCGGCTTCTTCCCGCCCATCACTCAATTAATCGCTACCGAATCTGGAAGCCCACCCGCCCACTAATCCCAACGTCATCATCGATAATTAACACAAATTTCGGTCTCGTGATTGATCATTTTGGACCTCAATTGTTCGGTAAATGCCTTTTTTTTTCTTCCTATCTTTACAATATCGACCCGTATACCATGTATCCCACGTAGGTAGCTTAATCAATTACAACAGTTGGCTCCCAGCTTCTACAACAAATGGAAGAACGCCTCCCCCCCGCATAAACCACGCGCACACCTCCGACGCTTCGCTTGCGGGTGCTGACCCCTCCGACAAGCCAAGCCTCAACCACACCCCTGTGCGGCCCAGTCAAAACATGTCGCATCTCGTCGCATCCCGTCCCGCCGTCAGCCCAGATCAGATTGCCGCAGCTTCACGTCTTAGTCTGATCCGTCGTTTCTTCTCCTCCTGTCTGTGCTTTTCGCATGATGCTCATCCATCCATGTCCTCCTTCGTATCGCGCCCGCCGTATCCGATGTCCGGTCCAATGTCCCTTGCCGGTGCCATCCTCCATCATGCTCATGCCCATCTCTTGCCCGATGCGTCTGTTTCCGAAAGACGTTTAGGCAAAATTGTCCGATCGATCCACCCAAATGTCTTCCAGCTCAGCGAAGCTGTGGAAGTGGACCGGTCGGTGCTGGTCGCTGTAAAAGGGGAGCGGTGTGTCCAGCTTGACGGGTACCGATTTCTTCTCCATGCCGGCGAAGGCGGTTCCCATGAAACTGTAGTTCCACTTGCCATCAGCCGGGACCAGGAAGAAACCCCTGAATCTGAGGCTCAGCAGAAGTTTGCGCTTCTCGCCCATCGTCGTCGTAAACCCCTGCGGCTGGTCGCTTTGCGTGTCCTTGTTTTCGGCTCCCCACTTGTAGCCCGCAGGCGTGAGGCCCCAGGCGGACAGTGACACGCTACCGGGAGTGAACGAGACGGACAGAGTCGCCGTGTTGGTCTTGTCCCACTCAGAGTGTGAATCCAGAAGCTTTGAGTGCTCCGTGACGTCCATGGCCGACATGTACGGCAGCTCATTGCCAGACATGGTGTGGATCACACCAAGGGGTTCCATGCCCTCGAGGTACTCGCTCTGCGGAAGCTGTTGCTGAAGCTGCACGTTGCGCAGACCACCGATCTGTGGGGCCATGACGATACACTTAATCTCCTTGATTTGGTCGTTGTCAGGCGCCGAAGAGCCATACAGGTAACCAGCCACTTGCACCCTCAGATCCGCAATGGTGATGAAGCGCTTGAGGATGTTGTTGGGCATGACATAGGTAATGTCGTCGACGTCGTTGTCGACAGACGAGACATAGATATTCTTGGCCCTGGTCCGCAAGTTTGATGTGGCAATGGCACGTGTCCGCCATTCCGTCTTGGACGCAAACGTCTGTTGTTCAAACTGCGAGGTCGTAGTCACGATAATCTCCTCACCGTGCACATTCTGAGTCTTGGTGGTCACGGCAGTCAATTGCTGTTGCTCTTGCTGCTGCTTCTCGATCTCGGCGGCCTGCTGTCGCTGCATGGACGGTGCTGAGATCTCCATACCCAAGATGATGTCTCGTACTTCACTGCTCGTCAGACTAGACACGTTGACGTTATTCTTCTTTCCGTAGTCATTCAGGATGAGATCTCGGAGCTGCGTTTCAACCTTGATCCACTCCTCGTCGGACAGCGAAGGCCAGATGTGATGGTCGTGGGTGATGACAGTCTTGTCGGGTCGGAGGATCAACTTGGTCTTGTCGGGGTTGACATGCAAAGCACGGAGGATCAGTACGAGACGAGAGAAGGCAGTGTAGGATGAGATGCTCTTGAGCCACTCATCATACAGGTTGAAGAGCACCATCTGAGGCTCAGTAGCACGCAGAATCATGTCTCCTAGCTTCTCGACCTTCATAGCAGCCTGGAAAGGAAGCTGCAACTCGGAGGCACGAATGGAGATGTTGGGGAAATCCAGCAAATGGACCTCAAGAGGATCCAAAAGACCCTTTCGAGTAACGATAAGCTGCTTCGGCTGCTCTTCAACGGGAAGTGAACGAATCAGGGCGGCAACTTCTTCGGCAGTCTTCCACTTGGCCAACTGGCCAAGACGCTTCTGTCCGGCCCAGACGCTAGTGTGGATGATCTTCAAAAAGAGCTGACCAGTACGAGGGTTGAAAATAAAGATGGCACCGTTGATGGGCTTGGTCGTCAAGTTACCCTCGAACGTCTTGTGAATGGTGACACGGTAGACGTTGGTGTCATCGATGAACAGCTGAGTCTGGTTGCTGAAAAGTTCAGAGTAGTTCTGGGAGTTCAGGAACTCTTGGTTGCTCTCTGAAGCGTAGAGCTGCAGACCCTTGCGGATACGCTCACGCAGAACGTACAGAGCCGGGTTGGCCTTCATGACCTTGGCCATGGCCTGCTGAACCAGCACCTTCAAGCCAGGGAAGTACATGCCGTAGGCAGAGTAAAGGTTGTACGCAAGATCGATTCCAATCATGAGACCGGTAGCAGAGGGATAGATACTGGCGCTGTCGGTAGTGTAATCAAGGTACTTGGCACGAGTGTATCGCTCAATGTCGTGAGAGTCGTAGTCACCATATCGGAGCTGCACGTCGACCCAGAATTTGTTGGTGGTGGTGGGTTCAATGACGTCCTTGGTATCGTAGAGGAGCGACGGTCGGGTGACGTTCCACTTATGACTAGCAAAGAGCAGGATATCGGCACAGGAGCTGTTCATCTTGTAAGACTTTCGCGGGTGGATGGTTTCCTTTTGGACAGTCTCGATGCCAAGTGACTCCAGTTCCTGGTCGAAAACCTGGCAAAGATCCATCACAACAGACTCGTGAATCTTTTGCCACAAATGCGCTCGGAAGATCTGGATGAGCGAAATTTTGAGAGTAGGAATCTTTCCGTGCAAGAAAATTCCCGTAAGATCCAGTTGAACCTGGAAACCCACGTATACGTTGGCTCGGTTTATGGTTGGTGACCACCACAGAGTGAACCGACGATTCGGGATTTGATTCAAACCGGACCTCTGCGCATTCGTAAGCTTCTTGAATTTCATCGCTAAAAATAAGTTAGCTCAATAACCATCGACCGGAGGAGTAGAATAGACCGACCCTCTAAAAATAAGTTAGCTCAATGACCATCGACTGGAGGAGTAGAATAGACCGACCTTCAAACCCGCTAGCTTTTTCCCAAAACAAGCCCTCCCAAGATGGAAAACCGGTTGCTTTAAAGAGCGTGTGCTCAAGAATTGTCTCCACGCCACCGAGGGCCTGAATAACATCGGTTCGGTAAGCGTTCAGGTTCCACAATTTTCCGTCATGGCGCTGACTAGTCCACCAAAAAGGGTTACTCTTCATCAGCTGGTAAATTTTAAACTCAGCTCGGGCCCGGAATCCTTTGTCGAAACTTAGGGTGCTTCGATCCTTTTGGAACAGGGTGTTGATACGGGGTAAACCGCGATCCCAACTGTCCTCAAGATCCTCGAGGGTCAAACGACGGTTCTGCTGATTAGCCTCAAGACGCTTCTGCGAGTACTCTGTCCAGACTCGCTGAGAGTCAATAAACTCTGCCTCCCAGGGGATGATATAACGGAAGATATTGGGGATCAAAGTCTCCTCGTCATGAGTCATACCAGCACGGTAGTGAGTGACGCCAGTGTCGGTTTGCTTCGACCAGCGCTTGTCACTGGCAGGGATCAAGATGTGAGAGCCAGAAATCATACCAAGGCCACCGAGCTCCTTCGGGGTGTAGAAGACAGCAGGGGGGAAACGCGAAGGCATTTTGGAGTTCAGTCCAATTTTCACTCGGGTCTGAATCTTCGTCTCGCACTTGACGATCGTGTCAAGCAGGTCAACGGTAGACACAGCAGCTTCTCGGTAGTACGTGAAGAGGGCGATCAAAGCGGTGTTCCACTTATTGGCGATCTTAGTGAAGGTGGTGGAGCCTGAAGACATAAGGATTTGTCGAATTCGGTTGTTAAACTTCTGAATATCCTCCTCAGTAACTTGCAGGAAGGCGTGTGCTGTTCGCTCCTTGGTAGTGTTGTCGACGAGTGACCAGACGCTGTCCTTGACTGGGAACTCCTCGTTCTGGTTTCGACTCTTGGGCAAGATGCGGACCTCAAAGCCAGCCATCGAGAACAGCAGGTTGGGGTTGTCACGGCTGTATACACTGGCGAAGCTGTCATCCCAATCAATTGTAGTGACTGATCGGGGAAGGCGGTTCTTGATGTCCCAGAAGACGGCTCGGCCCAGGTTAACATCGTGTCGCATCAAGCGCATGCGAGAATCTCTGGGCCAGCACTTCTTGCTCTTGTAGCCAATGACGTTCTCGAAGTTAGGATCCGGTTGCTCCGTGAGGAAGCGTTGAATGAGATCTCTCGACTCTTCAGCGGTAAATCGAAGGAAGATCCAAATCTTGTCAATGTATCGAGTGTACAGACGAATCGGGTGTCTAGTCTCCGTTTCGCGGTCGCGGAACTGCAAGAAATCGTTGGGGCTTTGGGGAGGTCCAGCAATCTCGCTGGCTCGCTGGGGACCAAGGAGCAAAAGATCCAGGACAAGGCCGTAGTACTGAAACACGAATGCCGAGAACTGGAGACCTCGGATCATACCATAACTGTTGACATGGTTCATATCCTTGTAGGTGAGTTGAACGTTGTTCTTGGCAGTGATATAATCAGCCAAGTTGTGATCCATGATCAACCGGAGGAGAGAGTTGAGTAGGGTGAGCTCCATCTTCTCGTAGACCTTGGAGAGCTCGGTCTGAATCATGACGTTGCACTCTCCGTTCTCTGACTCCCACACACCACCCAAGTTGTTAATGCCCTGGGCCCACTTGTACACCAACAATGGGGGAACCTCGGAATCGGATGGCTTGATCCATGCGGGGAAGAGATGTCGCTGGTCAGCCTGATACCAGAGGTACTGGTCCAAGTAAGCATCGCTGATCTTCTCGATGGGCTCGATGTCGTAAACGGGGTTGATGGTGCTGTAGTTGTCGTTCATGTCGATGTTGACCTCCTTGAAAGCTCGCTGGGTGAGCAAAAAGCGCTTGATTCGCTCGAGAGTAGTTCCGGGACTATCATATGCCTGCTCAATCAAGGCCAACTCTTCTCGCTGGCTCTGGTTGAGACGGCCCTTAACTGAGTAGGCCTCTCTGAGTCGCTCCAGAGCAAGGATCAGGATCTTGGTGTCGTGCTTGTATGACACACTGGGGAAAGGAATGGGAGAAAACTTGCGCGACTCCAGCCAGTGAACAGTGGTGGTGTAGATGGCAACAGCCTCCTCAGATGAGACATAAGGACCATCCTTCATGTGGTTGTGCTGTCGTTCCTGCTCAGCCTTCAACCAAAGTCGGGTCAAACGGCCAACATTCTTCTTCGCCACGGTCTTATCGACCGTAGCTCCTCGGCGAATACGCTCACGGTTGTAGTGAGCGACAGAGACCCACCAATCAGCCTTGGACTTGACGTATCGAAGGATGATATTCTCGATAGGTGCCGGCAGGCCAGGAACCTTCCAGGGGATATTACTCTTCCAGCATCTCCATGCCTCGGAAAGATGCTGGAGAACGGTGTTGACCTTGTTTTGCTTGATACCCTCGGGCATCATGTCCATCAAGTCAGCCATGACGGACGCGCGGAGTTCCAGATCGAAGTGGGACTCCACACGCTGCTTGGTAACAGTCTTTGCAACGCCCTTGCTGTGTCGACCCTCAAATTGACGGGACAGAAGGTTTCCCAACCATCTCTCAAGGAGGGGAATGATACCTCGCATGAAGAATAGCCACACTCTCCACGCAGGGGCCCAGAAACCACAACCGGGTCCCTTTCCAACAGGCCCAGAGTTAAATCGGTAGTAGATGAGATGCTTGAGATCTTTGCATGTTCGGATCTGGTGCATCAACTTGTACTTGTATCGGTACATACCGGTGAGCTGACCGACGTGGTTGAAGGCATACAGGATACCATCAGCAAGCTGGAAAGCATCAATGTTGCCCAGTCTATATTGAACTTGAGCATCAACAATCAGCTTCGTCAACCTCAAGATTTCACGCATCAGATGGAACGCATTTCCGAATCGAGACTTCTTTCGCTCCTTGGTGGTAAGGGTCTTAACGGGCTTCAAGTTGAAGTTGTAATCAAGATGAAGGTACGTAAGGTTCTTGCGATGGATCAGGAGGTTCAGCATGTTGAAACCCTGTCGACACACTTGCAGACCAGCCTCCACCCAGTCAATGGTAGTTTGCTGGAAGAACTTGGTTTGCTTCAAAGACTTCAGCAGGTTCTGCTTGTTCTGGGCTTTGGGCGTCTTCTTGTGGAGCTCATTGAGAACGTAGTTCTTCAGCAACTTTTGGTATGAAACTCGGACCTTGACTGGGGGTCGATCAGAAGGAGCATGCTCCAGATACCACTGCTTAACCAGAGGAACATCCTGAGCTCGAACCATTTGTCCTGATCGTCGATCGAAGGGGAATGGAGCCCACCACAGCTCAACTGCTGAAGATGTGAGCTCGTTCTCCAGCTCCTCCTCGTCGAGGAATGGTTGGACACCCGCGGGAAGCTCAAAAGCATCCTCCTCGGGCTCCTCATTATTTCCAGGGCCGAACAATTCATCCTCGTGTGACACCTCGACGTTCTTGGATGCAACCGTTCGCGACGAGATAGGGTTGATACGGCGGTCAAAGTGGAAGGTTGGGAGATCGGGGTCATCGGCTCGGTTGAAGACAACCTGAGGGTGTGAGTGCCACGACTGGTGCACGCTTCTCGGTAGGGAGTTGTAGAGGTATGGGAATGCGACCCGGAATTCCGTTCGGATCGGGTTTCGGAAGATGATGCGGTCGATCGCATTGAACTCGCCAAAGTCCTCGTCGTTAGGGTCAATATCCTTGTACAGAGGCTCGAATCGGGGGCCACCAGGCAGGGCCACGTTGAGCGCCTTGGCTGACAATAAACTCTTGAGTTCGAAGAGATAGAAGTAGTTCTTATCCACAACATCGGAGACGAGAGGTCGACTGAGACGGAAGAGCGTAGCCATCTGGGGCAAGGTGAGGTTCCAAGACTTGTAGCTGGGTCCATTGATGTGGGGGGTGTCCATCAAAGGTCGGTGGTCATAGAACCACTCGTATACGGCCTCGTCGTCATCTTCGTCCAGCTCCATCTGAATGGGCTCAAGGGGCTCCACGTCCTCAATGTTCTCGGACCACGACAGTGGAGGTTCTTCGTCGTCAAAGGGTGGGAATCGCATGCGCTTGAACAACCTTCGATCAGCCTTCTCCTTTCGCATGAACGTCCACATCATTGCCCACTGTGCAAAGAATACTGGTTCGATGACTCGAGGAATTTCGTTGACCAGGGTCAGGCAGCCGTTCACGTGGTAGAGGACCTTCACTTCGCGTGCGGATTCCCACGGCATGGGCATGTTCTCGAGAAGCTTCAAGACCGCATGGGGCATGAACTTGAGGGCTCCCAGGTAGCTTCGCTTGTCGTTTGTGTACTTCTTCTGCGACACATCACCAATGTCCTTGACGATCTTTCGCAGATGCTCAGGTGGCATATCCGCCTTTTGCGACTGAACGAAGCCTCCCTTGCGCTTCTCGCCGAAGCGGTTGCGCTGGGTCCGAAGCCATTCCTTCTTCTTCTGTGCGAACTTTGCGATCTGGGGGTCGGTCGGGGGGCGATAGCCTGGAGGAGGAGGCGCAGGCGTCGATGGGGGTGGCGGCAGCGAGGACGAAGGAGGTGGAGGAGGGGGAGGACCCCAGCCCGGAGGAGGCGGCGGAGGGGGCTGCGACATGATGGCTTCGCGATGCGCTCAAATGTCGATGATCGTGGAGCTGCCTGTCGAAGGCTTCACGCCGTCGCGCCTGTTTCGACGCGCTTCCACTTCTGACTCCTTTTGTATAGGGTCAGGGCGGGAGATAGGTGTTTGTCGCGGGATTCCGGTGATGAAATAGAAGCCGGTCGCGCGGAATTTTGCGCAGCGACGACCAAGGCGAGATTTGATGCAAAGCTCTTGATTGAGAGTCGCCCCCGTCAAGACAATTTTCCTGACGGACAAGAGACGCGCTATTAAGGTGTGGGGCCCGTCACGTGATTTGTCTTGGCATTGATGATATCTCGAGAGAACCACGAAACGAAAATAATACTCAACAGCATTTGTGTGTCCCTCTTATATTCTGCGGCCCTGCATAAGGTTGTTTTCGGCAGGTGACAAAATCATCACGTACAATCAGCAAGGTCATTGCCTACAGATAGCAGGGTCATCGCCTACAGACAGCAAGGTCACTATCCACGGGCATCAAGGTTGTCTGTCGATTATCATGTGAGATGGTTGAATTGAGCGCTTGAAGCAAACTTGGCTGAGCAACATATTTATTGGGTGGATTATTATATCTGCTGGTACGGCATGTTATAATACTCACGTATCTCTAGTGTTTGCAACTGCTCGATGGATTTAACACGACTGGTGTAATTGAGTAAACATACGAGTAAATCCACAAAGAGGTTGATTAGAAGATATTTGACTAGGTTTAAACCAGGCGCAACCTATACGAAACAATATAAGCACATAGACATAGAACACTACCAAAATAATCACAGACCATAGGTGCAAGTGAGAGGTATAGGGTATGTCGGTGAGTTGGGCAACGCCTGGCCAATGACATGCATTGGAATTTAGTTACCTAAGCCTTAAACTTCAACTCCCGCGCATCGTCAGTCCAAGGTGAACGACCTCAAGCTCGACCACCCAGCCGGCCAATTCGCCTCCCACCCGCTCCAGCCAGACACCCGCTGCCGTCGAGTCAAAATGGCGCACCTCAGTATGCCATGCACCTCTCCCATTGACCGCATCCTGCTAACCGCCCTGTGCCAGACGTCAAGCCGGACCCGGCTTACCAGAAGTTTCAGGGTGCGTGACTTCCCCCGTCCTCCGGCATTCGAACCGACCACGTCCTCGAGCTGCCCCTCTAACGCGATGGAATACAGCTATGCAGAAGGCCCGCCACAAGTTCTTCCGATGGACGCCCCGAACCGCCAGAATCACCGTCATCTACGTTGCCGTGATCCCCACCATCATGGGAATCATTGCCTACAAGACCGACGTGAGTTAGCCGAGGACTGCCGAGAGTGCAGTACACTGACGATCTACAGGGACTCTGGGACTTCCGAGGGAAGCGAAGGGGAGATCTCATCGTTGAGCGATAAATTCAGTTTGGGATGTGGTGGCGTGGGACTTGTGTACATATATTGGGTTCACTCTGGGATAGAGACTGCATCGGAATCCAGTCGAGAGAAAGAGACTACAACAACAACAACGTGCCCAATTTGATTGACGTGAAAACCTCAGATGAATTGCTCCTGAAAATTGGGTATAATATAACGTGACGCCGCCCTCCTGGCCCTCGATATGCTTCGGGTATCTTCCATCACCGCCATCCCCTGCCTCTTGCTCTTGGTCCAGAACCAGGGCCATCAGGTAACCTTTCGCCTCTCCTCCATTCTCCCATAGGAAATCCGCCTCCGATATCATCTCTCCACCCACCCCTTCCTCCCCGGGGGCCACCACGACCATTGCCATTCTCCCGGCTCTGGAACCCTCCCCGGAAGCCGCCACGACCTTCCCGCGGAGCCATGGCTGGCTCTCTCCGGGCGATCGGTGATGGAGCCACCGAGCCATCCGACAGAGGCGGTATCACAGCGCAGGATATATAGTCCCCAACCACGAACCGGGCGTCGTTCAGTGTTTTGTCCTTATCCTTCAATCCCTTCACTGATCCGTCCATCTCGACATCGTCCGATAGTTCCACACTCGGTTCTCCCTCGCCAATGACGATGCTGCCTAGATCCTTGACACCGAACCGAGGTTGTGAATTGCTGACCGTACTGGTATTGCGAAGATCTGGGAAGACGAGCTGGAATGCGAGGCGGGCACCGATGGCGGGTGAGGGGAGGGCGGACGGTTTGGCAGCTGCTAGCTCGAGGGCGAGCTCCTTGAGGGTACAGTCAGACCATGTGTATATCGGGACATGCGGTGGTAAAGAGGGCGATCCAAACTCCTCTGGTCTGAGAGTGAGTTGAGTTAGCACGGGCTGGGATCGCAAAAGTTGAAGCTGCAGAGATGCGGTTCCATCATACCTGTGGAAAGTTCCTTGGCGATAGAACAGCTGAACCAGAAAGGGAGCCACGTCTTCGCGGGCCGGCTTCGGCGGAGGCGATGACATATCGAAGTTATGGTACCGTATTAAAATATCGAAGAGTCTTGTTTTCGTCGAGTCATTATTTAGTTGCACATTGTTCTGGTCGACAAAGGTTACATGATGGCCGAGGCCTGCGCGCATCACTAGGCTCACCACTGAATTAGCCGGGATATTTCCGCAATCGATAACCAGCATGCGATGGTCCTCATGGGTCCAGTAACTTACACTTTGCGACATCTTCGTCAATCCAGTCAACATCAAGAACCACCTGTTTGGTTTCATTCCTTTACGCTACGAATACTACAATCTACTGATTAAGCCTACGAATAGCATCCCCGAACTCCCGAGCGTCGCACCCGCAAAGATGGACTTCGCTGCGTTGATGAACAAGGAGATGTCGAAGTCCAAGAAGAGCAGCAGCGACAACAAAAAGTTCCTAAAGCGCTCCGAAGTCGAAGCCCAGCGCAAAGAAGCCTATATCGCCGAACAAAAAGCCCTCGAGACGGAGCGCGAAGCCAAGGCTGCGGCTAAGCGCAAGCGCGAGGAGGACATCGCCGCCGAGACCGTCATCCGCGAGGACAAGCGCCGTAAGCTTGCCGAAGAGTCGCGCAAGCGCCGGGAGGAGCAAGAATTTGAGGAGGAGCGCGTGCGACGTAAGCGTCTAGGCCTGCCGGAGCTGGTGCGGAAGACGGGCGAGGAAGAGGAGGAAGATACTGTCGCTGGAGGCGAGGATATACCCGAAGAGGAGCTGGTGGCCAAGTTGCGGACCCTGGGCGAGCCAGTGGCACTGTTTGGAGAGGGCCATGCATCGCGGTTGAGGCGATATAGGAAGTTGACAAGGGTGATGACCAAGGGGCCGATCCCGACGACTCTGGAGCTGGTGGAAGAGAAGGACATGAAGGTTGATACCAAGGTGCCCCAGGATCAAGAGGGCCGGAAGTGGCTGTTCCGGCAGCTGGCGAGCTACTTTACAATGGTTCTCACAGAGTACGAGAGGGCCATGGATGCCGAGAAACGGGAGACGAGCGCCAGCAAGACGGCATACAACGCCATGGTACAGACTCGCGAAAACATGAAGCCGGTAAGTCTCTTCCACGACGCTGCAAGCCCACCATGACTGACACCAACACAGCTCTTCCGCAAATTCGAACAAGGCGACCTCGAAGACTCCATCATCGCGCCCGTCATCGAGATCGTCCAGGCGCTGCAGGAGCGCCGCTACGTCGACGCCAACGATGGGTACCTACGTCTCAGTATTGGCAAGGCAGCATGGCCCATCGGAGTCACCATGGTTGGTATCCACGAGCGTAGCGCTCGCGAGAAGCTGCACAACGGCGAGAAGGGCCACGTTATGGGAGACGAGATCACACGCAAATACCTGCAGAGCATCAAGCGCTGCCTCACCTTCGCGCAGGTGCGGTGGCCGCCGACGGATCTCCGGCAGTTGATGGGCTGAGGACCGGACGCAGGGGACCAAAACATGGGGATGGTCCGCGCGGAGGAGACCAGGCTAGGCTACAAACTACATTAATGATACCCCCGCAAGTTAGACAAAACGGAGCAAGACAAGAACGATTAAGGACACCTCATCTGGCTCTCTCCCCGGGAATAACAGGTTCGTGATTGGTCTGTGTAAACTATGCCCCTTTGCGCCTGATCTAATCTTGCAAGGTACGTCATTTGACGTGCCGTAGTAACCGGGACCCTGAACGCCTGGGCCGTGATGTATGCATTCTCAACTCTGATTCGGTATCGTCGTTAAATGGCCTCTTCTCGCTCCATCCTCCCCAAAATAATCCGCCAAACAACGGTGGTTGTTGTCAAATAGGCATGGCTCCGCGGATAATTCATCCTCCACTCGATTTGGTCAAAGAGGAGACGGTCAGTTTTGAGCCTCAACTCCACTGGGGAGAGACTTGTCGTCGAACCACTCCTCAGTTACCCTGGCACCCTGCTTTTTCTGTCCGGCCACTTCGAGGCCGGCAGCCATGAGACTCATACGGCGGAGTCTCTCTCTGGCTTCCTGCTCGTACTGACGCGCAACCTCCAGAGCCTCCTTCTGCATCTCAAGACGAGGGTCTGGAACGACGGCAATAACCAACTACACCATCATGTTAGTAACGTGCTTATGTTGGATTAAGCGAAGACTCGTACCTTGTTCTTGCCGTCCAATCGAGCCTTAAGAGTGCCCTCGCGAATCATGTCCACGAGTTCTTGTTCGATAGTGTCTTCCTTCTGGGCAAAAGCCTCGTTCATGGTGTCAATGGTGACACATGAGAAGGGTACGAAATACTGGACAATAGATTTGCTGCGGATCTGCGCGTATATGGCGGGGACGTGTCGCTGCAGGTGGATATCCAGCATATAATCGGTGCGAACTGACTCAAGGATCGACAAGCAACTCGAGTATCGGCCGTTGACGAAGAGGCTGATTGCCTTTCGGATATGGGACTCATGCTCCAAGAACGTCCGGAAAGACTGGTTGTCTAGCACACGAGTCTGTAGATCCTTTCGGTCCATGGTGGCCAGGGCTAGCAGCCCTCCGTAGACGGCGATGTCGTTGGGGCTTGCGATGTGGCTGTACGTTGACGAGGGCACGCTGAAGTCGGCCTGGAGGAAGCTCTTTGCAGCTTCTTGGTAGTGGTTGAGACCCAGGAGGGCAATTCCCGAAACGATCTTGGTGTAAACCTGAAGGGACTTATCCTCGTCGTTCATTTGGACGCCGGTGATCTTTCCGAGGTTGGAAAGGGCCATAGACCAGTCGCGACGCTGGAGGGAGACGCTGACGAGATGCATCCCGCAGTCGACGATGTGCTTGGCAGTGCTCACGTCTTGACGCATCCTGCTGTATGCTTCCGCAGCATCGTTAAGGGAACCGATCTTCTCGAAATGACGACCGAGGTCTTCATGACCCATCTAGGCGGGGGAATGCTGTCAGCTGACTGCAATGTTAACACTTAGCCGGTGTTGACTTACCCGGATGCTTTCCTTGATTAGATTGTTCTTGTATCCTTTCAGCTCAGTCTCGAGGCGTGCGGTTTCTGCCTTGTTTGCACGCTCAGTGTTTTCTACCCACCCATCATCTTTCTGGGCCTCGGGCTCGTTTGGCGCCGCCATACGAATGTAATCCCATGCTTCTGTGTATCGTGTCACGTCCGATCCGGCCTTGGCCTCCACTATGGCGCCCTTGAGGGCATCGACACATAGCGGTACCGAGCACTTTCCGATGAAGATGAGGCGATCGAATCTCGTCCGACCTGGAAGCAACGCACGCTCGGCGTTAGCGGGAGTATGGGCAGAATGCTCTGGCAAGGGGCGGGGGATAACGCACCGGTGTAGTTCTGGAGGTATAGATCGAGGTCGAGCTTAGGCTGATCTGGGAGCAAACATGGTCAACATTCGGCATTCACAGCGCAGCACAGCAGCGGGGAAACAGCTTCGGAGCTGGCCAACCTTTGACGATGACGCCGCCCATGTTGTTCATTTGGGTAAAGAAACCCAACAACGCGCCGGAATCGGCCATGGCGTAAGCGGGTTCGAAGCGCAGAACACACTGAGCTCAGCGTTCTCGATGCGGAGGAGCTTCCAGAGCTGGTCGTTTGGGGCCGGAGCAGGTGGAGGTGCGGGCGGCGCGCGGCGGGCAGGCTGTGGTGGGGCAGTTGGCGGTTACCTGAGGTGGGGAACAAGCGCCGCAGCGCTCTAGGGTAAGGCGCTTCTAGGATCGAGGCGCTTTCTCACGCACAATGAGACAGTGAGATGGGAATAGAACAGTTCTGCCCCCAAACCCCCAGTGGCAAGTTCTCGGATCCGGAGACCCCGGATTACGTCTGCTACATTCTCCGATGCCGGTCTTGGGAATAAGCAACTAGCAGCGCCGTATTGTCTATTACCGAGCGCATTGCATCACATCGTGGTTGTCGATTACGCAGCACATTGCATGACATTTCTAGTGGCGGCCGACTCTCACTCAACCTTGGTTTACCTGGAAATAGACAACGGTCCACAGTATGACCGGGCCGGATGGGGCGACGCCAATGTTGAGATGTTTACTCCAGGCTTTCGGCCGATTATTGTGATGTGGTTTTGCTGGTCTGATAATATGTGACATTGGATTGGACAGAAAGGTACCTAGTATTACAGGGATGTGGCCGTTGCAGTTGGCGATTCGCCCGCAGGACGTCTCGGAGGATACTGGCCAGAAAACCGCGCGATTCACGCAGGGATAATTCAGCTCGCCGAGATGCTAAGAGATAGGGCCTCGTCGTCTAGAAGTCTCGGACGAACGAAGGATGGATATCGGCATCTGCAGTGTCGTCATCCCACCGCCTGACCGGGTTCTTGGTCGGCCGAGTGGCTGGAACTTGTGTTATTCCCGTTGTCTTCTAGAACCCTGGAAACGCAATCAAGGTTGCAGAAAGTGAGGGTTTCCACAATAGCACATCGTCAAGAGGCGAACCGCACGATCTCCAACCAGCATTAGTGTCAACCTCCCCGTTCTGTAGTGGCCGCATGCTTGAAGGCTGGACCCTTGAATTCCCCGGCATTCAACAGACCCTGAGTCGATAATGACGTCCTGGGACGGATACCGGCAGCGTCGGGTGCTACCAGCAAGTGAGTCAATAATAATAGAGTGAAAATGGCATTTCAACATTGCCGTCTTCGGCACCGATAGGGCGGGCGATTCATGCGTCGACGAGATGCAACGCTGACGAATAGGACGAGGGTTGCGCCACTTGTGTCAGCGGCAAAACTCCGAGATGGACAAGAAGGAAGCACGAGCATCGGGAATTCGGAATGACAACGATAGACGACCCCCAAAGGACCCCCAAAGGCTGGACTGAATTGATGGTAATTCAACTGAAGGGATTTTGAGGCGGATGATGGAATGCATCCATTCTCGGAATCCCATTTCAATTTAGAGTAGCATTGTTGAAAATCCCGTAGAAGCAGTTGAAACAAAGCTTGGATGCCAAGCTTTTTGTTGCCAAGACATACGTATCCGAATCGGGTTTTTATCCCAGGCCACCACCATTTCACTCTCCACTGTAAACCAGCCAAAGAAAAAGACTAGAAAAGAAGAATAGAGATATGGACCGACCGGCCCTGGGCTGCACCTGCCAGGCACCATTTCCACCAATGACATGGCGGCGGGATTGGACAAGGGGACAAGGGGGCAAGGGGCTCTGAATGTGGACGTTTGATCTGGCACGCACCCTGACCCGAGAGTTCGTTGCCGAACTGAACGCTTGTTCTGGTAGAAATGCTTGGCGCCAAGATGAAGCCGGCGGCCGAAACCCGTAGGGCCAGAGGGCAGAGATGTGGAAAAGCAAGGGAGTGATGTCATGTCGAGTGCCGGGCGACCCATGGTGGATGTGATGGACCCCTGCATGTCGTGAGGTGAGGGTTCTCAGTTCTCGGTAGCGGCCCACGAGCGCGGTGAAGGACACTGGAGTTTCGAGGGGACGGACAAATGCAATTTTAGTGCCTCTCTGGTCTGGCGCAAGTTCGCAGCACACAGTGCACAGGGCATTGTCGTTCCAAGTTCACCATGCTCCTATGCGTTGTGCGTCGCGCGTGCTACTTCGTACATACGAGATTTGGAGCCCCTACGAGGCCTCTGACGACCCTGTGGGCTCCCTGTGGCGCCGCCGACAGCCCCAAGAACGATGGAAACCTGGCCGCTGCCGCACAGTGCAATGCAAGGAAGACCAGAGCGGCCGACAGCACGGGCGCAAGCCGACCGTGGCGCGTCGGGCGATGTCCGTTCTCTCCCGGAGCCGAAGGTCGTCAGTGGCCGCCCAGGGTGGGCTCCAGAATTAAGGTTCTCTCCTCGTTCGCTGCTGGACGCGGTTGGGTCGAAGAACGACGGCGGCGCTCTCTTGTCTCGTTTGCGAACCGTCGTCTTTTCTCCGCCTGAGGGTTGTGGTCTGTACGATGGCGTAACCTTGCAGGACGCGAGTGGGTGGGCGCTGTCGGGGATTCCGCCCGTGTGCTGCTGAGTCAAATTGCTGGTCGACGGGATTTGGCTGAGTGTTTCGTCTGTGTTTTTGGTCGGTGGATGTGTGCGTACCGTCTCCCCCCAAAACCCACTGGTCGTCTAACAGGCTACCTAAGTTACGGCTCATGGGGTCCAAAGGGACCTTATTCCCATCAAAGTTCGGCCCGTTTTCTCCTCTGGCCGTTGTTGGCTCGATCGAGTCTCTTTGTCGGACTGTCCGGGGGCGGGAATGCAGACTCAGAAAGTCTGGGGGGAGGGGGAATAGAGTTGGGAGTTCGTCATTCTAGATGGTGGCATTTGTCGACGCGCGCCTTTCTGCCGTCATGGTCATGGTCATCCTCACTATCCTCACCATTTTCACCCAAGGACGACAGTAATTACAGGTACAGCTCCATGCTGAGAATACTGAGCGGGTACCTTGATACGTGTAGCAGACGTACCTGGGTACCAGCTACGGCTTCTAATCCGAGATGAGCTCACCGGGCACAGTGCCCGCGTATAACACGGGAACAACTCGCTTCTCCACACACGCTCGAGTCCTCAGTCCTGACTCCTGCGTGGGATTTGCCGCCCTCACGCAGTCCAAGTGCAAGTCGCCAGTCCCTCTCGGGTCCGCTCCTTTTTCAGAGTTGCATGCATGCAGTTGGGCCCTTTTTTAGCCCCCCCATCGTAGGATGGAGATCTGGGTGACGAGGGCAGACGGTCTCGAACATTGCCCTATTGCCCTCCCCCATGCCCCGTGGTGCCCCCCATCCGCATTGCGCCAGGTCCCCTAAGGAAGCCATATCCAGCCTCGATGGTCTGTGTTGTCTGCATGTCCTGCTGCATGTCCCTCTGCGTGTCCCTCTGCGTGTCCCTCTGCATGCCCCCTCTTGCCCCATCTGCTGACCCTTCTTCGCTTTTCGCGGCTGGTATTGCTCTATTGCTCTTCTCGTGCGGGCCTACGTGCGTTCGTTCGTTCGTTTGTTCATTACCTTAACCTTACCTCAGTATGTGTACCAATCTAGGTTGGCACCGTCGAAAAGGTACACGGTCGAGCTGGCCCCTGGGTCTCCCCTTTGGGCCAGGCCTGAGAAATTCCTCTAAGCCAAACCTTGGGCCTGACGGACGAGGGAGACGCGTACGTCGATGATGAGGAGAATTGGCGAGTCCAATGGCAACTCTGTGCTCGTACGCCCGTAGATTCCACGGGGCATTCGAGGCCTGTGGCTGGGGCTTTGGGGCGCTGGACTGTCACCTCGCGGCCACTGGCGCGCGCTCCTGAGACTGCTCGGTTGAGCTTATTCCACGATGCCCCTCTCCCCCTGTGCCCTGCCTGTCCTGGCCGTGGCCGCCAGCGTCCCCCTACTAAATCTGCTGTTGTTTTACGGAGACGGGCTGCACCGCTGCACAGCCCGGATGGTGGAGGTTGCCTCCATCCTCACCGTTGTCCCTGTCCCGTCGACCCAGGCCGGCCAGACACTTAGGTTCCGTGTTAGCCGTCCACGGGGGTGGGAGGAGGGAGGAGGGAGGACGGCAGCCCTTCCACACCCATGCGGTTGGGCGTCCTGATTGATTCGACCACCACGCGCAGACGCACGACAGGCACACACGAGCAGCAGCGAGACTGGGAGAGAGAGAGAGACAGCCGGAGCGACAGCGGGCTACCGGAGGCGCTCCCCTGGCCCACCAATCCCGGCGACGAGTACGTACGCCGTCCGATCGTCTCAATTCAATTCGTATGGCTCCAGCAGTCTAGAGCCGATCCGCAACAAATCGCTCTCGGTCGTTTGCACCGTGCGAGAAAAAAAAAACCACAACATGCTCAAGCCACAGGGCAAGCAATTCTCGGCCTCTCGCCTTCTGCCTCGTTGCAGCATCCAGCATCCACCTCGACCCCCATCGCATCCCCATCTCATCCCATGCCATCATTGCGCGCTATCTGGGTCGCGCCAATTCGGACATCGGATATCGGACTTGACGACGCTGGGGCGTCAACACATCCCTTCCATGTCCCCCATCCCCCATCCTCCGGCCGGCTGCTGAACTGGGCTGGCCTGGGCTGGGTGTGGGTTCCTTGGTTCCTTGGTTCCTTGTCTTTGTCTCTTTACCCAGTTGGGACACCTCCAAAAAGAACCCTGTCGTGTTCTTCGGGGTTTCTCTAGTCGCCTCATCCACTCCACCAGCAGGTTACTACTACGTAGGTGCCGTACATGCTCCGTAGCCGCAGCCCGTGGCACCTGTTTCCAGCGACTTTATTACTTTCCCACTTGGCCCATCTCGTCCTTGTCGTTTGCCAGCCCGTCCAGAGTCTCTCGCCCCTTGACTCCTTATCTAACTGGATCTCGCGCGTTTCCCCCCACGGCATTTCCCCTCTCCGCCTTGCCCTCGTCTCACTCTCGCTCTCGCTCACATCGCCCTATTCTCTTGGCCCTATTCTCTTGGCCCTGTCTCTTGGCCCTGCCTTCAAGGCCTTGGCTGCTTGGTCTCGCTCTTGGCACTCGCTCTGTCGCCCATTTTTTTTTTCTTGGACCAGCGCCTTGACCCATTTACCGCCGCTGCCACTGTCCCTGGCACTGTGCGCCCGCCGCCGAACCCGCGTATCGCCGTACCGTGCTGCCCGTACCGTGCTCGCCGGCACACTGTCCTACGCCCCCGAAGGACGCCAGCGAACGCCAGCGCCAAAACGCCGCCCCGAGCCTGACAGCGCTCTCCACTCGCTGCGCTGCACTCTGCACAGCGCTGACTGACCAGACGGCCCACCGATTCCCTCATACCTCGCGCGTTCCGCTCTGTTCTGGGCTCTCTCGCTCGCTGTCGCCCTCCCGCCCCGGTCGCGAAATCCGCTTGAGGTTCCCTCGCCATCCCGCTCCTCAGGCTCCTCAGTCATCTACAACCTCTCCCTCACCACCAACACCACAACCTCGCCGCCATCCCGCCCTATCGTTCGTCTCTGCGGGAGCTGCGTTGACGTCCCGCCCGCTGATGGCCTAGGCCCGCGACTCTTGGGGCAATTGGGACATGGGCTTGCCGCTGGCCTTGCATTATACGCCCCTGCAACTCGAGTCTCGTTCCGCTGGATCCCCCCCTCGATCACCCGCCCGCCGTCGCCTCTAACGCACTCGCTGTCGCTGTCGCTGTCGCTACCCATCGCCTCACCTCCATCCGCAACAATAGTCCTCGCTCGCCAGTTTGAATAGCGGCCCTCGTACCCGAGAAAAGGTGAGCACCGTCCCAGCCTCTGTCTCAACAGACGCTCCCAAACGTCTACATGCACGAATGCCTGCGCATGCACCTACCAACGCCCACCGCGGCTCCGTCGCTGGTGGTGCTTGGTGGTGCTGTGCTTGGTCCTCAGGTGCATAGCGCAAGGTCCCTCTTCATCCCCCAGCGCCATCCATCTTCTCCCCTCCACCCCAGGCGCCCAGCGCCCAGCGCCTCCATCTTCATCATCGCCATCACCATCACCATCGTTTTGCTGACCCCGTCTAGCCTGAAATGTCTCCCGATGTCGCCGAGGACGACCCTGGCCAGGCGTCGACCAACGACTGGCAGGCTAACGACGCTCCATCGCCATCTCTCAGCGCCAAGTCGGACAACGAAGACGACGATGGTAACAACTCGATCGACGCGCCATCCCAGCCCATCCAAAAACGACGACGAGTGACTCGCGCCTGTGACGAATGCCGCCGCAAGAAGATTAAGTGCGATGGCAAACAACCTTGCACGCACTGCTCCGTCTACAGTTACGGTATGATTCGCCATTTATGCTTCCTCCTTGGGTCTCTTGACGACTCATCAATCCTCTCAATTACGCGACGCCTCACTACAGACCTCGAGCTGACAAACTTCGCTTAGAATGCACATACGATAAACCTTCAAATCGAAGGAGAAACCCCGCACCACAATATATCGAAGCCCTCGAAAGCCGCCTACAACGGGCCGAGTCGCTGCTTCACAAGTTCATGCCCGACGTCGATCTGGCCGACCCCAATCTGGATCCAGCTATTCAGCAAGAATTTCACAACCGCGAAAATGCCCGGTCTGGCTCCAAGGCTCGGCAAATCTTGCATACTCCTCAGTCGCAACATTCTCAGCTCGTTCAGCCCGACCCCAACGAAGCTCATCTCACCTCCATGATTGATTCCATCGGACAACTTGAGTTAGACGACCGAGGAGGTTGGGATTTCCATGGAGTCTCGTCCGGTGCCGTTTTCCTGAAGCGAATGAAGGAGCATTTCCGAGGGATGCTAGGCCCCGTGGGAAAGACCCCCTTCCTGGCACGACCTGATCGAACTCCCGGCCTCGCGAACCTCGACTCACCTTCGCCAGCCGCTCACTCGCCATTCTCCGCCGTACCCTCTTGTCCTGAGCTCCCGCCTAAGGAGGTGGCCCGTAAGCTCTGCTACTACTCCCTCAGCTGCGCGACATGTCTTGTCCGTATCGTCCACGTTCCGACGTTCTACGAGAACTTTGAAAAGTTGTACGAAAAACCGCTCGACAACCTGTCCCAAGATGAAACACACTTCCTGGGGCTCCTGTTTGCTGTCATGGCCTTGGGCTGCATGTACAACAACTTGGACGATGACTCGGGAGGCGGCATGGCCTTCCGAGAAGCCAGTGAAGAAGGGTAAGACCGACTTTTGAATGCCAGTTATCAAATGATGCTAACTCATCGTGACAGAATTAAATACTATAACTCGGCACGAGCCCTCCTGCAAGACATAACGGAGTGCCGCGACCTCACCTCATTACAGGCTCTCCTGTTTATCATTCTTTTCCTCCAAGCCACATCAAATCTCAGCGGCTGCTACTCTTTTGTCGGCATCGCTCTCCGCTCAGCGCTACGAATAGGCCTCCACCGACACCTGCAACACGAGAAGCTCAACACCATCGAGGAAGAAGTACGAAAACGCGTCTTCTACGTGATACGACAGATGGACATTTATGTTTCAACCTTGCTCGGCTTTCCCCTCCTCCTCAACGTCGACGATATCGATCAACCCTTTCCTGCCGAAGTCGATGACGAATTCATCACACCCACGGGAATTCTGCAGCCGCCTATTGGGACGTCTTCCTTCTTCGAAGCCTTCAACGCTCACTCCCAGTTGATGGAGATTCTCTCTAAAGTTACGAAATATGTCTACCCGATGAAGGGTCTGGGCCAGAGCGTCATGAAGGACAACAAGCCGACATCAACCTACCTCATCAGCTACGGACGGATCAAGGAAATCGAAGCTGAATTGCACTCTTGGTTTGAGAGGCTCCCACAGAACTGGCGTCCGAGCGCCGACGGTCCGATTGAAGTCGTACGGTACGTTTTAGTCAATCTCATAGCTTGTCTCACAAAGGTCCTAACTTAATATTCAGGGTGCGCCATCTGCTGAGGTTTGCCTATGCACACGTGCAGCTGGTTCTGTATCGACCCTTTCTACACTACGTATCTCCCCGCCTCAGCCAAGGAACCAAGGTCGATGAGCTATCATACGCTTGCGCAGCGGCGGCAATCAGTGTGTCTCGCAATATTGTGCACATTGGTCTCGAGATCCGCAAGCAGCGTGTTCTGAGTGGACCATATTGGTTCATGCTTTACACCGAGTTCTTTGCCGTCCTCTCTCTGGTATTCTATGCTACTGAGAACCCAGAGAAGCCAGGATCTGGCGAGGTGTTGGCCGATGCCCGGGCAGGCAGACAAATGATTGCTGCTTTGGCAGAGAAGAGCATGTCTGCCGAAAGGCTCTCGAATGCCCTCCAGGTATGTGATGGAACTATAGCCCCTAACCGCCTCTGTACTAACCGATTACTTAGGTTTTGTTTGATCAACTGCCCGATCAATTGGACCCTGGCCGCATGCGAACAGTGCCCTCCAAGAAGAGATCGGCGCCAATGGGCCGACCGTCATCTGTTTCATCGCAGCAAACCACGATGCCCACAAGCATGTCATCGCGACAGACGACAGACTACGTTCGTGGTACCAGTCAACTCACCAACACCAGCTATGCAACGAGTTTCACGCAGGGCACCATGGACCATGTGCCGACGACCAGCGGTCCCAGCTTCCAAGACGGCGCGTTCTCGTCCAACTTTGGAGACTTCATGTCCTTGGACATGCAGGCCCGGCATACGCCCGAGTCCACCAGCACAGCGGCCAGCTCGCAGCGCAACCCATACCCGTCGCAGCCGCTCAATATCCAAAACCCCGTGAACAAGCTCGACTCGCTCATGTTCCCATCGGAAGATCCATTTGCTTATCCCAACCAACCGATGATGGAGCTGGGATACCCTGGCAAATCGGACCCGCCGAGCAGCGTGTCAGACCAAGGAGGCCAGGACATGCAGCTGTTCCTGACGGGTACATTTGACGATGTGGAGAGCCAGATCTTCGGACAGCCCCCGCCGTACATGATGCACCAGCAAGGCCAGCCAGTGATGAACCTGTCGAACCAAATGTTTGACCCTGGCATGATGGGGATGCAAGCTTCCCCGAGCCACCCCATGGTGCCACACCAGCGACACCCGCAGGCGCAGGGGCAGTCAAGTGTTCGTGGGCAGCACCCAGCGCACTTGATGGCAAGTCGACGAGCGCACACGCAGCGGCACCAGGAGAGGCAGATTCAACAGATGTTTACGGAGCAAGGCATGCAGGCAGACTGGGGGAGTTTCTTTGGTTCTGGACGGGGAGGATTTCAAGGCATGTAACGGTCGCTACATTGATACCCATTTTACGACACGGGAGGCGTGCAGGCGCCGGATACTTTTGCAGGTGTGAGGAGAAGTGAGAGGTGGAAGAGAGAGTGGAGGAGCAGCAGAGGATGATGAACAGGTATAGGGGGAACAAGAGCTGGGACACGGAACGCCACTGCAAAGGTCAAAAATCGGCGGCATTGCTTAGAGGGGCCTGGCAAATAGACGGAGCAACCTTTTTGGGAATGTATATACGGAAGCAAGCGGGATTGTCACTTGGAAATGATGACGAACCGGAAGCAGGGGAATGATGACTTGGAGTGTGAAATCATTTTTGGATACTGGATGTATTGATGAGAGATGGGGGCTGCATCTAAATGTAGATATAATGATGATACATCTATTGACCATCTGATGATTAAAATGAAGTCATTGAATTGTGAATTAGTCTTTTGACAGTTTGATGAAGAGCCCACCAAGGACTTGAGCTGTACCCCAGCTTCGTTTCGTACCAGACCGAGACGAGTCAGGCGGGTGACAACCGCGAGACGACCGGCTCCGGATGCCGGTTTTGTTGCTTAGAGAGCTACATCCCTACCTAAGTCACCTACCGACTCATGCCGCCGATTCGGTGCCGCGCACAGTGTTATGTCCGACATATCCGGCACGGAGCTCCCGACCAGGGCGCGCAGGAGCGAGATGGGAGTCGGCGGCGAGATCCGCTGTCCTCCGCTACCCGCGCGCCGTCAGCTATTGCCGAGTGGAGAGGACGGGTGTAACCTTGAAGCCTCGTCCCTGGCTTTTTGTGTAGGTGGTACGTACGCATGTGAATGGTCCCGCTGAAGAGGGAGACGACAGGCATGTGTTTATCATCTGTGATTTGTGATCTGGGGATAGCACTGGGACACGGGTTCCAGGGCAAAAGTCCCAGACACCTTTACTCGGCTCGGATTTCGGCGTGGACACGTACGTACTACTTATGGAGGTACGCAGGCGCTGTAATTGCAGTCCGTGCTGGTTGCTGCACGATGGGTAGCGAGCGTAGGCAATCCTGGGGCAGTGCTTGGTTTTGTTGCACAACCGCGGTACTCCTTAATAGTACGCAGTATGTATGTATCAAAGCTGAGTTTCGTATCCTTATCTTTATCGTATTGACGGCTCTGGCTCTCGAACATCTGCCGCTAAGCTCACCTAAGCAAGTCGTCCGCCGTGCCGCGATAGGGAATCTGCTGCCGCTAATCTGCACCCGGGCCGCACTCAACCAGTCAACCCACTCACTCATCCACTCGCTGACTGACGACATCGCTGCTTTGTTGAGCTCGACGACCAGCGACGCTCATTCATCCGCGCTCTCTGAATTGTGTCGTTGTGTTTCACCTGCAAGCGACAAGGGCGTAGAGCGAAAGCGACAGCGAACGCGAGTGCGCATGTGTGAGAGCACAATAGGAAGCCCAACGGAACCGCCTATTGGACACCGCCATGGCGACCCAGCTGCCGAAGCCGATTTGCGGGGAGCCAGCATCCGCTTCAGCTTCAGCACCGGTTTCAGCACGTGCCGATAGACCCGGACCACTTGAATATGAGCTGGTGCTGGAGGATGAGTTTGACGCCTTGTAGGAAATCCCTGGTTGACTGATCAGCTTCAAGCCAGAGCAGCTAACACGGCGCATAGGTCTGTTGAGGTGAAGAAGGGTGATCATCTCCAAAGCAGCACTACCAGCTCTACCAGCACTACCAGCAGCACCAACAAGTATCCCGGTATGCCGTTGACACAAACTCTTTGACTACCTTGCTATTTGATCTCTATCCTCATATACACGGAGCCATAATACTTCCTTGTCCAATATCAAGCTGCTAACCTTCATATAGCTAAACTCCACGCCCGCAAGGTCGCTGCCGAACTCGGCGTCAGTGATGGCCTCATCTTCCTCCCCGGCGAGCCAACTCGTCTCTACGAGGACTCGGATCAGTCGCCTCCCTTCAAGCAGCGCAGATAGTACGCTCATATCCCTCCCGTCCCTCCCGGGCTTCTCATTGAACCCTCTCTGACCAAGTGATAGCTTCTACTACTTGACGGGTGCTGACTTCCCCGACTGCGCTGTCACCTACGAAATCGCCACTGACCGCCTCACCCTCTGGATCCCCTATGTTGAGCCGCGCCAGGTTCTCTGGTACGGTGCCACGCCGAATGCGGCCGAGGCCATGCGCTCCTACGACGTCGACGACGTTCGTTACACTGCTCAGCTGTCCAAGTTCCTCCACAGCCAGCTCCGTCCAGCCACTACGCTGTACATCTTGCACCCCGATCAGGTCCCCAAGTTGGCTGATCGCCCTCGCGGCCAGACGCACATCAACTACTCCAAGTTGCGTCCCGCCATGGACCAGGCCCGTGTTATCAAGACCGACTTTGAGGTTGCGCTTATCCGCCGCGCTGCTCTCATCTCGTCCGCTGCCCACCGCGCGGTTGCTGAGAAACTCCTGACCATGCGCAATGAGCAAGACGTTGAGGCTGTACTCATTGCCGAGTGCACTGCCCGCGGTGCCCACGCCCAGGCCTATCCCATCATCGCCGGCGCGGGAACCAATGCTTCGACGCTTCACTACGACGCCAATAACCAGCCGCTCGAAGGCAAGCAGCTGATCGTTATCGATGCCGGCTGCGAGTTCAAGTGCTACGCCAGTGACATCACCCGCACGCTGCCCATCTCGGGCTCCTTCAGCACCGAGGCCGCCGCCATCCACGCCATCGTCCAGCGAATGCAAGACGAGTGTATCGCCCGCATCCGCCCGGGCTGCATCTTCTACGCGCTGCACCTGCACGCTGCCGACGTGGCCATCCGGGGCCTGCTGAAGCTAGGCATCCTGGTCGGCAGCTTCGATGAGATCCAAAAGGCCGGTACTGTCGCAGCATTCTTCCCGCACGGCTTGGGACACCATGTCGGCTTGGAGGTCCATGATGTGACCGGCACCGACCGTCTCCTGATGCGCGAGAGCTTCCATATCGAGGGTGGTAAGCGTGAGATGGTGACTCCGACGACGTTGACCGGACTCCGACGCATGGCATCTGCTCCGCCGCCTTACAAGGGACGACAGGCCCTCCGACCGAACATGATTGTGACGGTCGAGCCAGGGATGTAAGTTATTCTCGTCTTCCGACGACTGTCCACCGTCTGGGATACACATGCACTAACACATTTCTCAGTTACTTCTGCCGGCCCTTTATCGAGGGTTACTTCCTCAGCAACGCCACACACGCTCAGTTCATCGACCGTGAACTTCTCGAGAACTACTACGACGTCGGCGGCGTGCGAATCGAAGACGACATCCTGGTTACGGCGGATGGGCATGAGAACATCTCGGCTGAGGCGCCCAAGGGCGACGAGCTGCTGGATGTGATTAATGGAGCATTTGAGAAGATCTGATGTAATTTTTCTTCTTTCATGTTAGTTTTTCCTTGGGTGTTGGTTTGGGTGGGGGTATATGGAGATTAGAGGTGGAACTATCTTTCCCTTTCCTTTCGGGAATTGACTTTTTATGAGTTGGAGCGAGTCTGGATTGTTCTTTACATGCCAGGTAATACGGGTAACCTAGAATGAAACACCTCTGAATATGAGCTTCGAAACATCGAGTTGACGGTCATTTTAACGTGGAAAGTCTTTCATGCTCATTACTAACTACCCAAAAAAACATGATTCTCCCCTCATGTGCAGCCGTTGCTTGTAATATACAGGAAACAAGGGCCAACGTAAAATGGAGAGCGTGACATGCCTCAATCATTACGCTTGATAACACTCCCACTCATTGCTCCATGCCATTGACAAACTCTTTCGTTTGGTGTTTTCTAGATCCAATTCGATGATTCCGCTGACGCATAAACAAGAGCTCTTACAACGCTTTTTACACGACCGTTTATAAGACCTTTTGCAAGACCTTTACAAGTACTTCTTGGGCATGCTGGCGCGACGGCGCTTGTAGAGGATGTAGGCGGTGACGAGAAGGCCCTGGGTGCCGAAGAAGATGAGGATGAGGAAGCGGTGGCCCGGGGTCCTCTCGAGGACAGCCTCGGAGAGGGATGAGTGGTGGTCGGAGAGGACAGCCTTGACGGAGCGCTCGCTGGCCTGGAACTTGCGGGTGAGCTCGCGGCGAAGGCCCTGGATCTCCTTGTCCAGATCGGTGATGCGGCCCTGCAGCTCGCGAATCTCGTCGACCTTGGACAGGCCGGTGCGGAGCTGGTTCAGGAGCTGGAGGATCTCGTCGTGGCGCTTCTCGTCCTGCTGCTGATGGCGCGAGGCGACGCGGTGCAGGGCGGAGAGCTGGTGGTTGGTGCTTTGGAGGCGGTTGTGCAGGTCCATGAACTGCGTCTTGGACGTCTGGAAGATATCCGGGTCTTCGTCAGCGAGGTCGCCGTCATCGTAGTTGTTCTTCTTAGCGTTGTTATTGTTATTGTTGTTATTGTTGTTGTTGCCGTTACTGGGAGGGTTCTTGTTGGGTGACTGCTGCTTAATGGCATTGTCGCTACCAGTGTCTGAGTTGTCGGACATGACGACAAGCTTGAAGACCTCGAACGAGTCGGGGGTGTCCGGGGTGGCGGCGGTGACACCGAACTGGTATCCGGAAGGGATGCTGAACTTGGAAGTCTCGAAGCAGAGCTGGCCATCAATCTCCACGCGGAACGAGCTGGCCGTCTGGCGCATCTTGATCTGAGAGGGGCGACCCAAGTTTCGGTACGAGTAGGGGCAGTGGCCAAAGGCCAGCTCCTCAACACGCTGTTTGCTGCTGTAGTCGGTGGTGCCGTCGTTCAGGTAGCCGCGGATCATGCCGCCGGGGCCGCCAGTCTTGTCCAGGACGAGGGCGAGACCGTCGAACTTGCCAACTGTGTAGATGCTGCTGGAGCCGATGGCACCAGCCCCCCCGCGGGCGAGCCAGATGTTGAGGTTGCCGCCGCCTCGCTCGGGGCCGTTGACACGGAAGTCGACGTCGGCGATCCACTGCGAGCGCTGCAGCGACTGCTGGGACCAGACGGCGCCGCGCTGGTTTCCCGGGGCGATGGGTGTGAGGATGATGCGGTTGGAGAGCACCTCGGGCATCTGGGGGGCGCCCTGGAGCACGAAGTTGGGGATCTGCCCGCGGCTCTCAGCTGGGCTTATTCTGTGCGTTGGAAGAACCCGGTCAGCAACAGAACCTCATATACACGCCGCCATTCCCATATTTTTTCTGGCATGGGATGGATGCGAGCACCAAGACGAACAGAGGGGAATTAGAGCAACGAACCTCCCGGCATGGCCGAAACTGAGCTCGCTGATCAGGTACTGGGCCTGCGAGAGGCTTGCTGCCAGCAGCGCGGTGAGGGTGAAGTCGAGACGCATGGCGAGATCGGAGCTCTCTCTCAAAGGGATGCCGTCGGGGCAGCAATCAAGGGAAGCGAAGAAGGGAGAGCCGATCAACGGGCAACGGGCATCAGCAAGATACTCGTGTAAGAAAAAGGAGCCCGGGCGTTCGAGGTCTGCGGGTCGCGGATGGTGCGAGGGAGGAGGAGAGCGAGGAGGCCCAGGCAAGGCTGAAAGAAGACGGAAGACGAACAGGTGTGAGGACACCTTTGCACTATTACAGGGAACGAGATGGGCGATGACCCCTGGAAAACGCCCAGCCTTGGGATCGCCTGTGTCGGAGCGTGGCTCGGAACGCCCAGCGCACGCGTAAAACACGGTTGATTTTGGGACGGGAGACGGCGAATTTCAATTGATTCAGCTTCAATTATGCCGAAGATGTCTCGTCTGTCTTTTCTTTTTTATTATTTTCTTTTGACAGCAATCCGCTGGACAATGGGCACGACATATGCAGGTCTGAAGCCACACGCGATCATCTCAGCCTCGGGCGCATGCCCCGGGACCCCTGAAGATTGTGGCTTGTGGCCCGTGGCTTGAGCTGCGGGCCCTCGCGAAGCTTGGTGATTGGTGGACTGGCCAATTCCCCAGGAAAAGGGAGGGGACAGGGAAATGGACAAGGAAGGGGTGCTTCGTCAAAACGTCGGACCAGGAACATTAGCGAGAAAAGACACGATCAACTTTCTTCCCCTGCGGAACTTCCCTGCGGAACATGGCTCCATTTCTCGACTAGCTGGCCGAATACGTCGTGGCTATTCTGGAAGCTTGGGCCAGAGACACTAACCCGCTTCGGGCCCCAGGCAAAACGGGGGCCAATCTCTCCTGAGCTGGTGATTTACGTGCCCTGCCGCTTGTATGCGCTTGGCATCGCACCTCCACTCCTCCAGCAGGCCGTCCCAAACCTCCAGACTTGTGGCTTCGAGGTCATGAGGCTGAAGCTGAGGATCCGACACTCATCATGGCCGAGTCCTACCCGACGCTGACGCAATGCGCCCTCGTGGCCGCGGCCTTTAAGGTCCTCTTGTTCCCGGCCTAGTGAGTTGCCTTGCCTCGTTGCTGCATACATATCCGCCACATCGTCACTTCCACCTGGCTGGTTCTCGGACTGGTCGGAGGTCGCAATGGTGACCGAGGAGGAAACCGACGCAGAAGACAGACGCCAGAGACACGGAAGCTAACAACGTCTCTCACAGCAAATCCACCGACTTCGAAGTCCACCGCAATTGGCTCGCCATCACCCAAAGCCTCCCACTCAAGGACTGGTACTTTGAGAAGACTTCGGAATGGACGCTCGACTACCCGCCCTTCTTCGCCTACTTCGAATGGGTCCTCGCCCACGTTGCGCGCCTCATCGACCCCCTCATGGTGCGCGTCTATAACCTCGACTACGACAGCTGGCAGACAATCTACTTCCAGCGCTCCTCCGTCATCATCACCGAGCTTGTCCTCGTCTACGCCCTGCAATGCTTCATCGACTCGACGCCCCTGGGCTCGAAGCGCGCCGCCCAGGTCGCCGCCCTGTCCGTCATCCTGTCGCCGGGCCTCCTGATCATCGACCACATCCACTTCCAGTACAATGGCTTCATGTACGGCATCCTCGTGTTGTCGCTTGTGCTGGCGCGTGGTAAGGCCACGCTGCTGTCCAGCGGCCTCATCTTTGCGACGCTGCTGTGCTTCAAGCACATCTATCTGTACCTGGCGCCCGCGTACTTTGTGTTCCTCCTACGGGCCTACTGCCTTTCCGCCAAGTCCATCTTCCGGATCCGCTTCCTCAACTGCATTAAGCTGGGACTGGGCATCGGGGGGATTTTTGGCGCTGCTTTCGGCCCATTTGTTGCGATGGAGCAGATTCCCCAACTATTCAGCAGGTTGTTCCCCTTCTCCCGAGGACTCTGCCATGCGTACTGGGCCCCCAACATCTGGGCACTGTACTCGTTTGCGGATCGCGTTTTGATCCACCGTAAGTTATTGATCTGACGGATATAACTGCACACTACTGACCTATGATAGTCGCCCCGAGACTCGGCCTGGCGGTCAACCAGGGAGCGTTGCAGAGCGTCACCCGCGGGCTGGTCGGTGATACTGCATTCGCAGTGCTGCCCGAGATTAGTCCAAGAATGTGCTTCGCCTTGACCCTTTTCTTCCAGGTGCTGCCTCTGATCAAGCTGTTTTTGCAACCTACCTGGGAGAACTTCATCGGCGCCGTCACCCTGTGTGGCTACGCATCGTTCCTGTTCGGATGGCATGTTCATGAAAAGGCCATCCTTCTGGTCATCATTCCCTTCAGTCTTATTGCGCTGCGAGATAGACGGCATCTGGGAGCCTTCCGACCACTGGCCGTGGCTGGACATGTGTCATTGTTCCCGCTCCTGTTTACGCCGGCAGAGTTCCCTATCAAGACGGCGTACACGATTTTCTGGCTGGTTGTGTTCCTCATGGCATTTGACCGCCTGGCACCAGCCTCGAACAAGCCGAGATTCTTCCTGCTGGATCGGTTCAGCACGCTGTACATTGCAGTGAGCATACCACTCATTCTATACTGCTCGTTGCTGCATCAGATCTTTTTTGGCAAGGCCTACGAGTTTATCCCCTTAATGTTTACGAGCTCGTACTCGGCGATAGGGGTCGTCGGGAGCTGGGTGGGTTACATGGTGGTGTACTTTACTGCATGAGATGCGTGCGCCAATCTGACTGGCGGGGGCCCCATTTGTCTCGTCCCCGGCCATTACTGCGGCTTTGCCGTTAGAGATACCCCGAAAAAGTAGATTTTATTTATATTGTCACGAAGAAATACGAATGCGGTGATGTCTTGAAGTAGCTGAATTGATCAGCTGCACGTCGTCAAATGTTGTGGCTTGTGTTTGAGAGTCTTGCCTAACTGAATGCTGGGCTGCCATTTGATTCGTGAAGCCTCTTTTGAGGCGCGGCAGCTGAGTCAGCGAGTCTAAATTGGGTAATTATGGAGAAGTTCCACGTGAGAAGCAAGGCTGAGGGTCTTTTTTAGAGCTAAACCACAATCCAGGATACGTTTGCAGAGAGTTATCGACGGATCCCATTTCAGACTCCCCAAATTCCGGGGTGCATATTGCGAATGAGAACGTGCACAACGTGTCATTCGGAAGAGGATGAGCTGTCTAAATGGGACGAATTAAGTGCACGTCAAGATATGGCTTATACGCCGAGAAGGCCCGGCTGGATTGCAGATTTACAGGGTCCGCGACATGTGATATTGCAGGATCGCGAAGATAAGGACGTCCTTGGACTTTATTCTAGAGCCTGCAGGTGCTTTTTGCACCACTGCAAACCTAGCTGAACTCTCAAAAGTGCAAGTCAGGGGTTGTGGGCGGACAGCAAGACACGCCCGCGCACACGGTGTCGGAGGAGGCGGGTTTGGACAGTGGCCCACCTGGCCAACGGGGCATATTGCGATTTAGACACGGACAGAGATATCTAGACGAAGAATCAAGAGAAAAACGTGGTTCAGGCGACGTTGAACGCGGCGGACACGGACGAGCAGAATGAGCCCAAAAACGTTGGTGAACGGAGCTGGTGGGTGGTGTTGGCGGCCGGGGAGAGTGGTCTGGCGGAGTGGAGGAGGTCAAGCATGAGTCGTTTGGTTGTTGGATGGACAGCGGAGGAGGAGGGAAGCAAGGGAAGCGCCGCGCCGCCGGGGAAGGGGGGGGGGGGGGGGCGGGGGCGTGTCAGTTAGTGTTAGTTTGCGGCGGTGTCCCAAAAAACCCGGTCGACCAGGGGTGGGAAATTCTTTGGGAACCAGTTGAGGAGGCGGAATTGGACCGGGATTGGGCGAGACGTGGCATTGGACGCGGGATAGCGGTGTTTCGACTTGGTTGATTGGGAATCTAGCTGTCGAGTACGTCTCGCTCCAGGTCTCGTTCTGCCTTTTTTTCGCCCTTTGGGACGGGTGCCGTTCCGTGACGCTGATGGGTGATCGATCCCTCGTTAGCGGTACCTGGCGCCGCGACCCATGCGGGATTGACACCGGTACCTCTGCGGTACTTGGGCCCTCGCACCCGCCTGCGCAAGCATCAAGGTACCCGCCATGGCACTGGGACCCCGTTTTTCCGCCGTCCTCGTCCTGGCTGCGGCGTGTTACTGGCTCCCAGCAGGTACTTCGCACTAACGCCAACCCACGCCCACACAGACACCCACCCACGCTCCTGCTTTTCTTCCTCCCCCCGGGTGTCCTCGCCGTTGCTCCCGTCGCGTCAGCCCGCTTCTTCTTCTTTCTCCTCCTCCATCATCACCTCCGTCCGCCATTGCTCCCGACGCCGCGTCCCCGAGCTGCGCGCCGCCATCGACTCCCGCGCCGCGTCTACGTCCTTCCGGGGCAGCTCTTATTCGCGTCTGCCTTTGAGCCTCGTCCGCCGCGTGTAAGTCGTCTACCGCACGCATACAATCAACCCCCGGCGCCCCGGCCAACCCGCGACGCCCCCCGATTCCCGCCTGCGCGCCCGCGTTGTCGACCGCCCCACGACGACCAACCGTCCTCGCCTCAACACTACTCCCCAACCTGCTCCCGCGTCCGCATATACACCCCTCCGAGCCGATGCGACGTTGCTGCCGCCTTCACATTCAATCTTGTTAGTGGGGGGAGGCTGCGTATCAGCCTTGCAGACGATTTGATCTGGGACTCGACTGGTTGCGCCCATTCTTCCAACCATGGTACTGCTATTCCGGACGCCTCTTTGGGTCCACGACCAATTGCTGAACCCTGTGTCTAGGTTCTGTTCAAGCGGAAACCGGTCCAATTCTTGCCCCCGGCAGAAATCGAGGATGAGAACGCCGAGGTATGACCGCCCACTCTTGCTTCCCCCCAGAGGTCCGCGCAACGGCTGATTTGCGATGTAGGTCTGGCATATTCCCCAAACGGGTGAGATATTCGTCTCGTATGAAGACTATCTGAGCCGGTGAGTGTGGTTCCTGGTCCCCCTTGGTTGCTTTCCCTGGCTTACACGACATCTAGCATGGACTTTTACAAACAGGTACGACCACGTTACTCCAACTTCAACCCGTGACATCCCCGCTTACCAGATTGACCCAGCGCCGTTTCAACGATCAAATCACAGGACATTCAGGCTTGACTTTCTTCGAGGCCTTTAAGAGCGAGGTTGGTATTGCCGGTTGTCACTCAAAGTCATCCGCTCACTCTCGGAAACAGCTTGCTGGAGGTAAAGAGGTCGAGGCCTCATTCCCCGAGGCTCTCAAGGGCCCCATCTTGCGCAGGGTCCAGTTCCAGACGGTTTCGCGCCTCGATAACCTTGTCGACCAGATTTACGAGGAGTTCAAGCACGACTACTACCCTGGCGAGGATGTGACTGTCACGATGGATGGCGGAGACCGAGTCCACGGCCTGGTCCGCGACAAGACTGCCTTCGGCCCGAGAAGCCTTCCCGACGGCAGCCAGACCCTACCTACGACCCGATATCTAGTCAATCTCAAGGAGTCGGAAGGGGAGACGATTGTGACGGACGAGCACATTTGCCGCGATCGAGGCATCTTCACCAAGGCCATGCTCAGGTCCTTTATTAAAAAAACTGTCACTCGCGATGCGTGGAACGGCGCTCCTTGGCTGGTCAAGCACGAGTACGCTAGCCAGTACCATATTGACACCCGGGTCCCGCCTCATCTTCGCTATGATACCAAGGTTCAGGAGCGCAAGCAGCTTCAAGCTCAGAAACGGGCAAGCCTCCCACACGAAACAAACGGCCACAGCCCTTCAGGACTCAGCTCAGGCCCAATGCGGCTACCGGAGTTGAAGCCCGCGCCCAAGGGCAAGTCGAAGCCTGGCCAGGCTGCTCCTGGAAACAAGGCCCTCAAGTGGCCGCTCAACATCCCTGTTCATGGCGGTAACCCCTTCAGCTACCCACCAAACCACTACGATCAGACACCTCCTCAGCGCGAACCCACTCCGCCACCGCCGCCGCCGCCACCTCCCAAGTATCCTATCGAGGATCTGCAGCTTGATCCGCGAGAGGATCGCAAACGCCCGCCGCTCAAGTATCTGTGCAAGAACCCGCCCGTGCAGGTGGAGAATGGCGATGCGGAAGACAATGACATCGACATGGATTCTGTTGGTCCGCTGTTGGAGACCTGGGATACACTCAACGTGTATTGCGAGGTTTTCAAGCTAGACTCCTTTACCTTTGACGACTTTGTTGAGACTTTGTGTGTTGCGTCTGAAGAAGTTCCTGTTCAACTCTTCGAAGAGATTCACTGCTCTGTGCTCAAGATCCTTGTTGACTCCGAAGCTGACGGTGGTAAGGTCCGGATCAATCTTCCGGAGATTGAAGAGGACGACAGCGATGAGGAAGATGAAGACGACGAGGATGAGAGCGCGGAGCCCACACCCGAGCCAGAGCCCAAACCGGTGGGGCGCGCTACTAGAAGTAGCATGGCTAGGCTCGAGGCCGAGAGAATGGCCGCTGAGCTTGCTGCCGCCGAGGCAGAGGACGAAGATGAGGAGGAGGAAGAGGCTAAGCACCGCGCCGAGGAACTCCTGAAGGACTACGATTGGATCGAGCACCTCCGAAAACGCGACTTCACCAACGGAGGTTGGGAACGAATCATGGTTGGACTACTCCACCAACTCTCCAAGAGCGAACATCAACAAGAAGCTTGCGAGGAGCTTTTGTTCGAACTCGTTCCGGCCGATGTTGAGCCCACGCAGGACACAGTGCGGCAGGCATATGCTGAGCTCGATGTCAACTTCCGTGTCAAGGCATTGCAGATAATTTGTATGCTTACCACCGAGACGAAGGCCATCCGTGGCTACATGGAGGACTGCAGTGAAACCATGACGACGTACCGCAAGGAGAAGATTGAATGGCAGAGACAGCGGAAGCAAGCGTAAGTGCTGTTGTATCAGCGACAAGCGTGAACAAGGCTGACTGATTTGTTTAGTGTTGAGGATTTGCGCCAGATGAATGAACAGCGAAAGGTTCTTCTCCCCGACAATATGCCACCCTCGCCTGCAAAGACTCCCGTCAAGGCAGACGACGATGTGAAGATGACAGATGTGGATGAATCGCACTTGTCGAGAGAGGAAGATGGCGAGGAGACCGAGGAGGATGCCTCGCAGAGGAAGCGTAAACGGGCTCAGTCCCTCAAACAGCGGAAGCGCGAGGAGGAGCTGGCCAAGAAGGAGAAGGAGAAGGAGAAAGAGAAGAAGAAGGCCGAGAAGAAAGCTGAGAAGGCCACGAAGCCGCCAGCTCAGTCGAAGCAGTTCATCAAGCTGCTCAAGGATATCCAGAAGAAGGAAGACCTCATCAAGAACTGCGAGGAAGAGATTGCTGTTCTCGATAACGACTTGCGCGAGGCTGACTGCCCTCGAACTCGAGTCCTGGGTAAGGATCGCTTTTGGAACAGGTATTATTGGTTTGAGCGGAACGGTATGCCGTATGGCGGACTTCCGGACAGCTCGACAGCCTCGGCCGATTACGCCAACGGGTGTATCTGGGTTCAAGGGCCGGACGATTTGGAGCGCGAGGGATACATTGACCTGCCTTCTGATCTGCAAGATGAGTACAAGGGCAAGTTCAACATGACAGTTCCCGAGCGAAAGACCATGGAGGAGGGCAAGACGAGCGTCTTCAATGCCCGCCAATGGGGATACATTTCTGACCCGGAGCACGTCGATGCTCTTATCAAGTGGCTGGATCCCCGTGGATTCAACGAGCTACGACTCCGCAAGGAGCTTCTCAACTACAAGGAGAAGATTGCGAAGCACATGGAGAATCGGAAGACGTACCTCGCAAACACCGAGGAGCCCGAGAAGAAGGAGGAGACAAAGCGGATGAGCACTCGAATCCGCGACAAGACACCCGAACCTCCCAACTACCGCTGCCTCCAATGGGAGAATACGACTGCACTCGAGGAGGTTGGGCATCTTCACAGTGACCCGCCACCCCCGCCAAGGGCGAGGAAACAGACCAAGAAGCGAGAGGCGATGAGCGAGGCCCACTCAGGACCGGCACCCAAGACACGACGCCGCCGAGGAGGTTAGGTGTATGGAAGCTGTCAGGCATGCCGGGGAGGGTTGATGTACACCTTCAGGATGTAAATTTTCAGGGTCTGGACATGGCAAGATTTGGCAACTATGCATTGGTGTGGATATGTGGCGAGCATAGAAGCTGGTCTGAGGGGTTTGGTGGAGTGTTGTTTTAGGCGGGACTAAAAGAAGAGTACACGGCGTTTTGGCCCGGCCAGGATAGGCTTCGGCAGCATTGGGAAGCATCGAATAGATTACATGTGATTGGAATCAGAGACCAGAGAACAGAAACCAGAGATCGGAAACCAGACTCGATTGAACTTGGTGACGACGATCGTATACACATGACGATTTGGTGGCCTATAGAAAGAGTGCTGGAAAGGTCCGAGAAGACGGGATACAGCTCCTTTGGGCAGTACGACCGGCACCAAGACAGATCAAGTGGGGCGTCAACCTCGGCAGCTCAAGATCCGATCGCCGACGCATCATCAGTCCATCGGATAGATATTTGCGCCGGACACTTTGGAGTTTTGTTCCGGCCGTGAGTTATATAGAATCCAAAGGTTCCGGGACTCGTGGATTTCGTGGATTTCGTGTATTTTGTGTTTTGCCTCTACACATACTCAATTGACCTCGAATCAACCGTCCGTCTTGTCTCAGTTACCATGGCCGCCACCGAACAGCCCAAGATCAAGCTTCACTGGTACGTCATTGCATCTACAGTCCACCGTCACAAGCAACCGCTAATAGATATGTCCGCCTCACAGGCTAGACCGCTCGCGCTCGCAGCGCATTATCTGGCTGCTAGAAGAGCTCAAGCTGCCCTACGAGCTGGAGATTTACCACCGGGACAAGCAGACGCGGCTGGCGCCTCCAGAGCTGGAAAAGGTGCACCCGCTGGGCAAGTCGCCCGTCCTCACCATCACGACACCCGGCTCGGATGAGCCCATTGTGCTGGCCGAGAGCGGCCTGATCACGCAGTACCTCGTGGAGAACACCCCCGAGGGGAGCAAGTTGATGCCGCCGCGCTGGAAGGACGGCATGGAGGGCAAGTTGGGAGGTGAGACGGAGGCGTGGATGCGCTATCAGTATTACTTGCATTTCTCTGAGGGGAGCTTCATGCCGGTTCTGGTATTGGCCATGTTTATCGGCGGTGAGTCTTGCTGGCAATGACTGCATCTTGGAGATTTAATGACTGACCTTTGTAGGCCTCCGCTCACCCATGGTGCCCTTCTTCATCCGCCCCATTACATCCATGGTCGCCAGCCGCATATTTGCGTCCTTCATCTTCCCCAACACGCGCCGCAATCTCGGCCTCCTGGAGACGCACCTGTCCGAGTCCGGCGGGCACGCGTACCTGTGCGGCGACTCGCTCACCGCCGCCGACATCCTGATGAGCTTCCCCCTAATCGCGGCCAAGGACTCGCTGGATCAATTTGGCTCCTGGGAGGGTGGCGCGTGGCGCTCCGAGTTCCCGCGGGTCGCCGAGTACGTGGCCCGGCTGGAGGGCGAGGACGGGTACAAGACGAGTGTGGAGAAGATCACGGCGATCGATGGCAAGTTTGAGGCTTCGTTTTAAGGGAGCGGGTGGGAATTTGGTGTCATGATTTATGGGGGCAGGGCTGTATGAGTATTTACTAGGTGGGTTGCTTTGGTGACTCGGTGGGTGGATGCGTGATAATTCCGATGAGTGGTGATTCAGCTCATTCTCATGTCGCAATAGAGTAGACGAGTATATACAGTTACTACAAAGATATCAAGCCAGTCAAATGACTATGCCAAATCCGAGTTTCAACGTCCGCTGCCAGAGAATCACACGTGTTCCACGGCCAGAAGAGTATAACATGGACCACCAGCTAGCCAGGTACTCAATCAGCAAGGCGGTCAAAGAAGCATGTTTCGCGCATACCTCTGTAGTCCTCCGATTCGAGACACGGTTAATTATACCGAAGGTGGACCTGGTCCCTGGATCTAACATGTCTCTGCCGTAGGTCTGGTCCCGCACTTGGCATTCGTTCACATTCAGATTTTCCACATGATACCCCTGTTCGGCACGAAATATTCGGTGGAACTTAGGAAGTGAGATTGAGGGTGTTTAAAGGGTCTAGGAAGCCCAAGTCGGAGGAAAGAAATCGAGAGAGGTTGATATCCTATGCACTATATTTGCCTGCTCCTTCATCGAGGACAATGACCACCTCTTTGAGAATGTCCCTTCTTGGCTTCATTCGTGTTTTTACCTTTGCCATCTTAACAGGACTCTGTTTCGGGCATTCTGACCCTTTCAATCCTCGTCCATTACCAGCTACTATACCCAAAGAAACCCTCAATTCACATGACGAGCTCCACGCTCGAGATGCATTCGAAATCAAGCACAAAAAGCCGAATGGCGCAGGAGAGGTATATTTTATCAGCAAACAAACACATGTCTACGGGAAAAGAGCCGCTTTGCTGATTCCTATCAAAGTCCCTTCGCCACATCACACCACCAGCAGGCGCAGAACTAGGTTTCATCCCCGTACGCACAGCAAATCACGAAAAGGTCACTGTCTTTCGAACTAAAGGCTTACGAAATGAAGAAATCTCCCATGCTTATGTTGTAATCCATGGAAAATACCGTAACGGCGACCGTTACTGGGAGAGACTCAACGACGCCGTAAACGACGCCCGCAGAGATGGCTTCCCCGGAGCAGACCGAAATTTGACAATAGTTGCACCCATTTTCTTCTCGGCTCGTTATAGTCCCGGCCAATACGTAAAGAACCAGCTCGCGTGGGGAAACATCAGCCCGTGGCAAGCTGGTGAGACGGCTACTCACCCGGTTGGCACTGAAGTCACCTCCATCGATGCCTTAGACGCCATTATTGATGAATTTTCCGACCAAACGATTTATCCTAAAATCAGTAATATAACTGTCATTGGCCATGGCGGTGGTGGTCAGCTAGCTCAACGCTATGCGGCGATTGCTAAAGAACCGGCGCCCCATGTCCACATTCGCTATATACATGGCGACCCATCATCATGCGTGTATTTTACACCCGATAGACCAACCTTACCGGGCAGTGTATTGCCGTCGAAGAATACATGCAAACTCTACAACACGTGGCGGTATGGGTTTGATGGCTTCAGCGGCACCTCGGAGGGTCTTTTGTCGCGGGAGGAGTTCTTCAGGCGATACATCACCCACGATGTCATCTCTCTCGTCGGATACCAGGATATAAGCCATCGAGGAGACCAGTCCTGCATGGCGAGGATGCAAGGCGGGAGAATGAGGCGAGAACGCAACCTCATTTGGTACCGGTATATAAACACGCTGGCACGGACGGAAGAGAACCTCGACGGGTTCCCTGGATCATTTGATAATCTTCCGGACTGGAGTCATATTTCCAACAACAGCATCCAGTTGCGCCTCATCATAATTGAGGATGCCTCGCACAACGCTGCCCAGATCTTTGGACATGCCAGTGTTCGCTCGGCGTTGTTCCGAGACGACGATGTTGAGCTAGGATGGAGGCCCAAAGTGTGAGAGTACAGCAAAATGGATGTTCGGTTCTTGATGGTAGTTGTCTTGGCCTTGCTCCATATTAAATCTGCGCCGGTAGCTCACATGTCTACTATTGAGGGAAGCCGACATATGGTTTGGGCATAAGTCTCAATTAAACATACAGACACAGGAGAGGGTATAATACATCGATAATTTTCACTTTGTGGCATATTTAGCTACTAAATAGTCGACGTACTTTGCTCATGTTGTTTCCTCGATGACTGGTCCTCACCGAAGCTCACCGAATATGCTTGGCTACTAGTGAGCGATTATTGGCTGCACACCGAAGATGTGGACCTTGAACCTCGAAAATAGCCGGGTCTCGGTTCAACACTTCGCAACATCGCCTTCATCTCCCTCACCCAACTCGGCGCCAATCGCAATGTACGCATCTCGAACAGTCTGTTCAAGATGCTCGTCCCAGTTGCGCTCAGTCGCCGTCCAGCGGCTGGGCGTCGCTGCCCGATTCGCGACGCTGGCAGACTCACCAGACTCATCCCGACCACCGCCGGGACAAGGCAATGAGTTTGAGGCTCCGCGCAGGCCGACCCGGTCACGGCCAGACCCCTTCAAGGAACCGGCGAAGGCATCGCAGGACCCTGCTTTGGCCCTGTTTAACGATGTTGTCAGCCCGGCCGTCAACGACTCCAACCGAGACCTCGCGGAGCGGCCTGTGTTAAGCGAGCTTGAGGTTGTCGCCAAGGTCAACGAGCTCATTAAAAAGGGCCTGAGCCTGAAGGCAGAGTACCAGCTTTTCCAAAAAGACATTTGGCCGCACATAAAGGAGATGCGTGGCCAGGTCCCGGTGCCCATCTACAACGCAGCCGCGCTGGTCCTCAGCAAGATGTGCACCCAACTCGCCTGGGTCAACGACACCTCCGGCATCAGCGTAGAACTGTCCGAGATGTACGGTATCCTCGGCAGGTGGGATCCGCAAATACGAAATGATCTCGTTCTGACCCTGTGTTTTGTCCTGACCGAGGTAAAGAACCCGACGAGGAGGCGCTCGGCGCTCATGAACGAGCTCATCACGCTGTGGAAGCACATCTCGCAGCTGAAGCGACCGAGCGAGTTGTTGCAAGAACCGCGGTTTGCGTTGCCCAGCACACAGAGTGTACTTGACGACTTGAATAGGCGGCAACCCAAAGTACCGGGCGAAGAGCTTCGCCCCCTTACCTTGGATCGGGCTCTTGCGTCCATCTTTCTCATGTTCTCTCCTCCGCAAGCCGAGAGCCTCCTGCCGGGGCTTCTAACGACTGTGGCAGTTCTGTCCGATATGCGATTCTCAGGGGTTGGTATACAGACAGAGGCGGCGCCCCTGCTCAACCTTGTCCGGCTCGTGCTGGCGAAGCTAAAATTCGGGCTCAACGAGGCTGAAATCAACGAGATATTCAAGCTGAAGGGCAGATATCCAATGGCAAAGCAACAGATGCTCCGAGCGTACGTGATCAAGCAGTTGCCGTATATGACGAAAATGCTGCTCTACAAGAGCGATCAGTGGCAGGGCGGGTTGGACACGGCCATGGACCCGGAGATGGCCAAGGCGATGGACCTTTCGATCTTTCACAAGCAGCTACGGGTAGCGTACCGTTCGCGCAACACGGGCGCTATCCTCGCCATCTGGCAGAACCTGATCTCATGTTTGCGGGACTATCCGAGGCTCGGTCAGGACATCCGCGATGACCCGCACTTCCTCGACTTTTGGATCTTCGTGTGGTGCGGTGTGCGCCGAGCTAACAGGGTCCAAGACACGATGGATCTGATGAAAGAACTCGGTATCCAGCCGACAGTGAAGACGTACACAGCTATGCTGCACGGGTGGAAGATGTGCAAGGATCTAGGCAAGATCGAGGCTTTGTGGAGCCAACTCGTTCAGTCAGGGATGAAGCTCGACGTCATTATCTGGACGGAACGTATATCGGCACTCATTGACGGGGGGCGGTCTCAGGAGGGTGTCGACGCGCTGGTCGAGATGGTGACGACTTGGAAACAGGCTGTGAAGCAAGGTCGCCAAGCACACGCCGTGGAACCAACCATTGCGGTAGTCAATGCTGCTTTCAACGGTCTCCTGCGCCTCGGCGATCCCCAAAAGGCGAACCAGGTGCTTTCCTGGGCAGGTCAAGAGGGCTTCATGCCCGATATCCGGACGTACAACATTCTCATCCGCGAGAGCCTCCGTGCCGACGACCCCGAGGATGCGAAGGACCTGCTGCGGTCCATGAAGAACCAGGGCGTCCAGCCGGATGCCGCAACATTCACTGTTCTGCTGGAGGGTGTCATCGGCCGGATGGGAGATGAAGCCACCCCAGAGGAACAGGTGCAGGCCGTCGACCAAGTGTTTGCCGACATTGAATCGGCAAATCTCGTGCCCAATCAGGAGACTTACGGCAAGATGCTCTACTCAGTGGCGGGCCTGCCGAACGGTTCAGAGGAGGCCATTGCTGCTGTCCAGGCCCATATGCGCGGCAAGGGCATTACCGTCACGGCACACATGGTCACCATCCTCGTCGAGCGCGCCCTCTCGCGAGATCCCCCAGATATTCACGCCGTACGGGATCTCCTACGCGAGCACAAGCTCAAGACAGTCGACCAGGGTGACCAGACACTATGGGAGCGTGTCATGAGCGCCTTTTCCGTAGCGCGAGAGCCGGCCGAGGCCCTAGCCATCTTCGACGAACTCGCCGACGCAGGACGGCCTGTCACGTCACTGCCGTGCCTGCTGGACCTGGTGAGGATGTTGGTGGAAAGGGGAGATCTCCAAGATGCGGAGAGAGTCGTGGGCGTTGCCCTCGCGCACAAGCTGAAGTCGAAAGAGGAGTTCAACAACCGGTACTGGAGGCATCACTTTTGGTACATGGCCAAGGAGAATGGACTGTTGAAGACGGCGGATTTACCCGAAGCTTTGCGAAAGCATTTCGCGAACTGATAGGAAGCAGCATTATTACTGCGGTTAGCGAGGGACGGATGTATGTTTAGCTGACGAACATGGTAAAATGGGATGGTATCTGTATAAGAGGTGAAATTCCTCGCCGCATTGCCTTGTATTTCCACGCCATAGAATGCCTGTACATGTAAAAGAGACTACCAAACCATCACCACCCAAACAAATGGTTGTTTTCCCAACCTGCGCCGACGCCGTGTCCTTGCAAATATCCTCGACTGAAGCCATCGTGTGTCGTGTCCCTGTCCTAAGACTCATCCATCGCCTCGCCTCCTCCATTGGCGCTTGAGCCCTGTTTTGAAGGCTGTCCGGGCTTCTCTTTGCTAAGCATCGAAGCAACCTGCTCTAAGCCCTCGACTTCGTTCCGCGTCACCTTGCGGCCTTCGCCCTGCCACTCGCCGTCACGCACCTCACCCTGCGCGCCGAGCTCCAGGCCCCGTGAGTTCTCCAGGTACTTGCGCGACGCAGCCTCGACATAATTGACGCGATCGCGCCGCCAGCTCTTGGGCGCGGTGTCGGGTTCCGGTGTCTCGGCGTCTTCGGGGCCTAGGTCGGGTAGCAGAGTGCGCAGTGACGTGGACAGCGCGCGTAGGGCTTGTAGCTGTGAGAGAGTAAACTCGGTCGTCGTCGCGATGGGCGTGTCGGCGCCGGCGTCCTCGAGACCCGCCCGGTCGCGCAGGAAGCCAAAGGGGGTGTCGGCGGCGCTGGACGGTGGCGCCTCTTCGGCCTTTACGGCGCTGTTGGCCGGCACGTTCGCGGGCAGGCCGAGAGAAGAGCGGAGCTTCGACAGGAGGGCGTCGTTTCGAGAGCGTTCGGTCTCAAGGACGGCGTGCAGGCGCTGGCTGGCGTGTAGGCGGCGGCGCAGGGCCGTGACGGAGTCGGGCGTCGGAGCGTCTGGCGAGTTGGCGGCGAAGTCGAGGCCGTCGTAGTGGGCGAGGCGCATGAAAGGCTGGTCGTCAGGGCGGACCTTGAGGATGTTGTTCATGGTGTAGAGCTCGAACAAATCAAAGTTCTTGTCGATAGCAGCGTTGAGGAGCGTCTCGAGCTGGTGTGTACCGTTTTCAATCTCGAGGCGCGCGGCCTCGTCGGGCGGCAGGGCGGCGGCGGCATCTTTGGAGCGGGAACTGGCAGACGGGTTCTTGAAGCCGAGGCTCTGGGGCGGGATGGAGAGGAGGAGGCGCTCGACCGAGTCCAGGGCGCGGTCGGCGAGGACGTTGACGGTGTTGATGATGTCGTCGAGGAGGGCCTGCAGCGGGGGTTAGCCAGGACAGTAGAGGGGTGGGCGTAAAGCGCGGGACGTACGACGGGCGGGTAGCCGAGGTGCTCCGTTAGCAGCTCGTAGTCGGTGGCCTGTGGAGTTGCCATGGTGGTGGTGTTTTAAACGGTGCGACTTGTTGCAGGAGGAGAGTTGACGGTGGCCGTGGTGGTGATGGGGTTGGACGCGTCTGTCGCGTTCATGAGTGCCCCTCACTCAATTAAAGTGGTTTTTCAAAGGCTCTGTGCAGGTGGATGTAGAAACCGGGCGAACAAAGGAGTTTTGTAAAATCCGTACCAGGATCAAATTGAGACTTCACTCGTTGGGAATCGCATCACCACCAACCAGTTCCAATTACGATGCAAGCATCACAGCGAATTCTGGTTTTCAAGCAGCGGATATAAGTGTAATTGTCTGTGAAGCTGGTACATACGACCATAGCTCTTAGAAAATACGGGATCCCGTCCGCTCTCCCTTAGTCAAGCTGAGAAGCGGCGAATTAGTACTCGGGTCGGTGACGACCGGGGAATCCTCGCTGTTGTATGTTTTTTTTTGCCGATTTCCCATACTATTTTATTTATTCCTGGTTGATGTCAGACTCCTCTTTATAGTATATCGTCCTCTCTGGTTCAAACCCTTTTGTTTATTGAAAGACATCGAGGAGGTATCGCGATGCACAAGGGCAGCTCGTAGTGGAGCGAAGAAGCTAGCCGCGTCTCTGCGGTACGTTGAGAGCAAAGGAAGTGTCCAAATTGCTAAAGCCAGGTCAACTTGCTCCCGTTTGGGTGGCATCCATTCGGGTTGTCTAGAGATGTTTATATGATAATTATTATATCCAGGATTGAAATATGGTCAAAGCGGAGCACTTCGAGACCCATTCAAGCCGTTAACTATATATTCACCCCCTCGCTATCCATTCGCTTTATCAACAGCCGCCCACCCTCACCAGAAAACAATATAATCATGTTTCAGCCCACCAAGTCTATACAGTCTCGGATGAGCGACGACGACTTCGAGTCGCCTGGCTTAGCTCTATTCACCTCCATTCGCGACAACGACATACCGAGGCTGCGACGACTGATTGATGCCCTGACCCCTGCGGACTTGCATCAACGCCTAGAAGACGAAACCGTCTGGGGCATGCCACTCCACGTTGCAACTCTTTGCAATAGTTCAGCAGCAGTGGAAATTCTTCTGAGTGCCGGCGCGAGTCCTCTAGCCTTGAGGCATTCAAGCGACGACGACCGCACGCCGCTGGAAATAGCCGCTCGACAGGGCAATCGAGCTATTCTGCGACAGCTTTGGCAACATATCGACCCCGATCACCACACCAATAACTACACAAACTTCCAGTCATGCCTTGTTTACTCTGCCATGTACGAACAAGTGTCGATTGTCGCTGACCTACTGAGTTGGTGGGATGGTTGGGGCCCTAAGGCTACGAAACAAGCCCTCAGCTAGGCGGCAATGAGATGGCAGGTTTACGTCGTCGAACTACTTCTGTCCAAGTTTTTATTCAATCAGCAGACCCTCGATAATACTCTGGAATATGCAGCAAGCTTCAAGGCCAAGACAAGTATCTTTGAAAGGATTGACTACCGGGGGATTGACCACCTCGAGCAGCAACAGCTGATTGCGCTGCTGGTGGATGCAGGAGCCAACCCCAACTCGACTCTCAATCGTTCATCTACCATCCTGTCAGCTGCTTTCTGTATGGATCTAGTCGGTGCATTGAAAGCGCTTCTTGAAAAAAGTGCGGATCCCAATGCAACAATGCATACAGGAGTGTCTGCACTGCATCGCCTTGGCTTCCCAGTATCTATTAAACGAGCTCCAACGAAACGTGGGTTACATGAGACAGGTATCCGTCTCCTTCTCAAGAAAGGTGCTTCTGTTTGTCAGGAAAACAAGTCTGGAGAGACCCCCATCCACTATGCAGCATGTGGCTCCAACCTTCGAATCCTTCAACTCTACCTCTCTGCATACCCAGGCGACGAAGTCGACGATTTCATACGGTCTAAGAACCGCCACGGAGAAACGTTGCTGCATAACGCAGCCGCAGGGTGCAGCATTGAGATTATTGAATATCTGTTATCTGATGGCGGCATAAAAGGCAGCATCAATCAGGCCAACTCAAATGGTTGGACCCCCTTTATGTGTGCCCTGGCTCAGACTGCCGTCGATGGCATCCCGCCTTTAGCAAACTGCAAAACGCCATTGCAAGTACTACCAGCCGTACAACTTCTGCTTGCCCACGGAGCCAATCCCCTTGTCGTCACGGCCGAGGGCTGGACGCCGTTACATTGCCTCGCACTCTACCATAGCGAGAATACCAGCGACGAAACTATCCAGCTGATTGACAAGCTCGTTTTAGCAGGTGCGGATGTCAACGCTTGTGCTTTGTTTCCATTTGACGACGAGCCAATTCCTGGCCACCCTCCGGCTTCTGGCCCCAAGGCATTCGGCTGGGGCCACCAGGTTGAAGAAGTCATAAAGGACCCTGCGAGTAAGAGAATGGTCGTTCGATCCGGTCTCACACCGCTGCATTTTGCGGCCGCCCACGGTGCTGTGGGCGTGATTGCGGCGCTTCTACGACATGGAGCCAATCCTGCGGCTGAAGATTCCACTGGAGCGTCGCCGGCGAGAACAGCAGGGGATTCAGCGCGGCTTAGGTACCAGCCTAAGGCCCAAGAAAATATCATCACCATGTTGATGGACGCTGGAGGTTCATATTAAGAATTGTTCAACTGTGGAAATATAGTACGTGGGTAAGGAATCTTGGCAATTCAGATACTGATTTACAATAATCTTGAGGAGCAGCACAGGAGGTAAATGTTCAAGGTTGGCAACCCCTCTTCTTCCCCCACTGCATCCTAATCCCACAATGAGATGAGTACAGTTGTAGCACTGATGCGCGTTTCCTTGTCCTCCTTGACCAGGAGCGCTTGGGCTGAAACATCTGACCGTCTGTCTTTTAGTCCTGTGGACACTGGAAGGATCAATCGCAAACCAGGAGATGCGACATATCCTTCCTGCCAAAGCCACTCTCCTAAGGTTTGTAGGGCAGCAATAACGGGATCGTCATATTCTGCCCGTACTTGCAGACGCGCCAAGACCCTGAAACTCGTTGGCTTGTCAGGCTGATGTGAGCAAAGCACGCTCAAAAACGAACTTCCAGTAGCGCCCCTCGGAGACGTATCATGGGAGTTGGTGGCGGCGTCTAGACCGCTGAGAGGCTGTCCAAAGGTGTGGTGTACTACCCAATGAATGAACCGCTCTATCAGCACATTGAGACACAGTCCGAATAAGCTTTAGTGTTAAGGTTGTCTCTTCTCCGATAGCGCGCCGATCCAATGAGCTCGTCATAGGATGTACTTGTTTCGTTAAAGCTACCAATGAGATTGATATGTGGGAAACATCTGTTATTGAGGCTTCTTGTCCCGTGTTCACCTCAGCCGCAGCTGTAACGCCATGGTGAGACTTCAGAAGCGGGGTTGAGAGTGTGATAGTAAATGCCCAGGGGATTGGTGAAGGACTTGATGTGGTATGTGATATTGAAAGAGCGAGGTGTCTTTTTGTACGGCACTGGAAAATATATAAAGACTGGACTGGTCGCTCTTGGACGATACACATGAACTGCACCAGACAAGTTACTCTTGGGTGATCTATCTATTGAACCACTTCTTCATTCTTCACTACCCTGCACGCCTCGCCATCATGCCTCTTTTGAACTACGGTGTCTGGAAGGCTAAGCCGACCGCGATCGAAGTAGAGCGCGACGACGATAAGCCGCACGCCCAACTTGAATTTGAGGATGGGGGCGAAATGAAACTACGCGCCGCCATCAACGTCAAGTCCTCCGACAGCCAGGACTCCAAACTCGTCTACTGGCTGATAAAGGACTTCCAGCATCCCATCCGGGAGAAGCTGAAGGCCTTGACCATTGGCTGGCACGACATGTGTCTTGGTTCATCCCACGAGAGACTCAGCCTTGACCTGCTGCGTGATTCTCTCGTCGACTTGAAAGCTGGAGTACTAGCTCCGCACAGTCTCCCGGGCCCTAACAACGACGTCTCGGACGCCATCGAGCTCTTCTTCCAAGACATCAAACAGAAGGCTTCGACGGTGTATGTGTTTGGCGAGAGGTTCTTCAATTGGGACAAGAACGAGGAAGGAGTTCATGATGTTCACATGAACCAAGGCAGCAGGGGAGGTTTTAGGAAAGCCAACGCGATCAACCAAGATGGAGGGTTGATCTTGGAGTTTCCAGACGGGCGCTGGGAGGCCTTTTTGACGGCGTTTGCTTCGCAGACTGAGAAGACCGACCCAAGAGGGAACCCAATGGGCAAAACGCTTGGGGAATTGCTGGGGGGAACACCTCCGCCTGTGACGCCAGATATCGCCATTGCCGCAGCCATCATCAATGCCGCCGGACAGGACGGCGTCGACAATCCGGAGGAGGTGTATCTCCGCAACAAGTCCGGAGCGGCCGTGTCCGTCGCGGGCTGGCGGATCGAGAACAAGGCGGGGAATCACTTCACCCTGCCAAACACTGCGTTGCTGGCGGCCAACGGAGGCCGGCTCGGCTTCAAGATCGGCGGTGTGCCGCTGGGGAACAAAGGCGGGACCATCATTCTCAAGAACAAAAGTCTCCAGGAGGTTGATTCCGTTACGTATTCTCAGGACCAGGTGGGTCGGGATGGGGAGCTGGTTGATTTCGGACGAGACCGCGCGACCTTGGTCGGCTGAAAGAAGACCCCTGAGCGGGTGAGGACGTTGGATGAGATAGTCTGGATGTGATCTAAAGTTCTAGAGGAGTCGCTAAACAAGGATGATATGTTGATATGCCGTTCGCCAAGTTTATTGAGATTTATGGCTTATTTCACTTCGGTCGACACAACTAAGAAGCCATAGACGGACTCCTTAGTCTCGAGATCAGATAATAAAGTAACCTCTCACACTATTTAGAGAAGCCTAGAACAGCCGCATTCATGTTCACATCGTAGTTTCTGAGACATTGTCAAGAAAATGACCCTAGTATGGACCTACATGACAACGCCTCTTCTTTCCCGCATCGACATCCCCGCAAGACGCACGTATCGTTCCAGTCAACTGAAACATTTAATTTACTTTGCGTTTATCAATGCCGGGTGCAGCATGCTCAAGAGCTGAGAATAGATGGGGTGAGGTTGCAGCGCAGATGCCGAAAGAGGCCGCAGCGCCCAGTCTCGTGTTCGTGCTACCCTGTACCTTGCATGGTGGGTGCTTGGGCAGGGAAATGGATCCTTGGGATAGCAGAACAAGTATAGAGGGCGTGGAGGGAATCACGAGTTGGCCAGCGCAGCATATCAGATGCACTACTGGGGCATGGGGTATGTCACTACAGTTGTCACCTGCATCTGCCGTGTTCGACAATCTGGCCGTGATCAGACATGCAGATGTCGAACGTTGCAGGTGTGAGGGCTTGCTGCAGTCATCCCGCGTACTGTAATTCCACAATATCACTCTTGCATGAGAAATACGAGAAATGCTGTTGGCCCAGTAAGTAAATGGCTGTTATTGTCGAACGACGGATGAGTGAGCCGTGAGAGAATGTGGAGTAAATGCCGGCGATTATCTACGGGCCATCGCCAAGAGGTTGGCGTTTGGGTTCCCGTTGAGCAGGCCGTGATGGTCAAAGCCTGTGCTCTATTCCAAAGTCCTCCATCTGAGCAATCATTCTGCACGGCCATAATGACAATACTATCACTTTTCTTACAACAGATGCAACCTCTTTGTTCTGGACTTGGACGTCTTCAGTCGTTGACGGTGACGAGCCCCGATGTGGGGCAGATATTTATATGTCCCCAGCAGATCGGATCTACGAAACACCGGACTTGTTCAACAGCGGCGTGGCTAGTCCGTATCCGGAGGCGACCACGATACGAGTATTGCCTTTCGGGATATATTCGACGGCTACGGGTCTGGCCAGACGCATGGCAAGGTGACGGTGTGATCAGCTGGGCCGATGTTGCCGTTGGGCTGCAGCTGATGAAACCGGCCGTGGACGGTCACCGCCAGGAGCGGAACCTTTAATAAGAAGAGGCTAAAGAAAACGGTCAGCTTGGGCGACGGTGGCCGAACAGCGCGATGCCAAAACAGGGCCAAGTTCGTTTCTAGGCGCCACAACTGGGATTTGCTGCAGGGGTGGGAGCCAGCTATTACCAGGAGAGAGGCGCCCTTTTGCCCTTTTGTGCTTTGGCCGTGTAATTTGTTATTAGTTATAAGCATCCAGTGATTGGACCATTGTTTCCGCCGCCTGTTTGGGCGCCTCCCTAGCAGCTGATGCTCTCTGCGTCTCCGGCTTGTAGGAGCCGGGAATGCATGCAGGTGTGACGCTGCAGGTGCGGCTGGCTTGCTTGCACCGCCCCCGTGGACAAATTAGGGACCTTTGGGCGGTTTTCTTTTGTTTTGGGTTTTACACTTCCCATGATGGTTATCGCGGATAGAGTTGTGGATGGTAAAAATATCCCGGCGTGACGGTGGGCATGGATTTGCTTCGGAGTCGATGCCGAGGACTAGGATGTGTAAGCTGCAGGTGGCCAGGGACAGGGAAGGGAGGACTTGAGGAGGTATTTTGCGTACGTTTGCGTTGGTTTCTACTATTTGCCGCAGTGGGATTCTTGGTGTTTTCTCGTGTTGGTGTTGCTGATGGACGTGGTTTACCAGCAGCTTGTTCTGGGAGTATTGAACAGACTTGGCTGGCTGAGGGAATGCGCTCTTGCTGACGGGCTGATGACGATGACTGATGCACACGCGAAGAGGCTGTACCCAGCTTCTTCTAGCTATGGATGACTTCTTTGATGATGGCCAGAGGGAGCCATCACCAACCTCCGTCATGAGTCCATCAAGCAGCACCGCAATTATCACCACGATCAATCCCCGCCAGTAAATCACCTTCAATCCAACCAACATCCACTTTGCTCAATTGCTCGCATCATCGACCATCTGCCTGTCTATCCGCCTTGGCGACCATCTCCAGTCTAGACCCTTCCATATCAAGGCCGCGTCAACCCATCGCCGCCATCTCTCCAGGTCTACCTGATCCATGCCAAGCCGGGCAACGATAGCTCAGGAACCGCGCAGGGCACTAGAAGCCCAGCTCGGCGCTAGCAGAAACTCGCCGCCATCACGGCCGCCGCACATGGGAGTTTACGGCGCTAGATTCGCGGCCGTCGTCACCCTCCACGCCGTTAGCATCGCAGTGAAGCCGCCGAGTGGCCTGGACTATTTGCTCCCCTTCAGCTGGCCCAATTGCACAGACCGCATTCCAGGCCCAGCGGTCGGCCATTACACTATGAAATGGTATGGTAGAGAAATGAGCTGATAGGAGACACACTCGCACCGGAGCGTGCGGTGGTGGTGACATAAAATGAACAACTTCACCGCTTCGACTAGTGTAGCCTCGCACATTGTGCTTCCAAAAGGCTGGTAGGTGGCCATCATCTCAACTCGCTCACTCACCAACACAGCGCTGGATACGAGATGCGGCACATTATCACATCACATCTGCAAGCCGCTCCGGGGAAGACAATGCGTCCGGGGACGTGGCCGGGTTGAGGGGCTATTGTTAGAGCATGGCACGACACAGCGTCCACTCCACCAAGGATTCCCATGTCGATACAATTACTACGCAGTAACATGTCTCTTTCCTCTCCCTCATTCTCACAGGGCTGGATACGTATCAAACCCCTGGCTACTCAAGGACTAGAGGCCCGAGAGCCAAGAGGCGCAACGCCGCACGCCCGCCGACCGGAGCCGGGCACCCGTGATAGGGCAGCCCAGTTGCCGCTTTGGGAAATGAGCTGCAACGTGCTATTGCAACCCGCGCGAGTCGCTTTGTTTTCTCGCTCCTATTGTGACCAGGAAATCAGGTCACATCGTGATTCTATGCGCCTAAAGATGATTGACATGATGGCTGTTAATTGAACTGGTAGGCGCTTGGCGGAAAAGAAAGGCCACTCGACTCCGTCGGAGCCAGTACTGTAGACGCCTCACACACGCTAACTAAGATGGCAAAGGACGATCTAGCCTCCTTTCCCAGCTCGCGGATCGTCTCTGGGATCTCGGCACGAGACGACCAGCCCGAAATGGATCCCGGTCAAAGCCCTCCGGCCTGTCCCTGACCGCAACCGTTCCCCACGAAAGCTTGGCTAATGCCAGGGACCAGGGCGCCATGGGACCGTGGACCGCAGCTTGCAGGGCTCGTGGAACTGAGATGCCGTAGCCTCTTCAGCCATTCTAGGGGCAAGGTCAGCACACATCCTCTGCTCCTTGTTGGTCTACCCGGCGGTAGTGTATATGAACCCACGGCCGACCCTCCCTCACGGATTGTGTTCATCGTCAGATCAGTACCTGGTGAGGCCATCTCAAGTTTCGTTCTTTGGAAACTTCTCTCTTTTCGTTCTCTATCTTTGTCACTCGCTATATGTTTCGTTAATTTGCTTCGGCTTATACACACTCGCTTTATCACAACCACACACACACTCAGCATCTTTTCACCGAACCTCCTTCACTTTCCTCATTTTATAGTATTGTCTATTTGAAAGCCCATCAGCCATGAAGTTCAACTCAATCCTGGCCACGGCCCTCGCCGCTGTGCCTCTCCCCGGCGCCATGGCCAGCCCCAAGATGGAGGCGAAGATCCAGGAGCTCTCCGCCCGCGCCTTCAACTACGACACGTTCGATTCCAACCAGGTCATTGGCGACCTCCGCTACCTGAACTGGTGGCAGCTGTCCGGCTCTGGCCGTGATATCAAGAACATCCTCCAGGGCAACGGCAACCCCCAGAGCCGCGCTACGTACTGGGGCGTCGCGCGCCTCGAGTCGAACTGGTGCCACAGAGACACCTGCTGTGTCTGGAAGTACATCTCCGACGAGCTCGAGGAGCTCTTCCGTGGTGACTCGGGTCGCTGCTCCCGCTGGGCTCGATATGCCATCCGTATGGGCTTCCACGACGCCGCCACCTGGACTCTCGCCAACGAGAAGGCCGGCGGTGGTGCTGATGGCTCCATCATCCTGGCTGGCGAGCTCACCCGCCGTGAGAATAGCGGTATCTCCGCCATGGGTGCCCAGTACCAGGCTATTTACAAGAAGTACCATGACACCTACGGCTTCCAGGACGTTACCTACGCCGACCTCATCCAGATGGGCGCCAACATCGCCACCGTTGTCTGTCCTCTTGGCCCTCGTGTTCGCTCTTGGGTCGGTCGAAAGGACAGCAGCACTCCCTCGCCCCCAAACCTGCTGCCCAGCCCCTTCTCGGATGCCGACACCCTTCTCCAGCTCTTCATGGCCAAGACCATTGGCCCCGACGGCCTCATTGCCCTGCTCGGCGCCCACACTACCTCCCAGCAGAACTTCGTCAACGTCTCTCGCGCCGGCGATCCTCAGGACAGCACCCCTGGTGTCTGGGACGTCCTCTACTACCAGCAAACCCTCGGCAAGGTCGCGACCCCCGAGCGTGTCTTCATGTTCCCTAGCGATATCAACTTGTCCAAGCACCCCCGAACCAGCCCTACCTTCCAGGCCTTTGCCAACTCCCAGGGCATGTGGAACGACGTAAGTACCCCTTCTTCCGGTGTTGTAACCGACGGAATGCTGACATCAAACTACAGGACTACGCTCGCGAGTACATCCGTCTCAGCCTGCTCGGCGTCAACAACATCAACAAGCTCACCGAATGCACCAAAGTGCTGCCCCAGCCCGTCTCCAGCTGGGACGAGCCCGACTCCGGCAAGATGAACAAGTGGCTCGACAGTGACGACTACTCGCAGACGTCCAAGGACGTGTCCTGGGACGTCGAAACCGGCAACTACATCTCCGCCCCGGAGAGCAAGATCCCCGGCTGGTCCAACACGCGCCCGCGCCGCCAGCGCAACAAGTGGGGAGGCTTCTCCTGGTAAACGCATGCTTGCGGCGCGCGTGAGCTTCAGCATCCTTTGCACATTTTCCTTAATAAAAACACCTGTCTATCGGCATGATTTCCGCACTGAGCGGAGAAGAAAAAACTGTCACAATTCTTGAACAGTATACTCTAATAATGGGGGAGGATTGAATGAGATATGGGACTCCCGGATGGCGTTGATGCAATGGTTCTTGGAACAGGGACATGTGCAGGTTGATAGAACATAGGAGCCTTTGGATAGGATATATCATTCCGCCACGGCCTAATACACAATACTTACTATTCTTCATGACAGACAACGTACATGTTCTTTTCGAATGTCCTCTCACTTATGACCGGCGCCGGAGGTCGGACCGGAGGTTGTGGAGTAGTGGCCACTGAGTTGCCTAAATAGGCAATCCTCAAGGGAACGCACGACCCTGTGTCGGAACGTCGGACGTCATCTATCAAGATGAAACTCACACAGACCTCGGAGCATTCCGTTCGGTTGTATCGCCTGCCAAGTAAATTATGACTTGAACATGATGATAATGGTGTCGGTAAGGAGGCGCTAGTTCAGAGGATGATCCGCGATACTTGGCTTTCATCCGAACTCTGGTTCCTTGCCACTTAGAGGATGTGACTAGGATGAGGATGTTGGAGTCTAATTACTCACAATATCCCCTACCATTCTTAGATCTCATGTTGTGATTTGTCGTTCCTCACACTGTCATCCAAGCTAGATTCGAGATATCACACCTCTCGCCTCATGTCTCGCAACCTCCGCTCGCTGGTGACTCAATGTCATACCCATCGATTATCTTCTAGTTGGACTGGTGTAGCTTTAAGAAAACATGATCAGTCGTACTGCCTGGGTACATTCCTATGTGAGACGTTTGAAGAATTATAACCATGGGTTTGGCGTTCTTGGTCGGAGAAAATGTTGCCATGGCAGGATGGAGCCGCGTATTACAGCCCGCACATTACAACAGCGAGGCATATCCACACCGGCTTCTTCAGACCGGAAACTCTAGACGGGTGTCTGAAAGAAAGATGGACACAAGGTTGAACACGCTCACATCACTCGAAAAATTTGTGTAGGAAATTGGCTTCGTTGAAGAACCTAGCCGAGGAGATCTACCTCCATCTGTATTTACACTTGAACGCCAGCCAACCGAGACGCCCACAATTCAGCCCTTGCTTCCCATGCCCCTCCTGTTCCCCTCCCCTTTCAAAGCAGCTTCCCATTAAACCAGGGCCTCCAGCAGCCGGGGAATTCCGTGTCCAATGGGGACAGAAACATCCCAATACTCGAAAAGCAAATAAAGAAAATAATATGCACTTCCAGAGGAAGGTGTCCAACAAAAATACAAGGATCTGGCGTCGGGCCCGAACAAAATATAAGACATAAAGAGTCGAAGTCCAAAGAACGAAAGCAGAAGAAAAGCACGATGGCAAAAGATGCCACCGTGGGATGCGGGACGAGTCCTCTAATGCGTCAATATTCATGACGGGACGTGCGCTTGTGATATTCACTCAAAGTCATTGCGATATGCCCTGCATCATCATAAAAAACTTGCGTGAATCCATCATCGTTGCAACGGGCGAGCCGTTTCTTTTTCCATCAGTCGTGTCAAGAACGTTGAAGGTGTCCCGACTTAATAGGCATCCTCGTCAGTCCACTCACTCCCTGAGATGATTCGGCCGCCGTCTTGCTCAATCATCCCCGGTGCTCCATACGAGGCTGAGGGGGGGATTCCTCGGATGCGCTTAGACTGGCTGCTCGCTGGTCGGTGGCCCTGCTCAGGTGAGAACCGCTTCCCTCGTGCCGCTCGTAGCTTGGCGTAGTATGCGTCTGAGGCATCAACCTCGGGCTCGCTGTTGTCATCGTACGTCTCCCAGTTCTCAGACCCGGAGATGTTCGTCGACGTGAGGGACGTGCCGGAGATTTGTCGAGGTGGAGGAGCCTGGCGGTAGCTCTGGTGGCTCTGGTGGGAGGAACGGACGGTGGCGTACCGCTCGTCGTAGCTATCCTCGCTATAGCTATTGTGGGTGTTGTGAGACATGTTAGAGTTGGAGCGAGAGGTTTGAGATCCCCTGTCATCGTAGACATCCTCAGGCTCGACGTGGCGAACAATACTCGATGCTAGGCCAGCCGACTTGTAAGGGTTGGTGGGAGCCTTGAACTCAGGAACCGGCACAAGGTCTCGCATCTTGGGTGGCGGAGCCCTCATCAGAGGGGGACCTTGTCGAAGAGTCTCACCCCTTGACTCGGGCCTGGGGCGTTCAGGCGAGTTGTTACCGTGCTTCATGTTGGACAGAGGAACACGCGCTGGGATTCGCGATGGGCTGCGAGTTGGACTCTCCAGGACGTTGGAAACGGGTTGAGGCTGAGGTTGAGCCCGTTTGGTGGGATGATTACCCGCGGTGGGAGTCTTGGTCATGGAACGAGGAGGAACAGCCCGGGGCGCAGTGCTTTTGCTCAACGTCGACTTGTGTCCCTTGATGGATGATGGAGCCTGTCCGGCGGGTGTCTTGGAGCGAGGCGGGAGCGCGGTCTTCCTGCTGCCGTCGGCTGCGTCGATCTCATCCAGATATCGTTCGCCAAAGACCAAGAACGGCCGGCCGTACTCGTCCTCCCATCTTGAAAGCACCTTGCGCAACTCAGCAGTGACCTTGGGGAGCTCCTTGGCGATGCGCTTGCGCATCTTTTCCTCGCGAAGAAGCTTTCCAGGATCTCGCTTCTCTCCCTTCTGACCACGGGCCATGAGTCGCGAGGCATCATTGCTGGACGAAGCAAGGTCGTCACGCTCCTTGACCAAGGTCTTGTGTCTGTCAATCATAGTCAAGGTGGGAGCACGCTGTTCCCTGAGGGCCTCAAGTCGCGTAACCTCACGCTCGTGAGCCTCTAGAAGCGCATCACTATAGACGTCGGAGAAAGCAGGGGTGAAGTCGAGCATCTCATCCTCAGAGAAGTACAGCGAATCCCACAACTCCTGAAGTCTGATACGGGAGTCCTCAACAAATAGGTGGAGGTTCTGACGCTTCAGCTCGTTCAATCGCGATAGCTCATCTTCAAACTCGTTGATCTGACGAATGCCACAGCCGCGGTTCTGGTTGAAGAAGGCCTTGGTCTCGCTCTCGTCGACGCCTAGCTTGATCCAAAGCGCTTCAACGGCGGCCTTGAGATCTCGTAGTCGCTTCTCTCGGTTCTTCTTCTCATCAGAGAGTCTGTCGCGCTTGGTCCGAAGCCGGGCGATATCCTCCTCGTGGAGGCCAAGCTGCTCAGGAGCGTCTCTGTAGTACTTGACGATGGCGCCGTCTTGCTGCGCCTGGGGAATGCCGAGCTCGGCCCATAGTCCGATGATCTGGTCACCAAGGGTTTGCACTGTAGCTATGCGACGGGTATACTCTTCATATACGCGTGTAAACTCGCTGTCAAGCCTGTCGACGTAGGACGGGGATAGATCGAAGTTGGGAGGGATGGACTGGTTGGGGCCTGTGGGAGGGAGCGCGATCTGGACAAATGTGGCTTCGAGGTGTGAGGAGTAGGATTCTAGGGCTTGTACGAGCTCTGCGAAGCGGATTGTCAGTGCGTGTGGACACGGGGGAGAATGCGACGGGGAACATACTCTTGACTTGCTCGAAGCGTTCCTTATGGATGCGGCTGATCTGGCTGTGCTTCTCCTTGAGAGCTTGCAAGCACCTCACCAGTGGGTATGTGATGGTGAGGTCTTCGTCATCTTGGTAGTCGCGTCGGTTCTTGGAGTCATCGAGAGACGTCTCCATTTGACGGACGACAGTGATGATCTTCTTTGCCTCGTCGACCATCTCCTTCTTCTCCTGTGTTACGAGACGAACCTGGCTGTTGAGCGCTTCGGAGAGAGCGGAGAAGAGCTACAAGATGCAACCATGGTTAGCGACAAATCGCCAGTTGGGACGTCGTAATCGGAAACCTACCTCCTCCTCGCGAGCCTCGCGCTCATGATCGGGAACACCAATCTCGTCGAATAGACCGTGCAGCTGGCCAATGCTGTTGTTGACCTGCTGGGCCAGGTAACTCGTGTCCATGGTGAAGTGTGCGGTTGGTTCGGATGAAAATGAATGTGATGGATGGATATGTTATGGACGGGGGTGGCGGTGATTGCCAGGCGAGGCAGATGTAATGTGTGCAATCAAAACAACAAATAATGTAGTCTTGACCGAGGAGGTCTTGATCGTTTGGGAGAGGGTGCGTGGGATGGGTATAACGTATGGTTGCGGTGATTTCGATGCGCTTCGTGAACGGTCTTGGTGATTGTTTACTTTCTCTCCCGGGAGGTCATCGAGCAGCGGCGGTGTTGTTAGGGCGAGCAGGGCATCCTATGCGCGGTGCGAAGCTCGAATCGACACGATCCATGCACCAAGGGCCGTAAGTCTGAGGGAATGAAGAAGCTGGAGAGAGCGCGAGCGTGGGAGAAGGAGAGAGGGAAAGAAGGAAGTGAGACAAGATTGCGTCGGGAGTGAACGGCGCAGCAGGGTGGTAGGTAGTAGGTATTCACGGAACTGGATGGGTGGGCTGCGCGGCGCCTACAGCTCGGGGCTTGGGAGGGATGCTGGCCGAGTTGCCATGGCAACACGGGGGATCACAGCGTCGCATCCAGTGCGAACCCCAGCGGATGCAGGGCGGCCCAGCTATTTCGGGCCCGTGTTTCAGCGCTCTTACCCCGCTGTCGCACGCCGAGAAGGGGCTCCACCGGCGGACCACTGGGACCACTGCAGCATGCTGCACAACTGCGCTGAACGCAGGCTCTGTGTCCACTGAACACCCACTGAGCATCCACTAAGGTGCGCACTAACAGGGCTCTTTCCACTGGGCCGGCTCCCTCACTGGCAGCGGATGGCCCGTCCATCGAGGTCATCCTGCTCTCGCCCTGCTCATCCTGGCTGTCAAAATGGGTGTCCAGGATCTCATTCCCTATCGCTATTGGCCTTGGCCCATGGAATCGACTCACTACTGTCTGCGACGGCGCCAGAGCGCCTAGCTGATTGGATGTCCCTCGCCTGATTTCTTCGCCCATGCGGTATTACATAGTCGTCCTCCGAGCACGCGGAGGCTCTGGCAATTTCGACAATTTTTTTTCTGCTTTCCCATGGTTCCAGATGAGACCAGAGCTAGGACTGGCTGGCTGTGCTCTCCCTGCGACAATGTCTTTCTTTCTGCTCCTCGAATTGTGGAAAATACGCACTAGATATACGGATACTTACATGCGCGAACTGGTGTGTTCGCGCTGGTGGCCCTGGAGACGGTCACGAACCCGCAGCGGCGCCCCGTCCTGCCCAGCATCTATCTCTGCCTTGCTTTGCCTTGCATTGCATGTGCAGAAGATAAAGCGTCCGGCGCTGCGAACCATCCACAGTCCGCAGGGAGCGCGTATGACGCGAGACGGAAGAAAAACAAACCATGACACTCGTCACTCGTCACTGGTGACCTCAGACTGCCCAATTGGGCCGTCCTCCACCAAGCGTTGAGTTGCTTAGCTGCAACTTACACACTCACGTATTATTCTCGCCAAGCGTCAATTGACACACGGGAGCGAGACGGTTAAGTCTTAAGATCTGCGTTATCGCTAAAACCCTAGCGCTCAAGCCTGCCCATGGCCGCATTCCTGTCATCAATGGCATTGCTGCACGCGCAAGATGCCTGAGGGGTCTTCCAGATCAGTGGGCGTATCATGGACTCGTCGCAGAAAAACAACAAGATTCCTGGGCCCAATGTTTGCATCACAAACCGGTTAGAACCTGCAGCAAGGCGCCCCCTCCCTGCTACCCACCCACCGATCAGATCTGCCGGCATGAGACCTCGTCTATGCGCGGCGACTTGCAGACCTTATCTCGCACCAAAAAGCATGTAAACAAACCACGCACAAGAGAGCCGGATTGGTGCTGCTGGCGATGCGCTGCATTGGTGTTGCACCCGTTCGGCATCCGTCGGGGCAAAACGGCGGTTTACAGAGTGGGGTGGAGACATGGACATGGGATGTAAACAAAGACGATGAGGGTCACGTTGCTGATTCTCCCCGGACAACCTGGCCAGCTGAGGACGCTTTGCTTTGCTTGTCTTTGCTATCTTCGCCTATACCAAGGTGGAAAGTGACGCTGAATTGCGGTCATCAAGCTTCATTTCGGGACACATTGTATGCGAGATGATGCGCGCTCTTCGCACGGACTGTTCGACATCCATTTACACAATCAGAGACATATCTCAGACTCGGCGGGCGTTTGCTGCTCTTGTGCGACTCGTATTTACTACATGCATCGCGCTGAGGCGCAGGCAAGTCATTTCACAGTCCCGTCTCATCCCGTCCTCTACCGCTGCGGGTACCCAGCCACGTCTTTGGTCCCCGGGTTGTCAACATCAAAGTCGAACCGATCCGGAATCTTCAGCCCTTCTCTTGCGTAGTCATACTCCTTGAAGATGTGTACCGACATCCCATCCCTCCATAACCAAAGATCTTTCGTGTCTGCTTGCCACTTCTCCAGCGCCGCGCGCATGCTCAACAGCCGCTCCTGGTGCTCCTGCTTGGTAGCGAGATTATGGATCTCGTCGGGGTCCTGCTCGATGTCGTACAGCTCCTCAGGAGGTCGGCAGATGTAACTCTTTAGTGCACGCTTTCCAATCATTGCAGGCGTAGACTCGGTCCCGGAGTTCCTCATGCCCTCAAAGGACAGCGAAGCGTAGAGGTCCATGGCGAACGGAAAGTCCAGCTTCCAGCACACATTGCGATGGTATTTGTATCGCCTCGTCCTCATGTATCGTGTCGGCCAAAAGTTGGTCACCTCGTGAAAGGTGTGCGACCCGAAGACATGGTCCCACCCGGTCTGGACGGCGGAGGCATCGGTCACGGGGAGGATTGACCGCCCGCGACGAGGACCCACGGACCCATCGGGAGGCTGGAGGTCGGTGTGCCCGGCCCAGTCTAAGAAAGTGGGCAAAACATCAATGTAAGACACCATGTTGGTGTTTACAACGCCAGCGGCCTTACCCGGGACACGAAGCAAGAACGGGAGTCGCACGCCGGCATCATACAGTGTGGTCTTCGAGTTGACAAATGGCGGGCCGTTGTCGCTGAGGAACAGCACCAAGGTGTCGTCAGCCAACCCCGTGCGATCCAGCGCCTGAAGAACCATTCCAATTCCTTGATCGAGCCGGTTGATCGACCGATAGTACTCAACAAGCTCCTGTCGCACTTCGGGGATGTCTTGCAAGAACTGAGGAATCTCAACGTCTTCGGGCTTGAAGAAGCGATCCTTCAAGCGAGGATCGTAATTGCCATCCACATTACCGAACCCACCACGGGTCGCTAGGACTCGATGAGGGTCAATGTACCCAATAGTCAAGAAGAACGACTTGTTCTCAGTCTTGGCTTCCTCAAAAAATGCCTCTGCTTTGTCTGCGACCCCGGCAGTATCTCTCGATCCATCCTCCTTGCGTGTCTGCCACGGATACTTGGACGCCGGAGCGACATGGATTTTGCCTAGGATGCCTGTCTTGTACCCGATCCTGTTAAAGACCTCTGGACCAGTCTCGACGTTCTCGAAGGTCTGGAACCCATTGCGCGAGCCAACAAGTCCGTAGCTTCCATTCTCGTGAGTGTGTAAACCGGTGTAGATGGTAGTCCGACTGCCGCTGCATGAGGCGGTGCTAGCGAAGGCCATGTCAAACCGCGAGCCAGAAGCCGCGAGCTTGTCTAGCTCGGGTGTCTGCAACGCCTTACACCCATAGCAGCTCATCTGCTCCCGTCCGAGATCGTCGGCGATGAGGAGGAGGATGTTCTTCGAAGGAGCCATTGTATCATTTCCGAGCTGCAATTTCGATTAAAATGAGAACCAGACAAGGAGAAAATGTCTCGGTTATGAAGAGCAAGCCATTGAACAGCGGAAGATGATTGTCCGGATGTCGTTGTATTTGCGTGATTGAGTATGGCGCCGTCATTGGGCGACGACCCGAACCGACGATCCGAGCGGGGTCACAGCTGCGCGTCCACGCGGCCATCTGAAGTTGCCCTCACCACGTCGACGAACCTGACATTATGGCCAGGAGAGTTTATCATCGAGATGATCTTCGTCAAAATGGCCATTTTCATCGCCTCGCGCCACTCCAGGATGGCATGCTTTTACCTTCAATGCCGGCCTTTAATCCGGCGTCGCCCATTTCCATGATGCCGTACATGTCCCAGGACAAGTAGTTTTGCAAATCACTGAGGTCTACCGCATGGTCTCTCATGTATGCCGACGATGTTATTGTCGTTGTCGTTGCGGGTGGTGTCCGAAGCGCAACGGGTTGCTCGTGTTGAAGACCAGATCGCGCCGGGGTCTCGTGGGGATTATTTGGCAATCCGTGGGCCACTGGCCTGTTAAGAGCAGGACTGACACTCCCTGAATCACTCGACAAAGTGGTCGGATCTGGTTTGGTTTCGCGCGCCTCGTTTCGCGCTGAGCGAGTTATGCCAAGGCCTGCTATTGTGTCTCCGGGGTTGCTCACAACAGGACTGCCTAGGCCAACGGGAGATCTGGGACTAACAACTTAGTGGAGCTAGAGTATTTCATGATGATCTAGACTTACCTTTCTTCCTCATTCAGTTCGTCATCGGGTGCATCGCTCATCTCCTCGTCTTGTGCAAAGCTGAGACGAATCTTGGACAGCCATCGTTCTGTAGTTGTAGCCTGCCCAGTGTGAGTTATAGCGATGAAATTAATCGTGGCATGCCTTGACTTACCAGAGAGTCTGCGAGAGGGAACAGCGCAGACATTGTTCTTAATATCTTGCTGTTGCTCTCAACGGCGGCGATCGCATCCATGACGATACCCTCCGCATCTGACCTGCTCAAGTCGAGCAGACGTGCAATGTAGTAGAGCATCACTCGGCTACTGTCATACGCAAAGCATGGGAGTAAGCTGTCCGCAAGCAGACGTATTCCGTGCTTTTCGGCTTCGGCTAGAATACTTGCGATCTCACGGGCGTGGTGAAAGCAATCGGCTTGAAGGGATCGTAGAAATTCCTGTTGGTTCGGAGGGAAGTAGAACGGCTTCCTCAACTTGAATAGATCCGGCATAGATATCCTGTACAGATCCAAGAGGTTGTGGTGGAAGGTACAATGTAGGAGAACCAAGGAACCAAGTTGGTCTGACTCGAGTCGAGCGTAAACGGTGTCAGGCGAGTAGGATATGAACTCGGGAAGTTGGCCACCCCATGACCGGAGATCAGCATCAAGGGCTACAAAGTCGGATTCGGGTAGCCAAGGCGGGGGGCTGGTATCCAAATGCTTGACATATCTTGCATCAAATCAAATTAGCAATCCGGAATGTCTCAGCAGATGTCTTGAAGATTCAAACCAACCTAACCACTCGTTTCCACAGTGTGACGATCCGGATGTAGTATGCCATGATACCCATGTTTGCTGCTGGTCTCCGTGGAACAATAGCAGGAGGTAGAAATTGGAGGACGTGTCCTACTCCCAGAGTCTCGGTGACGCAGGGGATGCGCAGTCTGAAATTGCGCTCGTTGCATGGAAGTTGAATCTTGATGTCAGCCTCACGGAGTAGTGTCAACTGGTCAACGCCACTTCCAGTCCAAGCATCTAGGATATAGCAAGCCCACATGAGGCGTCTGCGACTCTCCTTTTCCACAGCTGGTGGAGCGCCCTCGACAGTGTCGGCACAAAGAATATCGGGAGAGTATTCAACATTGACTTGTAAGGCATGGGCCATTCGGACCGCGAGCCCACTTAGCATAAGTGCTTGAGTATACTCGCCTAATCGGAAATGAAAGTCGTAAAGCAAGACGCAGGTCTGGGGCTCCAATGTCAGCATGACGATGCCATTTGCGAGCCTGGGGTAAATACCATGAGTCGTTGGATTGAAATGTTTCCAAAGTTGGTGAGCACTATTAACTCTGCCTTTTTAGCCCACGCGTTTCCAGCAGCACGGATCAGGCCTGCTTTGGCGGCATGGTCTTCTGAATTGAGATTAAGAGCGTAGAACCTAACAAGTCAGATCAGGAGTGGGTGAGAGTGTGAGGTCGGGGATCCTACTTCGCTCCTTGAGCGCAAATAATATGCAACAGGGCATTTTCATCATCGGATTCGAAGCCCTTGTCTAGTTGTCTAGTAAATGACGGACGATGAACGAAGGCAAAGCATCGGAGGGGGTGGATGTTGGCAAAGTACTGGTCGATGACTGCGCGGATGTTATGGCCAGAAGGGAGGTCCGGTGACACGAGCCTGAAAATCAAATGAGAAAGACATAGGCTTGAAGATGTATTTGATCGACCTACCATGAGTGAATCGACAACTCGGTGTCGTCGGAAAAGTCCACTGGTGGGTTGGTGGTGCTGGTGGTTCTCGTCGACGATGACCTCGGAGGGTCGGAAAGCACACTACCGGTCTCTCGGGACTGGATCACACTGGGCGAGCTGGAAGCTCCCGGCGCAACAGAAGAGTCGTGAGACTCGTTCCGACCCTCTTCCGCCGAAGCCGAGGTGGGCGCCTTGCTGAGGTTGCGCGCCCAGCGAGGGGCCGAACCGCCGTCATACAGACATTCGAGATTCCGAGCGCTGCATCGCGAGCATCTCGGGCGGTCGCCGTCGCATTTGGTCTTGGAGACGCGGCAGTGCGTGCAGGAGCGATATGTTCGGATCTTCCGCAGCGAAACGGGAACCGACCGGCGACCGGATTTCGATCCTTCATCGTCGACGCACTCGAGCTGGAGGCGCTCGCAGTTCCGACACCCGTTGGGTCGGCCGTCGCATTTGACCTACACCGAGGACACCGAGGTTAGCACGCTCTGATAAGAGGAAGCGGGACAGGGAAGCTCGCCTTTCTCGCGCGACAGACTCGGCAACCCATTGCGACTAGATTGAAGTCGAGAAAAGCGATGCGAGCGGCCTGCGTGAGGCTTTTGCCCAGGTTGCGATATTGCGATTGTCCATGGCGAGCAGCCGATGGCGTGCGAGGGCCTAAGGCGCGAGGGCCCGTGACGCCTTCGTGCCCCGGGTCGCCGGGGAGTGGTTTGCGCCACACCAAGGCTAACTCGGTGACAATCTCTGGCGCACCAGCCACTAATGCGTCCCTGTACTCTGGCGCACCAACCACTAATCCCTCCCTGTAAGACGGGATGTGGACTGAGGGCCCCCACTGCTAACGCCTGCAACGCTGGCCCACCAGATCACGACATCCGTCGCGGCGATGGCGATGATCCCTACTGCAGCAAGAATCCCACGGACAGCGCAAAATCCCCACGCACAACAGCGAGGGGATCGGATCTCGGCCTCGAATTGAAATTGCACACTGCATGGGGTTTCCGAAACATATACGTAACCTCTTACGAAGTCGTACGCGTATTATATTAACCTTGGTTTTTGGAGTGATGAACCCCCACTCTCCTCGCCGAGGCTCTCTCTACATGCGCCCGTTTTTGTGTTGAAATAGTCCGTCTAGAGATTCGCTGTGTCGCCATGAAGAACCACCCATCCCTCCCAACCAAACCGGTCCTTTTCAAAGCTTGGCCCATGGAGACCTGTTTTTGCGCAATCGCACCGTCGCGACCATGCCGCCAGACGCCAAAGCCAAGGAACCTGCGTAGAACATGGCTGGCCGGTATGCCTTCAGACCAGCATCCGCTCCTCCGTACGCCTCGAGCAGGTATCCTGCAATAGGAGCACCCTAAGACGACCACTATCAGCTCCAATTCGCAGGAAGCAATTCCGATATCAAAGATTTCAACTCACCATCAGGTAACCGCCGGTCCAGCCGGTGAGAATCATGCTCATCGCAATGGCAACTCTCGCACTGCCAAAGACGTTGCTCACGACTGTCGGCATTGTTGAGAAGAATCCGCCGTTCGACATGCCATTGATCAATACAAAAAATATCATCGGTCCTAGAGTCGTTGACGAAGGCCAGATGACAAGCATGCTGATGGCCGTCAACATCAAAGAGATGAACAGCGTGTTCAAGGACCCAAACTTGTCACAGGCAAAGCCACAGCCAATTCGACCAAAGGCCGAGGCCAAGTTGAACCCCGCAACTAGAGCCGCTCCTGTTGTCGACGAAAACCCAAGTGACTTGGTGTACATGGGAAGGAAGAATGGCGGGACGAAGAGGGGGAAAGTTCCCAAAGCACTGGCTAGGAAAACCAGAACAAAGGTGAAGGACTTGAAGAGGCGCCTAGGGAAATCAGTACTCTGCTCTGAGTTCCAATCGTTGGACCACGTACCACTCAATAAATCCTGGCGTGTGCGTCGGAACTCGCTCCTTGATCACCCAGGCTGCCGGCAGCCCCGTGGCCAGTGTAAGAAGTCCGAGGATGCGGTATCCCCACGCGATGTTAAGTCTTTGGATCAGAGCATCAAGGGCAAAGCTGATAGTCGCTCCTCCGAAGCCCGCACCGGCAAACATGAGGCCATTGGCAAGTCCACGTTTCGTGCTGAACCATTGAGCAATCACCGCAAAGACAACCTATGGTGAAATATTTGTCAATCGCTCAACGAGGTTTCTTGTTCTATCGTCAAGACTTACCACTGAAACCAGACTACTTCCTTGTTAGCCAATGGCACGGGTAGGCAGGCAATAAATCGAAGTCAACTCACCTGACACCAGTTCCCATCATAACTCCAGAAGTGAAGAACAGCGCGCCGATGTTCTTCACAGCAAACGAGCTCAGAATTTCACTCCCACCCATGACCGAGATTCCCAAAACGGCAGTCCATCGCATACCGAGGGCACGCATCAACCTCGAGTTCACAATAGCCAGAGCCGACATCAACGCCGCATCGAGCGATCCGATGAAAGAAAGCGTGGCGGGGGTCGACAGTCCGTCCTCAACCAGCGCCGTCTGCATGACGCCCCAGGCATACGTCGTTCCGACCGCCCACCAGAGGAGGACAGCACCGCCACCGACGACCACCCAGCCGTAGCCGCCATCGGGAACCGTCGAGTCGGCAAGTCGGGAAGCCTGCAAAATCTCATCGGTGGACTCCTCGGCCCTGGATCCGGAGGTGTAGGGACCCCTGACGGAACTCGCGGCCGACGTTTCGCGGAGTTCAATTGCGGTCGTGGTAGACATTTTGAACTCAAGGAGGAACTGGTAGCGACTCAGCCTCTGCACAATCAACAGTGTATCGTTTTATGATAATCTAAGTCAAATGCTACAAGACCGCGGCGAAGTGCTCTTTAAAGGCACGGAGTCCGGTCCCGGCGCAAGACCAACAAAATGTGTGGGTCATACGGCATTTTCATCGTGATGACTCGAGCGCGGTTCGGTTTAATGATTCGGCTCGTCGTCGCTTTCCATCGGCGATCGAGCCGGTTGATGTCCTTCCCAAGCTCCTGTTGGTTTCTTGAATTGTTATGAATGAGCGGGGTTACGTAAATTTCGCCATGTGCCGTGCACGCACGCTATTTCTCTTGGTATTTCGAGAGTTGTGGACTGGATTTTGTGGTGGAGAGGCGGGGTTGTTAAAGATGGAGTAGAGAGCTTGCCATGGCTTCACGTGACTCCAGGCCTACTACCAAGGTCAGCTAGAGGTAACTCACCTGAGGTTAGTAAGTTAAAGCGAGAAGGAAGATATTGGTTTCGGTATGAGATTGAGGAGGGGTGTTGCTTTTAAATAGATATATCGTCTGTGTCGAGGCTGTCAGAACCCAACTACCCTGAACAAGTACATCAACGTGCCAGAATAATGACCAGTCTAGATATTCCTCCGCCCGTTAGTATGCAACATGACTGTACGGAAACTGAGAAAGAAGTTGTGATTGTATGGGCGCCTTTCATTTCGGCTTCGGTCCGTCCGCTAATGAAATCCTAGGAGAAGTGTGTTGTCGTATGACGTGGTCGGTGATGTTCTGCGACCGACGACCCGAGAATAGACGGCCATTGCCATTCTAAGAGTACTGCTCAAAAATATTTGAATAGATCGCATCATTCATGGAAAGACTTCTGGGCGTATATTTATGTACCATCAAGGAGGAATTATTGGTGTTAGATTGACTGCTGCTTATGACTCTTTGAGGTGACTGACCTCAAGCCCAACAGGCTCAGCCATAAACCTGAGCAGCTTCGCCACCCACTGGGTCTGAGTCATACGTGCCAATGTCGTCCCTGGAAGCTGTCAATGCGCAAATGTATGCTACTATTTTAATGCGATTTATGGCGGTGCTTCTCGTCGGAGCTTATCTTTGGCTTACACCGGCGTTATCTGTCGCCGAGGTGACTAGAGTCTGAGCTTTTGCGGTGTATGACATCGCAGCCCCTCCCCCACCAAACACCAACGATCTCCCGACATCTGCCCAAAATAACCCCACCATAAAACTCCAACACGGTAACACACCGATCCCCAAGATATCATCACCAGCACGCAAACCTCAAACGTAGCGATCGATCGCTTTCCCGACTTCGCCATGGCGGACCCAATCGCAGAGGTCACCGAGGCCACCGTCAAGCTCGTCCTTGACGATGCGACGGGCGAGATGGTCACCAGGAACGAGCTCAAGAAGCGCACCCAGAAGCGCGCCAAGAAGGCCGCGAACCAGGCTCGCACCAAGGAGGCCGCCGAGCAGCGAGAGAAGAACCCCAAGGCTGCGGTGCCAAAGCCCAAGGCTCAGGAACCCACGCAGCTCGACCCCGATGCCATGTTCAAGCAGGGCTTCCTCTCCGACGTCTACAAGGAGCGGGCTGTGACGCCCGTCGTCACTCGATTCCCCCCCGAGCCCAATGGTTATCTTCACCTGGGACACGCCAAGGCTATTGCCATTGACTTTGGCTTTGCTCGGTTCCATGGCGGCCAGACGGTAAGCTGCACTCTACCCAGTCCTCGCTACTCGAGGAAGACGGAAGCTGACTAGACACTAGATTCTTAGGTTCGTTGCTGCGCCCAACACACACGATCGATTGCGACTGACAGAATACAAGGTTCGACGATACCAACCCCGATGAGGAGGAAGAAATCTACTTCGAATGGATCATCAAGATTGTCAAGTGGTTGGGTGAGTCACCAGGTTGGCTTCCACTACCGGGAACGCAGTCCTGACTCTGTGTAGGATTCACCCCCAGCGCCATCACGTACTCGAGCGACTACTTCCAGAAGCTCTTCGACCTGGCCAAGGAGTTGATCAAGAAGGAGAAGGCATATGTCTGCCACTGCCAGGAGGCTGAGATTAAGCTCCAGCGCGGAGGCAAGGACGGCAAGGAGGGTCCCCGCTACCGCTGCAAACACGCCGAGCAGGATATCGAGACCAACCTGCAGAAGTTCCAGGACATGCACGACGGAAAATACGAGCCCCAGACGGCGTTCCTCCGCATGAAGCAGGACATCGAGAACGGCAACCCCCAGATGTGGGATCTTGCCGCCTACCGAATTCCCAAGAAGAAGACGCAGCACGTCCGCGCCCCTGAGTGGAAGATGTTCCCTACCTACGACTTCACCCACTGCCTGGTCGACAGCTTCGAGAACATCACCCACAGTCTGTGCACTACCGAGTTCATTCTGTCCCGGGAAAGCTACGAGTGGCTAAACAAGTCTCTTGAGGTCTACGAGCCTATGCAGCGCGAGTTCGGTAAGTAAATTTATACTCTGACATCCATTTACTTCATACCCCAATTACTGGCCGAGACCGATCAACTCTACAATGGGAGTAGGGGTATTGTATTTGCAAGATTATTCTGACTAGGATTGCCGTTAGGCCGACTAAATGTCAGCGGAACCATCATGAGCAAGCGAGCTCTGAAGAAGCTGGTGGAAGGCGGCATAGTCCGAGGCTGGGATGACCCTCGACTCTACACTCTTATCGCCATTCGACGCCGAGGTATTCCCCCAGGCGCCCTCCTGGCCTTCATCAACGAGCTCGGTGTTACCACAGCCAAGACCATTATCCAGATTGTTCGGTTCGAGCAGACCGTGCGCCGTTACCTCGAGTACACCGTGCCCCGTCTCATGATGGTCCTCGACCCCCTCCCTGTCACCATTGAGGACATCGAGGAGACCCAGGAACTCGACGTCCCCTACTCCCCCAAGGACGCTAAGTTTGGCACCCACAAGGTGCGCCTTACTAAGACTGTCTATATCGACCGATCCGATTTCCGCGAGGAGGACATCAAGGGCTACTTCCGCCTGGCCCCTGGTAAGACTGTTGGTCTTCTTAACGTCCCTCACCCCATCAAGGCCACTTCATTCACCAAGGATGAGACAACTGGCCAGGTCACCGGTGTCAAGGCCGTCTTCGACAAGGAGTCGAAGCCCAAGACATACATCCAGTGGGTGCCCGATAACTCCATCAAGCTGGAGGTTCGTATCCAGAGCCCACTCTTCAAGTCAGACGACCCCATGGCCGCTGAGGGTGGATTCTTGAACGATGTCAACCCCAACAGCGAGACTGTCTACACCGAGGCTCTGATTGAAGAGGGCTTCAACGAGGTGCGCAAGAAGGCCCCTTGGCCGGTCACCGCAGGCGAGGACGGCGGCGACAGCGGCCCTGAGACTGTCCGATTCCAGGCCATGCGTGTTGCCTATTTCGTGAGTACTCTCGTCACTCTTTGAGACTGAAAACAACTAACAAGAATACAGGCTATGGACTCTGATAGCACAGACGACAAGATTGTGCTGAACCGGATTGTATCTCTGAAGGAAGACTCTGGAAAGAACTAGATAGATGGCTTGCCTGGTGCATGAATCAAATGAACTTCTACAAACCCAGTCTTATTTTGTGATGACTATTAGTTCTAGTGAATTTTTCGACCGGAATTCTACGAACCTTAGGTCGAGCAAATAGGTTAAGCCGCAAAGCGTTGTAGATGGAAACTGGTTCTGTCTCAAAATGAGCATTGCAATTCGCACACACTCAAAATGCTACTCGCACACTCAAGGACATCAACAATTTTACCAGCAAGTCTCAATAATATAATACCTATTCGTAAGTAAACCTAATAAATTAAATAAGCTTTATTCTTAGTATTTGTTCTCTAAGGTCTGCTGTTTAAATTTTATTTTTTAATTTATTTTAGGGCAGAAACTGGATATTCTTCAGAACAAGACACCTTGAGGCGGGTGTACAGTCTGGGCATTCCCTTACACTAAGATTAGGTGTAAAATTGTGTACTTGTGTGCGATCAGCATTTTGAACGGGTGCGAATAGCAATACTCCTCAAAATTACTCTTCCCTTTGCTATTCTCCTCTCTTCGTCCTACTCTGCGCTTGTTCGTCTATGCTAGCCCTGTATGTCTCTTCTTCGGAATCTTCAGCAACTGAGCCAGTCCTAGATGTCTCCTCTTCAGAATCATGATCACCACTCGACTGGTACGCCAACCATGCTGAGCGATAAGGCTCAAAGTGAGTCCAGGCCCAACTCTTTCTCCAGTCATCCTCGGGTAAATTATCAATGTCCTTTTGGCCTTGCCTGTACTCGTTTATAATTCCCATGATGAGTGGGGAAGTACTTGCTGGCGGCTCCTCATCGCAAACCTCGATTTTGCCAGACCTATTATCCATACTTTGTCCTCTAGCTCGAGCTGTGCTCAGTCTGTGGGCCCTCTCCTCCACTGCTTTTACCATTGCCGACGCATATGGGTTTATCTGATGAATCGGCTTACCTTGGGATTTGTAGACTCTAAGTTCTCTTTGTCGCTTCTTTGCATTGCGAGTGCTTGAGTCATGTCCGTATGCTTGGGTCGACAGCTGGACCAAGACTCTATGCAAAGCCAATGCCTCATTCTCGCTTTCATGGCTGCCAGCGGCTGCTAGAACCTCGATGGCTCGCTCGAGAGGAAGAAAAGCGGCGTTCATTGAGGCGTGCCAGATCTTATGGAACAGCCACCTTAGTACGGCCAGGGCGTCTTCCAGCTGGCCCCGCAATGCTATCGAGGCACCACGCTCCGAAATGATTTCGTAATAGCAATAGAAATCGAGATTCCCCGCTGCGTCTTCAAGCATTTCTTCCACGTGTTTGGCGGACCGGTTGATTGCCCTGTCGAGAATTCCAGTGGCCTCATCAATACGACCGAGTCCTATATAAGCCTGCGACAAGGATGTCGCTACAAACTGGGGACAATTAATGTCCTCATCATCTGAGTATACCATGGCTTCCAAAATCTCAACTGCTTCTTCGTAGTGGCCATATGCCTGGAGGAGATAACCAAATTCGCGTTTTGTCCCAAGAGTCCTGGTATGCGCTGGCCCAACCGTTTCCTCGAGCAGTCTGATGGCTTCAGGCCACATCCACTGTGTTCCATTAAGCCCCGTATTTTGGTGGACAAGAAACCAACCCATATCAGCCAGAAGCGATGCTTTCGCGACGGCTGGCCAATACCAATCCACATCGACGAGCGTTTTCGCATGATCTAGCGTTGCATTGATATGGGGTATCAACCTGCGGATCCAAGGAAGGCTCTCTGCGGAGTATCTAGGGAGCTCGTTACTGATGACGAACATCGCAAGTGATGTGTAATTTGCTATTTGTTCACTTCTCTTCATCTCCCACTGCAGCGCTAGGTGCACTAGCCGATGCAACGTGAACGTGGTATCTTCAACCCTATCGTGTTGACTTGATGTTAAGAAAGAGTATCCCATGAGTAGTGACAGTGAGTCACTTAGGTCCTGAACAGTCGGGGTGCGTAGCTGGCGCCTGGGTTGTATCGGTATCCTGGGAGTCTCTGGGATCGGCGCTTTGCCTTTCTCCGTTGGTTTCCCTCTCCACAAGCGCTGTACAAGACCTTTAATCCTCTCTCTTCGTCGTATCTGGCGGACGTTATCATAGGGGTAGACATTGTGTTCTTCGAAGTCATTATCATCATCTCTTTTATATGATAGATCTGAATTGTATCTGTCATAGTGCGTCCTGTATCTGGTGAAGAAGGAACGTGGAATCTCTTGTCGGTCGAAGGACCCGCAAAGGTACAACAACTCGATAGCAAAGCTATTCTCTCGCTCAATGGTGCGAAAGGAAGCGAGCCAAGTTCTGGCAACGGCGTTGGGAACCTGGTTTTCGGATGCATTGTCACGACCAGCCTCGGTGAATTCGTCCTGGAGCATATCCCTTAAGCCATCACCGCTGCCTTCTCTTAGCATATCGAGATACTGAGGCACCGACAGCGAATTCCTTTGTAAATATGATATGGCCTGGGACAAGGCTAATGGCAAGTACCCAAGCTCCTTCGCCAATGAACTGATGTCTTTGACCGTGTGGGTAGAAGCTGGTAAACGGCCGCGGATAAGGTCAATGCATTCCTCAGGGCTCGGTTCCGTGATGGTAATCAGGGTTCGACCCTCAGTCAAATCTACTGCTGCGTGCTTGGATCGACTGGTGAATAGGACCGATCCATTTGGCGAACTGGGAAGATACTTGTGCATTTTCGCCCTGTACCCGGCGTCTCCGCTCCGCTCGAGGAATACCTCGATGTCGTCGGCGTTGTCCACTATCATGAGCCATGGATGTTGTTGATGACTACTCCCCAGCCACTCTTTCACCTTTTTCAAGAGATCTGAGCCACCAGCTGAAGCACCGGGTATTTGGCAGGTCCGGGCGATCGATGTGTAGGCTTCGATAAAACGTTCGGTCGTGCTCGCATGAACCCAGAATATGGACAGGCCATCATCTCTCTGACGCATCTCGTATGCCCATTCGATGACAACTTGGGTTTTACTATGCCAGCATTAGCAGTGCTCCGAGTTAAGGACTCGATGGCCTACAGACCCTACGCCTCCAAGCCCATGCAAAGCGGCTCGTTTATGGATGCCACGGTGACGATTCTCCAATGGAGACCCAAGCCAAGAGTTGAGTTGTTGCAAGGTGGATGAGCGACCGACAAAGAACTCGTTTCTTGAATAAGGCAGAAGAAACCACGGGCCATTTGAAGCTGTGGTGCTGGTATGTGTGGGAAGAATTGGTGATGTTTGGCCATGCTGGACTCGTGAAGTGATGCCTCGTGGGACTGTAGTCCATTGTGTGACTTTGGAAATTATGGCATTTAGTTCTTGTACGAAAGCCTGATATCCTGGGTCAGATTCAGAGATGAACTTTGCCATGTTCTTGTGGTTGGCATGTATTCCTCTGTCGGCAAATCCAGGTAGGACTGCGGACTCCTTCGGCACAATCAACCCGGCATTCGGGGATGGTAGTTCCTCCCAGAAACAAATCACCGAAATCTTGTGTTGGTCAATTGAATTGCGTCTTCCGTTGACGAGGTCATAAAAGTCGTCGTGGATTCGGTGTAGAGTATCCGACTCTCTCTGTAAAACCTGAAGCAGCTTGGGATTGGTTTGCTTGAAGCTGCCAACAAGGCTGGAAAATCGAGTCGCGTAATCGGCAATGGCTGACCCCCGATGGGGAGTCCCCATGAAGATGATGCCGGCGGTATGTTGAGAGAAATCCATGAGATCTTCTCTATCGCGGCGTTGAGCGGAGAAAAGGATTGCCTACTGCTATTAACTTCGATCCACATACCCATCTTTGTTCAAGACCGCATGCCGATCCTTTTTCTTACATCTTTACAAACAAGACCCCCGAGACTATGACACACAAATATCATCGGACGTCCGGCGGTGTTGGTTTGAGTGCGCTCGTGTTCGACCGAAGCTACCAGCTCCTTTGCATGGTCTCTAATCGCCTTGACGGAAACCTTTCCCTGGTCGTTCAAGTTGAATACGTGCGCATCGTAGCCGAATGTGAATATGCGTGAATTCGGTATCTTCGATGGGAGGAGGGCTTTGGGCCATGGTTCGAGCTTTCGTCCGTCATCGTCGGTGCCTCTCCAGGTCTTTTCTCGATGGCCCATGAGGCCGTGGATGAATATGATGCTGTTTCAGATCTTATGTTAGCCTTGATATGATAGGGAATGTCGAATATATTCCCGAGAGACTGTTGCTCCTGTGCGCGACTTACTCGACATCTGGATCGTCGCCATTGTGCCACTCCTCGAGCCCCAGGGCCACTGTGGCGCTCGATGAAGATTGCCCGGACTCTTCGGTGTTTATTCGATGAGTACTTTGTCGCATGGTTTCGATGCCTTCCGGCGACTGATGACGGTTGTATATGTCGAGTCGCTGAATGGCGGGAGGTTGATGATGGGATGAGGAGGTCAGGCATTAGCTGGGCGTCAGCGCGTCTTAGATACACCAACAGGCTTCAGCCTGGTCTGCTCTTGTGGCTGCCCCAACGAGGCTGAGCCCAAATAGGCCGAGCCCAAATAGGCCATGCGACATGAAATTCCGGTCCCTTCTTCTGGCTGTATGCATGAGGATTGATAGCGCTGTCTAAGCGCTGTCGATGACCGATGCACCTACAGTTTACGTGCAAAAGTTCCGACAACATTAAAATCGCTAACGGCAGTAGTTATATTACCATATTAATTTATTTAAAAAAATCAATGTATATAAAAATATTATTAATATTCTAATTTTATTAATAATAATGGTTTTATTTTATTTAATTATTTTTATTTATAATTTATAAATCCTAAGCTTTTATTTCTTTTTAAAAGCTAATCCTTTTATTAGTGTAAATTAGGCATATTGTCGGATCTTTTGCACACCCACTGTATTGACGATGAAGGAACTAGTGTGAAAGCGAGAAGCCACAGATTACCGCCCTCCAAGACACTTTCACGAAGGGAAGAGTGTCGTTTCTGCAGTATCTTGATTTTGGCCAAATGAATGATGTATTTTTCTGGCAAACGGCCTTAAAAGCGATGATTAATGAGCTGGGTATATCTTGCCACACAGTGTGGCCCAGTGCAGCAAGATGGCAGCTACAGCAGCCTGTGGGCACCCCAGTCACACACCATCAATCCCACGTTCGACGCTGATGGCTTGACGTGACATCCCGGCGTCGAATGATATCTTACAAATTAAATTTGTCCAATTCCCTCTCAGGACAATCATCAAACGCCTCGAGAGCCTTCCCAATTTGCGGTAACCTAGAACACCAAGTGGAACGCACTGCGTGGACTCAATCAAGCTATATATTTATTTGAAGATATCTGAGAGAAAGTTATAGTCAAATTATCTTAGCCAGTGCTTTGCCAACCTGGAAACACAGCTTCCGGGCTGAGACCTGTCCAGCCCGGTTCATATCCATGGCCCGCCTAACACTAATAGGACTGAGATCTCCAAGGTTTGTGGTCTGGATTGGCTTTAAAGACCCATCACCGATCAGCGTAGGCAGTCTATCATACAGCGCTGCGCTGAGCTGATAGTTCTCCATGTGGGGCTTGAAGCAGCAAGAGTTAGCAAGGAACAAGCAATAGACCCAGAAACCATGATCAACGGAAAAATCTCCAAAACTTACGGGCCAATGTTTCAAGCCACGGTATGTGTGCGGCGTAGGAAATGCTGAGAACACAAAGACGTCCGTCACTTTGATGTTTTGTGGAACATCTTCTGTATGACCTTTGTTGGGTCGGACAGTGCACAAGGCTCCCGGGCGAGTCCCAATTACTCGAGCTGCAGTCGCTGATGAGGTAGGATTGCCTATGGTATCGAAAATGTGGGTTATCTGAGGTAGGGCGGCCTGAAGCTTGGAGACAACGTCGTCGTCATGATAGTCGAAGACGTGGGTAGCGCCAGCTTCCTTTGCCTGTTCAAAGTTCTGCGGGCTACAAGTGGTTGAAACGACAATTCCGTGGAGCCGAGCGATCTGAATAGCATAATATCCAACGGCAGCTTTCCATCATCGTTAGCACTTTGGATGAGCTTGGGAATTAGGTAGCTATCATACAACTTGCACCCCAAATGAGGAGATGAGGCGTCGGGACCGAAGGGTCCTGGGTAATTGCCAAACAATCGGAAGAAAACAAAGCAAGCCAGGCAGTATTGGCCGCCAGTGGGATAGCGGTAGCTTGGTCGTTGTTGATTGAGGCTGGGACTTTGTATGAGATGCGCTCATCTGCAATGGAATATGTACTGCAGCTGTTAGGATATATTTTGTGCTTTGTAATGTTACTCACGAGTACGCCCCTAACCCCTTGATCTCTCCTACCAAACGAGAAATGTTAGCAAATTGTAGGCTATATGGAACTCTCGTTAGACGTCATACCGCCCCAGACCAAAGCGGCAATTCTGTCACCAGGCACCAACTTCGTGACACTAGGATGCGTGCGGATCACAACGCCGGTGAAATCGCAACCTAGGACAGCTCCATCGCCGAATGCATTCAGATCAAAAGCAAGCCCTATAAAAACTTAGTAGAATGCACAATTGAGATTTGGCAAAACGAACTATCTGTCGGGTTGAACGCTGCGCACTCAACCTTGACACAAACTTGATGCTCTTTCAATGCGGGCAGTTCAATCTCTTCGATCACCAAGTCGTTACCCCGCTGCACGACAGCCGTGGGAGTCTCTGAAGCCATTTGGGATACGCCAAGTGTGTGGTGTGGAATTATCGTAGGCTGGATCTCAACTACCTCGCGAGTTACAGTGTATGAACTAACTAGAGAGCGTCTGGTGGGCCCTTTAATACCTCTCGCCCAGAACAACCTCCGGCTTACAAAGGCTCCGCCTCCGGGACCCACAGTAGGAGCGGGCCGGCATGCCTCGGCACTAAATCGGCTTGCGATATACGCATGTAAACTGTGCCTCCGTTAAACGCCGTACTATGGTCAGATTATAGAAAGAAATACTGACCGGATACATCTGCATCTTGCCAAAATCCCAGACCCCGGAGCGATAGTAGATGTCTTGCTTCAACACTTCTATAACCGTTTCAGCAGAAGCAGCGCGGGCAACGATGGCACTGCCGTGAATGTCGAGCTTCTCGTCCTTCGGTGGGTTGTGTAGAGTTGCACCGCCCATCTGAAAGAGACCGGAGTCGATATGTTTGGTCATCTCCGTCATATGAAGCCTAACTGGTTCGTTATCCACCGACAGCCAGCGATGCGGTGCCGGAGTTCAGAGGGATCCACATACTCTCTGACACTCATTCTCTTCTCCAATGTCCCTTCGACATCCGGGATGAGGATGATCCATTCTATCTCGCTTGTAGAGGCCATACTGGTGCTTCGTTATTGATGCTTTGCTCGCTTGTCCTCTCAAGACAAGACTTGCTATCTAGATCCGCTAAATAGATTACGCATTAGGGGCGTGTCTCGCCTTGACCCGCCTCCGCATTCAATTTTTACGCCCTTGGCCGCGCCTTTCACCATGCCCTCACCACGCCTTTATGGAATAGATACGCCCTAAACTACCTACGCCAACACCCCCCTCCGCATTCAATTTTTACGCCCTCCTGCGCGCCCTTCGTTACGGCTAAAGTGGCGTCTTAAATACGCCCTTGGTCGCGCCTTTCACCACGCCCTCACTACGCCTTTATGTAGTAGATACGCCCTGAACTGCGCCAAGACCCGTATCCCGAACACTACATTGGGAGTTCGGGTGACTACCACAAGTGTAGAGTACTAGCTTGTAACTGCCTGCAATACAGACTTTAATATTATAACAGGCAGTTAAAAACTCTTAATTTTAAGATTTAACTGCTAATTATCTATAAGAAATTTATTATTTTATTTATTATTTTATTTATTCTATTAAATTACTATAGCTGCTAGAAGCTTAATATACTGGAGCAGCTTGAGAGTTAGGGCGCTGTAGCTGGTGCGGCTGGAGGTAGAAAACTGCTGAAAAGCTATAACGTATACGCAAAAACTTGAATGCTGATTGGTCTAGCCGAGTTGTTGTGTTAGTATTTTAGATCATTAGAGATCTGTGTCAATCTTCTTTCCATTTGTAGAAAACTGGATAGGCTTATCAACGCACACAGCTAAACATGCAGTATTTGTCTCACTTATCGTTCATAAATACAACAAGAAAGATAATCGGTGACGCTCTCAAATTTGACTAAGTAGCTACAATTGGGCGGTAAAGAACTCCCAATTATCCGAGCATTCAACGCCACCTCCCCGGCCTGTTTCCTCCCGTTTCCTCGACAGGAGCAGGAGTCTGCGGACGCTCTTGCATCAAGCGCTTTTCCAATCCATGTGCCAAAGTGTTTATCAACGACTCGTCCACAATCCCGTACTGCCATGTGATAGCCATTGTTAGAGGGCCGCCTCGGATACTAACACAGTTGAACCCAATCGCTGGGCCGGCAACCATGCCGCTCTGCGTGAACATGAGGCGTTCAAGAGTGAGAGGACTGTCTGCTGACGCTTGGTTCTCGGTGGCGCCAAGATTCGATAACTCGTAGGTGCACTCTCTCTTCTTCCCTTCCTGGTTCAGGCAATGTGACCGAATGTCCTGGATTTGCCACAGGTTCGCAAGGGCGCTGTCTCGCGGAAACCGCTTCACCTCAGCTGCAATGTCTTGGCCGAAGTCTCTGGCAAGATTGATGATGCACTCGTGCTCGGTTAGGGAGTGCGGTATGCTCTCCCGAATACCCTTCATCTTCGCATTAGAAACATGCGTGGACATGTACGAGATATGATTGACAATGTCCCGTGGGCTCGCCTTTGTGAGTCCACGTACCGAGAAGGGCGTGACCGCACGGAAATCAGGAGTTCCACCAATGGCTCTGCACAAACATGCGCAGATGTGACCATGGAGGTAGCTGTTGATGGACACCCCGTGTTGTTTGCAGGTCTTTATCATCCAAGAGAGGTTTTTGGGAGGGATATTTATCAGCTGAATCCTGGATATAAAATCGTCGACGGTTGGTAAAGAGACAATTCCACCAGTCCAAACGGGGTCTTTGGCGGGACTGGGAGCACTCGTCGTGGATCTCGGCATGTCAATCAAGTCTTCCATTGGAGTGGGCGGAGACTGTATTTCGTCCAAAATCATTGGCCAAATAGACCGAGCTCCCATCCCGAAAGCTTCTGGGAAAATTTCCATCATTGCGTTGTGAAAAGCTATGCCACTTAACCCATCAGCGATAGTATGATGGGCGATGAAAGCAATGTCGACTCTGGAGCAGGATGGGATAGGTTCAGATGCATTCTTATCGCTAGGATCCGACTCATGGTGCAGAATGATTGCCCTCTAAGCCGGCTTGTTTGAAGGCCAAAGTTTTGCGTGAGCGGTTTCGAGTGTACGACACAGAATGTCATCGTAATTTGCTTTTCCAATCTTCGGCCCTGCATCATCCCAGGGTTTGATATACTCCATCACATCGTCGCGGTGAATTTTGCCCACTTGCTTGAACCCTGGAGCGGAGTCCTCTGTTTGCTGGTCTGTGGGTGCGTAGCATAGTCCGGAGTGTTGCTTGATGGTCGCTTGGAGGCTATATTCGAGGGCATTCTGCAGCCAGGCCCCGGGAGGCTTCCCAATAGGCAAGGTCAACGAGTAGCTGGATACTACACACGCTGATCGGTAGTGTCCCAGGGCATGTCGGATGGAGTAATATTTGCCCAAGATGCCTAGAAATGGGGGTCAGCGCATGCTCACTGGTGCTTCATTTTCCAATCACAAAGCTGGAAGTAGAATGGAAAAGAAAGCAATAAGGTCCCCATTTACGTAGGAAAGGAAAAGAGTTTAAGGGGCGTACCAAAAGTTAATGGTTGTGTGTCTGTCATGGTGCAGGGTTCATTGAAGGATGAGAAGATGAATAAAAGACAGAGTAAGTCCGCCAGGAGGAAAAGACAGCGGGGATAGGATAATTATGGAAGTTCAAACAGTGAGGCAAGGTACCCAACGGAAGCGCATCAATCGCTTGCCGCTAATTAGCATTATGCATTTATGAATGAGCTACTCGGAGGTGGCCATTGGAAGTTCAAGGCATGGCCCTTACTTTACGGTACTTCTGGTTATTTTTCGCAATCTTATAGATTGATCTTTTCTACATTTTCTTTTCTAGATGGAAGTTTAGTGTTTTATGATACTAGTTCTTTTTACTCTCTAAGCTTTAGTTCCTCTACCTCGTGAACGCATCACTTAGGGGCAAGAATTTAGCCTCTTCCTCAACAACGACACCCCACTCGTGAGGTTCGACTCCATACATGATATCCTTTAGCCAGCCTTTCATCAACGTCGCATATGTAGGGTCTGCGCCTTTGGTCAGGGGAATATCTAAATCTCGACCTCCAAAATGGATAACAGAAACAGGAGAGATGAAGAACTACAGCATGTTAGCTTCTCCTCACTAGGAGTTGCAGTCATACTTACCGCGGTTCCGGAAACAAATGCCTCCAGGACCCGACCCTCGTCCCATGCCCTTTCAAGTTCGTACATGGTGAACTTCTTCTCCACAACCGCTAGCTCCTTGGTCAACCTCGATCGGGCCAGATCAAGGACAGACTGTCTAGTCACGCCCTCAAGAATGATTTTGTCAGTTAAGGGTGCCGTAAGAAGCTCCGGTCGGCCCGTTTCTGTATTCTTAACAACGGCAAAAAAGTTACTGGCGCCGGCTTCCGTGACTTGGCAATCGTCGCCAAGAACCCACAAGATTTGGTCGTAGCCCCTCTGTCGACAATCTCCGAGAGCCACGAAACTCGGCCCGTAGTTTGCACCCACTTTGGCATAACCAAAGCCTCCGGGCCAGGCTCTGGCTTCTCCGTTCTCTGATGTTAGAAGACGGAGGCCAGGTGGTCTCGGCAAGGCACCAGGCGGAGACTCGGAGGAAAAGTCAGGCCAGGCGATGGCAATGATAAACAAAGTAGCTTCCTGAGGGATCTGCACGCCGATTTGCCGACCGTTTCCAATCATCGCTGGGCGAATATATAGGAACTTTCCGGGCTCGTCCTTTGGAAGCCATCCTATGCATACATTGTGAGTGCGTTCCTTAGATTATGCAAAGGAAATCCTCACGTGGTCCATCTACTCGCATTAGTGCCATGATGAGTTTCACCAACTCCTTATCGTCGAAGCCCGGGAGCGAAACCCGCTTTGAGCTCATTACCAGGCGCTTGGCATTGCGATCAGGCCTGAAGAGTCTCAGCTTTCCATCGAACCCACGGTAAACCTTCATGCCCTCAAAGCATTGGGTTGCGTAGTGGAGACAAGAGGCTGCAGGGGAGATGGTCATGTCGCCAAACGGCTTCAGCTCAGGTGCTTCCCAACCCCCTTGGGCGGTCCATCGACAGGTTACCATGTGGTCGCAGCAGACATTTTGCGCCCATTGCTCTGCTGATCCCGGTTCTGGCACTGGAGTTAACACGGTGGAGCGGGTGAATTTGAGATTGGATGCATCGAGCGGCTTCGGGGAGGTGTTGAGCTCGCTGGGAGCTTGAGGCATGGCAGGCATGTTAGCTGTATAGGTAAAGTACAAATACTAATAAAAATGAATGCATTGAGGATTAGACTATTCTTACGAAATTTAGTTGCATATTGGTCTTATATACGACACATGAAGCATCGAGACACTCGCAGAGCTTATCTCCCGTTGTCAAATGCTGATTCCCTACCTTGCATAGGACAGGAGACAGGACTAACGTAGGGCGTAAATACCAAAAGTGGCGTAACTGGCGCTGGCAAAATGTTCGTTGGGCGTAAAAAGAGTTGCATTAGCTTGGGCGTAACCCCACATCTTTACCCTGACTCCGATGGATTTACGCCTTTCATCCGGGAGTCACTCTCTCCATACAACGATTACTCTCGGCTTCTTTCTGTCAGAGTAAGTACGGGCTTCTGCAGCATTCGAAAGGAAATATGCCGCCGCCGACCCGTCCGACCAGCCAAGACACGCCACCACCGTCATCACGAACACGGGGACCTCGGCGTGGAGTTGCGCGTGCCCCAACTCCCGGGCCGTTCCCAACGTTGCCTATCGGCCGAGGGACTACCTTTGAAGCCGCTTTCTCATTTGATCAAGATTATCCTGCATGGCTGGACGGTGGATTTCCCTCAATCCTAGCCCCGCAGCAGGATGACGGGGCCCAAGGCGTCCTTGCGAATGACACTTCGGTGGCAGTCGACCAAGACCTGGGTCATCTTCTACACATGCATGGCGACCGGATAAGGCAGCAATCTGTCGAATCACCCGTTTGCGATGAATTGCCTTCGGTTACCAATTGGATGGACCTGGGATCATCCCAAAGGTTGGTCGACTACGCCTACCTCCCAATGAGTTGTGCTTACAGTATCCAGTCAGACTTTCGAACAGTACATAGAATTCCCGGAGCCTCTGTACTCCCCCCTTGTGGAAACGAGCCCATTTGATGCGTCTGGATCTGGGCAAAGATCCGAATCCGGTCCCGTGGAGGATTTCGTCTTTGGTGACTCTTATATGGGACTGAGCACGTCGTACACTGCACAATCCGATTCCTCAATAGGATCTGTCGAGTCCCTCGCATCTTCTGCTTCGAAGACCTTTCGCAAGCGGAGGCGAAGGAAGCCGGTGGCTTCGAGACCCAGCCCTAACCGGCAGTTGGGTATAAGAAGATACCAATGCACGTTTTGCACCGACACTTTTAAAACAAAGTACGACTGGCAGCGGCATGAGACTACTCTGCATCTAAGTCTCGAGCAATGGCAGTAAGTGGTTCCCCGTACAGAAAGTTGACAGTTCTGCGTCACCATACAAGGCAGCGTCCCAACTCTTTACAATTAGTTCGCCGTTATTCTTTACTGACTCACGTGTAGGTGTGCCAAGTCTGGCCCATTTTTGCAACAATCGGATGGAGTAATCTGTTGTGTGTTTTGTGGCCAGCTCGAACCGGCACCAGATCACCCTTCAACACACAACTACTCTGCATGCACGGCCAGGCCAACTCAAGAGCGAATTTTCAGCCGCAAAGACCATTTGCACCAGCATTTACGGATTGTCCATAAAGGAAGCTTGTTCAATGATAATATGAAGTCCTGGTTCTCCTCCATCGAGATGATCAATTCTCGTTGCGGATTCTGCGATACACGCATGACAAGCTGGGCAGAAAGACAGAAGCATATTGCAGGCCACTTCAAGAAGGGTGCAAGCATGAAGGACTGGAAGGGGGACCGAGGCTTCGATGAACACATTGACGATATTGTCGAGAACGATATGCCGGCATTCATTATCGGCCTCGAGCAGACCTCGCTCGAGCCCTTCTCAGCATCCCAAGTGAGCCATCTCACTCAGCTGCCCGACCAAGATGTCGATCGCCTCGCGAGCGAGCTTACCTTGCTAGGACAAAGCACGCCAGAACCCGACGCATCTAATATACAGCCTCAAATAGCGGGCAACTCATATCGAAAATTCGAGACAAGGCTCCTTGCTTATGTTTCGGACGAGCTCAGCCATGGTCGCGTTCCGACGGATGAGCAATTGCGGGTGAAGACCAGCGAGATTATGTATGGCCCAGGCAACGCATGGGACCCAACTTGGGCTGATAGTGTTCAATGGCTGGGGCTATTTAAAAGGAAGGCAGGGCTTATTGAATTGCCGTATGGGAGTGGAAGGAATGCTTTTGTTGGAAGAGATGCAGGCATCGACAATTCGGAGGATGTCGGGTCGATGCTGGCTGAGACGCCGGACGAGGCTGCATAGCACAGTGCGGCGAAAGAAGATATTGAGCTGGATTTAAAGAGTAATGTGGTTGTATTCTCCGGGGGTTGGCTGCATGTCACGATAGCGCCATCTACACGCCAAATTTATGACACGGGGGAGTAGGAATCATGACCCACTCAAAATGTCGTATAAAAATAGCGATGTAGTAGATGGAGAACCCTCCATTTTCCGATTTCCAAACACTCTTTAAATTAGCCCAGCATCCAAATTTCCAACGTAACCTCGGCTGCTGGTTCTAGAACAAACTTAGATTCAACGGATGGGATGATGGGATGGATGCAGCAACCGTCACCCGCTCCCAAAATGGCGGCCGCGAGCTAAAGTTGCCGCCAACCGCCAAAGGTCCCCGCTAACGGCCCCCGCTAACGCCCCTTATTGGTGGGGCACGTCCCTGAAATTGGCGGCCTGCTGATGGTTCACAGTGACCTACAGGCTGTCTCTCCAGTGAGGTTTCAGCGGGTCTCAGCGGGTCTCAGCCTCAAGCGTCATGCGGGCGTCCCCTGAATGTCGCTAGACACACATGACGCAGCCCCCCGGAACAACGGTTGGCGCAACTGGTTGGCGGGTCGAGATGATTGCAGGAGCGTCGCACTTCCGTACGAGCCGCGCCTTGTCCTTGTTGAGCTGGTTCAACAAAACCTCGCTCCAACATCGCACCATTGGAACACTAGCCCCCTTGCGACCCACGATCTACATCCTCGACCCTAATTCTCTCGACGTCGCGCTCTCTCTCCCCCTCTTCAGAAACCCGCACTTCGCTCGCCATCGCCATCCCGGCCCTGCCATGTCGTCCTGACGCTCCCCCGACCCCCCGGCGATGAATCCCATCGCGTCCCACGCCCCCGGCTCGACCGATCCCGCGACCACGGCCCTCCAGGGCGCGTCCCTCGCCTTCCAGAAGAAGAAGCCCGCGCCGCCGCCGCCGAAGAAGGACAATGGCGCCCTGACCGCGGCGACGTCGGCCGGAAGGCCCCGGAGCCCCGTGAAGCACCTCCGCGCCCACAGCACAGGCGGCAGCATCGCCGACATGGACCAGTACGGAGGCATGGCTGTGTCTAGGATGCACCAGGTCGGTGCGAGCCCGTCGCAGCTGCACCCCGGGTACACGGGCACAAAGGCCGATCCAAAGAGCGCAAGCTTCATCGCCGCCACGCTCGCAGCGAGTAGGAACGTCAGCCCGACCCCGAAGGTCAGGACGCCGCGGAGGAGGACCAGCGTGGGCGCGACGAGCTCGTCAAGCGGCGGCGAGGTGGTGGACTCTGGGTCGCTTGCGCCGATGGGATCCCTCATCTCTATGTTCGAGCAGGCTAGAGCCGGTGATCCCGTCAAGCGGGCATCGCCTAGGAGATCCCCAGCCAGATCACCCGCCAACTCCAACGACAGTATCGCAGAGGTGCCAGAGCCACCGCCGACGACGGATCTCACGTTGAAGCCCAAGCCCAAACCGACGCTCAAACCGAAGCCCCGGCCGTTGACACCACCTCCGCCTATCACCCAGTCGTCCCCCGTGATCTTGTCGCCGAAGCCGCGTAGAGCTCTGAAGCCCGTATTACAGCCAGCAACACCACCCCGGATCACCACCCGCGCCCCGACCCAGATCCTGTCGCCTCCGTCTCCCGATCCTATAAGGCGAAACCAAAAACCGAAGCAGCAGCCACCTACCCCACCGAAGCCTCGTGGCTCCAACAGGTCTACTACCAAACCCAAGCAAGCTGCCAGAGATCACGAGCCCGCTGTTACACCAAGGCACTCAACCCCAAAGCTCAAAGGCTCGAGAGCTCCAGCTCCAGCGAATGGGCGTCCAAAAACGTCAGATACCGTGTCTTCCGATGATACCTTTGTATCTGCTTCTTCCGCTCAGTCACCTGAACGTCCTTCACCTCCGTCTCTGCCTAGGCCCAGGAGCGTACAACCCGCCTTGAGCCTGCCCCCCTCACCCTCTCGAGATATTAGACGACACCGTCTCAAGAACTCCTCAGTCACTAGTTTGCCCCTGGAGTCTCTCACGGATGCTATCATGGCGAGCTCCCTCGCATCTGCGCGTCTCACGCCTCACAACACCGGCGGCAGTCTGTCAGCACCTACTCTCCCCAGGCGACAGAAGTCACCTCGAATGATGCAGACGCTACGCCAACCTGCTAAGTTGTCAGATGAGGAAGTAGATCGTCACAAGAAAGGACCTCTCCGTAAACTACACACGGGAAAGAAGCACACACATCATGAGGGGTCGCGGAAAAGGTGGCGGGAAGAGATTACACCGCGAGAACGCAAGCGATACGAGGCCGTGTGGGCTTCTAATCGTGGGGTCCTACTCGATCTAAACTCGCCTCTCAGTACTCCAAGGGCAGAACCCACCGAATACGTAGTCAACATCGCGGTCCGCGAGATCTGGAAGCGCTCCCGCTTGCCAGTAGACGAGCTCGCCGAGGTCTGGGATCTGGTCGATCGTCTCGGCCACGGCATGCTCGGGCGCCAGGAGTTCGTGGTGGGCATGTGGCTAATCGACCAGAGGCTTCGGGGCAGGAAGATTCCGGCCAAGGTGAGCGACAGCGTCTGGGGCAGCGCCAACGGGATGAAAGTCCACAACCCGAGAACGAAGTGAACATAGGTGACATAGTATACATAGATGGACTCTTCCATGGGTGGATGGCATGAGACTTGGAGGCGACGCGTGTTTGACATAGATGATACCCTACCTAGAGAATACAATTCAAGAGTATAAATAAACAAATTGTGTGCATGTTTTGAATGAGATGTGCTTGAAAGAAATACTTAGGAAATAGGGGTAGTAAACAGTCTCCACGGGTTTTCAGTGTATCGCCAACAGACACATATATGGATTCAGGTCGTCTAGATAGGTACGGAGGGCTCTTTTAAAAGTCTTGTCCAAGCGCTAGTAATATCATATCTATTTATCCCTGTCGGTTACCTGAGATACATAAAGCTATTACAGTCTCGTTAAACAGCTGCTGTAACTTCAGGAGTAGTACGCTGCTAATCAGGATATAGCAGTTACTGTATGCTATAGCCTGCTATCTTTTAGGGCTTATAGAAATTAGAAAGTACTTAGTATACTTATTATCTAACCTAATAATTAGGATTTACTTCTTATAGATAAGACTTTTAAAAGAGCCCTCCGTATAACGGCTAAAGTCTCAAGATTTCCCTCAAACGTGGTATCGGTGAAGGCCAATACCAGAAATTAGAGGGCTCTTAATCTCCTCATTCAACACATGGCCGATGGCTACATATACCGCCTCCGGTGGCGTAGAAGGATCGCTGGCCAACCGTTCAAGCTCATGGTTTGCGAGACCCTTGAGTAAAACTTGCCACTCGCCGACGACGGAGCACATTTCCATTCGTATTTCACGCGCTCGCTGTGCCTTCTCCTTCCGCACTCCGTCTTGCTCGGGGCCCACAAACTCCATACCGTCGACCTCCATCTGCAAGCAAACCGATTCACGCAGCATGTCTCTGATCCTTCTGACGTCTTCTCCGGTTATGCCCTCCGCCTTTTGCTTTCGAGGCACGACCAGTTCCTCGTAGGATTCGGGCAGCGCCTCTGACCTCCCGGAAGCCTTCGAGCCCACTGGCAGCCATCTGCCCAGTTTGGACTCTCTCTTTTGGCTCTGAGGTGTTTGGCGACTTGAATAGCCGTTTGGACTCTCGCCAGCATAGTCCCGCTGTTTTTGCAATAACGGAGCAAAATTGGGTTGTTTGCGCTCCATGTTGGTCATGAGAAATTCGGCATGGTGGCCATCCGTGGACGAAGCTGACTCTTCAGCATGATGGCTATCATCCCCAGCACCAACTCCATTTATGGCTCCATTTCCGAGAGAGGCAGTATCGGAAGACATATGCCCCAACTGTTCCTTCATCCCCTCCGACTTCAGGATGCGTTGACGATCCACATTCGATTCACTACAGCCATTCATGTCAGCAATGAGCTGGCTGTGTTAAGGCGGAGGACTACTTACTGCTGGACTGCAGTTAGCAACAGAAGAAGAGCTGGAGTCAAGCTACGCATTGCGTTCAGCAAGCTAGCCGCGTCATGTCCATATCTCAGCCCGGCAATTCGGGACCGGAGGCTGGCTCGGCCTTTCTCACCAGCCTCATTTGCTCGCAGGACCGGCTCGAGTCCCTTGTACAGGAGCCCAAATACCAAGTTGCAAGACTTGAAAATGTCGCGAAACTCTTCTTCATCTTCCGACAATGGATTTGAACGCTGGATCTGGTTGCGAAGCCTGCGAAGGGCGAGCTGAATAGTGCTGCACTCTATTCGAAGCTCGAGGGCCTTCAGCTCGGCTTGCTTCACCTCGGTGGCATATTGAGAGACGAGATCCAGACCCTTGAAACAGCCCACGATTAAGCTTACGACGCCAGTTGCAATTGTAAGGGGGTCCATTACAGGCCGGTGTATGCTTTCGCTGACTGGAAGGCAGAGGATGGGCTGCGCATTAGGCTAGAACGTCTTTGGATAATAAGCATCAACCTGTCGAAGACGCGGAAGAATGAGCAGCCGATCCGGAGACCATCATTAGGCTAACTTCGCAACTTACCAAAGTCATCCTGTTACATCTTGTTACCCAGAGCGAAACCATACTTGTGTGTTCTTCCCATCCGGTAGCGCAACGGCGGCTTTCCGCCCTCGGTGAATCGTAGACCACCTTACTCAACGAGCAATCTTCATCGACGGATCAGTTTCCGTCTTATCAGTGACGACCAAATTGGCAACGCTCTGCGCCACATTATTAGATAGTTGCCCCGCACCAGACGTTTGTGAAGATGTCGGATTCTGCACCGAGTCCGACGCTCGTCCTCGCTCTTAACTTCGGTATTTATACCACAGGTGAGTCTTCATAAGCCTGTGTAGCCAGTTATGCCCTAACATATCCCCGTTCAACCATGTCAGCGGCAGCATACTTCCTAGGGGTCGTCGGTTCCAAAGAAATACGTGCCGAGGATATCTCTTTGGTTGCGTGGACTGGGAATGATAGGTACGGAGACCGTGTGCCGAGTGAAGTAGGTATCTCGGCATCGGGAAACAGGTGGAGCTGGGGTTTTCTCGATCCCAGCGCGACCGGACTTACGTTCAAGTTTCTGAGGCGAGAGCTCGAACAACCCTGGAGTTCTGAGACGGAGTTTCGAAGCCTTGTCGAGGAAGCTCTCGCCGTTTCCAAATATTACGGGCAAACATTGGGCATTATAAAGAGACCAGACGGCAGCAGTCCAGCATTCCCAGCTCATGTGACCAAATCGGGCCACGATCTCGTCGTTTACTTTCTCCACGGCATCGCCGAAGCTATCAAGACGGATGTTGCAAACCGTTACGATTGGAATGTGATCACTAAAATGCCTATCGACTTGATGGTGACCTATCCTCCGGTGGGTAATCTGCCCCATACATTGTTTCTCGGGTTCCGGGTTATGACTGTGATTCCGCAAGGACGTGGCGCTGATGATCCGGTTTACCATTGTAGCTTTGGCCGGCAAGATTTAAGCATCGCCTCTTCCAAGTCGTGGAACAGTGTTTCTCGCGGCAACTGTTCCCAAAACTGCGAGACATCTACTTTGTCAAGGAGCCCGAGGCGGTCGCGGCTTGGATGGTCGTAAAGCACGAACAGATGCTTGGGTGCCTTCCAGCTCGCAAGATGGTGAGGCAGCCATCGAGTCTACGCTGGTGTCAGTGATTTCTCTTACATTGAAACAGAACGAGGAATTCATCATCTTCCATGTTGACGATGCTACCGCGGTGAGTCGCCGGAGACCACTGCGTTCCCCGCCACCTTTATGGCTAATTCACACGCCTGCCAGACCGCCATCCCCTATTCGGTGGCTGAGAAGCCGTCTGTAACAGGACTTATGGTCGTTCCAAATTATACATACATGTCCCGTGGGTATTCTTGCTGTCCTCTGGTGATAAGAGATACAACCTGACCGGCTTATCATGGCAGACGTAACATGCGGCTATTCCGTCGTGGACCGGCAGTTTGAGGACGGGATCCTTCCTTTGCACCTGGACAATGAAAGCATGGAGAAGCTTCGAACAGAGCGTCACAGCCCAGAGATCGCCAAATTGCTGCATGATTTCAAGGATATCAGAGCCTGGTTTTCCGAGGATAAGGAATACATTCCGCCTATTATAATTTATGGCTTATCACCAAGAATTCCCGAAGAGGAAAGTATATGGTATGACGAGAATGAGTGGGACCTCAAATTATCCAGGTAAGCGAGTATCACAGAGCCATGCGCACCACTGACAGTGCTTTCCATGTACTCTCCGCCAACTATCAACTCTCGCCCGCAACAATTAACCATGTACATCTATCTTCCCAGCTAATCAAGTGTCTTAGAGAAGAACTCAGGAGCCTATTCAAGCCATCCGTCGACGCTGCAATTACACTCCTCAAGAGGCAAATCGAGCTGATCGAGTTACGCCACCACATTACAACGGTGAGCCGCTTCATGGTTACCTCTACCATAAATGGTTACCTATACCATAAATAGTAAAAACTAACTTAATTTACAGACTGTCATTATGACAGGAGATATGTCATATAATCCACACTTCTTTCGGGAAATAGGCGACTTTCTCCATCGCGCAGGTGTACGCCCTTGGCGAACAGATAACAGGAACGAGTATGCTTTCCATTTACCCCCCAAATTAGAACTACCTTCTCTTTCCATGTTTTTCAAGGACGGAGGAAATGCTGACGCACCTCTACCAGAGACGCTGTGCAGGGTGCGGTTCTCCTGGGCCTTGGTCTGGGAGACTCGCTGCTCACCTCTGTTGCGCCCGTCGCCAAAACATTTCACCACTATGGCGTCGCTCTATGCGAGCCTTTCGAGCCCCTAACCCATGAAATAGATGATCAGTTCGCACATCCAGTCTCCAAGCGTGACATGGCAGCCGGCCAGATCAAGTGGATCGTCGAGAAGAACAGCCCCATATTCCCCGATGAACCCCGGGTGGAGATACTTGAACTTTCCCGCTTGTTCTCGGACAAAGACTTCTCACAACCCAACAAGTCAAGGATCGTGTTTGTGGCTTGCAAGTCGGCCATACCTCCTTCTCGCCTGGCTGAGCTCACTGCGGCTGGTACGTCCTCTACCTCTGGCTCGATCAAATCATTCCAATGCTGATGCAAATGGCTTCGATAGATGGCACCATATTCAACTTAGATTACGAGCCGTCCGAAATCCCCAGCAATCAACGAGAGTCCTCTAAGCTCAAAATCCCGGGGAAGATGCGACAGGCAAAGTCTGTCAGAAGCCGAGTCTTGTTGACGGCATCCATCGGAGACGAAGTGGAGGTTGGCGTCTCAAGTGGTGGGCGCAGCTTGGTCCAGAAGAAGCTTGATATCATCCCGTGAAAATGTCTTATCCTTGTGTAGAATCCGGCGTTGGCGCTGGATCCGCAGGAAAAACAGCGTGACCTAAGGCGAAGTCTACGTAAGGTATGCACATGTGGTCTGCAACGGATTGGACTATATGTATTGGTCAACAAGAAGGCTCTCGGGATTACTTGCGCGTGACGCAATTGAGGGCTGAGATCGAGGTATAGCTAGCTGAGTGAAATCTTCGCATGGGAGTAGATGATGGAATGAACACGGATGCCGGCCTCCGCGCGTCTTCAATATAAGTAGCTAAGTAATAATCTATCTCGTCACATATCGCTCTATCCTACGCCCGGCTAGGCACTCAATACCATATCCTTTCCCACCCAATCTATACAAAGTTGATTCGTGCCCTCTAAAAGCTGGATTTGTACTTCTTGCTCGTCTTGTCGCCAAACGTCACCGAGACGTTGTAGTTGGACAGCGTCGGCGAATAGGCAGCGCCATACAAGCTCATCAGCGACGCCGTCACAATGCCCTTGCCCTTTGACACGGAAGAAGGAATCGTAATGGTCTTGTTGAAGCTATGAAGCTGGTTCGACTCGTCTGCATCGTCGGTTAGCTAACTTCCATATCTCAGAGTTGGTTTACGTACCCGGTCCCAGGTAGAACGAGTCGGCGACGCTGCCCAGCGATTCAGGGTAGCCGGTGCCAGGCGCGTAGCCGATGGCAATGGCTACGTCGTAGACGCTCTGTATGTAGTTGGAGCTCTCGATGATGACGTCGAAGGTGTCGCCAGGCTTGATGGTGGCGGGGACCGAGATGCCGTTGATGCGCGCCTGGGCGACGGCAAGGAGAGTGGCAGCGGTGGCGGCGAGAGACAGACGCATTGTTTCCGTAGTTTTGGGAGTTGGCGATGTAGGTAAAAGTGTTTGTGGGAGTTGTGAGAGTTGTGAGAGTTGGTGATGATGATGCTTCAAGTAAATGATTCAACCGGATCCTGGGCCCTTTATAATACAGCCCAACCCATTCCCATTAGCAATAACACCCATCTCTGCCAATGAGTATAGGTCTTCTATTTTCAGCATCTCCGCCTCAGGCTCCAAATCAGCTCGTATTTCTCCCCACGATCCTCGTCATCCAAAGGCCCACTAGCACTGCCGATCTCCCTTCCTGTGCCGAATTGTCCGGCACTTTGGCCGTATAACTTAGCTCCCGTGCCAGCCACCAGTCGCCAGTGCGAATTCGTCTTTCGTCTTTGGATGGCTCGGTGTAAGCGGGTGGCGTCGTTGGTTTTTATTTAGTCACTATGTCATTTCTCCGAGTTTTGCGCTGTCGGGGATTCCTTTGTGTGCTGTGCAGATTGTGGCTGAGATGGACGTATGACTAGCTGAGCTGCGGCGTTGTGAGATCTGCATACGGGAGTGGATGAAGGAATGAATACGGATGACGGAGTACGGCATTATCCAGCCGAATTAAGTACGTACTGTAAATACCTTCTCCTATTCATCATCTGTCACCTCTCAGGCCATCGACCATCTCACCGTTGCGGCCTGTTTATCCAACATGACCTGTCCGCTTACCGCCTCTTCATAACATAGAGTTCCGAGTAGCCAAAACGCAATGACACGAGCTCGTCGGCTCTCCACATGGCTGCAGATCACTCCAAAGGCCAGCTATTGACGCCATGTAAGAAATGCGTTTTGGCTGTAACGTTTCCTGGAGTAGACAAATCTGGGGCTCGGTGGCGGATGTAACAACTACGTCTTACTTCGTATCCGTCGTACGACATTGTTTCACGACCATCGTTGTTGTCCAAAATCGTTCTTGAGCAACACGGCAAGATCAAGCTTACAGAAATGTACGACAGTAAAATCACACTTCGGGACAATATACCAAGATGGTCTCTCAGTTCTTCAGAATTTCTAAAATATTCCATTATGAACAAGACTTCTTTTGAAAACTTTTGACTTCCTTTAATGGTATCCGAAAATGAAACTAGGACCAGATTACTCTTCCATCTCCTCGTCCTGGGCCGCAGCCGCCTCGGCCTCCTTGTTGGCCTTGAACGCGGCCGCCCAGTCCTGAGCCTTGGCCATCACCCTGTCCTTGCCCTTGGCGTCCAGCTTCTCCTCCCAAGCAGTCCATCTCTTGAACCACTTCTCCGCCTGCTGCGGCTTGAGGCCCTTGACCCTCGTCCTCCGCTCGAAGACGTCCCTCACGGCGGTGAGGTCAGCGTCGGCGCCGGCAATGCCAATCTCGAGATCGAGCAGCTGGCTCCACAGGTCGCCCTTCTTCGGGAAGGCGGCGAGGAGGCCCTCGAACATGGTCCGGCCACGCTCAGGCTCACCGTTGGGGGATCGGAACTCCAAAGCGGCGAAGCGGCCGATCAAGTTCTGGCTGTGATGGCTGGCGAGCTGCTGAGTGGCCCTGGGGAGAAGGGCTCGGGCTCGAGCCGGGTCGCTGCGGGTGACGTGCAAGAAGTGGGCGTAGTTCATCCATACACTGGGAGACTTGGCACCGAACTTCTTGACCATGGCTTCAAACAATTCGTCGGCAAGCTGTTACTGATTAGCAATGAACCTTCGTCGAGTATCGTGTCATCTCTTACCTTGACCTTCTCGGACTGGATGTAGATGCTGGCCAGTCGCTCATAGACCTCCTGCTCGTCGTTGTATTGGCAAGCCCGCTTGAACACCTCATCCACAGTGGTCTTGCTGCCGTAGGCAACCTCCAAGTTGAGGAACGCGACCCAGACGTTGAGCTTCTCCGTCTCCTCTCGGATATTGATAGACTTGATGGCTCGCTCTGCAACCTCGCGGGCTTTGGAAAGCTCGCTCACTTGCATCTGGAACGCCATGTAGGCAATCCAGAGCTCAGACGAGTCAGGCTGTCCCAGCAGAAGTCGTTCGTAGTCGCTAGAAGTCTGGGGGCCATTCACGTCCAGCTCGGCTGTCCTGTCGACCAGGGCTTCCGTCTTCCCCTTCTTGGCCTTCTTCTTCTTATCGTCCTTGGGCTTCTCCTCGGACTCAGACTCAGAGTTGGCGAATGGATCAGCAGCCCACTCCGACTTCTTGCCAGCACCAAGGCCCTTGGTCTTCTTGGCAGGTCGGTCCTCCATCTCCTCATCTTCATCATCATCCTCGTCGTCCTCTTCGTCCTCCTCGTCATCATCCTCTTCATCTTCCTCGTCATCTTCATCAGAGTCATCCGCGTTGTCGGTACCGAGAATCTCCACACCTCCATCGCCCATCTCAATATCCTCATCGCTGTCTTCATCATCATCCTCGAGGGCAGCGCCCTGTTCGGAACTATTCGATTCCATGTCAGAGTCCTCATCGTCAAAGAGGGAAGGCTTCAAGCCAAAGGTGATTCGTCTCTTCTTGACGTCAACTTCAAGAACCCTAGCCTTCACAGCATCGCCCTCCTTGTACAACTTAGTGGCATCCTGAACGGACTTCTCGGCCATCTGAGAACGATGGCAGAGACCACTGACATTCGCCGAGTTGTCGATGAGAATGAAGGCTCCAAACTCCTCAACCTTGCGAACCTTGCCGGTCACTACCTGGCCTTCCTTGATATCGTTAAGGGTGATTAGAGGAGTGTAGTCCTCATCAACAACGGAAGACTTGAGGCTTAGCTCTACATGGCGAGTGATGGCGTCGACAGCAATAACTCTACCCTTGACGAGTTGATCAACTTGGAACTGATCTTTCCATTCTTTGATGAACCTGTCGGACAGATTGGAAATCTTGACGAGAGCGGTGACTTGGCCACCAAGGAGGACGAATAGGCCCTTGTCGGAAACATTCTTCACGAAGCCTCGAACGATGTCTCCGTTGCTGATCTGAGACACCTCGCTGACCTCCTTGTCTTTGACAGGGAGAGTAGAGCTCATAATGCGGGAGGGGCGGATAGATAGTCGGAGCCTCTTGTTGCTCTGGTCCATCTCAACAATTGAGACGCGAACAAAGTCGCTCTTCTTGTAGAGAAGGGTGTTGACATAGTCGTAGTCATCGGCTATATCGGGGAGATGGACGGGACCAGAAACAAGCTCACTAAGCTTAACAAGGATCTGTCGCTCGTTGACCTTTGTCACTCGTCCAGGAAGAACCATGTTCTGCTTGAGTGCACTCCAGTTGATCGCCTCGGAAGCGCGGGAAGAACGGGCAGACAGATCCAAACGGTTGTTTCGGACGTCAACCGCAGTAACTCTAACCTTCAGGGCTGAGCCAATGGGAAAGTTGGCCACCAGGTCGTTGAGTTGAGACAAGTCATCGGAAGCCTCAATTGCGGAAATGCGACCGCGGACCGAAGGCGACAGGTTGACCCAAAGGTATTGAGCCGTAGAGTTGTTGACATAGGCGATGTAACTGTCTCCAACCTTGAGCTGGTCAAGCGACAAAGGCTTAAGAGTGTCGGCCCCGAAATCGCTAGGCTTGGCGGTCAACTCGAGGACAGAGTGAACGGAACGGTGGGAGAAAGGCAGGAAACGATGATCCTTGGCGTCATGAACTCCTAGGACACGGACCTTGAGGACCTGTTTCTTGTTGAATTTGTCGAGAGGGTCCTTGGAGTTGACAATGTCTTCCCAGTTATCGAAAACTTGAGACACGTCAATTCGTCCTTGAGTTTGAGTATCGACAAGCTGTACGTTAAGTTGGGTGTCCTTGATGGAAGTAATCTTGGCCTCAGCAACGCTTCCGACTGTCAAGTCATCAACAGGGGCCTTGTCCTTGGACTTCTTGTTTGAATCGGCCTTTTCGTCGTAATCCGCGGGGGCAACCATAATTCGCTTAAGATCCGGGATCGTCGAGATGACCTTGACCTCAATAGACTGATACTTCTGCATGCCGAACTCAGGGAGTGCCTGTACATCGGTAGAAAGGCGGGACTTAGGTAGCAAAGCATTGAGGGCACCGGCGAATTGAACAAAGATGGCGGTGAGGGTAACGTTTCGCACGAATCCAGCAAGGACCTTGCCTTCCTTGGCATCTTCGAAGCTGGTGAGCAGGGACTTGTTCTTGGAGGCGCTGATGAGACTGGGTTTTTGAGTGAGGATAATGGCTCGGCGCTTCTCGTTCTTGTCGATAACCATCAAGTCGGACATGGTCTGGCCAACGGAGATTCTCTTCAAGGCATACTGGTTCTTGGAGGCCGACTTGTCGGTAAGGTGACCAGCGGGGAGGATGGCCTTCAATCCGCTGTCCAGCTCGACGAGGACTTGGTCCTCGGTCTTCTGGGTAACCTTGGCAGAGATGATGTCTCCGAGTTGCAATGCCTTCAGGGCATTCTGCTTGTCCAAGCCGAACGCTGAGGGGTCCTTGCAGGACACCACAAGCCTCTTCGTCTCGGGGTCAACATCCAGGGCGTGAACACTGACGACTTGGCCAATGCGGAAGTGCTCATTGGGGTCGCGGATGTAAGCTTCGCTCATCTCAGAGACGGGCAGGTAGCCCCTAATCGAGCCGAAGAACTGGATGAAGGCGCTGGTGGCGTGGATCTTGACGATAGTACCGGGAATCTGCATACCAACACTAACATCCTCGTACGACTTGACGACAGGGGCTTCTGAGTTGACCAGGGTCTTCTTGAGGGTAAGGCGCATTTGCTTCTTAGACAGGTTCGTGGAAAGGACTCGAGCCTTGACCTTCATACCCTGTCGAAACTTCTTCTCGGGATGCTGAAGGTGTACGTCAGACAGGTGGCTCTCGGGAACGAGGCCAGTAATGCCCTCAGCAATCTTGAGGATCAGACCGCCAACTCCATTCTCGTTGATGACAACCTTTTCGATCTCGCAAGTAACAACCGCGGCGATGGGGACATCCTCGAGGCGCAGGTACTGCTGCTCCAGAACTGTCTTTTCGAAAGAGATCTGAAAGACACCATCTACCTCATTGTATCCGATAACTCGGCCCTTGTGCTCAGATCCAACTTGGTAGGGACCGCTCGTCTCATACAACGCATCAACCTTGCCATCCTTGACTCGGGAGATGTGGACGAAACCGCTGAGGCCGGGGATGCCGATGTCGACGTACAGACCAATCTCAGCCTCAACATGGCGGACAGTGCATTTCTCGACAAGAGATGATATCGGTAGTATTTCGGTGGGGAGCTTATTGGCGTCGGTCTTCTTCGTGGGGCGCTTCTGTTCGAGGGAAGTAATGTGAGGAAGCAGAGAAATTCCGAGCTTAGGTTCCTTGGCCGTGGGGAAGTTACAAATGACCCTAGCCTTGACCCTTGAGCCAATCTTATAGGCAGAGTCGAGGCTGACTCCCAAGGGGCCGACACCAGAGTGGATAAGATCGGCTGTAACATCGAGAGTTCCCAAAACCTTTCCAGCAAGTCCTCTTCGGTCGGTGTTGGAGACGAGGACATCGGCGATGGTACCGGGGAGGAAAGCGCTGATGGTGTTTGCGTCGTTGGGGACGGACTTAGGGTCACCGAGCTTCTTTTGTAACAGCGACAGCTGGGCAATCTTGCCATTCGCACCCTTGGTGGTGACCTGGCAGAGGAAGACGGCTCCGGGCTGCAGTCTCTGCTCATCCATGTCGGAGTCAACTTCGGTTTTAGGGAGGAAGGCGCTGAGCTTGGGGATTCCAAGGTCCATGACAAATCCTCGGTCCTCGACACTGACAACCGACGCCATGACGGTGCTGTTGGCCACGACATCGGTCTTCTCCAGTCCAGCGTTGGTCTCCGCAGGTCGCAGTGAAAGCTCGATTCGTCGCTTGTTCTTTCCGGTGACCGATTCGTCCATGGTGGAGATAACAGAGAGTCGAAGATATTGGCCAATTGCGAAAATGGACTTGAGCTCGATGTCTGCCGCCTCCTCGTCGTCCTCGTCGTCCTCGTCGTCGTTGTCGTCGTCGTTCTCGACGGAATCCTTTTTCAGTCGCTCCGTCAGTTGCTCTGATACGGCAACAATTGAAACATGGCCGATCAGGTTGTTGGGGAGGGCGACTTCGATATCGAGGCTGTTGATCCGTGAGACCTGTCCGAGGACGAGAGAGCCCTTGACCAGTCGCTATTCGCAGATGTCAGTAGTGAACCAGGGCTTGGGCCGGTGTCGTAGCCTACCTTGAAGCTGAGACTTTCAACCCGGATATTGTCCTCCTCATCCTCGGCGCCCTTCTTGTCACCCTTCTTCTCACTCTTCAGTGCCGACTTCCGCTTCTTCTTCTTGAGCGCCTTGCCCCCGGTGTTGAATTCCTCGTCGCGGATGGCATCAGCCTTGGCCTCGAGTTGAATCTGCTTCTGTTCGAGGGGAGTGAGGACGCTGCCACCACCTCGGGGGAACATTGGCTCCTCATCCTTCAAGACGGAGGTGACGGGGGCTTTTGGAGGAACCTCGGCGGAGCTCGCCTTGGGCTTGGGGGACTTTGCAGCAGCCTTTGCATCCTTGCTAGAGGTGTCCTTTTTGGAGGGTCTCGCTTCCTTGGTGTTCTTTGCTGATTTAGAAGGAGGATTGCCTCCGGGGGCATCCTTTCGTTTGAGGTTGCTCATTGCGAAAAGGGCTGGCGCAACACCAACTGCTTCGTCGCTTCTGAGAGTGGGATTGTACCTAGAAAATCATGGCTCGAATTTTTTTTCGACGGCGGGACGGGCGATAAGGCGATAAGGTGATAGCAACGCGCATGGCGATAACAGGTGACTTGTTTTCCCGGCTCCGGTGCACTGTCCACCGGGGGTGCCTGCCCCAACCGCGTGGCGATCTAAGCCGGATCCAGCCGATGGGGGGGAAAGCGAGGGGCTGATAAGGCATCCACCCTTACAAACCGTCATCGCTAGGCTACGCCCATTAACAATTAACACAGGAACCTAGACTACCTCTACGGAGTATGGCGCTACAGATACATCCATGACGACCCAGACGCCAGGCCACGTCTCGCATCTCCCACTTCCATGGACGTTTGTCGCTCTCCGTCTCGTCGCGATGAGTCCCCGTAAGAGGGCTCGCCCAAACCCGGCACCGACGACTCCCAAGACGATGGCGAGCCCCGTTCCAACAGCGGAGCACGCTATCGCCGCTACGTCACTGTCACAGGCCCCAGCAACCTCGGAACGCTCGCAGAGCGATCAGCAATCGCCAGCTTCGCGGCATGCCAACGCGAACAGCGCAGCGTTGGCGGGGCAGGAGAAGCAGCACGAGGTATGAGCTTTATGCCACCCAATCCCATCCTTCCATCGCTCGGTTTAACGTGTGTCCACTCTGCCAGATCCGCAAGACTAAGAGCTGGTACGGCTCCTGGCCAGCACCCCCGAAGGCGACCGCGTCCACGTCGGTGGCCAGAGAAAACATCCTCGGCGGCACCGTCAAATCGACCAAGGCATCTGACCTAAGCCGCTTCGAGTCTAAGAAGGCAGACGACGCGGCCAGCATCTCCAGCCTGACCGGGACCGCGCGAGGATTACCCAAAATTCCCGAAGCGAAGCCGGACGAAGCCGTTGCAAAGGACGTAGGCCAGCAGCCCGACCCTGAGATCCCCCCATCAGAAGTCCCCAAACCCCCCGACGATACCAAACCGACCCTCGAAACCTCTTCAACTACCGCGACTCCCGCTCGGCCAACTACATCGTCTGGGTGGCTTGGCTGGCTATCTAGGGCTCCGGTTACAGAAACCCAGGCCTCAACACCTCCAGCGCAACCCGAAATGATGGAAATAAGCCCTGATCCCACCAAGGAAATCGAACAACCTCGGCCGGCTACACCTCCAGCTCAGACCAAACCACCTGAACCCGACTCGCCGCAGGTTGCCAAAAGCGCGCCAGCGACATCCTGGTTTGGGTTCTGGCACGCTAACACTGAGAAATCCAAGGACGCAAACCCGAAGCCTGATACGGAACCTGAGCCAGCAGCCGAACCTGCTCCCGAGGACGTCACTATGACAGACACACCACCACCACCTCCTCCTCACAAGCATGCACCACCACCTCAAGCGGGCTCAACATGGGCCTTCTGGACCAAGGACTCACCCAAGGCGAAAGCAAAACCTGCCCTTGAGGAATCTGGGGAGATTGCGGTCATCGGGGATCGCTCCGAGGCTCATCCCAAGCCCATGGAGGAGTGCGATGTGTCTCAATCACCATCCAAGGCGCCCAAAGCAGTTACCAAGCCTAATGATATCCAGCCCACGGGCAGATCAACTTGGCGGAGAACCAAGCGACTTCGGCCACAGTCCATGGAAATCGATTCTCCATCAACTTCACCATCCGGTGCATCCACACCAACTAGCACAACACCTCACTTACATGACATTAACCAGCCCACGATACCACCTGCACGGGTTGATTCGTCAAATCAGTCTATTGCTGACTCTGAATTATCAACAAAGCTCACCAATAACCTTTTACTCCCATCATTCTCCAGCACCTACCGGATGAAGGAGAACCCGTCAATTCTGAAGCAAATCACGCAGTTTCTCCTCCGCTCTCAACAGTCACCAGCACACCACGTCGTCCGCGTCAAAGACCCGCCCAAGATTCAAAAGGCCATTGCCATCGGCGTCCACGGCCTTTTCCCCGCCAGCTATCTCCGCCCCATGATCGGTCAGCCCACCGGGACGTCATTGCGATTCGCCAACCTCTGCGCCGATTCCATCCGACGATGGGCGGAAGATCACGGATGTGGTGACTGCCAGATCGAAAAGGTCGCTCTCGAGGGCGAGGGCAAGATCAAGGACCGTGTGGAGAATCTCTGGAAGCTCATGTTGAACTGGATCGATCACATTCGGAGCGCAGATCTTGTTGTCATCGCATGTCACTCCCAGGGTGTCCCAGTGAGCATCATGCTGCTTGAGAAGCTTATTGATCTCGGAATTATCACCAACGCCAAGATCGGCGTTTGTGCCATGGCTGGCGTCTCACTGGGACCCTTCCCGGATATCAAGTCCAGCCTTCTAATGGGTTCAGCGGCCGAGCTTTGGGACTTTGGGAATGCTGAAAGCGAAAACTCAAAGCGATTTGAAGCGTCACTTAAACACGTCCTGGACTATGGAGCCCGCATCACATTCATCGGAAGCATCGATGATCAGCTGGTCCCCATGGAGGTAAGCTATCACGCTCTGCCTTTCTGCTATACTCGCTAACATGAATTACAGTCTGCCGTCTACTCGCCTGCCAACCATCCCTACATCTACCGCGCCGTCTTTATCGACGGTCGCGTCCACGCCCCCGATTTCATCGCCCATCTCATCGGCTTCGCCCTCAAACTCCGCAACCTCGGCGTCTCCGATCACGGCCTCATCCGCGAGCTCTCGATCCCCCTTGCCGGTTCTCTCTACTCCGGCGCCGGCCACTCCCGCATTTATTTCGATGAAGCCGTCTACGATCTCGCCATCTCACACGCCCTCGAGACCGCACCCGCCCACTCCCCGCCACCTTGCGACATATCCACACGCCAGGGGCCACTCACCTCCCCTAACCCCTACGTCCTCCCGTGGATCATGCGTGGTCTGCTGGAGGAGAAATTTGTAAGGACGGAACTGCACAACGAGGCTGATGAGCTGTTGCGCCAGTTCGACGACTGGAAACCCACAAACAAAGCTCTCAAGGACGTCAAGTACCGCCTCGAAGCCCTCCGGTCCAAATTATAACGGCCGCATCGTCTTCTCATACAAGGAAACTCTTACAGGTGATAAACATTGATACTTTGGCGCAAATATACCAACAAATACGGACAAGGAGCGGGTAAAGGATTGGATTGAAGGCGTACAGCTTACAGGTAGATTGGGAACTTACAGCAATGAGCGAGGAAGCCCGGAGTTTTGGTTACACGGTAGCGATTATACATGATATCATAAGACTCTTCATTCAACATTGATTTGACTTTCAGCATCGCTTGGTGTACAAATTCTTTTGGTCTAGTAGAGAAACATTCACTCGTGTTATTTTACATGACAGTTCCTTCATATAGGTGAGTGTTGAGTACCAACCCATCCGCTTGCGCTGTGCCCCCCTTGCCACATCACGACCGTTGATTCATTCCGTCCGTTATATGCGTACAAGAACTATATAATACATCATCCTCCTTTTCATGACGGCGGTGGTGGGTGCCTCGCGGCGTTTCTATATCCCGCTATTAGGATTAAGTCGTTCCCCCTACACGGTCGACCGTTGCTGCGCCATGGAGCTATCGGTTGTTGACAACACTTGGCGCAGATAGATAGAGCCGCGTCGAGCTGTCTAACGGCTACCAAGCTTCCAGCTCTCGATTCTGTCCTGGATCTGATCCCAAGTCATGGTATGGTTGCTCACGCCATATGCCTGGGCCTCCTGCAGCACGACGGTAGGCGCACCGCTGCCCTTTCCAGCGTTGTTCGTCTGGCCAGTGAGGACCATCTTGGCCACGCGGCGCAGGTCGTCGATGGACACAGCCTCGATCTTCTTGCACATGTCGTGGACGGGGATCTTGCGGCCGTGGACCTGGATGGAGCGGCCAAGATCCTCGAGCTCAACCATGCGGCTCTCGAGGTTCATCAGCAGGCTAGAACGTAGCTGGGCCTTGGCACGGCCAACCTCAACGCTCTGTAGACGTGAGAAGCCAGTCTCGAGGGTGAGAGATCGCAACTCCTGGCAGATAACGTCAATCATGGCGGAGGTACGACCGGGGAGGCAAGATGCCGAGATGCCGAAGAGACCCGAATCAGTGTAGGAGTGGTTAAAGGCAACGCAAGACTCTACCCAGCCGTACTGGTTGAGGACGTTGGTGTATAGACGTGAGTACATGCCCTTGCCGGGTCCGCCGGCGGAGAAGGAGCCGCCACCGCCGAGCAGCGTCTGAAGGGTTGCGAGGGCGTAGATGTCCTCGGAAGAGACGGGTAGGCCCTCAAAGGCAACGTGGATGTGAGTGAAGGTAGGGAGGCCGTTGAGCGCAGGAGGCTGCGCCGGCAGAGAGAGGAAGCCGCCGGTGTAGTGTGCGGGTCGCTGGATGTCGAGCTGAGAGGGGGGAGTGTTGAGGACGGCAGCGTTCTTGGCGGCCGAGGTGGAGATGTTCTTGAAGAAGGGAATCTTGGAGAGCAGGTTGGGAGATGAAGAGGAGGAGGGTGATGAAGAGAGAGGGGACGTGCTGGCCTCGCTATCGGACAGCTCGCTCTCACTCGTCTCGGAGCCCGTCTGTGATACTGAGGGAGCGTTCTGCATGTCACCAAAGAACTTCTCCGTCAACCGGACGGCCTCGCTGTGCTCAACACCGGCAAAAGCCACCACCATACGCTCCGGGCGGTAGAACAAGTCGCGGTACATCTGGACGCTGTGGCGGTTGATGCTGCCCAACCGGTCCTCTGGGCACAGCAACGGGTTCCCCAGTGTGTTGTCCTTGTAGGCGGCTGTGTGGACGAGCTCCGGCAGGATGAGCTCGGGCTTGCTCCAGATCTCGCGGATCTCGTAGCGGGCTGTCTCGATCTGCTCGGCAACCTCGTCGTCGGTCATCTGGGGCTCGCGGATCGTCTCGGCGAGCAGCTCGACTGTCTGGGGCACGGCGTTGTTGAAGGTGGCGGCCTGGTACATCATGGACTCGCGGGAGCTGGCGCACTGGATGTTGCCGCCGAGGGCCTCGACCCGTTCGAGCATGTCGTCGGCGGAGTGGTTGGCGGTGGACTTGAAGGCGAGGCGGTCCATGATGTGGGAGACGCCGCGGAGGGCTTCGTTTTCGAAGCGGGAACCGCCCTCGACATAGACTCCCACGCCGGAGAAGGAGCCGGGGAGGGCTTCGGATGCGACACGGAGGCCGTTGGGGAGAGTGGTGAGTTGGTCTAGTTCAGTGGGATCCTAAATTCCAATCATTAGTCGCCATATTTTGCATTGCTCGATATGAGTCGTACCTTGCCAACTGAAGCCATCGACCTCCGGCTCGACAGGGACCACCTGGGAGACTGCGCCAAGAGGCGGGAGCCCGAAGCCCGAACCCGGCCGGGAAGGCGTGCACTGAATTGTCGCAACATGTTCGCACTGCTGGCCCGACGAAGCGGTGATGTGTGAGGATGGCTCTGCAGCAATGCGGTGCGGTGCGGTGCAATGCTGGCTTGCCTTTGGTGGACTACGGATTAGCAACAAGTTTGCGACTAAACGCGGACTCGGCCCGTAAAAAATTGGCCACCCCAGCCGAGTGCCACTAAAAAACCCGCGATATCGGTTCGGCGATAGGCCGGATCATTTCGGTGCCGGGGACCTTGTTGATGACATAATGCTCCAGCTCCCAACATACTTGGATTGCCATGACACTTCGGCAATGATCGCAGGACTGCCAGTGAGTGTCTTTCTCCATCTTTCTCGCCCAGCTATCTAGATTGTATCATAACAAACAAGTTCCATCTCAGCTGTATACTCTGGCTAGGTGGTTAGTCAGTGATTCTTACCTCCATCCGAGCCGTGTAGTGATGGTTTCTGCCCTTCTGGTCGTGTGAAGTGAATCGAACACGCTCTCTGGGTTCTCCGGTATGGCAGGATTATTTCAGATGCAGACAAGTTCTTCAGGATCAGTCACCAATAGAGACCAATCTTTTACTTAAGAGTGTAAAGAGCAAAGGTACTACATTACGCCTAGTGTCGCCGCACAAGCCGATACTCCGTACGTGTCTGTCGCTGCTACGCTCAACTACAAGACGCCAGGACTCGTTGAAGGACTGCCAACAAGATGCCAATCCACCCTGCAACGCTTTCCCATGTGTATTTCGGAATGAACAGAACGGAGTCGTTCTAAGCATTCCGATCACCAGGGATCAACTCAAGATTCAACCTAGGTCGTCCCCCAGATTCAGTCTCTCACTTGGTCTAGAACCTCTCCAAAGGCCGGTCACCTCTTGCTTCTTTGATCATCAACCGACCAGAGCTTGAGCCCAACCCCCCTGCTGTCCTATCCCGTTGACGCCCCAGTTCAAGCTCCTGATTGGTCCCAGTTCTGTCTAGTCTCATGGTTGGTCCGCCGACTCTGTATGGCAGTAGGCACGTTGGGCAAGGTCTCAGGTCTTCTGGACTGAGCTGTGGCCATGCATGCCCATCCCATATTAGACTGTGATGAGGGGGCCTTTGGCGCAGTACCTGGCCAAGGATGATAGCCAATGGACTCTCTCTCCACAGCTGCTGATATATGCAGGGAAGTTTGAGCTCGCAGCTCATGAGAAATTTATTTCGAAATGGTTCACAAATGGACAGTTGTTGTGGATAGCTACAGCACACGACAAATCCAGCAAATGCGTGGGGTCCCATACTTTTGACAACAGCACTATAGTCCCATATATTTTTACCTACGCGCGTGCAAACTCAGCCCCCGAGTACTCTCAATCATTTGTGTACAAAATCTTAGGTGAGATTAACACCAAAATGGCAGTAAATAGGGACATAGGTATGCAAGAATAACGGCGTTTGTGGCCCGTAAGGCTCACTTGCGGGTGAAGGGGGCTGTCCAAGCTTCGCCCCGGTTTACCCGTCAAATCTTCTAATGCTGTCCGCACACATGCTTTTCAGCCCACCTACGACAGCCCTTCAGTAACAATGTATGGTAATTCATATTTAACCGTGGTCGTCCCTGTCCCCCAAGAGGAGATCATTCATAACGCATCAGTTCCTTCAGCTCTTGACACACAAACTCATCAGTCTCAAGTGGTTTTTCGAGAAGAGCTCGTAGCGCATTTACGTCTCATCATTTCTACTAAATGTCTACCTCTTCGCCACCCATTACCACCCAGTCTCCCCAAGCCGCTACGACACACTCTCCATCGCCAGCCCAGGCCCAACCCAGACAACCGTCACCCACTTTTGTCAATCATTCAAAAACATGGCTCTCCTCCCATGTTGAAGTGGCTGGATTGTCCATTGCTCTTGTTGCCTTGATCATGGCAATCATCTGTGTCTTTCCGGCATTCACGAGTCAACATCTTTCCGAGAAAGCCCTTGCTATTGCGGAGTGGACGGCACTCAAGGACTTCAGGGAGCAATGCATCGAACATTCGGTTAGCTCTCCCTCTCGCCCGCCATTCGAAGTCCATGGATTTTTTTCTAACATTCCCAATAGACAAACGGCTCGCCGTCTCCAGACTGTGAGGAAGCCATAAATAAGCCACTGCCTCGACCCCCACCCATGGAGATAGCTCCGCTACCCCACACTCACTCTATTCCTAAGCGAGGGTTCAGCGACTCTTCAGTCGATGTCGCTACGACTGGCATTGGCTTCTTTATGTCCCGAATCAATGTTGCACTACTGGTCCTCGGTCTGTGTCTGATGCCTGTAGCCGTCTTCGTCCTCAAAAGTCGCAAGAAAATATCCAGTCACATTTTGCCCTCCCACTCGAAGGAACAGTGGATCATTCAGCATCCCAATGTCTCATCAGATCCAACCATATCGAGAAGCTACTTCGACAACCATGCGTCTACTTTCATACACTCCCCACGACAATCCCCTTTTCTGCCCCTGCACAACGACGGCGTCACGACCAGCAGCCACTCGTCAGATACAAGCACTCATCTTCGACATCGAGAAATACAAGAAAGAACAGCACCAAGTGGTGGGGAATTCACGCGTCGTTCTTATACCTATGACCCTGCACCATACGAACCCTTTGATACTTACAGCTGCACTGCGTCCTCAATGATAGATATTAACGACGTGGTGTAAGTCCAATCTTCTTCCACTACTAAAACACACAGCTTCAATCGCTGACACATTTCACAAGACCCCATCCATCCACGCATCGCTACCGACCCCAACGGTGCCAGGACTGTCGCAGAGCGTTGCAGAACGAAACCTCATTTAATGGCCATCACTGTCGCACGAGCGGAGTCCCGTCTCCGTGTAAGCTTTCTCATGTGCCCAGATGACCCACCTAACTAACGAACGAAGCAGATTACTAGACTAAGTCTCGGCCCTTGAAGGTGAATTCCAAAGACCAAAATATGAGAGCGGCGTGGGGCTATTGGGACTTAAAGAGAATGCGCGTATTCCTGTGCTTAACTGTTATGGTGCTACATGAGGCTCGCGGTCAGGAGAACCAGCCTTGATTCGATGTCGAAGTTTCTCGGTGGGCCGGGTTTACGATGATCATCCGGTTTTTATTCTCTCGCCATTCTTTTTTATTGGGTAGAGATATCATTGGTCCTATCTGGTGATTTCCCCTTAGAAAGTAGACTTACATAGGTAAGTATCTAGAGATCTTGTTTAATAGAATAGAGAATTCACATTCGCACATATACCTAGTGCACACATGGCCACTAACTCAATCCGTCTGATAATTATCTATTATCTAGACATTTTTAGAAGACTAACTCTCAGTATTTATCCCCGAATACTCCCTTTTAAGTCGAATTTATCATAAAAGTAAGCCGAAAGTCTAAGAAGTCCAATGTGCATACTAGGTATATTGGTTTGCCCTGAGGTCTAGCTAATGGGCTTTGTACCTATGTGCAAATAGTAATGATCTCGTGTGCGAATAGCAATACTCTAGAATAAGATGTCTCCGACAGAAGCTCTATATGGGCAAAATTTAAGAGGGAATCGACGTGGTTATTTATATGTAATCCATCTCATTATCAACCTTCCAGTAATCCATCCACCACCATCCCAACCACGATATATAATAAGTCCGGTTATCTTCCAGCTTGCAAACCCAAAAACTCAGCCAGTCTGTCGCTGACAAGATCACTGTACCGCCATGCCCATAAGCAGGGCCATCCTCCCGTCAAAAATCCCTAGTGTCGTTTACTCTCCCATCAGTGCCAGTCGAAGTCCTCATCAAACCAAATGATAATAAAAGCAAAAAACTCCCCCAACGCCTGTGCTTTGCATGATGTAGCCCCCAGGGAGGAATAGCAAATGGGCGCCGCCGCCATGATGTCAGAAAGGATAGATGCCGCCGGTGTGCGCCCAGTAGTAGGAAATCAATATGCCAACATCGGTGAAGACTGTTCTATGCAACAAAAGTGAAGGTCACAATCGGCGTCGTTTGGTCTCCCATTCCTATCGGGAGCCTGAGTCGTCGCTGGGACGAGATCCGTTCACGTCCATATCTGCAGCAGCATCCAGGCTCCGCATCTCTGCAGTCGTCGCATCTGCGTTGCGGCCGGCGCTCCCATCAAAGACCCAGGGTCCGGCGTTGTTCCTCGGAGTAATGGGCCCCTCGACGCCAGGTGTCAGTCCTGGTGGTGATGGCGTGCGGCTATCTCGCAAGGCAATGTGTCGGCCAGCCCCTGATGCTGAGTTTCTAATCGGCAGAGGTTCGGAGACGGCGTGCGGTAAGTTGCCTCGCTGCGGGCTCTCCGGTGTAATATTGACCGTCACGTCCATGGCATCGATATCGTGGACGTCTGAGAGTTCAGGCTCTGGTGTTACGGGCTCTGGTGGTGTTGCGATAGGCACTGCAGGCGCTATCTCGGTCCCAGATGTGGCGTCGACTCGATTCTCCGCTTCTGCCTCCGCCTCCCCTTCGCTCTTCAACTGTTCCCACTCTTCGGCTAGTTCGTCCACGTCGGCTTCGAGGTCGGCGCCGGCGCGGCAGTTGGGGCAGATGAAAATGGGGTATTGGGGTGACATGAGCAGCGATCTCACGCACTTGAAATGCCAAGTGTGTGAGCAAGGTGCCACGAACAAGGATTGGCAAGGCTAGAGACCTGTCAGCAGGGGATCATGTCGATACCCGTAGAGACGGGCTTCTTGTGAAACTTACTGCGATGGAACTCAAGCATATTGAGCAATCCTGAGAGCTGGAACCGGCCGCTCCACTGGTGGCCATGGTCTGTAGCCTCTTGTGGGCCGCCATGCTACCGGGGGTGTCAGCATGATAGTCTGGCGGGTGGGAATCAATAGATGTCAAATACGTACTTGAAGGTGTTGAGCTTGTTCTGCCATCCCCTGTTGAGTTCTAGACGCATCTTCACGCAGCGGAAGATCATCTCCTCGCCGCCTTTGAAATCAATACCCAGCTGGACGATGTCACCATCGTTGACGGGGAACGCCTTGCTCTCCTGAGATGGAGGACTCAGGCGGATGTGGTTCAGAAAGGTGCCAGATGAACTCTTGACGTCCTTGATGTACCACTTGCCATCCTCGTACCAGAATTCGCAGTGTCGGCGACTGACGACCTTGCTCTTGAAGCCGACCGGGGCGGCAGAGGGCTGGTTGCCAGGCAGGTTGGCCATGGAATGGCTGTCCCGCTCAGAGTAACGACCGACGCGGATCTTTTCCGATCCGGTGGGCAAGGTCCTGGAGATTGGCGGGAATGTAAGGGACGGGCGGGTGGATCGCGGGTCGTAGTAGGCGGAGAAGCGGATGGAAGGCATGGTGTCGGGAGCGTTGGAAACGGCGTCGCCGGCGGTTGAGGCTCTATTTCTCGTCATGGCGGCCGGGTCGTCGGTGGTGGACGTCGTGGCGAGATCTGCAGCGGCGGGCGAGGAATCTGCGGCAGCGGGGTTCTGGGCGTCGGAGGCCGAATGAGTCTGCTGCAACGATGAAGAAGAAGTCGACGGCGCCGTGGGCGATGCAAGGGGAACGGGCGAAGGAAGAGCGGGCACAGGCGGCGTGGTGGTGGATGAGGCTGACGTCGCGGCTGCCAGAGAAATCCTCACGGGGTCTGGCGTGGAACTGACGAGGGTCAAGTGGTTGATCTGGGCGGGCGGCGGTGGACCAGTCGTGGTTGGCGAATGGCTGAGCGATCGCGTGAGGTTGGCCGTGTGTCGGCCAGGGGACGTGCTCCCGCTGCCACTCGCACTGGGACTGACTCCGGCGCTGTGGTGGCCGTCGCGGGAAAGCAGATGGTTTTGTGTGTAGTTGCGCAGGTAGCTGAGGCCGCGCAGACGGCTGGGACGTGATGTTGCTGTCGAGGCCGCGGGCGACGGGCCTGGAGGCGGCGACGAGACGGGCTGCGTGAACATTGGGGTGTAGGCGCCTGGAAGTCCAGGAAACACAGTGGACTGAATGGTCGCGGATAGTGGATGGTGGATGGCGGCCGCCTGGACGCAAACGCAAGGGTGACAAAGCCGAGAGGACAGGGAGTGTCTCTGACAGGCGTTTGACAAGCACGGAGAAAAAAATAGGACTGGGCGATCCCTTTTAGTCAAAGGAGAAGAGGATCCAAGGCCAAGCCGACAGAAAAGTTCAGCTCACGCCGCGAACGATTGCTCGCTTTGACCCTGTTTCTCGCTCTCGTCCGGTGATGGAGCTGCAGCGGCCAAGCTGAACCCGGCGATGGAGACGGGACGGAGAGGCTGAGACGGGGGGCGCCTGAGACAGAAAATTGGGCGGGATGTGCGCGCAGACGAGGGTCCAAGGCTGAACGGAGGAGGGGCGTGGCAATGCCAGAGACGGAGGGGAATGCGGTCTTCTATCGTCGCTTGTTTCTCGCTCTCTGCTGCTCGGTCGCGATGTGGTGCTGGTGGTGGATGTTGATTTCGTTGGTTTTCCCCCCGAGGTCGCTGTAATAGAGCACCCACTGCAATCAGTTGGTCGGGCCTGCAGGGAGGTGTGGGTTCCCCCAGCTAATTAATGAATCTCTCGCGCGAGCCGTGGTGGTGTTGTTCCAGGAGCCTTGCGTTCGTCCTCGCACGTGCGGACCAGTGGCTTCCGTCTCGGGATCCGGGGGCGGGACGAAGGAAGACGAGACGAGACGACGGCCGGGGGAAAATGGGAGGAGCCAGAAACCGCGATTGCAGCAAAAGTGGAAGGGGAGGAGAAGGGGAGGGATTGCGGCGGCGAGCGGGAGAAGGATGGGATGGGGATCATGTACATGGGATACGCCGCCGGGTTGGTCGCGGTCGGTTCGTCGACCTGGTTAAAGTAGGTAAATAACTTAGGCCGGCCAAGGCGGCGCCGGCGGGTGGGTTTTTTAGCCTGCCAGTTGGTGGTTGGTAGTGAGTAGTAGTGGTGGCCGGACCCTATCCCCCTCCCCCCCATCCCCTACCCGCCTAAGCTCAGTAAAGCCCAGCACGCAGCAAACAGCGCGCAGCACAAACAATGGGATGGCTTGAATGGAGTCGTTAAAAATATGGAGCCGGTGGCGGACGGGGATTGCGACGGGGGGCGGCAGGGATTTGGTTTGCGCGAGAGGGGGATGGCGACAATGCGTGTCAGTGTCGCCATGGTCCATGGGATGGGGAGATGGAGGGAAATCGGCAATGGGACATGGGATGGGAAATGGATGGCCGAGGCACAGCACAACACCACGATGAATGGCCGGGATATTTTAGGCGTATCAAGCGTCAAGCCAGCAAAGGCATCATCCACAGCATGCCTATCTACATGTACTAAGGTAGACAAGGAGGGAAGCAAGGAGGGATGCAAGGAGGACGCAACCAAGCAACCAATATTACCGACTACGAATACACAACAATTAGAGCAGCATCAACAACCACCAGCCAGCCTAATTAGCTCTCGAGCCCGTACCACAGAGCGGCCACCCCCCGGCCAGGCCAGCGGCGGTTCCACCAGGTCCTGGCCCAGAAGATCATGGATGACGGGCGGGATTAGACATGGTCGTGGCATGGCCGCGGCATGGAGCCGGATCTCCAAGTTTAGTCTTCGTGTTTCCGCAAGTCTGTGTCTTGTGCATTGTAGGCAATGTTCCCGCCCTCATGCCCCGTGTTGTCTTCCTTGTGCTCTCCGCCCGTCGTCATTCTCCGGGCGTTTGTGCATGATATGATGATACCATGGCATTATCCACTGCGGCCCTCCATCTGCCGATTCAGTCCACCGCCATCTCCACACATTACACGCACAATACAGACACAAGCATGCACGTAGTACACAGACGCACACATCTGCACGTGTAACCTGTAACCTGCTGCCCTCTCTCGCAAACACGCAACGACAGTGGGCTCACGCCGGCTCACCTTCTTTCGCACCCCAAACCAGCACGGCAAGTGCCAGAAGCTACCAAACAATCGCATGCGTTTAAATTCGGAATGCCCGCCGCACGCCAGCAGTGGAGTTGGGCTTAAGCTGGGGAGGCTTGCCGCTTGGCAGCCGACGAAAGGGGTGGCCAAGGACGCATCCCCCCGATCCGGACTGGCCCCAGAAGGTGGGAAGAGGGGCACGAGTTAATTCCGTTTTCCTCGACCTTCTGCTGCATGCATGACGGCCTGTGAGGGGTTGTGAGGGGACCGAGAAAGGTGCTCGTAAAGAGGGCCATGTTATTCGTATCGCGGGCCCTCTGCAGCCAAGGTGCGAGAGATGCGTGTCAGATGGAAGGTTCGACGACGATGGGAGAGGGCGAGATCTGGATACGAGAGCATGGAGCTTCGAGCACCGCAATGCATCTCATTCTCCTCCGGCTTACAGTGGAGCCAGCCGCTACGAAGCAGCCGCCGCGAAGCCTAAAACCCCACTGCCAGAGCCCGATGAACCACGACGCCGTCCCCCGTAACTCCAGTCCTCTACGTATTACGACGGACCAACTCTTTCGGTGACAGCCCGCCCCGTTCTGCAATCGACCGACAGACAGGCCGCTGCGAGGGTGGCTCGGGTGCCCTCGCGCGCGCGAGCCCGGGGGGTTGCTGCAGCTGAGCTGCAGTCGAGCTGCAGATGGACTCGATTCGAACACACACCCTGAAGAAACAGTGGACTTAGCCAGGCCGCGGCGCTGACTCGGCCTGGCGCCTGTCAGTGAACCCGCTAAACCAGGCTCGCGCTGTAGTGGTTGTGCACCGCACGTGTACCGCACAGCAGGCAGCTTGGTGGCGGGTGGCGGGCGCTCAGGGCATTATCTCCGGGTCTTCGGTGTGAGCTGGGTACGTATTGCTGTCTCTGCAGTAAAGCAGGGCTATCAAATCCGCCATGATGTGAGTGTACACACCAAACGTCGTGATCTGAATAAGAATCACCCCGACAAAGCACTTCCCTCGTGTCCTAGTCCACAGCGTTCTAGAAGCTGTCTCAACCCTACATGTCTCACGTCGTGCGGTCCACCCGCCTAGTCGAGATCAAGAGACCTGCATCACCCAGACCCAGCCAGACAGACCCAGACTCCAAAGCCAGACCCTCATTCCAGTCCCTCGAAACAGATGGAATTATTTGCGCTTGTGCGTGTGCGTGGACGCCGTTATTTACGGCCCTCCGGTCCCTTGTAACAGGCTTGCAGCCCGCTCGCCACCGCCTGACAAAACAATTCCAGGCCTGGCCCGGTCCAGGCCCTGGGAGGTCTAACATGAGTTAGACGAAGTATGCGCTTCCAAAAGAGGCAATCGGCGGGCCGGGAGATGCCAGCAAAAACCGTGGATCCTCGGGGATTCCCATCAGCCATGCCCATGGCATTATCTTGGCTAGTCCGATCTCCCATCCTTCTTTCTAATCGTCAACGTTCGTCGTCGTTACTGGCCTGGCGGATGCGGCGGGAATCGCCATGTTTCTACCAACGACAAACGGCCCCGCCCACACTCATGACGAGGAGCAGAACCCATGATATCATCACACCTCCCCACCGAACCCCCGGTCATGCCACGCGCAAGCTCATGCGAACATCATCTGCCTGGGTCATCGCAACACTACTGCACCTGCAAATCCCGAACCACTGCTTATTCTGGTCTACGTATGTACCACACACACTCTAAAAAATGCCGAATCGTCCCCAAACCATCGGGATCCCCCGATCACCCACCCCATCCCGGCCGCCGTCCCACGATCCCCTACGCCGCGCCGGGGGGGCCCCTCCGTATGTGGCCGTGTCCCACCGCAACGCTACGCACGTGAACCGTCATCTCGCCACTGGCGTCCACGAGGCTGTCAAATTGGATATGGTGCGGATCGATCGGGATGGCATGCAACGGACGGGACGCCTAACGAGAACGAGGTGAAACCGCCGGGGGGTCCATCGTGGGGACCTGTAAGTACCGGCAGACATCTGTTGGCTCACGACTGTGTGGTGTTGCATTCCAGTCTTGATTCAGGCGTCTCAACACAAGCCTCAGCTCGGCATCGCCTGGTGTTGTAGCCTAAAGCCACAGAATGCAGCCAGGTTTCACCAACCAGCTGCCTAGTCATGCTCCATGATGCTGACGAGTGTAAGTATTCCAACCTTTCCAAATGCAAAATAAGCAGAGGCCTGAGTATCAACCTCGCTGTTCCATTCAACAACGTCCCAAAGGTAATATCTGATTTATCTATGAATGCCCTCACATCAAACACGCCCATGGCCACCAAAGCCTCCGCATTATACAATTCTACTTCTTAAACACCGTTTGTCCTAGTCTCTCAATCTCTCGTCCTTCTTGTGTACCCTTGCCCGCCGCCTCCAGCAGCCGCTCCCATGACTCAGCGTCCTTCAACCTCACAGCCTCCTGTGCTGCCTTGACTCGCATGCCACACTTCTCGTACATCGTGATAGTCTCTCCAGGCTCCAATCCCACGCACTTGGGTATGAACACGGCCGCAAGTCGTGGGTTGCCTGCCTGGAGTGTCAAGTTATAGAACGGCTAGGTAGATGTCATGTTAGCCTGGGCCCCCGCGATACGACGGACGTTTGCTCGGGAGTTACTCACCTGCCATCCAATAGGGCTTCGCTTGGCCCGCGCGATCTCTTCAATCTCGTTCCACTCCCGCTTCGCAACTAGCGCTCTCAACCTGCGGGGACAATCCGTGTTAGCCATCGTCCAAGTCCCGGGTCTTGTCCCATGTCTTGTGTCTGCCGTGATCCACTTACCGAATCCACCATGCCACATTCTCCGGTACCTTGAACTCGCTCTGGATCTTCTTAGCTCGTCCATGATACCCGAGCCGGATCAGTTTAAACATGGTCTCATTGACGCTCAGTCCCGTAAAAGTGTCCGTTAAATCGCGATCGAATGATTCCTGCAACCGCAGGAGTGTTGTAGCCTCCTTGAGTGCGTGCATCTCAAACGATGCCTCTTTCGAGTCAGAGAGTAGCTTAGCAGCAAGGGCAAGCTTATCGGATGCCGTTCGAGCGTCAGGCTGGCGGAGTGACTCGCGGATAAAGACATTGGCTCCATCCACGCGACGGTCGTCCTGATAGTAGAGATCTTTGAGGAGCGAGTTATCTCCGTCCTCCATCGCTGATGACTCAACAATCGCCGTCGCCGTCGGCCGTGCGTTTATCACACGGAAAAAGGCAGCAAGCGGCAGTTTCTTCTTTAGCTGTATCAGGACTGAGAGCATGAGATCCGTGTCACCGCTCTCAACAGCCTTGTCGAGGGCCAGCTCGTCTTCCTCCATGCTCAAAAGGAGAGGGACTTGTCTGCCTCCTCGAGGTTCGTGGTTCAAGAGCTCAGTCGCAAGACGGCCTCGGCCCTCCTGGTACGCAGCTCGTGCAATCTCCTCAAACGAAATTCCAGGCTTTCCTGACAGCCTCTCGACGATCAGCCGACAGATCGTGTCATCATCCTCACCTCCCATGCGGACTTTGCTAGACGCCCAGTGGACGTAGATCCGGTCTGAAGGCAGCTTAAGGTGTCCCGCGATTTTCAGTGCTAGGAGGTACTCGTGGCGGTTCAGAAGTCGTCGAATAAGCGCCTCCGGCGTCAAACGATGGTATTGCTCGAATGACAGGGGAATTCCAACCTCGTAGAATCGCACCGCATTCAGGACTCGGAGGGTCTCACACATGTCGACAAAATCGTCGCTATTGTAGATATCAAGCACCGACTTTCCGAAGGAAGCAGCCTTTAGTAGCCGTTTCTGCCAGTGAGCATCAAATTCGCGTCCTGCAGCATTAATGCAGGTGTCCACGGCCTCGGTGAGATTCGGTCTAATGAGCTGAATGTAGTCATCGGCCTTGGGAGACTGGAGCTCCAGCTGGCCGACGGCGTCCAAAAGAATCGACGCCGGTGAAGAGTCCGATGCGTGGCCAAACACCTCGAGTGTGTCTCGCGGGATTCTCTCTAGGAATTCGCAAAAGTCGTTGGTAATTAATCGAGCACCATCGTGCTCTATGCCCAGTCAGTAAAGTGCAACGATAGAGCCATCAAGACGCTTACCTGAGATGACATGCACCCTCGTGCTGTCGTAAATATATGATGATGAGACATCGCCAGGTCCGATAATGTGGACCTCGTCCTCCCAAGCTATGAGGGCATCACTCCCGCACCATTCAACATACTTGGGCGGTGTCTTGGAATCAGAGTCGTGCTCGAACAGTCGCTCCTGGAAGTCGCTGGAAATAACATGGGCCTTTCCGTTCTTGCCATAGAGGTTGACGTATCGGCCATCTGGTGATACACTAATGTGGCTGAAGGGACCAATATCGAGGAACCGGTCTTCGCAGTCCGTGGCATCGACGACATAGACAGTCTGTTCCACGCTCAACAACACCTCTACCGATCTAGACAAGGTGTGGTTCGGTGAGACGAGGGCCCATGAGTGGATCGTGCCCTCGGGGGTAGTTGCAAGGGCTTTAGGCCGAGGCTCAATGTATGACGAGACTACCACCAAGGAGTTGTTACCCAGAAGGGCCACCATGCCATGATCATAAAATCTACCACCAGTCAGTGACATTCACAATAGTGGGCCGAGCACCCTTACCGGCATGATTCAACGCCATAATTGTCGGCACCATGACCCAAAGAGAACTGTGTAAAGTCCCCCTGCAAGTCGTAGCAACGAACTGTCCCTTCGGCGGTGACGACCAGGAGGGTCTCGTCCTCTGACCAGCCGAGTCCCTTGATCTGGCCCTTGTCCCAGGCGATACTGCGCAACTTCTTGCCAGCGAGGCTGTAGATGTCTATCGCCGGCTTCGATGCTCTGCCCGGCTGGTAGGCCAGGAGCTTCGAGTCGTCACGCCATAGTGCTGCGGTGGCGTTAGCTTATGCTCATGCTCATGCTTAAGCTCATTCCCGCTTCGTCGCGAGCATGTGAGGATGAGACGCCGCAGATGCCGCTGGTAACTCTTTCGAGCCAAAAGATAAAGAGAATCGCAATGTCTCACTCAAAAATAGCAAAGAAATCGGACTCACCCAGTGCACCCGCATATGGAGCTCCCGTGACAATGTAATTGTCCAGGTCCAGGTCCTGGTCAAAGACGGCCGTGTACAGCTGCGTCTTCCGGAACCACTTGTCCCCGACACTCTCCCAATCGGCTCTCGGGTGAAGCGTGTCCATTCTGCGCTATCTCATTGTGAAGATGCCGGGTTTTTGCTTCTTGCTGTCCGTCCGTACGTCAGTCCTGCGTGTTGATGCGCGTTCCGTCGAGCCTCGAGTAAAGGAGCAGCTCCAGCGAGGTTGGGGGAGCTTCCACCGACGCTAATCGACGTAACCGCACGTCGCTAGGCAGATGGGCCGGCGGCTGTTCCTCGGCTAAACCAACTCGCCGTCAGTAAGCGCCCCGCCAACAAGCCGTCGCATCATCCCACAGGGCACTCGACACCACTGGACAGGAATGGGCGGCACAATTCAGCGCCCCTGGGCTTATCAGGTAACTGACTTAATTCTCAGCGTCTCCCCAAGACGGATTAATCTTCGCTTCCCATCCTACTTCACACGCGCCCTTCACAGTTCCTCGCTGCCATCACCATGCCCAACTGGCGCGACCAGTACCTCTCATCCCTTAAGGATGCCGAGCTCAGCAATCCCGTCAACATGGACCTCGTCCAGACCTGTCCGTACCCCACAATACCCCTCCTATCTCCGACCGCAGCGTCAAAGTGAGCGAGGGGACTGACATTATGAGCAAAAGGCTCCCAGATGGCCGATCGCATATCAGCCCTCGAAGCCGAAAAGTCCTCCCTAGAGTCGCTCATTTCCACCAGCGGGAAAAAGACCACGCAATCCGCCGAGCCACCCTCCAACGATCCCGGCGTCGCTCAGCTGAAACAAGATCTCGCCGAAGCCCTGCGCTCCAAGGGCGTCACCGAAACACGATTACGCACCGCCGAGGAGGAACTCTCCAAGCTCCGCTCCAAATCGAAAAGCGACACGAAATCTGTCAGAGATTTGACCGCCGACAGGTCCTCACTCACCACCAGACTGAAAGATCGAGACTACGAGCTGAGGGAGAAGCGGAAGCTGATCGAGGTTCGTCATCGAACCTCCCCAACAGTCGGACCGCCGAGGACATGACGTGGCTAACAACGGGACACAGGAAGTCCAAGATGAGATGATTGCGCTAAACCTCCAGATGGCCATGGCAGAAAAAGAGCGGGATCGTGTTAAGAAAGAAAACAAGGAACTCATCGACCGATGGATGAAGAGAATGGCCCAGGAAGCCGATGCCATGAACCTCGCCAACGAACCCATTTTCGAAAAGGGACGATAATACCGGCCCATCGCTACACTTATCCCATCAGCACTCACGGAGGAACACGAAGGATGCGGCAGCATGACAAAACGAAGTGCTATATGGAGTATCCTGTAAGCCTAACAACCCTATCTCCCACGCTGATGCCCCCAATTCCCAATCTCATCCCATATTCAAAATTCGTACCCTGTGCTGATGAAGCTCTATTAGTCTACTTTCGCGTCGAGATGAAGTACGATCCTCCGGCATTGGTCCAGCTCACATAACCCTCAGGGTATGTGCACTCCTCGACCTCGAGAATCGTACTGCCAACGTCGTTGATGTTGTGGTTGTTGCTCTTCATGTCCGCGACGAACGACTTGAGTGAGATGATCTTGCATCCCGACTTCAAGTCGAGGAACATCCGGACAAGGTCGTCGTTGAGCTGCGAGGTGAAGGCCTTGTTGTTCACCAGAATCACGTCGGCCCGCTTAAGAGCGTCGTGGATGGCAGCATTCTTGCGGAAATCGCCACGCTCCAGGTGCACCTTGCCAGGCTTGATTCCCCAGAGCATGCACCGCGCATCAAACTCCTTCTTCTGCGCCTCGCCCAGGTTGCACGCATTCTCCATCATCTCACAACCCCAGCTCTCACACCCAATCTCCAGCGCCGCTTGCAAGACGACGTTCCCCACGCCGGAGCCCAGGTCCACAAAGACCTGTCCCGATGTCATCTTGGTCTGCTCCAGTAGGATCTTCGAGATGAAAGGATGGAGGAGTTCGCCATAGACATAGTCGGTTCCGTTCTCGTATTTGGAAAGGAGTTCCACCTTGAGGGCGACGGTGCGGTCGTATATTTGATCCAGGATGAAGGCAACGAGGTTCTGAGGCAGCTCGTGCTGGTTATCAAGGTTCTTGGCAATAATGCCGTCCTCAACCAGATTCAAGAGCTTCTCGTTGTACTCGCGTAGTGCCGTCTTGAACCCCATAAGATCTTGAATATTACGGTTTGACGCCTTTTCCAAGCGCCGGATGATGCCCCCGTTGGGGTTGGTGAAGGGCTCGGCTTCGTCATCGTTGAGGTACGTCTCGGCTACATGTCGAACTACTCTTATGCTCGCTTCGACAGCGTCGATCTTGTCCTTGCCCCATACCAACTCGTATCTATACCGCATGTTAGCACTGGGTTGCACAAACGATGACAAGGACAGAACTCACTTCTCGCGTGGCTGTAAGCTGGGATATTGTAATTCAATGGCCACGTCCTCCTTTTGGGCGCCCATGACGGGGACACATTTCAGCTCGAGCGAGGCTACATCCACGGCATGGATGAAGCTTAGCCCATCTACGCGGTCCTCAAACGCCCTGGTGCTCCGGAGCTTCCGGCTAGAGTCGAGGTAGCCATCTTCGGTGCTCTTGCGCTGCCTCTTGTTGGCGTCGAGGTTCATCCAGCCATCGTCTTCCGCATCGCTGTCCTTATCGAATTCGATGCGTTCGTTAACCGGGGATCGACGCGACACGGAGACGCTGCCAGCCTTGCGCTTGCGCTCGAGCCGCTTCTCGTCGGAGGAGGAGGGATAGGGTGAGTGGCTCTTCTGGCGGACGACCGGCTTCGGAGAGGGGCGGTGGGAAGAGGACCGGGACGCGGAGCCGCTGAGGGCGGCTGGATTTGGCTTGGGCTTGGGCTTCGGCGAGGGGCGATCGACGACGACCTTTTCGATCCGGATCTTGGGGGGGTCGACCTTGAACTTGTTGTTTTTGCTTCCGAACAGACGCATGATGCCGGTCAAGAGCCTTGAGCTCTGCGGAGAGTGCTTGGGCGGCGAAGAGAGTGAGAGTGAGAGAGACAGGACCCGGAGGACGGGGACGTCAGGGATGGAGGGGTTCGCGGTGGCGTGCGTCGTGTCGCTCGGCAATGTCGCGCAGTGGCGGGCTAAAAATAAAGCAGAGATGTAAAGGAATGGATAGAATAGAAGGCCAAGAGACGAGATACGTAATGCAACCAAAAAAGCGGCCAGTCGAAGGGGTTGTTGGTGGAGTAGCGAGCCCGGGCTGTTGAGTCCGTTAGAATGGCATCGTGGCAGTAGGGAAGTCCAGGCGAGGCGGGAGACGCATGGTTGCCTTGGGTGCATGAAGCCTTACATCAGCGGTGGCAGGTGCCCTGGGGCCGACCGCGCCTGCCCCAGTCTCGCCCTGCACGCGCAGTAATTACGGGACGTATGGCTGGGGCGTCGGGAACGAGGGCACGTGAGTGGTCCAAACGGCCAGGGTGGGTCCCGTTACCCATTAGTCCGTGGGGGGCTGTGCCTTAGTCGCGTGCCTACCCTAGACGCGTCGGGACTTGGAATTCGCTTGTCAACCCGAGGTAACAAAGGATGGGAAGCCCCCTTGATCATGGCTTACCCTATTTGAACTGGTACCGTGCTCGATTTCTGTCATTCAATGGACATTATTGTCTGTCAATTGAACCTTAGCAGAGCTAGTTGATCATTGTTGATGCACGGGTGCTGCTAGATGCGTCATTATTCGAGTATCTCCTTGTCCCTTTGTTCCCACTTACACAATTCAAACTCGGGCGTAAGCTAGCAAAAGTCTATCCAACCCCATGCGCGTTCCATTTCAAGACGAACCATCCCAAATCTATCATATCTTGAGCATTGATAGTCCAAAAGATCCCCGTACCCCAAGATAACAAAAACGTCTCCAAGTGTTTAGGTCGGTCGGTAGAGCCTAGGACTTGGTCATAGCTGTCTCTCCAGAGGTGTAGTACAGTCATAGCTGGTCGGATGCATACGTACTCGGCATGACACTCTGGATATGACAATGGACCGACTCTTAGCTTGCTACCCCTCGCATTAGGAAACAGACAGGGTCGCTCCCCGAATCAGAAGAGGGGATAGAACTGACACTGCCGATCAATATCGAGTCACCCCTCAACACCACCAAGATAACTAGACCCTCAACCCTATTTGAGCACCGGGGCTTCACGTCAACGAGATGCATCTGGCCAAATAAATTATCGCCCTTGTCCTTGCGACGAACGTGTTTCTCGTCGTTGAAACAAAATGTCACCTCACATGGGTTAATCCCTGACATTCCCGCCAACCTGGCGGAGCACCTGCCTGTCTGAGCATGGATCAGATCTCTCTCCCTCCACAGTCGTGCCTCTGACTCGGTTATTTAGGTGCGATGCCGATCACTCAGTACTAAAACCCACCCCGGCCCCAACGCATTGGGATCGCCAAAACCCGGAGACATCAGGCTCCGCTCCCAGCCCAACCGGGAAGTAAAACCTCCGTTTAGCTGCTTGAACCGATCGTCGGTGGTTGGTAGTTGGCTGTCGACGTCGGTACTGTTTGTCTAGTTTCATCCTAATCGCAGATGGGACAAATGTGGCAAATTAGGCGAGTTTACGAAATGTATTGAATGTTGATCGAGAATGCTTTCTTGTAAGCTAATACTTGTTACTTGAGCATGTGAGCCAAATTGCCGAACACCGAAAGGTATCAATCCTGATATCATCGCCTGAATCCTAATCCCAAAAAAGAAAATACTCCAAACCGAGAAGGTCGTTTTAGCCTTATGCTTTTGTACACATAGTGACAGGTGTCAAGTTCATACAGTAGAGAACAATGCAGGTCAATGCCTGTGATAAATGATGTGGTGCTTGCCTAGTGGCTGGAGACTCCAGAGAACCGTGGTGGCCTCTTAGTCCCTGTTATAGTAGCCGTGAATGTGGTTATGGTAGGACCTGGACTGCGCTGCTGGCTGTGGTGCCTGAACCTGGGAGCCTGCCCGGGTTGTTGAGTAGTTTACGTTCTGTGAATGTGTTCGCTCCAGTCGCTGTTGTTGCTCTCCCTGATTCTTCATCTCGAACACGGACACCTCGACGTCGCGTTGGATGCCCGGCCTCCCGGTTTTGTTGTTGTTCTTGTTGGAGTGATCGTTCCCCTTGTTCATCCGGGGGAGGTCGATCATGAATGTCTCGCTCTCATCGCTCTGTCGATCACCCGACATAGTGTTTCCGCGTAGCGGGATAGAACCGTGTCGGTCGTTCTTGCGCCTCCAGGTGTCGAGTGTTCCCTTGGAGAAGCTAGTTCCCGTTCCGCCAGACTTGCTATTTCGAGAGAAGCCAAGGGAGGATCCTACGCGGGAGACGATCGGGCCAATCGCCTTCTTGAAGTGTGGGAAGAGCATGGGGATGTTGGTAGTGACGACGGCAGTGAATGTCTCGCGAACTGCCCATGAACCAGCGAGCATGGCACCGTTGACAGGGTCCTGGATGAGGTTGTTAATGCCAACCATTGCGAAGGAGGGGCGTTGGAGGAACATACCGACACAAGGAGAACAACACGGAGGATGGCAGCCATAGTAACGAAGAGACCGCAGCTGAAAAGGGCAATCAGCCAGAACTTCTGGACCCAGGGCATGGCCGCCTTCCAAAGCATAGGCATGGGGATCATGATGAGGTAGAGATCCGTGGCGACGTTGAGGGCGAGGCCGGTCCAGACGATGGACGGAGAGATGGCCGGGTGGCAGAACTCGCCGGGGTCGGGATATATCTGCCACCACATGCTGAAGGACGGGCGGCAGCTAAGGAGGATGTTCAGCTGGACGGCGACCCAGCTCGTGATGATGAAGCCGAAGCCAAAGTAGATTTTCGATCGGTAACCCTCGAGGTCCTTGGTCAGGCGGTAGTAGAAGGTGCACATGCATGCCTTGAGCACCCATAAGAGGAACGAGTAGGTCGACCATCCTGCAAGCTGGATCTGAGAACCGAGAACCCTGCTTCAGTCAGTACGACGAGTCTTGAGTGATGGCTGTTAGCAGACCTACCTCAGCGCATATTCTTCGCTGTTAGGATCCAGGGCCTTTCGCTCAGCATCCGTCATCGAGTTGTTGGCCAGGCCATGAGCGATGTTGCCCACAGAATACGCCAGTCCAGTTTCCGCCGAATAAGTAATCTGGCGCTCTGCATTAGCACGGTGGTAAACAGACATGACAGACATGCGACTTACAGCAGCCAGAACCGCCAAGTAGTCATCCGCCCACAGACCCTTGAACCCCACGGAGCGGATACGGATGAAGCACCGCAGCCCAGTTATCAACAGAGCAACTCCCAGCAGGGTAAAGGCTTCGATGTTGAACCGCTTCAAGGCGGCCATTGCAGCGGCCTGGGCAGCAGCGGCGGCGGCCGCAGCCTCACTCGTACTGTTGGAAGACATGGCTGCACCGGTGGATACTGGATAGACAGACTTGGAGACCCAACGCACCAAGACGAGGAGAAAATCCGACAGACTGGATCCTTCGGGCACAGCAGGACACAGGCCGGTATAAGAAACCCAGCCGGAGAATAGAGCGAAACACAATACCGGGTGTACTACGGCGGATGCCCTGCATACAAGGACCAAAACCTCTCAGTCCCGACCCGCGGGCTATCCGGGGACCCAGTCCGTTGCATCACTGGTGTCGGAGTCCATCGCCCTCCAAATGCGACTGTCGTACTGCCCTGACTGATAACCCCGTCCGTGACAACCGCAGCGTCGCCTCCCGCGGCGCCAGAGCAGGTCCGTCACGGCGTCCCCACAGCGTCGCCGTCCCGAAGGAGAAAGGCTCGATGAAGCCGTCTGTTTCGCAGCAGGGGCGCAAAAGAAACTACCACGGCGGGTCAGGTCCCTAGCTGCCGTCGACTAGGACCGGGTCTTGGTGCGTGCGACCGCTGTCCTCAGCCGGGGATAGATCATAGAGCGCTGGGCTCGTCTTGGTTAGGTCTGCTCTTTGACGAGAGCGCCTTGACGAGGAACACGCCATATCTCGGTTTTCGTTCAGCCACAAACCCCAGAGCTGGTCAGAGCCGGTCCATTTTGGAGATAGGCCCAGGACCAGGACTTCAGGTCCAGCAACGAACGCCTGGAGATAACTGCGTGCTAGCAGTGGTATGGACGACGCCAATGGCCGCTAACAGCTAGCAGAAACATTGGGGTCGCGCGGCTGAGTGCATAGTACGCGTACGTGCCTGGTTCTCCTTGCATGCTTACACCACTACGAGTAATAACTGACATGTCTGATATGCATTGTGGCGGCTTGATGATCCAACCCACGGGCGTCGGGCGTCGGGCGTAGAAGGGCAGAAGGAAAAAGGAACGCCTTGATGTCACTCCCAGCCCAAGGGTCACACACTCAACGGAGCGCGCGGTCACCAGTACCAGACTGTCTCACCTAGTTACGGTACTCGGCGCCCTTCAGTTGGATCGGCCCTTCGAGACTTGATGCTCGTTTGAGTCTGCCAGTGCACTGTTGGAGGGAGCCGTGCCTCGCTTCCGGGAACCGAGTTCCCCGGGTTTTGGTAGTGATTGATGGGCGACGATCACACGAAGGGGTCCCAAATATGTGAAGCTGGCACCAACATGGGCTGATGAGACTTCTCCTCGTTGACCGGGCGCGAACTTGCTCACAGTGCTACTACTGTACTGTACGTATGAACGTAGTATTCATTGGACTGGTGCCGGCAGGTATGGCCTTAGCCCGGTCATTTTGTGCATTAGGACCGCTCGTGAATCGCCATGGTTCGCAGAAGTGGCCTGAAGCGTCCAGACTACGGTAGGTACCGTGGTACGCATCCCTTGTCAGTGACCTTAGTCGGGTATCTCTCAAGCATGGCCGATGTGACGCTGGGAGGTCTACCCCTGAATCACCGGCGCAAGGGAGTAGTATCACCCACTCGATCGCACAGAGTTGCATGCCTTTTAACCGCTAAGCGACCTCCGCGGAAGCACCGTTTAGGTGCCGATCACAGTTGCGGAACCGTTGGACTGAGTCTTTATTTGGACACGGGAGGGTGGCCGTTAGGGCTACTCGTGAGTGACGGTAACCATCGCATGGCGCGGAAGCGTGAGAAAATAGCAATAGTAGTACGCAGTAGCAATAGCCTTTTGGAAATCCAACAAGCTTCGAAGTGAGCCATCCCGTTGGGATTTGATCCCCCCCTTTCTGATAGTGCAATTTGGCAAGCATCTTGACACGCGTTTTGACAGCGTCTGGCTAGAGCGTCTTGTGGCGATAGCCTCCTGTCAAACAAACCATCCGCAGCTCCAAGGCAGTCCCTGCATAGAAGGGCGTAATGGACGTGCGTGATTGCAGGCACATCAAACACATCAAACACAGACCACAACGTCTAAACCAGTGATATTCGCCATTTGGGCTTCAACTGGTAATTTCAGCGACTCTCAGCGGCCGACTAACAAATTCCCTCTATTTTAGCAAACTCCGCCACCCGCTACCTCCGTAAAAGTCTGGAATTCCAGCCGTGGGAGGTTTACCCACTCGGATGCGTCATTCTAATCCGCGCCACCACGTTTCTCCAAGCCAAGTACGTCACGGCACGCCCTTCCCTACCCTAGAGACTCCCAACATCGGGCCAAGACGCGGTGTTAAATGTTCGTCGGGTCGGCATCACGTAGCTTTTCGGATGAAAACTGTGACAAAGTGGATAACTCGTCATGGATCCCGAATGTGGCTGTTTGAGATGTCATCGCTAAACATGGGAACGGCTGGCTGCAGCCACTCACGGTGACACCATCATGATTTGCAGAGGTGGCTGGACAGATGCGGCCGAGAGACCGAGATCCAATAGTTTCGTCGTTGTGAGAACTGACAGATTCTCCCCTTGCGTTTGTGTTGCACCGAGCTAGTTAGGCGAACCCAGTTTCTATCCCACCAAAGCAAACATGTAGGCTTAGAACGGACTGGTGCTCTAGACAATCGCTTCAATACCCGGTCACGCGCTACCCCTGATTTATTGGTACCCTTCGGCCCCATAGGCTCCGAAAGCCAAGTGTTGGTCTTAGGAAAAAGAAAACATTAGGTTTCTAAGTGCGATTCAGCGTGCGGTTGATATTCATGCAACTTGGTGTGGACAGGAACCGCTTTCAACGACTGCGTCATCGTGCTTGTGTCGAAGTTCAAGGGCTAAAACACGGAATTTGAATCATTGCCACATGGCTTCTGAGGTTGGGAACAAAAATCTCAGGCGAGTTGCTGTGTCACTCCGGAGATATCTTATTCATAGTGGCTATGCTTGCTTGATGCTTTCGTGCAAAGTTCAGTACTGCTCTTCGTGCGCGTGCATCTTGCCGTTGCATAACAGGATATGGCACAATCCTAAAGAGAAACATCAATAACGCACCGAATGAATTTTACGAGAGGGAATCATTAAATATTGGATCTCTGCACTCATCCCTCACAACAGTTGCATGCGCCCCTTAGTGATGAGAGTTCGACTGCTCATAATGCAGTCGCATCGTCAACGTGTTGGCGAAACGTAAGACCTTTTTTCTCGGTGAAGTGGAAGGGAGGAAGTCTACAGCTGCCGACAGCTGTGAGGTAGGTGCATGCGCCCTCTCATACCTATGCTTCCTTCCGCTGGCCCTCAAAACCCTCCACAACTTCCCCCAAACTCTTGAACCTCGCTCTCCAAACTATTGAGGCCACAGAATTGAGGATTTCGTCCGCCACAACTCTTTGCGAGTGGTCTACCATTTAAAGGAACGCCGCCTGTTCCGATTTTGCATTCATCGTCATCGGCATCGCCACTTCTTCCACCACTGAGTAACAGCTACCGAGTCCCGCCATGAATCAACAGGCTGTTCTAGATGGCTCAAATCCGGTGCGTCTATTCAATTCAACGAGTGTCGACGTCTATGAGAACAATTTGGCTAACTGCAGATGACATCAGGTTGATTTGTTCACCTCGTTGCCACTGGAACTGAAACGAGAGATCTGCGAATATCTCTGCGACCATTGCAAGACCACGATCCCCCAGCACGAGGCATTCAAACCTCGTTATGCACCGCTGGCGAGTCTATGCCTTGCATCTCGAGCACTTAGAGATGCTGCAGAGCCAGTTTTGTACCATTTATTCTTCTACCAGTACGGTCAGCGACAAGAACGGTTGGAACCATTCTCAAAGACTCTACTCCAAGGACCCGATTTGGCAGCTCATATTCGGCGCATCCGCTATGAACCGGAGCCTTGGGATGACTATAATGACGAGAGTGAAGCACTTGAAGGCTCCCTCGAAACCACCTCGGCAATTGAAAATTTGAGACTTCATCGCTCTTTATTCGACCTAGTATTATCACGGGCGGAAAACTTGGAAGAGTTGTCTATCCAAATCGAAGGAGGCTGGCGTATGCCTCTCGTCGACCTCCCTCGATTGAGGGATCTACATCTCCAGCAACCTGAACTTTGGACACCGCCGAGTCTAACGTATCCCAAAGGTGAAAGGGGATTAAATACTGCACCGCTGCTTGAACGACTGTGGTTAGATAAGTGGAGCCTGTTTGACGTCGCTCACCATGATCTCCTTGATCTTGTATCTCACGTTCACAAGCTCAGTATTCAACCAGATTCCGAAGGCTATGGCAGCCTTGAGGATAACATTAAAATAATTGTAAAAGCGCTGCCAAAGCTTACTAGCTTTGACTTCTTCGACGAACATTTAGGGGTGACTCCACAATTCGAGCTCTTGTCACGCCTTCTTGTGCGAAAGGACTCCCTGACGGATATTTACATCGAGACGGATGTTTTATATATCGACCTTGATTTGATCAGCCGCTTCGCAAACCTCAAACACCTCAGACTCGACTGTGATATGGTATTTACGCTTGGGGCGGAGAATGAGTATAAGATACTTTCTTCAACGTTGGGGGTGCACCGTTTACCTCTTCCCTATTCATTGGAGACGTTGTGGATTTGTCCCACTCAAGAATCAAGTGTCTGGATCCTTGTCTGGTTGAGCCTGAGCCTGTCTCAGTACGTGAACCTCGAATATGTGCGATGCATTTCAGGAAGGTGGGACGGAGATCGAGCATTCCAGGATGAGATGACTCAAATGTTGAAAGAGGAGTGCGTGGAGGAAAACTTTCGGAAGGCAAACGTGAGGTTTGATGAAGTCAACTGTGTAGGATCCTGCCGTTCTTTGGTTGAGTCCGTTTTATAGGATCCTGACAGCACTGAAATATGGAGGCGAAACACGAATCTTTTGCTACCGGTTGATAAGGAACTCATCAAGGCGGAACAGCATTGTAATTTGCGGATATTGAGTGCCGGGAATTGGAACCAGATTGATGTGTGCTACGAAGACGAACGGTGGAGGGGATTTGTACATAACTCTGGTAGGACTGCCAAAGTTAAAATACGTCACGGAAGTCCGATCGCGGTTTCACATTTTTCGTCTAAGATATTGAACAACGATAACTTGCAGCCTCATTGCGACTTCGTGGTGCTGCGTTGGTAGTGGGTATACCTGGCAAGAAGGTCTCATATAACATGGAGATAGAAACACGAGGACCCAAGATCTATTCTGAAGGCTGCGCTTTTCTTTCCTACTCCGACGTAGCTTCTAATGAACAATACTCTACCTCTTCAAAGTCTTTTGCTTCTCCGCATCAGTTGCCACATTTCTTCCCTCAACCAGCAAGCCCTTCTTCCGCCTCACTCCATCCATGTACCGCTTCGCCACGTTCTCCTTGTCCGCCAACTCGCCCAGATCCTCCAGGTCATCTTCGGTAAAGGGCACCCAGAAGGGGTCTTCATCCAGGATCTCGAAACCAGCGAAGATGAGCTGCGGCTGGGCGGCACCGCTGGTGCGCTTCCGCATCTCGTCCGCGAAGCCGAAACTCTCCGCGACGGGAAGTACTGCTTGGATGGTGAAGAAAGGCGTGCCCTCCTTCATGATCTCGGCACCAACGCGGCCACGGCGTCGGGTCAGGACGTCATACACGCGGCCGAGGACCTCGGTAGACGCTTGGATTTCGACGCTGTACATGGCAAGCATCAGGCGAGGGGACCAGTCGAGGAAGCCCGCGCGCAGAGCCGCCTGGAATGTCTTGATGATCTCGCCTGTGAGGCGGCCGACCTTGTCGCGGGCGGAGGCCGCTTCATCCTCGGGGATGTTGAGGGTAACGTCCTCAACGAAGACGGCAACGCCCTGGAGAGGCTCGTTGCACAGGGGACCTTGCGCCGCGGTGAGCTGGAAGGCGTAGGCGATCTTGTCAGCCAGATGGCTGGGGTGGAGAGCCTCTCCAGCTCGAGGAGCAGATTCTGCAGACTTCTCACCGACAAAGGCTCTGGGAAGAATGCCATCAGCGGTGGCATCGATCAAGATGTTTGGTCCTATTCGGCGAGGGCCGAAAGCCACTATCTGGTCAATTCGGTCCTTCCAGTTTTCTCGGCCCTTGCCTTTCTCAAGTTTCTCTTGGAGCTGCTTCTTGAAGTCATCTAGAGACATTGTGTTGCCAGCAGCGCGGTCTGTATCCAAGTCGATCTTCTCGTCGCCTTCGTCGTCTTTTGACTTGCGGTCGGAGTACAGTCGCTTGACAGCATCTCCATTCTTGACCAGAAACTCGGTCACCTGGGCAGGCAGGGGCTGAACTCGGAGAGAAATAGTGACCTGCTTGGAGCTGGTGGTAGCCACGACCGCACCACGGCCAAGGTCCTTGTTTACAGGAGGTCGCATCTCTTCAGCTCGGACAATCGTCTCTCGGTAAGGAACAATTGGGGCACCGGCCTGGATATCGCAGCGGGCGAATCTCTCCTTCAAATCCGTCAGGCATCGTTCGAGATGCAGTTCGCCAGCGGTCAGCAAGACGTGCTCGCCGCTCTCAAACTGCTCATACTCTGCGCAAGGATCGCTCTGCACCAGGAGGTGCAAGCCCTCAATCATTTTGTCCAAATCGGCGGGGTTGACGGGCTCCAAGGCAACTCGGACAATGGGCTTCCCAGCCATGTTAACACCAGCAAGGTTGACAGCGCCTAGGAGTTGACTGCAAAGAGTTCCCGACTTCAGGATCTTTCCTTCCAGGCCTCCGATTCCAAACACTACACCTGCTGGGACAGATTCTAGAGCCTCCAAATTCCTTCCCATCAGCATGTAGAGAGCCGTGACGGTGACCTCCTGGGGCGCAGGACCGGCGTCCGGGTCGGCTGGGGACCACTTCGGGGGTATAACGTAGAGTGTATCACCAACAGTAAGAGTACCAGAGTACATTCGTGCAAAACCGATGAGATGCTCGGGGTCCACAGTCTTCTCATCCAACTCAGGGGCAATGTTGTCGATGTTGACAGATTCCAGCGCAGTGGACATGCTGTCCACCTCACTTTCGCCCGCCGCAACCTGTGCCCTCAAGGCCTCCGCTCTCTTCTTGCGAGCGAGGTCTCTAGCCTCTTCGCCACTCATCTGTACTCCAGGACGTCGCTTGTTCTCTGGAAGTTCGCTCTCGGGCACAGAAACCATCTTACTGACGTAGGCAACGACGGGGTCGGACTTTTCATGCTTGAAGGAAATCATGGCATCCTTGATGGCACTGTCGATAGAGTGGGATCCCGGTGAATCTTCGAGCAGTTCAGGCAGACGCTGTGCTTGTGCTTTGGGAGGAGAGGGCAAGTATTCCACGACGGAGACTAAGAGGGCAGTCGACAATGGTAGCCAGTTGGCAAAGACTGTGGTCATCAGCAACCGAGGATCTCGAGCTCGGATAACGTGAGGTGATATCGTAATTCCCAGCGACTTGGTGACCTTTTCCAACAGGGTAGGGTCGCCTTTGCCACTGTCACCGCCAGTTGTTGCTTGGTAGACGGTCCACACAGGCTCTAGAACGAGCTGCACGAACATGGGCTTGAGGCTTCGACCCTTCAGATGCTTGGGTCCCAAAATCTTCTTTGTTTTGGGATCCAAGTAAAAGTTTCCCCACAACACCTTTTCCATTATCCCCCTCTTGATCCCGAGCTTCTTCTCGTACAAGCTGGCGAACTGGCGGCAGGTGAATGCCCAGCCGTCGATGGCACTGCTGAAAATGACATTGTTCTTCTCCGGGGCAAAGTAGATGTCTTCGTCGTCCTTCTCCTCGAATTGAAGCTCACCCGCGTCCGTGAATTGGTCAGCTATGGCAGATTCCTTGGCTGCCGCTGCTGCATTGGCACGCTCCTCCATCTTCTCCCTCCAGTTGAGATCCTCCTCCATTCGTTCACCCTGGAAAAAGCTTCCCAGAACGGCGTTGACCTGTCCTACCAAATTGCTCAAGTGGACATATGCTTCTGCGGGGGTCATCTTAAGCTCTGTAACTAGTCTGTCCATTTTGTTGATGACGAGCACAGGCCTCAGCTTCTCAGTCCAGGTCTGGCGTAGGACTGTAACTGTTTGACTGCAAACTCCTTCAACGGCATCAACTAGAACCACAGCGCCGTCACACAATCTTGATGCGACAGAAACTTCGCTGCTGAAGTCGATGTGTCCGGGAGAGTCGATCAGGTTGATAAGGTACTCCTTGGCCTCAGGGGTAGCGTCAGGGGCTGATCTCCGAAGCATCGAGAAATATAATGAGATGGCAGACGACTCCATCGTGATTCCTCTGGTTTGCTCATCAGGCCTTGAGTCTAGGTACCGGATCTTGCCGGCCAACTTGGGGGAGATGATGCCGTTGGTGGCGAGAAGGGCGTCTGTAAGAGAGGTCTTGCCATGGTCAACATGGGCCAGGATGCAGATCTACCGCGACGTTAGTGGGCTGAGCATAAAATCTAGATATTCCTTGGCATACATTTCGAACATCGTTTGACTGTCGCTGGAGACTAGCCAGTCTCTCTGGGGTAACCACCGGCATGATGGCGAATGGTCTCTCTGCTTCTGGCAGTAACAGGCCTTGATAAAAAATGTGAAAATTCCTCGAGACTAATGGGACTCTGAAGCTTCTCGAGACGGGTAAACTGGGGCCCCTGGCGCTTTTGAAGACTCAGTATGCCTGGATGATCATTCGCCGTGGTGGCGGAGTTGTCTGCGGCTTGCTCGCAGGTGTGACTAATCCCGCCTCTGGGTTATTTATCACTACAAAGAGTCAGCACAATCCTGGCTCAGGCGCGCGCCGCCAAGGTATAATGCAAAATGACTGATAATGACTCATATGTACGTACCTGAGATATCGTGATCGCAAGATACTTGCTTCTAGTAGCAAATGTGCAACAGTGAGTCTCACCAAGACGCCGGACCCAAGACATCGCCATCCCTTCGCTGCCCCGCTTCGCAGCTTCTCTCACCCCACCATCACAACCCCGATACAGCGTAATCGATAAGCACTTACCCAGACCCACAGCCCCGCTTATCGCAATCCTCCCACCACAAGCCCTAAGCTCACGAAAATTCGCGAGATGCGCTGGGCCCCTCGGCGTGCGTAAAATTTCGATACCCCTCACACGACGACGTAGACGGAGCGGCCAACACCACGACTACGAGCGATCGCACACGATGGCTACCTACCAAAACGGCGTGGCTCCGGCCCGCGCCATGGCTGACGACAGCGACGTCGAGGAGGAGGCCCTGGTGGCCGAGTACAAGGAGCAGGTCCAGTACGAGGACGGCGACGACCTGAGCCGCACCAACTCGTTGAACATGGCCCATCAGACGGACGACATCCAGGCTCGCCTCGTCCAGGCCGCTCAGCCCCTCGACTTCCAGGCTCCCCTCGAGACCAAGTTCCAGAGCTACGACGCCTACTGCAGCTTGTTCCACTACATCCTCAACTCCGAGGGTCCCGTCGACCTCGAGCCCCCGTCGGTTGGTTTACCCCGGATATTCTATCCAACTGTGATTGGCCCGGACGGTTGGGACTGACTGTTACTTGATAGTACTACTGGGCCTGGGATGTCATCGACGAGTTCATCTACCAGTTCAACTCGTTCTCCTCATACCGGATGCGAATTGCCAGGCAAACGACGAACGAGGAGGAGCGCCAGGCTCTCCGCGAGAACCCCAACACCTGGGGCTGCTACAGCGTCCTCAACGTCCTCTACTCCCTCATCCAGCGATCCCAGATCACGGAGCAGCTGGCCGTCATGAAGCGCAACGAGGACCCCATGACCGTCGCCGGCGAGTATGGTAACAAGAACCTGTACCGAATGCTGGGATACTTCTCCATCATTGGTCTTCTCCGCGTGCACTGCCTGCTGGGAGACTTCAGCTTGGCCCTCAAGACGCTCGATGATATCGAGCTCAACAAGAAGGCCATGTTCGCGCGCGTCATGGCGGCCCACTTCACCACCTACTACTACGTGGGTTTCTCGTACATGATGATGCACCGCTACGCCGATGCCATCAAGATGTTCAGCCACATCCTCGTCTACGTCTCGAGGACCAAGAACTTCCAGAAGAGCGCTCAGTACGACTCTATCACCAAGAAGAACGAGCAGATGTACGCCCTGATCGCCATCTGCGTCGCCTTCCAGCCCACTCGTCTTGACGACACCATCCACACCGCCCTCCGGGAGAAGTACGGCGACCAGATGCTTAAGCTGCAGCGTGGTGGCCCCGAGTCCCTCCCCATCTTTGAGGAGCTCTTCCGCACCGCGTGCCCCAAGTTCATCTCCCCCGTGCCCCCGGACTTTGAGAACCCCGAGTCCAACATTGACCCCGTGGAGCACCACCTCGCCATCTTCATGGACGAGGTCAAGACTAACATGTGGAGCCCCACCATTAAGTCGTACCTTCGACTTTACACCACCATGGACCTCAGCAAGCTGGCTGGCTTCCTCGAGGTCAAGCCCGAGGAGCTTCGCTCGTGGCTTCTGGTCACCAAGCAGCGCACCAAGCAGCTGCGATGGCAAGACCAGGGCCTGCTCGAGGGTGAGCTGGTCAACGTTAGCGACCTGGACTATGCTCTTCAGGGTGTAAGTAGACTCCTCCACACCGCCTAAGAATGACGAGGCTTCCGTGTTACGGCGGCGTAGTAAATTTTATGACATGGAAGCTAATGAATATTGATAGGACCTGATCCACATCTCTGAGGCCAAGGTTGGCCGGAAGCTCGTGGACTGGTATCTCCGCAACCTGTCCCGCACCTACAACTAAGGTAGGAAGGTAGACTTGGCAAGCCACATTTCCCGTTCGCCTAGAGTCTTGGAACACTACGAAAAAGGTGAATTTCGAGGGCCAAGGCGGGGCCGAATAGTTGGGGCTGGTGATGCGTTATGCAGGCCAACTGGTAGGATACATGGCATGGCAACGGCGTCTCGGAGTTGGTGATGCTCGTACAAAAGCTTGAGGAATTTCTCGAGATTGGCTGTATGTGGTAGAGATGGAACATCCTCTTAGAGGCATGTTAGAGGCATGGGAACCTGGAGGACAAATCTAAAAGAAAGAAACGAGGTGAATTAATTCATGATTCGATGTTACTGGGTATTGTGCGCTGTGTATTGTGCCACTGGGAACTGTTTGCCAAGCCGCGGTGAATACGATGTGTCCATAGGGAGGGGCAACAAGTGCCGGACTCCGCCTTGGCCGTGGAGGTGTATGACAGATGCCAAGAACTAGCCAAGAACCAGCCAAGAATTAGCCAAGAATTAGCTGAAGTCGAGGCGCCTCGCTGGGGCGGCTCGTTGTGCTGTCGACTACCGGATACATGGGATGGATCCACGTGAGGTGTGTATTTGCTTCTGCTAAGATAGAGTGCATTGCAGCAGGATCCGGCAGGCATTCAGACCACCAGTGACCTGGAAACTGGAGTACTACTATATACGGACTATATCAATGCGGTCTCCCTGGACCGACATATCTGGCGAGATCTAGAAGCGAGAGCGATAACGGAAGCGCAGATTTTGTGTGTGGACGAGAAACCGTCTAATTGTCTTGGTGTCTCACCGCACGACCACGTGCCCGTTTAGGCTATGTGCGTTGATCTAGCAAGATGTACACGAAGGCTGTGATAGAAGGGCACAGAGGATCCAGGGTTGGACTAGAGCGCCTCTTCTCGCGGCAACTAAAACCATATTGATCCTGGCCGTTTGGTTACCCATGTGCCATCCGATTGATGGTTGCTTTTCATTCGTTTATTTAATCAAGCCCTGTGAAAGTCCCCGGTGCCCGTGTGAGATGCACTCAAATGCCATCGAAGACGAGTGCTGTCCGGAGATGCCGTCCGTGACACCCATGGCTTAAGCCACCCAGTGCGGCGGTTGGACCGTCAGCCTCAGCCAGGGTGCATCAAAGGGCAAACGGCGGGTGAGGGGGTAGGGATATCTCATGTGGGACGGGGGAGCGGACTGAGTGGTGGGATATCGCGGCGAAGAAGGGCGGGGATGCAAGGGAAGTACTACGCAGTAGTAAACTCCGAAGCTGATGGGGCTGGCATGTCGCTACCGCGAGTGAGAGTTGATGGTCTGATACGACATGATCGGTTGATGACCTATGGCGGCTGGTTCGTTGGAGGGAGGGATGTGCTGGGGGGGCGGTGTGAGGTGAGGACTGGATCACAATCCCACAGCTCGCATGTGCAGGCGGGCTGCACTATGTACTTTGGTTGTGATGGATATGTATGGACGCGCATCTTGGAGGAGTTTCAGGTCGCCGAGATCTGCGAATGCAGCCACCTTCTTCCGTTTCGTTATCTTGCCCTGCATTTCCTGTCACTCCTTCTCCGTACATTTCCGAAGAAACTGCCAAAGCAAGATCCCTCTGGATGCTAGAACCGACGACATCCCATCCCTCCCAGCTTTCTCGAGTCCGCCGGCACTAACAAGCAGCTAGTCCTCTTACCCCACCAGGACCAGCGTTCCGTTTCCGAGAGCCAGAGGAACCCCACCCGGGGCTGCGGGCTTCCAGGCGCGCGTGGTCGAAGCTCCCGTGCCCAAGTCCTTGGGATCTCGCGATGGAGGAGGCTGCGAATTGCGGTGCCGGTACGTGCGTGCTACGCGTACGCAGCGGAGTTTGGACTTGCGGAGGAGTCGAAGTAACCGAAAACGGGAGATTAAACGTCATTCGTAAGCCACGGGCTTGACGGGCGGCCTCGCTGGTCCGATCCCTAATTAAAACCGTCCAATACAGCCCCCGAAATGTCACTGCGTAGTATGTCGTACGCCCAAACTCTATCTGCGAGAGACGACCAAGAGAGGGTGCGCCCGTTGCGTGTGGTTGGCCAACAACCAAGGTGCAGGCCCAGTACCGAAACAACTCGGAGGTTCGCAACGCCGGGTTCCTCGGGCGTCGGGTCGGTACCCGGAGGCCGGATTTGTCAGGGAAGACGACCCCTAACGGCGTACCCCAACTTCCAACCTGGACAGGGACGTGGGGATTCGGGCGTTGGGCTCTGCCGAATCCGAAAAGCTGCTAGCTCTCCTGCTCGGTCTGAGATTGCCTCGGGGCGATTGGGGTTGGGGGGCTGGTGTTTGGTGTTTTTGGTGGTGGTGCAACTGGGCCGCTCCAGCGGGATTCGCAGCCCAAAAGGAAACAAGGTGGCATTAGTGGCTCCGGGACCACCAAGGTAATTAAGTGGGCTCGCGCACACAGCCCGGCGCCCTATCGAGGCTTTGGAAAATAGGATCAGCTTCCATGTGATCAGGGACGATGAATCACAAAGCTAGGGGGGTGTGCGCGCGTGCGCCGTGCTACTACGTAGTCGAGGTAGTCTGTACCATAGTACATAGTACGTACTACGTAGCTATGACTGTGCGTACACGTAGGACGACCGTGTGTCGTCTGCTGGTGATAACCACCGACGGCCGCCTCGACGGCGCGCATCGCCTATGATGCCCCGGACGCACTTCTCAGGCTCATTTCGCCTAGGGTGGTACACCGCATGTAAGAGGGTAATGAATTCGTTACCATGGACAGGCTGCCTCCCCCTGGTGCAAAACGCAAAACGCTCCTTGGCAGGTTTTGACAGCTCCGACTTGATAACGAAATTTCGCCATCTCACATACACCCACCTCCCGACAACCATGCAACATCCACGGGCGCCCAGCCAATTGTTCCCCGCCGCTGGCGCATGCTCTCGCCGTGCAGCAGCAGCCCTCCCGGCCGTTCAATCGTCCATCTTGCCGCCTTGGCCTGCATGGGTTTGTGGGTTTGTGTGCTGCGGTCTGCATTGCAGCTGAGGCCAGGAGGAGCAAGGCGGCGCCGGACGACGACACCACCACCATGGCGATGATGACTGGGGAATCTTAACTCTAGCTCTGCAGTTTTTGGTCTTGTCATCCGTCGTTTTAGCGAGTAAGATTCGGCAACTTCCCGTTGCGTACGGGGAACTGCCGTGTGCTTCGTGCCGCCGCACACACGAGAGACAGAGAGCTGAAGAAAGAAAAAGAAACGAAAGACAGCGAAGCAAGAGGCTAAAGAAGAGAAAGAGGGTTAGTGCATCGCTTCCGTGCAATGAAGTTCGGTTGCCAGTTGCTTCTCCTTCTCTTGCTCTTGTCCCTCCCTCTCTTGACTCTTGTTCTCATCCCATCCCACAACCCGGATGCCTTCCGGCCCAGTCTCCGTCTGCTTGGCCTCCATGTCGGTTGCCACTCCCTCGGTATCTCTCGCCTTGGCCTCTCCGCCTCTCTCTGAGGCGGTTGAGGGTTGTGACGTGGACCAAGGCCCGATCCGTCTGGAGCCGTCGCCCTTGGGATCTCGCCTCCCAACCCACTTTCGATGGCTCTGCACTCCTCTGCACTACGTCGACTCCGTCCATTGCAGAGCAGAAGTCCCCATGCGGCGTTCCGTGCCATGCCCGTCTCGTCGGCGGAAAAGTGGGCGCGCCCCTCGGTAGAAAAAACCACACTGATGGCCATGCCACATCCGGGCCCCTCCATCTGATGCCAAGTCTGCCCCCGAAGCAGAGAACCGTATATCTTGCGCGTGCACGTACGTATTCCGCCTGGTGAACAATAGGTCTGGGCATCGTCTACGCATCGCATCACGGCCCTAGTATCCACACGCCCTCGTCGCCCTCGTCTCCCTCGTCTTACTGCGTACCCTCCTCCCACTCCCACTCCCACTCCCACTAGGTTGCCATCCATCCATCACACCCCCTCCAAGTCTCCAAGTCTCCAACCCTCCCTCCCCATTCCTTGCCTGACTATAACCTTACCTTGGACGGCATCTGGGCTGACCTGCGCCTTGGCCGTGTCCGAGAGTCGCACACTTTGTTCGTCAACTCGTCCGTCGCATCGCTTGACACACAGACTTGACAGCAAGCCAGCCCTTCATCAATTTTTTTCCACACACACACACGTACACACACATACATACACACACTCACGCATCGCACCGCACCGCACCGCACCGCTCACACAAAGGGGTTCCCCGTTTCCCTCCCGTCGTTCACGTCCGTCGCATCTCCCACATCTCCACATTTGGCCGCGATCTAATCTCCTCGGCCCTCTCAGCCTTTTGGCCCAACTGCCGCGTTCGACTGTAACGTGCCTGCTGCACCTGCTTGCATCTCGTTTCTTTTTCTGTTCTCTCAGGTCTCAGCTGGCGCCACTCCCGCTTGCTGCGAGACAGCTTTCTTGCTCGATTACCTCCTACCCCGTCTACTCTCCTACACCGGGGTCACCGTACTCGGTCTCGCCAATCTCTGACCGACTGATAAACTGCCCACCGACTCACGGCCCGTCGCATTCGTTGCTTCCCGCCACCCCTGTCTGCATCTGCAGTTTGCTTGCGAGGGCGTCTGAGCCGTTCGCTGCTTCCCTCCAATCACTTCAACCACTTTAACCACTCCAAAGCCCGGAACCGCTCCTTCCTCCAGCTCTCGCCTATCGCGCCATCAACGCCTCGCGCTCTCGCTCTCTCGCCCGTGCACCTACGATTCGCGACTCGCGACCCCCCGACCCCAGTCAACCCAGACAAAACAACTTTCTTATCGACCTTCCTGCCTTGGTTTTTGGTGGCGTAGATCGTCATCCTGCAGAGTGCCAAACGTTATAGGAGTTCCAGTGCGAGCTACCAACTTCAGCCCCGCCGCAGTCAGACATACATATCTATCCGACTTGGGGTTGCCTGGCAGCTTCAACTTTTCCTGGGTATTGGCCTATCTTTCTTCCTTGCGCAGCAGCCTACCACCCAGCATCGCATATTTGCATTCTTCTTTTTTCGAAACCCGACGGTCGTGACCAGAAGAAGCAAGCAAGCAATACGCCACTGGCGGCTCGTTTCTTCCTCCCACCTCCCACTCCCACTCCCACCGAAACAGACATGGCGACGACGGCCTCGCTTGTCCTGCTCCCAACCGTCCACCGTTCCAATTCCGACGACGTTTCGCCCAAGGCATCCGTGCCGCGCGGCTCCAAGGATGAATATTTCCCCGCCGATATAACCACCGTCGATGGCTCCGGGACCAGCGTGAGGGCCAGTGAAGGCGACGAATCGTCAGCACGCAAGTCTAGCATCTCTTACGCCGCCGACCCAGCGACCGCCCACAGCTCCAGCATCGGTAGCACCGACGACGACGCGTCTACCAAAGTGAATGAGGTCATGGCGCGGAAGGCGTCAATTAGCAGTGTGACCTTTCGCCGACCGCGCAATCCTTCGCTGCCACAGGGCAACCCTCAACACACCACCGGTTCACGCATCAGGGCGAGCTCGCCACCTCACCAAAGGTAAGCAAACAACTGTTCCTCTTGTCTGGTCTTGTTCCGAAATTTTTCTTTGTCTCGCCCTATGTCTCTCCCTTTCTGTCTATTGCCTTTTTCGTCTGTCGTTCCTGTTTCAGCCCCCCACCATATCCGTCCCCAAAGTCCGGTCAAGTCGATCTTCTGCTTCGCTGGGGTTGTCTATTGGACGTTGTTCCTGGGCATCCAATCACTCAAACCGTGGCTTGAACACTTGAAAAAGCCAATACCCGATGAAGAATGTCATTCGGCTTATATTGGCTGGTTGCACGTGCCTACCTAACAGTCGTCTCGGATCCCATATGCCGACCTCTCGACGATCTCTCTCGCACTGGCAGGGTCGAATGGTGTCACTCATTTCGTCTGAATCACCGTCTCGGCCAGTCGTACCCCGGATCGGTCAAGGTCTCGGGTGGACCGGCATTCTTCGCCGTTTAATGCGCTGCCATGGGATGTTGCTGCGCAGTGGGGTGTTGTACGATGCAGGGACGTCAAAGTCAATTGATTCGGCGTACTGGCCGAGGTCCAGCAAGTCGGCTTCGGTGTCACCGGATTATTGACGGACAATCCCTCGACATAAGCGTGGACGGTCATGGATGGCCTGGGATGGTCAGCCGACCCCAAACATAATCGATTCAAATCTAGGTGGACCTAGATTAGGGGCCTCGCCCATTTCGCTGGTTCTAGCCTTTGGTCCCCACCACGACTACCTCCATTACCCCGCTGTTCTCGAATCTTGGGCATGGGAATGTCCGAAAGTCTCGTCGGCAAGTCCATGCAATAAGCTAGTCGCTTCGCTTGGGTCAGGCCATCCATCACATCCACTGTGACCGTGCTGTGTGGCTCTTCTAGCCGCAAATTCCCGCAGAGCGCTGACTCCTCTTTGTCGTCACCATTTTCCTCTTCCTGATCTATCTGATTACTCTTGTTCTACTACTCTTCCTGGGCTGCTTTTCTTCACCCGCACTCAACTCTTATCGTCCCGTGCACACGCACCGTGGCAACTGTACAACGATGGCGACGCTAACCGAGACCGCGCCCAATAGGTTCCAACGTCATATCGCCTTCGACAACGTCCCCGCAGGCGAGCCCACTAAGAATAATGCCATCTCCTTGACTCTCAATGTCCGACACAAGGGCTACCAACCACGCCGAAGGTCGCGCACCTTCATGGTTGGCGTCGACGAACATGCCTATTCCGACTACGCCCTACAGTGGCTTCTCGAAGAGCTTGTTGATGATGGCGACGAGATCGTGTGCGTCCGAGTAATCGAGAAGGAAATTCGCTTCTCCGATAAACAATACCAAGAGGATGCTCAATCTGTCATGCACGGCATCCTGGAGCGCAACGGCTCTAACCGCGCTGTTAGCATTGTCCTCGAATATGCTGTTGGTAAACTTCACGCCACATTCCAAAAATTGGTTGGTATTCCCGTTCCATCTTCAGACTCAGGGAGAGAGTTCTAACCACCCACAGATCCAAATGTACCAGCCCGCGATGCTCATCGTCGGAACCAGAGGTCGCTCTCTCGGAGGTCTTCAGGGCCTGGTCAACACCCGCAACTCCTTCTCCAAGTATTGCCTCCAGTACTCTCCTGTACCAGTTGTCGTAGTCCGACCGACAGAGAAGCGCATGAAGAAGAAGACGAAGCGAGCCAATGACTCGACTCGGCAGACATATATCAGCATGTTGGCCGCGACCCATGGTAAGCACGAGGCCGACAGCGAAGCCAGCAGCACATATGAGCTTGAGATCCACAACTCCCCTGACGAGGAGGCACACCAAGTTGCACGCGTTCTTGGCCTTCCTGCCGCCTTTGACCCTACGATCAAGCCTATCAGCCCTGGTCTACGACCCTTTATTCGATCTCCCGGACCTGCTAGCATTAATGAGGCCCCGGAGGAACAACCTGTCCTCAAGGACAATATTGCGGTTCCGGAGAGTGACGATGATGACGATGACGACTCTGCCGAATTCGATGTGATGACTGGCCAGCAAGCGCTGGATAAGCAGAAACTGGAACAGTTGCACAAGATGGAGGTTGGCGAAGCGGCTGCTTTTAAGATGAAGGTCGAGGACGAAGAGGATGACGAGGACGAAGGCTCTTTGGAGCATAAAGCCACATCATAGAAGATGAAGGCTGGCCAAAGCACCAAAAGCATCACGAACATCCGAAGCACGAACAAGCGCGAACTCTCTGCTCTCCTTGATAGAGAGAGATCTGAGGAGCAAAGTCTACCACTACCAACCAGGCTCAATCATGAACAGACTCATGACATTGTGGAGCCCTCGAGCAGTGGCAAGGAGATCATGGCGGAGCATGATAGAATCAAGTTGGAGCCAGTGCCGGGGGTCGACAATCACCACTCAAAGAATCGCGAAATATAGGACAAGAGTGAGGGATTCGAGTTGGAGCTGCTTTATCCGCCTCTGGTTAGAGAGTATAATTTTGACGGAGAAGCACTTGACACGACGCGAGTGGAGGAAGAAGACACCAAGGCGCAAGAAGACATGGCGGGTGCTGGGAAGCCAACAACAGACGTGGAGGCTCAACTCGTCTCTCGCACCGACGGAGAAAATGTCCCCTTGAAGGAGGAGGCTAGCACGAGGCGAAATACTGTTTCTAAGAGGCAACAGCCGTCCAGCTTGGCTTGTTCTCAAAGCAGCACGATGATCCGTGGCCGAGGCATATCCGAAAACGTCCAAGAGGCGCATCCTGACTATGCTGCTCATGCCAGGAAAGTGAACCGACGGCTCTTTGGTCTACTGAGGAAAGACGTACGGCGTCGGGTAGAAGAGGAGAACGCAGCCCATCATCAGGGCGACCTTGTGCGACACGGCGTCTCAGTCAGAGATTTTGCTCCGTCTGCTGGTGACGCAGCCGAGGATCAGGGAGATGATGAATCCAGGATGCCAGGCAGCGAAGGGCTAGCAGAAGGTGTGGAACAGAGGGACGGCATTGATGAGGAAGCTGTCGAAGCCCCTGAGAAGCCGTAGGCATGGTTGGCAGGGTGCTGTGGTTGTTGGGGCTCTAGACGGATTGAGGACTGAAACATGTCCAAAGCCTCACGGCACCATGGAATGGCGGAGGTTCGCACAGGCTGTCTAAGCTGGCATATGTACATTAGCGTGTCAAGTAAAAAACGACACTCGACTACCTTCAGCGATTGATTACCATGGATTTATGCTAATTGCTCTAAATGTGATTGGCAGTACGTATGCATCCATATTGATGTCATGTAAGGGAACGACATTGGAACAGAAGATTGTAGATTTTGCAATTTAAGAGTGAATGACAATCAGCTGACGATGAGACAAGAGTCCATTACAACGCATACAGCAAAGCGTAGGGGAATAGTCGGCAGCGCCATGGAGTGACATTTCTTTTGAGTGACTATGATCAGTCCGGCGCGACCCGTGACAGTGACTGTTTCGCTCCCACGTTGTGTCGCGGGGCACGGCGTCTGATGGAGTGGGTGCGCATTCACAGCCCCTCGGTCCCCGCTCCTGCCGTGGACGAGGCCATGTGCTCTCACTAAAAGTGAAACGCGGTGCGGGCATCCAGCGGCCAATTACAGGGCCTGGATCCCTTGGGGGTCAGCGGATTGCGCTGGGCCGAAACGTTTTGCTCGACGCGGCAGGGACGAGTCGGCGCATGGACTGCCCTGACGTCGTCTGCAAGGGGCTTCAGGGCTCAAGGGTTCAAGGGGTCCAGGGCTCAAGGGTTGCGAGGGCTGTCAAAGTCAAGTGGCGGTTGTGGGAATTTCACTGCACCAAATGCACGTTCTGAAGGTATGTGACTAGGGGCTAGTGCAAGCCGAGCACGGGCACTCCGCTTAGTGACGATGGGGGGCAGGAACGAGAAGGAACGGAACGCAAGGGCAGGAGGCCCAGAACCACGGGCGATGCCTGCGCAACCCAACACGTCAGCCTCAATCTTCAATCTTTCAAACTTGCGTAAAACAACTTGCGAAAACCACCAGCCATAGAAGCGCACTCACCATCTCGACAGCTGCGACATAATCCCGGATGCATCTCGGTTTTGACTCTGACGACGGATTGTACTGGGGCATCCCGCGACGACGAAGCGAACAGGGTCGGATTTCAACTGCGACCGTGACAGAGCCGTTTCGCTTCCACTGGTGACGTCGTTGATCACTGCTCGCGCGCGTGGCAACGCGGGACCACGCCTGGCTTTCGGAGTTGCCTCGGTTTATGAGGGTTAATGATAGCGACTGCAATAGCGACTCGATACCAACGAATTCGAATTCGATAGACGATCAAGACGATAGACGAGAGGAAAGCGACGGGGTCGAGAATCCACCACGATCGACGACGATAAAGTCCAAGGACGGACGGCGGGAACCCAAGTCGACAATACATCATCATAACCTCGATAAGACTCGACCTGTATAAATGTGGCCCTTCACGAGATGCGGCGCAGACGCCTGTGCGGCCGTCAATCCGCGCGCCATCACCACCTCCGTCATCATCTCCGCCCTCCCTTTCTTCGTTATCTTCGCCACTGTCACCATCCTCGTCGTCCGCCATATCTTCCCCCGCCTCAACCGCGCCGCCGAGGCCCGCGACGGCGAAGACCATGTGCTGCCATCACACGCACCGCCGGCCTTGCGCGCGGCCCATGCCGAGCACGGCTCCAAGAGCTGGCAGCGCCGCGGCGCAGCGTGGACGTTTGGAGTGACGGTTGGATTGGCGGCGACACTGGGCGCGTTGATCATGGACGAGATTATGGAGCTGGCGAACCCGACGTCGAGAAACCTGGCCCTCAGGATCACGGTTCCGGCACTGCTGTTCGTACTGGTCGTGCTCGTGCCCTGGCTCGAGTGCCGCTCAATGGTCACCAGCGCTGGGTGGAGTTTCCAGCGGACAGCCAAGGGCAGGTTCCCCCGGGTTGCGTGGGGAATGCACTTTGCGCTCTTCGCGGGATGGCTCTTCGCCTTCTGGTCCGTGGGCCAGGCCGTACCTAAACACGCCATGAGGATCATGCCCGATGAAACTGGCTTCTCTGAGTGGCTGACCCGGGGCTGCCTCGAGCGCATCGGCGTCGTAGGCATCACGCTCATGGCGCTGCTCTCAGGATTCGCTGCTGTATCGTCCCCGTGGCACACCTTTGCCGATGCTTCGGTGCGGCGCAAGCGACCCGTCACTGAAGCCGACATCAACCGGAAACAAGCAGGGTTGGACGCTACCAACGAGATGCTTTTGACGAAGCGCCATCGATTACAGCATCTCGAGCGCAAGGCAGCCGATAGGCAAGGCGTAGCGTCGGCCAAGGGCAGCGGGCTAGTTGGCAAGGTAATGGGCTCTCTACGAGGCGGCTCTGCGGAGGAGGCCGAGATGAAGGGATTGCGGATTGAGATCGCGGGACTGGAAACCATGGAGGCGAACCTGGCGTCTGGCCTGTCCCTCTTGAAGAGCCATCGTGCTGCCTCTGCCCGCGCTGGCACAATCGTGGGACGCCTCGTCTTCGTGCCGTCATATCTCTTTAGCTTCTACTGTCTCTACCGCATCGTGGCGACGTCCCTTACAACTTTACGACGAGCATCTTCGCCCTCGACGAGCTTCGCCAGCAGCGACCCCATCAACCGGTTCCTCTCCCTGCTCGCTCGCCACTGGGACCCGAAGCTGGACCAACTCGCCTGGGCGCGCCTCATCAGCTTCGCCCTCAGCGGCGTCATCTTGCTCGCGAGCGCCAACAGCGTCGTCCAGACGTTTCATCTCTTTGCCAAGTGGACGCCGGGTCTTCTCCGCCAGGCGCAAGCAAACCTGGCGCTCGTCGTTGGCCAGATCGCCGCCACGTACGTCATCTCCTCGTCGCTGCTGCTGCGTAGCCAACTGCCCACGGCACTGGGCTCGGCGGTCGGGAGCGTACTCCGCGGCGCGCTGAGTCCCGGGTTCGTGGACGGGTGGTTTGAGGGCTGGTTCCTGCTGGGCAGTCTGGGGACCGCAATAGGCATCTGGGTTGGGCGGAAGCTGGGTGGAGACGAGGAGTGGGACGACTTTGGGATGGAAGAGATGGGGGCCAAGCGGTCCTAGGATCCGAGTCCTTTGTGAAGCAGTGAAGCAAGCGACACTGAGCGGAATGCTGAGGTGTACGAATACTTGCAGAAATGGTGCCTACGGCTTTGGCGTTTAGGGGGAGCACGGGGAACGGAAGGCGGATCCTGCCAGTTGGGAAAGCATGTACCCCGGCTTTGGGTGAAGGAGCATATAATGAACTGAATACCAATTTTTCTGATTCTTAACTGGTGCTCTCTCACTCGCTGCAAGCCGTGATTGGGAGCTGAGGTGACAGTATATGGTTGGTGGGTGGTCGGTCTCTCCAAAGTCAGGCTGGACACAGAGCACCGCGACTCCGTCTAGCGGTGTGCCCGGTATCTCGCCGTTAAATGCCAACTTGGAGCAATTCGGGCCCCAATCAAGCTGCCCCCCGGCCGGTTCGACCCGGCAGCGACAAGACTCAAGATTGCGTGGGGCTATGCGGCTCTGCACTGGAGGATCGAAGTTGCGCGGCGGTTCTTCCTCGAGGACGACGAGAGCGGCGGGCACGGGAAACGGATCCAGTGGTTTCGAGTTGGGGTCGAGGGTCTTGAGGATATGTTGGGTCAATATGACGGTCGACACGTTCCCTTCTACTCCCCTCATGGTTCTTTTGGCTACTTCTGGGGCTGTGATTTCTACCATCCTGGCCCGGCATGTCTGCCTCGCCTGTTTGACTTACAGCCCATGACATATCCAGTGAGTTTCCCTAATAATCTTGAGTTATTGAATCGTCCACTTATACACTTTGTCTACCAGCGTGAGTTTGTGCGATGGTCGTGGTAGGGTATCCATCCCTTTTTTTAGATTTTGAATACTGAATGATTGAATGTTGTTTTGTTACTCCGATTGTAACTAGGTTACCCATGTTTTTTTGGTAATCCTTTTGGTATATGAGACTTCTTTTATACACCATACGGGGTTTCTTTCATTTGGGTACTCTTTGCCTTTTTATTAGAAATACAATATTTATCGAAATGCTATTTCGAGATGTCCCAGCTAGTAGCAGGGGATCGAATTGGACGTGTGGCAGTTCCTCTGATGCCTGTCCTTCAGGCACCTGCATACCTACCATCTCACTGCATATGCACCAACCCCAAATCTTGGCTGGAAAAGATGCCGGCACATTGAAATAAGCTATCCGAGAATTCCAGCCTTGTTTTCCTAGACGCGTCCGGTTGTTCGGCAGAGCGTCTTTTAAAGGTGCCTGGCCAAATAGTGGAGTTGACTCAACGGCCAGGCTGACTCGGTAGGTGATGGGCAAGGCAGCAGAATAAGCCATGGCTCTCGGCCGCAGTGTCGATTTCGCTGCCTGAATGACTCCAGCTGCTTCCCTTACTGTCTCTGGTATATAAAGTCGATGGTTGTGCCGGCATTACTTGTGTGACTGTGTGGTTGGTATTCCCTCATTCGGCGGTATACATACGCTAGCTTCCTGCAACTCAACTCCCAACGTTGAGTGTCACGACAAGGCAGCTTCAACCACATCCACCACCAAAAACCAACTCCAAAACGGCCCAATCTCACCAATTACCCCCTAAAACAATGGTAGACCAACCCCCGACATCCTACACCGTCTCGCCCTCGCTGCAGGCGCACGCCTCAACGTCGCCTGGCGCCTTCCTTGCGGCCAACACGGACATCGACAACCTCATCGCCGGCGCGCTCGTCACCAACACGCAGGGCCGCATCCTGCTGCTGCGCCGCGCGCCGACGGACTCGTGGCCGCTCAAGTGGGAAGTGCCCGGCGGCTGCGTCGACGACACCGACGCCAGCTTCGTCGCTGCCGCTGTGCGCGAGCTGTGGGAGGAGTCGGGCCTGCGGGCTACTCATGTCAAGGCCGCCGTGCGGTTGCTCTCCGAGGCCGAGGCCGGTGCGCCGGAGCCGGGGCCGGAGCCGGCCGGCGATGGTGAAGTCGACATACACATGAAGGGCGACGTGTGCCTCTTCCGCGAAACCGGCAACGTCTGGGCCAAGCTCACGGCGTGGGTCGACGTCGAGACGTGCGAGGCCGTCGTGGTGCGCGCCGACGAGCACGCCGAGTGGGCGTGGATCACGCAGGAGGAGGCGCGGCTGCGCAAGTTTGCCGACGGCCGCGAGTTGGACTTTGTGAGCGAGGGCGTGCGGCGGACCGTGTTGGAAGGGTTCCGGCTGTGGGAAGAGGCTCAGTGATGGCTCCCGAGCCTGAGTGTTGGTTGGGATGCTTCAAAGTCCGCGTGTCAGTCGGGATGCTTCAGAGCCCACGTGTTAGTCAGGATGTTTCACAAGACAAGACGATAGACGACGGAAAAGATAAAAGTATAGAGTTGGTTGACGAAGTCTTCTCTCCGTGCCTCATTGAGCTGCCATCTGATCGTCTACGGAGCCATCGTCCATGAAACAATCTCCACAAGACAAAACCGACGCCATCCATCCTCGACGACCGACCAGACCAGCACTCCCCCCCGTCTACCATACCACAAGAGACCACGATAAAGACGTAAAGACCAAGACGTATTAATAAGGAAAAAAGCACAACACATTTCATTGATCCGTAAATCGCCTAGCATATAGAACCCCCTTACCCCGTTCCACTCCAGAAAAAAAGAAACCGAGTTGGGGTGGTTCGCTGCGCTAAGCTGGCCTGATCGTCATCAAAACATTGAAGAAAAAAGAATCCAGTCCCTCCTTTTCTTCCCGCATTTCATCAACATGAAAAGAAATCGTTTAAGAGAGAGCTGTCATCAACGCATGCCACGTTTCCATCCATCCAGTCATCCATCCATTCGCCGCCATTCTTTTAACTTTTGTGTCTCGAAACGCCGAGGGCTCATGCTCAAAAAGCGTCCACCATCTCCCTCCCGCCTCAAGAAAGTGAGGAAAGGGAGCACAGAAGCTTGTCGAGTCCAATTTGGAGGCGGGTCAGACGAGGAAATAAACATGCCCCAGATCGAAAGATGACCCAGGCATAGGAATTTGATTACCCCTGAGCCCTGAATTTCCACCGTATTGGGCACGGCGAGGCTAGCATGCGAATGCTAAACCAGGGCCGATGCTCACACGGCACCGTGCTCCGGTGATGCTCGTTGCTGGAGGGTTCGAGAAGACGGAGTTGTTTGTGAGAAGGGTAGCAGAGTCCAAGAGGTAATCGCGTTGTCCAAAGAGGGGAGTGAGGCCCGCACCATGGTACATCTTGCGACGGGCATTTCTAGTCGTGAAACCGGAAGGAAACGGGGCTATATGTACACATTTTTGAGTTAGGCCCGGCCCCCGCGGCCCTTCTTGTTGGGCACTGTGGTCCAGCCATCATCTTCCACTGCGGGAGTGGACGGCTCAGAGTCGGCGCCGGCGGAAGCGGCGGGCTGAGCGGACGATCCGTTGGCGCGGGTAAGTCGCGCGTCAGTCCGGGCGTCAGTTCGGGAGTCAGTCCGGGAGTCCATGCGAGAGCCGCGGGAAGCGCCGCCGCCTCGGCCACCTCGACCTCCACGTCCACGCTCGCTGCCGGCAGATCGCCAGCTGGAAGCCTCGGCAGCCCGTGACTTGACGTTGTCTCGGGGTTCGCGGGGCTCGCGGGGCTCACGGGTTCGGATGGGAACCTTCTGCTCTCCGTTGGCCTTCTCGGCAGACTCGACCTTCTCCGCAGTCTCAGCCTTCTCGGCAGACTCAGCAGCTGCAGCAGCGGCCTCCTCTGCTTGCTTAGCAGCCTCAGCGTCCGCCTCAGCCTGGGCCTCTGCGGCAGCGGCAGCCTCGGCTTCAGCCTTAACAGCGGCCTCCTTCGCAATGCGTCGCTCCTCCTTGGCCTTCTCATCAGCCTCCTTCTTCTCCTGCACAGCCTGTAGTCTCTTCTCCTCAATCAACTTCTCCTTTGCAGCAGTATCGATGGGACGGGCAGCACCGAAGGGGCTAGCCTTGGAGCTGGAGCCTGCGGAAGCAGAACCAGACTCGGCGGCCTCAGATACGGTTCGCTTCGCCAGGTTCAAGCGAGGTCGGCCACCTGGAGCGGGGGCGGCAGATGAAAGAGCAGGAGAAGGAGGAGCGCTGCCGTCGGGAGAAGTGGGCTTGGCAGACTCGGGGCGCATGCGATCTCGCCACTGCATATCCTTCTCAGCGGCGGTAACAGTTCGCTCCGCGCGTTCGGGATAATCTCGGCGAGGGGGGCGTGAACCCTCCTCTCGCGGCTCGCCCCAAGCAGGGGGAGCATCACGGCGACCTCCTCGGTGGGACTCGCTTCGCTCACCCATACCTCCAGGGGCGGGACGGCTGCCATCTCGGGATCCGGAGCTTTCCTCCTTGGCCACAGGAGACAAAGGTCCACGTCGCTCCCAAGTCAACTCACGAGTGGGACGGGCCTCGAAACCAGAATCACGATCGCGCGGGGGGCCACGCTCGCCAAACTCGGGGCGGCTACGATCGCCACCGAACTCGGGACGGCTGCGCTCGCCATAGTCGGAACGCCTGGAAGGGTCAGGGCCGCTGAGAGGACCCTTGCGAGTCCAGTCACCCATCTCTCGGATGGAATCGCCCCTGCCGCTGTCACCGCCGCGAGCTAAGGGATGTCAGTCAATGTCAACAGCTATGGGGTAGAGTGTAGCTTACGGGGATCGGCAACCTTGATCCTGACAGTTCGACCCTGGAACGACTCTCCATCAAGGGTCAGGGCCTTCTCCAAGCCCGCGACAGTGGCAAACTCAACGTAGCCAAAGCCCTTGGGGCGCATGGTCTCACGGTCCTCGATCAGGCGGACGCTGGCGACCTCACATCCTTCGAAGAACTCGTTGACGGCCTCGTTGGTGATATCATAGGCTAGGTTACCCAGATGGGCGGTATAGGGAGGCTGGGTGGGGATTCTCTGGGGAGAGCGCTCGCGGACCGAGTATCCTGAGCAAGTCAGCGTCGGTGAGCAGACTCGGAATATAGGTGTGACATACCCCGATCTTGCCAGGCAGAGGCGGAGCCGGAGGTATAGCGACCTCGGTCGCCGGAGGGAAGGGGCTGAGTGCCTAGGAGAATATGGTCAGTTCACCGAAAGATTCGTGGCGAGGGGTCAAAAATGGCGCCTACCGGTGACTGTGAGGGAGTTAGCAGAGAGACAAGACGGAGGAGACAGCGACAGCAACAGCGACAGCGACAGTATGGCTCGGAAGGAGACGACGTACCGTAAGTTTCCTCAACCTCATCGGCCCAAGAGCCTCCACCAAATCCTGTGAGGGGAGTCAGTATGTGGTGGTGATCGGTGGGGTGGCACGGTGATGTGTGTGCGTGCGGCGGGGCGCGGGCAGCGATGCGACATGGACGAGGGGCAACGAACCTGCTCCTGCTCCATCAGACAGAAAGTCCCCGAGGGACATCTTCTGCTGTTCCTTCTTTTTGGGAGCTGCGGGCGAGGGGTCGTCAGTAGCTATCTCAGCAGCAGGGAGCGGAGGGACTCACCCATGATTGCGGCTTAAGCGGACACGCGCAGCGATTCGACGACCGATGCGCGTAGACTGCAGAGGGAAAGCCGACCCGGGGTTGGCTGTCCTCGCGGCGGGAGTTGGGCGCGGGGGACGTGGGAGTCGAGGACGGAGTCGGAGGCGAAGGCGGGAGTCGGCCAGTCCGGTAAAGGGCGGTATGGCAGCGCTTGCGGAGGGCGGAGACGGTCGTGAGATGTGTTGGCCCCGACGAATGTTGCCGTGTCTGGGGGTTGACGAGTCGAAATTTGCTCGGCGTAGGGAAAAAATGATGATGGAGGCGCCTGTGAGGGTTGCCTTAATTTTGCCCGGCCAGGAGTGGGAGGCGCTAGCCCTAAAGAGCGTTAGTTTCACCGGCCGGTCCCCTTTCTCGCTTGCAGGTTTTCCCTCCGCGACCAGGAAGGAGCAGCAGCCTTGGGTTTGGGCACCCGCTCATGTCACGGGTTTTTGACAGCATTTCATTCGTTCTCTGTCTTCTCCATTCAGCTCGTACCGTCTTTTTCATATTTGATATCTTCCGCAACGACCACCGTAGCAAGAGCAGTCGTCTCCCAAGCCATGTAATTGTATTGTATCAAACCCCATTTTTGTAATTATACCAGCCTTGCGTCTTTTTCCCCCAACGCTCCTCCTCGATTCTCGATCCGCTTAACCCCGCCTCACCATCTCCTCTCCTCGCCTCTCATCCTCACCACAGAGCCGCATCATCACCATGGCCGATAGCAGCAGTCGAGATCCCCGATCGGCCCCCGTTAGCCGCCGCAATTCGCCTCGTGGAATCTTTGCCCCCGAGATTGTCGACCTTTTCCTCCCTCCTCTCAAAGTAGGCGGCTGGTCTGGTACGTCTCATTCTCACGATTAACCAAGCAAGAACAGTATCCTCACCTACGCTCTCAGGAACTGCCGGTGTGTTAGCTGGTGTCGGAGGCTCTATCTTTAAAGAAGGCAACCCCGTAATCTGGGGTGCAGTTTCCGGGTTTCAGTGGTTCACTCTTGGAACCAGCTTCTGGTGTAAGTTGTCGTATTATGTGCTTTTTTTTCATGGCCCTAACTCACAATTCTCAAGTCACAAGGAGCATCATGATTCAAGCATGGGGTGGTGAAAAACAGGTCACGCCCTCTGAAAAAACCAAGGCCAGCGCGATTGCTGGTACAGTGGCTGGCGCAGTGGGAGGCTTAATTCGTACGGTTGACCCCCTCATGGAAGATTTGACATTTTATTCACACTTTGCAGGCGGGCCATCGAACATCCTCCCGGCCGTAGTTTGCTGGACAGCTTTTGGTGCCGGAGGGCAGATGATTGTGAATCGCATGGCGACGCGCGAGCCCAAAGTCAAAGACGAGAACGACAGCTGGTTCCGATCTAAATGGAGCCCTCTCAAGAAACTTACAGACGCAGAATACATCGACTTGATGGAGGAGAAAATTTTGAGGGTAGACGCCGACATTGCGCTTGTTGATGATCGCATTGCTGATCTAAGGATTGCGGAGAAGAAAGCCCAGGAGCAGACATGACCAGATACCCCGTCTTCCTGATAGACAAAAATACTTACCATGCAAAGCACGCGGGGAACTTATCGTCCTGTTTTCCCCCGGAGATCCATATCAACGGTAAAAATCGAGGGGGGAGATCCTTGACGTCTCATTGGTGACTGTTGGGTATGTAAAAAAGCGGCTGCAGTGGCTCTGTCCAAATGCCATGTGCCACGCATCGGCACATGAAGTACGCACTGGACTCCCGGATGATTACTAGTAGCTGCGTATCATTTCAACCCCGCCCTTCCAGGATTGCACGGAGCCTCACCAACAAACCTCCGTTCCCCAACAACTTCAACCTCTAGCCAATCAGTACGGCAGAATGCATCCCCGGACACCGAAACATAAAGGGTGACATGGCATCGCATGACATAGTAATGATGAGTGAAGATGATTGGCAAATGTCAGGAGCGTACGCCATGATACGCCACTGTAAGAGGATACGCCCAGGAAGCAACCTCTGAAGGAAACAAGGATGAGACATTTTGCATGGGACGCGATTTGCATGTCAGAGGGAGCTATCGATAGATTGGGCCCACCATGGACGTGGTGTGGCTTGCAAACGGTGTCTCTAGCCTTGTCATCAATAGTCAGCGAGCCAAGGGCGCATGGTTCGGCTTGTTACCAGAGCAGAGGGATGGCACGGTCACAGACGCGTTTTAGTTCCGTAGTCGATCTCCCGCCAGGACTCCCCAACCTTGGCGAGAGGGGAGACGCTAAGAAAATGCACAGAGATCAGTGGGCGAAAATCATGTGCCAGATGTCCGTAAACAGGGAAAGATAAGTAGGCGGCAGGAATGGTTTACTGATAAATGGTGTGGGTGGTGTAGATGTTCGGACAGTCGCCGAGGGTTGCAGCGGCAGAACGGCCGAGACACTTCTCTGTACTTGTCCAGACGTGCAGGGTAGAGTTAGAGCGAAACTACTGTACTTCGTCCAGTGCCACCAACAAACGAACAAATAACGGTGTGTGCTTCACCTTCCCCGCACCGAAGTCGAGGATGAGTGACTGTGCCACTAATGACGAATTTGTGGTTAATGCAGAGAGATGTGCCCCGAGAAGATAGTATTGGTGGTTTCCTTGTAGATGATGGCAGCGGGCGCCATTGGAAAGTGACCTGACGTGAGAGTTTCGTAGGACACGACCCGCCAGAAGCACCAGGCCAAAGGGAAACGCTAGATTGAGCGTAACGCTTGATCCGCCAAGACGCTCAGTGCTGACTGCAGACCGCCCGTGTGTAACTTTTGGTGTTGATGAGTGATCGACGCCGTGTGTACTCGCACAACCGTCCGTAGTATTTATTTCGATATTGGCTAGAAGCCAACTTGGCTGAAGGTAGGCACCTGGAATACGAAAATCTCTTGGCTGTCTCGGTCGAGCATCCGGCCGAGATGACAGAGATTAATACCAGTGTGCTGAAGAATGGATCCCGGCGCATCAAATGGCTTGTACAAAGCAACGACACATGAGCATTTCGGGAAATGGTACAGAGTACGTACCACAGGAAACGCAGCTCCTGGAAAAATACCTGGAAAATGTGGAAATGGTGGTGTGGGATGGCCCGTGCCCTTCCCAAGCGATACCAGACGGGAGGCGCCAGTGCTGCAGTACGTACCCCTCGTTCGCTGGGGACCTCCCTGCCACTGCCACAACTGGCAACAGCTCGCTGGGAGTCGGCGGACTTGGGGCTACTTACAGGGAGCATCAGAACCTATTACAGCCCCCTTAGGTACGCGGATTACGAGGTAGCGCTCTATGGCAGCCCTCTAGCCAATGAGACTGGCCAACTGACAGGGGCTGACCCCAGCGAACGCAACCCACCCACCAGAGATACCTTAGTAGGTACGTACCTTCTGTACCCAGCGACAATGGCTGGTAGATGGCTTACTCCATCCATCACTAAACTTCCCGGGCCATTTCCATCTTCTCCAACTCGACGTATCTTTTGTCGCAGGCCCCTCGACGCCCCTTCAACTCTCCCTCCTCCTCTTCCGCCGCCTCGCAGCTCTCCCCCGCCGTCGTTGTCCACTGCGATCCTGGCCTTGCGCGCCCCAGCTCCGAGCTATCTCGTCGCCCCTTTTCCTCCACCGCGACCGGCGCCCTTGACGTCACGATTCCTAGCCGTCCTGAGCTTCGACTTATCTGGCTCCAACCCGCCGCCAATCCTGACTCGTCACCCCTTGAGCTCGACTCCACGCCGAACCTTCCGAGCCTCAAACACCACGGCATTCGAGCATCGCCACACTCCAGTCGCATCCATTGCGTCGTTTGCGCGGGAGCTGCCCCTCGGTTGTCCAGGAGGTCGAGCGACGGAAGTTGTGGGACGCACCGGAAGCTCGGCATCGCACAACCATTCGCATATCCGGACCCGCGGCGATGGCGTAGCCCCCCTTCATGACGACTTGAGTGAAAGGGAGGGCTTCGTACCTCTTCTGTTAGGAAGACATGTAAGTCGAGGATACCACGCCACCTTGTTTACACCGCCCTTGTACTAATGTTGTGTGTTCATTGCGCAGTCAACCCAGCAGCGAGCCTTGCGAGAGCCTGTACATCATGGCTCTCCTCAATCCGACCTTCGTGTTCGGTCTAATCGTGCTGCTCTATTTGTCGTCCTTCGTCCTCCTTGCGGTCCTTCGAATTCTCACGGGAATATCCATCCAGCGAATCGGCTACTTCTCCCTGCGACGCCTGGCATACACCCCTCGAGATGGATGCAGGATTGAGATTCGAGGGCTCGGACTCAACGTCCATCGCCCGACATTCGCCCAGCCGACATGGGTGAGCCTGGTCCTGAGTGAGCTCATCGTCACACTGGACATCCGAGAGCTGGAAGGAAACAAGCCTGCCGAATCAGATGGCGAATCGAGCGATACGGATACGGACAAGAATAAGACAGGCGACGCCAAATCTAATCCTATACCCCGATCACGATCCTCCCGACAGGGCGCGCACACAATCATTCGAAGCGAGACATGGAAGAAGCTTACCAACGTCAAGGAGAAGATCAAAAGGCTCCACAAGAACATCAACTGGCTCAGGCTAATCGATGTGGTCGCTACCAACTCCATTATCAATATTGTGGATGTCGGCAACATCCAGGTTGGAAGCTTCACGGTGTCCGTCGACACCCGGCCCAAGATGGTCGATCGTGCGCGGTTCTTTGTCCAAGGAAAGCATTCACCAAGCAAGGATCGACAGGCCGAGTGGACAATGACCGTGCGGAGTGTCCTGTTCACGGCCGATGGAAACGAATCGATGGAATTGCTGGACCACCTATTCCTTAACATCCACGGATTCTTGTACAAGTCAAGGGAAGGATTGCGAGATGCCGCAGTATCTTTGAAGCTTGGGCGACTTCACATCCCCCTTGACGACATGCAAACCTGCCTCACCAAACTGAAACAATGTCGCAAGGACCCGAAGTCTACGGGCGTGGATGAACCCATTGACATTTTCCTAGGAAAAGTGGTACAAGAGGTGGATGAACCAGGTAGCACGAATGCGGACTTGATGAGGACTGTGTCCGATTCCAAGGAGTTCTTCAGCTCCATCTTGCGAGGCATAAAGGAAGTTCAATTGGCAGTCAGTTTCCTAGGCCTGACGTCCAAGGTCCAGCCTGTCAAAGCTGGAGCCAATCCCATATTGCTGAATGCTGCAATGAAAGAGGTCGGTATTGATCTTCACCGACTTGATCCCAAGTCCCCTGCCCACAGGATGTACTTCCCCCCCGAGGCAATTGCGCACGAGGCGTTGGGCGCCGCTCTCTCAATTTCCGTTGGCCTAGATGACGGCAACGGTCAGTCTGATCGTCTCATTTATATCCCGATGGCCACGACAACGGTCAAGACAACACTGCTGTCCAAAACTGTGGAGGTCTTGCAAGGCGGCAAGGCCGAAGAGAGGAACGCAAACATCATGTTTGCCAACTCTGTCGTCACCTCGCCCTCAGTCGACCTCGACCCCCGCCACATCCCCCTCCTCCTTGCTCTCATGAAGTCGAAACCAAAAGCTCAAAAAGCACAAACCAACAACCGCCATTTAATCTCACGCCTCCTACCCAAGGCAAACATCAAGTTCTCCATGCATGAGCCAGTCGTGCGCATCAAACTCAAGCCATTGCAGAAGACGGAGGACCCAGACGACTTTGACCTCATCATCTCATCTATTTCATCAATTTCCATCGACATGGAATCCTCCCATTCTATCATTGAGGACCTTCACTACTCCCTGGATGGCGCAGTGCGCCTTCAATCTCATGATCTTTACTACCAAACTAATACGGGCGACCGATTTAATCTCATTACTACCGAGTCATTTGATATGAAAGTGCATCTTGGCGCAAGGCCCGATGTCTATGTCGAAATGACAGGAAACATCCAGTCCGCCGCTATCAGCATGGTCAGACCTGAAATCACAGATGGCCTCCGTCAAATTGTCCGAGAGTTACGATTCGACGTGGAACCGGAGAAGGGCCCGGCTGTTAAAGCCTCAAGGGGCCATAATTTCCTTCGCTCAGCGCCGAGCTGGCTTCTCCGCTACCAGATGGACATAACTGACTTCAGTGTCGAGATTGCCGGGATTGACGAAGACATTTCGGACGACACACGCGGAATATTCCTACACTGGGACCATGCATCTGCTGAGTACCGCGCTCATCGATTTGATGGTTTGCAGAGACGGGTGTCTCGAAGACGCGCCAATAGCCGATCCATGACGCAGTCTGACTCTGACTTCACGCCTCCGTCTGGCTCCCCCCGACCCAAAAAGAAGCCGCAAAACATTGGAGATGGTCGCCGACTTACCTTACACGCCCGAGGAATTGAGGCACAAATCATGGACGCTATTGACAGGCTGGAACCAGAGCCCTTCTTTAGCATCCCCCGTCTCGAGCTGTTGCTATCTGCGGCAAGCGATGCTCATGGGCCCACATTCAACATTCAAGTGACGGTGCGGACCATTCTTGCCCAGTACTCCCTATATCGACACTATGCTGTTGGAGTAGCTGTCATGACCCTGCGGAAGGCTTTTATGCAGACAGGACGTGACCTTTCACGACGCAGGCATGACAGCAACCCGAAGGACCTATCACCGCCTTCCAGTCGTCTAGCACCCCCAGGCTCTCCCCAAGATGACGGCGGTTCGCGGTCTACAAACACCCCAGAGATGGTTACTTTCGATTTCAAGGCGGCCCTGGTGCAGCTGAAGGCTGAGATGCCACACGACCCGGCCATGATGCTACACATGTATGGCCTGGAGATGGGTCGGCAGAGATGGTCTACTCCCTACATTGCGGCAAAACTTGTTCGACTATACACTGAACCCCCGCGAATGCGGAATGTCTGGGCTAGAGTAGTCAGCATCAAGACGGGCCGCCTTGATTTCCGCGAGTCTAGACGGAAGTCACCACAAGGCGCTGTCATCGAAGAGAAGATGATTGATATTGTGACGGAGGCTGTCCGAATTGGGATTCCGCACGAGGTCATCCTCAGTCGCATCAGTGACAACATCATCAACGTCATTAAGGCAGTCCAGCAGCTGCACCATCGCTTCAAGACAGGAACCAACGAATACATTCTCGAAAAGAAGCCTGAAGGCCCCAAGACGGTGCCAAAGGTTTCTGTCAGAACTCGGAATTTCCTCTTTGAGCTGGAAGACGGCGCCTTCGAGTGGAAACTCGGCATGATCTATCGAACCGGCCTTGTCGAGCAAGTGCAGCGAATTGCTCGAGAGGAGGCCTTCCGGGTCAAGCTGAAGAGAGTTCGCGAGGACGAGATCCGGAGAGGAAATAGCAAGATGCGATCACGATCGACTTTCCCACGAGGAAGAGCCGATGCGCCTTCTACGTCCTCAGTCCGCAGTCGAAGCCTGGATGGGATGAGCGGGACAAACGGCCACAATGGCACACACCGCGGAAGGGTTCCTAGATACGACCCTGAATCGGAGAACTTTGCGGTCAACGGATACTCCAAGGTTTCCGAGCACGCTGCTCGGTACCACTTGGATGTGTTCAATGGCCAGAGCTGGAAGAAGCGCATCGAAAAGGCTTACCAGTTGTGTCAGAAGAACGTCAAGGAGGCTCGAAGCCAGTTTTGGGGCCCCAGCCAACTTCCGGACGATTTCGAAGAAGCCGAGCATCTCCTCGAGGTCCCCCCACGACCGGCATTGATGTCTACACTAATAAATGATCTGCATTTTACCCTCGATAAACCAACTTTCCCGATGAAGGACCTCCCGGACTTTGTGCATAAGATCGGAAAGGGGATGCCTAGGGATATGCAGTATAGTCTGCTTGTGCCAATGCATGTTGGCATCGAGATGGGTGAAGCCAAGGTCACACTGCGCGACTACCCGTTGCCGTTCTTGCACATTCCTCCCATGAAGTACGGGCAGTCTCCGAAGCTTCAGTCTGTGTCACTGAAGTCGAACTTCGTCATTGGTGAAGAATTCCGAGGAGTTGAGTCGACTCGCCGAGTTCGGGTCAACGTCATCCCTCCTAGGAACGCATCGGGCGAGGGTAGCTTTGCAATCGAGGTCCGTCGTACAATCGGCCCTGTCAAATCATACTCCGATGTGTACATGGACGTCAACACTGCTCTGCCGACCCGCTTCACTTGGGGTCCCTGCTACCAGCCAGCTGTCCAGGATATGATGATGGTCATCGAATCCTTCACGAAGCCTCAATTCGATCCATCTGAGAGGGTTGGCTTCTGGGACAAGCTCCGACTCAACTTCCATTCCAAGATACACGCAGCTTGGAAGGGTGACGGCGACGTGCACCTTGCGCTAAAGGGCACTCGCGATCCATACCAGGTCACAGGAAATGGCGCAGGCTTCCTCATGTGTTGGCGCAATGATGTCAAGTGGAACGTCAACGCAGATGACGATCCGAAGCGATTCATCGCTGTTGAAAGTAGCGAGTATGTTCTTGCGATTCCGGACTACAGCCACGAAGTCCGGGAAGCAGCGCGACAGCAGAATGAGCTTGAGAGGCATACACCCGAAGACAAGTTCAAGTCCGAGGCCACGTTTAAGAAGGTCGTGATGAAACTTTCGGGTAAAGTCCAGTTCCTACTTGGTCTCATCTTTGAGCGTGCTATCGAGGATGGACTGCGCAGTTTCGAATTCAGACCTCACTACGATATTGTTCTCAAGAACCCGCACTTTGCGAAAGACGAAGATGGTCTTCCGTACGACGCCATGCGTGGTTTCAGGAGTCGACATATTCATTTGTCAATCGCAGTCCGGGCCCCAGTTGACCGTGACTGGTTATCCGAAAACCCAGAGCCATCACGGAGCTACAACACAGTCCATCTTACCCCTCGCTTCTTCACGCATTTCTTCGCTTGGTGGGGCCTCTTCGGCCAGCCTTTGTCACTACCCATTCGCCAAGGTACCCTCTTCCCAGGTCGTGAGAAGAACAGCAAGAAGTTTGGCCGACATCTGGCGACTGTCAAGTATAACCTTCTCCTGGCACCGCTGTTCCTGAGTCACATCTACAAACACAAGGACGTGGAGGACTACTCTGAGAATGCTGTTTCCGCCACTGGTGTCAAGGTCCGCTTTGACAGTTTCTCTTTGGATCTGCATCAAAGAAGAGAAGAATTCAACACGCTTGGAAAGGGCGGAAACACTGAAACGGCTCGAACCTCTGGGATCAAGATCCACGCGGCCCAGTTGGATCTAGTCAGCGCAGACATCCGTGCCGTGTCGGCAAGTTTGAAGGGAACGACTACGGAGGCCATCAAGAAGGGGTCCATCGCAACCTTGATGAGCGATACAGAAGATAAGCCAGATTTGTCCCGTTTCACGATCCCGGACAATGACTTTAGCTGGATTGATATGGATGACTTTGTCGAGTTGGATTGGATTCTGCCAACCGAACCGCATCCTGACACCAAGATCCTGCCTCTCGTCTACGCTCCTCGATTGACCTACTTCCGCCAAACTGACATTGGCGGTGTCATTGCTGGAGATCCAAGTAGAACGAGTCCATTTGGCAACGAACCCACACACTTTTGCATCCTGAACCATGACAACGACCCAATTCGAGTCCAAGGCCAACTTATCCAGGAGCGACTCGACCAACTTGGTGTCCAGATACAAACGCATGCTCGTAATGTGGGCGAAGCGGAGTTGAAGGTTATCAGGTCTGATGGGAAAGACCCCGAGTTGGTGCAAGACTTTGAAGCATTGCGGAAACATACCGGCGTTTTGCGCGAGAAGAAGGAGTTCCTGGAATCCCTGCTGAGCCAGACAGAGGCAAAACCATCATGGAGTAGCCAACGAATGAGTGGAGACCGGAGGCGATCTGTGGGCTCGATTGGCATTCATGACGAGACTCTCCACATCCCACCAAGCACGGAGTTCGAAAGCGAGTTCAACAACCGGTTCGTCATCCACAATATGCAACTGAAGTGGAACAACTTGTTACGAAACATTGTACTTCGCTACTTCCACCAGAACAGCCAACGACGTGGATTCGTCTACTATCTCTCACGCCCGGCCATCAAGTTTATTCTGGACATTGTGGAGGAACAGAACAAAGCCAAGGAAGCCAAGGCCAATAGCAAGCCCAAGTCAACACATACTGGTCGTGGTGGCACCTCGTCAAAGGACCCAAGCATCAACGAGAGCGATTCCGCTCAAGATATTGAGGACCGAATCAAGAAAATCATCGGCGACGGCCGGAAATTTACGAGTGCCACTTGGAGTACCAACGCGGACAGCGTTATGGAAGGGTCGATTGAGGATCTCGTGAACGGAATTTCCGAAGAGTTCACTCCTCAAAGCAGCTACCACATCCGAATCATCGCGCCGCAGATCCAGCTGCAGAGCGACAAGAACAAGAAGCATGTGGTGCTGGCTACCGCAAAGGGAATGGAACTAAAGGTGATGGAGGTCATGGACAAGGAGAGAATCTCCGATGATGTCAGTGGTCTCGTACAACGCCGGTTCTTGGTCAACATGGACAGCATCCAGTTCTTCGTCACCCATCAGAAATGGTTCCTCACCAACCTCCTATCGATGTACGTCGGAAGCAAGTATGGAACGCCGAGCGGGTCATCCTGGCCGCCTTGGGTTCCCATCGAGGTTGTTTTCGACTTCCAGGCAGATCCCTTCGGTTTCAAGCGCGTCGTGCAGAAGACTTCGGCCATGATCCGGTACGACAAGTACAATACTTTACGTCTCAAGTACAATGATGAGGTCAACACCGATGCAGCCAACGAGGCTTCTACAGAAAACGCAGAGACCCGACTGGACAACCTTTGGGTTGAGTTCCCTCAAGCCCGAGCACTCTGCAACTCGTCACAGTACTACGCTCTCTACGTCATTGTGCTTGATCTTCTCATGTACAATGAACCATTGGAGAAGACAAGAAGCGAGCGACTGGAAAAGATTATTCTGGCGTCTGACTTTAGTGACCTGAGCGGAGCCCCGGCCATGGTACAGAAGCTTCAGCAGCGAATCAGGCAGATGGAAGAGATCAAGGAACACTTCCAAATCTACTCCAAGTACCTCGACAAGAGGGGCTGGGAAGACCGTCTACGCCTGGAGCGAGACCTGGCTGCTTGTGAGGATGAGTTATTCTTCATGATGAAGGCTATCACAACCTCGCAGAGAAAGTTGAACGTCAACTCGGACAGCACAGCCTTGGTGAGATGGAACATCTCGGTTCGAGATATCGTCTGGCACCTGATGCAGGATTCCAACGAGGCGCTCGTGGAGTTTCAATTGAAGGACCTGGAGTACGATCGCACTGACAACTCGGACGGCTCCCACGTCAACCTCATCCGAGTGGGCAAAGTGCTGGGTCTGAATCTGCTTCCGGATGCTACGTACCCAGAGATGGTCGCTCCTCACGCCGACCCTGAGCGAACTCTGGGCCCGGAAAGCGAGAAGGAAATGATTCGTGTCTACTGGTACATGCTGGAGGCAATTGCTGGAATTACCGTCATGGACCGCTTCGAGGTCAACGTTTTGCCTATCAAGGTACAACTGGAGCGTGACGTGGGCAAGCGATTGTTTGAATACATCTTCCCAGGTATGGACGGGGACAGGGAGAAGAACGATTCACCATTTATACTGAAGCAACTTGGCGATGGAGATGAGGAAGATGGCGATTCGTTGTCCAGCGCGAATGGGCGCTCAGATTCAACTTCGTTCGAGAAGGACTCGTCATCTTTCTCAACCCGTCCTGGGTCGTTAGAACTCCGACTCCATCCAACCTTGACCTCCAGCTCGAAGTCAGAGCGCTCCTCGAAGAAGGCTCTCAGCGTCAACACAGGCGAGGGCCATTCGTTCCGCCTGTTCCGCACGCCAGGAACATCCAGGACCCTACTGAAAAAGGCTTCGCACGAGTCTTTGCGACCGGGCGCTACTCCTCGAGCACTTGGACGCAGCAGCACGGGCTTTGAATCAAAGGACGGTCGCGAATCTATTGCGGGCAGTGAGAAGCGGATCCCTCGGTTCACACTTGGGAAGAAGCAGCAGGCCGACGACAAGGACAAGCAAGCATCGGATGATCTCACGAAGATGATGACCCGCGCGAGCCACTTCATGACATTTGCCTCCATCAAGATGCCGTCTGTGGTTCTTTGCCTGAGCTACAAGGGCAAGGACCAGCGCAACTTTGAGGACGTACACGACTTTGTTTTCAGGATGCCGACGATTGAGTGGCAGAACAAGACGTGGTCGAACCTGGACCTGGCTTTGGCGCTCAAAAAGGCTGTGATGAAGGCGCTCATTTCTCACACGGGCGCTCTCATCGGCAACAAGTTCTCCAAGCATCGACCCAATGCTGAGCAGCGCAACAAGCTCAGGGAGTTGGCCAACAGCTCTGTGCTGATTGCCCCCTCGTCATCGGGAGGCTCACAACACTACCCTGGCAGCCTCAACGACAGCGACGACTCTTCCAGCATATATGGCTCCTCGCCAGTCGACTTCTCCCGCTCGCCGCCTCGCTCCATCCGCGGCAGCACCCACAGCAGTATCCCACCTTCTACCACATCCCGCCGGCGAAGTCGCAGTTCGAGCGTTACCAGCCGCACGTCTCGTCGCAATGGTGGTTCTGGAGTGCATGGGCCCAACGTCCCGACTTACCTGATGATGACGCCCCCGACACCCATCGAAGACAACCGCAGTTTTCGGCACAACCAAGGCATGGATCTTCTCCGGCCAGGAACGAGCAGCGGACACAGCACAGCGCCAACACAGAACCATCAAGCCTTCAGGCGGATGGCCACAGGCATCGAGCGCCCCATGACTAGCATGAGTAATTATGAGGCTGGTGTGCGGAGGAAGAATGGCACGAACAACCTCAAGGACAAGCTCAGCGCCCTCACGTATCGCATGAGCCATCGTGACTCAAGCGAGCAGGAAGATGAACCAGAAGCGGAGGAAGAGATGCCTCCTCCTACGCAGCAGAGAACGAGGAGACTCAGCTGGGTCACGGGAAGATCGAAGGGATGAAGAGATGGTCAACTAGCATCGCTCTCTCGCAAAAGGTTAGAAGGAGGAAGTGTAGTATAGCATAGAAACAAAGGGTATAGGCGCACGGCTGGGACACGGAGGAGTTGTTTCATTCCCCCCATTTGTCCCATACATGCTACCTCGCGGAGGAATATTTGTAAGGGACACAGCACATGCAAATGAGGGCGTTGGCAATGCCTCTTTTTTTTTACTGTATAGCGAGCGGCCCTTGGATGGGTGGATGAATGGACAAGGACAGCCGCAAAAATACGTTTGGGAGGTACACTGTTTGTAAAAGAAGCAGAGGCAGCACCTCGGGATAGGTTCCGTATGTAATACAGAAGCTAGAAGACACATTTATGTTGATTGAGATTTGCGAGTGAGTTTGTATTAGCCAAGGGTATTGACCTTGAACGGATCGTCGGTCCGCTAGGGTCCACTTTTGATGATATTTTCAAGGTTGGACAACCCGTGTCTCAGGACTGAGCTTGTCCTTGCTGAAATGTTCAACGAAGACTGTAGCCTTAAAGAACAACACCTACCTCCAGCCAGCCCCCGTCCCGCGCCGTCCTCGGCAACGCTTGCCACTCCGTAGTGGATACAGTGCCGGGGCGGAGGAGTCCTCCGGCTCCCTGCTCGATCGGGAAGGTCTGGGAGAACAAGGCCCGGACAACGCCGGTGCGGGCATCGCCGGCGCGGACGCCCAAGTGCACTACCATGGCATGACCGCACCGTGTCCTAATTAGGGAATTTTAGGGAGCGTGAGGCCCCCCGCCCCCCGTTGATAAGGAAACGAGCGGCGGCGAATTGCGTGCGGTTCCGACGGAGGACGATGTGACTCTGAAGCGTCTTCCCGTAGCTTGCTGCGCGAGCGACGAGACTCTGCTACGGCACTGACTCTGTGCAGCGCAGTAGGCAGATCTCCTTCCCACGTAGTACCGCGCTTCCCTTCGTTACACCGCCGGCCCAGCCTGGATAGGTAGTTGGGAGCGCGACCTGGCCGCGGGCATGGATCAAGGCCCGTCAGAGAGCAGGGGTCCATCTGTAGAGTCGAAGTTACGCCTGCAAGTCGGGGGCGGGAGGAGCCACGACGGACGAACGGCCGGCAAGGAACGACGTGGTGTGGCCGCCGAAGCCGCGGGAAACTGATTAGCCCAAGCGGGAACAGGAGAAAACAAAAAAAAAAAAAAGTTGTGAAAGGGAAAAATGTTGTCGTCTCGTCGTGATGCCTGCATCCGCCATGCATGCACCCGCACTGCATCAAGACCCCAGCTGCCCTATGCCAGTTATTCTGCCCAACTCGTCTCTCCACAACAGAAACAAAACACACGAGCAAAAACTCCACGACACACCGCCCCAGCCGCCGGCGGAATCACATGGCAGCCGGCAACGAAACCCGCCGGTTGGGCCCAGAACGCGCAGTTTGTCCTCCGCTATGACTGACTGCGTCTCCACCGCCGGTTTTTTTCCCACCCCCCATGTTTTTGGAGATACGGAGGACCCTGAGAATGTGGGAGAGAGAGCCCGGATCGGAATCCGAACCACCGGGCGGGAATAAAATATCGCGCAGTTGCCGTCCGATTCGAGGGTCGAGCCCAGTTGCTGTGAACTAACTCATTAGCCCGTTGCACATAGCCCTAGCGCACGAGATAACTAGTCCTCATAATTAGCAGCGCTCCCGTAGTCCGCAGTAAGTATAGGTCGGCTCAGGCTCTCTCACCCCACACGACGGATGCGGGCTCCCACCTTCTAGAAGGCGTCCTGATCTCCCACCAAGTCCAAATCTCCCGCGTCCAGACCCCTAATTTTCCGGGTCCGCGACCCCCACGAGATGCTGGGTGTCATGTCCTTCGCAGGGCCAGGATATCGGTACCCAGGCCGTGTGTCGTCGGAGCAGCAGAGTCGGTACCAGTCGGAGTCGATGACGGTTCCCCCATCCATCCCGCCGGGCCCGTGTCGTCGTGTCGTGTCCACTGCCATGTTCCGTGTGCGTGTGCTGTAACTTATCTGCTGCACCATGCACTCCAATCTCCCCCATCTCCCCATCACGCGTTTCTCGGCATCCTCCCAGCCTGCCGAAATGTCAAGTTTCGGTGAAACATTCTCGGCGTCCGTTCCGCTGTTCCGATTAGAGGGAGTCCGGCCAAGGGAAATGACCACAACAAGCCCCAACGCCAACTCAACACTGCCAGTCCTGCCATCATGCCAGCCGTTGGGCACGCCTGCATGCCATCACCAATCCGAGCTAGACGAAGCCTCAGCCGCTCCCACCGCCGCCAAACTTCGGCCCTGCCGATCGTGTCCATTTCTCCACGCGGCAGGAAATTCGCAGAGCCCACTCCGCGTCTCAGTCGGGTCACAGAGTCCAAAGGGTCCAAAAATTGTAAAATATGTAAATCCATGTCGAGGGAGAAGAGTGTCTACCCTTGTCCATCATGCTATGCTCATCTCCTGCGCCAATGACCTATGCTTCCTCATTCGTACAGTTAGAAACACCTGTGCTATGTCCGTTCTGTTGATATCTTCCGTGACTTCGCCGAGTCCCAAAAAAATTGCCCAGTCCCAGCCATTCAAAACATATTCCGTCTCAACAAATGCAATGTCGGTTATTGCACCGCAGATTCTTCCTCTTCTCCAAAATGCTCCTTCCCTAGACGCGTCTCAAAACTCCGGCATGAGCCATTTCACTCTTTCGCGCTTTCGTAAGAAAAAAAAAAAAAATCCCCCGCTCTGGTGGAGTCATGGCACTAAGGCTGTGACCCAAATGTGAAAAGTGCAGAAAGAAGCAATTCCTGACACCGTGCAATATGCTGGCTTGTGATTTTCGTAATGAGACAAAAAGGAAAAAACTCCAAGAATGCCAATCGCTTCTAAACGATGAACCCAATTTCAGATGTGGGTTGATGGGTGGGTGGTTGGTTGGTTGGTGGTGATGAGAATGTCGATCGCACTCAATTGCCGAGGTTGGGTTCATGAGCGCGACGCCCTCGAATTTCGATTGCTGGTGTGTCCAGAGCCGTCGGTCGGTCGGTCGGTGGTCGGTTGTTTAGTCCGAGCGGATGGTGGTGTGTCGGCTAACCCCCCTTTGAGTCAGGTCTTGATTAATTGATTTCGTCATGACAGTGCCCATTCCCTGTATTGGGACAAGGCCCGGGTTGTGGAACCGCTGGCTCGCGTGCTGGCCTTCCATGACCCTTCCACCGAAGAAAAATTTGCATCAGATTACCAATGGATTGGTAGAGTGACCCGAGCGGTAGGGATGGCGGTCGGCAGGCATCCGGTTGTCGTCCTGCCCAAATCGGCATTGCAAAGGGACCCTGTTCAGGCACATGACGTGTCAACGCCCTGCCTGCGTCTGGGGTGTCATGGTTCCCCGTTGGTTGCCCGACACATGGGCGTTTACCCATTCAGTGAAAGGGGGATCCACCGGACCGGGACACCATCAGATGCAACCTCGTAAGGCTTGGTCGTCATCTTTCTGGGCGGTAGCGCCCATCGGGCGCGGCCTGGTCGCTGGTCATCCAGTTTGCCGCGTTTGCGCATGGCCATTTCCATGACAGCGATCCGGATAAAGTCGGAATTCTCACGCATCTCACGCTGACGCATGCCGGGGGGTGTTGCGACGGGAGTCTGGGCGGGGGCTTGCGGCTGTGGCTGCTGAGGTGCAGGCGAGGTTTGAAGCGACGTTGATGGATAAGGGTTCCGGGACGATGGTGGAGTGGACCGGGATCGCTGGATCTTGTAGGTGCGCATTTGAATTGATGCTGCAAAGGTTCCAGTCCTAAAAGTCTTCGATGGTGACTCAATGCGCGAGTTCGTAGTTGGGTTGAGATAGCGGCGCATGGCTTCCGAAGGGATGTCCTCGAGAACAGGGGGTCGTCGCTCATCCGTGTAGGGCACGTTGGGATCGATGGTGAGAATCGACCGGGTCAAGAAGTCGTCCGGTGGGATAGAGGGAAAGTTAATAGCAGAGAAGGACTTGGCGGCCGACCTCAGAGCTCGCAGCGAGGCAGTCAAGTTGGACTTGAAGACGGACCTGAGCGGCTTAAAGGGCTTGAGAAACTGGGACTTGGGGACAGTCTCTTCCGGTTGCGTTGATAATTTGATCTCAAATTCGTCGCCTTCAAGATCGCCGCCAGCTAAAGGATGCTCGTCAACAGAGCCTGGAGGTGACACAACAGGCTCTAGAGACTTGCGCATAGGCGAGGACCGGCTCCGGCGCGATAACGGGCTAGGGGTCCTGGGGGTGTCAAAAGAGAGGCCGTCGCTAGTGAAGGATTCGTCCAATGATGGGATAGAATCCATGGAATATGTCCTGGTAGACATGGCAGAGCCAATGTTGCAGTCGCTCACGCTGTCATCGTCGTCCATGGCATCCTGGGGTGGTGAGAGGAGCATGTCAAGCGGGCTCCGGCTCAGGGACCAGCTCAGGTCCTTCTCGGAACCATGGCCGCAATCCATGACCTCGTCCACCGTCAAGGACTTGACGGTTCGGCGGCGACGCCGAAGTTGCCTGGGTCGTGGGATATCCGTAACAGCAAGGAGGGCGACAAGCGACGGGGAAATGGAGTCGGGGGAGAACGAATCCCGGGGTCGTCTGCGCTGCGACGTGTGTCGCTTCTGCGGGTGGGTGATGGGGCGGCTGCCGTTGGTGGTAGGGATCTTGACAGGGCTGGTGGGGGTTGTCGGTCGTGTGGTTAAACTCGTAGTAGTTGTTGGCGGGCTTGATGGGGAGAGACATAGAGTCTCTCGCCTTTCCTTGCGTTTGCCCATGTTGGCATCGGAGTTTGGCGGTACGGGTATGGGAGTGATGGTGACGGCGATGTTGGTCTTGTCGTTGTCATACTTGGGCGACCAGCGCAGAGGTGAGAAGGTCGGAGGCGTTGTCGTCGTGGTGGCGGCGTGAGGTGCGAGGTTGGTGGAGTTTTTGTTCGACGCGGAGGAAATGGTCGAAGAAAGGGAGGAATAGGAGGGAGAGGGAGAATGAGTGGGAGAGGATTTATTATTATTACCAGATGAAGTAATGTGAGTGTGAGTGCCCGGAGCAGCTGAGGGAGCCGGGGCAGGAGCGATGTGCTGGCCCTGGCGGTGGGCGAGCAGGAAGGAGCGTGGAGACATCATAGTGGCACTTGCACTAGTACCGAGACCCCGGGGCGAGACCAGTGCGGCAGGCAGGTGTTGGCGGGTGGGGAGCCAAGCGTGGCCTGGTTAGCATGTCTCGCGGCGTCAGCGGGGAAGGGGTGGTAAGGCACCCGGATTCCAGCGCGTTCGGTGCACTGTAGGGCGGTGCTCCAGCGCGTGTTGGGGCGGTGCTCCAGGGGACTTTCAGTGGCGTGCACGGCGCTTCAGCTGGGCCGGGGGGCGTTTCGCGTCAGCCTGGGCTGCTGCTGGATTGGAATCAATCCCGGGCACACCCTCACTCAGCGCAGAGTCAGACTCAGCCCAAGTCTCAGTTTCTCCCAGCGATTCCCTCTTTCCGCGTCGCTCTCCCCGCTTGGCTTTGTCTGCTGCGAAGGGGGGAAACGCAGATGATCCAGACCCTTCCAGCCAACCCCGGGCATGAGACCCGGACCAGAGAGACGAAGATGGCCGCGTGTATGTCCGGCGGTTCTGAGTACGTAAAACCAACCCTTGGATTGGCCGGCGACCAAGGGCAACTGTGAGGACCAACGAAGGCCAAGGCGACGACAAATCCAAAGCTCACGGGAGCGAATCACGATGTCGCTGTACGTCCTCCGATGAGTTATGCAAAGGCGCTAGGTTGCGGGTCGTTCCTTGCAGCTCGACTTCTGAACGTTTCTGGAGTACGTAGTATGATGCTCCGGTCGGGGGCTGTCTGAGGAAGGGGAGCGCGTGCGCTTGCGCGAATGGCACCGGTCGGGGCGTCGTCGAATCGTGGGGCCGCGGAGATCTGGTAAACCATATCGGGAGCGTGTGGTTGCTCGTTGATTGGTAGCGCGTGGAAAGTGAACCTCGAAACAACAGAAAGACCACGGCAGAAAGAGAGACACGAGAGGTTTCTCTCAGGCAGACTTGTTCCCAGGCCGGCGGTGATAGCGAATACTTATTTCAAAGCCGGGGCACGAGTGCCCCGAGGCCGTGGCGTGGGGGAGAGCACGGGGAAGGGGGGTGTAATCGTGTATCGATACGGAGTGTGCGCTTGATGGGGCGAGCTGATTGATGAGGCGCCAAGCAGCGTGTCTGTGGTTGAGCGCAATCCACGGGGTCAGTCACAGAGAGTCAGCCCAACAGACATCCGCCCGAGCAAGGGAATAATAGGGCAGGCCTCGGTGACACGAGCAGGGGCAGATCCCGAAACGGCAGAAAGGGACTGAGAGCCGGTTGGGTGAGGCCGTGGATGGATGGATGGATGACTACCTAGATGACTGGGCGAGTAGGCGACAAGAGGGATCAGGCTATGTATGGGCGAATACCCAGGCAATTCGACAGGAGCCAGCTGGCACAACAACAGTCGTCGACAGCCCTTTCGGGCCTGCTTCCCTCCGGACCACGTATCTCTCCCTCTGCCTCTCTGCATCTCTGCCTCTTTATTATCCATGCCGGTTGCTTGGTGCGAATACGCTTTCCATGGCGGCGGTCAGATCAGAGCTATGTTATGGGCTTCTCGATTCGGCGGTATCACCACCGCACACTACGTAGTAGGCAGAGATAACGATAGAGCCAGAGGCGCTCCACCACCCTTACTTTCACACACACACCCCCGACTGCTGATAAGCAACTTACCTCTCCCAAGCGGGTCGGCATGGGATGGAATTGCATGGGATAGGACAGACGGCATGGGGAGAAGCGGGATGATATGGGGAGAGGCGGGATGCACGCGCAGCCGAGAAGCTACTCGCCGGCTTCCCAATGACCTGCTTTCTTTGTCCATGGTCATCGGCCGGCAATTCACACAACACCCCAGAGTCATCCCTGGGGGGCTTATCCATCATCCCGTGCTGTGTGCAACGTGAAATGTGAGCGCGTGGGATGTGCGTTCCTCTAGGGGTCAACAGACTCGGATCTTGCAAGGGATTCAAACCTCGCGTTTGCAGTCAGCCTGAGTCAACGTCAGACCCAGAGATGTGTGACAAGTTGCCGTTGAACCCAACGGAGCCATCGGCGAACTCCCGATTCTTCTCCGACCAACCCGACCGGGCCCTCGGATGGGAAGCGATCCTTATCAAGATTTGACCTTGCCTGCCTGCCTCCTATGGCAGCAACGCAGCACAAAAGGACCAGTGCCGCCGCATCCACTCACAAAGTCGCGCTGTCCTTGCCTGCCGTCTCGTTTCCATTCGGACCCTCTCTGAGCAGCAAGCGAAGGGCCAACAAACCCTCATGTCCGTCCAATGTCTGGCCTCGCCTGCAAGGTCTGGGCGGAGGGAACAAGCCAACCGAGACAATAATCCAGCGCCATGCCTCTCGTGTGAGTCCCTTGCTTCGGGGGGGGGGGGCAGTGGCTTCCATTACCTTCACCCCGCGATGAATTCTGATCTATCCATTGGATTGAAGGGGGCCACCATCTTGTCTTGGGGCGCGATGCGCAAAGACAAACGCGGTAGGACCTGCATCATCAGGCATCCTAGTCGTCGTCTCGTTCCCTCCTGCAAACCGCCCACCCGTATTCCTGCTGGAAGGACATCCGCGGAGCCATGGTCGTTCTGTGCCTTGGCACACAACTATTCTGCTTCTTGCATCTCATCCAAGACCTTGAATGCTCCATCCCGCGGTGACATCACCAGTGACACCCAAAGGGTGCGCATGGATTGGTCACGCGAGCCTGTCATTCTAATCAGTCTTGTTGCGACAGAGTGAGCACCAAAGCAGGTCCTTCGAACCAAGGCGTGAATTTGGGTTCAATACCTCCCGCCACTTCCGCACTGGGTCTCCGGGATGGGTGCCGGGCTGGGGGTCTCGCTCGTGTCCCCGTTCACTCGCCCGATCAGTTGACGACGGACTGCGACGGAAAAGTTGGCTAGGCCTGGGCTGGCCTGGGGTTTCTTATCACACGCTCCCCATTCGTTGCTCGTTTTGGTCCTGCGCCGCACCGTCATACGCCAGCCACCATACCCTCCTCGCCTCCGTCATCCGAAAAACGCGGGGTCTGGTACCCACTCTGCAAGGTCTGCCTGAGCTTCCAGCTGATCGGTGCTGGCTGGTTTTCAGTCTGTTGCGTGTCAGCGAGAATGATGCGATCGGCGCGATGTTGCCTTGCGCTTGGGGGAATGAAGACGGCCACGTACTGTCCGGAATGCTGCGCGGGCATGCCATCGAGATTTCGCGTCGATGTTATTGTTGTTGTTTGTTCTGGAATTGTGCCCACTCGAAACCCTCACGTGCTGTATGCCCTTCTGCTGGCTCGCATGCCTTAGGCTGCGAACCAATTACCTCAGCAGCCCCATCTCTCTGCAGCTCTGCCTTCCCCCTTTGGACAGCTTCGCTAGAGGTAATTCAAGGTTCACACAACGTTCCTCGGCCAAAGTGTATCGAAACTCGGCCTTATCCCAATTGATCTGTTAATGACGCTTTCTATCAGCCGCACCCATCGCTGTTTGCGCACTTTGCTCAAGCCTGCGTGTCAACTCAAAACTGCACCCCAAAGTCGCTGGCCTGAGTCGCGAGCCTAATAGCTCCTGAGTCGCTGGCCCTACTCACTATACTAGCACGGGTCTGGGCCAAGTCCTTCAATCCCTCCAACGCTAACAGAGTCTCCGACAGCGGAGCGCGTGCTTATCAGCCTATGACAATGTACACTTCGTACTGACTCGGTCCTTTATCTGATGCCGTGTTTTCCTGAACCTAATAAATGTTGTCTTCCTTATCTAAAGAAATGAATCTATTATGGTTAAAAACTGGACCGTACTTAAGTAATGCTGTGCACTTCCTCTTTCGGCGACCACCAAGTACGTACCAAAGCCACGATACGACCGCACCGATGCACGCTTAACCCCGGGGGTTCATGACGACGACCAAGCAAGTTCCCCAGAGTTCGCATTTACCGGGTTTCTTGTTATACCCCTGTCTGATGCCGATCATTGCGACCCATGAACACTGAAGCTGAGATCGTGTGTATCGATGAGCGAATTAACCGTATCCAACTATTAACCACGACGGTCATATTACGATGACGGGAAATCTATCTGGTAAAGTACGGGCTACTTTCTCGCTATTTTCGTCTTTTCTCGGGGAACTATAGTTCAAACACAGTACGTAGTTGCTATTGGTAAAAAGAACAAGCAGACATGCCCCTAATTTTCCTTGGTTCAATTCGCACAACATTCATATCACAACGCAAACCATTTTCCTCCCTCTGCCTTGGGTTCATTTCTCCTCTTCAATCTCTACGGTGAAGCCGCTGATCTTTTTCATCATAGCCGCGACGAACCTCCCCGCGTCAGCCGCTATCATTTCCTCGACGACTTCAGCTGCCCTGCGTAGTCCCGTATCATCTTTGGGACTATGAACGCCAGCAGCCAACATAAAAATGTATCCGACTACAGTCGGGAGTTCGCTCTCGCGTTCCAGGTATGTCGGGCTAAAGGAATTGCGCAAAATGAGGTCACATGCATCTTTGACGACCATCAGGAACCTCCAGCTCCTTTGATGCATGAGCATGTAGGGGAAGGCGAATTCGAGAGCTTCGGCTTGCATTGACAATGCAAACGACTTAATAAGCTGCTCGGGAGATAGTCGACCACCCTCAGAAACATTTCGCCTTCTCTTCCTGGAATTTTCTTTATGTGCGCGTCTCTTCTCTTTCAACTTGTCTGCATCATCAATTTGAGCTAGAACCAAGCCATCCTCGTTCGAGCTCTCCACTTCATATTGGCTGCGTGAGATGATATTGTCGACGTATTCTGGTGTCCAGTCAACTTGTGCCCCTTTTCTCAGGTATCTCTCTATAAACATGCTGGAAACAGGGGCTCCGTCCTGGATCCCGCGCGGTCCAGCCCGGGATGAAATGTCTTCGTTCCTTTGCCTTCGATTTGGCGCACGGGGTCCGCGACCAGTCAAAGCAGAAGCAGATACTCCCATTTGCAATGAGAACCGCTTGAGGTAGTCGGCTGGGTTTTGTGGCCTCTTTCCAACGAAAAAGTTTGAGTCTCCGAGAGTAGTGAGAACGACCTCCATGTCCACCCATAAATTTTTCAGTAATCTCTCCCCCTGAAGAGCGTTGTAGAGATGAGCCGAATACGTAATTAATCCCCATGCGTTGGACATAGCGATTCCAACATCATACATGCCGGCACGGAAGTGATACAACGCCAACCCACCTAGAATCGGAGAAAACTCAATAATTCGATGTTTCTCACTCGATTGCAAGGTATTAGACCTCCCCAAAACCTTCTCTTTGGCGTCGTGGACAGGATCAAGGACGAACCAGGTGATGGATTGGCGAAACGACCGAAGCACGTCATCATTGGACTGGGGCCAGGTGGCGATTCTCAAAGTCTTGTGATAATCGAAATGACCATCGATAAGATTGCCAATGGCCGTCGCTTCCTGTAACACAGTACGGGCCACATCTGCCGCATGGCCTCTCAGGATATGACGGATATCGAGGAGAATTTGTGCCGCGAAGATAAGTAGGAAAGAGACTTCCTGCGCCTTGTCCAGTTCCTTTATTCCACGAATAAAGTTATCTTGCACGGGATAGTCAGGGACGAGACGAGCAAGGGAAACTGCTTCTGAGAAGAATTCTGCCAGAATTATCTTGTCCTCGTAGAACTTTTCGTGCCCTGTCTTCGCATCCCTATTGCTTTCAGGATCGTAGGTGCCAAACATTCCCTCTCTGTAGATGGGTAGATGGCGTGGGGAGAGAACCTTTGCGAAACTCTCCATCAGGCGGCCGGCATTGAAGTAGGTCTCATCAGCAACGTCGTAGAAGTCGTGTTGTGTGGCTCCTTGAACCCAAGCCACCATCTCTTCCCTAGCAGAACCCCGTTTCTCATGGGTGCGCAGGAAAAAGAACTTCTCACAGACAGCGAAAGCCCCCCCATGATCTTTGAATACAGGCAAAACCTCTTCCATGAGGTCATTTGCGAGGTCGATGGCTGTGTTGGTTGCCATTGCGGCAGTGGCGAGCTCAAAGTGACCGTCGCGGTGGTTTGTCCAAATCCATTCAATGCGCGACCGGATTTTAGTCAATTCATCTAACATCATAGCGAAAGCCATGATAGCATCTTCAAATGTGTTCTGTGGTTCGGCTTCATAAACGGTGTTGTCCTCGGTGGATTTCGCTGGCCGTTCAATGTCAGGCGCATCCAGGGAGTCTTGGGATGGTTCATAGACCTTGAGGCAGCTGAACTGGGTGGCCATAGTCTCGATCGAATTAGATGAAGAGGTCATAGTTTCTGCCGACATCCGAGGCTTAAGAACCTCTCGAACTTTTTCGAGAATGCCAACGAAGTACGAGTGCTTAAAGTCTAAATCGGGGGTAGTCTCTAGCCCATGCTCGCTCAATTGAGTCCCAAAGCTAGATCTCACAGCGATAACCCTGTTGATCGTCTTGGAGAAGGAATCGGGGACCGAGATTAAGGGTTTCTGGGCTGCAAAGATAAATTCTGCCAGAGGAATAAAGTCTTGCATGGCGATGATGTGTTTGTGACCTGTCTTTTGAGCAGGGGCGGCTGGTACTTTGCCCTTCCTTTTCCCCCTCTTCCTAGGCTTCCCTTTCAGCCGCCCGCCTGCTCCAGATTCAGGATCGCCAGATGAGAGCAAATCGGCGGGATAGCCGCACCTTTTGGCAGTAGATGCAAGCCATGAAGCAACTGAATCGGTATCCTTCTTATATTCTCGATACACGCTGATCAATGAGCTTGGTAACATCTTGGCGGCGTGGAACTATAACCGTGCGGGGTTGCTTGGAGAAGTGGGAGAGATCTCGGGTCCATGCGGTTTCTTTCTCCACTGTTCTAAAATACGTGTGGAGGTTAAAGGATGATTTGATGAGAGCCGTGGGGGATTGATGATACCGCCGTGGAGGACACGGCTCATTCGGGTGAGGTGGTGTTTTGATGTTGGCTTCTGCCGGGTAGGGATAATCAAAACGCCGGTCTCATGTGCTGTCTTGTGCTACAGCTTCAATGAGGTTGGGGATGCCGTGAAACCATAAAGGATAACCCTTATATTCCATATATATGTAGCTATGGCAGTTAAACCCGATTTTGCAAAATGTCGAGTCAACCAGCTAAGCTAAAAGTATCCCACCTCCGTACCTAGCCCCACAGAATCCAACCATATGCTAGTTTACGGAGAGGAGCCTGTGGTAATAGCAGCAACGGTGTGGTTTTGCGCTATCCAATGTAGATCTTCGTAGCGCCTAGGGCGGAGTAGACGTCTGCTGCCATCTATTTTGTGTGGCCGCGTATCTCTCAGATATTCTTCGTTAACTGGCTGGACATCGTAGTAGTGACTGCAGTACAGTGGGTGTGCAAAAGATCCGACAATATACCTAGTTTACACTAAAAAAATTAGCTTTTAAAAAGTAATAAAAGCTTATCTAATAAGAGGATTTATAAATTATAAATAAAAATAATAAGGTAAAATAAAAACCTTATTATTTATAAAATTAGAATATTAAGAATATTTTTATATATTTTAATATTTTAAATAAATTAAGATAGTAATATAATTACTGTTATTAGCGATTTTAATATTGTCGGAACTTTTGTACGCAACTGTAGAGGTTTACAACAGTTAAAGGGATAGGTTAACCCAAATATTACTGTAGCCAGGGCTAATTAAATCCATAATCCAACACAAACATGAAATCGCCTGATGCTTCATTTCGGGTCTAGTGCTTGGATAGGTACCGTAGACTTACCCTGTACCTCCTTTATTTCACCACGAAATCAGAGTAGGGAATTGATCTACTTTGCACTTCTGATACTGGAAGGAATCACGGATCAATATTGTCAAACAAATAATCCTCCCTACGACAATTTTCTCATCTTTTTGTGACTTTATCCCGGAAAATCACTCGAGCGTGTTATTTCACGACTTTTCATCTTGGATCCGCTCCACGATTCCCCCAGATACCAACTCCAATCCAGGGACATTCAAGTTTGAACAGACTCAAAATTCCCCCAACCACCCCACAAGGTTAATAGATTACACACCGTGTGACCAGTCGGACCTCGCGGGACCGCAGTGGACTATTATCATGTCAACAGTAGATACCATTCTGCTTTGACTTGAGAGAGCACCGTCATCCAATTTCAACATAGTCCCTCTTACCGACACCTAACACGACTTAGCAATCAGTCACATCCATGAAAACTCAGTCCTAGATCTTTCAGGCACTTTAATTTTATTGACGGCGAAGTAAGGGTCTATTGCGCTATTAGTGACCAAATATTGGATTTTAAACTTACGTGTATCAAAGCACATGAGCTAGAAGTCTGGTCCTTGCGGGTACTTCTCCTCCCTGCTTGCTGCCTTATCGTCGCCCGCAATAAGATACCCCAGGCCTGGAGAGTGAGTTACGTATCAATGATTCGCTTGCTTTTCAAGTAGCTCACCATGGCGGTCAAAACACCTAAATTCACATTGGCAGCATTTTCAACGAGTTTTCGGGTTTCTCATCGGCTCTGCCGTGCTGGATGAGTACAAGATAATGTGGGGAAGTAGTCAACCGGGAAGGGAAGGTCTAGGGTACAGACGGACTGTATATGCGCGATACGAGTGTGTGTCCAGGTGGTAGTGATGTCAGTTAGATGACCGCAGGCATGGATATTAGCGTTTGGATTGGTAGGGGGCTTATCCAAGAGCTGGCCACATAGCACTGGGAATTCTAGGCTCTGGGATGAGGCTGAATCTAGACGTCATCAATCGGGCCGTTCTTCCGTAGGATCAGTCTGGCCTGCTAATGGGCATCTATAAATAATGACACCGCTGAAACATGCATAAAAGCCTGTGAGAAGAGTGGACAGTATTAACAGCCCGCCTCGCGCTGGTAAGACTCAGCAATGCCGACTCCCCCACTTTCGCATGGATCTGCACTTCTGCACACATTAAACCGAATCAACGAGCTGCGGAAATATGCCAAGGCCGGCTGGACTTGCTGGTTTTGTGTGAAATGACCCAGCTGGTGCATCAGGCTCTGAGCAAAATTGTCAATTGGCCGCCACATCGCCGCCACAATCTGCACCGCGTCGTATTGGCGGAGGCTATGTCTCTGACCGAATGTTGGGGGCTATCAGCAACAGTCGTTTAACAACCGAGCCTCCCTCTCGTCCTGGAAAGAAAATAGGCTGCAAAATTCTCGTTAGTGTCTGTTGACCGAATTCACCATGTCTCGACCGCCCTCATCGCCACTGGTGTCCGACTTGGACGAGGATGAAATAACTTCCTCAACACCAACCTCTCCTGATGCTATGGCCTGGAGCCTCGTACCTCCCAGTCCTGCGGAAACTGAATTTCAGTCTCAAAAGCCTTCAAGCTCGTTCCTCGACCACGCCGGATCCAAAGAAGCGGTTCCGGTTGGCAAAGCGCCATACAACCGCGAACTAGAACTGCATGGCTTGTTGACGATCTACACGGATCTCAGCGCTGTAATTGTACCACTGGCGCTTCTCGTGTTTGTGTCGATGGTTGTGTGGGCCAATGGCCGCCCCGTAGATCACTACTACGACGGATTTCAGGATGTCATCACTATTGTAAGTTCTGTTTCATGGAAACCGGAATTGGGCCTGACAGATAAAACCAGCTTGCAACCATGTTTCCCATTATATTTGCATCAATAATGGGTCGGCTCATGTACCAAATCGCCCGCTGGAAGCTCGAGACAGGCGTTTCGTTGGGTACACTCGAACAGTTGATGGGAAGTCGAACCTTGGGATCTACCTTTCTCACTCAATTTGAACTACGAGCTTTCAATGCTCTTAGCTTTACGTTACTGGTCGCCTGGATATTTTCACCCCTTGGAGGTCAATCGCTCTTGCGGCTCCTGGAGCTACGGTCGCACCCTGTCGATTCCAGCATTACGTATTATGATGTTGAGTTCCCGACTAATCTCGCCGAAGAGAACACCAATAATTCAGTTGGAGACTCAACATACGTCACTGCTCTTCTGACACCGGACTTAATCAGAAAGGATACCATGGATGTCTGGGGCAATGTCAAAATTCCCTTTCTCGAGTCGTACGACGTTCCTAACGACTCCAAGTGGCAAAATATTACTCGTGGCCAGAATTTGGAATATTCCGCCTTGGTGGGGATTCCGATAGCAAACATCTCAACGGGAAACTCGACATTTGCTATAGAATCGAGCTACGTTTACCTTGAATGTACTCAGCCGAAAAAAGCCGGTACAGCCGGATCGTATGTGATAGCCACATATGAAACATTGTTCAACGAAACGGGAATCAATGCCACCAAGGAACAATGGCCAGCCAATGGAACCTGGAATGGATTTCAACAAAATAGCTCACAGGGCAAAGGTAATTGGAATCTCGCACTCGATCGGTTTGTGGACGAGATGTGGAGTAGTGCCGATGATCAGCTTGGTCCATTGCTGGTGAATCAGACGAAGATAAAGGCAAAACATGCAAATCTATTCTTTCAAGGACGATTCATTGTCGCCACGGACCCGGATCGTGGCGACATTGTCAAATCCAAATGCAAAGTCTTTCAAAAATATGTTCAATCCAAGATTGAATGTTCACGGATATCCCCCGAAACACGACAAAACTGCAGTGTGGTTGCTCAACAGCCTTCCAAGAAGAAACATCTACCTGGATCAATATCCCATCTCTCCTTTCCACTGATATTTGAGAAACTCTCCCTCAATCTCCCCCAAGCCGCAGGAGACTCGAAATCACGAAGCGACCTCTCTTTAAACTACATCAAGTACTCGTCTGCCTTTGAAACGATCACAGGTGGTACTGTAGGCTTGGAAAGCATCACTGCAAAAGTCTTCAGTTTACGCTTGGGCCAACTTATCAACTCATATCTTCTTGCCAACCAGATTCCAATGGACAACTTGATGGCCGGCAATGGTAACCTCCAGGCAAACTCTTCGGCCCACGAAACGGCAACAGCTAAGATATACGATTTGGCTCAATTCTACTACGTACCTCGATTTTGGGCAGCAATTTCATACATATCCTGTGTCGTTCTGCTAGTTAGCGGCATTCTTAGCGTTGTATTCGCTCATTTAGCCATTGGACCGGAAGTGCTCGGTTTTGCCTCGACGGTCATACGTGACTCCCGTTACATGGACTTACACCCTGATATTGGAAGGATGAACGGGGTTGATATAGCATTTGTTCTCAAGGATGAGCGGGTTCGATATGGCTACACCCACCTCACACGGAGACAAATGCCGCTAGTTGGAGTTGGACGCCAGGAGGAAATCCGATTGATCAAGCCAAATCCGAGGGGAGAATCTGATGCGTAGATGTGAGAAAGATATCTATAGATTATGAAGAAGTGACGATGATGGAAAATAGCGAACGCAGGTAATGATAACAGGATGCCTCTAATAATGATTAAAACTGGCTCTCCTGACCCAGCCGAGCTTCAATGATAATGACATTTCGTTCTGCGAAGCCTGTGCCTGTTCCCCGACCTGCACCATTCCCCCATTCCTGTTACGTTCGTCACACCGGACTACCAATTGCAGGGTCTAGCCTGCCAGCCTGCAGCGTACCATAGCAACATAGGCTTGCTTGTCAGTCAGGTAATAAGGGCACGAAGAAATTGTCTCTGTTTGTGAGCATGGAAAAATAGCCTGAAAGAGAAACGTAGTCTGAATTATGTGAACGTGTCCTCTTAGCGCTTGGCATAGCAGATCTATATATATATATCCTATTTGGAATTTCGGTGTCAGGTCGCAACCCAATTATGGGCTTCAAGGATTTATTCCCGGGACTTGGTATGCAACTCGATAATGAATTTTCAGCTGTGTATATTGACCTTAAATCTACTGCTCTAAATCTGTTTCTTCCTCTCTACAAATATACCTAAATGGGGCGAGAATAGCACCTAAAATACCAACGTTTGACGTCAGTGATATGGTGGGTCTAGATGACACCTTCTAGCTTCCAGGGATCAGAACGGTGTTAAATAATCGTTAGATTGAATGAAAGATAGCAGAGAGCAATTATGTGATGGCAGTCTGACCTCTGCATGAGTGATACAAGGGTAAATGCAGCCGGATGTTGTGTTGGTTGTGTCGGGTGGTTCGTGGCCAATTAAGTGGCCATTTTTGCAAGGATCCTAGTCTGAGACGAATCGGAAGGCAGACGGAGAGGCAAGAGGGGAGCGGATATCATATCATTCGGACCAACGTCCACCGAACTTTCCGAAACCCTTGTCAGTCTGAATCGGGTGGTGGTCTTAAAGACTCCGACCCCGCGAGGTTGAGGGGTAACAGGAAGTTTGCTGGTGCACATAAAAAACCTCAACTGGCAAGTAGACTCTGTAAGTTTGAGAAAGGCGGTCGTGGTATCATGGCAACTGAAGACTTGAACCCTGCCCTGGTGCCTGATGACGAGGTTCATTCACCCGCCCTATTAATTGAGCATACGCTGACTCTCCACTCAGGTCGTGGATGACTGGGACTCCTCAATTGGTGATGTATGGATTCTTCTCGCTTGTTAGTTGAAATTGGAGCGAAAGATGGCTTATTGTGTTTTTATTTGTTGCAGGTTGCCGAATCTTCAACCCAAAGCTTGTCAAGCTCCATTCTCGACTACCGTCGCGAAAACGGACGGACGTACCACCGATTCAAAGAAGGAAGTGAGTTGGTTATTTCTCCCAAAATTTTGCCAAGTTCATTGCCATCTGTCGCAATAACCGCTACGGCAAAAGGGAATGATCACTCCCCTTGCCGGTAGCGTTATTGGGGTCCATATCTCGTCTGACACCATCACTGACAGAGCGCAGAGTACAGTCTTCCCAACGACGCCCAGGAAAACGAGAGGCTAGGTATGACTACTGCGCTGGCAACTCTGTGCTTCATGCTTACTTTACCTATGTAGATCTACAGCATCATCTTTTCCTTCTCACGTTCCACAACAAACTGGGCCTATCGCCGCCAAACGACTCCGAATGGAAAGCCAAGCGAGTATTGGACTTGGGCACTGGCACAGGAATCTGGGCTATGGACTACGGAGATGAGCATCCAGAGTCAACAGTACGAAATCCTATCCCTGCCTTCAGCGTATATACTGAATTAATTATAGGTCGTCGGAGTCGATCTGTCGCCCATTCAACCGGACTTGTATGCATCTAGTAGTCTCAAGCCCTTCCTATCTCTAGAAGCTAACGAAACCTCAGTGTTCCACCGAATGTCGAGTTTCACATTGACGACATTGATGAGGAATGGACATACTCCCAGCCGTTTGACTATATCCATAGCAGGATGATGAACTTTAGCATCCAGGACTGGCCAGAGTATCTCCGCAAAATCTACGAGTAAGTCAAGCCTTAAGTCGGATATGCATTTACCAGCGTCCCTAACTTGTATAGCAATTTGACACCTGGCGGCTACGTTGAGCTGCAAGAAGTAGGAGTCTTCGCCATGTCCGACGATGGGACCCTCAAGGATGACCACGACTTGGCGAAGTGCTTCAAGCTCCTGGATGAAGCATCCATCAAGCACGGCCGCGCATATCATGCTATTGACAAGTTTAAAGAAACCATGATTGAGGCCGGGTTCGTCGATGTTGTTGAGTCACGGTTTCTATGGCCAACGAACGCCTGGCCAAAGGACAAGAAACACAAGGAGCTTGGAATATGGAACAACGAGAACATGTCGATTGCTCTAGAATCACTTACCATGGCGGCCTTCACAAGGGCCCATGGTTGGACTCGCGACGAGGTGACTCTATTTTTAAGTGGAGTGAGGAAGGACATGAACAACCCGAGTATCCATGCGTACTGGCCGATGTATGATCCCCCCAACCCGTGTCTTTTCGTTCTGAGCTAATTATTATAGCTACGCAATCTACGGAAGGAGACCCGAGGCTTAAGCTCGCGAGTAGGGATACACCCCAGGTAGTGGCTCCTTAGCAAAATATCTCGAATTCGGATTCCATTTCAACGCCTAAAACACCAATTGGCTTAAACAGTCTCTTGGAAGTTATCTAAAATGTCCGATTCTGCAATTCGGGAGAGGCATGTTACTCATGTTTGCCGTGGAACAATCTAGGCACCACTCTTACGGCGTATATTGTAAAAGGGTGCTATTCGCACACACTCAAAATACTACTCGCACACTTAAGTATATAGGCTAATTTCACTAAGTCTTAATAATATACCTATTAGTATATTAAACCTAAGAAAATTAAATAAGCTTTATTTTAAGTGTTTACCCTCTAAATTCTGCTATATTAAATTTATCTTTTATTTTATTTTAGAATAGGACCTGAAGATTTTCTATAACTGTAGTGGCAGGCCACCAGTATATCATGTTCCCCGACCGATAATGCGCCCAGGACTTCGTGGGGGTTCCGCCTCGTCGCGCAGTATCAAACACATCCGCAGGTCACCATCGAATAGACGGCACTATTTGCCGGCATCTCTCAAGGCTTCGTGGTAAAGATGGATGGGCCGGTGGTCTTGCCCGACCCAGCGTCGGACACCTTCAAGGAACTCGCCCACGACGTCCTCAAAGTCCCTGCCTTCTCCGACCCGGCAATCTTTGGCGCCCACCTCCAGGAAATGCTGGAACACCACGAGGAAACACAGTGGAGTGCCCGCGCTTGCCCCCCGACCGAAATAAAATACCTTAGGGCGGGCGTACAGTCCAGCTATATCTAACACTATCTAAGTAAAAGGTTGTATTTGTGTGCGATTAGAATTTTGAATGTGTGCGAATAGCAATACTCATTGTAAAATGCAACTGGATTTCTTCTGTCAAGTCTTTGCTGTTGTCTTTTGAGCAAACACATTCTATGCCCCCGCATCACGACTTACGACTGACAAAGTTAATCAATATTTCTAAGATAATATTGCAGCCAGTGCAGATTGTCCAGCCCTGCCACTAGTAATATGCGCCTAGGAATGGCCATTGGTCCGACTGCCATCGTCGAACTTGTATCCCTCCTCCAATTCCCAATACTTGTTGAAGCCGACGCCCTCGCACACCTCACTGTACGAGAGAATCATAGGCGGTGCCCCAACAGTCATGCTCTGTTTGAGAGCCTCTAGTGTTTCTCGGATGCTCTTCAACTTGGCTGCAACAAGGGTCCAGGGATATGCGACCGCACAAAAGCCCAGCTCAGCGAGATCCTTGGCTGACAGGTTTTCTGTCTTGCCACCCTCGATGACTGTAACCCGAGTTAGCGTCTTGTAAAAACATTCAGGAGATTGGTCTCTGGTGAGGAGAAACTGTATGAATGGAGAACTCACTATTGGCAAAAGTAGGAATGCCCACTTCTTCCACGCACTTCCGCATAGCCTCTCTGTCAGGGAGCGCCTCGACGAAGACGGCATCAACACCAATCCTCTTAAACTCCTTGGCACGAGTCAGAGCCTCTTCCCATCCGTGGATAAGGGCGTCGGTTCGAGCAAGGACAAAAATATCCTTTCCTTGATCGCGGGCATCACATGCCGCTTGGATGCGGGCGTATGCCTCCCCCCGAGACACCACAGCTTTCCCCTTAGTGTGGCCGCATCCTATAAGCCATTTGTGTTAGTATGGAAACAATGTTTTTGACCGAAGGAGAAGACATACGCTTAGGCCAAGTCTGGTCTTCAATCATGATGCCAGCCGCACCGGCGTGCGCGAAGCTCTCTACTGTCCTTCTGACATTCAGAGGACTGCCGTAGCCAGTATCTCCATCGGCCATGACAGGGATCGATACCTGTCGGACCGATTCCTGAATCTTGTCGCACACCTCCGCCATTGCGATGTATCCGGTGTCAGGCAGGCCGTACGCGCTAGCTACAGAATAGCCAGCGAGGAAAACCATTGGGAACCCAGCTTCCTCGACCAAGCGAGATGACAATCCGTCATAGCTGCAGCAGTGGGCGAGAATTTTGGTAGGATCTTGATGTGCCTCCAGCATCATAGTCCGGAGACGGGCCGCCTGGATCGAGGGGATTTTGCCGCGGACATTGGTGATGGTGGTAGTCAGGTCCTCATTCTGGCCTGGCTTGCCCTGCTTCTGAACCAATGCTGGCTCGAACTTGAAGGGGTAGGGGGTAGTGTTGACGATGGACTTGGACATTTTGGCAGGAAGTGATGTGCGTAATGTGATGGGTGTGGGCTTGATCTGACTTTGCTCAGATTATCTTGTTGCTGCTTGTTTGTTTCTTGTGATTATCCTGCCCGTAACTGTCGACGGAGATGCTTTATATAACACTCTCTGTTCATCTCACGTCGTCGTGAGTCCGGGGAAGCGCGTATCCGGAGTTCGGATATTGCAGGAAACTGACGGAAAGTGACGATATCTCCATCTCGGACCGAGCTACCGAGCCGGCCGGGAAACACAGCGCGCTAACGTATGTCGATCTGGGGATTGGCGGGGCCCCGCAATCTGCCTCCAGAGCACTACCCCAGAGGATCCATTCCGGGGTAACTTGTGTATGCAACATGTTTGAGCGCGGAGGTTCATGATCGTCTCCTGATCGTGGCCCCGGAGACAGGAAATCTCGGCCACTGACGGGGACTATGGCCCGTGCTACGCGGACATAAATCTATCCAAGACCCCAGCTCGACTCACCGATCAGATCCCCATCCTGCTCTCCTTTCATAGAGTTGATTCAGGTCTCAACGGTAAACTGCTGCTTCAGTAGTGGCCTTAACTCCTTTTCATTGTCACCACGTATCCTTTTGTTCTCTCGTCTGAGACTCCTTTGCCCAAATGGACCAACAAGGCGATGACCGCAAGATGTCTCTAAAGGCTGAACAGCTTGAGGACATAGTTGACGAGCCTCGTCATACTGCTGTCTCAGCTGAGACCAATGCTCGAATCCGATGGATCGTATGTCTCCCTATACCAACGACCATAGCAAATCCCATCTCAGTCTTTCTAACATACCCACCATCTAGTTCGACACGCGCCTTCTTCCGATCGTATGCTGTCTCTACGTCCTCTCCTACCTGGACCGCGGAAATATCGGCAACGCCAAAGCGGCTGGTGCCAAAGATGACCTCGGGCTGAGTGACGCAGACTGGTCCTGGGTGCTCAACGCGTTCTACATCTGCTATGTCGCCTTCGAATGGACCAATCTGTTTTGGAAGATCCTCCCTGCAAGCAAATACGTTTCTGTTCTTTGTATCCTGTAAGCTCTTCTCCCACCTTTGGATGCCACGTAAACAAGACTGGCTTTGAGATTTCACAGGTGCTAATCAATCCACTTTCGCAAAATTAGCTGGGGTACTGCTGCAATGGCCTCCGGAGCTGCGCAAAAGCTAGCGCATATCATTGCCACAAGATCCCTCCTCGGTGTTTTCGAGGCTGCATTTGGTGCTGGCGCTCCATATTTCTTATCCATGTTCTACCGCCGCGAAGAACTTGGTTTCCGCGTCTCGCTACTGCTTGGAATGGCCCCGTTGGCGAATTGTTTCGCTTCTGCGTTGGCATACGGCATCACACATATTAATGGATCCCTGGAGCCATGGAGGTATCTCTTCATTATTGGTACGTTTGCACCTTCGGCGTTGGCTGGTTTGGTTATGTGCTTTTACATTTCTTCGGTTCCCCGCTAACTCGAAATGCTTCTCCAGAGGGCGCCCCAACGGTTTTATTCGCTGGTGTGACCTGGTTCTTCCTCGCCGACTCACCTGGAAGTGCCAAATATCTCTCAGAAGAAGATGCGACCTTCGCTGTGGAGCGGCTCCAGGTCCATGACCGCACCAAGAAATCGGGCGTTCAATGGAAGCAGATCTTTGCCGGGATGACAGACTATCAGAATTACGTGCACACCATCATCCATTTCTGCTGCAACTATTCCTTCGCCGGCCTGTCTAATTTCCTGCCGACGATTGTGGCCGACATGGGGTTTTCTTCCGTCACCGCGCAAGGCCTGACTGCGCCGCCGTATCTGGTGGCTTTCATCTGCTGTGTGGCGGCTGCTGTGGTCAGTGATCGGTTTGGGAAGAGAGGATACATTGTGAGCGGCTGCTCCCTCGTCGGCTTCGTTGGGTATCTTATTCTCGTCCTTGTCAAAGATGAGTCCAAGATTGCGCCGCGTTACTTGGGCACGTTCCTTGCGGCTTGCGGCGTCTTTCCTGCGCTCTGTATCAACATCACCTGGTTGCTCAACAATCAGGGAGGCGACTCCAAGAAAGGCGCTGGGTTGGCGATCCTGGCGACCTTCGGTCAATGCTCATCTTTTGTCAGCAGTGTCGTATATCCTAGTTCTGACGGGTAAGTTTGGTTGCGCCATAAACTGTCTTAGTATCAGAGCTAATGCCTTATGTTTAGACCGTTCTATACTCGAGGCTCTACCATCGGCTGCGTCCTCACTGGACTTATTAGTATGCTTTCATTGGGCCTGCATTTCGCGCTGGAAAGGGAGAATAAGAGGAGGGATCGCGAATTCGGACCCGTTGACAGCCAAACGGCGATTGATGTTACGGAGCAGGGTGATAAGCACAAGAACTTCCGTTATTTGACTTAAGACGCACACGTCACTCGGGGCTGCCTCGTACGCTGCCAATTGATAGGGCAAGACCTGGTCCCAGAGAACTAGCCGGGGTTGGATTTGAAGCCATTCATGTTCAACCCCCGGTGAAATTTGATGCTACAGTGGAGGCCCCCCCGCTTGGATGCTTTGTGTAGCTTAGCTTGAGTAGGACGTTTGGTATCTTTCTAGTTGTGATTATTAGTTGACAATGCCTTTTTACAACCCTTGCACCTGCTCTCCACTCCCGACACGTACCCACAGTAGACTGAAGTGAGCTGAAGTGAGCAGAAGTATCTACCCTGCTCGGAAGCTGGCCAGTGGCAATCCAACATTGTCAACAGCGTGATGACTGGTCGTTCCCTTAGCCCTTGAGACAATAATAGCGTCGTATTAAACTTGCGGGGAACGCGGGGATGGTGGAGAACGGCAAGGTCTCTCCGTGGTTAGTGTACGGAGTAAAGTATCAAATACCCATCACCATCCGCCACTTTCCGGCCGGATCCTCACGCAATCCTACATCCAAATACCAACTGTCTATTGCTACGCCGGATCTGCCACAGCTCCCCGGGGCCTTGCTTCCAGCTTTCCACTGTTGACGACTCCGCCTCCGTGCATGGACAGCCAAGGCCAGTCCCAGGCCCAGCCCACACGGACGGCGCGCACCGAAGCCTCCGCCCATCATGGCCGCCGCATTAGGGACTTCCGTCGGGTTTACAAAGCCTGCGAGCTGTGCCGGAGAAAGAAGATTCGATGTGTCGTCGAGGGGCCTGGCACGTCTTGTCTGAGATGTCTGAGGGAGTTGACCGAGTGCGTATTCAGCCCCGAGAGGTCGCATCAAAAACGCAGCACTGGCGCCCGACCCTCCGCCGCGTCGTTTCATGACGCAGGTAAGTACTGGTATCCGTCGTTGGAAGCTCTACGACCAAGAGGCATATGTTGATAAATACAAGACTGCAACTCGATTAGTACCACGTCGTCGCCTCCCCTGCTACCACGCCACTCCGACACGCCTGTCCAGGAGCAACTGCCGGTCCTCCATGACAATGATGGCTTCAGTATACCACCCCAGTATGACGCCCAATGTGAATCTGTGCTGCAAAGGACTGGCCCAGAGCCTTCATTGCCAGGTCCTACGCACACGCGCAATGTCCCCGTGGGAGGCGGGGGTGATCTTACCGATTCTGTTATGAGAACCCTGGTATCCAATGGCAACGACGCCATGAGGCTGCTCTTCCAGGCCGCCACTGAGCACTCCCGAACCGACGGCGATACACTCAGTAACGGGCAGCCTGCCTCTCGGACCTTGGCCATCGCAGCTCCTAGTACGACATCGCCTGAGAATATCCCGTCCGTGGCAACAACCGGCCCCATTTACTTCTCGCCGGCCACTCCTGATATCTTGAAAGTATGGCGTGCGTTTCGGTTTGCCAGGATGGGTTGGTTCACTGCCGAAGAAGCCATAACGTACATTGATTTGTAAGTCGCCCTCCCAAACCCTGCTCGAGTCAACTCTGGTATGTCTAGGGCTGAATGGTGGCTGGTCCTCGTCTAGATTCGCTCAGAACTTGGCACCTCTGTCTCCTGTATCCAGAGACTTTGATTTAAGCCACAGCACTCATTTCAAGCTCATTACCCAGGAGCCGCTCCTTTGCTCCGTCATCCTCATGATTTCTACTCGCTACCACCTCCTACCGGGATCTGGAGGGATCGCTCGAAATGCCCTCCTCCATCACCGCCTTTGGGAGCACTGCCAGCACCTTGTCATGAGAATCATGTTCGGTCAGGAAAAACGCTCCAAGGCCAAAACGAGGACCAGGGGCTCTATCGAAGCCCTCCTGCTGATGATCGAGTGGCATCCACGCGCAATCCACTTCCCTCCAGCTTCCGATGGATGGGATTCCTCTCTCATTATCAGCGCCTCAGACCCGCGTGATGACGAATTTGGAAACCAAGCAGACGCCACTGAAGATAGCGAGGCTAGGTGGCTCGGGGATGTAGTTGCTCCTGCTAAGACGGCTGATCGCATGGCCTGGATGTTCTTGGGGTGCGCTCAGTCTCTCGCTCTTGAGCTGGGACTCTGCGACGTTGGAGCCAAGGCCGATCAACCTGCCACCACATCACAGCCTCTAGGCTTGCAAGCCCAAAAATCTCGGCTTTGCGAATTACTCTACATATTCATGGAGCAGCATTCGAGCCGGCTAGGTTGTCCTTCAATGGTCCCGGCTGCACTGACAAGACTCCTGTCCGAGCCGTCGGGAACTGGCGGTGAGGATTCGACCATGATGACGGCGTGGCTAGACTTAACGAACTTGCTACGAACCATCACCGACGTGTTGTTTCCATCTGCAACAGGAATACGAGAACTCCTTGGGGGTTGTAGATACGTCAATATCATCAAGCACTTTCAACAACAATTATTGAGTTGGAAGATTACTCACCTTCGCCTAGATAGTAAGTGCATCCACGCTGCTTTCTTGAGGCCATTAACCATACCTTTGTCATTTCATTGGACTAATTTAATATGCTATTCAGAGCTTTCGCCGACCTCTTTTGAGGTCCTTTCTATCGAGTATAACCACCTTCGCGCCTTCATGAATTCCCTCGGTATCCAAGCGGTGGTCGACCGAGTTCTTGGCAGAAGGCCACCTGATGCGACCGACACCGAGATCCTACAATCGTCCATCACCGCAACCGATTATTCTTTCATCAAGGAGGTCATCGATGGCTCCTGCCAGACCTTAGAATCGGTCAATCGGCTCTTCGACGCTGGCACACTCCGTTATTCCCCGGTTAGGATATTTCTTCGGATCATCACGGCCTCGATCTTCCTCTTGAAGGCTTTGAGCTTAGGAACTCGAACTGCGGATTTGGAATCCTCTCTAGCCATCCTTGAGAGGAGTATCGAAGCCCTCCGAGCGAGCAGTCTAGACGAGATGCACCTGGCGGCTCGGTACGGTGAGTTGCTTGCTCTGCACCTGGCCAAATTCAGACAAGGCATGGTCCCAGCATCGGTCCCCCGAGGGATTCCTACGGTGGATACAAATGGCAGGTGGGAGTTTGGGATCGGTGGACGTTCCCAACAGCTTGGAGAGGGTTTGGGTGAAATTTCGTCCTTGGATACGGTAGATGATTGGCTCGCACTGCCTTTTGATGCTAGTATCGCACCTTTCGGGTTTTCAGGCGATGTTACTGATCTTCCAGATCTAGATGACCGCTCGTGGGACTTACTTTGGAACCTGCCGAATGTATGAGTCTTGCACTTGGTCATCTTCTGTCTAGGCCAGCGTGTGAAGAGTCAATGTGCAATACCATCCCACAACCAGTAGCCTTATTGACGCGGGAGCACATTTTCCCAGCCCGACCAAGTGAGACAGTGACTAATACATGGCGTCGCCCCTCAGCTATAAAAAGGAAGTCCAGGATAACGTAGACCTGCCTACCATCCTTCCTCTTGACCAGATACCTTCTTTGCACACACCAATCCAGACAATGGCATCCAGCACTGCAAGCAAAGATGAAGCGATGTTTCAAGTCGCGACCTACGCGCGACGAGAGACCATTCGTGATGTATTTCGATTCGATTCCCACGAGCACGACCTTGTTCGAGACTCCCTCCGAGACCCGTTCCCGGCCGCACCAGGCAGTGGGATGGGCACCCTCAACACGCTCCCCCGCGAACTGAGGTTGAACATCTTTCAACTCTTAGACATACGTTCGCACCTCCGAGTCAGACAGGTCAGCAGAGGCATGCGACAAGCTGCAAGCAGCACCAAGGGATATCGTGAGGTTGCAGAACATGGGTTGGAAGTCGTCCGCACTACTCTCCTCGAGAAAACCAAGTTCGAACCGACAATCCTCGACGTCTATCAGCTACTGATTACGCCGGAATGCTCCATGTGCCCCCAGTTTGGTGACTATCTATCAAAGCTCACGTTCAAGCGGTGCTGCCATGCATGCGCAACCGGGGAGAACACCACATCTCTCAGAAATGTCTTTACGTCGTTGATACCGGGAGGAAAGAAGATCGAGGAACAATTCCGTCGACGATTTGTGCCAAGATCATTGATTTGGTCTAGCGAAGACCTTCCAGATGAGCCAGCGGGTGGCTTTGTACAAGGAATGACATTTATCGCCAAATCATACGACACCTCGGCCCCGACCACCCGTCCAAGAGACTTCCGAAACTATCGAAGGCCAGATACGCTATATTTCATGGGCATTGCCAACGCAGTACTCTTTCCCTACTACGACCCGGATTCTGCCGGCATTCATCACGGCTTCAGCTGTAAGGGATGCCATGCTGGAGGCCAGCTTGCGGCCACCACGAAAGCGTACACAAAGGAGCAGATGCTAGCTCACATCAAGAAATGCCGGCACGCACGAACCCTGTTTGCTAAGAGCCAGAAGAAGAAAACAGTTGGTTCTCTCGCCGCCCCAGGCTCGACCAGCGGTACGGCCGAATAGGACCTGGCATCGATGGTGACTTGGACCCAAAGGGTATGGTGGAGAGTTTTGGCCAGCCACAAAATTGCCATCAGGCATATCACAGGCCGGTTGAGCAGGTTATTGAAAGGGAACGGGGTTTTTAGTATTTTCTAGATATTCTCGTCTAGAGTTGGAGCCAAAGGCCCCGTCGCTGCTACAGCAATCAATTGACTTTATTCTGCCTAATTATTTGAAGTTCCAGATCTCCTTTCGTATGGCCACATTGGCCTGGCTTGATATGGTTGGTCTGCTTATTGTTGGAGCTCTTATGGACATTGCGTCTGGTCCAAGTTGCGAACATCTTGACCGCAGCAAGTCCAGCATAGATTCTTGTGTAGGTATGGCTGTTTACGCTGAAATATTCGATTTGCATTACGAGGGAATCCTGGGACTGAGGTTGTTTGGATGCGACCGAGACACCTTGTTGCTCTTCAGCCCACACCTCGTGGGGTGACTCAACTAGCCATCGCCGATTCTAACACGAGCCTCATATCAAGTAGCGCAGCTATTTTCTAATATCTGGTGAGCCGGTATTGGCTCCCATTCTATGAGGTGTTTGAGATGGATGAGCTGCAATGCTGACTATTTCCATACACAAATAATAATTATCGGCGCTGAGCTGTACTGGTTATTGCTGGTGCTTGAGAAAACGAGGGTGGAGGCTTTATTACGCTAGCTCGAGGCTAAGCCAGGGCTACACAGTGAGCTAAGTTACTGTATAACCGCAAATGTATGCATAATAATAATCAAAATCACAAAGTCAGGCTGCCAACCCCCACGCTGCTTTCTTCAATCTATCAGATGTGTACACAAAAACACTTGACAAACATCTTTGTGTTGGAAGTCAAACCCATCCTCACCACCTTTCAGTCCTACAGCAGTGGCGTAGCTGAAATATGCGGCATCCTCCTCTTGATATCAATAGTGCAGCTGACATGCAGGACTCCTTTATGTTTGTTTCACCTAGGTCTTGGCTATTGGATAATGCAGCTTACGTGCAGACGCGTTTTGCTTCTCCTCAAAGCCTCACCCAACTCGTGTTCCACCCCAACTGGCTCAGTCTCAACTCGTGGGACCAAGTGGCGCCCAAGCCAAGCCTGTGCTCCGCGACTGGACCCAGTCACAACATGAGAAGGGCACACACGGGTTGTGGAGATTGTAATTAGATCGTACACAGCAAGGTCGTAATCTAGAAGGAGCAGGGATTTGGTAGATCATATATGCACGTCGCGACAATCGTGACGCCTCCTCGGCAATTATTTCCTAAATCCTCAGAGCCTGCTGCAAGGAGGTCAGCTGGGAGAGATTAGAGGCCGAGCTCTACTGCCGAGCCTGATTTTGTATTCACTGCATTGGTGACGCTAGTACAGACGCACCGATTACTCTGTCAGGTTAGCTCATGCATGCAACAGGCAGTCAGGCGGTATTCCGGAGGGTGTAACTTGGACTATGACGACTGGACCGGCTCTTTTTGGCGGGATGGTTGTGCATCCATCTCGTCCAGCAATCGTGCCCTCCCACTCGCTCTGAGCTCTCCTCCAAACTAGATATTGCACATATCTAGCTTTCAATTCATGAAAAGCCATCTCTGAATAAGCACCTTATAGCTTAATCGACCCAATCTTATTCCATCGCAGCTCCTATATCAGACAAACTGGGGTGATAAAAATACAAGACTACACCTCCTCAATCAACAGACTCTTCATCCAGACCTTCATCGCTTCCATGCACTCCCCACTTCGCTCCTCCAAGCCCTCCACCAGTAAGAAATCGTGCGCCAGCTTTTCCTGTATGTCGAACTGCACCTTCATCCCAGGATTGAAGTGTCGCACCTGTCGCACGTACGAGATGCATTGCTCCCGGAACACTTCATGGTACCCCACAGTGACATACATCTGGCTTGTGACACTGTCGAGGCCCTCAAAACAGGGAACTTCCATGTCAAGGGGAAACGACCGACTAGCGAGCTCGTTCTTCTCCGACAACATGTCAGGATATCCACACAGCTCTTCCACCGTATTCCGAACAGACGTGGCTGAAACCATATCGATTGAACCGTTCTCCGCAAATGACCTGTCGTTGGTGTATTTGCTGAGCCATGGCGAGATGAAGAATGAAGCTGCCAGTGGTGTCGTAAGTTGGATTGGTACGGCTTCTGGATGAGGCCGGACGATATGGCATAGCAACTGTCCCGTCAAATTCCCCCCAGCGGAGTCTCCGCCAATGATGATGTCTTGAGGGCGAAATCCAGAGGAAAGAAGATGCGAAAGCGCACCAGCAGCCTGGCGCAGTTGAACTGGGTATGTCGCAGCAGGATAGAGCGTGAATTCGAGAACTGCTACTGCAACTTCGGTTCCCATCTCGATGCCAGCACCGACGCACGCTCGCCAGCAAATCTCCAGGTGGCCGGGCAGTAGGGGTGTAATGTAGCCGCCGCCATGGAACAACAGGACAACTTTCTTCGCGCGACGGCGGTCCCCGACCCAGAGAAGGGAAGAATTGCCCTCTTCGAGAGGCTCAATATCAAGGCTCAGTCGACTGTGGAATCCATCGGCAGTCTCTTCTTCCAAGATTTTGCGACGAATCCATTCTCTGTACGCCTCTTGTGTCGGTTTACACAGGTATTGAATCTCCCGTGGTCGGAGGACTCCCAAAACCACGTTGAGGACTCCGCAGATAAGGTAGAGGCGAAGCGGAAGCCCTCGGGCCCAAGCAAAGATAGCAGAGCGTAGCAAGGCAATTGGAATAAACCACAGTACTAATTTGACTCATGATTAGTAAAGAGGCTCAGCGAAGACGGGTGCAGGTTAAATGTACCGAAGCAGACTTGTCGAAGAACCAAGAGGAACTTTTCGGTATTAGAGAACGGAGGCGTCATTTTGCAGATTGACGATGATTAAAAAGATGCGGGTAAAGTACTGCTGGGAAGGAAGCAGAACCTGGGTGAACATAATAAATACTTCCAGCTGAATGACTGTCTGACGAGTGCCCCGTTTCCTGCCCTGCGGTCATCGCGATTGGGCTGCAGCCCTACACCTGAACGCCCTGCCAAGGACGGGATAATCTCGTAATTCAGAGCCGGATATGCGCTGGGACCTCACTTTCGTAAAATGGTTGGATAAGCCGGGCACTCTTTGCTTTTCTTTCCTGCAGTAAGACGAATTGAATCGGGCCGCGTGTCCCACCCATAGCTTTAATATCCCACCCTGCATTCAATATATGACGTGGGATGACGCTTCTGCAGGGCGGGAGCACTCAGAATCTAGTGAAATTAACTCCTGGACATGCCTTCGGCCCGTATCCTTGCGCTGGTTTGTTGTCATTTGTGATAGGTAACTACTCGACATTATATCAGGATTTGATAGTTTTGCGACTGAAATCTGATTTTTGACCATTCATAGCGTAAATCCAACTGCCCTGCCTTCCAGCGGAGGTAGACGCTGCGCGACTAGTGAATCAATTGTTGTAGAGCACTAATGTGCTGAGAACGACGAAAATTGTAGGCGCAAGACAGATATCTCTAACTTATTAGCTCGATCGCTCCACTGCCAATCTCGATCGATAACTGTGCATCGAGTGCCTGGACCAGGATATTTAAACTTCGACCAGGATCATCGAATGGCCCCCAGCGGAGCCCTATGGACGGAGATAAACTCGTATTGCTGATCGTCGATGAGCCTCATGGTATTCGGGCAACGAAGGACCTTGAAGATCTCGTGAGAAGCACACTGTCCCGCCATTTCCGTAGTGCCTTGCTTCCCTTAGCTCCGCCTCATCCAACCCGGTATTGCCGCATCAGAATCATCCCCCAGAGTCTGGAAGAGGCTTGATCGAACGGTGAAACGGCGCTCTCTCAATCCCCTCAGGATCTTCCTGCCGACAAAGGCGACAGAGCTAAATGTATAGATGTATCCTTCGGTATCTAGATTGTCTCAACTGTAATCTTTTGGATGTAAGGGTCGTGGCTAATTGGCAAGACCCTGTCGTTACACAACCATTTTCAAGCGTATTGCTTCCCTTTCAATGCGTTGTTATTACTACAGTGTTTCTTGAAGATGTATACTTCATTGCCATAGAAGTCATTCGGTCAAATCCAACCACGCGGAGTCGCTACTAATTGAATCGGGTGCTATGATAAGTAATGACGAGGAAGAAAATGGGCCTTGCGTGGCGGGGATACCCGAATACGGCAAATGACCCGAGGAAATATCTCGCCATGCTGCGCCTCTTCCCCTCTCAATTCGCCATTGCTGACGTGCCAGAGCAGCATCACTACTTCACGGTATAGCTTCCTCTGGAATGGAGTTCGCGCTTGCGTTCGGGTCTGTTGGGGACTTTATCGCAATAGCTCTACTTATCAAAGACATAATTTCTGCGTTGGACGACTGTCGCGGGTCTGCGAAAGAATACCGCGACCTCATCCAAGAACTCAACATTCTCGAAAAGACGCTTCAGGAGGTAGAGCATATCTACAATAACCCGAGGCTTTCTGATGGTCTTGATGACCTCAGTAAAATTGCCCTACTCACCACCAAACAAATCCAACAATGTTTAGAAGGGTTTTGCGATAAGATTCAGAAGTATGGACCCAGTCTCGCGAAGGCGGGAACGGGGAATGCCCTAAAGGATGCTGCGAGGAAAATCCAATGGAAGCTCGAGGAAAACGATTCCAGCAAGTTCCGAGCCGACATCACGGGCTACACAATGTCACTGCAAGTACTGATGGAAGTTACCACCCTGTGAGTGTTCCTGCGTCGAGATCTTGCCTCAGGCCTATGAAAGGCTGACTTGTGACAGACGTATTCTCCAACGAAACCACGAGATGATGGCGAAGAAAATATCGAGCGGCCAGGATCGGACGGACAGCGTCATTCGTGCTTCTAGCCAACGTTTATCAGGCTATATGGAGATTATTGAAAGTCGAATACTCTCAAATCTAGAGTCGATTTCTACGCTGGGAATGGACCTCAAAAGCTCAACTGGCAACATTCTCTCAATTGTGTTGACCATGTCCGGAGAGTTGAGCAGCATAAGAGACATGGTTATGCGGCTAGAGCGACCACTGAGCGATGAGCATTTTATCCTCGAGGATGTTACTGGGCGGGCCATTCCTATTCATTTGAAGACCATAACATCCTGGGATGCCTTTGAGTATATCCTGAACGACCGTTTCAAGGGCAAGAAGGGTTCTCATCGAATTCGACGGAATCTGTATAACCTTCAAGAACGGGCCACTCGCCACGGGGTGGACCGGTCAACCGACTGGGAAAGTGCGTTTCTGCCAAATCAGAGATTCGATATGAGCTTGATATGCCAAGAAGCGCAGAAAGATCCCGGCGAGAGGCTTCTATCTAGCTGCCCTTTCTGCAAGACAATGTCGCCCGCCAAGACGGGTGTTGAAGTACAATGGTAAGCACGAGATCTTCCCATGCTCCTTGTCTCCCAGAACGAAAACTGACATTTACCAGCCAAAATTGCAACAGATTCTTCACAAGAGTTGTGGAACTGGATGAAGAAATTGGTGCACCTGAGGCACCAGTATCTGCAGATCAAGCCTATGATGCTGGACTTGGCAGATCCTCCTCCAAGAAAGGGAATGGTCGAAACAATGCTGACTCGGGCGATGAAAAACATTCCCGGAATAAATCAAAGCGAAACAGTCAAGAGCCGGAATCCGATTCTGATGATGAGGATGTGCGAGGCTTTGTGAGGGTCACCCTGGTATCAAAGCAAAGGGCGATCGAGGAGGTCACCTTGCCAACTAAGTCATCCCATGCGAGATCTTCGGATGGAGAAGTCGAATCTGAGGTGAACCTGAACGATTACGTCGAATCCTCCTCCTCCTCTTCTTCTTCCTCTTCTTCCGACAACGACGCGTATGAAAAAACCACGCAAAACACAGTTGACGGCAAGCTCGTAGCAACTGAAGCGGACGCTCGGAAGCATCGAATCCCATATGGATACTCACTTAAGAACTGGAACCCCACAGAGGAGCCATTTCTAGTGTTGGGGAGCGTATTTGACGCCAACAGCGTTGGAAAGTGGATTAATGATTGGACTGTCTTCCAATATGGTCCTGATTCTCCAGCCTCATTGCTATCCCAAGAGCTTCGGCTTCTTCTCGTTCACCTGGCAGCCAATATCAAACGAGCCGAAGAGGGTTTCGAACGGACACGTCGGCCCGATGACAAGGATATGGTTGAAGATTTCCTTGAATCCGGAGATCGTCTGTTCAATAAATTCAAGAGCCTGCTCGAAGCATGCGAGACACCTGTAATCAAGGCTTCAAAAAAGAAGAGCGAAAGCCCCGGTGTCAAGTTTGTCAAAACCCTCTTTGATGGAAGTAAAGAGTTAACTAGAACAGAAAATTTTATGACCAGGGTCAGGCTTTGGAACTTCCGTTTTGATAATCATTGTCTGGAAATTCTTTTGAATGTCTCCCAATAGATGGAGTTTCTGCTATGTTCAGGAGATATACCACTCGGGCTTCGATATAATGGAGGAAGAATGACGCACATATTTAACTTTAAGTTCAGGAGTTATATATCATGATTATTTACGTGTTCACGTTGCGAAGCCACTGAAATTTCGCATTCCGGGAAGAAAACCGGTAACGCCAGAGCCTTACAACCACTAAAGACTGTGCCATCTCGGCTCGTAAATTGGGTTGCGACATAATCTACCTAACTAGAGCAAATGGCCATCATCTCTGAAGTTCCCATATCTCCCCGCAGCACCGCACCCAAATCGAATATAAGTACTCGGCGAAGGTCACCAGCCAAGGACTGAAGGAGCTCTCTGAATCTGTTCCAGGACCCGGCTGTAATCCGGTCTCGTGCAAAGCTAGAACTAGCAAGTGGTAGGGGGTTCTCAATAAACCTTCTGGCTAATTTATAAATCGGGGTCGCACTTCAGATGGATCCCTCCAGTCGCCCTCTCGGACGGCAAGCACGAGAGGCACACCGTGACAATCCTTTACATGCTCCAGGAACCCATCTTTTGAATGTAATCGATAGATAGCCCGATTCAATACATGATCAGGTTCGACACCTGGCGGAACAAGCTTTGATAGCACCCTAGCAGGTACCCAATCTCGTTGATAGTGTTCGCAAGTAACAAAACACCCCCGACACATGCGTCCATAGTATGCACCTGCATCCGTTAGATACGGGAAGCGAATAGAAGCCATACTGCAATAGTCGTCCCTAATAACGCCATCATCGCCAGGAAGTCTTGCCAGATCGCACGCCCCCGGTTCTAGAGAGGCTTCGTGAAACTGCTTGAAAATGGAGAATTGTCTCTCCGTCATCGGTTCGGCGGGATCTTTCGGCATCAGCTTGGCCACATTTTCGGCCGACCCGTGAACCTCAATTGCCAGCTGTTTTGCCTGCTTCACGCTGACAAGACGATAGACTCGCTTGCGGGAAATCCGGAACCAGAGGGTGTAGGTCCCGGGTATGCTGTACATGGTGGGGATTCGCTTAAGATGTTTGTCCGTGAGGCCAAAGCATTGCTTAGCGATGGCCCGCGTAGTCATTCGAAGTGCATCATTACTAAACAAGCAGTTGACACATACTCTCTCGCAAGTCGGCAGGAATAGAAAGCCTCCAAATTCGAAACACGAGACGCACTTGTCGCTCCGGAGGGTTTGGTGGAGCAGCGGTGCGGAATGGCACTGCAACAACCTGGTCATCCCCAACGCACGTAGTGTTTCTGGCGCATGCGTCATCATGTCTTTATACTCTGGCAATGCTTCCACAATCTCTTTACCCGTTAGGGAAACGCGGGAAATTCGGGACAAGGACTGGAAGTCGAGAAACCTGAGGATGAGGAGTAGGAGCTCCGCAGGGAGGAGATCGAGCTCGCCAAGCGAAGCAATAGAAGCTTTCCGAGTTATCTTTGAAGGTTTTGCTGGGGTAATGTCTCTGATCATTTCATGGACGTATTTGGTCCGGCGGTAGGTAAGATTCGAGATATCCTCCTCGGAGAAGATTTGCGGGGCCGACATGGCAGCGATGGACTCCAATCTCCACGTTAAGGGGCGAGAAGGACGCTAACTGTGAGTGCCCAATGGATCGAGTACAGGGAATCCTCGTTATTGAATAGCGATAGCACTATGGAGGTCGAGGCGGTAAATCAGAGTGCATTTCAGAACAGACAATATTGGTAGAGGTTGTGCCAGTGGTGCTATTTCCAGGGCGGCTCAAAATATGGTGAACACCAGGCAGCAGCTTACCAAACCCACGCAGCCACATTATTACCAGGCGTCCATCCAACATTCACTCTGCGGGACTTGATTCGTCATTTTCACGGCCGAAAGATCGGAATGGCTGGAATCCGCAAGGCAAGTCAAACAATAAATCGCCATGGGACGTGAACTTTAGATGAATTAATTAGAATATGCGAAGTCGATCTCCTGCCGCTAAAACACGCTATCGTTCTTCCAGGGCCGCACATACCCTACGCAAATTTGGTTGCGAAATTAGTGCTTCTTCGGTGAGAGGAAGAGAGACTCCCTCTACTGGATATAGTCTGAGCTTGTGCGAGTAATTCAATCATGTCTACTGTTGGATTTTTGTAGCGTGCATGCGCATATCTTAGCTTTCAGTTGGTGCACCCGTGGACGACCAATGTGCCAACTGTTGGAGAGGGAGCAGAAGGATCAGTCACGATTAGATACCGTATCGACTCAATAAAGTGGCCCTGAATCCTTCCCCCACTTATTGCCTTCGGGCTTCTTTATACCTAATGATTTAGGGAATCTAAGCCTTATAGCTTAGGTAGCTTTAGTACATAAAAACAGGGCCAATTTATCGAGCCGATACGTTATATGCATAAGCTCAATGATCAATGCCATGCTTGGGCGGCGTGAGACCTTGTATGCATATTTATTGGCGTTGAGATGCGGTGGGCTATGCCCTTTACGTTGACACGAAATCGCATCCTTGGTGCATTTCCGGTAGAAGCCAAGGCGGAACAAGTTGACAGTTCTTCCATTCTGTCGCTAGGAATCTGACAGACAATAAACCGGCCGGTATTCCTGCCGCATGCGTAACAAGATCCCGGTAGAAATCATCCCATCTATTAAACAAATGGGTCACGGCTTAGCGATACCACCGTTCAGGTCACGCCCCTGTCTGGACCATCTCGATTCGAGCGGCGAGCCGCGCCGCACCCCGGAAGATAAACAAGGTATGCAGCTTTAAAACCGCTATGGTTTCGGTACATGATCGCCTATCCCTGGCCATCAGTCCATGCTGAGCGTGCCCCAGATCTTTATCCTTAAACAACCATCCACCCACCGTTTCGTCTAAGATAATCTTCAAAACTCCACCAATCACCTATTTCTCCCACCAGCGGAACTTGAAACGCTCCGTAGCGCCAAGCCCAGCCCGACAGCGCAACCGAGTTTGAGTGGCGGATTTTCCCAAGGGGCGTTCAGTCCTTCATTCCGAGATGCCCGTTTTGAATCAATTTGACGAGGACGAGGTCCGGTGAGGAACCGTACTTAAAGACGGCAGTCTGTCGTGATGGAGGAGGAATCAGACCAGCTCTCAGCCCACTACAGATCAACCGACCGTATACCCTTCTTTTCTTCTTCAATTGGCTAGTCCATCTTAAATTATATCAACATGCGTGTCCTGGCTTCTATCCTATCTACCGCGGCCCTGGTGGCTGCTCACGGCTACGTCGAGGAGGGAACCATTGGTTGCGAGACTTATGAGTTCTACAACCCCAACACCGACCCTTACATGTCACCCACCCCCGAGCGCATCTCGAGAACGATTCCCGGTAACGGCCCTGTCGAGGATGTCACCTCCATCGACATCCAGTGCAACGGTTATACCGCCGGTGGTATCAACGGTAGCGAGCCCGCTGCTCTGCACGCCACCGTCGCTGCTGGCTCCACTGTGAACCTGCTCTGGACTCTCTGGCCCGAGTCGCACATGGGTCCTATCCTCACCTACATGGCACGATGCCCCGATACGGGCTGCAACGAGTGGGAGCCCGAGTCCGAGTCTGTGTGGTTCAAGATCCAGGAGGATGGCCGAGACGGAACCTCCGACACCTGGGCAGCTGTGAGTCGTCTTTACTGAACATCCGATAGAGCAAGGACTGACCAAACACAGACGGCTTTGATGACCGACGACAACGATGGTGTCGACTACACCATCCCCAGCTGCTTGAAGGCTGGCTACTATCTCGTACGCCACGAGATCATTGCCCTGCACGCTGCCTACCAGTACCCCGGAGCGCAGTTCTACCCCGGATGCCACCAGCTCAAGGTCACCGGCGGTGGCAGCACCGAGCCAGCCGACCTTGTCAGCTTCCCTGGTGCCTACTCCCCTACTGACCCTGGTATCACATACGACGCCTACAAGGGTGAGTTTCCATGCCCCAATTACTTTACCATTTACTGATTCATTTTCGTTCAGCTGCCACCTACGAGCTCCCTGGCCCTGCCGTCTTCACCTGCTAAATCACTAGCCCTCTTCTCCTGGATAGGATTGAATGAACAACATGACTTTACATGCTGGTCTTCATTGTATATAACAATGTTCATGTATATTGGTTGGGATATAAGTAAATAAAACCCTTGATCTGGCTCAATCTCTGCTTTCAACACGATGTGAAGTCGATGCATGTGTGAATGTCCCTCGTCACCGTCATCGGTTTAAAATCCTTTGAGCTGGAAGCTACACCGTCTTACCCGCCTATATGTGCGCTGCACTCAAGACGATACTAGTTGCCCCTGAATCCTTGGGAAGATCTGGGGGTATCCGCGACGTGATTGTGAGGTGTTCAGGGCCGGTGGCGCGTGGGGGTTGGACACATGCAAACATGTTTGACGATCATAAACGACGCGATATGATAGCGAGGCAGAATTAATCAGTCCCACGGACGAATTGCGGGTGTCTGGTGAAACATTCCCAATTTTTTAGGCATGATGTTGAGGATAAAACTTAACCTACCAAAAGTGGGAGCCTGTACACACATGCAAACAGGATCGTGAAGACAGGCAGCGAGATACAATCGATGACAAGTACAAATACAATATAATTAGGAGCGATAGAAAAGCAGAAACAAGTGACTATACGTATTTTACACAGTATTGACTAACGATTCGCCCAATACCCAACCCAACCCAGCCCACTCAAGATGCTTTCCTAGTCCCAACGGAACTGAACGTAGCCACTCTGGCTTTCTTGACCACTTCGACAACCTCCACTGCCGGATGTTCGGTGTGCGTCCACCAGTGCCAAATCATAGCAAGAATTGCGGTGAATAACGTCAGCGGAATAGACACCCACCACATTGTCCAAAACAACGGTGTGGTCAGGACGTCCCACTTGTCATTGTGAGCCTCCGCCACGAACAACTGTGAACCGACGACGGTGGCAACACCTGTGGTCGGAAGGAAGATCATAGTGATGGCTGCGATGATCTTCATCGAGTTGGAATCCTGGATCATCACCATGGAGTCTTGCTGAGTAACAAGGTTGAATGACAACGTAATAGCATTGTCAATCCGCTTCTGCAAGCTACCAAGGCGCAGCTGGCTGGAGCGGAAGAGCGACCGTCGGTACTGAAGACACTCATGAAGTTGCCTGAGAACTTGGTCACTGTTCGATTGTCGCGGGACCTGCTCATGGTTGCCGATGTTTTGGATGGTCGAGTCCACGAGCATCATGCAAGATTCGAGGGCTTCTGCTATGTGGATGATGTGCTTGGCGCAATTGTGCATGGCTGCGAAGGGGATCTTGGAGCTCATCTTTCGAATGCCCTTGGTGTTGGCATACTCGAGGATTAACTGTGACTATTAGACTGGAGAAAGGAGAGGAGGATCGAGTAGCGTACGTGTTCAAGCGGTCCGAAGACCGTGTTCATCTTCCAGACTGTATCGTCAACCTCGTAGTACAGCCCTTCAAAGATCAGATCAAATAAGATGTACGGATCATTTGAGACGTGTTCCCAGGCTTTAGCGGCAATGAACTCGTTAAGCCGATCCCTCACCCGCGGCGTGGCACCGAAGCACACCAAGGTGGTACATCCATGCGGGTCGACCCTCAAGAAGAAGCCAGCGCGATGCCAGCTGTAATCGGCCTGCGGGAGTGTTGAAACGTGGTATCCCATGGCCGCAGCGCGGTTGTCTACCTCTGGGCCGTTTGTTCCCTCGTGTCGGATGTCGATGTTCTTGCAGAGGAAATGAAACCAAGTGCAAGATCCATTCTTGTCCGTGCTGCGGCCGAAGCTGTGGCTCACGGACTGAAGTCGCTCCTTTGTAAAATCGCCCGGAATGCCGAGAATGTTGAATATTTCGAGCGTTTGCGGCAGGGCATCTCGTCGAGGAAGGTCAAGCGGCGCGAAGCTAGATCCAGTCAGTATGCAAGTTGAAATCCGCATTCACTGCATCCTTGTTTCCCCAGCGTCCAAAGACTGACGTGTGCAAAGGCCGGGTTTGTATGATGCATTGGAGCGTGTGGACTTACACAATCCTCAAGCTTGCGCTGGAGAGAAGGCTCCGGGCGTTGGTCTCCAAATGCCATCGACCCTCTGGGTGATCTGGTCCAAGTCAGCATAAACCCAGTAGGGAGCTAGAATCCTTCCATACCGTGGGACACCTCGAATATGTTGAGTATCCATTGAGGAAACGCAACCGCGACAGGCGATCCCGTTGCCTCGTCGACAAACGCTTGGTAAGGATTCTCTCTGTTCGTCCACGACATGGTCAACAAGTGGTCGATGTTCGCAGAAGAATGTCAGGCAAAAAGAGGTGTAAAACTTGCAAAATCGTGTCGCAAAGTCCAGCAGCCATAATCGGGCTGTCGCCGCACCGACTTTTGACATGCTGCGCTTCTGCACCTCAATCACCCCAGCGTTCAGGGGAAAGCCAACAGGGCGGACCAAGCTTCACCCAGGCTGGGCCGCCTCAAGTGACATTCTAGGACTTTGCTATCAGCTACTCCCTGCGAACCAGTTACGACCTGTCGGAAGCGCGAGAGCCAGCGATGCAGGCTGCCACGCCGCCGCCGTGCCTAGACCAGCGCCATGTCTCACGAACGGGCGCTACGATACATTGTCCGTCTCCGTGACTGGGCGGCGGCTATTCCAGCTTGGTCTTGGCAGACAAGGGAGAGTATTGCTATTTGCTCACGTTGGATGTATGCGAAAATGTGTAAAAGTTTACTCTTTACTTATCCCTCGCGAACCCGACGCCCTGGTTGGGCTACATGGGTCGATGCCACTTTCAGGGCTGATCTACACATGCCACACGTCGCGAGCTGAGACTCTATTCGACACGCGTGATCATCTGAGCTCTGTCCGCCAGGCAGGGCTTTGTCTCCTGAGTGGAGCGCGCATTCCAGTGAGCTTCATCGCCCGCTAGTAATAAGGCTACCAATCGCCATCTCCGGGTGCGACTCAAGCTTCTCACCAATGTTGCCATTTGCCGCGTCGGCAGATGTTCCCAACCCCGGTTGTGGCTGAAAGCTAAGAGTTAGCGACTATTTTTATTGAAGTAACCTCATAGGTGTGTGCCACCCCGCCGCGTTGTCACACGGGGATGGGTCTAGATGCATGAGCGTGTCTGCTTTTTCGGGCTATCGAGTTACACATGTAACGCCACGGCTGGCCTCAACAGCCAATGTCTTTGACCTAGCAGAAGACAATAGCGTCTGACCGCGCGTACGTGTGAATCTAGAGCCCTCCTCGCGGAGAATACCGTCCTTGGCCGTCCTATCACCGTCAACGAAGCATCATGAGGCTGAATGCAGGAGCAGGGAGTCATCACATGGCGCCTCAGTCTGATACAGATCCGACTGGTCCACGGGTGGGATTGGCGCTCCCAGAACATAGTAGAACACGGTCTAGGTCTATGGGTGGAGAAGAACCCGTTTGCTGAGAGCTCAACGGGAAGCTGCCTCGTTGCCTTTCCTTGGGACGTACAGGATTTCCACCAGCCTCCCGCTCATTTCCCAGTACGAAGCTCTGTGAACGCCCAGTTTTCGTTACCTACATATTTGTCGGTCGTCTCAAGGAGCACGCCTCTGCCCGGAAACATTACCCCCTTTTATCCTCCTCCTACCTCGCGTCCTAGACATATGCATACACAACTTCTTCTGCCTTCGGAATCACGTACTTAAATCATGGTGGGCCGCCGTTCCCAGACCCGATTGACTCTCGCTTGTACTCACACCTATCAAGGCTCACTTGCACGGGGGCTTCTTTGACCCCAACGCTCCTGGCAATGTATGTTTTGGTCAATCATCCTGGCAGCTTCCCAGCTCTAACACCTTGTTAGTACCCGCCCCAGAACCGGCCCCCGGCGCCTTCGCACCAAGCCCACGGTGGTTCTTACACGCCCGGGAGTTCAGTCGTGGTAAGTAGAACTGCCTTATCCAGTTATTCTCACAATATTTCTAACTGTGGATGCCAGTCCTATCAAAACCAGCCCTTCTACGGTCACCAGGCACAGCCTGTGTCACCTATCCAAAGCCCTCAATCGACCCATTCTACCTCGTACGGATCTCCTCCACCCCAAGAACAGTACCCCCTCTCCCATATCCAAACACAGCCAAGCATGAGTCAATACCAGCAGCAAACAATGGTCAGTAATCTGTTGACCTTCGTCACCACGCCTCAAGCCTAACCAGGACAGGACTACAATGGACAGCAGGGTGCCTATCAGCAGGGTGTCTATCACCAGGGGACGGGCTATAGTCGGCAGGATGGAACAATGGTAAAGATCTTCCGCGGCTGCTTCTGTGTGTAGCATCAAATTGAACGCGTTTTAGCAACCGGCGGCTCCTGCTCCTCTCGTGCCCAACAAGCTGACTCCCATCGACGAAACAAATGTAATGACTCTATTCCCGTTCGTAAGATTGTGCCAGCCTGCTAATGACTGACCACAGAAGGAAGAAAAGGAGTTTCCCGTCAGCCTCAAAGGCAGCCACCACTTCTCCGAGCCTCGAACGGTGTGGCGATGGCGTAACCCAAGAATGTACCAAAAGCCTGGATACGTCTTCAACGACTCAGAGCGCCAGTTCCGACACCGTGACTATGCTGGCCGAGTTGCTATCAAGCCCCGATCGGATCGCTATCTGCACCACAATGATGGCTACCTGCGCAACCTCTATGTGGCTTGCACGGACGATATCTATACAGGGCCAGGGACTTCTACTTGGAAGAGAACCTTTGTGCGCAAGGTTGCTCCATTGAAAGTCCGCATCGCCACTTGGGTGATTGACTTCAGCTACGACCCCGAGAGCTGGGAGGACTGGGGTATCATGATCCTTCGAGCTCTGCCTGCAGCCTTAGCCATGACTCTTGTTGTGAGTAGTCCCACGATGCTGAACTATGTACAACGACATTAACAGTTGCAGTTTTGGGACAGCAAGTCAAGAGTCTTCAAGCGGCACTTGTACTATGCCCCAGTGCTGTACACCTACCATGGCAATGCCAAGGTGTGGAGCAACATGCTCGAGAATCGCAAGGGCCTGTCTCTCATGGCTCGCAACAACCAGGTCTATCGACTGTTGCGGCCTCGCTACCTGTGCTTCCTTCGCGAGCCATTCAACGATGAGAATTGCGGAGTTGAAGTCGAAAACGTCGAACACTGGGAGAGGCGCCAGGGGCAAGATCCCAGCTTGAACTACCTCTTCGTCGCATACTCCACAGAGCATTTTTCGCACTCTTCTGAGGCAGACATGGTTGCTCTTCATCAAATCGCCGAGACAGCTTGTCGCGTTGCCAAGTTGCCCGCATACTGGATTTCCTGCAGCTGTATGCGGGATACTGCCGAGCTGGAGGCGGATGTAAGTATCCCGTTACCCATAATCCAGATCTATGGCTAACGTGTGAAGATCTATCGCATTTCCGATGTCCTTCGCGGTGCACACAGCATGATCATCGCCGTTGGAAGGGGAAAGGCCGCTGAATCCTCCTCGGGCAAAGTCACCACTGAAGCACTGCTTCAGGAATGGGGCAGTCGAATGTGGACATTCCCCGAGGTCCTCCTCAGCCCAGGGCGTAGCATTCAGGTCTACACCCGCGATGGTAATCTTCAAGCGCCACTCACCATCGCCAAAAACCAATTTGCGTCCCAAGTCTGGACGTATATGGATGCTGATGTCGCGAGACACTTGATCGACCACTACCTGGGCAGCATTTCTCTGAGCCGGCTGGAACTTGCAGTTCTGGCTCTGAGATGTCTGTATAGCCGGCACACTACTGAGTACTTCTCAGGTGACCAGGCGTATGCTCTCATGGGACTCTTGCGGATGCGGCCGCAGATTGACTCGACCGACACTGCCTTCCAGGCGTTTTCGCGATTGTCCTTGGCCAATGACTCAGACAAGCTCCTGGAGAGATACATTTGCACCCTCCCTCTCAATCGCAGTCAGCCATGGTATGACATGGACGACACCTACCAGTCAACCCTCTGGGATATCACACCCCACTGCGAGGTCGCTGGCATTGCAGACGATGATACTGTCATCATCGATGGCGCCTGGGGAATCTCCGTTCGATGGAAGACATTCTACTCAGTCTATTGGTCCACTGGACCGTCGTGGAAGCGATTCGCTTCCGAGATGATGATGGAGTGGAACGGCGCTTTTTTCATCATGGCCATTACTTTCTTCTCCCTTGGAGCCCAAGCTGGTCCGGCTGGCTCAGGATTGATTATCGCAGGAGTCATCTTCTTGTTACTCTTCCTATATGTTTGGGTCATGACGCCAAAACTGGTCAGGATCATCTACGGAGGAAAGTTCAGCGAGACTCAGGCCGAGATGTTCGGCTTCGAAGGGCATCTGAACGCCGCCACCATTGAGCGGGCTATTTTTGGCGGCAACTTTGGTCGATTCTCGTGGAGTCCCAACGCAAGCCCCTTGTGTCGCTCGGTTATAAATGAGCACGGAGAACGTGTGGGCTTTGATCCATACAAGGACCCGGAGATTCGCATGAAAGTCGAGGCGGCCAAACAAGCTCGGCCCGGTGACATGAGGGTACGGATCCAAGTCCCGAAGAAGCTGACCAGAACCTCGCTAACTCGCCACAGATTTTTACATTGGTGGATACATACAACATGCAGTTGATACTGTTCGAGGCCGTCAGGCCACCAGTGACTCTCATGTTCTGTGCCTCTGAAGGAGGTATGCAACGTGCGATCGGCTGCTCGTATGAGTGGGAGTCGCAGACCATGTACCGCGAGACGGTTCTCAGAATGCCTACGACCTCCCTCAACCGCATGGATCGAGTTCCTCGGTTCCGTATGGGGATCCAGCGTCGTGACTATGCATCTGCGCCGCAGGCTGGTCCGGTTTGAAGCGGAGCGATGGCGTGGTGGATTTGAGTGTGGCGGCTGGAATCGTGGCTTGTAATCCTGATGACTGTGCATGAGTTTCCACAGATGTAATCGATAGTTCTTTATTTCTTTAATTAGTTGAATAATATTACACAGTCGAGTTTCCCTTCATCTGCGTGTTGACGGAGAAGCGGCGGCATCAGCTCTTATCGATAAGCCCCCAGGCGACAGTGCGAGAGCGGGGCAACAGCTGCCAACTGACTACCCTCACCACCCGCCACCTTGAAGTCTCCCAACTCATCCTCTCCATCTCCACAACCCCACGCTTCCCAGGAAGAGTAGGGTCGGCACGATGGAGACGGCTCGCAAATCATGGGGTAGGTCTCACGGAATCCTGCTCCTCCTCATCCTTCCCGTCTCCCAAACCAACCGCTAACCCCGCTGCAGAGCTGGACAACAATGTCCAGTTGATCGATCCCAAACGTGACGCGCTCTACAACTACGACGCCGAGGCACAGAAGGCCATCGCCAACGCGAAGCCATGGACCAAAGATCCCAACTACTTTAAGCATGTGCGCATCAGCGCCGTCGCCCTCATCAAGATGACCATGCACGCCCGCTCCGGCGGCAATCTCGAGGTCATGGGCCTGATGCAGGGCTACATCGACGAAGACACCTTTGTCGTCACCGACGCTTTCCGCCTGCCCGTCGAGGGCACCGAAACCCGAGTCAACGCCCAGGGCGAAGCGAACGAATACTTGGTCGAGTACCTGGACCTCTGTCGTGCCCAGGGCCGACAGGAGAACGTGGTGGGCTGGTACCACAGCCATCCCGGATACGGATGCTGGCTCAGCGGAATCGACGTCGAGACCGAAGCCATGCAGCAGCAATTCCAAGACCCTTTCCTAGCCGTCGTCATTGACCCCGATCGCACCATCAACGCTGGGAAGGTGGAAATCGGCGCCTTCAGAACGTACCCCTCCAACTACAAAGCGGACTTGAGCGCAGCCACTTCTGACGGCTTCCAGGCGGTGCCGCTCGCCAAGGCAGCCGAGTTTGGCGCCCACTCCGGCCGCTACTACAGTGTCGAAGTTTCTCACTTCAAGAGCTCCCTGGACTCGCACCTCCTCGAGCTGCTGTGGCACAAGTACTGGGTCCAGACTCTCAGCCAGAGCCCGCTGCTTACGAACCGAGACTACGGCAATAAACAGATGCTTGACTTGAGCTCTAAGATCAAAGAAGCCACGACAAACATCACCCGGAGCAGGGCGGGGCAGGGTATGATGTTGGGCGGGACCAGAAGCACCGACAAGGCAGTTGAGAAGCTGGCTAGGGACGCTAACTTGATTGCCACCAAGGAGAGGTCGGGATTGATTGCTGGCCAGGTCAAGGCCAATGTTTTTAACAACCTTGGGGCGAAGCCCTCGGATGAAATTTGATGACCTGGATTTATGAGAATGCTTGTAGCATAACGTAACGGCATAGATGGCGTTCAGAGGTGAAATCAAGAAGCCATCGTGGCTCTGTTCTCCAGGGTACTTTCGTTCATGTTCCAGGCCAGGCTCGTCGTGAACCATACCCGCTTGAGCGTCACTAAGTGATGTTCATCACGATTGAGGAACACTTGGACTTTCCAACTTAGCAACTCATCTTACAGCTTTCTGTCTTTGGATATCGAATTGTCACGCTATTGCTAGTTCTGTCTCGAGGGAGGTAATCTCGCCGCCCCGCCAATCACATATTTACCCTTGTCGGCCTATCGTCATGCTTCTCACAACTTCGCCTGCGCCTGCTTCATCAACGACCTTGTCGCCCACGCTACCCTCGTCTCAATCGACGCCTTCGAGACAGGATGGTCCGGTACCAAGTAATCAAACATATGAAATCCGCCCTGCCAGATATGCAGCTCTACCTGCACACCCGCCGCCCACAGCTTCTGTGCGTATGCGATACTCTCGTCACGGAACAGTTCTGCTGAGCCTGCGCAGATAAACGCCGGAGGCAGGCCCGCCGCATTGGTTATCCGCGAGGGCGCCGCCAAGGGACTCACGCCGGACTTGCCGGACGAGGCGCCTAGGTAGGACGTCCAAGCTGTGACGTTAGAGCCGCGCGACCAGCTGCCTTCGCCGACGAACTGGCGGCTCGAGTTGGTCTCCATGCGGTCGTCGATCATGGGGCTATCGAGCAACTGAGCGCAGATCCTGGGGCCATTGCGGTCACGAGCCAGCACGGTCATGGCGGCCGCCAGGTTACCGCCAGCACTCTGTCCTGCGAGCATCAAGAAGTCGGGATCGATGCCCAGCTCCGCGAGATTCTCTCCGATCCAAGTCAGGCCCGCGTAGCAGTCGTCTAAGGGCACCGGAAATGCATGCTCCGGCGCAAGACGGTACTCAACGGTGATGCACACAGCGCCCGCTTCCTTTCCCCACCGCAGGACCTCCTTGAAGCCCGTAAAGCGGTTCCCGCAGATCATGCCGCCGCTGTGCGAGTAGTATATCGCCGGGCTGCCGGTGCGTGCGGGCGCAACGCCGGTGGGCCGGAAGATGGAGAGCGTGACGGGGCCATGCGGACCGGGGACGGATCGCTCTTCGTGGGTGAAAGACTCGCCGGCAAGAGTGGACTCGAGGGTTGCGGCAGCGTTCTGGGCCTCGCGAAGGGCCGGAATGAGCTCTGGTGGGAAGTCCTTCGGGCCTGGAAGGATGTCGAGGAAGGCCGCGAACTCTGGCTCGTATGGAGGCTTGGGGATATTTGCAGGCATGGTGAATGATAGTATATGTGTATATGTCCTCAATTACTGGCTTTACCGTTGAAACTAAAGGGGAGGGGAGGTGTAAATACACGAGGCGAGACTATACGAATGGACGAGGTGAGCTTGGCCACTTTTGTTGAGACCAAGGAGGAAAGGAAGAAAGAGCTTGGAGACCAACGTGATTATATTCACCTAGACAAGCTTCTCCGCACGCCGATTGATGTGGGGGAGCTCCCAAGTAAGCTCCTGGATCTTGGGCGCATGACAGATCTATCGTGAGGAGCTGAAGTGCCGAGGCCCTTCGGGTTTCCGGGATGCAGATGTCGGAGACGGGGACCCGGAGTGAGGTGGGGCCATCACCGGGACACTCTTTGCCCCCGTGTCGACCTTTGGAGGGATCTTTGGTCATGCAAACAAAGCATATTGATCCTACGGTTACAGTTATTTATTCTTTTCTCAACAACCTACAGATATGTACGATTTAGACGCAGCAGCGCTTTCTGCGTTATTCCAGAATGGCAACCCTTCTGACGGCTGACGCAGGATACCCCGGCTTGACAAGGAAAATGTCTTCCGGCGGGAAGACTGGACATCTTCCGGGCGGGCTACGGATATTGAGCTAGCCGGGCCCGGCTATTTGCAGATATCTCTTGGTGTATTCATAAGGCTCGGGGTGCTCAGGTGACTTGGCTCGATTAAATTGAAGTCAGGATCGGTCAAGGTGTCGGGTGACCATGGAAGCGGTGGTTTTTCTCAGAATATCACTATTGGCCGGCGGCACGTCCACGCCATTTTAACCACCCATGAGTCGGTCGCTAGTGAGATTCTAGATCGTCTTCCTCCAACTGTGAATGTGTCATGTCGAAAGAATTTACAGACTCCTGTGGCTTGAGGCTACTCCGTAGTTGGGGATATATTGGAACTCACATTCACGACGCCACCAACGAAGCGGCGAGCTCTATCGCCACGGAGTCGGAGGGAGACTAGGGTTGAAGAGTCAGACCCTTGGGCGGTCTTAGCTTGCGACTACTAACGCAATTAGATCTGTTCTTTCCTTTTTGTCGATATCAAGATGCGCCCTTGGTCTCCTTGCAGCAGATGAGACTCATATGGAACAGATTCATCAATAGCTCTGGCGTTAACTCGACGCTAGGGTAGCCAGCCATTATCCTTTCGGAGATGGCCACAGTGCTGCGTTGCATCCTGAGCATCGGCAGTGCCACTGGTGATGCCTGACCAGACGACGTGGTGCAAGCTGGGTGGAATCTAGATGCGGCGCTCGTGCGACGGTGCATGGTGATCGTGTGTGCAGCTGCATGTGCGCCTACACAGGCGAGCTGGAGAGTGCTGCACGTCGAGTAATGAAGACGGGCGGATGATCTAGGGAGCAGCTGCATCATGTAGATAACTTAGAGGCTAGTCAACTGGAGCTGATACCATGACAGGCCAGTCGCAGCGATAGGGTATGCAGATTCCAGCCTCACAAGCTCCAGATATGCATGGAGCTGGTATCTTGGACATCAACACGGATGAAGAAGGGAAAGTTCCGGTGGAGGCCTTTTAGTGGCACTGAATTGTCAACACCAAGATGAGCCGAGACACGGATCAAAGCGATTGCGGCCGAGCACATGCTTCCAGGCTCTGGGAAACCATCTCCTCCTCGACGGCATCACCAGCCACCGAGCCATGCTGCATCCAGCTAGCGGCATCGAGCTCCCCCCGGTCGATATTGGGCGCTACCGCGAGGTTCCAGCTCGGCAGGTATCTGGAGATGAGGTTGGCTGGGAGAGCCAAGTACAGTCCTGGGCTGCGATGGAGCGACCCCGGGCGGCCTGAGTGCCACACCACGTACACCACGTACCTGACGGTCATAGGCTCAGCCCAGCGATTATAGTGGGTGGAGGTACCTTGCTGGTGTGCTTGGGTTAGGTTCTTGGGTTTGTTACTTTCGAGGTGCATCGTGCGCAACTCGCCGTTCCGTTTGCATGGTTTCTGCTGTGTCAAAGGTGCATCCTGACGTCATGAATCATCATGGTCCCCCTCGGCCGCCGAAGCTCAGCACATGGATTGACAGGTGGGAATCAGGGCACGCGAGCATCATCGGCGCTGTCCTCGAAGCGTGCAGAGGTGCGCTATGAGATTGCATGACGCGTAATTAATTAGAGAACGATGGAGCTGCGTGCGGCAGATGCACTCGGATGCCCGTGACCATGTGGTGCAGCCAAGCTCAGCTTCGATAGTTCGTACGGTGACCCTCTTGAAGTGGATGCAGAAGCTGGGGAGCTTATCGATTTTCTTCGTGCCAGCCAGGCATGCGGTTGATAGGGAGGGGGGACTCCTTCGCAAGGGAACGTCGAGGGAATCTACAAGATGGCCGCCGCAATACGCGAGACACACGGCATGGGCTGGATGCAGCATGTGTTCGCGCATCCCGTTCGCTGTCTCGGCGCTGTAGGAGATGGAGGGCGCACAGAATATGTGTGTGTCATGGCTTTGCACTCGGCGAGCTGCGATGCGTGGGGAACGGATGTACGGTCTGGAACAGCTTCGCCAACAGCCAACAGCCAACAGCCAACAGCCAACGGGACGCCTGCGCCGTGGCCATGGCGATGCAGCATGTCAAGATAATGAGTGAGTGGTACGCAAACGCCCAAGAGACAAACCCGCTGAGCACGGCGCCATCCATTGTCTGACCTGTCACCCAGCACACAGATACACACACGCCGCATCTCGAAACCTGCCCTGGCCTGGATGTTCAGATCGGATGCCTCCGTAATTAGCGACGGGCCAGTGTGGGAGTTGGCGACGGGGTCTAGAATCCATCCTCCTCAGCCGCCACGGCGAGGCGCAGGCCGGAATAATCCAAGACGGGGGCTCTCCACATGCAGACATGCAGACATGCAAGACGCCTCGATGCAATCAAAAGACAAAGAGCGTTCCATTCTGGCCGTTGCAGGCGGCCAGAGATGACAGCCAGCCCCAGGGGGTGAGACAATCTGCCCGCTGCAACCAAGGGCAACCAACCCACGTTGGAAATGGGAACCCCCCAGCAACGCAAAAGTCGATGAAACCAGCCAGCCAAAGTAAAAAACGACGAAACAAAAAGGAAAAAAAAAAAAAAAAAAGCCATCAAAGTCGCTAGCACCCGGCCGCAAAGTCGAGAACGTCAGAGACGTCCGCCGGGATGGTGCGCGATGGGGATGCTTCCCTGTCTGGCCGCAACCACCCTTGCCCAGCTGGCTTGGCCTGGCGCTGGAGCTAGCCGGCTTGACACGCGCGGCCCTATGCCATTTGACCGTCCTTTTTTTTTTTTTTCATTGCTGCCCTGACTGAACGGTGATGGAGCAGAGTACTTTGTGACTAGTCGACCAGGTACCTGAGACGGGGCTCTTAGCTTTCCACTGGGCGCCGACTAATACCGGTACGCCGTAGTGGATGCAGTGAGTTGTGTTAGTGGTGTTAGTGGTGTCGGCGGTGTCAATCGCCGTGGTTGTGGTCTCACCAGCTGTACCTAGCTCTGCGACATATGGCCGATGACGTCCACGATCAGCAATTCTGGGCACGCCTCGCCCTTGCTCAACGTCACTCCCTCCCCGAATCCAGCTTTGCCTGGCTTGTCTCTAGGTGCATTCCCTGTCTTGGTTCTTGCGGGATACCTCACTACCTTGCCTCACTACCTGGCCGTAGCGTGCTGGCTTGTAGCTCCCTCACGCCACGTCTGGAAGTTGGGTTGGACTCGCCCAAAGTATATGTAACCCCCTTCCTCCTCGGGCCTCTCCTCGCGGCTTCTTCCTGCCTTCTCCTTTCATCTCTATCTCCAAGGAAGATCTTTATACCCCAATCCCCTGAAAGGAATAATACCAACCGTCTTGTGATACCCCAACCCGCCTCCTACCCATTTCCTTCCGCCTCTCCCAATCGACCTTCCTTCACCTCTCAATACCCCGGATACCCTCGATACCAATCTCTGCCCTTTACGCAAGAGTCGTTTTACCTGCTCCCAGCTTTATACCCTCTTCACGACTCGCTTAATCACATATACCCGCCATCATGTCCGTCAACGTCAACAAACCCACCGACAATGCCGTAAAGGAGGCCGACATCAACCGCAAGCTCCAGCTCTATGGAATTGCCATGGCATTCCAGAAGGGCAAGGTCCCATCAGTAAGCATCGGCGCCTCCAGATTCTTCCAATTGTCATTGTACTGACCTCGACTCTCCAGAACGACCAAATCGACATCGCCCTCAGCAGCTTCCTGGCCTCCAAGGCCCTCTCAAACCCCCCCGAGAAGCTCTCCGACGACGGCAAGACCCTTGTTCAGGATACTCGGGACGTCATCCAACAGGCCAAACACCTTCTCCTGTCAAAGAACGACGGCAACCTGATCCAGGACTTCGTCTGGCAGACGACCCAATTTGATCCCAAGAGCGTCAAGGCCCCCGGTGCTCCTGTCACTAAGGAAGCCGCCAAGAAGGATGGCGAGGATGCCCTCCAGGGCTTGAGAACTCTCGGTACCCTGCTCATTACCAACGGCCAGTTCCGAAAACTCCTCCAAGACTGCACCGTCCTCCTACGAGACATTGCCGGCGATGCTGCCACCAGCGTTGCCTCCAAGGTGCGCCCTACTGAGGATCAGCTCGCCGAGATGGACAAAGCCGCCCAGGACAACACATGGCATGAGAAGCCCAAATTCTCCAAGGCGGACCTGAAGAAGCGGGCTCAGGGAGTCTATGGCGGAGCCAAGAAGGATGCAAAGGATGTTGCTGCCGCTGGTGCTGAGGCTAACGACCAGGTCGATACTATGGCCGGAAGAGATGCCGCTCTCAACACGGCCAAGCAGAAGCTTGATGGCAAGATCGACGAAAAGACCAAGCAGAATATCCTTCAGCGCAATGAGGAGTATCGCCGCCGCGCCGGCGAATACTTTAACAAGAAGATGCCCAAGGAGCGCAAGGACCAGACCATCTTCCGTCTCAAGAAAATGATCCTCGAGTGCCAGCAGCATGAGGACTACTCTCAGGCTATCCACACCCTGCTGGATCTTGCTGAGAGCTACGGCAAGCATGGCCAGACCCTCGGTAAGGGAGGTGCCGGCTCTGCCAAGGAGGCGCGATCTGGATTTGCGGCGGCTGAGGCCGACCTGCGCACCCTCATCGAGCGCTTCGCCAACGGCACTTCGACCTCTGACCTGTGGGAGTCGATCAACCAGATCTACAAGGACGCTGAGAAGGATCAGGAGCTTCGCGACTGGTTCAAGGCTATGAACACTTACATCAGACGCTGTCTCCTTGAGCAGGGCTTCATTCTCGACGACCTGTCCACCCAGCAGTGGAATCAGCTCTACGAGCGAGGACGCTACCTGCTCCGCGAGAAGTATCGCGCCCAAACCGACCGCATCCTTGACGAGGTCAAGTTCGTCGCCGACCAGTTCGACAAGGACGCCCAGAACAAAGCCTTTGCTCAGTCTCTCGCAAAGTTGTTCAAGGACCTTGGCAACGATGTCGACGGCAAGCCCGTGTTCAAGCCTCATCTCATCAAGGACTTGACCGAAGTCATCCTGCCTTCCGTCTTGAGGAACATTGCCTACATCCCCATCCCCCGCATTGAGTTCTCGGATCCCAAGTTCGATGCCATCATTGAGAACTTGGTCCTCGAGAGCGATAACTTCATGCCTAATGTTCTCGAGATTGCTAGTGAGAACTACTTCCGCTGGGGACGCAAGAAGATTGCCAACAAGCACCACCAAACCTTCGAGGTCAAGGTTGCCGGCATCCAGATGGACCTGCGCGATGTCAGCTTCCACATCAAGCGCAAGCAGGGCTTCCCTTCCATCACCGACACTGGTGTCGTTGATATCCTCCTGCCAGGCGACGGTTTCTCCTTCAAGATGAAGGTGTGCACAGCCCATAAGAAGGATCGCGAGAACTACTTCAAGGTTGAGAAGGTCGACGTGGACGTCAAGGGCCTCAACTTCAAGGTTAAGCAGTCCAGCCACAAGTTGCTCTTTGCCCTGGTCAAGCCCCTTGCCCTCAAGTTCATGCGCAAGCCGTTGCAGATGGCCGTGGAGAAGGCCATCAAGGAGCAGTGCAACACCCTCGACGCCAAGTTCTTTAAGATCAAGCAGGAGGTCGACCGCGCTACCGTCGAGGCCAAGAACGACCCCAAGAACGCCCCCAACATCTACAAGCGTTACTACGAGGCTGCCCAGAAGGAGTTCAGCAAGAAGAAGGCCGAGGCTGGGGCGGCTGTCGCTGACAAGAAGGTCAACGTTGCCTTTGTCAAGGAGGACAGCATCTTCCCCGCCATCAACCTCCCTGGCGGCATCAGCACCAAGGCCTCCGAGTACAAGGAGCTGGCCACCAAGGGCGAGAAGTGGGAGAGCCCTGTCTTCTCCATCGGCTCGGCTAGCAAGAGTTCGGACATTCCTCCTGCACCCAAGATTCAGCGTAAGAGCCATGCCGTAACCAACGGAGGTACTCACACTCCCGGCAATGGCATCGTCAACGGAAGCGGCGCCTTTAATGGCAAGCCTGTGAATGACTACAGCACAATCCTCCCCACCAACGGCCGCAAGGTCAACGACGGACCTCTACTCCCTAGTCAGACTGTCTAGGGGATTTGGTGACGACCTTTTGGGGAGGTAATGGTATGAAGATGGTGGAGGACGAGACGATTAAACGTATACCCTTTGCGACACACGCATGACTTTGCCTGTTACTATGTACTTGGTTTGTTTTTGATACCACGTTGGAAGTAATGATGAATGGGTTAAAGGGCTTCGGGTTTGGTTAGGAAACCAAAGCCCGGTGTGAAATTGTTATCTTTCCTTTGTTCACGATTATAAATGGAACGTTGATAGGTTCAAATTGATGCTTGCACTAAAAACCAGAGGTTCTTCCGATGCTCCTTGTTTCCAACTAATGAGTGTGACTAATCAATTCATGGTTTTGTGGCTTTGCCTTTTACTTCTTCTCGAATCGTGAGGTTGAGATACCTGAACAACCTTCGCACTGAATACTCGCCATACGAGTCTCCTCGATGGTCCCGGGTGTGGGGGCGGGGTCTAGTGATCATCAGCCAGGACAGAAGCAGCTTAGCCGCTAGAATTTTGCCCAGGAGCCAAGGCCGTGTGACGACGTCACTCCGTAGTGAACTGTGAGCATCGCACGCTGTGCAATAGCGGATAGCGGCGAAATGGGTGGCGGCCTCTGCAAAGCCACGATTCAACGGGAGTAAATCCGCAGACAGCCTGTCTACCTAGTGATTTGGCGGGTGGTTTTCACGCACTGTAATAAGAGGCGATAATAATAGGAAAAGGAAGAACGTTCCCTCTCCTTCTCCCCATTCCTTCCTCCTTCCTTGTTCCCTTTTGATTCTGTTTGCTCCCATCTCGTACCCCACGTATTTCAACCTCCAACCTCCGCAGAAACCGACCCCACCACCGTAACAACCACCACCTTCAATGCACCACAACATCGCATCATGACGCCTGCGTCCCTCTCCCCGGAGCAGACGCATGCGCTCTTCGACATCCTCACCCACCATGAAACCTACGCGGAGATCGAGGGCTTCAAGTTCCCGGACGCCGTGACGGGCTATGGCCGCCCCTTTGCCAGGGAAACCGTCGTGCCACAGACCGGGTGGCCGAGTCGGTCGACGACACCCGCGAATTCATCTCCGGGCACTCCTCGAGTGAGGACCCCGGTGCCCTTCTTCAGATCTAGCGCAGAGAAGAAGGGCCCTGAGGCTGAGGAGGGCGCGCCGGTGGAAGCGCCGGTGGAGGCGCCGGTGGAAGAACCGGAGGAAGATGTCGGACCGTCGACGTCCCCGCTGCTGCAAACCCTCATGACGAGGTTTATGCTTCTTCTTCCTGGAGTGAGAGACTTGCCTCGCGAATTCTGGTCTGTACGGGTGCAGGGCCTGTTGGCAAGGCTGGGCGAGGCGGAACTATCGGAAAGCTACGACAAGGGCGCCCTTGGCACCCGCAAGGTGTTGGCAACGGCAATGAGTGGGCTGGTCGAGATGGTCGGTCGGGGAGCCCTTGGAGGCGTGAAGAAGAGGTCTCTGGAAGAAACCACGGACAGCGAACTCAAGATCGAGGATGACTATGACCACACCAGAGCTGAGGATCTGGTGAGGGCATGGGACGACGTTGTCGAAGAATTAATCTACGGAAATCTGGTCGACGACATTTACGATTATCTCAGCAAGACGGACGATTTGGAAGGCCATTCACCCGCCGTCAAAGCTGCAGCCGAGTATGCCATTATTCAGTATGTATCCCTACACGTCCCACTCCAGCGCATTCTAACCGTAGCAGCCTCGCGACCTTTCTCCATCACATCTTCGTTCTGTCTCCCGAAGGCCAATACCTCCTCAAGCTCATCGAGAACGTACACAACCTCATCCCCTATAAGATGGTGAAGCAAACGTTGCGGGTTGGCAACGCCGCCACCATGATGAGCGCCATGATGCGCCTGCTTCTCGCCAAGCTGAGCGTCACTAGCATCACTAACTGGGTCGGGCTAACAGCCAACGCCGATGACGGCATGAATCTCCTCCAGAGGATAATATCCCTGGTGCTGTCGTGGGATTCCAGCGAGTTCCGAAAGAGCGCCGACAAAATTGAAAAGGCCAAGGATCGGCCCAGCGACGAAATGCTGCAGGCTATTCGCAACTACATCGCCCAGGGTCGCGACGAGCACGAGACGGTGCGAGCCGCCAGTATAGAGCATTCTCAGTCCATCATCACAGCGATCTTCAACGCAGCTGACCCTGAACTTACCACCGCTTTGACCGAGACGAAGCACGCCCAGTGTCTCGAGTACTACTCTGCTCTCCTCTCAGTACGCGATCGCGAGAGCATCACTACCGCCTTGTGTCGTCAACCACCTGATCTTTTTACCGCGACCGTCAGGGACCTCTTCACCGCCTATGAACCCATCATCCGGGCAGTGCACTCGGGGGTAGATTTGCGGGAACATGTCGAAGCGGGCCAGGCCTTCATTGACGACTTTATCAAAAGCAGCAAGCCGAAAAAGGTTGAGACGGGTACCTCAACACCATTAGGAGGGATGCGGTCCATGATAAATGGCGAGTCATCGGTCAAACCAGGCAAGATGCCTAGTGTCAACGATTATGTCGACCTGTTGATGAGGAATCGTTCGGTCATGTACAAGTGGGTTCATGCCTTGGCAAAATCCTGCCCCGAAGTGTGGGAGGAAATGAGGAAATGGGAAAGAGATGCTGTTGTCAAGTTCCGTCAAGAAAGGAAGCCTCAAGAAATTCCCAAGGTTGAAACGACGGAACCCGAAGTCGCAGACGCCAACAGGAATGAGGAGGTTGATGAGAAAACAACCGACACTAGTCCAATGGATGACCACCTCAACGAACTCTTCCAGTCCCTCCCCTCCAAATCTCAGCAACCCATCCTCTCCGCGCTCGATGCCCACTCCGCCTACCTCTCTACTCTCTCAGACCTCTCTATATCCCGACTCCAACGCATCATCGACACAGCCGACTCCAACTCTGACAACATGGCCGGTCCAGGTATGTTCCTCTCACGATGGCAGAGCATCCTAGAATGCACTCCCATCACACCTGGTACGCCGCGGGGTTCTGTTAGGTGCGGCAAAGACGTGAAGCACGCGATGACGATGGGCAAGACGGGCGTGGCGGGCATTGACAAGGCCAGGGAGGCAGCTCTCCGGTTGTCTGAGGAGGGCCCCGAGGCGCCGGATGTAGACGTGGTGGTGAAAGAGATGTCAGAAGGATTCCGGAAGTTGCTACAGGAATGTGGAGAGCAGTAAACATGGCGGGTTGGACAGTGTGAAGAGTAACAGCCACCGATGTGTACCATACATCCAGATGGGATGATACGAGTATAGAAAGAGCATATGAGTAATGCAAGGTGTTTGTAGCAATTTTAGCAGGCTGAAAGGCGCCAGTATACTCGAAAGAAATGCATATAATCGACAACTTGATTTCCACCGTTCTGAGCACATTGTCCTTGGTCCAACAAAAAAAGTTGATACCTCCCTCCATGTTGAGCTCCCTACGGCTGCTATTTCCCCTGTCGTCTTCGCACGATTCGCATGCACACAGATCAGACTTGCCAGCACCTACTCAGAGGGAGAGGTATCACGCGGATCTCCGCCGGGCTGGAATCTCAACGCATATACGTGAGCGTGGTCGTCGTAGCACAGTCCGACTCAAACTGCCAGTGGTATACCTCCTCGGCGATCGGTCTCGCACGGCAGCCCGCTCACACGGCGAAGGGCTCCTGCTCCGTCCCAAGAATCCGCTGCTCTCACTTAAGCTCAACGGGCTCAACGGGGAGCGAGCCTGTCTTTCGCGAGCCATCATCCATGCGGGGGGGTCGATTTCTGGCGTTGCCGGGAGGGGCTTGTTGATGCTTGATGAGCTCTGCTGGGACGACACCCATTGGACTTCTCGGCCCTGCATCTTCTGTGCGAATTGCACGATTGCCTCGGCGGCACCGTCTGGCGAAGACTCCATCTGTCCTACACGATATGCCAGACCGTCGATATAGTCATCTACCGGGCCGCCCGGTGCTGGGCTCGGCGAGAACGAAGGGTGCGAAATAAGATCGACCATCGGGATGACCTGCAGGTCCTCTCTCTCCTCTCCTCCGACCGTTTCGCTGTCCGACTCGTCCTCAGAAAGTTCATCTCCAAAGTCCAAATCCTGATCGTCGGCGACCTCGGGCTCTTCCTGTGGCCTTCCAGGACCGACAAATCTGGTTGTGCGGCGCGGGTACTGCTTCAGTTCCAGACGGTGCTTCCACAGGAGCTTGATCCGAATTCCTGTCGCTTCCGAAAGCCTGCGGACCAACCCGCCGCACGCCAGACAGTTTTTTCTGGAAAAGTACACTTCAAAACTGGGCCGGGTGCCATTTTCCCAGCGGGCATTCCGGAGACTTTGAAGGTGACGCATAGTGACGTTGTCGAAGTCTTTGGTGATGTTGAACATATCCAGCAGGACCATAATCCCGTGAACAGCTAGTTTCACTTCAACATGAGACCCTTGGAACAAGCCATCTCGGCCTGGTCCTCTCCGTACCCTCCCTAGGTTATCAAACGGTCTTGCCATGATCAACCCCAGCAGTTTTCCAACTGCGATAACTCGCTTCGTCCAGACCAAGTTGCCGAGCACACCTGGGGCCGCATCGAGAAAATCGCCAAGCAGACCTGCTCCATGGCCACTCTCAGCCGAAGTGAGGACTGCGCGTTCCCCGGTGGGGGTAACAAGCGCGAGGAACCCAACTGTTTTGGCCGCGAGTCGAAATTCAATGTTTGAATTGTTTAACACACCCCTCGCGCGGGAATGTGTGAATTTGAATTCGAGGTTTGGCCCGATGACCTGTACGGTGAGGCTCGCGTCCTCGACGTTGATTATGTGATGGAAATAGAAAAACGGAGAGGAGGCTTGGTTCGAGGATATGAAAAGAGGCAGGGGACCGTCGGCTTCGAGATTCGACATGGTAATGGTAGTAAAAGTTCCACGGTGTTGATTTAACGATGTCTTTGCTGAGGAGACTGGAGAGGCATGAGCTTCTGAATAACAGCATGAGAAGGGATCAAATACCTAATAGCACTCACAAATCCACAGAATGATATTGTAAAAGAGTAAAACAACACAGCGAGATGTAGCTATCGATGCATCAGTCAGGGTCTTAGGTTCGTAGTAGAGCTCAAGAGGCAGATAATTGTGTTAGGGTCTGAGTTCTGGAGCAACTACACTTACACACAGAAACAGGCTCGCCTCACGCAACCACCACCAGGCCGTGCACGAGCCTAAATCACCGCGACTCAGGCTTCGCAAGAAGAACTCGGGCAGAGAAAGAAGTTACGGCATGACGTCGAGATAAACATGAAGAGACCAGACAGCGGCTTTGGCCAGAGGGTGCTGAATAGTGTCACATCCGTGGGCCATTATGGGGTATCTCTCCGGTTCGGTGTGAGAATAGAGACGATGAGAAGGGTGATGAGTGAAGGTGCACGAGAAAGGAAGGAAAGAGCAGAAATAAAGGAAAAGAAACGGCTTTGTTAGAAGGCGCAAGGTGAACTCGAGCAGCGTATGAGAGACGAAGGCTCGCGGAACCAGAGACGGTCAGTGGTTTTTCGAGTCTTCATTGGAGGTCATCATGAGTGCCTAGACTCTGCGATGAACGACAGAGAAGGAAAATGGGAAGGGACTAGCAATTAGAGTAATAAACTCCAATATATTGATGAAGGAGAACCACGCCGAGGGTAAGCCAAGGCCAATCATGTACACAACAAGTCGCCAAAGACTCATGTCAAGCATTCACATTCACATTCACAAAGGTGGCACAAATCGAATTGACAAGCTCGGACGGGTCCAAATTGAGTAAACCGAATGGCCCAATGTCGGGGGAATCTCATTCATACATGACCAAATCTATGACCGTACGCCCAAATCCATGCTCCCCGCCAGATTTTTACTCGTCATCCTCCTCCTCCTCCTCGGCCTCAGCGGTGGTCTGGGCAATTCGGTCCAAATCACGCTGGCCGGCCTGGGTGATGCGGCGGCCACCCTTGTCCTCGTCCTGCTCAAGGACGCCGATCTTCTCGAGGGCCTGCATGACCTTGCGGTCGACGGAGCCGGAGGCGTCGACGTGGTGGGAGGGGGCGTTGCCGCGGTTCTTGGCGGTACCGTGGACCTTGCGGAGACGGCCGACACCGACGGTCTTTCGGAGGTAGACGTGGCGGGCGATGGAGGCGGCGCGGACGTAGAACCAGTCAATGTCCTGGGGAGGGAGCTCCTTGGCGGGACCGGTCTTGACGGTGTCAACCCAACCTTGACGACGGTGTTAGCGAATCGTCACCAGACTTTTTATCAAATACGTCACGGCACGGGAATTGCAAACAACATACCAGGGATGGGAAGCTTTCCCTGACGCTTCAAGAACGCAGAGTAGGCAATGATGAACTTTTGCGCCTGATTGCAAGAGACCCATTAGCATGATTCCGTCGTCAGAAGTCTTTCGACCCCCTCGCGCCTGCTCCTCAATCTCGTTTGTAACCATCGCCCGCGAATTGCAGCGGCCGGCGCAGCGGTTCAGTTAAGCCCCAACGCGCTGCGGCAGCGCCTCCATTTGCGATCGTGGCGGCATCGGAAGATTGTATTGCGAAGTCGTCGAAGAGGTGTAATCGGATGTTCGGGGGAGTGTGTGTGTGTCCTGTTGGTTGCTTTTTGGTTTCAGGGAGTACCTACATCGACATCGCGCACGGTAACTCCGCCGGCCATTTTTGCGGTATTGTTGGGGGGGGTGGAGGGGGAGATGGTGCGTTGGGTGATTGATTGTCGAAGCGTGACGGTTGGAAGGCTCGAATTCGTGGTGTTGCGATGGCCTCGAATTGGTGAACTTTTTTTCGGGGTAGGGCTCGTGGCCCTAGCGGGGAAACCTTACGCGAGTGACTAAGCACGGTGTCAGGTGCACAGTATGCACCTCGTCGCACCGTTGAATGCACTGTGGGGCTCGGGTGGGGCAAGCTGGCGGGGAGGAGATGCCTTAGACTCCGGGACAAGAATAGCCTCTCCTTGAGCCTCAAAGCCGGGAACTCGACATGTTCCGTGGATGAGGGAGTTACACAGACGCTGTGTCAGCTCCTTGCTTCAACGTCATTCAAAATGGGTTGGTTTACGCCTGTTGTCGCTCAACACCAGGAACGGTGACCGCTGAGCTGCAGTGTAATCGGATTCACAGCATGATACAAAGGGCCGATGCACTCTCTCGGCTAAAGAAACGGACGTTTTCACGCACGTGTGAAGAACTGATAGGTTGAACAATCTCAGGATTATATTCGCAGAGTGTTACTGGTGAAGTATTAACAAAAGCCATGCAGACAGACGAGGTATCATTGTTCAAGCAGTCTATGAGCATTACGAAAGAAAGGTCCTATATCCATCTATCCCGATTCTCGGAGTCCAAGAGATGATTCCAAACACAATATTAACATGCATCTCTCCTCTATTTTAAGCCCACTTGGCCAAGATGGCCATGACAGCAACGCCAAATGCCACACACGCAAAGGCGAGCAGAAGAATCTTAAGAGGCGCACGGCGCATGTACGGGTTGAACATGAACTCGTGGGCGAGGAGCTCAACGAGGCCGGTGTACAGCAGGATACCGGCGCTGATAGCGTCGAAAATACCGTTGACGAGCTTCTGGGTGTTGGCGTTGTTGGGTTTGGCACCAATACCGGCAGCGATACCAATGGGGGTGGACAAGGCATAGATGCCAGCGAGGACGAAGGGCACCCATCGCCTGTTTTTAGGCCAGGGAGCAACGGCCAGACGAGACCCCAGACCCAGGCCCTCGAACATTTGGTGGAACACCAGGACGATCAGGAGGACGACAAGGTCGTCAGTCGTACCAAGGGTGAGGCCGATGAACACACTGTGGAACACGACGCCGAATTCGAGGATGAAGATGGCGAGAAGCTGGCCACCGAGGCTACTGGAGTCACCCTCCTTATGCTCGCGCTGGTGGGCAAGGTGGGATTCTCCGCCGGGCGCATAACCGGCTTCGCTGGGTCGGGCCTCTCGCTCCACGTCGGTGTTCTGGGAAAGCTCTTCGCTGGTGAGAGCCTTCTCCGGCTTCTTGGCCGCGATGAAATCCATGGCAGGGTCCAGTTCGGTGTCGATATCGCCGTGGCTGTGACCGTGGCTGTGACCGTGCTCAGCGCCATCGTCCATCATCCTGCTGGCCAACATCTCGACAAAGAACATGACGATGACGGTCATGAGGGCGATGGCCTCAGCCCAGTCGTATCCGCCCATCCGATCCGCCAAACACTCATCGGTGAGGTTCTCGATGGCGGGGACCAGCAGGTGCATGAACGCCGTCGCAATGATGACGCCGGTACCGATGAACTTGCAGATGAAGAAGGTGAACTTTGGTACGGGGATCTTGCTCTGCCGGGCAAGGACGATGGGGGCAACGGCGCCGAAAAGCGAAGATGCCATGATGATGAAGATGGAGCCAATTCGGAGCCCTCGGTTGTTGAGAGCAACGGCATCGCCGCTACAGTCTAATGCGTCAGCCATGGTGTATTCGGTAGGCGGTTGTTGCTAGGAGCTCAGTGGATGATGGTCAGAATGTGACCGGTGCGCTTGAGGAGTGTCGCCAAGGGAAAGACGCCAGTCTTATAAGCCTGGATGCCAGACACGAACAGCTAATGCTACGACGCCGTGAAACGCCAAGGCCGCCTGAAGAGGCCTATTCCCCGATGAGGAAGCGAGCAAGCTGTGGGAGCGGTGCGATTCGAATGGTCGACGACGCCAAGATGCTCGGCGTGCGGGTTGTGGTCTGTGTGACTCGGAGACTTGTCTTGGCTGCAGCGACGGTTGAGGCTGATGTGCGACCGGTTTATATTATCCACGACAATGCTTGGGAGGAGAAGGTGGATGAATATTTCTGGGTCCGTGACGAAGGGTTCGCGAGCAAGACACCTTGACGGTTCGCGAGCCAGACACCTTGATGGCGCAAGACCCAGACTTAAGGATGTGGGAGGAGTGCCGCGCAACCGAATAAAAAGCGGCCGAGTGCGGGTGCAGGGCGTGGATAGAGTTAAGCAGGCGGGCCTAGGGAATTCTCAACGCCCAAATCGGAAGCGTGGTGCCGAGAGATGCGTCGACCGTGGGCGTGGTTGTTACTCCAATTGCTCAAGGACAAGGGAAAGAAAAGGATGGGGAACGGGATGATGGAGAGGCTAAAATTGGGTCCAAAGCAGCGCGGAGCAGGGAAGATGACGGCACGGGCAGGGTATTTGACTGTGGGAAGAAGGAGCAGTCGTGGGGGTGGGAACGATGAGACGCTTGAGATGATGGATGGCTGGATGGTTGAATGCAGAGGATAGAGGATGACTTCGAGGGTATCGTTCAGCCGTGTCTGAATTCGGTGGCGCACGGGGCTTCGACTGCTCTGGGCATCCACTGTGTTCACTCTGATGGGCTGGGCCGTCGCATGAACCTTGTCAATGAGTCTATCGGTATTCGTACGCGTCTATCTACGCTGGGGTTTCCAAGCCGCTCTAGCCCCTCCGAGGAGGAACGGCATGGACGAGGCGCAACTGGACGGGACGATAGTTTCACAGCCATCACGGCTACGACTGCGTCTCGTTGGCTGCGCTGGCTGCGTGGCTAGGCTAGCAGGTGCTAGAGGCCCAAGTCACAGCGAGCCCGTGTTTCTCTTCAAATGGGAAGAGAAAAGATGGCGCAAGTGAGCGCCAAAAGGGAGGGAGTGGGCTGGCTGAGGTCCGGGTGGGTCAGATTAAGGTGAGAACCTTGATGGTCTCGGCCTGTCAGGGATTCCCGGCGGAGAGGCAGAGCCCGGCAACACAGCGGCGTGTCATTCGTGGGTCTGCAAGGGAGGGAACCTTTTGCCGCGCATAAGTCTAGATGGGCATTGTCATGTCTGGAGTCGAGCAATGGCAGGTGGTGTAAATTGGTGTGTCTCTGAAGTATTGGCTGTCTTACAAATATTGGTTGTGTCTCGACCGTTCCCGCGCTGAGCCATCACAAGGTGTCTCTGATAGCAACCTTTTGCTCACCGCAATTAATCATCTCACACAACTCTTCCTAAAATGACTCCCGTTGTCCAAATGCTATCCACCATGCTTCCATGGCTTGACTTTTCACCGGTGTGGGCTCCGACACCCCAGTGTATCGTGCACTCCGTCCGGCAAAACGACTCCATTTCAGGCGTGAGGTCAAGAGTGTGGCGTAACAGCCGCCCGTCCCCACCGTCGGCTCCGGGAGCCTCTCACGGCCGCCAGATTCGGGATCTGCCTCGACTTCCTCGCTCTTCCATTGGCCAGCCACCCCTCCCTCCCGCATCCCCTCAGCCACCGTGGCCTAGATGATCCTCAATGCCATCAAGGTTCTCATGGCGCATCCGGCGCTATGTATCACCTCCAGTCAGCCCTCCACGAGTCGACGAATCCACGCAGCGTCTGCACACAAACACCAGACCACGGATGACGCGGCACCGCACACCTCATCCCACGCTTGGCAACAGTTGATCCAGTTTCAACCGCTGGTCAGACCGGTTCCATCCATTCCAGGTGTGCGTGTAAGTGACACATCGTCAACCAGACAAGACGCTCCGAGAGATCTGGACGCCCCCCATGACCCATAACAATTCGCGGCCAGGTCAGGAGAGAACGACGCCGATTAGGCAAAAGAACCGAGTTGATGATGATTTCGCTCCGATGTCGTGTGAATCCGAACCGTCAGGGTGTACTTCGTATGCTGACGGCTTCCATGTCTCTAATCCCTCAATCCAATGTCTTCTAAAACCAGTCACATGCTACCCATCCTACCCAACCCACCCTCCCGGTCTTAGAAAAGCCATTGTGGCCTGGAGCTGAACCGACGAGGCGGTCCACTTCGCTCACATCCCCCACACCTTGTTGTCCTCGTCGGGCGACCATTAACGGACGTCTTCCCGTCAGCGAAATCGGTGACCGTTGTGGACCGTCCCGCCCGTCGTGTCAGCACGCCTGAGGTTTGGTTGGAGCCTATTCATGCGCCTGTTGGCCCTGTTCCTGGGATTTTTGGAAAACCAGCCCTGCGGTCCGACTCGGGGAATAACACCGCACCTAAAGTGGCAGCGTGTTGAAGTCAGAACCCACCTCTCCAGGGGTGTTCATGACGAGAACTGGATTTCTAACCCAAGCGTCCTGAACGGCTTGTCCAATTTCCTTAGGTCGATTCCGCTTCCCAAGCTGAAGAGGAGCGACTTGACACGCCCCTCCCAGAGAACCCCGATGCGGAGATTCTGATCCAGTCGCGTCTTGAGTACGCCGGCGTACTTCTCTTCGCCGGGTTTATTCTCCTCGCCAAGTTCATCAGGGTTGATCGGTGTGGGAGCAGGAGTTGGCACGATGACCGGTTCTGGGTCATCCAGCCGCCACTCCAATTTCGCTTGAAAGCTGCGCTCCTTCTTTTGAACAGTCTGCTCCGCGTTGGTCTGCTCCGTGTTGGTCTGCTTCGTGTTGGTCTGCTTCGTGTTGTCATCATCAGCGACCGGCCTCACGAATGGTTTCCGCCAGAGCTCCATGCCAAGAGCCCACGCGCTCTCGTAGCTGAATACGTTGAACTCCATCCTCGTGGCCAGGCTGCAATGCTTTCCAGCTACAACCGCGTAGCTAGCACTGATGTTACCCATCAGGGGGTTAAGGGTAAGGGTCGCGGACAACGGCGTGCCCGTATGGGACGGCAGCGTCGCAAACCTGGTTCCCAGACTGATCCCACCAGACTTGTTCAGGATGCCGTAATAGAATTCTCCACCTGTGCTGAACCGGCCATATATCCTCTCCCTATCGCCATTTTCATTATCGGTGGGACTTGGTGGAGGTCGCATGTCGGCATCGCCGCCGAAATTGTACACGCCTCGGATTCCCAAAAATCCTCCATCGGAGGATGCTAGCCCTTCGAGGGCGTACTTGCCCACGTCATACTGCGCCAATCCCAGCACGGTGCCTCCATTTCTAAGATGCTGGGCTGATACCGAGCTCAGCTGGAGTTGCAAGGCAGGTGATACCCGTTTGACCACCATCGCTTCCAGCATGGACTGGGGCAAGTATAGCCGGCCATAGAGGAGCGACGGTTCGGGCCTGTCCTGTGGGGTCTGGAGGCCCGGGTCGGTTCGTCGAGGGAGCTCGGTAAGCGGCCGGTATGAGCGTAGGAGCGCTGGCAGGGGCACGGTCTCTGACTGCGGTGTCAAGAGGACCTGGAGCGGGACCGATGAGAAGAGGTACGAGATTGAGCCATCGACAATGCCGACGGAACCCAGCTGGTATGATGTTGCAAAGTTCGGGCTCGCGAGCGCAGAGAGAGTGAGGCGCAGACCGCGCGGGGTCTGGAAGTTCAAGAGAGCTGGCGGACACCACCGTAAGCAAAAGGGATTGGGCAATGGGTTGGCCAGGGTTCTCACCATCAGAGGTCGAATTCAGCGCCGCATACGAGTTGTCGCGGTTCCAGCCCGTAGCTTGGTAGAAGGCGCTTTGGACATAGTCCATAAACTCGCGCATTTCAACGCGCGATGCACATGCCTTCGCGAGTGCGACAGGCCGCTACTCTGGGTGGAATTCGGATCGAGAGCTTTGTCTACGATGCAACGGGTTGCGACCGGTTGCCGTGAGATGTTGTTCGGAGTGACGTTGATGGTGTTGGAGCTAAAGTTTATAGGGCGGGAGATTATCGGGGAAATGTTATATTCGGGCTACCCTATACCTAAACACTCGCCATTTTGCGAAAGGATCATGAGATATTCAACCGTAGGATTGACATTGAAGGGTGGAGAGTAGAGAGTTTGATAAGACTTGATTAAAATTACTTGGTATCGCTATTTTTCTTTTAGAGTAGCATTACACCACGAGCCTTTATGACGCTATCTACGGTGAGGATGTGACAGTTTCTGTGACAGGAGCTGCACGCATACAATAAGCTTGAGCACGATGCATGCGACACCTATTATTTACGCTGCCCATCAGAAGAATATGCCTTAGTCTCTTGGTTAATTACCGTGAGATTCCGAGCGCAAATACTAACTTTTCTAGTTGAGGAGTTTCCGTCAAGATCAACTAGGCCAAGGTCACATCCGCTGAATTGGAACAAGATTCGGAATCAAGCCACTCAAACGCCTCAACAATAATTTATCAGCAGCAGAGTCACGGTGTCTTCCCCGTAAGTTGGACGCCTTTTGTCATCTTAGAAAATGGTACAATACAGCTGCGAGGCTCTTGATCCCCCGACGACTGCTACGGACGGAAGAGAATGCAGCTGGAGATGGTCCTTCGAGAGTCAAAGAACTCCTCGAAGCTGTTGCTAATATTTACAAACTGTAATTCTTATACAGGTACTGACGACATTTAACTGTCTTTGGTTCGATGTTGGTGCCAACTCCCTTGTCAGCGTAGACGGATCTTCTTCTAATACTGTCTTTACTCATGTTGTTCGGAAATAAATGAAGTCATCTGGTTCACTTTAGGTGAAGAGTCCCATATAGAAAACTACGACGACAAAGAGCAGCGATAAGGTTATCCCCACAAGCAAATGGTAGCACCTGCGACCTGGGCGGGCATGGGGCCACGACCTTCAACATGGCGGGCTCAATGGCGTCGGATGGCAGGAGTGACAACTCAGATGGGGAAACCAGGACCTGTTACCAAGGAATCAGACTTACTTTTCACTAGCTGAGGAGCCATTGCATTGCTCAAAATCCGTCCGTCGTGACCATGGTTGAATCCCGTCAAGATACCGTCATCTCAAATACTGAGATGAATGAAGATTACGAACGTCGGAGTACGTGGAAGATAACAACCAAGCATTGAGGCCCCTGTTGAGCTTGATGTTGGGTTGATGCAGGACATATCGCACAAGCGTCATCAGGACCAAGATGCGACCTCATTCATTCAATGGATTGATCACTAGAGAGCGTCGGCGCAATTGGACATGGAGGGCTTGGATGCGAAGGAATAACTGTTGATGCAGATGCTCAATTTAATGCTCGTTCGAGAGCAAAAGGCACCCTGCGCGGAGAAATACAGTGCACCTGTCAGCACAGATCTATTCCCAACTCAACGACGAAGCAATGAGATGTTTCCTCTTCTTATTCTTCAATTGATGGCCTTTCCCGATGAAGAGCACATGGCTTGGGATGGAATATTCGGCGCAGGATCGGATGACGGAAGCCTGATCAGACATTACCGTACATGATTTAAGGGGTTTTCTTTCTAGGATCACCGATAGCAGGGGGGATTCGGCTCATAAGGCGCGGAGCCGCTTGACGCCACGCGAGGCTCTGCCAAGCGATGTTTATAACATGGGCGGATGAGCCCCAGGCCAATCGCTTCGACGCAACGGCGTGGCACAGAAAACGAGGACACCCTCTCGCAGTTTCGGAGCCGCACCTGCATTTGAATCGCCCGAGCTACTAGGGACTGAAATCATCGTCATGCGTGACCCTGGCTCAGAGTCTCTCCTTGGTGATGTCGATGCTCCTTACCTTTGGTAGCAGGGAGTCTCAGATGGGAATCTCAGCTCACAATTGCATCAGACCAACCCACAACAAATGCCAAAGAGAGCACGGGCAAAGGTTATCCCCGTATTCGCAGGGATGGTCACGATTTCCCTCAGACTCGAATGGTCTACCTGGGGTGCGGGGGATTGCACGCCCGCAGTATCGTCTACTCGTATCAAGTAACCTTGCACGCGCATCATGTTGGCTTTGCGCCAGTCGAATGAGGTACGAGTCCCCTGCAGCACTGATCTTACATGTAATCTCAAGATCAGCTGAAGCTTGGCTTTTAGTCTGCAGCAGGCTGACATGCAGTACCGTTTGGAACACGGGGGTTAAGTTGGCCGATTGCTCAATGAAAAGCCACAGGTGGTTCTGGAATGTGACGATTGGGGTGGCAGCGGCGGAATGGCTTGACAGCATCCGCGCGATCGACACTGAAGCGCACATCTCAGCCAGTGGTGCTGATGGTCGAGTCTCAGCGATCTTGTCTAACAGCTCTTCTCTGAATGCTACGGTCTGGTTGCAACCTCGCTTACAATGGTGAAGTCCGGTCCGGGGAATGAAAGTCCGTTGCACGGATGTCAAATCCCGCTACTTCAGAGGTTCGATGACGCCTGCTACCCGTCCCCGGGACCTGTCAGGCACCGATGCAAAAGATTCCAAGAGCCCCTAGGATTCTTGACTCGTGAGAATTTGGGACTTATTCGTTGATCTGCTGTAGAACGCCCTAATGCAACGGGTATCAAGGGGGTTGCATGCGGGCGAGTGGGTGGAATGGGGAACCAGCGGATGCGGGGGAGAGAGGGCGCAGGGAACCAGTTGACCGGGGAAGCGAGCACGGAGATGGCTGAGTCCGGGGAAAACCAGGAGTCCCTGAAGCAATTACGGCCGTCTGTTGGCTGACTCGATGGCGGTTGGGTCTCCTGAACGATGACTCCGGAGTTAGGTCGACGACAGAGTGTCATCCGATATTATCTGTTGGCTTGCAACTCCCGCTCGTCCGTCCCCCGCCCTGATCCTTGCTAGGGGATGTGGAGACGCAGGCACAGCGAGATGGCCTGGTTTTGCTTTTTGTGGTAGTTGGTTGCTGGGATGCCGCCATTAGCGACGATCGGATGTGGAACCGACTGGGACAAGGCTCTCGTTGCGTTCAGATCGAGGTTACTACGAGTTAAGGGAATCCCGGCTTGAGCCTTCACCGATGGATGCGCAAGATCTGGTTCCCGGATACTGTGTATGTTTCTTTGGGTATCCGTACATACATACTCATTACATTAGCCTTGTCGCTGGCGATGCCTTCTAGCTCTAATAGATATAATAAAGAATCATGGTCAAATGCATGATCTATCGTGCGTGTTGGATAGTAAACGACTCTTGGTTGCCCGCATGCTTCGTCGAGCTGGCCTCGCTGACAGCCCTCTCGTGGTGCTCTGGGATATCGTCCTCCTCGCCATTGGGTCCAACGCGCACAATCTCCGTGACAACTGTCTTCTTGATTCCCTCGAGGTTCTGACGCTCCTTGAGCTCCATCTCGTCCTCCTCGCCGAGCTCGATGTGCGTTCTGGTCAGGGTGGCACCGAATCGGCTGTGGTTTGGGCGGGATCCAGTCTGGTGGGTTCGAGATCGGGTGTTGGAGCTGTACTCGTGAGATCCCTCGTTGTTGCTGGCACGGACGACCTTTCCAATGAGATCGGCCATGTTCATCTCGATGTGGAGCTTGAGAAGATAGACGAGAGGGTGGAACTGGACGTAGCTATGGGGAGTGTGAGTGGAAATGGATAAGCCACAGGATTAGGGGAAACCTACACGAAGCTGTTGGGCAGAGACATCATACCAATAAGAAGGATCTATGGCAAGGTTAGCGTAATTCGTCAACTTCAAGTATAGCGGTCTGAGACTTACATCTAGAGCGATAGAGATGGCGACAAGGAACAAGTTCATCTGGTACAGTCGGTTGTACTTGTGCAGACCGTTGGCGATAAGACGCTTCTTGACGACCCAGATGAAGTAGAAGTTGAGAACAGCATCCATAATGGCGAAAATGACCTTTTCGCAACGATCCCAAATGTTGTTGATGGCAACGTACTGCTCGCTGATTTGGAGACGGGCAGGCACCCAAATGCAGAACACGCTGATGTTGATGGCGAAGAGAATAAGGAAACAGGTCCATTTCAGCTTGGTTGCGTTGGCGCGAACCAACATGAGCAAGCCTACTCGGTTGATAATGATCTGAATGAGGCATTGCACCTGGGTAGACCAAAAGACAACTGAATTGAGAGGTTAGTATCTGATTTTTCGTGATTTATGAGATGGGGCTCATCGTACTGATGAAGAAATAAAACTGGAAGCTGGGCTCGATGATTCCGCGAAGATAGAGCCAAACCATGACACCAAGGACGGAACTCGAGATAATCTCGACCCAAACCATGAGGACGTAAATAGTCAGCCGCTTTCGTCTGTTGATGGAGGACTTCGACTGTCGGAAGGCCTTGGCGCAGTTGAAGACGGTGACACCCAGGGTCAAGCCCCAGATGATGGACGCAATGTTCATATCATCCTCACTCGGGGCTTCGAGCTTGAAGTTGTCTGGCACGAGGAATCCGCGACCCATCTCGACTGCCGTGCCGCGCACTCGGATGCCGTTTTTTCGTGTGGTCGTGTGGTTCGTGGGAGTCGTCCCGGGAGATTGGAAGCCGCGTGAGACAAATGAACAAGCAGAAGAAGCAAAACCCGGAATCCAACAACACCTTGTGATACCGAGAAGCAAAAGGAAAGAATGTCCGGGGCAATGCCGTGTGGAGGGCGGCGACACCGGGTTTCTTTAGAAGGCTCACCAAGCCCTGGAGCCCGAGTCCGAGTGCCCCCCTCCCAAACAATAGCTTGTCGACGACTAACTGTACGACGGCGTCTAGGGGCTCCATTTTCTCACCACGGCCCAGGCTCTTACTGGAGAAGCCTGACAGCTCGTTGCGGGCGGTGGTGCGAGTCGTGTCCCTGGTCCCGGGGGTGTCGATTTGGGCTGCCGGAAGCTGGAGCCAAGACACCCACAACCAGGACTACGCTGCATCGCTGGGCTCTCCTTGGACTCTTCTAACATGGAGCGGACGCCGCCACCCGATCCGCCGAGCCCAGTGCGCTGAGCGCATGGCGAGACGTGATACGGCGGCGACGGGATTGACAGTGCGCTAAAGACTTTTAGCACAGCCAGTCTGCGTGGCAATAGTGTGGTGTAGCAGGGGGGGAGCTTTGCTCTTGTGGGTTGGTGCCGTCCGTCTCTTCGACAGTGATATTCGCGGCTGGGAAGGAGATTAGATTCTGGAATCAGCCTGGAAGTGAGGACCGCTTCCAGAGAAAGAAACAGACATTGCCTTGCTCTGAATTGACTCCAGCCGGTTTCGCCGAGCAAACGGGTGGCTGGATACGCCGGAAGCTTGTCATGGCGACAATCTGGATCTGCAGGACTAATACGCAGCACCAGAGGTACAAGCAACAAGCAGGCCTCACCCCTCAAATCGGCTCTTCATCTCATCTGCAGCCTGCTTGCCAGGGCGCAATCGACCCTGACCTGGCCGTCTCCGGCAGCCCGACTCCTGGCAGGATCCCGGTCAAATTAGCCCTCCCTCACCAACGCGTGGCTTCGCGCGGCCCGGTACGAGTCAGTGTCTCGCAGGCCGCCGCCGTGATCGACACTAGGCCCCGCCAACGCAGTGAAGCCAGCGATACGTAACGTAGTAGGGTCGAGCGAGGGACTTTTGGTGTGAATTCGCCTGGCAGTGGCAGTGGCAGATGGAGAAAGTTGGGTTGGGGGAGGGAAAACGGTCGGAACTGGGGATGGCGGCGTGGCGGCCGATTCATTCAGCCTTCGCTCGATGCACCACGCACCCGAGGATTTGGATTGACGAGATGGGTCCTGATGAGGCCACTTTTGCATTATACCACACAGACATGTTCCAGACTTCCCCAGAACCCCAGACAAACCCCGCGAAGTTGTAATACATGTGCCGCAGCATCACAACAGGATGTAACCCAGCCCAGATGCAAAGGATCCTCTGTACCGTGTTTTCTCGGACGGACATTGATATCTCCACCGACCGTTTTTTCTTCTTCATCAGATTGCACATCTTAGTACGGATAGGCCGATTGCCGGATGATCTTCATCATCCCGCTCCGCCGCTGGTGCCAGCGCCGTGTCAGCGCCGGCTGCCCCGATTTCTCGTCGGAATCTCCCATCTGTGGACTGAAGATTCTTTTAGATGCTCCCCCGGTGCAGAGACTAGGAAACGATCCAGGCCGCTACCGGTCTCCACTGCCCCGGCCCGAATCTTGAGCGTCCTCTGGCTCTCTGCTTCGCTCTGGCTGTCCCTCCAGCACCCGGAGCATCTCGTACGACTCCCTAGGGCCCAGACGTTGGGACTATCGGTGCGGTGGCTTGCGCGTGAGGCCCTCAGCTTCACTGAGGCTAGTGTATCATGGCCAATTTGTGTGCCTGGCTACTGACTAGCACCGCGAGTCCGCCGTTAATGCCGTTGCGAACAGATGGTCAGCTAGCCTACCACTACCGACCATCTCGGGTCTTCTTTTGCCGACTTGCTTATCTGGCAGGCGATCTCTTGGTCATGTCTGAGTAACACTGCTTCAGGTAGTGGGAGGCACGTCGACAGCCATGCGGGTAAGGCTGTCGGTCGTGACTCGCGACCCTAGGCCAGCCACTGCGGAGGATTCCTTCCACGTCTCACTTGCAGCGTCTGATCGCCTGGACGGTGACAAAATGATTCTTCGAAACCGGCACAGCATGCGGCGGCTCGGTCGGTTGCCACACGACACGGCGTTGGTTCATGCCCTTATCACGTCTGAGCTTTGCCACAGCTCTCGGGCGCAGGTACACCGACATGCCTCAACATGATTTATTTCAGTTTTTATCCAAGTGCTTTGGTGGGCTGTGGGCGTGGAGACAGATGCAAATCTGACGTCTAAATGAGCAGGCCTCTCCCCTGCCAGACGGGGCTTGAGCGCCAGCGCATTGGCGATGGCATGCGATGGTCATATTACTCCACGATTCATTGCTTTAGCAGGCATTGAGGCATCGAGTCATTGTGCTTATTCCCCGTAATTCAGGTTTCAATACGGGTCGTCATTAATGATATCATGGATAGCCCTGTCGGCCATGGGGCTCTTGCTAGGATTTTCCAATGGAGTTTGATCGACGTTCTTCTCCCAAAACAGCTCCCCTGTCCAAAAAGAAACTCTAATACAGGGCCCCTGACTGGTTCCATCTCCTCGCCAAGTTGAACTACATAGGGCAAGCGGCATTTCACCGGGTGGCGGTCGATGGGACAACGCCAAGAGGCAGCTAACACAGCGCCAGTCCGAGCACATGTGGACTTCTAATGCGTAGCAAGTAGTAGTGATACGAGGCCGCTCACACGCCGCTCACACGCCTATTCTACCAGGGACTCTCTGGCGCTTTCGTTTCGCAAGCTGATGCTACAGACATAAACGTGGCACGGCGAGCCATGTGTCATCGTCCCGGCTTCATTCCCCTTTTAACTCTTGACTTTGCTGCCGCGTGCTTCACACGTTGCTTCCCTCTGTCGGCCACGTGTGACTACTGCGTAGTACTGCGTAGTAGGGCTCGGGCTTCACGCCATCCCTTCCCTCGCGTTGTTCCCACGTGTGCGCTCAGCTCAATGACTCGCAGAGGCTTGCTTCATCACAAGAGTGTCAGACTCAGGGGCCGACGATCAGCAGCACGACATTGCAGCTACGGCTTGAACGAGTGTTCCAGATGAAGCCAAGAGTCTTCCCACCCAACGTCCACACCGTTAGACCATTCGCGCCTCTGGCTTTCGCTAGGGCCGTAATAGAACGCAGATTCTTCTTTCTCTTCAAGCGTGATTAGGCTATCTAATCGAACTAGACAGCTTCTGGTCTGTCCGCGTACGGGAGCCGCACTAGGAGGAGGAGTTCCAGCGCCATCTCATCGCCAGTGACACTCTTGCCGCCCGCCCGGTCAGGGTCAACCGTTGGCCCGGGTCACTTGGTTACTCGGACTACTGTCCTGTGTGACGACGGGAAACCAAGAATCACACTCTCTTGTTTCTTTGGATAGTTGCTCATGTTGGTCCAAGGACTCATTCTCGGCGCAATTATACTTCGTAAAATTTTACATAATTTAACCCGGTGGTCCCAATACGATGAAGAGCCAATGAAGAATCAAGAGGCTAGTAGATAAGGCCTAATGAAAAACCGTATCGCGGCGTAAATGCTCCTTCAACAACTTGGCAGCCCCTTTCTATGATTAGTAGAGAGGCGCTTGGAAAATTGCGCGGCTAGACGAGGGTATATCTTTTACCGGGACCGCCAACTGCATTTGGATCCGCGGAGGCTAAGCGCAATGTCTCGCCTCACCCTATCTCCATGGGGCGTTGGCTAACGCAGCTGAAGCAGCTTGGCCAGGCGTTCTACCGACATGATTTGGACCATGTTGTAGATTGAGAATACGGGCGAGGAGATTTGTTCCGATTACCCTTCGCCAAACGTCGGGGCTTGAACTAGAGATGGAATATTACTGTTATACATTCTTTCTCGAGGCAGTTCATCTGCTATTTCTCAACGGCCAATACTCGTATCGTCTTGGTTGTGATGAGGAGTGTAGTGAATGTTTAGTAATGGACACTGAGGATGATACTCTTCTCGTTTTTGGCCATGTGGAGATGGTACATTATAAAAGGACTCAAAAATACGGTCCATATTGCCACGAAATACTCCTTACTCTCATTCAGCTCATCCGGCTCTTCACGTCGTCGCCAGAGACATCAATCATTCCTGCGCATTCTCCTCCGAGCCGGGTAGTAATGAATATCGGGGCCGGCTGTCACCAATCAGGGCGAATGGTTTAGTGGTATAATACTCCCTTAGCATGTTTCGTCTGAATATCTGGGAGTGGTCCAGGGTTCGATTCCCTGTTCGTCCAACACAGGTGGTTTGAATCCACCAATTATCCTTTCTTTTTGCCGTCTTGATCTCTTTATTTTTAGATGAACTGATCAGTTGCCATCATTACTTCCACCATACATCTGTGACAAGTCCCCATCGAGGCTCAAGACATGTAGGCATCGTCATCACGCCTCTGCAATCGACAAGGGATCCGCCTTTTCTGGTTCGGCGGGAAGAGGGTAGTCAATTTCACTTTCCTTTCCATGGGTATTCGAGCCATATCAACTCTATCAATGACAGCCAAGTGATGAATGTAATATTAAAAATAAATCACAGTCTGCTCCGACTGGACAACAGGCAAGCAGTCTCGCATCGGCAGTCCGGATTGATTGAGCAGTTTACACGAAGGCGAGAGAACCCGGCTCCGCTGGGGAGAACTCAGCGAGCCCCGCTTCATCAACTGCCTTGAGACTTCGCCTGACCTCATCCCATCACATCGTTGGCATCATAGCCGCCCCACATTACGACTTGATATCACTCTACAGGGTAGCTTCGTGGGGAAGGCATACTGAGAAGGCTTTTACATGCGAGTCTTGGTGACTCCCTTCAATTGACCCTCCGTCCAGCTGGTGGCCTTTACTTTTATAAAGACGTCGACAGAATACTTCAATGCTGTGGTTGGTTATGTGTCGGTGGAAAGGCCGAGCGGACGGTAGCAATAAAACACTGGTCCCAATTCAAAACTGGCTCGCCGACAATCAGAACCTGGGTGGAGAGCACCGCATATTACAAGCAACGCGAACGCATCGGGCTTAATCCAGCATTGGCATCTTTAAACATTGTACCACCCACGGATTGACTGCTCTTCATCTAAATCATAACACCTTCTCTAACAGCTGTGGCATATTTTTGACCAGCAGACTGCTGAATATTGGGTTTGGAGGAGAACTAGGAGCAAACGTACCTAAAACCCACTGAAAGTGGGACCCTTCCAGCGCCCCATGCCACTGTTGGGGAGTTTCTCGCGACGACCTCTCTACCCGTCAGCCCTCATGGAAATCAACGACAAATACCACAAATTGTTTCCCACTCCCAAGGGACCAAAAAGAATGCAAAAAATGCAAAAGAAAGAGCTTGTAACGCCTCCGATACGGGGAATCGAACCCCGGTCGCCGCGGCACATTTTCAGGATGAAAACGCGGAATGATAGTCCACTACACCATATCGGAATACCGATGATGAGTCGTTGCGCTCGGTTGATGACAGCAAGCCCCGGAATAGGTCGTTATAAATGATTGACGGACCTAAAACATACTATTTGGTCCACAAATTTCCACCTCAGTTTCCATCTCTTTCTTCTTTTTCTGAGCACCCACTGCTCTTCCCCAGAGGTCTCGACTCTCTCCCTCGTACACCAGCTGCTGAGGCTTGTCTCAAGCGATCGTTTCTTCAACTTCAATCACTCGTAACTCGGAAGAGAGGAATGAGATGCGAGATGTTTCTAACTGATTCGATCATATCCCCAACCTGGGTTTTTATCGACAATAGAAAGACCGTGAGGACCATCGTAGAATGTCAACCGAGCTGAAATTATGTCTGACTTCTCAATCATGAAGGGCGTCCTTTTGAATCAAGAAAATACATCAATTGACAAGCCAGTATACGACCACAAGTTGTCTTGTTTCAACATTTCCGAGGTCTTCTCCGTTCCCAGCCCCGCCCACGGCGGACCAGCTTGGTCACAGAATGCTGCCAAGATAGTAGGTGTAGGCAACATGTAGACACGGGATGGGCGCTCTTTGACCAATGTAGTCATATGTTCTCTACCGGTAAGCTTGAAGTTCGGTCACCATCCGGGTGTTGATTTCGTGGACCGTTTGGTTGCGAGATCTGCCAGGTGAATCGGATCCGCTAACTCCGTCAACATGTCAACTTTGGGAAGTAAGAGGGACCCAGACAAGTTCATATCCGCCAAAGCTAGAGTGTCCACCCATTGTGTGGACCATACCTCATCCATCCTGCGTTAATAACTGTCGATGTGACAATACCTCCCCGTTACGCCTCATCATCTTTCTCAATTGATTCGTCAAAATATAAGGTGCCATTATATTTTCCCGACTGTTCCAGGTATTTCGGGTAACAAGAACTCAATATATTCCTCAATTAGTCTAACCCTGTTGATGTAGTGATTAGTTTCAAAAGTAGGCATCTTAATGTAAGGGAAATATTAATTCCGCCTCTGTGAGAACAAAGAGCGACATTTACCCATGTTTAGAAGGGGCGCTAGAACTAAATCTGATAGAGCAGTGTGCTCCTATGTCCGAGAACCTCTTAGTACAAGGAAGGGGGTTTCTCCCAGAATACAAACTAAATTCTAAAGAGGGTACTTATTTCACACCCACCGCCAACCCACCGACGTCGTCGCTCCATCGTTTCGGTAGGGTTTCGCTCGTCATGCCGTCCAAGGCACGCCGCTAGGCGCATCGCGATGCCAAGAAGTAGTCGCGATTTGCCCGCACCGCCCGTTTCTCTGCCGTCGAAGATTAGTGTATGCACTGCTTCCGATCGGCGATCAAGGCCCATCTCGAGGGGTTGAAGCTTGCGATACGCAGGAGTCCCTCGCCGAAATGGCAGAGATCAACTGTGTCTTCCCCTAGACCAAGTCTTTGCGCTGTGAACAATGCAGCCTCCGCGGTAATCCTTGCGTGGTGTTGATGTTAGAGAAAAATAAAGCTTTATCTAAACTGAAGATTGAGCTAATGCTAGTTAAGTTTTAGCGTTAGGATATCTAGTCGACATTTCCTTAGAAATTGTCCTCATACCATCTCAGAAACCGGTCTCGATCAGCATGAGCGATGAAGCGTTGTGGGACAGCAGCCATATAGATCATCTCATTCTCCCCCGGTCGTTTCCACTCTCCATCACTTGCATCTTGGTTAGGCTGGAGCGTCGTGATGTATCTCACAAATGTTGAGACTGTCTCATAAACTGGAATAGTAATTCCAATCTCCACGCAAATCTCGCACCAAACACCGGAAAGTACCTCGGTTTTGGCGTGATCTATGATCGCCAGGAAAACCCCTTCACCTTGGAGTGGAATTCGCCAGAGAGATGGCGCTGCAGCTTGTGGTATTCGTACAGATGGGCCTTTGTCTCAGCGTCGACGGTTTCGTTCTCCTAACAAGCATCGCAAAGCTCAGTCTGGTTCCGGAGCTACTTTTCTCTCAAAGTGGAGGCTTCAGTGCCCACGAGCAACCAGACCTCCATTGCAGAACGTGCTGCAGTAGTGTAATCTATCTGCTCTATGCCTTCCTCAACGGACTCCGCGATCTCGTCGGGAAAGGTCTGAACTTTTTCCCACGATCGATGCTGTCTCCAAACTAGTCCTCAGCATCTTCCTCGGTGTCGTCAAGATCTGAACCCTCGTTGAATGCCTCGTCGAAGTTGACTCCAATGGTGTGGAGAGTTTCGTCGTCGATGGTGTTGGTATCGGCCTGTTGGCGATTGCTCACCGACCGTTTCGCCTGAGCTAACACACGTCGGTTGAAATCGCTACTCATTGACTCAAGCCCTTTCATTCTGTTTCGTCAATGGTCAATTATCGTGTCTGCTTTATCCTGCGGGTCTTTGGACAATGCGCAAAAAGCGGCGGGGCGACTAACCCCATTGCAGTCCTTCTGGGAGGCAGAATCCCCATCGTGGGGATACTCCTCCTCATCGTTCCGCAGTTGCTCAAAGAGCTGGTTCAGCATCGGCCCCATAAACTGGACTTGGCCTGGGGTATTTTTGGTAATAGCAAGCATGCCTCTGAGGTGATCTGACTGAACATTATTCTCCCCACTCAAAGCGATGGATGTATGGTTGAGTAATTCAATGCGGTTACTTATATAGTAATGCTTTAGGATGTATAATTTTAGCTTATATAATACGCTAGGCTTTGTCTGCTTAGAGCTTACCTTTTTGGAGGAGATCTTATATATGATACATCGTCAGATAGCGACGGTTAAGTTCCAATGAGTAGCAGATAGCTTAAGTATCAGTTTACCAGTTTACTCTGTCCGTTCGTAGCAACTCTGTCACAGGGAGGAACGGACGGGAGGACAAAGTTACAGCAAACTCATACAGTAGCTAATCATCCGATAGGTATGTATCTAGCAAGGTGTGTAAGGTCAATCTCTAGAAGTAAGAGCTGTAGGGTCGTGAGGTCAGTATGATCCAGCTAGGTGAACTGGTACGGTTGGTCTTTGGAGCAACCTTGACTAACTGTAAGTATCAACTAAGGAAGTGGCCAAAAATATATAAGACTTAGATAAGTCTTATTTCTAAAGCCCCCTAAGCTAGGAACCGCTGCATTGGCCTTTAGTTTCCCAGTTGTAACCCAAACCGAGAACATCTTAGCAATTAGTCCGTCCCATCTCAAAATCTCTCCATGCAAAAGGGAGATTTTGCTGAAAATCGACATGTCGAGGAAGCCCCAAAGGCCCAGGTCGAAGAATTGCCAATCGATTCAACACACAGGCAAGATGATGGTTTTCGGCAAGCTCAATGTATGTAGTCTTTTGAATATTGAGGTCCGTCATTTGCAAAATCTCCCACGTCTCAACCCGGGTATCATTATTGATGCGTTGGCGACGCAATTTGATGTCGGATCGTTGGTCCAGGCATCTCATCATTTCTGTGAGACTGCGGTATGTTACAGCATCGGATGGAGGCTCGATGTCGCGCTCGGCGTACTTTCTTTTGACCAAGAACGACAAGCTTCTCTCGCATTGACCCAACACACAGCAGCCGATAGCCCGCTTCTCAACAGCTCTGGGGATGCACTTTGTGAAAATAAACGCAATGTATCGTCGCATCTGAAAAACAACTTCCGAAGCGGTCTGGCTCCATCCTCGAGGTCAGGGAAGCAGGCCTGGTCCAGATCCTCGTCGTCAACATCACCAAAAACTGCATTCGTCCATCGCTGATAGAGAACTAGATGGCGGTTTTGCTTCAGCTGAGTTGACAGCGCACTGTGTTGAAATCCACGTGCAGGCTCGTCGAGCTGCTCAGATTCGTCGTGAAGCCCGACGAGCTCAGGATCATCATAGTCAAGTTCTTCGACCTGGTCCAGAATCTCTTTGAGGGCTTCTTTCTTTCGGCCGATTTTGGGAGGCAATTGATTGTATGACCATGATGTGAAAATGGGGCTGGTTGAAGGAAGAGAAGAAATCCAAGAGCGATCTGCGATTAAAAGGGTGCTAGTTGTTTGGAGCTGTGAGAGCGGGCAGCCAGCAACAGTTGGTCACCTTCAACGTGAATTTCCCACTGACTCAAGGCCTATAGAAGAGGGTGTAACAGTGATTCAAGGTCGGTGGGTGGCTTCTCCAGCTTCAATCGACTCACCATGATTTGTTTCAACATCAAGCTTAACGTGGCTTTGCCTTTGTCGGAATCTATCCAATGAACCGTTGACTGACACTTATTCTATCGCTGCCCCTCCCTTTTGTTCACGGCCATCATCGCCAGCGAGCTTGGACTCGCCGGAATGCCGATAGCCATGGCAACCGTCGACGCAAATCCATTAGTTCGTCTGTGGAACATAGACCTCCCAGTTTGAGACTTCTCTTGGGCATAAATCGAGCCCAATAAATAAAATAAACATTATCAGTATATTAAGTAAATACTAAGAATTAGTCTTCTGATAAATCTATTTCCTAAGCTGCTTTCTGAGGATGATGATTATGACTCGCTAAAACAATCCAATAACAACGAAGCCATCGCAACTCTCGCCATGGTCGCTTTTGCCAAGTTTCCAAGCGAGAGTCGGAGGCTGGAAAGTTCATTCCGTTCAGTCTCATCGTCGCACAAGTCATCGAGGTCGCGCTCCACGGAAGTCAATCACGACCCATCCCATCAACGGCCCTGAACCCTACGAATGACCATCCTTGGTCACGTCACACAACCTCCAAATCACCTTTCAAAGTTATGGAACTTCCCATTTGGCTCTCACCCGTTTCTCCCGTGCGCGTTTTGTCCAACCGTTCCACGAAAACCTTCCCTAGACTTTGGTCTCACCTCGCGCTCACCTCGCTCCTCAGGGCAAACCAGGCGCGACGTCTTGAAAGTGAAATGAATGCAAACTCAGGCTCCACCGAGGAGTCTCGGGTAGTTGATCAGGATTATAAAGTCTGCAGCTGTAGGAGGGCGTGACGAAAAATGTTACCCTGCCTTTCCATAGTACAACACTTGTTTCGTACTTTCTTGGTCGTCGCAATTGTTCCCCCGCTATACGCAACTCCACGATCATCGTGTATCACGCGCAAGAGAAACGAACCCTTAGTTCTTGGGAACCAGAAACCCAACGAGCCCGCTGGACTTACTCGCAACAATGCCGTGTCCCAAGGCCCTCTGGTTCTTCATCTTTGTCCTCCTCACCGCGGTTGGTTCCCTGTCTGCTTCAGCACCAACACGCAACTGACTTCGCCTGCAGAGCCTCGCAGCCCCTACGCCCAACCATAAAGACGCTCCTCTGAAATGCCATCCCAACTCGTTCGCAGCGGTCCTCGGCACCCTTGCGAAAGACCCTGATGGTGCTCTTCGTCTGGGCCCCGACGGCATCTTGCGCAGTTTCGCCGTCAACGGCTCCGTCATCGACTCCCGCAATCTCTCCGCTTCGACGTTCCCCAGCTTCGCATCCGATACGGTGCTCCGCCGGCGCCGCGCCAACACGCATCCGTCCCCGATGACAACCGTTCCGCCACCTGGCATCAGATTCGGAGGCACCGGCCCATCTCAGATTGACCCTGAGATGCTCGGCGAGTGTAGCCCGCCGCTTGCGTGTCACAACAGCACGAGCTGCGGGGGCGGCTGCGGTTCGTGTACGTATCTGGGGTTCTTTCCCTACGGCTTATGCCTAGCTGGATGAGGCCCTGTCGTGTCAATGGATTCTGTCAGATCATGCCGGTGAGGATCAGTTGCTAGGGAATGCCCAGATTAGGCACAGTCTAGAGGCACAGTCAGAGTCAGAGGAGATGCTGCAGTACAGATTTGTGAGTCAGGATTAAAGGGTAGCAGAACAAGGATAGTTGGACAGGGAGAGGTGTGAGACATCAGGCCAGACTTTGGCGTTTATGCCCTTTCATTTGCTCATTTGCTCGCTCTTTTAGTTTCCCTTTTTCGGATGTCATTTAGACTCGGACAGTCGGACTTTCGGTGATTCGCATCCTGGAAGCATGTGGAGCTTGAAACTGAGGCCAGGGAGGTTGCTCTGTAATCCCAATATCTAGTGCATGCTCTGTAATCGAATCCATGCTCTTCATGTACGTGCTAACAGCACACTACCTGCACGCTCCCATGACTCGGCCCTTGCCGTCGCGATTCGCCCGTCGCATGTACCTTGGTTGGACGGTGGCATCACCTGTTCCGGCCTTGACTTTGCGGTGGAGATGAAAAACTGGAGCAGGCGTTCGTCGGAAACATGTGAGTCTTTGATATCCGATAGCGGAGACCGCCGGGCGACGATCAAGATGCGCTATCACCACTATCACCACTTCCAGCCTGATGCCATCTCGGGCGGAATTGGCCTACCGCACCGCACCACACCATTTTCCCCTCCCCTCCCCTCCGCAAAATGCCACCCCACCTCTCCCCTCACTCACATTCCCCCGCGATTGCACGCCTGCAGCCAGCCCCAGACGCCTCTTCCCAGAAAGGGACTTGGCGACACCTTCACGCCGCTGAGGGTGTGGTTGCTGTAGCCCTGGTACCGCCCTGCTGTTGGCGGTAGGACCTGCGCCTCGACGGGTTGGGCCATGGCGCCCTCACTTCTTTGTGTCGTGGTTGGCCTCCGGCTTTGACGATCCCGGTGACGGGGGTTGGCGTCACGGTGGCACAGATCATGGGACGCAAGGAGCTTGGTTTGTTTGGTTTGCATTATTCATTTTTGTTTGTTTTGTATTCTTTGGTTTCTGGCTATCTGCAATTGGGTCTTCTGAGCCCGGCGTCTCTCGCCTGAGCTGGCTCTCATAGCTTGCTGTCATCTCGCACCCTAGGAATTCTATTCCCAGCATGCGGCGTCTTTTTGGTTCCTCCATACATGATTAACTCCACCGTATTTTTTGGTGCATCGTCTCCCAGATATGTCCTGTAGTCTCCCGTTCCTTTGTAATAGCAGAAAGACCATCGTCTTTCGATCAACGCTGGTGGGGTATATGTGTGCAATCAAAATTCAAAATCGCCGCGTTGTCTCATGCAGGTAAAATGTGACCGAGTAAAAAGGAAGGAGGTGGTGATGGTGATGGTGATAGGGCTAGTCCGGCAGCTTCATGCCGATGCGCGTCGAAGTAGGTCCCCGGATTGTCGGTCCGAAGACTCGGCGCTCAACCGGTGAGCATCGAGGGGCTCGAGGTTCTCATACTCGATTGGGGGCTCCATGGTTGGGTAAGCTGGGGGGCTAGGAGGAACGTCCTGGTAGACGGGAGGTGCCTCGTTGTCCCAGCTGACGCCCATCCCTGCGTGGTCGGTCATGACAACGCCGTAATGCATTCGCAGGATGCGACCGGTGCCGGTCTGAGTGGCCATGTGAGGCTTGCCCTCGGGGGCGTACTCTCGGGACACGACGAGCTCAATGAGGAGCGAGTGCGTAACTTCGGTGCCGTCCTTGGTCTTGGTGTCGCAGGCGTACTTGAGCTCGCGAGTGTGCGACTTGTACTGGTTGGCAAAGTACTCAAATTCCATCTCGACGTTACCGTCGGCACCTGAAAAGTCCGACTTCCAGCCCTCGTGGAGATGCTTCTCGCCGAGGAGGCGGACCTCGGTGCGGGTTAGGCCCTTCTTCTCGGCCTCAGTCGCATTCGGGGCAGGCGAGTGACGCCCGCAAGCGGGGGCAACGGTCTTGATGGTCTCCTCGAGGCGCCAGGTGACCTTCTTTAGTCGCCAGAAGTCGATGGTCTTGGCCTTTTCGTTTCGGGTTACTAGGCCGTCGAGGCGAAGAGACACCTTGTTTGTGCCAGTAGGGTGGATGATGGAGCTGTAGTGGGCGCTGGCCTTGATGTTGGTCGGGGGGAAGACTCGGACGGAGTGATGGGGGAGATCATGCTCGGGGAGCGATCGCTTGACCGTCATCGTCTTCTCGAAGCGGACCGGGGCGCAGGAGCCGGTGTGAGAGCATGAGCTCTTGGTGACGAGAGCGTCGGCGTTGAACTCGTAGCTAATTGCCACGAGGGGAGTGTCCATGGAGGCGGGGAGGTTGCCATTCAGAAGAATGGAAAAGGGAAAGGTGTGGCGGCCGCGTCGCAGAGAAGTAGGCAGAGCGAGGAACTTCCAGCTTTGCAACTCGGTGTACTGGTTCGAGCAGTCGGTGCAGTGGCCCTGGAAGGGACGCTTCTGGACAGTGTGCAAGCGGAGAGCGGCAGTAAAGGTGCCAATCTCGACGAGGTCGTCACGGACATCGAGGAACATCTGGCCGGTGACCAGGGCGCCGGTGCTCTCGTCGGCGTTGCCGTGGAAGACGACGGGAGGGCTCTCGATGCTCCAGCCGAGCGAGACGGGTGAGGGGTGGTGGTCCTTGGAGGACTTGCCAAAGGGCAGAGAAATGCGGTGGTGCTTTTTTACTCCGTCGACGGGTTCGGGCATCTTGACGGACAGCGAATTGGCCTGGTCCTCGCCATCAGAGGTGTAAGGGCTGGTGGTGCGAGATCGCGAGATGGCAACCTTCTTGATCTGAGCAATGTTGCCGGAAGATGTGCGGAGGAAGTTGGCCACGCGGTGGGGCATGGTGACGTTTGTCGATTGTGTAAGTGGGAGAGGATTAAAGAAGAGGCAGAGGCAAATGTCGAGGGACAGTCGACGCCGGCGTCGCTGTGATGATGCGACGGGCTGGCAATAGCCGGCTCAAACCACCACACCAGGGGTAAAGGCTATTCGTCGCAGGCGGATGTGCGCTGGTCTGATGCCGATGCTGGAGGTGGTCGGCTGACGCACAGAGTTGCAGCGGCTGCAGGCGGCGCCAGACGACGATGACGATGAAATGGCCGTCCGGGGGCTAATACAACTAACGCGTTCAAGGCGAGTGGAAGCTTGGCCGTGCTAGGGTCGATCGCTTTTTCTCTTAGTCTGCGGGATTCGGAACGCCGAGCCAGGGGCGTGTGTGGCGGTTGTGAATTTTTCTTTGTTCCTTTGTTCCCCCTTCTTGTTCCCAGCTCAGGCTGAGGCTAGTGGAATGTTCTGGTCTCGACGGCGGAACGAGCGACTGGGAGAGGATGTGAGGTCCGGTTCAGGAGTCAATTGTGTCTTTCAGAGTCGACGCGGTGGACGTGGTCGAGGGGGATGGAAGCTGATGTCCGTCCGTGTAAGTCAGGGTGGCAAAAGGTGGACGCAAGCGGCAGCTGCAAGGAAGCTATAGGGCCGTGGGGAAGTTTGGTGGTGGATGTTCGAGAAGGTCTCAAAGTCTGGGGAAGATGGTTTTCATTCAAGGAGGAGAGATCAAAATCACGGAGATGGGAGAGATTCGGCCTCCTTATGACCTCGGGGGCTCAGGAGCTCGCAGGAATAAATATTTCTAGTACGTAGTCGCCCTGACGAGCCTCCTGCACCGGCGGGGGGAAGCGATGTGTCATAGCGAGCAACGCGATGCCATGACGAGCTTGTTCAGTGGCGCCTCGAGTGGACATGGCACTGAAATCCACTGACAGCGGCTCCCGCCTGACTGCCCTTGGCCGTGCTATGGTATGGTACAATTTTCGCTGCGGTGTGCGAGGTGTGCGGCATTCCGAGGTGTGTGCCGTTTGGCCCTGCGGTGGAGACGGTTGTGTGTAAGTGGGCGCATGGTCCCACGGGGTCCACGGACGGGCGAGCACGGGGGTGGAGGCGTGTGAGGAGCGGCCGGGCCTTCATCAACGGGAAACGTGATGAGGTGCTTTGGCCAAGAGCAGAGAAATACCCAGCGGTGGAGCTCCTTGGGCGTGTGCCTGGGCGACTGGCTGCCACTGGGTCCGGCGTTGCGTTGCGTGGGCCTCGTCCAGTACGCCCTGTACATACGGAGGGCGGAGTATACGAATTACAGCTCTGGGATGGTGTCTGGCCGCCTGGCCACTTGCGACTGGCGGTGGGGCGCTGGGAAGGGGAAGGGAAGAGGGATCTTGGACAGCAGAGATCGTGGATCGTGTTAATTCCCGTGTGTCGAGGGCGAGCGAGGGCGGAGTCAAGTCGTCGAGAGTGAGCATGACCGGGCTCCATCCAGCACCCTGAGGGAACACGAACGGCCCGGCAGTTCCCGCTGATGCACAGCCCGTAGCACGTTTTTTACTGCTGAGCAAGATGAGCAAATTTTAGCTGAATTGGCCTTTTCGATGAGCCCATCACGGCGTGCAATTCCGGAATTCGAGTACGAAAATCCATGTGTCCGAAGGTCCGACCTGGGTTGGGTGTTAGTTGGTGGTAGGCGGCCTGCTGATTGATCATCTGGGCCAGCCAGCCAGCGCCGACAGTTACAGGGCATCACAGGGCAGCGCGCAACCACTCACAGCCGGCAGTGCGCAACGCTCGGGGTCCGCAGTCCGCTCCTTCAGCGTCCTGAACCGGCCCGGCAGCGAGTCGTAGGGCTCTGAGGGCACGGGGCTGCGCTGGAGGGTCGCTCTGGGTGCGGATGGTGCTTCGTAGCGCAGCAGGGTCTCGGGTACCGGAGCTATGATGTGATGTGGCAGCAGGCACACATGACGCCTTTCTGGCGGGTTGTTGGTGCGGGTGTTGGCGCGGCAGAGCTAGCTAGGCTGTAGCGGGCTTCGATGGGTTGTGCGGGAGGCAGTGGGCTAGGGAGGAAAAAGCCCGCCATGCCTGGAAAGGGTGCAGACGATCATTCACACCATGGATGTGGCCTGTGGGCTGGCGCCGATGGATGGGAGTTGTTCTGGCGGCCGCGGAAATGTCTGCTTCAACCGCCAGCCATGATGACGGAGGCCGATGACTGAACAATTGCTGCCCTCGTCCTCAGTCGCCAACCAGCGGTGGTCGCCTCAGCAGGTGTGGTATTCAAGTCGGCTCTTCGGCGCGGACAGGCACCCAATTCACCAATTACAGCTTACACGCAATTGCCTTGCAATGATGCTGCAACTCTGGGCGCCCATCACGCACATTTCACCCGCTGTAGGCCATGGGGATTGGGACTAGCTTGGGTGCCGCACAACGCCACACCCCTTGCCGCTGCCAGGTTTGGTCTTCTACAGAGATCCATGATGAGCAATTGTGCCCTGACACGCCCGACCACGCCCTCCAACTACGCCCTTTCAGAGCCCTGTGGGATGCCTCGTCAGGTGCTGCTGCACCCTCTGCAACCCCCCTGGGAGAGGGGGATCCGTTGGCGGGAAGAGACAACAGGAAAACCACCTGAGGGCTGATGAACAAAAGGAATAACATTCCAAGCTTTCCGTAAACATACCACTGGCGACCGGAGACGGGCGAGTACCACTCCAATGCCCAGATGGGCCCATGGAGAAACGAGGGTGCTCCACCGATCTGGAAAAAATAGCCTTGGGCGGGCCCGAAAATCGCACTCAGCAACGCGGCCACGGCCGGCACAGCGCGAGAGAGAAGAGGAAACTGCGCGGCTAATTGGCCTGCACACCTCTGCCGGCTGTAGGGCGTGCGTACGGCACAGGAGGGAGGTGCTCGTCCCATCGTCCAGAGCGTGCACTCGTGCCTGTTGCGCCTGGGAACCGACAGGGTCAGGGGCTGGAACTCCTCCATGCGCCCGTGCGGCGAATCGAATTGACGACGACGACGACGATGGAGCTCCTCATGGTCAGAGGATCGATCCGCGAGCTGCACAGAAACCGTTGAAATGTGGCTGGATGGGATCGCCTGGTATTGGGCATTGAGGTGGACGACGTCGAGGGGCTGCAACCTGGCGATCCATGCTCCGTGCTCCATGCAAGCCCAAACGATGGAGGGTACACATGTCTCGGTATTCGTATACGCGCAGCGGGAGCCTCATCATCAACGAACGACATGGTCGAATGTAACTCCAAGACCAAACAAGCACCACAGGCACCGCAAGCACCTAACTGGAAACTAGCAACATGCAGTAATAATCCCCGAGTCTCGATTGTTTCCCCAACTGGGCGCATCATCATGTGCCCCCTCCACCTCCAACCCCTTCGTTCCCCTCAATTCCCACTTGCACTCCGCTTCTCAGGTTCTGAGCTGCGGTGCAGATCGCGCATCATGGGGTCTGCCGTCGTCTCCTGTTTTTCTCAGCTTGGCTCGGTCAGTCAGTCCGTCAGTCAGTCCGTCACCTTGCTGGGCCATCCAGTTCCCGGGATGGTACGTACCCGACCTCCGGGACCGGCCCCACTTAAAATTTTCAGAACAAGTAAAAGAAAAAACTTCACGTCCGCCGCCGCTCATTCCATATGCTCAAATTCATGCCGGTCCCACGGTTCTCCACCGCTAGAAACGGTACGCGCTTCTTCTTACGTCTTGACGTCTGACTGACAGGACCTTGGCCGGTGGCAGACCCAGTCACGAGTCACCGGGCAGTCAGGAGCCCGTGCCTAGTCGCTTGTTCCCTGAATCCCTGCATCAGGTGGGGCTTCGCATCGAGAAACAAGACCTCAGGACCTGAAAAATTTTCCAGTTTCTCCAAAGAGTGCCCTCCCTGGCCGCCGGCTCATCGTGGCTGGTTGCCTGGGGTTGGGCACGCCCTTGGCTTGCTTCTCTCGTTGGCCCCATCTGGCTCCATCCAGCTGGAAACGGAAAGCTTGGTCTGAAAGCTCCGAAAGTACTCAAAATGCTACTGCGTAGTGCGTACTCAAACCGTTCATTACACACCCTCTGGCCTCGCCAGTTGGCCGGCGGCCTTTCACCCTGGGAAAATCTCTGAATGTGACCCCTGCTGGCCTCTTTGATGTCTGTTTTTGGTCTGTTGGATCGTTTGAAGCTGAACGGGCCGTCTTAGTCCTCGAGCGTCTAGACGTGCCTTGATCTTTTGTCGAGTTTGAGGGTCCCAGGTACCTGGGTTGCGGCCCACGTGGATCTCATCGCACGCCCCCATCGCGCCTCTGCAGCATCCAAACCATGGCGCGTGCTTCAACCAGTCGACAATACAGATGCGATCCGTTGCGATGCGACCATTGTGAGACGTAAGTCATCCATCGACAATGCGACAGTCGAGGCATTTCTGTCCTATTACCTAAGTTAATGCCAACCAACGTATTATGTTGATGTGTTGACCCAGCATCAGATGTCAGGCAACAGATGTTCTGATTCCACTGGCAACATGAGATGGATATCTCCAATTCCCTTGTTGGTTTCAACACGTGCCTTCTCATCCGATCTCCCTTAGATGGCTCTGCGGTTTGTAGGTCGGCACACCAGTCCCAGCTAATATGCCATGCATAGATGGAATGCGCCAAGATGTGCCGTGTGAGTCGTGCTCATCGACCTACCCTGTGGTGCGTTGGTTTACATCACCACTACGACTTGCTTCCCATGACATCAGTATCAACGCCACCTCTAAATCCATGCTATTACAGTCTCTCTATCGGTTCAGACGGTCTGAATCCCTCCATGGGGCAGCTTTCTGAACTTTTGCCATTTTTGCCACCGCGCCGATCCAGATCCAACCGCGATCTGCTCTACGCCATCAGGTTCACATCACGTTGTTCTACTCAAGCTTCCTTCTTCACGCGCCCCGCGAATCTCGAGCAGGTGGGTACGAAGAAGCTAGGGTACTCCCTTACCCGAGACTCTTAGCTAGATCATCATTCCATCGCGAAAAATGGGTTTTCAAAGTCGATACGGTTGAAGGTGGATCCCCGCCACCCGGCCTCTCACGCACACCCTCAACACCACACACGCCCACCGTTCACCCTGGAACCGATCGCGAGCTGGGCAAAGTACCCAGAGCCGAGCCGTCCTGCCGCCGCGCACGCCGTGGCCGCGCCGCCTCCTCGGCAGAAACCGAGTCAAGTGAGCCTCGTGGCTGCGGCTCTCTCAAGGTGTGCCAGAACCCTGGGTGTCCGGCACGGTCTAATACGTAACAAATTGACCCTGTGTGCCTGAAGATCCCGGCGTCGCGAACCACCGGCGGCAGCTCTTACCCAAGCGATCGGCGGTCTGCCACCACGAGCCACATCTCATCTCGGTCGGGAACTACCAGCTCAGCCCTGTCGCGGCGTTGTCATGGTGCTCTGCCAGTTCTAGACGTCTGGTGCCAATAGCCCAACACGCCCTAGGCCTGGCCCGTCCGCCCTCGCAGTTTGCGAAACCGTCCTCCCGTGGTGCAATCACGGCTCCAATCTGCGCAACGTGGGCTAGGGTCAGTGTCCAATCCCAACCACGTTCCTTTTTCCGGATGGCTGGTCTCTGTAACGAGCTGTGTCGGGCAAGAGACCTGAGACCCAAGCGAGGTAACTTGGACAGAAACGCCATCGATATCGTTGCTTCCGTCACCTTCCGAAGAACACATTATACATAGTTAGCTGGACAGCTTTCGACACACGACGCGGTCCGTTCGCCACTATTACACACGCGGTACGTACTGCAGCGTCGTACAGAGGGTGTCGGTTTATGAATCGTCCATTTTTTCTCCGTTGCAGCAGCTGGTGCCGGGTCCAACGCCACCTTTTGAGCCGCATCACGGCCGGTGCGCGGGCCACCTTTACGCTATAATTATCACATAGAATCCTCTTTTCCAGGAGTTATCAATCAGAGGCTGGCAAAGCCTTTGGAGCTTGGTGGGCTTGATCCATTCCGCCCACAGCCATCGCACGGGCGTAGCATCCAGATCACGATCCCAATTCAAGCGGTGAATGTGGGTGTGCAAAAGCGAGTCTCCATGAGACATCGGTGATTATGCTTCAGACCTTGGCAATCATACGGATGCCCAGTTCGACCAACCCCTCGGCCAAAGCCTCCGACTCAACCCGCCTCGACTTACATAGGTTGAACCAAGCCGTTATGCAAGCTTCGGGATGGCCCACATCAACCCGACTGCTAGCACATCGTTGTGCATGCTTCCCGCTGGAAGATCGACGGCCAAGCGGTGCAGCTTGATAACCTAATTGCTGAATGACTCCTCGGCGGCACGTCTAACAGGCAGGGCCTGAGTCCATCGTGATCTCGACCGTCGCGGTGCGCGTGTGGGTCAAATTGACCAGCCGACAGACTCGGAATGCGGCGCCGAGGCGGACAAAACCATGTCGGAACGCCGTCCCTCGCTTGTTATTGCCGCCGCAGCTGTTCCCGGGGCCACCGCACTAGGAATGGCGAAACGAATACCTCGCCGGCTTCGGGTGTCGTACGAATCGAGTCAATCGACACCGGTCCTTGGCGGGTATGAACGGATCACCATCCTGGCGGTTACGCTCTATGCCGACCAGGCCCCGTCCATAACGGTGCGTCATGTGCCCAGGCTTTCCTTGATAGGTTCTGCTCATGTCATTGTGCGACCACGGCGGCGACGCCCGTGCATATGACATGTTTCTTGGCACCATCCAGACAGACCATTGCGGAAGACCTGTCATATGGTCCAACGTCCATCGCCAATTTTGCCTTAAAACCGAAAGACTGCCAGCGGTCAACTCGAACGTGCTCGGTGTAATGTGTCAAGAGATCCACGCGCTGCAGCCAACGTTGATGCCTTCTCACCTGTGTCGGAGATGCCTGCTCCCATCACGTCGTCTACCCCGGCAGTTGGCTGCGACGTTCATGTGAGGTAGAAAGCCCACTCCAGCTGCGACGTTGTTCGGTGGCCCCTTTGCCCCGGCCCTGGCTGAGGGGCACCGCTTCTTTTCCAGAGCTCCAGTGTGTTCTATCGAGCGGATACCGCAAGGGTGTCACGAACGCAAGCTGGGGTGTTTCCAAGGATCACTCTGGAGCTCCAATATGCGAGTTTCGAGTACGTCGCGTGACTGCATAATTGTCATGACCTTGAATCACCCATTTATTTGACCATGGACCGTACAATGAAGGCCGATGACATGCAGACACGATAACCGTAATTGTCAATTTTCGGCTGTTCCGAATTCCCAGCCCAACTGAACCCATCTGGGCAGCAGTCGGGGATTTGGCATCGGCCCCGCCGTTGCATGAGGATCTCCCCGTCACCAGATCCACAACCCAACTTTTCATCGCCACAGAGTCGGATCACGAGAACCCCGTTGCTAGGATTCAGCATTGCTCAGGAGAAGGAATAATTCCTGGTGGATGTGACTGGTGTCGCGGGAAGATCTAAGGTAGTGACTATTCTCTGTGGGGGTTACCAGCTGTCCGCATCTAAAACCTGGAGTAATGTGGCAGGTTTTCTTGGAAACCGATAAGGTGAAGCCTTGGTTGTCCTGATCTGTTGTGTAGGGTATTCGTAGGGGTAACAGTGTTATCCAAACATGGACAGAATAAGAACTTGATAGGTCCTTGACGGTATGTTGTGACAGACCTCTCTAATTTATTGAATCAGAGGAGGAAATGAACATTTGATTCGTTTCTGTGATATTTAGCCATGTATGTGGTGAGCGTGGCCGCCCACATAGCCCCCGTCGTGAAAGAGATCCGGAAGATTGCGTACGAATAAGGCTTATAGTGTCTCTACAGATGAAAGACGTTATATTCGTGAAGCCAAGCGGTCCGTGCTGGCCTTGAATAACCAGGTTCAAAGGTTTTAATTGAGCCGGCAGAATTCGCGTCGTCGCTATGTGAACAAAAGGCACAATGCAATACTGTCTAACAATCACGATGCCTTGCTTTAATTACAAAAGCCGTAGAAGGTCGAGGAACACCTTGGCTACTGCAACGTATACCTTGAAGGTGAGAGGTGAGGGGCTTCCCTCAAAATGGGTCAACACGGTACGGAGGGTAGAAGAAGCTCAATCGTCCAACACCCCCAGTCTTGTCTATGTCGTGCAGCAGCAACCAATGCGATTACAAACGGGGCCTAGAGGTCCTTTTGTTTTTCAAGAGCTGCCTAAAGTATACCGAGTATACTTAAGAAGTCTGACCAGTGCAAGACACTCGAGCGACGTTGGAACAGCTTGCCAATAACTAACACTGCACATAAGACCACCCTTGGATGACTAACTTGGTATAGGGCCCTCCGCAAGCAGTTTGGGTTTGATGACGTCGGTGATAGGAACTTGGCGCAGCCTCATTGTTGTCTGCTTCCGATGCCAATAGAGGGCTATACACAAGGCAACACGGCTGTACGGTTTGGAATAGGGCCACATATGCATTTGCAAGCAACAGGTGCTGTCAATCTACGGATGCGTTATTAGTATGAACCCCAGGATGCTAGCTACCTCGCCTTCTAAGTCCTGGGCGATGATGTCTACTGTGAAATTCCCCGTTAACGCGGATCCAAACTCCGAACCCCCACCCTAGGTAGGATGCGTTGAACAGATCCCAACTCTCGCATCTGATCCCGCCAAGAACCGGCCTCGTATCCCGGTGTCGTGATAACGAGATTTGTCAGTCACAATGCCTGCTGTTGAATCATTGAGCCACGCCATTCCTAAGAAGGCATCGCGAGAACGAAAGCTGAACACCCTGGGGCTGAATTACCAAGGGGCGAACAAACCTTCGGTTCAGCCGGGTTGTAGTTTCCTTCAATTGAATGGATGGATTGCTGTCGCCTACATGAATCACATCCCAGCCTCGCGTACGGAGCAATCACTGAAAACGCCTCCTAAGGCTGTATTGGAAGGGATCGGCAATTCCAACCAAGGCACAGGCGGCGTGGCGTATCAGTAGATCAGAACGCCCAAACTGGACTACAGCTGCTTGCCGATTCAAGACCAATGGGATTTCTCTGGAGGGAACGTGAAGCGCGCTTTTTTAAAACACAGACTGAGGGAGGGCTCCAAAAACGGTAGATCAACTCAGCATCAAGCACCATCTAACCGTAAATGGCTTATAGTGGTGTGTGAGTGATGCTATCTCAGCACGGACCGGGATGTCGCAGTGGCTAACTGAGCAGCTCAGCTCTTCCAACCAGGGCCTAGAATGCCAATATTTTCAGCTCGACTGAGACAACGCTGTTAGTGATGTAACACAGCCAATACAAGATGGTGGGTGGCGCAAAGGCGAGCCGCATAATTATACGGAAGCTGGCTGCCACTAGTTCATGTAGGTCACACGATAAGGTGTTTTTCTTTTTCCCAGGTAAGGCTTTTGCTATGGTTCAGAAGAGGCGCATTGTAGCTATGCCAGATGCGATAGCTTCCAAATAGCGCGGGTTGCCTCATTCCATAGGGTAGTATTGGTGGGATGGTGCTCAAGATATGAGTCTTCACACTCTGATATTGATAAGGGGACACCGTCCCAGCATGTTAGCAGTATATTTCTCCAAAGAACCTAATCATTAATTTAAGCATATGGCTAAGCGTATATACCATCATAATGTCGAACCCAAATCCCGATTTGTACATCAACCCCGACTACATCTACAAGGGTGGCTGGACGAACTGGAATGGCGATGTGACTACTGGAGGGAAAATTACCGTTTCAAAGAAAGGCGCTGAGCTACTTATGGTATTTATCGGCATTTTCTTCGTGTTCATGGAAGCTGGCCTATGGTCGCTCATTTCCTTTGGCCTATTCCTCTGGCGCAGGTCACAGAGCCTGGAGCAAGTCGGAAGCAGAAGTTCTTCCACAGTGAGGAGCCTGGACCGTGACGCTCTCTGGCATCTGCAACAGGCAACGCTCCGTAATGGAGGAGATGATCGAGCGGTCGGAATCACATACATCTCATTGTGGCTCAACTATGGATGGAAGAGCTTCGACGTCATATTACGCACCTGGCCGACTATATTTCTGGCGCTCACATCATTTGGGATATTTCTTATCGCGCTGCCGTTCATTGCCGCGTATTTGATGCTTGACAGTCAAGGAGTTGAAGTCCTGATTCATAGTCCCCAATGCGGATATTGGCAAGCGTCCTTTAGCGACGACTTGGTTGTCGCCTCCACGGACGTAGCGAACCGTACTATGGAAGCCGTCCAATACGCCGACACTTGCTACGAGAACAATTCTCCGTCCGAACTCTGCGACAACTATCTTGTGAAGCGGAATTTAGAGTGGACTGGGTGGCACAACACAGAGTGCCCATTTGAAGACGGGATGTGCCTTGGTAACGACAAGTTCCCCGCCTTTCAGATGGAGACGCTGCTTCTAGACTCGCACGAGCACTTTGGCATGAACTCGCCCAAACAAGGCAGGTTTGCTCTGCAAAGAACCACGACATGTGCACCACTTAATGTGAAAGGCTGGTCCTTGGTCGAGGGGGGTACCATTGAAGGAGAGAACATCACCAAAGTCTACTTTGGTGCGACGTCCTCAGACGACTATACTTTTGGCGTCAGCAATCTGCAATTACTAGCCGGTCCAAATTATAATCTTGCGTAAGTTTTAGTTTCTAGATAATTTCTACACGCTAATTCCTTATAGAGCTTACGTTTCCTACGCTTATAATGAGTCTACTGGGACCTTTGTTCCCATTAAGCAGTTGCGTCGCACTGATGGCGATGTCTCTGTTGTAATCCTGAACAACAATCGGATTCCTGTCGCTGGAATCAATGGACCTTGCCGTGATCCTTTCTTTTCTGCAACGGACCGCCAAGTCGAGACTTTCCCGGACTGGTATCTACCTGATAATCCAATTACCGCCATCGGTTGTGTCGACCAATATGCATTCCACAACCCAGTCACTCATCAGTGGAGTAACCAAACAGGGATGTTGCTACTAGGTACCGACCTCACCAAGGAGTCGGGACTCGGGCCGAGGCAAGTTGCTGCGATGAATACACTGCGCTGGGCTCTCGGACAAGTTGGTGCTATGGGTAGAGTCGTTGAGACGCTCGGATCAGATGCACTCAGAGCGAAGAAATACCCAGGGGTGTTTGATGGATATCAAAACCCACTTCCCAACGATCAGTGGAAAAATGAAGTTGGCTACTGGTTCAACACCCAGTTGGCGGCTCTTCAGCTGCAGTTTATTCGCATTGCTACAGGCCCGCAGAACACAAGAGGAATGACCAATATTTTGCCCGTCTCGGCACAAGGATCAGAACACGACTATGAGGCATTGATATGTAACTCGCAAAAGATCCAGAACAACGGATTCAAAAACTTCTACAGGACCGGCTTCATTACTCTGGCTGTAATCGGAGTACTCATGATCATTGCGCCCTGGATTCTCATAAAGTGTGTGGTTTTCTGGGGACGTCGTGGAAAAAATACGTTCGCGTTGGAGTGGATTTCATACGGACACATGCAGTTGTTACGAATGGCCAACGAGGGAGTCAAGGTTGAGGACTGGGAGGGATGTGACAGCGACATACCCTTGTTACCGTTGGATCGCAATATTGCAACTCTTGAGATAAAAACATCGACTACTGGCAAACCGCATCCAAAATTGAGGGAGCCTCAGAAGGAAACAATTGGTGCGACGGGGTCAGGCGGAGAGCCAGCTGCAGGAGAAGCAGCTGGAGGCGGAGAGAGCCAGAACAGTATCGATGCTACAAGGCCAAGGGTTGGGCAAACGGAATATTTTGCGATGGGAGCCTTGGACAGGCAGAACTTGAACAGGCAGAACGGGGTTGGCGCAATACCGTTGAGGACAAATACGTCACCAGACCCAGGAGCCTTGGGTAATCGAACAAGCAGGGAAGCGATCTGGTAGAAGAATAATGGTCTTCGAGGGAAATTAAACTGATTATCTTGCATCTCTTTAATTATATCACGAGCTCGACTTATACTTCTTGCTTGTCTTATCCCCAAATGTCACGGTGACATTATAGTCATTCAACACACCGGACTCCGCAGCGCCGATCAAAGTGAATAGCGAAGCCGACACGACACCTTTGCCTTTTGGTGTCGACTTAGGAATAGTGATGGTCTTGTTGAAGTTGCGCAGCTGGTTAGACTCATCTACACCCGCGCTGTTAGCATGTATTTGACCGTGGAGCCGCATCTTACATACTAGGTCCGAGATAGAACGAGTCGGCCACTGTGCCTAGGGACCCGGGGAAGCCCTTGCCTGTGGCATAACCGAACGCAATGGCGACGTCGTAGGAACTCTGAATCCAGTTGGAACTGAGGATAATGACATTGAAAGGGTCGCCTGGCTTGATGGTCGAGGGAACGGATATGCCGTTGATGTGTGCCTGGGCAGTGCTGAGAAGGGCGGCGATGGCGAAAGAGAAGCGCATTTTGTGGACTATTGGAAGTATGAGAGGTTTGAGATGGGCAATTACTGGCTTGCTGTAGTATTCGGAACGGGTTTCTTAGTGATTTCAGGGAAGCATTCTCGGACAGTCGCCATTTATACACCTCACCGCTCTATTTATGTGCTCTTTACGCATTCTGGCTAAAGAATCTATTTTCAGATATCCCGCGAAGCTATGGCCTGCGCGACCTCGTATTTGCCTCTCACAAGGCACTCTATAAGACAACTCGTCACTCAGGGACTCACTAGCGTTGCCGATTGCCGTTTCTCAGCTGGCGCGTCCCTGGTATTGGTCGTCGTGCACGAGGCTCAAAAGCCATGGCGTCGCTGCTGTTCAATAAGAGGGAAGTATCGTCAGCGCGGGGCGCTGTCGCGGCGGTCATTCGTCCTGTGAATAGCCCGCGGGCGATAAATGCTCCGGTTGTTGAGGTCATGGGTAAACTCCGCAAGCGCTGGCCCCTTTTGGGACTGAAGAGTTGTGAAACATGATTAATTTGAACCGTATTTACTGGTTTAGTGCCAAGTGTGTTCTTGTGACCGTGAATGATGCCTTATTGCGCTTTATGGCGGCAACAGGCGGGAAGATGCGAATCGTCGGCAGCACCGTAAGGAATGATGGACAGTGCCATGTAAAGTGGCGAAGGAATAGCACACCCTCGCTGATTTGAGCTTCTAGACATTCTAGTGCAGCGGCTCTAGTGTCTCCACATACTGTAACGCCTCGACTGAGCTGAATGAGTCGGAGCTGCGATATTCCTGGTAGTGGTAACCCCAGGCGCCTACTTCCAGGGCCTCTGGCTACAAGCAATCTTCCTGGTATAGATGCTTGCTGGTGTATTGGTGTAACTCACGAGTGAGAGATAATAACTAAAAGCAATTAGGGATGCACGTACAGATGCATAAAACAAATGGGTATATTTGGTATTAATGGGTTCGGCTCATTATAGCCAGCACAGTCCCGAAACTAGCACCTCATCTGAGCCTTGAAGAATATAGGCTCGTTCCGATGACTCGCATGGCACATACGACCATATCTGCCTGAAAACTCGGGATCCCGTCCGATCTCCACCGATAACCCAGCAAGAGTTGGATTAGTAGCTAGGTCGGTGACGACTAGCGAATCCCCAATGTTGTATGTCTTTCTTTTTGCCGGGTTGGCAATGGGTGCCCAAGACATTGGACATCGGATACTTTGAGGAGCTTTAGTACCACCTGGATACAGCGTTTCATACTTGGTTGACTAGTTCACATAAACGATATCATGACCTGGTGCTCCTGCATCACTTCATGCAAGGTCCATGGGCTAATGGCCTCTTTAGGCTTACTCCAGATTTGTTCGAGCAACAAAAGGGCTTGCCTCATGCTACCCAGGCGAGTGGACTCGAAGACTGTCTTGAGTCTGCCCTTGATAGCATCCTGTGACGCGGGATCGCGCGTGCAGCAGCCAATAATCGTGAGCGGCCAGCAAAGGCTGGAATTCACCCTAGCTGAGTCGGGTAACTGATCCAATACCGACATCGCTTCCTGAACCGCATGGCTGATGAGCATGGTTTGCATGCTGTTGCTTTCTCCAGAGGGCGGTTTATCCACGCTTGTCCATAGGTACAAGAGCACCGCCTGCTTGAAAATAAGGCTTGCGAGCAAAAGCTCCTGATCCACAAACGAGGCCGGGAAGAAGCATTGTGCCTGTGTCTGCAGTGACCCAAACATGATGATGTTATCGGCGAATGTCGGTTTGACTTGCCCTTTCAGATTCCCCATGATTCCTTGTCTTAATTGATGGATTTGTAGTATAATCAAGAGGAGTTCAATCCAACAACCAGATAGTTGGCCGACGTATTGCTCATCGGCGAGCTGTCTTGCCGCCCGTTCGATTTCGGGATGGAAAACAAGCGACGAGCCGCGCTTCGGGTGGACTGAGATTAAGTTCAAGGCTGTAATATCGATATATGACTCGACCATGAAGTTGCGTAAATCGATGGATAGTTCGGGTGGTGGATCTGCAAGCATTCTGGCAAGCAATAACTGTGCCACGGTGAGATGATCGAGAATAATGCCATCGGCATCCGGTCTAGTAACCTGTTTAAACTGTCAGACTTCCTCGGAGTTTCTTAGTCTAGGATGAGAATTCTTGCGAACCTGAGTCAGACAAATGATGAGACTGCCAGTAGTAAGAGTGACCAAGTTGTTGTTTTTCTCGACAAGATGTCTCTTAAGCATGTCCTTGAATAGCTGCAATGAGTCGGCGTAGTAGCGCTGTGCGAAATTGTTGTCGAAAAGCCGTTTGTCGGAGGCTTGTTGAAGTATTGCGCTCTGAGCTAATAGAAGATGCAAAATGAGTGGGTTCGACAAGCCCAAAGGGACAAGCATGTCAATGAAAGGATTGACATCTGCAGCGCCATTTCCCATGTTAGGAGCGATGTGGGAGTGATAGTAGTTGAATAGACTGGCGCGATGATGGTCATACTGAGCAAGCGTTCCGGCGAATTTGCATAAATCATCGTTTTGTGGTGATGCGCCTCTTGTAGAGGAATTAGGGGAGGCATTGGACGAGGCTTTCGGGCTGATGTCGAACGTGGCGCTTACAACGCTGGCGCTCCTTGACAAATTATTTCCGTCGTATGGATAAAATATTTCGGAGGTTGATGGAGAAAAGCTGGAAGACGAGATTGCGGAGGATGAACTCGAAGGGCAATGTGAGAAGGTTGGACAAGGGTGAGGGGTGCTTGGTGGAGATGATGTCGAGCTGTCGGCATCTTGATGATGTTGATGACTGTGTACTCTGGTAGAGCCCAAATCTGTGGAACTGCTCGAAGCTGCTTCGAGGGATGTCGTTGATGGTTGCTGTCTTGATATTGCCTTTGCCGACATCGCGGCTGGGGCGAGTCTCTGTGCTTTGGCGAACATGCTCGGAAGAGCAGGCCAATTGCATTCTAGCGAATTCTGCCGACAACTGCTGCAAATTGGCTTTCGCTCGTCGCATTTCTTCTTCCGGCGCCGACAGGTGAAGCACCCAGTCCGGCTCCGGGACATGGTGGTTTCGCGAGTGCGGGTTGGTTTGTTCATTCCGCTCATAGGTCTTGCCGGCGACTATGCTTGCAGCGAAGCGCTGACGAGGGGGAAGACACCAAGATCAGATTTGAACCTACGCGAAGCTGAACTCATATTTGGTATATAACCGGAGCTTGCTGTTTTACACAATAAATATTTGGTCGCCATATGATAAGCCAAGTAGTACTTGGTAATTCACCTATTCTACACGCCTACTGCATGTCATCCCGATGTACTTGGTGAGTACGGAGGACTTTCGGGAATTCGGGCCCCGCCGGCCGATCGGGCTCCGCCGGCCGAACGGCTTCCGTCCACCGCGTTTTGGCACCCAAAAGCTGCTAAATTTGAGTGCCAACGAGTTGAAATGCAAGCTAATCCGAGAATGGGAACTGTAGCTGGGACGACAAACCGATATGATTCGCGGATACAGAGACCCCATTCTTTCATTCAGGTCGTGATTGGGTCAGTTGGATGTGCTGCCGCTGTTTGGGAACTCGATCCGGTCACGTGGCCGGACTTTTTCCCCGATCACAACCTATTTGTCTGCTATCTGAGTTGTTTTGCATTGGCTGAGAAGATAACGGTGATGACTGCCGTTGACCGTATAATTTGAAATCTGGGGTAAATATCTTTCTACTCTTGAAGTTTCTCTATGTTGTATTGATGATGGTAAAAAAAATTGGAATCGCAAATTTATAGCTGGTCATTGCCTGAGCAGGGTGGGCAATGGACTCTCTGGGATATCTGGTGGCACAATACGTTACCGTTCATCTCACAACGCAAGACAGAGCCTTAACTGTTGCGCTATTCCTTATCAGCTGCAGGCTTGTAGGATCCACCGCACCCCGGAACCATTAGGCTGGCTGTAGATCTGCTCTTAATTGTGGTCACCTCGATTGCTGGCTGGCCTTAATGTGAGCCGTAAAAATGAGATTCCCTGCACTTATGGAGATTACTCTTCTCCAATTGCAAATGAATCTCAATAGTCAAATGCGCGATTTATCGTGATAAGAATCTCTTGTATAGCGAGGCGGCAAGATTATTGACCCAAAAGGATCTGCCTAGTTCGTGAAACAGCGCGTAGTGTCTGTGAAGCTGGCCGCCTGACGAGAGAATGGTGAAGTGATGAACCAAAAATATTGCAAATTTGACTAAGCCCATATGGAGAGCTGTGTGTGAACAGAAAGGCAGACATACATTCTGGGATGTCCTACCTGGCTGTCGGTGGTTGATGGTCCGTCACTGAAGGGCCCCGCCGCTGCCGCCTCGTTGTTGCCAAACAAACACCTGATTTGGCCTGTTGGATAAAAAATTGTCCTCATTTTCAGATATTTCCATGAGTCGAATGACTTAAAAAAAGTGATCAACTCATGTATTGCGGAGATGCTTAATGTTCTCGTCATACTTGCCTCACAAACATAAATGCTGCTTCCACAATCGCGTTCAGCTGTCAAACAAAGTATCCCAAACACCAACAAATACTGTCGGTTAATTTTTCAAATTTGTGACCAAAGCTGTAAGTATGACATCACCAAATCTGGAATGCTTTGGGTAGGGCGCCCAGGTGTCCAGTTTGCATTTCGCACGAGGCGGGCCGGAGATGACCACCTGTGTCGCCACGTGGAGACGGTACACCTTGGTACAATTATCTCTTAAATGGCGAATGCGGAAATCATGATGCATTTTGTTCATATTTAGATCTCGATTTGAATCTCCTGCATTTAAAATTCTAACATTATAGCGACACTTAGAAGAAACGACGTCCAAGTTAAGCCTAATCGCGACCCTGGAAGTGCCCAGATGTGCGGATACGTCCTTTTTGTTAACCTCTGCGGATGCTACTGTGGGCTAGAATGCGAGACGTCCTGTCCTCTGATCCTGGAAGAGCTAAATCGAATAAACGACCCAGAATCCTGGACGCCAGACAACATCAATGATTTACCATTCGATTTCCCTGACATCTGCATCCCAGGCTGGCACAATACCCGTTTAATCAGCACACACCGCGTTTGTTCTCCACGGTGGTGGTTCAACTGTCCCTCTGTGGCCAACCCATCCCATCCTCGCAGCTAGCGATTCAGATAATGCTTGGGCAAGGATGGAATAAGGCAGCGGCGGCTAGCTTCGAATATTAGACCCAAGAAGGAGTAGAGGGTAATATTTTGGGGGAACTGCAATGCTGTGATCCGGCCGGATAGGGGCCTTGGTGAATGGGCCACACATGATGAAATGTGGGTGAGGTCTTCGTTCACCAGACTTAAATTATGTATTGCTGTGTTCCATGTTAGTATCCGAACTGTGCGATCCAGCTCGTATCTCAGATGCCGCAAAGTCACCCGCTGAAGCTCGTGGCACAAGCACCCAAACTGAAATAGGACGAAGCACAGCGACAGTAGTGATGCTCAGCGTCCACCAACGGCGGGATCGGACTGATTTTACCAATCAATGGCCCCAAGCGTATGAACAACCTCTGTGCCACTGTTGCACCTTTCCCAGGCGACGTCTCTTAGCTCTGAAACCCCTGGAGTAGTGCAGTGCGAGATGTCGCAGGTACTGGTGGAAGTCCACCAACAGAAGGATGTGGCTTGAGAGTTGTGACTGGTTACAAGGCCTGGGCAAGCGATGCGCACGCGGGAGTGGGGAAATAGCAGGTTGCAACTCATTTATTGTTGGTGGCGTTGTTGGCGCTGAGATTGCGTGGTGGATGTAAACTTTAACCCTAGGAAAAGAGGCTGTCAAAGCGGGCGATGGAAGCGAAGGCGATGGCGTGAGTAAGATTTCAGCGCTGACTGTAGCTGTTTTGCTGAACTAAAGCTACGATTGACTTACACGATGTTACATATATCACGTGATAGCGAGCCGTAATGCGGCGAGCGATACCTTTGCAGTCGCGACTTGTGTACTTGAGACTTGTGTAGTTGAGAATAGCCAGGTCTTCGGGGTTGCGGAGGTTCTGTGACCAACATGGGCTATAAATAGGTAGTATTTCTTCGTGTTGTCTGATGATTGCCAGGGGCCTGTTTTGTTTTCTGCCAGGGTTGTGTCTCTGGTCAGGGCATTTCCTGAAGAAGCTGTAATTTTCGCAATTTCGGCATCCTGAATCACACGAGGGTAAGGTAATGAGTGTCTGGAGAAGGCCTTCAGTGCTAGTATAATTGTTTGTGATCCAATTACAGCTTGGCTACGTTGTCTCCGATGCCATGATTGCCAAGACCGCGACATGTGGGGAAGAGTAATCCGTAAGCTTGGCCAAGTATTTAATGCTGTCGAAAATATTGCGCCAGCTCGGCAATTGGCGTGCCGAAGGACTGGTTGATCAGCCAATTATAACTACAATAGATTGGCCGTCAGCTCTAATAAATACACCATGACAACAAAGCGATGGGGCGCGAAAGTCTGGAACGCACTAATACGACCTTGCAGCGCTCCTACCCCGTCATCGGGGAACTGGTGCCGTGTGGATTTAGTGGAAGGCCTCGGCCAATCACCAATCGCGGGTCTCATTTTGGGGCTGACTTCCTCCTGAGATGATGCCCCTATGCGCCGTAGAGTGCCGCATTGTCGCAACAGGTTGCATCTGACATCTTTCATCTTCCGTAATTTTCGTATTTTTTCCCTTCTGCGAATCCACCACTCCTTCATGGCGAAATCATCTGCTTTATTTTGTTATTCCAATCTCTTCCCCCATCGATAGACGCGCTCCCTTCATGCTTTAGAGCTCGCCGATCGTGTCGAGTTAGTTGTGGCCCACTCTAGCTCCCAGCTACGCGGCGATAACGACAGCGCCCCGCGACAAGATGTCCCACGACAACCAAGAAGAGGCTCGTCCGAGCCACTCGTCGAATACCCGCGTGTCCTTCGAGCCTCCGACTGAGCCTGCCCCCGTTCGCCATGTCCGCTACAACCTCACCCTCGACACCGAGAACCTCTCGCCGCCCGCGTCCTCGCAGCGACGACCTGGTTCGAACGCAGATGGCCAGCGCGGCTTCGACCCATCGCCCATCCTGCGACGGCGAATGACACGCGCGGCGACCTTCAAGAACGTCGAAGACTACGATGAGTTCGACAATACCTTCAGCGCCAGGCCCGGCTGGCAGCCCGGCTCCGAACCAGGCTACGATCCCCTGCTGCCCGACGGCGGGCACGCGTCGATGCCGACCCTTAGTGCGCCCTGCGAGATCTCCGTCGTCGACTTTTCGCACGAGAATATGGTCAAGAGCCACTTCGAGAACGAGGGCTTCATCAATTTCCTCGAGACCCCCAAGCCGGCTTGGGCCAAGTGTCGGTGGATCAACATCAATGGCCTTAGCTGGGACGTCATTCAGGCTGTGGGAAGCAAGAAGGGCTTGCACAAGTTGGCGCTGGAGGACTTGATGAACATTAGGAACAGAACAAAGGCCGATTGGTGAGCGCATTGGAAGCATAGCACCGAGGAGAAGATGAACCTAGGCTAACTCGTTCAAGGTACCCAAACCACGCCTTTATCGTCTTGACACTGCAGAAGCTTGTCCACCTGGTCGAAGACGACTCCGACTCGTCCGATTCCAGCAGCACCTACTCGCACAAACCCCACGGCGCCCTCAAAGACTCTATTAAAGACTTTTGGAGGAGTCGCAAAGTGTCTGAAGACATGGAGAGGGATGTGTTGGGCGACATCACGGCAGACGTCGTTGGCGATGGTCTGCAAGAGACTTCCATGATTCGCACCCTCCAACGGTACCACTCCTCTGGAAACGAGGCCCGGACTGAATTCATGGAGGCCCATTCGTCTCTGACACCGTACAAGATGGCTATCTCTGCCGAGCAAGTCTCCATTTTCCTCACTTCTGACAACACTGTCATTTCTTTTTTCGAGGTTTCGGCTGGAGACGTGGAGCGGCCGATTGTGACCCGGCTCAGCACGCCTGGGACAATCCTGCGAGAATCCAATGATGCATCCCTCCTCGTCCAAGCCATCATCGACGCCATTATCGATCTGGCTATCCCCTTGACGTCGATCTACTCAGACATCATTAGCGATATCGAGCTTGACGTCCTCACTGCACCAAGCATGAGACAGAGCAAGCGGCTCTACATCTGCATCAGTGAGATCAACAAGATGCTGAGCTTCCTCAACCCAATAGACAATGTGGTCAATGTGCTACGGGACCACAAGACGTACCTCACCCATGACCAGGCGATGAAAGAGCTGGAAAAGCCGGCCTCTGGCGTGATCGTCACCCCTATGACGCATACATACCTTGGCGATGTCCTGGATCATTGCATCATGATTACTGAGGCTCTGCAGCAGCTGAAGCAGTCTTCCGACAACTTGATTAGTCTTATTTTCAACACCATCTCGGCCAACCAGAACGAATCGATGAAGCAGCTGACGACAGTGACCATCATTTTCCTGCCATTGACTTTCATCACTGGATTCTTCGGGCAGAATTTTGAGGGGTCGTTCCCAGAAATCCACTACGGCATCTGGTACTTGTAAGTGACACCATGAACCTTCATTGTCGACGTCGACGAATACTAATTCTGGCTTGCGTAGCTGGGCATGTGCTGTCCCGACCGTGTGTGCCACCATCTTAATTCTCATGCGAGACATGATACATGCCTGGCTGATCCGACTCGTGCAAAGGAAGCACATTGGGTCTCTCAGAAAGAAGAAGTCGAAGACGAAGCGAAAGCTTAAGATGAAGCTCAAGGTTTGATAGAGTGGCATTGAATGCGATGAATGGACATATACATGCATTGGCTTGGTGTGGCGATACCCTGGCGTTGGATAGGTAAGCGAGTCACACAAGGAAACGGGATTGGGTAAAATATACTTGCAGGATATTTCAGGGCAAATAAACATCAGTTGCCTTGCATCACAAAGATAATTGAAATTCTCCTGATCATGGAAATTAATGTCCTTTTATTTTGGAGAATATCTATGTATCCACTGAGTGAGGTACTCAATGGCTAATTCCCCATAGTGGGATGTGAGACCGACTCTCTACTCGAGGCACATGGTTGCGAAAACCATGCAGTTGATTAGCTACTTGCAGACAGGTCCTCGTCCGAGGTTGAAGTCGACCTCGAATCCGAGTTTGAATCCGGATCAACTATGCTGACACAGGCAACCTTGACCACCCTGTCCAAGATGCCCTGGCAGTCAAGGTTCTTCGGCGAGAGAGATCGACCCTCTAGCTCCTCCTTCAGGAACCTTTCCTCCCAGAAATAGCACATCCGTGCTCCAAACTCATAGGCGAGCAGTGGCTTCCACCGCTCTTGCTCCTCGCACTTCTGGTCTTCCAGGAGGCTCGAATCTACCTGCTCGACAATGTGCTTGAATTCCTTTGGGGAGGATCCCATACAGAAGAAGAATATGCGACCTATAAGTCGCAGCCAGTATTCCATCGAATCCTTCTGTGGGTGCCACGATGTGTAGCGGAACTCCATGGTTGGACTGAGATTGGCTCCAGGGAGGTGGATGGCGATGGTGGTTTCGCCGTCGGGGCTCATGATTAGGTCGGCAAGCTCGGCGAGAGTCCTGGTGTCCCAAATGGCCTGGATACGCTCCTGGAGGCAGCAATCCTTGAACTTAGGGATATGTTGGTCCAGCTCATCGGCTTCGGGTCCGGTGGGCCTAGTCTCGCCAAGCCGCTGTTCGCAAACATCGGGAAGCGCCGCCATGTACCCCTCATCAAACTTGGTCGGAAGCTTGGCGATTTTGGAAGACGTAGTCATCGGCAAGAAGTGGTTGCGCCCAGGGTTTTGCACTGCAGGTCGAAGTTTCAGGAATAGATCCGTCTCCATCATCCAGCACAGAGTGAGCATCTTCTTGGCCTGGACGAGGTCAAAGCCCTCGCGTCGAAGCGTGTAGTGAAGCCGAAGCTGGCAAGTCGAATTGGCGTGTATCTTGACTTTGTTGCGGAGTATTCCAAGGACATTCTCCACCTCGAGACGAGGCCAGTCCTCCGGTGGTGGTGATGGTGGAATACTGGGAGGCCCCGAGGACCCGGAAGAAGACGGAGAGTTCGAAGGGGACACCGAGGGCACCAAGTCGGGGACAGGCGGCATGCCACTGGGGAAGACATCAGGGAGGGGCCTGAATGGGCTTCGCATTCTAATGCCAACCCAGTCTAACTTGTCAGGACTTGTCTTCAGAGAGGTGGCGTTTGGAGAAGCACTGAACAGCCAGTTGCACATGCTTGGGGGAAGGGCCTGGCGCTCTGAGGAGAGGTCGATGGGCGTGAAGTTGGTCTCGTTCTGAGCAGCAACATGTCCACAATAACCCATTCCCCCTTTAGCAAGGAGCTGTCTGGAGGCGTACGCTTTGATCATTTCCGCGCAATGTCTCGCACAGGCTTCCTGAGGGTTGGGTTCATGCGCCGGGCAAGCCCAGCGGTCGTCGTCCTCCCAGCTCCGGCTACCTGGCCTCTCCTTGGCCACGAGGAAATCGATCTCCAGGCCCCATTCGGACAAATCTCCTACGTTAGGTGTGGGAGCCATGTTTTCAATGTGTGTTACCTTTGAAGGCTGACTGAAGTCGTCTTGTTGGTTTGGTGTGAGTGCTTGTGTTGAAGTGATCCATGGTGGAAGGGCGATGGTCTTATACGATGTGTTTCTTTAAAATTGTTCCTATTCACGACATAGGCTGTACGTGAAGCCATGAGAATAGCACTGAACCAGTGTCGGCGACAACTGATTGGTGTCGCGGATGCGGTTTCTGCAGACAAAGGGGGTGGTTGGCTTGTGAGATGTAACACGGAATCACAGCCGGCCTTGAAGAACCTGCAGCAGGTGGACTTGACACGAGATAATGGCATGATTGGGAGTCCATGAATAGATGGTGTAGCACCGCGGACAGGCTCGATCGCTGTAACTGAGGAGGCTCTGATGCTGTGAGTGATTACGTCGTGATTCGAACCATATACTACGGGGCAACAATATGTTTGATGAAACGTCTTGGCCCAAATGGCATCTGTCTTAAAAGTCTCCCAAGCCCAATTGCTATGTTATACGGACTTGTGTTAATATCAGACGGCAAGTTATATCTATCTATCTATCTAGATGAACAAAGAACTAGAAAGCCTCATACTCTCATCTTCGTTAGGGGACAATTTCCGGGAAGCCACAGAGGATTGAACGGGTTATAGGTGACTTGAAGATGAGGGACATGTAGATAGACATCCTGAATAATCATCTCCAAGAAACTAGGGTTTTCAAGGATGGTCAGTGATTATAACGTCCATAGAATAATGCAGCGGACTAGGGATGTGGTTAAGGCCGAGCCGTGTTGTAGCAGCACTCAATATACCACCCCTGGAGTTCTGGGATCGGCTCAGTCGCATCTGAAAATGATTTTTCACCCAAACACAAATGGCAATTGATCATCCGAAATTGGAACTAAATATTTAAAATTCCTTTGGGTAATAGGACCATACGAAGGACACTCGATCGCCATACAACTCGTCTTGTGGTTGTGCAACGCAGATGCATCTTAGGCCCTAAGTGACAAATGTTACCTTGGTGCTTGGATATGCTGCTAAGCGTGCCGATGTTTTCTCAGCCCCTTATAGCGTCATATTATCATCGACTTCTCATTTTTCAGAAAATATCCCGAATGATGCTTCAAGACAGGCCATCATCTCCTGAATGAGGACCAGGTGCGGGTGGTGACGCCGATTACGTAACAGTCGTAATGGGACGTGCGCTGTAAGCTTGCTTGCCTCAGCGCTGTGCCCAGGCGCCTACCTAGGCAGCAACGACTCAGCTCACCTGGAGCTTCCCTTTCTTATGCGTTCATAAGCATCTATTTAATGCATCACCGGCCCATCACCCATCCATCCATCCATCCACCCTGCTACCATGAGAGCCGCTCTATATATGTGACCAACTGTGGATTTTATACTCAGTTTATTGAACTGTAATCTCTGTGGTCTCCTTGTGGCTGATCACGCTGAGCTCCACGACCGCGACAACCACGTGCCAACGTTGCCATGAGCACGCAGAGTAAGGAGAAATCTCCCAGCGGAGATGCTCAGCGGGAAGATGACATGCAATATGGCGTCGTCGGAATGAGTCTAGAAGAATTGGAAGAGAAGTGAGTCGCAGTCTCCTGTCGCTCAATCAACAGCACCCTGCTAACCGAGCCAAGGTTCCCCAATCGACCCAGAAACCATTCCAAGACATTGGTCTTTTCCGAGCTATTCCGGGAGCTGTTCAACCCTCTCAGTGAGAATAAGAAACAGACTGCAACAGGCGGAGGCCCCAAGAAGGCATTTCGGGGCGTAAACAAACTCTCGCCCCATGAGCAGCGACGACACATCATTGAACGATTCATCATCCGATGGCGCAAGGAGGTCGGCAACGACTTTTACCCAGCGCTGCGCTTGATTCTACCTGACAAGGACCGTGATCGCGGAGTCTACGGCCTGAAAGAGAATGCTATTGGCAAACTCTTGGTCAAGCTCATGAAAATCGACAAAAATTCCGAAGATGGATACAATCTCCTTCACTGGAAGCTGCCCGGTCAGACTGTCGCTTCTCTCTTGGCTGGAGATTTTGCCGGTCGATGCTTTGAGGTCATATCGAAGCGACCCATGCGGACTGAGGTTGGAAATATGACCATTGCCGAGGTCAACGAGCAGCTCGACAAGCTAGCAGCGTCGGCTGGCGAGGCCGAGAACCTCCATGTTTTCCAGACATTTTACAATCGCATGAATGCCGAGGAGTTGATGTGGTTGATCCGGATCGTTCTCAAGCAGATGAAAGTGGGTGCTACCGAGAAGACCTTCCTGGACTTGTGGCACCCAGATGGCGACGCCCTTTTCAGCGTCTCCTCCAGCCTACGGCGCGTGTGTTGGGAGCTCCACGACCGCGAAATCCGACTGCAGCAAGAGGAGGCCGGAGTTGCCCTGATGCAATGCTTTCAACCCCAGCTCGCTCAGTTCCAGATGCCCTCTTCATTCCAGAAAATGATTGCACTCCTTCACCCGACCGAAGAGGACCCGGAATTCTGGATCGAGGAGAAGCTCGATGGCGAGCGCATGCAGGTGCACATGATCGAAGACAAGGCCCACCCCGGCGGGAGGAGATTTTGCTTCTGGTCAAGAAAGGCCAAAGACTACACATACTTGTATGGCGACGGTCTCCAAGACGAAAACTCAAGTTTGACTCGTCACCTCAAGAACGCTTTCGCGCCAGGCGTCAAAAACTTGATTCTGGACGGGGAAATGATTACCTGGGACATGGGCGTGGACAAGATGGTTCCCTTTGGTACACTCAAGACTGCTGCCATTGCCGAACAGCAGAACAAGTCAGATTCAGACTCCGCCGGTCATCGACCGCTGTTCCGGATCTTCGACATCCTCTACCTTAACGGCAAGCAATTGGCCCAGTACACGCTTCGAGATCGACATCGGGCACTCGAGAAGGCCATCAAACCAGTTCATCGACGTATGGAGATTCACGACTATACTAGCGCCACCTCTGCCGACGCCATTGAGCCACTCCTTCGAGACGTTGTCGCCAATGCTTCTGAAGGCTTGGTCCTCAAGAACCCTCGCTCCATGTACCGACTGAACAGCAGGAATGACGACTGGCTCAAAGTCAAGCCTGAATATATGTCCGAATTTGGTGAGTCGTTAGATTGTATTGTTATCGGCGGTTACTACGGCTCCGGAAGGCGCGGCGGCATTCTTTCCTCGTACCTGTGCGGCCTTCGAGTGACACAAAATCACATACAGGCTGGTGCCAACCCCGAAAAGTGTTTCAGCTTCTTCAAAGTCGGTGGTGGTTTTCGAGGAGAAGACTACGCGGAAATTCGTCACCGGACGGAGGGGAAATGGATTGATTGGGACCAAAAGAACCCACCATCAGAATACGTCGAACTCGGCGGAGGAGAGGCCAGGCAGTTTGAGCGTCCGGACGTGTGGATCCGACCAAAAGACTCCATTGTTGTCTCCGTCAAGGCCGCGAGTGTCGGACCATCAGACCAGTTCGCCCTTGGCTTCACGCTGCGATTCCCGCGATTCCGACGATTGCGACTGGATCGAACTTGGGACACCGCCCTGTCCATAGAGGAGTTTCAGGAGCTCAAGGCGCGCGTGGATGAAGAGTCGAAAGAAAAGGCCATGACGGTTGAGGACCGCAAACGACGGAATCCGAAACGCGTAAAGCGGGAGCTTGTTATCGCGGGTGAGGATACGGCACCCGTTGAATTCAAGGGCGAAAAGACGAAGATTTTTGAGGGGCTTGAGTTTTGCGTCCTCTCTGAATCGCTCAAGCCATATAAGAAGACCAAGACGCAACTAGAAACCATCATCAGAGAGAATGGTGGCACCATCTCACAGCGAGCTATGCCGGGCACTAACATGGTCCTCATTGCCGACAAGAAGGTTATCAAAGTTGCCAGTCTCATCAAGGGCGGGGACGTCGACATGATCCGCCCAAGGTGGCTCAAGGACTGCCTCGAGCAGGAATCCAGCCAGGCCATCCTCCCATTCGAGTCATCTCATCTGTTCCACGCCACCGATGCGCTAAAGCACGCGGCAGAGCAAAACACCGACCAGTTTGGCGACAGCTACGCGCGAGACGTGTCGGTCGACGAGCTCAGGGAGCTGATGGACGGCATGCCCAAGATTGAGGACGGCGAGCCTTTCAACAAGAGCCAGTTTCTCGAGCAGCTTGACGAGCATGGCAAGGATATGGGTAACCTGAGGAGCTTCATGTTCCGGCGTTGTGTGGTGCTGCTTCACCAGGTTGACGTGGATGCCAATCGTATTTCCACACTGAAGCACTACATACAATACGGTGGTGGAATGGTCACGGAGGATCCGAATGACCCATCTGTGACACATGTCGTGATTGAGGGCGAGGACCCAATGAAGGTGGGCGAGGCCGGAGACATGGTACGCAAAGAGTTGAGCTCGAGGCGTACACAGCCAAGGATAGTGTCTGGGATATGGATTGACGAGTGCTGGAAAGAACAGACATTGCTTGACGAGGAGCAGTTTGTGGTGTCATGATGTACGAGGTTCGGGATATTTTCTTGCTGGCATATTACTACCTGGATTTCGTGTAATCATAAGACGATGCTGCATGCTACCTCTAGGTAATCCGTTGCGGGGTGGGTGGTTCTGTGCCTAGACATACTCGGCGGTGCAACTCTACTTGCCAATAGTCAAGAATAATCTGTCTCCGACATCGCCCAGACCCGGCTTCAACATGCCATTCTTGGTAAGATCCTTATCCACGCCTGCAATCCAAATTTCGGTGCCTTCTGGCCACTCAGCCGCAACTCTTTGAAGGCCGGCATCAGCGGCAACAATACCCAAGACAATGATGCGCTTGGCACCCCACTCGCGGAGGGTCTGAATAGCTGCGGCGCATGTACCTCCGGTAGCAATGACAGGGTCGACGAGGATAGCCAGGCTGCTAGCGTTGGACGCGGAGGACGGATCTTCTGGGATGTGGTGGGGGAGGTTGTTGTAGTACTCAACGGGGTCGAGCGTAGAGGGTTCGCGGTACATGCCAAGGTGGTGAACAGGAACAGGGTTGGGAAGAATCGTCTGGACACCTAGATAATAAGTGTGAGCTGACCGGATCGGATGGGAGGTCACAGGAGCTAGTCCACCCACCTTCAACCATGCCAAGACCGGATCTCAGGACTGGAACAATACACATTGTGTTGGGTTGGACCGTCGTGGTGGTGAATTCGAAGCCCAAAGGCGTCTCATCCTGCATTTCGTTGGTGTCAGCGTCATCTCGATCTCGACATTCGAATGGCGGTGGGCAGCTCTTTACCTGGGGACCGTCGACGGCGGTGATTGCCGTGGCCAACGCCTCGCATGCCACAATGACGGAGAGCTCATGAATCAGCGACTTGACGTCACGGGCGCTCACCGACTTGGAGCGCAGCTGGCTCAGCTTGGCCCGGAGGCAAGGGTGGCTGGAGACGTGGACATTGGGCGGTACGGAAGCCATTGTAGAAGCAGAGGAGGAATGGAGGGATCTGGTACGGATGTCTATTGTGAGAGACGGCTATGGGAGGGACAGACGGTGAAGCAATCACCGAGGGGAGATGCTGGGACGGGGCCAAGGAGAAGAGAGAAGAGGAGAGAAAAAGAGAAGAAGGAAAGGAAAAAGAGCGGGAGGGACAGTCGGTGGGAGATGGTTTATGTATCTAGTACCTGGCGAACCTAAGAGGATGGCTGAATGCACTGCCAGGGCAGGTGCGACCGACTTACAGCACCAAGCCCCGAAGCATGCGTCAAGGAGATCACAAGGCACCTGGCTCGGTCGGGAGCAGTGGGAAGGTGGGGCAAAGTGGCAGACGGCTCGGCGAGGGGCGGTCTCGATAAGATAAGAGCTTCGGAGCTCCCCGTTGGATGATGGCTTGAATTGTTGAGGAGTGTAGGGGAGTACTCGGTACCTAAATGCAAGGGGTTTTACCTTAGCTGGCGCTATAATTTAGTGAGGGACGAGAAAACCACTTGGTCATCGCCACGAGAGACGAGGACCCTCCGTGCTTGACGCCTTCAGGGAATGCCACCATCCAGTTCTCGAACCTTTGGCACTCTGTATCTAGAATCCCGGGGTCATGACCCACCCGGTCACCCTCCTGCAGACTGCCCCTGCCGTTGTTATCGCCCGGACATCCTGCTAAAGTAGCTACATACAAGTGGTAGATCCTTGCACTCCAAAGCATCTCCAGAAGCCTCCTCCAGAAAGCAGAAAGTCGCCCAGAAGCTCGCCGGCGCAGACGAGGGGCTGCCCGCCACCCCGGCAGATTCTCGGGCTCTTTTCTTGTGGCTCAATGCCGTCATAACCGGCCTCGTCATTTCACCCTCTCAATCCATAACCTAATTCTGTGGAATTTAAATCGAGGGATTCCCTCTTCTTCATCTCTCGACTATGTTCCAATTGCGACGAAATAGTCGTGTCGGCGCTCAAAGGGGCTTCGGTTAGCGAACAACTGACTGGGAGTCCAAAGAAGTACCCACAATCGAACGACGTCACCGACGAAACTTCCGCACGCCCTCGATGGAAGACGCGACCGACGAGCCGAGAGGACCAGATCAATCTGGAGTGTACGACGCTCCAGACTCGTATCGCGAACTCCGCGAGGTTTCTGCTGAACCGCCAATCCAACCGACGCTACGCGACGAAGCCGACAGGCCGACAAAGAAGAATCCGCGGCAAGACAGTGCGGCTCGCCATGAAGAACCTGTTTTTCGTGATGGAATAACAAGAGAGGAACCGGCACCAGAAGGATCTGGAAAGCAGGGTGTAAATGGGCTTGAGGTGTCGAGATTGGCCACTCAAGTTTATACACACTCGTACCTGGTTCTCTTCGCCATTCTCGGCACCCTTGCGCGTCTAGGATTGACGGCGCTGACCAAGTATCCCGGCACTCCCGTTATCTTCAATACGATATGGGCCAACTTTACGGGTAGCCTTGTTATGGGATTCCTTGCCGAGGACCGCATGCTCTTCCGCCACGAATGGGGCACTCCGATTTACCACCAAGCCATCGAGCGCGCCAGGCAAAAGGCACGCGACGAAGAGGCTGGTTCAAGCTCAGCATCTTCTATTATAGACTTGACAGCTGCTAAGAAGGCGCATTTGGCAACCAAGAAGACCATTCCACTGTACATTGGACTGGCGACGGGTTTCTGTGGGAGTTTCACGACGTTTTCAAGCTTCATCAAGGATGTGTTTCTTGCGCTGTCGAATGAGTTGGAGACTCCCGGCGTGGCAGGCTCACCAGCGGGGCGCAATGGGGGGTATTCATTCATGGCGATGCTTGCCGTACTGATTGCAACGATCTCACTGTCGTTGTCGGGGCTCTTCCTTGGAGCGCAGCTGGCCCTTGCGTTGGAACGGGTAATACCCTCGATCCCGTTCTCCTTGTCGCGGAAGGCCCTTGATCCCCTCGCTGTGTTCATAGGTTGGGGTTGTTGGCTGGGCGCTGTCCTACTCTGCATCTTCCCACCCGACAATTCTTGGCGCGGTCAGGCGACCTTTGCGCTGGTGTTTGCGCCTCTCGGTTGCTTGGCCCGCTTCTACCTTTCCCTACACCTCAACGGAAGGATTGCAACATTCCCGATGGGCACGTTTGTGGCCAATGTGCTGGGGACTGTGCTCCTAGGCATGGCATGGGACATTGCGCATGTGCCGATTGGGGGCGTGGTTGGATGCCAGATCTTGGAGGGTGTGGAAGACGGTTTCTGCGGGTGCCTGACTACTATTTCGACATGGGTCTCAGAGCTCAGCGGTTTGCGACGGCGTAGTGCATGGGTGTATGGGACCGTCAGTGTTGTTGTGTCGCTGGTATTGATGATTGCTATCATGGGCGGACTGCGTTGGAGCGACGGGTATAGTGAGCTGTTATGCTCACCATAGAGAAACCCTTTTGAGAGGAATTGAAAAATTCCAGCACTGTTGTGCGCACTTGAATCAACAAAAAGCCCGTTTTCAAATATCATGAGTGACTTCGTAGCCAGTGACCACGGACACGGACGTCTAACGTTAAGGGGGTAACATGGCGTCAAACAAGACTCAGGGCATCTCAAAGCTCCAGCCAAAGTTGACGGGAAGGCTGCAGCTTCATTTCACGAGCCACTTTCCTTGGCCAAGTTCCTCCCCAAAACTGGGCCGCCTGCAGATGGCGACTGATTGCTTGTTTGCCTTTTCTGCCTCCTCGCACTGGCCTCAGGTTGCCTGCCGTTGCTTGCCAGCTGTTGCCAAGTGCAACAAGCGCTCCCCAACCCACCCGACTTTCTTGGTCAATACAAAGCCGATTTCGTCCCATCAACTCTTCTCGCCAAATTCCATCCACTCTCATCATCACCAACTCGTCGCCGCATATTTGGCTTATTACCTGAAGCTGCAATGTCCGACTACGGTTCGGATGATGTACCCCCTATCACCGAGCCCAGATGTCCAGCTCAAGACGACGACGGCGGTTACTGTACAGCAGTACCGCTGATCCCCTGTCCCGAATGCCTTCTTGTTGCGGTATGCACACCTTGTTTCTTGGAAAGCCTGCTTTGTTCATCCTGACACCTTCCAGTACTGTAGCCAGGAGTGCAGAGAGAGTCACTGGTCAAAACACCACGTCGAGTGTGTCGTGGGCTTCTCTCCCCCGGACGACAACAACCCTGATCTTAAAAAGGATGATGATTCCTGGAAAGATCCTTGGTTCTGGGCCAAGCATGCCGCAACTGATGTGCTAAACCTCGAGAAGAACGAGGGTAAAGAGTTTGACGGCGCTCTTGATATTCTCCTCGTGGGAGGTAAATGCTCTCGAGCCATCGCTGACCTACATGATCTTGCTGACGCAAACAGAGTCGAGCCTCCGCCACCTCATCTACAGCATCTGCAAACTTCCAGACACGGCCAACCCCAAGATTAGCGCTACCATCAATGAGACTTCTCCCAGCCACCTCGCTCGCTTGGTCTTGACAGCGCTCCTTCTCACCGACAACTCGTTCGACCCAATCACAAATGCCGAAGCGGTGGTTCACCTCTGGTATTCAGCAAAGCTTTCCTCCACTCTATTTAATCACATAGAGCTTGTTGCAGCCGAGCCTCTTTTGACTGCAATGGAAGATTTGGACAAGCTCTGCGCCGAAAATCGGATTTCGGAGGTGAATTCGTTTCCTGTCACAATGCCACGGAGAGGGGCGTCGGTGGTGATTGACATCAATCGAACCCAGTGGTCGCAAATCATCCGGTTTGTGAAAATATCCAAACACACAAACGTCGACAATGCTTCCATCATCAGAGGATGGGATTGCAAGAATTATTCGGAGCCTTTGTATCGCGTTCTCAGGCGGATGACTCCTGTCAGAGCCACTGGGATGATGCGTTGGCGGTCCGACGGGCTCCTGCTGCCTTATGGACATCCCAGAGAGGAGTTCAACATTCTCAATCCGTACGATTTCCATTCTCGGCCCATTGAGGAATTACTAACAGCCCTAGGCTCTTCTTCCCGGACCACACATCCTATCCTGTTGGAGCGACTCAGGAACCCCTTACAGAGTGGCCGATGGAACTTCTCGATCACCCCTGCGGTCCAGCCCAGAATGATGTCTACGGCAAGATGTTCTACTACGTCAGAGATTTATGCATTGAGTTTCAGCAACGCATAAAGACTCTCCAGCCAGAGATTCGCATCCTGTCAAATTTCATCCATGAACTTCCTGCTCAACATACAGTCGGGCACTCAAAGATGCAATTCGACCGAATCGAAGTTTGTTATCTACTGAACTGGTTTGGGGAGACTTCAGCTAATACGTCCTAGGCGGCTCACTACTGGGATAGGCAGCCCTTTCTTACGCTAGTATCGTTAAGTGCCCTGCTTCGACATGAGGATGAAAACCCGAACGCAGCTTTGTTGACGCTCACTCGACAAAGCGTAATTCATCAGATGGACTCGGTCAAGAAGGACCTTGATACAGAGAAGAAGTTCACGTTTCAAAGCTCTGGCACTAAACTAGATGAGCTGGCACCGCCGCTGAAGGTCGGAGATCCGGAAGATAGTCCAGCGGCAGTTCGCCGGAGGCTTGGCCTAGTTTTATGGCGCAACTGGGACCGATTTTCTGAGCAGTAAGTCATTTGAATTCTGTTTCGTTTTCGTGGTTCTCACTTTTACTATTAGTTACCTCGGCTGCCCTCACTATTTCCATCTGCTCAATGTGATCTCTCCATACGAGCAGACTGAGCGTGGTCTATCTGCCACAGGATTCCTCGGCCTAAGTCTAAAGCCGAAAAATATTGTCACCCGACGTTGGCCAAACCGCCTAGTACACAACCGCAAGGACAACCTTTCGTTGCGAGACTTCAACCGCTGGCTGGCCTGGGGCGACAATATGCCAGAGAGATGGCTCGAGTGGAAGAGATTTCACGACGTTGATGCTGAGACCTGGGATCGGTTTTTAGATCTCTCCTTGGCTGAAGACAAAGCGCGGGTTAGAGGAAAATTAGAAGAGTTGGGGCTCGAAGATGCTATCAAGAACGTCTTTCTTGAAGAACTGGAACTCAAGAGTGGGAATAGGGCCACCGAAGTCTCAAATGGAGCTGATGAGGACAAGCAAGAAATCGACCAAGGAGAAATCGACGATGGGGAGTTAGTTGGTAAGGGCAATGAAGACTCGGCTGAAAAGGCCAAGTCAAAGAAGAAGAAGAACAAGAAGAAGAAGGGGGGAAACTGATGCCACTAAGAGACTAATTGGCACTGATGGCGACCGTCAGGCTATGGTCCTTGTTGTGTAAATATTCTGCCCCGATGCCACCCTAAACTTTTGAGGAATTGAGGAATGATTTACTGCCACCGTCTTTGCAATAAACTTTGACACAATTATTTGTCGCCATTACAGTAAAGACTCTTCTAGCTAAACATCAGTACAGCTATTAGGATCCTATCCCCATATGCTCGCTAACAAGCAATTCCCTACCAATGACAAACCGAGCGTACAATAAACCCAACTACATCAGGCACACCTATTTCGCAATATGTCCATTCAACTCGAACGCAAACAGCAAGGGATGACTTTGATACGTGTGATCGTTGCGACCATGGGTATTTAATACATTCAATTTTACCTTCTCTGCCTACCTACGCTACAGGGGTGCTGGCTGTTAAAATAGAGAACAAAAATACATCTCCATCCAATGTGAGCAGATAGAACTAGGCAGATGAGGATAAGGTTTGAGGCGTCCGTATGACAATGCGACACCTGATATCCCTTGTCAAATCTGTGGTAATTGGTCCGCTGCTGTCGTGAGGCCCCAGCCACAACATGGCACACTCGAGGCACGCACGTCTTGCAAGTCGCTCTGTGGTCATAGGTCGCTTATTGATTCTGGGTGCGAAGAGTGGAATTCCGTGGTCTATGTCGTGTTAGGTTTCTGTATCGTGGCGGATACCGTGTGCTCGTATCCTGCACCATCAGCAAACTCGCTGACGTTGTGGAGCAGTTGTAGGATTAGAGTAATCGTTCGTATAATTTTTCTGACAGTTGCAGATACAGTCTTATCCGGCCAGCATGGCGAAAGCTACATGGATCCATATTTCCCTGCAAACGCTCGTATCGATCTTCTTTTGTCGGGGGCGGTTACGACCGTTGGGATGACTCTTATGCATATTTCCTGGACGCCATGTCTAGAAAGTCCTACGAACCACCCACGTCATTATGTCGGAAGTAGTACGTATCGGCCAGTCATTGCGACTCATCGGAACAGCTGCTGAGCGAAGATTGGTCAACAGTTGAGAAAGGGGCACAGACGATGGTGGGAAGGCAGCCATGGATTGGTGTTGCATCGGCAAAGGCGTCACACTTGAAAGGGAACGGATATTGTTTCACAAATAGCTTTCCGCCAGTCGTCGCGCGTCGCACCGTGAAGGATGCAGGTGCATTAATTTCTGCAGTGAGATGGAACTCGGATTTGGGATCCCGTTGGTAGGTGGGACGGAAATAAGCGCAAAAACAACCGCGTCTGGATGCTCACATAATATTCGTATCCCTCCAGTCAGCGGCGTTTAACAGTCCCTGCGCACACAGGGGAAGGGGTAGGTTTGAACAACAGCGGTCTTGAGTGATCGGAGATGAAGAAGTCTTGGCTCCTATCACGATGACTGGACAGGCACCGGTTTGGTGAAGGGGGCAGCTGAGAGAGGGCGGGCAGTGCTCATGCAGATGCAACACAATGCCGGGGCTAGCTGCAAATAGCAACAAAACGACTGGCACACGAAAACAGGAAACCCACCACAAGCGGAGGTCTCCAGCCAGTGACATGCCATGGTGACCATACCTGAGCCTAGGCCGACCAGGGGACCGGCGTGGGCAGATTTTGCGTAGGGCGGGCGGAATCGAGATTTGGGGGCGGATGGTGAACCCGACGGCAGGGATTCAGGGCAGCGAGCAGCGGGCAAATGGCAAACCTGTGGCTTGCATTCTCGCATTCCGGAGAGAGTAGGGAGGGCAAAATAAGGAAAACAGACCAAATGAGGAGGCAGGAAAACACGCCGTCGAGTGCTAAAGCCCTCCAGAGTTAAGCCGTAATCACTCTATTTGCAACTAACAAAAACGCCACTGGACAAGCGAACCAAGCCTGGATGCACACAGCTTACAGCTCAGATAGCTCAGGGCTCGCAGATTCTGCAGCTGCAAACGCCCTGGAAATAGCAATGTGTCGCCATGTAATCCTCGTCAGCGGCAGCGTATCCGTCCCTGCAGCTGTTTTCGGCTTCTCCTTTCTGCGCTGTTGCTGCCCAGACTACGGGGTAGCTCTGGATCTGCTGCGCCTTCAGCCCTACCTCTAAGAATCCAGAGCACCCACCGGCAGTCCACCAACACCCATGCCCCATCCACCCTGGCCCCTGTCCGATCCCACAATGGATCCTGGCCCTTGGGCCCTGTGAGGCTTTGGCGTGGCGTTGTATTGGCCGTGGCCGTGGCGGAAATGCTGACTCCTGGAGCAGCTCTCGTGGCCCCGTGCCTCTGTTGTCTCAACATGGCCCCGGCCAGCGTCGCCCTGAGGCATCGATACGCGCGATTGAACACCCTCTCGGGCTTCCAGAGCTTCACTGGCCCTCATACGCACCGCCTGTGACACCCATAGTGCCTGGGACACGCTCTGGTCGCCGCCGAAAGAAGGGGGGCTGGAATGGACAGCTGCACGACAACGAGCTCAGCTGGGCGCCACCGTCTCCCGAGCCAGGCCTCTCCCAGCACTGCGGTGTCGGCGCAGCAAATCATAGTCACGAACGCGCCTTTGACTTAACTAGCTCTGGCCAGCCCCCCCCCCGGAGCGAGTCTGGATTCATGGCGCGGACCAGCAGGCGGCCAGGACTCAACGGGACGTCTCCACGCACTAGCTGTGGCGGTTGGGCCCCAGGCAGGCTGCTCTTCTCAAACCACACAGCCGGCTCTGCCTCCGGATCCATGGCCTGTGAATGGCGGTGGATAGGCTTGTATTTGGGGGCTTAATGGCTTGATAGCTTGCTGGCCTATGGCTGATGGCTTATGGCTTGCTGGTGTGATCAAGGTGGTGCTGCCTGCAGCTAGGCGCCACTGTTGAAATATGTATAGGTCCTTGTCTTCCCACCGCGTCTCAGAGATTTCGATGCTGTTGAACCTGCAGTCACCCAGTAATCCCTTTCTGCCTGGAAGAGTACGGGAATCGTCCCTCCCCGTCGCCCGCCATGTACTCCAACCAGCAGGGCATCGACGCTGCGACGTACGAGTACGATGCTCAGTACCAGCCGCCGGCGACTCAAGAGCGACACCGGGAGGATAGTCACGTACAAACAACTGAAGATCATCCCTGGGACGCCAACACTCCATATGATCCACCGTCGCCTCAAGATCGACACCGGGACCATGGCCTCACACAAGCAACTGGAGATCATCCCTGGGACGCCAACACCCCATATGATCCCCCATCAACTGAAGATCGACGATGGGTCGACACCCAGTACGATCCGCCATCTCCTGAAAATACACAACGTCAGTATATTTCGCACCCAACGCGAGATCCTCGCTGGGGGGAGGCCCAGTACCACCCGCAATCGACGGACGAGGAGCGACAATGGGACGACGGCATCACCAAGCAGCCGGTACCGCGGAAGCGACCAGACTACCGGCCAACGCCGCTGAGATGGTATTTCATCCTCGGCCTGATCACCTGCTTGATGGCGATCATGGGCCTGGTGGTGTACGCCAGACAATCCATGCCCGACTCCGACAACGACGCCAAGATCCAACACAAACGATGGGACTCCGACCTCGACAAGTCACGGCTTGAGGCTCGAGATGGAGAAATCCAGGAGCGGGCTAGCAACACCGATGACTACCGCGGAGTAACGACCTACGTGAGCAAAGTCTCCAGTGTCGTCACCGTCCCAGCCTCGACAGTCAAGTTCACCACTGTGGTCCCGTCCACGATCTTCTCGACCGTTACTGTGGAGGGATCAACGCTCGTGCACTCCGGATCGACCTCTACCAAATGGGTCGTGGTAACATACACTTCTACTATGGTCTCGTTTACCGCTATTACCCAAACCGGCGGTTTTTCCCAGTCCGTCATCGTCGGCGCGAGCACCAGCTACAGCATGATCCAGGGCTCCCACGGGACCCCGGTGAGCAGTGTGCCATACACGTTCTCCTTCACCTCTACACAGGCCATGACCATGCCTGGCGGAGTGCAAACATCCGGGATCACGCAGGAGACGACGGTTGTCGCCTCATCCGCTTCCGAGATTGAACACTCGGCATCTACCGAGTTCCTCAGCGGGGGAACCACCAGAACCGAAGCCGTCGGCACCACAAACGTGCAAAGCGTTGGAACGACAACTCAGGCTGCGAGCACCTTCATCACGATTGGCGAGGTCACCATCACAGAGGAATATACCCTACCGCCGGGGAGCAAGGAGTCGGACAAGAGCAAGCCAGATGATCCTTCCGACAAGAGCAACAAGGACGACAATAAATCAGACGATAACAAGTCGAATGACAATAAAAACAACAACGATTCGAATGACAAGAACAAGTCAGATAGCAATAAAGACAATAATTCCAACGACAACAATTCCAATGACGACAATTCCAAGGATGGCAGTTCCAAGGACAACAATGATTCGAATGACGACAATTCCAAGGACGGCGATTCCAAGGATAACAATAATTCAAACGACGACAACAATTCCAATGACAACAATTCCAACGACGGCAATTCCAATGACGACAATTCCGGGGACGGTAACTCCAACGACAACAATTCCAACGACGGCAATTCCAATGACGACAATTCCAAGGACGGTAACTCCAACGACAACAATTCCAATGACGGCAATTCCAAGAACGGCAATTCCAAGGACAACAAGTCCGGTGACAACGCGTCTGAGGACCCGCGGCCGCCACCAAAGCCTACTACGAAGCCCTCAGCCAAGGTCATCGACGTTGTCAGCGTGGAGCCCGATAAAACAGTCGCCAAGGTTGAAAAGGTCGGTCCTGTTACCATGGTCTCTGAGATCCCCGGTGGCGAGACCGTCATGGTGATCTCGCAACCGCCCGAGACAATCGTGACCGAGATTAGCGCCTATGCCACAACTATGGATATCACCGTCTGGGGCACCGACGGTCTTCCCACGACGACTCAAGTCGTCTCGAGCTACAGTGGCTGGTTTGCCACAATTGTCAAATCAGTTGAACCGACCACGTTTGTCTCCACCAAGTCTGCGGTTCTGACAACTATCACGTCGACTGGAGACGGGTCAACCACCATCGCCTCTGTCAATAAGGGGACGACCAAGAGCTACTCTAAAACTTCGACCATGATGGTGACATATACTCCCACCGTCACGTCAGCCGATCCCGAGGAAACAGGGCCGGTCATCGGATACAAGACAAAGGTTTACAAAATCACCGAGGGCGGATACTTCCTCGGCAAATTCCTCCCCCCGTTCTTGGCCGTGATGTTGTCTATCCCAGCCCGGATTATCGACTTCAACGCTCAGCTGTACCAGCCCTTCTACGCCCTGAACCTTCCTAATGGTGCCCTTGGACCCAACTCCATGACCCTCCATTACAGCGGATGGATAGGCTTCGTGAAGCCGTTTACAACTCTCGCCCAGGGCCAGCCAGTTACCTTCCTCAGCATGCTCATTGTTTGGTGCACCGCCCTGATGACTCCCCTCGCGACTGAAGCGATTGGCGTCAAGATGCATGGAAAATGTACAAACTTCAACCCTGTCGGCTGTGCTGCCGCGCTGGGAGTCTCTCCAACCCCCACTCGGGCTCTGATCGCTCTGATCGCTTTCACCATCGTCCTGCTCTGCCTCCTCCTTTTCTTCCTCAGAAACTGGGAGACGGGACTGCACGCGAATCCCTGGAGCGTGGCCGGTATTGCTTCGCTTGCGACCAACCGCGAGATTCGACCGCAGAGGTCGACTGAGAGGAAGATTGCTAAAGAGATGGCCGAGAAGCGCTACGGATTTGGTTATTTCGAGAACAGCCGTGGGCAGACCGAGTATGGCCTTGTTCTCTACGACGACGCAGGCGAGACCCTGCAAGGGCAAGACAACATGGGCACAATATCCGAGGTCAGCTCCGTAGACTCTCTCGATGTCACGAGGAAGAAGCGGAGAGGAAACCCGTTCATCGCCCTGGGAATCATATGGCGATTGTGCTTTATGCTGTTCCTTGCGGGACTGATGGTACTGACGCTCTACTACGGCATCACGTTCAAAACGCAAGACAGTTTCCAAGGCTTCATGACTAGTCAGACCTTCGGCATCCGGTTTATGTTTGCTGTCTTGGGTGTCATCATCTCGTTCGGCTGGACAGCATTGTTTATCAGTAAGTCTCGTCTTTCTTCTCACCGTAGCCTTTCACTAACATATCTCTAGGCGTGGCAATGATCGTTCCGTACCAAGTCATGGCACACAGCCCCCAGAGCGCGTCGAATTCCATCCTCCTCACCCGACCGACGAACCCGTTTTCCGGCATCTGGTCTGCACTCAAGCACGGGCAGCCATTCCCAGCCGTTGTTGCATTCATGACCATCCTGTCTGAGTTCATGCCGATCCTGCTCGCCAACATCCCCTACACCCTGACGCAAACCGAGATCACCCACGACATCTGTCTGCGCATGTCAGTGGTGATTTTGGGCCTGATGGTCTTGACCCTCGGCGGCAGCTTCTTTATTCGCTACCCGCACATGCCCGTCGATCCGCGGTCCATCGCCGGTGCCATGTACTACGTTTCCGAGAGCGGCATGCTGAACCAGTTCAGCGGGATGGCAAGCTTGAGCAACGAGGAGCGCAAAAAGCGTGTCCAAGAGCTCGGCGGACGGTATTGGTATGGTGATATATTGACGAGGGCCGGTGCTACGAGGCCCGCGGTCGATCGGGATGATGGCACACTGACTGACGCTGCGCCGGAGCCGCAGCCGCAGCCGATGCGTCAAAACATTGATACATCGTACCATGGATATCAGGCCTGAAGGAGTGAGCAAGAATGACACATAGATGCAATTTCGGTTTATGGTTTATACGGCTTTTTATACCCTGGTTTTGCATTGTTAGCGGGGAACATGATCATCGGGATTAGGATAGAACATCATCAAAGTTGGACAAATATTAGACAGGAGAGATCAATATTGGACTAAGCCAATTCCGTCAGAAATGCACAATGGCTGAAATATAATTGAGCATTCTGGGCCTTGCTACGCCTTTGTGTTCTTGAATTTCTCAGAGAGCTGTTTACTCCTCCTCCAGTTCGGGATAGTAGCGCCAAATCCCATCTCCATAAGGACTACGCCGGTCGCTGGCTAAGTACTCGCTAATTTTGGGAAGCTCCTTGACGACCTCGTACAAGTTGAACACGCCATCGTATTTACCCGACTTTTGCAGCTTTTCCATGGACTTAGGAAAGGCATACTTGGTTCCATCAAGACACTGTGCATGGGCTGTTAGTAAACTCATTGGCTACGTGATTGGGGATGCGGTTAATCACCTGGAACAAGATTAAGTCGGCATAGGTCACCTTGCCGCCGTAGAGCCAAGGTCCTTCGCCACTCGCCTTGGAGTCCAAGACTCGCTGGGCATAGCCAAGGAACTTGGGGATACGGTCCGCAATAAAGTATTTGGAGCGCTTTTTGGCCTCGGGCTTTTGATCCTCGTAATACAAGGACGTGGCAACGGGGTGGTGAGTCTCGTGTAGCTCGTTTACGAAGCAATCAATGAGGGTGAGCACGATCTGGTTCAGAAAGAAGACGCCGTCGCCATCTTGTGGTGCGAGACCCAACTTCGGGGCAAGGTAAAGAAGGATATTTGGCAGCTGATTAAGGACGAGTTCGCCATGCTTGATAATAGGCGGGGCCAAGATGGGAGGGTTTGTAGCATCGCCGACATTCTCAGCGGAGATGTATCTAAGGACGGTAGGAACCGCTTGCGGCGTCTTAGAATGATCGGTGTATGGGACACCGGCTTCTTCGAAGAGAAGCCGAACGAATTCGCCGCGACCTGGGAGGCCGGGCCAGTAGATGAGCTCGTAGGCGGGTTCGTCGTTGGTCTTGAGGCGCTTGGCATCTGGAGGCGACATTGTGGCGGTGGTGGTGAGTGTGTTGACTCGAATAATGAAGGAGTGAGAAGATGTTGAAGCTGTGAGCAAAGAGAGAGGCGGCTTCCAGATGATGTTGGAGCTCGAATTCCACTGTCGCCCAGTTAAACATGGCTCAGCTGAGGCGGGGTTAGCTTTCCCCCGCCTTCTGCTGACCACCTATCCAACATGCATGGGACGGGAGTTGAGCAACGGCGCTGACGTAGTGGTCTCTGGGGATTGGAGATTATTTCCGGCGGCTCGTGGTTTGCGATGCAGAAATCAGCGGACAGTCTGAGTTTGACTTGAATGGTGTCTCATGGAGTGGACGTAATCATCATGATAACAGCAGTTTTGTCTGGGAACGGCGTGAGCCCAAATGAGGATCTGCCTGTTTCATCAGTCGAACCAATTCATACAAAACATCCAACACAAAAGATCCATCCAGCTTTTGGTCTATTCCCACCCACCCGATCACGGCAACTACATCCGATATCATCTCCGCTGCCTCAAGCTCCAGCCATCGTCCATCCCGTTGTCACACCTCCACAGTTCCCGCGTCCATGCAGCGACCTCCGGAACATTAGGGGCTGTGATAGGCTCCCTGCTCCCTGTGCCGCCGTGTGTCCGCCCTGTACCCACCTAAAACTCCACTGGACCCCTGCTGGAACGACCCGACGCCATAGCGGGGCGTGATTGCCATCCGGTCAGTCGTCATGGGACCTTCTCTTACGGGACAATGGCTCGGAGCTCTTATCTCTAGCTCTCGGAGCTTCCCCCATCCGCCCGTCGTCTTTTATCTCTCCAACTCCCCTCCAACAACCCGTCCGACCATTGTTGCACCTCTTCGCGGCACCGCAACAATGGATGAAAAGGCCGATCTTCCGCCCTACAGCGCTGTGTCGCTGCCTCCGCCTGCCTCTGCCGCTGCCCATGGCTGCCGACTCCGCGGCCGCCGGGCCATGCGCCGATCCCGCGGCGTGCGACTGTTCGCCCTGGCCTGCCTCGCCTTTCTAGCGTTTGCGCAATGGAAGCAGATGCAGCCGAGTGCCGAGCTCAAGCTGTCGCTGAAGAAGCTCAACGATGACCTCGCGACGTGCAAGAAGCTCCGAACCAAGCCCCAAGACCCATCGGGCCTCGGCCGCGACAAGAATGCTCGCTACATTGACGGCGGAAAGCCGACTTTGATCAAGAACGCTACTATTTGGGTCGGCGAACCTGTCGAGGGCACAAGTGAGGAAGATGCGAGAGCTGGCAAAGGCTGGGAGTGGATCTCCGGAGACGTCTTCCTGGAGCATGGGCTGATCAAGAGAGTCGAGACCAACATTCCGTCCGACTCGCTGAGCGACGAGACAATCATCTATGATGCCGGAGGCCGACAGTTGACAAGCGGAATCATTGATATGCACAGCCATGCCGGCGTCTATCCATTGCCAACACTTGACGGTAATTCCGACGGCAACGAGATGTCCGACGATATCACGCCATGGGCCCGTTCAATTGACGCCATCTACCCCTTCGACACACAAATTCAAGTCATCAAGTCTGGCGGTGTAACGACCTCGCTTGTTTTGCCCGGTTCTGGAAATAACATTGGCGGCGAGGCTTACATCATCAAACATACGGTTGGCAAACCTGATGGGCGCAAGGAGATCAGTGCCGAGGACATGCTCGCAGACCCTGATCGCAATTGGCGTTACATGAAGATGGCTTGTGGTGAGAATGCGAAGCGCGTCTACGGCCGGGTTGGCAGGGGCCCATTCAGCCGTATGGGCGAAAGCTACGCGTTCCGCCACGCATTTGAGCAGGCCCAGGAGCTGGTACAGAAGCAGGATGATTGGTGTGATAGAGCAGAGGCTATCGGTATTGAAGCCATGGATGAATACCTGCCCCAGGTGATTGCTTGGGAGACTTTGGCTGCTGCTTTACGTGGGAAAGTCCACATCAACACGCATTGCTACACAGTCCCGGATCTTGAGGCCATGGTTGACCACACTAATGAGTTCAAATTCCCCGTTCGAGCATTCCATCATGCTCATCAGACATATCTTGTACCAGAGGTAAGTCATTGGACCATCAGAGGACAATGGGAAGTTTTTGGCTAACGCCTGGACTAGATTCTTAAGAGAACGTGGGGCGGCCGCCCACCTGCGTCTGCTCTCTTCGCCGATAACATGTACTACAAGACCGAGTCCTACATCGGCTCTGAGTACGCTGGCAAGATTCTCTACGAAAACAATCTCACTGCCGTCTATGTCAGCGACAACCCCGTTCTGAACGCCCAGCACGTTCTGTTCGAGGCTGCCAAGGCGTACCACTATGGCCTGCCCTACCATGCAGCGCTCTCCGGCGTGACCTCCGCGCCAGCAGACCTGCTTGGCATGGGTAAGAGACTGGGCAAGGTGAAACCGGGATTCGATGCCGATATTGCTGTGTGGGACAGCGATCCCCTGAGCGTAGGTGCGACTCCTGTGCAGGTTTGGATCGATGGCAAGGCTCAATTTGAGGACCCAATCGAGCTTTCGAAGCCATTGGGAGCCCCGATGACACCTGACAAGTCCCTTGGCGAGGTGGTGGTTGAAGAACCCACCATGATGGCCGACGTGCTCTTTAGCGGAGTTGCCAAGGTCCTACTCTCCGATAACAGCAACTACGAATCTAACGGGGAATTATTCAACGTTGTCGTCTCTAATGGAAAGGTCGCTTGTATTGGTACATGTGACGCAGAGTTCAAGGCCGGCACTGTCTCCGGTGCGAAGATCGTCGCTCTGGAGCATGGCTATCTCTTCCCTGCTCTTACCGGCGTTGCTGGTACCCTTGGATTGAACGCGATTGATGCGGAATCCACGACTGACAATGGCGCCAGTCTCGGCGTCTTCTCCCGGGCCATTGATGGACTGATGCTTGACACAAAGAAGCTCCACGTTGCATCCAGGTATGGTGTGACCAGGGCGATTTCTGCGCCCACCTTTTCCGGAGGGGCTACGCACTATGGCACCAGTGTAGGCTTTGTGACATCCGCCTTGACAAGCCTAGAGGAGGGCGCTGTGTTTGCTTCGGATCTGGCTGTGCACTATACCCTTGACGTGAACGTCAGGGCCGTGAGCAGTTACTCCGTGGCATTTGGAGCCCTCAGGACGAAGCTGCTCAACGCTGCAACATCCACGGAGCCCGTCATGGATCCTTTCTCTGAGCAGGCATACTTGAAGAAGGTTCTCAACGGAGAACGAGTGCTCGCGCTTACCATTAATGGGGCTGACGGAATCGCCACTGCGCTGAAGATCAAGTCACAGATTGAAGATGTGATGTTGACCACTACAAACACAGTCGCTAGGATAAAGATGGCCATCCTTGGAGGCGCCGAGGCGCACCTGGTAGCCTCGGAGCTGGCTGAAGCCTCTGTTGGCGTTATCCTTTCACCTTTGCAGTCAATGGGCGATAGCTGGGATTCGCTCCGTGCGTTGTCCGGCGCACCGCTGACCAACGGCACCACCATCGACCTGCTGATCGACGCTGGTGTCGTGACGGCGATTGGACTCAAGGAAGACTGGGAGGTTCGTGACCTCGGATTCGCGGCGGGCACGGCGTTCAAGAACGGCGACGGGCGGCTGAGCGAGAAGGCGGCGCTCGATCTCGTGAGCACCAACATCTACCGGATCCTTGGAGTGAATGTCGGCCAGATCGCGGATACCGACCACTTTATTGTCAGCGAGGGTAGCCCGTTGGAGATTGGTTACCGTATCAAGGCTGTTGGGTCCGGTAAGGACAAGGTTGCCGTGTTTGTCTAGGCTTCTACGTTGGTATCAGTCTTTTTTCGAATTTGATACATCTGCTACGCATCTTGTGATTGGAGATTTTTTTAGAATATGGGAACAAGTAATTACTACCTGTCGCAAGCACAAAGCCCTGCCATGTGCCCTGAGCATGTTACGATCCAGCAACAGCCAAAAAGCCGCTAGCGGCGAGCCCCTCTGTGATCAACGAATACCTAATTTCATGCTGGGCTAAAATGTTTACTGTAGAGTTACTGGGATCATCACGGTTTAGTGTTAGTTGTTGGTTGAAACATCCAGGGGCGCTGTGCATCTTCATTCTTGTTCACTCCCATACGGAGTTGGTCACTCAATCTGTCAACCTACTAACACATCTTTAGCAATATCATCATCGTCATCGTCATCGTCGTCTTATTGGCCGTGCCAGGACTGCTCTTGTTTCCCCCACAGCTGCAAAGTTCCATCCGTTGGTGACAATAACCTTGGAAGCTCGATTTCTTGTGCTCGCAAAAGAATATGTGTCCCGTGATCTTCTGGGTATTGATGTTGTTTTCGGCGGAAGCAAATATACCGCCAGCCAATCGCCCAGGAATTCGGCAGCGTTGGTACGACGTCCTCCGTGGTATCGAAATCCTCCAACGGAAGTAGCTTTGAAGTATTCTAATGTTCAATGTTTCCACGAAGTTGCAGTAAATCTGCGGCAAGCCCGATTTAGTTAGGTAGTCTATTAATCATGTGCAACGTCTTCCAAAAACAGGTGCATTATTTGTTGTTCGGCAATACACTCAGTTGTTCAAACTGAATGAGCTTGGCAAACTAGCAAACAGAATGGATGACTTACTGCAGTATTTTGGATCCATGCACAACGAACCTTGTCTATGCAATGATAACTCTCTGGGGCTCTAATTGATACGCGCTCTACATTAACAAGCGACTTTTTGGGTTAGTAGGACCGCTTTTAAGCTAAATACAAGGGCTAAAGACTCTGGAATCAAGGACTAAGCGCTAACATTCAGGGACAAGCTGAATGAAGTAGAACTCGCTGCGTTTCAATTTTTGGGATTTCGGCCATGTACAGCTTTTCGCGTCGTCGACAATAAGGACCCTCTCCATAAGTGAGTTGCAATGACTTGGGTCTATGGAAAGCCTTTCCTTTAAGTGTTTGTTTGCGTACCACAACTTCGTAACAGTAATTAGTGAAGAGCTATGGAGAGGCAATAAAGCCTCAGAGGGCATATTAGCGGGTCGATGATGGGTGGAGTGATAGATTTACCCTTGCCAGGTTTGAGCTTGCCGTGAATCCGGGGTAAAAACGGCGCTATTTCCATGCCAACCTAGGCCATTATTAGGTCTCATCGGATCGAACGTATCAGCTTTATGTAGTGCCATGTTTGCTTACTTATGACCGCCATGGGAAGTTTTAAACTTCAGTAGTGAAGTTAATCATCCGGCACGCCGAATAGTTTGCACGGATTTGGTCTACTGTAGGTAAACTAACAGCAGCCTCTTGTATGTTACTAACCTCGTCTAGTTCAGCGCACCACTCTGTGGCGGCCCAAGCAAAGCCACGCAGCGTCAGGATTTTGGCTAACAGGAATGTAACCAAGCCCCTTACCGCGGTGAAGGCAGATCAAAACCAGTGTGACCGGCCAAGTGCCGCTTCGCTTCTTCAACTTCTCGGACCCTCCATGACCTGCGCCGCCGGCAATACGAGTAACTACACCTTGCGTCCACAGTTGCATACACCTCATGTCGTATAGCTCGCGGCCTCGGGGTCATTGCCAGGATTGACAGCTCATCGGACGGCCAATTTGGCCATGAGTCGCCTCAACCCTGGCCCAGTCGCCGTTCTTGTATGGTCCCAGACGATGCTCTTTGATTCCATCGCTAATCACGCAATGCACGTCTCTTACAGACCTCACTATGGGTCTTAATCGCTCTCGCCGCTGTAGTCATCGCTCTCCGCCTTAACTTGCGAATTAAGATCCAAAGACAAAAGCTTCTAATATGCGACTTTGTGATGTGCGCGGCATGGTTCGCCGCCTTCGGAACATCTGCCTTCGACATCAAGTTTGCACAGCTCGGCGTGTTTGACAAGGGTGTATCAATACGACTAGATGGGTACGATGGCGGGCCCGAAAACACCCAGCTAATACTGAAAGTGAGTGTCCCTATCCCATCCTCCAATATAGACTTATGATGAGCTACGATTCTACAACAACGGCTGACGCGGGCGATTTGCTAGCTATGCTGGGCGGCCAGTCTTGCTTTTTTCACGTCCACTTACCTTTGCAAGGCAACACTTCTATCTCTTTACTTGCATTTATTTCCTCACTTTATGGTCAAGCAGAGAATATTTATTTGGGTGACAGCTGCCTACACGGCTGTGTCATACTTAATTAGTGCGAATCTCATTCTTTTTCTTTGTCTTCCGATCAGGTCGTATTGGTAAGTGCTTTCGGCTTTGTGTTCGTTCATGGGGTCATCGGAGAGCTCTTGCCTCATACAGTCTCTTATATTTTTCCGTCTAGGTCTCTCGATCCCGAAACCAAATGCTCGTATAGATCAATCGCGTTGTGCTTTCAGGTGACTTGGGCTCTACACTTCGGCGGGGATGTTTTCAGTAAGTTTAATCCTGAGGATGAATATTTACAGACGAGTGTCGCTCACCGAGTCAACAGTCTTCGCTATCCCGTGGTTAATCGTGCCTGGGCTACAAATGAAGACAACGCTCAAAGTTGGCCTATATTGCACTTTCCTCCTCGGCACTATCAACATCGTTTTCTGCATTCTCCGATTTACCTCGATCCAAGTCTCGCAAGGAGGTGAGGCTCCTACGTTCAGTTTATTTAGTACGCCTTAAACTTTCCCCTCGACTCTTCTTCCCTGCAGCCCCTGGCAGAAAGCTTACCCACACTGTCATCTCTCTAGCTCTTTGGTGCAGCCTTGACAATAACATTGCTCTCGTAGTAGCATGTTTGCCATCGCTAGGAGGCTATTTCCGGAAACGGCAAGGCACGAACTCGGGTGTTGATTCAAATACACATGCCAGCTCAAACATTGTGAGGCCATTAGGGGCAGAGTCCGACGATATTACTAAGCCCTGCAACATGGCTTCTATAAGTCAATGTTACCCATCTCGTCTTTCATCCAACACTAATGGGCTTGATGGCGACCCGTGGGACGATGGAAGAAAAAGCGATACGAGTGATATTGAGTTAGTGGAGGTGAGGACACGAGGGGAGTCTTGATACTAACACTAAAAGGTCACATTCCATCACAACTTCATGCTGTCGTTCACTCTCCTCTTGAAGTGGGGTCTATCGCTGAGCACCTGAGAATTGTTCCATCAGCATTCTATCTGTCACCGGACAGACAATTTCCTACATCAGCCACAATAACAAGAGCAATCTTCGTGTCTACCAGATATGGGGCCTTCGAAGTTAAAGAACTTGCGTCCATTGATTAGCTTAATAAGGATTTGTCGCCACGGACACGCCATTCTGTGACACATATTCGTATCCAGCGTATATTTCTCTATGTATCTATGATGGCAAGGAAATTCTATGACTCTACATGAACAGATATGAAATGAGGAAAATGAAAAGACAAATAATAAAAAGACAAATAATGAAAGACAAATAGTGAAAAGACGGAAATGAAAATTCTACTCAAGTTATCCACACCTCGATCCTACCAACACCCTGCCAATGATATGGGCCCTCCAAATCGGTAACCAAAGCGCAGGCCAGCTGTCGCAGTCTACCATTTCCGAGCAAATTGCCAGATGTCTCTTTCCCAAACCCGAGATGGACGATGCAATCACTCTCAAAGCTGAGCTAGAGAAGCTATGATCCGCGGACATTTATGGTGGCTCAGCGCCTACCATAAAGGGTTGAACATCTGCCTAATTTCCAGAGGGCCCCTGACGCTTGAAGTTCTCGACCACCATTCCGACTGCTGACGCGCGGCGGTTGGGATCTTCGTCCCCCATTTCAGCGAAGTTTGGGAAAGTCTTCTTTCCCAGTCTGGCAGTCTCTAGCATCGAGAGCTTTGGGAAACGTACAGGATCCCGCCAGTTATTGGCTGTCACTAGAGTGATGAACAGTGACCAAACGTCCATTTTGGGGGTGTGTAGGCCGTGGGCCAAAACTCCCGGTGCCATGTATCCCACAGTACCGATTCTGCCAAAAGATACATTGGCTTCACCAGCTAGGCCGAAATCCGCTAGCTGGAATAGAAATCCTTTGCCCCCTTCTCCTTTGCCGTACAAGATGTTCTGGGGCTTCACGTCTCGATGGCACATGTTCCGCGACGATAGCCATGTTAGCGCACGTAACATCTGGTAGAGCATGGACCTTTCGAGCGTGAATGTGGAAGGCTTTTCTTTGTCGACAAAGTCCATTAGAGTACCACGCTGGAGGGGCATGTAAATGCAGATATGGGTTGGGTCCTGGTCATCAAAGCCGAGCAAGTCGATGATGTATGTCTGTTTGTAGAGTTAGATCTTGAGTTGGGATGACGGGGATTGGACACGGGAAATGGATCAAGGGAACTCACATGGGATAGCTTTTTCAGTGCCCAAATTTCCGTCATAGCATTGACACGGTTTTCTTTGTTCATAACGGAGGTAGGAGAAGGAGAAACCCGCAGACTGTCGCTAGGCATACGATGAAGGAACGAGTAGAGGAGAAAAGAATGCTCAGTTGATCAGAGTTTGATCCAGAACAGGCAAAAGAGAAAGAGTTGGTATTTAAGGAGGAAGCAATGGGGTTGTGGACGGAAACAAGTAATATTCGATTGCCATCACGACGATATCACTTATCACCTCAGAGGAGTCCCTGTTCGCTCTGAAGCCATTCCGGTATTTGAAACTGGGCTTCTCAGCCTAGTTGGTGGTACTCCGAACCGGGGAACCTCAACCTCACTTCTTAGTCCCGCCACCGACACTTCGAACTGGGGTGTCGCCATGGCTCTCCCGCCCCTGTCCTAGTTTCGTATGATCCATTTCTAGTGGTGTGGTAAAACTCACCCTTTCTTAGCTTCTTTGTCGCCTGTCCGGGTGTTCTCTGAATAGTGATTGACAATAGGAACGCCTCATGTCTCTTTGTCCATGTCAGCCACACCTAGCTCGGCAGCAAGGAGATGTCATCCGTATTAAATATCCGGCTATAAATAGTGGCCCCCATGTCTTCAATCCCCCTGCAAATTTAACCATCAACTTAGACCCTCTGCCAACAGTGATACGTCATACACTACTACAGCAATGTCGCTATTCTCTGAACCAGACACATCTCTCTACTCTAGCCCGACCACGGTGAACGAAGGATATCTCTTCTCTAACCCTACCATGGTGGACGAAAGCACCCGGCATCATGCCTTCCCTTCTGATAGATCAGATCGCAGTAGTGACGTTGATCGCATGCTTCTGCGCACACTTCTCGCACTCCCTAACTTAGACTATAATGCATGGTCGGAATGGGAGGTTCCATCCCTTGGGTCTTGTTGGCCTACTGACGACCCGCTCCAGCTCGAAGTCGCCCAAATTATTGATGCCCCTCTGGCCGACCAAGAACGTCTCGAATTAAATTGGAAGATAGAAGAATTGCGGCGCCCAGGAAACCGCTACGCTTACGAGTACTGCATCGAAAAGCACCGAATCAGTAGAATATTCCAAACGTCAAAGGCTAAAATGAATCCTCACGTTACTCTTCTCGGCCTTCAGGAAGAGCGGGAGCCTATCTTCATCAGACACCGGATCAGGAAGCGCTGGCAGGAACTCGGCATATGGAACCCTGCATGGGATGTCGCCTTTCTTCCTTGCTTTGAGGGGCCCGATCCTTGCCGGATCAGTACGCCGGCCGAGTGGGAATGGGAGTGGGAATCAGAAAAAAGGCGCCGGCCTGGTCCTTGGGTCAAGCATCGGGACCAAGCATCCGACGCGCCATTCAATCTCAGCATTTCCCCGGCGAAGGTGGCCGAGGGCGCCTCCATGAGGGAAGCTGAGGCTTTCATCGTTTCCAGACCGTGGCTCGTCTACGAGATGCACAAGGCTGAGAACAAGATTCGATTCAAGCGTATTCCCCCTAGCCTACTATGGAGGCTAGACATGTGGTTCTTTCCTGAGGGTCAAGAAAGGCGCGTGTGGAAGGAGAGGGGAGAATGGAATGATAGCTGGGACGAACCAGGAATAAAAGAGCAGAGTATTCAGCCCGGGTGGACATGGCGAGACGAGAGCCCGGAGCCGGAGCTTGACGACATCTTACAGTTTGACACGGCAGACCTTGACCCATGCGATCTCTTGGAGTGGGAGGCTATACCGCTCCCATCGCTGTCGACGATGACATGGCCTCCCTATCGTGTTTTAGGAAATCCAACCATTCGATTCTGTACCCCATGGACAGTCGGGAGCTCCATGTCAGCAATTTCTCATGCTCTGGATCGCGATGATGAGAAACGGGATGGTGAGCCGTCGGATCACGAGCTAGAAGCTGGGGTTGCGGACATTACAGCCACGAACCAGGGGCCTCCAACATTCGCATCAGTGCCCATCTGTTCAACCCCGGTCCCAAGAGTCCTTTCCGGTCTCATTTTGTCTCCGCCGCCAGGGGACGAGCTGGAAGCTACTGCGTCTGCAGCAACGCCTCCGGACAGAGCGACCGCCTCGCTTGCGCCAAGAGACGCCATCTGCGTGCCCCCGGTGCCCGGCACTTCAGGCGTCCTGTTTGTGTCGGCGCTGTCAAAGGACGACCTACGAAGCCTCTTTTCGTCTCAGCCAATCCAAGACGAGCTGGAAGCTGGGCCGGTGGGAGTGACCCCGGACAGCGCCGCCGCCTCGTCTCCACCGGCAGAAGCAATTATGGTGCCACACGTTTCCAGCTCTCCAAGCGCTCTTCAAGTGTCTGCACTGTCGAAGGCACAACTCGAGAGCCTTTTCCCGTTGGGGGGCAGGCGGGAAGCTGGACCGGCAGACGGCTCGTCGCCGACCAAAGATAAGATTCCCGCTCCGGACATCTTCATTTTATCGCGAATCACCAAGGAGCAACTACAGCTCCTCTTCTGATCTGGGTTATCAAAGAGGAGAGCAAACTGGGAGCCTGCTGAGGAGAGCTGGGATCATTATGTGGGGACACGGTAGTGGTAAGGTGGCTTACATGGCGTGAAGGTGTACATTGGCTTCGTATCGTTTTTGGCTTGCTGCTCTCTTTTTACAGTGCTTTAGTTCAATCCAAGTTTAATAAACCGGAAGGTCTGTTTCAGAATGACTCATTACCCAGCATGGTGACGGGGCATGCGTATATCTTGCTTTGTCGTTGTTCTAAGATTTCCAGTGACATCCCATCTTCCGGTGAGGCTGAAGCGCAGATCACATCCCTTGCAAGATGGTTTGTCCAGGGTCTTCACTCGCGTTGGTGAATGTCTTGCACTAGAACCACCTGAGACGTTCTGGGCCTAGCTGTACAGGGGTTGGCTGTCAGTGAACACACGCAGGTGGTGCTTGGTCTCGCCGGTGGGCCTGGCCGTTCCTGGATTCCATGTGATGGCTGGGATAGCATCACGATGCATCCAGCGCCTGGTCCGTAGTGTTCGCCGCGGACGGCAGTCAATCGACCCTAACGTGCGCTCAGATACTGTGGCGTTGCAGTGCTTTCCAGACGTCGTGACGAGTGGGCGCGGACGGGGTCCATTTTGCCTGGACTCTACTCTCCCGTAGTCAGCTCTATTCTACAGTATTCTCCTCAGTCCGCCCCCCCCCCCCCCCAAAAAAAACCCCGAGATGCCGAGAGCACAATCAGGGTGTCTAAAATGTATTGACCTAGAAGTTAGCGTGCTTTGCCCCAGGGAGAGTGTGCCGTCTCGCGTAAGACAGGTTCACTTTCTGACACCAAATGGTCCAGACACCCAACTGCCCAGTGTAAGCCATGCTTAGGTAGAGATGTTCAACAGTTGGTTGGTTGGTGGTTTAGATTTCCCGGGTTTACGGCAGGCCACCTCTTTATCTTTATCCGTACATTAGATAATCCGCCCTGGACTCCAAATCTAGACCAGTAACAATCCTCGAATTGGTGGATTATTAATATCTGCGGGGCCTCGCGCGCGCGTATGACCAAGGAAGCGGTCCCCGCCGAAGTCAGCGTTGACTGAGACCCACTGATTCGCCGAGCGCCCGCCAACGAGGGATGAGGTGATGAAGCATCAACTTACCGGCAGCTGGGGTCGGAAAGTCGGAATGCGGGCGGGATGCGGGAGGACGAGCCCATGAAAAGCGGGCTCTGCGTCCATGCGGAGCCCGTCTTCGGCATGGGAGAATTAAATAAATAGCTTCGCGATCCCGCCGTGGTTTTGAGCGTGGTCAGCAGTATCCGACGACGAGACAGCCTGTGTGTAAAAGGAGTAACCGAGACGACCACCTGTATAATAGTCCATGTCGAGCTTGGCTGTCGCTGCAACAAGACGACGAATTGCTGCTACGACACTCTCCTGGGCTGCTTCTTCCACAACCTCATCTACAACAAGCCAGCTTCACAGCCGGAACCAACTACATACACCCATCCTCCACAGACACATCCACACATCCAACATGACGACCGTCGGCCCTGTCATTGCCCTCTCCCACGGCGGAGGTGAGTTGCCCGTCCCTCTCACGGTCACGACGCTGTCTATTTCCGTAATTCCGAGGCATCGCCATAGCTAACATGATGCTTCACAAGGCCCCATGCCCGTCCTAGGCGACCCCGGCCACAAATCCATCATCTCGTCGCTCAAGAACCGCGTGCCCAAGCTGCTCAAGCTGGGCACTCCCGAGCAGCCCCGCGCCATCGTCGTCGTCACGGCGCACTGGTCCACCGACAAGCCCACCATCTCGTCGGGCGCCTCGCACAAGCTCTACTACGACTACTACGGCTTCCCGCGCGAGTCGTACGCCCTCAAGTACCCGGCGCCCGGCCACCCGGAGCTTGCGCGGGAGCTCCGTGACGCCCTGGCCGGCGAGGGCGTCGCCTCGGTGCTCGACGACGAGCGCGGCTGGGACCACGGCGTCTTCATCCCGCTGCTGCTCATCCACCCCAAGGCCGACATCCCCGTCGTGCAGATCTCGGTGCTCCAGTCCGAGGACCCCGAGGCCCATCTCCGCATGGGCAAGGCGCTGGCCAAGCTGCGCGCCTCCAACGTCGCCATCATCGGCTCCGGCTTCGCCTCCTTCCACAACCTGGGCATCATGCGCCAGCTGACCATGGCGGGCCCGAAGCAGCAGGCCGAGTTCCGCACCGCGTCGGATACGTGGAACACCACGCTGAGCGACGCCGTGGGCAAGAACGACGTTGCCGAGCGGTGGGAGGCCCTCAAGGGCTGGCGCAAGTTCCCCTTTGCAGACATCATGCACCCGCCCCACGGCGGCGAGCACTTCATGCCGCTGCTGGTGTGCGCGGGTGCGGCGGCCGAAACCGAGCCGACGAGGAAGTATGCTGACGAGTTTTTGGGCCTTGACATCAATACCTTCTATTGGAGTGCTGAGGAAGTTAAATAAAGATAGGATGATGATGTAATGCCATGCCATGTTTGATAGGAAGCGAAGAATAGATATACCATGATTATTCAACTATCCACTTCAACAAGAGTTGATTGAGAGCAAATATTAAGCTATAAGTTAGATATTCACGTGAGCAACTTGTTCCTCAAAAAGACTATTAACGAAGATCTGTTGTCGAGTTGCATGCTTTGATCGTCTCTCGTTCTCTTTCTGCTCCCACTCTTAGGGATTAGGTTCCTTAAGTTCTTCGAATCCCAGCTTCCCTTCTCTTTCGACGCCGTTCTTTTTCTTTTTCTTTTTCCTTGTTTCGAGCTTGAAAGGCTGAGGGAAATTGACCCTGCGGAGTGGAAGAGACAGCAGGATTATTATGAGTCGATACTGAGAATAAGTGTTACGAAAATGACATTTCCTAAACTACAGGATTAGGTGCATGTCTAATACTTATCAATGACCACGTCAACTACCTATGTAAACCCCAGAGACCTGTAGCGGAACCCACATGCAGATAGTACTGATATTCTCAGCTAGGGATACAAGAAACGCAGAACACCAATAGCATTTGGACGGAAATAAACTTGACAAGTCCTCAGAGTCATGACACACAACCCGACTTCTAAATATATCATTATGTGGCTGGTTTTGAGGTTACTGGTACTTCGTTTTTAAACCCTCGTCCAAATTTTGAGGTTAACATCGTGGATGCATACCGAATGTCATCTTCCGGGATGATTTGCCACCCCTAGTTCCTAGAATTCCCTCTCGCCACTCAGAGTCAGGGCTTGTTTTCCAAGAACCCCGATGGTCTCGGCAGTTGCGCAAAAGACGAGGGGGTAACGTCGGCAAGACTCGTGTCGTAGAACTCTCTAGAAGGGCTGGAGGGTGTGAGAAGAGCGCGTTAGGGCGTTTCGACGAAGCGCCGGTCTCGCGCCGAAGGCTCATCAAGCGCTGGCCGGAGTGGAGTGCGAGGGTTTTTGTTACACTCGAACTCAAGGTTGGGAAAGAAACAAAGGAACCGAGAACTGAGACTGGTCAGAAACACTGCGCAATTGTTATGAGACATACCCCGTAATGAGGGAGACTTGGTGAGCACTCATGACCCAGCAGCGTGCCAGAGTGTGCTCCCGTGGCTCAGTTGGAGCCGCCATTGGCCAACAGGAGGACGCTGTCGACACCACCACCACCACCACGACACGGCTCACACGCACTCCCTCACAGCGCCTTGGTCAGCCCCCGGAGGTCATCGGAGACAGTCAGTGGATCTCGCATGGCTTGTGTCAATGCGACTGCAACCCCGAAAAGTGTAACGCAGGTCACCGCCAGCGCGTTACGACTCAGGGCGTCCACAGCATGTCGCAGCGCCCCGAGAACACCCAGAGGCGCTGCGCCACGTGAACTGGTGAAGACGTCACAGGGTCCTCTCTGGGGGGCGCCGCCACTGGAGCGACCAAGCGGAGTAAGCGCCCCGGACCTTATCTGAACTTGGCGCGTTTGGCCCTGGACCAGTCTCCACTGTAGTGACGGTGCCCTGTGAACCGTGCCGGGGTACCTGGCCGGGGGCTGGTCGCCATATAATAGTCATGGGCTCGCTATCATGGCGCCGTGCCCCACGCCTCCAGTCTCTCTCCCTTCACCACCAGCTTCACCATCGTCGTCAGGTGCGCCGGCCGTCAGTCTGAACCATGGTACGTTGCCCTTGCGCGGCTACAGCGACCTGGCCCTGAAAACTAACCGTTGCTGCTCCCCAGGCGTCTGAACGAAGCCCCCTCCTGGACTCCCAGGACCGTCCCGATGTCGAAGCCGACAAGCCCGGTCGCTTCTCGCGCGTCCGCGAGCTCGCCCTCTTCGCCTGGGCTCTCATCGCCACCGCCGCCGTCATAATCCTCGCCGTCTGCATCCAGCACAACCAGCAGACTCACCCCAGGCAAGATGTCCCCGCCGTCAAGCGCAACCTCGTCTTCATGGTCTCGGACGGCATGGGTCCCACCTCGCTCTCCCTGACGCGCAGCTTCCGCCAGCACACCCAAGGCCTCCCCATCGACAATGTCCTCGTCCTGGACAAGCATTTCTGGGGCTCCAGCCGTACCCGGTCCAGCAACTCCTTGGTAACCGATAGCGCCGCTGGCGCAACCGCCTTCTCTTGTGGCATGAAGAGCTACAATGGTGCCATCGGCGTCCTCCCGGACCACGAGCCCTGCGGCACCGTCCTCGAGGCAGCGAAGAGGCTTGGCTATCACACCGGGCTTGTCGCTACAACAAGAGTATCGGATGCCACCCCAGCATCGTTCGGAGCACACGTGTTGACGAGGTCCATGGAGGATTCCATCGCCCTCCAGGAGATCGGAGAGGGTGTGCTGGGACGCTCTGTTGACTTGATATTGGGCGGTGGTCGATGCTACTTCCTCCCCAACAGCACCGAAGGAAGCTGCCGCTCCGACGACGTCGACGTGGTCGAAATTGCCAAGACGAAGCACAATTGGGCCTACAGCGATTCTCGCGCTGGTTTCGACGCCCTTGAGAACGGCGAGAAGGCCCAGCTCCCTCTCCTGGGTCTCTACGCCTCTCACGATATCCCCTTCGAGATTGACCGCCGAAACCACAACGACATCTACCCCTCCCTCAGTGAGATGGCAAAGACGGCCCTTCGCGTGCTCGAGAAGGCCACCGAGGACAGCGACAAAGGCTTCTTCATCATGATTGAGGGCAGCCGAATTGACCACGCCGGTCACTACAACGACCCCGCCGCCCAGGTCCACGAGGTCATCGAGTACGACAAGACCTTCCAGGTTGTTCTCGACTTCATTGCCCAGAGCAAGACCGAGACCGTCCTAGTTTCCACCAGCGACCACGAGACCGGCGGTCTTGACGCGGCCATCCAAATCCCCGGCCACTTGCCCGTGTACAACTGGTACCCCCAAGTCCTTGCCAACGCCACCGCCTCAGCCGAGTGGCTTGCCGCTAAGCTCCGGGCCCACGTCTCCGGCTCCGACGCCGCTGGCAAGACGGACAAGCTCAAGACCTGGATCAACGAGGAGCTCGTCGTCCCCGGTCTCGGCATCTCCGACGCCACCGACGCTGAGCTCGCCCTCGCCGCCGAAAACGCCGACAACGCCCTCGAAGTCTTCGCCGACATGATCTCCCTGCGTGCCCACATCGGGTGGAGCACCCACGGCCACACGGCCGTCGACGTCAACATCTACAGCTCCGGCGGCCCCGGCACCGAGAAGATCCGTGGCAACGTGGAGAACACCGAGGTCGGAGACTTCCTCAGCGAGTACCTCGACGTCAACATCAAGGAAATCACCGACGAGCTCAGGGAGAAGACGGTCAAGCCCGGTGGCGAGGCCATAGCCGCAGCCCAGGCTGCATGGAATGTGCATGCGGAGAGCCACCACATGGCGTGGTAAATACATACGTAATAGACAGATACATCATGGATCAGGGCGCACGGGCACTATAGAATGACTGAAGAGTTGGGACATGACACCATACACGGAGGAGCAAGCATAGCATGAAGACTAAGCGAGTGTTGACTTTGGATTATGAGTTAGATCATGGACACTATCGATTGTTGAAACCAAAAAACCAATACGCCGCCTGCTGTTTTATTCGCCGCAATTTGATCGCTACCCTGTTCCGTCTATACCAATCCATCCCAACCAGACGCCGATCCGCCAGCCCATTAAAGGAAACTCTTCGATCCTCTGAATCCAATCATAACTAATTCTTTCTAGTCCTCCTCGTTGTTGAATAATTTTCTCCATAGTGAATACCCGTTCTTAGTGACAGGGTGGGTTGAAACGGTTAAGTAGCGCGAGCGCCATCCACGTTGTATCGAACGTACAGCCGGTCCAAGAAGTGCGAGTGGCGAATACCATTGGGGCGCATCTTGGCAAACGTCTCGATGGCCTTGCGGACCTCGAAGCCGCACCGCTCCACGAGGTAGCAGACGATGAAGTAGCCGGTGCGATTGAAACCGTAATGGCAGTGGACGCCAATGACACACTGCGCGGGATCCTCCCAGGATTCCTTGGCGGCACGCTCAGGCTGCTTTGCGCGCAGGTCGTCAACGAGGCGAATAAAGTCGTCAACTTCTTTGGCGCTAGGGGGTACCTTCGAGACGGTAGGGAATTTATGGTAATGAATGCCAGCACGCTCGAGGCCGCGGGGGTCGTAGACAGGCTGGTCTTTAGAAATGTCGATGACGTCCTTGACGAAGCCACCCCAGTCAGAGACGAACACCGTCGGGCAGTGGACGTCGTCAGCCTCGCGGAGCGTCTTCATGGCGCGAAATACGGGCTTCCCGGGAGGTCCGATGGGCTCGGAAACAGGGTTGACCGACTTCCACTTGTTGAGATTCTTGACGTCCCACTTGCCCTCGCGGGATAGGTACTGAAGTTGCCATGCGAGTGAAAGTCGACCGGTGATGTTTGCCCCCAGGAAATCAGAGATGAGGCCAGCTACAGCACGGACGGTGCTGGGGGTGTAAAGGAGGGCGTGAGTGGCAGGTGAAGGCAGGACGATGGAATGGATGACCTTCTGGGGGTGGTTTGGCAGAGCTGGAAGCTCGGCGAGGGTTTCCTGGGGCGTAGAGGGGTCGCGAGGGGTTGATGGGTCGTCCTCTTGGCTTTCATCAACTTCCGTCTGAGTAGCCTTGGCCCTCTTAAAGTCCTCGTCTCGGAGATCCTCGATAGCCTGCGGGACGTGGTCTGCGGGTCGTGTTGATGTGTTGACCGGGGCAGCAGAGTCGACAATAGTCTTACTTGTCTCCTCCGCCATCTCCGCCTGGGATGGAGTTGTCTCGGGATCCAACACCTTAATAATCTTGTCGACCTCCTTGGGCGAGACAATGTTATCCTTTTCCCCCGCAATCAAGTAAACTGGCATGTCCAAGCCCGCCCAAACATCGAGTGTAGGGATGCCACCAACGGGTTTGCCATTCTTGTAGTCGGGCAAAGCACCGTTTGCCATGCGTCTCCAGACAGGAGTCCGGCTCTGTTTGTTAAAGCGGTACTGGAGAATCCGGGCAGTCTCGTCTGAGCTCTCGCCAACGAAACGCTTGACGCTTGCACTTTCAGGACCACCCCGTGCATCCCAAGACCGCCACAAAGAGAACAGCCATCCAGGAATCCACATGGCCCTCTTGGCCCATGTAGTCATGGACTCGCTGGGTGGACTAGAAACGGGGCATATGGCGATGAGTCCTATAACGTATTGTGCCAGCGATGTCGTATGGGGCACCTTTTGGTTAGCCAATTGGGCCGACAGGGCGGTCCCCATACTGTGGCCGATGAGAACAACGCGCTGGCCAGCATCCTTGTCTCGGTAGTCGTCAATAATGGTCTCCAGCAGCTCCACTATAGCCTCAGTGGTATAGGCGTCCCATGATGTGACAGAAAACTCCGAACGGCCACATCCGGGGTAGTCAATGGCCAGGCAGGGAGCCAGATCCGCCAAGCTGCTCAGCAGGGGGTGAAACTGGGCCACTGAGCCGCCGAGTCCATGGAGGAAGACGAGCAAGGGGAGAGGCGCCGGGTTCTTGGGAAGCTGGTCGGCCTTGGCATGTTGGCGATAGAATATCCTGAGGCCAGGATACTCAAAACGGCTCGTCTTGTAAGCCTTGAACTCGGAATTGTCCCTGAGGAGCGTGGGGTCCGTGAGGTGAGGGTCGGTGGAGTCCGCAGACTGCTGAGAGTGGCCAGGGGGAGGAGCCGTCATGCCGTGCGTCTGGGACTGCATTCAATGGTGGGCAGCCCGACAGTTCGGGAGGATGGGAGGAGAGGGGCGAGATATGTCGTCAGGGAGAGCGATATGAGATGCGGGTGAGTGATATGAGAGAGCGTGAGATGAGTGGGACGTCGCAACTGATAAATAAGACGGCGGTGAAAAGCCAAGGATGCTGTGAGACTGTTGTTGTCCAACAAGAAGCTGTGGTTCGCGTCCGTGATGGACCCAGCCAAATTAGTCGCCGTGGATATCAAAAAGCAAATCGGGGGAGGAGCGAGTCGTCGTCAGGTCGCAACTGCGACGAGAACCAGCGCCAGTCGGGGAGGCAGGCCGTGCTGTCGATCTGAATGTCGTAGGGATGGCCCGGCGATATCTATCACAGTGCAGTAGAGTGATCCGAGAGTCCCGTGGTGACGGGCGTCCAAAGCCAGCAAGACGAGGACAAAGGCTCGGCTCAGGGCTTTTGTGCCTGAAGCCGTCGCGGCGCAGAACCCTGATAGCGGTCCAAGGCCCCACGGAAATCGCGGTCAGGACGAAAGCGGCGCTGCAGCTGGGGCGCACGAGGCAGTCGAGTCGTCGCAGAGGCTTCTCGCGGGCTCGAATTGAGGTTCACGGGGCCGCGCTCGAGCTGCCCTACGGTACCAGAGGCCTTAATTGGTGACGATAAATGGAGCGAGAGCTCGTCGCTTCGGCGATGATGGATGAGTCTTCTGGTTGCCCAACCAATCGCCGCATTGCATCATCCACCTGGGGTTGCGAAGAGATCTTCATTGGAAGACGCCATCCGGCCAATCATGGCGAGGTTTGTCCAACATGGGGAGGTATTTTGCCTTTGTGCGGTATCTGATTGCTTATCTAATATTGACGACAGCCTCTTCTTGGCCCTACCCTAGATGGTCACCGAGCAGACGAGCTAAGTCTAGAGAAAACCTCTAGACGGACGCTTTTAAACTGACCGCATAATCCCAACAGGCGCTTGAGTTTTATTGGAGCCAATATGACGTGCTTGATCAGATGACTATCCATAGTATAGTGCTGGGTCCATCTCATCTTATTCGTACTTCAGGTCTCACTAACCTGCCAAGTTAGGATGGCTTTGAAAGAGTACCGTATGGAGAATTAAACAGGAGAGTTAGTCAAATAATATCGTCGCGAGCCAAGAACATGCTAAGACTTGATTTCCAAACGGGTATCCACGCAAACATGCCCAATGGTTTCTCAATGTTCCAATGCCAACCTTCGCTTCAGGTGAAGCTCCAGTCAAAGTGATATACATCCAACTACCGTCTCTATGCATTACTCATACAACGTAGGGTACAGTTACAAGTCAAGCTCTGCTCTCCACTAGGGCGTCACCGCCAACTCAGCCCATGGCCCGTTACTTGGCGCCAACTCCATCCTTCCAGCCCACTGGTATCATCGCTGCCGCCACATCCGACACGCCCCTCTCCGTCGCCAGCAGGTTGAACTGCGCCGCCGCATTCCTTGTGTCCAGAAGTTCGATCCGAATGCCAAGCTCGGAAATGTGTCGTCTTGTCTCGGGGCTGAGAGGCATAATCGACGGGCCGGTGCCAATGATTAGGAGGTCTGCATCGTTATCAGCTAAGTGAATATATGATGCTTCCTGAGTCGCATCGCGTAGAAGGAATGAGGGAAGCGGTCGAGGCTACTGAAACTTACCGGGTCGTGGCCATATTAGGTCAAAGAGCGCAAATGACTGCGCGGGAATGTCAAACTGGCCCTTCTTGTTGGCCAGATTCATCGAGCCCTTCGCCTCCCACGGCCGCCAGTTGAACACTTCTCCGTCGACCAGCATCACGCCGTTACCATCCGAAATTGTAACACCGCTGTTCAACCCGAACCCGTCATACATGCACACGTCCACCGACGTCGACGGGATAGGGACGTCGGCCAGCACATCGAGATCGCCGAAGTCCGTCGGGGCCGCGTGTGTGGGGGCTTCTTGGCCTTTTCTCCGGCTCGGCACGGCGTGGAAGAGTCTGCGACCCAAAGGGAGCACCTGACGAGGGCTCGGCGACGTATGGGTGTGGGATCGGAGAGCTGTGAAGACGGATCGTGAGGGAGCATTGGGAGCTTGGGAGAGGGCCTGGCGCAGAGCGCGCGGCGCGGCGCAGGGGCGCATGAAGCTGCGGGCTGCCATGGTTGAGAGTCTGGATAACTCGCAAGGTAGATATGGCGGTTCAGGAGACAATTGGAGGTGGACGAACAGGCGTTGTTGAAGGTGGATTGAAGTCGGTAGTCGGAATAATGCCGAACGTGGGGTGTTGATTATTTTTTCCCAGTCCTGCACGTCATGATAAATGTCACTTGCGGGCAACCATACACGATAGGATGGAAATGATTACAACGCGGGCTCGACTATACACATGCAGGATTGAGGAGGAGTAGTTTTGAGTCGCTATAAATGCAGCGAATATGTTTGGGCAAATAAATCTGGGCGAATTACTTGGGACGGATCGCTAGAAGGTCCATCAAGGGTCACACGCACACACATACTCTCCAATGTCACTGGCAAACGACCGGTAAATTTGTCCATGCCCGCTTGATGTTCGTTTCATTTCAACCACCAAGAGGAAAGTAGCAGTCCTTAAGACGGCAGACAACCAGCCATTCTTGGCCCGGTCCCGATGTATCATGCAGTCCCTTTTGCCCTAATGAACACCAAAGCAATGAACCGAGTCCCCAGAGTTCCTTGCCCTCCCACGCAGAAAGCCAAATCCGGCAATGGAAATTGCATTTATTTCTTCTTCTGGCTCTGCTCCTGCTCCTTCAACACCTTCTTGACGATCTTCTGCTCCTCAATGAGGAAAGCTCGGACGATTCTGTCACGGACGCAGCCACCGCATCGGGAACCACCGTAGGCGCGCTGGACGGTCTTCTTGGGCTTGGAGAGCTGGGAGTACTCGCGGGGTCGGAGGGCGGGGATCTAAGGAGAGAAGAGTCAGTATGTAATATTTCAAGGAGAAGTCATTCGTGGGTGGAGGTGAACTGGACACCGAGGATAGAGAGCCAACATCCGAAGATTGAACGTCGCCCAGAAATGCTGAGGGCTGAAGCGATGCTGCCGCCGAGGCGTGCTTTCGTGTCGTCTCCCCAGCTGAGCCATCTCTTCCGTCGATCCAGTCCATCACCATCGCCACGAATGCTTGTGTGTTCGTTGAGGGCAACCTACGCCAGACAGCTTGGAGCCGCAGTCACCGCACTTGGGAACAGTGCCGCGCTTCTTGATGTGAAGCAGACGGATGTCACCACCGGGAGTCTTGATGACTCGGGTTCGGTTGGAGGTGGTGTTGTAGCTGCGCGAGAAATCCTTGTCAGTCCGGATGATCGCAAAGACAGTGGCTCGTTGATTGCATTAGAGCTCGGTCGGGGAGGGACTCACCCGTTGCGGCGGCGGTAAGTGACACGCTGGGAGACCATTTTTGCGGTGTTGTCGGGTGTTGCGATGAGGATCTCACAATAGGAAGAGGAATTTCGAGATTTGGGGAAATTTTGTGTGGGTGGAAAGGCGGATTGTGCCCGCTAAACCAGCGAATCAGAGTGGGGAAATGGTGGTTGTTCGTCACGTGAGAAAATTCCTCGTTCTCCTGTGGTTTTTGCGGCAGCTCCACCCACTCGCTCATGCAAAGAGAGCGCAGCAATATTCTTCCATTGCGCAGCCCAGTCTTGTCTCTTGAAGCGAACCTGACCGTGATCTCGTTCTGGAGGATTCCTTGACTTGACCCAGGAATGCGATACTGCCTTTTGATCCATAGGTGAACGAACTCTTCTCAAACTAAAATTCACAAACTACGAAGTGATATCCACATCACTCAGTTGATCAATCGCTGTTGTACGTCAATATCAGTCCAATATAGAATTGTGATAAATCAGACTCGGCGTCCCTGGTAAAGTTGATTGGCTAAAGTACACGAGTCTCAATCCCACCTTGGTATCCCTTCACAAGGCTGGAGCGGTTAAAATACAATCCTCGCTTGTAAATCGTTCTATCGTAACACTGTGAGTCGAATTCACACACATATCATACACCTACGCCTTCGAGTCCATCCTGAACCAATCTGGGTGGTCCCTATGCCGCCACGGGGTGATGCCCATCGGGTTCGCTTCCCGGCTCTTGGCGGCTTGGTCAAACACGTCCTTGGTGATATCATCGCGCATCAACTCGGTAAACTCCTTGACGTCGGCCTGTGCATCGTTGACAGCCTTCATGAAGGCGGCAAACATGATGTCGGCTAGAGTGAGAGGAATTAGTTTCACGCCGACAAAGAAACAAGGGTGGGAGCGGGATGGGCTTCCATACGTGAGGGTTGCTTCTGGATGAGCGGGTCAATCATCTTTGGAATGGTCTCCCGTAGCAATCGGGCCTAAAACAAGAGCTGGGTCAGCATATTTGCACTGCAGGTCTTATGTTTAGAACACCAGTACCTTGATGTGGAGGAGCTTTAGTCGCTGCATGGCTTCCTCAAGACGGGCTTCGTCGGAGACATCCCGGCCGTCTTCCGGCGCCTCAGCGGCCATGGTTGGCTGCTGATCCATTGGGGGAGGGTGAGGCTGAGCCGCGTCGGGAGAGAGAGACGGCGAGGGGGCGCGAAGGGTGAAGCGTGTGGCAGTAGGGGGCGATAACAAAGAAGAAGCGAACTAGGACAGCTGGGATCAGGGGGCAGCGGCTGCTAGCGAGGAAAGCACCCGGCGACAGCGTTTGAGAAGAAGAAATATCCCACTATGGCTGGGCGGGTGCAACGAATCGTTCTAGAAGTTGGGGAGATATGATGGAGGACCGCATCTGGGTCGGGTCTGGGTCTGGAGAATGGGCCCTGCGCGACGTGGGGCAAGGGAGAGAGTGGAAGAAGCTTGGACGTTGGTGCTACCCCAGCGCGTGCGCCGCCACAATTCGGCCAAGTCGGCCAAGTCGACGACCTCCTCGGCCTGAAAGTGAAAGACACAAAGCAGAGTCTGATTCAGGAACCTCTCTGGACGCCGCACCGTGTCCATCCGGAACAGCCGCGCAGGTTCCGCCAAAGCAAGCAACAGCCCGTCGCAGGATCAGCATCAGTTTGCTCGAGGTGCAGACTTTTCCCCTCCACGTGTGATCCAGGACGCCTCGCGCCGTTGCGCTATTGTGTTGGAGTTTGCCCGGCGCCTCACCCAGTGGCACTGAAGGACCAGCCAACACCCGTTCGTTTGCGTAGGTAGGCCGCTGAAGCTAGGGAAGTCGGCCGTCCGGTCTGCAGCTCTCACTGGGGCGCACACGGGGTAGCTGCAGGTATATTCCTTTCTATCTTAGGTACCTAGCTACACAAGGCGCCTTGTCTCATTTCGCCGCTGCACGCTGCCACTCCCCCAGAGCCACGCCCATCTCCCAGGGGCCGCATCTGTTTGCCTCGCCCGGGCGAACGCCTACACGTGCAGAAGTGCAGAAGTGCAACTGCGCTGAGGTCAGGGTACCTGCCTCTTGTCGAGACACAGCTCGCGGCGCACTGCAGTAGCACGCAGTGGGGAACGGACCTGACGGGCTTGCTCTTGCCCGCGCTAGCGTCCATCCCTGCCGCATCGCTGCCTGTGAGTGGACTTCCGCGGCCTCCGGACCGGATCAACACTAAACCTTGTAAGTGCTCAAACTTGTCAACAGTGCGGATTGGAAAAATCCTGACAGCCCAGCCTCTTGCATATTAGTATAGCAGCACACCTCGACCAACACCCGCATCAGACGCGATATCTACTGCCCATTCCCGCTCGAGATTCTTACACGGCAGAGTCGTTTCTTCGCTGCTGTCCGACCGCATCTTCTGCACCGTACCCGCCTCCCAAATTGCGCCCCTTCCAACCGCCACCCTGGCTCAATCAATCACCATGCCGAATACACCACCGCCGGCGTTACTGCCCCCACCAGAAGGCATCTTCCGGACCTTTGACGACTTGATGGCCTCCGTCCAGCGTGTCGCCAAGGACCAGGGCTACGGAATTGTCAAGTTGCGCGCCTCCAACTACCGCGACGGAAAGCCCACCCGCTACGACTTGGTCTGCGACCGCGGCGGCGTCAAGTACAACAGCACAGCGAAGAAGCGCAATCCCTCCACTCGCAAGATCGACTGCCCTTTTCGCGCAAAGGCTGTCTGCGAAGTCCAGCTGGGAAATCAATGGCGCTTTGCCATCCAAGAGGGCCGTCACAACCACGAACCACGCGTCCCTGCTGGCACACCCGGCCAGGAGAATGCCCCGTTGGCCACCTCGATCCGATCCTTCACCAACAAGCTCGATCGCCTCAACCACGACATGACCCAGGGCCTGATGCGCATCGAGCAACGCCTTGAAAACATTGAGAAGCGAATGGAAAACCTCGAGGCCCGTGCCGGCGGATACGAACCCCGGTTCCAGGCCATCGAGTCCCGACTCCAAGGCATGGAAGGCCCGCGCATGGACGGCATGGGCATGGACGACGTCGAGTCGCGCCTGCTAGCCTCAACGGTCATGTAGGGAAATGACCAGAGTGCTGGACACGCTGTGGGAGGGAGCTCGTAAGGATCCCCTCCAGGTGAGGTGGGCCTCGAGACCTCAGGTCCGCAGAACATTGAGAGGACGACACCTGTCGATTGCAACAGGAGAGGTGTCGCTTCAAGTCTTTTTTGAGCTCATGGTTTGATGCACGTGGCCAGGGATTGCGTGATGTTCACCACGAAAACGGCTTTCTATGACAGGGAGGCCGATGGAAGTTATTCGGGGGGGTTGTTATTGATGGCAAACTTGCGGGATCGTTCAGGGCGTTCAGGGAATCGGCCCACAAAGTTGCGGGCTCTGTGAGATTACTCTTCATGAAGGCGCGTGCAAAGGAAGTTTAAGGGACCACTTGTTGTTTTTGTTATTGATTTAATTTCGTCTTGGTACTTGGGAGAACGGCATGGCAATGTTGTCAGAGAGTGTGTTTCGCTAGCTCACCCACGGTGAGATGGGAGGCGTTTGATCGCCACCTGGGAGCGCGACTCGTTTCTAATAGGGCTGGGTGGGCTTTCCTGACGTTCTTGTAGAACCAAGGATAGGGCATTCAGAGTTGATGTGTTGAGTGCCCCCAGGGCCGAAAGATGCACCGAATGTACATGTCTCTGCGATTTGACTCTTCACACGTTTTACCATGTATATTTACGCGCATTTATGAGGATGCTACTTGAGTTGCGCAAGTGACTCTTTTCTCATAGTTGACCTCGTTGTCTCAAGAGTAGTCACGAATCAATCTCACGCTCCTTCATGGTCCAGACATCCTCGAACTTGATCATGTTGCTATCCGCATCGTGCCATCGTCATCGTCACTCAGAATTGCCAACAACGCCCCGCCATTCCGCCACGTCCGTCACACACATGTAACAACTGCTGGCCTTCAACCTGCATTTTCAGCCAGGGTCGTTCCTTGGATTTAAACGCTCTGAATCTATTTGGACCCTCATTAAACGTCGTTCGGCGCCCTCGTGCACCTCATGTACGCTCTTGCTGGTTTTGTTCGCACACTGTAGGAGCAAGCAAGCCCCTCTGCACATCAGCCCCACGCGTTAGATCTTTGCACTACCAGACTTGCAGCAACACACATATACTTGCTTTCTTTGTACTCTACGACTAGCCTCGACTTTGCGGGTTGCACAGACACGGCTTGATGACAGGTGCGGGGGTGCATTGGGACACGCGGTATTGGGCTGCAAACGCGAGTCGCTTTTGTGTGACGGGTAACGAAGTCTGGGGGAGCCAGCGGAAGTCCTGGGTTCACAGGACAGGGGCGACAATCGATGGGACTTCGTTGTTCCGCAACGACACATGACGTGCAAGACGGCCCGTATCCGAAACCCCCCAGAACATTCCGAGACTGTGTAGCACGAAGGGCCGTGAGGCGGGCTCGGATGCTGTTGACGAAGCTCATCAGGCAGCGCGCTGTTGTCGACCCAAACACGCCGTCCCGACGGATCTACCGATGGCAACAGACAAGCTAAAGATTTATTAAATCGGCACGACGCACCTTGATTCCAAGCAAACATACTCCTAACCGTATAGAGACAGCGGTTGGGGGCTATCAAGTCCTACTGGTTCAACCAAGCATTCGTCGACCCGGCACTCTCGAACGATAGCGTCCGCTGGGTCTAGTTGTCGCGCTATCTGCTCACCTCTTGCCGTTCTCGCCATCACCAACACGAATCACAATCGCCACTCTCGGGGGTGGAAGGCGAAGAACCGGGCGTCCCATGTCACAGCTCTAAGTTGGCGTGAGCAATCCCAAGGGTGCATCTCGCGGTTCACGGCCGTCAGATACAGTACTACGGAATTACCAGGGGGTGATGGGCCGATATCCATTCCATTCAATCAGTGTACAGGCTGGCGTCGTGCAAAAAAACCGCGTGGCTGGGAACAGCTATCATGGCGTGGCCAACGGCCTGTCTCCTGAGCCTCTGCATCCCAGACATGCCTACAGCGAAGGCGTAAAGTGCCCAATCACAGCAGCAGGACGACAATGGCCGAGCTCAAGTCGACGGTTTCATGATTCCCGGTTCTTAGAACAACCAAACCATGCCGGAAGCCGTGATGCAGGGGATAGGGGAGATGTTCTGACAAAGCCATGTGGTTTCGTCGTAACGAGACAAGGGAGGCCAAGGGAGGCCAACGGGCTGTGGGGGAACACTGCAGTCGAGTCGCGTGGATGACTAGATCCGCGGCATCTTGTGGGTGTGCGTACGCATCGGCCCGAGTCCGAGGTTCAGATACTGTAGCGACCCGTGCCAGGGTTCTTCTTGTTTGCTTGTACGCCGGAACATGACGAGGCTGGCGGCGAGGAGGTGGTTACACGCGCCCACCCTCGGGGTGTTGACTGAATTCTCTCGAGATTGAACACTCGGCGCCTCGGAAATGAAGGGTTACTTAGGCACTGGTTACATCCGCCGGATCACGATGACCGCGAAATCGGTCGCCGGGAGACGACATGATCACCACAACTGTCTAGTGCGCTTGGCCATGATTGCTGTAGCAAACTAGCATGATCCCTTGCCTCCAATCTCATCACGCACTTTCCGAGAGGAAACTCGAGGAAGTGATCACAGTCACAGTCATGAGTCTTTTGTTGGTAATGTTGGACAAAGTTGCGTATCTGTCGGCGTCCGTGATTGTCTGAAAGAGATGATTGTCCAACGACAGACGCCACCAACCTAGCAATATCAGACTCGAGGGGAATGAGGGAGTGACTCGGGAGTATCAAGTAATCACTTCAGCAAACACCCGATCATGTTTCCAACGGAGTTTGAATGGCCCATCTCAGGTTGATATTGGACTGGTGGGGAAAGGGGACCGGCCGTCGGTAGCCAAGGTCACGGTGGGAGGCGACAGAGAATCCTGGACTGACTACATGACTCTCATTCAGCTTCAGAGTCTTCGGCTACCTTGGCAAAAGACCTTAGTTTTCGACGAAGCGCAAACTAACTCTCTACCATCGTTCCCCATGGAGTCTCGGGGTGCAACTGTAAAACTGGGCTTGCTTTGGAGTGAGTGTTACCAACCGGAATGTCTCTAGACATTAGCATCAAGACCCAGAGTCTGAAAAACGGATACTGAGTTGACCATCTGCGCACTAAACATCCTGCATGCCTCATTCACATGATTGTATAGAATCTGTATGACCTGGTTGTTGACCCGCTCGAGGTTATTCACGGTGCAGGCTTAACTAAATACCTTCAAAAAACCCCATTCCCATCTCCAAATCCGAGGTCGCTGACGTGATATGAAAAAAAAATACCTGAACTGTAGGAGAAATGTATTGTGTTGCGTGTACCAAGGAGATGACAGGCGCATCATCCCATACAGCGTCGATCCACTTGGATGTCTAAGTCGAGATACTAGATCAGATAAGTCAATCTGTTTCTTCGCTCTTCCAGACTTTCGATGCTTCAAAAGCTTAAGGTTATTATTGAAACTTGTACTTCTTACAGCAGGTACAAACGAATGTCCGCCTCGAAAGGCTCACCTAGTGCCTCACCACGGTGTATACGCTGAGTCCTGCGGGGTCCTGTCGGTGAGACCAGCACCTGAAGCCCTGTGGGACCTCGTATTAGATCCCTCGTAACACCCTGCCTTGTCTCCGTCCTCATCATCATCATCTTGGCAATTTTACGTCAATTAAACAATGTCTCAATATATCAACGCCGTTTACTATCCTTCGTGGCGCGTCTACAAGGACAGGCCGCCATCTTGCCTTGATGTCGCGTCCATCACGCACATCTTCTATGCCTTTGTCGGGTGAGCTCCCTTACCCCGGAATGAATGATGCTACACTGAAATACCCCAGTCTGCAAATCGCGGGGACTTGAGCTAACATGTCCTAGTGTCAACGAAGACGGCACCCTTCGAGTTCGCACCCTGGTGAGATAGAACCCCTTGTATTGCTAGAACTAACATGATTGACTCAAGGCACTTGACGAATGGGCCGATAACGATAAAGAGGTCGATGGAGTCAAGGGGTGCCTCGCTGCAGTTGCTCAGCTGAAGCGCCAGAATCCTCACATCAAGACAATCGTATCTATTGGCGGCGGCGCCAGCAGCAAGGAATTCCCCAAGCTCGCCGAGAGCGAATCTGCGAGATGCACATTTGCCAGCGAGATTCGGGAGTTTTGCGAAAAGCACGAACTGGATGGTGCCGACAGTGAGAGTCCCCCATCCTGAATAGAACTGGACAGCTCACGCTAATCGTCTGAACCAGTTGACTGGGAACATCCCCAGGATCCTGATGCAGGCTGTGATTACCTCAAGTTCCTCCAGGAAATCCGCCAGGCTCTTCCGTCACCCCAGTTTCTATTGACCAGCGCTCTTCCCGTGGGAGAGTACTGCCTCAAGCACATCGATCTTCCCGCCGTCGCCGAGGAGCTCGATTTTCTCAACCTCATGTCCTACGATTTTGCTGGAGAATGGACCGACGTCTCCGGCCACCATGCGCAACTTCTTCCGCCAAGCCAAAACCTCGACGAAGTCTATCCCGCCCTCCGTTCCTCTGCCCATGGTGGTGTCGACTACCTCTTGGCTCATGGCTTCCCCAGCCGCAAGATCGCGCTGGGAATTCCGGTCTATGCGAGATACTTTGCTCAAGCGTGCGGGCCCGGGCATCCATTTGAAGCGTCTGGCGAGATGGACTACTGCGATTTGCCGGAGCGGTGGGTCCAAGAAGCTCATATCGAGGATGTCAAGGCCACTGCTTCGTTTGTGGACGACGAAGGAGACAAGGGCTTTGTTTCCTTTGATGTTCCCAGCACCGTTCAGATGAAGGCCCGTTATGCCAAGTCTATGGGACTCGGTGGCCTGTTCTACTGGACTGGGGCTGGTGATAGGACCGAGGGTGAGAGTCTGGTCGCCTCTGGCTGGCGCGAGCTCCAGAATTACTGAGGAAGAGGTTGACTTTATGGATTAAGATGGTCACAGCTTACTTTGGGGTTCCTTGTGTAGTATTTGAGTTTTCATTTGTCCCATACAATTCGTTAATTAGCCAACTTTTTGTTCTCTATCATCCTTTTCCCACTAACATGTCTAGAAGAGAGCCCAAACCTCACATTTGCGGTGCCAAAAGCCAATCTCCCCCAGGTCTACTCTAAAGTGTCCCTCTCTGGGACTAAAAAGTTCTCCTGTCCGTAATACCAATTTCGTACATATCAAGTACTTCTCTTGTACTTAGATTCCCCTTTCGAGGTCTCGGACGTACAAAATCGATTCAAGGTCGTCGAAAGCAGTGTTTTCCTGATCCTCCATGGGCTCATCATGGTCCTCGCCAATTGTCAGGCTTTCCAGGTTCGTGGGGCCCTGAAGCAAGTTATCAATCATTTGACGGTGGTGCTTAAGGGCCTCCTCGGCATCATCGAATTCTCGGTTGGCAGCGGACTGCTCAAGTCTGCGAGAGGACTCGCCGTTCGTCCGGGTTCTAATGAACGGCTGGGGAGGGGCAAGACCTGTCAATGAATTGGTTGGTAGCGGAGGAACCGGGATTTGAAAAACCTGGGCCATGTCGAAAAAGGATGCCCGCCGAGCTGGGGCAGGCTGGGGAGGCTGCGAATCCTGGTTCAAGCCGTAAGCTGAAGGTCCTGCAAGTGCCGGCGTCTGAACAGCTTCCGGGTCCTGAACAGCTTGATACTGGCCGTATTCTGGAATTCTTGGGAATCCTGCGAATGTTGGGTACTCGGAAGGCGCGAAGACTCCGTGAGGGTTGAATTCCGGGAATTGTGGTAGTGCTTGAAGAGCATAATCTGGATCAAAAGCAAGGGGATCCGAGGAGACACCATGGGCCTGCTCTTCTCCTTCTCCTTTTTCTTCTTTCACCTCTTGGGCCTTTTTCTCCATCTTAGCCTTCTCAAAAGAAATCTTAACCTCCTCTCCCCGTGCCCTGACCTTGTCGTCAAATGGTCCACCTGTTACTTTTGGGCCAAAAACGCATCTGCGTCCATAAATTTCCCAGCAGGGCACACAAAGCCGCCAAGCGAGCCAGCGGCAGAACTTGAGTTCACGGGCATCGCCGAACTTCGCAGAACAGATTCGGCAGGATGTGCTCGGGTCTATGAGGGGCCATTTGGATTGACGGCTCTTTGCTGGTTGTTCGACTTGGGGCTGGGGTGCCGCCATTTTGGCTCGTGCCTGTGGTGTCGCTCGAGACGGGTTTCGGGCAGGAGTCCTGCGAGCACGAGATGGTCCGGCAGTGCTTTGCTGGACTGGATCTGATGACCCACGCTTGGGAGCTCGAGGCAGAGTTGCTGAGCGAGTTCGAAGACTGGAGCGTCTCTGAGACTTGAGTGTGCGGCGTCGAGTTGAACCTGCCGGCCTTTGAGGGAAGGCTAGGGGAGTGCTTGCGACGCGAGGCCGGAAACCATATCTGGGCGCAGAATCCGGAGTGCTGGGCAGAGCTGGGCCTGTCGACCCCCATTGAATGGATGAAGTAGAACTTCCCTGGCGAGAGCGGAGACCGTATCTAGGCTGAGAATCCGGAGTGTTGGGTAGAACTTGGCCCGTCGACGCTTGCTGGGGAGTTTGAGGAGGATCTGTCAAACGAGAACGAAGGTTGTTTCGTCCCTGAGAACTCGGAGTGCTGTTGACATTAGTCTTCTTTGTCTTTGCGTCAGGCTCGTTGTCACTGCTATTGGAGTCGGAGTCAGAGTCGGAGTCAGCGTTGTTGGAAACAACAGCAGCCCCACGGGTCCGTTTGGGGGGATCAGGACGGGAGTTGGTCGGGGCAGACTGACTAGGTGCTGTTTGAATACGCCGGGAAGAACGGCGACGAGTTGGGTTTTCCGCCATGTCAGCTAGTTCTTCGGCTCTGAATCAGCCAGCTGAGATGTCGAATGGATTGCTTTTTGTTTCCAGTTGCGATGTCTTGATAGACCAGATGCTGATGACGAGAGAGAAACGACGGTAGTCCAGTCGGGAATATTGAATTGACTTATAGTTTTTTCGTTGCCTTGAGTCTGTCTGTTCATTGCAATTATCTATAGCTGTTTAAGCGTTCCATTTCTGGAGTACTATGTGTTTATGGCAGTTGATCCACCAAGACCCAACGGTGGGAGCCTGGGGATTCTCTTGATGAACATGATCGGCGTGTAAATTTTTGTTTAATCCTTCACATTTCAGTGTCACAGTTGCTCTTGTTCGTGGGTCTGCTGAAAATCTTGTGCATATCTAGGTGTTCGGTCGTTCACAGCTTCAGCGAGGATGTTCTTTGAACATGACATCATCGCAACATCATCGCTTGAGAAAGAAGACGCCCTCTGTAATATCGCAAAGTCCCAGGGATGTTTGCACCACTCGTTGTCAAATATATTTTTTATTTGCACGGCATTTCCTATGCTTATACAAAATTGTGTAGACACGTTATGGCAAGCTTGTTGGCTTCCAGTCGCGATAGCCTTTGTATGCCCTCCCCGATTTAGATATCTCACAGGCACGCACTGCGGATCCCGGATTTAGCGGAATTGTCTACCAATCGGACCTCTCGCGTGACATTGATATAGATTGGCTTAAATTGTAATAAAGCTGATACCCATCAGTTCCATCCAGTGACATCCATCTCAACTCAACCCTGTTCTTGCACCGCCACATCAGCTACGTCATGGATGCCCACAAGCCTCGACGGCTGTCGCGTCCTGTCAAGCATGTACAACAACCAAGGAACTTGTCCAACCAGAAAAACTGGTCTTTATAAGAACGATCATCCACTTCGCATTACCTTATTTCCCCTCATCAAACCTTTCTTGAACGACACTTCACCGACTCCTGCACCAAGTAAGTCCAGTCCCCTCTTCGGATACCAGATTATTGTGGCGCTGACTAGAGCAGAGCACCACATTTACCCACCTAAAGTTCAACGCCCCAACAGCACCGCCAACATCATGGGTCTCTTCTGGGGGAAAGGCATCGGCGGCAAGCACTTTGGTACGAGCGTACACGTTGATCGTCACGGTGTGCGACGTGGGCCATGGCGCTTCTCAATGGGAAAATACAGCTGTTTCCGCCACTAATGGTACAATGAGAAAGTAGACGCCTTCACTGCTACGGAAGAGTTGGCACACAAAGGACCACGAAGGAACAGCAAAGGCCCATACCTAGGTATCAACTATGAGAACTATACGATACAAAGAATGAATTAATGCAACATAAGCTATGAAGAACAAACCAAATAGCGTTCTCCCATTTTTTCTGTGTTGAATGGTAGTGATATAGGGTAAATGCATACAACGGGATGTATGCATATACCGGATCCTTCCTCGGTCGCACCCAAGCACAGTTCTGCTAGGCGGCGGATGAACGTGAACGTCGTCAACATTGTGCAAGCGAAATGATGACCAAAAAACCGTCTCCAAATCGCATTGGTTCTCTTTAATGTGTCGCCGATGATATCATCTGACATGGAATCATGGCGCTTCTCAATTTCACTCTCAGCGAAGAGGGCGTCTCCGCATTTCGCGACGCCCTCATCTGCCTGAACAAGTTCAGTGACGACGTCTCCCTCGAGGCACGAAAGGACTCCGTGGGTGCTGAGCCATACCCAGATCCCTGCCTACCTAGCTGACAGCTACCCAGTTTGTTCTTACCACTCTCAACACGTCCAAGTCTGCCTATGCCAGCGTTAGGTTCGCTACAAACAAGTTCTTCTCCCGCTATCAGTTTCAAGGCAGTGGCCAGTTTCGTGATCGTTTCTACTGTACCCTATACATCCGAGTATGTCGGAAATGCCAAGTGAAGTGTTTGATGCCATATCTAACATGTTTACAGGCCCTCATATCTTTGTTCCGAAGCCGCACGGCGGCAGATAACCAGAGAGATGTCGAGAAGCAGACCCTCATCGAGCGGTGCGACGTTGCCATCGAGGATGGCGAAGGAATCCAGAGTCGGTTCATCGCTCGAATAATCTTCCGCAATGGATTGACCTCTACGCACCGCCTGCCTTTCGAGGTTGCGGTTCCAGTTCACGCCAAGTTCAACCGGCAAGATTCTCCACATCATTGGACGATTTCATCACGGACATTGCGACAGCTGATGGACCATTTCGGCCCTGGCATCGAGTTTCTCGACATTAACACCGATGGCGATCATGTGAATTTTACTTGTTTCAGTGAGAAGACTGTCAGTGAGGATGGTGCGTCTTCCCCACTGGATGAATTATCTAGTTGATACCCGCAAACTGACACACCTAAGCTGTCCTGAAGAAACCCCTTCAAACATCCATCGCCGTGGAGGCTGATGAGTTTGATGATATCGATGTGGAGGATAAGCTTCATATCGTGATCTCTGTCAAAGATTTCCGGGCAATCATCCAGCATGCGGGCATTACTGGCAACGATATCTCGGCCCGGTATTCGGTTCCCACTCGTCCTATTCAGCTTGCTTACACGGGTGATGCCATCTCGTGCGAGTTCTTGATCATGACCGTCGGAGAGAGGGGCAGCAACCCAGGCCAAAAGACAAAGAAGGGCCGCAAGAATGCTGCACAGACTAACGGCCCGCGCCTCGAAGCTACGTCTCGTAGAACGAGCGTGGCTCCCTCCGAAGCACCACAGGCGCAGCCTCAACCGCCTCTCCCTTCACGGCCACAGCAGAACCCGACTCCGCAACTCAGCGCTGCCAGAGCCAGCGCGTCACGCATAGGAGCGTTTGACTTGCGCCCGTCGCAGAGGCCGCCGCCTCCCCCGACTATGAGGTCGGAGAGTTTATTCGTAGAGGACGAGGGCTGGGAACCTGTGAGGGACGAGGACGAAGATGCCGAGGAGGATGCGAGACTAGAGTGGGATCATAGTGTGGACCCGGTGAGTCCCTGCGATTCTCTTCTGCACTTTGCTGAGAAGCTAACTCTTCTAGAACCCTTCTGCTATGCATATGAGCCGAGTGGAGGACCGACAGACAGCAGAACCCGAGGGCGAGCGTCCAGAGCCAACGGAGGACCAGTCTCAGTTCTTGGAGCCTACACAGAGGTTGTCGGATGTTAAGAACCTGGCCCTCTTCCCAGACTAAGGACCCACGGCCTAGCTGTGGATGCGATGCAAATTTTGCCGGCATTGTGGATGGCCATCTCACTCATCAGCTGTAATGAATACCCAACTGGTAGCGCACCCTGCACCGACTGCGCCTATCTTAGATCCAGGGGGAATGAATTTTGACGACGCAATGACGTTCCATCTGCCTTTCACATCATTGTTCTCAACCTGAGGTCCACAGTTCCCGTGTTCGCCCCAACCCCATGAAAAGACATCACCCTCAGCTGAAAGGGCAACGACATGTTCACTACCAATGGCAATCTTGCTGAGCTTCGGGAGCTTCGGTGGAGGGAGCTGTCCATGGTCGTCCCGGCCCCAACTCTGTAGCTCGTCGTCCTCGGTCAAAATGTAGACATTTCCCCAGCTGGCCCCGACGTCCTTCCATTTGGGAGCGGGTTGAGGCGCGCCGGACTGGATCCCCCACTTGTCTGAACCGAGCACTTGAATGTTTCCACTCTCAGCGTCGCCGAACAAGCAAGAAAACGTGCGGCCACACACGGCCCTGGCGACTTTGAACGGAACGCCTTCGATCTTGCGAGGGGCGTGAATGACCTGCGCAGGATCTCCAGCCTGGCCCTTTGACCCGTTGCCCCATCCATAGACATCGCCGTTGCTCAGAACCGCGACGACGTGGCTCATGCAGGCGGCAAGGTCCACAACTTCTGTCCCGGGAGGTGGGAAGTCTTTGATCTCGTTAGCGTGCGGTGTCCGCACAATGAGCTCGCCCAGGCCCAATTCTCCCTTGCCACCCATTCCAAAGCTGAAGACCTTGGTCTTTTTGCCTTCTGCGTCCTTGGCGGCGACCACGGAAGCTTCCCAGGTCGCAGCGATCAGGGCAATCTCCCCAACCTCACTCTCTCCGCCCCTGGTGAGTTTGATCTCGCGGACTGCAGGCACATCGGGACCAGACGTCAAACCGCAAGCCCCGGGCGTCGAGTCTCCACTCCAATATAGCTTCCCAGTCTCGGTAAGAAGCAGCGTGTGGTTTCCGCCGGCGACAATTTTGACAATGGGCGAGCTTGGTGCATCGGGTTCGAAGAGCACCTGTTTGGGAACCGAGACGTCTTCCTTGTGGCCAATACCAAGCTGCCCGGAGCCATTTGAGCCAAGCGCGAATACTACCTCCATAATCCCGACCGTCAGAACCGAGATTGGAGGGTTTGGTTGGACCAAAGACGTAATCAAGCCTGCTCAACCCGGGTTCTTGATGCCTGAGAGCTTTTCCCCCTGGATGCATAGGCGCATCGTTATATCGCGGCACCCAGGTTGGGGACGAGCTTACGTAAGTTTTTAGCGCCAGCGACTATGAAAGCGACTTCTGACTTTTTTTTCTTTCATCTTTCATGACTCCCACTCACACATCAACCACTCTCTCTGGCTTCGCCGCAGCCCACGCAGACTTGGTAGAGAGGTGGCCTGCGGCTACAGGATGTGATCTGTGCTCTGTGCTTGTTTTCCCATCGAGCAGCAGATACAATGGCTTCACCCGCTTGCGCCGTCCCGGCCGGGATGGAAAACTTCGTCGTCGGTCTGATTGGAATGGGCGACATGGGCAAGATGTACGCCGAGAGGCTGTCTGCCGCTGGCTGGAGGTAAGTCGGGTCGCAAACTTTGCATCCCCTTCTCCAGCCCTTTGTTCTTGTGGTAAGTCACAATGTTCGCGTCGCGAAATCTCTTCTTCCCTCCCCCTCTTATGATGACAAGAGCGCATTTGGCTCGAGTACTGTGCAGGGGCATCTGGTGGCCGTTCCGGTCCTCAGAACCGTCCCTGTGCTCTCGATGATGTTAACCCTTGCTACCTTAACTATACTTTGTCTGAAGATCATCCTCACTACTCTTTTTTCACCCTCACCCTCACTCGTACCAAGACGCTAACTTGGACCAAAGATTAGGAACACCTTTCTCTCACTCTCGTGATGCCCGACCGCGTGCCGAGTGGCTAACGGCGGACCTAGAATTCTGGCCTGCGACAGGGAAGAGAACCAGGAACAGCTACAGAAAGAATACGCTGGAAATGTACGGCTCTTGCTACCTGTCTGGTGTACCTGCTCCCGCCTGGCCAGAACGCTGAAGCTTTCGAATAGAAAAATATAGAAATTTGCCTCAATGGTCATTATGTCTCCCGCGCAAGCGACTACATCATTTATAGCGTCGAGGCCGGCGTCATTGATCGTGTGATTTCCCAGTATGGACCATGTATGCGCCCTCTCCCACCCACGTAAACCCCATGAAGCCTAGAACACATCATGTCTAACCACGTCTTCTCTCCCCCTGTGCAGCCACCAAGCTCGGCGCCATCGTGGGAGGCCAAACATCATGCAAATCTCCCGAAATCAAAGCCTTCGAGGCCCACCTCCCTGCCGATGTCTCCATCGTCTCGTGCCACTCGCTGCACGGCCCCAACGTCGATCCCTTCAACCAACCGCTGGTCCTCATTCAGCACCGCGCCCCAGATGAGGCGCTCCACAAGGTCGAGGCCGTCCTGTGCTGTCTCCGCTCCAAGTTCGTGTACCTGACGGCGCTGGAGCATGACCGCATCACGGCCGACACCCAGGCCGTCACGCACGCCGCCTTCCTGTCGATGGGCAAGGCGTGGCACGCGAACAAGCAGTTCCCCTGGGAGCTGAGCCGCTATGTCGGCGGCATCGAGAACGTCAAGGTCAATCTGATGCTGCGCATCTACAGCCAGAAGTGGCACGTCTACGCCGGACTCGCCATTCTCAACCCGGAGGCCCGCGAGCAGATTTCCCAGTACGCCAAGAGCGTCACCGTGCTGTACAAGTTGATGCTGGAGGGCAACCTCGAGGGCCTGCGTGAGCGACTCTACAGTGCCCGTGACAAGGTCTTTGGCCCTTCTAACACCTGGGACACGCGCCCGCTCCTCGAGCCCTCCATCCTCTCATCTTTCTCCCTAGGCACCCCCACTGACGAGCCACGTCCTAACAACCATCTGTCGCTGCTCGCCATGGTCGACTGCTGGGCGGCCCTAAACATCGTCCCGTATGACCACATGCTCTGCAGTACGCCGCTGTTCCGCCTCCGTCTCGGTGTCACCGAGTACCTGTTCCGCAACGAGGACGTGCTCGATGAAGCGATCCGCACCGCTGTCGAGGACAAGACGTACCGGAGCGATGACCTCGAGTTCACCTTCGCTGCGCGCGGGTGGGAGGAGTGTGTGAGCCTGGGACACTTTGAGACGTGGGAGAAGCGCTTCGTGAGCACGCAGCAGTTCTTCGAACCGCGGTTCGAGGAAGCCAAGGTCGTGGGCAACCAGATGATCAAGAAGGTGCTGGAAAGCTTGAAGGATGAGCCCTAGCTTAGTAAATATTTACAATAAGCAAACAGTAAACCCAAGTCAACGAACTACTCAACTACTCTCCTTGCAAGTGCCATCTTCTCGACCATCTACTAAGCCAAGACGGCATATTTCCTGTCCCTACTCCAATCGTGGCTCAGTATGCTGGGCCTCCGTCCTAGGCCCACTGATTTTGATGAGGTAGTCGGTGCTTTCATCTACCTCGGGTGTAGAGACGCAGCTAACGTGCTCCATGACCACGCAGTCGATCTTGTATTCGTTGATGGGGTGGCGTGGTCGCACAAAATCTCCTTGAGATGTAAGCTGTATAGGATCTTTTCTAGGTTCTTCTGGCTCCTTCTCGGGATCCTTTTCAGGCTGCTCAAACGCTCCTAAGTTGTCGCATCCGGGCGAGTGCGTCAGCTGACCAGGAATTGAGGGCCTCAGGGATAGAATCGCCTCCTGGTCAAGCTCAGATTCTCCGCGGTGATTCTGCCAGAGCCCGCAACTTCGCGCTATCTGGTCTTCTAGCATTTCTATCATGCTGAGCTCCGACGCAAAGGAGATCTCGCTGAAGCTGTTCTCGGATCGAGACTAAATCCTGTCAGCATGTCAACGACCTTTTCAATCGTCTGCCTTGGCACTTACTGGAGGGGGAGGACGTAAACCGATTGTCTTGAGAATCGTTGCATCCACGACGGGTCGCTCGCCCAATACGTGAAAGCCGAACCCCGTGGCTGCGGTTGGTGATAATTCCCCGTGTACCGCCGCGGTCAGGCTTAAAAAGGACCGGTCCGCATATCCAGGCCGACAAAAGGGGCACACTTTGAACTGGCACTCCTCATCGTCGGCACAGATCCATCTACTGCTGTAGTTGAAGTCCTGGGCGCGATCGTCGATACCGTTTGTTTGACGAAAGGGTCCGAGGAGGACGGCGCTATTCTTCCGGAGCCGCTCTCTCTGGATTTCCCCGTGTAACTGGTCGTCGATATTAGTACAGCTGCTTGCTCTACCCATTAAGTCTGGCTTACATTTTCCCTTTGTCGTAATATAGTAGCCACTTGCTCTGGTCGGTACGCGGCTAGCTGCTCGGGGTTGATCTCGTCGAGGAAGCTCAGCTTGTCCTCTCGCGCCGCAGGGCTACCCTTTCGTATCCCCAATTCCTCGGTCAAAATCTGCCCTAGTTCATCAAATGCAGTCTCTCCCTATGTCAGCACATTCCCAAGCCCTCGTGGACAGCACCGTACTCACGGTGTAGCCTCTCGACGCTGCCTGCTCGATCAACTCATCCCGGTCCTGGGTGCACCGATACACCCACCCAAACGAGCCCGGTCGATGGCACGACTCGCAGATGAAATCGACCCCATAGAGGCGGGTCATTGTGAGGTGGGTGCACTGCGGTTGGAACCCGAGCCGGGTCTGCCGGCCAGTAACCCGTCGGTACGCCATGGTGTTGAAAGCTGAGAAGTTGGCTGCGTCAGTGGACCGGAATCTGTTCGTGTTCTAGAGCCTATTGGCATGGAATTGCGAAGGATGATACAGGCCTCGTGCTAAAGGCCTAAGCTGAAAATGAAGGATGATCCAGGTGTAAGTGATGCTGTTGCGAAGCTACTTGTGAATCGATACAGCCAAGAGAGTGACGGGCGTTGCACGGTCTGCAAACACGGAGAAAACACACCGTGGTTGAGTGCACAAACGACAAACATGACAGTGAAGAACTTCAGCTTGCAGCCCAGAGACAAACGGCTGGCGATGAGTGCCGTCTGCGAGGAAGTGCGAGGCAGCTGGCAGGGCCGCCACACTAGGTAACTACGGCAGTTGCCCCCGTGGCTCACCAATTTGGCTCCTGCCTAGCATTGCCTGCCCGTAATAACTGCATGAGTTTCTACCTCTATTCCAATGCCTTGATGCTTCGGGGATCTGCCTAACCCCGAAATGTGCATCGAGTTACCGTTACATTAACCGTAGAGCTTGCCAGCGAAGTATGCAGTCCAAGCCAAAAACGACCGTCAAACACGTCACAGTGATTTTCCCCCACCATCCCAGACACAGAGTGCTGACCACCATCCCACCTCCAAGGAAATGCACGTTTTGGGCTTGGGAAAAAAGAAACTGAGCCCTTGGCTGTTCATGACCGTAATAACTAAAAGAAGGTTAACCGGAACATTTACAGGTCTCGTTTGGCGAGCTGGGGGTGGCGTGACAATGTCATGGGAGACCGAAAAGTTGCCCAAACGACCATAAAATGTTGAGTGGGACCAATTCAGACATGAGAAAAGCGGCAACGTTTAGGTATTGCATATGGACACGTATTCAGAGAGGCAGTTCACAATGGAAGCGTCGACGTTGGCATGAACCTTGGGTGGGGACCCTAATTTGGGGTTTTCAACTATTTCCTTGCCTCGTCCGTAAACACCAGGTCATCATCAAACCTCCTCAGCGCCCTCACTGGTTCATGTGGCTGCACCGTGATGTCTTATTGGCAATTGAAGCCCAGTCATGTGTCGTTCAACGGTGCGTTATATTCTCTAGCACGAGTGTACATGCCAGAACCGCAAGCAACGCAAACCCTTTCCGATGCAACCGTAAAGCAGCCCAAAACCGACCCAAACCCTTTTACACCTCGGTCGTGACCTTCGCCTTGGGGTTCGTGACCTTGACACCTAATTGCTTCGCGCGGGCAATGATGTCAATTCGCTTTCTCGAGGAGACGTTGTGGGCAATCCTGTGCGCTGTTAGCAAAGCGGGTTCGGGACACGAGAGTATCGAATTTCGGGACAAAACGTACTCGGCGGCGAAGGTGCGGTTGTGCATGAGGAGAAGCTCGACGTCCTTGAGGTTGCTGACAAGGAAAGCCTTGTGGCCGGAGGGGGTCAGGAACTTGGTCTTCTTGTTGGAGCCATAGCCGATCTGAAGTTGAAATCGTTAGCCACCTGTCCGGCATCGAAACATGCAGACCACCAGAGAATATTCGAGCTCTCTGGCAGTCGCAGCAGAGTCTGCACATACCTTGGGCATGGAAATGGCACCGCGGAATCGTCGTCGGACTCGGGAATCGATACCCTTGGGCTTGCGCCAGCTAGGGTCCACGCACTTGAACCGATCACTCTGGTGACGGGCGAAGCGCTTCGTGCCTGCACACACACCAGTCAACATCCATGTTCCCAAGAGAATTCCATTGCCGGCCTCCAATGTCGTCGTCGAGCATCGTCGCGGCCGGTCGGGGCGGCGGGGGGGAATTGTGCGGTGCTGCGCGGGCAAGTGTACGTACGCTTCTTCACGATGGGGACGTGCTGCTTGGCGGAAACCATCTGGACGAGAGGGTCAGTATTTCTGATCTTGTGATGATCCTGTCGTCTCGAGCGAGGTGGTTCGTACCTTGACTGCGGGTTAGTCGACGGGCTGGTTGGCTGTGATAGTATCCGGCGTGAGGTTCTGGCGAGGCGAAATTTTGGCAATGTCAAATTCGGCCGCTAAGTCCAAGGGCTTAGGGTTTCCATCACGTGCACCACATTTTTTTCTGGCGCCCCGTGGTGCGGCGCCCCAGGGCCCCACCTAAAGTGGCCTAGCGGCTTCCGAGGGCACAAACCCTTTCTCTTGCAAAAATCGACAGGCGAGCTAGACCATCTCAACACGTCCCGCAGCTCGTACCTTCACAGCACCTCCGGTAACCAGACAATCAGCAATCATGTCGACGACCCAGAGCGTGCAATGCTTCGGCAAGAAGAAGACGGCCACCGCCGTCGCCCACTGCAAGGTTCGTAGGGAACTGCTGTCTCGAGTTTGGAGAGATGGAATCACGAAATGCTAACGATGACTTCGTAAAATAGGCCGGTAAGGGTCTTGTCAAGGTCAACGGCCGCCCTCTCAACCTCGTCCAGCCCGAGATCTTGCGCTTCAAGGTACGATAATTGAGCCCTCTGCGAGCCGTGAACACGGTCCCACCATCGAATTCAAAATTACTTGGGAACGAAAATCCACGGCCGCATTGACACATGACGATATGGAACGAAATGCTGAGATTTTTCACTTCACAGGTCTACGAGCCCCTCCTGGTTGTCGGCCTCGACAAGTTCGCCAACGTCGACATCCGCGTCCGCGTCACCGGTGGTGGTCACACCTCGCAGATCTACGCCATCCGTCAAGCCATTGCCAAGTCCCTCATCGCCTACTACCAGAAGTTCGTCGACGAGCACTCCAAGAACCTCCTCAAGCAGGCTCTCGTCCAGTTCGACCGCACCCTCCTCGTCGCCGATAACCGTCGGTGCGAGCCCAAGAAGTTCGGTGGTCCCGGTGCCCGTGCCCGCTTCCAGAAGTCTTACCGATAAACGGTCGGTTTGGAGAGTACGGAGCAGCTCGCCACGTCCATGCGGACGCCGTGTGGGCGTGGCGGTTGGGTGTTGTGGGCAGTGCGGAAAAGGGATCGGAGTCACATATTCCCTGGTCTGGGAATGGGTTTCCCATTGGCATTTGCATGGCCTTGCTTTTGGCGGATTGTAAAGGATCTGGCAGGCAAATGAAATCTTCAAAGTTATCGACGGGGTTCATCCTGCATGAGACTGTGATGTGCTCAATGAAATGGCTCAACTTGCCCTGGACTCTGCACCTTAATGACCGAAGTGCTTTGTGAGAGGTCGCATGATGTACTCTGTTGGCCCTCATGACGTTTACAGTAAATATATGCGTCCAGCATTCGCGCTGAGTCTGTAAACCTACTTTGCTGCCAAACCTGTTATCACGCCATGTACACCGCCTAGGGAAAGACTGGATATAGCATTGTGCTGCCCTCATCTCATCTCGGAAGACTGTTAAGGCTCGTAAATCCCAATACTCCTATACCCGGCGTGGCATCGAGGGGCCTCTGTTCAACTTGAGGGAGGCATCCCCTAAGAGCAGACCAAAGATAAAAGAGCGGTTGTATTCAGAAAAGCACGCGGATGCTGCCCCGCCCATACCGGGAATACTCCAAACTCCTCCTGTGTCATGTGTCTCTTTTTCCAATGCCTTGTGATAACCATATCCACCTCCTTTACACACTCATCCTGTCAGTCTCTCTCGATAGCCTGAACGTCATCATGTCTCTCGTCGTGTCCGTACCAACTTCCGTCGCCCCTGACGAATCCAATAACGGCGCGAACGCATTCGCTGCCATTGCCGCCATCGCTCGGCAGCCACTCCCCCAGCACGCCGTCCCCAATGCCTTGGGGCCTGGAACGTCTTCATAGCTCGCCGTTCCTAATCGTTCCACGAGACCAAGTCGCGCTGACGACCAGACTCGTCCAGCTGAACCACCTCGGGAGCCCACTCCCCACGCTCATCCTCAGCTTCGAAGTCAGTAACCTCGAGCTCCACCTGTTCGCCATCCTCCATCATGACATTTCCTCGCCGTAGGTAATCGCCACGGAGATCCCAGTCTAACTCTGAGACAACAGTTGCTTCGAGTCCAGCAAAGGCGGTGCCCACGGAAAGCTGGTCCGGGGAGATATGGGTTCCGAGGCCAAGCAGGAGCTCGTCGAGGCGACGCTTGTATACAGTAAGGGCAAGACGGAGGTCCCGGGTCTGGGAGTCCGCATAGTCTAAGACAGAACCATCCAGCCAGGAAGTGCTATAGGAGAGCTGGGCGGCAAGTGAGCGTATGAAGGCGGCAGCGAGCACAGGACGGCGAGCAGGGAGAAGGTAAGCTCGAAGGATGAGCTTGAGGAGCATGTGCCACCACTGTTGGATGCATGAGTCGTTGCCCAGGTGCATGCCGACCACGAAGGCGAACTGGAAGTCGCCAACAATGTCCTCGGGGGCCAGGCCGCCGTTCGTGTTATCAATAAGGGAGGTGATATAATGCGTCGCATCAGTCGCGTCGAGCGTCCGGTCAGCGCCAGAATTGCCTATTGAGTATGTTTTGGACTGCTGGTTGAATGTAAAGTTGAGTTCGCGGGTCTTGAGCAGTGTCTTCGAGATGGACCTGTCCAGTTCCATCTCTCCAGCCATGAGGATCGACCCATTCACGCGGTCTCCGGTATGGACCATCCAGTTGTCATGAAGCTGTCCTGTAATGCGGCTTAGGACGCCTTCAGAGATGCTTCCCGTCAGCTGCTGCCAGATCTTGAAGTTCCTTTCAGAGGCAGATGGCAACAGGTTGCCGTGAGCGACATTGACGGCTGAAGGGTCGGAGTATGGAACGAGTTTGGAGTGGAAGGTGTCGAGATTGTCAGCCTGTATGCGGGCTTCGGCGCGAGCAGACTCGCTGAGGACTTCATTGAACTTGTCCCACTGTATAACATGAACAGTGTCAACTCCGGTAGCAACGATCCAGAAACCGCAGCGAGCAGAAAGGCCGGCTGGGTGGGAAACCCAAAAGAAATGAGGGCCAGGAGGGATATCTCTGACGCCGCCAAAGTGCTTGGCTGTAAATGATAGAGAGTCGTATCCAACGGTGAGGACTTCTGGGAGGTCAAGGATGAGAACTACATCGCCGCCTCCCATGCTATGCCTTAGAGAATCTCGAGGCGAGGCGCTGAGCGACTTTCCAAAGCTAGCCTGTGATGTTCTATGTTGTTGTTGTTGGACGCCTTGTCTAACAGGGGGATCCAAGGAAGGCGGGCCATCGTCGTCATCCTCCTCTATCATAGGGTCGGCAGGCTCATGCACACGCAGCGTTCCAAGAGGATGCGCTCCAATAACAGAGACTGACTTGACAGATGCGCCTCCAGCGGATGCACTGGAGTTTGACTTGGCGAGCTGGGGGATGCGATACGGCAACGGGGCGTTGGGATCCATGCCGGCTGGAGTTGGTGAGCCTGCGGTGAGGGCGATTATGTGGGTACCGCGGGTTAGCTGTTGAGGCCAGTATGTATGAGAGTCGCGTCGTAGATCTGGATGAGTGATGGTTGAAGTCGTTGTTATGAGGTAGGTTGATCTGCTGGATGCGATGTGGTTTGGTTAAGCCAGGCAAGAGTTTACGGTGTGGCGGGGTAGTTTGAAGAAAAAAAATGAAAGGTAGTGGAATCCTTGCGCAATGCCACCCAAGGCAGCAGCTGGGCAGATGAGGCAGCGCGGAATGGAATGGTTGAAGATATCTCAAGCCTGGAAACTTGCGAGGCGACAGAAATTAGTTGGTCGTAGGTGGTAGAAGAACGCGGTGGGCAGGTGGGTGGTTACGACGTGACGTTGAAGCAGGTTCTCGTCATCAGCCACATTCAAGGCAGGAAGGAGGTTCGACGGGTGCACGTCATCCCCTCATTCTGTCATACTAGACGCAGCAAAGAGACGGCGAGGTTAAAAAGATAAGAGAAATTAAACACGCAGAAGACATGAAGAAGACAAGGCGCAAGCCAAATCAAATTTCGCACCACCCGCAGCCCGCAACTCTCCCCTCATCGTCGTCTGTCGGCTCCAACTCTGCCATCCTCCCGCAGCAGCCAGGAACCAGTCCCAGGCGCTGCAATCCCCCGCGGCCGCCACAGCTGCGACCACTTCCGCGCCGGGGACGAATAAATCGTGTCGCAGACGATGCAAGACAAAAGTCATTCCCAGAGTTTCGTACCTGCCGATCTCGAAATCAAAATCAGCTGGCGACATGCCAAATCATACACCCCTCCAGCCCTGCAAGCCTCTGCCGCGGTCCTTATTTGTACGACACCCAGCTGCTCGTCTCCTCCGGCCCTCTCCTCCGGATTTCTCGGCCGATTGACCTCGTCCGTCGTCCGTTCCCCAAAATCTATTCAACGGCTTATTGCATAGACCCAGATGTCTTGCGCAATGAGACGAAGGAGCCGAAAGACAATGCAGGCTTCCCAATCTATTTTCCGCAGTGAGGCCCATCATGTCATTCCGGCTGTGAAGCCTTTTATCTTCCAACGACCGACCCAGCATCAGCAATCAGCACACATCCCACACCATCTCAATACACAAATAGATACTACCCCAACTCCGCGAAAATCGACAACTCCCCAATCCGTCTTTGCGAACCGGGTGCGCAACTCTTCCCCACGACCTACTAAACCGCTACGTAACCTGTCGGATCCTGTCCAAACCAACACACCAAAAAACCGGGACGATGTAACGGGTGCTCCATATCAACAGCGTCAGGCCACGCGCGCGCAAACCACGCCCACACCCCCAACATCGGGACTAGACGAAACAAGGACAGAATGAAAAAAAAAAAGCAGTCAGGTCTGGGTACTTACTCTATTCACTGGGGCCCGCAGGGCTGGATCTATTATACTGTACGGGGCCCTCCCCCTCCCCCCCAAGATGCCGCTGTCCGCCGCGTCAACGGCAGCTACCGAACGACCCGGTCCCTGTCCCATCGGGCATTTTTTGGGGGTCCTTTTGCTGGCCTTGCACGTTGCACAGCGCATGCACACGCCGCGTTAAACCCTGGCCGCTGGTGCTGGTGCTGGTGTTGGTGCTGGTGCTGGTTTGGAGGGGCTTGGTACTCGCTTGGTTTGGTTTGGTTTGGTTCTGGCGCCGTCGGGTTTCGCGTGTCGACCGGGGGTGCTTGGCTTTCGCTGTTGTTGCCTCCCCTACTAGTTTGGTGGTTTTAGGGGGTTTAGTTTACGTACAGCCCTCTATAGTCCCTCCCTTGTTTAGGTTGTTGGTTAGTTGCTCGGCGGCGCAAGTGCGTGCATACTACCGGCAACTATGTGTGCAGCACCACGTATGTTTTCCGCAACTACGGCCCAGGTGTAGGTGTAAATAAAATGTAACGAAACGCCCTGGCCGGTTTGCTGGTCGTTCCCCGGTTCTCTTAACCCGCTCAACCCCACGCACGCCTCGCACGATATGCCTGCATCTATGCGTGTTGCACGCCCTGTGTTCGCATCAACGAAACCCACACATCCCCACCCTCGCTGGGAAATGGGTGTGCTGCGATGTGACGAGATGTAGTCTAAGGCAGGTCGCACAGGAAATCATCCAGAACCAAGCTAGCCGCTCTGTGCTACACGTACTCCGTGGCTTGGGTGTTATCTTGTCAACCGTAGAGTCTCACCACCCACACCGAAACCGACGCAGCGGCTCAGCCTTGGGCGTGCCGAGACTAAGTGCGGTACAGTGCAGCGCCGCCTGGCGTCATCCATCTCGGTGTCAGGCTGTCTTGCAACAGTGAATCGCGGCAAGGCGACGGAATCGGGAGCGAAAACGGCGGGCCGTAAACTATTGCTTCTTTGGGCAACTCGCCACTCGCTCGTCTAGTTAGTTTCTTTCCCCTGTAAAACTACCTACCTCATCATGATGCGCGCCACAGCGATAGCCCATCAACCCATGTGTAGTGTCGAATGTATCTGTATCTGCGCCGCACTGCAAACGTGCATGTGTCTCTTAGCGGTTAAATTCTCCTAGCGCTGCGCGGCTCCGCCTCACGGCCGGGCACCCCCCTTGTCCATTCGCAACGGCGTCACACACACTTGTTTTCCCTCCCGTTTCTACCAAAGTACTGCCCCCCGTTTGCCTAGCCCTACGCAGTACACGCCCCCTCCAGGTTGGCCCCCGTACAGAGAGCGACAGAGGCATTAGCTCGCCTGCAAGGCCGGTTCTTGGGGGCGCTTTGGACGTACTACTTGCGCTGTATGCTGTATGTAATATGTGTGCGCCATCGCCCCGTCGTCCGTCTCCACGTGGGACCGCCCGCTGCCACGTCTGCCCCAGGCTTCACTTGTCAGTCGCACACACACCCCGATCGTCTCCCTGCCCCTGTCTCTACTGTGTACTAATGCCAGATGCCAAAGCATCCCTTGATGCATTCGTTTGCATGTTGCTTGTCCGAGTGCTGGCCCTGGTGCGGCACAGGCCCTTCCCTAAACCGGCATTCCCCAGTCCTCGATTCCCGAATCCGGATATATGCCCATCTTCTATGTCTATATCTGATCCCACTAAACCTCGGTTCACCGTCCGCCAACTCTCAGCCTCCCGATATATCCGCAATCCATTTCTCAATATCCATCCGGACGTGTCTATCTGTCTCAGTTTCTGGGTCGAACCATGTGTGACTTGCAACCCACCCCCTGCCCGCCATTCCCACGCTTTTCACCCCAACACCGAAAACCCGTCAGACACATTTCCTATTCGTACATGGCCGAATCATAACCGCCCTAGCGTGGTCGCACAACAGCAACCTCTTCCTTCTCTGTCTAAGGCTCAGCGCCACCTGATCCTCAGATCAAGGTCGCCATGTCTTAAACCCGCATCATGGATACAGATACATCCGGGGTCGTAGTTTAGAGCCGTCTAGTCCCCATACAGTATGTAGTACAGAGAGATCCATGTATCATGTCATGTCATGCCATGTCATGCCAAGCCATGTGTTGTATTAGCTATGATGGGTCATGTCTGTTTCCTGCACGTCAAAAAGCGTCTGCATGCCTTTGCCATTTCTAGCCTACCTTCTTCGTCTAACGACCATCATTATTGTTGCTTGGTGGTGCTCCCTCATGAGACGTACCGACCCAAACGTAGCCTTGTATTCCATTGTGCCAGTTGATGCCCAACACTCTCCCGTCTTGTTATTATCACCAACTCCCTGTTCCTCCTGCCGCAAGACTCTGTCGCCCTTCATCATTTCACTCTAGTTCTGCCATTCGCAGAATAACGATCCCAATTATTCAGCTTCAAAGTATGTGTCATAGTCACTGGGTTGAGCGTCTCAAAATCTGGCCGAAACAATTCTCTTTGTCATTGTCCTTCTTGTATCGACTTCTCTAAGTACGGACGGACACGCACGTCAACGTCATGCACAATCTTCTCTCCCCAAATCATCAAAATGCATGAGCAGATCTCTATCCACCTCCCACGCCTTCGACTGGTCTCATCATACACAGTCGCCAACCATTGAAGACTGACACATCCTCCCTGCCCTTCGCTCCTCATATCCATTTCCCTTCCGCCGGTATAAACTCAGATACGAACGTGACCAAAATCAAAACAAAAAAAATAATAAAAAAGTAAAGTCGTCAAACCACTTCCATCAGGACATCATTTCTGAGTACCGATGCTGTTTATGGGTGCTGCCTGATAGAAACACGCTTTCGCAGTTCATCAAAGCGGCCGCCCAAAATGCAGCTCTGGAAGTCTCGCCAGCGCTATACCGCCCTAGACCGGCCACCTATGCTCATCGCGTTAAATGAAGATACCCCCACAGCCCCTCATGAATGCATGTATGCGGAAACTCCGAGAAAAAAACTGAAATGACAGAACCACAAAAGAGACGTTCAGGCGGGTCGTGGTCCAACTAGAAAATAAAAAGGTGAAAGAAGAAACCCAGACTCGCGTGCCTTCACGTCAATGACTAGTGCCAGGACGAGTAATTCTCATGGCCGATCAAGACAAGCGTTGAAGTGGAGGAATGGTATCCACACCACCTGAGGCTGTCGTTGCAGATGCCCCTTATCGAGAAAATGCGTAATCGAGCCATGAGAATGTGGACGGACGGCATGTGAGTGCAGTGGGAGTCCGATATAGTACAGCGGGTTTTCCTTTTCCATTCTGACTTTTGGTGACTTTCCTACTCTAGGGTCCGTAAATCCATGTTTCCCCGCCGGAATTAGTGGCTAGGAGGCTGGGCGCCATTCGCTGCAACCAGTCAGTCAATTTACTCCGTTCTCATTCTGATCACCTCCATGAGTTCAACTTACATTGGCTGTAGATTCCCTGGCTGGGTTGAGCATAAGGCGAGTGGGGCTGGTAATTGGGGTACATATGGTTGTTGTAGTCTGGCAAAGACTGCTGGGGAACTCCCGCCGAAGGAGGGGGAGGGTACTGTGCGGGTTGGTAACCGATAGGAGGCAGCTGAACTGGTCGCGATCCGGGATAGCTAGAGGCGGGAGCTCCATCGGGGCCGGCCTGAGGGTCGCCGCCGTTCTGGGCAGCGGCCGCCTGAGCAGCCTGGCGTTGGCGCTCTTCCTCAGCCTTGCGCTGGGCTTCCTCCTCCTTCTTTCGCTGTTTCCACTCCTTGCGGATCTCCTTAAACTCTGTGGGGAAATCATATGTCAGTCAACGAGGAAATACTAATTCGGCCCATTAGTAACTTACCCTCAGGGGTTCGCTTCTGTCCATGAGACTGCATGGTGACATGGGCGTTGAGGTGGTTAAGAGTGCCATAGGCCTTCTCGCAACCATTCCATCCACACTTGTACATTCGCTCAATTTCCTCATATCGTCGTCGAGGTCGCTTGTGCTGTTGTGCGCCAGGAATTGGGACAAATGAGTACACCTAAAGAAAAACTAGGTTAGCTTGCCTGATCGACAAAATTGATTGACCATCAGACGCGACTAGAGTTGTTGTGATCCCCAGCACTCAATCTCTTCATGGCCATTGCCAGTGAAATCGATTGGCGTCGACAACCGGCGAGGTTCATCTCAGAGACGCGTACCAGACGGGTCGCGTCCAACTGTCTAATGCGCGATGTTCATGGCCAGTTTATTTGCCATTCTTCCACATACCTGGTTGGGTCTTTGTTGAGGAGGGGCCGAGGCAGGCGACTGGGCGTACACAGGGTGGCCGGGAGTCAACGGCGCACCTCCGTGCTGTCCGTAACCTCCCCAGTCTGGTCGCGGCTGGGCGTACATGCCACCGCTGGGATGAGAGTAGCTATGCGACATGTCTGGGTTGGGCGCGTAAGGTGAGTGCTGCCCGTAGGGATAAGTCGGACTCGGCGCGGCGATGGACGGATCTATAGGTACATCGTTGTCAGACTTGACCGGGTGGGCTTGATGGTTTCGCCCATCCTGCTGGGGCATAGACGGACTGTTCTGTTGTTGCGCCATACCGCCGCTGCTGGTGCTGCTGGCTGGATGGTATGAACGCTGGATGTGCTCTGGGAAAGATCCTGATCGCGCGGACTGAGGGTAGACGCCGTACTCGGAAGTAGGAGTGGCCGACGTTGAGTAGTTGACTTCCTGCTTGACCGGGTATTGCGCAGCAGACGCGTGATCTGCGGTCGACTCTTCAGAATTGCTGTCGCCGAAGTTGCTTGGATAGGGCGAGGGCAAACCTGACTGCGAGTACTCCGGTGCACTGCGGTCCATAGAGCTTGGGGAGCTGAGGAGCGTGTCTAGGGTCGCCTCGGAGCCAAGTCGAGCGTTGGAGGAGTGAAGAGAGGCGTGGTTATCAACAAAGTTGTGAGGTTGTTGTGTTGGCACCAGGAACATGCTACAGCTCCACGGGACGGATGATAGGGCGATGGCCGGCCAGGTTTAGCTTCCAGGCCCGCGTCAGGTTGGTGTTTGTCCGGTAACAGGGGAAAGAAAGGTGATGGCTGAGCGCTTGCAAAGAGACTCGCGGCGGCGCGGCGGTATATGTTGGCGGCGGCAGTAGTAGCGCCTTTCGTGAGGCCAAGGGTAGGTTTATGGTTAAGTGTGTGATGCGAGAGGCTAGACTCAGGTCTTGGGCGCGGATCGTGCTGGGGGGAAGGAGGGGCTAGGCAAGGATGGTCGCGCTCGTCCACGATCACAAAATGTCGAGGGGCTAAAGTCGATGGTACAGCTTGGGGAGCGCGCACTAATATAGTGCGATATTGAATCGGCCTGGTGTGTGGACTGAATCCAAGTCCAACAGAGTCTAGCGCCTGATGCCGAGATGGGTAAGGGGGTGCTAAAGTGTATCTGGCGACGAACCTGACTCTTGTCTGTTCTGAGCGACTCAAGGCAGTGCAGGGGGGGCGTGTGTGTCTGCCCGAAAGCTTCTGTCGGGACGACGAGCGCAGGTGCGGGACCGAAGAATTTTATAGGGCCCTTGACAAAATGAATGACGGAGTGATGGACAGGACGAGCTCCGCAACTTGGCGCGACCCAGCTCTCGATGCGAGGTGGGACCGAGTGGCAGGCGGCTGGTCCTTGTCTGCGTCGACTGCAGCAGCGCGAGGCCCAGAATCAGCGAACCCCGGTGAGGCAACGAACTCTGGCAAATTCCCCTTGGCTGGAAGATGGCGACTTCCAGGTGGGCGGTACCAGCTCTGTGGACGGCGAGCAGTGGGAGCAGTGGGAGTCTGCGCTTATCGAAGCGGTGGGATGGTGTTGGACGAGGCCGAGGGGGCGTGCAAGAGTCGGGGGATTTCCGTCGTAGCGCAGGCAGATAGTGGAATTAGTTCACAGGTCCAAGTTGCGCAGACTAGACTCCGCTGCGTCTGGGTCGAGGTAGATCCCTCTGCCGAGTGTACCCCACGTAAGTCGACCGGTGCCGGATCAGCCGCTGACTCGTGCCTTGAGCGAAAGCGGCGGCGGCGAGTGCGAGCAATTACGGATACGCGAGGAGAAGGCGCCCGGATGGGGGTGTGCGAAGAGACGAGAGAACGGAGAAGGCGGCGAGGAGGCAAGGTGAAAGAGTGGAGGTGGGAAAAAAACCAAGGAGGGTCGCGGGCTGGTGACTGCGCTTTTCTGGCTAGCAGAAATTGACGACGAGTGTGAAGGAGCAGACGAAAGAGAACCCTGCCCCCTGCCAACCTTCTGGTCCTCCTCAATCCTCACTCCCAGTCCCCAGTTCCCAGTTCCCAGTTCCCAGCTCCCAACTCCCCTGACTGACCAGGTTCACCACGACTAGAAACTGTGGCGGAGGGGACACTCCTGAGGGCTGGAAAGGTGGCGATTGAGAGAGTGTCAGTCCACTGGCGACAACTGATGTAACGAGTACGTGTGCGGTCCCAGCTTTTGCTTTGTTTCTTGCGTCGGGCACCCCGTCTCGGCGAGTATCGTTGATTCTCTGGATGCGATGAATGTCTCTGATGCCACAGCGGTTCAGAGTGTACAAGCAGCGGCACCACCACCACCAACCATCACGAAGCCAGCGCGCTGGATTCGAAATGGGGGGTGGCAGGGTTGACCGGGGGGTGGTCGCCAGGCCCTGTCCTTTTTCCCCCTCTCCCACTCGCCGACCTGCGAACAGCCAGCGGCGATGTCTGAGCTGAGGGCTTGGGTGGAGGCCCCAGTTAAGCGGCGAACGAGATGTGAGGGTGCAGGGCCACGGAATGCCCACGGCGGGAGCGACTCCTCCTCCACTGCACACAGTGCGTGAATGGCGTCCCCGAACTGCGACAGTCGATCTGCGGCCTTTTCCAGGACCAAGCCGAATCAGACGCAATTGTGGCTGGGCCCACCGTCGTGGAGGCGTCCAGGATGCCTGGTAGAATGCAGCTCGGGGCTTGGCTCCAAGTCCCCAAAGAGGGGTTAGAGTGCCGATTATCCTTCTTGCCAGCGTATGCCAATGGGGGGTACTCCGTCACCAGAGACTGGGCCTCGGGTGCCCGGATTGCCGCGGACGCAAAGCTCGCCGCTGGGCGAGAGAGATTGCGAGAGTCCCCTTGTGACCAATACTGACTCAGTCAGGATACCGAGACCTGGGCCAGGTATGTCGAGGCTTCGGAACGTGGCGGCGAGACTGTGAGGGTGTGTGAGAGCCCGGTGTTGTGGTTCCCGCGAGGCGCTAGTCGCAGTCGCGCGTGAACCAGGCTCGATGAGGATGAGAATATTCTCCGCGACACGACTGTGTAACGAACGTCGTTGCTGCGGAACCACGCCAGTCTGTGCCTGAACTGGCTCTTGCGATATGTCGGTGGTTTGGTATAGAGGAGCGTTGACGTGCATATCCCAGGCTTCTCGGGGTTGGCGCCGTCCACCGGGCTAGATCTCCAGTGCTGGATCTTCAACGTTAGTTTGGGGGGTCTGGTTGTGGTCCCAACTCAGCCCTAGATGTGGCCGTCGCCCAGACGAGGTCGACAGGCGCTGGAGCGCTGGATTGTGCGCGGAAACTGCACCGCCGGACCAGTATCCGTTTGGTCTCGTCTCTAATTAACGAGTTGTGCCATGTCCGTGCTGGTGGGAGTTAGCTAGAACCCAGGGCACTGTGCTTCCCTGGCCTTCAACCAGATGCCCATATGATAGGCTGCCGTCGGCGAGATATCACAATCACAGGCGTGACGGTGCACACGGGCGCCGACGAAGAGGGTGCAGAACAGAATACGACGACTGTCAGGATCAAGATTTGGGAAAAGAGGCCACATCACATATTGCACTCATACCTGGAGAGTTTTTTTTTTTCTCTTCCCGCCCTCATCCAACTCAATGCGGCAACAAGTTGAAGACCCTGCTAGCTATCCACCTTGGCTAGATGCAAGAGAAGCGCCGTTAGTAGCGCGCGTTGTGTCTTGCTGGGAAACCGTGAACTAGCTGCCGCAATGTGAAAGTCCGAATCCAGATCAACACTGGGCGTAGCCACGTCGAGTTACTCAGTTTTGTTCTTCAACGTTTATTTTTGACGCACATTTTAGGCTATGCCTTAGACATTGCGGATGGGGGCTCCTTCCCTAGTTGCCTACCTACCTGAATCAAGAACGTCTATGGAAGGGAAGGAGCCCCATTGCGGTTACACCTCGTCGCATCGCGAAGGAACCTCTCAGACCAACCAAACACACTCATCCTCCACACCATCAGGTCTCGGCCCATCCGTGATGCATCAGAGCGGACGTCTTCGTGTGTTTTTTTTCTCGGTCTAGGCTTTTCTTTTTCTCCCTTACTATTTTCTCAGCACTCACAATTGCCAGCGCATCAATCAATGGCTTGCAGGAATAGCAATTTGCTTGCTAAGCTCGCCCGCAGCGGCCTGGAAAGCTTCCTGGCCTCTATGGACGTGTTCCGTTCAGATGTTTCCAGCACCCTGGCACGCTTGACGCCGTCCTGGTCGAATGATCTGTCATGGAGTTTTAGGCGCAAACAAGATCTCAAGCGAACCGAAACTCCGGGATGAACTAAAAAGCTTCAATGCCCCAAAGAGGCACAGCCGGCCCATCTCGTTGGTGGGCTCGCTAGGTACCTCGACTACCCCGTTTTGCCTACGACCAACGCATCGACGACAAGTGCCATCTGGGGCTCGCTAGACTTCAAGGGTTGGGACCATGTCCGTGACTTGCACCGTGGCAAATCAATTTCACTTCGTTTACCGCACCACCACAGCGACGCCTCGACGCAGCGACGCATCGACACGGCGTCTGACCATATGCAGGCGTTCCCGCGGCGCACCAATCCCGGGCGGGTGCTCGCCCAACGGCACGGATTGGGCGGCAAGCCAGGGCAGCAGAATACGGTCAGGGAGGCAGGGGGTAAAAGAAAGAGGTCGTCACTCATCGACACTGTCCTTGGCTGGAGACGTGGAGGGTATCACTCGCCCACAGGTCACCAGACCAACCTCGGTTTTTTCCCTCGCCCACCGCATCACCTCAGTCCTTGACCCCAGTCAACGTGACAGACCGCAATGCAGTTCCCTGTTGCACAATCGAATGGAACCTCTCCAGACGGCTCCACGTGTTGGACTTGACTTCTGTGCTCCTCGAGTCTGCAAGCCAGTCGAGATTAGAGCTCACGTGGAGTATCCACTGATGCGCGTCCATGCCGATTCTAGCCCCTCGGGGGTCCAGTGGCTTTGGCCTTGTTCAACATTTCGCGAAAATGCGACTCTCGATGCAACATCCACTGCGGTCGGGTCATCAAAGGTCACTCACAGCCGCCGACAGGCCTGCTCCGTTGGTCGGCGTCGAGAGGCGGGCCCAGTGCGCACAACTTTGCAGCAATCATCCATGGACGTCAATCCTCCTGCAACGCTGTGCTGTGCCACACACGACGAACTTCAACCACCCACAGTCGGCCAAGATGATTTGTCGGTGCGTCTACCAGGTGGATGGCATGGGTTCTCTTTTCCTTCTTGGCTGCCATGCAGGGCACCCTCTTCGCTCTCCATGAAACCCCATTCCCGCCCGAGTAATCCGCTGCACCCGCCTATCACCCTCAAGCAATGTGCCGTCCATCAACCAATCCTTAGGACTGATGCCGAAGCAGGCCATGCTCGCACAGGAACAAAGTACCGACGCAACCTCCATCCGGGAAAGGTCTAACCCTGACGATGCCAATGAGGATACTGGGAGGGGAGCCCCCGGTGGCGCGTTTTAGCCCGCAAGCTTTGGTCAACAGCCTGTGGAGGACGGCCCAGTTCCCTGTCACGCAATGTTGTCTATCTCAACCTCAGGCTCCACGGAGCATTGACTCCATCGTTTACAGACAGGCATGCCCTGACTCGCTCATGGGTCTTCTGCAATCAAGGCCACTGCGACGAGCCAGTCTCCTTCAACGCTAAGGAGGTGGGTTTCTGCAGCCGCATAGTCGCCATCTTGAACGCGCCTAGATCTCCGTGGTCCCTTCATCCCCTCTCCTGGGACAATGCAGCAGGTGCGAGGATACTACTCGGGGATGTCATCCGGTCTGAAAGACCAGCCCAGGCGAGTTTCATTCATGTGTCTCGGACAAAATAACCTGAAAAGGGGCACCCCAATCAATGCCACAAAGGCATGAGCACTTCTAGAGCCTTCCCTCATCAATTTGACGTTGGATTTCCCATTATATCATACCTCCACTTTCATGCAGCCTTCTCCTGGCTCTCTTTACCTTGACCGCCTCGCAGCACAGTGGCCCAACCGCCGAGATGCTCTTTGCTCAAGTCTGGTAATGGGATCCGCCGACTGCGGGATATGGGCACCCCTGGACATAGAGTCATGGGGCCGCATACATAGAAGGGCACGGACTGTCGGGGAAGGGCATCATTTCACCCTGCTAATCCTGCAGGGGATGGTTGTCCAGGCCTGCTGGGGTAGGGGCAATCAAAGTCACAGTGAGAGACACACTGTGGTAGGAGCAAACCCACCGGACATTGGGGATGCCCAAAGTACCGACTCAACACGTCGCCGCGCATTTCATTTCCCTTGACCTTGATGAACGACATGCAATTGCGGGTTGAGAGCGGAACCCTTCCTTGGACAAGCGAAGAAATGCGTTGTCACAAGGCAGACAGCTACCATCCAGATAGGGAGAAGTGGTCGATGCGTGACCATTCCCTGTCTGCGGGCAACGAGAAGGGCAGGGCAGAGTTGGTCCCTTAAGCCCAATCAGTTCCCAGGCAGACCATCAATGCCTCTACCCAACATCTCGATTGCGCACATCATGGTATCTGCGGGTCAATCTACATGATATGAAATGATTCAGTACGGTTCAGCATCTGATCTCCGTTCAACCACAAGCTTGAGGTTCTCGGGGCATATTGGAAGAACCCACTGTGCTGGGTCCGCTCGGTGGTTCAGCCCCTTCGGCTAACCACAAGAGGCCAAAACGCGCCATAAAAGCCCTAAGTACGGGTGTGAGTGTAGGGGGAAGGATGGACTCCAGCCCCCAAATCCCCCACACATCCTTGAAAGAGAGAATCTGCCCGGCGAGGAGGCATCTCTACATATCAACTCAAGACAAACCTTGACTAGTGTCGTTCCGCCACTCTGGTCGGCACGACCTAGCGACGACCGCGAACCACGCGCCACCGATGAGAAACGCAAGAAAGGCGAGAGGGCCAGAAGCCGAAGGAGTATGGTCAAATATTGGCCCAGAAAAGGAAGTTCGCCAGTCCCGGCGGTGACCATGGGTCGCTCCAATCATGACCAGGCGCCCTGGTCAAGATGCTCAAAGGTCGTTGGGCAATACTCGCCCCCAAATCTGACTGAGAGGCCCACGATAGCTCCTCCATGACGCAGCCAAAGGGTCTAGAAGGGTCGGGTTCAGGAAGTCTCAAATAACCCCCTTACTTGACCAGTGGAATTGGGGTTTCCAGTCACCTTCGCCATTGATGACACAGGGCATCCCATTTCGCCGATGGCTGCAGACAGGCATTTCCTTGAGTGATAAAGAAGCAGATGCTGCATGGTGGATCTATTCAGATGGCTGACGCAGGTGATGACAAATTGGTGATCGAGATGGGAGGGGATTCAAGGTGAGTCGGATTCAAGACTAGGTACGAAGCACAGAGGGCAGAGAAAAGGGGAGTGGCTGGTGGCCGCGACTAGGTACACTCCTCCGGAGGGCAGCTTTTATGATTACTGACGGTGATAGGCTCTCCCAATTTGTCGGATCCGCCCTACGACGAGATAACAAAAATGAAATGAAATGAAGAGTTAGTACCCCGGATCTCGTCACGGTAGGTTGAAGACGATCTCAAGCCATCGCGATCCTCATAGTCGGGCGTGTCTGCAGGCTTACGAGACTACGATGAGGACTATCCAGGTCCAGGAGGGTAATCGCACAGCAATTAAAGCGCCAACGCCAACGCCAAACGACGAGTACCGGCATTCCGGATGCTCAACAAGCCGGATGACACCCACCCTCCCAATTTCGCGCGAGAGTGGGCCAAGCAGAGCAAGGATGAGGCCAGGAAACAACCAGGAAGTGCTGAGAAAGGGCCAATCAGAGGCCCGTGGGAAGTCTTGCTAGCGTGGTTTTGCGAGCAGTAGCGGCAAATTCACAGCACGGACAGAGACTGGAACCAGAAGGCTGATGAGTCGCTAGAATGTCACTTGCATCCAGGAACGTGCGAGACTACAGTAACCACAGCAAGCCATGGGGCCGTGACGATGGACGGCAGTCAGTTTTAGCCTGCGTCGACGGTGTCTTGAACCCCAGCAAACGGTCAAACTAGCTTGGAGGCCGGGACGGCCACGATCTCCAGGCTACCCGTGGCCCTGGAAATCTCCCGCACACCAGCTCCCTGCTCCTGGGCCTCGTCCAAAGTGGCACGATGCGCCGAAGGTTCACCGGCCGGCCGTGGGAAGACGGGTAGACGGGCTTCCACGCAGGCTTGAGTCCTCAGGTGCCCAAAGGGAGATGTCGCTGGGCCAGGTGACTAGTCACCTGCTGATCTGCGAACCAATCTCAATTCCTCATCTTCCTGGGCCCGTCTCCACCCGCCTGGACGAGGAAACCCAGATCTTGGTGGGCTGAGGTGCGCTAGTGACCTGCACGGCGGTGGACGCGAGCAAGCCCATACGACTCAGCTCGCTAGCGCGTACCGACGGGGTTGGGGGCTTCTTGGTTTCTCGGCAGTCACCGGAGCACTGGTCAAAAACTGATCTAGAGCGTGCGGAGATTGTGTCCAGGTTGTTCCTCAGCACCGAGCTGGACTAGGAGTTCAGCCAGACGCTCTGGGCTTCGTACACCGTACTCCGTACCTGCGTGCCAAAAAGAGGCACAGTAGGCGCCCACGGCCAATGACAGATTCCTCCACGGCGGGTGGGTATTTCCCAACAAGGAGGATAGCCAAGCGCACCCCGTCCAGATATGGCAAGGCCTCATCGGAGAGGACTTCATCCTGGGGAAACCAAGACGGGGGGGGATGGGGATACGCGAGCCTGATGCCGGTGGCGATCCTGCGTGTTTTGTCGTTCTGGAACCTCAAGGCTGAATGAGAACCTGACCTTCCCGAAGAAGCAGCCCCTCAGCTGAGGCTGCCCGCAACTGTCTCTGGAGATGAGCGATGACAGACCGGACAGGGCTCACGTTTCAATACCGCCATGGGGAGGGGGAGTGCCTACCTCAACCCAACTCAGCAACCCCTGAAACGAGGGCAGAGACACATGCGCTCACGCACACACATGTGCGCAGTCCTGACGATGCTGCCCAGCCCGACCCAAAGGAAAAACATGAGCTTCCTCGCGCGGCAGCCGCTCTTTGTCTACATGCCCAGCCACACGCACGCCCCAGACACACACACTCACACGCATCATATTCACCTGTTTTGGGAGTGCGCCGAGGCTGTGAGGCTACGATCGTCGTCGCTATGGGGTAAAGGGGTCCATCCCGCTCTCTGGCTCTCTCTTCCTTTCTTCCCACTGTTTCCCAGGACATGGAACCGGAACCAAGCGCGGACGTCAAGCTGACTGTACTGTAATTGCACCGCCGGTGGGATTTAGGTAGAAGGGGACTGTGGCTTCCCAGTACCTGATGGGAAATCGGAAATTGCCAGGCGAGTATCTAGGATTTCGAGAAGAAAGAGTATGCCGACGGCAGCGCCCATCCGGCACACCACTCCGCCACCGACGTAATGATCCATGGGCGCTGAATCGCACGCTCAGGTTTCCCAATACCTAGGTGTGAGACATGGCCATTGGAAAGCCCGCGGCAGACGAGGTGTCTGAGTCTGCTGGATCAGACTCCACTTGAAGGTGGCGGCCGGCCGCGAGCGAGAGAGAGAGAGAGAGAGATGGCTGGCCGGATCCAGGAGCATGGGGCTCTTCAGGAGGTGGATCTTCCTAGCACCCGGAACCGCAGTAACGAGGGAGGGCCTTCTAGCGCCACTCTGTGTGTGATGGTTCGTGAGGGTGAGCGACGAAGACCTGGGAGGCGGGACTGGCTATCGCGGCTCGCTTGCGTGCTCGGCGGCCATCCGGTTTTTTCCCTGGCCACCCAGGGGCGGCCGATGCGCTGGATTGAACTACAGGAGACGTGACAAGCATCTAGGCCCTTGACGTTGACGCCCTGAGTAGCACCCTGGCATCCCAAAGGAGAATGCCGCAGCCGAGTCAATACTCTTTTTGCGCCTGAGGGGGTGAGCAATGGCTGGGAGTGTTTGATCGGGGAGGCGGAGAAGCGTAGATGGCGTTTCGGTGACATCTCAGGGAGATACGACTCAGTAGTTGCGATTCATTGATGATTACGAATCGGGGCATATCGAGGCGGTGTCCCAGCAATCGGGGAGAAGGACAACTGGGGTGGCCATGACGGCCAGCCAGGACGGTCAGCCAGCAAGCCAGCAAGCCAACAAGTCCTGGGGGGTTGGGCCAGACCAGACGAAGGAGGGGCAGGCATCGTCGACTGACAGAACGGAACTCAGGGGGGTCTGTGATGTCTGCCTGTCTCAGTTGGCGAGAGAGGTCGAGGTGAGGGTTTACGCCCTGACGCAGAGAGCCATCGGTCAGAGAGCCAGCCATGGTCAGAGATCAAGGTGAAAAGAGGTCAGAGCATGCCAATCCCATACCCATACCCATGCCCATGCCATGCCATGTCATGACGGCCAGACGGCGGAGCGCAGAGCATGGAGCACGGAGCACGGTACAACGGCAAACAAACACGACCACGACACGATACGACCGCGGACACGACACGCGCAGGGGGCCAGCGAGGAGGATCCTCCTGGGCCAGCCGCACCTCCGCACCTACCGACAGTGGCCTCGTGCGCCTCGCGGCCGGGTGGTTTGCTTGGTCGACTTGGTTCGTTGCTCAATGCTGACCGACCTGGGGGAACAGGGGGATTGCCAGGACGTCCGTCTGCCTCCTGCACCGCCGCCACGGTCCCCGCCACGACATGACCCAAACGACACGGACTTCATGGCACACCTCCGAGTGCCCAGGCCCATCATCGGACTAGCTCTGGAGCTCTGGAGCCCTGGAGCTCTCCCACATTCCTGGGAACGCCGCCGCGCGAACTTGTTGCTCGCTCGCTTGGCCCTCTTGGCCCTCCGTCTCTGCGCTCTCCCACGTTTCCCACCCCTGGCTGGCTCCCCTCTGTCCTCACCAGCGCCCTGCGCCCTGCCCCCTTGCTGCCCTCTAACAACTAGATGCCGTCTCTCCCCCGTCCTCTCCCCCCGCCCGTGTGTGCGTGCGTGCGTGTGTGTGTGTGTGTCTGTGTGTGTATGTGCGCATGTGTGTGCCATATGTGCCCAATCCGCACCCCAACCGCAATCGCAGCCGCAACCACAGCCGCAGCCGCACTCACAGTTGTTCAGAGAAAATTCCCAACCCCCGTTCCTCCGGACATGTTCCCTCTTGCGCTCTTGCGGGCTCTCTCTCCTCACTTGCCTTTCTGTCCCATGAAAGCGACCTTGTGCCGTAGTCCCGCTCCTCCGAATATTTTCGGCGCTCCCCCCCCACCCCATGATAGAAGATTTCCCCCTGCTCCCATTGTTGAGTGCCGGCCAGAGCGCGTCAATATTCCCCCTGTCGACCTGTGCGCTGGGATGGCGTTTTTCCTCTCGGTGTTAAGTCGAGATGGGACATGTCCTCCGAGTGTAAATGCAAGGCGCCTTTAAGCGAATGTGTCCCAACCCAACGCCGTCGATCTTGTGAATTTCTCGTAAAAGAAGGTTTTTCGCAGCGGGCGTGGAGCAAAGGGCGCCTCCGTCAGCGCGTGGGGAAACCCTCCTCGATGAGCTGTCACACTCAGGGTGACGCGCCGTGGTCGTACTATGTCCTCATGAATACCTGATGTTGCAGCGCCGCGCGCCGCGGCTATGAATTTCAAAAATCTCTTAGTGACGGAGTCTTTGTTCCGCTTGAAAGGGCTAGTGGGATGTGTCTGGCGAGGATCGCCCACGTCAGGGTCTACCCTGTAGCAGACGATCCGTCATGTTTTTCAAATAAGTGTGTTCTGGTTGAAGGCATCGTGGGTTGGTGATGGTGGGTCTTGCTCGTGTTTGTGGCTATCTTTGATTTCCCCCAATGTCCAAGACGTGAGATCCGGCATATACAATACGAGGCTGCTTTGCATGATCGGATCCAACGTCTTTTTTTAAGTCTACATCAAAATCAAACTATAAAATATAGTCCTCCATGCAGGCTTCCGCGGAATGAATTTCAAGAGAATCACGTCACATGCAAAGGCAAAATAACACTAGCAGGGTCAACTGGCATGACAAGTGACGGGAACAAGAAGAAGGGGACATCCCAAAGTACTACTGGGTGTGGGTACGCATGGGGGATGTGAGAGTGACAAGTGAACGGAATGCATATCTACGAGACAGTCACGAAGGCGTTGGCTACCAGGGACAATGGTTGAGTGGACAGCTCCCAGATGATGACAGCCAAGTCAACAAGGCAGGCATAGTTGCATGATGGCGGAAACGCATCTAGATATGAAATGGTTCACTTGTGTCATGATACCAACAAGGGGCTACGGATCCCAGGATCACGGGACATGGCGGACAACACCACGACATGCATGACTACCCACAATAGATAATTCCACAATCCTAAGTGGGCGGACGGAGGGCATGCACATCACACCATAATAGAAACATAACAATCATACTTGATCAGGTTCGTGTACTGTATTGGCTACAATAGTTCTATCAACTCGACCGAGGTCATCGTTGACCGCAACCCCAGACTCATTCCAAGCAATCCCATGATTGTCATTGACCCGTTCGTAAGGGTCTCCAATGCAAGCACTGCTCAGCTTGCAAGATATCTCAACTTCCTCATAATCTCCCAGACCGATGCCAATCTAAAACCATTACTTCGAGCAACAAAAGAGGAAAAAAATCGAAATATGCCGTTAAAAGATGCATCCCAAACCGGGACGCGAAGCAAACCGTAATCCAGACTCACGTATTGTGAGTCAATGTCTAATCGAACCACACCTCCCTCTCTCTAACAAACAAACGCCGTTGGTGTCATGTGCTTTTTTGGGGATGCCGAAGAAGATCCCGAATATGTCAGGGTTCTTGGTATCAAGAGCGGGCTGAAGCCCCCGAGATAGACGTCATTTTACCATCGACGGTTACCCATCGGCATGTTGTTGGCGTTGGCTGAAAGGCCAGTCAGCTCGAGAGGGTTGACTTTTGTTGCTCAGCGTCTGCGGAACCCACCTCTACCACCGCCACGACCACGACCCCAACCGCCGTAGCCACGGCCGCCGCCGCCACCACCGTAGCGGACCATCTCAGCGAGGCGGGGGTCAATCTGTTGCTTAGCCTCCTGGAGGACATTGACAAGATCGCGGGCCTGCTTCTGGTCTGAGGGGGTTGTTAGCAAAGAGTGTTAAAATTCAAAGGGAGGATGGACTCACTATCAGTGGTAAAGAAGGTAATGGCAGTTCCGTTGGCACCGGCACGACCGGTACGACCAATACGATGGATGTAATCCTCCGAGTTGTTGGGGTAGTCGTAGTTCAACACATGAGTGATGTTGCGAACATCTTTAGCACGAATGGTTAGCAGGCGAAAAATGGGTTTGTATAGCAACATTCCAGCGCGGAAGATGAAGACGGATAGCTAAGCATATTGGCAGGGCCATCTGTACTTCACTCCTTGGCATACTGGGGGCAATCCAAGTGCGTTCAAAATGCCATCCTGGGATGAACAGTCACCGGGTTCTTGGGACAAGGGAGCCTTGGGGAGCAGCTTGATCGGGTCAAGGTATGCCACCTCCACGCTCGTACCACGGAAGCGACAACGGTACAAGAGTGGAAATACGAGTATAGCAAAGAAAAGGCTACACAACGGATCAAGACTCCAAGGATAGAGAACCAAGTGGACACGGTTATGTCAGGCAGAATAGCACAGTCAAGAGAGCCCCTAAACACGAGAGTAAAGTACAGCAAGTGTCTTGCTGGAAGTTGCCATGGGGGAGGGGAGGGGGAGGAGTGATACTCACCAATACCACGCGAAGCCACATCAGTGGCAACCATGATGGGGCTCTTTCCGGCCTTGAACTGGTCAAGGACCCAATCACGCTCGTTTTGCTGCTTGTCACCGTGGATGGCTGAAAGAGGTTAGCCAGAGAACAAAAAAGATATATCAAAGCCTGGGGCAACTCACAAAGCGCGGGCCAGCCATCCTGGCGAAGGAAGCGGGTGATCTCATCGGCAACACGCTTGGTGCCGACGAAGATGAGGATCTTGTTATCCTTGTCCTCCATAGTCTTCTCGAGATGCTTGATCATCTTGTCACGCTTCTCCATGTCGGTAACGACCTCGACAATCTGGGTAATTCGGTGGTTGGCAGCGAGGTCCAGGGAACCAATGTTGACCTGGATGAAGTCCTGGAGGAAATCTGAGGCGAGAGCGCGGACCTCCTTGGGCCAGGTAGCGGACCACATCAGAGTCTGTCGGTCAGGGCGAATCTGGCCGATGATCTTGCGAATTTGGGGCTCGAAACCCATGTCAAGCATGCGATCAGCCTCATCGAGAACCAAGTAAGTAACGCGACGAAGGTTGGTCTTGCCAGCCTCGAGCATATCAATCAAACGACCAGGGGTGGCAATGCAGACCTCGACTCCTCTAGAGAGATCGCGGATCTGAGGTCCCTTGGGGACACCACCGTAGACGCAGGTGTTGCGGATGCGAGAAGATCGACCGAACTTGGTAATCTCCTGCTGGATCTGCACAGCAAGCTCACGAGTGGGGGCAAGAACCAGGACGATAGGACCGTCGCCGGGGGCGAGGAGAGGCTGGGCGTTGATGTGGACGATGGCGGGAAGACAGTAGGTAAGGGTCTTTCCGGAACCAGTCTCGGCAATACCGACGACATCACGACCCGAGAGGGCCATGGGCCAGCCCTGGGACTGAATCGCGGTGGGAGCAGGGAAACCCTGAGCCTTGACCTCGTCCATGACATATCGGGGGAAGCCGGCCTCATCGAAGGTCTCGACGGGCTTGGGAACACCGGTGCCAGTGATGGCCATCTGGTGCTTTTGGCGGAAAGCTTCAACCTCGGCATCCGATCGGTTGGAAACATCGCTGTGCTCCTTGTAGAAGTCCTTCTCAAAGATGGGGAGGGCGGAAACGTCTAGAAAAAACTTTGTTAGCAAATGAAATCAATATGTCGGTCAGTTGTTAAAGAGAACATACCCCATTCCTGGTGCTTGAGGCCAGCGCCGAGGGCGCTCATACGGTCACCACCGCCGCCGCCGAAGCCACCACCACCACCTCCTCCGTAGCCACCACCGCCGCCGCCATAACCACCACCACCACCACCGTAGCCGCCGCCGTTGCTTCGGCTGTCAAAGGTTAGCAAAAAAAATATTGATGGAGCGTGGATGAGAGCGCGATGGGTGATGGGCCGACGCGTTGTGCTGCCTCGGCAAGGCAGCCGCACCTTGGCCCAAACCACGCTGCGACCACAAGAGAAGAAAGATCAACTTACCCGCCATAGCCTCCTCCACCACCACCGCCGCCGTATCCATTGCGATCACCACGGTCACCGCGATCGCGGCCGTAGCCACCACCACCGCCTCCGTAGCCGCCACGGTCACCGCCGCCGCGTCCACCACCGCCGTAGCCACCGCCGCCTTCGTAGCCTCCTGACATCGTTTCAGGAGATGAGTGCACGAAGAAGCCCGTCTATGGGAGGGAAAGGGGAAATAGGGACAAAGAGAGCCGTGGAAGAAAGTGGACTGATGTCTCACGCTGATGAGACTTCCCTCTGGAGGATGGAAAGGAGTGCGTGTCCGAGGGTTGGTGATGATGTCCGGGGAGAAGGGAGATTGTTGGGTGAAAGGTTTGAGTTGTAGAAATTCCAGGACCCTTTGCGACTGCCTGTGTTATTTTTTTTTCGCCGCTAAGAAAAAAAAGTCGAACGCACTGGCCTGGGGGCGCGGCAGGCCCGTAGGTGGGTACCTACGTACCCGCCTGAGTCTGGGCAGACCCACTCGGGCCCGCAGCCACTCAAAGGCGACTGGAGGCTGATGACATAATCCGATTCGATTGGGCTACCCTGTACGGAGGGCCCTTTCAAAAGTCTCGTCCAAGCGCTAGCAACACTACATCCCTGTACCCTGTCAGTTACCTGAGATACATAGAGGTTGTAACAGCATCCCCAAGCTATCCCCTATACATTCTATAGCTTCAGTGGCATTAGGGGCTGGTAGCCAGGATCTAGTGGATGATGGTGTGCTGTAATCTGCTACCTTTTAGGGCTTATGAGAAGTAGGAAGTACTTAGTGTACTTAGCCTAATTATAATTGGCTGATTAGGAATCGTTGCTTTTTCTTAGGACAAGACTTTTGAAAGGGCCCTCCGTATCTAGGTACTCTTCTTTTCAAGCGTGATTCAAGAAACTTCTGGGTTAGGCTTATGATGTCAAGGGCAATGCAGGAAAATTTGTCATCGGAGCGCGCGCAGGGAGGCACTGCCCGGAGTTGGGCGTTAAGGGAATGTGATTGGTGTGTCGGCCGCAGCAGGTGTTTGGTAGGTTACCTTCTCTGTGGAATCTCATGATGAAAATATTGCACACCGAGTCAAGAGGGGACCGCGGTATGCGCTGGCGGCAACCACTACCTCAACGTCTGTGGTGCATAGAAAAGGGAATGGGGTTGGTGCTTCTACGCGAATACCGAGGCAATACACATAAACTTCGTAGCCCTCAATAACTCACCAGCGTGTCAGACAGAGCACACTGAAGGGTAGACGGGCACCTATGACGACAGGTGGGAGCATATCCCCAGGCCGTTAGTTGCCAAGCCATCCCATGATAAATTGGGTTGCATTTTTTTAAGCCCCGTATATTTAATGTTCCGAAGCGGCAGACTGCATTGGCCCTGGGACTCTAAGGCGGTCAAGGAGTCTCGAGAGCAGGACATCTTCCTGACCGGTTATGTGGACCTTTTATTACTGGGTAGCATTTTCATGCCAACGCCCAAGAGGGAGAGCATGTCGGGGACAGAGCCTGAGATATCCTCCCTCGGGCAAGAGTACTGCCGTACAAGATGGTAGACCACGCCTGATGTATCAAACGCCTCAACACCAAGGAAGGACTGAAATAGCCACTGCCCTGAGGGTCTATGATACAATACCATCAGCCTTATTTTCCCTTTCCTGTCTTTGGTTTAAAGCAAACTCCAAAGCCTCCTCGAATACCTTGGCAAACTTCCAGCAGTCAGTAAAACTATTGTATAGCGGCGCCGGTGCCACGCGAATCACATTCGGACGCCGCTCGTCCACTAGCACACCGCGTCGCTCCAGCTCCGCCATGATGTCTTCCAGCAGTCCGTCCTCCAGAAGGATGCTTACTTGAGCGCCTCGCGCCTCCGGCTCAGGCGGCGTCAGGATCCGCCAGTACCCGCCCATGTCCTCCGACATGCGGTGGAGCTGTTGAAGGAGGTACGCTGTCAGCTCGAGTGACTTGGCGCGCAGGGGCGCCATGCCGCCGGCCTCGGCGAAGACCTCCAGCGAAGCGCACAAGCTCGTGATGTCGAACACGGACGGGTTGCTCAGCTGGAAGCCCGCGGCGCCCGGGACGGGACGGAAGCCGGGCTGCATAGAGAAGCGGCCGGCCTTGTCGTTGCCCCACCAGCCGGCGAGGCGGGTCGTGTGCTCACCAGCGGCGCCGACGCGGGAGTTGCGCTCGTGCACGAACAGGCCGCCAATGCAACCAGGCCCGCCGTTCAGGTACTTGTAGCTGCACCAGGCAGCGGCATCGACGTCCCAGTCGTGCAAAGCCAGGGGCACGTTGCCAACGGCGTGGGCGAGGTCCCAGATGACGAAGATGCCGCGAGCACGTGCAAAGGTCGTCAGGGTTGGGATGTCTAGGAACTGGCCCGTATAGAACTGGATGCCCGGGAGGAGGAGGACGGCGGTGGTGGAGGCGTGCTCCTCGATGATGGACTTGATATATTCGGTAGACAGGGTGTCTTCGGAGCCCGGGGGATCGAACGTGATCATGGAATCCTCGGGGTTGAGACCATGGTGCCGAATCTGCGTCTCAACGGCATACTACTCGTTCGGTGTTAGTGACATGAACCTCGCACACAAGATATATGGATCTGACGTACATGGTCACTCGGAAAGGCCTTGCTCTCGATAATGATCTTGTGCCGACCCTTTGCATCTGGCTTATAGAAGGCTGCCATCAAAAGGTGGAGGTTCGCCGTCAGCGTCTGCATGACGGCGACCTCCTCGACGCGGGCGCCCACGATCGGGGCCACCATCTTGGCGGCGCGGGCATCGACATCGAGCCAAGTTGGCAGAGGTGAGTCGTCGAGGGGCTTGAAGTGGCCCTGGACGCCCTGGGTGCGCCAGGTGTCCAGGTACTGCTGGATGCGGGTCGCGGTGCGCCGGGGCTGGAGGCCCAGCGAGTTGCCGACTAGGTAGAGGGCCTCGTCCTCGGCATCTGGGGATGTCAAGCGTTAGCGGAGGTTCGGGATCATCAGGGGCTCGACGCCCGACACTTGCCTGTAGGGGTTGCTGTGGTTGCCGTGGCTGGAGGGAGCGAGGTGCGGGATATGTCAGCCTTGGAGGGGATGGTGAACTCGCTGCGGAAGTGCTTGAGGGCGTCGGCCGCATCCAGCTTAGCAGCAAGATCGCGACCGAAGGGCCCCGCGGATTCACTCATGGCGACGACGAGTCCAGGCAATATAGGATATGGTGACTAGAAATGGATCGCCCAGTTGTCAGGTATATTGACCTTGACAGCAACAGTCACACTCAGACCAAGGTAAACCGGAACCAAGCTAACACTGCACTGCTGCTGTCTGTACGCAACCAAGCATCTGTTAGCTTTTTGCTGGAGACTCCCCGCTTCGCCGTATCGGCCAACGAGCAGCTCGGGGAACGCGGGGCTCTCGCTGACACTGTACTACTCGGCGTGTCCATTTGAATTGGCGATTGTGGTTCGGGAATTGTTCGACAACGCCCCGCATTCAGAGATGCCGGTCTCCGAGCAATCTCCATCTCCTCCTCCTCCACCACCAAGAACTTTCGGAGAGAACACAGTGATGACGGATACTGTGCAAGAACTAACCCTCCGTATCTGTAAACTGCTTGCTAGGTAAGTACAGTACACAGATAGTTTGTACATGCGTACACAATTGATGTGCCAATCTGTAGTAAGGTAGTTAGTTACGGAAGCATTCAACTTTATTGGCAGCACTTGAGAGAAAGTTTAACATCATGGCATCATCCACATGATTGTTGGTCATAGGTCTTGTCTATCTATCTCCCCCCCCCCCTCTCTTCTACTCTCTTTTTGCTCTCCAGTCGTACAAGGGTCTCCAGACCTTCCTCCCCCTCTAGGGCCCAGGGAAAAAACAACAATCGCAGGATAAAGAAATCAAACCAGGGTTACAAAACACGAAGCACTCCCAGCCCAAGCCCGATTCTAATCGGACGTCTATTAGTCCAGCCAGCCAGGTTCACAGCCCTTGTAAAATGCTCCAAGTAAACACCCCTCCCAAGAACAGATAGTTGTAAGCTGTACAAGCCACCGGGCGTAAGCCCACGTTGGCTACCACAGCCCAATAGAGGTATCGGACCTCTCCTTTATGAAGTTTGAGTCGGGTTGAGGGTTTACTCTCGAGAAACATCACGACCGAAGGCCTTGGACTTCAGCCAGTCGAGGAGGACAAGAATGCGGTTTCGGGCTGGAGAAGAGGAAGTTAGCATTGGTTCCATCGTGTTAGTTGAGTAGACCAAAAACTTACTGCTGAAGCACATGGAGAGGTAGGCACTGCGCCAGAACAAGAAGGTCAGGCTGCCACCGGAGGCGAAGTTACCGTTGAACCACGGGACGTCAGCGACGGCCTTCTCGCTACCAATGTACGCTAAGCTGCCCTGGTGAGAGTACTTGAAGGGCTTGACATCCTTGATCCTTCGCAGCTTCTTCTCGAGCGACTCAATCTCCTGGGCGACCTCGGCCGCGTTGCCCTGCTGGAGGTTCAAGTTGCCGCTAAGCTCGTGGATGCGCGCCTCGTGAGTCTCAGTCTTGGCCATGTTGTTGAACAGGCGGGCCAAGAAGGTGCCCTCCTGTGAGGCGACCTGGGCAGTGGGAGCGTAGCCGGCGACGGCGCAGTCACCAACGGCCCAGATGTCACTGGTGCCCTGAACAACGAGGTACTCGTTGACGGCGAGGCCACGTCGGGAATTCTTCTGAGCGGGGATCTTGCTCAGGAGGTCTCGGACTACGGGGCGGACAGCATTGCCAGTGGCCCAGACGAGCAGACCGTAGGGAATCGTGAGGACTTCCTTGGTGCCGTCAGGGCGCGAGACCTCAGCCTGGACAGTCTCCTCGGTGACACGCTTGACCATGGTCTTGAGCTTGATGTCAATGTTCTCCTCACGCATGGTGTTCTCGGTGTACTCAATCAGCTGCTTGGAGAAGGAGGGGAGAACGTTGGGAAGGGCCTCGATGAGAGTGACCTTGAAGCGGTGGCTGATCTCGGGGATCAACTTCTTAATGTCCTCCTCGAAGAAGTCACGAAGCTCGCCGGCGAACTCGACACCGGTGGGACCGCCACCAACGACGACCATGTGCATGAGACGGTCAATCTCCTCCTGGGTCTGGCCCTTGAAAGAGGCACGCTCGACGCAGTCCATGATCTTCTTGCGGATCAGCTGAGCATCACCAATCTCCTTGAGGAAGCAGCTGTTCTCGCGGACACCGGGGATACCAAAGGTGGCGTTCTCAGCGCCGACACCAATAACGAGCATGTCATAGGGGATCTCAGTCTCAGCGCCCTTGGGGTTGCCGTCGCGGTTGTCGACAATCTTGACGACCTTGCGTTCGGGGTCGACTGAAGAGGCCTCGGCCTCGTAGTACTTGGCAGCGGCCTTCTTGTGTCGGAGGATGGTGCGGACGGGCTCCATGATGGAGCGGTGTTCAATCAGGCCAGTGGTGCATGAGGGAAGGAGGGGAGTGAAGAGGAAGTAGTTGCGGGGTGAGATAACAACAACGTTGTAGTTTTCGGTGTCGAGGTTCTTGAGGAGACCAACGGAGCCCCAGCCAGTTCCTGTGAGGTCCATGTTAGTGACTCAATTCGCGACATGTGGGGAGAAAAAAAAAAGAAGCGGCGAGCAAAGGTGAGGGAACGGCGAGGATTTGCGCCAACTTACCCAGAACCACGAGGGTCTTCTTAGAGGGATCGGACTGGAACTGCTCCTCAGGATGACGGTCGTCCCAGATCTGATAGCAGGTGTATCCGACAGTGGCGAGCAGGGAGAGGTAGGTGAATCTCCAGGTCCATCGCAGGGTCGAGCGCAGCTTGCCGGCCTTGGGCTTGGGCTTGGACTTGGGGGCCTCGTCGGCGTAGGCTCTTCGGAAGGCGATGCGGCCCGTGTGCTGAAGCTTCATGGCGACTGAGGGTCGGCCAGAGGCCTTGGAGGCGGTGGTGAGGGCGCGAGTCGCAATGCGACTGGGTTGGGCCAGGAGGCCGGCCCGGGAGAGGGCGGACATGGCTCGGGCGGAGGAAGCCATTGGAGATGCTGGGGAAGCTCAATTGGGAGCAAGCACCAGAAGGAGGTCGAGGGGAGGAGGAGGAGGAGGATGGGAGAGATGAAGAGGGGGAAGAGTCAGGCAGGACAGAAGCGTCGAGGGGAGTGTGACTGGAGAGAATATGACCCAGGGCAAAAGAGAGATGGAGAGCAGCGGGAATTAGGTACGTAACTGGAGGCGCGCAGCCAGACGGCCAAGCGGCGACGGCGATGGGCCACCTCCCGTCCCCTGGGGCGAGAAGTGCCCGTGTGGGTAGTGGGTGCAGTGGGTGCAGTGGGTGGGCTACGGCACTGAGCTGCAGTAAACGCCCTGTGCCAAGTAGTCCCGCAGGCGAGGTACCGCTACAGCTCCGGAGGGCAGCAGCCCGCACGGCGAACGGCGTCCACTGTCGTACAGCGACCTCTCAGGTACGTACCCGCGCCTCGACGGACCTCCCTGCCACGGGGCTCCATCCGCCCATCCATCCGCCCACGGCCGCCATCCCTCCCTCCATTCATCCATCCAGATCCATTGGGACGATAAGGAACGGGGGGGAACGCCGTGGGACGTGGGACGCGGGATATGGGCCTCCATCCAGTGATAGCAGTGCACGCACAGCTCAGAGTCTACGGGTTGTCATTATTGTAGCGAGTGCGGGAGAGTACATAGTAAACCCCCTTATCCCCCGCCCAAAGTGCAACTGAACCTCTCGGTGAGAAAAATCCTGCGTACCTTAGGTACTGTACCTCGGGCGCTCTGCTGGGACTGCCGACAGCTGTTCTAGCAGGTAAGTATTTAGGTCGTAGTACAACGTTGTAGGTTATCCTCCCATCTGTGGTGTGCTGCAGGCTGTTTGTGTCCAGTTGGTGCTTCGGTAGGCAGCCCCCCACTGTAAAGCTAGCGCGATCCCGTAGCGCCTGTACGGAAACCCACCACGACGACCCGCCCGCTAGCCTGGATGACGCTCAAATTTTGGGGTGACAGATTGAGATGGATAGGAGCTCCGCGCTGGAACCCTTGGGAAATTTTCTTCTTCTTTCTCGCTGCCTTTGGTGTCTGTCCTATGTCTATCCTCGCACTCACTCCATCCTGAAGCGCCACGAGCCGGGGCGCTAGCGTAAACCACAAGAAAATTGTTCTTACTCCAACCCAAACATGGGACCGGGACCAGGCCGGAATTGAGCCTGATCCGGTGCCTCCAAAATGTCTCCAAGCTTGGCAACTGCGTGCAATAAAACTGCACAGCGCCTCGGAATTTTCACCCCAATAACCCCCTGTCTCCACTAGAGGGCGATTCCAGCGTCTGCAAACACCGCAGAACGTCCGGTACATGGCACCTGTAGGATGTTCGTTCCTGGGCTGGAATTAACCCTCCGTGTCGGCGGGTTGTGAGACCCGATGAAGGGACCCGGAGGAGCCAGTCTGCGAGATCCGGCCTGCTGAATATTGATATCAGTCAAGCATGGAATGCCGGCTACTGATTCTCATTCAGCATACACTCATCCTCTATTTTTGTCTCTTTGCCCCTCGGACATCCCTAGTCGTGTTCGCCTTCACACCTACATGGATGACGGATACACCGAACACTGGCCCAAGCTCGCGGCGCACACCTGCATCCAAGAAAAGGGTGCAACAGCTTTCAGCCCACCTTCTGTCGTCATCAATTGATTGCTCCAACTTTTCCCCATCCACGGCGTTTCTCCGGGCGCCCGGCATTGGGTCTGGAATCCCTGAGGTTTTACAAGGGCGCCAACCCCCGCCGCCGCGCACACAACTCGCTGCCCTGGCTTGATGACTCTTGACGCTTGACGATGGAGTCGGGCTTGACAAGGTATGTACCCACGATTATCTGCATCGGTGTACGGGGACCGCAAGCACACGGACCAATTATATACCCCCTCACCTCTGTTCCCTTCACCCAGCACAAACGCAGTTCATCCTGATATTCAGGTGTCTGCTGCGCGCAATCACGTACCTAGTTACCGAGGAGTCTTTCCCTAGGACCGACGCCCCCACGGGGATGATATATGCGCTGGCTGACCGACATCACCGCGTTCTCCTGGCTTGTGACTCTGTAAATCCGGTTTCTTACGACCCCAGGTCCCGGCAGCTGCCGAGCAGACAGGCACGGGTTGCTCGTTCGGTGTGTCGGTGAGCGTTCGCAGTCCGTGTACACCCAGGCTCCGCTCGCATGTGATGCTGGTGCGGGAGAGGGAGGCCTGGGCCAGCCCGGTCCACCTTTCAGAGGAGCACAATGGAGAATTGGAGATATGGAGTTGTATGGAGAACCCATGAGGATGCAAGATGCCAGCCAAGACCACGCGAGATTCGCTCGTCGCCCATGTTGGGTAACTCCTAGCGCATTGTCTGGGCACTATCAACTAGCTACTTCATCCTTCAACTGACCTTTCCCTCCCAAGGCATTGCGACACGAGGCGCATGTTTGGTAAGCCACTCCTTATCACCTAATCGAGGTATTTGAGGTAAGTTGCGGACTCACCTGAACAGGACACCTAGGGTAGGACGGTCAGGACTGGACAGACAGAGACGTCGTCGTAATGGAATTACATACTGGTGACACAGACCCGACTTGATATCTATTGCGTCAAATTCTCTCATACTGCAATTCTCACCCACTCGCCAATTCCTGCACCCTTCCCCTGACTCCCAATTGGGCGATTTCATTATTGCTCAAAATTTCTTCCTGGGCCACCTCGGTGCGTTTCCCGATGATGCTCCTAGATGCTTATTGGCACTGTCCGGACAAAATCCCGAAATCCCGGGAACCCGACGCTTCTCAGTTTTATTTCCTTATAGGGTATGTACACCCGTTTACTGTAGAAAAGCAGCATCGTCATGGATAGTTTATGAATTGGGGCTTCTAGGATTATTCACTTGCATTTTAGCCTTAAGTCTCCTAGAGTACCCTGTTAATATGAGAGGTGCCGAGGGGAATTCGTGGTTCGGAGTGTCGGAGCCGCAAAACGCACACCGAAGAAGGCAACACATAACACCGAACTTCTGTCATAAGTAGCAAACATCACATGGTGGGTGACGAACCGTATAGTAGTCTATACAGCTCACCACTCATAAGTCGGCAGTTACTCGACATGGTTGTTGTAGACTTCTGTGGCCTCAGCTCGCTAAACCAAGCTCTTGACCTTAGGTCACCGACCCTTGGTCTTGGCGGTTGTCCAACAGGGGAGCTTCTCCTTCAGCCCCTCCCAGGACCCTTCTCACGAGCTTTCAGGGCATCCAGGCTCCTTGTCCCTCTGTTGCTAACCCTCCCTAGTGTCCGTCGTCCGTCCGCCGTTGTGTGGCTCCCTTGGACCGGGTGGATCTGCGCCAAACCCACCTTTTGCTTGAGACATCCGCAAGCGCGCTAATGACGGATCCGCGCTTCTCAACTTTTTGCGCGAGGGCCCGCACCGTTCATCTCACAATTGGGATCGCGGTCTGCGGTCTGATTGGAGCGCAATTCATCGTCCTAGGCTTGGTTGAAGCTGGGTGGAGGTAATGATAATACGTACAAATGCCCGCGCTATCCATTTCACTGTCTGTTTACCGCTGCGGTGTGTGATCGTGGGGTATAGTCTCTGCTGGGTCGCGGACTGCCTCATGTAAGGGACTACGCACTTCTCTTTGGTGGCCCGTGACGTGGTGTCTGGCCAAGAGGTGGTTGGTTGGGCTGGTCCCGCCACGCCTGGGAGAACCTCTGGCCTGGTGTTTGAAACAATACCGCGGTTACGCGGACTTTCAAGTGGCCTTCTTCCCTAGCCGCTGGTTGCTTGCCATCTGGAAACCGCCAAGCTGGTATCAGATGTCCTCTTGGCGGATGGAGTGGTTGCAAGACGGGTCTCATTCAAGGCCAGTCCAATAAGGCAAAGAGGCACGCGCCTCATGAGTGCACCAGTAAATTCGTGTGTTTGGCGATCGTAGATTAAGTTCGTATACACCTCACTTTAGAGTTCATCTCATACATCCAAGACATGTCGTTGTTCTCATGTATATCGTGTATCATGTAAGCCAGTCGGCCTTCACCACTCTCACGGCCCAGGTTTCTCTAAAGTCCGACTGCGAAATCCATTACTTATCCATTATCCACTTTCAACGGCAAGACATCGTACCGTTTTTATGGCCGTCATAGCCGGGAACGACCTTCTGCGACCGCAGGCGAGACAAGTCAAGTTGAATCAGGACGGGGCTAGGCTCGACAAGTCTGGGCTCGACACACAGCCTGTTGTGGCTTTCGTTTGAGAGATGGGCCGCCACGATTGAGCGGGTTCGGAGGTGGCTTGCGCGTTGTCAGAGCTTCAGCACGTGTTGCGCGACGGAGAACCACCGACGGCAGTTACATGAAACCGAATAAACGAGGTGAAACGGAGTGGTGCTTCTGGGCAAGCAGCTCCTGGCCCGAAGTAGGCGTGGCGTTTTGAACGATTCTCGCGGACTCGCGCATGCGACTGGTTTTGATCAATGAAGGAGGGAACCAACGCAGAACCAACGCTTAAACCGGGCGTTGGTTCGGCGTTGGTTCTGCTCAAGTCAAAGCGAACCTCTGGCCCTTGTCCTTTATATTAAGCCTCTCGCCCTCACCGAAATCTGGTGTCCAGCCTCCGCAAGGGCCAAGATGGCCCGTCAATACGGTGCTGGATTAAGCCAGAAGGGATCAGAATCTCCTCGCAGGGCATCTCGTTGGATCAAAACACTGCCCCTGCATTGACATCATTAGTCTGTGCGGCGCCCGACCACAACCCGACCACAACCCCTACCTAGTCAACCATGACCCTGCTGAAACACGGGCGGCCGTGGACGCGAGACGATAAATCCCCCGTAATCACGTCGCAAAGCGTAACTCAAATCAACCGATGGCTCCCGATTCGCAAACGGATCTGCTGGAGAATTTGTCCGGTATCATGTTACAGCGCCCAGGCCACAGGCGCGATGGGGGTTCATTACGGCGGAACTAAGGCCCCCGCCGGCGACGCCCAACGTCGCGTCCGGCTCTTTGCTCGTCGCGCCCGGTGGTGCTTTGAACTGAGGCTACTGCGTGTTAGCTGGCCCGAGAGAAATGAGCCACTCACGCCCAGTTGCCGTGATACCTTGGCAAGGCTTGATGAGGCCTGGATCTGGCCGTTCTGGCCGTTCTGGCCCTCCCCCGGTCCCCCCAAAGCCCCCAAAAGTCTCAAGGTCCGCTGATCGTGGGGTCGCCGACTCGTTATGCGATACATCCTTGCTTCGACTGGAATCAAAGGAACCAACTCCGTACGAAACCGTGGTTGTGGCCTGTCGTCTCAACGCTCGGATCGATCCCGTTGCTTTCCTCTCCCGATCCTGGCTGTGGGTTTTGTCTCCGTCTCCGTCTCCTCCAGCCAAATCCACCAGTCAATCCTCCACTCCATCAACCGGACGCCTGGATCGTGCATGCCATAAACCATCCACCCCCGGTCGCTTCCTTTGTTCCTTCCCTTCTTTCTCCCCTCCCTTGTCCTTCCCTTCTTCTCCTTCCCTTCTTGTCCCCTTTTTCTGCTTCTGCAAGGCCGGTCCTTCTTCCCTTCGTATGTGCTAATTCTTCAACGTCTTGGTCTGAGACTGGGCTTTTAACCATCACGCCCTTCCTCCACACCATCTACTGTCGCTATCGATTCTCCGAGAGCTGGACTCCCAAGAAGAGTCAGGATTCAAGGGCCCATTCGCTCACCTTCGCTCACCTTACCGGAAACAACAAACATCTTGAACAAGGATAATCAATGGAATACTCGCTCGCCAATCCTCCCAAGGCTCGCTGGGAGATGGATGCCAGACACGCAGACGGCATGTCCCTACCGCCTTGGACTCGAGATGAGAGCGACCACGAGGATTACAATGTTGCCGTCATGAACGACGTCGCGAGGAGGAACAGGCGCAAGATTCGACGCAGGACTAAGCGGGACGAGACCCAGGAACCGCCAACGAACCCCAACGTCCAACTTTCCCCTCCATCGTCAAAATCCGCCATCCGAAAACGACAGAGATACGACATGCCCGGCAATTCTCTGAGAGAATCCACCGTTGAAAGCTATTCTCAGACCGCGACCGAGGTTGCATCTGCGACGGCCAGTGGATATCCCAAGGAGACGGAAAGCTACGCTTCTACCAAGACGGCTGAGCCGACGACCTCTAGCCAATATGCTACCAAGACGACTGCGCCGACGACCACTAGCCAATATGCTACCAAGACGGCCTCCAAGTCCAAGACAGCGTCTCCGACTGCCGACAGCACTGCCAATGGGGATCCGTATGAGAGTGAGAGTGACAGTGAGAGCGACGGCCTCAGCGACAGTGCCAGCGACAGTGATTATGATGAGGCTCAGAACGAGACAGTTTCGTCAGTACCCTCCTCATCGGCGGATGCGGCTCTTAGCGGGTCTCGACAGGCGGAGTTGGTAAGTTCAAACCTGGAGCGCCGACGGATTACTGTGATAAACCCAGTACCTTCTGCGATGGCGCCGGCGCTCATCAACATTCTTCACATGCTGACAAGTTCTAGCTTGGGGACCCAGATGGCGGCCTACACTCTGACGTCCATAAAATCCTGCTCGCGGTCGGATCTATCGGTATGTTTGCCCGAATGTCATTGTAATTGTCTAGTTGATTGACATTGTTTAGTCGGCTTCATCCTTATCATCAGCGTATGCCTGATTGCTTGGAAGTTGCGCAACAGGACCCGACACCGGAAAGCTCCTGTGGACGACATGGCCTTCCACAAACCCAACCGCATCGACAAGATACTCGCCAAGGTGCCTTTTATCAGGACTCGTCTCCCTAACCGCGAGTGGTACACTATCGAAGACCCGTCAAAGTATAGCTATGAAAAGTCGCAAGCCACAAAGCCCCCGAGATTCGCCTCGCGCCGTATAGAGTCACAATTCTTCGCCCCGAATACGCCCGTAGGAGTATACACCTCGCCGAGGATGGGATCAAGATCGAAATTCTCCACCGCCGACACACTCAGCCCCATGAGCACTACGTTTGTTGAAAGCAAGGCGGTGCAAGCTCAGGTTGTGTCTGGACAAACCGCGAAGCAGGTCCGGCTATCTGTTCAGGCAAAGCCAATGCCAACTACTCCGAGATACACCTACAGCCAGTCCAAACGTCAAACGGGAGTCAGTACACTGTCATCTATCTCCTCCGGATTCGGCGACGGAGACATCATAATTACACCGGAAAACACAGTCAGCACAGTAAACACGTCCACCATGCCATCCCTCCCCACAGCCGTGGCTGATCCCTCTCGGCAATCCTCTATTCGCTCACCCGTGGCCTCTCGGCGATCATCCATGCGTTCGTCCGGAAGGGACCCCCGACGAGACACACAAATGACCTCAATGACAGATGTGACGTTGGATGGGCGGCCGCGGTTTCACAGCGTCAACTCGTGGGTGAAGCAGCAGTCAGGACATTTGCGCCGAGCGCAAAACGGAGTTGATGGCGATGCGCCTCCCGTGCCCATGCTGCCACCGCCGGAGCAGGAGTTGCGGTTGATGATGCCAGATGGAGAGGAACCGCGGCGGGTGGATATGCGATGAGGACCTGGATCATCGGTCCTCCGAATTAGACATGTGTGCGTTACAGAAGAAGCATGCAGATGCCGAGAAGGCGATGATGGAAGCCGTCCTGGAGATGGCATCTACATGACGTGAACGAGCATGAAGCGGGGGTTGTAAATATAGAAAACCAGTAAATCTCGATACATCACACCAATTTTATATGTCTAAAATGTATGATATCCTAGGAGCGAACATGGTTGAATCTACTTGGAGGGGTACATTTCCCAGAAGCCAATTTCCATCTGTTCACGGTCAGGCTTTTTCAGTCTGTTGACGGGATAGCGTATGGTTTACCTTCAATGCATGGATAAAAATCTTGACCAGCTCTTCAACTCGAGTCGGTGACTGGAGAAGGATATGCTTCTCGAGTAACTCTATAACGCCGTGTGTCAGTAATCACATGGGATGGAGTCGGAGCCATCGTCTCATAACGAAACTGCGAGGGACACAAAACCGACCTGATCCAAGCGTAACGGCTTCGACATAGTCATCCGCAACGTAGTTCTTGATCCACGCCCAATACGTGTTGCCCTCGTGCCGCGTATCCGCGTGGCCGTGCAGCATCTGGGCGACGGCCCCGTAGCCGAGGAGACAGGGGGCCAGGGCCATCTGGAGCCCGAGCCAGTCGCTGGTCTGGCCGACGTCGAGGACGTAGCGGGTGTAAGCGGTGCAGGCTACGTAGAGACGGTGTTAGTTAGTAGTCAGTAGCTAGTCGTGGGAGACGGGCGAGGAGCTGGGATGGGAGGGAGTATGTGCGTGCCTTGATGCTCCTCGGTGGCGCGGACATCGGCAATGGAGATGCCGAAGGAGTTGCAGTAGGATGTGTGCAGTTTCAGCTCGTGCATGATGTGCGCGACGATCTCGCTTGCCTAGAACGGCAATATTTGGTCAGGAACTTGTGGTTGCGTGCCGGATCGAGACTCACTCTTGAGATATCCTCGGCATTCTGCGCCTTGTAAGCCGCGAGGGCGTTGGCTCGTGAGAAGTGAATCTGGCATCCGGCCGCGTCAGTTGCCGCCCTTCGCTCGGGTGCACGGGAGGCGACATACGAGGTAGAGATAGTCTTGGATGATGTACCCCTTGAACGACTCCAGCGGCAGCGTTCCGTCACCCATGGCCATGACGAACGGGTGGTGTACAAACTGCTTCCACACGTCCCTGACGTCTGGCCGCTCGAGAAGGTACTCGAGGAAGTAGCCCCTGTCTCGTGTCAGGATGCTGGATGGATGCTTCGGCGCCGGCACTTACGGTGAGAATGGCAACGTGTAAGTCGAGTGGAAGTGGTTGAGAGGGCCATGTCCTTTGCCTAGACCTGGTGCCGTCCGGATGGCTCCCTCGATATATCGACAGGCTGAGCGGACGGCGCTGGGCGCATCAAGCCCCTTGGCCAGGTTTGCCGCAATGGCCGCTGTCGTCGTCAGTGTCCGTATCTCTTCCTCCAAGCTTCATCCTCCCAAATACGACTTACAAGCCAGGGAGCATCCCGTGCCATGAGTACTCGTGCTCGACTGATACGGGCTCTTGACCCGGAACACCTCTCCGTCGCCACCGACCAAGACATCCACCACGACCTTCCTCTCCTCCTCCGTCTCAGCTACCGTCAGATCCTCCTTGAAGGGCCGATGCCCGCCCTTGACGAGCACCCACTTGGGGCCCAGGGCGTGGATCTCCCGCGCCACCGTCTCGAGGTCGTCTGGGGAGCGGATGTCGACCTCCGGGCGGCCGTTCTGCGCGAGCACCAAGGCTGCCTCTGGGATGTTGGGCGTCAGCACCGTGGTGTGCGGGAGTAGGTGCTGTGAGAGCTGCTTGATGGCCTCGTGGGGGAGGAGCTGGGCGCCCGAGGTTGAGACCATGACCTGGCGAGTTTGGTTAGACGGCGTCGTGGATACGGAACGAGACGGCTTCGTACGGGATCGACAACTAAGACGGGGATCTTGTGCTTGGTAACCATTCTCGAGACCATCTCTATCGTGTCTGCGGCGGCCAACATGCCTATCACGCCACAGCCGGTTCTCGTCAGCCTCGCTCTTCTTCACACACGAGTGCGGTGCTGAGCGCAACTCACCCGTCTTGACGACATCGACGCCCACATCCTCGATACACGCCTCGATCTGCTGGGCTACGAACTCGGCGGGAATGACATGGATCCCCTTGACGCCCTGCGTGTTCTGCGCCGTCAGGGCTGTGGTGGCCGTCATGGCGTAGCAGCCATGCGCTGCGATGACCTTCTGGTCTGCCTCGAGGCCGCTGTGAAGATGCCCACGCAGTTAGCCCTCTATCCACACAGTGAACCAAAAAAGCTTCATATAAGTCTTTCCTCCCTTCATCGAAAGAGCCTCGTATTTCACTGTAGACTCCCGAATCGAACGAGTTTCACTTACGCCCCGCCCGAGCTGTCTGAGCCCGCAATAACAAGCACCCGTCCCTGAACCATGATGCCTCCTCTAAAAGACCGGCGAGTTCTAAAAGAAGCAGAGAAAAGTACCAATTCGGCGAGCCTGTGATAGATGAATACGGTTGACTAAAGCCGCCGTCGGAGGGTTTCGCGTCTTAATCCCTCGCTCGTCGTTTGGACTGCCCAGCCTTTAGTGGGGGCAATGCTAGACGAAGCGTAGCGTCATCGCCTGCGTGTACTTTGTCTCAACATCACCATCACGAGGTTGGCCGAGGAATATTGATTCATATGTCTTTGAAATGCAATGCTTCCCACCCGAGGGAGGGGTACCTGAGTGACCAGAGGCGACGCTGTCATCAATCCAACAACCATCATCCCGACTTTTCTTCTCCCATATCTTGTCCCTTCTGAATTCACCCGTCGTGAAAGCTACACGAAGAAACGCCCTACATCGCTCTCAAATACACACTCATTCATCATCATCCAGTCCCGTGTCCCTCAGATGCCCTCCCTCCCTCCTGGACTCCTCGCCCAAACTCCAAAGATTCCAAACCAGCCCTGGCCAGTTCCCCCAGCAGCCCCGAAACGTGATATATACATTGGCCCACAGAATGGGCAGTCTCTCTTGACTTCGCACCACCCGCTTCTCATGCATGTGCTCATGACTTTTTGGTTGTTGTACATTGAATTTTCATCATGTGGGGTCGTCTCTTCTGCATAAACGTTGACTCCTACCCTCGTCTCGCTTTCAGCGGAGGATGTTAAGCGGCGCTGGAAACAAGTTGGGCGGCACGTCCATCGGCTCGCTGATGCTTCTCTGCCTCTCCGTCCTGTCGTCTGCCGAGCTGCCATCTCCATCGCCGCTATCGTTCTCGCTCGCGCTATCGTCATCATCGCTGCTGTCACTGTCCCCCTCTTCCTCATCAAAGACGATCTGACGCATCACGTTCTTGTCGAACAAGTCAATTACCATCCTGCGCACTCCCAGCCGGTAGTGGTTCCATTCCATCGCACCCATGACCTCCTTGAAGAACTCCTTGCTTCGGAAGGCGCTTGGCTTGCGTTGTCGCAGTTTCTGCAACTCCGTGACCGCTTTCTTGTAGAGAACCATATTCCCTAGGTCAACGATGAGCTCAAGGACTCGCTTGTTCACGTCTTCATCGCTCATCAGCGGTATAATCTCTCCAGGCTCCAGGGGTGGACGAGCCGCGCGCCGAGGAGGGGCCTCAGGTGCAGTCCGCTGCGTCATGGGGACAGTGATAGATGCGACAGTCTTCTGCTTCCACGGTTTCAGAGACAATAGCTTCGACAAGTCGGCCGGAATACAGAATCCAAGTGACGTGCCTAGAGGCGTCGTATTCGCGTCCCAGCCATTCTCCGACAAGATCTCCAGGCCATGAGTAGAGCGAGAGATCAAACCCAAGACGAAGAACGCCGTGCCTCGGAGGCTCATCACCTCATGCGACTCGGCAATCTCGATAATCTGTTCCACCACGTCACTAGACTCGAGGAAGGGTGCTCCGAGCTCCATCGACCCAACATTGCCCACCGCCCAGAGGCAGCCCTTGACTTTGGTAAGAATTTCAGGGTCGCTCGTCTGCATTTTGTGTTCGCGGATTGTGGCCACAAACTCTTCAAAGTGACCTTTATCGCTGAGAAGCCTGCACCCCTCCTGGGTACGGGTCAACTCTCGGTAGAAATGCGGTGGCACATGGCTATCGTGGAAATCGGCATCAGCCTCGCCATCGTCAAACAGACTCATCCTATGACTGCCCTCATCCGGATCGACAAGGAAATCCTTTGCTAAGCTGGCTTCGATAACGCTGACATAGGTATCGTTGCGCCCCAAGAACCAATCATCCATTTCGTTGCTGATGTAGTCCAAGCCATCCAAGTAATGGTATCCAATCGACGTGGACAAAAATCGTAGGAGCAATGGTGCTCCAATCTCTCCTAGATGATCGAGTGCAGGCCTACATTCGACGATATACTCTAAATATGTCTTCCTGTTGCATGCTTTCTCCAGAATCTTGACCGCTGTCGCACATACTTCGATTTCCGGATCGTAGAGTTGGGTTACAAGGAGCTGGATCGCCCACTTGGAATCACTCACTCCTCCTTGGCCGTTGACCGAGGGAATTGGCCGGATGGCATACTTGCGAAGGGCGTTTGTTGCATGGATTCGGATGTCCTTAGTACCCGCAGTCAAAGCCTTGGAAACCAAAACGCGAGGGTGACCTTGGACGCTGTAGTCAAAACTTGACAGGAGCAGCTTGATAAGGTCCGGCCGTTGCTTCAAGTCCACAATGTGATACATCATGTTGAACATTTTCCATCTCTCCATGACCTGGAGTCCTTTGGGGTCGCCACTGAGGACCCCTAGCATGGGAAAGTAGCCGCCACAGAGACTATCAGTTATTCGATCTCTTGAGAACATGGGATATTGGGCTGAAATGCCACTGGTCTGGGTAATGGTTAATATCATATCTTATTACTCATTAGTATGCAATGACTCACTGGATCGCACTGAGCAAGACATTCAGCAATCTGCCTCAATAGTTTGCTGTCCGCAAGGAACTTGATGCCCTCCACCGATTGTAGCAACGAGTGCATGAGCGCACAACCCGCCTTGACGTACTTCTGAGTGTTTCGTGTGTTTTTGATTTCAGCAAACTTGAACTTGAACGGCCGGTAAAAGCTCATGATCCTCTTCATGAACTTTGACGCCTTGATAGCCTCTTCGAGCCGTTTCCCGCTTTGAAGGGGCCCGTCAAACACTTTCACAATATTTTCCCAGTTCCATTTTGCGTAGTTGGAGCTGTTGAGTACGTTTGTGTCGATAAGCAGTTGCCTGAACGTGGCATCATCAAACACGATTGCGGCGGTTGTCTTCGGGGTGTCCTCCAGCGACACCAAGTCTGCCATGCTGTGACTGGAAGGCAGCGCACCGGATACTGGTCCTGAGGGAGCGCTCCTGTATAGCGTTCGACTGACACTGCTGATCTGATAGACTATGCCTGATGCAACAAAGTGATCGTCATTCGATACCTTGGCCGCTGCAGAGAAAAGGTCAGGCAAAAGATGGAGCTCTGCGCTCCATGAAGGAGGAAGGAGTCGGCTGGCGAGCTTGAGCACCTCTCCAATCAGCAGAGTTGTCTTGCGCTTGAGAGTAGCATTCTCATCCTCTTGGGCGATCTTGAGGAGGATGGGGAGAAGGTTGGACTTGATAAAGACGGCCAACAGTAGAGCAGTGTAATGTTCGACAAAGTTTTGCTCGCCAGTCTCTTCTTCCACATACAATGTTTGCCCCCTTTCTCTGCCAGTTGACGACTTCAGGTTGGCTACTCGGCCGTATGTCGTCAATCTGCGCCCAGCGAGGAAGGACGTGGCCCAAGCAGGCGACTTGATCCGAAGCAACGAAAACACAAGATCGATGACTGTCTCGCGGATCGCAGGGCTTGGTAGTAGCATACTTGTGGTGAGGGATCGGATGGAGCGTAGGTCGTACATGCAAAGAGACATCAGGCCCGGCCATGACTTCAAGGCTGTGGCGATGGCCTTGGAATTTTGCTTGAGAACGTGCTCGTTGTTAAAAAGTTGATCGGTAAAGACGGTGAAGAGAACCTCGAGTCCATATCCTGGTTGGAGGTACTTCCGCTTCTTAGGCGAATCCAGGAGGTAGAGGAAAGCCGATGTCAAACTTTCTGGGGCTTTGTAGATTCCCTCAGCAAGCGCCTCGGATAGAGGACCCATGCCTCCCGATGCCACCAGCAGCGCCGGGTCACGCACCAATATCTCGGCCAGAGTCTCGATGCAAATGGGGCGGAGCCGATCAATATCCTGTTCAGAGGCTTGGACGTTGGTGCGACGATCTTCACCGTGCTCAGCAACCGCAACGATAGTTCGTACGACTGCGCGGGATATCTCTTTAACACCACCCTTCACGTCGAGGAACGCGCGGACAAACTTGAGGGCCTGTTCCCGTTCAACATCTGCCTTTCGATAGTTGTTCAAGGACCTGGGGGAATTAGTACGTCGCGTTTGGTAGCATTTGGCAGAAACCATACCGTATGACAAGATAGTCTGTGTTCAAACTGCGAATCTTCTTAAGTGAGGCCACATCCGAAATGGCATATCTCGTCATCCGGTACCCAGCAGCAACCACCTCTCGACTTTCACTCAACAGCATAACCTGCATTCGGAGCCCAAAGACGGACCAGACGAGATCGTACTTGAGAGTCTGGTGCCGCTTGAATAAGTCGACTAGCTGATTGCCACGAGTCACATAGTATTCAGGCGTCATGCCCTCAACCTCAAGCGCTTGAAGGAGCTCTGTCAGCGCAAATGTCGGGCTCTCGGTTGACGAATCAACGTCAGATCCCAAACCGGCAGATCGTGACACACTCTGTGGGGAGCGCACGACGCTTGGATCGACCACGTTGGACCCGGTACGATTTCGAGTTGGGGTCGTTGGGGGAGCTTGACGGGTGCGCTGGGTATCAGATATTTTCTGCCTCAGCTCCTTGATGCGCGTGTTGCTAGCATTGAGTTCGGCTTCGACCTTCTGACGTTGCTCCTTGGCTTGCTTTGCTTTCTTAGAGTTGAGCGCCTCGAGCATGTTCTCACTGCCCTCCTTGATCTTCATCTCACGGTTGAGACGTTCCTTGAGGGTTGCAATGGCCTTGTCTGTAAGGGAATCGACGTCGTCCTCGTCCACCTTGTCCATGAAGCTGGTGGGATACATGGACGCGGCATCGCCTCGGCTGCCCGCACGACTGCGCAACTCTGAACTGAAGCTGCCTGGGGCGCCTCCAGGATTCAGGCTGCTCCCACGCGGCGCAAAAGAGACGCCCGAGGCGGACAGGTTGCGACCACCGGCGCCATTTGGAGGCTGGAGACCCGTGTCAAAGCTGGTGCGGCCGGGTATCTGAGACTGCTGTGACGGCTGGCCCGACGACGTCAGGCCCTTTTGGGCGGCGGAGGCAGAGGAGCTCAGCATCACGAGGGTGAGCGGCCCACCGGCTGGGACGCGGCCCTGGCGCGGTAGTGGTGCATTCGTTGGTTACTCGGAGCGGTTGGCTCGCGGTCTGAAGCGGGTACGGCGTCGGTCGGAGAGTCGGAGGAGGTTGTCGTCGTTGGGGAGCGATGGCCCGACTGAGGCGGGTTACGATGCGATAGCGACAGGAGAAGTCGGCAAACGGGTTCGATACGGATCGATTCGGCGAGGGGATTGGGCTCGAGAAGATGGAGATGTGGTGATTTGGCGTTGGGGGCGGAGACGGCTCTAGAGGTGCGTGCGTGCTTGCGTGGATATGGAGGCTCTTGCAGCCGCAACACGAGCACGCGAGGAGGCGAAAGCAAAAGCAAAAGCAAAGGCAAAGGCAAATGCAGATGCAGGCAGCCCAACAGCAAACAAGAGAATGAAGGAGGCTCGAGGTGCAGGGCGACAGGGTTCGCGAAACGAGCGACCGGGATGATTGGAGGATCTGGCGTGCGGGTGGAGGAGCAGGAGCAGAGTCGCGATGGTGTCCAGCCCGTCGAGAGCCTGTAGGGAGACCGGACGTACTACGTAGAGGTAGCAAGGAACCGGTAAGGAGGGGGGATGTCGTTGGTTGTGCAGCGAAAGTGGAGGGATTGGGCTGGATGCGGATGTGGACAAGGTAGGGACGTGGTACACAGAATGGCAGTTCCAGCGCTACAGGGTCGGGCCATTCGACCCGGACACTAAATTGGTGGTGGTGGTGAGCATTTAGTGCAAAGGTACAAAGTACGGTCCAGGTGAGCGGGCAGTTAAAATAGAGGCATCACCGACTAACTACAGACCTAGTAACTGCCCCGGGCAAGGTATATAGGCCCTGCAGCCCTGTAATCCGCGGATGGCTCAGCTGGCGTTCGGTGATGGTGCCGCCGATGGTGCCCCCAAGCACCCAGCCTGAGCATTTGCAGCATGGATGTCACTGAGCCAGCCACTGAGGGCGGTCGGCGCGGGGGTTGCTGCAGGGCTTAAAACTGAACGGGCGGCGTCTCTAATTAGTACCTAGTTCAGGGCTGAACAACGGACTGAAGAACGGGAGGCTCTGTCTGGCTGCCATTGTTCGAGACGGCCCTCGACGAGTCAGAGGCATTGTAATATGTATCCTCGCTGATCTGGTGTAAGTCAGGGCAGCTGCACATATTCAAACCAGAAGAACGAGGATGGCGCCCGCTGTGTTTCCTTATCAGTACTATTTGCATTATTGACTTGTCGTCCTCGTCGTCCTTATCGTTATCTTATAACGGCATCTCAAGCTGCCTCGATGAACTTCATTGATTCACCAACTTGGTCCACAATCAAGACTGAATCAGAACCTGGCGGCTTCCACTTCTACCCAGTTTCTCCGAGACATCGTATCATCGGGAACTCTCCACACCCGGAATTTCTTCGTACAACTGCTGCTTCCCTTGACAGTTCCCGAATGTGATCCCACAGATAAGATAACCCGATAAGCTAATCGGCCATGGCTAGAAGCGGCACCCACCACCTCCCGTGCCGCGACCGTCATGGGAGTCGGCGCCCTCCGCGTCGCCGGGACCGTCCACGCGTGGCCCCATCAGAGCCGGCAGCTCGCTGCCAATCTGCGTCGCGCTTCGCCAATGCTTTCGGCCGCTGGCGCCAGGCTGTATCGCCGCTGTCCGCCGTGCGCATTGGACGTTGTAGCTGTCTCAGTTTGGCTGTTGCTGCCCCAGGTGCTGACGTGAACGTCGCGGCTCCGCGGCCGAAGGTTATATAGCTTATCTCCTCCCACCTCCCCTCACCACCGCAACCTCGAGTTCTCTCACAATCACTCAACAGCTTCTCCTCTTCAAGCCTTGAATAAGCTAAAGCAAAGACTTGCTTCATATCTCCTCGGTCTCCGTTGCCCGCCCTTCGATACCCTTCTCACTCGCGCATTGATACCCCTCTGCTTCTACCCCTCAACTTCTACCCCTCAAAATCACCTTGATATCCATGTCCCAGGAACTCCCCGTCCGAGCAAAGATGCCTTACGTCTCCGCAGCTCGCTATGGCAAGGACAATGTCCGCGTTTACAAAGTCCACCGCGACACCGAAACCGGTGTCCAGACCGTCACTGAGATGACCGTCTGCTGTCTCCTCGAGGGCGAGATTGACACCTCCTACACCGAGGCCGACAACAGCGTTGTCGTTGCCACCGACTCCATCAAGAACACCATCTACATCACTGCCAAGGAGAACCCCGTCACACCCCCTGAGCTCTTCGCCTCTATCCTCGGCAACCACTTCATTCAGAAGTATGCCCACATCCACGTCGCCAACGTCAAGGTCGTCACTCATCGCTGGACCCGCATGGAGATTGATGGCAAGCCCCACCCTCACAGCTTCATTAAGGACAGCGACGAGGTTCGCAACGTCGAGGCCCGCATCAGCCGCAAGGATGGCATCGCCGTCAAGAGTGCCATTGTTGGCCTGACCGTTCTCAAGAGCACTGGATCTGCCTTCCACGGCTTTGTGCGGGACGAGTACACCACTCTTGGCGAGACCTGGGATCGCATCCTCTCGACCGATGTGGACGCCTCTTGGAAGTGGAAGTCATTTGAGAACCTTGAGGCTGTCCAGGCGGCTGTGCCCAAGTTCGACGAGGCGTGGAAGTCTGCCCGTGAGATCACCCTCAAGCTCTTCGCCGAGGATGAGAGTGCCAGCGTCCAGAACACCATGTACAAGATGTGCGAGGAGATTCTCGCTGCTGTCCCTGACGTCGAGACCGTCATCTACGAGCTGCCCAACAAGCACTACTTTGAGATTGGTAAGTCACATATCCCCGCACCTCAACCTGAACACAAATACTGACATTTATCTTAGACCTGAGCTGGCACAAGGGCCTCAAGAACACCGGCAAGGACGCTGAAGTTTATGCTCCTCAATCTGGCCCCAACGGTCTGATCAAGTGCGAGGTCTCCCGCTCGTAGACGCATTAGCATCGGGGTTGTATCATCAATTCGAGTACATACATTAAAGCGTTGGAATTTGGGACAGTTGCAATGTAGCGGATGATCCGATGTAATGAGCTATGACGGAACCATATAACTTAAATACACTTATACATGAGCCTTGAATCAGCCGTCTGTGATAATTGCTCTTCCTAGGAGCTGTATAATTTTTATGAGTCCCAATTGCTTTGAGGGTTCAATACTTGCTGGCTTTGAGGCCCCACCCCTTTGCATCATTTCGACGTTGTTGTCCGACGTAGCAGGTTCCTCTCACGCCACAGCCTGTTCTCCGATGTTGTGAAAAATGTTGTTGCCATTTGCTTGATTTCCAGGTCATGAGAGATGCCCACAATATGGTACAGATAGTACACGACTTCTCCAGTCCGTCACGCTATTCTACAACGCCGCCGTTAACCTTCCGCCATTTGTTCCCTTATAACCTCTTGGTGTCGGTGGCACGTAGTCTCTCCACCGCCTGTTCCCAGCCGTCCTTCCCCACCACCTTGCCACCAAACCGTATCAAGTTGTCCTTGTACGGGTGTGCCTCACCCTCAAAAGCCTTGAGGCGTGCCAATCGCTTGTCTCGTAGTCGGTTCTTGGGTAGCATGCCACTGACGGCTTTGCGCAGCACCTCGGAACCACCGTGCTTCTCCATCAAGACGTCCATAGTCACCGTCTTGAGGCTACCAGGGCGGGTCGTGTGTCGGTAGTAAGGCTTCTGCCACTTCTTGCGGCCGGTCGTGTGCAGCGCAGCGCAGTTGGTCACCACCACGTAGTCGCCGCAGTCGGTTGAGGGATCGAAGATGGGCTTGTGCTTGCCCATCAGGAGAACGGCAATACGTGACGCCAGGCGGCCGAGTGAAGGGGGGGTCACGCCGGGTTGGGTCGAGAGAGTCTGGTGGGGGGTGGAGGCGGAAACGGAGTGCCATACTCGGGAGTAGGCGAGCTTGGTCTATAGAATTGGTTAGCATCTGGGTTGAGGTGAAGCATTTGGAGGTGGGGTGACCTACCAGACCAAGGGTTTGAGACATCTTGACGACTGCTAGAAGGGTCAATCCCTCAAGACAATCACCGCCAATGGGTTCAGGTCAGTGGTGGGGCCCAGGTGCTGGTGTTGTACCGTCGTTGAGGCTACGCCGGACCGTCTCGCAAGATCGCGAATCTGCCAATGCTCTACGAAAGTTTGATGCCAGGTTCAATTGCTGACTCAGGCGGGCCATGGTCACGTGCGCCAGTTGTTTTCCGAAGTCGGTGGTGGCCCACTCGGCGGGGGGTTGCACTACTACAAGTCCCGGCGGCATCGTCGGCCGTGGATTTCAAAGCAGAACAAGCAAACACACGATCTCCTCAAAATGGCCCCAAAGATCACTCCGCCCCGTGCTCTGGCAGCGGCATCTCTCTGCCTGATCGCAGGCTACTCGGCCTACCGCTACGGATCTTCACGCCGCAACAATTCCAAGGACACCCCGCCCGGTTAGTGCCGCACGGCTTCTCTTACACCGGATTCAACGGTCTAACCAGTACGAGCAGCCTCTGGGAAGAAGACAGTCGACAACTCGTTTGAGGTGCGCCCACGTCTCACAGCGGATGACTCAACGCTTTGAGAAGGGGACGAGGAGAGCAAAGTGTTCGTGAAAACCAGGGATACTAATGAAACGCTGTGAAAACAGACCCTTTTTGCCGTACCGTTGTCATGTGACGGCTGCATCAAGGCGGTTTCAGATTCGCTCTACAAGATCGGCGGCATCAACAAGGTTGAAGGCAACCTTGAGGATCAATCGATAACCGTAGAAGGCACAGGCAAGTGTTGAATCGGTGTGCGACAGGATGAGGTTGGAGGAGGGCTAATCATGCAATCTTATTTCAGCGGCACCTTCAGCCATTGTGGAAGCCATTCAATCTACCGGGAGGGACGCCATCTTGCGAGGATCAGGCGCCTCAGACAGTAAGTGCAAGAGGGCGTTTCTTTTGATTGTGTCAAAACGTTTGGGGCTGCTACTCCATGCCCGTCTCCCCGAGAATTGGGTTGGTCACAGCCAAGCTTTCATTGGGCTAACAGATGATACTCGACAGGCGCTGCCGTAAGCATCCTTGAGAGTTTTGCAGACATCGAGAAGAAAAACAAGGATGAGGAGCCAAACCGTGAAGTGAGGGGGCTGGCAAGGATGGTCCAGGTCGGCTCTGGACGCACGCTCGTGGACCTGACCATTCGGGGAGTTGCTCCAGGAACATACCGCGCCTCGATTCGTGAGTACGGCGACTTGAAGGGTGGCGCACGATCTACGGGACCCGTCTGGGCAGGAGGCGAGAAGGAAACCCGCGGTACCCTGGGCGTGGTTGAGGTGGGTAAGGACGGACGAGGCGCTGCGTTTGTCAACCATCCCTTCCAAATCTGGGAAGTCATTGGACATGCTATGGTCCTGACACGACAAGAGGAGGGCACCGAGCCGCTGGCGAACGACGCAGACACCGTCGTGGGTGTCATTGCGCGCAGTGCTGGTATGTGGGATAATGACAAGACGGTGTGCTCATGCACGGGTAAGACGCTCTGGGATGAGCGTCGGGATGAGGTCAAGAAGGGGATGCTGTGATGGAAGGCATACCCCCAGCTGTAGCCGCCGACGTCGTTCGATTTCGTCCCCTCTCAAACTTGGATATAGCGAGAATACCAGGGGAAGGATAGCATCCAGTGGAATTAAGGTTATTGAGGTCCTGGCATGATCGATTCATGGCATCAATCCTTCGTTTTCCAGTCTCTTCGTCCCCGCGGGCGCTTCGACTGGACGTGAAACCGGGAGTATAGCCCGAAACAATGGCAGGCGAAGCATTTGGGCTTCTATCGCAGGGCTTACGAGTTGATGTGGTGCGATATCTCAGTCCCAAGGTCAGATCGCTACATGGGTCAGGGCGATAATCGTTCGACACACGGCCGGGCGATGGGCAGTTGTTCTGCCACCCTCGCCCTTGGCTTGGTGCTGATGGGTGGGAGAACAAACCCATGTTCTATAGAATGCGATTCGAATTCAGGGCAGAGTTCCCGGATGGTAAATCCCCGGGTATGTAAGAACAAGCGAAGGAGAACGTCGTCGTCCCCAGACTGAATCGACGGCGATGGTGCGATCCTCGGCGTCCAGTGCCGGACGAACGGTGGATCCCGTTGCGCTCCGGATGTGCGGCTCATAATCTGCCGGACGAGCACGAAACGGACAGGTCTATGCGTAGAACGATAGATTGGAACAGAAAGATGCTACAGTGCTACAGACAGTAGCTTACGTACTATGGGGAATGCTACATCGAGAAAACAAAGGGCTTCGACGTAGGCGGCGGAGTCGCAGCGTCGCACAGAAAGTGGACGACCAAGGCAGACCGAGTGCGAAGACGCAATTGATTGGGGAAGCGGGCAGAACTCCACACTTTGAAGACCGGAAGAGCCCGGATGGTGGTGGCAGGATGAGACGGGGGCAGGCTAGGAGGTGGATTGGTTTTGGATTAGTTAGAGATCAGCTCGTGGAGAAGGGACGGGATGAATGTATCTTGTTGCGAGATGCCAGGAGTTTAGGACCTGCAATGGGTAGCACGGCGGCATGACTCTGTTGGGAAGTCACTGGCTTGTGTTGCAGAGCGAGAGGTCTTCGGGCCAATATTGAAAATCTTGCATGTGAAGTGGCACGGCAATTCGGACTTGGTGTAGCATCAACGGGGGGTCTAAGGTGAGGCGTCACATCGAGTTTACGAATTAAAGCTGCCAACTCGATTAAAGCTACTTAAACTTACACAAACTTACAAACCCTCTTCAAGCCAACTCGACAGAATGGGCTTTGTGCGTTTTGATCTTCCACTTTGTTTTCACGGCTCATTTCCACATCTCATCTCGAGTTTCCAACGTAACACACTCGCGATGTGAGTTTTGCTGCCGCATTGACAACCCCTGGCCCCTAGATCTCGGCCCGGTCACACCCTGTCTGGCAAAACGTGTCAGTCAGGCCCGCCCAGGGCCTCCGACGATCAGGGGTCCTTTCTACAGGCCTTGGCACGACCGGAGGGGCCGCGAGGGAAGCTGGTCGAAGGCCCGAATCTGGTCGCCTGGAAACATGGCCTGGCTGAGCATGCTGGTGGACTGGTCGAAGTCCATACTTCGTGCGTGTAGCCTGCGGCCCGGATGGTGACCGTGGTGTGGCTGGTGCACAGTAGATCGACGCGTGTTGAGTGGACGCATTAGTGCATGGACTGGGCAGCAGCCGCCGTAAAGGATAGGCTGGGAGGCGCTGGAGCTGAGGCAGATGGTGATGGGCCTGTGATATCATGGGCGAGGGATCAAGGGTTTCCACATTATGGGATCTCACAGCGAGTTTCTGTTTCTCTCGCTGTCGTCCTGTCATCCCATGTCGCCCATCTGCCGTCGTGGCAACCGCAGCGAGATGAAGTTGCCGGTTTTTCCCTCTAGTCCCGGCCGCCACTGCTCGGCACCGAAAGCCAAGAAGAGAGCCGAAGAGGCGTAGATTCTATTTTGAGGTTCAAATTTGGCATTATTGGTGATGAGCGGTATAACTAAGGCATGTCCAGGGGGCTACGTGAAGAACTCCACCAGGGTTCGACACGCATACATCATCACCGCGCATGTCTAGTCCCGCTGCCACCGTTGGTGTTGGTCCACCGCCGTCACCTGTTGGTAGGGACGAGCTGAGCCAAGGTGTACTACCAGTCAAGGATGTACATGACTACCCGTGCCCTTGGGTCGGAGCCCGTGGAGGTTCCGATTTTGGATGTTGATGGAATTAAGAGACGATGGGTCATGCAGAGGCAGACCGTCCATCACCCAATCTGCTCACGGGGAGCTCCAGTACGGCGCTTACACAGTCGATGGACCAACCCAACAGCAGATCGGACACACGTCATTCGACGCCAACGGCTAGCCATCGCTGGCTGCAGGGCTAGCAGGACTCTCGTCCGCGAGGGTTGCCAGTTGCCAGTTGCCAGGGTAGGCCAATGAGCCGGAACCTAGGGAATCGGAGGCGTTGAGCGGGAGGGCATTTCGCATTGCCATCTCCCCTAGCGCTGCACGCATCGGTGCTACAGCGTTCCAGCAGCCAGATTTTGGCTGAAGGGCGCTCCACCAGCCAGAAAGCCACCGCTAGTTCCCCAAGATAGGCGCCGTGAGCAGCGGGGATGTCACTCCAGGATGCCGGGATGCTCCTGGAACAGCCCAATCAAGCCCCCCTGCAGCAGGGCTTGTGGGACCTGCAACACTCGGTGCCCCAGGACGTGGTGGGAGACGTCCCAGTGGGTGCGCCGCTGATCCTGGCACCGATGTGGATGTGGCGCCGATGGGCGACGTGGGAGATGCGGGCGATGCACACTGAACGACGAGTCGGCCTCCCACCGTTCGATTTTGGGAAGCATCTGACGAGGCTCAGAGTGGAGGTGGTTCGATGAACTATAGACGAGGAGGGGAAGGACGGATTTAGAAGGGTAAACCAGATGCCCGAGCGAGGCCGATATCACATCACATCACCGGGGACGACTCTCAGATAGACGAGTAAGAGAGCATTGACGTGTGGAGGAATAACGGGACAACGACATCAAGGGTGGGCATCTTGGGCACGATGGACTACCCGGTGCACTGGAAGCGTCTGCGTATGCGTCTGATCAATCCCTCAGCTTTTCCTTTCTTTTGCTCTGAGGCTGGTGGCTCCTGTCCTCCATCAAACGCACCTGGTGCAGCCGGACAGCGAGCCATGTCCCTGTCCAAACCCGCCCAGACATGCCGACACATCGGGCTGCGGTCGATCAGGACGAACGCTTTGCATGTCAAACCCTCCGCAAACCCAACGCAGCAACACACACTAGATACAGGAGCCGGTAGCCAACAGAGACATTCTGGAGGCCGAAAAGGGCAACCCCTGCTGCACATCCCCCTGACCCGCCAGCGCGGCCATGCCTCGCCATGCCTCGCCATGTCTCCAATGCTTCCTCTGCAGTCGTTGCCCTCCCCCTTGTGTGATCCAGGTGTGACAGCCCAGCCTTAGCGGCCGCGGGTTCGCTGGGCGGTTTAGCGCCCTGGGGACAGACCCAGCATACGATGCGGTGATTGATATACCTCCGCCCCCCAGCCCAGAGCCGTGGGATTGGGCGCTGTCCACCATCTCTCACTCTCTAGGCGCTGAGCTTCGTTGCCTCGTCCACTCACTCCCTCGCGCGCCGAATCGCACCGCCCGTCCCGCTGCACAAAGGCTCGTCCCGTCACCAGACCATCGGTCCTTGGCCACACTTGCGTACAGTCTAATTGCCTCTTCTTTTGCACGACTCGCGTGGCCTCTTGGGTTCTTGGCTAGGGAGCCCTGCTTGCTGGCTTGGCCCGACTCGGACGTGCATCGCAGCGCTGTTGAAGGGGGAAAAAAACGTCCGATTGCACTTACACCGATCCTTCACCCTCGACGGGCTCTTTTGGATATAATACTCACATGGGCCGGCCCGTGTATTTCGCTCGTTATCAGTTTTTCGTCTCTCGTTTCGCAGGCACGGATCGAAAAGACTTCTTGCAGTATCTGCTCTCCTTTTGGGCATCTTTTACTCATCTCTTTCCAGAGACGACTTATACTTCGTCCATCGTCTCTCGCAACTATCAACGTCTTGCCAGCAACTCTACATATCAGATACGTCAGAAAAGCCAAAGACGCGCCAACCGCCGATCAAAACCGTCTTGTCTAGCTATTAGCAATCGCAAGACAAGTCAACTCGGCTCTCCTCCATCCATCGTCCCATCAAACCCGGAGCTTTCCTCGCGGGCCCAAGCTTTCTTGGCCGCCTTTGCTGCATTAAGGAGCAGCGCCACTGACCGGTCGCCGCCAAGTCTCAACAGCGGCCAATTGCTCGCCCAAGGCGGGGAAAACAGGCCCAAAAGCCCCAACCGTCTCGCTCCGCCGCACCGCTCCGCACGGCCAGCACCGCAGTTGCCCTGCTACCTGCCACCTGCCACCTGCCCCCTGGTACCCGGCCCCCGTTTTACGGTCACGGCCGTACCTGCCCGCCATCTCAAATAATAAGTCGGGGCAGCCCTCCTCCAACTCGACTCGCTCCTGCTGCCACTGCTACTGCTAAGCGCCGAAGCTACTTCCCACACCAACTAAGACCACCCCACTTGCCTCCCGCTACTCACTCCCGCTCCCACTCCCACTCCGTCCTTCCGTCTCTCCCATTGTCTCGCTCTTCACCTCTTCTTCGCCCGCTTCCCGCCACACCCACAAACCTCTTCTCTTTCCGTCTTTCTTCTCCAGTCCGACAGACACTCTACTTGCGATCCATACTTTTATTTTTGCTGTGGCTGCCACTGCCCTGCAGCGACAATCATGTCGTTGAAACAGGTATGTTCGGCCCAGAGCCCGCCTAACTCGTCGCCCATCAACAGTCCACTGACTCGTCCTCGCACAGGAAATCGAGACCTGGGTTGCTGCCCTGGGTCGCTACGACAACAATGAGTTTGAAGACTCCATCGTCGAGTTCGAGAAGATCCAAGACACTAGCAAAATTCTCTTCAACATGGGCGTAATCCACGCGACTCTCGGCGAGCATGAAAAGGCTGTAAGTCAAGGCATTCCCCCTCCCCACCCTGATGCGCTGTACTGCATCACGGCCACCATCGCACCCACTTCGCATGCTAACAATCACCGCGCAACAGGTCGAAGCCTACCAGCGAGCCATCCGGCTAGACCAGTATCTCGCCGTCGCCTACTTCCAGCAGGGCGTCTCCAACTTCCTCCTCGGCGACTTTGAGGAGGCCCTCGCCAACTTCAACGATACCCTTCTGTACCTGCGCGGCAACGCCATGATCGACTACGCTCAATTGGGCCTTCTCTTCAAGCTCTACTCCTGCGAGGTCCTTTTCAACCGTGGCCTGTGCTATATCTACCTACAGCAGAAGGATGCCGGTATGCAGGACTTGACATACGCCGTCAAGGAGAAGGTGGTGGAGGATCACAACGTTATTGACGAGGCCATCCGTGAAGAAGCGGAGGGCTACACCGTTTTCTCCATCCCCGTCGGCGTCGTCTACAGACCCAACGAGGCCAAGGTCCGCAACCTCAAGACCAAAGATTACCTCGGCAAGGCAAGACTTGTCGCGGCTTCGGATCGCGCCAATGCATTCACCGGATTCGCCGGCTCGGAGATCAAGAACGTAAGAACATCTCTCTTCGCACCTTGAAAACCTCATTTAGCTAACAGCCATACCAGGCCGGAAAATTAGAAGTTAAGGACGACCGGCCCCCAGACAACATCTCCTTCGCTGCCACCAACCTTGTCAAGCCTGGCATCCAATCTCGCAGACAACAGTCAGAACCGCCAAACAGCCGTAATGTCTTCCCCCCAACTCCTCCACCGGAGAACGAGCGTCCTTCGCGAGGCGCTTCTGTTCGCAACGGTCCAAAGCCCCAACTGGCTAAGCTCAACATCCAACAAGCTGAGCCGAACCGTCGCTACGAGAAGGCTGGTTCGCCCCCAGATGCTCGTCAAAGACCAGTAAGATCTGCGTCTGCCAACCCTAGGAGTGCAGGTCCTCGAGAGCCTCCTCCTCTACAGCGAAGGCCGAAGCAGATTCCGGAAGAGGAGGGCTCGTACGCCGGCGAGGTTTATGACATGTACGGCGGTGCCGGATCCAGGGGATCGGGAGGCAGCCGACAACAGGGTCGCCCATCGCAACCCCGCTACGTCAACGAGGATGACGGCTCTGAGTACGACGACGGATCCTTCGATGAAGGTGACTTCGAAATGCTGGGCAACAACCGCCGCGGCCCTGCTTCTGTGGCCGGATCTTCACGCAGTGCCCCCCGCCGTGTCGACGTCACCAAGATCCGTGTCAAGGTCCACGCCGATGATGTGAGATACATCATGGTCAAGCCTGATGTTGATTTCTCCGTCTTGGTTGAAAAGGTCCGGGAAAAGTTTGGCCTTCGCCGCCGCTTCAAGGTCAAGGTCAAGGACGAGGACATACCCAATGGTGATATGATCACCATGGGTGACCAAGATGACCTGGATATGGCAATCGACGCCGCCAAGGAGGAGGCCCGGAAGATGAGGCAAGAAACTGCAAAGATGGAGGTTTGTACACCCTTCCCTCTCATGTGCCAATAAATAACTAACAATTCATTCTAGATTTGGATCGTGGAAGTTTAGACATTATACCCCTTACTGCTGTTGCATTTTTCTTCATGTACCCTACCGTCTCACGACATAATGGTCTGTCTTTATAGTGGCTTGTCCTTGATGGACAGCCCTCTTCTTGACACGGCTGCATAGCAGCCCTTTTATTTTCCTTTTATTTTCATTCATCTTCTTCCTCTTCATCCTGTATCTTTGCCCCTCCAAGGCACGTTATGAATAGCATAGCCAACCCAACATTTATTAGAGGAGGGCGGCAGGAGTCTGGATGTCATGGTGGTCATAATATTTGCTTTGTGGTGGAAGGGAGGCCTAGCACTGTATCATGCAGGCCGAGAGTTGGAGCGACATAGCTCGATGATACCTTGGGAAGATCTGGGTTTTGAATATATCGATCATGACACGATTTATGATTTGTTTGATTTGGCAATGTGGTGTGGGACCAGCCCGGGCAGATCTGATTAGATTGGTGGTGAGGTGAAGATGAAAAGTGTTATTTTGCGTTTAGTCTGAGTGCATTGGACAATACATGGTTTTACAAGCTATGGTACAAATCTACATGGTGTCTATGGCACCTGAATGAATATCCAAGTCCTTCATTCTCGCCACTGGCTTTCTCATGCACATGCAACTCCGGTTTCACCTATGCTAGCTCTCCTGCACCGCCTTAGGGGCCTCATTAAGCCATCGCTGACGAACCTCGGGGCCGCCCTGCTCTAGTTCGTTGAGCAGGCTACGGACAACAGATGTGCGAATGCGCCACTCCTCCTGGCCCACCACCGTGAAGAGGATGCGGGAGGTCTTACCAACAGCGTCAGAGGAGCCAATGGCGATCATACGTAGCATAGAGTGGACGGCGGTGGCGTCGTCAGCAGGGATACCCTCGAGGAGTTGGTCAAGAGCCGTGGCCCAGCTGGGTGATTCGTGAACCGCCTTGTCTATGGCGTCGAATAGAGTCCGTTGGATCGGCGCGGCGGCTAGGGCTGCGCGGTAGGCAGTTGGGGGCGGACGCCAGAAGAAGTAGGGCAGTAGACGGGCAACTTCGCTGGCAGACCGGTAGCGCGCCGTCTCGTGGGCGAGGGCCTCGAAGACGTAGGCCTGGGCTACGGGCCCGGGGGAGAGCATGGCTGGGACGAGGGTTGGGGGCTGTGGCCAGGGGAGGGATGTGCCGCGGGGGAGGATAGGATACGCGGTTGGGTCGTTGGTGATGGACTGGACTTCGGAGATGAGCGGGTCGAGGAGGTTGTCCCGGATGAGGGCTTGTTCAAGGGGCGTGTGGTCTTTAGGGGGCGTTTTGAAGAGGTGGTTGCGGTATTCCCACTGGAAATGGTCGAGCTTTTGGGGGTTGAGCTTGATACCGCCACGGGTGAACTTGAAGGTCAACTGGCGTCATGCATTAGTATCAGACTCTCCAGGAAAGATGTCACTGGCGTGACAGAGAAAAAGTGGCGGAAGTCAGGGGCACTCACAGCTTCAGCGACGTCGTCGAGGAAGCGCGGAGTGGCATGCCCCCTCTTAAAGGAGGCGCCAAGGTTGGCAAGCCAAGCCTGCAGGGCGATGGGGAAGATGTTCTGATCCTGGTAGGTGGAGAGGTTGACGCTATCGTGCCGCTTGCTGAGCTTGGAGCCATCGTTGTTCACAAGGAGGCCGAGATGTGAGAAGGTCGGGGGCTCCCATCCGAAGGCTTCGTAGAGGGCTAGGTGCTTAGGCGTAGAGATGAGCCATTCCTGAGCGTGTTTTGTTAGTTATGCCTTTGTTTGGCGAGGGTGAGGGGATAATTTCAGGGGTAATTAGCATACCTCTCCGCGAATAACGTGCGTAATTTTCATGAGATGGTCATCAACGACATTAGCAAGATGATACGTCGGATACCCGTCCGTCTTCATCAGCACAAAGTCCTCCTCAGGCTCCTTCTTCTGAAACGGCCCGTAGATGGCGTCCTTGAACTTGGGTGTGCCGAAGAGGCCCGAGTTGAGGCGCACGACGTGAGCTTCCCCAGCCGCGGCACGGGAGTCGGATTCGGCGCGGGGGATGGTGCGGCAGGTGCCCGGATACGCGGTGGGCTTGCCGGAATCGTGGAGGGCGCGCTTCTGGGCCTCGAGGTGGTCGGCGGTGCAGAAGCAGCGGTAGGCGGAGCCGTTGTCCAGGAGCGTCTTGGTGTGCTCGTGGTATGTGTCGAGGCGTTCAGACTGGGAGATGTGATTAGGATAAGCGAACTCGATATACAGAGGGTGAGGAGGTTTACTTGTCGGTATGGGCCATAGGGGCCGTCTTTGTCGGGCCCTTCGTCCCATGACAGACCAGCCCATTCAAGGTCCTTGAAGATACGCTCCTCAGCGTCCGGTACTAGACGGTTCTGCGAGGCATTGATGGTTAACATAAAATTCCAGTACTTCATTTGTATGTCAGGTTGAGCAGAAGGAAATATAGAAGTGCTAACCTGGTCGGTATCTTCAATACGAATGATGAACTGGCCGCCCTTGGTCGCCTTGGACACTAGGTTGTTGAATAGCGCAGTCCTCAACGACCCCAAATGAAGATAGCCCGTGGGAGAGGGTGCAAAGCGTGTGCGGATGGGTTCGTCGGCGGGGTAGCCCAGAATATAACGCTGCGCCGTTTCTGCAGAATCTCCAACTTCATCACTGCCGCCCTTGTTGCGTTTCTTAAGAGCGGCCAACCTCGACTTGGGCTTGGTCTTGCCCTGAGTCTCGTCCTCGTTTTCTGATTTTATTGACAGCTTACCCCCCTTTCTCTCAGGCTTGCCGAACTTCTGCACCTTGGTGATCTTGTTCAATGGCGCATCCAGAGCATGGCCGTTGTTCGTCTCATCCACATCTCGACGCTGCGAGGTTGACGCAACAAAAGTGCGCCGTGTATGGGAAATTGAGGGACGACACGGACGGAGCCATTGGGTGAGTTGAAATTGCCTCACTACTCGCTGCGAACGAGCTGACAGAGGTATCATAATGGCGGTTGTGAGGCCCTCATGGCAGGGCTATAAGAATATATGGGCTGAGTTTAGTGGTCACTGAAAGAAGCGTCTCGCCATGACTCGGGAATTGGCGGCTGGACGTTAGCCTGTAGACGGGTGATGTGCCACAATGTGGCGTTCTTGATTGGTTGTCGATAAGACGATAAGATAAGATAAGATAGAGGTTTAGAATTTTGGAAAGAGTCAGTTCAGATCTTGGTTGGCTGGGCTGCTATTTGTCGATCATTTTGATTACAGAAAATGTGATTGCTTCCTTTTGTGGGCTTTACTTCTCAGATATCAAACGTCCATGCCGTAACAGTGAATCGCTTTGTGTGGACGGTTGTTTGCTCGATGCAGTTTGCCAGAGTCTACTTTGTCCAGGCGTCAATGGGCATGACGCATGTGAAGGTCTGCCTCGCCTCAATGGACAGAAGAACAGATTTATCGGGTTGCTACTGACTCGTCTAACGCCTAGACACGCCATTAGGAGATTCTTTTATCTCTCAATTCCCATTAAATTTCTGCTCCCCTGCACATTGCCTCACTCAAGAGACGAGGAGACCAAAGACCCCGCGTTCTGATTGCCTGTTCTGCTGCTGTGCCGTCAGCCACGCCAAAAGATTTTGTGCTGTACTACCCAAGTTACGCAGCTGCACGGTGCTCCACTCAACGAACTGGGCGGGCTGGGCGAAACAACCACCAATTCTTCATCTTGCATTACAGATATCTCGTTCCTGCAACGTTCAGTCTCGCACCAAACACTCGCACGCACCATGGACGAGAACCCGTTCAACGCCGGCGGCCCGGCCGACGAGGAGGTTGATCTCTACGGTGAGTTTTAGCTCCCCCGCATTTGCAGGCCGACCGTCGCAGGTTTTTCAGTCTTCAGCGCGGGGAGGGCTGGAGACGTTGAGACGCTGAGAGCTGCGGCTGACTGGCGAGGCGACAGAGTTGCTCAGTATCGATAAGACGGCCACGCCGGACCAAATTAAGAAGGCATACCGAAAAGTACGTGTTGCACTCTTCAACAACCCACATAGTAAATCATCCTAACAAGTCGTCCCTGCTCTCAGGCCGCCCTCAAGTACCACCCGGACAAGGTCCCCGAGGAACAGCGAGTCGAGTCCGAGGTCAAGTTCAAGGAAATCACACAGGCATACGAGATCCTCGGCGATGAAGACAAGCGTGGCCTCTACGACGTGCACGGCATGGCCGCCTTCGACAAGTCTCGCGGCGGCCCTGGCGGCGCCGAGGTCGACCTGAACGACATCATCTCGCAGATGTTCGGCTTCGACATGGGCGGAGCTGGCGGCCCCGGCGGCCCCGGAGGCCCTGGCGGACCCCGACGACCCCGACGCGGACCCGACGAGGAGCAGCCGTATAAGGTGACACTGGAGGAGCTCTACCGCGGCAAGACGGTCAAGTTCGCCGCCAACAAGCAGGTCCTCTGCAGCACATGCAAGGGCTCTGGTGGCAAGGACAAGGCCAAGCCCGCACAATGTGAGCGGTGCAAGGGCAACGGTATCGTCGAGGCCTTCCGCCAAATTGGCCCCGGCATGATGCGCCGTGAGGCCGTCGTGTGCGACCACTGCCAGGGCGCCGGCTCCGTCTACAAGGAGAAGGACCGCTGCAAGAAGTGCAAGGGCAAGCGCACGTCGCAGGAGAAAAAGGTGCTCGAGATCTATATCCCCCGCGGCTCCATGCACGGCGAGCGAATCGTCCTTGAGGGCGAGGCCGACCAGCACCCGGATCAGATCCCCGGCGATATCGTCTTCACCCTCGTCGAAGAGCCCCACGACACCTTCACCCGTCTCGGGCATGACCTCTCTGCTGAGCTGAGCGTGTCACTTGGTGAGGCCCTTGGCGGCTTCTCCCGAACTGTGCTTAAGCACCTTGACGGACGCGGCATCCGCATCGATCGAGATCAGGGCCAGCTCCTGCGCCCTGGTGATTGCCTCAAGATTCCCGGAGAGGGTATGCCGATGAAGCGCGGCGATGCCAAGGGTGATCTGTACCTGCTGGTCAAGGTCGAGTTCCCTGAGGACGGCTGGCTGAAGGACGACGCGGCGTACGATGCTCTGCGAAAGATGCTGCCCGCCGCCCCCAAGGACATCGACGCCGACGAGGTGGACGATGTTGAGTACGAGGACGACGCAGACATTGAAAAGGTATGACCCCCTAGTTTGCCCCTGGATTGACGCAGCATTAGCTAACACGGCAATAGATGGGCGCGACTGCAGGACACGGATTCGGCGGCGAATGGGAAGATGAGGACGAAATGGGTGGTGACGGCCAGGCGCAGTGCCAGACCCAGTAAACGCGAGGTCATATCTGTTTCCATCTACAATCTACGACGAAGATAGAGCAGACCTAGAAGCGAGACAGCCCCGAAAGAACGGGGTGGGGGCTAACGAAGTGACGACGGAATCAGAATAGAATGGCTAGGTATAATGCTGGCCGACGGTGTCCATGGCGATGAAGACGCCAGGGAAAAAAAGAGGCACCGAGGGAACCGAAACAGAGAGAGGCAGAGGGACAAGGGACTCTGTTATGAAAGGGATATCACCGCTCTGGAATGAAGGGGACAAGACTCGCTTTAGACGGCGGGGATGGCTCCAAATAGAAGTTTGAGCATGTAAATGCCTGCTTTTGATACACGCACACGCATGGCATATGCCTCCTGTGACCCGAGACGATCTAGTTAACCAAGGTGGTGTCGGTTATGTGAGTGTTGTGAGAAAGAGGAGCGTCTTGGTCACATGCTATGACGGTGTCGCGGCCGAAGCTGGGGAAATGCGGCTACGTATCGCCGGCCCCACCAATCCGCCGCCGATAACCTCAACCTCCGGGCTCCTCCCACCCCACCTTCAACCTCCACCTTCACCTCCGTCTTCGCCCTCACTCCTCCTCGTCTCCTTTTGCTCTCCTGCTCTTCGACAAACACCGCCCTCCATCTCCGCCGCAGGAAACCGCACCACCGCCCATCATGTCCCGCAAAGGCGTCGGCCTCGCCGCCTTCGACCGCAGCCGCGTCACTTCCGCCCACTACGCCTCCCACGGCTCCTCGCTGCGCGCCACAAACGCCCAGGCGCTCGAGACGCAGCTCGACGTCTTCCGCTCGCTGCTGCACCAGTTCGCCGCCACGCACGCGCGCGACATCCGCTCCGATCCGGCCTTCCGCGCCCAGTTCGCCCGCATGTGCGCCGCCATCGGCGTCAACCCCCTCGCCAGCAGCAACCTCGGCGGCGGCGGCAGCGGCGCCAACTCGGTGTGGGCGCAGCTGCTCGGCAAGACGGTGCACGACTTCTACTTCGAGCTCGCCGTGCGCATCGTCGAGGTGTGCAGCGCCACGCGCGCCGAGAACGGCGGGCTGATCGGCCTCGCGGACCTGCGCGAGCGCGTGGCCCGCGGCCGCCTGGACGGCTCCGACCCCATCGCTGACGACGACGTGCGGCGCGCCGTGCAGACGCTGAGCCCGCTAAGCGGCGCCTACAGCGTAGTGCGCGTAGGCCGCCGCGAGTACGTCCGCAGCGTGCCGCGCGAGCTGAGTACCGACCAGGCCGCCGTCGTCGAGGCCGTCCAGGTGCTGGGCTACGTGAGCGTGGAGATGCTGCGCGATAACCTGGGCTGGGACCGGGCGCGCGGGCGGACCGTCATCGACGACCTTGTGGCCCAGGGCATGCTGTGGGTCGACAAGCAGACCAAGGGGGAGTGGCAGTATTGGAGCTTGGGGTTCATGGTGGAAATGAACAGCGGTGACACAGTTGTGGAAGAAGCTGGCTGAAACGAGACATGAAAGCCACGACATACTTGTGTCTCACTGCGGCGGCCAGAGATCTTGAGTTTCAGGGACCATCCCAATGATGTTCCCCTACAGAACTTGATGGAATTGCGCCAAGGCACCACGTTGAAGAGAGATCCCAGTTACCTCTCTTGGCCATTTACAACACTTCTGCGGCCTTCATGGCCAGCGGGTCCTAGGCGAACGGGGTATTCAAACTCACTCGGAACCGATCTCCCCGCATATATCATTTAGAGGCCCTGGCATCACCCCCACATTGGTATCACATCTCGAAGTGAACGGGCCAGCTCAAGTCGCATCGAAAGCGTTGTACATAGAAGGGCACGACCAAGACAAGCCTCGGCATATATATAGACTTACAACTCCGTATCTCACTTTCAGGAGATGAAATACCCGTCACGAGCAACATGCCAGACATGAAATATAGATTAAATTCACAACAGATGTTTCTTTTACATTGCGCGCATCTACAAAAAAATCAAAAGATCAAAATGGAGTAAATACTAGTTCATTCATTAACCAGCAGCCCACACAAACATACAACACACAACACTTCTCCTTGGCGCGCGCCGCTTACCACGCCAGGACGCGGCCCGGACGCAACGCCACCTCAACTTCTCTCTTCCTCCCTCTTCGTCTGCTGTAGATACGTACGCCAAATAGCTGTGACTTGAACGCGCACCAGTCCTCCCCTGGATCTGGGGTATATACTTGTCAAGTGACGCTGCCGTCCGAGCTGCTGCAATCTCCCCTCCCTGTCCCTCCTCTTTTTCCAAAGAAGTTATAGTTCCTCGTTACCTTACACCGCGTCGCTCCCTCTCCCTTCCTAGCTCCTGTATGATTTCAGGCATCTTCGTTAGGGTGAGGCTCCCCCATCGTAGCGCAGGAGCTTAGTAGGGAGGGTTGGTGCCCATCTGAGGGTAGTCCTTCTGAGGGTAGTCCTTCTGCGGGTAATCCTCTTGGCGGGTAGGGGCGATGCTGCCAGGGCCACGGGGATCGCGGGGATCGCGGAGGTCGCGGGGGTCACGGAGGTCGCGACCATCACGGCTGTCGCCAAAGTGCTTCTTGCGGAGAGCAGCAAGACGCTTCTTCTTGGTGACGGTGTTGATATAGGTGCCGATAATGAAGCCGACAATGTTGAAGAAGGGAACCCAGAGCTGATCGGGGAGAAACTTCTGGGCGAAAGCCAGGCAGATGGGCGAGGTGACCCAAGAGACCTTCATGACCTTCCAGAAGCCGACCTTGACGGTGGCGCGGACCTGGTGGTAGGTGCGGGCACCGGCAATGAGGGCCATGGCGACGAGGTAGACGCTGTTCTGGATGGGGGCGATCTATTGCGAAGATACGTTAGTAACCGAATTCTGCTGGTGCCGCGATTTCTTGATCGTTTCCACTCTGCGTATTCTTTCTTTTGCTTTTCCTCTTTGCGTAATCTCCCATCGGTGCTCTTTCGTGTGCATCTTCTTCGGCCTTTTCTTGATTTCAACTCTTTCGTTTTCGAGTCCCTGATTGCCTTTCTTCCCGTCCTTCTCTCAATTTCCTTCATTCCTTCTCTTTCCGCAAAGTTCCACACACAAGAAAACGGGGATGGGTGAATACGTACAATCAGATTGCTGACGAGAATCTGCAGAATCTTGGCCTTCAAGCTGGTGCGGCCCTTGAAGATCTTCTGGAGAGCCCAGATAAGGAAGTGACCGATGGGGGCGCTGATCAGGGCACCGTATGCGGCCATCTTGGGGACGCGGGCAGTGAAGTAGTTGCCGTGCTTGTTGCGGTCCTTGGAAAGCCACGAGGCAATGAGCTCCTGGGTACCGGCGAGGGTACCGGCAGTCAGCATCTTGGTGCGCAGAGGGTTGTTCTCGAGCTCCTTGATGTAGGCCTGTCGCAAATGTTAGTTAGATTCCGTCGCAGTGCCAGCGCCATGAGGGGCGTTGGTGATGATATGCGGTCTCGTCGCGTTCATATCTGTCGTGGGGACGACGGGGATGACGCGATGTTGAAGAATTGGGTATGACGTACGGCCAGGTAGCCCTTGGTGCCAGCATTTTCCATTCCACCGGTGATAGCGGTGCCAATGACGGCAGAGACGGGATGGTGACCCTTGGTTCCGGGGATATCACCGGCCTCAGCCTTGTCGAGCATGGTGGCGACCTTCTCACCGGCGCCGGACACCTTTTCCTGCACCTTGGTGATGGTCTCTTTGAATTCGACTGCCATGGCTGCGAATGTTGATGTGGATAACAATGGAGGTGGTTGCGGTTTGCCGGGAACGCGCGCGTCTCAGGCCGTGGAATCGAGGTCGGAGATCGGGGAGTCGCCTGGTCTCAGTCGATTTCTGGTCTGACCAAAGATCGGGATCGATTCGGTCTGGTCGTCAAAAACGCAGGCGCGCGTTATCGTCGCTAGTCGCCGGGATTCGTCGTCGAGGTCAACGCGGCGGCGTCATAAACGTGGTGCGAGGAAAGAGAAAAACACGCGCGGGCGAAGCGGCCTGGCGGACGGTCAGTTTCAAGGTTTAGCGAGGTCGCACAGGCGGCCTATAGCAGTCGGAGGACAGCGAGAGCAGCGACGAAGGCAAAAAGAGGCTGGTGAGGTGATGGAGACGAGACTGAGGCGTGCCAGGTCCAATTGAGGCTCTCCGAGTTCGCCGGCCAATGAGTTTGTTTACCCGCTGGCGACAACGACCTGCACGTCAGATGATGCAAGCGCGAGAGGGCGGACCGGCGGCGACGGAGAGGTGGCTGGGGATGGCGATGTTTACCTTGGGTCTCGGTGTGGGTTGGGTCCAGGTGGAGCGAGGAGAGGGTACGGTACAGGGTAAGCCAGTACGGGGGAAGAGGAAATACTTACGGCCGAAGGTGAGGGTGGTGATGATGATGGAGATGGAGGATGGGAGGGCCCGGAGGGAGGAGAGGGAGAGAGTGGGCGGAGCGGAGTGGTTGGTTGGTGGTTGGTGTGTTGATTGTTTGTCTGGGGGGGAGGAGCGAGGGCGAGGGCGACGGGGACGGGGAAGGAGCGACCGGGGGGCGTGCGGGAGATGAGATGAGCCGGCGACACTCTCAGCTCACCCCAAACCCCCGAAAGGGAACGCGACTGGGTACCTACGAGCGGAATAATTGGCCAGCCGGGGAGCCGTGGGGTGCGTGTCGTACCTACAGTGGATGCTTTTCTGTAGCGAGAGGTGCGAGAGGTACCTAACCTGGCTGCTAGCTGTGCGTCTGCTGAAGCGAGCGAGCTGGTTGAGGCCCTCCAGGTTGCCGATGGATGCGCTTCTAAGTGGACGGGAGTATCTACAGACTACTAGGTACACAGTCGATGGTGCGTACGTGTGCCCTTCCGTCAGATAGTTAAGCACGTCTCCGGATACTTGGTCGCATTGTATATTTTTTTCTCCCCCGTCGCCAGCACTACTCGATGGAGCGCTGACATGCATCCATCCCAAGCTGGAGCTGAGCTGTCCCCATCCAGCTGCTCGACCGCCAGGGGCACTGACTACAACAGCGCCTAAGTTACACCACCTACACGGCTACACCACGCCCACGCACCCCCCTAATGGGCAGTCGGCCACCCATCCCAAAGGAAAAACTCCCGGCTTCCGGGCCCTGATTGGCCACATACCCACGGGCCGAGGTTCATCCCCCCCTCCACCTCCTCACTCGGTACCTTTCCACGGGAGAGCTGGGCTCGGCAAGGCTGCTGTTTTAGCCCTAGGCCGCAAGTGGTGATAGTGGGTGCATAGCAACGGGCCTAAACACGCGTCCACTATCAACAATACCTTGTGCAAGATGGTGTGGACGTTTGACGGTTCACGATGCGTGCTTGCTCGTCATACGCTGTTGTGATTCTCCCGCATTAGATACAGAGACACTCGCTGATTTGTCTCGTCTTGGGGGGTCGTATTCCCCCAGCCATCTTAATGCGCAGTCCAAGAACACGACGTGTGGCTGGTTCCCTGGTTGGCCAAAAATCGGGACTGGCTTTGCACGTGAAACCACCTCCCATTGGGTGTCCTCACCTAGCTTCACCTCGCCCGGACTCTGGAAAAACATGAGCCGACCCGAGGAATCTCGCAATGTGGAGGTCCCGACCCGCCAAGGTAAAGTTGGTTGACTTGCATACAGATAAATCCCGGAGAGGCGGGGAGTTTCAATTAGCAAGCCGCGGTATTCATTCGGCAATCAAGCACGCAACCTCTCGCAGTTGAGCCGCGATTCTGATCCACGATGCTGATCCATGATCCTGATCCACGTCTATCCACACTCCCCACAGGACAACTCATATTGTATATCGTCACCTCGCTGCTACTCCCAATCCTACATCATACACCGCCTATCCATCACACAATTCACACGCCAATGCCAAAAAGGACGAAACCAATGATTGTTAGGAATCAATCAAAAAGTAGACGCCGGGGGTTCATGTTCATAAGAACCCCCGCCCACCGAGAATCTTCCATAAGACGCCTGCCTCCTATAACCTAACATGAGGTGCCTGACGGTCGTGTCCAGAGCACGCGTTTCCCGTTCTTTCCATAAGGTAATCAAAGTCGTTCGTTCCAAGAAAGCAATCAAGCCACCATCACCGCTCGGTGGACGCCCAGCCACCGCATGCCTAGTCTCCCCTCTTCCTCTCCTCTCTCTATACACTGCCCCTGAGTCGTTGTTTCCTTGCGAGCCAGTCTCCGAGCATGTTGTCCAGTTGCTATCGCCACCACATTAGTACATATACTCCCTGTCGTGCATAAGTAAAGGGGAAACTCACAGTTGTAATCTCAGCCAACTTCGCATTTTGTTCTCGGAACAGTCCACTGACAACCGGATGATCCTTGCTCGCCGGCTCCACGTTCGTCTTGTCGTACACCACGGCCAGTAGGTCTCGCACATGCTCGCTCTCGTCGAAAAACGTCCGCAACTTCTCGTCGTCCCAGCTGGATTCCTTGCCACTTCGCGTTGAGCCGCTGCTCTTGGACACCTCATCCCCGTGCAGTAGCTCTGGTGATGGCACCTCCTCTGATGAACGGCCCTCCTGAGACGAAGTGTCAATCTCAAGCGCCGGTGGTCGCGTCGCGTTGACCGGTGATACCTGCACAGGTGATTCGGACAGGCGGTTCTGTTGTTGACCCTTGTTGTCCGTAGCTGTAGCGTCACTCGTGTTCGCTGCGGAGTCAGCAGTGTCGGGAAATGCTCCTGGAGCCCGCTTCGGCTTGACCTGTTCCTTGGACTTCTCCTCCTCACTCGCGTCCGGTGTTTCTGACTCAAGGTCCTCGTCCGAAGAAATGTCGTCCAGATCCGTCCGTGGCCGGCTTCTGTTCATTTTCTGCGCCCTCGTATCGGCACCGGTGCTGGCACTTCGGTGCAGGCCCTTGCTCGCCGCCGACTTCTCATCGCGCTGAGCTGCAGCAGAGGCAGAGCGTTGCTGGCTCGCGTTGGCATGGTGAGATGGCACCTCCTGTGTTTCATTTGTCTCCGAATCCACAATCCGCATTGTTGCTGGTGGCACGTTCGACACGTCGTTGGTCCGTGTCTCATTGAGATACGCCGCAAGCTCCATGGTCGATGACGGTTGCGTTATGCTTCCGGGGCCCTTGCGTGTAGGCGACGGTTCTGTCCGCGGCAGCTGCTTCTGGAGCTTGCTGGGGCTTCGTTGTATCTTATCAGCCGATACTGGCTCCTCAAGTGAAGGTGACTCGCTACTTCGTCCCACCGACTCCGACTGGGTATCCATCGACCGCTTGCCAAACGACTCGTCATCCTCATCAACCGACTTCTTCTTTTCCTTCCGGGAGAAAAAGCTTCGGATTGCGCTCGGTTTCTTTTCCTTTTCCTTGCGCTCCCTCTCCTTGATCTTCTTCTTCTCTTTGTCTGACATGAGCTCCTTGTCAAGTTTATCCATACTCCCTCGGGACTTGACGTCCTTGGTTACCGAATCTGTTGACGGTCGTGGCTGGTTGTCGTCTCGCAGCAGGTTGGGCGTCAGGGTAATCTTCTTCGTCTCGACGGTGTCATCCTTAAAGAAAGAGTCGGTGTTTCTGACGGTGCCGTTCCGTGACCTGCTGGGGCCCTCTGGTTTGGTATCCAAAAGAATTTCCTCGCTGTTCCTCGTCTCGTCCTCCTCCATCACCGTCTCAACCTTGGTAGACTCCATCACGAGTTTCACGTCCCGGTTTACCCTGGGCTTCAATGGTTCCACCTTGGCACTCTCCACTGGCGCGTTATCGTCCTCTACAGAGGCTTGAACAGTTTGCTGCTGCGATTCCTTCTGTTCTTGTTGTTGCTGTGTCGTGGAAGTGTGACCAGCAAACAACTCATCCAGATCCTCCTCGTCAGTTGAGTAATCGTCAAAGTCAGAATAGTCCACATATGTGGGAGGGGCAAAGGCAACGGTCTTGCGCTTTAAACGAATGGCGGTTTTGAAGGTCTGCGGCTTCTTATCCTGCTGGTCTCCCAGCATAGTTGCCGATAGCTGCAACATGTTAGCAGTGGCTCATCTTCCCGATATCAGGGCAATTCCTACGTCGACATTCCTATGCTTGTTCAAGCGTGCTAATCGTTCCGTAGGCGTCTCGATGTGCTCGGCTGGTAGATATCCTACACGTCGGAGTCAGACGGGCTGCAGGCGCACAAGATTAGTGGGAAACGCACCAATACTACTGTCCTTGACGACTCTGACTAGCCACCAGTAGCTGTTGCTATCATCAAGCAGGACCATGGTATCACCCTTGGTCGCATTTGCTTGACCTTCAACTGTAGCGACGAAGGTGTGTAGCGCGTACACGAATTCGAAGTCGATGTCCTCTGTGTCTTGTAAGCATTCGGCCGCCCAGCCAGAATCAATGAATCTTGTGTCGTCAGGGAAGGAGAGGTTAGAGTCATCATCATCTTCGAAGGATTCTTCGTAGGGGATCGTAAGCGACATGTCGTCATCGTTAACGGCGAGTATGGCGGGTTCGTCTTGCTCGGGCGGCTCGTTTTCAGTGATGTCGGGTTGTTCCGAGATGTCGCCACACTGATTGGAAGTGTCTTGGTCCCTATTCCTGTCCCAAATGACTGATTCCTTTCTCTTGAGTACTTTGGGTCCTCTGGTAGAAGATCCCTAGGCTTCTTCCTTCTTCCCATCCGTTTTATCTCCAATGCTACGCTCGGCGTCAAGGTATTTGTGGGGTTCGGCATTCGTTTCGGTTTCGATGGAATCGCATTCGACATACTCACGACGAAGACGATGATGATTGGGCGTGACGGGTAGCGCCCGTGGAAGCTGTGCATATGTGCTGTGACTGGGGTGGAGCTGGAAGGCATCCGGGTATGGGGAAGGAGGTCTTGGGCCACTTGAGCCGGTGGTAATGGGGGTAGCGGTTCGAAGCGCGGAAAGGGAAGAAACCCGACGCGGCCAGGCCACGGGGGTAACAACAGGACAGCACCCACCATCTTCAATCGAGGGCGAGCTCGAGATCTTGTCCATCATGTCATCGTCCAGGTCATCTGCGTCGCCGTCGAGGTCACCCTCGTCGGACGAGGAGATGCCGCCATTCTGCGCAATGGCCAGCGCATCCTCCTGCGTCATCCTCCTATCCTCGTCGTCGTCACGATGCTTGGAGTGGTTGGGTCCGCCGACCAGGTCCTCGGCGAATTGGTGGATGTCGCCGGTGTCGCCGTGGTCCCACGAGATGCGCGGGGAGCGGCTCTGTTCGTCTGCGGCGTCGCTTGAGACCTCGCGGATGGTCTCGGCCTGGTGGGGTGCGAGAGAGTTGGAGTCGGCGTTGGCTTTGATGTGCGGGCTCCGAGAGTGATCTTGAGCGGAGGGAGAGTGATGGTCTTGGAGGTCGATGGTGTCTGTAGTCGAGCGAGAAGAAGCGGGAGTGTCAGTCAACGGCGTGTCAAGGCGTGTCAAGGGAATGTCGATGGCAAGGCCAGGCAAAGCAAGGCAAAGCAAGGCTAAGGAACAATGAAAAACAACAAGATGATCAAAGTCGGGTGGTTGGAATGTGTATCGCGATGTGCATCGGCACCCCCCGGTTCAAAGAAGGCCAGGGATCCGAAGGCAGCGGAAGGAGCAACACAGCGCGGCGCAGTGAGGCGCAGGGGCAGGGGCAAGGGGCCAAAAGAAGGACAGGAAAATGATGCTTGGATGCCTTCGAGAACGGACGCCGTTGGAGGGAAGGGGGTAAGGGGAGGGAAGTGAGGTGTGGAGAGAGAAGACGAAGATGTGAGATGACCGCAACGAGCAGTGTAGCACGCGGGAACCTCGTGGGTAAGGTTTGGAAGGGGAACATACCAGCGCGGATGATGGTTGGTCGTGTCATGGTGAATAATATAAGAGCGGCAGCGCCGATCTACAAGGCGTTGGGCGGAACAGCCACGACCCTGGATAGCAGACGGCAGACTGCAGACTGCAGACTGCAGACACACCGACGCCGATGCTGTGCTTCGTACGTCGCACACGGCAGACGTGTTGGCCCCCTGGATCGATTCCCTTGTTCACACGCGGTTGGTTTTGTGTGTGTCGGTTGTGACTTGGGACGAGGCGCCAAGTGGACGGGGGGTTCGGTGGACCTTGTGCTTCGCCTATGGCTTGCTTTGTGCCTGCGTTGTGCTTTTTTGGGGGGGAGCGGGAGCGGGAGGGATCAATTGCGACCTGGGCCGCCTCGTTTCGCGGATTTTCTTTCTTTCCAACGATGGTCTTGCTTCACAATTCGAGCCTAGAAGGCCTAAAAGGGAACCCGGTGGCCAGCCACGACGGGCGAGTCGAACATGAATCGGATGGATCAGTCTCAGCCTCTCGGGGGGCGTGGGCCGTCGTCTTGTCGTTGTGCTGCGCTGCTCGATACTGCTTGTGCTGTGCTGTGCTGTGCTGTGTTGTGCTTGATCCGCCGGGGTGGAGAGACCAGCGAGCGAGTGACAAATGATCGTCAGAGGGATAAATCGTCGTCACGGCACTGTAGTGACTATGTATCGGCACACTGCACTGCACTTGTGTGAGTTTGGATGAGTTGGCGCCTCGGCGACAGCACGACGAGAGTCGCAGGATGGCCCAAGTTTGGTTTCGGGGCACCCACCTGGGTATGGATCTCCACCAGGGGAGGGTCGTGCTCAAAGCCGGGCGGATCTAACGAGAAAAGGCCCAGCTCTCTAACCCCCTTTTTTTCCCCTTCTTCTCCCCGTCTGTTTAGACTGGGTGTTTAGACTGGGTGCAAGGCTGCCCGGTTCCAGGCCTAAAGTTATTAACTGTGGCGCCCCTTTCTTTCGGTAGCAACCCGGGCTGGGGCTCCCGCGAATTGCGATCCCGGCGTCGGCGTAGCGTCGGGCGAGCGAGAGGCTTGGGCGGCTGGCGGCGCGATGGTGAGATTGCGGGAGACGAAGAAAACTGAGCGCGATCTATCTGCGGGTGATGTGATATCCAGGCCCAGACCAGCGATTACCGTGGAGAAAGAAAAAAGCCAAGGGTGGTTGGCCACGCCTTCAACGTCGAAGCGACTACTCTGTACCCAGCAGAGTTGGGTCCCTTTCAACCTTTGGCTCCGGGGGGGTTGGTTAATTGATGTTTCGCCGTCGACGTCGGGACGAAATAAAGTGGAGGCCGACGCGGGTCAGGCCATGCCTGAATTGAGCAGAGCAATTCAACGGAGCGCACCGAGATGGCGAGATGGCGAGAGAGCGAGAGAATGGCGAGAAGAAAAAGCAAACCGAGGCAGGAAGCGAGGCGAGGACTGAGGACTGAGAGGGACGTCGAAGTCGGCAGGGTTTCGTAACACGGCGGCTCGCGTGTCAACTAGGTTTTGCTGAGAGATGAAGGATTTCGTGGTGGTGTTCCGAAAAAGACGTCGAGGTGGTAGTGGTGGAGGAGCCAGGGGGCCCTTGATGGCTCATTGGGTCAATTAATCGGCGGCACCAGCTTGGGACTTGATTCACTGACGGCAAAGGTGAAAGCGGGTGGGAGAAGAGAGACGAAACAAAATCCCCAGCGTGTTTGTTTGGCGTGTTTGTTTAGCTGGCGGTCTGTCTCCTCATCCTTTCTCTCTCATTGCACGTCTCTGTCATTATGCATGTCTCTCTCGCTTGGACGACAACTTTGCTTTCTGGCACCATCGATGCATCGTGTGTCATGTCATGTCTCAACTAACCCAACCCGACGTGCTCGCCAGCAGGGAAAAGAAACGAAAAACACACAATACGAACCAGACCAAGCCCTCTGCTACACTCCAGGTCTCGATGCCGGCCAGCTGGCACTCAGCACTGCACTCACTTACTACGGGCGTATTACTTGCACAGGCTTGGCCTCGCTCATGGATTCGGAATTGGTACATATTAAAGCCCCCGGGCCCTGGTCAAGCTTCCGCATGGAATCCTTAGCGGGTATCCGACGGCCTGTTCCCTGCTCGGCTAGCGGCCACATCGCCTGTAACTTGGGGCCCAGCCGCGTGGCTGGTGCCGGGGAACAGGGGCGTCGGGGGCCCATGAAACGCTGAAACTTGGCTGCGCCAGGGGTGTGTGTCGCTGCGGCGGGCCGTGACTGGCTGGTAGGTGCCTTAGGTACATTCCACGGATACGTACCGTACCTGACTAGAAGAAATCCCCTTCCCGGCCAGCTGCCCACCACTGGCACTTGTGACTTGACAACCGCCCAGGGAAAATTGCCATATTTATCGTCCCAGAAGTTTGTCCACCAACAAGGCTCAGGGCACAGGGGGGTCGGCAGCCCAATCAATCCCAAACACCGGCCTTGTTTACACCCGTGGCAGTGTGATGTGCCTCTCCCACAACCATTCCCGACGCAAAATGGAAACAAGCTAATGTAGGCACTTTAACTCTGGACTCCGAGGCACGCACACAATTCCTGTGCTGCCCAGCAATATCGTCCCACCTTCCCACACCTTTCCACCCCATCCGGCATCCCGCATTCCACATCCCGCATTTTTCCTCTTTCGTCATGTCTCAAGTCCAAACACAACACGAATGAATCCCCGAGTCCAGTGTGGAAAGGTGTGATGCTCTAATCCCCGCCCTCACCAACGCATCACTAATTCTTTCTCCTCTCTGTCTTTCTTTCTTTCTTCCTTCCTCAGTGGCAATGATAGGTATTTAACAAGACATTGCATTATCCATATGCCGTGTCTCAAAGTAGCCCCTACTCCTCCATCCACGTCAACAAAGACCAAGGTTTGCCCACACATGCAATGCCACGCCATCCGCATACGCACGCACACGCACCCGCGTATACCGCTGAGAGCTTCCAACTTGCCCAGCCCATCCAGTCTCCAGTTTTGCCATCACATGTCATTCACGACGTTGGCACTCTGCATAAAAAGTCTCAAATGTAATCTTTCAAAAACACAAACAAAATAGCGGCATCCAGAGATAAGAAATAGATTGCTCGTGCACTACTGCCTTGAAAGACAACACAGACCTCATTCATGGTCCTAGCACATAATGCTCGGGCCGGCATGATTACCTCTTCTCGCAAGTATCTACTATGTATATATTAGCCCACGGTCCATTGTGCCAAGTTGATCAAGGACAAACGCATAGACCGCTGGTTCATCATCGTACCATCCGCTCCCTTAACTTTCTTCTTCTGCCTTCTTTTCTTTTTCCCTTACATCCTCGGACGATCACATACCACCACCAACGTAGCCGACATCGACACCCACAGACCTCTTCACCGAGAGAAATGCTAACAAGTAACTTACGGATCAACCTCCAATACCAAAACGAATGAGACATGTCCAGCCTATTCGGCTCATGCAAAACACCGTCGCCGTACAACTCCGACCCGGACATCCGGCATTCAAGTCGGAAGGGTGTGTTGCCGAGACGATGCTGAGATCCACTAACTCGATCCACCACACCTCCCTCTTCTCGATGTCTCTTGGCGGGTTATATTTCACCGAGCAGTGGAACATCGATCTGCACCAATGCCGGCATGTTAGAACTTTAGTCACTGGAACCAGTCCCGTATCCACGGCTACGAAAAGGATAAAATGCTTGAACTTTGAATTGTATTTCATATCATTATCGACTACTTGGATGCAGTCTTTTCGGCTTTTCTTTAACCATCCCAATCCGGTTCCCAATGAGGCCCATGCCAGGGCAATGACCCAATGCTGTAAACAAACCACAACAATGCTCGTGTCCTCTCGAGGACGTTCTCTCAAAAATCATCAGGCTATGCTTAAAACAGAAAACACTCTTCTTTTCCACTCATCTAAAGCTTTCGGGACTCAACTCTTCAAGCACCAATCTTGGCCATACGCTTCGACATGCTATTGCAACTGATTAGCATCTGTGTTTCATGTGGGGTAGTTTGGGTTACACTTACAAGTCGTAGAAGGCAAACTGGCTGGGGCTGCTACCGAACTGGTACACGAAGCGGCTGGCAAGGTAGCAGCCGAAGATGCTGCGGAGGTAGGACTCGGGGATGCGGGTCATCAGAGTGTCGAGGCCAATCTTCTCCAGCAGGAGGGCGGGAAGGGCATCCTCGAGGACAGAGCGGCGGATCTTCTCGTTGTCCCAGAGATCGGAGTGCTGAAGCTTCTCGTCCAGGTCGGTGATGGCGACGGACAGCTTATCAGACAGGATCGATCGGGCGATACCAGTCTCCTCGTTCTCGCGCCAGATGGCCTCGAACTCGAGACGGGCGTTGTCCTGGATCTTGAGCTGAACCTGCTTGACGTAGTCCTTGTAGAACTGAGGGGCCTCGCCGTTGGCGCCGACACACATGTTCTCGGCAAAGCCGGCATCATCGAAGGAAAGCGAGGCCAGAACCTCAAGGGAGGACGAGGTCACACCACCCTTGTTGGCGGAAGCATCCTTGTACAGAATGCAGCCGGCCTTCTCGAGGATGAGCTTGGCCTCCTGGGTGATGAACAGGTTGGCACCCTCCACGAGGTAGGGGATCACACACTTGCCGTCCTTGATGAGACGGTTGACAGTGATGAGATCAATCGAAGCGGGACGGCCACCACAGGGGACGAAAGCATCGACACTACCGGTATCCCGAAGGTGGAAGGTGTTACGGAACGAGGTACCGTTGGTAACAACCTCGCCACTGGGCAGGGTGACGTTGCTATCGTCGACCAGGACGCGGTATCCGTCCTTGGAAAGCTTGCTGTCGTCGTACTCGACGATCATCTTTCGGTTCTCGGCAAGGCGGAGAAGCTCAGCGCGGTCAAGACCGTTGGGGTCAGCGAGGACACCAGAGCCATCAACGATGGCAGTGTACTTCTCGTTACCCAGCTTGATCTCGTTGCTACCGAGATCACCGTCGGGACCACCGGTCTGCATCTTGCGGATGGTAGAGGGGTCGAGGTTCAGCTTTCGGTAAATACCGTTGACATACTCACGGACAGACAGAGTGGTCATGCCGTAAGCGTCGTGGGGAATACCACCCAGCTTGGGAGACTTTCCAGTGAAGAAAGACTTCCACCAGGGAGCGCCACGGACGCGAGCATGCTCAGTGGCCCAGTCGACCAGCTCAGCAGTGTTCTCATCGGGGCCCAGGAAGAGAATTTCCTCCTTGCCATAAAGGTCGACGAGGGGGTTCTTGATTCCAGGGGTCTGGGCGGGCAGGAGAAGATCAAGGATACTATCAATGTACTTCTCAAAAGCCTCACGGGCCCGGTCCTGCTGCTTGGGGTCGAGGAGGATGACACCCTTGGAGCCGCCCTCAGGAATGTCCTTGTTCTTGCGCTGCTGAGTGCTAGCAAGACCATAGTTCTCATCGAAGAGGTTACGGGCGTTGATGCTGTAGGCCTCCTTGCTGCGGGACTTGACGATACGGATACCGCCACGAGAGATGTCCTTGAAGCGGAGGTGAAAGCCTCGAGACTCGGAGCTGATGACGAGGAACATGCCGTACAGGGGCTTGGGGTACTCGACATCAGGGAGGAAGTTGGGGTCGAGGCGGAAGCTTAGGGCAACCTTGGTAGGGGTGAAGTAGTTGGTCTTCAGGATGGCGTTGTTGAAGACTCGGAAAGCAGTGAGGACCATCTCCTCGTGCTCGTTGTTGACAGTCTTGGAGATCTTGTCCTTGAGGGCGTCATCTGACAGGACCTCAACGGAGGTGCTAGAGGAGATGAGTTGCTCAGCGACCTCGGCGTCCTTAACCAGGTGGACGTTAGCGAACGAGGCATAAAGGGCCCGGACGAGACCAGGGTAGTTCTGGATAATCTCATAGATGTAGTCGGGAGTGAAAGTCTCAGAGCGGAGACGGCGCTTGAGGTTGGAGAGAAGGGCGGCCTGGGCGTTGTTGCCAGGGTCGAGGATCTGAGACAGCGAAGCATACTCAGGACCCAGTCGGTTCAGGAAGTGCTGGACGAAGACCCAGGCGGAGTGGGCGTACACCGACTCCTGGAGACTCAACTGGTTGGTGAGGAAGAGGTTGTGGAACTTGTTGTGGGGGAGACAGTAGAGGAGAGAGACCTCCTTGGAGATCTGGTTAATGGAGTCCTCCCAAGGGGGGAAATCGGCCTCGAGGCCAAGAGCGGGTCGGAGGTAGACGCTCATGACAGTGATGCCGTTCGAGAACTGCTCGAGGTACTTTCGCGAGCTAGTGACGCCATAGTAGTGGTAGAGATCACTCAGAGCGGAGAAGAGACCGCGGGCGGTACGAGAGCGGAAGGCAATAACCATGCGCTTCTCGACGCTGTCCTCAATGTCAAAGACCTCGATGACGGGGCCGGCTCGCTTGACGGCGAGCTCAATGATCTCCTGGTAGATCTGCTTGGTGTTGACGGTAGCCTTCTGGAGGAAACCGTTGTCGGCAATGAGCTCGAGGGTAGTCTCATTGGGGTCGGTGTTCTCGGGAGAAGTCAAGAACTGGCACTGGTAGACGAAGTAGCAGCGGAGAGTAGCCTTGGATGAAGGGCTGGCTCCGAGCACGGCGGGAGATCGGAAAGTCTCAACGCGGTACTTGCTCTTGCCGGGGTGGTCGATGTACTTGTTCTCGAGGCGCTCCTCGTAGCGGGGACCAGAGAAGTTGGTCTCACCGGGAGTGCTGGTGTCAATGTAGATGGCGTGGTCGTTGGCCTCCATGTCGAGGCGGATCTCCTCCTGCTTGTCCTCGCGAGCAAAAGCGGCGACCTTGGCAGCGTACAGTGAGGTAACATGGCTGGCAATGACGGCAGGGGTCTCGATGGTGAAGTAAACATCATCGATGCCCAGCTTCTCGTAGAACCACTGGATCTGCTCATCAGCCTGAGACTGAGGGATGAATCCAGCTTGTAGGATGATCTCCTTGACTAATTGGGTGGTCAGCGAACTTGTCTTACTGGCCAATTGGGTTTTGCAAGAGCTTACCGGACTTGATCTGATCAGCCTTGCCGGTGAACTCGGGGGCAATGTAGCCAACAGTGGCCGAGCGAAGAATCCGGTGACCGTTGTGGTTAGTCGCGGTCAAGGGAACGCTGAAGTGGGTAGGCTGGGGAGAAGGGCCACGGCTGGCCTCCGCGGACTGGACACTAGCCAGAGGCTTGGAAGTAAGGGCGGTCATGATGGGCAATGGTTCCTCGAAAGGATCTGTGTATTCCGGAAACCTGTCAATGGGAGGGATGTTAGTCGTGGGACTTTGAACAGCCAGCATCTTGACAAGATGCTTTCGGCGGCGAAAGCAGAGGAATGTGTATAAACGTATAAACGAAAGGAGGAAACGTAGAATGGATGATGAGGGAATCGGGAAAGAGAGCAGCTCTGGGGAAGTGCTTTATACACCGTGCCCAGATGGCGTCGACATGATAAGAACCATCATGTCGTCACCATGGACACGGCATACCAAGTCTCGGTGTGTGTTTGTGAGTCAATGGCAGCTGCTCTGATACGGCTGCTGACCATCTGACGGGCGCAGCATCGGCTCAGAGCGCGGAACCATGGTCCCAGCAAACGCCACCGGATCGGGACCTGAATAGCTAAATGCAGCGTGCAGGGCTTGGGTGGCGCGGCGAACGCGAGGGACGCGGCAGATGGCTGCGAGCCAGCAGGAGCTTATCTCGGGCGACTGATACGGGCGAGACCAGCGACTCGAGCCCGGTGAGGACGGCTTTCACCGCCGGGCCGGTCTCGTATCGTCGCCAATTTTGGATCAAGGCAGGGGGTGCAACAGGGAGCCACAAAGGGGTCCAAGTTGCGATAAGGGAATATGAGGGGCGGGCAGGCGTCAGATAAGAGGGCAGGTATCCGCGACTTACCGGTTTGTTTATGTGATGCGAGTCTAGCCGCAGATCAATTCGTCAAACAGTCGAATCGATGCAGGAGCGAATTGGCGGGGAAGAAAACCTGCTGTGGAACTTGGGCACAGGCAGGGGATTGAGGTGGTGCGGCGGTGATGATGTGTAAGTCGGGAATGCCGGGCCTTGCAACTGGAGGAGGCGAGAGGGTTTCTCTGGCGGGGCAGGAGGAAGATGGCAGGGAAACGAGGGAGAAAAACAACAAGAGGAAGCCTCTATTTGTTGTGGACGTGCTTCTCGAAAGAGGAGGATGTGCGAGGTGTAGAGGTGTAGATGAGGCTTTGCGAAGCTAGCCGAAGTTCCAGAATGTCCAAACTTTTGATCTCGATTAGCACAGCTTTAGCTGGCGGTAGTTCCGTGGTGCGAACTCAGCACAGCCATCCAGTCAGCCCTGTCGTAAATAGCAACTGACGGACAAGCCGGGTCAAGAGAGATAAGAGAATCTGTCTTGATACGGTAGAGTTTGTTTGTCTTGGAGGGGGTGAGACGGGAGTGAGGAGGGCGGCGTGAGGTGAGAGTGAGATGCCGCTGAGGGGAGAGAGGAAGAAGAGGGAGAGGGGAGAAGGAGGATGAGGGCGAGCTGAAGTCTTTGGCAAAGACGAGTGAGTCGGACGCTTAACGAACCAAGATCTCGAGAACGCTCTGGGGACCTGGCGATGGAAGCCTTAAATACTCGGGCCACGAGATTCGAGTCTTCTGCTCAACAATGACACTGGTACGAAGTACATGACGAGGTACTTGCCTGAGAGATGCCTTGGAGAGGATCGGTACGTACCCGCTCGCATTGCGAAGCAGGTACGTACTCTGTACTCCGTCTCCATCCCCGTACCTTCCATGTTCCAATCCCAAGCTCAATTACGGCCGCCCCTTCCTTCCTCGTGGTCGTCTTCTCTCGTTCTTCTGACATGCTTGTCACGTTGGCCACTCCTTTCTCGCTCACCTTTGCTGCTAATACACCCTACGCCTACACCTACACACCCCCTGCGGCCCTGCAGTGGGGCTCGCCTGCTGGGTCGCTCACTGGAGGGGGGCGCTTGGGCGCGGTACAGCGCAGTCCCAGGGCATTCCTGCGGCGGTGCGTGCTGGGAGGGCTGGTAACTTGGTACTGGGTGCCTTTTTGGCCCCGCTCCGCCCGGCGAGACCCTGCGCGGTGAGGCCTCGTGCGGACGGGTGCTCACATTGGCACACAGCACCAAGCACAAAACGAAGGATACCTCCCAATAGTCACCGGGCCGGTCGGCCAGCGTCCTTCCATGGCGCGCGCCCCGGCACTTGGCCCAGCCAGAACCGTCGAGAAGCAGGCCCAGCGGGGAAGATCGTGATCATGACCTCACGCAGCGCAGGAAAATAGCCAATTGATTACCCAATAGCGCCTCCACCCTAAGCCTCAAGGGGAAGGCTACATGGCCCGAGCGCCCGGTTCCTGGCCGCTCAGGTGCCAGGAACGACTTCTCGATGTCTCCCCAGGCCTCCTGTCCCAGTTGTCCCATTGTTCCAGGTGGGGAGGGGCCTTGCCGGGGACCGGTTATTCGAGGCTCTGCTCCTCTTTTTTTCTTATTTTTCTGCTTGTCAGGTGCTGGGCAACTAACTCAGTGACTCTATCTTTTCATGCTCTCATCTTTCGCAATCGGTCCCACTTTCTCTCCACTGTGGAATTCCATTCATCATCCATTGTGGGAATCATAACAGATCCCGTCTGTGCATCACAATCGTACTGTGCCGTACAGTGCGTTTACAACAGTCATGTGTGCCATGTACGCCATGTGCGCCCCGGTTACCTGGTTGGCACAGGGTAATCACAATTTACCCTCATTGAGCCTCGTTCTGGCCTCAAATATGCACGACGCACATAGGCACAGTAGGAGACCCAACTCCGCAACTAACCTAATCGGTCACCCAACGGTCTGGGAGAACAATGGTGCAATTATGCTGGTCCAGCTCACCTCGCGAGCTGCGAGTCATCGTCGAAAAGGCTACTTCGTGACATACAGACCCTGCCTCGTTTCAAGTCGGCTACTTTTTTTCTCACTTTGCGCAAATAAGCCCCCACTTGCCTGTGCCTGGACTGTGCCTTCGTCCTACACGATATGACGGATCCATGATGTCGAATCGTTTGCTGGGCCAAGGAGGTGACGAATTTCTTGGCCGGAGTCAGCCAGCCAGAAACTTGGTACAGGCCAAGGAGCGCAGGCGGTGATTCGCTGGTGGTGTGCTCCAGTGCCGAGCTGGGGTTGTCGCTATTGGGACTTAGCAAAACGTCATGCACGTACTCCGTACAGAGGTACCTCTTCTCGAAACAGGTACCTCATCCACGTAATTCTCTAGTTCTCGGCGGTCCAATTGTGTCAGCAGGGGGGGGATATGCTGGGTGAGACAATTCCTGCGGCCAACATGTACAATCACGCATTCGTCGGTGATGGATGAATGGCCTAGGATTCCCGCGGCGAATACATTGCGTCCCATCCGCACATGTCCTGGACCCTGGGCGCTAAGGGCACCGCGGAGAAGCGCTGGGACCCTGGGCAAGAGTCGGTGTCTGCGAGCCGAGCAAAGGCTCACCTGACCGAACTTCACTGAAACTGGGGCTCACCGAGGGTCCCGGCCAACCTGACCTAGGTCACGAGGGCTAAGTAGTAAATTACTTTCCGTCTTGTCCGCCTCAACTAGTAGGGCAATAGCAAGGGAGGAGAAAAAAATTAAAAAATTAAAAACCCGAGCTTTCGATGACATAGTACATTCAGTTCATTGCCGACTCCCGCTAGGGCTGCCCCGGAGTCAAAGGGAAGGTGCTCCGGCCGACGCGGGGCCGCATGGATTACGGTGTTCCTCCACACAATGATGACAGCAGCACATCTTTGCCCTACGTACATCTATGGATCCCCATGGAAAGGTACGTAATTGTTCGTACCTGAGCTAGGTACTTCTTTTTCGTTCCGGTACGCGTCAATGGCTGAATAGTACCATCGATGACACAATTGCCCAGGTCGTCTACCCAATGTCGGGACGAGGTGGGCTACCAGGTGAAGCCGAAAAGGTTGCAATGGGGTTGGACGACATATCATGAGGTAATTGGCACCAATGAGCGAATCTGCAGGAAGATTGCGTGGTTTCGACCTCTTCTCTCAAGTTAGAATCACATACAAGTCACCAACTACGAAAAAGGTCTCCTGCAACGGGCCCGGTATCCGCCTCCGGCGTCTCGCGCACCAGACCCCCGGACTGCCCCGGTGACCCACTCAGCGGAGGGCCGGCGCCCCCGAAAAGGTCCTCTCGCCTCCCCGCCCCTCCAAGAAAGCATTTCCATTACCCCCAGGTTTCTCTCCATTGTTCAGAAACCGAACTGTAACTGTGACTACTCCATCAATAGCCCACGGGTGATGCACCAGAAAACTCGAAGACCCGCTCTGCATCACTCCTTCACAACCGAGCCCTTTCCACCCCCGTTTCCATTACCCCCAGTTTACTTGATCGTGCAGCTTCGTGACAGCCACGGGACCGCCCGACTTGGCCGGGCTCCGTAACCCCCGTGTTGCACCATCGCATCCTACCCCCTTCTCTTTTCCCCGGCGGCGCTCTTAGACATTGCCTCCCCCAGCTTACCCCATCTACAGCCATAATACGTACATCGTACCCCCGACAACTGGAATCCACGCCCCCCAGGTTTTTTTCTTGCTTGCCGTTGTCTCGTGGCCCCTCTGGTTTGTCATTGGCAACGCTCTATTACCAAATCTTCCCTGCACCCCGCATCCGGCCCTTGGGAGACGACGCCGTTAAGGCGTCACGAGGCCGACAGAAAAAATAAATAGGAGCGAAACCGGGGGAGGGGGTGTGTAACGGTATCGGTCAGTCCTCTGGGGTCGAAACCCCGCCAAGCCGCCAAAGGAAGGAAAAAGTGCGAGATCGTGAGGTTACGGTCGAGGTCAAGGTCGAGGACGAGGTCGAGGTCGAGATCATTGCTTGTCCGGGGTCGGGGTCACGGTTGGGGAATTGAGATTGCCATCTGGGACGGGGACTCATCAGTCCATACGAAATGCTGGACGTGCAGACAGCTGGTCCATGCTGCCAGGCGCGTACGTACTGTCAGGCCATGTTCACTTCCGCAATTGGTTCTTTGCTCGTCTCTCGTGGCTACGCTACAGATACGGACGGGCTGAGCTGAGGGAGAGAGAATCGATCTGACCCAGCCGTTTGGGATCTCCCATCACGACTTGTCCTGCACCAGGCACGAGCTCGTCTGTGCCCATGTCTGACTGTACTTCCATGGCTTTCGTCTCGGCCGACCCGTAGCCAAGCGCTGAGAGTCTGAGACGGCTCGAGCATCTCCATCTTCCCGTCTCCAGTTCCATCCCATCCCCAAACATCAGCCCCCTAGATCCTCCAGTGCTCCAGGTGACTCTCGGCCAGCGCTAGAACTTGGCGGTCCGCCTGTCTCCCCGCCCGCCTTCCATCTTGGTTCGGCAACCCTAACAGCACTAATACCCCGCCTCCATCTCAGTCAGGTTCGGTTACTATTTTTGACCCCTCCGGATTTGCGCTGCACCAACGAGTACGTAGTACGTTCCCTGCTATTACGTGCCACATGCCACCTGCCACCTGCCACTTGGATACCCAAGCGTTTGCCACTTTTGCTGCCACTGCCACCGCCACTACCACCCCTTGCCTTAGGTAAGGCAGGAAACCAAGGCCGGGGACCGGTATCGTGTTCGTGGTGCTGCCTCGTACCGTCAACTCCTTTGTCCGTCTTCCTGCACGCAACTGGAATCAATTCGTCTGGCAGCCACTCGAGGGCAAAAGTGCGTGCAGGGAATGTTTCTTCGTGCCAAGCACGGCGTCCTGTAATACCCACCGGGAACAATAAACACAATCAACACTCGAAATAGGCACCGCCACACAATGTGCACTGTACATCCGCACCCGGACCCCGGTCCCGATCTTCTCGGTGCGAACATAGAAATGGTACCTGGTACCTGAGTTACAGAGACCAGCCAATGAGCCGTCAGACACCGCTCCCACCTGCACGCAGGCAATCTTCGGCACAGGACAAGGGGTGTACAACAAACAGAGCTGTTTCCTGCAGGCTCTCTTTTTTTCCCTTCTCGTTCTGTCGAGATACCGGGGAGGTACGTACCGACCGGCGTTGTTCATGGGAACTAGGATGAAACTGGGGAACCAAAAGATCAAAGACGGGCAGGCACAGGTATGGGAGGTACGTACCCGGATACCTTGCTGGCGCCCGGCCGGCCGCCTTTGAGTTGCCACGAAGTGGAATGTTGGGGGCAGAGTTTTCCGAGCGAGCTTTCCCCAGTGGCTCAGCGAGGGGCACCCCAGCGCGCCGCCCAGCACGAGCCCAGCAACGCCCAGCATTCCCAGGGCACTACCGTGCTACAAAGACCACTGAGGCACACCCCAGGAGGCACAAAGAGGGCCTGGAGCCGCTTCAGCGCCCGCTGCTGCGCTCGGAGTGGGTCCCCATCCACCGGCCAAACTGTGATGCCGGCCTCCGGGGCGTGCGATGCACCTCCAACCATCAGCCTTAGTTCGGACGGATATGTACCTAATTAGCGACTTGCGGAAGCACCAACTCATTCCGCAATCCCATTCCCACCGCATCCGGGGATCAGGGTCGCCCGTGCATGATCACGATGCTCTCGCCGGCTTCTCAATGGCTCCTCGATGGTCCCCGCCGTTTCGAACAAGTCACGATCAAATCTAGCCACCCATTTCCCAAGGACATTTGTTGCGGTGAGGCATTGAAGGCCCCCCCTCCCCGGCGGCCACCCGGACACGGTGGCCGAGAGCCACTGACTGCTACGGCGCACCTGATCGGCCCTGGTGCGAACATCATCGTGCCCACCGGCCTGTCAAACTTCGCGGAGCCCCTGTTCTATAGTCTGCACGCAAACCAACGACGCGTACACGTGCTGGCTGGGAATGTGACTCGGTGCATTGTTAGCGGGCGGGGATCCGGGACTCGACAAAAGCTGAGAATTGACGGCTTGTGATGATGGACAATGAATGTGGACAATGAATGTGTGACAGTTCCCTGCAAGAGGTCGCGAAATCAGGGGCTGCAAGTATAGGTTGCTGCGTGGTATACCGTCTAGGTACAAGCCACTTAGACCAGCATGTGCGTCTTTGGTGGCTGTAGGATGCTCAGACATTAGGCCGGCATTGGCAGCTTGACACACAAATGTCCTCTTCCCTCCACCGTGATCCTTCTTCCGAGACACAGGACACAAAAGGCCAATCAGCTCGTCGGGCTTCCCACACAATCAGTGATAAGTTACCTAGTGGTACAACCCATCGAGGCTCCCTACTTGCTCAGCAGGTGGAGCGGGCTGAGCATTGTCATCGGGTTCTTGTGTGCGGTGTATCGCTGTGCATCAAAGTCGAGACGACCTTCACTGCGCCAGCATACCTAGCTATCTCGCACTCACCCTAGGGCATATCACCCAACCGGCGGTTTTCTGAAGGGGCCCCGGCTAAACCCCGTCCTCCGCGAGCCTAGATCGACGAGCTTTTTGGTTGGTTATGGGATCGTGCTCGCGAAAGTGCCCTTCAATGGCTGCGTTGTACGTACAAGACCGAACTAGACCCTCCTATCCCCAGGACAATCCTTTACCGCCCATTGTGCTCAAGAACCAGGATACCATGGCTGAACTGGTCACGATGCCAAAATGTCTAATTACCTGTGGACAAATTGGCAATATTGGGATCCATCACGCAGGTCAGGTGGTTGTGCACATAAGCCCGGGTATTACGTATTAGTGTCCCTCTCTTACATAGCGTACCAACAACAACAGCAACTTCACTCCTCCATCCCTTTGACAACAACGCAAAACCCTCAACAATGCATTTTCCCACTCCCATCTTCTCTCAACATCCACTCCCCTCCCATCCTACTTCATGTCAATGCCGAGCCTGCCAACCCCAGTCCACAGCGACAGAACGAAGTAGCCCATGGCCACATGCAACTCCGGCCACGAAGACTCAAACAGTGTGGCAAGTGTCTCGGGCTCCCAGTCGAGGTCTTGAGCCAATGGCTTGAGAGTGTCCGGTAGATGCAGGGCCTCCATGAACGAGTTGTTTTCTTTCGATTTCATATGCTGGTCCAGCGACTCCATGATATCGCCATAATCCGCCATGTAGGAGGAGGCATGATTTCTGAGGTTAGACAAAGCTCCCTCGGTCACAGTCCTGCAGATATCCTTAGAGTGCAATACTTCGAACCCTTTTTTTTTGCCTCTTTTTACTTGGAACCGGAACGAATCGACGTCAAGGAGTGCGCGATCGAGACCAGGCGGGGTATGGCTATGCCAGAGAACGGCGTAGTGCTTCAAAACCTCATAGTATTGGAGTCGTTTTATGGCCACTTCATCGCCAGATGCTGGTATCTCCTTGGATGGTTTGTCGTCGATGCTCTCCTTCAGTACTTTGTACATCAGGTCTTGTATGGTCTTGTCCGCACATCGAAGGATGAGGTTGGCGAATTTTGGATCCATAGCCCGGGCAGCATTACCCGCCCTCCCACGAGGATCGGCTAACAATATAGCCAATGTAGGGCGTGGGTCAATCTCGTAGTAGTCCGGATAGTAGATCTTCGGCATGTATTCGGTGAATGGTTCGAATTCGGGCCAACTCTTCAACACGGCTTTCTGCTTGGCTTCGGATAATGAGTAGTAGGCCTTGAGGATAAGGGAGGTAAAATCTCCCTTGAGCGGTACGTCCTTGAGATTGGGTAATATCACCGCTCGCTCAAACTTGGGCTCCACGTTTTCGAGATCCCGCTTAAACGGGCCCCGCCCGGTATGTTGGCCGGGAAAGTCGTGGCGGTTAACAACGCCGTGGGGAAGGCCGTACGACCCCCATTGCTTCGGCCGGTAGGTATGGGCGTTCGGTATTCTTGGCTCCACAAAATGCGCCGGCTTTGCCACCCAATCCGGATTGAGGTTTATGTCCATGATGAACTCGTCCAGCGGCGGTAGCGGAGGCTCGCCGGGCATGCAAGTGCCGAGGAAATGGCAGTCGCAGTCTACTCCCTCATTTTCCATACCAACTAACTGTGGAAGCAATGCAAGGAGACCTTCCATCGGGTCGCCAGTAGAGCTGTGGGGGGGGTTCTTGGTATACCAGCATCCTTCTCCCTCCATGGGGGCCGCCTCCCGGCTTGGGAGTAGACCCATGATGATTGAGCGTCGTGCGATATGTCAAGGAAGAGAAATAGTGCCAGAGCAAACTGAGAACCATTAGTAGTTTTTTTATTCTGTGTTTGAAGAAGGAACTTGATGGTGCGAATATCTGAGTAGTTGGGTGAATCAATCTCTCAACCAGGCTGCATCCGACTTTATAGCTGCTGGGGTCGGCCAGCGAGGTTCTCATGAAAAGTTACAACATTCACACGACTACGCCACCCGGGGTGTGAGAACCCGTTGGAACCAGGGCCAATTTTCATTACCTTCATGCTTGAAAACTAATGAACGGGCAAAATTTTCTATACCCTGAGAATCTCGCGGCATAAGATAATTTCTGGCTTTCATCAACTATCCTGTCTCACCTCGTGTCCCAGCACGACTTCAGGTCACAAACACCAAGACATTTTCAAGATATGAAATAGAGCACATTAGTGATGCCTGCCTAAGTTTCCAACTTCCCACTTCGTTCTCACAATCCATTGCCATTCACAGCCCATGTTGCAATGTCTCGTCACTATCTCTATGAAGTGAATAGTGGAGCAAGTGTTGACCCCAATGAACTACCAGTACCACTAATCGGGCGCACGTGACGATAGTGTGTTCTTCGGCTAAACCCACGGGTTCCCCAGCCGGTGCAGCTCCCGCGGGTGCCAAAAAATTTGACTCGATAGCATCGTGACGCCGACGACAGCTTAACCACTTAACCTCGAGAATCGCCCTCTTCATCGGCATTCTTCGCCCGCTCCCATATCCTTGCATCGCGACTCCTATTCGACACATTTACTGCTTCACTCGCCCGCCTTAAGCCGAACTCGCCGGCCCCCACCTCCCTCGGCCATCTCCAAGACGAAAAGTCGCCCTTCGAGCTCCATTCCTCCCGACCTTGAAGACAGAAATCGCTCTTGTTCGTCAACTCTCTAACGACCGTTTCTACGACCAATAATTACCATATTTCGCCCCGCCCACCTCTAAACCGCCATCATGGTTATCCTTACCGAGGTCGAGGACGAGCACTTCCAGTCCACCCAGGCTGGTCCTGAGGTCGATGACGACGACTACACCGATACTGGTTCGTCCGACTGCTATTCAATATTGCTTCCGACGCTCCAGACTGACTCTCCCCAGAATCCGAGATCTCTAACGAGTCCGAGTACGACCCCTCAGATGAGACCCTCGCCGAGCGATTATATGCTCTCCGCGATATCGTCCCCCCCACCACCCGGTCCTGGATCTCTAGCCGTGTCAACGCCGTCACCAGCACCGCCTGGAACATCGTTTCCTTCAGCGGCAAGGGTGCCTGGGTCATCACCACCTCGGCCCTCTTCTTCGGTGTCCCATTCGCCCTCTCATTCGCCGAGGACCAGCAGCTCACTGCTATGGAGCAGGAGTACAACATGCGACAGACGGGTGGTGAGCTCCTGACTGCCGGTGCTGAGGGCAACACTGCCGAGAAGGTTGGCGCCGCACTTGGCGACAACCAGGCCCGACCTTCGTTGTAAGATGGAAACAGCATATAAAAATTGCCTCCCACACTGGAGGCTGTTATGACCCCGCCCCAAGTGGACGTGGTAATTGTTGGGCCGAGTAGTGAGCCCATTTTTGTACAATATTCGGAAATGGCGCATATAGCCAATGGCCCCTTTGATGAATGCACTGGGCTGGACTGGGAGGGGCGAAATGCGGATGCATGCATACCTATATGATGTAAAGTTTAGGACGGGGACAGACAAGTAATGGCTGCGATCTCATCTCTGGGGAAGGTGGCTTCACATGTATTTTGTCACACTAAGACTTTCTATTTTCTGACGCCATACAATGTGATCTCATTACCTATTAACTGTGCGTTCTTTGATAAACTCGTGAACGTTGGGGTTGGTATTTTCTTGTGTTGGGCAGCATTGTTCAGCCAATGTGGTGGCCCTGTCTACTCGCCAGCGCAGGGCTTATTGGGCCTCGGATAACGACCAACCATCCTCAATTCGTGAACATTGGATTTAAATTGTTGTCTGCTGATTCCGAGTTACTTTGAGGATGTGAGATAAGCCAATTGCCCTGTGTGGTTGGTTGTAATTAAATCCGAGTCCATATGGTCAACTCCTAGTCTAGTTGTACTTGTAACTTGAAAGGCATTCCATGTGATGAACACGTCAGCGAAAAAGAAAGAAAAAAAGAAAGTAAAATAGTCGAAGAGAATAACGAAGACAGGCAGTTTATCAGGCGGAAGGAGCCTCCATAACAAAACCAACCTCAATACATTCCAAGTTGACCCTATCGCGGCTCGTTACACATTCGGTTTAGGGTAGCATAATTCTTAATGACTCGTCCTCCACAAAGCGACACTCCTTTTACTGGGACACAACTTAATCCGATCAACTACAATCGTCCGTATCAGGTCCATAGCTACCTTGCACCAAACTTAGAGAACATGGACTACGTAGCTTTGCCGAAGATTGAGGTAAGTCCGTGTGGCGGCGATTCTCTACCCCGCCGCTAGAAACCGAGATCACCAACCAAGCTGCACACTACCCGACTGCATTGATAACGATATCTCTCTGACGAGAACTCTAGCTTCATGCCCACTTGACGGGCAGCATCTCACGAAAGGCGCTACATGAGGTATGGCTGCGGAAGAAGAACAGCGGAGAGACAGACCTCGAAGATCCGCTGATCGTCATGCCGGAGGGCAAGCATGACTACAACTTGGAGACGTGAGCCCCCTCCTTGCCGTCTATTGCTTCATATCCATTGAGGTCATGAATGTTGGCTTAGGACTTCGTCTCCACTGACTAGTAACCACGGGGCTGCGATCGAGCCCTGGTACTAAGCTGGCATCTCATGATACTCGTTGAGAACCTCTCCCCCTTGTCTACCTATCAGCCCTGACAACCCGTAGCTTCTTCCCACTCTTCAGCTCCTACATATACGGCCTCCTCACCGACGAAGAATCTATTCGCTACACCACAATTTCCGTCCTGACCGACTTCCTCAACGACGGTGTCTGCTACCTCGAACTACGCACCACACCTCGCGGAACACCGGTTCTCACAGCAGAAGCCTACGTATCCGTCCTCCTGTCCACCATCGCCGCATTCGAGGCCGAGCATCCCCAGCTTCACATCCGCCTTATCCTCTCCGTCGACCGTCGCCACACCCCCACCATCGCGGCCGCGACCCTTGCTCTCGCCCTGGCGCACCGTCACCAAGGCGTCGTCGGGCTTGACCTGTGTGGCGACCCGACGGCGAAGCCTAGAGGAGAGGTTGCCGCGTTCACACCTGTGTTTCTAGAGGCGAAGAAGCAGGGCCTGGATATTACCGTGCACTTTGCCGAGGCGGAGGCGAGCGGCTCGAAAGAAGAGTTGGACGTGCTGCTAGACTGGCAGCCCGGCCGTCTGGGACATGTCATCTGGGAGGATGAGGCAACCAAGAAAGAGATCGCGAGACGGGGACTGTGCTTGGAACTGTGCCTGAGCTGCAACGTACAGGCGGGCATGGTTCGCGGTGGCTTTGAGGGCCATCACTTTGGAGTGTGGAAAGACGTGCAAGGGCCCAAGATTTCACTCGGGGTGAGTACTGGAGTGAGGCTAGAGACTCGATTATGCTGATGTTACCATTAGACCGATGACGTGGGCGTCTTTGGAAGCCCCCTTTCCAATGAGTACCGCCTCGTTGCCGAGCATTTCGGTCTCGATCGAAAGGCCATATGTAGCCTTGCACGCCAGGGTATCGATGGCATATTCGGCGGCGAGAAGGAAAAAGAGCGATTGCGAAGCATCATGTGGGAATAAAGCCCTCGCACCCCATTACATGAGCATTCATTATAGATCAAATATGGCTATTCATGGGACACTCTAATAGAGCAATTTGAAAAGAAGGTCGCTTTCATTTGAAGAACTGATAAAGTGGTATTGGTTCTTTTCTAACTAAAAAAATTGTTGTAAACCCCCTGAACAACAAAGGTAAAGACGCTTCTGTTACGATGCGCCTGCAACTGTGGGGAGAGAAGCAATGCCCGATAAAGACGGGAGAGTGTTGAATTTTTTGTTCATTAATCGGAACCCGAAAATAAAAGATTGGAACTTTTACAAGCCCTTCATGCCCTAAACGCCACGTTTTGCCTTCTCTTCGTGAACCGTGTGGATAGTTGCTCATGCCATCTTGTCCAATTCCTCGTTAATGCATGCCTGGGGGCGGGGCATCCAAGTCGACATGCTCGACTGTGCCGCGCTGTTCCTCGGTCTTGCGCACGAGGGAAGAGAAGTAGCTGGATGCGCGCTCGCTCTCACCCTTGACCTTGATAGTGTCGTCGCGCTTTTGGTCAAGGTCCTTAAGGCTCTGCTCGAGGCTGACGCGGAGATTTGAGGCCGGGAGGCGCAGGACCTTGCGGACGGAGGACGAGATGCGAGCCGAGTTGGAGTGCACGTAGTCGAGGTCGGCAAGCTGAGTGGATATTTTGTTGGCAAGGGTATGAGGGAGCGAGTTGGGAATTTGCTGAAGGATGTATGCTGAGGCGGCGACGGCTGAAGTGAGAGTCAGTACGATGCGAGTAGAGGGAATAAGGGGGAAGAGTTAAACTCACCAGCCACAAGTATTCCAGGGAGGATGAGCTGGCGAAGGTTGTCGTTGCTCAGAACACGTGAGGCGGCGACGGCCTGGTCCATCCAAGTGCTCATGCCAATCATCCGGGGGACCACAGCACCAGCCACAGTCAGGGCCATACCGGTGCCGGCGTATTTCTCCTGATGCTGCAGAAGCGTGGTCCAGTCGACAAAGTCCGCAAGCTGAGTTGGGATGTGTACCTGGCGGGCAAGGGCGTCGCGCTTGCGCTGGAACATGACGTTCGGGCGGAATTGCAGGTTCTGGAATTCATCGCCGATGTGCAAAATACCTAGTTGCTTAATGACGTTCACGCCCTGGACCGTCTTGTTACGGGCGTGCTCCTCACAGATGGATACCGAGTCGGCAATGTGTGAGAGCATGGCCTCCTTGAGATCCTCGGCATACTGGAAGGCGCTCAAGAGGCCAGGGTACGGAACATCATAGTGGGTGTTGCCTGCGTGGAGGATTGCAGAGTTGAGTGTCGAGCGGGTGTGGTCGTAAACGTCCTTGCAGGTGTCCTCAATGTTCCTGTCGACTTGGTCACTAACCTCGGAACATGCCTTTTTGCCTGACTCCAGCTGAGGCTCAAGCTCCTTGAGTTCCCGCGTCACTCGTTGCAGCTCGGACTGGGCCACCTCCTGATTAACTGTTGCTAGCGAGTGGACGTCATTGAGGATGTTGAGGAGATAGGTCCGCGCCGGGGCAAGCTTCGATCGTGCTCGCTTTTCAAGGACGAATCTGCGCAACGACTGCTCAAGGGCCTCAAAGTCTCGGATCTTGTCGAGATCCTTGCCCTTACCCTTGTCGTCTCCATCGCCGGGGTCACCACCCCCACCCCCACTTGAGCTTCCACTGCCACCACTGGGTCCTCCAGGAGGAGATGGTCCGAGGGGAATGGCGTTACTGGAAACGAAGTGGACGAGCTCTGAAGACTCCTTGGCAGTTCGGGGACTTAGTCCAGAAACTTGGTCCATGATCATCTTGTGGCACCGGTTCTTGTCTCTGATGTTGTCATAACCATTGACGACGATGAAGATGTAGGCCTTCTCCGCGGCAGCGGCCCAAATAAACTCCTTGGCAGACTGGGTGAAGTGGTTGGCGGCAGAAACCACGAACACCACTACGTCAATCTCTTCCTGTCGGGCAAAGATGGCCGTTGTCTTGGTCGTGTCCGAGTTGAGGCCGGGGGCGTCGATCAGCGCGATGTCCACCACTCCATTGTTCAGCAAGGACTCGTCGATAGTTCTGGAATCCTTCACATAAATCTTGCACTGGGTATAAGTCTCGTTGTCGATTACAACATCTTCCAATTTCTCCAAGGAAAATACGTCATAGGTCGATTCGTCATTTCGGTCATAGGCGACATCCTTGTGTACCGCGTGGACCTCCTCGATACCTGAGTTTTCTCTCGCGTCAAGGACTTCGCAGAAGATGGCCGTGCAGGGTTGCTGGTCCTCGGGAAGGACCTTTCGTCGGAGGAGAGCATTGCAGAAGGTCGACTTGCCGGCGTTGAGGTCGCCAGTGATTAGGACCTTGCTTGCAGTGTCTTCGATGCGATCGCGAAGGGAGAGGAGATGCTTGATGCTGGAGCTGATCTTGCCATCGAGCAACGCTGCGATGGAGTTTTTCTCTAATGAATGCACAAGCTCGGTCTGGTGCAGCGATCCTAGCTTCAGATCCAACTTCAAAATAGAGAATTCTTGGGCGATTTGCGGGGAGACCAATCGTGGTTCGGGGGTCGATCGAGTTTCGGCAGCTCGGCTCGATTCGGCAGCGGGCTCGACAGAAGTCAAAGACCGCCGGAGCATGGGATTGCGACCGGTAGAGGATGAGGCACCGCCAGCGGTGGAGTGTGCCTGAGCGATGCCGGGTCGTGACGAAGGAGGGTCGGGAGAGGCACTCCTGGTTCGCTGAACGGTGGGATAGTGGGCAGGCCACGACGTGTTCATATCCTGAAGGCTATGGAGCAGGTCGAGGACCTTGTTGATGGAGCGACCGAGGCTAGCTCGTTGGGAGTTGTACCACATTTGGTGGATTGCGCCCGACTGGGGCCGGTCGTGCTTCAGGTCGTGCTGCAGGTCCATGGCATAGCTGCCCAAGGTGGCGGCCCTGGAGTCTCCGGCGATGCTACCGCCGTAGCCGGAGTCGTCGAGCAAACTCTGGAGGCGTGCAGCATGTGTAGAGGCCGAACCGTTTCCCACGGTCATGTAGTTGGGTCGAGAGGAAGGTGGTGGCGAAGTCGCCGGGTCGTTGGGAACGCCATTGTCGGCATCGGAGTCGGTGTCGGAGTCGGCGTCCTGGTGCAGAGGGCCCTTCCCCTTGCCGTTGAAATAGTCCTGGCTCATGATTCAGATCGGGCGGCGGCGTGACGCATGTTTCGGTCGCCGATGAGCGAGGAGGAGGAACGTGGTCGAGGTGATAAGGTCGTAGGAGTGCGAGTTGAAGTTGGAGTCGGCAAGGCGGCGTGGACTCGGAACTTGTAGACCGACCCATGTTGCATGATTTTTGGCGGTAAATTGCCGGACCTCAAGAAGGCGGGGTCGTGCTGATTGGTGGACGCGCCGGGAGAGACTCGGAAGAGCGTGCCTTATCTTATCAGACGGGCATGTGACGAGAGGCGCGCAACCTAGAAACGGTTGTGCAAGCCAGGCGTCCATAGCGCTAAGCCCAGTGAAGGTCCAACTAAACCCAGTGAAGCCCAGTGAGCGCCCAGTTGCTGGGAAGACGCTGGCTGAGAGCGGTTACGTAGTACGACATGGTACATGGCCAACATGGCGGAGTGGTCCAGGCTTCGCTTCTCTCACCACAACCACAACCAACGCTTTGTCTTTCCTTGCTGCCTTGCTTCGGCCGATCTCCCAACCTTCCAAGACGCCCTCGCCTCGCCTCCGTGAACCGAACCCTCTGATCCGACGACTAGGTCGACCCTTTCTCCTATCCAAAACCCGAATCGCCTCCTCGCGACGCCATCCTCCCCCGCAAACCATGAACGTAAGGGCAATGACGTCGCCGCCACCCCGGTACATCTGAGGGCTAATCCGCCTCGTGGCTACACAGATCCTGGAATGGGCATTCGGCAAGCGCATCACGCCCGCGGAGCGTCTGCGCAAGAACCAGCGCATGCTCGATAAGGCTATCCGCGAGCTCGACCAGACGCGCGTTAAGTTGGAGAAGCAGGAGAAGACGCTGGTCCAACAGATCAAGACCAGCGCAAAGAATGGGCAGATGGGCGCCTGCAAAATCCAGGCCAAGGATCTTGTTCGCACCAGGCGATACGTCGAGAAGTTCTACGGCATGCGCAGCCAGCTCCAGCAGATTTCCCTGCGACTCCAGGTATGGCCAGGCTCAGCGACATGATAGCTACTAGGCGGCACAAGATGCTGATGTGAGGCGCTCCAGACACACCGGACAAACGAGCAGATGATGCAAGCGATGAAGGGCGCAACAATGGCATTGGGAAGCATGAACAAGTCGATGAACCTTCCAGCACTCCAGAAGATCGCCATGGAATTCGAACGAGAGAACGACATCATGGAGCAGCGACAAGAGATAATGGACGACGCAATGGACGACGCCATGGACGTGGGCGTGGAAGAGGAGGGTGACGAAGTGGTGGAGCAAGTACTGGAAGAAATTGGTATTGACTTTAACCAGGCGGTACGAATTCTCCAATCTTTCTGCAACGAATGGATCGAGGCTAATTGCATGGCTACAGCTCGGCGAAACTCCCACAACGATAGGAAACCCTGCCGTGGCCGAGGGCAGAATTGCCCAGGCAGTTGGTGGCGGCGGTGGTGGTGGTGGCGGCGACTCCCTCGATGAGGACCTCCAGGCAAGACTTGACAGTTTGAGGAAGTAGATGATGGGATATGACGGCGGCGGTTGAGTCGTCTTGAGATAATAGGCTACGTTGGCGGGAATCTGGTGTCACTGAGAATGGAGTTGGAAACTCGAAACACCCTCGACCAGTGTCATCTAGGAACCGACGGCCGATGCTTGTGAGATATGTCGAGGGAGCACATGAGTTTTTGCATTTCTTGCCTGGGCGCACGGGTGCCCTGAGAAACGCGTTTGTCCATTAACACAGTTCGGTATTTTTATTTCTGGGTGGAAAGGCTCTTTGCTTATAGAAGGAGGAAACTTAAGACATCTCCTTTTCGCAAGACTTGTGCGGCGTTAGTACCGTGCTCATGTGCTTAGAAACATTGGGGTTTGTCACCTTGGTTCTTAAAGAGAACTTTAGAAGGCAAAGCGAGCTAAATCCTCACGTACCAATTATGAAGCTATGTCGCCCTCGTTGTCATCCATCATGTGTCTTAGTACAATCCTTGCTTACGAGCTAAGGGCACGGATGATGCTGTAGCATGGCATCCCCGCGGGACTGTATGGTCCGTGGGGATGGAAGGGGTCTACGTCAGGGCCTGATATGGAAGTGCCTGAATACAATGCTTAGCAGTTGAACCTCATATAACTAGTCTCGTATTCTAGCGAGGGACGGCCGTTACTGGGGAAACTTGATGTCCAAGACTGCCATGACAGGGGATGGTTCGTCAAATAGTCGTTCTGCCTTCGTGGATGGTGCCACTGAGAGAACGACTTTGATGTGGATTGGAATTAAGATGGGCCTACGTATATGGTCATCAACTTGCCACGACTTACGAGGTATTCGTCTTCGGCACAGGCTCGATCTGGGAAAGCTCAGAGAGTTGGGTCAGTTGGAGAGAGTAGAGTAGGGCACGGCGCTTATTATCCTCAAGGCAGCGATGAAGAACAGTTGCAGCTGCCTGATACGAAGCAACCCCATCTCGCCGGAAGCGCCGGAGACGGTCATGCTAGTAGTGTTGCTATTTACCCCAAAAGGGTGCCATCATTTGGACGTTTATTTCGGGAACCAGGCCAGGTGGACGAGATGAGATGAGACGGATGCCATCTCCGGGTTTACAGTGGGGCGCCGCCGAGTCGAGACGGCGGAGTTGGAAGCCCCCCCGCGCGAGGCGCCCGCGGCATGCTCGTTCCGTGCTGGAACCGCGCTGGACGGAGCACAGGTCAACCACTGACGTCGGAGCTCCAGGGCAGCGGGTGCGCGCTAGTTAGCACACTTGTCGCTGCAGGTCTACTGGCTGGCAGCTCGGCCTTTGGTGCAGGCCGAGCAGCGACGGAACAGAGCCAGTGAAGGTCAGTGGAATGAGGGCACATGAGGGGCACCCACCAGCGCACCCACCAGCGCAGTGTTCAGTGAGGCTGCTAACAAGGCCACTGACAGCCCAACCCAAGCCCCGCGCGGGCATCCATGCATCACCCGCCTGCCTTCGACTCGTGGACTCGCCCACTAACCAACCTAAATCCGAACCTATTACCCCATGCCACTCCCGTCAACTACGTCGTCCACCGCCGCCTTACCTCCGACTCCGACCTACCTGCGACTTACAACATCCTCCGGCCCTCCCGTGTCTTAGCTACCCTCCCCCCAAAGGCAAGGGCAGTTCTAGCCCGTCTTTCGTCCCACCTAGGTTCACCTGTCCTCTGCTTCGTGCATCTGCTCGCCTTGACGCTGCTTCGACGACATCATCATCCTCCGATTCCATTGCATCTGGTTCTGGTACGTACGGCCTCGCTCTACATTGGACGACGTTGCTCGCTATCTGCAGTCCTCCCTGTTCCCCTCTGCTCGTCACTGCATTCAGATCTCTATCGCACCCTTTCTGTGTATCGTTGTGTCCCAACCTACCTTAGCCATCATCCTGGCTGGTCCTGTCCCCCTCCCCGCTGGCGCCTACCTACGTCACGCTACCTGCACTTCCGTGCTCTGCTCTGCTCTGTACCGTCCTGCCTCACGGTTCCACGCTCTTTGTCTTGGTCCCTTTCATCATCCGCTCTGTTCCCTCAAATTACCCTCTCTGCTATTGAATCGTGGACCGGCCGTCGAGCTCTGCCCTCTCAGCCTGACTGACGTTTGGCGCGCTGACAGCTGGCGGCGGCTGCTGCGCGCTTGGCTGCAACGTCTGGGTGCCCCTCCCAGCCTTTCTCCGCGCCCTTCAAGCACCACATCAGCCTTCCCCCGCCAGCCTACTTGCTCCAGCCCCAACCTCTCAACCTACATACCGAGACCTATCTTCTGACCTGTCTAGATCAATTTGAACCGACACCGACATACCCCTCCCCAGTTGCCCAACTCTTGTCCTGGTCCGAGATCACCACCCCGCTACTGCAGAACCCCTCGCAGCGAGATACAGCCCCGTCTTCCTGTCGCAACACTCGCCTGTTGCTGACCTCGAGACCCATCCTCATTACGAGAGCGACAATAACGAAGACGACGACATCTGTTACGCTGTAATTCTACCCTAGGCCTTCACCCTACCCTTCCGCTACCTCACCAACCCCTCCAGACTCCTCGTTCCATCCACAAAGCTGGCGACCAACAAGCGTCGCAGTCTCTCCTCGACTGGGGGAAGTCTGCTGAATAGAATGTTTGGCAGCAACTCCAACTCAGCCGGCAACAAATCTGAGACCGATTCAAAATCCGACAAATCCTCCCCCGAAACCAGCCCGGGCCCCAGCGCAGCCACTCCCATCAAGACGGCAGACAAGACGGTGGATAAGGCAGGGAGCGTGGAGAAGCGCAGTGGAAATGGTAGCCCGCCAACTCGCCAGGATACCGGCGGTTCCACGGATAAGAAGCGCAGGAGTAGCAGCGTTAGCAGCAAGGCTAGCAGCCTGCTTGCCTCGGCCAAGAACTCGCTGAGCTTCTCTCAGGGTAGCCGTGCGCCAGCTGTCGAGATGACTACGCAGTCGCCCCTACAGAGATTGGGCAAGCAGGACCCCGCCCTCGCAGTTCCGCAGGGCCAGCATAACAACTCGGCCGGAGAGTCGGTAGCGGGCCCAAAGTCCACATTCCATGTCGGCGTTTGGGAAGATAGAAACAAGAAATGCCGTCGGACTATGGAGGACACCCACGCCTTTTTATACAACTTCATCCAGACCCCGACCTTGGCCGATGCTTCCGGCAAGGACACGTCCGAGGGAGATGATTCTGAGTCGGCAGTCCAGGACATTGTCGAATCAGACAATGGCTACTTTGCCATCTTTGACGGACACGCCGGCACCTTTGCCGCAGACTGGTGCGGAAAGAAGCTACATATCATCCTGGAGGAGCTCATACGCAAGAACCCCAACGCTCAGATTCCTGAGGTTCTGGACCTGGCTTTTACGACCGCCGACTCCCAGCTGGAGAAACTGCCCTTGAAAAACAGCGGTTGCACGGCTGCCGTGGCCGTGTTACGTTGGGAAGACCGGGTTTCTAATGATCGGTCAAATCTTAATGCTGCTGCGTCGGCTACTCTCAAGCCCACCAAGTCAGATGATCCGTCTCAGTCAGACAAGGATAAGTCGAAGGATGCGACGCCTTCTGCGAACGAAGTCAAAAACCCCGTCGAGGGCAGCAGTACGAAGGTCAAGGGAGCCGTCAACCGCCAGCGTCTTCTTTACACTGCCAACGTGGGTGATGCCCGCATCATCCTGTGCCGAGCTGGAAAGGCTCTGCGACTGTCGTATGACCACAAGGGAAGCGACGAGGTTGAGGGCAAGCGGATCGCCAATGCGGGTGGGCTGATCCTAAACAACCGCGTCAATGGTGTCCTGGCTGTCACCAGAGCGCTTGGTGATGCCTATATGAAGAAGCTTGTAACTGGCCACCCTTATACGACCGAGACGGTGATCCAGGCCGACAGTGATGAGTTTATTATCATCGCGTGTGATGGCGTAAGTGGAACAAAACTGAATTATTGACATGCCAGACCCGCTGACGTGAGATAGTTGTGGGATGTTTGTACCGATCAAGAGGCAGTGGATCTGGTCCGAAACACCGAGGACCCTATTGCAGCTTCGAAGATGCTTGTGGACCATGCGCTCAACCGGTTCAGCACGGACAATTTGTCGTGTATGATTGTCCGACTGGATCATGTCCAGGGCAAGGATGACGGGGATAGTGGCCGTGAGGCAGACAAGATTGTCAACGACGTCACAAAAAAGGCTACAGATGGTAGCGCCCCTGCCGGTGGCGTGTCCGAAGGGGAGTTTGTACCAACATCTCTGGACAAAGCTGTGGTGGAAGAAGAACCTGACCCTATTGAGGAAAAGGATAGTACGGAAAATGCTACGGGTGCTCAGAAACCAGCTGAGGAGGTCGAGAAGAAGTCGACCGAGAAGGCGCAGTAGCTGAACTGGACTGGTTACTATAGGAGTAGATGATGACTTGGAATGCTGGGGGTGCACTGAAGGTTGAGACATGAGTCCTGTATGGGACGGAAAGCATATTTTGCGGAAGCCTCTGTTGCTAGGCTTTGTTTAGACTTGAGGAAACAGGGCGATAAGTGTTGGGCATCACGGGGAGGCGTTGCAGGCGGGTAGGTTATCCCGGCCTGTCATGGATGGAGAAATGAATAGCTTTACAAGCACATTGAGCACGCGCTTTTAGGACGGAAGATGTGATGGGAATGTGCGATTGCACTGAGACTGGGTGAATCCGGAGCTGGGGTGACGTTGATAGCAGTCTTACTCGGGTCCTTGTAGATTTGCTTATATGTATGAGTATTGTTATTTGCACACACAAGAACACACTCCAATCCTAAAGATTAACATCGGCAATGCAAGTGATAGAACCGGACAGGAAATGGCATTTTCATATGACATGTTCCGAGTATTTCCCCCCAATAATGGTTTGTTCTATAGGTTAGATAAAATAAATGTCCATTGACTTAGCTCCCTAGGGCGTACCTAGGTGAAGGGACTTGATGAATGGAAACAACTGACTGCTCGTCCATGTAGAAATGTAGTTGAGTGTCATTGAAGAGGATGATCTGGTAATAAAAATGTTGGCACCTCGGCTCTTGTATCTGCATCTGCATCTGCGTCTGCCGTTCATTAGGCGTTTTCCGTTGAGCAACTATCATTTTGACGCTGGGCGTCCTTGAGGGTTTGATTGGCCTGTGAGAACCTTGATGTTCAATATATGACGTGTGTGACGTAGACTAATTGCTGATGGAAGAGGGGATCTCGATGGGATAAGCCACGAAACAATATTCAAGCGTAGCCCGATTTGGCTCATATCGGGGTTTATCCACGCCACTCAGCATCCTAACTGTGTGCGGGTTTGTGCGGATACGCTGCCGCTATTCCTAGGTAGTTAGGTTGGGATCTATTTACCCACTTGAGTAATCTATGGATGACTCTGAGACAATTCGCGACAAGCCCCTAGAGAAGACGAGACTTTGATGGAGGCTAAAATTGCACGCGATCATCGAAGAAACACAACGACCACTTGCCCAGCATATAATGTAGATCCTCGGTGCCGAGAAGGAATTAGCCATGCGCGATTGGGGGATACACTGCTGTGCAGCTCAGGGGGACGCGGAGTTTAGGCCTGGACTGGGCTAATTCTAAAAAAACGGATGATTGTCCTACGGGCTGGTTGTTAGGTTGCGCTAGGTTAGGTAGGTTGCAGAGTCGGACTGGCTGTGATAGTTGGACGGGAAATTTTTGGCTGCAAGTTAAAGGCACGGGCTTCCATTCGCTTTCCACAGCGTAGAAAGCACAGTTATCTTTGGGGCACTGGCGGCGGATGGACGTGGACATTCAGCAAGCCACAAGAAACAGGAAATAACTGCATCGGGGTGGATGTGGACGCCATGATAGTTATCCCGGGGGGCAATTTTAGCGCTGGCTTGGACGCCGAGGTGGAGCTGGGGAGGGGGGAAGTTTGGAAGCCGGTGGGATCGAGACGGGTGGATGGATGGTGGATGGTGGATGGTGGATTGGGAGCCCCTATGTTAGAGTTTCGGCTTGAGAATGCTCAGAGGCTGTTCATTTGGAGCTGGTTGCGAAATTGCGTAATTGCGAGGTCAACTCTTGTTGCGGTGGTGACGATGAGACGTTGACGACGAGATGCGATGGCCGTTGGGATGTTGTCGAACATTGTGGGTGGAGGATGCAGCCAAGCCCCCTGGAGCGTTGGCTGGCGCTTGTTGGTGCTTGTGGGTTAGCTTATTAGATGAAGGAAGACCCTTGTTTGGAGCAGACCAGCCCAGTAGGGAAACGAGGGCGGCCAGGGGTGTTGACGAGATGGGCAGCCATGGGCTGTGAATGTGATGGACGGGACGGGGGGATTGGGGAAATGGAATCTATCGCTAATAACTTGCTACGTAGTACCGTTTGGTCGTTGAGAGAGGGTGGTAATAATAATAATATTGCCGATGGCATACGTATGCTCGGTTGTTCTCCCTCTCTCCCTGGGCACTACTATCGTCGAGTCAAGCCGGCGCAAAAGTAACAGCACGTCTAATGCAGGGCGACGCAGTTGCAGCTCCGTCCAGCTCAGCCCGAGCTCAGCTCCAACGACACCTGACGTCTGCGTGCATGCAGGCACTTGAGCGACTCCATTCGCGCTTACATGGCGCATCGCCATCGTCGTCCCATGTTTTCTTTTCTTTTTCCTTTTCGCCAAAGCTTTTTCTCCGTTTCGATCCGTCCCGCTTCCTCGTCTGCCCTCCTTCTCTTGTCTTCTCCAGCCCTTTGCCCCCCCCCTTGTGACCTCCCTGAGTGTTTCGAGCTGGACGCCGCATCGCGGGCGTGGCTCCCGGATACGTCAATCGGGGCGCCACTTGTGTGCAACCTTTAGCCACATTGGAAACCATTATAGTGCATACGTTGTATCGTCCCGAGGTAACCCTCATGCTTTGGCTACCCTTCAGCGCGTGGCCCTAAACTCCCAGGTTTCGCATTGGACTATCTATGATTTGAACAACAGAAGGAGGACATTTGTACCGCGTAGCATAGGTAGGTGGTGGACAGTCCAGCGCATCCTAGTTTCTTTTTCCTTGGTTCTTTTCTAGTGCTCCGCGCGCGTCTGGCGGCGCCTCCCGATCGATCAGCTCACAAGAGCTTGCATCGCAACGCGGCGGCGGACACGATAGAACACAAACCCCAACGGGCAACGGGACCAACGCCTCCCTCTTTTCTCATTGCTTTTTGTGTCGTGTGGTTGTGTACGTTTAGCCCTGTGTCTCTCTGCGTGTTGCCAGTGTCTCGGCCGACGACGATATTCGGTAATTCCGTCCCGCCCACCACACCCACGTCCAACGGGCGAGACGAGAGCGCTTCGCTTGGCCCCCCTTCTGTTACGGATTCACCTTGGGCTCTTGTCTCTCTCTGCATTGTATTAACTCCTCTCGTTGTCGACTCGCGTTCGGACTCCCAGCGCAATACCCAAACGCAATCTCACCTCAATCAAACAAACGGACACGAAAAAAACAACGTCGTCTCTCCGTCGCCCATGTCGCTCTCGCGCTCTCCTCGCCCATCCACATCCATCCATGCCCGCAGCCTTGCCCCTGAAATCTGGTGGTACCGACCAGTGACCCGCACCACCCACCCGCCTAAATCCACCCGCCTAAACCCACCCGAGTGTCCTAATCCTTCGAATCGAACCCCCGAATTAAACATCTCCCTGCTGCTGCCCGTCTCTACGTCCCGTCGGCTGCGAGCTTGCGTCGATTTCGGTTTCGATTTCGACTTCGTCACTCCTTTGAACAACCTGCACCTCGCACCCGCCACCCGTGCGCGTGCTCGCAGCTTCTTCCTCATACGGCCGTTGTTTGCCCCCTAGAATCTGGCTGTGACGGAGGCGCCATGTCGCTGAATGGCTTGGACGATCTCAAGGTCCAGGAAGCCCACGGGGCCGCCGCCGCCGAACCCGGAGGATGGTATGATGCTCTTGCTCTTGCTCTCACTCCGATCCCCAGTGCCCGTTCGTTTTTGCTAAGTTGTGCGCGTTTGTTGAAATAGGTTCCTCCTGAAGTACGCCAGTCGCGATGAGATCGAGTTGCTGGGCCGTGGCTCCGGCGGCATCGTCGAAGTGCGCACCAAAATCGCCGAGTACGAGGAGACCAGCCCCCTCTACGGCTTTCTCAGGTATCGGAGGAGAAACGTCTTGATCAAGTACCTGCCCGAGGACTGCTCGCGTCTCATTCAAGGTGCGTATCCGCGACTATGCTTTCACCCCTTATCCATCTCGGACCAAACTGACCAATCTCGTCTTTTCTAGCTCGGGTGGCCGTCCACTTCAATGCCGTCTGCGAACGATTCTCCCCATACGACACCACTTTCGAGATCACTACAGCCAAGGAACTGAAGGATACCAAGCTGTCTGCTGCCTGTTCATTGCACGCCGCCTCGGGTTCCAACTCGTCCGCTACGAGCTCAATACGTCGCAGGCGCTTAGTCGAAATTGCCGAGGAGGAAGAGGAAGAACAGCAGCAACGGGCAAGCAAACGCCAATCCCTAAACCAAGATGGCGATGAGGTTGGACCTCCGCAGACGCCTCAGCCGGACAATGGGCCCGCGGACCCTGTAACTCTCAACTCGGAACTCGCCTCATCCCCCGAGGAAAGGAAATTCTCGGCTTCTTCCACCTCTGAGGTGCCCAACTTCGTTGGCGTCGGCGAAACCCCTGGTTCCGAAGACCTTTCTGGCGAGGGCGCTCCGCGTATGTCGTCCCAGTCCGGCCGACCCGACTATTCCAACTACAACCCCTACAGTTACGGAAAGCCGAAAGTGAAACTTGCGCCGCGCCCCTCGTTGGAGACGGGTGGCAGACCTCGCACAGCTGGAAGCTTCCGACCTGTCTCCCAGATGCCCGCCGGCTTCAAGTTGTTCGGCAAGGGCTCCAAGAAAGGCAAGAAGGACGACGGCGCTACCTCAACCGAAGAAGAGCTCGCCGAGAATGGTGTTGCTGCCAATGCCCTCTCTATCCCCGAAGAGGACAACCTCGCGCAACCTGAAGACGTTGCGCGACCAACTACGAGCTCGGGCGTGTCTACGGCCCCATCCGTTGTGCCCGCGCCTCCGGCGAAGTCGGTCATATCACCAGAGAAGGCCAGACTGATGAAGGCCATGAAGCTTCGCGAGAAGAAGAAGAAGAAGAACCTAACCATCAACCCTTTGGATGCGCCAGGGCCTGAAATTGACTCACCTGCGCTTAGCATCGATACCCTTGGTGACAAGTCCGTGGAGGATGAGGAGCTGGAGACCCAGCCATCGATAACCAACGAGGATTCGGCAATTGGTCTCGATGCTTCTTCGTCGTCCATGAATACGGATCAGGCCTCCGAGCTTACCCAGTCTGATTCACACCCCGCCAGTCCCATTATCGCCTCTTCAGAACCCGACCATTCCACAAAGGCATCTTCACTATCAGAGTCTACAGATGAAACCGTCCAGGCTAAGAGTGATGACATGCCCGATGATGAGGATGAACTTGACATCTCTAAGCCTGTAGAAGAACCCGAGAAGGAGAGCACTCCCGAGGCTGTCGGGGCCCCTGCAGCGGACACGACTATTGAGCAGACCGTTACAAAGGAGTCAATTCCCGCAGAAGCAGTGGAGACTCCTACAAGTGCCGAGCCTAAGGCGGCGCCTCAAACAGATACTCAATCTAAAAAGGACGGGCCGGAGGAAAAGCCAGAGGGGATACTTCCAGCGCCAATTGGTGAGACAGACAGCATTCCGGCAACGTCAACATTCGCATTCTTGAGCAGCAAGGGACCCGAAACAGACCAAATTCCAGACGCGACAGAGACGAAGGAGGGGGAGGACGCGAACACGATCACATTAAATAATGGCGAGGACCTCTCCCCCAAGGCGACCCCCGCGTTGCAGATTCCCAAGTCCAAGTTCTCTTCCCAGAATCTACATTCCGAGGCTCAAAGCCCTTCAGTCCCTACCATCAACTCGCCTGACGAAAGAAGTATTCTGGAGGAGAGCCCCGCCATCACAGCCGATAAGGCCAACGACGAAGACGCCAACGCAGATACCACAACGGAATCCAAACCGAAGCGAAAGTTCTTTGTTGAGCCGATCCGAACAGACTTAACCCGCCCAGAGTCGCAAATAGGAGTACACCTGTCTGACGACGAGTTGGATGAACTGCAAAGCGCAACTTTCCAAGACGCAAGACCGATGCTCGTTTCAAAGAGCCCCGTCACACCGGTGTTCCCAAGCCCAACTAAGGGAGGGCCTTCACCACACACCGTCCGGACGGTGTCGAACCCTGTTCGGGGAACCTTCCTCACACCTGGTGATGTTAGCCAGAGCTCTGCGCGGTCCGTTAGCTCAGGCGGCGCTGCGCTCCTGCACAAGGTCGCCCAGCAGCCGGTAGGCCCCAACCTTTCCAAGAGGTCCAACGTGGGATCAAGCATTTCTCAGCGCATCAAGGCGTTGGAGAAGCTGTCCGCCACCTCGGGCAAGGAAGTTGCACCCCCCCGAGGCGTGAGCCGGGAGCGTCCGTCTTCGACCTTCTTTTCTGTCAAGAAGGGCAGGGAGGCATCGAGATCGCCATCACTGGCTGATAGAACAAATTCGTTCACCCGCCCAGCTGTCCGAACGCCGCCCTCGAGATCTGGCTCTAGGGATGAGTCTCCTGAGGCAACCCGGCGGCCACGACGCGACCGTTCTGCCTCAGTGGCGAGCAGACTGTCTATGTTTGAGGCCCCAAGTGAGGGAAACTCAACCTCGCACTCGCCCGGTAGCACCCCTCGTGGTCGCCCAGAGTCTATCTCAGTCACGGCCAAGATTGTTCGGGATCCGAATGCGGCGAGGTCGTTTGAGCCCCCGAAGGACCTCTCCGAGTTCAACCATCTCGAACTCAAGCAGTCGCCCCTGATGGTCGACCACCACAAGGCTGCGCCAGGATGGACACCGACGACTCTGGAACAGAAGGACACTATCCAGGAGCGGCGCATGTCTAAAGAGTCACGAGCCAGCCAGGACACCAAGTCGCGGCGGTCCTCGCTTACCGTCGTCAAGGACTTTATTAAGGAGCGCCGCAAGTCGGTGACGTCCATCACATCGGACGCCTTTAGCGGCTCGCGATCTCCTACGCGACCGCCGTCGACTCACCAAAACAGTACCTCCTTCACCCAGCGCCTCTCTATCAGCAGCCGCCGATCGTCCTTTAACCGAGACCGTGAGAGCGTGCTGTCTCCTACCCCCACAGAGGGCTCTGGATCCGGTGACGATTCCAAGTCTAATAGTGATAAGAAGAAGTCGCGTGCCGGCCGCTTCATGCGCCGCCTTTCGTCGCTCTCCGGGTCCCGGGGTAAGATTGCGATGCCCCCGGGCATCTCTGCCACTGTGGCCGAGGAGGATCTGGAGCCTATCCGACCCGCGACCACCGGCTCGCCGTCCATCGCCTCGTACATGGGCGATGTCAACGTCCAGTTCCCCGACAACCTGCTCTGGAAGCGACGCAACCTGTGCCTCGACACCCAGGGTTACCTCATCTTCAGCGCTCTCCCTGGCCAGAGCGGCCGTGCCGCTCAGGGCACGAAGCGCTACCACATGAGCGAGTTCCGCCAGCCGTACATTCCCGACGTCGATGCCCAGGAGCTGCCCAACAGCGTCGTTCTCGACTTCATGGAGGGCAGTGGTCTTCAAGTCGCGTGTGAGGACCGGTCGGGCCAGACAACCGTTCTGCAGAGTGAGTAGTAGACCACATTTCCTGTGAATAATAGATAACTAACGTGTGTTGTGTAGCCGTGCAAGATGCTCACCGCAAGTATGCCACGAGCTTCGGGCAGTAAAGCGTGCTTTAGAGCTCATCCTCAACCACCAATTTCAACAACTATTACCACCCAGTCTAATAAACTCTGCCGTGGTCATTCTTGAGACATGGCCCGCCCAGGAAGCAATCTACAATGACGGCTAGAATCCTTTGTCATTTTCGATATGGTAGAAGCAGTTATCCTTCTCCTCGCCCACTCGACTTGTCAACTCTTGCATACACCCAGCGTTAATGCCTTACGACATCGCCCCTTCTTGCTTTCGCCTCTACGCCGGCTTTGCGGGATGCTTGAGGACGTGTGTATCTCCACCTCGTCCTTCAAGCTGTACAAGAGGATGTTGAAGAACACCCTGCCAGCCTACCACGGGAGACCACTTTACTCTCCTCCTATTCTCTTTGCAACCTACTAAAATACGCGCCGACGACGCTCTTCCCTACCATTTTATCTCGTTTCTCGCCACCCCATTCCACCAACACAAAACACACCGTTTTGTTTCCCTTTTCTCTACATGATACCACACCATTCTTCACACATCTACCCGCCGTCTTGGCCCACTCATTGAAGCAAAAACTGTCTTCCAAATTTTATTGAACCCACAATCTCATAGTTGTCACCCCTTTCTTTTCCTGTGATATTATAATTTATTCCCGGCTCTTTTTTTTTTCACTCATCTCACAGCGTGCAAAAGATGAGCGGGTTAGCGTGGTATGGCAAATGGCTTGGTAGGAAGGGTGGGGGGGATGTTGGATACTTTTTGCGCTTGATTTTTGTCCCCATAGTTTGCGCTGGTTGTTGGGCTTTGTATACCAAGAGCGAGGGGAAGGATGAAGAGTAGAGTAGTGAGGAGAAGGTGAAAATAGGATTTGTTGAGGACTGAAACTATGAGATGCTTGCGATGTGATTCAATGAATGCTGTGATTTTGATCTGGCATGAGAAGAGAGTGTGGGTGTAGCGCCGCTTGGCATCTAATATGTATGAATTCGCATCGGAGGATATCGCAACTCTACTTTTGGAAGTGTTTTATCATCAACGTTTCCATTGTAGCAATCCCCCCTTTTACGATCTTTGTTTAGATGCCCCCATTCCAGGTATTGTGACAGATTCTCAACAGATTAAAACTCGAAACATAGTTTGTATGTAGCTCATGTGCTTCGTTGGTCCAACAGACCGAGACCCAAGATACAAAGATAGAAAATGACAGTGACTATGCTATCCTCCTCCACTTTGTTGCATCGCTCCATGTTCCAATATCAGCTTCGCGATTCCGTGCTTCGCGGTCCTCAAAGCTAGCCGAACAATTGCGCGGTTGGCGTCGTCGTCGACATCAGCGCCATTCTCGAGCAGCAAACGTACGACGTCTTCGCTCCCCATTTCGACTGCATTCTCTAGAGCAAATACTAGATCTTCGCGATTCGCTTGATCACCAGCACCGTTGTCCAATAGCAGGCGTACGGTTGCGGCATTGCCAGACCGGGCGGCAGCTATAAGAGCCGTCGACCCATACCTGGACTCACACCGGGTGTTCACGAAAGCGCCATTCTCAAGTAGCAGACGTACGACCGCTTCATGGCCATCGCCTGCTGCAGCTGAAAGAGGCGAGGTTGTTGTTCCTCCAGGGTTGACATCAGCACCGTTATCCAATAGCAAACGTACCATCGCTTCATTACCCCGTTCTGCTGCAGTTGTAAGAGGCCGAAACCAACTTCTTTCAGAGTTGACATCAGCACCGTTATCTAACAGCAAACGTACGACCGCCTCCTTGCCTCCTGATACTGCAACTGAAATAGTTCCTCCGAGCCTTTTATTATGTTTGCTGTCCACAAGGGTCGGGCTGCGAGAAAGGAGATCTGATACTACTGTTTCAAGCCCAAGTTTAGATGCCTAGTAAAGACCCGATCCATCGTCATACGGAGACTGTATGCTAGGTTGAGCCAGGATCGGGCTGTTCCATTCCTCGATCCAGTTCCTGAGCGCTCCATTATGGTCTCGAAATAACCTTTTTGCAAGATCAGGCAAGTGCGTAGTTTGGAAATTTTCGTCATAATGCCGGTGCCAGTATCGCACTGCATATACCGTAAGCGGAAAATTTGACCGATCACCATTATATACCTCCGGTTCCAGCAGGTAGGCCAGACAGAGGCTCGCAATTTCTGCATTGGCTTTCTCTGTTTCCACGTGGAACATTGCCACTCTCTGTTGGCGGATTCTCTCCGACTCTAGATATTCTTGGACCGAAAAATGGGCGATTCGTACCGTCGAGAGCTCCTTGGCGTCAGGATTTACAACCACCTCGATGAGTCCTGGACAGACTTGGTGGAGGTCATCTTGGTCGTGTAGTCTTCGTTTCGTGTTGAGTCTGGGGATGTCTCCTAATTCTACAGCCATTGCTTCTATGACTTCAGCAACGGCCAACGGTTCCTTGGCGCAGCACAGGAACGTCAATGTCCGTCGAGCATATTCGGCAGAACCCTCATCGATATTCAAGAGCATCCGTTCGTATGTTTCGTCCAGAGATCGCGGCAGAGAAGTGAGCAAATCCTCAAGGTGAGCTTCGCTGCGAGGGCAGTTTTCGAGCGAGGTGAACTGGCATTCGACCCATCGAAAGCTAATGCATTTAGTCAATAGATGGTTGAAATACGGATAAGAAAAACTCACACGCCATCTGCACGCTCAATAAGCCCTTGCGCAATGCGATCATGGAAGCTCTTCCACCTATGAAGCCTTCTTGTGTTTCTGAGATGGTCAGAGATAAAAGTTGAGATATCTCGGCCGATATCCTCGTTTCGCAGTGATATATCCTCAGCATGTGTAGGTTGGAGCTCGTCACGGATATCAACCTCATCACGACTCGTGACGATGAGGTGGAGCCCTGGTTCGGACCACACCCTCAGCTTGGCTGCCCTGAGCGCCTCCCCTCTTGCTGGCGACTGACCTCAGCAAGCTTCGCTGGAGACGGAGTTGGGAGCCGGCCGGGAAGAAACCCGACTTGGGGGTGATGTGACGGCGGCCCGGCAAGGCTCGCCGTCATGATGGCGGTCCAGACTTTCCTGCTGCGAGCTATTTTGTGTAAGGCAAGAGAGAGCCAAAGTTCCTAGACAACCAGGTTGCCTGTGTGAGCAATTAAAGTTGGGTTTGTTTACCCATGGTTAAGGCAAGTGCAAGTATATACCTGTCAAGGTCCTTCTTGGATTTTAATTTTGAACAAATTTCATTCACCCTTACCGTTGACGACATTCAATTCAGCTCATCTAATCATCACGGCTTACAAAACCAAGAGTTCCTTTCATCGTCTCTGCTATCACCACCAATAGTTCCTTTCATCGTCTCTGCTATCACCACCAATATGGGCTACAGCCACGATACTGCTTTTTCCTGCCCACCTCCCACTACCGTCACCATTACTGTTACCGCCAATGGACCCTCCAGCTCTTCAGATATGGACGTCTTCGCCGCTTTGTTTGTACAACTCTTGAACCTCCTGGAACGGCTTTTTGACACTCTCACGGACAAGATCGACAACGGTCTTCAAAAAACCTACATTAAGAAGGGGATGTTTGGCGTTGCCATAATCACAGCATTCATGGTATTCATTCAGCTGTTTATAGACACAAAACGTACGACAAGACAACTGGCAGCCCTCGATCAAAAAGTCCAGGCATTACAGCGCCTACCTGGCCCTCAAGGCCCTCCAGGCGTCCAAGGTCCTACTGGGGCTAATGGCCGACCAGGTCCTGCTGGGGCTGATGGCAGGCCAGGTCTTCAAGGAGCAAATGGCCACAATGGAGCTAATGGCATTCGGGGACTTGATGGCGCTCCTGGTCTTGATGGCGCTCCTGGTCAGCAAGGCCCACGTGGTTGGAGAGGAATTTCGGGCTGCTCAAGAATCTGTTTGTGTCACTCACGCCCTGAATGATATGGCTGCTCTTTGGCTGAATATTGGCGGTATGACTGGTAGTGGTTGGCTTTTCGTGATGATACGATGTGGGAGGTTTGGAGTTTATTAGTGGGTATAAACTCTATGAGGCAATGAAAGAATTTCTCTGTGCAGCGGATGCTGCTAGAGGCTTTGCCCTTAGCCCTTTAGAAACTGGTGCACAGCTCGTCAATATCCTTGTCGAGCTTTTGCAAAGTGCTCTGTCGGAATGGGTAGGCCAACCGGCGACCAGCCATATTTACTGCAACTCCGAAGCCGCCCGGAGAGCGTTTCTTGAACTTGGCCACTTCCTTTTTGAGCTCCATCATCTTGTAGGGGGACTATGTCTCGCGGCTGAGCTATTCTGCCATCATGGAGCTCGTCAATGGAAAGTCCCTTTTGGCAATGGATGGCAGCTTACCGACCTCCTCAAGCCCACCAAGCTAGAACCCCTCCACTCGCCGAGAAGATTCCCACACTTGATCATGGCCCCTCCACTCTCCGCGATGCCGCGCGAGCAGCTGTGGTGGTGGAGTCCTGCGGAGTTCAACGGCGTAGTCAAGACGGCGTATTCGGCACTGGGGCCGGAGGGTGGGGAGCGGTCGACGATGGGTTGGGGAAGGGTGAGGATGGAGTATTTTGAGGGAGAGGTCTGATGAGGATAAGGAGTTGTTAGGTTGTAGATTTGATAGAATCATGGTGGCGTTGCTATTGATCCTGCTAATGGTGAGCAAAATGTCTTGTGTAGCTGTGAATAGTAGTGATACGGAGTTTGGAAGACGATATGCCCAGCCAGTGGTGCTGCTACGCTTTGAATACTCAGAAGATCTGACTTATTGGCCCCCATTTCCTGCAAAACACGATGGGCTGATTTCACCATCCACCGGGGTTCTCCGAAATCGTGAATCCCGGGCCGGCCTTGACGGACGAACGGGGCAACGGGGGATAGTCCGGAGCATGGTAGAAAGGTGGGGGCCCGCCGCACAACCTCCGGACCACCCACACCAGCTACCAAGGTTCACGCAATGAACCTAGCCATGTCAAGCATCATCGGTACCTACAGTGACGCATCTGCCAGGTTGGGTCCAGGGTTCGGACAGGCTGGGTTCGTCAGCAGCGGGCATTTCGGCAATGCAGGCAATTTATCATGGTACGAAGGTGCGGATGAGAGCACGTTGGTTGGTGGGTTGGTGGGTTTGTTCCCAGGGATGTCTGCGTAGGTTTTTCTTTTTTGTTTCGAGTAGCTTCCCGCCTTGCGGCCGCAATGATGGTCGGGTGTTACGTACGAAAGGTGAGATGAGTGGACTGGAAGCTCTGGGGACACGTACGGGGCGGAGACGGGGCGATTCGCCAATGAGTGGGCGTTGATACTGGGAATGGGATGCTGCATGGAAGCTGTGGTTGGATGGGTGTAGCTGGCTTGGCGTCTCACAGACGAATACCGACATACAGCCATGCGCCTCTATCTCTGTCGGTATTCAGATGTGCGTCTGACTTATCTGTATCACAGCTGGCTATCTCCGGACCGGGACCGGGACCGGGATGGGACAATGACGGAGCAGGGAGGGAGAGAGATGGGGAACGGGTGGTGCGTGTGTTTTGTGCCAGAGGGTGCATTTTGTATGGTGGGTGTGCATATGTGAGGATGCATGTTGGCGGTATGGTAGGTAGGGAGGTTGCCAAGTTACACGAGGCGAATCAACCGACTGCATGCTCGGGACGAATAGTGAGAGCCAACATCGTTTCGGTACCCGGGTGTAAAAATACGGGCATGATGCGCGGGGTTGAGTCTCCGTATTTTCCCCGGATAGTGACGGAAACGTACCGATAATTGGGCCACGGAACTAAAGGTACGTGCGTCGTCGGTTCATCGATAGTGACGTTGGTATTGGAATGAGCGGAGGATTGGATCAATTGGTGTGGAAGCACAGACTTTCCCCAGAGAAAGGAAGCCATTGTACGTAATTCGGGAGGCTTGGGAACCAGGGATGGAGGTGAGGCGTCTGTAACGTGACCTGCGCCTCTCGGGCGGAGATTGGTTCGCTAAAAGAGGGAAACCGAGGAGGAGCACAATGCTTTCTTTTGGTTACGGAGGCTGCCCGTCTGAAGGAAGGGGACCTGGCCAGCGGATGATGCGGGTGCATGATGGCGCTTTAGCGATGGGATGGGATCGTGGCGATAGCGCGGGGAGAGAGGAGGGGACGGGGTTCGGTTGTGCGTGTGATTGGGTGGTTGAGGTTGGTGGCGGCCGAGTACACGGCAATGATTTAGTGGAGGCTCAGTAGGAAATGACTTGGAAGATCAAGTGACTGCCGATGACTGAGACTGTTATTGAAGCAAATCTCGGGCTTGGTTGGACGCTGTCATACCAGACACCAACTTTGTTAGACAAACAGCGGCCAGTGATGGTGATCGCCTCCCGTGTCTGAGCATCTTGTGATCGCTTGAAGCTCAGACGACATGGCCATCATCAGGATCACGGTCCGAAGCACAAATTGCAGCTCCACATGCGGGCGTGCGGGTGCAGCTGGTGAGATGGGTGATGGGCGAGATGTGGACGCAGATGCTGCACGCGACTGACCATTGCAAGATGCGATGGCGATTCGATTGCGATGGATTGGCCTGCAATGCCTTGCGTCTTGGTCAACAAGCTCCATCCCAGCAACGCTTCGCCACGACTTGTTGGTCCCAGAGTTCGGCACCTGACCAGCGCTGGATGCAATGCATTTGAGCTCTCGGCGTGCCGTGGGTGTGTAGCCAGCTAGGCAGGTGTGCCTCCGTGCCATCCGGGGCGTCGTCGCCGAGTTTATCAGAACGTACCCTTCTCTTTGGGTTCCAATTGGAACCCCTAGGATCCCGGCACCCCCTCACGGTTTTTGCTACGATCGTGTGCAGAGTGTCATCCAAGGCTGGCCAACAAGGACGCTGCCCGCCCCTCCAACCACCACGTAGCTTTTTTTTTTTTCTTCTCGTCTGGTGTATCCGTACCGAGATTTATTTTCTCTCCATTCGTATCGATCAAGGTGTCAATGGGGCGTCCCGTCATAATCTGCCAAAAGTACTGTAAGCCGTAGCTGGTTTACCTAATACAGCATGTACATGTCGTCCATTGCTGTAGTCTTGCATTGGTAGCCCTGGCCCTTCGTCCTAGCTATTTAGCCGCAGTAGGGAGGTCCCTTGGTCTAGCGCGGCGGTGCTATGCCTCTTCGCCTCTACGCCCTGCATCGACTCCATGAATCTGTGACGCTGCCTTGTCTGGGTCGGGTCAGGCTCGGTAGGTAGTTCCGATCCCCTCAGTATCGCGCACTGGGTCTCGGCCTTGTCTTAGCTCTTGGACGTCAAGCCTGAGAAGGCTGGGGGAGGCGTCGTTACGGGCGGCGACACCACATCGCGTAGCGCCAGAGAAGGCGGTAAAAAAAGAAAAGAAAGGGGAGATAAGATGGAGACAAGACGAAGAGAGAACGAGGGAAAATGGTAGAAATGAGGCTAGCCCCAGGTACACCCAATACGCATCAACCTGTGGAAGGTACACTATGTAGTTGAGGGGAGCTCCATCCCACCTTACTCTGTACGTAGGCAGGCACGCAAGCAAGGCAGGCAAGGCAGGTACCGACCGCTCCCCTCCTTCCTCCAAGACAGGTATTCCGCCTTGCCCACCATTTTTCTTCACGGCCTTGTTGGTGTCCAATTTGTTATCAAGCACTTTGCTCTATCAGCAACATCATCACCACTCCCCGTCATCCACGTCTTGATCCACGTCTTGTTTCTTCTTCCCTTCTCCATCACGGTCTCGGGCACTAACAAACACATTTTTTTTTTCTTCCTCCACGCCCTTCAAGGGACCGTCCGTCCACCCCCTCCAGCATTGTTTGCTTTGAACCTCCATCCAGCCTGGCGTCGTGCTGCACTGCTGTTTCTCGACCTTGGACTGGCATTGAACATTCATTTCTCTGCCGTTGAAAACTGTTTGCGCTTTCAACCCTCGCCGGACCGTTTTCACCGGCCGTCTTCCACCAGATCCAAAAGTTCTTCTCCCCGCAGCCTGCTCCCAAAGGTGCGGGAAGAAAAGCGACGGTGACAACGGCTGCGCCATCCTTTCAATCGACGCCCCTCCGACACGCCCACGCTTGGCCCCCGCACTGGCACCTGCACGTTGCGCTACGCTTTCACTGGCTTGAGATACGTACTATCTTTCAGCGCCCGCCACCCTGGTCCGCCTCGCAAAGCTCCCCCTACCCAGCGACTCCAAAAAGTCGCAATCCCCCCCAGTTTCGCTTCTCCTCGGCCCACGCGGCTCCCCCTTCAACCTCGCCCAACCGCCACAAACCGAGTTCGATATTATCGCCATCAGCCTCTACGATCCCACCTCTCGCACTGCGCATTGCCTGCCGCCGACTACGGCACCGCGTTTCTGCACGCCCACGGCCGTCCCCCTACCTATCGACCCAGGCCTCTGCTACCCCGCCGGTCGTGCGACCCAGCCTGACGCGACTGGTTCTTGATTCGCCCCGAGACTCCCTCCGGGAGAGGAGACACCGCAACCATGGCCCCGTACGGGTCCGCCCACGCGCTCTCCATCGGCGCAGAGTCGAGCCCTACCGGTTCTTCCTCGACTCCCAACCACCATGCGCAATCCCAACCGCCGCAACAACTGCCAACCCCGAACCAGGCAGGACTACCTCTGAATGCCCAGCACAAGCGTGTCTATCAGGCCTGTATCCCCTGTCGCCGCCGTAAGGTCCGATGCGACTTGGGTAGTGTCGACAACCCGCACGATCCTCCTTGTGTTCGTTGCCGTCGTGAAAGCAAGGAGTGCTTCTTCAGCGCAACCCGCCGAAAGCGCAAGACCGACGACGGCGAAGGCAGCGATGTTGACGAGTATATCGTCCGCAACGGTCGCAAGCGAGTTCAGACCAGCGGTAGCCCCCAGCCCTTCATCGATCGCCGCGCATACAGCAACGTGCCCTTGACCCCAGGCGGCTCTGCGGGCCGAACTCAACCACTTCGCCGGCCAGATGGCTCCAGGGCCGACGGAGATAGCGACTTCGGCACCGATGGCGATGCGAACCAGACTCTCGAGAACCTCGAGGCTCAAACGGTGATGCGCCGCAGCGTGTTTGGACCCCACGACGCCCTTGACCTGCTCTACAAGGCTGCCACGGATAGGTGCGTCTCCTCCACCCCCCATGCCTCGCCTCCCATCGGTTTAAGATCAACAAGCTGACACATAACAGCCCAGTGACAAACCACCATGAGCGCAAAGACAGCATGTCTTCCGCCAAACAGCCTCCTCAGCCGCCCCTAGCCCATGACGGTGTTCCAAAGCACATTCGTCGAACGACCATGCCTGTTAGGATGGAGCAGCCCATCGATCCAGAATTGTCGCAACCCGAGTTGAGTAGCCAACCGGGATATATCGAGGCCATTGCGGCCTGGCAGAGGTTTCGCTTTGTCAGAGCAGGGTGGTTTACCGCCGCTGAGGCCATTGAATACATCGACTAGTAAGCTCCACGAAGCATCGCATCCCTGAGACACTATGAACTAACTTGGTGACAGTTATTATAAGTACCTTTCACCTCTAACACCCATATCGCCCCCGACTTTTAGCAACCCGGCCTCTCATGTCACCCTGCTGTACGAGGAGCCTATCCTGACCGTCACTCTATTGACCATTGCGTCTCGATATCGAAAAATGCCCGGCACAGGCGGCCATTGCCGCTCGCATGCTATCCACGAACAACTATGGACGTACTTGCGCGGCATGATTGAGCGTTGTCTGTGGGGGCAGGAGGCTTTCGGCGGTGGTTTCTGTGTGCCCTCTACAGCCATGTTTGACGAGTCCCAGACCAGCAGCACCGCTCCGTGGCGAGGACTCCGAAAAGGCAGCCTACGAACTTTAGGGACTATTGAATCGCTCATGATTCTGACCGAGTGGCATCCACGCGCTCTGCATTTTCCCCCAAGCGAAGCGACGGATGAACTCGTGCTTCCGATGGCTGAAGGGCTAATGGCCGGGATGGACCCTGACGAAGACGCGAATGGAACTCTGGGCCAAAGTTTCGGAGGGAAGCGGATCGAAAGTTGGCTTGAGCCGGCGTGGAGAAGTGATCGGATGTGCTGGATGCTTCTCAGCACCGCCAACGGACTGGCGTACGAGCTTGGCGTCTTTGACGACATCGATGAAATGCTCAAGGACGATGCCATTATGCGACTCGAGTACAAGGAGGAGGCATACCGACAGCGCGCCTACCGCATCAAACGCCTACTGCTTATCTACACCACTCAGCTTGCCGGTCGTCTCGGCTGGACAAACATGGCCCCTGACCACCTCCGGAAGAGCGATCCAGCCATCTCTCGAAAGCGGCCTGTATCTCATGAAGGTACGACGCCCGGCACAAACCCGTCTTCTATGTCCAACGCCTTCAACTATGTTCCAGATCTTGAGCTGGACGACCAAATTATTCACTGCTGGGCGGGTATCAGTAACGCCATGCACATGGGTAACGAGAAGCTCTTCCGCTCCCGGAAACACACGACGCAAATCATCCAGAGTGGCAAATACGTTGACCTTTTACGAGACTTTGTACCCTTACTTCGCGATTGGTGGAGGGAGTTTGAACTATTCCGGCTGCCTCAGTTCATCCGACACATCCTAACCATCGAATACGAGTACGTACGCATCTACATCAACTCGCTGTCGCTCCAAGCTGTTGTTGAGCGATGCACCAACAACGCCAACAACGCGGGAAATGCCAGTAATGTAACTGGCTTGGGGTTTAACGGACTGTCAGCCAACGGGCACCAGCAGCTCTCTCCGCAGACCATGATCAATTACGGGAAACTCCCACTTGGTCAGTTGGGTGGCTTTACGGCTAATGACCAGGAGTACATCCGCGAGGTTGTTGAGGGTAGCCGTAACCTCCTCCGAACCGTCGTTGATGGGCTACTACCCGGCGACTACCTCAAACACGCACCAGTCCGCACATATTTCCGCATTATTAGCGGCGCCATGTTCCTACTCAAGACATTCGCACTCGGCGCTCCTCGGTCTGATGTCAAGATGAGCATCGAGCTGATGGATTCGACTGTCGAGGCACTCCGCAACTGCGTTGTCGACGATGTACATCTGGGAATCCGATTCGCCGACCTTCTCGAGTCCCTGACCAGCCGATTGCGAAACCGCTTCATCCAGGCCCCTACAATGCAACAGGCATCAGGTAAGGGGCAGAGCCCTATGCCAGATACAGTTGGGCATGCAGTCAACGGATCTGCTGGGCCAAACGGAGAGAGCAACGCGAGCTGGGTTGGAGGTCATGCCCAAAAACTCCGAGACGGGCTCAACGGAAATTGTAAGATATCAACCCTCACATATCTCGAGGCATATACTAACCATGCTAATGTAGATCCTCCCTCCCCTTCTCATGAGGGGAACGGTATCTCAGCCACACCATTTGATCTCTCTTCTGGCAACTTTCCCTATCCCGGCAACGCGTCTCTTGGGCCATCTACACCAACAGCTGTTGACAACAACGTCTCTAATATGGACGTCAGTCTCTTCGACGATTGGAATAACCAGGGCAACGAGATGTGGTATCTGCCACCAGGACCAGCCTTCTTCCAGAACGTAGAGAACACTTCGGTCGCGATGACAGCCGAGGGGGTCAACGTCGGAGGACTTGACCTGCTCGAATACATGGCTATGGACCCATCGCAATTTCCGGGACTGGATCCTTCGGGGCCATCATCCAACGTTTAGGGCACGCCAATTGGACAATACGATATTATTTGATGAGCACGGAAGTTTAATGAACACCTTTCGCTTTTTTTTTTCTTGTCTGGGGACGTTATATCATGGTTAGCATGATTTGATTCCTGATTCTAAAACAGCGTGTGACGACTTTCCCCTTATGTTTGATACAAAAAAGATGCCCCCATGAGGGCCTTGGCGCCTTAGTTTTTGTGGTGGGTGGGTGCATCGATTTCTGTTTTCTTCACTGGCTTCGTTTGATTCATGAAATCGGTGCTCTTTTCCTTTGTTCAGATGAGAACCGCTCAAGGCGGACGAAAAGGATTGACGATATTGGCAGGACGATCAAAACACAGCACTCCCAAAGAGGGTAGAGATAGCACTGGTAGACAAATCAACAGAGAAAATCGAGACATTGAGGTGTCAAAATTCATAAGATCGTAAATGCACAACAGCGAAATTTACACGCGAACGTTACTGTTGGATATTCGGTTCATGTGAAATGCAAGCAAATTACTCGGATGGGCCTCGGAGCTCACTTAGGTCTTACAGCTCACTAAAGTGCGGCTAAGTCGCATTCAACTGCAACTCACCAGAGCCAACGCAAAGCACAAGTCTTATTAACAGTCATGGTAACGGTAACCACCTTAATTCAATTGGCCTGCACATTCAATACGTCCGCGATACACGTATGCTCTTAAACCCCATCAATACGAATACCACACCATCAGCAGCAAACCAAAAGTAACCGCTCCCTTTCCATCTTTCCTTTCCCCTCTTCTCTCCTTGAACATGCGCTGGGACAGGGGTGTGAATACGTGTCGTTCAAGAAAAACGAGGTTCCCCTCCCCAGACGCATGCCACTCTGTTCAACGTAACATCCCACATTCACCGGAAAGATGCAAAAGCCACTGGCGCCTCTTTCGAGGCTTGTATCCAGCCCCTCTCGAAGCGCAGGATCTTGCGTTCCGCTAGAGAGAATGCGACTCGCAAACGATCAAGACGAGGCCAGGGCGGTCTGCCATTGGCCGAAACTTCAGCAGACACGTCGCCCCATCCCAATCGCCCGGTTTCCATGCATTCATTGCCTCCCCCGTGACTGAGAAAGCATGCGGCTCACGAGAGAGAAGTATTTCGAGACAGCGATGATCAGGCTTAATCCCTAGATTATCCCACTCTCGGTCCCTCCGGACTCCAGTATAAAGCATTGTTACTTAACCTTGTAGCTCCTATTTTGTTTCTGTTTTCTTTTTCCTCCATTTTTTCGTACTCATCACTCGGTCCCTGTTCTGTCATTATCTGGTCATGTCGTGGACCGTCTCGTTCCAGCCTTCATTCAGATATCAATTGCTGAACCACTTTTGGCAAAGAAACAATAGGGTTTAACATTAAGATGTAAGAATGAGGTCATTTAGGTGACAAGGCCCTTCTTGTACTGTTGGGTGATATGAGTAAACGGCACCAGCCATACGATTGTCAAGGAAGGCTCACCAGGTGGTCCCAGAGTTTAGTCGAGAGTAATTCCGGCATAGTGTAGAGATCAATCGAGAACTCTCCGGCTTGAGTCAAGTCATCCACTATTAGCTCACCACACACACATCAATTGAGGAAGAGAAAAGGGAGGGGGGGAGGAGAGAGGGTAGAGGAGCACCGAGTAGGCAATCTCCCCAACCGAGAAATCAAACAAGGAATAAACTTACCCTCCACATCACTCCTTATGTACGTGTCGGGACCCTTGTTTTCGTTGATGAGCTGGATGACACGCAGCAAGTCCTCCTCCTCAAGCTTCTCCAGGGCCTCGGCAATCTTCTCATAGTCAAACTTCTGGGCGCTCCTCTTGATGGCAAGGCCCTTCTTCTTGGGCCGGTGGTCGTCGTCGGTGGGCAGGGGACCCGTCTCACGCAGGCGCTCCTGCAGGGATTGGGAGGGGTTCTTGAAGGTGACGTTGTGGACGACCTCGTACTTGTTCTTGCCGAAGTTAAGGTCCTGGATGATTGGCGCAAGCTTGGTCTTCTCGGTGGTGTAGCAGTCGATGCTGAAATCAAACTCACCCCAACCCTCATTCGAGCAAAGAAAGGGTGGCTTGACAAAGGCTACAGGGCGAGGTAAGTAGATTAGCAATCCAATCTCGGGGAAAATGCGAAGCATGAGGCCAATGGAGGTGCAATGGAGGTACCAAGGAGGAAGGGAAGCATACTCTGGACGGGGTTCGCAAAGGTCGGGTGCAGGTTGTAGACGACCTTGGTGAAGACGTCGGCAGGGCGCTCAGTGCCGTCCTCGTCAATCAAGAAGATCTTCAAGCTCCATTCTCGCATAGGGAAGCCTTCGATGGCAGGCTTGTCACTTTGAGGCGCAGTCTCGTCAGCACTGAATAGCTCTTGTGACAGTGAATGTGTAGGCTCTTCAGCCGAGTATTGGGCTGTGGGAGGAAGACGTTCGCGCCGGGAGGGGGAGGGGGAGGGGGAGGGGGAGGGGGAGGGGGAGTGGCCACAATAGGGCAAGAGTACAAAAGGAAGAGGACAGGGAGGCATGAAAACTCACATGATGTGTTGTTCAGTGACAACCTTGACTTTGCGCTGTAGATCGTCAGCACGAATTTTGCGAGGAGTGGCGGATCGCCGAGTTCGTGGAGTGGGCATGGCTGTGATGAGGCTGTGAAGGAGGTGATGTGCGATCTCCGTGTAGATGTGTAGGTGCGTAGATGAACCACAAGCAGCGGCAAAGATAGTAGGAAAAGCTTCAAGGGATTGGTGCCTGTGCTGCTCGCGGTGATGGCGATGGCGGTGGTGATTGCAATGTGATGGCGATTGAGAAATGATGGTGATGGTCAACAGCCGGCAGAGAAGCGGGTGACAGGCAGGAAGGCAAGAAGGCAGAGTAGGCAGGCGGCGCTGTCAATGAGACGCGTGCAATGCGGTGTGCTTTGCGGCGTGTTTGTGCCACGAGAAACGCCTGAAGCCACGAGCAGTGCTTGACAGCTGACGAGACCATCAGGTTCAGCTGGCGCCAGCTGTCAAGCTGCCAACTCGACAACCACTGCCAACCAGACACAAGACGACGGCCTGTCACGGCCGAGTCCAGCCCATTCTCGCCCTCGCAACGACGACACGCCCAGCAAACACTCATCCCAAGGCCACCAACCGCGAATCACCGACGAACGAGAATCCAACCACCGGGAAGCCAGCCGGGAGGCCGGACAGTCAGAGCAACGGACAGCCGCACAGCAGCTCCAAGCGGAACAATGACGGCACACGAGGCACCAAGAGAAGAGCTGGCCGAGAAGGGCAAGGCAAACATCCGGGGGCAATGGGGGCAATAGGGACGAACAGCCAGCAGACAAGAACGGAAAAAGACGGCAGGCGTCAAACACTCACCTCGACCAACATGGTAACGTTGCTGGGAAATCTCCCTTTCTGTTGAAGCCCAGCGTGGGTGGGAAAAAAAAGACTGACAGACAGACACAGACAGGAGCTCTCTCTCTCACACGACTCACACACGGCGACGTGGGGAGGACAGGGAGACCAGCGGGGGGTGGGTAGGTCGGTTGGGTTGGGTTACAGGACAAATTCCTACAGCGATGGCGGAAAAGGTCGGTCGGACGGCGTCTGCGGGCAGCGGCGGCGGCGGGTAGGACGGGGGGGGAGGAGCAAGACGGGGGGCGAGAGAAATGGGGATTGGGGATGGACGGATGGATCCAAGAGAGAGAAGCGCGAGCGAGGAAGCGAAGTAAGTGGGCGCCGTCAACGGGGTTTTTCCACAAACGCGCTGCTTGCACACACGACAACGTTTGGGGAGCAAGGAACGAGCGAGTGTGAGCGAGGGTTTGGAGCGGGCGACAAAAAAAGCAACGGGCTAGGTAAGGTAGGGGGCGTGTGTGTGTGTGTGGGCGACGAGGCGAAAAGAGCAGCAAGGGAGAGGGAGAGAGAGAGAGAGAGGGAAGGCAAGCGGGAGAGAGAGTGGGCGAAGAGGCTTGAACCTCGCGGACCTTGACGCGCGCTGAGACGGGGACGGAGGAGGAGGCTGAGAAGAGAAACCCACAGCGGGAATCCTGCTGTCCCCGAGTTCCTCGTTCGCTGGGGCTTGCAATTAGTGACTTGCTGTCGCCTGTCTGTCGCCTGTCGCCTTCTTCGCTGTGGGTGAGCACGCGCAAGGGAGGGAGTGTCTTGCACGGCTGCGAGCCCCGGAACTCCACCGCCTCGGGTGGTCTCTGCCTTGCTTGTCCTTGCCTGCCTGCCTGTCTGTCTCCCTGCCCATCTGCCTACCAGGTACTGGCTGGCGTTGCCCTACAAGGTGTGTACTACCGATGCGTCTACGTACGATCGAAGCATGCTTGCCTCTACGGTGTCTGTTCCTCCAGCCCGGGTACGGAGTACAAGCTTCGCCAGGCAATTAAGGTAGGTATACCTCCTGGGACGCCCGCCAAAGCGCGTCCTGCAAACGACGGGTTTAGCAACAGTGCGTTCTGTGGCGTCACCGAGCCCGTCCAGTCAGGCGTGTTTTGGATTGGGGGCGCTACCATCAGCCACCCCGTCCTTCCAGTTCCTTCTTCTTCTTCTTCTTCTCCCGCCCTGGCCACGTCCATTGCGCAGCCACCGATCGTATTCTTGTCTGCCTCTCTGTGAGCTGAGATGAGATGAGAGTCCAGGGGGAAGCAAAGCAAACATCCCCCAGCTCTTGGCATGGGGGGGAGACGACTTACCCCTGGAAAACGGAAAACGGGCGTAAACTGCGTGAATCCGTTCGACCTACACGCCGACCAACACATGCCGTGGCCGGGTACATCGGGCTCTTGTGGCGCAACCCCGCCGAACGCGTCCCGGTCGCCTCCTTCAGCCACACTTCGTCCACACTTCATCCACACTTCATCCACTCTTCGTCCACCGCCATTGCCATCCACAACCACAACCGCACAAAGACAAAACCCCCCTTCAACCATGGTTGGTGGCTGAAGCTCCCAGGGTTGGTCCATCCATGTAGCTGCATGGCAATCACATATCACACAGGAACGCCGTCGTCCATTGACTAGTCACGCAGGTGGGAAACCATCCGGGTCTATCTAATTTTTTCAATTGAATGTGCTGTGATCTGATGCTCTTGATGCTATCCGTCCATCCACCAAACCGCCTAAAGGCGAGCTATCCATAGTGGCGCTCTCCTCCCATTCCACTCTCCATGGCCCTCCATTCCGCGGGTCTTCCTCAACTGCTTCGTATCAGTGGTGTAGTGTGTGCGTGTAGTGGTGGTGGTGATGTGTGCGTGTGTATGGGGATGGGGTTTGGGGGTTCAAGGAAGATGGCGCCATCGTCGTCCATCGACGACGATATCCAAGGCGTGTTGTGGTGACGTGTGGGGGAGATCGGGGTCCGGCCTGGACATCAACGGGGATTATAACTAAATCCCAGCAGCCATCCAGGCCGAGCCCGTAAATGGTGTGACAACCAGAGTTTGCTTAAGCAGCGGGCTCGGAAGCACCCTCAGCAGCGGGCTCCTCGGTAGTCTTGTCGGCCTCCTGAGCCTTGGCGAAGATCTGCTCGTTCTCCTGCTGGGCCTTGATGAAACCATCCTTGAAGGCGTTGGCGTCTGTGAATCGTAGCGTTAGCATTTGGAGCTCACACAATGGCTCGCAAGGTACATACTGTCGGAGTTGCCGAATCGGATAGCCAGGGTGACGGCCTCGGGCTCGCCCTCGCTGACATCGGCGGCGGCATTCCACACCCAGCTGCGGTCGGAGCCGACGTTGGGGGAGAGCTTCATCTCCGGGACAACTACAATGCCCAAGTCAGCAACAACATTTCAAGACATTTCAGAGTGCGTGGTTTCCCACACGGCCTCCCCCGGGTAGATACATACTGTAGTGGTTGGCGCAGACCTTGAGGGTCTTGTCACGGCGCATGACCAGGCGGGTCTTGCCGTTCTCCTTGTGCTTAAGCAGACGGACGTCACCAGTGCCTCGCTCCTTCCACTCGCTGGACTCCTTGATGAACTTGAAAAGCTTGGCGCGCATCTTGAAGACCTGCTCCTCAGACTCCTCGTTGGTCTTGGTCTCGACCTTCTCGGTCAGCTTGATGACGGGCTCGAAGTGGACATCCTCGGACTCGGGAGCGACATCCTATACACGGGGTTGGTCAGTCAGGGTGGCATTCCTCATGAAGCGGTGGCAGCAGCCGCCTCTTCCGCTATTCGCCCCGAGCGCAAAAGCTCCGTGAGGGATGGTAGACATACCTCGTCACCCTTGGCCTCACGCTGGGCCTTGGCGCTGCCAGAGTTGTCGCCGCGGTCCTCGTCCTCCTTCTTCTCCTTCTTCTCACCACCGCCGAACATCGAGAAAACGGATGAGGAGGTGACGGGCTTCTCAGCCTAAGAGAGTTGGTTACCATGTTAGCAGGGTTCTTATAAGCAAAAGAGGAGATGCACGCAAGCGGGTCATGGTAGGACATGTCGAAGCAAGCTGGGGTAAGACGGTGCTCGAGATCGCGCAAACAGATAGCGAGGCGGCCACCAGACCGCAACAAAGGGGCAAGTCGACGAGACGGGATAGGTTGAGCCGAACCGACGAGGCCGAGTAGCGCACACGACGGCAGCAACCCATCCCATCCCATCTTATCCCGCCCTATCCCAAACGATGACGAAGGTTTGGTTCCTCGCGCCGTCCCGCCAACCGATGCGATGCCGTCAAAATCGCGGGGAAGCACAATCACGACCCAAACCGGCAGCAGTTCCGTCCACGTACCTCGGTGGTCTCGACCTTGGTCTCCTCGACCTTGGGCTCAGTAACTTCGGAAGCAGACATGTTGGCGTTTGTGACGTGTATCTTGGACTCGTAAAATCTGTGGCGGCCGTCCCGTTAGCATGTGCGGTTCCCGTGTGGTGGGCGATTTTGACCCCTCTTCCCCCCTCCTGCTCGCTCCGCGGGCGGGCCACCAACGGCGGACAGGGTCCTCAGAACGAGGAGGGGTTCGGAGAGGCAGAGCGCGCAGCTGCAGTCGAACAGAGGGGGAACTCACGGGAGAAAAAGGAATATTCGACGAGCGTTGCTGCGCTGGTGCAAGGTCCGTTGAGCAAAAGGGTGTAAGGGTGTGCGGGTGCGAGATGGGAGTTTTGTCTGGTGATTTGTTTCCCCCCTCCCCCTTCCCTCCTCGCCGCCCGAAGAGAAATAGTTGCCCCTCCTTAGGCTGGGCCTGGCCCGCCGTGCCGCTGCCTGCTTGCCTGCTGCGGTGTGTGCTCCAGGCGGTGCAACCTGCCTGCAAAAAGTCAACAAGCCCTGTCATTGGCCGACTGCCACGCACTTCTTCAGGCACCTCTGCAAGTCACTCTCCTGCGCTATTTTGCCGATGGGGTACATGCTTTGTCCAAGGCCCCAACGCAAAATTACCTACAGGTGGAGCCACGTGAATGATTTGACATTGGCCGCTTTTCCCATTCACAAAACAACCAACTCCCTCTTGGTCAGGTGGTGGTCGGGTGGTGAGCAATAACAAGTCTTTTTAAACAGCGTCTTATTAATAACTCTCTTTATAATTTCAAGTGTTGTGGGAATGTGAAATATCGTTACCGTTGAAGTGGCCCTTGCTGCACTCGCTCCTGTTGTCGTCCATGCTCACCAAGATCATCTCCACGGCGATTCCCCACGTCCAAGGCATTAGCTGCGTTGCCGGGCAGCATGACTCAACAGCTAATTACCTGAGCATAACGATTCCACAGCAAATAATTACCTGACCACTGTGGCCATCAGACACTAACCCGGGAACCAGCACACCAATAGATAGTGGACGGCAGAAAGTTTGCACCCGAGCGCTTGTACCGTGAGAGCTTTACTACCTAAGCATAAAAGACAAGTATCTCATGCTTTAGAACAAGGCATCTTAAAAGAGAGAGAATAAATGATAAAAAATAAATAGAAGGACTTTTCCCTACCTCTTACCTTAACTCTTATATATTGGCGACGAACTGTGCTCTAGTATAATTATATGAGTAACTTAGATCGAGTGCAAACTTGGTGCATCCCAATGTATCATGTCACCCTTTCCGAGCCATCCAGTTTGGTTCTCACATGAATGCTGGGTAGTATTACAACTTAGTGTATTCACCAATCCCAAAGGGGATCTCATCTGGCTCTCTTCTCATTGCTTTCCCCCCGTAATGCTGAAAAGTATTACAACCTGGCAATATTCACCTGTCCCGAGAAGGATCATCCGACTGCCTTGTCTTGCTTTTTTCTCCCGTCTTGTCCCATCGTATCATGTACATGTACACATGTGTCAGGAAGCACATCAAAAGTGAGGGGATGCTGGATAACCAAGGGAAACGCGGAGGGGGATTGAGTATTCATGAAGCAAACAACAGAAAAGTGTAAAGAAAAAGAACAAGACAATGTCTACATGATTGTTAAGAGAGACCAAAAACTCCGTCCAATACCGTGAGTCCCATGCCTCGTAAGTGCCAGCCCGAATCCATCCACACCACAAAGCTACCTCCAGCAATAAGATGAACGATCAAAGAAATTAAATGAACCCCCTTACACCACGAAGTTGCATTGTTGCATTCCCCGCTTTCCTCGCCCGAGCTTGTTTGCACATCGAGGGCCGTTGAACACTTTGTTCCACAGTCCAGAGCGGACGTCGGTCTTGTCGTCGGTATCGTTGCGTCTTGTCTTGCGCGCTTCGTTCACGTCGGCCTTCTTCTTAGCCATAAAGCTCTTAGCCTTGTGCTCGTACTGGTTGTGCTCGTCCTTAGTTCCTGTCAGCTTCAGCCACCATAGCTTGGCAGAGATCTGAGCATCAAGGAGGCTCAGTTTGGCCTGGTCCTGAACATCGCGAGACTTGGAGAGCCGTTGTGTGACTTGCTCCGCGATGACGCCAAACTGCTTTGACACTTCCTCTTTGGCGCTTTGGATGCGCTCCCGGGCCTCCAACTTAATGAAGCCCAGGGATCGATGGGCATTGTGGAAGCGAGTGCTGAGGTCCTTGAGTAGGCTATCGGAGACTGTCAGGACGTTGTCGGAGGCTGACTCCAAGGATCGCTTGGCTTCCCCGAAGCAACGCTCTGCCTCTTGAGCAGCAGCGGGGACGAGTTCAGTCAAATCCTGGGCGAGGTTCTTGGTAATCTCCAAAGCTCCCTCCATAATGCCCTTGTCAAAGGTGACGCGGAAAGCTTTGCGAATCTTTGGCCGACAAAGGGCTGTAATGTCGACCTTGACAGTTCCATGAGACTCTTCATAGGGGAACTTGATAAGCATGCCGTCCTCAACAGAAGATGCAGTCATGGGGACGGAGTCGTCGCCGCGCGTGGCTGAGAAGGTCAAGCACTTCTTTGCCAGCCAGGCCTCTTTGACATCCGAGGGCATACGAACGAGAAATTGGCCATGCTGTTTGAAGACAGCCATGTCGGGCTTCTTGCCCGCAAAGAGCCACTCATCAGGGAGGGCATTCTCAAGCGGGACAAGTCCAGCGAGTTCAGTTGATGTAGATAGAGCCCACTGTGTAGATGAGGTTTGGCTGGTAGCGGGAGCCAAGGACGTCGTGGGGTGGGGAGTGAGGACAGGCGTGGCTGCGGGAATGTGGGGATCGTGGGGTGGGGGTGAGTAGAAGACGGGGATCAACAGGGCCACGACAAGGGCAAAGATGATACCAGGGAGTGCCGACATGGTGGACTCCATTAAAGAGGTCCGGGCGAGAGCCGCCCTAGCCCCGATATATTTGTACCATTCCGAGGACCAAGTAGTGATGGTCGTTCGTAGACTTGGACGATCGCCTTCATCACCAGCAATGGCGTCGGCAGCGGGTCGATCCACAATCCTACTAGCTTCCGGGGTAGGAATAGATGGAGTTTTGAGACTCTGCTGCGTATATTCGAGGGAGGACCGAGAGCGAGCATCGTCCTCTGATTCCGACTCGGTGTCAGATTCATTATTAGAAGCAGATGCTTCGTCGACTTGCGGCGATGGCGTTGGGTCAAGGACGGCAGTATCGTACTCGTCGCCGTCGTCTTGGCGGGCAGTGTTGGCATGCAGCTCGACATCGCCGGCGACCGATTCGTCGTCGTAGGTGTGTTCGGTGTCAGCGAGGCTGTGGACGTCATCGGGACGGTGAAAGTCGAGAGAGCCGACGGACTCGCCCATAGACTCGGTATAGTTGTCATCTTGTGACTCGGTGTCGGTACCCGTGATGAGTTCGTAGGTGGACTCGGACAAGCCGGTATCCTCGGTTGATGTAACTCGCATGATGTCGGGGTTACTGGACGAGATCCAGTTCGCAAGGAGTCGGTTACCTTGAGGGCGGGGAAAGCGGAGGGAGGGTTCGGAAGTCGATAGTTGGTTCCGAGGTGGTGTCGATGCAGGAGTCGTCGAGCTTGTCGTCGATGTGGTCGGGACGAGGCTAGAAGTTGAAGTAGCAGTGGTAGTGTTTGTAGTAGTGTTTGCGGTGGTGCTGGACTGAGGGGCCACTGTCGGCGTGGAGAGTGACGCAGGAGATGCAGGCGACTCCCGGGCAGATGGGGTATCACGATGCGTGGCGGATGACGAGGTGCAAGGAGTTGGACCCTGCTGTTCCATAACGAGGAGAGAACAAAATCAGCGACGACGCCTTATCACATTATAGGCTTTACTGCAGTTGGGCGACGCATGGAGGAGGAGGTCGAGAGCGTCAAGGTGAAGCTTATATGAGAGGGGCGAGTTCGGGAGAAGGAGGGGCAGACGGATCGCCGGAGATGGAGGGGGAGGGAGCGAGAGGCGAAGCGTGGATGGGTTGGTGGCGGCGGGGTGAAAGCAGGGCGAAAGCAGGGTCCTTGCGGGCAGCAAAAGGGAACCGGATGGAAGGCAAAGCAAGTGAAGTATGGAAGGGTAAGAGAGAGGAAGAGAGAGGAGAGAGAGAGGAAGAGAGAGGAGAGAGAGAGAAGTAACTTACCAGCATGTGTAGGAGATGGAAAGGCAAATGGAGACGGGGATGAGGGAAGCGGAGAAACGCTTCGGGGCTGATGCAAGCCGAATGAAGGCTTGAGCCTTGAGGGTTGACCGTTCAGGTTCCCGTGGGTTTAGTTTGCAAGGTGAATGCGACTGAGGATGAGCTAATAACACGCAAGTGCAGTGAAGTGCAAGCACCCGGGTGTCCTCTGGTTCGTTGAGCCCGTCTCAGTGCCCCGATGCCGATGCCACGGCGTCCTGTCGACCCTGTTGCCTGCTGGGGCCTTGTCTACCTTGCCTAGGTAGGTATATGCGGCGGGCCTGGAACCCAAGGGCTGAGGTTGCCTTGGCGAGAGGCGCCGCACGCGGGCAGCACGCACAGTGGGGAAATGGAAATGGAAGAAGGCCTGCGGGTCTAAAGGTACCCGCGATGACGTTGCGAAGCGCCGGCGACGTTTGGGCTGGTGTTTGAGGTGAAGTGGACGACGTCTTTAACACGAGTGACCTGGGCAGCGAAGCGGGTGGGTTATGTTGGGGTCGCCTTTGGCTGGCGCGCGGAGCTGATAAGATGGGGGTCTCGCACGTTGGTTCCTATCAGACCGCGGGGCGGCGCTACAGCTATCGGGGCGGCGGCGTCGTGCGCTTGATGGGGGGATGGGATGGAGGAGAAAGGAAGGTGAAAAGGGCGGAGTGGGAAAAGTTATTGAGTCGATGACCTTTGTAGACACGAGAGGCGAGTGAATGGGAATGGGCATGGAGGGAAGTGAATTCACGCTCACAAGGCTCGAAGCTCGAAACAGGCGACAGGCAGGATCAGCACGGAGAAAGGCAACCAGTCCCAGTGGAGGCAGGTGGCAGGATGGAAGAGTCACTGCGACATTTGGCGTAAATGCACATATCTGGCACAAATAGCCACGAAGGAAGTGAAGACGATTCTGGTTAATAAAAGCCGTCCGGGTTGTGTGGATTTACGCCAAAGATGCAGCCCGTTCACGCCCCGTTCAGCATCAAGGTCCCGGGCATCTGTATCTACTGCCATCTCCCGCTTGCTGCCTTCATCGTGAACCGATGGCAGCATCGATTAGCACAATTCACTAACAAATCGACAAGCCAAAGGGATCCACCTCAAAGGGAGAGGGGCAATCCGCAATTCCATTCATGCACTGACTTGCACTGCACCTCCATGTCTGCCTCCGCCTCGTGGGCTTGTCACGAATACACGTCAGATCAGGTACCGAGCCCAGTAAGCCGCTCGCAGCCTTTCCGCCACGTCTCACAGAATAGCCATTTCGTTTCTCTTTTGCCGAGGGCACATTGCACATTGCACAAGAAGCCAGAAAACAAAGACAAGGGGAAACACGGTGTCGGTGCCCAATCGCCCCAGCCCGAGATACCAAAGGACCGTGTCATATCGCGTTGCGCCTGGGCGCCATGGCGACTGCTATCGTTCGGTGTCGTTATCGCAGCTCGCAGCTCGCCGCGCCCCACCACCATGGCGTCGTGACTGTCTTTAGCTCCCTAGCGCAGCGCAACTGCGGGGTACCGAGCTTTGGGAGACCCCGTGAGCACCTCAACGACGAACCATCTTGTCTGCTTCAACCGCATCTCCCCATCAGCCGTAAGACCAGCCTAGGACCAGCCCAAAACCAGCCTATCCCTTGGCCCATCAGTTAATTCCAATATTCCCTCTCCGTAACCGCCTCTTTCCCTCTCCGTATTCTTGTTCTTCTTCTCGTTCCTGAGTGGTCTTGCCCCCATCCACACCATTCACTTACTCCTCATCGTGCTGCATATTGCCGAGAACAAAAGCCCGCGTCACTTTGAAACCTACCAGTCCCAGCTTTTCCTTACCGAACTTCAAGCACATCTCTCAAATTTCCCATCATTTAAATGTACCCCTCGGCCACCCCTCAATTTTCGTATGACGTAAGACAGTCGTCGTATGGCACCTCGAATCCCATCATCCACCGCGTGTACAAATACAAGCTCGTTGGGCCAAGAATATCTGACACACCAGCCCATCTCGGACAACTTCGGCCCCCTCCAACAACCGCCCGGTCTAGCGCCGTGTGACACCTACTCCTCATATGCATGTCTTATCGTCCTGCCATGCCATACCTACCTATTTGAGCACCCCTCCGTTCCTTCGCTCAACCACTCCATACTGGATTTGTCCTTCGAGCACCAGGTGAGGTAGAGAGTTCCGGTTTAGGATTCGGGGAGGAGATGTGGATGACGTCTGTGTCCAAGTCTTATTTAACTTGTTGAAACCCCCAAGAGTCCTCTCCTACAACCCCAGTGCTGAGAAGGGCAAGTCACATGGGTTCTCGCCATTCTCAGCTCTAGCCCATCAAGTATGTCAAGCTTCACGTCTTCACCACCAAATTAAATAGGCGCATAATTCATGGATGAAGGAACGTCTTCTCTTCTTACAGACCAAGCAGGTAGATTATTGAGTCCAACGGGTCATAATTACTCGTACATGTGGTTCCAAACACCTTCTATAATTCCAACAGTTGCCCTCCCTCCGTTCCTGTCTAAGGGCCCAGTCATATAGGTATATCTTCTGTGCATCTTTCATTCCAAAACAAATCAAATCAAATCCCCACATTTTCTATACATCCTCCGGGATTCATCCAAGCGTTCTCTTCGCGTTTGACCCAGTCCCCAGCCTGCACTGCAGAACAAGACGTGGCAGTAGTCTTCGTCGTGCGCTGTACTCAAATAACTCCACCAAGTCAACATGATAAAAGGAAACAATAAAGAATAGTGTGGGAGAGGGTTCCTCTTTTGGGAAGCCTCATCCGTATGGGGGTATCGTAATAGAGTCGAAGTCGAGGTCTAGTGTGACCGACGTGGACGAGATAATAGGATTTTGACGTGACGGCATTACTACAAGGGATATTATGATATGGCCAGGGCCGATCATAGGATATCATGCTTGTTGAAGAGCTTGGTCAATGACGCGGTGCCAAAGCTCTCTTCGTCGGGGATCATCTCGATGACTCCCGTCAAGTTGGCAAACAAGTCGCCCTGGTTGCGATAGGCCAAGATGGCGGGGACGGCCGCGTTATCAAACTCGATCTCGTCGTAGTGGACCTTGACGAAATGGATGGTTGAGTTGCTCTTGACGAGAGGCATCATAGCAGCCTCGATAGTACTGGAAACCTCACACTGCGATGCTTGTTAGTGTCATGGGTTGGTTGTGAAATGGATTGTCTTGCTTACCTCGTGGTCGTAGACGTAGACGACGACAGTGGTTTCTCGGCTAACCTTCTCGATGGCGTCGAGGTATCCGAGAGCATCAACCTCGTCCAGGCGGCCGTAGATACGGACACTAGGGCTGGTCCTTCGGTTCCTCACGGCGCGGTTAGCGTCGCTCTCAAGCTGACGCCTCCGGGTCTCTCGCCACTCCTGAAGGAAGGCATCCTCATCGGGGTCGCTTGCAGAGCTCTTGGAGTCATCATCGGTCTCGCTGTCGCTCTTGGAGGTGGCGTGGGAGATGGTGTCAAGGCCGAAGATGCTAGCACGGGCAGTGCGAACGCGGTTGCGCCACTTGTTCTTGCGGGCAGCCTCATAGTTGCGGGCGTCGGCGATGACGCCCTTGACGCCAGTGGCACGACCGCTGTCGAAGGAGGCGGGGGGGAGGTTGATCTCAGTGGCGCCAGCGCCGGTGAGTCGGTCGAGAGTAGGCATCCGCATAGCTGCGTCGATTTGGTCGTTGCGGAAGGAGTCTTCTTCAGAGATGTCTAGGCCTTTGAGGTCAAAGTCGGGGTCGTCACGATCTTCGGGATGGAGAGTCTCTCGATGGGTATTCTTGGAGACAAGGGCGTTGAATTCGTCTTGGGCTGGAGTCGACATGGTGAAGGATGTGGACGGGTAGGGCTCTTAATATGTATGTGCCGGCGATTGGGAGGGGGTCGAAAGATCTGTGGCGGAGGAAGGGGTTGCGTGTCTGAGCTTTGGTGACGGCTATCGTTCTGGAAGATGTGGAGCAGGGGCGAAGAACAAGGCACAAGGCGAAAGCCGAGAAGACCAGGGCGGTGAGATCGAGCGCTTGGAGGAGAGGCGAGAAGAACTGTCGTTGGACGGGGGTTCCCAGGTTCCGGAGCGTTGGGCTGTTTCAGACTTGGGGTGGGGCGTGAGGTACCGGATTGTGGTTTGTATGGGAGAGTGTGGTGTGGATGCGTGAAGAAAGCCACGGCGGATGGGGAGTCGGAAGGGGAAAAAGGGTCTGCAGCCACGGGATCGGGCCACCCAGCGAACCGAGGCCTAGATACTAGGTACTACGTAGAGGGCGCAAGAGTCGGGCGAAGCAGGGATTGAGCGCACGTTGCAGCGCGCCCGTGGGAGGGGACCAGAGGATGTCACCGCAGCACGACTGTTTTGAGAATGGATGGCTCTGCGTGGTTAATGCGCCAGCACGCTGCCTGCTTCGGGAACTGAAGGTGAAGATACGGGGCCAGGGGTCCAGCGAAGACGCGTTCCTGAGGGGAGCTGCGCGCTGGAGCTGCGAGCGTTAGGAGACAGGCCGGGCTTGACCAGGGTGCACCGGAATATGGCTCGCGGAGTGGCCAAGTGTGCGTCACTTTGGGACAACGTCTTGTTTCTCCTTTCCCCATACGGGTGCTATTCCTGGGATGGGATTACTACGCCCTCGAGAGCTGATGGCACGGGGTAGGCAACGAGGGAGAATGAAATGAAGTGGTGCGCGAGACGGTTGCAATGGCGACGGGGCCAGCTCGCCGGCGCTGTCCTTAACACTGGCATTGACGCTGCCTTTTGACGCTATGCGGAATTGCCGACGGAGCAGGCCATATGCCGATGGAGAGATAGCCGGGCCTTTGAGGGAGATGATAGTGGTCTTTGGAATTAGCACACAATGCCATTCACGCTTCATTTCTTTGTCTGCAACAAGGCCTCGTCCTCCCCGAGACAAACGCCTTGCCATTCTGTGTGTTTCTCCAGCCTGCGCGCGTGCCCCGAAAGCTGAGTGCCCCCGGAACCAAGATCAACACCGCCTCCGCCCACTGAAGCGTGCTCTGTCAGACGAACTCGAGCTGGCCTCACCGGAAGCGCTAGAGGAGCAGAAAAACCACGACGCTGGGAAATCCTGCAACGCACCATCTGCAACGCAGCCCTGGGAAGACGGAGCAAGCCGAGCCACTAGCAGCGCCGGCGCCCCTGCGTCAGAGAAAATGCCCCGACAGCTCGAGGTTCCAGCGCATGTTTCGCTGCGGCAGTCTACTGTAGGAACAGCGGGAGGGGGCCTCGGGACCAATAAACACCAAGTCCAGGCACGCCGGCGCCAATGGAAGCACACGATCCGGTCCACCGCCATTCGCCAATCCCCGAATCCCCGCTGTATTCCAGGGCAGCTTGCAGCTTGCAGCTTGCAGCCTGGTGGCGAGCGCGTCGACCTTGGAAGCCTCCCGGAAGCCTCCCAGAACCCATCGTCATCCAAGTTTTAGCATCGATCCCATGTCCCTGTACGCGTCCCACGCTTGCGTTTCCCTCCATGACCATGTCCCGCCGTTGATTTACGCTGATACAACCCTCGAGCCATTGCCATTCCGAGCCCAGCAAACACCAGCAATGCTATGGCCCCAGGTTTCGGGGATTATTCCAGGCTACTCAATTTCCTCCGAAAGAAGAGATGACTGTGCAATGCGGAGGCCGCTTTTCGGTTACGGTCGATCGGACCCTTGCTATCAAATTTCTGTCATTCAAAGCATACCACGGTAGAGTCATACGCCATATCTTATTCTTCTGGTCCAACAAGAGTCGCAGGCAATAATCAATCTCACCAAGTCCAGTCATTGCAAGCGCCCCCACCGTCAACCTCAGCCCTGGCAGCTCATCTTACACCGTTGTCGCCGACCCAAATAGCACGCCAACCTCTTCGCATTAGCATCTCACCTTAGGCCCAGAACGTCATAGCTCGTACTCGCCTGCCTGGCCGGATTGTTTCACGCCTTGGTTGTTTCATCAATCCCATGCAACCAGCGATCTTTGTCGCCGTCTCCCATCGCCTGCCCCGATGACAGTGTCGGTGAGAGTCGACAGTGGCCACGCGACCGCCAATGTGTTCCGGATGATGACTTCCCGCTATTCTTTGACCGTTCCGTTTAGTGCAGCCTCGCGTGCGTAGTACGGCCGACAACTGCCAGCTGCTAGATCGTGGCTATGTTCTGGGGATCGGCGCGAGGTCATTTGTGTCCCCGGAACTGGGAGCTCCGGAAACACCTTAGACCTCGAGCAGTGGTGCAGGGCGAGAGCGACGAGGCTATGCTCTTACACGCCAGAGCCTTAGGCACGAGGTCGCTCGAGCGGAATCTGCAGTCGTCGCTATGATACTCGACGTGCAGATGCGCGCCTCCGTAGTTTGGGAACCAGAGCCAACTGCAGGGAGCATCGCTGATGGCAATCCTTGCCTACGTGTGACGAACCATGGCCACACTGCCGGGAAACGGCGCTGTGCGTTCTGTATGCTTCGACACCTGAACCTAGAGTGGTCCAAGAAACCCACACGAGAAGCCCACATCAGGAGCGTCAACGAGAGACATGCATGTCTGCCCGTATCCATTCGGGGAGAACTATGGCACCATGCGTGCATGCAGCCGTAGTCGACGACAACGAGTTGTTTGTTTATGTTGTTATTGACGTCTTGATGCGGTTGCCTGCTGCGCTGCTTCCTCCCCATCCGAAGCTGCGGATTCAGATGCCGCACCCTCGTTCGATGCTGCGCCGAGGACCTCGGTCAACGGCTAATAATACCTGCAGCATCACTCGATCCATCGAGCTGCCTACCAGCTGGGTGATGAGTTTGATCAATGTGATAAGGTTGCGCCATAAGCGTCACGTCTGTCTCACATCCGGCGCTTCGCTCGCCAACACCAAACAAGAGCAAATCGGATAGACGCCGAGCTGACCGCGATCTTTACTAGACGGCGTGTTAGTGGCATGCCCTTGATCACCCACTGCCCATCCCCCAGTCTTGCGACGATCCGGTTCTCCGTCAATCTCGTCAATCACTCTTACAAACCTCCGTGCAAAGTCGTCATCTGTTGTAGTCCCAAACATAGCGCCAGGCCTTCCCCAGATTTACTTACACATGCACGCCATCGCGCAAATACCCTCGATCAACAAAGCAACAATGGTGCGGAATTCGAATGGCCGCCGGTGCCTACCATCTCAGCCCTAGGACAGAACGTGCTTCGTAGCACACTGTGAATAGAATCTTGAACGAAGATTCGAAAACAATCGCGACGCTCTAGCAATCAAGGCACGGAGCCGCGCACATTCCGTGCTGGGTGTTCTATCACGCCCGGCATCGCCGAAGCCTTCTAGAAGGACTGGGCCCCGGCGCGTTCTCAGATGCATCACAGCAGCATTAGGCCTGAAGCCCTGATCCGCAGAGACCTTAGACCTTAGACCATCGAGGTCGCTAAAAGTCGAGGTATTCCCTTCCGGGCAGCAAAAATCATCGAAAACTTGGGAATGTGGAGACGACGGTCGGACGCTGAGTTACCTCTCAGGTCCAAGGTCTATGGTCACTGCGGATCAGGGCCTGACACTTCTCCCCAAACTTGCCGGCAGACCAACAATTTCAAATCAGCCATGTCCTTGTGTTGGATTCCGTGCTATCAAGGATTTCATGGCAGAACTGGAGCCATGCTGTCAGGATCGATAAGCCTCCTTTGACACGTAGTCTCATATGGGGGCCCAGGAGCCTCGTGGCAGCCCTGCCCCGTTGAGGTCATCAACATGCCAAGATCCTTTCACCTCGTGGGTCGACCGCGTGGCTCGTCCTTCGCCGTGGAATTCAGTCTGTCGCATCTGCAGGCAGCTGTGTGCGTGATCAACATCAATACCAATGCTGCTGTCACTGCCAACTCTTCTATCGGGAAGCCATTCATCCATATGTCCCATTGCTTTGCATGGCATCACCTCCCCGTGACCTCCGGCTCCATAACACCAGAGTCCGTTCATCCCGGTTCAAGACTCTTCTGTCCTCCTTTCTCTCGTAACCCCATTTAGCAACACGAAACCCCAGGCGGCGTCGTCCTTTGCGTTTCTAATTTGGGTATCCAAGCCAATGCCGTCGTCGTCATCTTCATCCACCCCCTCGTATTCCGGACTCCGACACTCCGGGACCCGTCGACTCAGGAGCAGGTGCACCCCTGCACGCCCAGACTTCCAACGTGTTTATGGCTGCCACTTTGTCTTTATCAATCTCCAGGTCCCCCGAAGCATACTCGACGATATCTGTACCAAACATCTCCATATTCGAGTCACATTCATCCTCGTTGAGTCAGTAGCCTTCAACTTATCAGTTTCCAAAATTGCCTATCCAAGTGTTAGCGCAACCTCGAGTCTCTGCGCAGTCTAGTCCGGTGTTCTGGTCCCTTCTAGTTCAGTCAACGACTCCGGTCGTGGAAAGATAACGTGGCAAGCTGGCATACCGTGAACTTGCCCGGTTTGCTGCGGGCTGGGCGGCAGATTCCTTGACAAGTATGTCCGGCTCGACACATCAACACTGATATCTTTGAGAAGCCGATGTCAGCGATGGCCGTATGCTCGACACATGTACTCCCAGTTGGGACATCGCTTGATTCTCATTAATCAAGATGCCGTCATCTTCGAGACTCCGTTGGCTGAATATCATGGTTAGACAACTATCTCTATGAAGCGACAATGTTGAGGTCGAATCAACCACTCAGGTTGTGCAGTGAGCGAGAACCAATACTCAGCTTATGTCCGAGAACACGGGTAGCGTCAATTCAGGGAAACGTTTTAAGGAGACGAGGCTCTATCCTCCGTTTCTAAGTCACGATAAAGTTATCTTGACATTGACATTGACATTGACGACAGTCTACCCCTCCGTCACTCATCTCATGTTCAAGACCACGAACAGCATGAACTCGAGGCCGTCAAAGGGAGCGGGATCCATGCCGAGTCCCAGTGAGGAAGTGTCAAGCTCCAAGCGAAGCTCAGTTTACACCAGAGAAACCAATTAACTAACCACTCGTCCGAGTCAGAAGCGCCTTTCGAAGTCCCTTGCCCTTTACATAGGTCCTATACACCATGTTGCGACCTTCTCCTTTCTCATCTTGTCCTTATACTCACCGGTGTCCTCATCCACGCAGATCACATCAACCGACCACGGCATTGATAAAGGGAACCATCGATTTTCTATCTCGTCTACTCCGGCATCCATTCATCCTCTCACCATCATCCATCAACGCTCATCACCTTCCGCAACGAATTATCAACCCGCCACCCAGCAAGCTAGCCTTTCAAACAACAAAGCCGCACCCCAAACATCCATTCTCCGATCCTAGCCACTCCAGGAAGACAAAACAGAAAAAGATTACAGAAAAAGTACATGCTAAAAGAGGACCACGCAGAATGGGAACTCGCACGTGTAAGAAAATGTATCAAGAGACAGCACGGCGCAGAAGCAAAGTCAAGGGACAACCCTCCCAACTACTCCATTATACCGTCTCATGATCCTTCAGATCAACCAGGGCCCAAATGGACTCTCATCGCTTCAACTTCCAACCTTTGCTTGCTTTTCACCTGGTGCATCGACAACTTCCACATGCACCAACTAGTTTCCTCATTGTGCCTCGAGGTCGGCTGCGGTTCCGGGTCTGCGAAAGGAGCGAGGTGTTTCTTGGATCATCGTAGTGTATTATCTCGAGGTCTGATATTTTGGCTCGGTATGACCGTTAACTCCCATTGAAACCCATTGTATAATCGTCCTCCACAGCTTCCTGTCTTTTTCTTTGTTGAATCGTCTCGAAGAAAAACAAGATTGAAACCGAGAAGCTTGCGCGAGAGCCGACCGGATACAGCGGGTCACTGAAGACACAGAAAATCCCATCCAGTAATACAACCGCCCATTACTAACAACACAACCTGTGTCAGGAAAGGGGAAACTATTGTGCAGAGAATTTTGCAATCGAGAGGCAGAGAGAACAAATAAAAGGAAAAAGAAGAGGTATCGGCATCAGTCAGAGTGTTTCCCCCACGCCATCATAGGAAAACAGCCCACATTCGAGTCTTCGCGTCCGGCCGGGGAATTTCGTCGGTAAGGGGTATGTGTGTGAAGGTACGGTTCGTCACTTCGTCCTGCGTACGCCAACAGTCGCAAGTAAGATGGCCGTGAATGGTCTTCGAGATCGGTGGGCAATATAGTCGTGCGAACGCAGATTGTATGAGGCTGCAACGCGTACTGGCGTTCGTATATCCAGACAAAACTTCCATCGTATTCGCAGACGGCGTTTAGTAGGCCCAGATTTTAAGCTAAGAGAATGGTTAGCCATTATCCATCGTTGAATCGCTTTGGAGAATTGCGCAGAAGACGGAGACGGGAGTCACCGCAAGATTGGGGTATGAGTAGCGACATACCAGTGAATCCCAGGAACCTGTGCACAGGCTGGTGCCATCGTTGCTAACACCGAGGCAGCTGACCCGGTTCTCGTGGCCAACGAGAGAGCCAACCTTCTCGCCTCGGGTGATATCCCAGACCTATTTCGCTTCGTAAGTACATGCTCGCACAGTTCCAAGGGACTCGTCACAGACGGGGGAATGCATACCTTGCACTCAAAGTCATCGTAACCAGCGAAGAGGAGTCGTCCAGATACCGAGGTTGCGACGGAGGTGATGCCGCAGAGGATGGATTCCGACTACCAAAGGAGTTAGCGCATGATGTCCGAGGGCCAATTTAACGGACCCCACTTACCCCGTAGAGGTTCAATTCACGATCAGCGCGAATATCAAAGAGGCGGCAAGTAGCATCGTCAGAGCCGGTAACGAAAGAGTGACCGTCGGGGAAGAATTGAATGGCGTTGATGTCGGACTCGTGACCAGCAAAGGTCTGAACGGCCTTGCCAGCTCGAATATCCCAAAGCTTAGCGAAAGCGTCGCAGGCACCCGAAATAAAGGTGTTCTGGTTGGTTGGGTTGAGGCTGATGCTCATGACATCGCCGAGATGATCGGCGAACTCGGTAACCTTCTGGCCGGTCTCAATGTCCCACTTCATGCAAGTCATGTCACCAGACGAGGTGAGGATGCTGCGGTCGTTGATGAAGCGGCAGCAGGAGAGGTAACCGGCGTGACCGGAGAGCTCGCGAGCGACGCGCGTGGGGCCGTCGCGCTGCTGGTTGAGGTTGTAGATGGAGCAGATATTGTCGAGGCCACCGCAGGCAACGAAGTTGCCGCTAGGAGCGTAGGCGCAGGTCATGACCCAGGAGGAGCGCAGGGGAATAGCATGGACCTTGTTGGTAGTGTAGGCGTCCCAGATAATGAGCTTTCCATCTTGAGAGGCAGATACAAGGTGCCTTCGGTCGGTAGACCAGTGCATCGCGTAGATCTTGGCCAGATGACCCTTGAGCGTCCGCTTGGCCTTCATCAGCTGGTTCTTAGGGATTGGCTCATGAGCCTGTTGCGCAACAGCGCGGACTATCGATCGGACGCAGATTAGCATTGTTTGGATCTCACAGTGGGAATAAGGAGCACGGTAGACGACGACGGTGACATCCATTGTTGGTATTGTCGCCGCCGCCGTCGAGCCCGTGGGGCGAGGTCGAGGAACGTACGGGTGGTGTCGGCGAGGTCATCCTTCTTCCTCTTGATGCGGTCCTTGAGGGTCTCAGCTTCTCGGCGAGCCTGCTGGATTCGCGACTGCATAGCCTCGGGCGACACGTCGCTGGCGCCTTGCGAGTTCATTGTGATCGGACGATGCGACGACGAGGGGGGTGGCTGGGAAGGCGAGGAGGACCAGAGGGCGACGAGCGACGAGCGACGATGAGCGATACTCGGGTCGAGCTCAGTCGGAGCAGATGTCGTCGGGCGGGCGAAGGAGGACGATGAAGCCGATGGCGATGGCGGGATGGAAGATTGGTCGCCGTAGGTCGTCGAACGGGACTGGATGAGCTGGGATGGATTGGGATGGCTGAACGGAATGGAATCGACGACACGACTGCACCTGGACGAGAGTGGATGTGGAGAGGGAGAGAGAGAAGTGAGAGTGAGAGGTGGTTAGGGGGAGGGAATGCAAGCTCCAGGGGGGTGACGGGCCTAGCCAGTCGCAGCGGCGCTGGGGAGAAGGAAAGAAGGGGGGGAGCGAGGAGGGGGGCCGAGCTGTCGAATTTCGGCCGGGGGGCTCGTAGGGGGCTCTTCTTTCAGTGGATGTGGGTACCTAGGGTACCTAAGCAGTAGGTGGTAGCAGTGGGCGAGCCAGTGAATGAGGGCCTAGGAAATCCGCCCCGGGTAGTAGTGGGTTGGGGCCAGACAGGGGACGTGCAGGGGGAGGGGAATTGCCTTATGAGGAGTGGAGGTACATGGCGGTAGTCAGTGGCATCGACTGAGTAAGGGCACGGCGGACAGCAAATAGGACTTGTGTTGCCCGGGGGGTTGGTTTGGAGGTAAGTAGTTAAGGTAGCTAGCATGTACAAATTTCAATTTCCTCGGGCGTCAGGTGGGAGCAGAGGAGCGGGAGGCGAGACAAGGCACAGTACGCCGACGGTCACAGAAGTATACAACATTTGTCATCCAGGGAGTAGCACTTGGCTTCGAAAAAGAAAAAAAAAAGAAGGCCACCGTGAAAAAGAAAAGATGACGGACCAGGGAGCCAAAAGAAGGAAGCAATGCCACGGATGGCATGGGATGGGAGCTCCAATGGATTGGTTTGGGATGGAGGAGACCGCAGATGGGATGGGATGGGACGGAGATGGGTGGAAAGGGTCAGGGCGACGGCGACGGCCACAGAGTTGCAGTGTGCGTGCCAGGTACGCCCATTTTGTATGCTTTCAGCGTGACATGCCATGTACTGCACTGTCGAACGCCGCAGCGGACCCCAGTAACCTAACAGAAGCGTCCAGCCCACCCCAGTCTGCTCGAAGAGGAATTGGGGTGGAAGGAAGCACCCAGTATGGCTAGAGGCTCACGCTGAGAGAGAGGCAGACCTGAAGTCGTACCTCGTTCACACACATTCGCACACCTTCACACACACACACACACACACACACACACACACATCCAAAGCGAGATGATGGCACTCGCTCCGGGACAACGGAAATACAAGCACGAGGCGCACATCATCCTTCCGCCCTCCCCCAGTCCTTACTCGAGCACCATCGCAAGCCTGCCCAACCCAAGCCCACGAGCAGCCCCCTGCGGCCCCAATCCACCAGATTGCGCCAGATTACAGTGGAGCGGAAACTAAGGCACTGAGGTGATCCCCCGAGCCCGGAGTATTCAGCCACCCAAATTCCGCAGGCCGGTACTCAGTACGCCTGCTCGCTCGACTCTGATGATTACCTCTAGTACGGATTAGGAGCCGGTAGCCTGGGCCTGGCATTGGTCGCGAGCTAGGGCCATCCGAGGAAGCTCCTCGTTCCCTATCCGTCCTACTAGTTAACTTACGTGGATGAAGCTCCAGAGCGCGCCATTGTCCAACTCAACCTGCTCCGTACGTACCGTACTGTACGCAATACCTCCGCCTAGCTAGGTATTTTCCGGCCGACAGCTTGCTCACTGCTGGAGTGGGCGGGCTCGGCTCCACCCGTTGGAAATCCTCCCACTCCAGCAAGATGGCCCCGACTCGCCTGTGCCGGGCCTCGACCATGTCGGTGATGCCATGTTTGATGGACGGATTGAAACTGACGGGTGACGCCTATTGACGCCTGTTGTCGCCTTGTTGCTTTCCGTTGTCTGGCTCCTCGCGTTGCTGCTGGAATGTCTTTGGCCCCTTTCTGCTCGTTATGGAAACATGCATGGCTGGTCTCGGGTGGCCGCAGCGTCCCAATCCTTGTCTACGGATTTTGGTCTCTGGTCTGCCGTCTGCCGCCTGCGTCCACAGCATCCTCGATTCCTGCCTTGGGTGTTCGTATGCTTGTCCAACAACCTTGTGGTCGCTCGGCTCCTGTCTCAACTCCCAGAGCTCAAAGCTGGGGATCCTCGGTACGTGCGCTACCACGGCGACCACGGCGACCACTGCGGCCACGGCCAAAGACGGCATCTTGCTCTGGTCCGGGGGCGGCGAAAGTATGGCAAGACCTGGGCGCCAAGAAGTCGCACTGTGTTCAGTATGCGTGGTTGCATGCTGTCCACCATCCTGCAAAGGCGTACTGTGACTGACTCGACGCTCTTCTCCCTCAAATTGGCCATCATCAATCGCACACGCGCGCCCACACGCAGGCAAAACGATGCACATGTCCTTGACAGGCCCGACACAACTTGCTCGACAATTGTACATGGATAGCTCGAACATTATACCGATGTACATGTCGGTACGCACGTACGCACTACTAATATGGGGCAATTCCTGCAAGCCCTTCCCGGGGAACAAGGAATGGGTGGAGGATCCTGTGGGGCCTTCCTAGGAGCTCTGCTCTCTCTGGGGACCCTCCGACTGCCCTGTTGAGGACGCTCCCCATCCGTTGACGGGCGTGCGTCGCCCCGGCCGTCGATCATGGTCGGTCGCTTTGGTACGAACAGCGAAACGACGGACAATGAGCTATCAGCAGAGAGCTGTCGGTAACGGCCCGGACAACTAGCCTAGAGGTATGTCTCTGCCTGTGCAGACCTGTCGGTGTGTCCCTGTGGTCTCTGAGTGATGAAATTCGCCTCCAAACTCTCCAGGCCTCACTGGTGTAAATACTAACATACTCGCCCACCTCACACGCATCCTCCCATGTCGTACGACAAGAACTCGTTCCCTGACCCTGTCTGAAGCACCCGGTCTTCGGTAAGCCGTTCCAAAGAGGAAGCGGGCGTTATTGGTCGCCTTGGCCTCCTTGCCTTGGGCAGCTGAGCAGACGAGAGCCACGCATGTCGTTGACCAGCAAAGCCAGGGGGCGCTGGTTCAGAGCTCCAGACTCCAGTCGACCTGCAAACAGCGATTACGACGTTGGCTCCTTGGTACCTGCAGCAGAATGCAACCTCCGCCAGGGCTGTCCGCTGCACGTATGCACCACAACGCCACTGGAGCAACCCCAACACAGGCGTTCATCATCTCGCAGCTTGACATTGCCAGCTTCTCAATTTGCCCACTATCTCCCAGACTAATACGCCATACTTACTGGGTGAATCCAGAGGGTGCACAAGCTGGTAACATGGGTTTGTCCTTGGTAATCGTCATCTTCGTTGGGGCGCGTGGCAGCAAGATTCGGCTTCGGTGCCTTCACCTCAAGTATTAGCTTCGCCAAAAAGGTTACACCAGGCCCTCCGCGCTGCCCACTTTCCTGTCAACAAAGTACCAGAGAGTGAGAGACTTACGAGGTATTCGGAGCCTCGCCCATCTTGGCAACTGTTAGCCAGACCACCAGGGCCGACGCAATTTGCGATGCCCTCCTAATGACCCGCAAGAATCCACTCGCACGACCGACGACCCATGGCCGCTCCCTGGTAGCCCCAATCGAAACCTAGTCGGCCTGGTTAACCATGGAATATACCCCTGCAATGTCTCTTCCACCGGCGAGGTGCGTGCCAGGGGATGTTGACATTAGCACCTTTCGAGTCCATCGTGGTACTCAAGATGCTAGCTCGGGGCCAACTCCGGTGATGCTGTCGGAACTCGAAATAGGAGGACTCACCACCAAACTCTAGCCTCCGGGACTAACAGTCTCTCTCCCGGCGTGCTTAGCGTTGGGGTATCGAGGGCATGCCAGATAATCTCCGGCTTACTCCAAATCGGCTTCATCCTCTGGTGTTTCCATCCAAGATTCTGACCTAGCCGACTCGCTTCAGGAAGCCACCCATTCTAACCCCGGACCGGCATTGAATGACAATGTGCCAATAGTTGCTCTGCTATACTCCGTATATTACTTGAGATTCCTCTTCATGGTCGCCAACACCACTTCAACCCCAACATGGCCTCAGTCGCGGGCCATCTCTCCTGACGCTATTGGGGGCCTAGGATATAAGTGTTGTTGGCTTCCCGGTTTGGCGCCCCTTTCCCCCATCACCTTTCGCACGGTCTGAGCTGGCCGGATGAGGCTTGCGAAGGTTGTGACAACCTTGGACGTCTCCTGTCTTTCTTCCCGCGTGATACGAGAGATCGTGAGACCATGCTTCTCGAACCCAACCCCCTGGTTCATCCCGCCGTCGTCTCCTGTGTTCAAATTACGATGTTACCCTACGGAAAAACTTCCCCGATCATGATAGTGGTTGCGTCAAGGAAATGGGCCTTTTGAGTTCTGATGCCCTTTCCCATCACGTCAGTGTCCCTTCCGCTAGGGTAGATCGTGTGCCCTGGACGATTGTTGGTTCCTACCGCCAATGCAGTCATTTCCTCGATCCAATCTACAACGGTATCCAACCTCCGTAGCCTATGTTTACTTTTTATCGCGAGACTGGGCCAACACCCCGAGAAAGCCGCAGGCAGAGAGAATGACAGGCCTCGAAAAGTTAAACTTGCACTTTGCACGCTGCATGAGGCTCGTACTACATCGTCTCATGCCTGCCGTTGGAGACTAGTTAGTCAACTTGCTTATTTTTTTCTTCCCCATCTGAGCCGCTTGTGGAGGCCCTCATCCCGGACACGCAGTGACAAGATGTCTTGGGAGCACCCTTCCAAGAGATCGTAGCTTATCTAGCAATCTTGGGATGGGTGCTGGGAACAGTTTCTCCTAACTGTGGAGAGCGGCTTGGCTATATGAAGGCAACGAGATGTTTTTAGTTTCGCGACACCGAGTCTTGATCTACCCTATACTTTGCTGTTGCGAGAATGAACACAACACACCAGACTCCTCATGTATCAATTTTTAGTAACGTAATTCTGGGAAATTATTGTGTGCTATAATCTATCATCTCCTGTTGTATTCGGGAGCTTTGCAGTTGGGGAATTGCCTTGTATTTAATTTGGGTCCTTTGTTTCTTGAGATCGTCGTGTTTCAACCATGTGAAGCCCACAGATGGGTGAAGGCAACATAATGGTAAGGACTGTACAATTGACATTACCCCAACCAAACTCATCGAATCAATGACTTCCATTCAATAGCGGTAACGAATCATGCCATGACAGCACTGAATGCCATTGTTTTAACAGGGCGCGCCATAACTCACATACTCCGAACCTCATAACCATACCTCATTGTCCATTTATAACTCACACATTGCACCATCCCTTTTCCTTTGTCTAGTTATTTGCCGTCTAATGAGTTTTTGCCCACTGTTTGAACCAGTCTAACGCCTCAGGGTTGGCCACACTCGCATTCGTCTTGATTTTCATACCCGAGAGAATCTGCTTGACAGCAACCTCGATCCTGGTATTCATGTTAGACTATCACACACAGGTCCCAATAGGAATGGGAACGATGTATGTACTTACTTCTTGCCGTTGCCCGTCTTGGGCACACCGCCGCCGCACTCCTCCACGATACCGGGGACGTGGCGCGGGCTTAACTCGGCCTTGATCTTGGCCTTGATGCGACTTCGCAGGTCGTCGTCGAATGTCTTTCCTGACACCATGACAATGAAGAGACACACCATCTCATCCGTGTCCTCTGCGCGACGGCGTCCCACGCACACGGCTTCTTCAATCTCGGCAGCGAAGAAGCGCGTCAAGATGTTATAGATTTCCGCGGACCCGAACCGCACGCCCGAGGGCTTTAGCACGCCATCCGAGCGGCCGAGCATGACGAGGCTACCCGTTCCCGCGTCGGGGATCGTGACGAAGTCGCCGTGGTGCCACACTGCGCCCTTGGCGTCGCAGATGTCCGCGAACCGCTCGAAGTACGCCGCCTGGTACTTGGCGTCGCCGCCCGCGCCAAAGAAGGTCAGCGGCTGGCAGGGGAAGGGACGCACGCAGACGAGGTCGCCAGGCTCGCCAGCAGAGACGGGCTCGCCGGTGAGAGAGTCGACGACGCGGATGGCCATGCCGAGACCGGCGCACTGGATCTCGCCCACACGAACGGGGAGCAGCGGGCAGGGGGCTCCGAAGAGAGAAATGATATCGGTGCCGCCCGTGATGGAGGCAAGGTTGACATGCGCAGGGAATGCATCATAAACGAACTTGAACGTGGAAGGGGGCAGCGGCGAGGCTGTGGAGTAAATGGCCTGCAGGCGAGAGAGATCGATACCTGGCTCGCGGACGGGATACACGCCGTTGGCCTCGAGGGCTATGAGGTACGCCGCCGAGGTACCGAAGTGAGTGACCTCAAGGTCGGACAGGACCCGCGGCAAAGAAAGGTGACCCTGAGGGCGGAAGGGGGATCCGGAGTATACGATGACGGTGGCTCCGACAGCGAGGGCGCCGATGCTCCAATGCCACATCATCCAGGAGGTGGTGGTGAAGTAGAGCATCCGAGAGGAGCTGGACAACGAACAGTGTAGCTGATGTTCCTTCTTGTGCTGGATGAGCGTGCCAAGGGCTGTGTGGACGATGGCCTTGGGCAGGCCGGTTGTGCCACTGGAGTACAGCACGTACAACGGGTGCGAGGGCGGGAGCTGCTCGAATGTCAGGGGCTCATCGGAGGCGGACGCCAAGAGGCTGGCGTAGTCGACAGCCGTGACGCCTTGCGTGGTGAGCTCCTCAAGTCCAAGGCCTCCAGCCCGGATGTTGTCAATGACAACGACAGTCTCGAGGCCCGACGCGCGCAAGGCGGTGACAATTTCAGTCGTCTTGGACACGCTGGACCACTCCTTGCCATTGTACACGGTGCCGTTGTCCGCGAAGAGCACCTTGGGCGCAATCTGGCTTAGACGGTCCAACACGGCACTCACACCATTGTCGGGACTAATACCCGTCCAGACGGCACCCACCGCGGCCGCAGCGAGCATGGCGACAATGGCCTCGACATGATTGGAGACGTAACCGGCGACGACGTCATTCTTCTTGAGCCCCGCGGCGCGCAGGGCGTTGGAGCAGCGGCGGACGGCGTCGCGGAGATCGGCCCACGAGGTGGTGACGGTAGAGCCGGGGAGCTCGGTGAGAGTGATGACGGCCGCGGCGGATGAGTCTGGGGCCGGCGACGTGGCGGGGAAGAGCAGGTTTTCGGCGAAGTTGAGGCGGGCGGAGGAGAAGAAGTCCGGGCGGGGGAACATAGGAGCGTTGTTGGGAAGGACCTGTGTTGTTGAGGAATGGTGAGCTTGATGCGAGATTCTGAGTGGTTGTCTCATGCATGCGGATGGTCAATGGTGTTGGATTGCGCTCTGAGGAGACTCGGCATAACATGTATATGCTGGCAGTCGTATTGGCAATCTCACTTAAGATGCTATCCCCATATGCACCTGCGTTCAATGTTGCAATTGGAGATTGGGGGTCTGGTATAAACCCTGGCAGGAGAATTGCCGTACCTGATCAAATGACTTGGAAGCCTTAATGCCCACAAAGTGCCAGACTTCCTCCCAGAACAGCGCTACGTTATCAATGGACCATTGGTAGAGCGTCGGATAGCCATCGAGGCTGAGCCCATGCTTCTTGTTGACGTGCTTGAGGAAGCGCCACATGGGCGTCGATGACGGGTCTGGATGGCTCCATAGCTGGTCCGCGGGGGACTTCTTGTCGGTCGACGGAACGGCCATTGCTGGGGGATGTAGAGATGATGGGCTTGAGCGAGCTTGGGAGGACGAAGAGACGAGGGAGAGCGTCGAGAGAATCCCAGGACGGATGGGAAACTTGTTGGGGAGGGAGAGAGGGAACGATATCGGAACGGCGGCGGTTCGGAATCGAGCCGAAGAAGAGAGGATGAGGAGGAGGAGGAGGAGACGGCCAAGATATCGGATATAACAGCCAGGTAATAGACACAGACACAGACGAAGATGGAAAAAGATGATAAGAAGGTGCGCTATTATCCCACTAAAAATTCCTGGAGTCTCGAGACCGAACTCGCTGTACCCAATCTCTTTCACTTGGCCTTGCTATTCCGAGGCTTGTGTCGCAATCCGCGCGGAATGAGAAAGTCGCAGGCTCGGTCCGTGGCCGTCGCAAACCGCCCCCTCCCGCGGCGCTCGGCTCTCCAACCCCGCTGAGGCGCCGGTCCGTGTGTGGCAGTGGTGGGGGAGGCTGATGGGCTGCGTGGCTGAGATATTCGTGGCACAGTGGCAGAGCACTTGCTCTATGTGGCTCATTGCTGTGGCTGGGCCGGAGAGGACACTTGCCCAACGCGGACGGCTCCTCCAATCCCTACTTACGTGAGCTATCAACTTCGCTTCTCAGAACGTGCCCCTTAAACGGGAAGCTAATTAATCAATGGCTACTTAGGCAGCATCGAGACATGGGAAGAGGGAACAGGAGGGGAGACTTTGTGTCAGAGAGCAAAATTATGGATAGGCAGGATATTAAACGGGTGACTGGTTGCTGGGGACAGAGACATGAAAAAAGGTGATTAACGGATGGTTCAGATTATCCCATGCTCGGGATTCCGGCGAAGAAGACCCCAGTGTCACGACATTGGACCATTCTCGGAGTTTTGGGTGGAAAGCAAGGGCAACGCTACGGGGCACTCGATCTTCCCGAGCGCCGACCGTGCCGCACGCTTCACATCCTTGAGACAGATGGGCTACGTCACGCTGGGCGCCCTGGCTTTTTTGTATTTTGCGAGTTCTGTCCGACAACCCCTCGTCGACGGAGCTGAGTTGAAGCGAGGGATGATCTGACGACCAAAAGCTGGTACGGAGACTCGCGGCGGCATCACGATATAAGTCCGGGACGAATGGGACGATCAAGTCGGAATCTCCATGCACAGGTCTAACGCCATTGCCCCGTACCGTATCGCATCGCACAGCAATTCATTGTTGAGGAGCCTATCGCCCAGGGTATCACGGGGGCAGGATCATCACAGTCCGGCCTGCATTAGCTGGGCTGGCGGTGAAGGCTCCACGACACCTGGCAGAGCCATGTTTGGCCCCCGAGGATGCATGTCGTGCGTTGCGGCGGTTTGGAGGAAGCAATGGGATCCATGCTCTGCGCTGTGATTGATGCAATGCCGGCTTGTTGGGGACTTTGACGGAGGGGGATTGTCCAACCATGCTGGTGCATCTCACATCTCGCATCTTGTCGGATCATGTACACATATTCGTACGCGCCTGTCGCACGTACATGAAGCATCTCGATTTGGCTCTCCTCTACTCCATTTCCCTACGCCACTTGATCCATCTGCGTCAAATGCAGACAGGACCCCGCGGCGAAGCGCAAGACATCCGCGGACAGTCAAAAGACGGAGCACCGAAAAGTCCGTTAAATGAGGTGAGGTGAGGTGACCAAAGGGGAGGCCGCCAGCCCAAATCCGACGTGGTAATGGCGGCCTGGGTCGAAAAGGCTGGAGCTAATAAAACTCACCCGCAAAGTCGGGCCAATATACCTGCCCAACGCCATCATCGACTCCCGGGAACGACGGCCGTGTCTTCGTCTCCTTGCTTATCCCCATTTGTAGTTGATCCTGTCAGTTTCGCCAAAGTCCATCATCTGCTCACGAGGCGAACCACGCCCCTGGTACGAAAACCTGGCGAAAAAACCTGGCAATACACCCTCGTGGCGCATTGATGGCCTCCGAGGGATCCCATTCGTAGAGCTCACCGCATTCTTGATGGAAGGCGGGGCGGCTCCAGCATCGCCGCTTTTTAGACAGCGAGCTGCCGAAGCTGAGCTCCACTTCATGCCGCAGCTTCACTGACAAATGCGATTGCTGAACACCAGGCTGATTCCAGGACCAGCCGAGGCTCAGGCAGGCGAGGCAAAGGGCGGCGACAGCGCCAGGCTCGATTCGTCGCGAACACTCCCCAGCCGCTGGCCGGACAGCTCGGGAGGCATGGGGCGCCACGTACTAGGGGCCATGCGAAAATGGTCGTAGCCTGGGCTCTATTGTCACGCTCTCACAGGGGAGACTCGGCGACAAGGGCGTCGGATTGGACGCCATGACTGCAGATGACGATGGAGGGCACAGACAATTGCAGATTGCGCCGTGCAAAGCGCGGCGAGCTGTCAAGCGAGGGCGCCGGCATCAACGGGACTGGCTGGCGGCGGACAAGGGGGCCGTTCGCTGATGTTGGCTCTGGTCGCTCTGCAGTCGCCGTTTGCAGTTCGCGCGCGCGGGTGTAGCTTGCCCTTGACGCTTCGTTGGCGAGGCGAGGTGAATGGGAATCCACACTCACTCTGCTGGGTGCCCTGTCAGGAGACAAGACGAGACGACGGCCGGCCCCTTGAAATCATTTTGCAGCCCGGTCCTGTCCGGTACAGCCCGGGGAGGAAACGATGAGGGGGGGGGATGCGCGTGAGTTTATGTGTTGGCTTGATTTGTGGTTCCAGCGGCGAGTTTGGGCGAGTTTGGCGGTAACTATCGTGGGCAGCGGGCGAGCTGGAGTCAGAGATCCCGTTCGTCTCCGTCCCCCGTCGCCGTCCCCGCGAGCGCCACCCGCGTGCGCGAGAGAGTGTGTAGTGTGTGTGACACAATCCTGCGGTCAGATCACTGGCATTTTTGTTTTAATTCAACCTGGTCCCTCCCATCGTCCCCGCCGCCGCCTCGTGGTGTCTCTCCTCCTCCTCCTCCTCCTATCTTTCCTCTGCCTCCCTCTCCAGTCCCATATTCAATCCCTCGGGCTTGGGTTTGATTGAGGTTCCCGGCCGAGTGACGTCGCCCCAGCAGAGGGACTGACCGACTCCCAACGACAACCCCTCCGTCTCCGAGAGTCTCGAACGTGCCTTGTCCCGCTCTGGCCATACCTTATCGAGCGCCGGCATCTCAACGTCTACACCAGAGACGAGGACGAACCGCAACCCCCTTGCGTTGCGGGCCTATCGATTGGGACTATCAGAGCAGCACAACTGGGGCGGTTGTCTCGGTGCTTGGAATCCGGAACAGCGGAGGAAAACAACAAACCCACGACCGTTTTTTAACGTGTCGACTTTAGTGAGTGAGTCTCTGATTTGCATCGAGTTGGTTGCTTGTGTGTGTGGTTGTACGTGTGCCTCTGCGTGTGTTGAGAGAGGATTCCCCTCGCATTTGACTTCATTTCGAACCCCATCTACTTGCTTCAATCCGGTCCTCTGGCGTGCAGTCGCACAGAGATACGCGCGAGTGTGGGTACTGCAATTGGCCTACTGGGTGCAGGATTTGGCGTCCGGCCCGTGTCGGACGTGCCTAAGCCTACTAGGTTCCAGGTGTCCACAGCCAATTTGCAACGGGCGGATCGTCACTTTCCCCAATTTTCCTCCTGGCGACGCCACCTCCTGCGCCTCCTGGACCTCGCAAGCTCGATTCCCAACCCAAACTCATCTCCTTTACCTTCATCCTTCATCATTCGGCATCATCCCTCAATCGTCGCCGGGGCTTTTCCCTCCTGCCGATTCCCACCCCGCCCGCCTTCCTTTGCTTTTTGAATTGGCCTGCATAGCATTGCATCGCATCTTCCTGTGGTGCTGTTCTGTTCTGCTCTCCTCTTCTCTCTGCACCCTTCATAATCATCGTCAGCACTACACCACACACACGCGACCCCAGGGGATCATGCATCTTCATCCACACTCGTGTCAATTCGTCCATTAGCATTTGCACGCGCTGACCGTCAATCTTCGACAACCACCAGATCTTATCTTAGATCGTCATTCGACACTTTAATCTCAGTCGCCTCTCGAGCAACTAGACCCTCGGTCCGTTTGCACTGGCGCTCAAAATTCTCCCCAATACGCACCTCAGATAGGAGACATGCCCCGTCGGCTCGCCAATCCTTTCTCGTCCTCTTCCTCTATGTCTCAACCCGTCAAGTCGGGCGAGAGGCGCCCTTCCACCTCCAAGGGCAACCGCATTACCCAGTTCTTCTCCTCGAGCCCCAAGTCCAAGGACTCTGCTGCCCAGCAGGTTTTGCTCGCCATGCAGCAACACCAGTCCGCCGTTGGCGCTCCCGCCCTCTCGCCCTCGTCTCTCCCTACCATCTCTCTCTCTCCCGCTGGCCCTGGTGATCTCAGCAGCGTCGAGGCCCCGACTTCGACCCTCTTCCAGCCTCAGTCTCCTGAGGACGTTGAACGACAGAAGCGTGCCGACGCTCAATTCGGCCCTCTTGTCCACCCGAGCCACCGATACACCAGCATGTCTCACGGAGAGCCCCTCGAGCCCCCCCCTGAGGACGAGCCTCCTTACTACTTCATTCTCACCACCTACATCAGCTACCTTATCCTCATCCTTCTCGGTCACTTCCGCGACTTCTTCGGCAAGCGCTTCGGCAACCCCAAGCACTACCGAGCCCTCAAGGCTGCCAATGGCTACGCCGCTCTCAACTCCGATTTTGACAACTTCTACGTTCGCCGCTTGAAGATGAGACTGGATGATTGCTTTGCCCGTCCCACTACCGGCGTTCCCGGACGTTTTATTACACTCATGGACCGCAAGTCTGACGACTTCAACCGCACTTACAAGTATACCGGTACCTACACTGAGACACTCAACATGAGCTCCTACAACTACCTCGGTTTCGCTCAGTCTGATGGTCCCTGCGCCGACGCTGTTGAAGAGTGTGTTAAGCATTATGGCGTCAGCTTCTGCAGCCCCCGCGGCGCTGCTGGCACTTCCGATCTGGCTCTTGAGGTTGAGCGCGAGATTGCCGAGTTTGTCGGCAAGCCCGCTGCTATGGTTTTCTCCATGGGCTACGTCACCAACGCCAGCTCTTTCCCTGCTCTCGTTTCCAAGGGTTGCCTCATTATCTCCGATGAGCTCAACCATGCTTCTATCCGTATCGGTGCCCGTCTCTCTGGTGCTGTGATTCAGTCCTTCAAGCACAACGACATGACCGACCTCGAGCGCGTTCTCCGCGAGGCTATCTCCCAGGGCCAACCCCGTACCCATCGTCCCTGGAAGAAGATTCTCCTTGTCGTCGAAGGCCTTTACTCTATGGAGGGTACTATGTGCGATCTTCCCGGAATCCTTGCCCTCAAGGATAAGTACAAGTTCTACCTCTTCATTGATGAGGCTCACTCCGTCGGTGCCCTTGGTCCCCGCGGACGTGGTGTGTGTGACTACTTCGGCATCGACCCCTCGGAAGTGGACATTCTCATGGGAACTCTTACCAAGTCTTTCGGCGCCAACGGCGGTTACATTGCTGCTGACCAGCATATCATCGACAAGCTCAAGAACACAAATGCATGCACCCAGTTTGGAGAGTCTCCCGCTCCCAGCGTCCTCATGCAAATTCTGGCCTCCCTGAAGCTCATTACTGGTGAGCTCTGCCCCGGTCAGGGTGAGGAGCGTCTCCAACGTATTGCCTTTAACTCGCGCTACCTCCGCCTCGGACTTAAGCGTCTTGGCCTCATCGTCTGTGGCCACGATGACTCTCCCATTATCCCTGTCATGCTCTACCACCCCGCCAAGCTCCCCGCCTTCAGCCACGAGATGCTTCGACGCAAGATTTCAGTCGTTGTCGTCGGTTACCCCGCCACTCCTCTTATCAGCTCTCGCGCTCGATTCTGTGTCTCATCTGCCCACAACAAGGACGATCTGGACCGACTCCTGGCCGCCTGTGACGAGGTTGGCGACATCTTGCAGATCAAGTTCTCAACTGGTATCGCTGGTGGACAGGAGCACCTCCCTGAAGGCATCTCTGCCGAAGATGAGTCGGAGTGGAGGAAGGAGAACGGCATCGCTCTGAAGGCTCCCCGGTGGAGGCTGGAAGACGTCGTGCGACACGGTGTCCACGATGCCAAGGTTGCGCTGCGGTAATACATACTTGCACTGACCGAGTTGTTTTCGGCGTTTGAACTCCTTTCTGACACATTCCCACGTGCTCTTGAAACTGAATTGGTGTTGTTTTGGCGCAACTGAATAGACCATCATCCTGTGAGAGATCAGGATGTTGCACGACTTTTTACCTCTTCTATTTCTCATCAAGGCATGCTGCCTAGCTGCCTTGCCATTTATATTTCGGTCCCCTCGGACCACAACATTTTCTTGCGTCGAGAGGAGTTGGGGGGGTGATGGGCATAATGGTATGCGGTGTGTGACGGGCATATTTTTGAAATGGGAAATGAGCAATGCTCAAGAAACCCCGGAGAGTTGGGGTTGGAGAGTGGATGGTATATATAAACTGGCATAGAGAGCGTCGAATTTGTATATAGTGTCCTGAAGAAGTACATTAGTCTCTAATGTGAATAGAGTCATGAAGACAAGTTCTAAGTCAAACATATGAAGGGTGAGGACTGGCGGTCTTGGTGGAGCGATGGGAGACAGCCCAGGTGATGCGTGATTGTATTACAAGATGTTCGAGAGTCACACTTAGGAGTCTTTCAGAGGATAGAAACCCCCGGTTGATTGAAGCTCTACGCTCTGCGCAATATTGTACGTAGGACGTTCTATTGAAGATTTTACCCTTTCAAGCTCGACATAACCATTCTTCCATGTTTGCACCTCAAGCTAGAGACAGGAGGAGAGATGCCACGGTAACCCAAGAATGGTAAGTAAGGATGCTGAACCGGCTTACCCTATCGCCACAATGAGATTTGCCCCTGGCGGAGTCGGTGCTAAGGTCAACATAGAAGAAACAAGGCGATTGCATGGTCTCCCCGCGGCCATCGCGTCTAGCTTACGCAGTAGGTTTGGGACTTGGGCAACAACCGACTTGTCAGATGTGACACCTGACTAAGACTAGGGAAAAAGCATTTACATCACAACACTTGGCTTATGAAAGAAGGCCGCAAAGCATGCATATCAATGCCAGATGCAGCCACGAAGACCCTCTGCGCCTGACACGAGCTACCTACCCAGACGAGTTAGTAGGGGCTATTTTCGCCATCGATTGCTCTTTCAGGCGGCGCTTTGATCCTTAGATGATGTGCAGGTGTTGAGCAGGACGGACGAGAGAGTGTTCCGTGCAAAGGGAGGAGAGCGCGGGCAGCGAAACAGTGGCTGGAGGAGCTAAATATGACGGGAACCTGAAACGCAGACGACGGGGGGGGGGGGGTAGGCATGGATGAGGATGGGGGTTCAGGTACGGAATGAATGGGATGCGGGGCAGAGAGGGAGGAATACGAGAAAATGCGAAGGAGACGGGGGAGGAAAGAGGAGGAGATAAGAAAGAGGGAGGCTTGCTTTGGCTGCGAGTGTGTGACTGTGGTGTGAGGGTGTTGGTGATGGCACGTGGGGGAGTCGTGGCGAGGCAAGGCAAGGTGAAGTTTGAGAGGATGCTGGGGTACGGGGCTTCCGATGGGCCTATGAATGAAGAGCAGTCAGCCCGGGGTATAAAGTGTATTTCATCCACGTGTAGTTGGGACAAGCAGTGACGGGCCTGATGATGGGGATGAGGGTGGAGGCTCGGAGCTGTAAGGCATTTGATGTGCCAAGAGTCTGAGGGAGAGACGGGGAGTTGACTCGGCTGAGGGAACCGAATGGACTACTACGTACCTAGTAAGCTGCCGATGGTCAAATTCCAAGACAGACTGGCTCCAAACAAGTACTTAGTCATTTCAGAAGAAGTACCTTGTCTCAATGCTAGGGAGATACGCGTACCTGACCTGAGGTGATTCGACAAAGGACCAACTCCTGTCTGTGCAACTCGCCACCGGTGAGCGACAGGCTCCTTTTTTTAGCTAACGGGAAGCAGATCGGAGAATTGACGCCAGTGGCATCCGAGCGGTACCTTGCCTTACCTCACCTCTCATGCTGCTGGGCGCTCGGAAGCGTTGCCGTTGGGTTAGGTACATGGCACCGCCCTTTGGTTGTTGGTTGCGCGGTTACGCTGTATGTACGAAGGAGTTGGTCTGCATATCTAGGCCCTGCTTGGTCTTTTTTTATCCACAGGGCCGCATGGGGTTACAGCACTGAGAGACACAGACTGCAACGGGCAGACAGGCCATTTACAGTGGAGAATGTCAAAAGTGTCTGTCTACATGCGGTAGTCTGTCTGGATGTGTCTGGATGGAGACTGAATGGAGACTGTCCGGATGCTCGGTCCCGTTGACAGAAGAAACGAGATCTCGCCTAGGCACGGGGTGCAGCAATGTGCCCGAGAAATGGCAAGGAAACAAACAAACCAGGACTCCAGACAGACGAGAAACAAACTAGAAACGAATCGTCACTCCCGTATTCAAGCACGAGCACTCGAACAGGAAGGAGGTGTTTTTTTCCTCCTCCACGACTTGGCCTCTTTTTTCTTTTTCGGCCCCCCCTTGATGAGCTCACGGCCGGCCATGCACGACGGCGGGGTGGGATCCAGGGCCTAGGCCAGAATCAGCTTCGGGGCCGGGGTTTTTTCTCTTGGCTGGCGAGCGGCTAGGGACGAGACACGCCGTCCTCTTCGGCTGGTCCTTGGCTTTCCTTGGGGAGGTCTGGACCAAGCTGCTGCGCCAGTCCAGTGTCGCCCAGCAAGGCGAGGGATGGGTGTACGTAAAGGGCCAGGCCAGGCACTTGCAGCTCTGCGCGACCCCGGCATGACGGCATCGGCCCAGGTACATCTGGACGAAAGAGATACATGGCGGGTAGCTCAGACGGAGCAGGATCGGTGGTGGTCGAGCGACGACGATGAAGAAGAGAAAAGTCGTGGCTGTGCAGGGCACAAAGGCCAGTGCAAGGGTTTTTTTCCCCCTTCCCTGACGGTGATTGTCCGTATCCCTCTGCGGCCTGTTCGCTGGGCGGTCCCTCTTTGCGGACAGAGCTGCTGGGGTCTTTCATGGATGAGGGTCCCTCCCAGGCCCATCTCGTGGATCTCGTGGATGGGCTGTCGGCGGAAGAGCGCCTAGGCGCCGAACGGCTTCCCAGCTTTCAGGTTGCCCTATTTTACTTTTACGGGGGAGGATTGATGGAGGGGACAGCAGCCCACTGGGAAAAACCCACTGCGATTATAGCCCACTCTCGGCTGCGAGCCCACTGAGACAACCCACCTGTGGTCCGCCCGCGGGTGCTTTGGTGGTGGTGGTGGTGGTGGTGCTGGCTGCGGTGTTGCGCTGTACCTGACGGTCCCCGGCGCTGGGTGTCTAGCACGGTACTTCCCTGTCTGGCCCCTTCCCTTGGGTCGCCGCAGGTGGGTTGGTACGGGGCGAGGCACCCGGCCCTAAGGGCGACCTGTCCGGCGCGAGGTACCGTTCCACCAGTCGTGGGTGGCACGGTACCTGGGAGCGCCGCGCTCCACTGCTGATTGACTGATTGACGGAGAGACTCGTCCATTCTCCTCTTTCCCCCCAGCGCTTCCGTCAACCACCGCTACCAACCAACCTGCTGCCCTACTGCTGCCACCTCCACCTCCACCTCTACGACACCACCCATTCCACGACTCCATCATCACCGACGATCCCTCTTCTCTGCTCTCCCACTTCTCTCTCGCTGGCGTCCTCGCTTCCTCCGTCTCCCTCTCGCTCCAGGCCCGGGCTTGCTGCTGCTACGACTCGCCGACTTCGTCTCCCACCTCTCCTCTTCCTCGTCGCTTCGCCGCCTCCTTCTCCTGGCTTGCTCCTCCAAAAGTCGCCGTTGCCGCCCGTCTCCGCCTCTCGCCAGCCTGCCCGCTCGATCTCATCCCCGGGCCTCATTTCCACCAAGGCTGCTCCCTTGCTCCCGTCGTACCGCTCCCGCCCGACGACCTGATCCCGCGGCCACCGCTCCCGTCGCCGTCGCCTCAAACTCCCACTGCGATCGAGGACGGCTGATCCGTCGACTGACGCCCACGGGGCTCCCCTCGTCCCATCTCGATCCCACGACGGCTGACGTCCCGACTGCCTGCCACCTTCCACATCACCACCAACACCACCCGCTCTTAACGGGCCACAACCATCGCCCCGACTCAAGTTGTCGACTGCCCCTGGTTGTTGGCGACTGCTCGCCCCCCCGTTGTCACCATGATGAGCTTCGACGGTGGCACGGCCTATGCCGAGTCCGACGCCGACGACGAATATGAGCGAAGCATGGGCGGTCACTCCCCCGTGGGCGACTCTGAGACCTCCCCTATCGATTCAGAGCTCTCCACCTCCGCGGAGCACACTCCGACCTACGCCCACCGCAGCAGCGGCGACCGCCTACCTGAGACCATCATCACCGAATGGACAGCCGACGAGTGTGCCGACTTCATCAGCACCATTGGCTTGCAGCAGTATACTGATCGCTTCCTTGGTGCGTCCCTTCTCCCCGCCCTTGGCCGACCCGTACCGCCTTTATCGAGACATCCTCGAACCTGTCAATGGATGGACTGACTGACCTTTTTGTGCCTTGCAGAGAACGATATTGTTGGTGAGGCCCTCGTGGCCCTGCTGCACGACGATCTCAAGAGTATGGGCATCGCCAGCGTTGGCCATCGCTTGACCATCCTCAAGAGCGTCTACGACGTCAAAAAAGCCCAGGATGTGCCTATGGAGAGCGACCACTACCTTCCCCTGTGTATGTTGCGAACTCTTTCAACCCATGCCCTGGTGATCTTGTCCTAACCTCGAATTTCACAGCTGCTGATGCCGAAGCCCAATATGCCACTGCAACCCTCAAGGATATCAAACACCTCGTTGAACAGTTTCGTCTGCGCGACGAACGCATGAGCATGCTTGAACAAGACCTGCGGCGAATGACAGACGATTTTAGGCGCCTGAGGGAGGACATGCTCCCCGCACTCCGTTTGGTCAAGGATGCTCAGCAGCCTCTGCCCAACCTGAGCGGCAACACCCAGGCCTACAGCTACGAGGCCACCATCTCCCCCCCAGCGCCGACTCCTCCCCCCGGCCAATCTGCAAACGCCATGAAGCGCCAGTACTCGACGAGGAAGATTGTCATCGGAACCACGCCCAAGAATGCTTCCCCCACACAAACAACGCACGAGAGGTCAATAGCCGAGACAACCCTCGACCCTGCCAACGCTGCGGAGCGGGCCGTCTTGTCATCGTCACACCTTGCTGCAATGAATGGGGGTGGCCAGGGCGCATCCTCTCCTTCATATCCATCTCCCAACATTCCTTCTCCGACCTCTCCGCCAACCCACATGAGCGGGACTACCCTTGCCTCCCGATCCTACCGAAGCGAAGCCCCGACGCCGTCGACGCGCTCAACTTTTGAAAACTCCGACCATGCAGCTTATAATTCCCGGGACAAGGGCCAGCAAGGCCCGCCTCGTCGAAGAGAGACGCCCGTTCCCGACACTCCTAGTACCAGCAATGCCTCGGTCGAGATATTCAAATCGTTCCGTGTCAGCATGGAGGATCCCTGCTACAAAGTTCTGCCTGCAGCCCTCAAGAAGTACCAAATCAACGCACCTTGGGATCAATATGCCCTTTATATCGTCTACGGCGACCAGGAGCGGTGTCTAGGTCTCGAAGAGAAACCGTTGATATTGTTCAAGCAATTGGATAAGGAAGGCAAGAAACCCATGTTTATGCTGCGGAAGACAACAAGTGCACCGGCGGATGGAGATCCTGGAAGCGCAGGGCTTGGCAACACTGGCCGGGGAGCTGCAGCAGGGTATGATCCTCCGGGAGGCATCATCTAGGCCCTCGATTGCCGATTATGATCCTTACCCCACAACATTTCACTGGAGCATCTACAAGCATGGGCATTGGGCATCGGATCGGCGCGTACCGAAACACGGTTTCCCTCAACGAGATTCAACGAAAGACGCATGCCAGGAGTCGGGCTTGTTGGGTTACACGATACGACATTTGCTGCATAGCGCTGGGACAGGACGTTTTTATTTTTGCTTTTTTTTAAGGATTGCATATGCTGAGAGTCTGGACGACCCAGTTGTTGTCGTATGACGTCCGACGGCAATTGTTTGGGCTTCCGGGACTGGGGCCAGCCTTGAAACGTCCCAGCTGCGGGAGGACCCACGGTTGATGGACTGACGTTGCCTTGGACCCCGTCGACGTGCTTTCGGCGCGTCCTGAGGGGCAGACTTCGCAACAGGGATTGATTAGAAAGGAGCAGGAATGTAAGAGATGAGGGCGTGCAAAACAAAATCTGGGTTGGACATGGCTTACGCTGGATGTAAGCTGAGCTATGCTACACGGCGGTGTTGCTTTGGGATCAATGGGTCATTCTGTGGCCTCTTGGCACTGGATGACCTGGGCGGTTCGTTCTGTTTACAGAATGTGTTTGGATATTCAGGTGGCTTTGATTCTGTCCCCCAACCCCTCGCACCGGAAGGAAAACCAGGGCGAGCGAGGGATAGAGAGAGCGAGAGCGGGAAGAGCTTTGTGTCTTAGCTTTATTGTCTGTTCCCCATTTCCGCGAACCGGGGACTCTGGGCTACGGCGTTTGCAAAATTGGGATGCTTTGGTCTGGAATTGAGAGACAGAAAGTGAAAGATATTGAGGAAGGAAGCTGTCTGTCTGTCTTATGTTGGAGAGAGAAATTGTCTCGTAATTGAATCGCATGTCGACGGAGTGTTGATTTTCTTGTCCTTTTTGCCAAGTTGGGAATAGAGAATCGTGAGGGAAGCAGTATTGGATGTGGTGGAGGCAAGAAAGAAAGTCGTCTATGTAGATTGCAGTTGGACGGGATCTGGGTTGTCAAGGTCTTTGTTTGATACGAAGGTAAGACGGCCTGGAAATACACACTTCTTGAAGCAACTGGGAGCGTTGGGGTGGTGAGTTGTGTGAGTGTGCTGGCGAAGGAGAGGTTCCTAGGCATAGTGGACATGTTCTAATGACGGATGATAATGTATATCTGTGTTTTCTGATTAAATGTTTCGTTATATGACTTGAGGGCCGTCCCATTGAGGTTCATTACAATTAAGCATCCCCGTCTGCTGTACCGAACTTCCCCTCCAGAGATGTGTATATCTCAACATTATGTCACTAACCAGAACATCCCTTTACCTCATACACCACCTCCACCCCTCTGGAACTCCCTTTCCTATCTGCTGTTTTCTCTCAAACTCGCCCACAAAGTCCTCGACCGCCTCCCACGGCACGCCCCTCCTCATTCCCGTCTCGTCGTCCCAGCTCGAGTGCAAGCCAACCAGCGCTCCCGTCCTCCGGTCGACGAGCCCGGCGCCGCTGTGGCCCCAGTACGTCCAACAAGTATGCGCCAGCGCGCCAATATCGCGGTTGTCCTGCGGGTCCTGGCCCGCCGCGATGCCCCGGAACGTCCCTGTGCTGAGCACCAGCGTGTCGTAGCCCGTCTGCAGGCCCGGCACTGTGGCCTCCAGGTCCTCGGAGCCCGGGTGGCCGATGCAGAGTAGGCGGGCGCCCTTTTTCGGTGCAGATGAGGCCAAGCGCATGAAGGGGAAAGGTCGCTGGTCTTCGGCCTCGGCGACTACGAGCAGTGCGAGATCGCGGACCGGGTCCCAGGCCACTGTCCGGGCGGATACGACGCTGCCCGAGGCGAATAGTAGCGTGTGCAGCGCGCTCAGGTCGAGCTCGGCGGCCGTCTCGGCGACGCAGTGAGCGCACGTGAGAATGACGCCGTCTGGGGAGATGCACACTGCGGTGCCGGCCTCTTCCTGGGCGAAGACGAGCGTTGCGACGGCCGGGTTGGCGTCCAGGTTGCGGCGCTGGAGGTCCTCGGGCAGAGTGACGGAGTAGTTTCGCAGCCAGTTGCGTTTCCGTTGAAGCGGGTTATTGAGGGAGGGCGGGTTGCGGAGGGCCCATGGGAGGGCACAAAAGTTGGAAGGGGGGAGTTGTGGTGGTGATGATGGTGATGTTGAAGTTGAAGGTTGACACTTTGCTGTTTGAGACCGAGTTGAGCTTCGGGTTTGGCGGCGGGGCGGAGGAGTATCCGCTGTGAGGTCAATGAACCCGGCCATGGTGACGAGAATGAATATCTAATAACACAAGTGATGTGGTTTGTAAAATGACGAGCTGTCGTTGAAGGAAACTGGACCTGTTATAAGTGTTAGTCGAGTGGTGAGGCTTGGTTAGGTCCACTAAGATTGTTCACGGTCCAGGTGGCTGCCTAAGACTAACGCTCATCCTGGACTCTTAACAGCAACACTGCTTAAAAGACATGAGACTAGGCATTGGCAAATTCGGGCATCGAGCAGTTTGTTGCGAAATAATACAGTACATAGTTACTCGCATTTAGTTTGTAGGCAGCTAGGCAGCTAGGCAGCCAGGCAGCCGGTCTTACATAACATCCCGCCAAGAAGTACAACATGGATAGATACTCTCCATCGCTAACATCATCATCCATCGTCCAAGGTATTTCCCTTCAATATCAGTACACGCTCTTTATTTTCTTCGACCACAAGCTCCTCACGCCTCCACATGCTTCTCTTTCCACTCATCCACCAAGCCCCGGTAGTCTTCCGGCCCGTACGGGTCCGTGGCCTCGGCCGCCATGCCGCCGCCCTTGCGATACTTGTTGAGCCCCATGTCCGTCAGCAGCAGGTCCAGGTACGGCACCGCGTCGAAGATGAAGTCCGGGTACTTGTGGCCGTAGCCGGCGGGATATCGCCACTTGCAGAACCGGCTGTGGAGGACCGCCTCGTGCTGGAACGCGGCCACCTCCTCGGGGGAGGGCGTGCCGCTCGGCAGGTTTGCGATCTTGCCGTCGAAGTAGGCGTTGATCCAGAGGGACTGCGCGTGTGCAATTGTCGACACGGTGATGTTCATCAGGATGCCCGCAAATGCCACGTCCCGCGTCGCCAGGAACTTGGTCGAGGGCGGCGCCATGAAGTGGTACAGTGTGTAAGGCGTCAGCGGCGTTGATGGGGTGATGGCGTCCTTGCTCGACACGCCCTTGTTGTCTAGCAGCGGCTCGTACTTTGCGTTCTGTACCGGATGGTCTTTGAGTCGGGGGAACCGATGCAGGATCTCCTTGTCGATCTTGTCCACCAACTCCTGCGGCGGGAACGACGTGGCGGATGGGGTGTGAGGGATGCCTAGCTCCTTGGCGATGCCCTCGGGCAGGAACTTGATGGGAGGCACATGCTTCCAACCGGTCGAGCAGCACAGCAGGTCTGTCTCCAGCGTGGTGCCGTCCGAGAGGTGCACCTTGCGCTCCGAGAGGCCGTTGATGTCGGCGATGTGCACCTTGACGGTGCCGTTCTTGACCAGCTCGAAGAAGTCGGTCTCGTAGTTGAGGATGGACAGGCCGGACGCTATGCCGAAGGCCTGGCTCCACGGCTTGAGCTTGGCCGTCTCCGGGTGGGCATCGAACTGGTTGAGCGCGACGACATCGCTGCCCAGGATATTCCAGAACTGGTTGACGAGGGCGCGGCCGATGGCGCTACCGTGATACCAGCTGCGCGTCGTCACGTAGCCATCGGCGTCACCCCAGCTGCATGGGCTGAACCAGGTGAGCATGCGGGTGTGCACCAGCTTCTCGAGCCACTTCTTGAGCGGCGTGACGTAGGGGGGAGCCATCCAGACGGGGCCATGGCCGGTTTCTACGGCGTTGTTAGCTGGTCGAGTTCGCCCGTGTCGAGACTCCAGTCGTTGCTCACCTCGGATGACCCAGTTCACCTCGATGCCCTTGATGGCATACTGGTAGACAAGATCCCACGCCGTCTTGGTACCTCCAAAGACGGTCACGGACTTGGCCGTCTCAAGAGTTTCCGCGTAGTCGAGAAAGTCCTTGCCGTGGAATAGGGGGGCGCCGAACTGCTCCTGGCCCTCGAAGGTGGGCAGGAAAGCCTCAGACGTAAGACCCGTCGCCACAACAAGCCTCTTGGCCGCGATCTTGACCTCCTTGTCGGCTTTGACGTCACGGGCCGTGATGATCCAGCCCCCGAGCTCCTGGTGCTCGGCCGACTCGACCTTGTGCTCGAAGCGGATCTTGTCATGGATGTCGAACTTCTCGGCGTACTTGTTCAGGTACTCGTGCACCACCGCTCCTGGAATATGCTGGCCCGGCTGCACGCCAAAGACCTCCGGGTCCATAGGGAAGTCTGGGTACTCATAAGTTCCGAGCATGTTGTTACTCTTGAGCCCCGGGTATAGTCGGTGCGCCGCCCAGGTGCCTCCCGCGGTGGCTGAGGAGTCCAGGATAGCCACTGACTCCTCTGGGTGAAGCTGGTGACGAGCCTTTGCGGCCGCAAGACCGGCCCAACCTACACGTTGACGGGTTAGCTCCAGTGCTACTTTCTCGGCCGGAGATTCATCGACGGTGGTGAATTCGACGAGTCACAAAGGGAGAGGAACGCGGGTCAAGCTTACCGGCACCAATAACCACGAAGTCAATGTTTTCCATCTTTGATCAGCACTGCCAACTTCCCAGCGGGTTCAAGGGCGAAACGAAACGAAACGACTGCAGCTCGACGGAAGGATGCAGCTGAACGGAGCTTTAAAGGCCAGCCAGAAAATGGCGCCTGCCATGTTGACAGCTTGGTTCGTTTCATGTGTTTAGCCGGCCGGGATCGCTCACGAGTTGGCGTCTGCTAGGAAGTCCCTTCGTGCATCTGTCGAGTCTCGTCCCCCTCGACTAGGGCAACATGCGCATGCAGTACCTCGGACTCGACTAGCTAAGGCGCGCCCTACATCGGGCCAAACCTGTTCCTGTTCTTGGTCTCCAAGCCGGTTGCCCGGTTCTGCTGCAGCTGTTCCGGGAGCGAGGGTCTCCCGGAGGCTAGACAGGGGGCTAAAACGCTCCGGCGGGCACAACCGAGCCCCCGTCGACGGCGTCCTTGGTGTTGACCCTCTCTCGACGCTATTAGGACGCTGGACTGCCCCTTGAGCTGAGGCTGAGTGCTGGGAATGGGCTAGCTTGTTGAAGCTGCTGCGACAATGTGGGTGACGCATATCGCATGCGGAGTGCGGAAGCCCTTGAAAATAGACAAGCGGCATAGGCGCGGGTGTGGGTTGGCGAGATATAATCGCTTGAGGGAGGGATGTCTAGTCTTTCCGGATGTATGCCCCGTCGACAGGGGTTGTCGTTACATGGGTGATTATGATTTCGACTTAAAGAGCGCAAGATGGACGTAAAAAGCAATTCGTTCGGAGCAGTATACCCATCTCTTACAAGTGGCGAATACCATACTCTGTTGGTAAGTCGTCGTTGCCAGTGGCAAAGAATTCTAGTCCGAGGGGACGCTGCAACATCTCCATCCTGGGCGCCGGGATGTCCTCGAGGAGGGTAAAGATTTGCTGCGCTGTGGTACTGTACTCGATATCTCCGTCGTGTCGTTTGCCATTCCCCGTGCTGGTCTCACAACACCAAATTGCTCCACCTGGCGACAGACCAAACCTAGAGGCACGGGCCTCAACTCCCAATGGCCTGACTTCAGTGAGAAGGGAGCAAGATGCCTCGATGATGTGACCCGGATAGGGGCAGTCTCTGTGTTTCAGTGACAGTTGAGGGTAGCATCGCGGGGCCGCTATTAAGGCACTAAGAGCGTGTTGGTGCAGTCCATGACTTGGTTCAATGGGGCGGCCTTTGAGCACGGTTCCTTTCTCACGGGTGAATGCCGGGGGTGGGTAGCGGATAAGTATTCTGGGTCCCCTGGTGCAGCACAGCTTTCCAAGAGCTGTAAGTTAGAACGTGGATGGCCAAGCTTGTCCTGGCTACTCAGACTGTCCACCGGGAGTATTTATGGTGGGAGATTCCGACACATTCCACCAGCTGCAAGGACAGTGTTACAATGGCGAACTGACTGCTTCCATACGCGTGCCTTGTCCCCAGTGGATGATCGATGCTTAACAGGAGCCAGAGCTCCAAGCCAACGGGATCAAGTGCCGCTGCTTGACTTGCAAGGGTACAGGACCCAGGCCAGATGCCACTTACCCCATTCTGATCTCGACCAGTCAAAGGGGCCAACGTTCATCTATTTGCGATCCATGTCCTCTTAGCATGAAGCTGACGTCGCCCCAATTCTGTTCTCGTCCGAATTGATTGTACCATTGAAGATCATGGATGACGCCTTGTGGTGAACATCGAGGCGAGGTCTCGCTCTAGGAAATCCCAATGAAGGTACAGCGTCCCGGGCTGTGGTTTTCCCAAGACGAGTCGTTAGTCTCCCGTCTCGATTTCAATCAAGCTCTGCTCTCTGTCTGTGCTAATTCCTACGTATATGCCGTACCTAACGGTCCCTTGAAGAAATTTGTCTTATCTTTTGCCCCTCTGGATAAAGGGTCTGCCTGCGGAGTCAGGGGTCTGGAGTCTAGTTTTGTATCAAGCTCGCCGAGTTCGGGATAGTACGTGGATCTAGAGTCCAAGTGCGTCCGTGAACCTGGAGACGGAATACGATTAGGACATGTCTCAACTCTCCAAAAGGTAGGATTGAAGAACGCTGAATGCCTCAAATGGCCCGGAACCCCTATCTAATACTTTGGCAGCCTTGTGGATGGAATGGTCTGCCGTTTAGCCACCTCATAGCGCTCTAATGACAGATGTCACCGGCCGCGAGTCAGGGATGACACTAATAACGAACCTAGATCCCAGATGTTGTAATCTACCAGCTCCAGTGATAAGTAGAAGCTGGGTAGCGAACTCATCGTGGCCTGGAACTCCACCAATCCCAAGCGCTTGGCCTTGCCCTTATGAGGATTCTGTGCCGACATACCTGCATCCATGGCGGCCGATAGCCCGCACATAGTCGATGACGACCTGGGATAGAGTTTCTCAATGCAGCGCGCTACAATCTTTGAAGATCGACGACTCGGAGATCTGCATGTCAGATGGGTAGCCCCCGTAGATTAGCCCAAGCAAGCCGAAGAACTTCCCAGTAGTCTCAGTCCGGTTTCCCTTTAACTTGTCGCATTCCCCCCTGTCTGGTGCTTTGCGACCTCATGCCTTTTCTTACGTTTCGTGTCGCGTGGGCTTGAGTGCCTATCTTCAAGGCCAAGATGAGCGGCTTCACCATTGAGGCCTTCACTCTGCTGGGCGTCGGCTTGAGCATCCTCGCCCTTCGAGTATACGCACGGATTAACGCTGTGGGGATTCGCGGCCTCGAATGGGACGACCACTTTATGGTTCTCGCAGCGGTAAAACACCTCTCTTCGGCGCATGACTGGCTTCGCATTTCTGACATTGTCGATTCACAGATCCTATATACGGCGGAAACGACGCTAGCATACTCGGTTGGGGCCTACTGGTATGGCTTGGCCAACAATGCCATGACGGACGCGCAGAGGGAAGCGTTGGATCCGAGCAGCCACGAATACATGTTGCGAGTCAACGGGTCCAAGACGCAGGTTGCGGGATGGGCTGTCTACATCACCCTGCTCTGGACGCTCAAGGCAGCCATGTGCACATTCTACCTGCGACTGACGGAAGGTTTGGAGTACCGATCACGAATCTATGCTGGGTTCGTCCTGATATTTTTGACTTGGATTATTGTTCTCCTTTCCGTATTGTTGGGCTGCCGACCGCTCCACAACTACTGGCAGATCAACCCGGACCCAGGGAGTAAGTTGTGCCCTGCTGATCGATAGGACTCGGCTAATCACTTGCAATTCAGACAGCTGCCAACCAGCAATCTCCAAGATCAATCTGTTTGTCACGGTCGTTCTTAATGGAGCGACCGACGCCTATCTGTTGTCAATCCCGATGCCTATGCTTTGGTCGGTGCGGCTTCCAGTGCCTAAGAAGCTTGGCTTGGTAGCGCTCTTCTCCGGCGGCATCTTCGTCATTACTGCGGGGACATTACGATGCGTCTTGATTTTGACAGTGAGTATTTCTTGGCTTCCTTTCTATAATAATGTAGCTGACTGGCGGTCCAGAATCCGGTGAAAGGTGCCGAACAGGCGGGCTATTGGGCAGTGCGGGAGACGTTTGTGGCAGTAGTGACGACGAATCTGCCCGTCGTATTCCCATTCATTCGAAGGAAGTTGATTCCCATCCTCGGATCCCTTTCCTCGACAGCACGATCGGGCGATGCGACGACGAAGCGAGGAGTGAATCCGATGCCAGGATCGATACGGCTGGGCGATATACCAACGGGAAACGCAAGCGCGGGTAGCCATGGGGGGTTCGGGAAAAGGGGAGCATCAATCTCGCAGTATCCAATAGGCTCAGATAACGACAGCGACGAGTCTCTTCATATAGTGGGCATCCGGAAGGACACGGATGTGGAAATCGTTTCAGAGGGACGAGGAAGCAACTCTGCGACGCCAGATCCGAACCGAGACCTGGCTACGGCCTTGTACGGGCAGCCCGGAGTAAGAGGAACGACGGATGTGCAACTAGGTAATTGGAACGAGAGGACAAAGATGCCGCTTTGAGACGATGGGGAGTTTCAATAGCGAAAGTAATATATGGTGGCGATAATAAGATGATGAGATAATGAGGATATTGCGAACGTGACTACGGGCTGGTGTGGTGATTGGTTTGTCAGGGGTGCATCGATTCTATCACGAGTGCATGCGATAAACTACCAATGGCATCCATTCCTGCGCATTTAGAATACGACGTAGTAGGGGGGTAGAGAATCCGGCTGTGAACGCGGAGGAAGGAACTAGGGTATTGGTATTTGCACACATAACTGCATGGTTTAATCCTCCTGGAAGTTATCTATGAGCCTAATAAAGAGGTTTTCGAAGTAGATTCCAGCATCTATCTCTTATCAATTATCCTTATTGGATTTGTCGATAAAGGTAGGCTTAAGGTTTAAGTATCCCGGGATATCATGTTACTGTGCATGGTACATTAGTTTGCCTGAAGGGACTTGTAGATTCATGTGTGCTATAGCAAGACGCATGCTTGCGAATGCAATACTCAGAACTATTCATTCCGGAGTCTAGGATGCGCGCTTGTTTGAATATCTGTAATATCTACTCCGCAGTTGTTCGCCGACTCGCATCACGGGGATTTGGAATCGGCTCTCGGCTTTAAATTTCCGCATGGATGCATGCCTGTCAATCTCACAGTAGGTAGCCGGCCCGATGCAGCAGGAGTGGCAGGGGTTCTCCTCATTTACCCGGTGGATGAATGATGGGGAACATTGTCGCGGGCCATGGGCATCAGCCTGGGGGACTCTGATTGGCAATGATTCATGTCTCAAGTGTGATGGTTATGCAAGTGGTAGTTTGGTGTTACGGAGCAGTGATGGTGGTGGTGAGGGAGGGAAATGTAGCGAGAGGCTGGGAAGAAAAAGAAACACCACATATGACAGGCAATCTGTCTCTCCCACCTTGTCTCCCACCTTGTCACTTGTCATCATCAACCACCCACTTTCACAGGGAAGCAGCCCACTTACGAACCAGGGTGCGGGCGAATTTGTCAAAGACGAGCCAACCACGGCTGGTGTTTTCAGTTAAGGTCTCCTCCCCTGGCGCCGTCTCAACCTTATCAGCCACCCCGCGGACCAGCCTGCCGCTTGCTTGCGGGGGAGACACCGCCACCGCCACTCATCCAGTGATGCTCTTCGGAGCCCCTCCAAACCCCAACCCACCGTCCCATTCTGACGTGGCTGGCCGGGAACAACGGGCGGGGATTCCTCGAAATTTGTCGCATGGAGATGGAGAACCTGCGGTGCTTACAGGCAAGAGGCAAGCCAGCTGGCCGTTTATCGCTGGTTGGTTGGCGTTGGGCTCTCAGGCCTCGAATGCTAAGATGGGCGGCCCCTCCGCCCAGCCCTTGGCACCGTATAAGAAGCTCTTGGCAAGCGGCATCTTGGGTCGGGCGTAGGTGGCGCGGATGGCCGGGGGCGGAAGGCGCGAGTGAGAGGGTGCGAATGTGCGAAGGAGCGAACGAGACGCCGCTGCTGACAGGCTAGCACGCCCAAGGAAGGAACGGATGTGGGTTTTGCGGTTTGGCTTCTTGCATGGTTTCCCCTTCCTTTTGCTGAGTGCTTTTGGCCCGCTTCCTCGATCCTACACACTTCTCCATCCCGTCTCCTCCTCAGTTCGCCAGTTCGCCAGTCTTCCGCTCTCATTCTGCATTGTGCAGCATTATCCCCTCGCAGACGCAGATTCCTTCACCCCATGGCCTGCCAACTCGATTGATTTCGCGGGGATGAGGCTGCCGCTCAACTCTTCGTTTCTACACCCGTGTCGCTTTCGCCGTCACTCTCGCTGTGCTCCCCGGTGCTGCTGACCTCCGCCGCCCCGGCGAGTCGCGTGCTGGTGCTACGCTACGCTAAAACGATCCAACTTGCTGCACCCACTCGACGTTCCGCCCACCAGTACTGTGCTGGTATTGGGCTGCACCTCGTGCTGAACGGACACTTTCTGCACCGACTTTCCATCGCGGTCACTGTCGATCCCGACACATTGCCCGCAATCCATCACCTACCCCGAGGTCCGTCGGATCGGCCGGAACATCCGATTCTCTCCACTTGGACATCTGGTGCGGGTTTTGATTCTTCCTTGTCGACCATCACCAACACCTGTGAGCTTAAGACAGGATAACTTATCTCGCACCGGTCGTTCGCTTTCTCGAATTATCCCGGGTTATCCCATTGGTTGTTGGTACTGCTTAACCTCATAATTAAGCATAATGGACACCACGACCAGATGGCTCCTCGTACCCCGCGGCGATCACTCATCATCGCCCGAGGGTGATGGGCAGTCGTCCTCATCAACAGCCACTGAGGATCTCTATGGGAATACGGATACCCTTGCCGGTGATCTGTTCCAAGACAAGTTTATGACGCTTGCTCGCGGTGGTTCAAATGGCGAAAAGATTATGCGTGGCTTTCTCATCGGAGTAGCTGTGGGGCTCATCGTCGCCTGCTTTGTTTGCTGCTGGTATCCTTGTTGCCGGCCAGATCGCCGACGACGGCGAGGACCACGACGACCGCCAGTATCAGAGGAAGAGCAAGAGTCAGCGAGTAGCACGACGCCGCCGGATGACCCAGCTACTGCACCGGCCACTACACCTGCTGATGCGCCAACTTCCACACCTGCACCAGCTTCTACGCCTGCCGTTGCGCCAGTTGCCACACCTGCTGCTGTGCCAGCCTCTATACCAGCTCCCACACCAGCTCCCGTACCGCCTTCCTAGGCTTACCGATAAAAGGCTTTCTTTGACGGTGACGAGACGAAAGAAGGGGCCAGCCATGTTAACGAAAAGAACAGGCAAGGGTACGACGAATGCTCGTTGGAAATTACTACAAGACGATACGACATGAGATTAGGCAGCTGGATGCTTGTGACGACACAATGCTTCATGATGTATTTTTGTCTCAAGGAGGCATTGAGATCACATGGACCGATGGCCTTGAACTCTACTCCAAGCCGGCAGGGTGGGCGATGGACCGGATGGACGCCCGATATCCTTGAAAGAGGCGAGAAGCGACCTGTTCAACTCGATGACGGATCCGAGTGTGGAACAAGGGCGCGCGGGATTCTGGTTCGCATATTTGGAAGAAGACGATTGTTATGACACACAATATTCGGTCGGGCAATTCATTATACGACATGTGCTCAATGTCGCGGTTTGGGGAATTATGGCAAGCATGACGAATAGAGGACAGAGGATATGCGACCTAGGCTACAGAGTTGTGGCAGGGGTAGGGTGGGCTTGGATAGTGTTTCCTGGGATATGTCTAAGCGAGAGTCATGGTTTGATGAAACGGCGTTCTGGAATTGCTTGGAGGTTTATGCCTCGCCACGAAAAGCCCTGAGAGGAGCTAACCTGGGGTTGGTGCCTCGTACACATGCATAGCTGGACATGTAAGAAATAGAGATGCAAACAACTGCAACCGAAACATAGCGTGGAGCGAGGAGACGATACGAGAGATAGAAAGGGAGGAGATTGATATATCTCGCCTCGTCAGACAAAAAATGAATTTAGAGGCACAGCCCTAGACTTGGCTTGTATTGGCCCGACTGGAACCCCAAGACCCATGCTCTGCTGAAGTTTTTGAACTGAAATGGAGATTGCCAAGTGAAACATGGTTGAATGAATAAGCATACCCGCTCGATACGGAACTCAATCGACTTGGAACATCCATGGCTGACGCGGACCACGAGGCTCGGGGCACGAATGCGAGTGCGATTGGACGCGTGTTGCGCCGACGTTGACATCTTGGCGAGAAAGGCCCAGTGCGACTGGTCGGGTCGCCATCAATCAAGCGCGATGTCAACGGAAATAGAACCGTAATGGACGGGGAATTCGACATAGCCTCCTCCATGCCGGGCCGGGTGTGGCGCAGACGACGCACGTTTCATGGTTCATGACGTTTGCATGCGAACCGCCATAGGATTAGTGCTAAGGCATCGTGCCGTGACCCGGTATAAACAGCGTGCAAGTACCGCAGAGAAGTCGCTGGCAAGAAAGGAATCATTGCGAGGACATTGATTGCAGAGCCAAACCCCCTTTGTCGCATCTCTTGCCTATTTTCCCTTTATTTTTCTTCTCTTTTGCTCGTTGAGGCGCCTGCCACATTCCGTCGTGTGATCGAGCGCCAAGCCTCCTCTGCAGGTGCGCGTCCCAGCGGTTCAGCCCCGAGTTCCGCCTCGTCCCGCCCCCGCCCCCGCCACCAGGCTCCAAGCTGCCTCTTCTTTCTTCCTTCTTCTCAACCTCAGCTCCATATTGATAACAAGGAAATCGCTCGCTTCTTTTGCCTTCAGCTCCTGTATTTTTTTTTTATCCTCGCCTTCTCTTGCACGATCCGGGACGCACGCGAGCCGATACCAAACGTTACTTTGTGCCACCCGCCCGCCGCGAACTGAACACACACACTCCCACAGAGCTCCCCGCCAAGGGTCACATCGTCTGCGCCATGCTCGACGAAAGCCTCCCGACGTACCGCTTCAAAGTGTCGTCGGAAAACCCGCTCAATACCATCCTCTACTTCACGCACAACGGCTCCGACCCTTCCGCCGAATACCTCGTCAAGCGCCCCGCGCCATCGTCGGCCCCGAACCAGTACGCGCTCGGCCTGCTCGACCCGCAGAACGCCGCCGTCATCTACGCCGAGGTGCTGCTCAAGCCCGAATGGACCCAGCCCACCCTCTCCGCCGCCGAAGTCCGCGCCGGCAACGGGCCCGCGTCGCAGTCGCCCGTCACCCCGGACACGTTCGCCCTCTCGCTCTACAACCCGGACCAGACCGTCCCTGTGAAGCTGCATACCGGCAGCTGGGGCAAGTCGGACTCGTGGGAGTTTGAGATTCCCGAGCGCACCTTCAAACTGCCCAGCGTGAGCCGCATCGACCAGGATGCCGACCGCCCCCCAGTCTCCGAGCTCGTCCCCAAGCTCGTCTTCCGCTGGAAGCGCGATGGCCGCAAGGACATGACGTGCTACATGACGGGCAAGACTGTGGCGGGCAAGAATAGCAAGGAGCCCGATATCACAGTGGCGTTCTTCCGGGGAAAGAACGACTCCATCTTGACCATCTACGAACCCAATATGGCCCGCGTCGAGGTCGAGGATCGCAAAGGCCTCGAGATGGCTCTCCTCCTGAGTGCCGAGGTCATTCGGGACCTATGGGTGAACCCACGCAACAACCCTTTCAACATATCCAGCTCCGCACCAGCGTCAAGCGGTCGCAGACGCAACACATCACCGAGGGTTACCACTCCCCCCGGAGCAACAATGTCTGGTGCGCTAGGAAACCAGCGTCCCTCGTCGCCTCCTCAAACACAAGTCTCTCCAATCCAGATGTCTCCCGACGAGACCGCCCGCCGGCAGGCCGAGATTGAAGCAGAGACACAAAGACTCAAGGCCATGGTGGCCGAAGAAGAGCGCCAGGCTCGTGAGCGTGAGAGGGTCCAGAAGGAAGAGCGGAAGCGCGCCCAGAAGATTCAGGAGAGGGAAGAGAAGGAGCGCCGCAAGCGCGAGGCTGAGATTGACAAGGAGACGGAACGACTCCGCCGCGAGTTCGGTATGGAAGGTCAGGAGTACACGAGCCCGACCAGTCCGACCATCCCTGAGCCACGATTGCCTCCACGCCCCCAACCCCAACTCGGCGTCCCAAACCCAGGGCTTCCTCCGCGTCCAGTAAGCGTCGGGCCGATGCAGATGTCCTCGTCGCAACCATACTTCGCACCGCCCCCACAGCAGTTGCAAGCACCTCCCAGCGGGAACAATGGCGGGGGGAAGAAACGGCATGGCCTGGGAGGCCTGTTCCAGAGCGGAGGGCCCTATGGGGGACCGGCGGCAGCAACCGTGAGCGGATTCTTTGGCGGCCGGACAGAGGAGGACAAGCGGAAGAAGGTGCAGAAGAAACGGAGCGTGCATTTCTAAGCATGTTGATGGAACTGTTTAGATTGATTTTGGGACTTGACATGTTTACGTGGGTGGGGGATATACCATGGGCCATGGAAGGAAGGCCTGGGAACATATTGGGCTACTATACGGACACGGGAATACTGATGAAATGATGACGGTATCACAATATATTGCTTTTATTTTCTTACATGATGGTGTCTTTTGCCTCCTTTACCTCCTTTGCCTGGGTTCATTGCAAAATGACGGATTCGCCCGGCTAGTTGAATGCTGAAAACAGCGCCTGTTTGACCTGCAGTTCCGTACCTCACGCATAGCTTGAAAACTGGCCTCGATTTACGTGCAGAACTTGACGCAGTAACCGCACCGAGAAGGCGACGCGACCAACTCTGAGCACCCACAGTCGCAAGAGCAACAGCACAACTGTTTGTCGGTGACTTCCATGGGACTGTTGCCGGTGTCGCGGTGATTCTTGAGAGGCTTCGAAGCGGAGGATGAAGGCTTCATGGTTGAGTTGGCGTGTGTGCACATGGTGATGTTGTAGTAGGGTGCTTTTTGCTGAGCAGAAGTGGTGCAGAAGTGGTACAGAAGTGGAATGCTTGATGCTGTTGGGTTGCGATAACTCGTTGTGTTGTGTTGCCTCCATGGTCGGAAAAGGTTCAATTTATATGTTGGCAAACGAGTGAATCACTAGATGTGTTCTCGGGGTTTTGTCCTTCTGCTCCGTTTTCGAGTGTGGTTGTTTGCCAGAAAGCCCCCTTGTTAGATGAGAACAAGGTATATTGTCAAACACGCATCGTGAATAAAAGACTGCCTGCTAGACACGGCCGTTGTTGTTGGGCCTCATTCCCGCGTGTCTTTGATCGCGCTCATTGCCAATCGCCGGGCTGTTTCGGCCTTTGTACCGGAGAGTGTTGTGTTTCGGGGCTCTGGCGAGCGTCCTTTGTCGATGTCGGGCCAGCTGCGCAGCTCGATGATGGTTGTTCCGCATGAGCGGCGTCTGGGAGGACGGATGTATGCGAGGTCGCCGGAGAACATGGTGTAGAGTGTAGAAGGAGACGGGACAAAGTGCAATGCGAGGAGAGAAATGTTTATGTGGTTCAGTGTTGGGTCGAGATTGTGGTATAGCTGGCTTGTCGTATTGTCAACCCGTTGGGGGATGGTGGCGTCGATGTGAATAGTGCAAGGGGTCCGATGACACAGCTTTGACACGACGAGGGGTTCGGACGATGCTGCACATGGTGGTTTTTACACTGGGGGATCGCTGTACAAGCGACTATATAGTTGTCATGCTGTGCGAGCAGGTAGGGTTGTGTATTTGCTTTCGCCTGCCTGCGGTTCGCAACTATCGCCGTGGCTTTTGACGCCGCTGTGACGTAAGGCGATGCTGCCCCTCACGGCAATGAACAGAAGCAAGTTAAGTCACCTGATTGCATGAACTCGGAATGCACGTGCATGGAGGCGTATGCAGTGGAAGCAGAGATGTGATCGACTTCATGCCGTTGTTCTCGCGTTCATGCGTAATGGCGATTGGCATGCGACGGGCTGGAGGTGTCACGTCGGCAGCAACCGAGTTATCCAAGCTGCGTGGACGTCGAAATTCCCGGCGTGCGACGCGGATATTAATTGAATATCTGCGTGCGTCCTGGATCTCGACGGTCACCCATCGCCGCGGGCTGTGTTCCCCCGTCATGCTCTGTTGAATGCCGCCGGATCCCATGATGCCAGAGGGACGAGTGGATGGGACTTTTGGCTGTGCGATGGGATGCGAGACGCTGCGGCCCCTGTCGATCAACGGCTTCTTCGGGCGACTGGTATGACAATGGCCGACTACATCGAGCAACTCGTCCAGCGGGTGATGGACGTTGGGAGAGAAAGGATCGGCACATGGGAAGGATCGCCAGTGGCCGTGTTTCGTCTTGGGCTGTTCTCCAGCGGTTGAACCACTTCGAATCCTTCCCAATCCCAGTCCCCCTGATCCTTTATATACACGATCCTTCAGCTCCCATCAGCCAACATCCACCCTGGCGCGTCCTATTCCTCCCGCCGGCCAGGATCCTGAAGCAAGCCACCCTGGCAGCCCTGTCGCACCTTGTCACCACGCTTCCTTGTGCTGCATGATACGGACGCGCGAGAGTGTTGACAAGCCGTCGCACGGGCTGTGCGCCCATCGGCCGAGCGTTGCGAACGGGCTCGCCTGAGACGACACCACTGTGCACCGCTCTGGCTAATATCCCCCGGCATTTACGCTTGAATGGAAGAAACGCCGGAAACAAAAATAAGGTCTTGTCCCCTGGTAATACCTCGATATTCCTGGTTATATATAGGTAGAGCCTCCCAGCCGGATTGCCGCGAGGGTCCCGGGGCTAGGGGGTTTGATGTCTTGCTTGATCTCTCTTGTATTGTTGTCTGCGTTGGAGAAACCATCACAGGACAATCCATCTAGGCCATCCTCACAATGCGGTTCTCAACTTTCTCAACGGCCGTGCTTAGCTTCGCCTCCGTGGCTCACGGCCTGCCGGGACTGCTTCCCAATAGCAAGCACTTCCGGATCAAGACGCCCGCAGGCACCGAAATGAGCGCCTTTGAGAACCAAGCCACGACGGTGACACTCGACTATGTGACCAACTCGGGTGTGTGCGAGACGACGCCCGGTGTTAACCAGTATTCGGGATACATCTCCATCGGTGAGCACTCAACATGTCTCTGACGGTTCGAGACTCTGCTAACACGAACAAGGTAAAAACATGAGCATGTGGTTTTGGTTCTTCGAGGCTCGCAACGACCCGGAAAACGCGCCCATGGCACTTTGGCTTAACGGCGGCCCTGGCTGCTCGTCCATGGTCGGCCTCTTCCAGGAGAACGGCCCATGCCACTTCGTCAACAATGAGACGGAGCCCCGGCTCAACCCTCACTCGTGGAACGAGTACGCCAACATGCTCTACGTTGACCAGCCCATTGGCGCTGGCTTCAGCTTTGGCGAGTACAATGCCAACTCGACCGTCCAGGCCGCTCCCTACGTGTGGCTCTTCCTGCAGGCCTTCTTCGAAAACTTCCAGCAATACAGCTCGCGCGACTTTGGCCTCTTCACCGAGTCGTACGGCGGCCACTACGGGCCCGAGTTCGCCCGGTACTTCCTCCAGCAGAATGACGCCATCGCCAACGGCCGCGGCATCGGCGAGGAGATCAACATGGTGGCCCTGGGCATCAACAACGGTTGGATCGACCCCAAGCGCCAGTTCAAGTCGTACGCCACCTACGCCAATAACAACCCGTACAAGCAGATCCTGGACGACGACACCATCGGCCGCTTCATCGACGCCTACGACAAGTACTGCGTGCCAGCCATGGCTAACTGCACCGAGATGGAGGGCCAGGAGGAGGCGTGCTCGAGCGCCGATTACATATGCAACCAGCAGATGTACTTTAACCTGCGCATCGCCAGCAAGGTCGACTTCAACGTGTACGATGTGCGCGTTGGCGAGGATTCCGAGGATCCGCCTGAGACGTATACCGACTATATTACTCGTGCCGACATTATGAGGCGCATTGGTGCGCGCACGCGCTTCGCCGAGTGCGATGAGACGGTGTATTCCGCCTTTGGTAATTCAGGGGATGGTGAGTTATTTACCTACATATTTCTTGCAGCGTTCTTCCATACACAATATAAGCGGAAAGGGGCGAGAACCATGTGCTGACAGGAAATGCGTTCAGATGCTCGCTCGTTCGCGCCGTCTTTGGTCGACGTGATACAACACAACATCAGCACCCTGATCTGGGCCGGCGACGCTGGTAAGTAACAAACACTACTGTCTCATCACCCGAAAGACAAAGACACAGACTGATACAAAACCCAGACTGGATCTGCAACTGGGAGGGTAACCTGTGGGCGGCAGACGCCCTCGAGTGGTCCGGCCGCAAAGACTTCGCCGCCAAGTCGCTCCAGAACTACACTGTCAACGGCAAGGTGCACGGCCAGTACAAGGCCGTAGACAACCTCTCCTTCCTCCGAGTGTTCGAGGCCGGCCACGAGCTGCCGTACTATCGTGAGCGACTACATAACCCTGCAGATGCCCAGAGCTAACGGGTGTGCGTGTTAGAACCAGAGACGGCACTTCAGGTGTTTAAGCAGATGATGCAGAAGAAGCCTTTGAAGTCGACATGAATGAGTAATGACGGAGAGGGACTGTATGAACATTTGGGAGCATAATCGGTTGGGTATCAGGCGTTTGGGTGGGTGGATGGGTTTATTAATCAGATGGGAGGGAGGGAGAAGGTCAAGTAGGCTACCATCTCCTATGGCAGCTTGGATTCTTCGCACCCACCTTCCTGGGCGCGAGTTGTAGAGAATTTTGTGGCTGTTGCCCGAAGAATCGTATTGCATGTCGGAAGGACTTTTATGCCGTTTGATTGTACCTGAGTGGTCAGCTAAACAGGCAGCAGCCGCCTGCGCACATCGATCTAACTACGCAACTGTATGCATGTGTGTGTGTATATGTATGTATTATACGTACGTACATATACGTAAGAAAGAATGGCAAAACTTGACAGAAACAGACCGAGTACTCCCTGTCGGAAAGAGAGAGAACCAGTCTGCCGCCGCTACAGAGAGAGGCAAAAGAAACAAAGACCAAGCAAAAAGTGATGCCCCCGGCCAGGATCGAACTGGCGACCTTGGCATATCCTCAGGAGGTTCTGAAAACATAAGTACCAAGCGGTAACCACTCCGCCACGGGGGCCTTAGATAAGTCCCCAAACCAATGTTACTCGGAGTGGGGACTTGCTTTAGCGTCAGACTTGAATGTAAGTATTATTAAGGACCATTGCCGCCCAAGTTTGGCAAGGCGAGTCGGCAAAGACGTTATCTTGGACCCTATGGCATCCCAGCAAGGGCCGCAGCATACCTGGAAGGGGATATAGCCAATGGGGAATGCTTGAGGGGTCGAGGAATGGCTCCGAAAACTCCGGCGCAAAAATGATTCTGTTTGAGGAAGAAGTACCGGAGTGCCCTTTGGGGAAGAAGCAGAAAACTCCGACTTACAGATGCAGAAAAACTCCGGTCAGCTCCCAGTGCCGTATTTAAGACTCCAGAAGCCGTCGCTGGAAGACTGGCCATCTTCACATTCGATTTCATTGTTCATTGGAATAAATGTTCTGATCGCGACCAACACTGCAGAGAAATTCTACTTGGACTTGGAGGAATTTTATTCCCGCCCCACTCCGTTTTGCTCCACCCACATCGGCTCTCCTGTGTAACAACCGCCTGGTTCCGACACAATGGGTCCTACCAAGTACACTGCGCGTTCAGTCCTTGAAACCTTCTACGACGAAGAGCGAAGGTACATGTCGGCGCCACCGGAAGAGCGGGATTTCAGCGGCATCGCCGCTCTCCTGGCGCCCAACTTCTCCCTGGAACAGACGTCAGCGCTACCCTATGCCGGCGTCTTTACAGGGGCCGAGGGAATGCAGGATTGGATCCGTCGCATGGCCGATTACTTCGACGTTGTGGATGTCAAGAGCCCAGAGATATTCGAGCAGCAAGGGTCAGGCCGCATCGTAGTGCTTTCGAACGTGCACTTTAGAGTCAGAAAGACGGGCGAGGATCTGGTCTTCCCCTTCTGCCAAGCCGTTACTGTTGATCTGGAGAATGGCACCATGGTTCATATGCGACCGTTTTATTGGGACGTGCAGGAAGTGAACCGGGCACTTGGATATAAGCCTTGATTACAGTCAGGGCAGGGAGGTGGAAGGCAAGAGAGGAGAGTGGTTTCGCGGGGAGATGGGGTGGATTGTTTGGGTGGCGCAAGTCGACATCCGCCAGCTAGCAGCTATTCTAGCATGGTTTGGCTGGGTGGTCGGTCACCGGGCCTTGTATGAACGGCCAGCTTCATTCCCGTTCCTTTGTCGTCGGCTCCTCTTGGCTTGGACCTGCGCGATTAAGAGTCATGCAACTTCCTGAACACATCGTGTTAGAGGACATTGCTTCCTTTCCCTGGTAGTGTAGTTTGCCGTCTATTCATTAGCCAGTGATGATCTCATTGGTGCTTGCTTAATTTCCGATGCATACCAATGAAGCTTTTAGGACCGTATTGACCTACGGCTGAGGTTCTGTAAAAAGAAAGTACGCTTCTTTAGAATGATGAAAGGCAAATTGTCCACTTTGCCGGCATAAAGGGACTACGAGAAAGACATTGATAAAGTCCATATATTTTATTTCAGCTGGTTAATAACATCGTGTAGATATTAAATAGGATCAAATGTGCTACTCAAGGTATAGAAAAGGCCTAGCGATAATATATTAACTATATTACGCAAGCACAGTTTGAAAGACAGCTCCAACACTTAAGATTTAATCCAGATTACCTATTTTAGCTAAATTTCTCTCCTAAGATAAGATACAACCAGACAGATTTAAAAACAAAAGAAAATATATCTAGCAATACTATTTTAATCCTATTATTAATGGTCTTTTTTACTGTTAAACTTCTAGTCCCCCCTCTGTGTATATATGTACTAGGGCATTATAACCTCTTGATATCTAGCAATACTAAAGAGTCTTGATATTATAGATTATTAGAAATCTAAGCTATTCGCTATTTTTATTTCTAAACACTATAATAAATTAAATAACGTATATTAGGTACATGATTTATTTTAGAAGAGTGACACAAATTCCGAGAGTTAGTGTCAAACTCTTGAGCGAATGTACGGGACCCCAAGCTACTGGTTAAACCATCTGGAAGTCTCCCCGCCCATCTGAACTATCCCGTGCTGAAATCAGCACAAGTGTAAGATGAAGGAATATTTGATTCTAAGAACTTATGCATCAACCTGTTGAAACGATCCGGAATGGATACCGATAACTCTTTCTGGATGAACACTTTCTATCGCTGGATGGAACTTTGGACCGAGGATGAAAGTGGCAACGGGACCCGGTTTTCACTAATTCATCATCTAAAAAATTACATTCTAGGCTTGCACTTATGTTGATCTTATTCATTCAAATCTCACAAGCAAGGTTGTTCTTATCGGAGGTAAAGACAACTGATCGCTATTCGCGAACCGCTCGACTGCTCGCCTTGAGGAGGTAGAACTTTGTGACAAAAGGACGAGTAGATAAGCGATCTTTAAAGAATACATTAAATAATAACATAAACCATAAAATACACCCTATAATACATCCCGAAATGAAATAATATCATGAAAAAAATAGACCCAAAATATATCCAAGAATGCTTGCTTCTTTAAAACGGAGGAACCCCTCTTTGAGCCGATTGGTAATCTTGTGGCAATCTCATTTGGCATGGCAATGCAAAGCACCAGTGAACTTAAACCCGGCTATTGTATCAAGACTTGAACATGGAAATGAGATGGTGATTCAATTGGCTTCTCTGGTTATGAAGGAGGAAAAGCCAACTACACAAGGAATGAAATAAGTCAGACACCTCCACCAGCTGGTGGTGGCACCTGTGTGGGAAGGAGAGGAAGAAACCCAGCCCAACTCGTCGAAGACATACCGAAATGGAGCTCATTTGGGGAAGTACAAGCTTGACACAACTTATCCGTCTTTTTCGTAATCAAGTAAATACCAGAGAATTAGGGAAGTACTAGACAAGTTCAATGATTGTAACTGCGACGTGATGGACTACTAGAGCCAAATGGAGAATTAGTCCTGCTGCAGAGCCCGCAAATTCCATTCCACCCTTTGTAATTTTAATTGGTAGATAACGGCGATGGAAGCGGTCGGATGCCCTTAGCTCACCTCAGGCAAGATTGGGTTGCCCAGCAGGTATCAAAGGAGGCCCGATGGGTATAATATCTGCCTATTCTACAAAAGATCTAGAAGAAGAAAAAAAGCATGCTGTCCACAGCATATTTCCACGGTTATGCGAGATCCTACACTGGTAGGGCCACGATGTCAAGGTGTTTGTTTTTGCAGGGGCACTGGCCTGATTGCCACTGAACATAAAGTTCCCTAACGCCCCCCCAGCAACCTCCTATCGTCTGAGAGTGTATTGCAACTAAGGGACTAGTACTCCTCTATTCCTTACTAAGTGATATGAAAGTAGTCTAAAGAAATAATAACTATAAGCATAGCACAATTTTCTAACCCGACATTTTTCTTGACGTTAACGAGGACATTCTCCCGGGTATTACTGGTAATATCTTCAAACCCAAAGGACATAGGCTTAGTTTAGTAGGATAGAGCATTAACCGCTCGGAGAGATTCCATATCAGGGTCCACTTGAGCTTTCAGGTTGGTCTTGTCGTTCTGCGTAGTGTATCTTCAGATTCAATTCATTCGTTTATTCATAATAGAGATTAACTCCCACTGCACAACGAGTGATATTGGGCGGGGTACCTAGCCAAACCCCTCTGCCAAATTGCAGTAATCAAGAAATGTTTTAACCCACTTGTTTGTCCACATCCACTCCGTATCTTTGCTTGCTGGAGCGATCGCCGCCATATTCTACCCACCATGTAAGGGCATAAACATAACGCTCAAATATGCCCATTATCTTCAACTCTTTGTCGTTCCTCCACTCCGCACAAGGGGGAATGAGCTGCGAAGAGGCCATCTCCCCTCCCGCCAGTAGGGTGGCGGTTCCTGCGATGGAGCACGGGTTGTGTGGCAACACCTCCCGGATCCGGATGAGCAGCGTCATCCCGATTGCGCACGCAACCATTGTTGCCAGCATAATCTGGAGTGCAATCTTGGAGGGACGGTTCTGCTTCAGACGGCGGTATCCAGAGGACGACAAGGTACCCGTGTAGGAACGAAGCCTGGAGTCGTCCTTCGTGTTGTTGCTGCGCATGTTCAGAGAAATAGCTTGCGCCATGTACGCCTTGTATAGCTGATTTGATGCCGTTTTAAGGTTGCCAATGTTGGCAGAACCCTCTAGGTTCTTGACCGGCAGCCCGTTTTTTCCATACACAAGACCCCTGATAAAACTGTCCACGTTATTGTTGAGATGCGAGCTGTTGTCTGGGGCAGAAAACGTCCGGTTGTAGACAGAGTCGCTGAGACCCATTAACCACGCATTGACGGCAAACTCAAACCTCTCGCTTCCGTCGGAGGTCTTTAACGAAGTGGCTGTAGACTCGTCCGTCTTTGGTGACGGGGAGTCCACCAGATCAAAGCTCGGGAGGCTCCACGTGAGGTTTGCCTTGACTTCTTCAACGTTCTGGTAGCAGAGGAGCGTCCCAAAGTCATGTTCGAACCCCCATTCCGTCTCGTTCCCGACTTGGGTCCTGTCAGTTGCTCGTGCTGTCCCAAAGGTGACGGAAAATGTCGGACACCCATAACCGCCCGTCTTCAAACCATTGACGCCGATTCCGGTACCAGTGGTAGGATCTGTATCGACTGCACCGTCGGCCATGATGCCCTCAGTGAACCATTGAACCACAGAAGCCTTGCCAACATATGCCGGTGCCAAGTCATACGGGAGCCAGAAATACTGCATCCACGACATTTTTGTGGCATTTTTAGGCGCGGTTTCGCACCATTCGGACATATCCAGCGTAGTATTGAATCCGGCAAGAATGTAGCCGGGGGTTGGTGTGAAGAATATACTTCCACCAGGCACGCTGGCAATAGAATTTCCCTCCTGATCACCATAGATGATTGAAACCTGACGGGACTCGCTTGGGATTGATGTGCAATTTAAGCTCGCCCGTGTTGCTGGAACCTCGATGAATAGGGGGGCCTCGGCGCTCGTGTTGCTCAGTGCTGCATCTGGGGCTTCGAAGTGATTGAAGGCAAGCCCTCCATAGGTCCACTGCGGGTAATCCAAGTCGAGGTACTCAACTAGACTGTCAATTGCGCCGGCTTGGTTGTCGTCGAGGGACAGATCGACATTGTTGAGGTTAAATGTGTCAGTCTGATGAATAGTGAGATCCTCGACGCGAGGAACATCGGCAACGCTATAGAGACCCGAAACGACAATCGTGAGGAAGCCTCCTACGAAGTTGGCAACCAAAGCAACGAGGACCGCGAAATGGCGAGTCTTCAATGACACGAATGCAGCATGCGGCAAGAGTTTCCCTACCAGGTTCAAGTGAATAGATCTATCGGCAGTCGCCTTTCCACGCCTGAGGGCATCCCAAGGCGCAAACACGGCTGCCATCAGCTCGAGTGCAGAGTACATGCTAGCCACCCCTAGGACAACGGCTGCTGGAATGTAAGTAGCAAACATTGTTGCATCGGATGGCCCAATCTTGATGAACCCGGAGTGTTTGTCAGAGAAGTGTTGGACAATCTCCAAGGCTGCAATTAGCAGTAATGGCAGGCCAATAGCCAAGGCGAGGAACCAAGGGTAGCCAGACATCGGACGCCACCAGGAAATGGCCTGTTCTGACTGGTCCTGGAGCTCGAGCGATGTTTCTTTGCCCTTCGGGGTCGGTTCTACCATGAGCGTCGGCTGCGGGCCTGGGATGATGACGCTCCGAAAGCTGAAGGCTTCCAGGCGTTTCCGGATCTGGCTGCGACGTGATGCGCCCATGTGCATCAACGTTTGCTGCAATGGGGGACTGGCCGCAAGTATCGTTGCTGTGGCGGCAATAGACCCTGGCTCTCGAGGAATGGCAGAATGAGGACGAACAAAGATCATCCCGATCGCTAGCAGGGTGAGAATTGCTAGGAAGGAACACATGAACGCCGTCGAAAGAGACTTGACATGCAGCCGGTCTTCGGTGTACGTGACCTGACCAGCCACTTGTTGGTCGGCCGGCTTGAGAGCGAGCTGCCGTAGGGCCTGGGTGGCGATGCCCTTGAAGACGTTTCTTCCTGTCTCGATGAGCAATTGGGGGTCAAGGAAAGCCCCAATCGACGAGTTTCCGTTCAGCATACTCATGAGCTGGAAGAAGGTCGGGACCTGCACGGATAGGACATAATCATCGCCTCCCGTCCCGAGATAGAACAAGTTGGTTGATCTGTAAACGCCCAAAGCAATGGAGCTGCTCGGGAGACCATCAATGAGTTTTTCGGCTGGCGAAGCTGCGGACGACAGGACGGCCCGGGAAGAGCTACTGAGGACAGTCGAGCTTTGGACTACAAAGGGTTGGACGTTGTACGAAGGCTTGCAGAGAGCAACTTGCAACTCGTTGACGTATATGTACCTAGGGGCGGTTCCCTGGGATCTGGTTGCGAATCGTAGATCTGCCATCGACAATACCACTCGTTGGTCTGCACTGGCGTTGTACACCATGCGGTACTCCTTGCTATCCGCGCTCTCGATGTACTGCCTGGAAAAGTCGAAGTCAATGTTACAAGGGTACACCCTGAACCGACCTTGGTAATTCTGGGTAGCGTTTTCATTATGGTAGTAATTATGGTCAGGGCCTGCCCCCACCGTAATGCCGGTGATGTTACAGTCGGAGGTGGTGACGTTGGCGACGAAGAAGGAGCCGAGGACACTGAGCCAGGGCATACTTGTTTGCGTTCCATTGGTAATGGGCAGAATCTCGCAGTCGAGGTCAACCTTCATGCCCTCTGTCGTCACCGTGTAGTTGAGGTCGCTGGCGCTGTGGTCCGGGACTTGGAACACGGGCAATAACGTATCCTCGGACGTTCCAGAAGGGTAGTCCAGTCCCTGAAAGTGAATACCGTAGTATAGCTGGGAGGCCGCAGGCCCAACCTTGAGTCCCTGGTCATTTTCTGGGTCGTCGATCTGGAAGGCTCCCTTGATGCTGAAGTCGCTGCTCTGTCTGGTGACTTGAGTGGACTCTAGGATCAGCAAACCCGTGGAGAAGATGGTCTTGGTTCTGTTAGCAGTGGTCCTTAAGTCTGAGGAGTGCTGAACGTACTGTACCCAGTATCAACAAGTGGCCTACAGTTGACATTACCACAGCCCAGTGTCGATTCTTTATAGAAGCCCAGAGAGCTGTTGGCAGAATTGGAGAGATGTAGTCCAGGAGCAAAGTCTTGGAGACCGGGGCCGGGCCTTGCTGGAGTTCTTTCCAGGGCATGAGTATCTTGTTCTGATGGTCAACCTGCTTCCAGAGGGCGCTAACCACAACAAGCACTGTAGTTGTTAGTACACGATTGGCCGTAACTCGCCGTCATGAGACAGCACTCACATGCGGTTGGGCCGTATTTCCATCCATAATGATTGGTCTCCTTTTGGGCACTGATGCCGTCATGCACGACCGAGAAATGATACAACAGGCCCGTGGCCAGCATCATAGCTGCAAACCAAGCGGCGAAAATGAGGAGGACGGATTTCGTCAACCAAATCGGGGTCGACATGTGCTCCTTTGCCCCCTCTGGCCATCCCGGCTGAGGCTGCGGCTGCGGCTTCGGATATGAATCATGGTATTGCGAATCATCAACTAAAACATTGGTATCGTTGGACCCCCGGTACTGTTGGGATGGGGATGTTTCGGGCATGGGTACATGGCGATCGTATTCATCACTTGCCCGCAGCGGGGATACGGGGTGTGGAACAAAGTTCTCGTTCTCTTGGGTGTCTAGGATGAGGCCGTATCCGCGGCCTCCATTCCCCGAGCCCGGGCTCCTGATAGTGGGTCTAACGTGCGGATGCTGATACTCGAGCTCGTGCTCTTCTTGCGCGGCTGTTGGCTGTGTCAGTTGTGGGTTGTTGGTCGCGTGTAGTGGGATTGGGGAAACCTGGCGCACCTCGGAGGTATTGCCCCGTTGGCGGGAATGGCGTCCGCATTGCCATCCCAAATTGATTACAATACGCAGAGATCGGGGCAATTAACGGCTTCCTTCGACTTCAGATGCCCGGAGGTTCGTGCGGCGACGCTCGCAGCCATTCGTTCACACAACAGTGAAGCTTACGGGAGCTGGGCACCAAAGCCATCTTAAGAAACCCAAGCGACCTACAAGCACGGATCGTGAACCCTGCCAAAGTCCTAGACCTCCGAGCGGACTAGGTGGATGGATTCCTGCCTGCGACAGTGAAGCAGGAAAATTGGTAAATCCGGAGCCGAAGGATGAGATGGCGCAGGGCAGACCAATCACGCCAAGCCGGATTGCCGGATGGAGCGTCTGGGCTGCATCGTAGCGGTTTTAAGTCAACACGCGAGACTGCGTGATTGGTGCGTATTGATAGAGGATGCAGGCGATGCTGGGGCGAGATCACCAAGGCTGGCATATTCAGCTCCCTCAGAGGGTCTAGACTGCGCCTCTCATCAGGATCTCAACGGCATTCAAGACAGTGAATCACCGGGACTGAGCCTCGCACCAGTGCATGATGCATGAGTGCGACATTGCCATGATGGATGGATGCGTGGCAGTGAATGCGGCGACTCAGGATCGGCTTACTCTCATTCTTTGTTACCGTCATCCTCGAATCCTTCGAGGACATCCCCTGGTTACAGCAGTTGGACAGGACACGGCAGCAGCAGTGCTTGCCAACAAGTGCATATTCACGGTGAAGTGTGATCAAGCTGCATTAGCACCACCTCCAACGACCTAAGCTCACGGGGAGATTGGGGGCTCATTAGACCCAAACCTGGACGCAGGGCGCCCAGGGCTAGGCACTCGGTGCCCCAACGGTGAGAAACCATAATAAAGCGTGGGCTGGAATGCTCTAGCCGGCAGACTTCGCGACTAAGGATCGTGAATGCGGAGGGAGGCACAACACGAGAGACATTCGGTCGCATGTGGAGGACGAACCCTTATTATGACGCAACGGAGTTTGACAGTGCCGGATCCGCCGAGGTCAATGTTGCTCGTCATCTCATTTCTCCATCTCTCATCTAGTTAGGCAGGTCGGTTCTGGCCACAGTCGATTTGTGGCAAATGATGCTGTCGATCTTGATTCTCGGTAGTGTTAGAGCCATCCCGCAGGAGCCATAGCATAGTCGATCGACGGGGACGGATCGTCAGGAGTACGGCGGAATGCCGGCCATTTTACCGGATTGGGTATATGGTTGGAGGAGTCGGTGAAGCAAAATCATGCAACCGATTGAAGCACATTGGAGTTGGTGTTGGAGTTGGTGATGGGATTGATGTTGGTGAATTGGCCATGTTGGCTGGAGTTGCATTTTCCCGTGGGTGGTGTTCATCCGCCAGAGACAGCGTCCCTTTTTTCACCCCACTTGGAGGCGCTTGGGTGCACTTGGATGGGATGGAGGCGCACCAGACTGCAGAAGTACACAGCGCAGCCAATAGCATCGCCCCAAACAATTCTCAGGGGACATCAAACAATGGTCCGTGTTTCGTTTTACTGTCACATCCGACGCAACGATTGGATCTGGCGCCTGAGCACGGTCTGTCTGAGCTCTGACCGTCTGACGTTGCTGGGCGCCATACGTACGTAGTCCGTATTCGGGGCCCCGAAACCGAAACGACGGTCCGAAACGACGATCCAAACAGTGTTTTTCAGGCCATGAGATCAGGCGAGGCCAGGCGAGGCGAGGCGAGGCGAGGCGAGGGTAGAGTGCCAAAGTCCCAACAAGGGAAATGCCGGCCCCTTGATCTGCCCATCTGCCCATCTACCCGTCTGCCCGTCTGCTCATCGTCTTCTCTCCAGAACGAGGGATCCATCCAGCCCCCCGTCGTCAATGAAAATCGGCCGGCGTCGGAAATGGCTGGGGGTCAAAACTGGGGCAGAACTGGAACAGCACTGGGGGCCATCGCTCGCCGATCACCACCTTCAGCCGCTGCGGTGCCCTGAGCCCGAGCTGATCTCAGCCCGTTGGGCGACATGCGATGGGGGCATGCTTCGTGTGACGTCAAGTGCCAAGTCACCCCCTGGCCGATCCGCGACTGTTTGCGGAGGCGCTGCGGAGGCTTGCGAAGGGGCCCGCGAGTCCGCGACTCCCAGCTAGCCACGACTCGATGCCTCCTGCCTCGCACCGTCAGCGGGCGAGTTTCAGATCGTTCCTGCCCGCCGGCCCATTTGGCTATATTTGCAGGCCCGGCCCTGTATGAGGCCCCGGATGCGGCCCTGACACTCATCGTGACACACTTTAATCCTTCTTTTTGCGTCTCTGCTCCCTTTGCGGCTTTGCCTTGTCACGTCACCAGGTGCCTTCAGCAGCCCCATATCTATCGCTCGTCCTGTCTCGGGATAGTTATCCTGTCATTCTTTTCTAGCCCGTTTCCGGTCCCTTGACCGTGTTTATCCCGTCCATCCCCCCTCTGTTTCCCGACTTTCCTGTCGTGCTTCCCTTCATCTCATCTTCACCTGCTCCGCGTCATCTGTCCCTCGGTCCCCTGCCCAACCCAACAGGCAAACACGATCCAACTTTCGCTTCGTCTTGTGGAACATTCCCAGCAAGGATAGCTGTGCTTCCTGCTACATACTTTAGGTCCCCTAGAGTCTACTTGTTCCTCATCAGCTGTCGTGCTTCTCTCTCTGCCTCGACACACACCAATTGTATACCAATCTGCCATTTCCATTCCAACGATACCACCGCCTTTTCCTGTTTCACATCGAATCACTCGGAATTTTCAAACCCGACCTGCCTTTTCATTCTCAACTTACCAATCTTGGTCCACCGTCTCGACCGCCACTCTGCGCACGCCGCATCAGAACACGACGAGTTAAAAATAAACGCCAAGGCTGCTTGCAAGGAATTGCAAGTCTCCTTCAAGTCACATCGATATTATCTAGCTACCATTACATTGCCGACGGCCTCGCATTGATCTCCGAGTCCGAAATCCGTGGCGCGGTGCCGTGGTTGTCTGCGACAAATTGCGTTTCGACTCCGGCTGTTACCAGTTAATAGTCAGAAGACCTCCATCCCAGTCAACAGCCCACCTGGTCCAGGCCAAGTGTATCATCTTCAATCGCTCTTCATTTTATTCCGGTTACATCTCTCAACCCAGGACTTTGGTATTTCGACACTAAGTGACGGGACTGTCATCAACAACACATCACATCTATTTGTATTCAACGAGGGCCACCTGGCGCATCATCAAAATGCTACAGCTATCATCGCAACGACTGCCTCGGCTGTCTCACCTCCTCCTCGCTGCCGGCTGTGCCTCAGCATCAACTCTCGTTCTGTCCAACTTTGAGGACATTTCATCAAAGGTTACTGTGTCAAGCAGCTGCCGCAGTGCCTACAACACCCCTCTCACTAACTGCGACTTTGACGATTTTGGCGACAACGCATGCTCTTCGAAGTGCAAATCGTCGCTTCTAGAAGCCCAAAGCAACATCCAGAGCGACTGCGCTGATGTTACCGTCAACTCGAGCTCCCTGCTATCTCGCGCGCTGAAGGGCGAGCTGGTCCAAGTGACCTGCAAGCATGTGGATAATGAAGATGCGCAGGAGTCCGCGACTACCACGCTCCAGACACGCACCAATTCCAATAAAAACCAGATGATGGAGACCTCGACGATTACGAGGAAGTCGTCATCAACGGCCGAAATTGGGACGGCGACCGCGACGGCTTCGGAAGCGAAGCAAACAACTTCACTTGTGCTCGCAGGCGATGAGCCATCAGCAAGTGTGGCATCGGGCGGAACAGAAACGGCATCCGCCGGCGCGACCGAAACATCAAAATCCAGCAGCCTGGGTGGCGATCCATTCGCGTCGAGCAACGACACTGGTTCGGGCTCGGGTCGAGTCGCTAGTTTGGGATATGCCTCGTTGGTGGTTTCCGCAGTTGCCTGTGTGATGGCAATAATTTGAAGAGATTGTAGAAAGGACAAAATGTTTGGATATACCAGGAGAGGGCTACAGCTACAGGGAGAAGGTCGTATTAATCTTCATGCATATTTCTATTGTTCACCAAAATCGTGTATTTGTCTCCTTTATCTTTCGCACCTAGACTGCAATGCCATTTGCTTGAGAAGGACTCGAACGTTTGGCCCGACAAACACGCAGGGGATATCGACCTAACTAATGCCATGTTCATATTGATGATTCCGTGAGGGCATACCGACATGTCAAATTTTGATACGGTATATTTGGTGGGAGGAGAGATGGTGGGAAAAGGTACAATGACCAAACTATGACGGAAGGCGTCAATATAAATAGCAGGAGTTATGGCGCAGATCAAGATGGCATTTACTAAGAAGTGATTTCCATCTATTTGTATGTCTTTATGGCTCACCGGTAGTTGTAGTGTGTGTGAAGTTGTGACTCGACCGCATACCGGTATTTGACTGTGAAAAGATGCGCCACCGTTGACACTAGACAACCTTCGATCTTGATAATATTTTGTCCGTAATCGGTGAGACATCGGTTGATGGAAGATGGCACTACGATTGATACAATATAAGACATTCGCACCACCCGGTGCAAGTTTGTTCTTGGCAAACTGCACAAGCCCTTGGCGCCAACTCTGCCAACAGTTGCCAATCCTGGGGGGTCTGGGCATCTTGGCCGCATACCAATACTGGGATATCAGATCTCCAAGAGATTTCCAAGAGATTTCCAAGAGATCTCCAAGACTTTTGACATTTTTACATAATCTTACTGATCTCGCCACAACATTCGGATAGCTACTGCCGACGGCAAAGATTGAGAGTCAGAGCGACCCAAGACGTATGTTGAGGGGTGGCATGTTGGGCGATTTTTGAGGCATGGAGGATCACGGCACATGACTTGCGGTGGCTGATGATAAGACAAGGTCTAGACCTCTGGGGAGATGGACATCCGGGGCCGATACCCAGTGCTTGGACCACGCCTCTATCGTTGGCTGTCAAATCTCGACGCATGTTTTAAATTGGTTTATTTTTGATTCATGCCCAATTCGCTGGCTCAAGCCATGTGGCGGCGGCAGGCCAGGGCGAGTGGACTCGGACGTATGCGGAAGCGAGCCGCCGTGGGCGTTGAGCAGGGAGGGAGAACTGGGAACGCCAACGCGGGATGGGATAAGACGATGCATCGAATGGCCCGGAGCTTGTCCCGAAGGGCGCTGATGGGATCTTAAAGTTGGCGGTGACAAATTAACCTTGTATTTGGGGCGATTGGGGGGTGTGCAGGGGACAAGTGACGAGCAGGCCGATCACGTCGAAAGTCTTTACGGGATTGGACGGCAGTGGTAGAGGAGAAGCGTTTTGTGGAGGCGAGCGACGAAATGCTGCCAACGGCGTGAGGCAGCGTCAGCTTAGGCTGGCCGCCGACAGTGCCGATGCGATGCATCTGGATATGATGGTCAGTTTGAGGAGGAAACAGAGGTCATGGGGGCGGCAGCGTCGCTGAGACTTGACGTCGATGTGCATTTGTGTCGAGGGCGTGTTGGGGACGATGACTGCGCTCATGTTGTAACAGGGTGCGTGCGATGTGATGATATGCAAGATTGTAACGGGAAACGAAAACAATCTTTTCGTCTGCAACACGCATGCCGCTCGCACGGGGGCACGGGAACCTATCAACGACTGCGCGGCGACGGGGACGACGAGGATGAGAAAAAAACTCGTTCGGCCTCTCTCGGGACGCCGGCGATGGGAGCAAAACGCCAAGCGGCCAAGGAGCCAAGCACGGAAGAGATTGGTTGACGGCTTCAGGTCGCAATCACAAGATGGGAACTTGTTCGATGGAGGGGCCGTCCCTTTGGCGGTGCGAGCTCTTGGGCCCATAGTGGTGGCTCCGCGTACGCAGCATGTGCCGGGGTGGAGGAGGCGAGCCGGGGGGGCGTGTAGGTGATGGCGCTGCTCCATCGTGCTGCTTTAAATACGCTGAATGGTGCGTGTGTGCCGTGAGCTTGGGATGTATCCTTGTTCCTTGTTGGCTGGTCTCTTACTTTCTCTGCTCTCAGGTTGCTTTTTCTCACGGCATGTCAGAGCATGGTTGAGGAGGAGTCATGCTGTTTTTTTTTTTTCGTTGAGCCGGGGTAGACGGTCCCGTGGTGCAGCTGGCGAGAAGTGGCTTACGGTTGGCCTCGGACCGTGGCTTGCCACGACGACAAGGCATGCAATGGCTTCAAGCTTACTCGGGACCTGGCAGAGAGCGTTCCCTCGCGTGGGTTCTGGCCAGGGCAGCACGCTCGAGAATACTCTGGACCGTGATTAGGCGAGTGCTAGAGGGCGCGGGTGAGACTTGGGGACCCTCAATGGGGGCGAGAACCTGGCGAGATCTGAGATTTGAAGAAGCGTCTAAGCCGGACCAGCCCGTGAGACGTGCTTGGTCATTCCCGGCCATGTTCTGTATCTGGTGCTCAGACACTGTCCGTTCCCAGCGGTTGGGTTTTGCCACTGGCGACGGAGATGATTTAAGGCCACAAAACTGATCAAGACGATGCATCTCCTGCCTCTCCCTCCGCCTGATGCACATTCTTCAAGCTCGCCCCTATCACACATCCAGATCCCAGGGTCTGCGTGAGGCCCTGCTGTGGCGTCGCAGGCAAAACCTTCCACCGCGCACGCTGGGAGCCACTGAGGACGCCCTAAAAGCAGCGCTACAACCGTGGCCCCGCGGCGCCCCCACTTGGTTCCCTTGGCAGTACCCGCCTCCACCGGGGGTCCCTGTCTTTATTGCGTGGGCGCCGCCGCTGCTCCCCCCCAGCGATAGCGAGCTCGCGAAGGGACGGCTGCTCTCAACGAGGTTAAATCAACCCGGGGCGCCCGTCTCCCGCTCGCCGTGTGCGATTCCGGTTTTCCTTCCTCATTCCTTTTCCTTGTGCTGCTTCTTGCTCGGGGAAATCCTGCGTCGCCTGCTCTCCCCCCATCTGAAGAACCAATTCCCTCTGGGGCGCAGCCGGGAAGCCCTGTTTTCCCACGTTTGGGTTTGTTATCGGCTCCGGGCCAAGAACGTTGTGGCGCGCCATAGCGTTTCCTTCCGGTTCTGCGGTCCCCGAACCGGTACATCTGCCCTGTGACGACATTGGCCGCGGCCTGTGCCATTTTTCTATTTGACTTTGGCTTTGGCTTTGGCTCCTCCGACTTCGACCTTCAACAACATCGTCGCCTCCCTCGCTCCCTCGTTCGATCGCTCGCTTCCCCTTGGGATTCCTGGATGGTTCGCTGGTCCGGCCTTGCTTGGTGCGACTTCAATTGACCGGCGCCGTCGCCTCCACCGTCCCCGCGCCCGGGTCCGAGACCACGCCCCGCGGATTTGCGACTGCGGCGACTGCGACTCCGATACACGATCCGATCCGATAACACGACATCGCCACACACGCGCGACTACGGTCCCGATCGCAATCACACAAGATGGCGTGGAGTCACCTTGACATCACCAAGCCGCACTTGGTGTATGTCATCCTCGGCGGCTTCACCTCCATCTTCATGCTGTGCTCCTCCCTCATCAAGGAGCGCATGTACATTGGTGAAGCCACCGTCGCGACCCTTGTCGGCGTCATCTTCGGCCCCCATGCCGCCAACCTCATCAACCCGAACGAGTGGGGGAGCACCGACATCATCACCGTCGAGTTCTCCCGCATCGTCCTCGTCGTCCAGTGTTTCGCCGTCGGTGTCGAATTGCCCAAGTTCTACATGGAGAGGCACTGGCGCTCCGTCGTCTACCTGCTCATCCCCGTCATGACCTTTGGCTGGCTGATTGTCAGTCTGTTCATTTGGTGGATGATCCCGCCCCTGAACTGGCTCGAGAGTCTCGTTGTTGCTGCCTGCGTTACCGCCACTGATCCTGTCCTGGCTTCGTCCGTCGTCGGAAAGGGCAAGTTCGCTAAGCGAGTGCCCAAGCATCTGAGAGACTTGCTTTCGGCCGAATCTGGTTGCAACGACGGCATGGCTTTCCCCTTCATTTACCTCTCGCTCTATCTTATCCAGTATAACCGAGACGCAAAAGATGTCAGCTTCTACTTTGTCGTCTATGTCCTGCTCTACGAGTGTATTTTCGGCGCCATTTACGGCTTCATGGTCGGTTATATTGCCCGCCACAGTATCAAATACGCAGAAAGGCATGATCTCATTGACCGCGAGAGCTTTCTTGTATTCTACTTTGTCATTGCCCTCTTCTGTGCTGGCTCTGGTAGTATCTTGGGCATGGACGACCTGCTGGTGGGTTTCGCTGCGGGTGTCGGTTTCTCCAATGACGGTTGGTTCGGCGAGAAGACTGAAGAATCCCATGTTTCCAACGTTATTGATTTGTTGCTGAACTTGGCATACTTTGTCTACTTTGGTACCATTATCCCCTGGGAGCAGTTCAACAATGGTGTCGAGGGCCTCAAGGCTTGGCGCTTGGTTGTCATTGCCGTCTTTGTCATCTTCTTCCGACGCATTCCCGTCATGATGGCTCTGAAACCTCTGATACCGGACATAAAAACCTGGCGAGAGGCCTTGTTTGCAGGTCATTTCGGTCCAATTGGTGTCGGTGCCATCTTCGTTGCCATGCTTGCGCGAGCCGAATTGGAACATCACGAGCCAGTGCCAATGGAGGAAATGCCTCCTGAGAGCGCCGCCCACTACACCTTGATATACCTAGTGTGGCCCATCACCGCCTTCCTCGTTGTCACGTCAATTCTTGTTCACGGTTCATCCGTTGCTGTCTTCACCCTCGGCAAGCGTATCAACACCTTGACCCTGACCATGTCCTACACGGCCGCTCCTGAGGACGGCCCGTCCTGGATGAACAGGCTTCCCAGAATCACTTCGCAGTCACGCTCACAGGCTAGGATGTCTGAGACGTCATTTGAGGAATACAAGAACCCGGCGTACCCCCCTGGTACTGTGCCCCCATCTGGTTACCTGCTGCGACGACAACAGAATGAAGAAGAGAAGGCCTCGGGAAGCCGCCCTTCCTCCATCATGGCGCGAAAGCGGAAGACCAAGAAGTGGGATGATGGAATCGGGCCTGGCGGCCCCGTTGCCCAGTCTGCCATTTTCCCGCAACGCCCAGCTGCATTGGACGCGACGCAATCTGGCGAAACTAGCGAGAAGGAAGTCTCACCATCTCGCGATAACACCGACTCGACACTGGCTCCCCAAGATAGTCTCAAGTCCAAGGATCCCGAGAAGGTTGAGGATGAGTTTGGAGAAAGCCCTAGCGGTAGCAGCGGGCGCGTAACTCCTAGACGCATCGAGGTTTATGACGAAGGCGACAACATGATATTTGAGACGGAGGACGGCGAGGTGATTGATGTTCAGCCGGCTCCCCGCGCCAGCCATGATAGCCGCGATGAACTTCCACCACCTACCACAGCTAGTGCGTCCAAGGTCGATGGTGAAAGTTTCTGGTCGATTGGAGGTTTCCGCAGGAAGATGAGCGAGGTGTACACTGTTGAGATGGAAAAGCGCAAGGACAAGGGCAAGTCTGAGAGGAAGCACGAGCCGGCCCGAGCATATCAATTCGGTAACACGGTATGTCCCATAGGTGTCTACATCTACAACTGGAGCTAACGTATGGTAGATTATTGTTGAGGATGAGGACGGTGAGGTCGTGAAGACCTACGAGTTGCCCACGCAGAAGGCCGAGGGTGCGAATGAAGGTGGTAGCGATCTCCTTGGAACTAGCCTAAAGTATATGGGATTGGGCAGTTTGGCCCGTCCCGTCGCCGACAAAGTCCCCGAGGCGATTGCCGAGGAGGGTGAAGCAAGCGGTACTGGCGCTGCCAAACCCACTAGGGCAGCCAGACGGCAGAGCGTCGCCCAGGAGCAGGCTGTGGATGACCGGAATATTCGCTTTACGATTGGTGGTGTTAACCAACGCATGACCAAGGAGGACTTTATCCGCGAGGTGCAAAAGCTCAATGCGAAGACACGAAAAGAGGTTGTTGAGCAGTCAACTGCCTCAATGACGGTCAAGCGGATTGCTACACAAGACCCGCCTGCCGCCCAAAGCCCTACAGCCAAGATCATCGAGGAGCCCGAGACCGCATGGGTCGGTAGATCGCCACATCGCCCTACCACCGCGCGTAGCTCCGAGTCCATTTCCCCCACCCGCACCCCCGGCAAGACGAAGCCTTCGGAGGACCAGGGCGAGACTGCCGTGGAGCGCAAGCGTCGTCTTGCAGTTCTGGCAACCCAAACTGAGGAGACTGTTGAAACGCCTGCAGAGCGAAAGCGTCGCCAGGCTGCGCTCGGCATGGGCGAGGAGAGTGCTGATGACAGTGATGATGAGGGCGATGAGAGAGTGCCCCCGACCAACAGGAGGGGAATCACATTTGCGGAGTCGACACGACCAAGCAAGGGAACTAAGGGAAAGGGGGCTAAGTAGAGGAGGAGACATGTCACTTGCATTTACATGGAATATAGAGTAGAAGAAGGATATCCCGTACGATAGTTACGCATATAGGACATAATTGGCCTCATAATGGCGCATGATTCATCTCTTACGTCCAGTCTGCATCTCCTGAGACGGTTCATCTCAATCGCTCCTAACCTCAACCAGCATCTTGCCCGTATTCTTCCCGGCGAACAAATCTGCCAGGCCCTGCGGCGCGGCCTCAAGCCCGCCCTTGACAACGGTCTGCGTCCGCTGCAGTGTCCCGTCCTGCAACCACTGCACCAGCTCGGCGCGAGCCGGCGCAGCGTCGTTGAGGTGGTGGAAGATGTTGAGGCCGTGGATGGTGGCGGATTTGGGGGCGATGGGGAAGAGGCTCTAGAGGCGTGTTAGTGATTGCAAGTAAATAGGAGGAGGCATGTACTGACTTTGATACCGCGCGGAGTGCTCGTGTTGTAGCCGCTTGTGTCGCCATTGATGACGATGCGGCCGAATTTCTTGATGTGGGCGATGGCCAACTCGAGTGTTCGTCCGCCAACTACAGTCAGTGTTAGTCCAAGCTGAACACCACCCATTTTTCACACCTGTGTAGACTCACCACTATCGAAGTAAAGATCAATCCCCTCTCCTACAGCCTTCACAAACTGCTCCTCGAATCTCTCATCTTTGTAATCGAGCACCTCATCCACGCCCAACTCCCTCAGCCACTTGCCCTTCTGCTCACCCCCAGCGATGCCGATGACCCGCGCCCCTCGCATCTTGGCCAACTGCGCCGCCACACTGCCCGTGGCGCCGGCAGCGCTGCTCACGACGACCGTTTCGCCCTTCTGAGGCTTCCCGATGCGCAGCATGCCAAAGTAGGCTGTTAGACCGGTGAAGCCCAAGACGCCGAGGGCGTCTGTCAGGGGCAGGGACGCAGGGAGGTATGAGACTTTCTCAAAGGTGTCTGGTGAGAGGACGGCGGTGCTGACCCAGCCGGACCAGGAGGTGATGAGATCTCCAGGCTTCACGTCCGGGTTGCGTGAGGCGAGGACGCGGCAGAGAACAGGGCCCGGCATGGGCTCTCCCTGCGTGGTTTCCAGAATGCCGTTGTCGGCGTTGAGCCATTTGCGCATGACGGGGTCGAGGGATAAGTAGAGCGTCTCGACAAGGATCTGGCCATCTTTGAGGTCTTCTTCTGAGGGGGATGGGACCGTACGGGAAGTGAAGGTTTCGGACGGGATAATAGCGCCGTTGGGACGGGTCTTGATGACAATTTGGAGGGTGGACGGTGCCATTGTGAGAGATGATGTGCTTCTTTTAGGTGAGGGTGCGATTATTTATAATTATAACCTGATGAGTAGATTGAGGTGATGTTGAAATAGTCGTCCCTTCATTTGAACAATTTTACCAGCCCTCTTATACATCCTCCAGCTGAGATGTGGTTATAGGCTGAGCTTCAGTAACCGCCCTCAACGAAGGTTGCAACCGTAACTAATAACGTTATCCCCAAGATTTTCAACAAGACGAGATAACAAGCCACTACAAAATATGGTCAGCACATCGCCGGTCCGTCACTTGGAAGACATAATTCCTCCGAACTACATCTGGACCAGGTTGTCAGCCCGCATCTGGATAACGGCATCGGCTCGGAGGTTACTAAGCCAGCATGCGTTCGGGATGATCCACACCCGGAGTCGGAGGTTGAGCGGCGGGTATTGGTAATCCGCAGGCATCCCAGGATGGCACGCCAATTGATATGAATATGTCGCGACCGTATCAACCTCATTTTGTGAAGATGAACGAGTACGTCGTCTTGAGAACGCCACATGGTGTAGGGGCGTTGGATATCACGTGCGGAAGCACGTGGTTCGAGGCTGAGAAGGGCGGATGATGGCTGAACATGGCTGAGTCGACGCGCTTTCAGCTGGCTTGGACTAGAACAGATCTCTCAATTGAAGCTCAATGCGACCATGATTCCGACGTTTTAACTTATTTCTACTCCTACATCTCGAACATATACTTTCAACCTCCTTCAGGACCCATGGATTCGGTTAACCAACAAGACTCACCGCTCTCCATCGGCGCCAACATCACAGGCATCCTCACATTCGTGGTGGCCATTGCTGCCGCTATATACGCCCGTATTACATACCTCCGGAACAGCGACGATGAGTACTTCCGAGTCAAGACGTCTCTGTCCTGGTACAAAACTGAGTCGACGTGGCTCGCTGATATCGTAACGGCCATCAATGCCCAGCACGAAAGCTTCCACAATTACCAGCCTGAGTACCAGATGTACACCTTTGTTATGGATGATCTACTCAACCTCGAGCGACGCCTGCTAGACTTGGTGACTGACACCGAGACCAAGGCGGCAGTCGGAGACGAGGGCAGAAGATGGACGCTTGTGCCGCGGAGTTGGCAAGGCGGGAAGACATCAGTGGCAATGGCATGGATGTCGGTCAGAACCAAGGCGCTGGAGCTCGTAAGGCAGCGGGAGAGTCTGACGGCGAGGGTGCAATTCATGCAGATGAGCATGATTTCATCGAGACTCAGAGATCTCGAGTCGAGGACAAAGTGGCGGGAAATGAAGATGGACGAGAGCTCGCGGAAACTCGAGGCGTTGGTGGAGAACCAACGGGACAGGATCCGCCGGTTGGAGGATCTGGTGAGCCAGCTCATGTGCCCAGACCAGTTTAGTCTGTCGCGGGCAGGGACATTGAAGAGCCATAGCATCAAGAGATCAGTGTCGAACGATTTGGTGGAAGAGGATAGTTCGACCGTAGGGGGACAGGCCCAGGAGCCAGATCCAGCAAGGACATTAAATAATTGACCCTTGTGTTTATGCGTAAGCGTATCCCTTCTGCCATGCCCATGCGACGGTGATGGCCAAGCTGAGGACACCCCACAGGAGCTCCAATTCGACGATAGACCAGAGCCATAGGCAGCCCAAGGGCGGGGCTCTCTTCATGACAGCGAGATATCCGAACTTGTTGCTAATGTGGACGAGGTAGGGACCGCAGGTGAGGCTCATGATGAAGAAGACGGCCTGGCGAATGCCATGCTGGTACTTTCGGGGGATCCCGGGGATCAGGGTTGGGTTCGCTTCGTGGGGGTGGAGAGGATAGAAAATAAAGAAGAAGACTAGCACAGTCAAAGCATTAGCATGAAGCCTACAGGACTGCAGAAGGTCGGTAGAAGATAGAACATGACTTACGGATCCACGCCTGGGCAGTCCGGGCCCAGGCGGAAGGCCAGTCGATATCCATGCCATACTGGTGCTGAACCAACACCTCGAAGGTGAAGTGAATCATGGCGAGCGTCGACGTCCAAAGAGCTGCCTCGAGGAAGCGCTCGGCGCCGGGGCTGAGAACGACCTCCCCATTCTTCTCGCGGTCGAGCTGGGCTTGGCGGGCGTCCGCCTGCTCGAAGAGGTTCTTCCCCTGCGCCATGTCGAGGAGCGTCTGTTCGGAGGGACCGGAGCGATCCGGTTGCCTGAGCGGGATGTCCTTGATGGACTTTTCCTTGCGTTGGCGGGCCATTCTGATAGCGAGGTGTGGCGCCGGAAGAAGGATGTTGGGAACGTCGTTGGTGTTCTCGCGACGTGGGCGCTCTGGAGTTTGACAGCTGTCGTAAAGCTACCTATGTCAGAGAGACGGCTTTACTAATTAGTGCAGTTTTCCCTTCAAGACCCCTGAGGCGGGTGTCTCTCATGACATCAGCCCGGTGCAACCCACCCCACCGCCAATCAACTCCAGGGGGTTTACAGAGCCCACCCGCAGGATTTACGCCTTGAAAGTACGCCAACGGTCATCCGTCCAGGGCATAACAAGCGTTAATGGAAGCTAGTCGGGTGTATGGACAGGGGCTTCAAGGGTTGCACACCGCAATCGCAAGGTGGCATTTGCGACAGCCCGCCTCCCACTCCCCTCACCAACCCTCCAGTCTCCCCCACGAGAGCCTCACCTCCAATTGTTGTCTCGTGACACCTCTGTTCAACCTCCAACACCTCCATCTACTCCCCTTTGTCCTTGTTTCGCGGCGATTTGATTTCACCGAGTAAATTGCTTGTTTCTCTCGCCTGCAGCTGCGTGGCCCCTCCACAACCAGTTCGCGGGCGCAACACCTAGCTCTAGCTCCACCCAGCGCGCGCCGTCTTCAACCGACCGACCGATCGAACTTCGCTTCCAGCTCCACGATCTGAGAAGGAATCCCCTTGTCCCCCACTGCAACCGCGACATGGACTTGCACTACCTCATCCTCGCGGTTCTCGCCGTGGTACTCCCGTCCTTCTACATCCTCACCGCGAACGTTGCGTCGTCCCGCCTCCCGACCCTGAAGAACAAGCGCATCTGCCTCCTCATCGCCCACCCCGACGACGAGGCCATGTTCTTCGCGCCGACGATCCTCGCCCTAACCCGACCCGACACCGGAAACCATGTCAAGATCTTGTGTTTGAGCACCGGTATGAACCGACTGGCACTGCTGAGCTGAGGCAGTCGCATGCAGCTTTCAATGGCAAAAAAAGAGACGTTGTGTTTGGCTGATGGTTTCGACTGTGGCTTTAGGGAACGCCGACGGCCTGGGAGAGACGCGCAAGAAGGAACTCGTCAAGAGCGGCTTGACTTTGGGTCTGCACGACGAGGACGATGTGTTTGTGCTCGATAACCCGTATGGTAGCCTTCTGGCGCAAACGAAGAGAACAGCAAACTGACAATTGCCCCCAACAGAACCGACTTCCCCGACTCAATGACGACCGTATGGGATCGCAACAAGATCGCAGGCCTCTTGGGTAGCGCCTTTGCGCCGCTGCTTGCTCGCGAGCGCACCGAAGACGCCGCCCAGCCGACGGCCAATATCGACGTCCTCATCACCTTCGATTCCCACGGTGTCTCGTCGCACCCCAACCACATCTCCCTGTTCTACGGCGCACGAACCTTCATCGCCGGCCTCACCCAGGGCAAGCCCGAGTGGAAGAACCCGGTCGACCTCTATACCCTCAGCACCGTCAACTTCGCCCGCAAGTACGTTTCCTTCCTCGACACATTTGTGACGTTGCTTCGCTCTAGGGGCGTCGTCACTGAAAACGAAGCTCGCCCGGGCGGCCTCGTCTTCTTCAACTCGCTCGTCGGCAGCAACGCCCTGGGCACCGCCTGGCAGGCTATGACGGAGGCGCACAAGAGCCAGATGGTCTGGTTCCGCTACGGCTGGATCACCTTCAGCCGCTACATGGTCATCAACGACCTACGCCTTGAAAAGTTCCCCAAGTGACCCATCCGCATTAGGGCCATGGCGCTACCGCATATTGCCGGGAGCTTGTTGGGTCGCCGGTTCAACTGGCATGACATGTTTGCTGTAAGATACGCTACACGTATGCAATCCCATCTGCTCTCAGGAGAAATCAATAGAGACAAGGAAAAGAAGAGGGGGAAGGACAGATCGCAGCTAAGCTCCGCTTTCTACGTTGTTGGGTGGGTGGTATTTAAGGCACTATCTTTGAGCCATGTTGTATAACACATATTTGCAGATTACATAGCTCTCATCCTCACATCATCAGTCTCGTCGACATTATGACAAAGTCGATTAGTATTTTATTGTCGTTCAAATAGTAATACTCCGCATGAACTTATATTAAGGGCAGTCTTTCCAGTATACTGCCAGCAGTCGGCTAATCCCAGATCTTGACGGTCAGTATTCCTTCTCTTCCCACCCCATTCTTTTCCAAGGTCGCAACTCCAATTCTAATTTCGACTACGCATTCTTTTGAGATGAGATTATGCGTGCGCTAGCTCTTCGGGCCCATGGGGTAAATCACGTAGCCCTCCGGACGTAGGATAGACGGATAAGCCTTAACCATGGCCCGATCGATCTCCTGCCATTCCCCTGCAAGGTCGTCCCAAGGTATCAAAAACGGGCTTTTCCGCTTTTCTGGAGATCGTTCTCCTAATCCCCATTGCTTTTGCAATCGCTCCGAGTTGAATCTGTCGTGCTCGACCTGTGCTAAGATTTCGACTTGGTCGCGGGTGAATTCAATGATGGGCTCACGAGTCCCTTGCTTCTCCGAGAGGTAGCACGATATGTTGCGCAGCTTTTGGGATATGGACATGGCGTGAGCCCGGGATGACTCCTTCAACTCCTCATCTAGCTGGGCCCAGTGGACGAGGTCGCTCAGGTCCATTTCAGGTGTCGCAGTCTTCGCTTCAAAGTATGTCTCGTGTAGTTTGACCGCAATCTTCTCGACAACCTCGGGAGGAAGTGGGATACCGCTCATATGTAGAGTGAATTCGGCATAGTCCACGTGCATATCCAACTGAGCTGGAGGGGGGAGGGCAGCCCGCTCGAAACTGCGGTGCCCGTCGACCCTGCTCATCGCCATGATGGTTTTCAGAGACCTGATGCCCTGCCTGTAAGTAGGCACCAGCAGTAAGCTGTTCAGAACGCTTTCATTAATGCGAATTTTGTCCCCAGTCTTGAGGTTTGGCTCTCTTTCTTCGAGCAATGCACGGAGGATGACGGCACGCCGGACGGGGTATAATCTATCCCCTTCGTCATAATCGAAACGGTTTGGCCCGAGGACGTTAACGAAGCCATGCAAACAACCGAGGAAATCTTGTAGTCGAGTGTCCCCTTCAGCGCGAGATTTCAGCTCACGGTAACTCTTGTAGACGGTGGTTCCGAAGAAGAAAACAGCAGGGCCAATAGGTCTGCTAAACCCATGATCTGAGAAGTTGCCTCCCAGCATTACCGGAAGAAGATAAGGCAACCAACCTAACTGAGATCCAGCAAGACTGCCATCAAAGCCGCTGATATAAACCAGCGGAATGCTTCCTCCAAGGGTGCAGTCCCGCACGGAATGAAAGGCGGCCAAAAGGTCATCCGGAGATGTAAATTGAGAAAGGTCAAACCGCAGCTCCTTGACTTTCTGACCCTTCGCCGCGCTTTGAGCAACTTGAAGTGCAGCAAAGGCCTTTCCAGCGCCCCGCGGGCCGCACAACGCAATGCTAAGGGGTTTCGTCTTGGGCGAAGAGAAGTACAAGTTCAGGAAGTTAAACAGTGTTCGGAACAATTCGATTTCTTGGCGATCAAATAGCACGAGATTGCCGAATGATGTCAACGGAACCCGTATTTCGGGAGACATGACCCCATCTTTCACAATTCGGCGGGCAACCTCGGCAGCATCTCCGACCAAGTGGTCTATGAGGGACCAGTTGCGTTCTGTGCCACTGGCGATTGGATCTGAAGGAATCGACAACGACAACAACTGGTCATCTTCCTCGCTGTCGCCAAGGCCAGTCATAATAGTCGGAGTCTGATAGATGGATGGATTCGGCCCTTCAGGGTCCTTGACCGTGAGGCCTCGGCGGGATAGCCGTCTCGCGGCCCAGAGACCGCATTTAATGCCGTGCTCGATGCTAAGGTCATGCGACTCGATAAGTCCTTTCGAGAAGCCAGCCACAAATGCTTCGTCTGTACCGGGGATGGGTCCAAGGTTTTGTCGACTAAACTGGCCTTCGACACATTGCGAATCGAAAACCAGAAGAGGTGCGGCTGCTTGGCGTCCAGTGTGATATATGACACCGTCTAAGCCGAATCGCACAACCAGGTGAGCGCACGTAACCAGTGTGACAAGCCTGCCAGAGGAACCGAGCTTTTCAACAAAGTCTTCGCATGTCTTCTCCCAGGAGAGTCCGTAGGATAGCTCAATGCCCTCGGCGCGTAGGTCATCGGCACTGAGAATGACAATGACCTTCTCAGGATCCCGGGGATGATTGTCGACGTATGGCCCCCAGCGCAAATCTTCCCACAACTTCCCCTCGCATAGAGGATTTGACATGTGGTAGATTAGGAACTGTGGCCGGGAAGTCTTGAACTGAGCAATCGCGTTCTTAGCATCGGAGTCTGTGAAAGATGACCCTGAGCCTGCGTCATGTAGAACCCATATAGAGATGGTGTCATGCGTGGTTGGCGGTAGTGGCGGCGTTGGAGCTAGCCATTTCGAACTAGCATCGATAAGTTTCGTGCTCTTATGCCTGAAAGCGGTACCATGAGGACTAGTTGTGTCGTAAGCATCTAGCTCAACAATAGATTGCACAGAAGTCTCTGCCGACCCAGCCAAAGCCGGTCTGTAGATGTGCGCGATCTGTCCAGAATGACCGGTATCTTGAAGCAGTTCGCTGATGAGACCAGCCCCTCCATGGAACCGATGCGCGCTAAAGCTCCGGGTGCCTCCGCCTGCGTCGATTGCGCCAGCCACCCTCGGAAGTAGGAAAAGCTGGGCCGGAGCATCGCCGGAAACGACGACGTGTCTTGACATTTGAGGTAATAGGGTCGGGCCTAGGTAATCTTGGTCGACGGCTATTGAGTCGTAGTAATTGAGTCGTAGTAATTGAGTCGTAGTAATGGGCGGCGACCGGGCGGCTAACGGTGAGCTTCGAGGCAGCCGGCAGCCTGATCCCCAAAGTGCACACCGGATATTGCATACAGATATGCTCGTAGGCCGTAGAGAAAGGCAATCCAGGCAACAAGAATGAGGCTTAGCCATTGTCAACGATTCATATCTCAAGTGATACGATTGGTCATTTTTATCTGTACTGGCAATATCATATTCCACGGTGCTCTCTTCATACAAATTTACCGGCGTCCTTCGTCCCAGACGACCTTTTGGACCGCTTGTGCCACCACGCCCAGATGAGCAATACCAACAAGGTCAAAGTGCCAGAGATGGCAAAAAACACCCCTAGCCACTTAGCTGAGACTACCTCCCCTTGTTTTCGACCGCTTTCCCAGTCAAACATAGACATGCTGAAAAAGGCCTGTGTATAATTCATTAGCTAAAGTTTGCGGAAGCTATTGACTGCTGGATGGTGTCTTACCGCGACGAAAGTACCTGGAAGAAAAACGAGGGTCACGACAGCTATCGTTCTCATCGATCTACTATCCCGGAGACCCTTCTCTGCTGCCATTTGGGAGCTCCTCGCAATCTAAGATCGGCATGTTAGCATGAATACCCAGATCTTCAAACTGTGTGATCTCAGTTCAGGCAAACGTACCGATATATTGATTAGATTGTCCATCTATCACAAAATTAGCATTAAATTTTCAAAAGGGACTTCGGGTCTTCTTTTACTTACATTTGTTTGCTGAGCTTGTATCCTTGACAGTGTCGTGTCTAGGTCATGCAATAGAGTCTTTAGGATATCGTCCTGGGCCTGGACAATATCCCGAAAAGTAGCAGAGTATTCCATCACATTGTTCTCCTTGGTATTCCGCTTCTCGATTTTATCGAAGTAACGGACCAAGTTACCTGCTAGTTCGCGCGCAAACGTCCATCTGCGATGGAGCATAACATGGCTTTGCTGCATTTTGAACACCTTGTTTCTCATATCACTGACTGTCTCGATGGTCGGAAATACAAGGTTATCGCCTTGGGTCGGGGATACAAGGCTCTTGTCTTGATTCATGATCTCAGCCTTGATGGAGGTGAGCCTAGTTGTGATCTGTTCCACCTGCCAGCGCAGGAGAACCACGGGTAAGATCATGAAGTCCAAGTATCGGAGATCCGGGTAGTCGTGGGGGAATTTGTCATTGACTAGCAATGATTCCACCTCTTTTCTGGGTATGCCCTGGTTTGAAAACACCAGAGCGACCCAATCTGCATCTCTCTGGTATCCGTTGGTGTATTTATCAGCCACTGAGACGCAAAAGTAGGGGTAGTCGTCGTCAGTTGGTGTTTGCGCAATGAAGCCTACAATGAGAGTTGAGTTTCTATTTATTCAGAGAATTGAGTGGAATTCGGCTTGTATGCTTACTGATATTCTCCGTTGACTCCAGCACCGCCGAGCCGGTTGTCTTGTTCTTGACAAAGAACTTGAACCGGTCGCCAATCCAACCATTGTCTGCGGCAATTTTGATGAGGGGGGCCAACTTGTCAAGGGGGTCTATGTCGGTGCAATGCGCATGGCTTGCTAATGTTAGTTTGACGAGTCTTCAGCTAGCTTTGACGGTTATACTTACAGCAACCTGAAGCGATGCTTATCTGAAAGACTACGCTTGTCTCGCTTGGGGCTTGTGAGATTCGGCTTTAAAAACTTGGAGTAGTATTAACTAACCTGCGGAGGGGATTCGATGAAACTTTTCGCGCCAGCTTCGTCCTGCGCTTTCCATTGCATCGGGGTGGGGATTTTCCATCCGTTCCTCTAGAGCACTGTGAGAAATTCAAGACGTTGAGTAAGTAAGACTGGACGCGACACTTACCTTTATTATCATAGCACTAGTCTCGAAGCTGCTGAATTTGACATCCTCGCCACTCGTCTTCTCAGACTGAGAAGGAGGAGAAAGAGACGATGCTGTCATAGGGTCAGATCAACGTCATGGAGGCTTAGTAAGCCTCGGAAGACGCTGAAACCAGGCAAGGAGGTTGTGTAGGAACCGGAACAGCTGAACTATGGTGTTTGTCACAGCTTCGACTGATGAAGTTGGGTGATGTCGCTGCGCAGCCTCGTCAGGGTGAGGCAACCGGGGGAAATTACCACAATTCGTTATGCAATTAGGCCCTACCACGTGTGATGATAGCGGGAATGTTGCATGAAGCTAACAGCGCCTTAACTAGGCTCGGCTTAGGAACGGCCCGGTTCGCCACAAGGCACGGGATTTGTTAGCCACGAATGAAGGGATATAAGATGGAGGCTGGGAAGTCCACCTCCCCGCCGCCCGGCCCACAGACTGACCTGAACACCCTAGATAGTGTGACCAGGTAAAAAGCTTGATCTCACCAGTCTTCAGCCATTATTTATTCATAATTCAATTAGCCATTTACCAGAGGAGTGAGAATTTCTTCAATACTAGCGATTCGAACTCCCACTTTATTTCCTATAAAAGATGACAAACTCGTCTTCAGTGCGACAAGCAAGGAAATAATCTCCACCCCAGCTTATTAAAAAACATATTTTCATCGACTGCTCCCAGCTATGTTCGTATTCGTAAAAGAAGGACCTGTTCCTAACTCATGGTTATAACTAACATATTTCATCACCCTTTAAATATGGTGCCATGAGCTATGCACGGAACCCAGACTACCACTAGGAACTTTATACACAAAATGTTCGACGCCCTGCCGACTTTCGAAGTTGCCTGCTGCATACAGCAAAAGGTGTTCGTAAATAGCGAATTGATACTACGCACCTAACTATCTAAAATAAAATAAAACCGGGAAAGGGGCACAGGCTGTCTACGTTATCCCGATTTGCACGCTCTGGCAATAATATTGTCCTAACTGCCTAAAATCCCGATGAACATAATCGTAAGATGAAGCCAAGCCTATGCAAGTGCAAGGGCGATAACCGGAAATCGGATCAGGGGGACAGATCCTGCCCCCCACTCCACCAGCCCATACATCCAACAAGCCCACGTAGCTAACAATGCTCTCGGGCTTACCAACACCTGGGAAGCAACATTCATAAAAGTCTCCACAGCATTGTAAGGTTACATCGGAACTCTCCGCAGGACCAGCCCCCGCATCACTGGCTGAACCCCTCACGTAGTTGCTCGTCTCCTTTCCGTTCGACCCGAACCCTCACATCATTCCAGAGTCTCTCCCTCTCAATTCAAGTGATGAATCATCTACGAAATACTGCCCCCAATGGTTCTCACTTGGTTAATTACTGGCTGTACCAGTGGCTTTGGTGAGCTTTTTGTTCGTCAGCTCCGAGCAGCAGGCGACAATGTCATTGCAACTGGCCGTAACGCACACAGTAGGCTGGCTCATCTGAAAGACATTGGGGCAGCCGTTGTGGATTTGGACGTTACTTTGCCTGCCGACATCATTCAATTTAAAATCGACGAGGCTTGGGGAGCGTACCCTGGTGGCATCGATGTCGTTGTTAATAACGCTGGTTATATTCGCAGCGGCGCTGTTGAGGAACTAACGCAAGTCTCCTGTGCCTGTTTCTTGAAGCACCTTGGGTGAACTGACAACTCATGTATAGCCAAGAAGACTTCGAAAGTTCTATGAGGACTAACTTCCATGGGCCCATGAACATTACCCGTGCTATTTTACCCAAGCTCCGTGTGAAGGGTAAGGGGACGCTCCTCTACATTAGCTCCCAGGCTGCATGGCATGGTGACCCCAGCGCTGCCGCCTACTGCTCTAGCAAGTTCGCCCTTGAAGGTTAGTCCCCGCACATGCCTTGTTATCAATATAATCTGATATTAACATATCCATAAGGGGCACTTGAGTGCCTGGCAAAAGAGCTTGCCATTTTTGCTCCAGGCCTTCGGGTCTTGATTGTGGAGCCAGGCTACTTTCGCACCAAGGCTTTCGAAAACATCCTTCATGTCGAGCCTCATGCTCCTGATTATGCACAATTCAATACAGCTGTGCGGCAGGTCGAGGCCGCCACCGTTGGCAACGAGCCAGGCGACTCAGAGAAGGGCGTGGCACGCATGATCGACCTAGTAAAGGGTACGGGCGCTGCAGCAGGTCGGACAGTGCCGCTACGAGTGCCTCTAGGTTCGGATAGCTGGGGTAGAATCAAGGCCAAGTGCGAGGAGACGATCAAGATTTGCAATGAATGGGAAGAGCTAGCAAAAAGCACTGATGTTTCATCTACAGATTAATAGACTGCCTGCATCAGGAGATAGATAGCTAGCTGGTAAATGCTTACTCAGGCAATTACCGTACATTCACCACCATTGAGCTCATTTTCCTAATATGTCGTTCGTCAAATTTTGGAGACGGACAAAATTGCAAAAGCCATGGAAGAGAAAAATATATTTAAAATGCAACTCTTAGATATTGATGCCTTCAACTTCGACGCACCTAAAGCATGGTCTTGCAAATAAGAATACAGCGTTGACTTGTGGGCGGCGGTATGATTCGGAGGCGAGTAGCCCCGCCACTGCCGGCCGGTAAATCTGAAAAGCTGCCCAACGCGTTTTGTGACGCGCTACGCATCACCGCCTCCACCTTGAACCTTGCATCTTGCACCCAACGAGCCGAAGCTAACAATGCCGCCACGGCCACCAGACTACCAGTACACCTTCGAGAGCTGTGTGGCCGCCTTCGGGCTTATCCATGACATCGCCGAGGCAAAGGGCCATGCTATCAAATGCACGCAAAACAATGTGCGTGGAATGCCTGAACGACTCGACGTCACATGCACCGGCCACGAGACCACCCATATCGGGTTCCCACCAGATAGGGCAGACTGTCCTTTCCAAATGATGTTATTGTACCTGCCAGCCAAAGAGGTCTGGCTCGTGGAGCTAATCCATGATCCCAATCCATATTCCCCAGCTTCAGTTCCTGCGGATCGTTGGCCTCAACAACCGGAGACTCGGGACACTGCCCAACAGTCTTGCGAAACAGAAGCGACTATCCAAGAAGCAAGACCATCACTTGGCGAATTTACCTCAGCTAAAGATGCATTGCGCGCAGATCACCGCCCACGGCCCGCAAAACACAACTTATGGGATCCAGGAGACGAAGAATGGCTCCGAAGCGATGACGCATGGCTTTCAGCAGACGACCCGTGGCTACTCGAAACTGAAAGTCTATCGGAGGGGGATAGATTTCTGCCACCGGACCCACGACGATCACTAGAACTGTCGCTATCACCAGATACACGTCTTTCACGCGCGGCGTACTTATTGCAAGAGCAATATGACGAGTCCCACTTGCTTGATATTGCGCATGACCTATGGAAACTCTACTCGGAGGAACTCGACTACACCAGCTCACTGCCGCACCTACTTGCCCAACTAGACACAGATGGAGTCCTTCACCAGGAGAAGTTTGACGAGACCCAGACTCTTCAATATCAGGTCATTAATATTGATGACGACTTTAAGGTGTGGCAACGACACTCACACCTGATGATGGTCAATGTCACCCGTCATTCGACATGCCCTAATTTCAAAGTGTTGGAACTCAAAGGACGCACCATGGTGGGCACTTACTTTCCCATTGCCTATGCCACATCGCGAGATGGCACCAACGACTTCCTTGCCTGGGTTCTTGGCCAACTGAAGACGTGGTTTTGCGAGTTTGCTGCCAGGAATGAAGTGGACAGCGAAAGCCTCTTCCCACATGTGTTGATAGCAGAGCTCGATGTTTTCGAGAATCTGGACATTAATGATATCTTCCCCGGCACACAGAAGCAACTCTGCGTGAAGGATGTCGCAAGCACCATCATCAAGATATCCCGCAAGCGCTGGAACGGGCGGGACTTGAGTGACAAGCCAGCCTTCACTATCACCCATCTCTTGGACGCAGATAAGCCCCATGATACTATCACGCCGAGGACCGGCAACAGGAACGACTTCCTGAGGGCTATGAGACTCGTGTTTCGCGCGCCAACAGTGCCCGAATTCGAAAGACGTTGGAGTGAAGTAGAGGCATATTGGTGTCACTCGCAAAGAGGTCAGTCTCATGGCCACTACTACCTATTATAGGGCTGACTTCCGAACACAGAGCTGGTCTCCCACATCCGCACAACCTATATTTGCCTTGCGCCACAATGGGTACATGCATATACTCGATTCTATCGCAACTACGGTCATCGCATCAGCTCGCCTCGTGGGTCCCAGCATACTGCTATGCGCGCCTTCATGAAAACCCCACAGTTGAACCTTTTAGAGCTTTACAGCTCACTCCAGTGCCATTGGGACTCCTGGAATTGTAAATTCCGTCAAGAAGTGGTGCAGGAAGGGCACAAAACCCGCACACTGTACCTGACCGAACTCTGGAGCAACACACGGGGTAATGTCTCGCACCAGGGCCTTGACCTGGTCTATAGACAGGTCGTCCAAGCCGGAGAATCGCTGCTTCACCCTGAGCAACGCGCTCTACCTCCATGTACGGGGAGTTTTACCAAGCAGTATGGCCTCCCTTGCAGTCATATGGTTATGCAGAACTTTTCGTGCGTGGCTGAGAACGGACAGCGAAGTGTGATTGAAACTGGTGCTTTCGACCTTGCCTGGTGGGATAACACTTGGATGGTTCGCGACGATATGGTAAGATTTCCATCTCTTCCTTTCATATCACATGTACTGAGACAAGTCGTCGTAAAGCTTGATCGACGAAACCGAGATCCCCGAATCATCGCGGTCAGGGAGTCCCCGCAGAACGCATCTATACCGGTACCTATACCAATACATAGCCTAAACTAAGAAGTGTTCGACTAATAAGGACAACTTGAATAAAATCACCAAAGACAAGAATGCCGTGATACATGTCTCCGTCGCAGCCGCAGTATGTGCAGGTTCGCCCATTTGTTGCTCAGACCAGCATCGTTTTAGCTTGCTACTCTCAACCTTCGCGCTCTCGAATTAAGGGTGACTGAATAAAGACTGAATGATGCATTATAGCCGTTTAATGGATCCCTATCTCTTGGGTGGGTAACAAACGGGGGACAGCGGCAGGGAGTCTCAAGATTCACATCAGCGCCAAAACATTGTTGCAGCGTGACAAAAGGCGTTGATTTACACAAGTAAGGAGAAGCGATAGAGCCCAAATGTACAACACGGCGTGCTAGGCGTCAGGTTCATTGTTAATTAAGAATGATCCCTTGCGCAACGATATGATATTAGATAGCTAGTAGGGAATAATTACGGCTTGACTGGTTTCCCAACCCCACCATGGGAGGGTTATTGCACATTGGAAGTGAGGTGTTCTTGCTAGTGTTGGCATTAGTTTGCATCGCTCAGTTACATTGTATGCTCTCTGCGCGGTGGTCGCTGCATCCCGGATTTGCACGTTTTTGTATTCCGTAGTATTGACCGTGTTTGTCTATTCACATCTAATGCTTAGATGGCAAAGTTGGGGACAAAAGTATTGGCCCATTGGGTTGAGAGCTCGAGGCAGAGACGTATGAGCAAGAACTCGGGTAAATTGGCTCAACACTGTTCTTGAGAAAATCATTTTAGAACCGCAATCCAACTTGAGAATGTTCCAGACATGAAGATTTAAGTAAAGTAATGATGCTCAAGTATTGGAAGCATGTCCACCATAAAATGGAGATATATTTGGTATTCTTTCTAACCGTGCTCAATGTCAGATAGATCAAAGCCCCGTTGTAGTTGCTAACAATAGAGTCACACATTTATCACTACACCCAGTACCCGAAGATACAGTAGCTCATACAATAAGGAAATTTGGATTATATATAGCAGTACCTCTGGTGACGTCGATTCTCAACAACTGAGTCTCAAGAAGGCAAGGATCCGCGAGATCAAGCCACCAGGACCTCTACTTCACGATTGTCAGCGTTCTGATCAGGAATAAGTTTGAAATAAGGAGGGGACCAACGTCTTTTTCTCAGTAAAAGGTTCCTTCTTGACGACTTCTTCAACCTCTTTATATGCGTCATATCCGTATAGCCAAGGCTGGACTTCCGGACACGTCCATCGACTGGGGAATGGCCCCTTGAGTTCCTTTCCAAGCTGCGATAGGAATAGCTCATCTCGGGCTTCTTGCTCAGGGCCATTCATCATGTGAAAAGCTGCCCTCTAGTACCAAGTCATGTTAGAATGTATTTCCAATCGGGGCTTCTCGGCTAGACTCACCTGCTTAAAGGTTTCCTTCACAATCGCCTCACCTCTCGCCTTGCGAAGGCGTTCGTAACGCATCAGCGCCTGTGGCAACTGCGATTTTGATTGGATGTGGCCCAAGAGGAGGCCTAATACTGCACCATCTTCGACGGCAGAGTTTGCTCCTTGTGCAAGGTATGGGAGCATGGGGTGACAGGCGTCTCCCACGAATACGAAATTCTTCCTATCATTCACCCACGAAGGCAGCTCATTTCCTGTTAATTAATTAGTAACCGCATCAAAATTCATCAAGGGAATGCCTTACGATGCATCAACCTCCACTTGTCGACACTCTCTACAACGTTGAGAAATTTGGTCAGGATTGGATCCCAGTCCTTGAACAGTTCCCTAATCTCATCCACGGATCCAGCTTGTCGGCTCACACCTTCTGGCAGGTCATCCGGCACCAGCAAGACGATATTATACATTTCTCCGCCACGTAGCGAGTAGCCGACAGCGTGAGCTCCGGGGCCGATCCAGAAGTGGACAGATGGGTTCTTGACCCATTCTTGAAGCTCTGGGTCCTTGATCTGGTCCAGACTAAGAACAATGCGGTACGCCAGATCTCCGGTGTGTTTCGGTTGGTCCTTCGTCCCCAAAAACAAGTTGCGGCTTCGAGACCAAATGCCGTCGGCAGCGATGATCAAGTCCGCTTTGGCAGTGACGCCTGATTTGGTGGTGATTTGAGGGATGCTGAAGTCGATATTTTCAACCTTTTCGCCGAAGTAGAATTTGACGCCGAGATCCTTGGCCCGATCGAACATGGACATTTGGAGGTCAACCCGGTGGATGTCGATAAACGGGGCTCCGTACTTGGCCCGCATCTTTTCGTCAAAGTTCTCTTCCATGGCCAGAGTTTGGCCGGTGTATTTGTGAACGGCGAGATAGGTCGGCTCAGCTGCCGTCTCCCAGAGCTTATCGGGTAGGCCCCATTGCTGCAAAAGGCGAGATGAGTTGGGCGTTACCTGCAGGCCGGCGCCGACTTCTGAGAGTTCGTCGGTAGACTCAAAGATCGTGACATTGTGTCCGGAGAGAGCACACGAGATGGCCGAGGCGAGGCCGCTCAGGCCGGCTCCCACGACGATGACGTCTAGTGACACTGGTGATTTTGAGTGGTGTGGCATTTTGTCTGCAGGCTGAGAACCGTTAGCTGGGGACTGACTCAGCTTTAGGAGGTCCTAGACTCCCTATATTATACGTCTGGTCCTCGGGTACGACGTAGGATGTTTCACAGCCCCCGGCAAACCCGAAATTCAACGAACCACCCGGTTTTCGTAAGCGAGGCTACGCGGCTACCAACGACTGTATCCATAGCAAGCTTCACCTCGATGGGCAGAATGTCCACCCTCCATCCGGGGTAATAAAATGGGGCAGAGGGGATTCGTCTGGTGATCGTTCGGAAAACCCGAAAAGAAGTGGGTTTCGCTCCGGATGTTCCACAACGAGGCGCCTAGATCCTGAGGTGGGGGGACAATCCCCGCGGAGAGATCCGCGCATAATCTCGGGGATAATTTCTAAATAATGTTTATCGATTGGCCTAGTTAATTCGATATCCAAAGTGGACTTCGCATTGGCTTTATATGGAGATGACAGTTGCTAGAAACCAGCTACAATGGATTTCCAATGTTTGTTTGGGCTCGAGGAGCTTCTCGCAGCGTCTCCCATTGCCAACTAGAAACACAGTCACTCGCAAACGCCAATTGTGGACCACTTGTAAACACATACTTAAGCGTGGCATGCAGACGCCTTCAGATACTGCGCTCCGCCCACCCACAAACTCCCATGAGGGGCCGTAGCGCTCCCGAACCGCCGCTGCATAAGCCACTCGGGCTCCGTGCTCCGTTGGACCTCCGTCCGAGGCCGTGATGAATAACCTCCGCTTACGTAGTCAGACACTTCCGAATTCATTGTGAGACTCGCAAGTCCACGACGCGGCAGTTCCCCGTCCAATTCCATTGCGGCCAAGCCCGCTTACTCATTATCAGCATCGACAGGCCAAAGTAGCACCGATATCCTCAGCCCACTACTCCCCCTACCCATCTCCAGATTTTTATCCTTCTTTCTCTTCCATTCAACTGGGTTACTTTACTCAAGACTTGAGGCTTTCAAGTTCTGCACTCCCCTTGGCTTATTTTCCCCGCTCTGGAGGACACAAAGTTCCTCAGAACACAATCACAGGATCAAAATGGTGGCACATTTTAAGTGAGACTGAGGCCAATTTGGCAATTTGTAAATTCATTCCGTTATTTCATTGCATCACATCATGCTTCGCTTCGCTAATAGTCTACAGGAGGTCAACAAGACCATCAGCAATCTGGTGGATGTTGGTTCCAAAGTTGGCAGAGTTGGTCTGGAGGTAGAGAATGCCATCCTCAATGACAGCCTCGTTGTACGACTTGGACATCTTGTCGACAATTCGGAAGTGGACAGCGTTGCCCTCAAGAGTCTCGACAAGACCCTCCTGAAGCATATCATCGCTGTCAAACTTCTGGTAGGTAAGGTAGTCGTTGAGGCCCTCGAAGTAGCCACGGACGAAGCTGCCTAGGTTGGTAGCGTAGTCGTCGCGAACGTCAGAAGAGGCAGCGAGCTTCTCATAGACAGCCTCGAAGTTGGGCACGAGAGGGATCTCCTTGCCCAGGATCTTGTTGAGCTTCTCCTGGACGGGACCAATCTTGGAGTCGTAGTCCTCGACGATGGCAAGGCGGGCCGAGTGACTCATGGGCTTACCGGCCTGGTCGGCGGCGTTGAGGGCCTTGGTGAGGTTGCTCTTCTCCATGGCATGGTCGATGTTGGTTCCGAGGTTGCCGGCGGCGAAGATGATGGCGAGCTCACCAGTGGGTGTGATCTTGCTGCCACAGTAGCTGAAGAGCTTCTCCTCATCAAAGTCCATTGTGATGACGTGGGCATGAGCGAGGGTGTTGATCTCGTCCTTGACGATGTCACCAGCACTGGAGATGAAGTACTTCAGCTGCCACTCAGCTCCGCTGATATAGCTACAATGGAAATCTGGTTAGCGGTGGAGTTCAATTTCCCGAGGTGTTTGAGAGTTGGAGAGGGGGTTCAACATACCTGGCGATACAGGCACCCAGAGAGTTGGAGCCGTACGAGTTCTCCTCCGCATAAGGGTAGATGGAGAGGGGGTCGATGTTGATGGTCCATTCGACACCAAGGAGATCAGAGAACTTCTTCTCCCAGTCGGCCTTGACGTTCTCCCACTCGTCACGGACTATAGGACACGTTAGTGATTTGGTCCTGTGGGTGAGCAAATGGTATTGACTTACCGTTCTTGCGGACAGCAAGGGGGAGCTTGGCAGCGGGAGGAAGCCGAGACATGATTGCGAGTGGTGTGGATGGAGGATGGAAAGTGAAGAAGTGGGTTTATAAGATGAGAGTGAATCGGTGTTGTGATGTGATGTGATGGAGATATTCTTCCCAAATCATGGAGCATACAAGACGCCTTTTATCGTTTTATCCCAAAACCCCTGAAGGCAACCCACCATCCGGCGACCGCTCTCAGCATAGCGTCGTGGGACATCCATCCCCGCAGCTCCCGCAGTGCCTGGCCGCCAGTCATGACTACAAGCATCTGGATAGCGCCATGGTTCCGCACTTGCAACTGAGCTTGGAGCTTCCAGAAACCACTGCCAGCATCAATTGCGGGTGCACGTGGCTGGAACTGACCAGGCTAAGCGAGCAACCAGACGGTTCGAGAGGTTGAAGTTCGCGGCGTGCTGCAGCGGGCGGCATGATGGGGGCCCGCCAAGGCGAAAGCAGCAACGGCCGAGGCAGCCTTTGCATCCCAGTTCACGCCCTGTTCGCCCTGTTCGGGAGCGCGGCAGAGTTGAGGGGGAATCTGGAGATTAAACGAGCGACTGGTGATGTGCCGGTGCCTGGCGTCTGCCGCTTGGGGGACGCCACTCAGCCCAGCTGAAAGAGTAGCGTTGACTTGGCGTTAGATGCGGCCCTAGGGTTTCAGCGGCGTGCAGCCGTCGCGGGGCGTAATTTGTTCCGCTGTGAATGCCCTGCATCCCCGCAGAAACAGATGCAGTTCAGGGGGGGTCCAGTCCTGCGTAATTAGCATCGAGGCTGAAAGGCTGAATCGCCAAAAGTGACTACAGAAGCGACTCCTGAAGCTACCTGGAGCTACTCGAAGCCATCCCCAACCATTCCTCAAAGGCAGCTCCGCATCGCAGCCCCGCCCACCCCTCATTCTCATCCCATTCGCAACCTTCTCACTCACAACTATCAAATCTCAATCACCAAAATCTCATCGCAATCATGTCTCTGTAGGACACCTCGTTTTATCCATGTCAAATCATCTGCTAACGTTAACCCGATGCCAAAAGACCCCTGAAAGCCAAGGTCGCCCTGCGAGACAAGTGGGAGAAGACAGACTCCCCCGTTCAGACAGCCATCAAGGAGGTCAAGGGCCTTCTTGGCCTTGACGTTCACTGTGAGCCAGAATGGCCAATTCTCATTTCTGAACTGGAAAAGGTCTATGAGGACAAGGCCCAACTGATCGGTGCACTTGTTGGCATCCTGCAGACCTGGTTCGCAACTCTTGCCGAGATTCTCGACGATTCAACCCAAGACACTTGGTCTGAAATGGTCGTTGAGAAGGTCAATGAGTTAACCTCGAGACTGAATGTGACTGTCGAGGTAAATTTTCTCATGCGCTCTCGTGGCATTTCCACAAATCTTGGAAATGCGGTGCAGCCTAGAGTGGGGTAGCTGAATATCACTGACATGGGATGCTAGGCCTCCGAGACTGAGCGAGCTTCTACGGAATGGTCTGACAAGCGCAAGGGATTTCTTGTGTGCATTCCCAAGGTCCATGTGCATCAACCGGCTCAGTTCGGATCTCTCTTCAAGGAGCAGCTTCTCGACTGCTTCGAGGAGAAGAAGAAGCCTTCACAGTCGCTACCAATCCATTCCACCACCGGGGATGAATGGGCGGATGTGGGCATGGATGAAGCAGCTGAGAAGCCTGTAAAGCCTACTGCAACAAAGGACACAGCATCCATTGTTGACTATCTCCCCGACGCCAACACTTTGCCCAAGCCTGGCACTCTCCTCCTCAAGCCTCCGTACCACCTCTTCATTCATGCCATCGGCAACAACAAACTCGAGATCCAGTGCTCTCATAGCGCGACCCTCGAGGTTTTATCCGACTATCTTAAGAGATGGTGTCGGATTAACCCAAATGTCACCACCAAGGTCAGTTAGCCCCACATCACACGCGTCTACTATACAAGGCACTTAAGCCATTTCGGAGCATTTGCAACCACTAAGGATAACCAAAATCCATTGCCCATCAAGTGCTAATCTAATCTCAGCCTCCCGCTGTCGAGATCACTCTCAATCAAGGCTCTTGCGGCTTCGGTCTGACATACGACACACTAACCCTATTCTGCGAGAATCGATATCATGGAATCTTTACGGTCTCTCCAACTCTGATTTTGCACTTGGTGGAGGGTGAGTTTGGATATGAGAGGGTGTATAGTGATGCTAGTACTTGGCAATATCGCCGGGACGCACCATTCAAGAGGGCATAGAAGGAATGGATGAATGAAATGACCAAGCAGCATGATAATTTATTTTTGCCAGCTTTCATGTAATCAAGAGTAGTGTTCAAATCTCTAAGACCCTCATGTGATGTGCCAAAAACTCGAATAAACCAGGTGATTTCGAGAAGACAAAATAATGAGGGTGATAAGTGGTTTTCCATACCCTCACTCTGCCTATGCAACACTTATATAGCTGTAAGTTAGGACCAGTAGGCGACTAGGATGGTTTTCAAAGACAAGATGGTTGTTGAGAGCAGAAGGAATCAAAATTAAACAAGGAGACTAAGAGTATGAAGAGCTAGGGAAGCTATCCTTCTTCAAGGTCATTATATATGTTCTCAAACATTGCCGCAGTCCGTCGGCATCTAGACTACCCCACGTTTGGATTCGGGTTCTGTAAATCCCCATCTTCTTCCCCTCTACATCCCCTCGGCTAAGGAAGTCCACATCTTTGCCAAGACGCATCCGAGGGGATCTCGGCTTGCTCCCCAGTTTTTACAGGCGTCCGCAGGTTTGGATCATGTCGCTGAAGATCTCTCCACTTGGATCCTACCCTACACGGAGTTGACAAGGGGTGCTCGCTTGGGGAATCCCTTACGTAACAACCCATCGAATCCTTGCTCCGCAGTGAATGTTACCATTGATCGGAAGGGCATTGGGCATGCAAATTCCATAGTCATTCTCCGCACTACAGAACCACGTCGTGGATCAGTTGTGGTCGCCGGGGTGCAGTGAGCCCACTCCTATCGCCGGCTTCGGATTGCCGCGCGTTCCACGCTTCCATCCTCGCCACCTAACTCCTCATCATCTAGTCTTGTCAATCGGAAAAGCCTCACAAGTTTGCGGATCTGGAAATCATTGCATTGCTGGATCCTTTGTATCTAGGTGGAGAAACGAGCATGAATCTGACGAGAAGCGGAAAGAGCGGACCCTGGGGTATTTCATGCTGGCATAGAATGATGCCATGTGAAGGTTAAGTGAACTTTCAGAATAAAGCAGGAGTGATGAAAAGAGCCTCATAGCGATGCAAAGGTGGGTTCGTCACGAAGCGCAAGTCAATGATGGGCCAAGCAGTAGGTGTTTGTTCATTTTACTATGCACGAATCACAAATAGAGACGCCTCTAGAAGATAGAGTCCAATCACGAGTTTCGGAAACAAGGCCGCGCAAGCTGATTTATCAGAACCCCGACGGGCGTCGGGGACTGCTATAGAGAGAGATGGAGTAGCTAGTTTGGATCCCAGCAGTTCACTTCTATCTGCTGGCTGGTCTCCGTTTTCCGGACCGAATCAGATAAGCTATCGCATCATAGACAGTCGGTTGGAGGAAAAAGCCAGTGCGGGCATTGTTACTGGTAATGGCCCAACCTCTGAAAAACCAAGGATATTCCAGATTAGGAAGGTGTGATAAGATAGCAAGCGACCGAGCGGAGGCTAAGCTAACCTTAATCCTTTCCCATTGTCCTAATAAGGCTTCAGTCCGTGCCTATCCTTCATAATCCCCGCAAAGAGAAGAGGTACGTTGAAAGAACCTAGAGGTACGAGAAAATGATAAGGAATGTGGGCGTTGGCATTTGTAATACGATGTAGATTTGCAGTATAGGAAATGTCTATCGTATCGCCTCTATTACTATTCACTGTGGGAACTGGTTGACGGTCCTTCCGAATCGTTGTTCTCTAATTGGTCCTGTACCCGGAGAGACCGAACTGGAGTCTTTGCATGCCTGAGGGCCAAGGGTTGGATTCGCAGCTAATTACCTCATGGTCAGGGCTCTCTTAATTGATTACACATTCCCTGCCGACGAAGGAGCGTGTCACTCTAGCATGATACCGGTGCCACCTGCTCATTCCCAGCGGGCGGGGTTGATATAACCCTGACGCCAGCGCCATTGCTTGGTCTTTCTCTCCAGTACTCTCCTCCTATCGTGAGCCCTCACGGACCATTCAACTCGAAATAATCGTTTGCTCTTATCGATCTGAGTTCGCCATGGGAAAACTTGGGTTGTTATTCGCCGTTTCGGCGGTGCTGGCTCCGAGCAGCCTTCTTGCTGGTGCCGTGCCACATGAGAGTTATTACCCTCCCGCAACCGAGCCAAGCTTGTCCAAAAAGTTCACCGACAAACTCGGCGCGGTTGCATCCGAGGCTGAGATTTGCAGCACAGTTGGCATCGATCTCTTACGTAAGGGCGGCAGTGCTGCCGATGCCATGGTGGGAACTGTCCTCTGCGTTGGCACCGTTGGTGAGAAGACTCGGCGAAATTTCAAGAGATCTCAAGTGAAGCTAACTTGGTGCAGGCATGTATCATTCGGGAATCGGCGGAGGTGGCTTCACGCTCGTGCACAAAGGGCCTAGCAAAGGGAAGAAGTCGTCGTACGAGTTCATTGATTTCCGCGAGGCAGCCCCAGCCGCAGCGACCGAGGACATGTACACCGAAGACGTGAATCTCAGTTTATATGGAGGTCAAGCCAGGTATGTTTGCGAAACTTGAACGCAATACGATACATCTGTCTTACCTGTGGTTTAGTGGCGTCCCTGGAGAGCTTCGTGGTCTGGAGCATTTACACAAGAACTATGGCCGTCTACCTTGGTCAACTCTTGTCAAGCCAGCTATTCGCATAGCTCGGTACGGATTCCCCGTAAACGAAGATCTGGACAGGTTTATGAAGTCCACATATACAACCAACTCGAACGAGAGCTTCCTCGTCACCGACCCGACCTGGGCTATCGATTTCGCCCCTGCCGGAAAGTTGCTAACTCTCGGGGAGAAAATCACCCGAAAGCGGTACGCGAAGACGCTGGAGGCCATTGCAGAACGTGGTGTCGATGTCTTTTATGAAGGCCCTATCGCCAGGGCTACCATAAAAGCTCTTAAGGAACAAGATGGTATTATGACCCTGGCAGACCTTAAGAACTACTCTGTTGCCGTGAGGGAGCCGAACCAAATTGAGTACAAGGGCGGCAAAATCACAGGTGGAACAGCGCCTTCCAGCGGTGCTGTGGGCTTGGCCGCTTTGAAGATTCTTGAAGAATATGATTTCATCGGAGATGCCACCCGGGTCAACGAAAGCACCCACCTTCTTGACGAGGCGATGAAGTTCAGCTACGGAATGCGAACTAAGCTGGGTGACCCGAGTTTTGTTGACGGTATGACAGAATACCAGAAGCAAATGATATCAGAGGAAACGGCAGAAGCTGTCAGGGCAAAGATCACGGACAGAGCGCTCAACCTTTCTGCGTATGATCCCGACGGCCTTGAATCTCTTGAGACCCCGGGAACATCTCACGTCGTGGCCATGGATAGCTCGGGCTTGGCGATTTCTCTCACCACAACCATCAACTTGATATTCGGCTCGCGGGTGATGGTTCCAGAGACGGGCGTCATCATGAACAACGAGATGAACGACTTCAGTATTCCGGGATCATCCAATGCTTTTGGGTTCATCCCAAGTGAAGCAAACTTTATCCGACCTGGGAAACGCCCACTCTCAAGCATCAGCACCACCATCGTTGAGCGCGCCAACGGAATTGTTTCTCTGGTGACCGGTTCCGCCGGCGGTAGTCGAATTATCACCGCCACGCTTCAAGTGGTGTTGAACGTGCTCGAGAAGAACATGACTACACACGAGGCACTTGCGGAACCTAGAATCCATGATCAGCTGGTTCCCCAACAAGTGGCCTTTGAGTACACCTTTGATAACTCGACTGTGGCATATATGAAAGAGATAGGGAATAACGTTACGTGGGTGGCTCTCGGACGAAGCACAGCACAGGCGCTAAGACTGCTCGAGAACGGGACTTTTGAGGCTGCCGGCGAGCCTCGGCAAGTTAACTCTGGTGGATTTGCGACATAAGATCTGGCAGAAGCTTGTTAATATCTAATGGCTACAATGATAGTCCTGCACTATTTCCCAAAGTTCATCACTAATCATTGTGACTTAACACATCGAGCCAAGTGAATGACTTAGTAAAGAAGAGTAGTACGAAAAGAACGCGGTTTCATTCAAACACGGATGGAGATATTCCATTTACTCAGGCGTAGACTTATCGTCAACAAGTCTGAATACGGATGTAAGCTAAGGGTGAAATGAGAGAAATGGATGGCAGAATGGATGCAGTTTGTGCTCATACAAGCATTTCGGCGGCGGAAAGTGTTGTTGATTAATACTTGAATATGTCCAACCTCTTAGACCTTGGATACATGAACGTCTTCCGCATGGTCTACATCATCCTCAACTTGCTTTGCCTGCTTTGCCTGCTTTGCCTGCCTCGCTGCTACTCCCAAGTCGTCAACATTAGAAAAGTCGGCGACATCAAATATTTCATCCATCCGTTCCAAAGAGATCTATAAAAGAAACGAGAGTCAGATTCGAACCCAATTTGATGCTTAAGATTAAAGTAGAAAGACTTACGCCCTTTGTTTCAGGAATCCAAAATGCAGCGATTGACATGACGAAGTTCACGGATCCAAAGATGAAATAAGCCCTGTATGGTGACGTAAGTAGCATCACCGGTGTCGCTTTTGAGACGGCCAAATTGTGCAACCAATGTGTAAGTGAAGCCAACGCCACGTTGTAGGCTCTCAGCCGATTAGTCGGGATCTCGGACACATATACCCATGCTGAAGTTGATAATTAGCAAACATGGATCGGAAAGAGTTGCAATAGAGTTGAGAAAATGGATACAGATGCTTCGGGAGTTTTGAGGCTGTGCCCTAATCGGATGTACTAGTCTGGGAAGGGAAAATCACTTACATACGGGCCCCCAACCCATGTTGAAGGCCGCAGCGAAGATGTATACCATAGCTAGAGCCGCGATGCCTGCAGGAGGTGGGCTTTCGTCTTCCGCAATTTTGGGGCCGAACCGAACGTACTATTTGTGTTATTAAAACAATATAATCTTTCGAGCATCACGACTCACGAATCCCAGGAAGAACATGCAGAACGACTGCACGGCGCCACTCCACATGAAGGACATACGGCGACCTAGGGAGTCGGCCAGGAAGAAGATGAAGATCAAACATGTGACCACCTTGACAATGCCGTATATTCCTTGGGCGAAGAGGGCCGTTGTTGTGCTAGAGAGGCCCAGACTCTTGAAGATCGTGGGAGCGTAGTAGTTGATGGCGCCGGTCTAGAGGTTGTCAGCAGCCGTTAATTCTGACAGAGAAGCGAGATAGACGCAAGTTAGATTATTCAATGGGCCACTTACTCCTGACCATTGCTGGAATGTGATTATCCCAATCGTCAGCAACGCACGCTTCCGATTCCCAGAGATCGTCCAGCACTCTTTTTGCAGCGCCCAGAATCCTGTATCCTGCATAATGGCTCGTTCTTGGTCCAGTTGTGTGCGCATTTCAAGAAGCTCCTGCTGGAGATATGGGTGCTCAGGCGGAAGGTGTCGTACATCCGATAACACGTTGGTGGCCTTATCCCACTGGTCTTGAGATGCCAGCCATCTAGGAGACTCGGGGCAAAATAGCATGCTGAAGAACAACAGGGTTGGGCAGATTGACTGACAAGCCAGTGGGACCATCCAACTAGCTTTACCCTAAAGAAAAAATATGATCAGCAGGGCTATGGGGTGTATGATGAGTATAGTTGCGCTTACCGGAAGGTGTAGTAGGGAGCCATAATTGATGAAGTACGCCGTCATGCCACCCATAACCAGGAGAAGCTGGAAAAATCCGACCAAGAACCCACGGATGGCGCGAGGCGAGTTCTCGGACACGTAAGTAGGCGCCAGCATAGTTCCCGCACCAAGGCCAATACCTTCCACAAATCTAGCCTACTTGTCAGTCGCGACATATTCTACCAGCCATACGTTAGAGCCGAGGCAAGTAACTTACCGTCCGATGTAGAAGACAGAAAAATGGCCATAGGAGAATGCCTGCATCAGCCCACCTATTAAGCCCGTGATGGCGACAGCAAGCAGCGCAGGCTTCCTCCCCCATCGATCGGCGAAGGGGCTACAGACCAGAGCTCCTGCAACAGCGCCTGCTTGCATAGTAGTGACGAGGTTGCCGGACAGATCGGCGGCGGCACTTGGGGGGCGCTCGTCAAGACCAAACTCTCTGTTTTTGCAAAGGTCAGTTTGTTTCTACCTTCCGAACGGTGCAAGATATGCATATACAGGGCCACAGCATACCTCTTAAAATCCGGCATTACTAGAACACCGCCAATAATGCCTGCGTCCACGCCAAAGAGCGCGCCCGCGAAGCATGCCTGCGAATTGGCGAGATTAGTCCCAGAGGTATAACTCTTGGGGTCAAGGTGTTGCACATACTGAAGTGGCCAACGCAAGAACGCGCCCATTGTAGATTTCCGGTGGGTCAACATGGATGGCATCGTTGCGGATGATGCGCCGAAGCAGTGAGTGGAATGCCATCTTCGTTGGAGGCAAAACGAATCACCTGATGTCGTGCTCCCTGATGCGAGTGAGTGTTGGGAGATGTGCGATTAAAGAACATGGAATTACGAACCGAAATGTAGCAACGCATGATGATATAAGTACTGTCGCACTCGAGTGGCCTAGGAAAGTGAAACAATCCATTCGGCTGCGGTTGTTTACAGCCTCACGTGAATTCCAACCCCGCATTCATGGGGTGCAGTAATTAAGGTGCAGGAGGGTGTACGGGGTGCAGATCCTATTGAAGGGATCGACATCAGGGTGTCGGCTTTCATTCGGGGTCTGTCGGCTGCTTCCCGACTTGATCGTGGCTGTAACGAGGCGTTCTTGGCAATGCGCCATCCGGGGAGTGTCGGGTCATTCCCGAGACGCGTCGTGGCCGTGGAGGTGCATAGAACATTATCGGATCAAAGGTGACGCATCCAAGTTGAGATACTTGACGTCCTCTTAGGGCTTATTGTACATGAATGGTCTCATACAGTATGATGTAGACTCCACGCCTTGACCATTCGGCCCTTCTCTAACTCAGACCTGAGCAAGATGCAAGATAAGAAGCAGAAACTTGCTACCGAATTCACTTAATTACACAATTTCTCAAAAAATCCGAGATTCATGTACTATAAGCTGTCCCATGGACTCTCAGGGTTGCCCCAGATATGCTCCAGCTCCGAGCCTAATGAAGGTGTTGGCCAGCCGCACCTGATCCGGCACGAGTCGAGCATTTCCAGGACGCAGCTTCTCTGACGAGGGTTCTGCATGAACATTCCAGCTATGGCAAGGAATTAGATGATGGTTTGTCGTTGATCATTTGAGCGGGCTTACCGATGAACAGGCATTGCGAAGACAGCATGCTCGATGCATCCTCTGTCAGTGTCATACCAATACCGCAGACCATCTCAATACTATCCTGAATCGTCTTCTGACGCTTCATAAAACTTTCAAGGCCACCTAGGCATGGCTCGTTGGCACATATTAGGATTTGGGACACATGATGAATCTGCATCGCCAATCCTATCGCTGGAGTTAGCATCGGGAGCGCAGCAAATATCGGTTGACGAAGGGATACCTACCAAAACACTGAGGGTGTATCAAACGCGGCTGAAATGCTTCAGAACCACGGCGACTTATCGCAGGAAGTGAAGAGAACTCGACTGTCAAATGCGATTGCCATTCATGAAGCATCTTCTTCAGTGCCTTGGCCCACACGAGCCTCCCTGACAAGGCGCCTTCCGCCTCCTCGGATGAATCAAGGGCACAAAAGTTGATTACTTGGGCCAGAATCCAGACGGCACGCGAAGCCAGCTCGTGGCTATCTAGTTCTGAGCATGCTTTTTTCGGTGTCCATGTGCTGTATGTCCTGCGCTTCTCGCGAAACGCCACCCATATATCTTGACGAAGCCAAGCCCACCAGGTCGTGCTTTCTAGGCTAGGAGCCTCCACTTCGATCTGTCGCGACCGGAGGATCCAGAATACACCTTGCAGATGCTTTTCCCAGTCCTTGCGAGATCCTCGCAGCATCTCGTACGTTGAGACGATGAGAGTCGTCGCCATCAACTCGCGGCTGTTCTGGTACGTCGAGAAACGCATGGCCTTCTGGACGTAGTGCAGAGTTTGATAATAGTACTGTAGTGCGCTATTCTGGTCTGGACGCTCTTCAAGCGAAGTACTTCCATCAAGTGATTGGTGATAAGCAGATAGCGCCAAGATGGCATTTAATAGGCCTGCATTTCTGACGGCGAGGTGTGGTACTCTGGTAGAAAACGTACGGGCCGGGTCGAACAGATCAAGCTATTATTGGCCATGAGTGACTTTGTTTACCCAACATAGAATGCGATAGAGATGATATCATACCCATGAGCATATCCGGTGAAGAAAGTTCTCGAACAACATCTGTTCTCTGTCAAGCAAGCAGATATTTGCGGATGCTTGCCACATGCTTTTCTCTGCTAGGTTTGCAATTGGACTCGCGGCGGCGATCCCTTCCTCGGACAAGTCTTGTGCTGGTGGCTGGTCATCGATGATTCTCGTGGCTCGCTGCAGAGGCGTCGTATCGTTCTCCTCCTGGCCATCTGAGGGGTCAAGGAATCCCCCCTCCAGCTCAAGTGCTATATCTGCCTCCTGAAAAGCCTCACGAGATGCATCGCTGGCTAAAAGACCGAACCATCGAACCGCGGCGACACTTGCAGACGCGGTGGGAGTCGTTGAAGCTGAGTCTGATTGCTGTCCAAACGAGTCATTGGCCACGTAAGAAAGCTGTTGCGTCTGTACACCTCCAGTAGCATCCCAGCCTATATTATTGCTGATGCCGCGTGGGTGGGTATGAGTCGGAGCAGAGGGAGACAGGTCTGAAGCCACGCATTGCGACTGTGAAGCAGCGACCGAGTGGACAATCTGTAACAGGTCATCCTGAGAACTGATGATCTGACCCAGTTGCCGAAGGATCTCTAAGCTGGCAGGGTCGAATCTAAACAACACTACATAAGCATAGGTATATAGTTATCGTTAGTAATGGGGTGAAACATACGAAGAGTGGTCCTTCTCCACAGCATCGAACGAGCATGGGATATTGAGAGACGCACAAAAGCCACAAGTGGGTTGCACGTTATCGCACTTGGTCTTCCTCGCCCGACACACGTGGCAAGCCCTCAGACTCCTCTTCCGCGGATACTTGGCGTCTGATGATGACTGGCGAGCGCGCTTCCGTCCTCCTTGAGGGTCATAATTAGAAGCGGCTTGCCGAGTTGGCTCTGTCTCGCGCTGATCGGGCATTTCAGACCAGAATCAAGAGCCAAGACCTACAGGAGAATACGCCTTGCAATCGGTGGCTTATCGGTCGGGGAAGATCAAGGTAAGTACCCGACGTGACTCCTCGAGACGGCATGGAGAAGCTGCAGTCGAAATGGACGGCAATTAGCGAGACAGCTTCGGGGAGTCGCGGGGTCAGATCCTGTCAGCTGGACAATCCTGTGGCGTAACGGGGACGCGGATCCGACAGCCGAGACCTGCAGCTCAGCAGATGATCCAACGTGACACCAGTGTCGATCATGTTCATTTACGGACAGCGGGAGTCTCGCGGCGCGGGGACTGTCGGGAAGAAGCATGAAGCAGTCAATCATCCCCTCCGGCCAGTGGATTATGAGCTCGGCCGAGTCGCATTCGCAGGATAAAAGCCGCGCAATACCTATCAACCAACTCAGCAAGTTCGCGACGCTTCTAATTCAGCAGCAGTTCATTCATAGTTCATCGGTTCCATCATGGTCTTACTGCCGGCTCCCCACCAGGACAAATTGAACGAGATGGAGGGCTTGAGCCGCGATACTCAGCCCGAAGCGGCATTCGAGGGTATCCCAGGCAATGGGAGCAGCGCTGCGACATCATGGCAGAGGGCACATCTCAAGTCTAGGCCCCAGGTATTCTCAACCGACATTCTTGTTGTTGGTGGCGGCCTCGGCGGAGTCGCTGCAGCGCTTGGAGCTCTGCGCAGGGGTCGCAACGTCTTTCTGACCGAGGAGTACGACTGGTTAGGCGGGCAACTGACCAGCCAAGCCGTGCCTCCGGATGAGCATTGTTGGGTGGAACAATTCGGCGTCACTCGCTCGTACCGGGCCCTGCGCGATGGCATCCGGCAATACTATCGCGACAACTACCCTCTGACGGACGAAGCCAGACGGAGGCCGCAGTTCAACCCCGGTGCTGGGCATGTCAGCAAACTATGTCACGAGCCTCGCGTTGCAGTGGCTGTCATCGAGGCCATGCTTCTGCCGTATATCGGGAGTGGGAAGCTTGTCATCAAGAAGCCAACGAAGGCCGTCTCATGCCAGATGGATGAGCAGCAGGTGGTTCGCTCTGTGGAATTTCGTCGACTCGACCATCCCGACACTTTCACCGTCCACGCCAAATATGTTATTGACGCCACGGAGTTGGGTGATCTCTTGCCTATGACCAACACTGCCTACGTGACTGGCTTCGAGTCTCGTAAGGATACCGGGGAACCCAGTGCACCGGAGGAGGCACAGCCGCAAAACTCCCAGGCAGTCTCCATCTGCTTCGCCGTTGACCACATTGACGGAGAGGACCATACAATTCCAAAGCCTCCAGAGTATGACTACTGGCGAAACTATCACCCGGACTTTTGGGGCGCACCGTTGCTCGGTCTGAAAGCGCCTCATCCACGAACGCTCAAGATCGTCGAGCGCGAGTTCACCCCGAACCCCAACGATGATCCGGCACTGGTAAATGCGGACCAGCGTTTGTCGGGTGGCGACATGAATCTCTGGACCTTTCGCCGCATCGCAGCACGCGACAACTTCAGGCCTGGGGCCTACCAATCCGACGTGTGCCTCGTCAATTGGCCCATGATCGATTACTTCGAGAAGCCCATCATCGACGTCCCCGAACATGAGCTAGAAGCACGTCTCAGCGCTGCTGCCTCGTTATCATACAGCATGCTGTACTACCTGCAAACCGAGTGTCCCCGAGCTGACGGAGATGGTAAAGGCTATCCAGGGCTACGTCTCCGAGGTGACATTACAGGCACAGAACATGGGCTAGCGATGGCGCCATATATACGAGAATCCCGCCGCATCAGGGCCATTACCACGGTTGTTGAGCAACATCTCTCATTGAAGGTTCGTGGCGATAAGGGGGCAGTACGCTACCCCGACAGCGTGGGGGTAGGCATGTACCGCATCGACCTGCATCCGTCTACAGGCGGTGACAATTACATTGATGTTGCCTGCTGCCCATTTGAGATTCCGTTAGGCGCCTTGATTCCGCTGGAGCGCCCCAACCTCCTCGCGGGCTGCAAGAATATTGGAACCACGCATATCACCAATGGCTGTTACCGGCTGCACCCTGTTGAGTGGAACATTGGAGAGGCGGCAGGCTTGTTGGCAGCGCATTGCCTGGATACGAAACTTTCTCCGCATGAGGTACAGGGAAAGAAGAAATTGTTTGAAGCGTATCACAAGGTGCTCATTCAAGAGGGTATCGAGACAGCATGGCCTGACGTTTCAGGTTACTAGTTTGGCTGGGAAGGTCATCTGGTTGTGTCTTTTGATGTAGTTTTAGTGGTGAGAATAGTCAATTACAGCGAGATTCTGATGTGAGAAAGTCTCAACGCGGCATCAGAAAATTGTCATGCTGTATCCCATATATAGGCCCATGGAGAGACAAAACATTGGCCTTTCAGTGCCTCAACCCGAGACTTAGGCTCTTCAGCCATGGCTCAGCATCGGCTCGGATTAATCACCATATACTCAGTTTTAGGAACAGAAATAGATCTGTAAGCTTGAATCTCGTATCCGATTGAAGCGGTATCCATGGACTGCAAGTATCCACTACGAAGAACCCCTAACCGCGTGTCTCGGACACTCATTCCGCGTGGCTCCTTTACGTATCAATCCGAGATCCGCATCTAGACTTCTTCTAGCTAGGCTCCACCTCTTTGCTTTAGTCCACCATGGACAGGACCGAGGTCACTACGTGCCTAGCTTTCCCAGCCATTCAATGGGATATTGCTCTACATATTCCAAGGCGCCGGTGAGCACTATGTGAGATTAGGAATTACGCCGAAGAAGGATTTTATATAACAAATCATTGAAAGAGAGGATAGCGAGGCGCAACTTCAAAGCTGTTCAAAAGAGGTGTTGAAAGAAGGGCAGGGTCTCAACGGGGGCTCCCTCGAGGAAAAAGAGACGCAGAGCTGCTATTGGGTGCGGAACGAATATTAAAGAACTCACCCCTACCTACCCCGCTGGAGATAAATGCGGCCTTTTGAAGATACCTGTCGCTTCAAAGAATGGGGGCTGAGACACATGCACTTCGTGAAGTGAGATGACAATGTCATTTAGGCGAGCTCTAACCAGCTCGTCAACCGATTTCTGTTAACCCAAACGGCGTCTTAATACTGCGTGATTTAACATTCAGTTTCTTGAAATCATGAAATAGTACACGGGATCTTTTTGATGCTTCAAAGGGTTCAAATGCGATTAGGATAGTTTGAAGAATTATCCATTCACAGTCTTAACATCGCCTCCCGCACACAAACGAGGTGGCTGGAGGCCCTCGTGTTCGGGTAGAATGCTAAGGATGCACTTAATCCCACATTAACCCACCGAAAAGCCATATTTAATTCCCCATAGCAATCTTTTCGTATTCGGATACGTCCGCTGGGTGGTCGGGGAGGTGATAGCCTCAGGACTCAGATATGTGGATACGAATACGAACCCGAAAGGGTGACGAATACGCCCCGGGGATAGGCGCCGCCTCCTCGGCTATGCAACTGAAACTGAATCTTGGTCGATGAAGAAAGTGTCCACAACAGATTTCCCGATATGTAATAGATGCGTAAGCCTCTGATTGGTGAGATGGCAAGTTGGAGGAGGCGGAGATTCGTCTCGGCGATGTACTGAGGCCTGAAAAGAGCAACCGAGACAAGACTTGGCGTAAAGGATGCGGCCTGGAGGAAACGAGATTCAAGTTGCGGAGGTTGCCGCGTGCTAAGCCAGTCTTCGGAGTATTTGAATGATTCCTCTCCCGTGTTTTCCTTCTCGTGCTGTCTCTTGTAACCACGTCACAGTTCATCTCAGCACTGCAACGGCCGAAAAACTGCAAGATGTTGGAACAAGTGTTGGATGTTGCTCTCTACCTCCCCGTCTACACCACCGGGGCCTTCTTGGCTTTGGTTCTCCTCAATGTCCTCCAACAACGGCTTTTTCGGAGGGCCAGTGATCCTCCCATGGTTCTCCATTGGCTTCCATTCATTGGCAACGCTGTTTCTTATGGCTTAGATCCCTACTCCTTTTTCTTGCAATGTCGAAAAAAGGTACCGCGGCATGAGCATATTTCTTGGGCTTTGTCTGTTTCCCATGTTTTGCTGACTGTCTCTTGCTCCAGCATGGCGACGTTTTTACCTTTGTTCTCTTCGGGCGAAAGATTACCTGCTACTTGGGCACCCACGGAAACGATTTCATTCTCAACGGCCGACATCAAGACGTGAGCGCCGAGGAAATCTACGGCCCTCTTACAACTCCCGTCTTCGGTAGTGACGTTGTATACGACTGCCCAAATGCGAAGTTGATGGAACAAAAGAAATTTATCAAGTTTGGGTTGTCCCAAAAGGCTCTCGAGTCCTACGTCCAAAAGATTGAAGGAGAGGTCATCGACTACCTCGGCTCGGCTTCCGCATTCAGCGGCCCCTCGGGAGCTATCGATATTTGCAACGCCATGGCCGAGATAACGATCCTCACCGCCGCTCGAGCACTACAAGGAGACGAAGTCCGCGGCAAACTGACCGCTGAGTTTGCCGACCTATACCATGATCTGGACCAAGGGTTCAAACCAGTCAACTTCCTCTTTCCTTGGGCGCCCTTGCCACACAACCGCCGTCGAGACGCAGCACATGCCAAAATGAGGGCAGTCTATATGGACATCATAAATGAACGGCGCAAGAGCGGTGTTGATGTGAATGAAGGCTCGGATATGATATGGAACCTGATGCGATGCACCTACAAGAATGGACAGCCGGTACCTGATAAAGAGGTGGCGCATATGATGATTACGCTTCTTATGGCAGGTCAACACACATCTTCGTCTGCCAGTTCTTGGATTATGCTTCACCTTGCCTCCCGTCCTGACATTACCGAAGAGCTATATCGGGAGCAGCTAGACAACTTGAGCGTCGACGGAGTCCTCCAACCGCTCCAGTACAGCGACCTCGACAAACTCCCTCTGCTCAACAATGTGGTCAAGGAAACCCTACGAGTCCACTCATCCACCCACACCCTTATGCGCAAGGTCAAGAATCCTCTCCAGGTCCCCGGAACCCCATACACGATCACTCCCGATCAGGTTCTTTTGGCTTCGCCGATTGTAACCGCGCTCAGTGACGAGTACTTTCCCAATGCCTTGACTTGGGATCCTCACCGTTGGGATGGAAAGGCCGTGGAAGAGCCCGTTGGTGATGATCTGGTCGATTACGGTTACGGCGTT